AACACCCTAACACCCTAACACCCTAACACCCCTAACACCCTAACACCCTAACACCCTAACACCCTAACACCCTAACACCCACCCTAACACCTAACACCCTAACACCCTAACACCCTAACACCCTAACACCCTAACACCCTAACACCCTAACACCCTAACACCCTAACACCCTAACACCCTAACACCCTAACACCCTAACACCCTAACACCCTAACACCCTAACACCACCCTAACACCCTAACACCCTAACACCCTAACACCCTAACACCCTAACACCCTAACACCCTAACACCCTAACACCCTAACACCCTAACACCCTAACACCCTAACACCCTAACACCCTAACACCCTAACACCCTAACACCCTAACACCCTAACACCCTAACACCCTAACACCCTAACACCCTAACACCCTAACACCCTAACACCCTAACACCCTAACACCCTAACACCCTAACACCCTAACACCCTAACACCCTAACACCCTAACACCCTAACACCCTAACACCCTAACACCCTAACACCCTAACACCCTAACACCCTAACACCCTAACACCCTAACACCTAACACCCTAACACCCTAACACCCTAACACCCTAACACCCTAACACCCTAACACCCTAACACCCTAACACCCTAACACCCTAACACCCTAACACCCCTAACACCCTAACACCCTAACACCCTAACACCCTAACACCCTAACACCCTAACAACCCTAACACCCTAACACCCTAACACCCTAACCCCTAACACCCTAACACCCCTAACACCCTAACACCCTAACACCCTAACACCCTAACACCCTAACACCCTAACACCCTAACACCCTAACACCCTAACACCCTAACACCCTAACACCCTAACACCCTAACACCCTAACACCCTAACACCCTAACACCCTAACACCCTAACACCCTAACACCCTAACACCCTAACACCCTAACACCCTAACACCCTAACACCCTAACACCCTAACACCCTAACACCCTAACACCCTAACACCCTAACACCCTAACACCCTAACACCCTAACACCCTAACACCCTAACACCCTTTGATTCTTTTAATTTATAAAAGTAAATACTTTGAAGCAAGTTTCAAAATTTAGAGTAATTTAAAAATATTATTAGTTATATATTCTAAAAATATGTTATTTATTTCATGGAATATAAATTTTGAGTGATTATTAATTAAATAAGACCCTTTATGTAATCTTGAATTTTACTTCATAAATTTTTAGATAATGAAATTACCTTAGGTTTTTAAGAAGTTTATAATTGCATTTCTTATCATATAGCTCGAAAATTATAAATTATTCTACTAAAATAGCTAAAGACTGATAATTGAATGAAATTTAAATCATAACTTAAGTCACATGCATTTTTCTTTTACTTATATCATTGAATGATGGCATAGAATAAAGTATTTTCTTCACGCTATTTAATCTATTTTGTAAATTTAAAATAATAAAGACTCAAAGCTTTCCACCTAGTGAGTTTGTATTTAATAAATAGCTGGGACTTGCGAAGTGTATAAAACGGGAAAGCCTTCTATTTAATATTAAATTATTAAGGTCTGAATGCCAAACAATAGAGATCTTAAGTATATTCAATAACCTGAAAAATGATGTTGTGAATCCAAGAGAATATGCTTGTTATATAAAAATTCAGGCTCAACTTAGAACTCAAACTTAAGCAAGCCTATCAAGAATAAAGAATGCTGAGCATATAATACAGCCCTTTATCTCATTGACATATAAATACGTTAATGTTCGGAGATGACCACCCCGACCTCTTGGCGCAATATTCTTCACACTTTTTGAGCACCTAGGTGGGAAATCAAACTAAAATAAAGGTCTTGGAACCTTGGTGTATATCGGGCATGAGTTTTTCTTCTGCCTCAAGCAGCTAATCCCCTGGGCATGAGCTTTACCTCTGGTGATTCTTGAAAAGGGCACAGTCAGCGAATACTAGGTGAGTAGACTGAAAACACTCCTCAAGACCTGCAAGACAGCATATGCCTAACACAATTCTGGGGAGTTGTGTCCTGGGACCAGTCCTGAAAGCTTCGTCTATCAACTCTCCTGACCCTGAGGGATAGGTGTCTGCTGGGATCAGACGGGATGATGAGCATGCAGTATTCAAATCTCCGGCCCATATTGTGATTGCGAACGATAATTATTAATTTAATACAATCTCATTGACATTAAAAATAACAACCAGGCTGATTACTTTTTTCTAGCACAGAAATCTTGAAGGGAGAATTAAGGCTCAATTACTATAGAACCAGTAAATAATAATACATGCATGACTCAATTATTAAATGACGAATTGCTCTCAGCATATATAACTGAAAAGTAAATAATACCAATAGGTTAGAATAATAATAAATTAGCAAAATTAAAATAAAAATTTCATATGCTGGTGTGCTTTATATTATTGTAGTTTGGTATATATCGCATCATTCTTTTATGAAAATAGACTTATTAAATAAACATTTACAGTAGATTAGATTAATTAACACCCTAATGATTTGCATTATTTTTGTTACTCCTCAACCATTAGCAAGCAGCTCACTTTACGAAGGGGGTTAAAATATTTTAATAAAAATCCTAATCTGCAAATTTATGCTCCAAAATTTAAGCTATTTAAAATTCAACAGAATTAGCAAGATATTCATTATACTAGTTATCACTTATATATAAAAGATTTTTGGTTCATACACGAGGGGGGAAATATGAGTTTTCGCAATGGTTTGTTTGTTTCATGTGGTAGAGAGTTAATAAATAGGAAAAGTTTAATTATAAAGCACTCAATAAATACTAATTTTATTGTTTTTCTAGTAAAATTAATCTAATTCTCTCTTCAGTAAGAGAATAAAACATTAGAAAATTACTATTATTATAATCAAAACCAATCATCTCTGAGAGAGAAGAAAAAACTTTAATATTAAAACTTTATAAATAATATTTTAACATATAAGTCATAAATATAATCAATTAATTCTATCAAATTTTAAGCTAAACTATTTTTAAAAAAAACTTACTATAAAAAAATTTATTTGTCTAAAAAGGAAAATAAAAAATTTTTTCTGAAACTCTCAGTAAGCAATAAAAAAATTTAATATGAAATTATTTGTCTAAAATATTTCATATATAGCTAAAGAGTGCTCGAGCTATATACTAATTGTTATAATTGAATCCCAGTCGAATTATATCATTGTGATGTCGACATTTTGGTAGAGTCAAGAGGTCGTCACGAAGTGTTGATGAAAAAAAGTAGGATAGCAAAAACTCTCGTATCTAAATATCCTCTCTCTTGACAGATCTAACATATGTAAGCGTCGGTGAATTGTGAGAGCAAAGAAACAGATCTGAATGTCATGTGGTAGTAATTATTGCCGACAATAATTATCAAGATAAAGCTAAATTTATTTCATAAAGGCTTTCTCCTCATATAGTGATAAAGGCGTAGCAGGGGAGAGCCCACCCATCCAAAAGTAACTACAGCTCTAATAGTTTTAGATGATTTTCACTCCAAAGCAAAATTTTTTAAAATTAAATTGCAGTTTTATTTCAAACATTCCCAAATCGAGATATAAAAAAAAAAAATCATAACAGAGAAAAATTTAGTTGTTAACGGAGGGGGGAATAATCAACTCATTAGCAAGCATTTTATGAAGCGCTTCATTAGCTTCTTCAATTCTTTCTCGATCAATTGAATCAATGACGAAAATAATAGCCTCTGTATCTTTATAGTAGTAATGCCATAAATCTCTTAGTTTCAATTGGCCACCAATATCTCAGATTTGAAAATGAATACTTCGATATTTGACTTCTTCAACATTAAAGCCAATTGTTGGAATTGTGGATACTACTTCATCAAGCTTAAGTTTGTAAAGAATGGTTGTTTTTCCAGATGCATCGAGTCCAAGCATTAGAATTCGTCTCTCTTCATCACTAAACAGAAGCTGCCAGAGTTTTGAGAAAAATGATCCCATTTTTAAAAATAGCCTTAATTAAAATTTATATCCTGCAATCTCAAAAGACATAATGCTATATGCCCACTGAATTACATGAGTTGATATAAAATCAAGGTTAAGATATTTGCCTGAATAATGAGTATGGCTAACTTTCACAATATAATGCAGGACTTATCCAAAAAATCTAAATAAAATTTAGGTCTTTCCATCTCTTATTATTTTTGCTTCAAACTTCTAGTCTATAACTATTAGAAATCTATAAAAACAAATTTATCAGCAATCAGACCTTAAAAGAAGAAATAGACTGCTTATTTAAATAAAACTATCAGGATAATCGCTTTAAAATCATTTTAGCCCTGCTTTATTTCAAATTGATTTTTATATATAATAACGAACACTTTATTTCTTTATTAAATGATTAAGATAAGGAGTAAGATCGAACCATAAGCGGAGTAAATCAATAAAAATGACTCAAAAAGCCAAAAAATTAAAAGACTCTGAGTGTAGATGAAAAAAAAGGAAGTCTGCTTTTGTTGGTTTCGGATCAGAATTACCTGTTTCAAAGGAATAGATCTCGGCATATAGCTACCTTAGAAAGTGCCTAATATCTCGATAAGAAAAAATTAATTGGCAGCATAAATCTGCCTAAGCTAAGCAAGAAAACATTTGGGAAGAATCGAGTGTTAATTTTTATTCAAAAAATTGAAAAGTGAAAATTAATTTAATTTATAAAATTATACTATAAAATGAAAGTTGTATAAATTCAGTAAAATTAGCTAAAGATTTCATTATTTTCAAAAATATTGCAATATTAAAAAAATTTGCCTCTCGCTCACTGGAAGAGGGGAGCTTTTTGACTATTTTTCAATATAATAAATAAAAAATAATTTACTCTGAGCATTTATTGAAATTCAGACTTTATATACATTATAATTCTCATATTTGATTAGAGTTGCTATTTTTAAGATGAATTAATATTTGTCTTATAATAAATATAAATGCTTCAAAGATTATTCAGAGCTTATACTTCAATTCCTGGCTCCAAAGTTCGAATAATTGACAATTTCTATGAGCACTATGACACCATCAACAAAGAGCAGCCTTCTTTAGCACTGTTCTACTTTAAAAACAACTGGAATCCAGAGTGCTCAAAAGATTTGCAATCCCAATTCCTTAATCTCACTGAAATTCCACCATTTTCAACCTATATTTGCGATACATCAACAGGAGTTGGGGAAAGAACCAAAAAATATTACTGTGTACGTCACGAGCCAACTTTCCTCTTCTTGTCTGATGGAATGGAGCTTCAAAGGGTAATTGGAAGCGACGTTGAAGAGCTTAAGAAGCAAATTGGACGAGTCCTTAAGTTCAGGGCTTCTGTGAATTGGGGCGAACTCAGTTTGTACCCTACCAGTGGCTTATGGGAAAAATATCACGATGAGTATATGGAAGAATGGCATGAGTGGACTCGAGAACAATCAGAATGGGGTGAAGGAACAATTGCTTTTAACAGAAACTAAGCTAATGAAAATGTTAATAAGATTACTCTGCTTCAAGTTCAAATATTATTGCAGACTTAGCTTGGAGTGACAGCTCTTAATAATAGTAAGTAAGACCGGCAAGAACACCAAACTGCACATGTCCCCAAGTTCCTAAGTCCCTTAGGGTCTCTCTATCTATATCAGTCTCAGTGTAAAACACTTCTCTTGATACTAAAGCCATCAAGAATATTTAAACTTCTCTCACTAGTTTGTCAGTATGATCAGGGCCCTATCCTAACTCCCACTTTAAATAATGACTAAGCTAAACAGTTTCCTTCATATATGATCTTACTTAAAACTTAAAAATTGAGCTATTTAGTATTCTTCTGTCCTCTATATTTTCATGAAAAGGTAGGAGCTAACTTCCATTCTCATTTTCTGTACACTGACTTTACTTCCCACTTTAAATTGGAAAAAATTTGCTGTTCCAATTTAAAAGAAAAGATAAGAATATTGGAGCAGACTAATGTGAAGCATACTGAAAAGAAGGGTTGATGAATGTAGAGCAATACTTCAAGGAGGAGAGAAAGAAACTGAAGAGGTAAAGATTTAATCATGCAACAATAGATAAATAGCTAACTAGTAGGCCATAAGGCATGGGGCAGCTCTGCTAAATTTGAAAAAGAAAAAGTCTTGGTGAGTCTCCTCTCAGACTGGCGAAGCGCTCAATATTTGGTACTTAGCCAAGCTGAGAGGGGAAAAATAAAAAGCCGAAGCTGTTAAGTTAATCTAATCTGACCTCTATAATAATCTCCTTACTCAGTGATGTGAGTTGTATTGTAAGCGTTTACAAGTGCATTCAAGAATTGAATCTGAGAGCAATACAGTTTTGGATTTGTAAAGTAGCTTTTCATATTCAAAAAGCTCGTGAAATTTTCAGCATCTATTTCTGGGTTCGCGAATCTAAGGTAAATACTTGCTAAATCTTCTTCAGAAATAAAGCAGTTGATTTTTTCTTTCATCCCTACCACAAACTCTTCTTGGGTTAATTTCTTGCTTTCTTCGTTCGAAATCATTTCGTAGGCTTTTATAGGTTCGAGGCCTTTTCTCCATATGGTGTGCTGGATATTGAAAATGTTCCAGTCAATTTGTTCAATCTCTTCTGGTCTCAAGAATTTAATGAGGGATTCTCCAAACTTCTGCTCGCTTGCGAAATAGTTGCTAATCCAAGTCAAGACATGATTCATGCATATGAAAATTTCATCCCTAATGCCTGACGGCTTTGGAGAGCCATGAGGAGTACCTCTTGGAGTTGCTTTTGGAGTAGAATTTGGTGTATCCTTTGGGGTAGAGGTAGGAGTGGCCCTTGGAGTTTGCCTTGGAGTTGCTTTTGGGGTGGTTTTTGGAGTGCTTTTTGGAGTAAGGTTTTTATCCTGAACCTGGCAGTTTTTAAGCTGGTTGTAAGAGTGCCTCATTTTGACTAAAAATAGAGCTAATTCATGACTAAAAGCGCTAGGACTCTCGACTAATAAATTGAAATAGAAGGCATAATATTCATCATCATCTTTGTACTTTATTAAGGAATCTGTGATTTTCTGCTTATTTTTATCTTGCAGTGTTTGAATCCCATATTTTCTTTCCAAAAAATCGTCGAAAAATTTATTCATTGGCATTAATTTTTTGCCAGCTTTCAAGTATCTCATATCCAGCTCGTACCGATTGTCCATCAACTCTTCTAAAAGTTTATTTAATGTGTGTGACTGGATTATTTTCAGCGTTGAAATTTTTCTTTTCTTTGGGGTGAAAGTGGAGGAGTCTGCAGTAACGTTCAAGTCTCTATGAATCAACAGCTTAGATCTTCCATGAAGAATTTGTTCAGATTCCTTGTCAAAAGATTCTAACTCTCTTTCTTTATTTAAAACAAAAAAAAAAAATTTTTTCCCTTAAGACGTGTTTTAATAATTATTTATTTTTTTCATGGCTTAAAACACCTGTTAGACTAATAAATAGAAAATTGATGTAATTATTTTTTTTTATTCATTTTCAAAACTTTAATCTTGAAGTTTCAAAATTATTTTTACAAGCAAAAACATTAAATAATTTTTTATATAAATTAATAACGATAAAAAGTGATTCTATTAAATTGAGAAGAGTGAGTGTTTGTCGTCGTACTGGTGCAGAGAAGTATCCAGCTCATTCTCAAACACATTAAAAGCAAAACTAATTCTATCAAGTGACTCTGCATGTGTAGCTAAAGCATTCTTCCTTTTTTCGAATGATTCAAGCTCATATTTCCCCATATTGCGATACTCTTTAAGACCTTCAGCACATTGTTCTTTAAACCTCAATAAATTTTCCCTGATTTCTTCGGCTGCGGATTCAAACTTTATTTTGCTTTGATTTGCATACCAGTCAGTGTCCATTTTATTTTTTGAGTTCATGTATTCTATTTGGTCAGTTAGGCTTTTCATTTCTTTTGAGAGAAAATCATTGGCAAACTCTTGGACTAGCAGCAAGTTGTCTCTAATGGCATTCATATTTGTTTTCAGCTGACCAAAAACTGAATTTTTAGTTCCATTCACGTTTTTGATTGCAGCAATAACAATGCCGAATTTCCCAATGATTGAGGTCTTTTCTTTTTCAAATGTTTCCTTGCAGCTCTGCACCTCACTCTCCTTGACTTTCTCGAAGTACTTTTCAGCTTTGTCAATCTCTTCTTGGAGCTTAATTTCATTTGCTTCGGTTAAGGCTTTGTGCGATTGAATTTCGTTTTCAAGTAGATTTTTAATAGCAGAAATTTCTTGCTCTAGCATTTTATTTCGATTACTTAGTTGATCGATCTGAGAGTCCTTTCCCTTTATCTCTTCTTTTAATTTCTTTATTTGTCCTTCAAAAAATTGATTTTCCTCTTGTGATAATACCAAACTGTCTTGCAATTCTTTTATTTTCTTATCAAGTTGCTCTATTTGTGCTGCATAATATTCATTTTCTTTTGATGAAGCAGAAATTTTTTGTTCAAGTATTTTATTTCCATTACTTACTCCCCCCCCTTTAAATTGAAACAAAAAATTTTGTGTTTCAATTTAAAGGGGGGTTAAGAAAATTTTTTTATAAAAAAATTTATATATAAAAATTTTTTCAGAGATAAAATTTTATAATTTCATGAAAAATTAATTTCATAAATTTCTCAATCTCAAAGTGTAAACTTGCTGAAATGGTATTCTTCTAACTCTCCCCATAACAATTGGACAAAATAGAGTTTAATTTCTAAATCTTATATGTTTGAAGCATATTAAATAGGGTATTAACGTATTTACATATAAAATAATGATTTTTACCTATAAAATTTTTCTATTATAATAAAATTTTGTTTTCAATTTAAAGGGGGGTAATTTCCCAAAAAAAGTAGGAATTTTACCTATATTTTGTTTCAATTTAAAGGGGGGGGGAGTTAGTTGATCAATCTGAGAGTCCTTTCCCTTTATCTCTTCTTTTAATTTCTTTACTCGTCCATCAAAAAATTGATTATCCTCTTGCGATAATGCCAAACTGTCTTGCAATTCTGTTATTTTCTTATCAAGCTGTGCTATTTGTGCCGCATAATATTCATTTTCTTTTGATGAATCTAACAATTTTTCCTCTAACTCCTCCATGTGAGCGAACAAAACCATTGGAAAATCCCTATTTTTGCTCAAAACCCACCCTCCGTGAGCGAACAAAAATGGTTTATGAAAAAAAAAAAGTTTTGATATATATAAGTGATAATTATTATAATGGAATTTCTAGCTAATTCTGTATAATTTTAAACAGCTTGCATTTTGAAATATAAATTGTGTATATTAAATTAATTTTTAAAAATTGGAATTTTTTAAATTTTGAAAAAACAAAAAAAAATTAAAAATTTATATATATTTTTTTAAAAAATAAAATTAACAAGGAGTAAGTTCTTCTGTTCTAAAAGCAGCATTGAAATTTCTGATTGAAGTTTTGAATTTTTCTCGCTAAAAACACTTTTTTGTTCTTCAAGTGACTGCACGCTAATTTTCAAATAATTATTTTCATCACTTAAATTTTTCCCTTTACTTTCTAAGCCATTTATTTGTTTCTTGAGCTCTTCAATATCCAATTCCAAACCTGAGCTTCTGCTAGCTTCATTTAAGAGCCTTTTCTCAAAATCGCTACTTTTTAGAGCCAACCTTTGGGTTTCTGATTTTAATTCTCCATTTTCATTAGTGGCAGCACCTAATTTTTTCTTCAAACTATCAGCTTCGATTATAATTTTCTGGAGCTCAGATTCAGAATTTGCATTCTTATTATTTTCCAAAATCAGTTTGCCTTCTAGTTCTTTAATTTTGTTTTTTAAGCCTTGAATAACTGTATTGCAGACTGAATTATTTTCATTAGCTATGCTGAGGCTTTTTTCATGTTCGCTAATTTGAGCACTAAGTTTATCAGTTAAAGAAGCTAATTCTTCATTCTTTTCATTTGCTGCCTCTAAGCCTTGCGTCATTCCTTTAATATCCTCTTCAAGTTGTTGAGATTTTGATGCTTCATTCTTTAATAATTCCTGCAACTGAATATTTTTGGCTTCAACTAACTGTGATTTTTCTTGGGCTAAAGCTAGAGTATTTTTCAATTCAGATATTTTTGCTTCAAGCAGAGCTTTTAGAGCATCATTAGCATGATTTTTTTCAAGAAGCTCACTGGTCAAATTTTTAATTTTACTCCCTCCCTCTTGGCTAGCAAGCAAAAAAATAATGCGTTAGCCAAGGAAGTTAATCTTTTAAAATAAAATAATATAAAAATTTCTATTTTAGAGCACTAATTTTATTATTTGCTACACATTTAACTATAAGGTCATTAATTATATATAAGGATATAGCTTGTACAATAAATTTTTTAATTAAAAAATTTTTGCTTGACAGATAAAGGGATTAAATTTTTTCTCAAAAATAGTTATTTTACTAATGTTTTTTTGCTCATTAGCCAAGGATGAGTTAATATCAAGCTCATTATTACTTATCTGTAGCTTTTGTATTGATTCATCCGAATTTTCAAGCTTTTTTTCTAAGGCTTCAGTATTACTATTGAGTTGCTCAATTTTCAGTTCATAATATTGATAGCTTTCATTTGCTTCATTTTCAGTCTTTTCATTTTTTTCTATTAATTGCTTTATTTGAAGCTCCAAGCTATCTTTGGCTTTTTGAGTACTGGATAACTCACCCTTCAAAGTTTTAGCATCTTCATCTATTTGAGCTATCCTTGCGCTTAGCTGCAAGTTCTCCATTTTAGCCTCTGCTAGCTTTTGTTCTAAATCCTTTATTTTTCCTTCTAATTCGTGGATGTTTTTATTCGCAGAAATCAGTTGCTCCTTAGCGGCCGCTAATTGTTTTTCCAAACTCTTCCCTTTTTCTTGGGACTCATGCAATTTGCTTTGTGCAGAAATAAGCTGCTCTTTGATTATGCCATCCTCTTCTTCAATATCTTTTAACCTCTGGTTAAGTGATTTATTCTGTGACTCTAAGCTCTGCTTTTCTTTATTATTATGTCCTAAGTCATTCTCCAGCTGTTTATTCTTTGATTCAAGGGCTCTTGCTTTTTCTTGCAACCTTGCTGTTTCATTCTTTTCAGAAGACAAATGGCTTCCTAATTCCGCTATTTTTACTTGGTCTTGCCTTTGGTTATTTTCAGCAATCTTCCTTTCATTATTTGCCGCAGCCAGATTTTGTTCGAGATCCCTTATCTTGTTTTCTAGCTGTTTAGTTAAGCCTTCTAAAAACTTTTTCTCTTCATTTTCATTTCCTAAATGCTTGGCTTTTTCTTCTAGCATTTTAATTTTGGATTCTAGAAATCTATTATCTTCTTTAGAAAGACTCAACTCGCTTTCTAAGCTGTTAAACTTTGCTGAAAGTTCTTTTTGAGCTTTTATTAGTGATTCAATTTCTGCTGATTTATTTGAACTCTCAGTCACTAATTGCTTTGCCTTGCTCTCTATAAAACAAAAATCGCTGGCTAAGGCTTCATTCATTTGCATGAATTCTTTTTTTAAAATTCTATAGCTGTTAAACAGCTTTGGCAGTAAACTCTCGAGAAATGATAGCTTTGCGATCCTTTTAGCTGTGATATCAAAGGACTTTTGAATTTCATCAGTAGCCCAGCACTTAGTGTCGTTTAGTGCTTCCTTTATCAAAGCAAATTGATTTTTGACTTCCACTCTCAGTGGCTGTGTCCTCTTTGACCTGACCTTTGTTTTGACCTTCGCTGGCCTTGCTTTCAATCTCAGTCTGCTTGCTCCATTCTCAATTTCGTATTCCATGCCCTCTAAAAACGATTCTTGGTTCTCCAAAAAGATTTCCTTCAAGCCAGCTAGCTCCTCTTTCAGCTCCTTTACGCAACAATCAGCAGATCCGATTTTTATTTTTATCAGTTCTTTTGTATTGGAATGAACTCTATTTAATTCTTGAACCTCATTGCTGAATTTGTTTATTTCTTTATTGAAGTACCCTTTATACTGCGAAACTCGTTCTCTTATGTCAACTATTTCGCTTTTCATTATTTTAAGCTGTGGCACAGTAACCTTCAGCAGCTTTCCTTTCAGCTGTGACAAACCTGGAGACTTTTCGCTCTTCCCTTCCAACGCACATAAGGTACTGTAAAATTCAAATCCTACTTTTCCTTTTAATTTATTTAAATCCTTTTTAAATAGCTCAAGCTCATTTTTCATATGGCTGCACTTTTGCTTTATCGTCCATTGAATATCAGTGATTTTCTTTTGGTTGTCTACACTTTTACCTATTGACTCGTTTATAAATTTGTATGGATATTCATTGTTTCAAGACCCAAACTTTTCAATGGATTTTTCTTTGAGCTTTTCAAAGTCAGAGGCTAAGAAATACAGGTCTTGCAGCTTTCTTTTATTCAGGTCACCTTCAAGTAAATCTGCTTTCTTCCTAAGCAGAGTGATGAGTCCTGGCCCACACCACCTCTCCAGCATTACTGCGCATCTTTCTGAGTTCAAGATAAGGTCTTTTAGATAATGCTGCACTTCATGTTGATCTACAACAAGATTTATTGCTCTGTCCTTTATGTTCTCTAAAGAGTAGAGATATTCTATTTTCTGAGGCAGGCTTCTTTGGGCTGATTCTGCTTTGTTGATCACTTCCAGTGCTTTTGCAATGTTGGTCGGGATGGTCCCACATTTGCCGAGAATATTTTTGAGGTTTTCCAGAGATAAAGCGATCAAAGAGTCCAGCATTTCGTCTGGTATGGCTGAACTTAGTCCTCCCAATAGTAAGCAAATTTTGCTTATTATTGAGGATTTTAGCACAAAGAATAAAAATAGTAGACTTTATATGAGTTGATAGAAATTTATTATTTATAAGATAAATGCCCAAAAAATTCAATTTTTGACTTTTTATTGGTAGCCCTAATTTCTATATAAAATTTTCTTTTTTAATTTTTGTGATAAAACCCAAATATTAAACAAAAAATATGCTAATTATAAGGAGGAGTTAGGAAATTTGACTTCTGCGGGGTTTCTGGAGACGATGACTTGCTATAGGTGCTACTCCGATGGCGGGATTGTTTGAATTGGCCTTCGTGCTTTCCTTCTGACTGTGAAAGCAAATGATAAAGTCTTTGGTTTTCCCTCATATAATATAAAGTTGAGTCGTTAGGAGTTTGCGAGCTAGACTGGACGCCTGAGTTAGGGCTTGACGGATATCCTGATGTATTAAACATTTAATATTTATTTAGCACGAAGATCGCGGAAAAAAGATAGAAGAAAATTTCTCAGACATAATGTAAATGGATAAATAATTTAATGAGTTCAAGGAAATGTAATACTTATGCAGTTCAAGCGGATCTTGATGAAGAGACCATTGAAGAGTTAAAGGAGCAATTATCAAAAAGAAAGGCTGATTTTGAAGCTTTATTGAAAGAAAATAGAAACCAAGTTGTTGAAATTTCAATTTTGAGACGTCTTCGAAAGCGTTTTATTGACGAAATTGAAGAGAGCAGCACTAAGGAAGATGAGATGGAAGTTAAAGAAGAACCAGAAGTTCCAAGAGACGTTGGCCTTTTGACGATCCTTGTTTTCTCTCTTTCGATGGTTGCTTTCTACTATTTTTGTTCTTACTTAGTTCGAAAGTACAGTCTTGGCTAGAAATGATATGAATTTTAAATAGTAATCCTAAGGATATACTCAAATTATTTTCCCGCTAAATCATTTGTGTCCTTCTTTTTTAAGTCTTAAATTTGCCTGTTTGCATATATAAGAAACCTATAAATTCATATCAGAAAGGCAAAATCGTTTTAAAGGGATAATTATTTATTATTACCATAGAGACCTCACTCTTTTCAAATTATATGAAATTAGTATAATAAAAATATCCACATATTTTCTGATAATGAATTCCATTCCTATATTTAGTTTCTATTTTAATTATGGTGCTTCTTTATAAAACTTATGAAGCCATTACTAATATGCTTATATTACGGGATTTCATCGACGCTTACGAACATTTCCAACAAGTATTTGATCAATAATTTTAACTTCAAGTGTTCTTTCATAATGCTTCTAATTCAGTGCTCTATCGCCATACTTTTTATTGAAGGAGCTCGCAGAAAAGGAGTCTATAAAGACATTCCAAAAATGAGCATCACTCAAATGAAGAGATCCTCAATCATGACCTTGGCCTTCATGGGAAACATTATATTTGGCTTGATTGGGATGACTTATGTGAACCTCCCAATGTATGTCTCGCTCAGAAAGCAGTCAACAGTGATGGTTTATATTTCAGAATTGTACTTATTCAAAAAGCCTATTGAAAAATGAAGCACCGTTGGGGTCCTGATGATTTCTTTGGGTGCCGTTATTTCTGCAATAAATGATTATTCATCTAGCCTTCTTGGCTACTTGATCGTTCTTACGTCAAATGTGATGAACACAGGACTACTATACTCAGCAAAGAAGATGAAGATGGAGGACAGCAAAAATGGAGCCTTCGCACAGCTGTATTATACTGCAATCTTGTCAATTCCGTTCATTTTGATTTCTATTTACTACACAAAAGAGAACGTGTCATTGCAGTCAAATCCTTACCTAAACTCTTCAGAGTTTCTGATCTGCCTTGTTGTGGCAGGTTGCATGGCTTTTAACAACAACTTTGGGTGCTTTTTGTGCGCAACTCAAAATTCACCTATGGCTACAACAGTTACAGGCAATGTAAAAGATATTGTATCAGTCTTCATAGGCTTATTAGCTTTTTCTGATGTAAAACCAACCCCCCTGTTTTTAACAGGGATTATTTTTAGTGCTACTGGGGCCCTTCTATACTCTGCTACTAAGTTAAAGGATTTGAAAACTAAAAAGGAATAGCAATTAATAGATTAATTAACTCTATTTTTAAACTTTTATCTGTAAAACTAATGCACAAATTTAAAAATTATCGATACTAATAGCTTGCATACTATAATATATTATGAGCTAATTCTGAAATTGAGCATTTGAGCAAAATAATTGAATAATGATCCGATTCATTCCAACATGCTAACTCTCCCTATGGTAGAGAATTAAGTTTTATGCTAATTTTTAGAATTGTAAATTTATATTGGAATGAAAATTAAAAATTAATTATATGCAAATATATGGAATAAAAATCGATTTTTATTTTTTAAAATGAGTTTTGAATGCAATTTGCTAGATTATCTCATTATAAAATCGCTAATAATTGCATTTACATTACTCCCCAGTTTATATTGGAGCCATAAATTCTGCCCAAATTTTAAAGGGCATTATGCTAGTTTTATTTTTTTAAAAAAAAAATTATTTCTTAATATAAAGAATTTTTTACGAAAATAAAATTTAAATTGGAAATATTGTGCCTTATGTTTTTTAGGGCAGAACATACTGGTGGTCATCTTCACATTGTCCCAAGTTTAGGATATGAAAATGGCCACCAGTATGACTCATGTGCTCAAAAAGGCGGATCATCAATAAAAAAAACAAAAAGTTTTTTTTTCTGGAAAAATTAGGTTTATTCCGATAACATTTTTCAGATACCCATTGTGGTTTTATCCTGAAAACAAAGGGAAAATCCCCCGTCATTTTTTTGCGCGATTAATAAAAGTAGGAAATAAACTACCTGATTATTTTTCCTGATGACCCCAAAAAGGCATAAGGCACAATACAATATTTTTGAATTTAATTAATGTTTATGGAGAATGAATTAAAAATAATCGATTCAGCCCCTAATGCTTTAAATAGCATTCTACTTACATTCCTCTGTTAACTAGGTTAAAGTTTATATAAAATTAATATTTTCACCTATAAAATTTTGTTATAATTTGCCAAAAAATGAAAATTTTACCGATATTTTTTGTTCTAATTTAGGTGGGGGGAGTTAAAGTAATTTTTGATCTCAAATTGTGGTTAGTTTTTAATAATTCTCTGGGCTTTGCTCACTACTTAAGGATGGGTGTAAGAAAAAATTTTAAGATAAAAAGCTATTCTGAAAATATAGATTAATTTTCAAAATAGCATCAGACAAAACTATGATATTTTTTGCATCAAGTCCAGGAACATCTCTTTAGCTCTCAATTTTTAAGTCTTAATATCAATGCAATTTTAAAATAAATCATTAAAATAGCTAAATCTAGCATAAACCACATTTAGACGTATTATTCCTTATTTTTTCCCTTTAAGAGCAAACAAACCTATTTTTTAAATTTAACCCTTTAAGAGCAATTAATATAATTATATAGAACTAATAGTTTTTATCGCGAGATCTCTTCTGACAATATTAAAATTTAAACAGTTTTACTCTTAAACATAAATTTTATAAAATTAAACTGTTATTTTAAATATTTGTCAATTTGAATATAAAGCATTACCCCTCTTTAAGTTAACAATGCCGTTAAGGGGAGTTAATAATTTGAAAAGAAGAACCTATAAATGGAAGAAAACAAAGGACCTGGTTTGGTCAAGGCAGATTCGAAAACTGAAAGATTTAAACTTGTGAAGAAAGTCTCATTTAGAGATGAAGCCTTACAAGAAAGCAAAACATTAACTGATGTCTATGAAGTTGAGAGCTTCAAGCAGTTGAATACGCTAGAGGAAGAACATCAGCGAGATTGCCTTTCTTGCGAAATATTTTAACGATCAAGATATATATATGAATGGAATCAGTGTATTTTTGGTAATATTGATAAATATTTAATTTAGGTATATTATCAAATTTTACTTATTTATTTGTCGTTCCATTGCCATAAATAATCTTCACCTCTTTCAGAGGTCCGCTTTCTGCTAATAAGATAATAGTCTGTCTTTTGTGTTTTTTGGATAACTATCCATATCTTTTCGAATAATTTCAACCCTAGGCTTTCAATCAAAATATTTTTTAATCTTGATTCAAGAATGCCATGGTTGCTAGTGCCGTCGCAGTTCTTTTTTAGCTGGCTACAAATCAGGTCGTAAATTTTCTTTGCACTTCTCCTCGTCTTTTCTTTTACTGCATGAATTTTATAGAAGGTAAATGACAATATAATTATTGTGACTAAGATTTCAAAAAATATTCTATTGTCTTGCAAAAAAATGATAATAATGTCTTCAAGTTTGAATTTCAGCACTTTAGCTTTAATAAAATCAATGCTATTTTCTCTAAAAACCTCAATGACTGATGATTCATTTTTATCAAGAAGCTCTTTTATTTTTTCTTCAATAAAATATAAAAATGCCGCCATGGCATGCCTAGGGGCAACAGAAAGCAAAACCCAAAATTTTGGCTGAATTAAAAAATAAAATGCCATGGGAGTTGCATAAGGGGTGGGCGCAGGCTTGGGCTGACTGGGCCTCCCCTCGACCCAATGGAAGGTCTACAAAAATCGGACACTTCTGGAGGAGCATTATGCTGCCTGTAAATGGCAGAGATAGCTCCATGGGAGGTATTGGACGGGTCCTTCATACTATGAGCGCTAGCAGGGGTTAATCTGTCCTGTGCTACAATTTTTGGCCCAGCAGGTTCGGGTGAGTTTCCCCATTAGGCTGACGACGTCATCATTTTTAGCTGTCCAGAAGGAAAAGGGCGTTAGGAGGGCTTTAGTGCTTGACGCCTCATGAGCGTGGACTGGATAGGGTTTGAAATAAACCTCGTTTGAACCCTCTCTAATCGTAGCTCTCTCAATAAAATATTCTTGAGGAAATAGGTAAAAATATTCTTTGAGGGTCATCTTAAAGCAAGATCTACTAGCTCTGTATTCTAATCTCGCATGCTCAGAAACATACCTTTCAATCTCGCCAAAAATTGAATGGATTTTGATTTCTTCTTTGCTGTTTTCGATGCATTTATTTTGAATCTTGATAAAAGAGTGCTCGCAATGCATACTTTTTCCAGAGCATATGCTATGTTGAGGGCAAGGTAAGCATCCTGATTCATTAATCTCACTGCAATATCGTTGCTCATTCATAATGTCTCAAATGATAGAACTGAGCACAAAAATTCCTAAAATAGCAGTGCAAAAGGTTAAAAACTGCAGAAGTGTAGTTTTTATATCAGGAAAATAGCCTATTTCATCTGTTGCAGTCTTAAACATACTTTGCAGTTCTTCTTCTAAAAGTCCAGTATTTTGATTAGGTAAAACAATAGGCTCTTTGCTTTTCAAAGGCACTTTTATTGACTCGTAATTGTGCATTTCAGGAAGTCTTGTGTAAGTATTTTCGTTTGTTTTAAAATTGTGTATTTTAACTGGAGTTTGGGACAATTGATTCTTTTTAGGGCTTGGGGTGAAGGCTTCAAATCCTAATTATTTATCACTACTTTTGATATATGCACTCTGACTTCCATCTGAATAAACTTTGCTTTTTTGAGGCGTTAGAATCCTGATTTTATCCATTTACAATAAATTAAGATGCTTTTATAATTTGATGTTAAGTGATGGAGGAATGGAAACTGTCTGATTTATTTGAGACTATTTTTAAATAAATTTATAAAGATTACTTAATTATTATAAATGCAACTATTAGGTTACCTATATATGCTTATAAAGCTTAAGAGATCAAAGATTTAAAAAACTTATTTTTGAGCATAATAATTCAATGCTTCTGCAATGGTAACTCGTATTAATTAATAAGGATTGATTTTAATTCTCCATAATTTTAGCAGCCTGCCTTGAATGCCATTAAAAATTTTTTGATTTCACCTATTTTATTTATTTTAATATAATGAAAAAGTCTTATTACATAAATTAATTTTTTATCAAGAGGAATATTTTGTTTATTTTTTTATTAACTTGGGAGAGTAAGGCTCCAAGTAACTTTAGATACCGTCTATATATTAATTATCCCAATAAAAATATAAAATTGATAAATTGAGCGAAATCGTAATTATTTATTATTTGGCGGCAGATGGAATTAATGACAAGCTACAGACTTGAATTTCGAAACAAAAACTACCAAAAAGGATTAGATGTAGAAGAATTCTTAACTCTCCGCCCAATTGTTATAGCAAAAAATTTTAAAGAGATTTAAAAAAAAAATAAATAAATAATTTTTTTTGCGAAATTGAAAGTATCCGATCCGAAAAATTGGAGTAAATAACAATGAATAGTCCATAAGAGCTTTTTTTTGGTTAGCTGGCTTGCAGAATTAATTGGTAAGCCAGACTACTTGGCAAAACCAAAAAAATTATTTGCTTCTCACAAGATTTTTACCAAAAAAAAGGGATTTTCCAATGGTTTTGCTAGCTAATGGAGGGGGAGAGTAAGGAAAAAAGATGATGCAGTTGTAGAACTTAGAAAGCTCAAAAGAATCGAACATATAAACAAAAAACGAAGAGTTTTCGTTGGCGCAAGAGTCGCAGCAATTGAGCCAACTGAAGATAGCCTCGAAAACTTCTCTTTTGAGAGTTCTCTAGTTAGTGAAGAACTGATAAAATTTGACAAAAGGCTCGTGTCCCCTCAGTTATCCATCAGTGAAAGGTTTTTGATTTTACTCTCACACATTCACCCAGCTGAAACTCCAAGAATTCTGCTTGAAGCTCTTACAACACTTCGAAAGATCCTCTCAGAGTGCAGCTCAACACCTTTTTCTCTGCTCGTCCGCTCAGGGGCCACTATGAATCTAATTAAACTTCTATCACAAAATGATTTGGCATTAAAAGCAGAAATCGCATGGTGCTTAATAAACATCACTTCAGGACCAGCTAGCATCGCAACCATTTTAATCAACCAAAATATTGTCCCAGCTCTAGCTAAAGCATTTAATACAAGTGCTTCTGCTGATCTAATTGAAAGTTGTGCATGGGCATTAGGAAACCTTGCTGGGAACTCAGCTGAAATAAAAAATGAGCTCATAAATTATGGGGTGGCAAAAGCCCTTGTAAATTATCTATTAGAAAATCCAAATATCGCGATAGGTCACTTGTGTACACTGCTTTGGGTTCTGGGAAACATATGTGGGGAGAAATCAAGCCTACCGACTTCTGCAATCCAAGATATTTTGAGAATCATTCCAAGAATGCTTACATATTCTCAAGAGGAAGTCTTAGAAGAGGTTTGCTTTATCATTTCATCGATAACAAGAGAAGAACCCCACATTGATTTGTTTCTTGCCACAAATGCAATTCACACAATTTTTAAGCTGATAGTCCACCACAACATAAATAAAATTCCCATGAGGGAGAGAAAATTGGCAGAGCCAATTTCTCTCGAACCGAATGCCATTTTATTTATGGGGTTGGGTTTTTTCTCTTGAGAACTTCTGCACGGCAACAGCCGTTTAACTTTGGGGATAACCAAAGGCACGGCTCCTCAGTGCACTCAAGATTTCGGAGTTTTACCTCTCAGCACATCCCCCACGGGAGGATGACCCTTAGGCGGAACACAACACGCGCAGGAGCTGAGTCTGGACGAGCGACGGCAACGCGCCGGGTGAGATGTGCGGCGATTTATCTGGCGACTAGCCTCATAGAAGGCTTGGGTGTGGGCTGACCACATATATTCCAAGATGGCTTGGTGACGTCACTAGTTGTCGCTTTGACCCTTTTTCATTAAGGGGTGTGGGCACTAGACACCTTAAAGACTATGTAAGTAAGTAAGTAAGTAAGTAAGTAAGTAAGTAAGTAAGTAAGTAAGTAAGGGGATAGTCCACCACAACAAAAAGATCCAAAATTCTGCACTAAGAACAGTTGGAAATATTGCTGCAGGAAGTGAAGCTCACAGCGCTCTTTTATTGAGCTTAGATATCATAAATAAACTCGCACCATTATTGGTAAGCAGGAGCCGGGTTGTCAAAAAAGAAGTTTTATGGATTTTGAGCAACTTGGCTATTGGCAGTCAGGATCATAAACTGAAAATTATAAGCCACCCTTGCATGAATATTGTATTTAATACCCTATCGGATACTGATTCTAATCTCAAAAATGAGGCCTTGTGGGTTGTGTACAATTTATCTTTATCTGATTGTACAAATACTGTGCTTAAGCTTTCAGAAGAGCGTGTGCTGTCTAAGCTGATTGCTATTTTAGATGCCCAGGAAACTAAGCTTCTAATGAATGCTATGAAATCTATTGATAATATATTAACAGCAGGGCTGGAAGCAGTAGATCAATCTGAAGCAAATCCTGTTGCGATAAGATTTAGTGAACTTGGAGGATTAGACGCTTTAGAAAAGCTGCAAGGACACTCAAATCAGACGATCTACAACAAAGCTGTGGAGATAATAAAAGATCATTATGCTTATGAGGAAATCGAAGTACCTTGTGGAGGAAACATACAGTATTACAATTTTTCATAAAATTAGGTGCAGTAACCATGAAATTAAGTTCTAGTTTATGATAACTCTTAAGTCCTGTTATTCTTGGCCTCAGCTTGGACCGCAGCTCTGAATAATGTAGATGGGCTTGACTACTGTCAAACTGTTATTATCCCCAAACCCCTTAGGACTTCCCTGATCTACACCTGACACAGTGTAGGCCCATTCTCTTGAGTTGACACTCTCAAGAAAGTCGTGAATTCTCACTGAGTTCAGATGTAGGACCTAAGCTCTACCCCAAACTGACACTTTTAATTGTGTACTATGAAATTAAATTTATATAATTGGTTTATTATAAATCTTGCACTGAATACAATTTACTCCAACCTCTTTAATTGGAACAAAAGATTCTTTTCCAATTTAAAGATAAATTTTTATTACAATTAAATTTATGAAATTCATAGATTTAAAGTGCTAATTTTAATAAAATAGCACTCTATCTACGATCCCCATTTTTAAAATAGAATAAGTTATAGGCAGCTTTTAACTTAGGAGAAATTAATGGCTAAAAAGCTATTTAAATAGAAGCTATTATTTTTACCTGTAAAAAATAAGATTTTGCCTCAAAATACCTCCCAATATCAAGAGGGGAGTTAGATTTTTTAATATATTAAAAAAAGTGTCCATTTACGTTTAATCACTACTCAAAAATCTGAAATGTAAAAGCAGCTTCTCCTGCTTTTTCTGCTTATTATATATTCTATTTCTTTAATAAATTATTGTTAAATATGCTTAAGCCAATTACATCTTCTCAAAACGAGAGGTATAGTTCTAGCACCACAGCTCAGGAAATAATCAGCAACTACTCATTCATTGCTCAAGATTGATTTAAAGGTGCAAAAAAGCCTCAAGAAAGCCAAAATCAATCGATCGTCCAATATCAGTTGGATAATAGTGGCATCCTTGTCTACGACTCCCATGCAAAAATGTGCTTTTCACATAACGACAGCATGAAAATTACAGGCCCACTGCCTCCTCGTCATATTTCCCTATTAATTCAAAGAGAGCTCGATGAATATTACGATAAAGGTAACCATTACATAGACAGGCAGACTTTTATGAATCTTTGTGATTTTTCTCAAACAAAGCCAAAGATAGAAGACCGCATTTTAATGGCACCATCCAGTGTCCTCAAATTCGAATCGAACTTTGAAAGTGGAAATTTAAGCAAAGCTTTAAAAATGAACGAAAACGAATACAATCTATACCTTGAGTATGATGTAAATACTCAAGGACACACTCAATGATACTATTTTTCTGTAAGAACTTTCAAAGAAAACCACACAGTGAGGTTCAATATCGTCAACTTGCTTAAGTATGAGTCTCTCTATAACGAAGGTCTCAAGCCTTTGGTGTTCTCCTTGAAAGACGCAGAAATAACTGGAGTCACTTGGAAAAGGGGAGGGTTTAATATTTCTTATTACCAAAACTCTATCCCTATACAAAACGCTGAATTTCACTATACCTTGACTTTTACATACACTTTTGCTCATGCCAATGATTTGATCTATTTTTCCCATTCTTATCCATATACATATACCGATCTAAATAAAGACCTTGAGGCTATTAAAGCCAAGCATTCCGATAAATGCAGAATTGATACACTGTGCATGACTTTGGCAAATAACCCTTGTCCTGTGCTTACTATCACTCATAATGTAGGAAGCTTTACACCATGAGAAGAAGAACTTACCAAGATAACGAAAACTGCAGCTGGGAGAAGACTGATCAGAATAAAAGAAATACGAAAAGGTGGTAAGTAGTAAGTAGGAAGAAAACGAGCACTCCAAGAAGAAAGGAGTTGCACTCACCGCAAGAGTCCACCCAGGAGAAAGCGTAGGCTCATACATGCTTAAAGGAGCTATTGATTTTTTGTTAGGAGATACTAGGATTGCCAAGTTTTTGAGAAGGAGGTTTGTGTTTAAGATCGTCCCCATGCTAAACCCTGACGGTGTCATTTATGGGAATTATAGATGCTCACTGTTAGGAGTTGACTTGAACAGAAGATGACTCCATCCCAATAGGCACATGCATCCCACGATATGATACACAAAAAGACTTATACAGTCTATGAGCGAGGATAGAGAAGTGTCCATGTATATTGACTTCCATGGCCACTCGATGAAAAGAAACGTGTTCAGCTATGGCTGCAGAGAAATAGGGAAAGATCTAGACATCAAAAAGACCAATTTTGTAGCCAAGATGGTGCCTGTTTTGATGTCTAACCGAAATAAGCTCTTTAGCTTGAGTGACAGCAAATTTCGCATTGAGAAATGTAAAGCAGGCACTGCAAGAGTTGTGGCATTCAAAGAAATGAAAATAATAGCAAGCTACACAATAGAATCGTCGTTCTTTGGACCGTACCACAGTGCATGTCTAGAAAACCGAGTCCCTTATAAAGGAGAAGTCTCAAAAGACCCTCATATAGAAAAGCATCACTTATACTAATTGACCAAGAATAGCCCACTATGGAGCCATTCTTGGTCTGCCAGAAAAAATTTTGACAAAAAGATCCTAATCTGCCATTACCACTGAGTTTTGGTGTTTCCAAATTTTTTGGGCAAGCCAAATGCAATAAAAAAAATTGTTCTTTTGCGATGATGCATTTGGCTTGTCAAAAAAATTTGGAAACACCAAAACTCAGTGGTAATGGCAGATTAGGATCTTTTCTGCCATTACCACTGAGTTTTGATGTTGCCAAATTTTTTGACAAGCCAAATGAATCATCGCAAAAGAACAATTTTTTTTATTGCATTTGGCTTGCCCAAAAAATTTGGAAACACCAAAACTCAGTGGTAATGGCAGATTAGGATCTTTTGTCAAAATTTTTTCTGGCAGACCAAGAATGGCTCCTTAGTGGGCTATTCTTGGTCAATTAGTATAGCTACTATTGGAAAAGATGTCTGTAAGCTCTTGACTACTTTTATTAGTGGATTTTTGTTTAGAAGAAGGGCGAAAAGGGTCATCAAAATTCTTAAAAGCAGAAGAAAAGCAAAGGTTCAAGTTTGTGAAGAAGTCCAAGAAGAAGCTGAAGAAGATAGTGAAAGCTCGAATGGGTCAGAGTATGCAAGTGATGAAGAGGATTTTAATATGAATGAAGCCTTGAATGGGTTAGACTACTCTTTTATGTCTGATAATAGAAGTGATGAAGAAGATGATAGCAGTGGTAGTGGAGGATCAAATTATGCAAGCTCTGACAGAGAAGATGTATATACACTCCCAACTGAAGAATCTCCTAACTGCCCCCGTCCGTGAGCGGACAAAAAAATTTGTTCGCTTACTAAAGGATGTTAGTTTTTTTTTAAAAAAATTTTAAAAGACATTTTTATAGTAATTATTTTTTCAAAATATAATTGGAAAGTAAAAATGATTTAATTTGTAAATTTTTTTTAAAATGCAATCCGTTTTAATTTCACAGAATTTCTAGAAATTTCATTATATTAATTGTCATTTATAAAAATTTTTGTATTAAAAAATTTTTATTTCACCTAAAAATAGGGGTTTTTTCCAGTAGTTTTGCACTCTTATGGAAGGAAGTAAAGATGTTTTAATGCCTCCACGGCTTTCAAGAAGAGAGCAGAAGCCGATAAAGCGCTCAGGGTCTAATGAAAGAGTGTCAATAATCAGGCCAGCCTCAGTTCAGCCTAGGAAAAACTCATCAGCTGCACCTCTTGCGAAGCTCAAGCTGAGGGTTGTTGAGCATTATCCGAATGTCCTGGACTCCCCAGCTCGATTTGATATAAACGAGCAAATTAACAATGTTCACAAGATGCTCAAATTCCAGCACTCAGTGTCCATAGCAAAAAGGGATGCCAAAAAAGGGTTTGCACCGCTAAAAGCCAAAATGTTCCTTGACCAGTCTTTGCAAGAGCCCAAAGTAAAGGTACCTCAAGTGAGAGTTACGAACACAGGAGGAGGATTTAGGAGCTCTCCGGTACAAATCAAAGGGGATCATTGAAACGCGAGCAACTCTTTTGTGATCACCTCATTTAATACACCTGCTGTAGACCCAGAAATAATGAGGGTTAGATCTAAGACTAGACAGGGAAGGAGCATGTCACAACAAAAGCACGCTGGATACAGGATATATAAGAGATTTGTAACTCCCCTTCTGTGAATCAGTAAAATCATTGGAAAATAATAATTTGGAAAAAACTACCCTCCTTGAGTGAGCAATATATGTAACTCATCTCGTGGGCTATGGCCGTTAGACCCTACTTGCACAATCATCGAAAGGACTCTCTTACCAGGCTACCGCTCAGAGCATCACATCTCCAGGAAGCCGTTTCTATCGTAAAGAATAATTAATTTTTCTCAATAGGCTTGCTATAAGTGACGCCACCATTTAAGGACCAACCATTTTAAATTTTTGTTTAGAAATATTTTTTTATTAAAACTATTTATCGCTGAAATCTCAGCGCTTCTCTCTTTTGTCTTCATAATTAAATGAATAAGAAATATATTTTTAAATATAGCAAATAGCTATTATAATAAAATCTCGCCTTATTCTAATTAATTTTTCCAGTTTACATTCTAAACAAGTTTTATATCAAATTATATTTTCACTTTGCCAACTGAGAGTATTTTTAAATGAGCAAGCAAAAATATTTGCTCTCTTATGGAGGGAAGTAAGATAAATGTTGATAAATTATAAGGAAGCAGTATTAAGGCAAATAGAGTGCTAAATATATATAACATATCATGGCTATAATTTTTTTAATATTTATGTTTTCTTATTGCATTTGATTTATATATTCTATATCATTCACTTACCATGATTAAAGAATCAGAGTAGAAATCATTTATTATTCCACCTAGATATCCATATTAAGTTCTTTGTCTATTTCCTCATCCAGTTTCTCTCCAGAAATGAAATCAGTCCCTTCAACTACTTGCACAATTGGCCCAACTTCTTGGTGGATTTCCTTCATCAGTGCTTTGTCCTCTTCTTGCCTTTTCTGAATAAAAATTACAATTCTTTCCGAGCTATTTTTCTTTGCTTCACTTAAAGCGCTTTTGAGGTAAGCAATTTCATGCTCGTACTCTTCAACCATTCTTCTCTTAGTTTCCTTCTCCCTCAGTAATTCTTTCTTGTATGACAAACTGTTCTTCGATTTTAAATTGACACTTGGCTCCTCTTCATCGTTTTCTTGCGAACTGCTTGGCTAAATATCAGGTACTGGCTTCAAAAGCATAGCCTTCTTTGACTGGGCATATTTCCCTACAAAATAAAAAGCAAACCCAGATATCACGCAGAAAACAAACCAAGTGACTGCTTGTGAATCCATTTATATACTTAAATACAAAACACGCCCTATCAGTTGCTTTAATGTTTCAGCGCTTACTTTATACCAAATTCAGAAAGCTGTCTATTGTAACCTATGTAAAAATCATTATAAGTAATAACTGCAAGCAGATGTAAATCCATAAAAATGAGTGGAGCGCACAAAGACTATATTCAAAATGTGCTCAATCCGGTTCTCCAAGAAATGGTCTCAGCTCTTCTGGTGTCGAAACCTGAAGATCCTATTCCATTCATGGTAGATTGGATGAAGCATCGCATTAACGTTCAAGATCGACCATCAGAAAAAGAAGAACTCAGAATTCTCAGACAAGAAGTCGCGCGGCTCAAAGCTGCCAAGAGTGCAGGGTCAGAAGAAGAGCAAAGTGATGAATCTGAAGAAGAATTAGGCGAAGAAGACCTCCAGGCCAAAAGAGAGAAAAAGGCTCATCGGTCTGCAGTTTCTGCTGAAGCTTATGGAGACTGGAATAAAAAGGAGGATTTCCATCCTAGGGTCATTCCAAAGAGCCAGGAGCAAAAGGAAAGGATAAGTGAGAGACTGTCGAAAGCTTTTATGTTTAGTTCGCTTGACGAACATGAGAAAGAAATCGTGATCAATGCCATGGATGAAAGAATTATAGGAAGAGGTGAAACAGTAATCCGCCAAGGAGACGATGGGGCTGAGCTATTTGTTGTGGACTCAGGGACTTTGCAATGCTTTAAAGTCATTAATGGGCAGAATAAATATTTGAAGGACTATGGCCCTGGAGAAGCTTTTGGGGAGCTGGCGTTACTTTATAACGCTCCTAGAGCAGCTACAATTACAGCATCAACTGACAGTGTGCTATGGTCTCTTGACAGAGAATGCTTCAACCACATAGTAAAAGGTTCAGCTGTGCGCAAGAGGGAAAGGTACGACCAATTCTTATCCAAAGTTAAGCTACTGGAAAGCATGGATCCATATGAAAGGTCGCAGCTGTCAGATGCCTTCATAAATGTGGCTTTCAACGAAGGAGATTATGTGATCAGAGAAGGCCAAGAAGGAAACGAATTTTACATCATTGAAGAAGGTACTGCTATTGCTACTAAGACCATCCACCCTGGCCACGCTCCTGAAGAAGTTTTAAGGTATTCAGCAGGTGACTACTTCGGCGAGTTAGCCTTAATAAAGAACGAGCCAAGAGCAGCCAACGTGATTGCGAGCTCCCGATTGAAGTGCGTGATGCTGGACAGGCACTCTTTCAAGAGACTTCTAGGCCCTGTAGAAGACATCCTGAAAAGGAATGCCAGGAATTACGAAGACATCGTAGCAAAGAAAAGATAAACATTTATATACATTATGATTGATTAAAAATTGAGAATATTGCAGGAATAGGCTCTCCTATCAGATTTCCATACTCTAAGTGCTGTGAAATTAGAGTGTTTTCTTCTTTCAGCTTGTCAGCTTGGTTTTTAAGCTGCGCAATGTCGAGTTCGAGGGCTTCAATCTGCTGCTGGTAGCTTTTCACAACCTGGCTGAGCGAGTTTTCTCGCTTTTGGGCGTGCTCCAGCTCTGCTTGGGTAATCATTTGTTGGTTTACTAAGTCATTCGCAGAGTTCTCTAAATAGTTTAGGCAGTTTTCAAGAGAGATAATGTTTTCATCCCATGTGGAGTCTTCATCAGTTTGTATAGCAGCAGATTTTTTCTCATTTGAAGCAGTGGACATATCAGATAAATATGAATCATGCTTTGACTGAAGCTTTTGCTGTATTTGGGGTCACACTGACTCGAAAAGGCTTTGCAATTGTTTGCTCTCTTCTTGAGACTTCTTAATTATGTTAGTCATTTCGCTTTCTGCGTTTACTAAAAGCTGCTGCAGCTGTTTATTCTCTGCTTTAAGCTTTTTCATTTCTAGGCGAAGTTTAGCCTCTTGAGACATATTTTTCTGCCACTTAATATCGTAGCAAAATTTCCATTACTGAGGAGTTTCGCAATATTAAATATAATTATTCTAAAACTTCCTTATTAGAGGACGAGCATCATAAAATAATATTAAGAAGGATCAGCATAGAGCCAAAAACCTTTTCAGAATTGGTAGCTAGATTATTGTGAATAATTGTGTGAGCTTTTAAAATTAGTTTGATTTTATTATTGAAATATTTAAAAGAAAGATAAAAATATAAATTATAATAAACAAATATTAAAATTGAAGGATTAATTGGCGTATTTCATTGTGGCTTGCTTTGCATAGACAATATATGCTTCTGGGTCTTTTGTATATAATTCAAGGTTTCTGGGGTGTTCCGACTCTTTCCATTGAGGGTTTTTCAATAAATTTACTACTCAGTCCAGCAAACCTTTTAGCCCTTTTGGATATGGAATTTTAATTAGTAATTTTCCATCAATATCTATATTTGGATGAATGATTTGACTGAGAAACATAAATTCTGGGGTTTCGTATTCCCAGCCAAGTCTAATTGAGAAATAAAATATTCCTCCTTCGTATGGGGTATTGCTTGGCCCTTCAATTCCACCAACCAATTCTCGATGACTATAACCTTTTGTCATCACAAACCAATTTGAGCTAAGTATTCGTGATTTCTCAGGGTTTCACTCAGGATAAGTGCACATATGATAAAGAATATCCATATTTTATAATACAAAATAAAATGACAGAATCTGGTATAATCCTCATTCTGAATGAAAAATTTTCTATGACTCAGCTTATTTACTTTTTCCAAAGAAATGGACATAATCATATATATTAGAGCTAATACGAAGCGTTAAACTAAGTAATTTTGCAATGCGTGCAGATTAAGTTATAGTTCAAGTTCTTTAACATAATTATTTGCTACCTAACTTGTTTAGATTCTGGTGATTATTGATAATTGGTATATCTAAGATTTTATAAACAGTTCATAGACTCGCCCGTAATCAAACAAAATTTTCTTACTAATTGATTTAAGGAATATATTTATAAACTTTGGAGAATTATTCTGATATACAAAAGTTGCTTATCAGTGCATGAAATATTAATAATTTGATGAGACAGATGGCTTCTTGTGCAGATCTTAGTCTCAATGTGAAAAAATTGAGTTGATCATATGAATTATATATATACTAGGTCTGATTTATAAGTTTTTATCATTGTAATAAAATTATACTTACTTTTTCATTATTACTGAAAGTGCAACATTTAATGCTGCAAACCGATGTGAGTAGTTTTCATAGTAGAATGAAGATAAGAATAGAATTTTAAGGACTAAATACCTCAAAGAGAAGGACAAAAATTAGCGTATTTAATGATATCTTGCTTAAAATAAAAACAATATGTACTGGCTTAAGCGGGTGTGATTCTAGCCTAAATCATTCCATTGGAGTTATTACAATAAATTCACAATTCAATCTTCAATTCTTTTAAACCTTTTCTTTTCACAGGATATTGAATCTAAATGTTTAATCTTCCGTTTTTCATTGGAGGTTTTTAGTTAAAAATATAAATTCTAGCTTTTGATATATAAAAAGAAGTGTGATTGAGAAATAAAGTATTCCTCTTTCGCATGGAGTATTACTTGGTAGAATTGGGCAATTAATTCTTTTAGATCTTCATTTTTTTCTCATAGGAAATCAATCTGAGCTGCGTATTCATAAACTCACCTTACTCTCCCCATCCTTAAGATAATTATTGTCAAAAGCAAGCAGTCAAATTTAGGTTGGTCAGAAGAAGTATAATTTCGATTGCATTATGCAATCGTCACTCAAGGATGGATTTTAATATTTTAATGGAATTTTTCATTCAACTATAGGAAAGGAATTAGGATTCCACTGTGGAAATGTGACAAATTTTAGATTAGATTCATGGTTTATCAAATTAAAATATGGAGAAATCTGACAATTCATTATCTTGAAAAGATAATATATCATCAGTTTCCATATATAGCGGTCTCTTTAAATTTATTAAGTTTAAATATAACCAAATTATAAAGAAGTTATATTGAATAAAAATTAATTGATATAAAGCCTAAGCTCACATAAATAATTCATGGATATCTTGTAATAATTTCCCTCCAAATTTGGTACATTATTTCATTTTAAATTATATGCTTATATATTTTTTTATTTATTTAGACAACAGCACTAGAGATCTTATAACTTATGATGTAAACATATCTGAAAAATAAAAGCTGAATTTATAATGATATTTCCTAAAATAGTTAACAAATTAATTAGCATATTTTATTGTAGTTTGCTTTACATAGGAATAATATGCATCTGGATCTTTTTGATACAATTCAAATTTTTTAGGTAGCTTTGAAGCATTTCATTGGGGTTCTTTCAATAAATTTACTATTCAATCTAGCAATTCTTTTAAACCTTTTCTCGCAGGATATTGAATTTGAATTCTTAATTTACCAGTTTTCTTTATGTTTGGATGGAGAATTTTGGTTAGAAATATAAATTCTGGCTGACAGTACGTATAAAGAAGTGTGATTGAAAAATAAAATATTCCTCCTTCATATGGAGTATTATTTGGACCTTGAATTGCACCAATTAATTCATTTGGATCTTCATTTTTTCTAATAATAAACCAATCTGAGCTGCGTACTCACGAACTCCTACAATTTCACACCGGGAAACTTGACATATGTCAAACTGGTTTCATAGATTATTAATAGAAATGTGGAGGGTTTTGTAAAAATCCTTAGGATATTCATAAATTTATATATGAACAGATTTCTAATTCTAAATATTTTTTATCTTTTTGCTTACAGTGTGCTTCTGCCCTTACATAATGTCCAAAAAGTCATTTTCTTCAATAAATTCTTAATGAAATGTTGTAGAAAATATTAAAGAATTCATAATGAATTTGATAATTCATGAATTCAAGCAATAGTTAGATACTGACCATATGGAAACTCAAGCAAAGAAGTGCTATTTCTCAACGAATTAGATGAAGCCTTAAAATTGGGAAAAGAAATAATTTCTATAAACATTTGAGAATTAGCTTTTCAAAAGATATTAAAAGTTATGCATTATTAAGCTCATTAGCTTAGATGCATGATGCTCCGTCAAGAGAGAAACATGAAACGATATGAGATTTTTTACTAAATAAGCCAAAAAAATCAACCCCAACTTCAAAAATCCCAAAATATCTTATCAAAGCAATGCATGTGTCTGGTTTAGCAAATATTAATGATGCTATCCTTAGCTCCGGGAATCTCATTCCATCAATATTGCTTTATTAAATAATATAAAAAATATGAAAATACATTGATAGGGTTCTATATATTGGCTTGTGGCTTTTATATGTTCTATACCTTATTTTTTATAAAAATTAAGTAACAGCATCCAGAATTTTCTAAAATAGAGTCGATAATATTTATAATACTTAATAATACTTTATAAATAAGATCATTAATAGCAAATAAAAAGGAATATTCATGTAAAATTAAGGCTAAAAACCTTTCCAGAATTGATAGCTAGATTATTGTGAATAATTATGTGAGCTTTTAAGATTAGTTTGATTTTATTATTAAACTATTTAAAAGAAAGATAAAAATATAAATTATAATAAAAAAATATTAAAATTGAGGGATTAATTGGCGTATTTCATTGTTGCTTGTTTTGCATAGACATAATATGCTTCTGGGTCTTTTGTATATAATTCAAGGTTTCTAGGGTGTTCCGACTCTTTCCATTGAGAGTTTTTCAATAAATTTACTACTCAGTCCAGCAAACCTTTTAGCCCGTTTAGATATGGGATTTTAATTAGTAATTTTCCATCAATATCTATATTTGGATGAATGATTTGACTGAGAAACATAAATTCTGGGGTTTCGTATTCCCAGCCAAGTCTAATTGAGAAATAAAATATTCCTCCTTCGTATGGGGTATTGCTTGGCCCTTCAATTCCACCAACCAATTCTCGATGACTATAACCTTTTGTCATCACAAACCAATTTGAGCTAAATATTCGTGATTTCTCAGGGTTTCACTCAGAATAATAGCACAGATTATAAAGAATATCCATATTTTATAATACAAAATAAAATGACAGAATCTGGTATAATCCTCATTCTGAATGAAAAATTTTCTATGACTCAGCTTATTTACTTTTTCCAAAGAAATGGACATAATCATATATATTAGAGCTAATACGAAGCGTTAAACTAAGTAATTTTGCAATGAGTGCAGATTAAGCTTATGGTTCAAGCTCTTTAACATAATTATTTGCTACCTAACTTGTTTAGATTCTGGTGATTATTGATAATTGGTATATCTAAGATTTTATAAACAGTTCAAGATTTTCTTGCTTATTGATTTAAGGAATGTATTTTTAACTTTGAAGAATTATTCTAATATGGAAAAGCTGCTTATCGTCGCATATTTGATGAGGTAAATGGCTTCTTGTGCAGATCTTAGTCCCAATGTGAAAAAATTGAGCTTATCATATTAATTATATATATTAGTTCTGATTTAGTAAATTTTTATCATTGTAATAAAAATATACTTAGCAGAGAGAAGAAAAGAATAGAACTTTAAGGATTAATTACCTCAAAGAGGAGGAAACATAATTAGCGTATTTAATTGAATCTTGCTAAAATAAAAATAATATGTTACTGGCTTATGCGGGTGTGGTCTAGCCTAAATCATTCCTTTGGGATTCTTTCAATAAACTCACAATTCAATCTTCGATTCTTTTAAACCTTTTGTTCTTGCAGGATACTGAATCTAAATGTTTAATCTTCCTTTTTCCATTGGAGGTTTTTAGTTAGAAATATAAATTCTGTCTTTAAATATATAAAAAGAAGTGTGGTTGAGAAATAAAGTATTCCTCTTTCGCATTGAGTACTACTTGGCCCTTGAAATGCGGCAATTAATTCTTTTGGATCTTCATTTTTCCCTCATAGTAAACCAATCTGAATATTTTTTTAACAAAGAATTATAAGGTCTGATTTTAGAAGAAAATTTCCTAAAATAGTTAATAAATTAATTAGCATATTTTATTGTAGTTTGCTTTACATAGGAATAATATGCATCTGGATCTTTTTGATAAAATTCAAATTTTCTGGGTAGCTTTGAATCATTCCATTGGGGTTCTTTCAATAAATTTACTATTCAATCTAGCAATTCTTTTAAACCTTTTCTCGTAGGATTTTTAATCGGAATTCTTAATTTACCAGTTTTCTTTATGTTTGGATGGAGAATTTTGGTTAGAAATTAAATTCTGGCAGAAAGTACTTACCAAAAATTGTGATTGAAAAATAAAAAATTCCTCCTTCGTATGGAGTATTAGTTGGTCCTTGAATTGCGCCAATTAATTCATTTGAATCTTCATTTTTTCTAATAATAAATCAATCTAGGCTGCGTATTCAGTTAGGATTTCACTGCGACCAATTTAAAACTGGTTTCATAGATTATTAATAGAAATATAGGGAAATTCTATAAAAATCCTTATCTCGAATAGAAAATATATGATTAGTTTTTCCGTGCATAGCGGTTTATTTAGATTTATTAGATCCCAATACAATCAAAGTATAGTGATTTTTTCAAGGATTGAAAAATTATGTTATAATTAAACAATGACACTAATGTGGTATGATAAACTTGTCTCAAAAACATTATAAAATAAGGGCTTTCTAATTTTATTAAATTATCAGATAGGCTAATTAGCACTAATTCGCATATTTCATTGTTGCTTCTCTAATAGCAAACATAATCTTCTGGATCTTCATAATAGGTCTGACTTTTCTTTGTCATGAGATTTATTAATCATCTTAGACCTTGTATTACATTATTGATATAGGTCTATCGTGGTTTATTTTTCCTTCTTTACTTATGTTAATGCTTAATTTTGATAATAAACTCAAAATAATATATGAGAAGGAATAAAAATTGAAACATAAAATATTCCTCCCTCATATGGTGTCTTAGTAGGCCCGGAAATTTCTCTTTATTGTCGAAAAAAGTTTTATTTCCATCTTTTATTATTGCAATATATCGCAAGATTATATAACTCATTTGCTATACTAATTCAACTTGGATTATATTTAAAGTAAGGATAATTTTTGTTGTGCACATGAGCATGCTTGCTTATCTTAGCCGAACTCAAAATATATTTAAAATGAGTAAGAAATTATTGCGTTATTAAGATAAAATGAAGTTTCTTATTGCTTCATGAAAAAATCTTGTTAGTACCTTGAAACATATTGTAATGTCTAGCTGATTATTAATCATCATACTTATCACTAGCCTCTTCCACGCAATTTGGAAATTTCTTTCCTTTATAAAACTAAATTAAATTTTACTTACTCCCACCTCCTTGAGTGAACAAAACCCTTTTTTTTTGCCCAAAAATCCACAGTGGACGAACAAAAAATATTTTTAATAGAAAAAAATTTGTTATAAAATTTATATATAATTTTTTTTAAAAAACAATTAACCCTCTCCTTGAACGAACACGAATTTTTGTTCGCTTGCTGAGGGGGAGTTACTACTCATCATCCTTAGTAATTAAAATTGAAAGATACAACATATATTTTTTTTAATAAAGTATCCTTTATTGAATAAGCGAGTTAAAATTTATCAGACAAATCTTCCATAAATATGATGAAACTCAGTATCAAAATAAAATAAAATTCACCATTATGCAGAGAAAACAGGCTAAAAGCAGAACAGAGATGCCACTTTCACTATTCGCTAATAAATCTCCTTCTAACAATCGTTTTCTCCAAGGATTAGAGAAAAGTCGTGCAGCATTAAATGGTAATAACCCAATTTTTGTGAAGCCTGAAAACCAAAATCACACGCCTCTCATTTTTCTGAACTCTCTGGACTCGACCACAGCTACCAAGCCTCAGGTTGAAAGCACAGAGGCTCAAGCTCTGAAACTTAAATGCGAGGAACTTGAAGAAGTCAACCGAATTTTGCGATCAAAACTTCAAGAACCAAACAGAAGACAATCTGTTAGAGACGAAGCTGACATAGACGGAGTAGGAGAAGAAGGCTCAGCTCAGGTAATTCACAGTCCTATAGTCAAGCGAGGCAAATCCACTGAGTCTCCACGAAAAATGGTTTACGGGAAGACTGATATGGCTGCTTATAATAATTCTTCAGTTGCCAAACAGTTACTGCTGGACCGGGAAAGAACCTCGACAAGAAATGGCCTTGAGCGATGGGAAGAGATCGCCTCAGATTATAGAAGCAATGGGCCCTTAAGGGACGAAAGATCAGTAACTGAGATCGAATTCCGCATAAAAGCAGAAATTATAAAGAACCAAGAACTCCAAATCGACACACAAAAAAAAGAGATTGCTTCCCTAGAAAAGCAGCTAGATAACGCAAATCTGGAGCTCCAAGAAGCGGAGAAGCTGAAAACTAAAATAGAGATCTTGAAGCAAAAGAAATTTAATTTGAATCAAGACTTGTTAAATGCAAATACTTTAATTAAACAACTGCAAGACAAAATTGAAAATTATGAGACTTCCAAATTCGACCCGACCTCATGCACAATTAACCAGCTCTCTGCTATGATTTTGTCAAGAAGAAGTGATGGACGTAAAAAAAATTTATCGTTTGGGGTATATCGAAGTGTACTGAATTATTATTAAAATCTATTTGAAAAATAATTAGGATTAAATGATAAATGCAGAATAAATTAGAAGAAGCCTTTTGGAGCAAGCTTAAAACACTAGAGGCTGAAAAAGAAGACGCCTTAGAAAAGATAAAGACTGGTCTTTCCAAATGTATTGTCGCTTTAAAAGAGCTGCTTTCGGCAGACGAGAATTTTTTATATATTTTGGAACTCTTAGAAAATGGGAGTTATGATATAGCATTGGATGAGCTGAGGTACAAAAAGACACAAGTAATTGACAGAATGGAATCCACACAGTTTGAACTGACCATCAATGAAAATTTGATGAATTCTGAAGAACTGGTGGAGAGATCTTATAGTACCACGCTGAGCTGCGCAACTCCTTCATGTGAGCCAAGCCCATTATGCTCGCCTGCTAGTAGAAAAAATCTTGGGAGCTCAGTGAAAATGAGGGTGCTTATGGCGAATTTGGAGAGAGAGCAGGAAGAAAATAAAAATTTGACACAAATAGTGGAAGATCTCCAGGAAAAGCTGGAAACAGCTGAAATAAAGGCTGAATTAAACTCAGGGAGGGATTGGCTGAGCTATATGCAGTGCCAAGCTGCAGCAATAGAAAATATATTAGGAGCTCCTGAAGAAGTTGAAGAGGATCTATTTACATGTAATTTTAAATAATAAAGTAAAAGCTAATGTATTTTTCTATGAATTGTTTTGCTTTTTGCAATTATACTTACTACCTCTCTGTAAGCGAGCCAAAATATTTTGCTCGTTTATGGAGGGGTGTTATAAAATTGTAAATTTTTTTAAAGATTTGCAAAATTTAGTTTAGAGAATGCAAGCTGCTAAAAAATGTATTTATTATCATAATTATTATATTAAAACAATATTTTTTCGCTCGCGGAGGGCGGCTTTTTACCCCAAAAATAGGAATATTTCCCTGAGTTTAGATTATATACGGAGTGGGGGTTAAATAATTCGATTTTAAGTAACATTTACCCTTTTAATAGCAACTATTTTTAGCTGTATTTTAACTAAATTTGGAGAAAATGCATATTATAATTGAATCAAATTTTATTATATTAATTTCATTGCTTATAAAGATAAATGACGCATAAAAGCATTAATTTATCTCTTGGAAAACATTTTAGGCTCAAAGGGCAAAACACTCCTTTCCTCAAAGAATTCCTATCAGTTTCCAGGAAATGCTCTAGTCCAAATAGATATTATCTAGATAAGCTCGCAGACATTTGAAAAAAATTGCCTGACTCTGAGCAAAGCAACTACAGCCTCATTTCAGGGAAATCTGGAAACGGGTCTGAGTCGTATCTGAAGCACAGGCCAGAAACCCCTTCCCCAATGAAAATGAGCCACTCTCCTATCGCTTTATTACGGTCAAATCTAAACAGAAGTCCCTCTCCTCCTACTCAATCTTCAATCACCCCAGAGCCATCCAGTGTCAAAGCCAAAGACCGTTTAAACTCTTCCCACTCCCACCAGACCATAAAAAACAATAAATTCATCCCCACATCAGTCTCTAACCGAATAATCAAGAAATTTTCCAATGAGAGCTTTAAAACTAAAACCCTCATGACAAGCCCATATAGAGATAGGCAAACGAAAATTTCTCCTATCGCCAGAGACTTAGCAATCAAGATTTCGAAAGAAACAGAAAGAGTCAGAAGGGTGTCTCCTACTCGTGCCACAAAGCGAGATGACGACAAAGGAGAGCAGCAATTTCATACAGATGAGTGCTCTTGTAAATTATCATATGTGCCTTTTAAAGGCTTTATAGGGAAAAAGAACAATTTTCATAATTTGTATATTTCATGCCAGTACGCTGCAAATGATTTCTCGCTGCTTATTGAGAACAAAATTTTTGCAGTGCTGACGGTGGGCGCAAACAATATGCCTGTCCATTATTCACAGATTGAAGGAGGCTACCATACGATTGCGCTGGAAAAAGAGTATGAAGAGTCGTTTGGGGGTTTTGCTAACCAAGTACAGCATTTTATAAATGATTATCTTCCTTTGGGAAATGTTCTTATTCACTGTCAAAGCGGAAATAATCGATCTTGTGTGCTTATAATGGGGTATCTTATGAAGCAGTTCAATATCTCTCTTGATAATTGTTATACGATAATAAAGAATGCAAGACCAAAGTTCAGGCTAACGAGAAAAATCGAAAATATGCTTAATCCTGCATTTAATAAAATCTTTTTTTTATAAAATTTTTATTAAAAAATTTGGTTTTAAATACTTTTTTAATTGCGAATTTAAAGCATTATTTCTACAACAATAGTAATGCTTACTCCCCCCCCCCTCCGTGAGCGAACAAAAAAATTTTGTTCGCTCACGGAGGGGGGTTAATTTTTTTTTTTTAAAAAAAATTTATATATAAATTTTTATAAAAAAATATTTTTTTCGAAATTTAAAAAAAATCCTAATTTGCAAAAATTGGGAAGCAAATATTAATTTAATTTGCAAAATTTATGTTTTAAAACGCAATTTGTTTAAAATTAAACAGAATTAGCTCTAGATTTCATTATACTAATTATCACTTATATATCAAAATTTTTTTCCATTAAAATTTTTTTCTATTAAAAAAATTTTTGTTCACTCTCACGGAGGGTGGGTTTTTGGTCAAAAAATGGCGATTTTTCTAATGGTTTTGTTCGCTCACGGAGGGGGGGGGGAGTTAATAAATATAGTTAAGATTTTCTAATTTTTATTGATAATATTTTAATCTATCTATATCCACTATACCTGCGCCATATATTTAATCGGAGATATGATTAATGTTTCTTTATTGATTGATTTAAATCTGGCATGCTGTGGATTCTATTATAATAATTCCCGATACCATATGATAGGTTTTATTTTGCTCGAATAATCCTTATTATCACTATTTTATAAAATTTCTACTTTAAAAACAATATTTTATGTAGATAATTTAAAGATTATTATGGTAGTCAGCTTAGCTTCTATCGTTGATGCAGGTCATAAGTTCTTTAGTGGGCTCCCATTGGCATTTTCCATCAATTAAGGTGCAGTTTCCATATTCACTATAGCACCCATACACTTCTCTCCATTCGCATGTTGAAATTCCAGATTCACCATATCTGATGCAAAGTTGGCCTGAGCACCCTCCAACGACGCAAGCTTCTTTAGGTCTCTTCACTGAACACTTGTTGTCCTCACAGACGAACGTATCACATGGGTATGTCATACAATCAATAACTGGACAGTCCAAATCAGATTCACATTCATTCCATTGGCTCCTGAAAGGTGGGACTGAGTATGCTTGAATGTATACAGAGATAAATAGAAGGAGAATTATTTTTTTCATTATTATAAATCTTAAGCTTTCAGTAATAAGAAAGTGGTTACATTTTTAAAGCCAAAATGGCTAAGTTTATATATAAATGCACTCAGCTGCATACAAGATAAGTATAAGCAAATTAGACTATTGATGGAATTTAAATTTATATTACTGTGTGCTTTGAAAAATTATGAATGATCTTGAAAAAAGGAACGATTATTTTTTATATTTAAAAAATTTAAATAAATTGGTATTTCTTATTTTAGTCAAATGCACCTATAGGATTCTTTAAGTTTAAATTTCTAATATAGCCACTTCATAGCAAAATAAGCAGAAATCTTAAGTTAATCCTGAAAAATGTCTGCAATCTACAAAGGCTTCACATCTCATTGCGTTTGATGAAAATCTATTACTTCAACTGTAAATTAAGGAATTATGAATCTCTATTCAGTAACTATTCACAAATTGGAAAGCTTAGATATTTACTAGCCAAGCCATAAAGTCATAGTTAAAAATAATTATTTTTAACTTGGAGCGTCCAAAAAAACGGTAAAAACGATTCATCATATAGTGAGCATTCATATTTAAAGCTTATATAAAAAAGTGGCAACTCAGGCTGCGTGCAGCCAGCTTAAATCTAATTAAACTATTTCAAATAAATTCTTAGGGCATAATATGGAATCTAGAGCTCAAAATCCACTTAATTTGCTTAATTCTAAATTCAACCTTATTGAAGAAGCCCTAAAGATAAAAAATGACACTAAAACCCAATTGAATGAAAATGCTGAAACTCAATTATTAAATCCTGAAGTTTTAAAAATAAAAGCCTCAAGTCTTTTGAGCAGTATCAATAATCCAGAAATAGAGAGAGATTTCAGGAGAACTTCCTTGCTATATAAGAATAATATTACCCCTAGCTCAGAGCTAAATGAAGCTTACCAAGAATATGTCAAAGCTTATCATAAGGCTACATCTCTTTATCTTTCTTCTAGGCTTGACAAAAGAACAAACTTGTTTATCTATGACACTGAAAACGAAATAGAAGAAGCAATACAATTAGAGACTCCAGAAAAAATAGACAACAGCACATGAATTGTTCAGCTTCCAAATGGTGAATTATTCTGCTATGCTCATTCTAATCCACTTTCTGGAGCTACTTTGATTATTGATCATAATAATATAGTTCGTCAGCTTCCATATGGAGCACCTTATGAGCATCCATTAGCTATATATTTCAATAGATCAGTCTATTGCCTTGGCGGATGAGATTATAATAATTCTGTTTCTCCTTCTAGTAGGTTTGATTTAGATCAAAATCGATGAATTAAGCTAACTCCATTGTCAAAACATATTTCTTGAGGCAACAGTGTAATATTTAAGGGGAATATTTTGATTGTTGGATATAATAACAGGAATCTTTGGCTCTATTCAATTGATATTGACTCTTTTTCAAAAATTCCTTGCGATTTTACAAAGCATACAATAAAAATTTTGGTAAATGCAAAAGACACATTATATTCGATTGAGTGCCCAAATGGACGGATATTCGAAAGTGAAGTGGGATACGAATATGCTTGAAAAATAATAGGAGATTCAATAATCAATTTATTATCTTCTAGGGTGTATTGGAAATATAATAAAGGACAAGTCTATATTGGATGCATTCAATTCGAGGGGTGACCAGATAGAGAAAATCACTACTTCAAGTTTAGTTTAGATAAAAAAGTATTAATTAAACTAAAATAGAAGCAGTCTAGATGCAATATATTTAATTAATACCAGAAATCTTACTCTTCTATCAGAGATCCAAAAATATTTGAACATGCTAATTCCATTGCTCAGCTTCAAAATGGTGAATTATTCTGTTTTGGTTGCAGATATATTTCTGAAACTAACCTGACAATTGATAATAATTATAGTACACGTGTCTAAGACTCTTTCTACTTTGAAGAGCCAAGCGTTAAAATCCTGCACATCCTTAAGCTTAAGAATCAGACATTTCAGCCTATATGCTGGGGTGCTGTCCATATAACTGGATAAAGGCTAGCTAAGTCTAACCCTTTTCTCTTAAACAAGAATCAATCGAGCCGCATTGTTTAGGGTGCCTGCAGGCTCATGCAAATGGCGCAACCAGTGATCTCGTGATTTGGAGTTAAAAAGGCACGCTCAGACTGAGTCATGCTGTTGAAGAAAGCAACACATAACTTAATCTTCCCAACTTTATTGGAGCAAAAAAATTCTATTCCAATTTGAAAGAGGGTAATTAAGCACAAATATTTCAGTCATGAACTGTTTTTTGATTAGCATTCTACTTGCATTCCCTTCATTAAAATTAAGGCAAAGCTATTTTATAAAATTTATTATCTTCACCTATAAAATTTTCACAAAAAAAGTAATTTTACTGATAATTTATTTCATTTTAAAAAGGGGTTAGTGGCTTCTATTTTATAATGATAATTGATGTCATTTTGAATGTATAGACTGATTTTATTGTTTTATTTTATGCTGATCTTTCTCCATTTTATTTATCCAGCCTAATATGCCTATATTTTTATAACGCATTTCACTATTACGCAATATGGGTTTAAAGCCATAAATATCGATTAATTTATACTAAAATTTCTAGTGCTTAAAGCACTTTATTTATGGTGGAGATATTAATATTCCAATTTAGCTTGTCCTCGATCATTGATGCAGGCCTTGAGCTCCTCCGTGGGTTCCCATTGGCATTTTCCATCAATCAAGCTGCAGTTCCCATATTCACTGTAGCACCCATACACTGGTTTCCACTCACAAGTAGAACTTCCGTTTTCATAATAGCTGACGCATAGTTGACCCGAACATCCTCCGATGACACAAATTTCTTTGGTGCTCCTTACGACGCATTTCCTATTTTCACATACAAATGTGTCACATGGATACGTCAAGCAATCAAGAACTGGGCAGTCCAAATCAGTTTGGCACTTATTTTTGTGTCTACTTGGAAGCCGGATGGAGTATGCCTCTATATAGAGAGATATAAGTAGAAGTAGAGCTATTTTTTTCATTATCATATTTTGAACGTAAATGTTCGATAATAAGAAAGTGGTTACACTTTCGTTAAAGTCAATATGGCAGAGATCAATTGTAATTAGCTTTAATTGTTGATAGATTTTGAAGAAGAAAAGAAGCTATTACGGGCTTAATTTTAGATTATAAGTTTTTACAAAATTAAAAATTATCGCAAGAAGTGATCAGAAAATTCGACCTTATTTGAAGTTCAGCATGTTGACACAAGACTTCTGACTTCTAGCTCCTTCTTCGAAGGATTGACACAGAGCAAGGTCATGTGCGGGCTAATGAGCGTTATGTAAGGAATCCAGACCTGCTGCATCTGACATTGGGCTTCTTATAATTAAGAATTAAGGATTAAATAGCTAATTTCCTAATATGCTAATTCCTCTCTCACTAATATTACATCATAAACCTTTTTAATTTTAAATTTTAATTTTCTATGCTATAATAAGATGGACCGAAATCTTGAGCAAAAATCTTTTTCAGAAAAAAGGCCTCAATCTGCGAAGGCTTCCACATCCCACGGCCGCTATAGCTTCTTTTTGAACCTTGACGAGCAAGCTCCTTACATGCCAAACACCGCATACTCAGCAAGAATGAGTCCCTATAGAACTTCTACATCTCAACTATACACAGAACGGCAAGCCTACACAGACCGGATAACTCCTATTGATCTCAATTATGAAAAAAACCTAGACGATTTAAGGAGACAGATTTCCTATCTGCGCCGACAAATTGATGAAAATAACACAGCCTATATCCAAGATTTATCAACCCAAAAGCAAGAATACGAAAAGCAAATTGATTTTATCCAAAGAGAAAAAGAGCTTGAATGCATAAATTTAAAGCAGAGGCTGAACGAGGTCGAAAATCTGGCTGAAAAAGAAAGAAAAATCGGCGAAGAATACCGAGTCCAGCATTTTGGCTTATTAAGTTTAAATTCCAATCTGCAAGAAAGAATAAAAACACTTGGACTAGAAATCGAGCAGCTAAGCGAAGACAAAGAAGCTCTAAAAAAAGAAATAGAAGACTTGAAAATAGAAAAAAATGACTTAATAGGAAATCATCATAAAAAAGTGGGAGAAATCCAAGAAGATTTCAATAGGTCCGAACGAGAGTACAGAGAAGTCTACCAGAAATTAGAAAGCGTAATAGAAGAGCAAAGTCAGCAAGTCAAGTCTTTAGAACGAGTAATAAAAGAAAATAAGGCAAACTATGAGCGAGATATCAGCAACTTAGAAGAGATGCTGAATTCTACAAGAAGGCTTTTAGAGCTTCGAGAAAAAGATGTGAAGGATTTGCTGTGAAATGAAGAACAGTACAAAGCAAAAATTGACACCTTAGCTAACGAAAGTTCATATTCAAGGTATGAATTTGATCAGATTCATAAGCAAAATCTGTCACTAAAACAAGAGGTAGCTAACCTTAAAAAGCAACAATTAAGAAAAGCTAAAATATATACCGTCTCAGTCTATATAATCAGTTTTATCCCTATTATGTATTTTTATTAAAATTAAATAATTAAGGGATAATTTAACAATATACACTATCTATCACTCTCGTATTTTGAAAACAAAAACTTGGTTGGCGAGTCAGTCTTGAACGGATCGTCAAAGTCAATTTCTTCCATATGTTGTGGGTTATCTACAAATCTTCCATAGCTAGGCTCATTCAGATCTGTCTTCTGGTCAATCACAAGTACTGAGTTCAACGTCATTAGCTCAGGCAGTTTGATTTCTTCACTGTCAGATGGAGGTGCCTCAATTTTAGTTTGGACTTCTACAAGGTTTGACGGCGGCGACACATGTAAAATGTCATCAACATAATAATTGTAGTCAAAAAGCCCATTTTCATTAGGGGATATTGGAAGAGATAATGAGACATATCTGGCATTGATGGTTTTTGCATTGATGCTGCGGGTTTCTTGATGCGAGTTCTGCCAATTTTGAAAGCAGCGTTGAAAATCCGTGTACTTTGTAGCGATGTGGTGCTCAAATATAGAAACGTCGAGGTTAAAATGCTGCTTGGCTGCAAATGCGGTACAAATTAGAACCCAAGGTAAAGACAAAGTATCAATTCATTGGATTTTTTCGAGAATTAGAGACCAAAGAGACAGTTCTAAGTCATTCATCATTAAATCCACACATATTTCAGTCAGCATTCTTAACAGAGGCATCTGTTTTATTTCTACAGGAATTTCTGCAGCCCTTGCCATGCGACGTAAAAAGAGCTGAGTTTGTTGACTCTCCCTGTAAAAATGAGTAAAATATAGTGAAAATCTTTTTTTAAAAAAATTTAAGTCTAATTAATTTTTTTTTTTAAAAATCCTTCCTAACGAAAAAAAGGATTGTTCTTTTTGAGGGGGAGTGAGGAATACCGTCATTAAGGTACTGAGATTGTAGCTTGGCGAACTTTTGTTCTAGACACTCACTTTCACTTCCAACCTTGACATGCTTGCTCGGAGAAGCGTTCTGCATCTCTGACGGCCTTTTAGGCATCCTAATACACTCTGATGACATTATTAGTTTTTTAATTTTATAAAATCTCATCATCTAGCGCAGTCAAAAAAATTTCATTTAAATTTCCTTTCCTAAAAATTTATATAAATATGCTGTGCGAAATTAAAGGCATCCTAATCCTTGATAACGAAGGCAGAAAGATTTTCAGCAAATATTACAACGTAGCTGGGCCTCTATCAACACACTCAGGACAAATCTTGTTTGAGCAGCAGCTGTTTGCCAAGGCTTCTAAAATTGGTGCCAAGAACAACGAAGTCGACGTGGTGATGATGGACCAATACATTGGGGTCTTTAAGTTGATCAACGACATTTCTATTAACTTGGTAGCTTCAATTGAAGAAAACTCAATTATGCTCACCTGGCTATACATAAAAAAATGGGTGGTGACGAGCCATCATCCGCATGGCGGGTGCCCTATGCATACCTGGACTGGTTTTTAGTGCAAAGAGCTGCCTAAGGTTGGTTTAGTCTCAAAGCGAGAGCCCAACACTATTTAAGCTGATTAGTGGCTGGCCTGCAGCAGTTTTGCATCTTTTTTGCCAGTAGCGCCCATACCCGCCCTGCGGGTTTTCACCTGGTGGAATTTATGGCGCTTCAGAAAGCAGGGACTATAAATACCCATTGTAACTTAATCTTAATCTTAATGCTCGCGTGGCTGCTGGATATTCTGATAGAAGCACTGGAACTGCTTTATAAGAGTGAGCTGGACAGAGCCAAGATTGTGGATGAGCTTGAATTGATGATGTTGGCCATTGACGAAACTCTTGACGATGGGCTGATCATGTGCACAGACGCTACTACAATTGTGGAAAGAGTCATCATGCGAGAAGGAGTCGAACGAGCTCCTCTTAAGGTCAAAAAACCTGAGTCAGCGTTCGAAAGAGCAATTCAGGGAGCGAAACAAGCTATAACAAAGTCATTAATGAGATAGTTAAGCATTATCATTTTATCGAAAATAGGCTCTATTTATAATAATAAAAAAAAGAAATTCTGAGATTAAAGATGCTATTTTTCGACATTTTATAAAGTTCACCATCAATATTCTCTAAATAAATATAATTCAGCAGAGATTGAAATTCTAGCATTTGATTTTATTCATTTTGTATTTATTCCTATTAAAAAATTATGATAACTTTATTAGATTAATTGTAAAATATACCATTCTTTATAAATGGCTATAAATATTAAAAAACAGAAGATTCCATTTAGGTGATATATTAACCAACTCTTATATAATTAACACCAATGTCATGGAATAGTGCCTTAGAGCGCGATAATAATAAAATAACCTCCTAAGGAATTGGCTTTCTTCAAGAATAATTTCTTTCGAACGATATTTATTATCATAGAGTTCATTTTCTCTACATTGACCTTTATTCATAATTCAAACATGGAAAGTAATTCTGTGGTTCAAGGATTATGATTTTTTACTCCTGAAACGCCCAAGAAGGTTAGCAACTAGGAGGAGTCAGCTTGGAGAGGGCAAGCGCGACATGTAAAACTTTGGTGAGTCATCTCAAATGTTTGTAAGACTAGATGGCTGTTGACATCACCACTTGGGAGTTAAAAGGGCAGACTTGTGCATGCCTAAACTCCTTGCTGAAGAAAGAAAAACATTAAAATCTAAATAACTAGTAGCCTTAGAACGCGCAAGTGAGCACTGGGACACAGGCTTTCCCAGCCTCGACTTTTCTATACCTTCTGATATAGAAGACATTGACTTGCCAAACGAAACAATAGCCTGTAATTTTCAGCTCAACCCTTTAGCCCTGTCTCCAGAACCCATATATAATGAGGTGCGTGACGTCGAGCTGTCCACCCAGTGCTCTCAGTCCAGAAGAGGCAAAACTGTCTGGAGTCCCGAAGAGGACGAACTTCTCAGCCAACTGACCAAAAAGTACAAGAAGCGGTGGGATATAATCAGCAATTTCTTCCCTGACAAAAATGCGCAGACAGTCCAACGAAGGTGGGCGAATAAGCATGACCCCAATGTAATAAAGACAAGATGGACTACCGAAGAAGACGAACTTATATTAAAACTATATAAAAACTACGGAGGAAACTGGAAAAAGATAACTGCTTGTTTAAAAGGAAGGCCAGCAGACGCAGTAAAAAACAGATTTTACGGGACAATAAAGAAAAGGATACTAAAAAAAAAGGAGACTTCGAGTACTAAAACTCCGAGTAATTTACCTGATAAAATAGAGTCTGTGAGCGAAAAAATCTGGAAGGAAGAACAGATTATTGACAGCTTTCTTACGGAGCCAGATAAAGTTAAAAACAAGTCTGTAGAAAGCGAGTTGTCATTGGAAAAGCTGATGGTGGCTGCTAAAGAGGCGAATTCGCTTTCAGAAGAGGAAAAGAGGCAGAAAATTCAGGAACTTTATGAGAAGATGATGGCTCTGCAAGAGCATTTGAAGCATACCAAAGATCAGATTAAGAGTTTAGAGTTCAAGAAGCTATAGGCTGGCTGGAAATGAATTGCTGATTAGTGTATAAGTTAAAAGTTATAAAGTTTATATTGAAATATTGCATGTTATGTAAAAATAGGGTTTATTATAAAGCTCAAATATCGTAAGAAATTTATTGAGGAAACAATTATTCTTATGCTAATTCTATATCTTTAAGGCATATATTAACACTACTAATGGTAAAATCTGAACATTTGAATTTATCAGAATTTTAATTTATACGGATTTTCTAGCAGATTTCACAGTAAATCATTATAATTTTGGAATAATATATGCCAAAAATCAAATTATATGATTTTAAAGCATAAAAATTGAATAGAGTATGAAAATAAAAATTAATTTGATGTCAAACAAAGTCCAGCGTTTGGTTTGCTGAGCATAATAAGTCTTTATAATTATAATAAATCATATTTTATTATAAAATTTGAATTCTGTTGTTGAAAATGATTTTACTTTTTTATCATGTTAATTAATTATCTAATTCATTTTATTATGCAAATTCATTAATGAAGTCTGGTATTTTTGTCTAGTTTTCTGAATTTTACTTTTTTTCAATCATGTGCTTCCAGAAATCCATAAACGATGCAGTTTGCTTCAGTATTTGTTCCTATAGATCATTAAAAAATGCTAAGCTCCTAAATTTATAGCAAGGAACTTAAAAACAAGCTAAAAAAATTGCTCGGCCCAGCTTTAAATGATAGACATTCCTTTAAAGGTTGAACCTCCTTATTCATATAGCTCTCTTGAATAATCCAATAATTTTATTTACCAAAAATAATTATAAAGTTAATTACCTTTATTTAAATTCAATTTAAAACACAAGAAATATCAATTTTTACATAAACCTAATCATTTGTCCTATTTCTCAATCTAACCTTCATTTCCCTGCATTTTTTATTCATTTTTCTAGATTTCTTATTAACGCCATTTCAATAAATTCTCTATCAGTCCCAAACTTTCTCCGCTTCCTTCTTTGCTTTCCACAATCTTTAATATCAAAAAATTATGCTCCAATAATTGCCTGGCCATTAAAAGTCTTCACCATTACCTATAATAAATACGTGGCATGGCAACCCAAAAGATCAGAGTAGCAAACCCAGTAGCAGAGCTTGACGGAGACGAGATGACTAGGATCATCTGGACTCTTATCAAGGAAAAGCTTATCCTCCCTTACCTCGACATCCCAATCCAATACTTTGACCTTTCCATCCAAAACCGTGACGCCACTAATGACCAAGTCACTTTGGACTCAGCCAGAGCCATCCTCGACTGCAAAGTCGGGATTAAGTGTGCCACGATCACCCCAGATGAGGCAAGAGTTGAAGAGTTCAGCCTCAAGAAGATGTGGAAATCTCCAAATGGAACAATCAGAAACGAACTCAGAGGAACCGTCTTCAGAGAGCCAATTATCTGCAACAATGTCCCAAAACTCGTCCCAGGCTGGACCAAGCCAATCATCATCGGCAGACACGCCCACGCTGACCAATACAGAGCCACTGACTTCGTCGTCGACAGGCCTGGCAAATTCGAAGTTACCTTCACCCCAACTGACGGATCTGAAGGCCAAAGGTACGAAGTTTTCGACTTCAAAGGTGCAGGAGTCGGTCTTGCCATGTACAACACTGATGAGTCTATTGAAGAGTTCGCTAGATCTTCCTTTGAATACGCCTTAGACAGAGGCTATCCTTTATTCTTGTCCACTAAGAACACCATCCTTAAGAGATATGACGGAAGATTTAAGGATATTTTCCAAGCGATCTATGACAGTGAGTACAAGGCAAAATTCCAAGAGAAAGGCCTTTACTATGAACACAGACTTATCGACGATATGGTCGCCCAAGCTATTAAGAGCAACGGAGGCTTCGTGTGGGCTTGCAAGAACTACGATGGTGATGTCCAAAGTGATATCGTCGCCCAAGGATATGGCTCATTAGGACTTATGACCAGTGTCTTGGTTTCCCCATCAGGAGCCATTGAAGCTGAAGCAGCCCACGGGACTGTCACAAGACACTACAGACAGTGGCAGAAAGGAGAAGAGACCTCAACCAACCCAGTAGCATCCATTTTTGCATGGACTCGTGGACTCTTGTACAGAGCCAAGCTTGACGGAAATGAAGAGCTTAAGCGTTTCTGCGAAATTTTGGAAGCAGCCACCGTTAAGACAATTGAACTCGGATTCATGACCAAGGATCTTGCCTTGTGCATTCACGGCAGTCAAATGAGAAGAGAACACTGGCTTAACACTGAGGAGTACTTCAACAAATTAGCTGAAATCTTGGCCGCTGACCTCGCCGCCCCAGCATCTAGTTAAGTTAAATTTCTTTAAAAATGGGTATTTAAGATGGAGAAAGGGTGAGATTGTAAGCCCGTCTAGCTCAGTCGGTAGAGCGCCAGCCTTTTAAGCTGGTGGTCGGGGGTTCGAGCCCCCCGGTGGGCGTATTTTTGTATAAGAGAGGCGAAGTGAAGTATTAATTGAGATGCAGAGGAGAAGTGACAGCCCGTTTAGCTCAGTCGGTAGAGCGCCAGCCTCTTAAGCTGGTGGTCGGGGGTTCGAGCCCCCCAGTGGGCGTTTTTTAATTTTTTGTTATTTTTGTGTAAGAAGAATTGATTTTTATTTGCATTTGGTTGCAAGGATTGATTTTTGTCTAAAAATTAAATACTCTCATTTTAGGTATAAAATATCCTAATTTTACTATATTTTTATATAAATATTACTTAATTGGTTAAATTTATATTATCTGCATTAAAGATCAAAATATATTTTCCTTCCCAAAGTCTCATAAGGCTCCCAAACAGTAAATGAGTTTAATCGATCCAGCATTGGGATTATAAAAGCCAGCTCTAATCCTTTCCAATCCAGCGGATATTTCCTTCTAGGGTTATTTTTCCCGTTTTTCCCTATCTCCTCTTTTATTGTATCATACAACTTTTCATACCCTTCATTTACCCTTCTCATCAAATCTCCCTGAGTTTCTTCCAAATAATAATACTTGCAGAATTCCTGTGTATTTTGTGTCTCCACAGCCCAATCAGCCACCCCAGCAACAAAAATCTCATAAACAGGGTTTTTTGTCCTCACAATTCCATGGAGTTTTAGCTTGATTTTTTCAAAAAGCTCTTTCAGGTCGCTGGCACAAAATATCTCTTCCAGCTTCATCCCTAGCAGCAATTCTTGTATATTGTTTTCTATATAAGCTATCAATTGGTTGGCTTGCTTGATTTCTGCATTCATTCTTTCGAAATTCTCTATTAAATCGTCAACTTGTTCATTTTCAAATTCTTTTCTTGCGATTAAGTGGGTAGAAATCAAGAAACTTAGCTTGTAGATTTCTGAGGAGTAAATATTTGTTAATAGCTGAGTCATGACTATTTAGAAAGCACCTTTTAGATTTAATTGGCTCCAGAGTTCTCTTTTTTCACTTGATGTCAGATTTTTATTTGTCCTGAGTTCTAAACGGATTTGTTGAATTTCTGGGAGAGTTCGCTTTGTTCAGGTTGTAAAAGTTCTGGAGAGTTTGGAGTAGAAGACTTCTTTTCTGAGTTAAAATTACTCTCGATTTGTGTCAAGGACATTCATGGATCCTGAAAGGACTTTTCTGGCATTTCATAGCATTCGAATGTGGTATCGATATTTTCAGATGGCCATCAAAAAAGCTGTGGTGGAAATTCCTGTGAGGATGAGAAAAATGCTTGTTTTTGGATAAGTCTTAAAGAGTTTTAGCATATTAATTTGCAAAAATAATGCTCTATTTATAAATTTTTAAAACACAAAGTTTTTGAAGTTGTTATGTTATTTTATAAGAAATCTAATCTTTATTGTAAGAAAATTCTGAAAATATTTCTATTTATATATTTTCAAGTATTAATTTTAAAATTTAACTAAAATTAAAGTATTTGAGCTTATAATATAATCTAGGCTTTTTTTGATAACCTTTGCTATATGGATTTTGAATAAATAATTATAAAAAGTAGCTTTTTGCTTTTAATAGTGAATTATTTAATGTTCTTGTTTTTTAATTATGAAAAGCAATTCAGAAAATGAATTATTAGCATTTATAAGAAGAAGCCAGCTTATTCGGTTTAATTTATGTATGATTATCCATAAATTTTTTATATCTTGAAACCTAAAAAACTCAATAAATAGGGTTTGTTTCTCCAACTATAAGGCAAAAAAATGGGTTTTGGATGACTTTAGCCCTTTATGGATTTTATAAAAATCTTCTTTTGAAGAAAGCCATATATTAAAAATGCTTACATAGCCCAAATTATTTACAGATTTTCCAATCAATTTCAAGAAATCCTCAGGCTTTTAATTCTTAAATTCCTCTTCATATTTTTGAATTTTAGAAAGTGCAGGCGATATTATTAATCAGCTCACTCGCAATTCAAACCAAATGATCCACAAAAATTATTTGCAGCAATATCAAACTCTAAAATTTATAAAATAGGTTTCAATATAACTCAAAAAATAGTAAAATTCAAATTTATATTTAGAATGAAAAAGGATAAATCAATTATTTTCCTGTATTTTGCTTATATAATAGCATCAAATATCAAGAACTTTGCTTTTTAAAGCTTATGAGTGAGAATACTATAGCCTAAAAACTATTTTGGTCGGGTTTGGCTAATGTCAGGAAACGTCAGATGGGAAGTTGACAAGCTAAATTTTGCTGCAAAGCCAACTCGGCAAATCCTCTTGTTATTGGAGATTCTTCATTTAGGATTTGTCTTTGGCAAAAATCGTTTGTTAGTCAACTCCTCATCTGACTTTTCCCGACGTCAGTCAAGTTCAATCTAAAAAGGGATCAGGCGAAAATGGAGAATAAATAGACGACCAGTTTGCTATTTTTCTAGATCTCAAATAATAGGATAAATGATTTTACAATTAAAAACATTTATTCACCATGATGCAACCATTGAAATCTCTTAATTTCACTATAGCAAGCATGAGTGTAATTTTTATTTTAGTTTTAAAATAAAAACGATGATTCTTGATAAGAGTGATGAAAAGCAACCCTGCCATACTTAAAACCCTGGCCAGAATGAAGAAAAGCAACGGACATAGCTCCATTTTTCTATGGAGAAACTAAAATCAGCACCGATTTATTACAATGCTTTGGATACTCTTCATTATTTCTAGATTATCGATAAAAGTCTGTGGCTAATTTCATATCCTTTTATCCAAAAAATAAAAATTTAAATTTTCATTCTTTATTATAAAATCAAAAAATACTCCACAAAGAATCAAAAGGACTATCCATTAAAACTATGAGTCTAAATTAACCTAATCCCAGATATACAAGAAGTGTATCTGAAGCCCCTAGCTTTAAATTTCAAAATTAATTTCATATTTATATCTGGCTCCTTTCTATTCATTTCTGTCACCTTCCCCAATTTATCCAGCATCATCCCCACCAATTGGGCTATTTAACCTTCCTCCTAGCCTTCAATTGAATTTCAAATCATTCTTTATCGCTTCATTTTCTTTCTTAAAAGATTTAATAAAATCCATTTTCTTCAACAGCTCAAAGGCGACATTTATTATCCCCTACCAAGCCACCTAGCCCCATGGTGAAAAAATAAAATGATTTTGAAATTCATAGTAAATAAAAATATAATTCCATGTTGGACTTAATCACTCCTATCGCACTCTTAGCCGCATGCACTGCTACATGAATATACTACAGCTGGGTCGAATTACTCATTCTACTAGTTGTCTCCTACATTCTCCTCTGCAAGGTACCCCAGCTTTTTGGTTTAACTGTCCCAAATGCGGGAGATGCAATTTGGATTCCTGACATTCCAACAAATAAACTTCACATTCAAGGCTGCCTCGTCACAGAAAGAATGAACAAAGACGAATTTATCCAAATGATGTCTACCCGTGGCTTCGTGAACGTCGAAAAGTTCAGATACCGACATGTATGGATCATGGGCAAAGTTTACTGGAAAAAAGAGACCAACTTCTCAGTCCTCAACCACCTGAAGTACCACACCGAACAAGTCAAGAGCCAAGACGAGCTTTATAAGATCTTCGAAGAAAACCTGACCAAGGACTTCCCTAAAGAACTGTCGCCATGGCAAGTTTTGTTTGTACAGGAGTTCAGAGAAGACAAGAGCGCCATCATCCTCAAGTCACACCATTCTCTCAGCGACGGGCTTGCCCTTGTGTCACTGCTTTTAAGTTTGGCTGACCCAAGACCTGTCACGAACACATTTATCAATTTTTCAAGAGGAAACACCCTCAAGCAGTTCTTCTTCTACGCAAAGTCAATCATCATGTCTCCCCTAATCTGCTACAAGGTGTTCTCCAAAAAAGAGCCAAACTCCCCAATCTACGGTAGGCCACTTACAGGCAAGAAGTCTTTTGCATGTACTGAGCCTCTGCCTCTGCCTTTCATTAAGAAATTCTGCGAAAAAGAAAAAATTTCCATAAATACCTTTATATTGACTATTGTGTCCGCAGCCATACAAAAGTACTTTGAAGACTGCAAGGAGCACATAGAGTCCATAAGGGCGTGCCTTCCATTCAGCATGAGACCTCTGCCCAGAGATGGAAGCATTTTGCCAGCGAAAAACAATGTTTCGCTTTTGCTTTTCCGGTTCCCAACCGACATTAAGCCAGAAGTGAATAAGTTTCAGCTAGTTAATAATCTCTGTGGGGAGCTAAAGAACTCAGTGGAGCCTTTCGCGAATAATTTAAGTGCGAGGTTCTTTGGCGCTTTCCTGCCAATGTCACTTGTAAGTCATGTTGTGCATTCATTTGGGGATCGAACTAGTTTCAATTTCTCAAATGTCCCAGGACCTACGATGGCGCTGTACGCAATGGAAAAGAAAATCCACGAGATGTTCTTTTCAGCTCCATGCGCTGGAAAGACCGGACTGTCTCTCAACTGTTTTTCATATAATAATACAATTGTGTTCGGCTGCACTGCTGATAGAGGAGTCATACCTGAAGCAAGAGTTTTGCTGAATTACATGCAAGAAGAAGTGTCTAAACTTAGCTAAATTTTAATATTAACTTGGATTTATTATAAGAATTGAGGATAAATTGGGATATTAGGGATTAGTTGTATATTGATGGGAATTTGGTATTTATAATAGTTAAGGGAATTTTTTCTTTTGTCAGTTTTTATTATATTAATTGAGCCAGGATACTAAAATCAAAGGATAAATTGGAAATTCTAGAAAATCTAAATGTTTACTCAAGTTCTGTCATTAATTTATACAATATCCAAATTTTAAATTTCTATAGAAATATTTAAAAATTATTATTTTTTATAGGATTTTATTATTTTTTGAGTGCAATTATTTTGTAAAGTTGAGAAGTTGCTAGTATTTTTATAATAGCAGCTTTCTTTTTATTTTAAGATAAATGGCTAGGCAACTCTATAAGGTCCTCATCTTTTCTAATCTGTTGATTATTTGGTAAAATAATATGCTGATTGACCAAGATAATCAAGACATTCAAGATATTCCAAAAACTATTTCTATTTTCACAGCATTCACCATTGGAGGTGGCTTAATGGGACTTCCAGATACAGCCTACACATCAGGCTGGCTACTTTCAATCTTTGCATTCTTATTGATTACCCTAACCTTTTGAGCAATCTACTGAATATTAATCCGTAGCAGAATAATAATATTTTTAATTACGCAGCAGTTGTAAAGGAATTCTATGGTAATTGGGGATGAATAGGTGCAGCTTCAACAATTTTATTGCATTGTATGCTGCTAATATGCAATTGTCACATCCGCATAGTTCAGCTAGTAAAGTTTGCTCTTGAGTGAATTGGAGCTATATCAGATAGATTTTCAGATAACCATATATATTTATTGGAGTTTTTAATATTAACTTTCACATCACTCCCATTGCTTTTGTTTGGAGTGTATAGAAGGCTTGAAAACTTGAAGGGCATTCCTATTTATAGTATCTGCATCTGGGGTTATTTTCTATTTGTAAGTATCGCTGATATTTCGATGGGAATTGCAGATAGGATTCATCCTCCACTTGCAGACAATCTGAATATTGTTTTAACAGCCATAGAGTCACTTAATGCGGTTCATTGCATTCCGATCATTTGCGCTGATGCAAAGATTGGTAAGAAGGCACAAATAGGTATGAAATATAGCTTGGGGATTATTTTTGTGTTATTTTCCGCCATATCTGTAATAGGGTCGAATTATCATATTGGACATGCAAAAGGGTTGTCTTTAGTTCATTTTAGTATTGATCACGACAATTTTCATAGAAAAATAAATTACCCAATTCTTATCGGGATTTTCGGGGAAATAATTTCACTAAGTATTTCAATTCTGTTAGTTTTGACTCCAGCAAGAATATCACTAAAACAGCTTATTGCAAATGATGTGACTTATATAAGTGATGACCCTAATCATGTTCCTATCACATACACCCTTATTTTCGTCACATATGCAATGTCCTTTTTATTTATGCTTAATCAGCTATCTCTTCAATATATACGAGACGTCGTCTACTTGATTTTATGCCTTTGCTACCCATTTTTTATTTGCATGAAACTAGAAATGCATAAGCTCAAAAAAATTGCATTTGGGATCTGGATATTGTTAATAATGTCCGCTTGCATTTATGACATTGCTTTTTTGGAAAGGAATGAAAGAAGTTTATAATAAATAAAATTCTAACTCCCCCCCCCTCCGTGAGCGAACAAAACCATTAGAAAAATCGCCATTTTTTGACCAAAAACCCACCCTCCGTGAGTGAACAAAAATTTTTTTAATAGAAAAAATTTTAATGGAAAAAAATTTTGATATATAAGTGATAATTAGTATAATGAAATCTAGAGCTAATTCTGTTTAATTTTAAACAAATTGCGTTTTAAAAACATAAATTTTGCAAATTAAATTAATATTTGCTTCCCAATTTTTGCAAATTAGGATTTTTTTTAAAATTTCGAAAAAAATATTTTTTATAAAATTTATATATAAATTTTTTTTAAAAAAAAAAAATTAACCCCCCTCCGTGAGCGAACAAAATTTTTTTGTTCGCTCACGGAGGGGGGGGGGGGGGAGTAAAAACATTTTTTATATGATTTTTTTAATTTCTCTACACATAACTTTTCTAGCAATTGTCACATTGTTACACCTATTATTAAAAATCTAATAAAGCTTGGCTATATACTGACTTATTTGGCGATTTTTTTCAATTGAATTAGATGATTGCTCATTTTATTTTCAATTTTCCGTTAATTCATATAAAATGTTTGAGTCTTCAAACCGTTCCCACTCCAACCCACCCATAAGAGATCGGACTCCTCAGTCTCTTGCCCAAGACACGGTTTCTCTTAGAAAACAACTAAACCAAAAAGAATATGAACTATATCAGCGAGAGCGGGCGACCCAGCTTCAAGACATCGAGAACTCCCAAACAGTGACTCAGTCAGGCGACCGCGCCCAACTTATGAAGCGTATAAACGCCCTTCTCATAGAAGTAGACAAGCTTAACCAAGACAAGCAAGACCTTATCAACGAACTTCACAGTGAAAAACTGCACAATGAAGAGCTCCAGCGCAAGATGAAACACTCAGGAAAAGTCAAAAGCGTCGTGGACCGCAACATGCAAAGCGACCTGAAGTTCGAAAAAGAAGAAAACAACCGTCTCCGCCACCTTCTCCATACAATTGAAATTGAGCGGGCAGAATTACGTTCAAAATTGAAAGATTTTGAAATCGCTGCCTCGTCCTTTGGCTATGAAAAGCAAGAGTATATGGCGAAACTGCAGCAGAAAATTGACCATATAGCGATTTTGGAAGCAGATAATAGGATGCTGACAGAAAAAATCAATATTATGCAGGGGAAGATCTCGACAGTTGAGGATGAGTGTACCAAGCTGATGCGTGAGAGAGCAGAGATGAGGGAAAATATTTCAATTTTGGAAGGAGAGAAAGGAGAGCTAAATATTAGGATGCATGATGAAGCTGTAAGAATGGAAAATTATTGTGGTTTTAATTGAAATTGAAGCTATTTCCTATTATTTATATAAAAACAAGGCAAATTTAAAATATTATATACTGGTTTAGGATAAGTAAATCCTAGTTTACCTTAAAAAAAAAATATAATTCTATATATAATTAAATAGAGATTACCAAATTTCAAAAAATAATGAGACTGAAAATATGAAATGGATTCATAAAAGACATTGTAGATTATTAGCAAGCAGAAATATCTGCAAAGAGCTCGAAAGAATTGTCGCAAGAAGGCTGAACTCAGCTTTGAGTGAAATGAGCGACACCTTAAAATTCTGCCAAAACCAAGTATACGGTGTCGGAAAAATCGTCGCAAATTTTGAAAAGTGCAATACAAGAATGACAAAGCGGCTTTTTGACAAGTGGAGAGGCAGCTTAGGCTGGACAAACGTCCAAGCCATCAGGCTAAACCTAGTCGAAAAGCTTGGCAACCGAGGAGTTTTATCCAAATTCTTCGCAGACTGGCGTACAAATTTCTTATATCAGCAGCGCTGCAAGCAGCGGCATGGAATTGCCTTATCCCTTATTTACAAAGCATTCGGAAAAAGCAACGAGCACTCTGTAAGGGCTAGATTCCTCCAATGGAAATATTTATTCACTTACAATAACCACAAAAATTTAAACTTTAACACCCTGGCTTTTAGGATTTTTAAAGGAAAAATAAAGCACGCCTTTGAAAAATGGACAAGATTTACTGATAAAATGAGGTTTGAGCAGGCCAAAGAAGATTTGTCGACTGATTTCGCTGCTGTTATGCTGAAAGGAGCTTATTTTAGGGCGCTAAAAGACTTGGTCTTTAATAAAAAGTATTCAAGGAACCTTGAAGAATACCAGCAACAGCAGGCAGACAAACTTTATCAGGTAAATATTCTTCATGAGATGCAGAGATATACACAAAATAACAATTCGAAGAGATATGTAATGAAAAGAATGATGAGGAGATGGACCAATAAGGATCTAGCTAAAGGGTTCCATACCTGGAAAAAAGAAATTAAACAGAAAAAGACACTTGATAGGCTTTATAAGTATTTTGGAGTTTTAGATAACGCACATATGCGTACGACGAAGCAAAAATTATTTTATGCTTGGAAGTCATATATGCTGAATTATTTTCCTAAAGCAAAAAACCAGTAAAAAAATTATCCCATTGACTTATTATTTTTAGTCAAAATAAATCAGCATAAACTTACACAAAAATTAAAAGCAGCAAGTGACGAACTCGCTGTTGAAAAACCAAAAAGATTAGAACTAGAACAAAAGCTAAGCTACACACACAATGAAAGCTTGAGGAATAGCCAAATCAAAGTAGGACGAGTTTTAGCGAAAAGATTCAATGTGCAGGTTTCTAGCTATTTTTATCAATGGAAACAAGTAGCAAGCACTTTTTATGGGTCTCTCCCAAGGGTGAAGAAAATGCTGGTTTACCAATATATGGGCAAGCTAGGGAAATCTTTCAGACTTTGGAAGCGGCAAGTCATAAATGAAGATATAATTGCCTTGTGCAGGAAAAATGAGGACACAATGGCAGAAAACTTTGGTGCTGCTATATCCTCTAAATTTTTGCTATCGTGAGATTTTCTCAGGGATATTTGCCCATATTTGATCCAAATTTGACTTTTTTCTGAGCAAGTGAAAAAAAAAATTCGCTCAATTCCCAAATTAGCAAAAAGTCCTAATCAAAAGACATGCAGCCGAAAACTCAGCTTTAGCTGAACATATAAATAACTTAGAATACGCTTTGCAGTCAGCCCAAAATGATAAAAATGAGCTTGTAAGCAAAAGGATGAGAAATGTAATTTTGACTATTAAAAATAGAGAAATTTCAGCTGCACTGAGAGCCTGGGCGAGAAACGCTCTTCATATTTCAAATGTAGAAAATGCTGGGCACAGGCTTGAAAAGAAATTACGAGAATTGATATTTTATCAAGCGCTAGATGCAATTATGGCTAAGTCTATAGCCCATAAGCAGCAAGAAGCAAGAGAAAAAAGGCTAGCTCACTATGTGATGATCCGCTGGAGAAACTGGCTAAATACCACTTTTGATGCTTGGAAAGACTACTCAAGGATCTTGCAAGCTTTCCGCAGGCAGCTGAAAAAATCACAGTCACGGGCTAACCAGCTGAATACCCAATATGTGCTTTCGAAATGGAAAAATATTATAAAGGCTCAAAAACTGCAAGAAAATATAAACCTCCAGCAAAACCTCAAGAAAAATATCAGCAACTTGTCAAAAGCCCTTGAAAATAAGACCCAAGAGCATGACCTACAAGTGAGAGCTAATGAAAAACTCAGCAAAAATTTGAGGTCGCAATGCAGGAGAAGGATTATTATGGCATTTCTCCGATGCAGTCAAGGATCGAGAAGGATCTATTTCGACAGATGGAGAGACAAAATTGCCTTAAAAGACAGCCAGATACACCATTCTGATAGGCTGCTTCGGCTTTGGAATAAAATAAAATCCCGACAAGCTTGGCGAAACTGGCTGCAATACATCAAGCGAAAAATAATCCATTACAGTGAAGAAGAAATCACCATTCATGTGGCTGAGAAAAAACAAATGAAAAGGGAGCACAAAGGTGTCAGAGCTGGATTCCAGCAACAGCTGAAAGAAAGGGAAAACGTTATTAAGACCCAACAAGACAATTTAGGCAAAAAAGAACAGCTTGTGCAGTTTTTGCTGGAAAGAGGTGTAAAACAGTTTGAAAGTGAATGTTAATAGATTACTCTTTCAAGTCAAAGCTCTATGGTCTTAGCTTGGGATTGACAACTCTAAATAATGGTAGGTAGAACCGGCATAACGCAAAACTGTCCATGCCCTCAAGCCCCTTAAGACCTATCTACCCACAGTATGAATTAGTTCTCTTGCGCCAAAAACCCTCAATAAGCTGTAAACTTCTCACTATTTCAGCTGTAAGGCCATGGTCCTACCCCTAACTGCCATTTTATATTATAGTTTGAAAGTGAATATTCAGAGAATAAAGCAGCTTTTGCGTTTAAAGCGATGAAAGATAGATTTATGAGGATAAAGAACACGATGGCTAGCTTTACCAGGAGGATTGAAAAAATGAAGATGAGGAAAGGGCTTAAGAAAATCAAGCATGCTGCCTCAGAAAATCAGAAAATTATTCTTTATAGCCATAAATAGTATTTATTGTATATAAAATATGATTATTTAATTTTTATATAAAATCGAATAATTCGTTAAGAGACCTTTTATTAGGCGCTTTTAAACGATATGGTGTCAGATACATGAAAAACGCCTTTGATAACTGGCATAGAAATGCCCACAAGCGCAATGCAAGCCGCCTTGAAACTGAGCTTGCAAATGAGTCTTCTCAGCATCAAATCCTTAAATCTACCCACCAAGCCATCCGCAGCCGAAACCGCACCCGAACTTTTATCCAGATTACAAACCGAACCAAGAAAAATCTATTTGACGGCTGGTTTGGCGTAGTCTGCAAAACTCGAGCTATAGCCCGTGCTAATATAAAATTCCAAAACCAGTCAAAACTCATTAAACTAGGCTTCGCTGTAGGACAATGGTATGGCCATAGAGATAAAGCCCTGCGTAGGAAACATAGAGATAACATAGCAGCTGGGAATTATATGAAAATTATCATATCAAGGATTTTCGGAGCTTGGAAAAGGCTTCATTATGAAGGCAAATATTTGACTGATGTGTTTAAATTAGTAGGAAAGCGATATTATAGGGACTCAATTTCTTCTGGAATGGCTGCTATAAAGTCTTATCCCTTTTCCCTTAGAATTCCATATAATATATATAGTAAATCGGATAATAAATATTTATATATAAAAAGTATATGCAATTGCCCATGCCAAACATCATGAATGGAACGACAGGGTAAAAAGTGGCGCCTTAGCCAGAAGACTTTTCTCCAAAACTAAAACCATCCTTGGCAGAGGCTTCAGAAAGTGGGCTGAATGCATCAAGTATAGAGAAAAAATGCAGCATAGGTTCAAAGGTGTACTAATTAGAGCCTGGAGAAGAAAACTGAGAAGGGCTTGACAGCTATGGGAAGAACATTTTGTCATAAAAAGCACTGTAGAAGTTACCAATAAAGAAGGCTCAGTCGCTATAGACAATGAAATCTTGCGAAACCGCGTCGATATTTTGAACCAGCTTATAACAGATGAAGGAATTGACAGAAAATACGTGGAAAACTACATTCTAGAAAGAGAAGACCTCAAATCTGCCATTAAAAGGAAAAAAGTTAATAGGCTGAGAATGGCAAACGGCAAAGAAAATTCCTCACAGGACGGAAATCTGGCAGCCAGGATGTTCCTGATATGGAAAATGTGGGTGATTAAAAGAAAAAAGATCAAGAGAGTTGCAATTAGAATGCAGGCTTATAAGAGAAAAGGAGAAGTCATGAAAGCCTTTTTGACTTGGAAAAAAGGCTTCCCACTAGTCGTAAATACTGTAAATAAACTGACCAGAAGAGAACTGTATTCCCTTATCGCGAAAATGGACCGTGACTTGAAAACCATTGAAGGCAAGCTCGAAAACAACCACAAAGATGTCGTTTACCTACAAACTTATGCGAATATCTTACAAAATAACGTAAGAAAAGGCCAAAACCTGGCTTTATCACTATGCAATATGAATACCCACAAGTCCTTGTTCAGAGGTATGATCAGATGGATAATGCACACGAACCTCTGTAAGGTCCATGATTTATTATCCCAGCTAACTTCTACAGAAGAACAATTATTTATTATAAAATCCCATTTAAGAGGCATAGAAGACGAAAATAAGTCCTTGATAGACGAAAATATGGAGCTTAGGCAGGCTTCATTAGACGGAATTGCAATTGCAGACGCCTTTGAGACCTTAACCAAAGAACGTGAAAAACTGTCAGTTGACCTTGCTGACAGAGCTGCCACTATTAAAAGACTGCTCGAGCAGAACTCCCAGCTTATGAGCAAGCTGAAAAAGGCAGGACTTGACGAGTCCTATGCAACCCCTGAAAGAGATTTCCCTAAGAACGTTAGATATTAATATTTAAGCTTAATTTGTTATTTAAATTCGTGCCATTTTAAAAGAAATTCGAAGGTTTGGGAATGCTAAGCTGTATACATAAGGCAAAAATACAGCCATAGAAATCACAGTCCATTCACAGACAGCTTCGACGTTTTGGTTGACCCACCAATTTGCATTTTTAGAGTATGCAAAAAAATATTCATAAATATTGAAGCCAAGCATAGTGATTCCAAATGTCAAGTATTTTTCTAAAAAGCCTTTCCATTCAATCCTATCTGCAGGGATATTTATTTTCCTCATGCAGAGCATTGACATATAGATCCATATTAAAACCCCAGCAATAAACCATGTCATAATTCCTATATGGATTTTTTCTAGTGGCATTATATGGGAACTATTAGCTTCATCTATCATAGATATAAACGGCAAGGTAAAAGTAATGAGGATTCCGAGGCTTATAAAGCAAAAATTAAAACAGCGCCCGTATATGTGAGAGAAATGTGTATAGGAGATAATGAGAAATACAGGCAAAATGGCTGTGAAATAGGTTAGAGTAAAGTTGAATAGACGGTCGTGACCACGGAAGCAGGCAAGATAGCTTAGGGTAGGCCAAAATGTGGAGCAGTCAAAAGTGTCTCTGCATGACCAAAAAATGTTGAAGACTAGTAAGAACTCCATGATCAAGCTGGCTATCAGGAAAAAGGTTCTGCCGGAGTACTCAAGGTCTGAAGACTTTTCTTTTAATACTGATGAGCTTGAGCCTTTTGCCATATTAGTCTATTTATTATAAATTTATATAAATTTATATATAAATAAGCATTATCCAGAATCCGCTAATAATATTTTCACTTGAAATTTACCTATGCTAATATATAATTAAAAGCTAGTCACAGAAATCTGATATATTTACTTGCGATTTCAATAATTTTAGCATTGATTCTCTAGCATATTCATTCCAAGGTTAACTAGAAGCCGTTTCGGCTTCCTTTTGCTAGTTGATGAGTGTATCGACGGCAGCTTTTCAAAAGAATTATTCGAAATCTTACTAATATTCAGCCTAAATTCTGGGGTTACAGATCTTTTATGAGAATACTGAGTCCTTAGCTTTGGCCTACTCGCTGATTTACTATTTAAACTCGACATCCTCTCTATACTTCTACTGTCTTCTGAGAAATCTTGATACAATTTTGTTGAATTACTATTAAGATTCGGCGAACATAGCAGTTTTTTTATGTGTGGGCTAATAGGCGATTTATTCCTCTGAATTTCTGATCTTTGTGTTATCATTTTTTCGTTACTGCTTTTCCCAATTTCATTAGGAAATTTAGAAAATTGGCTTGTCGGTGGCGATTTTTGTAAAAAAGAGTTTAAATCTTCTTTGGCTTGGTCAAAAAAAGGACTTGCTTTTCGATTGAAAGCTTTGACTACAGAGTTTACCTGTCGGAATGCCCGAGTGTAAGCTTTGAATCGTCTTTCTAAATAATGGTTTGATGGGACAGTTTTTATGTTAGAGTCAAAAGAGTTGTTGGGGGACTTTTTTGGGCTTTCTACTCGTTCAAAGCTGATGCTGGCTGGGGATTTTTTTATACTGCTTTTATGGAAATTCGATCCATTTGATCTAGGATTGTATTTTAAAACATCCATTTACTGGGAATAATATAAATTTAATTTTAAGATAGGAATAAGGTAAAGCCTGAGAAAATACTCTAAAAATCTCTATACTAAATAAATTTACCTGATAAATAGCATTAAAACAATTTTTTTTAAATTTATTTAGCCTAAAAAGGATAATAAAATTATTTTCTTATTTTCTCACCAAATTTCTAAACATTTTAATAAAGGCTGATAAAATTTAATATGGAAGAAAAAGAAGCCACTATTAGCTTTACACCTAAAAAGGCTATAACTACTAAACACAATAGGCATTTTTCTTACACCCCTTCAGTAAGCTGCTCTGTAAAAGTCCCTCAAACACACTATGACTACAGAACAGTTTCAAATAACACACCCACAAATCAGAACTTCTCAGACCGTAAGCAGAATTCACTGTTACAGAATTTACAGAAGCAAGTGAACGAAAAGCTTTCCAATGCAAATGCAAGGAATCATTCGTCTGAACCACCAACAGATGACTCAAGCCAAGAGCACATCAATGTCTCTACACAATGTGATGACTCAATCACAAATTCTAATGCCTGCTTTATATTTTATATAAAAATAAAATAAAATAAAAAGATTTTCTGATTATTTTTCTTTTTTATATAAAAATAAGTTTTAATTACTAGAAATTTTAACTTATTTTTATTTATGAAGGATAACCAGAGTAAAGCTGCAATTATATAAAACTAACACAAATATCTCCAAATCCTCCACAAAATCAAGCGAAAAAAAGCTTCCTACAATGAAATGTAACCTCCCAAAAAGTCCTATAGAAAACCCGAAACCAAAAGAAAAGAGGTCAAAATACATAAAACCAAGGGTCGTGGTAGAACTTCGGCATTTAGAAGCTATGGTTGATGCAAAAATTTCTCAAGGACAAAAACTGTTTATAGGTGATAGATTACCGCCTATAAGAATTCCAGAAGAAAAAACAAGCACAGAATTTTCCAATGAAAATGCATATAAGCATCAACGAAATATATCGACAAGGGAAAGTGTAAATAAATCAAAATCCGTCACTCCTAGTAAGGAAAGCAGAAGATGCCAAAACCCTATTAAGCCTGCAAGGTTTCTTTCTGTTGAAGAAATAGAAAGTCAGATCGGGAATAATAAAGAGTTTTCTTTTAAACCACACAGAAATATCAGCCTTGATATGAAATTATTAAGAGAAACTGATGAAATAATCACACAGAAAAAACTTGAGATGGACAAAATTGCAAGAATTTATGAAGCCACCTTGAAAAAATCAAGCATCTTGAAAAATGCGAAGAATTTTGAGGATACTTGGAACTGGAGCTCCCCTGAATCGAGCCCAACTCCAGCTAAAGCTGTAAGTTTCGAGCAAAAAGCGGAGTCTCAAGACTATTTATAATAAATAATCGCTTATTTAATTAGATGGACTATTAAGCTAAATTTTTGGCAATAAATCATCTTAAATTAGGTTATAAAGTTAGACTTCCCAAAAAATTAGCATATCATGACAAGAAAAAAATTTCCGATAAGCATTTTAATTATAACTCAAAAATTTATATATGAATGTTTCATTGATTTCCAATACATTGATATTATTTAGCTTCTTCTAGATCCTTTTTCAGCTCTGCCATCAGCGTTTTCACAAATTTCGGCACCCCAGTTGACGTCAGCTTTCTTGCTAGCTTATTCATCACGTTAGTCATCCCAATATCGAGATGTGAAATACTCGTCACAAGCGTGATGTTCCCATTTTCATCTTTTTCTATAGGCTCATAATAGTACCCACCCACAAATAACTTGACTCTTACATAGTCATTTTGCACTGGGAGTTCTTCAGATTCTACTGAGGTGCTAAAATCTGCGATCGCTTCCCCAATTTTGGCTTTTTTGCATGCTATGAGATTTTCCCTGGAGGAAATAGCCCACTGTTTCTTATAAATTGTACGGATTATGCAGGTTGAAGGGTCAAGCTGGGCGATTCTTTCAGACGAAAAAACGTTTTTGTCCCAGACAGGTCTTTTTTCGAGCTTTTGGAGAAATGATAAGAGAGCTTCAGGCTCGTAGGGCATTTTAAACTGGTATTTTACTAGGTAGCCGTCTGATGTTTCTTTACCAGAGACTTTGCAGTCTGGGTTGTCTACAACGATTTCGCAGTCTCCGCCTTCAATTCCTTCATTTATGAGATTAAGGAATTCTTGCTTGGCATCCTCTAGTTTGCTTTGAACATCAGTTGTATTGAAGCCTCTAATAATTAAGATTAAGATTAAGATTACGCTGAGTATTTAAGGTCCCTACTACGTCCGAGGTCGCATGCCACGGTTTCCCGTGTGGTGGCAGAGCGTTCACCAAGCCCGGGTCGAAACCCCCGGTTTCTCGGTAGAGGTATTGTCAAGGGCCGTCTCATACCGGCTTTGCTGACCACCTCCATTTCCAACTTGGATCGTCGCCTAAGTTTACGCCAACTCCGCTTCGTCGTCCGCCAGATCTGCCCATTGAAGGGCACCTTTTAAACTGGAGAGACCCCCGTTTTGTCGTCTAAACTCGCCTCCCCTCTTTTCCGGTCATCCCGAGAAAGAACTCAACAGCTTTCGCCATTCGGGGCGAGCCACAAAAGCAGCTTAGGCAGCTAAGTCGCCCTGCCTCATTTCGGGCACTCACTGGGCTGAGCGCTGCTGGCAAAAAGAAGTCACGAGTAACTGCCCATGGGTCTGGTGGCAAAAACAGCGGTTCTCGCGCTTAGGCCTCTCGCTTCGAGGTCCCAGACGTTGTTGGGCTAACTCCTGGCTCCAAAAACCATGCCCGGATATACATAGGTTACCACCACTGAGAGGGTCGGTCGCCATACGCCATTTTATGTATATCCTCTAATAATTAAAGGAGCTGATTCCATGGGCTGCTTTACTTTTTCTGGGTTATCAATTAGAACAATTTCTGGTGCTTTGGTAGATTTCATACATGTATTGCAGAGATTTGAAAAATTGTTCCCCATTTTACCTTAATAGAGCGATTTTTTACTTATTCTTGAAAACATGATTTTTTTTGGTATGGCAAGGATAGTTCTTAATTTATTAGTGCTAATGATTCATACTTACTCGAATTAAAAGAAATAAACAAAATACTTGTGTAGCAAATAAAAATGAAAGAGGCATCGAAAGCATAAAGCAATTCAAAAGAAAATATTTAAAAAGGATTACTGATGAACTTTACTTACTTGATACAGATCTTAACGAACAATCTCTATGCAACTATGCCAATCTTTGTATTTTTCATGGTTTTTTAAACGCTGAGACTGACTCTTTTAATATAAACCAACGCAATCTTGCTTTTTCCAAGTTGTCAAAATTATTATAGATCAAACCTTTATTGATATCTTTATAAAGTTTTATATAGAAAAAGTAAAAGAAATTATTGTATAAAGACTATTTTAGTTTTAGGTGAAAAAGTAATTAATACTTTTAAATTCAGAATTTTCTTTTCTGACACACTTATTTTGTAATAGGGGTATCTAATAATAATCAATAAAAATAGGAAATTCTTCATCAGAATGAGGATCAGACTTTGAATCTCACTCTAAGCCAATGGGCTTATCGTCTAGCAGCAGCCTCAATGATGATTTCATACAACATCTGACTCCAATAATTCTAGTAGTGAAGAATAAAAAGTTGTGCCATATATTCGGAAGAGGAAAAATAAAGATTGCAAGCATTGGACGAAGTAAAAAATCAATTTAAGACTCTATTGATGATATAGAGATAGGCTTATTTCTAAAGAAAAGAAAAACTTGTTGGGCTTTTATAAAAAGTCATCCATGAGATCAAATGTGTATGCAAATGCGATTAAACAGCAAGATACATGAAATGATTATAAGAATTTCGGATAATAGTTTGGAAAAAAAATGATCTGACTTTTTGGACTCAGTTTACTTTTTTATTGTAAAGATTGGAATATCATTGTATTAAATATGCTACTAATTAACTATGGTTTTAGCAATTTTTAGTCTTAATTTTACATGAATTTTTTTTTATATGCTATTAATGATCTTCTTTATAAAGTATTATTAAGTATGATGCTCCAATTCAGGCTGCTTATAATACATATCGGCTCTATTTTAGAAATTTCTGAATGCTGCTGCTTAATTTTTATGACAAATAAGGTATAGAACATATAAAAGCAACAAACCAATATTTATCGAACTCTGTCAATGTATTTTCATATGTTTTATATTATTTAATAAAGAAATATTGCTGGAATGAGATTCCGGAGCTAAGGATAGCATCATTCATATTTGCTAAACCAGACACATGCTTGCTTTGATAAGGTATTTTTGGATTTTTGAAGCTGGGGTTGATTTTTTTGGCTTCATTCAGTAAAACATCTCATATTGCTTCAAGTTTTTCTCTTGACAGCACATCATGCATTCGAGCTAATGATCTTACTAATGCATAACTTTTAATATCTTTAAAATACACCTTTAAGTATTCTTGAGCTAAGCTCTCAAACGCTTTGCACCTTAAAAAGCTTATTGGCATATCTCAAATACGACTCCCTTTTAAATTTTCAACTTTTCGAATAGGTTTAAGTACCATAAGTGGGAAATTTGGGAAGTTTCTACGGAAAATTGATCTTAACAGATCACTACTTAATATGGAGATTGCAAGGCTGGAAACCTTTTTATGAATATTTGGTATTTCACTCGATAACTTTTTAATAGCTAATTCTCAAATGTTTATAGAAATTATTTCTTTTCCCAATTTTAAGGCTTCATCTAATTCGTTGAGAAATAGCAATTCTTTGCTTGAGTTTCCATATGGTCAGTATCTAACTATTGCTTCAACTCATGAATTTGCAAATTCACTATGAATTCTTTAGAATTAATACTGGAAGAAAATGAAATACCAAAAAAGATTTTTCAAGAATTTAAAAACATTTAAGAAGATTTAAAATTGGATTCGCTCCGAGTGAGCGCATAAGATAATTATTAATTCTCTGTCTTTTATAATTTCTATTTCTACGCTTATAATTTCGTCATTATTACTCATGATATTCAACCATGTTTTCAAAGGGAGATTTTGGCTAAGGCCAATTAAAGCTGATCCAAATATTTTTTTCCATCGAGGATTTGAATATAATAACTAAGCGTCAGCGAATCAAAAAGATCAGCATCCAATTGAATAGGATTAGGGTTTGAAATTCGAGCCAATCAAAAGGGGGAGATTGAAAGATAAGCTGCGATCTATGGGAATTCGTCAACGTATAAAGGAGTTCTGAAATTGCATTCGATCTGCTTTTCATTTGAATTCAACTTTGTTGACTTTAAACAAAAGAAAAGAATTAATTCCACTAATCATTTATAGATAGATAAAATTTTCGGGAATATATAATAAATAAATTACGCTTTTATTAGCACTATACTATGAAGATTTAGCATAGAAGCTGATCTCTATAAGATTTTAATATTTATTTACTTGAATTTCATGAATAATTATGAATTAAATGATTTTAGTTTCTCAATGACAATTTACACCTGGAAGAACTATTTCTTAAAACATAATTATGTATAAAATTATAGCTACCTAAAAAGAAAAGAAATCATTTTATAGCGAAGTCCAATAAAAGAACAAAATAATTTTTAGATAAAATGAAAATATAAAAATCGTTTATTTAATTAATTAATGAAATTTAAATCTTTATATAATATTGATACACATTTACGATATTAATAGCAAAATTACTTTTCTGAACTTAAACAAATATTATAAATCTATTTAAATTTGAGGAACATAAATCCGCCCAGATTGTTTATAAGAACTCTTCTCTCTAAGCGAATAAAATATATTTTAAATAAACTTTATTTTACATCATTTTAATACAATTGCTCAGAATCCTCAAAGTGGAGAAACCTCATCATCAAAACGATCCCTTATAATTAAAAGAGCAAAAATCTATTCCTTTGGCCTAGTTATTTGCATGAAGAATAGCGGAGACTTGAGCTTGACAAAGCGAAGGAATTTTATTTGAAACTTTCACTGATTCTGCTTATTTCATTGTATTTTCCTAATTAAAGGCACAGTGATTGACTGTTTGCCAAAGCAGCTAAATTGGAGTTAAAAAGGAGAGAAAGCTAAGAATGGCTGAAGAAATATCATCGATTAAAATATCCAAGCTTTCCTTATTAGCGAAAGCTTTCTCCATAATATCTCTAAAAATATTTAAGGCTTATTATTGTAAAGAATTAAATAGTACCTCTTTGAGATGCACACAAATAAAATGGCGACGACACCGACCCGTCCTCTCCCGGAACTGTGGCGAGATTGGGGACCTTGCTGCGGCCTGAAGCCAATCCGCCCAGGGAAAGGTCTGGAATGGGTACTGGTAGTTTGTGTCCGGCTAGGTTTCCCTCCCAGTCCAGCAACGACGATCCCAGGGTCGTCCCGATAGGACACGGGGCAAAAAGGGTTTTTCCTCTAGGGATCGCTAGTGCCAATTTGGAGGGCATGGCAGGAGCCGACAAGAGCTAAGGAGTTAATCCCTAGCTCTAACCCTAGTCTGGCGACGTGAAGCACGGTGACCCAGTTCGCCTACTTCCGGGATAGCATGACCAAGCCCCATGACCGGAAGGAGCTGAGTGGTAGCCTGTGGCACTTAGGTGCACACTGGGAGCAGGGCCAGGAAAGCAAGCGAGGAGTCCAAAAGGCGGAAGAAAAGGACCTTCGGTCCTGGCCGGGAGCTACTCTATAAATTTAACTAAGATTAAGACTAAGACCTCTTTGAGATGCTAAATAATTAATATGCTTCTTAAATAAATTCTAATTGAAATAAATTTAAAATAATAACATAATGGTTAAATTAATAAATTTTACCAAATTTTATATTAAATTTAATAAAGTAATAATAAGGGATATAAACCCTAAAACTAAATAAATCATATCTTTAATGCTTATAAACAAGATTTTAAATCCTACTCAAACTTTTTGCAAGGCTTCTCCCCTTTAAATCTATCAAAATCATATTTTAATGAAAATTTTATTTTGCATCCTGTGCATGCGACTTATAATAATCAAGCAGCAATAGCTAAATTTAGAAGGATTGCAAATGCTACTAGAGGTGAGAGCAGGGTTTCTGATTTTAATTCAGATGATATGCTGGCAGAGTTCATTTGCACCGAAATTTTGAAGAAAATCAAAGAGAAGCCAGCGTAAGCCTTTATAGAGAACTTTATCCATCTCCACAATAAGGATTTTTATTTATCTTAAAGATTTTTAAAATTATATTTGTGCTTTGAAAAATGTAAGACTAAATACAGATTTATCTTAATGGCTAATTATTCTCGCTCTGGCTTGATTAGCTTATTAAAATGGGGGCCATGGTTAGAGGACTAGCCTTAAGATAAGGCTTTATATGATATGTGTTGAATTAAATGAAAAAGATCCAATTAATACAGTATCGGCTTATTATTCCGGTTATTTATTAATCGTTTTTTTTCATAGATTTAAATCTTTTAAATTAAAATAATAATACTTTTTGTTGCGCATTTGTCCTAAAAGAAAAAGAGTTAAAATTAACGAAAATTTTTTTCTGAATTTTACAGCTTTTCCCATCAAACCATAAATTTAAGCAAGAAACAATACTGTAGTTATCATAAGATTTAATATAAATTATTTTAAATCTAGATGAGTTTAAGATATTTATAATTTGTAATATGAGCACCATTGATATTAGCGCATCTTCTTCCAACCTAGAATTCAGGAAAATGAAAATATCATTGATAAAAGCAAAGCCACCCATACAAATAGTTCTGATACAGATGAAAAGTACTCAAAAAATAGTTCAGAGCTAGAGCAAAGCAGTGAGCTTTGTACCAAAACAGAAATCCATCAAAATGAAGTCAATTCTTCTTTAAATCAACCAAAATTGAGTATAAATAGCTCTAATGATTCTTGCTTACTCGAATTAGAATAAATCCAAATATTTCTGTAGAAAATAAAAATAAAAGAAAGCATCAAAAGCATAAAACAAATTCAAAAGAAGACATTTTTAAAAGGGTTACTGATGGACACTGTTTACTTGATACTGATCTTAACGAGCAATCCGTATACAATTGTGCCAATCTTTGTGTTTTTCCTGATTTATTAAAAACTGAGACTGGCTCTTTTAATTTAAGCCAGCGCACTCTAGCTTTTTCTAAGCTGTCAAGATATATTATAGAACAAACCTATATGGATATTCTTATAAAGTTCCATATAGATAAAATAAAAGAAATTATTGTGAGCAATTTATCAGACTCAATATCAATAAAATCATATACCATAGCATCCAGCCAAATTGCAAATGGAAAAGTCAAAATGTCAACTCATAACGAATGATGAACTTATTTCCAGTCATTTTATGATTTTTTTGAGGTTTTGGTATTAAAACTGGACGAAGTTTCGCAAAATTCAGAAACTTATAGTTCATTGGCTCAGTCAAATTTAGGAGCAACAGAGGTTATCAATTCGCCGCTTACGAATAAGACAAGCCAGGATTTGCTTAACGTAGTGATTGATACCAACATAATAAAAGCTTTAGTGCAAAAATTGCGTAGCGATATTGAAAAAGAGAGAAGTATTGTTTTAATATTTATTAAATTTATATATAGAAAAATGCCTAGCATCCAAACAATCATTTTAAAGCAGATTGAGTATAGTATATATTGTTAAGAATTATACATGAAGATCCAGAGTTAAATGGAACTAAGGATATTCTTAAATTTATGCATAGGCAGATTTCTAATTCTGAATACTTTAAATCTTTTGCTTACAGTGTGCTGCTGCCTTTGCATAAAGTCCAAACAGTCATTTTATTCCATAAATTTTTAATGAAATGTTGTAGAAAATATCAAAGAATTAATAATGAATTCGTAAATTCATGAATTGAAGCAATAGTTAGATACTGACCATATGGAAACTCAAGCAAAGAATTGCTATTTCTCAACGAATTAGATGAAGCCTTAAAATTGGGAAAAGAAATAATTTCTATAAACATTTGAGAATTAGCTTGGGTCGCCTTCCAAAATTTACAAAATATTCTTTTAGCCGATAATAAAGACGGAATTACTAGCCTGAAACATAGCGACAGCTGCTATCCTAGAGCTTACCTGTTTTACCTAGTAGGTGTCCTCGGGGTCCTCGGGAGTGTTAGTTTCCACTTTTCAAATTTTAGTTCCAATTTACATGGGGAAAGGCATTATTAATTCTGAGCTGGGCTCGTCTCTTTAGTATTGCTGTTCCACCTATAGTCTAAAACCAAGTTATGTCTTTTTTCTTTCTTAAGGTTCCCTGTGTTGTAAAGCCTTCTTGAAAAGGATTTGAGCAAAGTGCTGGCTCGCAATGCCATTTTAATATGTGTTGATACGCTAATATAACTAAATCATTTTAAAGAAATCCTTAGCAAATATTTTGAAATTGTTATAAAAAAGAAAGGAGATATTATTGAAGCTTATTTAAAGTTAAGCATATGAAATAGGAAACTTCTTCCAATAAGCATTTACTGCATCTTCTCCACCTACTTTTCCCAAAATTTGAGTAGAAACTAAATCTGTCAGTCTCTCTGCTCCTGAACTTGAATTAATATGCAGGAATTCACTTTTTCCTCCTGTTATTGCTGCAATTTTTTCAAATTTCTTTTGAGCATCACTACAAACATAAAAAGCATTTATTGGAACCCCAAACTCCTTAATCTCTAATAGTTCTTTTCTATAGTGCCTTACATCTTTAAATTTTGTGCTATTTCAGTATTTTGAATCTTTACCTCTTTTATTTTCAATGTCCTTAGCAGTGTTTGGAGGACGATCGCCGATTAAAATTACTTGAGAAATTGTGTCAATTTTAATGGCATTATTTACATGTCATAATCCGACTTCTATTGCTTCATTTCCCTGACCACCTTCAGATTTGACATTTTCCAAAAAACTTTCGAGAATATCCGATTTATTAGTTCATGGAGATACTTGAAGAATTTTTAATAAGGAGCTATAATTTCTATATGCACAGTATTGCAATTGAAAACATTCAGGATTGATCCCATTCTCTGATAAAATAATACAAACCCGTTGGAACATTGTTTTTACTGTATTTTTAGCATTTTGCAGTAAAAGGTCCATTGAACCAGTCGCGTCCATTAAAACAATCGTTTTACAAATCCCACTTTCTATATTAGTTCCTTTATTTAAAGTTTGTAAGAAAAGTTTAGCATTCTCTAGATCATTATCCTTAATAAAACCCAAAAAATTGATTGATTCATAATGCTGGACTTCATATTCCTCTATATAGGTAGATTGGTTTTCACTTTTAATTTGGTTAAATTCATTTCTTTTCTTATTCAAATCATTATAAATTGAGCTTCTATCTTTCATATTTTTAATGTCTTCTTTTTGAACTGAAAACTTTTCTAACTCACTGTCTAAAAGAATTATGCTGTAAGATCCTTTTTGGCCTTGTCTTGCTGATCTTCCTTTAATTTGGATTTCTTCAGATATATTTTCTGAGAAAAATGTTTGTAGTACATGAATTCCTTCATTAGTCTCCATATTTTGATTTTGGCATATAAAATCAATTCCTCGGCCAAAAACTCTTACTAATAATGTCACAGTATTTGGAACTGTTGCTTTTTTAATCATCATTCCCCTATCTTCTGAGCTCAAATTCTCTGTTATCAACTGAATGTCATAGCTGGAGTACTTTAAAGTTGATTCATTATAAAAATCCATTAGTTTCTTTTCATCTTCGAAAAACACTAGGACAGCACGTTTGGAGCCTGCTTGCCCTATTTTCTCATTTATTTCAGTAATTATAGCCAAATAATAACCTTCACTGGCTTCTACACGAACATCCTTTTCTATTGCAAAAGTTCTACGATTGTCTCCAAAAACAGATGGCATATAAGTTTGTATTTTAATATTATATATATTTTCTATGATATTTTTTTCATAATTCCCTAAGGTCTCTAAAGTCCCTGTGACTCCCATAATATATTTGAATTTGAGAGGAACTTCGGCAAATGAAAATATGCCGCATTTAATCCCGATAAAAATATTTTCGTTTAGGCTTTCTTGTGTTATACTTCCTTTTTCATGCTCAAAATAATAAGCAAATAGAGTATTATATCCATAATTCTTATTAAATGAAATTCCGTCATGCTCTTTATACCCAATTTTATCATGTTGAACTATATAATCATGCGAGGCAAATTGCTGTATATGAATTTTCATGTCTTTTACAGCTTCTTCAATAATAAACTCAAACCCAGGAAATTGTCTGCAACAATCTGTATATTCATTTGCTGTTCTTATATCTATATTTTTAAGCATTTCTCTAGATTTTCATATATAGTCTGTTAATATCTTAATAGTAGGATGTTTCAATTTTGCTAGAGGCCTATAAATATTGCCATAGAAAGATTTGGAGAAAAATACATCTACTTCGTCTATAAGAAGAATTTTAGGTCTTTTCATAGTATTATCAGTTATATTTGAGCTGCAATTAGGTCTAGGGCTGATTATATCTAAGACTCTTTCTCTAATGTCTCCATTTGAATTAATTTCATCTTCGCAAAGTTTGTTAAATGTTCCATATTTTATATATGAGCTAACATTTAAAGCTGTATACAAAGGTTCAAAATTTTCGAAATCCCTCTGACTTAAATGTTCGCTATAGCAGGCACAATTAACTGTAAATCCTAATAAGGCAAGCATGCAACTTAAAAATGCCAATGTAATTGATTTACCTTCCCCTGTTAGAATTTGCACTAAATTATTTTTAAAGCCTACATTTTCTTCATTGCCAATGCCGATCATACGGAATATTGACAGAACTTGTACTGGATGCAGTGCAAAGAGTTCCCTTTCTTCTTCACTATTAGCATCTTGATTGTATTTTTTTATATTGCAAAGTTCCCATAGAATAGAAATATAAGCTAGAAGTTTTGGAATGAGATTTTTGAATGAGTTAAGGTCTATATCGGAAGGGTTCTCTGAGTGAGTCCTTGAGGGTATTTCTGCTTCAGCTGCTGTTTGGCTTATAGCATTATCTACGCCTTGACTATTGGCAATATCTATACTCAAAGATGGTACAGCATGAATCCTGGAGGTTATTTCTATTTCAGCCACTATCTGACTTATGGCATTATCTATGCCTTCTTTATGAATAATCGACTGGTACTTTGCACTATACTCTTTAAATTTATCACTGTATGCCTGATGCTTTTCTCGAAGTTCGTTTATATTTAATTGTGAGCCTTTAAGTTTTTCAAGTGTATAACCTATTCCATAAGCTTCTGTCTTTTGTCGCCATAGTCTTTGTGTAACTCCTTCAAAAAACTTATGCTCATTCAGTATATAAAGTCCGGTTGAATGATTTCCTAGCTCTCCAATTATTCCTAATATCATTCCTTTGCTATTTTTTCCAATTTTTTCTAAAGAATCATCTATAATTTTATGAAGTCCCTCTCTAAAATTAGGAAAATTAATTGAAAGTTCTTTCATTTTTAACAAAGGTTCAATTATTTCTACCAGCTCCTTTCCATTCACGGCTTTGGTTTTTAATTCTTTGATTTTATCATAAATTTTACCTTTAATTGCTTGAAGTGTCGCTTTCAAATCAAGATCTGAAATTTTTAAATTTTTTTCGAAAAAGCCCAAAAATTATATAGTAATTGCCCGAGGATGGCACTATCTTGCGCCATCCTCGGGCAATTCAAAAATGGCCCCACAACAGGAATTGAACCCACGTGTGGGGCCATTTTTGGTATGTGTAGAACATCGACTTCCACGCACCAAAAATGGCCCCACACGTGGGTTCAATTCCCGGTGTGGGGCCATTTTTTAAACTGCCCGAGGATGGCGCAAGATAGCCATCCTCGGGCAATTATAGTAACTCCGAATTTGATTAAATTCTTCAATTCTTATATCCTGCTTATCTATCAAATGTAAAGCATTCCTAACAATTTCATTTATTTCAATTCTTATCGAACCAATTGCCTCTGATTGCATTAATTCAAGATTAGTCTCTAGGTTTAAGTGATTTTTTAAGTAGCTGAAACTTCTGATTTGATTTCATTTTTCTTGAATATTTTTTGCGTAATTATCAAGTAGTGCTTGTTGCATGATATCTTCATCATGAACTTTAAATTTTATGAAAAAATTGTTTAATTCAACTAATGTTTGAGTTAAATCATTTTTAAATTTTGAATAACGTCACTGCTCTTTTATCTTGCTATCAAAACTAGTATAAATTTGATTCTGTGATAAAAACTCCTTAAAATTTTTCAAAAAGTTATCCCATTCTTTAATTTTATCCAATGTCTCATTACACTTTATGGAACTATTTGGTGGTTTGAACTCTGTGTAATTTTTATTGAGTTCCTGATAAAAGTCTAAAATTGCAGCATGAATACTTTCGATTTCATTTTTAATGGGGAAAATCTCCTTGGCTTTAGGTTCTGATTTAAAATTAGTATTAAAATCCATAAGATTTTTGTAAAATTTAAATGATTCTACCAACTCGGTACTACTATCTTTATACTCAATATTTAAAAGAGTTTTTAAATTTTGATCAATTTTTTCATTAAGATTTGATAATATTTCTTTGAAAATGGAATCACTATCTTCTAATATTATTTTTATCTCATTTTTTAATTCTAAAATACGAGCATTTTTAAATGCCAATTCTCAATTTCTTTGACTAAGAGCAACAATTATTTCATTTTTAATTGATCGTATCATATTTCTCAGTTTATCTTTGGCATAATTTATACAAAAATTGGTTTTATCGGTTGATTGTTTATAAAACTCACATAATTGTTTTACGCTCTGATCTTTTGCATAAATATCAACTCTTTTTATAAAAATAGTTTTATCTACTTTAAGACTTGCTTTGATTTCTTCAATTAGTCTCTCAGCTGAGTTTTTGATATCTTCTGGCAAAATATTAAGAGTAGACGATATATTTTTAATTTTTTCCTTTCTTTTGGAAGTATTTTCATTCTTAAAATTAATCTTAATATCGTATAATTTCATATTTATCAAACTTCTAATTTCATTAGATTTCCCTATATATTTTGGAAAATCTTCTGATGCTTTTTCAATAATCTTCAATGTTAAATTTAGAGGATAAGCTTTTAAATCTTTGATTTCATTTCTTTGTATGTGATCAATGATATTTTGGGGGAATTTACTTAGATTATCTTCGATTTCTAAAATTTTATTTGAAAATCTAATTCCAAAAAGCCAATATAATTCTTGCCTTGTTGAGAATTGAATATTTTTCATTTTGATCTCTGCTTCATAAAATATATTTTTTTTTATGTCTTCTGATATTAAAGATAGGTATTTAAAAATTTTTCTATCAAGATCGTTTTTGATTGGTGCCTCCTCATTTATAAATCTTGTTTTTGTTTCTTTGTCAAAGTAGTCATAGAGCTTATTCGTAAATGCACACGTAATTTTTTTATAATTCGCAATTATTATTTCTATTTGGTCATTTTTTAAATCAAAAATATTAAGGTTTTTAGTCCGTTCTTTCATGTCTTCTAATAAATCATTAATGGCTTTATATAATCTATTTGAAATTATAGCTTTCACACTTGCAATTGGCTCACCAAGCTCATTTATCGTTTGTCTTAAATTATAAAAATCATGCTTCTCGATTAATTCAATTAATTCCATAAGCCTAGAATCTTGAAGTTGTTTATATTTTTTTGAAAGATCTGAGTAAGTCTTATCAATTTTTGCAAGTTCATCAGAAATAAATAATAAAGTTATTGACTCGGCTTGAATATTTTGATTAAGATTCATAAGTTTTTCATCTACATTAGAGTATAAACTAGTAAGCTCAGTTTTAAACTTCTCAAAGGGAGGCTCTAAATTCAGAAAATTATAAAAAGTTGGAGATTTTGTTTTTAATGTTGATATTTCTTGAAAGCTCGCCAATATCTGACAAGTGTAAGCTCTTAAATCATTCATATCAAAAGCACGGCCATTTTTAATAAAATCAGAAATAAATACAAAGCGATCATTTAAACATTCAAGAAAGCGCCCATACAATATAATTAATTTTGAAAATATATTCGAATAAACGATATCAGCAATGCTGTCAGGTAAAGGTTGTATTTGTTTGCATTCTTCAATATAATTATATGAATTTTCTAAATTATCAATATCAGGTATTTTGTCCTTCTTTTCTTTAAATGTTTCAATTGTTTGTTGGATTTTGCTTATTTCTTGATCAATTTCATCAATTGTATTAAATCCGTTAGTTGTAAGTAATTCTTCGATTTTATCTGCGCTTTCTTCTTTTTTATATTTATCATAGTCTTGCTTCACGTTTTTTAATTTTTCTCTTTCATTTAGTTGATGATCAATGCCTAATTCTGGATTAAACTCACTTTTAATGAGCATTAAAGTTTCCTTAATTCTTTCCCAAAATTTATCTCAAACAATTTTGGGATACTTAGTAACAGATGGAATAAATTCTTGTAATTGAAGAATAAGGTCGGATTTTACTGCTATTGAATATCCTATTTGCACATTTGAAGGAAAGTTAATACCTAAATCAATGCTTAATAATTTACTAACCAGCTTGGCTACAATGCTTTTTTTAATTTTTTTTTCTAAATCAGAAAGCACATCACACAAGACCCCTTTTTTGAATTCTTCAAGCCATCTCCATGATTTAAGACTTGCTAAGGAATTAAACAATAAGTTAATTTCCATCGATTCGACAAATGATTTTATGTATTTTTTTGCTTCTTTTTTTAAATTTTTTATATTTTGAATTGAAAAATCTAAGATATTTTGACAAGAAGGAGCAATATTTGCGTTTATATCAGGAATCTTCATTAACAAATTGTATTCACAAAATTTAGCTTGAATTTCATCTATGCAATTCTCTCCTTTTTTGTCAGTTAAAGAAGAAGCAAAACTTTCAAAGTATGTTTTGTATTTATTAATAATTGATGGGACTAGATCCTCAATTTTATTTTCTAATAAAAAATCTCTTAAATTTTGATCTTCAATAGCTGATTTTATTAAGGAAATATTTTGCTGAAGTCCTTCTATGTCACTTTCTTCTATATATCCTTTGTCTAAAAGTACAATAGAACTATTATATTTTGATTTTAAGCTTGAAATAAGTTGGCTTAAAAGGCTTTTATACTTTATAGACAAATCTTCTAAGTTAATGATATCATAGGCAGCCTCGAAGCATTTTTTTACTTTCAGTACAGTCTCAGCAAATTTTTCATAATTATTTCGTTCCAAGTATGAGTCAGCTGATATAAGCGCATCTTCAATTAGATTTATATATTCTTTACTAAAATCTTTATAGCAAGCAGCAATTTCTTCAAATGTTTCACTTAAAATTTTTGTATTTTTTAATTGAAAATATAGGTATGATTTCTCTGGTTCAATGCTTGCATGATGAAGGTTTAGCTTAAAGATAAGATTATTGAGCATTGCTACTGATTTAGCGGTTTCATTTCTCAGATGACTTTCTCTAATTTCTTCTGATGCTTTCAGAGCAAGATATGCTTCTTGATAAAAAAATACATGATCTTTTTCCAAAATTCCATGATTGTCTAAAATTTTATTTAGTTTTTCAAGAGCACTTTCATATATATCTTTAGTCTTTTTTATTACATAATTGACGGATTCATTATATTGAGGCCTAAACTGTTCAAATAAATTCGCTATATATTGCAATCCATCTAAATTATATTTTATAATGCCATAGTTGAAAGAATCAATGGCAGCTGTAATACCTTCTGAATATACAGAAATTTGATTTTTTATAGATCGACTAGAATCTTCAGTTATGAAGCTTTCAAAAGCATCTCTTGTATTTCTTATAGGCTCGTTTTCCATTATCTTTTTAAGTAGCTCTTGTGGGTTATCTTTCAATGGATCAATTGTTATTACTCCATTTTTAGTCTTGTCTCTTATATCTTTCAAAATTTTCAGAAATGCCTTATCGGGGTTATTCTTTATTAATTTTATAGCATTTTTCACAATGCCATGTATATTTTTAGCATCTTCTGGGGAATATTTGGTAAATGCATATGTAAATGAGCAGCTGTATTTGTCAAAATTAGGGACAAGCCGAGCCAAAGCATGAGCAAGTTTCTTGACTCCTTCAAATCTATCGCCTTCAGCTTTAGAACTTATTAAAATTAAAGGCCTTACACTCTTGCATTTCCTAACACACTTAACAATGCCTATTGTATTTGCAATATCAACTTCTGCACCGTTTGTGTCCATCAAGCCTGGCGTATCACATATAAAAGCATCATCTTGAGGAGAATTTATATTAATAGGTATTATAGAGATGTATCGAGTTTCTGATTCGGCACGTGATGAAATCGTAACATTTTTTAATAAGGGATTTTTTATGGCTTCGAAGTTTATATGCGTTACGTTATCTTCTAAGACCCTTTTCATTACCGAGCCACATAAAAAATGAGTAGTCGTAGATTTTCCTGTGCCTGTAAAGCCAATTAACAGAATAATGTCTTTATTTTTTAAATTTTCAGAGCATCGAACTGATTTATTAATTAGCCTGATAACTTCCCTAATATTAATAGGTCGAATGTGCTCTTTCAGAACTTTTTGTATATCTTGTATCGATTTATCCCATTTTTCATTTTTGAGATGTTTTTCAAAGCGAGAAATAAGTTTTGATGGTAAAATTCCTTTAGGACCTTGATTTAAATAATCAATAAAATAGCCAAACTCGATATTCGGATCTATATTCGCAAATTTTGCATGAATATCTAATGACGGGTCAAAACCATAGAATTTATAGTAAGCAAAGCACAAAATACTGGTAAGAAATTTTTCTATACAAAAGGGCATCGTTGAAATATCATCAATCATTGCTTCAATAATCTCAATTTTTCTATTATTGTCACCTTCTTTAGCACCTATAGCTATGATAGATTTTGAGCTAAGCTTTTTGTAAATGGAGAGCAGTTTTTCCAAATCAGCAAGATTATTTTCTTCAATTTTTGCATTATCTAATTTTTTCTTTCTGAGATAAAAAGAGATACTTTCTTTTGTTTCATTTATTTTTTCTTCAATTTGTTGAGGATTTCCAATCTCGTACTTAATTAATCCTTGCTTGAGCTCTTCATCTAAATTTTCTTCCTCAATAACGCTAGCCTTTTGATTAATTTCTTCATGCAATTTTAGCAATCTCTCAAGATCTTGTAATTTCTTTTTTTCTTCTTCCTCAAAGTCATGATTTTTCTTTTTATTATAAAAAGCAATATCTTCTTTTACCTCTTCTATTTTTTCTGCGACACTATTTATATCTTCGATTTCATACAATCTTAGCAACTTATTAATTTCCTCCTCGATTTTATTTTCTTCAGTTGCAATCTGTTGATTTTCGCATTTTTCATTTTCACTTAAAACTTCGCTTTCACTCAAGGATTTGTGAAGGGTTTCAATGTTTTCTTCATTGATAAATTCGATTTCTACACTTAAAATTTCTTCACCATCGCTAGGAATCTTTAATCATGTTTTTGGGCTGAGACTAACTAATGATGATCCCAGCAGCTTTTGGCCATCAATCACCTTCATATAGAAACTGAGAACTAGAAAGCTAAGATCATTTGGCTGCAATCGAACTGGAGGAAGGCTGGAAACTTGCGATGGCTTAAAAGTGGAAGACTGAAAGATGATTTGAGAGGTTTGGGAATTTGTCAGTATATAGCTGAGCTCTATATTGGCATCTGACTCTCAACTTGGCATAAATTCAACTTCGTTGACTTTGAAGGTTAAGGAAGAGCTATTTTTGCTAATCATTTATAAATCTATAAATTTTTCTGAATATCTGCACAATACAATGGAAAGTATAAATATATTTACTTAGACCTATTCGAATTTTATGTCTTTCAACATCTAACTGATAATAAAAGAACCTTGGTCTTAAGCTTTATTCAATATAAAAATACATGAGAAAGCCACTTTCTTAAGCTAAAGCATTGAAATGATAAAGCATCGTATGAGCACGCTTTACCGAAGCAAAATTAGGAAGAGGCTATAGTAACAACAGCAAGGAATTAATTATTCGTTTATCTTAAAGTGATTAAGAATAAGGAAAGGAGTGGGATAATAATCATTAAAGGGATCCTCTTGAAATTAACCATTCTAAGGCGAGGCATTAATCATGCCTTAATTTAATAGGCTTGCAATTAGAGGAATTTAAGAATTTTGAAATCATAATTATTCACTAAAGTGCATGCAGGGGAAATATTGAGTAATTTTTAATCAGTGATTTTTATTAGTTTAAATCCATTTAATATTCAAAGTCATTTCTGTAAATTTTATATAAATGGCTTTTACAAAATACAAATTTTTTGGATCGCTTCAATGAGGATGATTTCTTAAATTATAATAAAAATAAAACTGTTGTTATAACCCTAAGTGGCAGAAGGATCATTAAATTTATAGCTTTAAGTAAAATCATTTTCTTTCTAGGAGAGAAGAAATAAAATTTGCAATCTAAATTGAGTTGCTTGCTGATAAGCAATTGAATGGAGTCATTTATTGGCCTATCTAAGGAATTAAAATGCGATCCTGCTTATGATATTGAGTTTTATGAAACCTGTGAAGCCCAGAAGACGATTAAAGTGCTAAGAAACTTGCTAGATTATATTAGGTATATATTTGAGAATTAAAAACATCCTAAAGCAATAAATAGCATTATTCCTCTCTAGGATTTAGAAAATTATTTTCTCCCATATGAACAGAGATCAGAGTTTCATTTGTCTTTTATGAATGTAAATAGCAATAAAAGCCATAAAAAGTTAATCAAAATATTCTTAACAATCTTAATTGAGATATAATTTTAACTCATATGAAGCTGAGGCTTAAAATAGCGAAATTGCTATTAACAGCCTAGAATATTACTAGAAATAAATAAAAATTGCATCGTAAAATTGAGACCGATCAAGAAAAAATGTGTTTCATTAAGCAGCTGATGAAAACTTTCTTATCTTTATTTTGGGGACTCGATTTTAATCCCATAACAGCATTTTTTGGAGCTTAAAGGGATTATTAAATTGAATAAATTATCATAACTTTTTCTTGTTACCAAAATATCAAGCAAGCTGCTTCTATTTAGTTTGAAAATAAAAATATAGCATTTTTAGGGGCGAGCGTATTAAAAGATCAAGCCAATATACAGAGCCCTATAATGTATATTTCGTTGGGACTTTTTATCCACCAGTAGACTTGCTTTACTAGTTTTCTTTTCAGCTGGGAAATAGCAAACTGATTTCACCAGCACCCTTGTCTACTGGTGCTCAAAAAGGCTCAACGGCAATATTTTTATATCTTTTTTATTATTTAATAAAGAAATATTGCTGGAATGAGATTCCCGGAGCTAAGGATAGCATCATTCATATTTGCTAAACCAGACACATGCTTGCTTTGATAAGGTATTTTGGGATTTTTGAAGTTGGGGTTGATTTTTTTGGCTTCATTTAGTAAAACATCTCATATCGCTTCAGGTTTTTCTCTTGACGGCACATCATGCATCCGAGCTAATGAACTTACTAATACATAACTTTTAATATCTTTAAAATATACCTTTAAGTATTCTTGAGCAAAGCTCTCAACCGCTTTGCACCTTAAAAAGCTTATTGGCATATCTCAAATACGACTCCCTTTTAAATTTTCAGCTTTTCGAATTGATTTAAGTACGATAAGTGGGCTGTTTCTACGAACAATTGATCTTAACAGATCACTACTTAATATGGAGACTGCAAGGCTGGAAACCTTTTTATGAATATTTGGTATTTCATTCGATAACTTTTGAATAGCTAATTCTCAAATGTTTATAGAAATTATTTCTTTTCCCAATTTTAAGGCTTCATCTAATTCGTTGAGAAATAGCAATTCTTTGCTTGAGTTTCCATATGGTCAGTATCTAACTATTGCTTCAACTCATGAATTTGCAAATTCATTATGAATTCTTTAGAATAAAATGGGGACGTTAAAGGAAATTGGGTTTCCGAGGTATACTTACTATGGAGGAGATCGGATTCATATTGATGAAGCTGAAAATTAGAGGATCTCTCCCTTTTTGAAGTAGGTCTTCAGGTTTTGGGAATTCTTGCCGAAAGGAAAGGGTTTTTCTACCCCAAAGGTTTTCCTGTCCTTGTGAGAAGGGCTAGACAGGTATTGCCTCTAGCATCGTCTTCGTCTATTAAGACTATTGGGATACCTTACTGTGGGTATCTATAATCTAGGGTAGGCTAGGTGAGTTTCTCCAGAAAATTCAAGAGGGTTGAATTTTGGTTGGGCCTTTAACAATTTGCACTCTGATGTTTACGCACCCAGTGAAGGACACCTTTCCGGAGTCAGGATCGTGAGGTCCGCTTCTGGCTGTGCAAAATCTTAATCTTATGAATTCTTTGATATTTTCTACAACATTTCATTAAGAATTTATGGAATAAAATGACTGTTTGGACTTTATGTAAAGGGAGCAGCACACTGTAAGCAAAAGTTTTAAAGTATTCAGAACTAGAAATCTGCTTATACATAAATTTAAGAATCTCCTGACTCCCCCTTTGTTTGAAACAAAATATTTTCCATTTTTTTGGTTAATAAATTTTAAATTGAAATTATTTTTTCAATAACTCTCTCCCCCCTCCGTGAGTGAACCAAAAAATTTTGTTCACTCACGTTTTTTTTAAAAAATTTATATAAATTTTATTAACAAATTTTTTTTTCGAAATTTTAAAAAAAATCCTAATTTGCAAAAATTGAAAAGCAAATATTAATTTAATTTATAAATTTTATGTTTTAAAATGCAATTTGTTTAAAATTAAACAGAATTAGCTCGAGATTTCATTATACTAATTATCACTTATATATCAATTTTTTTTTTCATAAAAAATTTTTTTCTATTAAAATTTTTTGTTCATTCACGGAGGGTGGGTTTTTGGCGAAAAATAGCGATTTTCCAATAGGTTTTGTTCACTTACGGGGGGGAGTAAGAAAATTTTAGATGAAAATACTAATTTTTATAAAATTAAGTTTTATGACAAAGTGATAGCAGAATGTATTAATCAGTTTTCTCACTAAATCGATAAACTTTTTATGTAATCCCCATAAAAATAAATTAAAATTCAAAGTATTTATATTTTTTATTTATTTATTTTTTAAAATTAACGGGGAGTGAGTTCCATTTAACTCTGGATCTTCATGTATAATTTTCAACAAAATATACTCAATCTGCTTTAAAATGATTGTTTGGATGCTGGGCATTTTTCTATATAAAAATTTAATAAATATTAAAGCAATCCTTCTCTCTTTTTCAATATCGCTACACAATTTTTGCACTAAAGCTTTGATTATGTTGGTATCGATCACTACGTTAAGTAAATCCTGGCTTGTCTTATTTGGAAGCTGCGAATTGATAAGCTCTGCTGCTCCTAAATTGGACTGATCCAAGGAGCTATAAGTTTCTGAATTTTGCGAAACTTCTTCCAGTTTTAATACCAAAACCTCAAAAAAATCATAAAATGACTTGAAATAAGTCCACCATTCGTTATGAGTTGATATTTTGACTTTTCCATTTACAATTTGGCTGGATGCTATGGTATATGATTTTATTGATATTGAGTCTGATAAATTGCTTAAAATAATTTCTTTCACTTTATCTATATGAAACTTTATAAGGATATCCATATAGGCTTGTTCTATAATATATCTTGACAGCTTGGAAAAAGCCAGAGTGCTCTGACTTAAATTGAAAGAGCCAGTCTCAGTTTTTAATAAATCAGGAAAAATACAAAGATTAGCACAATTGTATAGGGATTGCTCGTTAAGATCAGTATCAAGTAAACAGTGTTCATCAGTAACCCTTTTAAAAATGTCTTCTTTTGAATCTGTTTTATGCTTTCGATGCTTTTTTTCACTTTTATTTTCTACGGAAATATTTGGATCTATTTCTTTTAATTCGAGTAAGCAAGAATCATTAGAGTTGTTTATGCTCAATTTTGGTCGATTTAAAGAAGAATTGACTTCATTTTGATGGATTTCTGTTTTGGTACAAAGCTCACTGCTTTGCTCTAGCTCTGAACTATTTTTTGAGTGCTTTTCATCTGTATCAGAACTATTTGTATGCGTGGCTTTGCTTTTATCAATGATATTTTCATTTTCCTGCAATTCTATGCTGGAAGAAGATGTGCTAATATCAATGGTGCTCATATTAAAAATTATAAATATCTTAAATTCATCTAGATAATAATTTATAAAAAATCTTATGATAACTACAGTATTGTTTTGTGCTTAAATTGATGGTTTGATGGGAAAAGCTGGAAAAGTCAAAAGAACAGCAGAAAAAAATTTTCGTCTATTTTTAATTCTTTTTCTTTTTAAGGACAAATGCGCAACAAAGGTATTATAATTTTAAAATTTATAAGATTTAAATCTATGAATAATAAACGATTAATAAATAAACGGAAATAATAAGCCAATACTGTATTAATTGGATCTTTATCATTTAATTCAACACATATCATATAAAGCCTTATCTTAAGGCTAGTCTTCTATAAGACATTAAACCATGGCCCCCTTCTTTAATAAGCTAATCAAGCCAGAGCTAGGATAATTAGCTGTTAAGATAAATCTGTATTTAGTCTTACAAATTTCAGAACATAAATAGAATTTAAAAATCTTTAAGATAAATAAAAATCCTTATTGTGGAGATGGATAAGTTCTCTATAAAGACTTAGGCCTGGCTCCTCTGCGATTTTCTTCAAAATGTCGGTGCAAATGAACTCTGCCAGCATATCAACTGAATTAAAATCAGAAACTCTGCTCTGGCCTGACCTCTAGTCATATTTGCAATCCTTCTAATTTTAGCTCTTGCTGCTTCGCATGCACAGGAAATTGTTTTTATACGATTTTTCTAATTCTTTACCAGCATCCATTATTTGCTAAATTTAGAGGGGTTTTGATTGGACTCTCTGCCTCTTTGCTGCCTATTTTCATCAGTAAAATCGCCATGTAAAACCACTTGAGAAATTGTATAATTTCTAATGGCTTTATTTGCGTGCCATAACCCTAACTCTAAAGCGGGCTATAAGAAAAAATAGGTTTTTTCATTATATGAAAATACATGAAAAAAACTACCTTTTTTTCTCGATTTTTACAGGAAAAAAAAAAACTGTTTGAAAAATATTTTATCGGGATCTAATTATTTTAGCTGAGATTTAGCCTTAAAGATCTAATATGTAAAGACTTACTGAAATCCAAAGGTGCAAATCCTCAGCCCGTGCTGTGATGGCAAATGATTTTTAATTAATTAATCACTTATATATCAAAATTTTTTGATAAACAATTTTATATTAAAAATATCCTTTGTTCGCTCACGGAGGGGAGTAAGGAAGCTTCAATTAAAAAATTTTGAGCGTTTCTTTTATCATTGCATTCAATATATTTCAGATATTCCATTGATCTTTCATGCTGAGCTTTAGCTTGTTTTACAACATTATACTCACTTTGGTTTTTTTGTCTATTAAACTCGTGTTACCAAAAAAATATTAACTCCCCCCCCCTCCGTGAGTGAACAAAACCATTAGAAAAATCGCTATTTTTTGCCCAAAAAACCCCACCCTCCGTGAGTGAACAAAAATTTTTTAATACAAAAATTTTTTATGGAAAAAATTTTGATATATAAATGATAATTAGTATAATGAAATCTAGAGCTAATTCTTTTTAATTTGCTTTTTAAAACATAAATTTTATAAATTAAATTAATATTTGCTTTCCAATTTTTGTGAATTAGGATTTTTTTAAATTTCGAAAAAAAATATTTTTTATAAAATTTATATATTAAGCAAGCTGCTTCTATTTAATTTGAAAATAAATTTAAAAAAATACAGATTTGCTAGGAGAGCTGCTTTTAAACGAAAACTTAATCTAGAGTTAACCATAATATAGAGCCTATATTATTTATGAATAAATATGACAATAAAGGTCAAGTCTTTCGGTCAATTAGAAAAATAGCAGAAAACCATCGGCCAAATATATTTGCCTTTAAAAGAGCTCCTAAAGACAACTGCAAATGGCTACAGATTTTTCTTGCAGGTATTGCAGGACCCTCTGAAACTCCATATGAAGGTGGAATATTTTATATCTCGATTTCCCTTTTAGACACCTTTTATAATTATAAGTTCCAGTTTCTTACAAAAATTTTACACCCGAACATAAGCGATGACGGAATTATTCAGATCGAAATGCCCAGTAGATATAAACAAGATATAGAAGATGGACTTATATGAATAATCGAGCTTTTGAAGAAACCAAAATGGGAATTAGCCACAAATCAAGAATTAGTGCAAATTTATAACGAAAATGAAGAGAAATACTTTTCTTATGTTGAAGAAGCTACAGCTATGTATGGTTTTGCTGTAAAAAACAACCAAGTGGTTTTTCTGCTCCATTTTTGCCGTCAAAAATGGCGGAGGTTTGTTTTCCAAAAAAAAAAAACCCAATGGTGTTTTCAAAAAAATATTCTGAAAACAAAATACTTGTGTTTTTTTGCATGAAAAAACAGCTTTTTGAAAGTATTTGATCGGGTATAATTATTTTAGCTAGAGATTATCCTTTAGTATCTAATATATAACGACTTGCTACAATTTATAAACCTTAAAATATAAATTAAATGAAGAAAGAAATTGCATTGCATCCTAACCAATATTTTTTTCGACCATTAATGTTTTTTATCCAAAAATCGCATGAAAAAAGCCTAATAAAAATGAAAAATGCATTAGAAAGCCCTGCATGGTTATGAATTCAAGATTTAGATTTTTATAGTAAATGCAGCTCAATTGATAAAATTTGCAATCAGCAACTGATATTAAATGATTATAGATATCTGTGATGGAAATATTGAACCAAAAACGACAGGTGTTTTTTACTCTAAAATTTCGTCACATGCATTTATTATTGTATTATGAGCTAGAGATCTACCTAAATATATATTAGAGAAATCTAAATTTTGAATTACTATTCGTTTAGAGCTTTCTAATTATTGCTATTATATGTACTTTTCAATCTTTATTAAAAAATTTAGAGTCAAAAAAATATATTGGTTAAGATATAATGCGATTTCTTTCTTTATTTAACTTATAATTTAGCTTTTAGAATTTAGATTTTAGATTTTAGCAAGTCTTTATATTAGATCTTTAAGGCCAATATTTAACTAAAATCATTAAATCTAGATAAAATACTTTCAAAAGTTTTTCCTGATAACCCGGCTATGTATGCAATTTAATCATTTTTAAATAGAGAAATACAAATAAAGGCAAAAATTTCTTAATTTTGTCTTAAATCTTATTAAAACGAATATTAGTTATCAAAGCAAAGCTTAAATGTTTCTATTGGGGATAATTCACCAGCTTTTTCTTTGCTTTTTTATGTCCCAATCCAACTGCTTTTTGCAATTAGTCAATTCCTACATCATTATCTCTATACCCATAGAGTCCTTCTACATAAAAAACTCCAATGCTGTATATAGATTCCGTGCACCCCATCTCAGCAGTTTCAAGCAAAAGCTCCTTTGCCTATGCCAAGTTCAGATCTCTCAACCGTTAACTCCATGCAAATAATCAAGCCTCCGGCAATGAATTTTACTCGTTTTATCATAAGAGACTGTCTTGATGATAAAGGTCATCAACTTCTGGGGGTTCTGGGTAGAAATTATCTTGTTTTTCCTCTTCACTTTCTGGTCGCTTTAAAAAGTTCTGCTAAATAAAAAATATGACTTTGATGGATGGATTTAAAGGAGAGGGTCTTGTAAAAAGTTTGAGTAGGATTTAAAATCTTGTTTATCGGCATTAAAGGTGCGATTCATTTATTTTCAGGGTTTTATGCCCGTTATTGAATTTTAATATAAAATTTGGTAAATATTATTTTTTAAATTTATTTCAATTAGAATTTATTTAAGAAAAATATTATCTCTCACTCATGCATTTAATGATTATTTTGCGTCTCAAAGAGGCACTATTTAATTCCTTCCATAATAAGTCTAAAATATTTTAGAAATATTATGAAACAGCTTTAGCTTTTAAGAAAAGTTTGGAAATTTCAATTGATGATGCTTCTTCAGTCATTCTTAGCTTTCTCTCCTCTTTTAAGCCCCAATCTAGCTGTTTTGGCAAAAAATTCAATAATTGTGTCTTAATTAAAATCTAAAAACTCAAGAATCCGTGAAAGTTTCGAGTCAAATTCCTTAGCTTTGGCTAACAAATGATTTTTGCTCTATTAATTATATAGGATCGTTTTGATGATTAAAATTCTTCAACTTTGAGGATTCTGGGCAATTGTATTAAAAGGTTTATAAAATAAAGTTTATTTAAAATTAATTTTTATTTGTCAGAGAGGAGAGTCTTTCAAAAAAATCTGTATCGGGATTTATATTCCTCAAATTTACAATAGTTTGATAAATTCAGAAAAATAATTTTACTATTAATATCGTAAAATGTTTATCAATATTATCATAAACATTTAAATTCTACAAAAATTAAATTTATATTTTATCAAAAAATAATTTATTTTTTTTATTGCTGGCTTCGCTATAAAACGATTTCTTTTCTTTTTAGATAGCTATAATTTAAATTGAAAGCTATAATTTTAAACACAAATTATTTTTTAAGAAATTTATCTTCCACTGTAAATTGCCTAATATCATTTAATTTATAATTATTTATGAAATTCAAAGTGAATAAATATTTAAATCTTATTGATATCAGCTTCTATGCTAAATCTTCATCGTATAGTTTAATAAAAGTGCCAATTATTTATCAAATAAATATTCAACATTTTTATTCTGATATTCGCGAAAATTTTATCTGGCAATAAATGGTTAGTAGAAATAATTCTTTTCTTGTCTTTAAGGTTAACAAAATTGTATTCAAGTGAATAGCAGATCCGAGTGCAATTTCAGAACTCTTTTATACTTTGTCAAATTCTCATACGTCCCAACTCATCTTTCAATCTCCCCCTTTTGATTTGGCTCAAATCTCAGTCCTCAATCCTGCTCAATTGGATGCTGATCTTTTTGATTCGCTGACGTTTAGTTTTTATATGCAAGTCCTCAATGAAAAAAAGCTATTTGGATCAACTTTAATTGATCTTAGCCAAAATCTCCCTCTGAAAGCATGGTTGAATATCCTAAGTAATAATGACGAAATTTTATGTGTAGAAATAGAAATTATAAAAGAAGAAAACATTGAAAATTCATTTGAAATTATCCAAGATTCTCTTGATGAAAGTGAAGCCAACGACAAAAAATACAATCTGAAAAAAAATAATGCAGAAAATAAAAATGAGCAGGAAATGAATGAGTTATTGAGCCTTTATGAAATTGATGACGTAAATAAATTAACTGAAAAAATTGAAGATGTGAAGGATGACATTGCTTTTTATCATAGAAAAAAATTAATTGAAGATGAAGAAGCAGCAAATAATAGGCTAAGAGGACTTGAAAGATTACAGCAATTACATAAAGAAATAAAAACAGCAAAAGAGGAGAATGAAGAGAATAGGCATAATGCAAGCACTTTTGAGGAAGAAAATTTAGAATGTGAGCTGAAGCAAGGGCTAAGTAAATATCATATTGAAAACCCTGAAAAATTGGAAGAAATGATATATGACACAAAAGAAAATATTTCATTTTGTCTTAAAAGAAAAAGACTAGAAGAAGCAAAAAATGAAGAAAATATACTTGCTGATTTGGAAAATTTGAATTCTATTTACAAAAGAATTGTTTTAAAATCAATGATAATTTTCGATTCTGAGGAAATTTTAAGTGGAGAAATCGAATTTATCAATGAAGAAAACATCAAAACCCTTCACAAATTCTTGAGTGAAAGCGAAGTTTTAAGTGAAAATGAAAAATGCGAAAATCAGCCAAGCATAAGAGAAAAGCATACAAAAGAGCAAGGCGAAAGTGAAGAAAATAAAAATGAAAAATGCGAAAACCAGGAAAGCATAAATGAAAAAAATGAGAAATGCGAGAATCAGCACACTATAAGTGAAGAAAATAAAAACATAAGTGAAGAAAGTGAGAAATGCGAAAATCAGCACACTATTAGTGAAGAAAATAAAAAATGCGAGAGTCAAGAAAGCACAAGTGAAGAAAATAAAAGCGAGAAATCCAAAAATCAGTTAATTTTAGATGAAAAATGCGAAAATCAGGAAAGAAAAAGTGAAGAGAATAAAAACAAAAAATGCGAAAGTCAGCAAATTTTAAGTGAAGAAAATGAAAAATGCGAAAATCAGCACAGAATAAGTGAAGAAAATAAAGATGAAGGGTGCGAAAATCAACAAAGTGTAAGTAAAGAATATGAAAAACGAGAAAATCAGGAAAGCATAAATGAAAATAATGAAAAATGCGAATCTCAGGAAAGTATAAATGAAAATAATGAAAAATGCGAAAATCAACAGATTGCAAGTGAAGAAATTGAAAAATTCGAAGACCATGAAAGCCTAAGTGAAGAAAATAAACATGAAAAATGCGAAAATCAACAAATTGTAACTGAAGAAAATAAAATCGAGGAGGAAATTAATAAGATGCTAAGATTGTATGAAATCGAAGATATAGATAGTGTCGCAGAAAAAATAGAAGAGGTAAAAGAAGATATTGCTTTTTATAATAGAAAGAAAAAATATGACCTTGAGGAAGAAGAAAAAAAGAAATTACAAGATCTTGAGAGATTGCTAAAATTGCATGAAGAAATTAATCAAAATGTAGATGAAGAGCTTAAGCAAGGATTAATTAAGTACGAGATTGGAAATCCTCAACAAATTGAAGAAAAAATAATTGAAACAAAAGAAAATATCTCTTTTTATCTCAGAAAGAAAAAATTAGATAATGCAAAAATTGAAGAAAATAATCTTGCTGATTTGGAAAAACTGCTCTCCATTTACAAAAAGCTTAGCTCAAAATCTATGATAGCTATAGATGCTAAAGAAGGTGACAAGAATAAAAAAATAGAGATTATTGAAGCAATGATTGATGATATTTCAACGATGCCCTTTTGCATAGAAAAATTTCTTACCAATATTTTGTGCTTTGCTTACTATGAATGCTATGATTTTGACCCGTCATTAGATATTCATGCAAAGTTTGCGAATATAGATCCGAATATCGAGTTTAACTACTTTATTGATTACGTACATAAAGGTCCTAAAGGAATTTTACCATCAAAACTTATTTCTCACTTGAAAAAACATCTCAAAAATGAAAAATGGGATAAATCGATACAAGATATTCAAAAAATTCTGAAAGAGCACATTCGACCTATTAATATTAGGGAAGTTATCAGGCTAATTAATAAATCAGTTCGATGCTCTGAAAATTTAGAAAAAAAAGATATCATTCTGTTAATTGGCTTTACAGGCACAGGAAAATCTACAACTACTCATTTTTTATGTGGCTCGGAAATGAAAAGGGTCTTAGAAGATAACGTAACGCATATAAAATTCGAAGCCATAAAAAATCCCTTATTAAAAAATGTTACGATTTCATCACGTGCTGAATCAGAAACTCGATACATCTCTATAATACCTATTAATATAAATTCTCCCCAAGATGCTGCTTTTATATGTGATACGCCAGGTTTGATGGACACAAACGGTGCAGAAGTTGATATTGCAAATACAATAGGCATTGTTGAGTGTGTTAGGAAATGCAAGAGTGTAAGGCCTTTAATTTTAATAAGTTCTAAAGCTGAAGGAGATAGATTTGAAGGAATCAAGAAACTTGCTCATACTTTGGCTCGGCTTGTCCCTAATTTTGACAAATACAGCCGCTCATTTACATATGCATTTACCAAATATTCCCCAGAAGATGTTAAAAATATACATGGCACTGTGAAAAATGCTATAAAATTAATAAAGAATAACTCCGATAAGGCATTTTTGAAAATTTTGAAAGATATAAGAGACAAGACTAAAAATGGAGTAATAACAATTGATCCATTGAAAGATAACCCACAAGAGCTACTTAAAAAGATAATGGAAAACGAGCCTATAAGAAATACAAGAGATGCTTTTGAAAGCTTCATAACTGAAGATTCTAGTCGATCTATAAAAAATCAAATTTCTGTTTATTCAAAAGGCATTGTAGTTGCCATTGATTCTTTCAACTATGGTATTATAAAATATAATTTAGATGGGTTGCAGTATATAGCGAATTTATTTGAACAGTTTAGACCTCAATATGATGAATCCGTCAATTATGTAATAAAAAAGACTAAAGATATATATGAAAATGCTCTTGAAAAGCTAAATAAAATTTTAGACAATCATGGAATTTTGGAAAAAGATGATGTATTTTCTTATCAAGAAGCATATCATGCTCTGAAAGCATCAGAAGAAATTAGAGAAAGCCATCTGAGAGATGAAACCGTTAAATCAGTAGCAATGCTCAATAATCTTATCTTTAAGCTAAACCTTAATCATGCAAGCATTGAACCAGAGATATCAGACCTAAATTTTCAATTAAAAAATACAAAAATTTTAAGTGAAACATTTGAAGAAATTGCTGCTCGCTATAAAGATTTTAGTCAAGAATACATAAATCTAATCGAAGAAGCGCTTATATCAGCTGACTCATACTTGGAACGAAATAATTATGGAAAATTTGCTGAGACTGTACGAAAAGTAAAAAAATGCTTCGAGGCTGCTCATGATATCATTAACTTAGAAGATTTGTCTATAAAGTATAAAAGTCTTTTAAGCCAACTTATTTCAAGCTTAAAATCAAAATATGATAGTTCTATTACACTTTTAGACAAAGGACATATAGAAGAAAGCGACATAAAAGGGCTTCAGCAAAATATTTCCTTAATAAAATCAGCTATTGAAGATCAAAATTTAAGAGATTTTTTATTAGAAAATAAAATAGACGATCTAGTCCCATCAATTATTAATGAATACAAAACATACTTTGAAAGTTTTGCTTCTTCTTTAACTGATAAAAAAGGAGAGCATAGCATAGATGAAATTCAAGCTAAATTTTATGAATACAATTTGTTAAAGGAGATTCCTGATATAAACGCAAATATTGCTCCTTCTTATCAAAATATCTTAGATTTTTCAATTCAAAATATAAAAAATTTAAAAAATGAAGCAAAAAAATACATAAAATCATTTGTCGAGTCACATGAATCGATAAAAATTAACTTATTATATAATTCCTTAGCAAGTCTTGAATCATGAAGATGGCTTGAAGAATTCAAAAAAGGGATATTGTGTAATGTGCTTTCTGATTTAGAAAAAAAACTTACAAAAAGCATTGTAGGCAATCTGGTTAGTAAATTATTAAGCATTGATTTAGGTATTAACTCTCCTTCAAATGTGCAAAAAGGATATTCAATAGCAGAAAAATCCAACCTTATTCTTCAATTACAAAAATATATTCCATCTGTTACTGAGTATCCCAAAATTGTTTGAGATAAATTTTGGGAAAGAATTGAGGAAACTTTAAGGCTCATTAAAAATGAGTTTAATCCAGAATTAGACATTGATCATCAACTAAATGAAATAGAAAAATTAAAAATCGTGAAGAAAGACTATGATAAATATATAAAAGAAGAAAGCGCAGAGAAGATCGAAGAATTACTTACAACTAACGGATTTAAGACAATTGATGAAATTGATCAAGAAATAAGTAAAATCCAACAAACAATTGAAATATTTAAAGAAAAGAAGGACAAAATACCTGATATTGATAATTTAGAAAATTCATATAAATATATTGAAGAATGCAAACAAATACAACCTTTACCTGACAGCATTGCTGATATCGTTAATTCGAATATATTTTCAAAATTAATTATGGCGTATGGGCCATTTCTTGAATGTTTAAATAATCGCTTTGGATTTATTTCTGATTTTATTAAAAATCGCCGTGCTTTTGATATGAATGCTTTAAGAGCTTACACTTGCCAGATATTGGCGAGCTTTCAAGAAATATCATCATTAAAAACAAAATCTCCAACTTTTTATAATTTTCTGGATTTAGAGCACCCCTTTGCACAGTTTTTAACTGAACTTAATAGTTTATATTCTGATGTAGATGAAAAACTTATGAATCTTAATCAAAATACTCAAGCCGAGTCAATAACTTTATTATTATTTATTGCTGATGAACTTGCAAAAATTGATAAGACTTATTCAGATCTTTCAAAAAAATATAAACAACTTCAAGATTCTAGGCTTATGGAATTAATTGAATTAATCGAGAAGTATGACTTTTATAGTTTAAAACAAACGATAAATAAGCTTGGTGAGCCAATTCCAAGTGTGAAAGATACAATTTCAGATAAATTATATAAAGCCATTAATGATCTATTAGAAGACATGAAAGATCGTACTAAGGAACTTAATGTTTGTGATTTAAAGTATGGCCAAATAGATATAATAATCGAGAATTTTAAAAAAGTTAAATGTGCATATGCGAATAATTTCTACCTCTACTTTGACACTGAAACGCGAAAGAGATTTGAGAAGGAGGAGATATCAATCAAAAAAGATCTTGAGACAAAAATTTCTAATTACCTATTTTTAATATCAGATGATATAAAAATAAATAAATTTTATGAAGCTGAGATTAAAATGAAAAATATTCAATACCCAACAAGTGATGATTTAAACTGGCTTTTTGTAAATAGATTTGCAAATAAAATTTTAGAAATCGAAGATAATCTGAATAAATTCCCCCAAAATATCATTGATCACATACAAAAAAACGAAATTAAAGAGTTAGGAGTTTATCCTCTAAATTCAACATTACAGATTATCGAAAAAGCATCAAAAGATTTTCCAAAATATGAGGGGAAATCTAATGAAATTAGAAGTTTGATAAATGAGAAAATATACGATATTAAGATTAATTTTAAGAAAGAAAGTACTGCCAAAAAAAAGGAAAAAATTCATAATATATCGTCTGTTCTTAATGTTTTGCCAGAAGATATCAAAATTTCAGCTAAGAGCCTGATTAAAGAAATCGAAGCAAGTCTTAAAGCAGATAAAACTAGTTTTAGAGAAAGAATTGATAGTTATGTAGAAGGACAAAGCATAAAGGAATTATGTGAATTTTATAGCCAATCAACCCGTTATTCTAAATCTTATTTAAAGTATGCCAAAGATAAACTGAAAAATATGATATCATCAATTAATATTGAAATAAATGATGCTCTTAGAAAAAGAAATTGAGAATTGGCATTTAAAAAAGCTCACGTTTTAGAATTAAAAAATGAGATAGAAAAAATATTAGAAGACAGTGATTCAATTTTCAAAGAAATATTATGAAATCTCAATGGAAAAGTTAATCAAAATTTAAAAACTCTTTTAAATATTGAGTATAAAGATAGTAGTACCGAGTTGGTAGAATCATTTAAATTTTACAAAAATCTTATGGATTTTAAAACTAATTTTAAATCAGAACCTAAAGCCAAAGAGATTTTCCCCATTGAAAATGAAATCGAAAGTATCCATGCTGCAATTTTATACTTTTATCAGGGACTCAATAAACGTTACACAGTGTTCAAACCTCCAAATAGTTCCCTAAAGTGTAATCAGACGTTGAATAAAATTAAAGATTGGGATGGATTTTTGAAAATTTTTAAAGAGTTTTTATCACAGAATCGAACTTATACTCGTTTTGATAGCAAAATAAAAGAGCAGTGACGTTATTCAGAATTTAGAATTGATTTAACTCAAGCATTGGTTGAATTAAGCAATTTTTTCATAGAATTTAAAGTTCATTATGAAGATATCATGCAACAAGCACTACTTGATAGTTACGCAAAAAATATTCAAGAGAAATGAAACCAAATCAGAAGTTTCAGCTACTTAAAAAATCACTTAAACCTAGAGACTAGTCTTGAAATAATGCAATCAAAGGCAATTGGCTCGATAAGCAATGAAATAAATAAAATTGTTAGGAATGCTTTACTTTTAATAGATAAGCAAGATATCAGAAATGAAGAATTTAATCAAATTCGGAGTTACTATAATTTTTTGGGCTTTTTCGAAAAAAATTTAAAAATTTCAGATCTTGATTTGAAAGCGACACTACAAGCAATTGAAGGTAAAATTTATGATAAAATCAAAGAATTAAAAACCAAAGCTATGAATGGAAAACAGCTGGAAGAAATAATTGAACCTTTGCTAAAAATGAAAGAACTTTCAATTAATTTTCCTAAATTTAAAGAGGGACTTCATAAAATTATAGATGATTCTTTAGAAACAATTGGAAAAAATAGCAAAGGAATGATATTAGGAATAATTGGAGAACTAGGAAATCATTCAACCGGACTTTATATACTGAATGAGCATAAGTTTTTTGAAGGAGTTAGGCAAAGACTGTGGAGACAAAAGACACAAGCTTATGGAATAGACTATACACTTGAAAAACTTAAAGGCTCACAATTAAATATAAACGAACTTCGAGAAAAGCATCAGGAATACATTGATAAATTTGAAGGGTACAGTATAAAGTACCAGCCTATTATTCATAACGAAGGCATAGATAATGCCATAAGTCAGATAGTGGCTGAAATAGAAATAACCTCCAGGACTCATGCTATAGATATTGCCAATAGTCAAGGCATAGATAATGCTATAAGGCAAACAGCAGCTGAAGCAGAAATAGCCTCAAGGATTCACCCAGAGAACTCTTCCGATATAGACCTTAACTCATTCAAAAGTCTCATTCCAAAACTTCTAGCTTATATTTCTATTCTATGGGAACTTTGCAATATAAAAAAATACAATCAGGATGCAAGTACTGAAGAAGAAAGGGAACTTTTTGCACTGCATCCAATACAAGTTTTGTCAATATTCCGTATGATTGGTATTGGCAATAAAGAAAATGTAGGCTTTCAAAATAATTTAGTGCAAATTCTAACAGGGGAAGGTAAATCAATTACATTGGCCTTTTTAAGTTGCATGCTTGCCTTATTAGGATTTACAGTTAATTGTGCCTGCTATAGTGAGCATTTAAGTCAGAGGGATTTCGAAAATTTTGAACCTTTGTATACAGCTTTAAATGTTAGCTCATATATCAAATATGGAACATTTAACAAACTTTGCGAAGATGAAATTAATTCAAATGGAGACATTAGAGAAAGAGTCTTAGATCTAATCAGCCCTAGACCTAAATGCAGCTCAAATATAACTGATAATACTATGAAAAGACCCAAAATTCTTCTTATAGACGAAGTAGATGTATTTTTCTCCAAATCTTTCTATGGCAATATTTATAGGCCTCTAGCAAAATTGAAACATCCTACTATTAAGATATTAACAGACTATATATGAAAATCTAGAGAAATGCTTAAAAATATAAATATAAGAACAACAAATGAATATAAAGATTGTTGCAGACAATTTCGCGGGTTTGAGTTTATTATTGAAGAAGCTGTAAAAGACATGAAAATTCATATACAACAATTTGCTTCGCATGATTATATAGTCCAATATGATAAAATTGGGTATAAAGAGCATGACGGAATTTCATTTAATAAGAATTATGGATATAATACACTATTTGCTTATTATTTTGAGCATGAAAAAGGAAGTATCACACAAGAAAGCTTAAACGAAAATATTTTTATCGGAATTAAATGCGGCATATTTTCATTTGCAGAAATTCCTCTCAAATTCAAATATATTATGGGAGTCACAGGGACTTTAGAGACTTTACTCCCTATTGGCTAGTGAGAAAGATATTTTTCTTCGCTCATTTATGGGATTGAATTTTAAATTAATTATTTTTTTAAAAAGGTTGAGGACTCTGCAATTGCAGCGACTTATTTATACTTTTGCTATTTATTAGGATACTTTCCTGACTTGCTTCCAGGGGTCTGCTAAGAAGGGCCTGAAGCCAGAGCTGTAGAACTCCTAATCCGAGTAGGAATCGTAACTAATCTTGGGAACAATGGCCGAATAAGGCTTTCAAACTCCATAATAGAGGAGCCAAGTCAAAATTCTTTATCCTTAGATTATTTGGAAAAGGCTAGGATACCTGGGACTATGGATTTTTCTCTACCTTGGCGTGCCCAAAAAGTTGAATGGTAATCTCCGCATATTATTGTATATTAATAAAACTTCAATTTTTAAATTTTAGCTTAAAAAAGCTATTTAAAAATTAATATAATTAACTAGAGATCTTATTATATCAAACAAAAATTCCATAATTTTATTTGCCGACAAAACGGACTAATTTCACTGTTTTTTATTTTTATCTAAAAGGAGTTAGGGAATTATGAAAAAAGTATTATAGAAAATAAATATAATATCAAAATACAAACTTATATGCCATCAGTTTTTGGAGACAATCGTAGAACTTTTGCAATAGAAAAGGATGTTCATGCAGAAGCCAGTGAGGGTTATTATTTGGCTATAATTAATGAAATAAATGAGAAAATAGGGAAAGCAGGCTCCAAACGTGCTGTCCTAGTGTTTTTCGAAGATGAAAAGAAACTAATGGATTTTTATAATGAATCAGCTTTAAAGTACTCCGGCTATGACATTCAGTTGATAACAGAGAATTTGAGCTCAGAAGATAGGGGAATGATGATTAAAAAAGCAACAGTTCCAAATACTGTGACATTATTAGTAAGAGTTTTTGGCCGAGGAATTGATTTTATATGTCAAAATCAAAATATGGAGACTAATGAAGGAATTCATGTACTACAAACATTTTTCTCAGAAAATATATCTGAAGAAATCCAAATTAAAGGAAGATCAGCAAGACAAGGTCAAAAAGGATCTTATAGCATAATACTTTTAGACAGTGAGTTAGAAAAGTTTTCAGTTCAAAAAGAAGACATTAAAAAAATGAAAGATAGAAGTTCAATTTATAATGATTTGAATAATAAAAGAAATGAATTTAACCAAATTAAAAGTGAAAATCAATCTACCTATATAGAGGAATATAAAGCCCAGCATTATGAATCAAGCAATTTTTTGAATTTTATTAAGAATAATGATCTAGAGAAAGTTAAACTTTTCTTGCAAACTTTAAATAAAGGAACTAATATCGAAAGCGGGATTTGTAAAACAATTGTTTTAATGGACGCGACTGGTTCAATGGACCTTTTACTGCAAAATGCTAAAAATACAGTAAAAATAATGTTCCAACGGGTCTGCACTATTTTATCAGAGAATGGGATCAATCCTGAATGTTTTCAATTGCAATACTGCGCATATAGAAATTATAGCTCCCATGATAAAATTCTTCAAGTGTCACCATGAACTAATAAATCGGATATTCTCGAAAGTTTTTTGGAAAATGTCAAATCTGAAGGTGGTCAGGGAAATGAAGCAATAGAAGTCGGATTATGACATGTAAATAATGCCATTAAAAATGAAACAATTTCTCAAGTAATTTTAATCGGCGATCGTCCTCCAAACACTGTTAAGGACATTGAAGAAAAAAGAGGTAAAAATTCAAAATACTGAAATAGCACAAAATTTAAAGATGTAAGTCACTATAGAAAAGAATTATTAAAGATTCAAGAGCTTGGGGTTTCCAATAAATGCAGATGGAGTATAGAAAGCTCTGCTTTTTCAATAATTTTTTTCCCTATATTTAAAAAATATGGTGTAAAAAGCCAATAATCAAAAAAAACATATGAAAAATTAAAAACCTCAAATTAAAAAAAAAGTTGGAGAAATATATTCAATTATTATATATAATAAAATCTCTTTTATTTCGCAGCATTAACTAAAATAAAATATATATATATATTTTGACAGCTGAAAAAAGTGCTATGGTTATTTTGATATGCCATGCTTATCGCTATAAAAAAGACTATTAACTATTTAAGGATCTCTAATTTCTTAATCAGCAAAAAGTTGACTTGAATAACATCGGTAATTTGTTTAACCAAAAATAGGGCTAGTTTGCTAAATCAAACACTGACAGAAATTTGTATTTTTTATATAAAAAAAATTGACAATTAGATTTTAAATTATAATAGCCTGTGTTATAAAAGAATTAGCTTTTTCAAAAAAAAAACCTTTTAAATGTAAGTTTAATTAATATTAAAACCTTCTTGCACAGGCATGAATATCGGTGCTAAACTTTTTTAAAAACTAATAAGGTTAATAATTCGAGCTTGTCTAGAATGACATTAACGAAGGTAAACTCATTCTACTTTTTTGTTAAATTTTAAAGAAAATTTTCCAATAAATGCTTTTTATGTTTATAGTGATGCTCAAAAGAAATTTGAAAAAATTGCAGCAATAACAGGAGGAAAAAGTGAATTCCTGCATATTAATTCAAGCTCAGGAGCAGAGAGACTGACAGATTTAGTCTCTACTCAAGTTTTGGGAAAAGTAGGTGGAGAAGATGTAGTAAATGCTTATTGGAAGAAGTTTCCTATTTCATATGCTTAACTTTAAATAAGCTTCAATAATATCTCCTTTCTTTTTTATAGTAATTTCAAAATATTTGCTAACTCCCCCCTCCGTGAGCGAACAAAACCATTGAAAATCCTTATTTTTTGCCCCCCCTCCGTGAGTAAACAAAAATTTTTTTAATATAAAAAAAATTTTTATGAAAAAAAATTTGATATATAAGTGATAATTAGTATAATGAAATCTCGAGCTAATTCTGTTTAATTTTAAACAGCTTGCATTTTAAAACATAAATTTTACAAATTAAATTATTTTGCTTCTCAATTTTCACAAAAATGGAATTTTTTTAAATTTTTGAAAAAAAAATACTCCGTGAACAAAATTTTTTTTGTTCGCTCACGAAGGGGGGAATAAGGTTTTCTTTAAAATAATTTAGTTATATTAGCGTATCAACATATATTAAAATGGGATTGCGAGCCAGGACTTTTGCTGAAATCCTTTTTCAGAAGGCTTCACAACACAGGGAACCTTGAAAAAGAAAAAAGACAGGCTTGGTTTTAGACTATAGGTGGAACAGCAATACTAAAGAGACTAGCCCAGCTCAGAATTAGATAGAGCTTTTCCCCATGGAAATTGGAACTGAGACTTGAAAAGTGGAAACCACCACTCCTGAATTTCAATTGATGATATTTCTTCAGTCATTCTTAGCTTTCTCTCCTAGCTATTTTGGCAAACAGTCAATAAACTTGTCTTAATTAAAATCCAAAAACTCAATGCTCTGAATAGAATCTGTGAAAGTTTCAAGTCAAATTCCTTAGCTTCATGTTTCCGCTATTCTCTCTATGCAAATAGCTTAACTAGCAAAGGATTTTGCTCTATTAATTATATAGGATCGTTTTGATGATTAAAATTTTTCAACTTTGAGGATTGTATTAAAAGGTTTATAAAATAAAGTTTAATTTTTATTTGTCAGAGAGGAGACTTTTTCAAAAAAAATCTGTATCGGGATTTATATTCCTCAAATTTACAATAGTTTGATAATATTTAATATTTGTTTAAATTCAGAAAAATAATTTTACTATTAATATCGTAAATGCTTATCAATATATCATAAACATTTAAATTCTACAAAAATTAAATTTATATTTTATCAAAAAATAATTTTTGTTTTTTTATTGCTGACTTCGCTATGAAACGATTTCTTTTCTTTTTAGGGAGCTATAATTTAAATTGAAAACTATCTAGCTATAATTTTAAATACAAATTATTTTTTAAGAAATTTATCTCCACACTAAACTGCCTAATATCATTTAATTTATAACTATTTATGTGAATAAATATTTAAATCTTATTGAGATCAGCTTCTATGCTAAATCTTCATCGCTTACCTTAATAAAAGTGCCAATTATTTATCAAATAAATATTCAACATTTTTATTCTGATATTCGCGAAAATTTTATCTGGCAATAAATGGTTAGTAGAACTAATTCTTTTCTTGCCTTTAAGGTTACCAAAATTGAATTCAAGTGAATAGCAGATCCGAATGCAATTTTAGAACTCCTTTATACTTTGTCAAATTCCCATACATCCCAGCTCATCTTTCAATCTCCCCCTTTTGATTTGGCTCAAATCTCAGTACTCAATCCTGTTCAATTGGATGCTGATCTTGTTGATTCGCTGACGTTTAGTTTTTATATGCAAGTACTTGATGAAAAAAAGCTATTTGGATCAACTTTAATTGACCTTAGCCAAAATCTCCCTCTGAAAACATGGCTGACTATCCCGAGTAATAATGACGAAATTTTAAGTGTAGAAATAGAAATTATAAAAGAAGAAAACATTGAAAATTCATTTGAAATTATCCAAGATTCTCTTGGTGAGAGTGAAGTCAACGACAAAAAAAGCAATCTGAAAAAAAATAATGCAGAAAATAAAAATGAGCACGAAATGAATGCGTTAATGAGGCTTTATGAAATTGATGACGCAAATAAATTAACTGGAAAAATTGAAGAAGTGAAAGAAGATATTGCTTTTTATCATAGAAAAAAATTAATTGAAGATGAAGAAGCAGCAATTAATAGGCTAAGAGGACTTGAAAGATTACAAGAATTACATAAAGAAATAAAAACAGCGAAAGAGGAGAATGAAGAGAATAGGCATAATGCAAATACTTTTGATGCAGAAAATTTAGAATATGAGCTGGAGCAAGGGCTAAGTAAATATCATATTGAAAACCCTGAAAAATTGGAAGAAATGATATATGACACAAAAGAAAATATTTCATTTTGCCTTAAAAGAAAAAGACTAGAAGAAGCAAAAAATGAAGAAAATACACTTGCTGATTTGGAAAATTTGAATTCTATTTACAAAAGAATTGTTTTAAAATCAATGATAATTTTAGATCCTAAGGAAGTTGAAAATATAAAGCAACTAGATTTTCTTGAAGGAATGCTGAGCGATATTTTGTCATATCCCCGCTGTACTGAAAGGTTTTTAACGAGCATTTTATGCTATGCCTATTATAAAAGCTATGATCTTAGTCAAAAATTAGATATTCACCAAAAAATTGGGACTATAGATCCTTATGATGAGTTCAGAAATTTTCTTGAATTTCTAAATCAAAGTGCTCAAGGAAATTTCCCAAGAAAACTTATTTTTAGCTTTAAGGAAAATTTTGAAAATAAAAACTGGGAAAATTTAATTAAAGACACAGAAAAACTCCTCAAAGAGTATATTCGCCCTATTAACATAAAGGAACTTTCTCGCTTAATCAGCAAATCAGCTCAATTCTCTGGAAATATAGAAAATAAAGATATTATTTTGTTGATTGGGGTCACAGGTGCAGGAAAATCAACAACAACTCATTTTTTGTGCGGATCCAAATTAGATAGAATTCTGGAAGATGGCGTGAGGCATATCAAAGCAGTTGCTATAAAAAATCCCACATTAAAAAATATATCAATTTCATCGCATGCACAATCAGAGACTAGATACATCACTTTGGTGCCAATAAATATAAAAGATTCTCAAGAGACTATTTTTCTATGTGATACTCCAGGGTTACTGGATACAAGCGGAGCAGAAGTTGATATAGCAAACACAATCAGTATTGTTGAATATGTTAAAAAATGCAGAAGTGTCAGACCATTGATTTTATTAAGCAGCAAAACTGAAGGTGATAGATTTGAAGGAGTCAAAAAATTGGCCCACACATTGGCCAGACTTGTCCCTAATTTCAATAAATATAGCAATTCGTTTACATATGCATTTACAAAGTATAAAAAGAAAGATGCTTCTAATATACATGCGTTGGTGAATAATGCTATCAGAAAAATTGAGATACCTGATGAAGCGTTTCTCCATATTTTAAATGATATAAAAAATAAAACTAAAAACGGCGCCATAACTATTGACCCATTAAAAGATGATCCACAAGAATTGATCAGAAAAATATTGGAAAGAGAGCCAATAGAAGACCCAAAAAATGCTTTTGAAAGTTTTATAACTGAAGACTCACGCCTTTCTATAAAAAATCAAGTATTGATTTATTCAAAAGATATTGAAAAGGCCTTAAATTCAATGAATTATGAGATAATAAAATATAAATTGGACGATCTTAAATATCTAGCAAGCCAATTTGCACAGTTTGAGCCACAATATATTAGCTGTGTTGAGTCTGTAATCAAAAAAACTAATGATACATATGAGAATACAGTTGCTCAGTTTAACAGCTTTCTTGATAAGCATGGAACTTTAGATGAAGCTAATATAAAAGCTTATAAAGAAATTTATAATTCTCTTAAAACGTCAGAAGAAATAAGGGAAAGCCATTTAAAAGGCGAAACAGTAAAATCAGCTGCAATGGTAACCAATATTATCTCGAAGCTCAGTCTTGCTCATCTAAACTTAAAATCTGAAAATATTGATTCTTATATCTTGAAAGCACAATTAAATAATGCAAAACTTTTGAGTGAAACATTTGAAGATGTGACACCAAATTATGAAGGTATTTGTAGAGAATATATAAATCTTATTGAAAGCTTATTGTCTTCTGCTGAATTTTTTACGAAGAATGATAATTTTGAGAGCTTTGCTAATACTTTATTGCAAGCAAAAAAATTATTAGGAATTGTTTTAGGCCATTTGAATTTAGATTCCTTACTCTCCCCCTTTCTGTGAAGGAATAAAACCATTAATATTTGGCTAAAATCCACGCGTCAAACAAAAAATTTATTTTATTATCAAAATTTTTATGAAAAAAAATGGCATATAAGTGATAATTAGTGTAATGAAATCTCTAGCTAATTCTACTTAATTTTAAGCAGCTTCCATTTCAAAACAGAAACCAAATTAATTTTAATATTTACTTTCAATTGGGATTTTTCTATTTTGAAAAACAAATACTAAAATTTTATATAATTTTTTAATTTAAAAATTCATCCCATCCATAAGCTAATAAATATTTTTTGTTCGCTCATGGAGGGGAGTTAAATGAAAAATATAGTATTATTTTAAATAAGTTTGTTTCAAGCTTAAAGCAAAGATGTGAAAAGTTTTATATTACTAAGTTTTATAACGTTTAACGTCACTAAAGGTAGCCGTTTCCAGAGCTGCCACTATATTTGTCCACGCGTCTGGCCCATGGACATCTGGATCGACCCACTTCGAAGCTCCAGGGCACGGGCAATTACAGCATTCGGCTTCGACAAGCTGCGTTGCCTTGCCTTCTTTGCTCAGCTCCTGCGCGTGCTCCGCCTAAGGGTCACCCTCCTTAGGTGTGCTGAGGGGTAAAACTTCAAGCCTCTTGATAAACTCGGAGCACTGCCTCGGGCCTATACGCCAGAGTTAAACTGCTGTTGCTGTACAGAAGTTCTCTAAAGAAAACCCAACCTCATAAATAAAATTCCATGAGAGAGAAAAAATTAGCGGAGCTAATTTCACTCGAACCGAATGCCATTTTATTTATAAAATGTGAAAAATCAATTGCACTATTAAACAAAGGATACATTGCAAAAAACGATATAGAAATTCTTAACTCCCCCCCCCATTCTTGATCGAACGATTGACTGTAAAAATTCCTAAAAATTGGGGAAATTAACCCCCATCCTTGATCGAACGATTTTCATTTCATGCAAATTTTTATATATATAAAAATATATTAGTTATCAAAAGCTTGGGAAGATGTACATAATGAAGTTGTTTTCAAAGACTTTGAGACGACAGAAAGCTTCGGAGTCAACTATTCGAAGTGATTTAGTTATTAACCTAGGCTTAAAACCCAATAATCTAATAAAATAGAGATTTTTTTAAATTTTTAAAAAAACAAAATTAATTTAATGAGGAACAAATTAAAATTTATACACTTTAAAGGGGTAGCTAATAAATCAAAATATTAAAAAATTGGTATTTTTATGAAATTAATTCAATTTTTTGCTGTAAAAATAATTATTAAATACTCTTAACACTCTTATTTAAAAGTAAATAAAATAAAATATATATATTTTTTTTATTTTATATATAAATTTTTTTTACCAAAAAAATTTTTTTAACCCCCATCCTTGATCGAACGATGGCGAGTCGTTCGAACAAGGATGGGGGGGGGACTAAGAAAAATATAACTATCATAAAATCAGCTAATGATACTCATTCTTTAAATTTTCTTATCTCCAAATTAGAAATAAAGGAGTTTTTGCAATCAATTATTATTGTATATCAACAATACTTTGATAAGGCTAAGGATGATGTGATATCATTTATTAATAATGAAGAGACGTATAATGTAGCTGAAATTGAACCAAAATTTGATGAATTTAGCCTTTTAATGGAGATACCTGATATAGAGTATTTAATTTCTGCTTCTTATCAAGAAAGTTAAATTCACTGATAAATAAAATCAGCTATTTCAGAAAAGAAGCAAAAGAAATTGTTAAATCTTTTATAAATTCTCCTGAATCCATAGATCTTAACCACTTGCGCAATTGTTTCTCTTGGCTTGAGTCAGGAAAATGGATAGAAAAATTCAGAGAAGGAATTTATAGCAATGAACTTTCTGGAATAGAAAAAGAGATCAAAAGTTATATTGACAAATTATTATTTGAATTAAAAGAAATTGATTTAGGAATCAATTTTCCTTTTAATGTTTCTCAAGGATATAATATTGTTAAAAAATTAAACCCAATTCTTCAATTGAAAGAGTTTGTTCCCTCATTGGAAAATTATGATAAAAATATCTGAATAAAATTCAAAGATAGAGTTGAGGAAACGCTGAAAATAATAAAAAGGGAATTTAACCCAGAGTTGCAAGACATTGAGAAGGAAAAAAATGATTTAAAAAGACTAATAAGTATTAGGGAAGAATTTTTATGCTCTGAAGAAGAAAAAAAGGAAGAAATCCAAAAAATATATGGATTAGAAAATATTGAAGAAATTGATACAGAAATAAATAAAATTCAAAATTTTATTGAAATTTTCAGTCAAAAATTGGAGAAGAACTTGCTTGACATTGATAAAATTGAAAATTCATATAACTATATTATGGAGTGCAGAGCTATACCTGAGCTATCTGAAATTCTCGAGCCTTTTTCTTCAAATATTTTCTCCATATTATCTCAATTCTACAATAAGAATCTTTTTTCTTCAAAAAAATGCTTTGATATTATTACAAAAAATATTTCAGATTACAGGCCTTGGGATATAACCCTTATAAAAAAAAATTCTTATCAGTTTTCTTTAAGCTTCAAAGAAATTTTACTATTGAATACAAAATCTCAATCATTTTTCAAATTTTTAAAATATCAACCTCATTTTGATCATTTTACCAATGAGCTCAATAATTTATGCGCAATTTTCAATGAAAAACTTAGAATCTGTGTTGATAAAAATGAATTGAAAAAAATGTCTTTGCTATTAGCTATTGTTAATGACTTTGCCAAAGTTAATGACAATTTTGTAACAATTTCGATTGATTATGGAAAAATACAAAATTCAAAGCAAGATCAAACGTGCCAAAATATAATTGAATCAATTGAGAGTTATAATTTTGAAAGAGCAATTCAGTTAATAAGAATGCTTGATGAAGGGGCTTATAATCAAAATATAGATATAATTAAAGAAAAAGTGTATTGTCAAATTGAAAATTTATTGAAAGACCTTAAAGAAAGCGCTTTAAATATAAACAATTCTAAGCTAGATCATGCCCAAATAAGCGCTATGTGCTCAAATTTTCAAAAACTCGCTCCTCTTAAAAATAATTTTTATAGTTTTTTTGATAGAGAAGTTGTTCAATTATTCAGTGAACAAGAGGAAAACATTAGAAAGATATTTATGGATAAAATTATGGAATTTCTGTATGCAATTGAAAGTGCTATTACCTCTCATAAATATTATGAAGCTGAAGTAAAAATGAAAAATATCCAAGATTTGAAAAGTGATATACCTATCCTCCTTTGTGACTTTGTGAGAGAACAAAAATTTTATTTGCTCAGAGGGAATATTTTTTTTTCTTCAAAATTTTAAAAAATCCCAATTTATGCTTTAAATGCAAGTTGTTTTAAAATTTAAAAGAATTAACGAGAGATTTCATTATAATAATTGTTATATATATTGATCAAAATTTTTTTTCGCTTTGCACTAAATTTTTTTTCACTAACGAGAGGGAAATTTAAGATATTTGGATGGGGAATTCAAGATCATCTTTCTAAAGTTCAAAAGAAGCTTGATGATATGCCACGCTCAATAGTTAATCTTATGAGGTCATGCAAAATTAATGATTTTAAAGATTGCAATCCTAGGCTAATCTTGCAAGAATTTGAAAATGCTTCAAACGACTTCCCAAAATATAAAGATAGTCCTAACCAAGTTAAAAATATAATTCATGAAAAATTCGATAGCATAAGACGCACTATATTCACAAAATCCTTTTGAGAAAAAAAGTCAATTATCAATGATTTATCTTCAATTTTAGAGCTTTTACCAAGTGATTTTAAGAATTTAGCAAACATTTTAATTGATGACATTAAGAAAAACTATAAAGAGCAAAAAAAATATACTATGGAAAAAATCAATATATTAGCGAAAGAACAAAATATAACAGAATTATGTGCCATGTACCTCAAATCTGTCAATAAACCACAATTAACAAATAATAATTATTGGCAAAGAACTGATTATTCACAGCAAATTAATTTGTCATGGGAAGCTAATTATATAGAAAAATGTTTAAGAGATATTTTGATAAATCTTAAAGAGCAAATATGCCTTGCTATTGATAAAGGTGAGTGAGACAAAGCTTTCAAAAATGCTTGGGTTTTGGAGTATAAAGGCAAATTAAATGATATAATATCAGACAGTGACTGAATTCTATCTGAAATTGAGCAGAGTCTTACTCCCCGCTCTCCATAAAATATTGTTCACTCAAGGAGGGGGTTAATTTTTTTTTTTAAAAAAAATTATATATAAATTTTAAAAATCCTAATTTGCAATAATTGGGAAGCAAATAGTAATTTAATTATAAAATTTATGTCTTAAAATGCAATTTGTTTAAATTAAGCAGAATTAGCTTGAGATTTCATTATAATAATTAACTTATATATCAATTTTTTTTTCATAAAAAAATTTTTTCTATTAAAAAAATTTTTGTTCACTCACGGAGGGGGGAGTTAAGAAAATTATGGAAAATGCTTATAATTCTCTTCTAAATATTGATCATAAAGATGAAAGCACAGAATGCATTGAGGCCTTAAAATGTCATACTATTTTTATGGACTTTAAAATTAAATTTGAAAAGGAAAAAGGAGTTTCAAATATTTTTAACTTTAACAATACTATTGAAAGCATGCTAGTTGGAATTTCAGATTTTTATGCAAATCTCAATAAAAGCTATTTAGAGTTTAAACCTCCCAAAAATGCCCATAGCTGCAATAAAATTTTAAACAAACTTAAAGAATGGGATGAATTTTTCAGAATTTTTAAAGAATATTTATCACAATATCAAGCTCATCACTTTTACATTGATTATGAAAGAATTAAAAAATTGCCTCGCTATTTTGGGCTTGTAGAAGACTTAAGTGAAGCTTTATGCCAACTGGGTAATTATTTTGCGAACTTGAAAATTGAAAATGATGAAATAAAGCACCAAAAACTCCTTGAAGACTGTGCTAATGAGATCCAAGACAGATTAGACCAAATAAAAAATTTTGAAGACTTAAAAAATCACCTAAATCCTCATGTTGTTAATTTTGAAAAAATAGAATCAGGAGCAATTGATTCTATATCCAGAGAAATGAATAAAATTGTAGAGGACGCCTCACATTTGATAAATAAAGATGAAATCTGGGAAGAAGAATTTACTAAAATTAGAATTTATTATAATTGCTTGGTTATGTTTGAGAAAAATCTAAAAATCAAAGGCTTTGATTGAAAAAAGCCACTCACTCCACCATCCGTAAGCGAATAAACCATTATAAAGCCCCTATTTTTTGGCTAAAAAACCTCCAATAGCGAACAAAAATTTTTTATTAAAAAATATTTTGATATATAAATGATATTTATTATAATGAATTCACTATTTAATTCTGTTTTATTTTAAGCAAATTACGCCTTAAAACATAACCTTTACGAATTAAATTAATTTTCGCTCCCCAAATTTTACGAATTTGAAAAAAAAAATTCTATAAAGTTTATATATACTATTTTTAAACCCCCTCTGTGAGCGAACAAATTTTTTTGTTAGCTCAATAAGGGGGAGTCAGAGGAATTGAAGCCAAAATTTTTAATAAAACTGTTGAATTAAGAGAAAAAGCTGAAAATGGAGCTAAGGTGACAGAAATTGTAGATTCTATGATAAAAATGAAGAATATTTCAAATAATTTTCCTTTATTAAAAGAAGGACTGGATAGAATAATGGATGAATTTTTAGAAACTTTTAGGAAGAAAAACAAAGCCAAACCTGTAGCAATTTTTGAAAAACTAGAAAAACATCCAACCGGACTAGGACTTTATATTATTTCAGAACATAAATTTTTTGAGGGTGTAATGCAAAGAATATGGTTGAATAAGACCCAGAGGCATGGTATAGCTTATGCGCTAGATAAAATCAAAAGTACAAATTTGAATAAGCGAGAGTTAGAAGATAAGCATAGGGATTACACTGAACATTTTAGTGAGCTGCACAGAATATATTGAAGTATTGCCGGCGATAAAGGGGCGGATGATGCTATCTCTCAAATATTAAGCCAAATAGAAATAGTGTCCAAAAATCACGCCATAACCTCTTCAAATCCAGATATTAGCCTATTTAAGGAGTTTATACCTGAGCTTTTAGCCTATATTGCAATGTTATGGGTGCTTTTAAATATTAAAAAATATAATCAAAATATAAATGATCAAGATGAAGAAATTACAATTGTTACCCCACATGCAATACAAATCTTATCAATATTCCGAATGATTGGAATTGGCTATCAAGGAAATACAAATAATAAAAATAATCTAGTACAAATTTTAACAGGTGAAGGAAAATCAATAACATTAGCATTTTTATGCTCCATACTTGCCCTGTTAGGATTCAGTGTGAACTGCGCCTGCTATAGCGAGCACCTAAGCAACAGAGATTTTCAAGATTTCCAACCTTTATACACAGCCCTAAATATTTGCGCCTATATAAAATATGGAACTTTTAACAAACTTTGTGAAGATGAAATTAACTCAAAAGGTGACATCAGAGCGATTGTTTTAGATTTTATCAAATTTGGAAGATGCCCAGGATCATATAGTGGAGCAGTAGAAAGACCCAAAATTCTTTTGATAGATGAGGTAGATGTCTTCTTCACCAAAACCTTCTATGGAAATATATATCGGCCTCTTGCTAAGCTAAAGCATGATACTATAAAAAAGCTGACTGATTATGTATGAAAAATAAGAAAAACACCTCAACTGATGGAAATATGAAATGCGCCTGAGTATAGGCTATGCAGTCAGCAGTTTCCAGGGTTTGAATTTATTATTGAAGAGGCTGTTAAAGATATGATAAATCATGTAAGACAGTTTGAGTCTCATAACTATATAGTACAGCATGACAAAATTTGCTATAAAGAAAACGACGGAGTTTCATCTAATATTGTTTATGGATATAATACATTATTTGCATACTATTTTGAGAAAGAAAAGGGAAATATATCTCAGGAAAGCTTAGAAGAAAATATTTTTATTGGAATTAGATGCGGAATGTTTTCATTTGCAGAAATTCCTCACAAATTCAATTACATTATGGGAGTCACTGGAACTCTAGAAACTTTAGGTGATTATGAAAAGAATATTATAGAGAATAAATACAATATAAAATTAAATACTTACATGCCATCAGTGTTTGGGGAAAGTAATCGTCGTTTTAGAAAAAACAAAGACATTTATGTAGAAAATAAAGACGATTATAGTATGAAGATAATGTCTGAAATAAATAGCAAAATAGAAGGCATAAAAGCAGGATGCAAAAGAGCTGTATTGGTATTTTTTGAAGATGAAAAAAAATTAATGGATTTTTATAATATTTCGGACCTAAAACACACTGATTATGAAATTCAGCTCATGACAGAAAGTTTAAGTGTAAACGACAGGGTTTTTATGATTAAAAAAGCCACAGTTCCAAATACAGTATCATTATTAACAAGAGCTTATGGCCGAGGAACTGATTTTAAATGCCAAAACCATGAAATTGAGACCAATGGAGGGGTGCATGTAATCCAAGTATTTTTTTCAGAAAATATATCAGAAGAAGCTCAAATGATGGGAAGATCTGCAAGGCAAGGCCAAGATGGATCATTCAGCATGGTCCTTTTAGATAGTGAGCTCGAAAAATTTTTGGTTTCAAAAAACGATATTGAAAATATGAAAAATAATGGAACAGTTTATGATGGGTTAAATGAAAAAAGAAATAAATATAATCAAATTAAGAATAACAACGAATCTGACCATGTGAAGGAATCTAAAGCTCTTCATGATAGTTCAGTTGAATTTCAGAGTTTTCTTCAGCATAATAATATATCAAGAGCTAAAGCATTTCTGGATGAGCTCAACAAAGGGCTCAGCATTGATATTGGAACTTCAAAAACAATTGTTTTAATTGATGCAACGGGATCTATGTCGCATTTGATGCAAAGTGCTAAAAATACTGTGAAAGCTATGTTTTCAAGGGTCTGTGCAGTTTTATCAAAAAAAAATATAAATCAAGATTGCTTTCAGCTTCAATACTGCGTTTATAGAAATTGGTGTCAAAGTGAAGACGATGTATTACAATTTTCTCCATGAACAAATAAATCAGAGGTGTTGGAAAAATTTATGGAAAATGTGACGGCTTGGGGTGGCGAATGAGAAGACGAAGCAGTTGAAGTAGGACTATGACATGTTAATAAGGTTTCACAAAATGATACAATCTCGCAAGTTATTTTGATTGGAGATGCGCCTCCAAATACTTCTGAGGAATTTAGAATAATACGAGGTAGAAGATCATGATCAAAATATAGTAGTGTTGAATATTACGAGAGAGAATTAACAAAAATTATAAGTAAGGAAATTCCAGTAAATGCATTTTATGTCAAAAATTCACCTAAAACTATATTTGAACAGATTTCAAGATTAACAAAAGGCCAAAGTGGGTTTCTTGATATTAATTCAAGCTCAGGAGCTGAAAGGCTTACTGATTTAGTTTCTAAAGAAGTTTTAAGAAAATCAGCTGGAGAAGGAGCTGTAAAACTTTATGATGAAATGTATCCTCGCTCATATACTTAACATTAAATTTACTCAATTTGATAAAATTACTATTACAATAAATACATTTAATTTCCATACTCGTTTTTCTAACATTCTAGCAGAATTAGTTATCAAAAATGCTAAAATGTTTTGATTGAGAATAAATTTACAGTCCTAAAGTTTTATGTTTAATTTTTATCCTTATTTAGCATAATGTTCAATTTTTAAATTTACAGTTTTATTGACGTGAAAATGCAGTGTTTATTTTGATATTATATTCATTTTCTATTATATTTTTTTCATAAGGTTCCAAAGTTTCTAAAGTTCCTGTAACTCCCATGATATAATTGAACTTGTGAGGAATTTCTGCATATGAGAAGTTGCCACATCCCACATTAATACAAACATATTTTTCTAAATTTCCTTCAGTGATTTTCCCATTTTCTTTTTCGTTATAATAGGCAAATAAAATTTCGTATCCATATGAAGTAGTAGATGTATAACCATCGTGCTCTTTGTAGGTTATTTCGTCGTCTATAACTTTGTATTCATGAGCGTTAAAACGATTTACATCTCGTACCATACTTCTGACAGCGCTTTCAACAATTATTTCAAATCCTGGAAATTGCCGATAGCAGTCCTTATACTCATTTGTATCCATAAGCGCGTCAAAATTAATTGTCCTTCTGTTTTGTCATATATAGTCGGACAATACTTTGAATTTAGGATTCTGAATACATCTAATAGGGTTATAAGTTGCTCCATAAAAAGATTTAGAAAAAAAAAATCAACTTCATCTATCAGAAGTACTGTAGGCCGGTCTGAAATTGCATTAGCTGACTTCTTCATTTCTCCTGTATTTATTAAATCATTCGCAATTTCTCTAATATTTCCGTGATAGTTGATAAAGTTCTCACAAAGCGTATCGAAGGTCCCATACTCTATCCACGAGTTAATTCCTAAAGTTGAATACAAATCTGTAAAATAAACGAAATCTCGTCTACTTAAATAAGAGCTGTAGCAGGCACAATATGTTTTAAATCCTATTAAAGCTAATATGGAGCATAAAAACGCTAATGTGATGGATTTTCCTTCACCAGTAAGAATCTGTACTAAATTATTTCCGAAAGTGGCATCTCTTCCATACCCAATTCCAAGCATACGGAATATTGAGAGAACTTGAATTGGATGAGGAGCAAAAATTGAACTTTTTTGTTCTTCGTCAGTTTCGTCTTTCTGGTATTTTTGTATGTTTAAAAGCCCCCAAAGGTTCGCAAGATAAGCCAAAAGCTCTGGATAAGACTCTTTTAACTGGATTATATTTGGGCTTAAAGGGTCCACGGCTAGATTTTTTGAATAATTCTTTATTTCTCCAACCATTTGGTCTATAGCACTATGAATTCCATCAGTCTTCGAAATTCTCCAATAGTTTGTCTGAATACAATTAAATCTTTCAATGTAGCTTTTGTATTTGTTACCCAGCTCGTTCTTATTAATATTAGCACCCCTGATATTGTTTAATGCAAATTCTATTCCATGTTTTTGCGTTTTGCTTGCTCATATTTTTTGCATTGCTGCTTCAAAGAATTTGTGTTCTGTAATTATATTAAGACCTAAACCACTTTGACGTGATTCAAGTTCTTGAGTGATTGCTGCTAACAATCCTTTATCCCTAATGTTTTTTTGGAATTTTTCAAAAAATAAGTCTATAATTCCATCTACTTCTCTTTTTAATAAAGGAAAGTTATTGGAAATGTCTTTTATGCTTATCATAGCTTCTGCGATTTCTCTCGGCTCTGCTGATCTTTCTGCTCTGCTTCTTAAATCATGTGCTCTGTCAATAATCTTCTTCCTAATATTCCCGACAGTCTCATCTCAATTAAGACCTTTGATTGTTAAATATTTCTCAAAATTAGCCAAGCTGCTATGACAGATTTGGATTTCTTTAAAATCTTCTTTCTGTACATTTTCTTTCTCAATCAAGGAAACAGCTTTTTTTACAATTTTATCTATTTCGTTAAACACAGACTCAAAAGCTGCTGATTTTGCTTTCTCGAAATCTATAATCTCTGGATTTAAATGATTTTTTATTTCTTCAAATCTATTTAATTTGTTTCATTTTTCTTGGATTTTATTGGAAGTTATTTCAAGAATAGCAGGGTGTTGGATTTCAGAAAATTCAATTTTTAGGTTTTTGAAATACTCGCTTATTTTATAGACTTCTTCACTTAAGCTCTCTACATAACTATAGAATTTTCCATAGATGGCGCTGTTTGCCCTTGATTTGCCCACTGGGAAAATTTTTTGGTTCGACCAGTCCCATATGGTTTGGTCAAACCAAAAAATTTTCCCAATGGGCAAATCAAGGGCAAACAGCGCCATCTATGGGAAAATTCTATAGAATAAGGCTGGATCTTCAAAATTTGCTGGCAATTAGCATAAAGGCTATCACCTTGATGCTCTGTTAAAAATATTTTAAAAATTTTCAAAAAGTCATCTCGGTCTTTAATTTTTTTTAAAATTGTATCGCAGGTGTGAAGATTGTTGGAGTCGCTCAGCTCTTTTATATAATTTTGATATAATTTTGCATAAAAGGTTGAAATCCCAGCCAGCATCTTTGTAATGGTATCATTGACATCAAAAATGTCAGAGCATTTTGGGATTTTAGTTTTAAATTGCATAAAAGTTGCGTAAATTTTCCAAGCCTCTACAAGCTCTTCACTGCTGTCCTTGCTGTCAATATTTAGCAGGGTGCTCAAAGCCCTTTGGACTAATTGATTAATTCCTTGATAAATTTCTGAAAGAGTCGTTTCACTGTCATTTATTAAATCTTTTAGTTCATCTTTTGAGGTCAAAATTGGTGCTTTATTAAAAACAATATTTCAGTCTTTCTTAAAAAGAGCCGAGCCTATTTCGCTTTTAACTGACGTTAAAATTTCTCTCAGTTTGCTTTCTGCATACTGTGTGTCTGATTGGGATTCCTGTTTATCTAGCTCACGAAGTGTTTTGCACAGTTCACTAATGTTTTCCTCTTTTGCTAGATCATCAATTTTTTTTCTGATTTCTTTTTTTTGCTTTTTTATATTTTTTTTTAAATCTTTGATTAAAATCTCTACACTTTCTTTAGTTTCTTTAGGCAAAACACCTAAAATAAAAGTAATATCATCAATCAATGTTTTTTTTGCTGGGCGAAGCATATTAGGAAATGCGTTTTTAGCTGTTTCAAGCTTTTCATTAATAAAGCCAATAATTTCACTTAGAGCTTCTCTATAAACCGGATAATTCTTGGCAGCTTCTTCAATCTCCAGAATTTGAGGGAATTCTTTAAGGTCCTTGATTGTGCAATTATTTATACCCTGTATAAGTTTTAATTGTAAATCATCAATCTCTTTTCTAACTTTTTCGATTTCTAAAGGAATGATTTGTGCATTCAGATCTTGGATATCTTTTATTTTTTCTTCAGCTTCATTGAATTTGAAGGCTTGCATGGCAATAGTAATTGAATTGAGAAATTCCATGATTTTATTTCAGAAAATTCTGTTGGCTTCTTTTTCAAGCTCAATAAGTGCTTTCCTTTTAGGCTGGTCAAACAAATCATAAATTTAGTTTTGTTTAGCTAATGTGACCTTGCCAATATTTTTTAAAATTTTAGCTATTAAGGGATGATCAAGCTTAGAATTGCTTATATTTAGAGCACTTTCTTTTGCTTCTGTTAATATTAATTCAATAGTAAAATGTGATCTGTCTTTAGCAATGTCTTTATTATCGTTTCAAGTTGCTTCATCAAGGCATTTTATCAGTTGGTTTACTCTGTCAAAGCTATGAATTTCAATTGATTCTAGTATGCTTTTGCATGTTTGGGTAAGTTTTGTGCTTAGAATTTTTTCATACTTAGCTGAAAGTGATTTAAAATTATCATTAACAATAGCAAACTCATTGACTATAACTAATAACGATGACATTTTTTGGAAAGTGCTATTTTCATCACTAAGCTTAAGCTTTTCACTAAAAATGTCGCCCAATTCATCAAGTTTTGTGGAATATCTCCTATAGTAAGGCTCCATATCATAATATTTCGAAAATGAGGGGGACTTTGTGCTTAATAATAATATTTCTTTAAAGCGCAAAGCAGTCTGATGAGAAAATGTTTTTATTGACTCAATATCAGTAAATCGTTCAGCCTTTATTTTTATTGGAACACTATTGAAGAATTCAGTTAAAGAGCCAAAATTTCTATTATAGAGATTTATCAAATTTACGAGAATACTTTTAGAAATTGCTTCAGTTGTTTCAAATAGCTCAGGAATTTTTTTGCACTCTTCAATATAAAGATATGAATTTTCTATTTTATCAACATCGACAGTACCTTCTTCCAGCCTCTCATTGAATTTTTGAATAAAATTTTCAATTTCTTTTATTTTTTTATCCACATCTTCAATATTTTCAAATCCATTATTTCTAACAAGTTCTTGAAGTTTCTCTGTGCTTTCTTTTGCTTCTTCACCTTGAGTGTATTTAAGTCTAATTCCTCTCAAATTCTCAATCTCTTTATTTTCTCTTTCAGAATCTTGTAATTCAGGATTTAGTTCTCTTTTAATAAATTTCAACGATTCCTGCACTCTTTTTTCAAATATTCCAATAATGATTTTATCACAATTTTCGACTGAAGGGATAAATTCTTTTAATTGTACAACTTCTCTCATTTTTTGGACGATAGAGTATCCTTTAGATACATTAATAGGAAACTGATATCCTAACTCTCCTTAACTTTATATCAAGTATTTTACTCATAAAATTGCCATATTTTATCTAAATATAAGGAGAGGAGTAAATCAATTTCTTTTAGTTCAGCCAAGAGTTTATCAATGAAAGAATTAATTTCTTTTTCTACTACTGAAAGTTCGTTGCTATAAATTCCTTTGCTGAATTTTTCAATCCATTTTCCTGACTCAAGACAAGCGAAGCAGTCACGTAGCGGTGCAAAGTCTACAGATTCAGGCGAGTTGCTGAAAGATTTAATAATACCTTTTGCTTCATTCTTGTAAAAGTTGATTTTAGATTCTAAGGAGCGAAGCGTATCTTGATAAGAAGCAGCTATGAGATATTCTATGTCTGGAACTTCCATTAGTAAAACAAATTCGTCAAAGTTAGCTTCGATTTCAGAGATATTACGCGTTTCTTTATTATTTATAATTGATAAAACGTGAGCCTTACTACCCCTAAATAAATCAAAAATACTTTTAAATGTTCATAAGACTATTTGTTCATATTTTAGACCCCAAAAAAACGGTTTTTGAAAGGGGGGTTAGATTTTTCGAAATATGCTTGGTATTTTTCCATAATTAATGATAAAAGATTGCCTATGTCATTCTCAGCTATAAGTTTACGCAAATTATGAACATCCGAGGCTGCTTTTATAATTGAAATATTGTCTTTAAGCGCTTCGATATTAATTTTTTCAATGCGTTCTTTCTCTAATGCAGCAATTGAGTTATTAAATCGCTCTTTTAAGCTTGAAATAAATTGAATTTTTAAAAGATCAAGCTTCTCATCTAAATTTGCATAGCCCAAGTGCTCACGGGCAATTCCTAAATGTCTATATGCTTCAGAAATGTTATTAGCAAAATCTACGAAATTGTTATTTTTCAAATTTGCACTCCCAGACGTCAGTAATTTTTCAATAAAGCTTAAATATTTGTCGCAAAGACTTTTATAAAGAGGTGCTAGGTCTTCAAATGATTCGCCTAAGATTTTACCATTTCTTAACTGAGTTCTCAAAATATAATCATCAACGTCTTCTACTTTAAAGTCTGACTGAGTAAGACTTAGCTTATTGACAATATTTTCTAGCATTCCATTTGAAGGAGGCGTTTCCCCTCTCAAATGCTTTTTTCTGATATTGTCTGATATTTTTAGGGCTCTATGGATTTTTTTATTTAGGCTCAAATTCACTGAATAATGCCCCAATGTATTGAAGCTCATCCAATTTATATCTGATCATTTCATAGTTAAGGGAATTTAGTGCTTTATCGATTTCTCCTTTGCTAAGATCTACTTGGTGCTCTAGTTTACCTCTTGACTCTTCTGTGATAAATCTTTCAAAAGCATTTTTTGGGTCCAAAATTGGATCTCTCTCCATTATTTTCCTAAGTAATTCTTGATGATCGTCTTTAATAGGATTAATAGTCAAGGCGCCGTCTCTTGTTTTATCTCTTATATCTTTCAAAATATGAAAAAATGCTGTATTATTATTTTCTTGACTGCTTATTATTCGATTTACTTTTCCATGTATATTTGAAGCATCTGACTTTTTATACTTTGTAAAAGCATAGGTAAATGATATGCTATATTTATTGAAATCGGTAATAATTCTTCCTAGAGTCTGAGCAAGTTTCTGAACTCCTTCAAATCTATCTCCTTCATTTTTTGAGCTTAGCAAAATTAATGGCCTCACACTTCGACATTTTTTTACATACTCGACAATGCTTATTGTGTTTGCCATGTCCACTTCTGGTCCACTTGTATCCATTAATCCTGGAGTATCGCATAAAAAAATAGTCTCACCAGCATCAGCTAAATTTATTGGAATATGCGTGATATATCTCGTTTCTGAATGATTACCAGATGAAATTACAGTACTTTTTAATGCGGGATTATGTATAAAAGTAGCTTTAATACCGGTTATTCCATCTTCTTCTTTAACAACTTCCATATTAGAGCCGCATAGAAAATGGGTTGTTGTTGATTTTCCTGATCCTGTAGCCCCAATTAGTAAAATAATGTCTTTATTTTCTAATTCCCCAGAATTTTTAGCTGATTTTTTAATTAAGCGGCTCATCTCCTTTACATTAACAGGTCTATAATCTTTCAGGATTTTTTCTGTTTCACTAATCAATTTTTCTCATTCTTGATTTTCAAAATGCTTTCGAAAGTCTTCCGGCACATCATCTTCCCCTTTTTGCTTTAAAAACTCAATGAAATTGCTGAATTCTATATTAGGATTTATAACTTCTACTTTTCTGTGAATATATAGCTCCGGGTCAAAATTATATGATTTATAATAGGAATAGCATAAAATGCTGGTAAGAAATTTCTCAGCACAAGATGGCATAACTTTAAGATCGTCCATCAGCCCTTCTATAACGTCAATCTTTTTTTGAGTAGCAATCTCTATGGGATTTATAATCAATAAAGAATTTGAGCGCACCTTATTGCGGCTGGAAAGCAGCCATTCCAAGTCAGCAAGTTTCTCTTCTTCAAATTTTACAAGATGCTTTTTAATTTTTTGGTTCACTGTGATAGATCTTCTAGTGGTCTCTATTGCTTCTTCTAGATCATCAGGACTTTTGAAATCATATTTAGTTAATCCCTTTCTAAGTTCTTCTGCTAAAACTGCAACATCAGCTGTATTTATATCTGGACGTTCTTGGGCAAATTCTGGCAATTGCGCTTCTCCTTTATTAATTTCTATTTTAACACCTATAGTCTTTTTAATATTAAAGGACTTTTTCATGGGAAATTTTTTACTGAGATCGAATGAGGCCGACCCCAACAGCTCTACACCTTTTGCGGTTTTTAGGTAAAAGCTTAAGGATGGAGACCTTAAAATGTCTGGCTCTATTTGAACAGGAGGAAGATTTATGAGCTGGGACACTAAGGAAATAGGAGATCTATAGATTTCTTGCGAAGTTTTCGAATCTGTTAAAGTAAAGCTGAGCTCTGGCTCTAAAACTTGTTTCGCTTTAAAAACAAGTTCTATTATCTTAAAATTGAGAATTGAATAGCTCTTAGGAATCATTTATTATAATCCTTCTATATTTTTTGGAAATATTTGTTTAAAAATATGGGCGAGAAATATTAAATATGTAATATTTTTATAAAAGGAATTTTTAGATGTCTGTTAAAGCTCAATTTTTCATAATGATTGGACATTTGGCTTTCCATTCGATTCATATATTACATATTTCAAAATATGATAGGAATATTCAAACTTATGCTATAATTTTTGCATATAGTCTCCGTATTTTTTAAGAATACTAGGCATGCTAATGCTATATAAATACTCAATTAATTTTTATAATTTTAGCTTAATAATAATTTTCTGATTAGATTTAGAGTATGAATTAAAAGGGCCTTCTTATAGGTAAAATAGCTGCTATAATTTTTTATGTAACGATGATAAATAACTACGATTAATTGGACTAATTATAAGTATTTAGCATGCACAGATAAGCTACTGCAAATTTTGAAAATATTCTGACCTCTACGATCGAAAAACATATTTCCTCTTTTGGTGCGTTGCAAAAAAAATTCATAAATAGGCATTTCTTTAACTCTTAGCTAACTGTAACTCTTCTTTATTATGATTTACATTTGCACTCAACTATAGAATAGAAAAAACATAGTTTTTCTAAAATTAATTATTTCAAATTATTAAGAAATAATACAAAATTAAAGTTAAAAGTAAATTCTTTCAAGAACTTTATTAATATTATCATAAAAGGCTGCTAATAAGAAGGGAGGATTAAGCTTTGAGAAATCTGATTGCAAATTTAGAAATTGGTGAAGAAAATACTTTAAACTTAATATTCTAAATCAATTTAGGAATTCAGTGTTTTGCTTCTCACTTAATTTAGGTAGTTAGGTCTGGGAAATAACCCTTCGAATAATCAACTCTTTTCTCTTTAAAAGCAAATGTGCAGCAAAGGGTATAATAAGTTTTAAAATTTATTAACATCTTTATCCTTGCCGAATGTTCGATTGTTTCTGCCAAATACTGATGACATATAAGGTATTTCCTAACATTAAATTTTTTGAGGTAAGAAATCTGACTACTCCTCTAGTCTTTTGCTGTCAATTTAAAAAATATTTATGGCTTCACACTACTAAAAAACCATAGACAAATATAGAGTCTTCTCTATTTACAATTCAATAGAAATCTATTTAATCCATAATTATATCCTAGTTTATCCTTAATCATAGCTATGTAATTTTTTAAAATACAGCCTTTGGTTGAACTTCACAAGCTGCATGTCTCTAAATGCAGGCCCAAGCATATCAAAATATCTGTTCGCACACCACCGAACTCTTAGTCGCTTGCAAGTCATATAAACTGCCTTAACCAAAAATGAAAGGGTTGTGTAAAATATAAAGCATCAAAGCGTTCTAAAAAGAGTTGGCCTAGTTATAAAAATGCAGCTCCAAAAGTACTCTTTAAGATTAAAGGTTTCAACGTCAAAATCAGAGCTTTCTGTGTAAAATTCTCTTTGGTTCATGTCAGCATGTCTGTCAATCATGACCTTATCACCAAGAGTTACAGGCTTCGATATTTCTAAGGATTTTTGAGTGCCAAAACTCTTAGCAAAAATCTAAGAACATATCTCCTTCTATTTAGAAATATATTAAGAAATCAGAAATAATTTACTTCACATAAGATATTAATAAAGTCAAAAGATAGCAGAAAGATTTTTGTCATTCATATAGCGTTAGCTTTTGACAGTGCAATTTTAGCGTCATAATTTATCTCTTTAGGATAAATGAAGGTATTTAAACTGATAAAATAAATTTTGAATTGGAGGGGATATTCTAGACTACTAATATCATCATTTACATAAAAAATACCTATAAGGAAATATAGGCGTTTTGGAATTGAACCACAGAAAAGAAATATAAATTGTCAAGTCTTTCCCTCAGCAATTTTTGATGACACTAGCGAGTTCGTTGGACTCAGAACAGCACTTCATTGATTGCTAAAAGATGAGCAAATAAATCCAGTTGATAGGTCTGCAGAAAATATTAGAAGATCGATGTCACAAGGAGGGCCCGATAAAATTGCTTGAGGGTATATGTTTCCTTCAAGCTAGGGTTTGATTATTATTGGCTCGTAATCTAATGTGCATTGTCTTCTCTATATTTAAGTATATGCAATCTATCTAAAAGATTTCGTCTGTTCTCTGTTTAAAATCTAATTTTTAAGTTCCTGAATCGACCCATGCGTGAATTGGATTTTTCCCATTTTTTTATAAATAGGAATCAAGTAGCACCATATTACATTCTGCATTAATTGTTGTGTCGATATTTACAAAAAATATGCATATATAGAATTATTCATGAAGAAAAGAAAGCGCCATTAATCAGCGTATTTGATAAGCATTTTTGCATGTGATACATTTTCTGTGAGGCAAATAGTATAATCTCTGAAACTGCAGGGAAGAGATTAGGAGTTATCAGTGCAGGAGCTGGGCATACTCTTTAACTCAGGATTGGGAACACATCTGTAAAAAAAAAACTCCTATCACTTTTATTGCAGAAAGTGCAGAGGAGGTTCAGGTGGCTATTTATTTATTTATTTATTTGAGCTGTTCAAGTTATACCAATTTTTGCATCTGCTTAGCGAATTGCTGTCAAGTTCTGCATTTTTTGATGAACAGTGCACTGCGCTTCATTACATGCACAGTTTCCAGGTAACTAATAATATGTATTCGATCAGACTGGGTATACTCAGAACAAGAATTATGCACAAAGCAAAATTTGCACTTCTCTCTGCAAGCAAGTCATTCAGAGCCTGTATAATCACAATAAGGGTAATAGTGATTAGAGTTGCAGGTAGCACACAAATTTTTATCAGAGCAGTAAACTTCACTGGAAAATATGCATTTTAAGGTTGCTTGGATCTACTATGACTTGATCTGGTAGAATTTATGAATCATTTGAAGAATTACAGATATCACAAAATTGTCAATAGTATATGTCTTATTGCTGTATGTGCAAACTCTGATAAGAATTCACAAAGTTTAATTCTAAATGCAATCCTTTTGCACCAAAATTCGGATTTGCGCAGCACAGGATAATATCTAATTTGCATAATCTGCTCTGATGTTAAATATTTAAATCTTATATTAGCCAGATTATTAATAGTTCGAGATAGCACAGAATTACCTATTTTTTTAGGTTGTTAGATTGGTAAGGTGCTAAGGTTTAAGTAAAAGTTATTTATTTTCCTGCAAGCTTAAATTGCATATATAATATAATTGAATTTCACTCTAAAATTATATATTAGAAAATTAGAATGCCAAAACCACATTCTGAATTGCAATTTATAGTAAATTACTATTGAGCAGGATTTTACTTTAATAAAAGTGAATAAAAGCTGAGTTAAATTAAGTATAATATTATTCACATATAATTTTCATTTAAATTATTAATTGCTTATTAGAGTATTCGTGCAAAAGTCTTATATATGAAGGTGGGTACATTTCTTTATAAAGATTGGCTGCTTCTTCTCCAGCTACTTTCCTTAAAATCTCACTCCCCCATAATAAGCAAAATTTACTATTTGTAGCTTTTGTGCTAAAACTCCCAATAATGAGAAAACATTTTACTTATTGTTGAAAGAGTCAGTAGAAACCAAATCAGTTAGTCTTTCAGCCCCTGAAATTGAATTAATATCAAGAAATCCACTTTGTCCTTTTGCTAAAGCTGCAATTTCTTCAAAAGCTTCTTTGGCGTTATTTTTTACATAAAATGCATTTATTGGGACTTTCTTATCTATGATTGTTGCCAACTCCTGCTTATAGTGTTCAACAGCTCTAAATTTAGATTGATTTCAATACGAAATATATTTGCCTCGTTTTTCCTGAATATCATCAACTGTATTTGGAGGCATATCACCGATTAAAATAACTTGTGAAATTGTATCATTTTTTAAAACGTTATTTACGTGCCATAATCCAACCTCTATTGCTTCGTTTCCCCAACCTCCTTCTGGTTGTACATTTGCCATAAACCTTTCAAGAATATCTGGATTATTTGTTCATGGTGAAACTTGGAGGATTTTATCTTCAGTAGAACTATAATTTCTATACACACAATACTGCAATTGGAAGCACTCAGGGCTTATTCCTGTATTTGAAAGCACTGCGCACATGCGTCAAAACATAATTTTCACTGTATTTTTGACACTTTGCAATAAATGAGACATAGATCCAGTTGCATCCATTAAAACAATTGTTTTCGATATCCCTAAATTGATGCTGCGACCTTTATTCAACTCTCACAAATATGCTTTAGAGAATTTGAGATCCCTATATATGATTTTCTTCAAAAATTTTATTGTCTCATCATGAAAAATTTTTGATTGTTTCACATAGTTTGATTCATTGACATTCTTGATTTGATTAAAATTATTTCTTTTGCTATTCAAAGACTCATAAAATTCTCTTCTATTTTTTTTCATTCCTTCAATGTCTTCATTCATGATTTGGAATTTTTCTAGGTCATCATCTAAAAGTATTATACTATACGATCCTTCTTGCCCTTGTCTTGCAGATCTACCCTTAATTTGAGTTTCTTCTGATATATTTTCTGATAAAAATACTTGGATTACATGAACTCCTCCATTGGTCTCAACTTCATGATTGTAACATTTAAAATCAATTCCTCTGCCATAAGCTCTTGTCAATAATGACACAGTATTTGGAACTGTGGCTTTTTTAATGATCATACCTCTATCTTCTACCGATAAACTCTCTGTCATCAACTGTATGTCATAGTCAGTGTTCCTTAAGTTCGAATTATTATAGAAATGTATTAATTTTGCTTCTTCTTCAAAAAATACCAATACAGCTCTTTTGCAACCTGGTTTTTTGCCTTCTATTCGAATATTTATTTCTTCTAGTATCTTATTATAGTAACTGTGCTTGTTTTCCACATAAATATCCTCATTGGTACAATATTTTCTATTGCTTTCCCCAAATACTGATGGCATTAGCGTTTTTAATTTTATTCTATATTCACTCTCTATAATATTTTTTTCATAGGCCCCTAAATCTTCTAAAGTTCCAGTGACTCCCATAATATAATTATATTTATGAGGTATTTCTGCAAATGAGAACATTCCACATTTAATTCCAATGAAAATATTTTCTTTTAAGCTATCTTGACTAATATTTCCTTTTTCATTCTCCAAATAATAAGCAAACAATGTGCTATACCCATAAACAATATTAGATAAAATCCCATCATTCTCTTTGTAGCAAATTTTATCATTTTTGACTATATAACCATGAGACTCAAATTGACGCACATGAGTTATCATATCTTTAACAGCTTCTTCTATAAGAAATTCAAAGCCTGGAAATTTTTGGCAGCACTGATTATACTCATTTGAATCCAATCACTCAAAAAGCTTAGGCGTTTTTCTATACTTCATAAAAGAGACCAAGCATGTGAAATATCAAAAAAACTTTAAAAAAGGAGAAAAAGATTGAAATAAACTTACTACTGCCATATTGTATATATTTTTATATGTAATCTGTTAAATTGTTAATTGTTGGATCTTTAAGCTTTGCGAGGGGCCTATAAATATTTCCATAAAATGATTTAGTGAAAAATACATCGACTTCATCTATTAGGAGAATTTTAGGTCTTTCATTATCTCTATAGCTAATGTTAGGAATCTTTCCAAGTCTAATAAAATCTAAAACTATCTCTCTAATATCTCCTTTAGAATTGATTTCATCTTCACAAAGTTGATTAAAAGTTCCATACTTTATATAAGAGCAAATACTTAAAGCTGTGTATAAAGGCTCAAAATCTTGAGAGTCTCTTTTACTTAGATGCTCACTATAGCAAGCACAATTTATATCAAATCCCAATAAAGCAAGAATAGATGATAAGAATGCCAATGTAATTGACTTTCCTTCCCCAGTTAAAATTTGCACAAGATTATTTCCAGGGTTTGTATTCTCATTATAGCCAATCCCAAGCATACGAAATATTGATAGGACTTGTATAGGATGAGGTGTTATGAATGCAATTTGATTATCTTCATCATTCATATCTTGCTTGTATTTTTCAATATTCAAAAGTACCCATAGCCATGCAATATACGCTAAAAGCTCTGGAATATATTCTTTTATTAGACTAATATTTGGATTTCGACAATTTTCCATATATTTTTTAGATAGAACCTGGATTTCGCTAACTATTTGAGCTATCGCAGTATTCACTCCTTTATTGCTAGCCAATCTTAGATAATTTTTTTGGATTTCACCTAATTTTTCAATGTAGTCAAAATAATTATCATTTAGCTCTTCAATATTCAGATTTGAGCCTTGGATATGCTCCAAGGCATAGTCGATTCCATGTTCTTGAGTTTTTTTCAGCCACAATCTTTGCATAACTCCATCAAAGAATTTATGTTCTGTGATAATGCAGAGTCCTAGTCCACTAGGGTGCTTTTCTAGCTCTTCTAAGATTGCGACTGCTTTTGTTTTGTTCTTTTTCCTAAATGTCTCTAAAAATTCATCTAAAATTGAATCTAATCGTTTCTTTAATAAAGGAAAATTATTTGAAATATTTTTCATGCCTATCATAGACTCAACAATTTCGCTTGCTCCCTCTCCTTTTTCAGCTTTTTCCTTTAATTCTAATGTTTTTTCATAAATTTTGTCTTCTATCATTCTAAGTGTATGATTGCAATCAAAACCTTTAATACTTAAATTTGCCTCGAAATGAGTCAAACAATTATAATAAATCTGAATTTGATTAAAATCTTCTTTCCTGATATCATCTTTCTTTATCAAATTTGAAGCGTCTTCGACAATCCTATAAATTTCACCTGAAATTGATTTGATTACATTAGATTGTATTTCTTCAAGATTAACAATATTTGAATTTAAATGGATTTTTACTCCCTCAAAGCTTTTTATTTGGCTTCATTTTTTTTTGATATTATTAACACAGTCCTCCAGAAGTTTTGGGTGCTTAACTTCATTATTTTGAATTCTAAAATTTAAGAAATAATCATAAAAATCATAAAGAGTTTGATTTAAATCATCAGCAAAATCTGCATATCGGCGGATTCCTCTAATTTTTAAAATATCACCCCTGGGATGCTGATTTTGATATTCTTTAAAAATTTGTAAAAAATCATCCCATTGTTTGATTTTATTTAATATTTTGCTGCACTTGATAGTGTTTTTTGGAGGTTTATATTCCATATAACTATTGTCAAGTTTCTCGTAAAAGGCTATAATGCTAGCTTGCATGCTTTCGATAGTGTTATTAATTCCAAACATGTTAGACGACAATTTTTCTTCCTCACAATCAATTTTAAAATCCATTGCAATAGAATAAATTTTGAATGCTTCTATAATCTCAGCACTATCATCCTTATGCTCAATATTCAGAAGAATATTTAAAGCCTTTTTTATTAACTTAGTGATACTATCATTAATTTCTGTAAGCATTCCATGGCTTTCTTTCAATACAGAATCTAAATTTTCTTTGAGCTTCAAAACTCTTGCTTTTTTAAAAACAGTATCTAAATCTTTCCTATCGATTGCTAAACTAATTTCTCCTTTAATTAAATATAAAGCATCCTCAATTTATTTTTCGCATATGCATAATCTGAATTGGAGCCATCCTTTTTTAAAGAATTAATCATTTTGCATATATCGCTTATTTCTTGGTTGCTCGCAAGAGTATCGATTCTTCCTCTTGTAAATTTTTTAATTTCTCTATAACTTTTCAATAATTCGCTAATTAAGTTCTTAGCTGAAGCTTCGTATTCTTTTGGCAAAAATTCTAAAATAGAAGATATTTCATCAACAATTCTTTTCTTTTCAGGATTATTTTTATTTTGGATATTAACTTTTATTTGTTCAAATTTGCTGGATATTATTTCTTTTACTTTGTAGAGGCAATCACTATACTTTTGAAAATTTCTTGAAGCTTTTTCTAATTCTTCCAAAATTAAGCTTAGAGGAAATTTCTTAAAACCTTTGATATCGCACTTTTCCATTTTTTCGATAATAGTTATTGGTAAGTTATTAAGAATATTTTTGATGTTTGAGACATGTCAGCTTCAAATTGTTTTCCAAGAACACTAAGTATATAGTCCTTTAATTCTAAGAAAATTTTCATTTTGAGCTCAGCTTCATGATATTTGTTGAAATTAATGTCTATTTCTATAGAATTTATAAAATCTGCAATCTTATTATAAAATTCTGTTCTTGCTTCATTTTGATATTCTGTTAGTATTTCTTTTTTGTGATTATCAAAAAACTTATTGAGACCGCTTTTTTGAAATCTTACGAATTTTTGAAAGATTTCATATATTTCCTCTATTTCCGCTTGCTGCAATATCGAGTTATTAATGCTTTTAGACCTTTCTTTTGCGTCTTTCAGCAATTGTTCAATTCCGCAATATACTGATTTTCTCTATTTAAAAAATGCAGTTGGCATGTGGATTCGAACTCCATGTGTAGAATATTGTAAATTTAATAAGTCCAGATTTAGAATTTTATTCACAAATGGAGTTTGAATTCACATGTGCGCTTATTTTTGCAAAAAGTGTAAAGCATGATATAATTTTTCCTTAATTATATGCCTTGCAATTTAAATATTACTACTCTTTATCAATATTATTTGCTATGAGTATAGTTGCAATCAAAATATTTATAGGCGATGCATGTTAAGAGAGAATATCAATATAATGACTTGGTACTTGTATTCCTTAATGTGAATAATAAAATATTTTTGATTCATAAATTCTAAGACTCTCAAAGTAAATATAATTTTCTTCATCAAATACAGAAAGGAAAAGTCTCAAATCAATAGATTGAGCTCGAGTATCATTGTCCATTTCTTCTATTGATTTTATTGCTGTTTCAAAATTATGATTCTCAATTAAATCAATTATTTTTTGCTGTTTAAACTTTGAATTCTGAATTTTTTGATACTCATTTATAATAGCAGAAAAATTCCCATCAATTTCTTTAAATTCATTAGCAATGCTTATTCATGAAGAAATTGCTTCTAATAATATTTCCCAGACGTAATGGCGTTCGCGCCAAAAATTGGAAGTGTTATCCTGAGTTGTTTTCTCGCGAAAACAAACAGCAAAAGTGAGGAGATATGTGCAAGCGTAAATCTTTGCAGTGATTTTTTATTTGTGGAGCTTGGAGAGTTGAAGATGGGTGATTTCCTGATGGCCAATCTTGGAGGAATGCAAATTGGTGATTCACTGGGAAAAACAAACTCAGCTTTTGCAACATTGAAGAGCTCTGTGTTGTGTTTTTGTTTTGTTGATGTTATTATATTTGTAGTAGTTGATGTAGTTGATTCTGAAATTGATGCTGAAGTTGATGCTGAAGTTGATGCGGAAGTTGATGCTGAAGTTGATGTGGAAGTTGATGAAGAAGTCGAAGCTGAAACTGAAGCTGATGCTGCAGTTTTTGCTGTAGTTGATGCTGAAGCTGAATTTATTAGTTAGTAGTTGGTCCTTTTATATAGAGTGATGAAGAAAAAAGAGAGAAATGCTGCTAAGCAGCGTTAAAATAATGCTAAGATACTAAGATACTAAGATGCCCTTTATACTCTCTTCTTTAAACAAAAGCAATATATAACTAGATTTTTAATTTTAGTTAAGAAGAAGCATTTAACTTATATCAAAACCTTTTATATTAAAATTATGGTTTTTATATATATAAAATTTTTTATTATAAAATTAAATTTTGTTCCAATTTAAAGGTGGGTTAATTTACCAAAGAAGTGGAAATTTTACCTATATTTTGTTCCAATTTAAAGGGGGAGTAAGTCATTTCTTTCATTGCTAATTTTTAGTTTTTCATGGAAAGTTATGCGTAAATTATTGAGCTCATTGGCAAAATGCTCAAACTGAGGTTGAAAATCCAAAAAGTTGAAAAATGATGGAGATTTTTTATTCAATAACAATATTTCTTTAAAATTTAAAGAAAACTGATGAGAATATTGCTTTACAGAGTCAAAATCACAATTAGTATCATCTGAAATATTCCTTGCAATATTATTTTTATGCTGATTGAGAATTAACTTAAAATAATAAAAATAAAAATAATAAATGCTGAAATATAGTATAGAATCGAAGCACTCTGCCAAAGAGATAAGACTATTGTTGTAAAATTGAGATAAATTCGATAAAATACCCTGTGAAAAACTTATGGCAAATTCCGAGAGCTGGGGTATGCTTTTACACTCTTGAATATAATTAAAATAATTTTCTATTTTATCAACGTTAGGCGTATTTTTCGTTAATTTTTGGTTAAAAATATTGATAAAGTTTTGGATTTTTGTTATTTCAAGATTTATTTCTTTAAATGTTTCAAATCCGTTATTTTTAAGCAATTCTTGACACTCGCTATTTTTATTTTCTTCTTTATATTTTGAATAATCAAGTCTAATCTTTTGTAATCTCTCTAACTCCCCTTCCGTGAGTGAACAAAAATTTTTTTTAATAGAAAAGATTTTTTATGGAAAAAACATTGATATATAAGTGATAATTAGTATAATGAAATCTCGAGCTAATACTGTTTAATTTTAAATAAATTGCATTTTAAAACATAAATTTTATAAATTAAATTGTTATTTGCTTTCCAATTTTTGCAAATTAGGATTTTTTTAAAATTTCAAAAAAAATTAACCCCCCTAATTATGAACAAAATATTTTTTGCTCACTCACGGAGGGAGGGGGGAGTAAGTCATTAATTTCCCTTTCAATATCACTCTGCTCTGGGCAAAACTCCTTTTTAATAATTTTCAAGGTATCTTTAATTCTTTCTTGGAATTTAATCCAAATATCATTCTCACTATTTTCTAATGAAGGTATAAATTCTTTTAATTGGAGAATTGGGTCCAATTTTTGAACTATACAGTATCCTTTAGCCACATTGAGAGGACAATTAATTCCTAACTCCCTTACAAAATATTCCACAAACAGCTCATGCCCTATATAGATTTCTTTATCGAACTGGATGATTGAACGACCAAGTGAGACTCTTTTAAAGGATTTCGATAAGAAGTGCTAAAAAGTGGCATATTAAAACATGGTTGACAACTGTGAAAAAAGTTGACAAGCAAACGCGCCAATTTTTAAAGTGTTTATTATTAAATTAATTTGATATTAGATACCTGTTAGACTGCGATTGATCAATATATTACTTTACTTACTCTTTTCTGAAAAATTTAGCTTTAAAACAAATTAGGTTAAAATAAGTATATTTTTAAATAACTAATGCCAATTTTTTTATATAATCAATAACTCTATAAAAGCATTGCTCTCTATAAAGTTCTTAATGGCTCATAATAATGCTTTATATTTATCATCTACAGTCTAATAGGATATCTAAAAATTAAAATTAATTCAATAATAAAGCCACTTTAAAAATTAGCGCATGCGCTTGTCAACTTTTTTCACCTTATCAACCAATTTTTGGCATGCCACTTTTTAACGATTCCCTTTATAAGATCCAGATCGCCCTTGAGAGAGTCTGTCTTGGTTGTAAAACCTTCTATCATATTTTTTGTTCGATAAAGAAATCTATATAGGGATATGGGGCAATAAAATCATAATTAGTAAATTTTTAGCTTTCAAAATTTTAAATTTTTATGTGAAGAGTAAGTCAATCGCTTTTAATTGATCCAATAATTTTTTAGTGTAATTTTTAATTTCTTTTTCTATACCTGACAGCTCATTACTATAAGTTCCTTTTTGAAACTTTTCGATCCACTTCCCTGATTCAAGCCATGAGAAGCAGTTGCGCAATGCTTCTAGATCTGTCGACTCAGGAGACCTGGTTAAAGATTTTACAAATTCTCTTGCTTCTTTTTTGAAAAAACTGATCTTATTTATAAGTGAGCTTAATACATTTTGATAAGAAGCAGTAATAAGGGATGCAATATCTGGGATCTCCATTAAATAGCTGAATTCATCAAATTTTGTTTCAATTTCAGCTAAACATCTTTGCCTTCAGTTGCCTATTGCACTATAAAAAATTAAATATTATTTTATCAAAGAAATTCGAAACTTTGCTTGCCTCCATTTTAGTTAGATAAAGAGCAGGCAACTCAAAGATAGAAGTATATATTATATGTGGTTTTATCATTAATGAATGAGATGACATTGCTTTTAGCGTCTTCAAAGTGCTTTTGATACACATCAAGAATTGACTGGAGCTGGTTTTCTAATTCATCTTTGGCTATCAGACCATTAAAGTGGCGAGATCCGATAAATGACTTTATTATTGAAATATTTTGGTTTAGAGGTTCGATATCGCTTTTTTCAAATCTTCCTTTACTTAATATTGCAATGGAGTTATCATGATTTTCTTTTAAGGTAAATGATAACTTCTTTAGAAGATCATTATGCCTTTCGTCAAAAGCTGTCAAATCGAAATGGGTGCGAGCAATTCTTAAATATTTTTGCTCTTGCAATATGTCTTTAATTTTCCTCTAATATAACAAGCATTTCTTCTTATTGAATAGGTTTTTAACTAAAAAAGCGATTAATTTTCAATCGACTTAGTTATTATTTATTTAAAAGTGTGAAACTTTATATGGAAGATGAAAAAATTAAAATTATGATGATTAAAATTTGTTGAAAAAAAATTGAAGTTGTTCAGTATTAACAGCGGAGATAGCAAAATTTTTAAAGTTTTTCTCTTCCAAATTAGAAGTGGCAGATGATAGTAAGCTTTCAATGAGATTTGAATATTCGTTAAAAAGATTTTTATAGTGCGGCACAACGTCTTCAAATGTTTCACTTAAAATTTTAACATTATTCAACTGGACATTCAAAATATCAGGATCTATATTATCTGATTTTAAGTTCAGATTTGTAAGATCTAGCTTTGAAACAATATTAGTTAACATTGCTGCAGATGTGACTGTTTCTCCCCTTAAATGGCTATCTCTGATTTCTTCAAATTTTTTAATAATATTATAAACTACTTCATAGGATTTAATAGTATTTTCATCCAAGCTCCCATACTTGGGGTATCATGAAAAAAATGCAGCACAAATTTTTGGTGAATTTGAATTTTAGGATTAAATCGCATTTTTCCATGAGATTTTAAAAAAAAAACCTGTTTATAAGATATAATGTTGTTCAGCATGGAACGAAGGTCTAGCCTTCATTTTTAAAAGATTTAATTTAATTTTTATTTTATTTTATTAAGGTTTCTATTTATATAATATTATAAATATTGCGCTTTTTTCAATTCTTTTGACCATGATTTTTAAATTTTTAACTTTCTCTTATTCCATGGTTTCATCTTTATAAAATTTTTTTGGGAAAAATTGTTCCATGTCCTTTTTTTGAATTATGGTCTCAAAATTCGAATTTCACTGCATTTTTTTTATGCTAAAACAACATCATTTTTGATAGTATAAGAAGGTCATGAAAAAGCACGCTTTGCTTTTTTTCAGGATCATAATCCATTCTTGTCTATAAAGCTATTAAACTGATTAACAGTATTATTATATAAATCATTAATGCTCTTTATCACATGTTCTGCAGATTCTTTATATTGGGATAAAAATTGCTCAAATAAGCTTCCTAAATATTTCAACTCGTCCAATTTATATTTTATAATTTTATAATCCATAGGATTTGAGGCTATTAAAATGTCTTTTGAATGAAGCAGTACTTGCTCTTTTATAGATTTTCTAGAATCTTCAGTTATAAAGCTCACAAAGGCAGTTTTTGGGTCTAAAATAGGTGCTCTTTCCATTATCTTCGTTAGTAGTTCTTGAGGGTCATCTCTTACTTCTCATCTTTGGCCAGCAACATATTGAATGTTCTTGATCGAACGAATCCATTCCCCAAGTCTAACAACCTGCCTTTGATAGTGATGAGTATTAGAAATATCATATTGAAAAATATTGTAATTAGAGAATAAAATATTTTAATGTTAAATATCAAGTTAATAGTATTTATGACTGCTGCTGCGATTTTAAGAAGTTTTTGTTTAAGACTCAGAATAAAGAGACTATTAAATCTAGTTAAAAAAGTATTTATTCAATAAATTGTGCTGAAATTAAAATCATTGAAACTAATAGTGAATTTTCAATAATAATATCAAAAGTCTGGTTGAGGAACTGAGCTTAATTTTAATTGATTCATATTATCTTCAGGAAGCTTTAAACAATTTCACTCGTTTTTGCTATGTCAAATAGGATCTGACAAGTCAGCAGACTTTTTATATAAATAGCTATTCGGACAATTAGACAAATCTGAAAGTGACAAAAATTGATTGAGTGATGAGGAATTGACCCTGCTCAAATCCATAAGAGTGGGTATAACCCAATCCATAGCAGGGATCGGGTTTTAGAGTATATATATTTAATACATTTTGCTAAAAAAGTTTAAATTGGGCAAAAAATAATAGCATATATTTTTATTTATGTATGAATAAAACGGCTAGATTAAAATATAAAATAAGAAGTGTGCCTTTAAAGGCATTAAAATTCTTATATTTCAATAGCTTTTATGGGTAAAAAATAAAATAGCCATAGCATAGGGTAATTGTTTGGATACTCCTAAATATAATTAAATGAATTCTCCCTTATGGAATTATAATCTTAGCACTCTTTTGGCTCGGATTATAAAATAAGGGTTCCGAAATCGCCTATTGGGTGAGAATCACTAAAAGACATACTAGAATTTCCTAAAGTTTATATAGGAATTGCCCCACACCGGGAATTGAACCCACGTGTGGGGCCATTTTTGGTGCGTGGAAGTCGATGTTCTACACACACCAAAAATGGCCCCACACGTGGGTTCAATTCCCGGTGTGGGGCCATTTTTGAAATGCCCGAGGATGGCGCAAGATAGCGCCATCCTCGGGCAATTAGTATATTTAAATTCTATGAATTTAATTATTGAATATAAATCTAAAGCCATTTTTTTTAATTTTAACAAAATTTGATCTATAGTTAATATAAGTATCTGCCACCAATTTTAAATCTACAAGACCTTTATTATGAATTAATTTATAATTGTTTTGCAGATATATTTTAATCTCATCATTAATCAAATTATAGTTATCAGTTCGATCAAGGATTGGGGGAAGTTAAAGGATCAATAGTTATCGCCCCATTTTTAGTCTTATATTTTATGTCCTGCAAAATGTGCAAAAACGCTTCATCAGGGTTTTCTAACAACCCTAAAGCATTCGTTACCAGTGCATTTATATTGGAAGCCTCTTGGGCTGTATATTTTGTAAATGCATACGTAAATGAACGGGAATACTTATTAAAATTTGGGACAAGTCTGGCCAAGGTGTGAGCAATTTTTTTAACACCTTCAAACCTATCACCTTCTGTTTTACAACTTACCCTTTATCATAAAATTTATTATTCAAATTTTATTATTTACCAAACTATTAATTATTTTTTAAAAAATTATATTAAGAGTTAATAAAATCAATGGCCTTACGCTTCTGCATTTTTTAACGCATTCAATAATACTTATTGTATTTGCCATGTCAACTTCAGCTCCTTTTGTATCTAATAGCCCTGGAGGATCACAAATAAAAATCTCTTCAAAATTTTTAAAATTTATTGGCACCATAATGATATATCGAGTTTCTGATTCTGCATGAGAAGAAATATTGATGTTTTTTAATATAGGATTTTTTACAGCAATTGCTTTAATATGTCTCACACCATCTTCCATGACTCTCTCCATCTTTGAGTCGCATAAAAAATGGGTTGTTGTCGATTTTCCTGAGCCTGTAATTCCAATTAACAAAATAATGTCCTTGTTTTGCAAATCTTCAGAGCGTTGGACTGATTTATTAATCAATCGTTTAAGTTCCTTTATATTGACAGGCCGATACTCCTTGAGAATTTTTTCTGTATCTTTTATTAAATTTTTCCAATTTTTATTAATAAAATTTTCTTTGAAACTTGAAATAAGCTTTCTTGACAAAAATCCTTTAGGTAAAGCACTTAAAACTTGAAGAAAATTGCTGTACTCTTTTTCAATGTCTAAATTCTCAATTTTTTCTTGAAATTCTGGTGCTATCTCAAAATTGTAGCTTTTATAATATGCAAAGCACAAAATGCTTGTAAGAAACCTTTCAGTACAATAGGGAATTTCTGAAATATCATTTATCATTGCTTCAATAAAACCAATCTTTTTATCATTTCCAATCTCTTTGAAGTCTAAAATGATCATAGATTTTAAAGTAATTTGCTTATCAATAGAAAGTAATTTTTCTAAATCAGCAAGTTTGTTTTCTTCTTTTTTTGCTTTTTCTGTTTTTTTTTTTCTGAGATTTAATGCAATACTTTCTTTAGTTATATTTATCAATTCTTCTAATTCCTTAGGGCTTTCAATATTATATTTGCTTAAACCTTGCTTCAATATATCTTCTAAATCATTCTCTTCAGGCAAATCCCTGTTTTTTGCATTTTTGGTTTCTTCATACAATTCCTTTAACCTTTCAGAATCTTTCAGCTTTAAACTTTCCCTTTCATCTTTATCAAAAAATTCTTTACTATGGTGAGATGCAATATTTTTCTTTACCTCTTCGATTTCGTTATTATCAATTTCCTGGTCATTTTTATTTTCTTCTATATTTATCATTTGTAGACTTTTATTTATTTCTAGCTTTTCTATAAAATCACTTTTCTCAAGACTTTCTTCAATTATCTCGAATGAATTTTCCAAGTTTTCTACTTTATTGACTTCTATTTCTATACTTAAAATTTCTTTGCCTTCACTTTGAATATTTAGTCACTTTTTTAACGGGAAATCTTGGGCGAGATTTATTGAGGCGGATCCAAGTAAATTTTGGCTTTCAACACTTTTTATATAAATGCTAAGGGTTATGATGGCTTCAGTATCTGATAGCAATTGAATAGGAGCAAGATTGGAAATTTGAGATAGCTCAATAGAGGGAGATTGAAAGATCAATTGAGAGGTTTTAGAGTCTGCCAAAGTAAAACTGAGCTCTGATATAGGGTCTGAATCTGAATTAGGCTTAACTTCAACCTCGCTAACTCTAAAAATAGGAAAAGAATTTATCATTATGGACTCTACAATTTTCAGGAATAAATGCACTAAAAGCTTGAAAAATTATCAAAGTCAATTCTACAATTTTTAGGAATAAATGCATTAAAAGATTGAAAAATTACCAAAGTCAATTCTACAATTTTTAGGAATAAATGCATTAAAAGATTGAAAAATTACCAAAGCCAACTCTTACTTCTAGAATCATAAAATAAATCTAATATTGATGATTTTAACTTATAGATTAAATAATCTTATACTTACTCCCTCCCCGTGAGAAGGAAATATTCTTCTAAGCATAGGAGACTTCCCAGCCCTGTCTAGCATTCAAGGTATATCGAACTATCAATGGAAAAGATCTTGTAGCTAAAGCCAAAGAAGCATTAGCTGCTATGACTGGATTATTCTAAGTCCTACAGCATCTATACATTTATAAACTGATTTTCAAGAAAAAGGAGCTGAGCTTGTAAAGGCCTGTTTATCTGATGTTAGTTCTAAGCCAGAATATAAACGGAAATTATGCTTTGGAGGTTTTTTAGTCCCTATCTTGGACCTAAGACGGATTTGATATTAAGGTTCATGGAACCAAGTTCTAATTTATGTATCGCCAAGGCAAAAGCATTTAAATACCTTGGCAGATTATGATAGTGAGTTAAATGACCAGAAGACTCATATAGAATTAAGTATTGGCTATGAAATTGGAACTATACTTTAAGTGAAAATAAAATAATGATGCTCTCAGTGCCTTAAGGCTTAGAATTTCTTATAGTCAAGTGTCTTTGTTTTCTGAAGAACTGCTAGATGCAATTTTTGCTATTTTTTTGATGAAGATAGCAAAGCATTTGGATTTGCTCTAACTTCTCTTGTCTTTTGTTGCCAATTTTAAAATATTTATGGCTGCTAAAAACCATAAACAAATATAGAGTCTTCTCTATTTGCAATCCAATATAAATCTATTTTAATTCATAATTATAACCTAGTTTATCCTTACTCCCCCCATCCTTGATCGAACGGCTCGCCATCGTTCGATCAAGGATGGGGGTTAAAAAAATTTTTTTGGAAAAAAAATTTTATATATATTTTTTATTTACTTTTAAACAAGAGGGTTAAGAGTATTTAATAATTATTTTTACAGAAAAAAATTGAATTAATCTCATAAAATACCAATTTTTAATATTTTGATTTATTAGTTACCCCTTTAAACTGTATAAATTTAATTTGTTTCTTATTGAATTAAATTTTTTTTTTTTTATTTTTTCAAGAATCTCTATTTTATTAGATTATTGAGTTTTTAGCCTAGTTTGATTACTAAATCACTTCGGATGGTTGATTCCGTAGCTTTCTGTCGTCTCAAAGTCTCTGAAAACAACTTCATCATATGCATCTTCCCAAGCTTTTGATAACTAATATATTGTTATATATATATAAAAATTTGCATGATATGAAAATGAAAAATCGTTCGTTCAAGGATGGGGGTTAATTTTCCTAATTTTTAGGAATTTTTACAGTCAATCGTTCTATCAAGGATGGGGGGGGAGTTAATCATAGCTATGCAGTTTTTTAAAATACAGCCTTTGGTTGAACTTCACAAGCTGCATGTCTCTAAATGCAGGTCCAAGCATATCAAAATATCTGTTCGCACACCACAGAACTCTTAGTCTCTTGTAAATCATATAAACAGCCTTAACCAAAAAGGAAAAGGGTTGTGTAAATTATAAAGCATCAAAGCGTTCTAAAAAGAGTTGGCCTAGTTATAAAAATGCAGCTCCAAAAGTACTCTTTAAGATTAAAAGTTTCTACGTCAAAATCAGAGCTTTCTGTGTAAAATTCTCTTTGGTTCAAGTCAGCATGTCTGTCAATCAAAGCCTTATCATCAAGAGTTACAAGCTTCGGTATTTCTAACTTTCCCTTTTAATTTGGAACAAAATTTTTAAATAGGAAAAGTTTATAGGTGATAATACTAATTTTTATGAAATTAGTTTTGATCTAGTTTAATAGAAAAAGCGCAATTAGAATGCTATTTAAACAGTTTTCATACGCTGAATTGATTAATTTTTGATTTAATTCTTCATAAAATAAATTAAAATTCAAGATCTGCTCTCAAGTTTTTATGGGTTTTTCCATAAATAGTCAAATAAGGCCATGATTTGCCATAAGGATTTAATTTTAGCCGAACCAAATTGATAAATTTAAACGCCCAATGGGGCTATTTATGGGAAAAACCGATATGTTTTATCTCAAAATATGGGTCAAAATATTAATTTTTATAAATTAGTTTTGACCTAATTTAAAGGCAAATAGAACATTATTTAAATGGTTTTAACACTAAATCGTTTAATTATTTAATCATTTCTTCATAAAATAATACACAATTAAAATGGCGAGCCATCCGACCCGTCCTTCTCCTGTACCCTCAGGGACTACGGGGTTAAGAAGTAAACGGGGCCTGGATATTGTGTCCAGGGGGTTTTTTTTACCTTGGTCGGGACACCACGACAAGGTTTTTTACCTCTCACAAAGACAAGAAGACCAGAGCCGATGTATCAGGAGTCAAACTTCAGGACTAGAAGGGAAGTGAGGAAGATCTTTATGTGGGGAGCTTCGGGGACCTGAAGGAGACTCCGGGAGGCTACTTTTCTCCCTCCCGGAAAGGACGGCGCCGGGTCACTAGACCCCTGATCAAGGAGTACCTGGGTGAGTCTCCCTGTTAGATGGGCGACGTCACCATTTTTTGGTGACGTCGACAGAAAATGGAGTGAGCTACAGAGCCGGTGCATAGTGCGCGAGCCTGAAGCTGGCAGTGTCTGGGTAGAGGGCTGAAATAAACCTCCGCGACCCGCTCAACTAATTAATCTAATCTAATCATAAATAATGAAGATTCATTCAATCTATATTTTTTTAAAAAAATAACCCCTTTTAATAGGACAGGATTTTTATTACAATTTAAAGGGGAGGGGAGTAAGGACTTTTGAGTGCCAAACTCTTATTCCTCGTGAACGAGCACAACTATTAGGAAAGATCCCTATCGCTATATTTTGGATAAAAACCCGGGTTTTTGCTAAGAAACTCCTCGTAAGACTGGAGCTTTCTAAATTGAGCAAATGATCGAAAAAGATTAGGAACTCTTTTCATTTTATATTTCAGAATAAAAATCGATCAAAAAAGTGAGGAAGGATAAAATATTTTTTTCAAAAAATAATAACTATTATGATTTATTTAACATTGCTGATAAAATTGTTGATGGGCTTCTAAACTAGTGAATAGCCTTGCTAGTACTCCATCTTTATATTGTTTAATTTATTTAAATATATTAATTAATACTTTCAAAATACATAAAATTGAAGCAAGTATAGCATAGGGCGATTTGAAAAGGCCCTTGGCTATAGTGATGGTTTTTATTTGATAAATAATTGGCGCGTTTTTAACGCTATACGATTAAGATTTAGCATAAAGCTGATCTCAATAAGATTTCAATATAATGTATTGGTAATATTTTATTTTGCTTATTTATGGTACATTGATTTTAAAATGTCAAAAAAATTTTGACATGCCATTATATATATAAAACTGAGTCTATGGTATGTTAAATTTTTTTTGGCATTTTAAAATCAATTTACCATAAATAAGCAAAATGAAATTTATGCAAGGGATTATATTTATTCACTTTAAATTATATAAATAATTATGAATTAAATGATATTAGTTCTCAAAGGGCAATTTAGGAAGAGAAATTTCTTAAAAAATAATTTGTGCTTAAAATTATAGCTTTCAATTTAAATTACGGCTACCTAAAAAGAAAAGAAATCATTTTATAGTGAATTCAGCAATAAAGAATAAAATCATTTTTAAATATCAAAATAGTTTATTTATTTTTTGTAGAATTTAAATGTTTATGATATTTGATGCACATTTACGATATTAATAGCAACATTACTTTTCTGAATTTAAACAAATATTATCAAAGTATTGTAAATTTGATGAACATAAATCCCAATACCGATTATTTTGAAGAATTCTTCTTTCTGAGCGAATAAAAATATATTTTAAATAAACTTTATTTTGGAAACCTTTTATTGCTTTGGCCTAGCTATTTGCATGGAGAGAATAGCGGAGACTTGAGCTTGACAAAGCTAAGGAATTTTATTTGAAACTTTCACAGATTCTATTCATAGCATTGAGTTTTTGGATTTTAATTAAAGACACAGTGATTGACTGTTTGCCAAAACAGCTAGATTGGGACTTAAAAAGATGAAAGAAAGCTAAGAATGACTGAAGAAATATCATCGATTGAAATTTCCAAATTTTATATTAAATTTCAAAAAATAATAATAAGGGGCATAAAACCCTGAAAATAAATGAATCATACCTTTAATGCCGATAAACAAGATTTTAAATCCTACTCAAACTTTTTGCAAGACTTCTCCCCTTTAAATCCACCAAAATCATATTTTAAAGAAAATTTATTTTACAGAACTTTTTAAAGCAATCAGAAAGTGAAGAGGAAGAACAAGATAATTTCTATCTAGGACTCTCAAAAGTCAAGGAGCCTTTATCATCAAGACAGTCTCTTATGATAAAATGAGCAAAAATTTAGTGCCTGGGGCTTGACTATTTACATGGAGAAAATGGCAGAGATCTGAACTTGGCAAAGGCAAAGGAGCTTTTGCTTGAAGCTGCTGAAATGGAGTGCACGGAATCTATGTACAGCATTGGAGTTTTTTATGTAGAAGGACTCAATGGGCATAGATGTAGGAATTGACTAATTGCAAAAAGCAGCTGGATTGGGACATAAAAAAGTGAAGAAAAAGCTGACTCCCCCCCTCCGTGAGTGAACAAAACCATTAGAAAAATCGCTATTTTTTGCCCAAAAACCCACCCTCCATGAGTGAACAAAAAATTTTTTTAAATAGAAAAATTTTTTATGGAAAAACATTTTGATATATAAGTGATAATTAGTATAATGAAATCTAGAGCTAATTCTTTTAATTTTAAACAAATTGCTTTTTAAAACATAAATTTTATAAATTAAATTATTATTTGCTTTCAAATTTTTGCAAATTAGGATTTTTTTAAATTTCGAAAAAACAAATTTTTCTATAAAATTTATATATAATTTTTTTAAAAAAAAAAATTAACCCCCTCTCCGTGAGTGAACAAAATTTTTTTGTTCACTCACGGAGGGGGGGAGTGAGAAGAACTGGCGAATTATCACCAATAGAAATATTTAAGCCTTGCTTTGATAAATAATACTCGTTTTCGTAAGATTTAATATAAAATTAGAAATTTTTGCCTTTATTTATATTTCTCTATATAAAAATGATTAAATCGCGTACATAGCAGGGTTTTCAGGAAAAAATCTTTTGAAAAGCATTTTATCCGGATCTAATCATTTTAGCTAAAAATTTGGCCTTAAGATCTAATATATATAGACTTGCTTCAATTTTAATTTTAAAGTCTAAAAAATATATGGTAATTGAAGAAAGAAATTGCATTGTATCTTAACCAATATATTTTTTCGACTGTCAATTTTTTTATCAAAAAATCGCATGAAAAGACCCTAATAAAGATTGAAAAATACATATATTAGCAATAATTAGAAAGCTCTAAATGAATAGTAATCCAAAATTTAGATTTCTCTAATAAATATATTTTGGATCGATAAACTGGTAGATCCCTAACTCATAATACAATAATGAATGCATGTGGCGAAATTTTATAGTAAAAAAAACGCCTATCGTTTTTGGTTCAATATTTCCATCACTAACGTCTATAATCATTTAATATTAGTTACTGATCTGCAAATTTTTATCAATTAAAATAATTTTGCCAGGAAATCTAAATCTTGAATTATGCATTTTTCATTTTTATTAGGTTTTTTCATGCGATTTTTGGATAAAACCATTTATGGTCGAAAAAAATATATTTGTTAAGATACAATGCAAAATTTTTTTCATTTAACTTATATTTTTAAGGTTTAAAATTGTAGCAAGTCTTTATATATTAGATCCTAAAGGATAATCTCTAGCTAAAATAATTAGATCCCGATGAAATACTTTCAAAAAAACTGTTTTTTCATGCGATTTTTGGATAAAAACACAGGTATTTTTTTTCCAGTATATTTTTTGAAAAACCATTGTTTGTTTTTTATGGAAAACAAACCTCTATCATTTTTGACGGTAAAAAAAGCAGCAAGGAAAAGCCAGCCTAGGTGTTTTTTCGGTACAACCATACATAGCTGTAGCTTCTTCAACATAAGAAAAATATTTCTCTTCATTTTCGTTATAAATTTGTAATAATTCTTTATTTGTGGCTAATTCCCATTTTGGTTTCTTCAAAAGCTCGATTATTCATATAAGTCCATCTTCTATATCTTGTTTGTCTCTACTGGGTATTTCGATCTGAATTTTTCCGTCATCGCTTATATTCGGGTGTAAAATTTTTGTAAGAAACTGGAACTTATAATTATAAAAGGTGTTTAAAAGGGAAGCCTAGATATAAAATATTTCAACTTCATATGGAGTTCAGAGGGTCCTGCAATGTCTGCAAGAAAAATCAATTGCCATTTGCAGTTGTCTTTAGGAGCTCTTTAAAAGGCAAATATATCTGGCTCATGGTTTTCTGCTATTTTTATAATTGACCGAAAGATTTGACCTTTATTGTCATATTTATTCATAAATAATATAAGCTCTATATTGGATCAACTATATTAAGTTTTCCTTAAAAAGCAGCTCTCCTAAAAATGCTATATTTTTATTTTCAAACTAAATAGAAGCAGCTTGCTTGATGTTTTGGTAACAAGAAAAAGTTATGATAATTTATTCAATATAATAATCCCTTTAAGCTCCAAAAAATGCTGTTTATGGGATTAAAATCGAGTCGCCAAAATAAAGGATAAGAAAGGTTTTCATCAGCTGCTTAATAAAACACATCTTTTCTTGACCGGTCTCAATTTTACAATGCAATTTTTATTTATTTCTAGTAATTTGCTAGATTGTTAATAGCAATTTTGCTAATTAAATTCTCAGCTTCATATGAATTAAAATTATATCTCAATTAAGATTGTTAAGAATATCTTGATTAACTTTTTATTGCTTTTATCAAATGAAAATTCTGATGTCTGTTCATATGGGAGAAAAATAATTTTCTAAATCCTAGAGAGAATAATGATATTTATTGCTTTAGGACTGTTTTTAATTCGCAAATATATACCCTTTAATATAATCTAGTAAGTTTCTTAGCACTTTAATCGTCTTCTGAGCTTCACAGGTTTCATAAAACTCAATATACATAAGCAGGATCGCATTTTAATTCCTCAGATAGGCCAAGAAATGACTCCATTCAATTGCTTATCAGCAAGCAACTCAATTTAAATTGCAAATCTTATTTCTTCTCTCCTAGAAAGAAAATGATTTTATTTATAGCTATAAATATAATGATCCTTCTGCCACTTAGGGTTATATGAGAATGATAAGCAATTAAAGTCCTTGCTTCTAGCAAAAGTTTTATTTTTATTATAATTAAAGAAATTATCCTCGTTGAAGCGATATCCAAAACATTTGTATTTTGAAAAAGCCATTTTATATAAATTTATAGAAATGACTTTGAATATTAAATGGATTTAAACTAATAAAAATCACTAATTAAAAATTACTTAATATTTCCCATGCATGCACTTTAGTGAATAATTATGATTTCAAAAGTCTTAAATTCCTCTAATTGCAAGCCTGTTAAATTAAGACATGGTTTATGCTTCACCTTAGAATGGCTAATTTCAAGAGGATCCCTTTAATGATTATTATCCCACTCCCATCCTTTTTCTTAATCACTTTAATATAAACAAATAATTAATTCCTTGCTGTTGTTACTATAGCCTCTTCCTAATTTGGCTTCGGTAAAGCATACTCATATGATGCTTTATCATTTCAATGTTTTAGCTTAAGAAAGTGGCTTTCTCATGTATTTTTATATTGAATAAAGCTTAAGACCAAGGTTCTTTTATTATTATCAGCTAGATGTTGAAAGACCTAAAATTTGAATAGTTCTAAGTAAACATATTTACTCCATTTTTTTGTGCAGAAATTCAGAAAAATTTGTAGATTTATAAATGATTAGCAAAAATAGCTCTATCTTATCCTTCAAAGTCAACGAAGTTGAATTTATGCCAAGTTGAGAATCAGATACCAATATAGAGCTCAGCTATATACTGACGAACTCCCAAACCTCCCAAATCATCTTCCAGTCTTCCACTTTTAAGCCATCGCAAGTTTCCAGCCTTCCTTCAGTTCGATTACAGCCTAGTGAACTTAGCTTTCTAGTTCTCAGTTTCTATATGAAGGCGATTGATAGCCAAAAGCTGCTGGGATCAGCATTAATTAGTCTCAGCCCAAAAACATGATTAAAGATTCCTAGCGATGGTGAAGAAGTTTTAAGTATAGAAATCGAATTTATCAATGAAGAAAACATTGAAACCCTTCACAAATCCTTGAGTGAAAGCGAAGTTTTAAGTGAAAATGAAAAAAGCGAAAATCAGCCAACCATAAGAGAAAAGCAAATAAAAGAGCAAGACGAAAGTGAAGAAAATAAAAATGAAAAATGCGAAAACCAGGAAAGCATAAATGAAGAAAATGAGAAATGCGAAAATCAGCACACTATAAGTGAAGAAAATAAAAACATAAATGAAGCAAGTGAGAAATGCGAAAATCAGCACACTATAAGTGAAGAAAATAAAAATGAAAAAAGCGAAAACCAGGAAAGCATAAATGAAGAAAGTGAGAAATGCGAAAATCATCACACTATAAGTGAAGAAAATAAAGATGAAAAATGCGAAAACCAGGAAAGCATTAATGAAGAAAGTGAGAAATGCGAAAATCATCACACTATAAGTGAAGAAAATAAAGATGAAAAATGCGAAAACCAGGAAAGCATAAATGAAGAAAATGAGAAATGCGAAAATCATCACACTATAAGTGAAGAAAATAAAGATGTAAAATGCGAAAACCAGGAAAGCATAAATGAAGAAAATGAGAAATGCGAAAATCAGCACACTATAAGTGAAGAAAATAAAGATGAAAAATGCGAAAACCAGGAAAGCATAAATGAAGAAAATGAGAAATGCGAAAATCAGCACACTATAAGTGAAGAAAATAAAGATGAAAAATGCGAAAACCAGGAAAGCATAAATGAAGAAAGTGAGAAATGCGAAAATCAGTACGAAAATAAAGATGAAAAATGTGAAAATCAGCACACTATAAGTGAAGAAAATAAAGATGAAAAATGCGAAAATCAGGAAAGCATAAATGAAGTAAGTGAGAAATGCGAAAATCAGCACACTATAAGTGAAGAAAATAAAGATAAAAATAGCGAAAACCAGGAAAGCATAAACGAAGAAAGTGAGAAATGCGAAAATCAGCTCGCTATAAGTGAAGAAAATAAAAATGAAAAATACGAAAACCAGGAAAGCATAAATGAAGAAAATGAGAAATGCGAAAATCAGCACACGATAAGCGAAGAAAATAAAAACATAAATGAAGAAAGTGAGAAATGCGAAAATCATCACACTATAAGTGAAGAAAATAAAGATGAAAAATGCGAAAGCCAGGAAAGCATAAATGAAGCAAGTGAGAAATGCGAAAATCAGCACACTATAAGTGAAGAAAATAAAGATAAAAATAGCGAAAACCAGGAAAGCATAAATGAAGAAAATGAGAAATGCGAAAATCATCACACTATAAGTGAAGAAAATAAAGATGAAAAATGCGAAAACCAGGAAAGCATAATTGGAGAAAGTGAGAAATGCGAAAATCAGCACACTATAAGTGAAGAAAATAAAAATGAAAAATTCGAATATCTACAAACTGTGGGTGAAGAAAATAAAAAATTTGAGAGTCAAGAAAGCACAAATGAAGAAAATAAAAGCGAGAAATCCAAAAATCAGTTAATTTTGGGCGAAAATCAGGAAAGAACAAGTGAAGAAAATAAAAATGAAAAATGCGAAAGTCAGCAAATTTTAAGTGAAGAAAATGAAAAATGTGAAAATCAGCAAAGAATAAGTGAAGAAAATAAAGATAAAGAGTGCGAAAATCAACAAAGTGTAAGTAAAGAAAATGAAAAACGCGAAAATCAGGAAAGCATAAATGAAAATAATGAAAATTGCGAATCTCAGGAAAGTATAAATGAAAATAATGAAGAATGCGAAAATCAACAGATTGCAAGTGAAGAAATTGAAAAATTCGAAGACCATGAAACCCTAAGTGAAGAAAATAAACATGAAAAATGCGAAAATCAACAAATTGCAACTGAAGAAAATAAAATCGAGGAGGAAATTAATAAGTTGCTAAGATTTTATGAAATCGAAGATATAGATAGTGTCGCAGCAAAAATAGAAGAGGTAAAAGAAGATATTGCTTTTTATAATAGAAAGAAAAAATATGACCTTGAGGAAGAAGAAAAAAAGAAATTACAAGATCTTGAGAGATTGCTAAAATTGCATGAAGAAATTAATCAAAATGTTAGCGTTATTGAGGAAGAAAATTTAGATGAAGAGCTTAAGCAAGGATTAATTAAGTACGAGATTGAAAATCCTCAACAAATTGAAGAAAAAATAAATGAAGCAAAAGAAAGTATCTCTTTTTATCATAAAAGGAAAAAATTAAATGATGCAAAAATTGAAGAAAATAATCTTGCTGATTTGGAAAAACTGCTCTCTATTTACAAAAAGCTTAGCTCAAAATCTATGATAGCTATAGATACTAAAGAGAATGATTTAGAAGATATATTGAAGCAAGGTTTAAACAAATATAATCTTGAAAGCCCTAAGGAATTAGAAGAATTGACAATTAAAACTAAAGAAAGTATTACATCAAATCACAGGAAAAAAAAGCCAGAAAAAGCAAAAAAAGAAGAAAACAAGCTTGCTGATTTAGAAAGATTACTTTCTATTGATAAGCAAATTTGTTTAAAATCTATGATTATTTTAGACTTCAAAGAGATTGGAAATGATAAAAAGATTGATTTTATTGAAGCAATGATAAATGATATTTCAGAAATTCCCTGTTGTACTGAAAGGTTTCTTACAAGCATTTTGTGCTTTGCATATTATAAAAGCTACAATTTTGAGATAGCACCAGAATTTCAGAAAAAAATTGAGAATTTAGACATTGAAAAAGAGTACAGCAATTTTCTTCAAGTTTTGAGTGCTTCACCTAATGGATTTTCGTCAAGAAAGCTTACCCCAAGTTTCAAAGAAAATTTCATTAATAAAAATTGGAAAAATTTAATAAAAGATACAGAAAAAATTCTCAAGGAGTATCGGCCTGTCAATATAAAGGAACTTAAACGATTGATTAATAAATCAGCCCAATGCTCTGAAGATTTGCAAAACAAGGACATTATTTTGTTAATTGGAGTTACAGGTTCAGGAAAATCGACAACAACCCATTTTTTATGCGACTCAAAGATGGAGAGAATCATGGAAGATGGTGTGAGACATATTAAAGCAATTGCTGTAAAAAATCCTATATTAAAAAACATCAATATTTCTTCTCATGCAGAATCAGAAACTCGATATATCACTATGGTGCCAATAAATTTTAAAAATTTTGAAGAGATTTTTATTTGTGATCCTCCAGGGCTATTAGATACAAAAGGAACTGAAGTTGACATGGCAAATACAATAAGTATTATTGAATGTGTTAAAAAATGCAGAAGCGTAAGGCCATTGATTTTATTAAGTTGTAAAACAGAAGGTGATAGGTTTGAAGGTGTTAAAAAAATTGCTCATACCTTGGCCAGACTTGTCCCAAATTTTAATAAGTATTCCCATTCATTTACATACGCATTTACAAAATATACAGCCCAAGAGGCTTCCAATATAAATGCACTGGTAACGAATGCTTTAGGGTTGTTAGAAAACCCTGATGAAGCGTTTTTGCATATTTTGCAGGACATAAAATATAAGACTAAAAATGGGGCGATAACTATTGATCCTTTAAGAGATGACCCTCAAGAACTCCTATCAAAGATAATGGAAAGAGCGCCTATTTTAGACCCAAAAACTGCATTTGTTAGCTTTATAACTGAAGATTCTAGAATTTCTATAAAAGAGCAAGTAATGCTTCATTCAAAAGACATTTTCATAGCCTCAAATCCTATGAATTATGAAATTATAAAATATAAATTGGACGAGTTGAAATATTTAGGAAGCTTATTTGAGCAATTTTTATCACAATATAAAGAATCTGCAGAACATGTGATAAAGAGCATTAATGATTTATATAATAATACTGTTAATCAGTTTAATAGTTTTATAGACAAGAATGGGAGCTTGGATGAAAATACTATTAAATCCTATGAAGTAGTTTATAATACTATTAAAAAGTCAGAAGAAATCAGAGATAGCCATTTAAGGGGAGAAACAGTCAAATCTGCAGCAATGTTAACTAATATTGTTTCAAAGCTAGATCTTACAAATCTGAACTTAAAATCAGATAATATAGATCCTGATATTTTGAATGTCCAGTTGAACAATGCTAAAATTTTAAGTGAAACATTTGAAGACGTTGTGCCGCACTATAAAAATCTTTTTAACGAATATTCACATCTCATTGAAAGCTTACTATCATCTGCCACTTCTAATTTGGAAAAGAAAAACTTTAAAAATTTTGCTATCTCCGCAGTTAATACTGAGCAACTTCAAATTTCTTTTCAATAAATTTTAATCATCATAATTTTAATTTTTTCATCTTCCATATAAAGTTTCACACTTTTAAATAAATAATAACTAAGTCGATTGAAAATTAATCGCTTTTTTAGTTAAAACCTATTCAATAAGAAGAAATGCTTGTTATATTAGAGGAAAATTAAAGACATATCGCAAGAGCAAAAATATTTAAGAATTGCTCGCACCCATTTCGATTTGACAGCTTTTGACGAAAGGCATAATGATCTTCTAAAGAAGTTATCATTTACCTTAAAAGAAAATCATGATAACTCCATTGCAATATTAAGTAAAGGAAGATTTGAAAAAAGCGATATCGAATCTCTAAACCAAAATATTTCAATAATAAAGTCATTTATCGGATCTCGCCACTTTAATGGTCTGATAGCCAAAGATGAATTAGAAAACCAGCTCCAGTCAATTCTTGATGTGTATCAAAAGCACTTTGAAGACGCTAAAAGCAATGTCATCTCATTCATTAATGATAAAACCACATATAATATATACTTCTATCTTTGAGTTGCCTGCTCTTTATCTAACTAAAATGGAGGCAAGCAAAGTTTCGAATTTCTTTGATAAAATAATATTTAATTTTATAGTGCAATAGGCAACTGAAGGCAAAGATGTTTAGCTGAAATTGAAACAAAATTTGATGAATTCAGCTATTTAATGGAGATCCCAGATATTGCATCCCTTATTACTGCTTCTTATCAAAATGTATTAAGCTCACTTATAAATAAGATCAGTTTTTTCAAAAAAGAAGCAAGAGAATTTGTAAAATCTTTAACCAGGTCTCCTGAGTCGACAGATCTAGAAGCATTGCGCAACTGCTTCTCATGGCTTGAATCAGGAAAGTGGATCGAAAAGTTTCAAAAAGGAACTTATAGTAATGAGCTGTCTGGTATAGAAAGAGAAATTAAAAATTTCACTAACTCCCCCCCCTCCGTGAGTGAACAAAACCATTAGAAAAATCGCTATTTTTTGCCCAAAAAACCACCCTCCGTGAGTGAACAAAAATTTTTTTTATAGAAAAATTTTTTATGGAAATAAATTTTGATATATAAATGATAATTAGCATAATGAAATCTAGAGTTAATTCTGTTTAATTTTAAACAATTGCATTTTTAAAACATAAATTTTATATATTAAATTAATATTTGTTTTCCAATTTTTGCGAATGAGGATTTTTTTAAATTTCGAAAAAAAATAATTTTTATAAAATTTATATATAAATTTTTTTTAAAAAAAAAAAAATTAACCCCCCTCCGTGAGTGAACAAAATTTTTTTGTTCACTCACGGAGGGGGGGGGAGTAAAAAATTATTGGATCAATTAGAAGCAATTGACTTACTCTTCACATAAAATTAAAATTTGAAAGCTAAAAATTTACTAATTATGATTCTATTGCCCCATATCCCTATATAGATTTCTTTATCGAACAAAAATATGATAGAAGGTTTTATGACCAAGACAGACTCTCTCAAGTGCGATCTGGATCTTATAAAGGGAATCGTTAAAAAGAGGTATACCAAAAATTGGTGAAAAAAGTTGACAAGCGCATGCGCTAATTTTAAAAGTGGCTTTATTATTGAATTAATTTTAATTTTTAGATATCCTATTAGACTCTAGATGATAAATATAAAGCATTATTATGAGCCATTAAGAACTTTATAGAGAGCAATGCTTTATAGAGTTATTGATTATAACAAAATTGGCATTAGTTATTTAAAAATATACTTATATTAACCTAATTTGTTTTAAAGCTAAATTTTTCAGAAAAGAGAAAAGAGTAAGTAAGTAATATTTAATCAATCCCAGTCTAACAGGTATCAAAATAAAAAAAATTAATTTAATAATAAAGCCATTTAAAAATTGGCGCATTTGCTTGTCAACTTTTTTCACAGTTGTCAACCATATTTTGACATGTCACTTTTTAGCACTTCTTATCGAAATCCAGCTCGTCTTTTTAAAAGAGTCTCACTTGGTCGTTAATTCATCCATTTCGATAAAGAAATCTATATAAGGCATGAGCTGTTTGTGGAATATTTTGTAAGGGAGTTAGGAATTAATTGTCCTCCCAATGTGGCGAAAGGATATTGCATAGTTCAAAAATTAGACCCAATTCTCCAATTAAAAGAATTTATACCTTCATTAGAAAATAGTGAGAATAATATTTGGATTAAATTCCAAGAAAGAATTAAAGATACCTTGAAAATTATTAAAAAGGAGTTTTGCCCAGAGCATAGTGATATTGAAAGGGAAATTAATGAATTAGAGAGATTACAAAAGATTAGACTTGATTATTCAAAATATAAAGAAGAAAATAAAAATAGTGAGTGTCAAGAATTGCTCAAAATTAACGGATTTGAAACATTTAAAGAAATAAATCTTGAAATAACAAAAATCCAAAACTTTATCAATATTTTTAACCAAAAATTAACGAAAAATACGCCTAACGTTGATAAAATAGAAAATTATTTTAATTATATTCAAGAGTGTAAAAGCATACCCCAGCTCTCGGAATTTGTCATAAGTTTTTCACAGAGTATTTTATCGAATTTATCTCAATTTTACAACAATAGTCTTATCTCTTTGGCAGAGTGCTTCAATGCTATACTATATTTCAGCATTATTATTTTTATTTTTATTATTTTAAGTTAATTCTCAATCAGCATAAAAATAATATTGCAAGGAATATTTCAGATGATACTAATTGTGATTTTGACTCTGTAAAGCAATATTCTATTCAGTTTTCTTTAAATTTTAAAGAAATATTGTTATTGAATAAAAAATCTCCATCATTTTTCAACTTTTTGGAATTTCAGCTTCAGTTTGAGCATTTTGCCAATGAGCTCAATAATTTACGCATAACTTTCCATGAAAAACTACAAATTAGCAATGAAAGAAATGACTTAGAAGCAATTTCTTCATGAATAAGCATTGCTAATGAATTTAAAGAAATTGATGGGAATTTTGCTGCTATCATAAATGAGTATCAAAAAATTCAGAATTCAAAGTTTAAACAGCAAAAAATAATTGATTTAATTGAGAATCATAATTTTGAAACAGCAATAAAATCAATAGAAGAAATGGACAATGATACTCGAGCTCAATCTATAATGATTTGAGACTTTTCCTTTCTGTATTTGAAGAAGAAAATTATATTTACTTTGAGAGTCTTAGAATTTATGAGTCAAAAATATTTATTAATTCACATTAAGGAATACAAGTACCAAGCCATTATATTGATATACTCTCTAGACATGCATAGCCTATAAATATTTTGATTGCAGCTATACTCATAGCAAATAATATTGATGATATAATTAAGGAAAAATTATATCATGCTTTACACTTTTTGCAAAAATGAGCTCACACGTGAATTCAAACTCCATTATTGAATAAAATTCTAAACCTGGAGTTATTTAATTTATAATATGAAATTTTATTCTACACATGGAGTTCGAATCCACATGCCAACTGCATTTTTTAAATAGAGAAAATCAGTATATTGCGGAATTGAACAATTTCTGAAAGACGCAAAAGAAAGGTCTAAAAGCATTAATAACTCGATATTGCAGCAAGCGGAAATAGAGGAAATACATGAAATCTTTCAAAAATTCGTAAGATTTAAAAACAGCGGTCTCAATAAGTATTTTGATGAAAACCAAAAAAAAATACTAACTGAATATCAAAATGAAGCAAGAACAGAATTTTATAATAAGATTGCAGATTTTATAAATTCTATAGAAATAACCATTAGTTTCAACAAATACCATGAAGCTGAGCTTAAAATGAAAAATTTCTTAGGATTATAGGACTATATACTTAGTATTCTTGGAAAACAATTTGAAGCTGAACATGTCTCAAACATCAAAAATATTCTTAATGACTTACCAATAACTATTATCGAAAAAATGGAAAAGTGCGATATCAAAGGTTTTAAGCAATTTCCTCTAAGTTTAATTTTGGAAGAATTAGAAAAAGCCTCAAGAAATTTTCAAAAGTATAGTGATTGCCTTTACAAAGTAAAAGATATAATATCCAGCAAATTTGAACAAATAAAAGCTAATATCCAAAATAAAACAAATCCTGAAAAGAAAAGAATTGTTGATGAAATATCTTCTATTTTAGATTTTTTGCCAAAAGAATATGAAGCTTCAGCTAAGAACTTAATTAAAGAAATAGTGAAAAGTTATAAAGAAAATAAAAAAGATACAAGAGGAAGAATCGATGCTCTTGCGAGCAATCAAGAAATAAGCGATATATGCAAAATGATTAATTCTTTAAAAAAGGATGGCTCCAATTCAGATTATGCATATGCGAAAAATAAATTGAGGGATGCTTTATATTTAATTAAAGGAGAAATTAATTTAGCAATGCATAGGAAAGATTTAGATATTGTTTTTAATAAAGCAAGGGTTTTGAAGCTTAAAGAAAATTTAGATTCAGTATTGAAAGAAAGCGATGGAATACTTACAGAAATTTATGATAGTATCACTAAGTTAATAAAAAAGGCTTTAAATATTCTTCTGAATATTGAGCATAAGGAAGATAGTGCTGAGATTATAGAAGCATTCAAAATTTATTCTATTACAATGGATTTTAAAATTGATTGTGAGAAAGAAAATATGTTGTCTAACATGTTTGGAATTAATAACACTATCGAAAGCATGCAAGCTAGCATTATAGCCTTTTACGAGAAACTTGACAATAGTTATATGGAATATAAACCTCCAAAAAACACTATCAAGTGCAGCACAATATTAAATAAAATCAAACAATGGGATGATTTTTTACAAATTTTTAAAGAATATCAAAATCATCATCCCAGGTTTGACATTTTAAAAATTAGAGGAATCCGCCGATATGCAGATTTTGCTGATGATTTAAATCAAACTCTTTATGATTTTTATGATTATATCTTAAATTTTAGGATTCAAAATGATGAAATTAAGCACCCAAAACTTTTAGAGGACCGTATTAATAATATCAAAGAAAAATGAGACCAAATAAAAAGTTTTGAGGGAGTAAAAATCCATTTAAATTCAAATATTGTTAATCTTAAAGAAATACAATCTGATGTAATCAAATCCATTTCAGATGAAATGTATAGGATTGTCGAAGACGCTTCAAATTTGATAAAGAAAGATGATATCAGGAAAGAAGATTTTAATCAAATTCAGATTTATTATAATTGTTTGACTCATTTCGAGGCAAATTTAAGTATTAAAGGTTTTGCTTTCAATAATACACTCAGAATGATAGAAGACAAAATTTATGAAAAAACATTAGAATTAAAGGAAAAAGCTGAAAAAGGAGAGGGAGCAAGCGAAATTGTTGAGTCTATGATAGGCATGAAAAATATTTCAAATAATTTTTCTTTATTAAAGAAAAGATTAGATTCAATTTTGGATGAATTTTTAGAGACATTTAGGAAAAAGAACAAAACAATAGCAGTCGCAATCTTAGAAGAGCTAGAAAAGCACCCTAGTGGACTAGGACTCTGCATTATCACAGAACATAAATTCTTTGAAGGGGTTATGCAAAGATTGTGGCTGAAAAAAACTCAAGAACATGGAATCGACTATGCCTTGGAGCATATCCAAGGCTCAAATTTGAATATTGAAGAGCTAAACAATAACTATTTGGCCTACATTGAAAAATTAGGTGAAATCCAAAAAATTTATTTAAGACTGACTAGCAATGAAGGAGTGAATACTGCGATAGCTCAAATAGTTAGCGAAATCCAGGTTCTATCTAAAAAATACACGAAAGATTGTCGAAATCCAAATATTAGTCTAATAAAAACATATATTCCAGAGCTTTTAGCGTATATTGCATGGCTATGGGTACTTTTGAATATTAAAAAATACAACCAAGATGTGAATGATGAAGATAGTCAAATTGCATTCGTAACTCCTCACGCTATACAAGTTCTATCAATATTTCGTATGCTTGGGATTGGCTATAATGAGAATACAAATCCTGGAAATAATCTTGTGCAAATTTTAACTGGAGAAGGAAAGTCAATTACATTGGCATTCTTATCATCTATTCTTGCTTTATTGGGGTTTGATATAAATTGTGCTTGCTATAGTGAACATCTAAGTAAAAGAGACTCTCAAGATTTTCAGCCTTTATACACAGCTTTAAGTATTTGCTCTTATATAAAGTATGGAACTTTTAATCAACTTTGTGAAGATGAAATCAATTCTAAAGGAGATATTAGAGAGATAGTTTTAGATTTTATTAGATTTGGAAGGATTCCTAAAATTAGCTATAGAGATAATGAAAGACCTAAAATTCTCCTAATAGATGAAGTCGATGTATTTTTCACTAAATCATTTTATGGAAATATTTATAGGCCCCTCGCAAAGCTTAAAGATCCAACAATTAGCAATTTAACAGATTACATATGAAAATATATACAATATGGCAGTAGTAAGTTTATTTCAATCTTTTCTCCTTTTTAAAGTTTTTTTGATATTTCACATGCTTGGTCTCTTTTATGAAGTATAGAAAAACGCCTAAGCTTTTTGAGTGATTGGATTCAAATGAGTATAATCAGTGCTGCCAAAAATTTCCAGGCTTTGAATTTCTTATAGAAGAAGCTGTTAAAGATATGATAACTCATGTGCGTCAATTTGAGTCTCATGGTTATATAGTCAAAAATGATAAAATTTGCTACAAAGAGAATGATGGGATTTTATCTAATATTGTTTATGGGTATAGCACATTGTTTGCTTATTATTTGGAGAATGAAAAAGGAAATATTAGTCAAGATAGCTTAAAAGAAAATATTTTCATTGGAATTAAATGTGGAATGTTCTCATTTGCAGAAATACCTCATAAATATAAATATATTATGGGAGTCACTGGAACTTTAGAAGATTTAGGGGATTATGAAAAAAATATTATAGAGAATGAATATAGAATAAAATTAAAAACGCTAATGCCATCAGTATTTGGGGAAAGCAATAGAAAATTTTGTACCAATGAGGATATTTATGTGGAAAACAAGGACAATTACTATAATAAGATACTAGAACAAATAAATATTCGAATAGAAGGCAAAAAGCCACCTTGCAAAAGAGCTGTATTGGTATTTTTTGAAGAAGAAGCAAAATTAATACATTTCTATAATAATTCGAACCTAAAGAACACTGACTATGATATACAGTTGATGACAGAGAGTTTATCGGTAGAAGATAGAGGTATGATGATTAAAAAAGCCACAGTTCCAAATACTGTGTCATTATTGACAAGAGCTTATGGCAGAGGAATTGATTTTAAATGATCAATGCTTAGTATAATGGCATAATGGGATCTCTAATTCCACTGGATAAAAGTTCTATAATTAGCTTTATAATGGCGCTTTTGTTCCTTAACATAAAATGAGATCATAAACACTCAATAAAGATATCCAGAAATTTATATTATTAAGTAAAATTAAATTTTAAATGTTACAATCATGAAGTTGAGACCAATGGAGGAGTTCATGTAATCCAAGTATTTTTATCAGAAAATGTATCAGAAGAAACTCAAATTAAGGGTAGATCTGCAAGGCAAGGGCAGGAAGGATCGTATAGTATGATACTTTTAGATGATGACCTAGAAAAATTCCAAATCATGAAAGAAGACATTGAAGAAATGAAAAAAAATAAAACAGGAATTTATGAATCTTTGAATAGCAAAAGAAATAATTTTAATCAAATCAAGAATGCCAATGAATCAAACCATGTGAAGCAATCAAAAAGTTTTCATGATGAGACAACAAAGTTTTTGATATGAATCGAGTGTATCTGTTTGCATTTAATTTAATTTCAGTGATTATTTATATTTGATTTTAATCAATATTTTCTCATGAATAAACTAATCTTAAGAAGTATGTATACCATTTACCGCTAAGTAAGTTTATAACTGCATTATCATATAAAGTTCGATATATGAAGTAATATTTTATGAATATTTTATTTTTTTTGATTAGGGTATAGGAATTTCAAAGGATCTAAAGCATTTTTACAAGAACTGAATAAAGGTCCCAGTATCAATTTAGGGATATCCAAAGCAATTGTTTTAATGGATGCAACTGGATCTATGTCTCATTTATTGCAAAATGCCAAAAATACAGTGAAAATTATGTTCTGACGCATGTGCGCAGTGCTTTCAAATACAGGAATAAACCCTAGCTCCTCCATCCATGAGATATAATAATAAATATTTTTTGTTTTAAATATTAAATAATATTTTGATATTTAATCAATTACACTCTCTTAATTGAATTTTGGGAGTCTTGATGAGGAGAAATACTCCACATATCCGAAAATTTTCACATGTAGAGATTGGCTCCATACATGATATCATTTTAATTAATGATTGATAAATAGTATAAATCCCCCCTTTAATATTGGTAAACTTTCATTTTTTATAAACCGGAAGAAAATTGATTTTTGCAAGGAAAATTTTATAACTCCCCCCTCCGTGAGTGAACAAAAACCATTAGAAAAATCCTTATTTTTTGCCCAAAACCATGAGAGAACAAAAAATTTTTAATAGAAAATTTTTTTATAAAAAAAAAAAAATTGATAATAAGTGATAATTAGTATAATGAAATCTATAACTAATTCTGTTTAATTTTAAGAATTTGCGTTTTAAAACATAAATTTTATAAATTAAATTAATATTTGCTTTCCAATTTTTGTGAATTAGGATTTTTTTAAATTTCAAAAAAAAATTTTTTCTACATAAATTTTTTTAAAAAAAAAATTAACTCTCAGTGAGTGAATAAGATTTTTATGTTCACTCACGGAAGGGGGAGTAAGTAAAATCTCTAATTTTTAAAAAATAGTTTTAGCTTAATTTAATAAAGAGAGTTTTAAGTATGGATTTTTATATAAAAAGCTCCATTAGGCAACGAATTGTCACTTAGGTAGCATTTGGTCGTCCGATCAACTTACTTTTGGACGAAGGTGAATTTTACTTTAATTTATATTTTACTAATTTTTAAAAAATTTTTATATTATGAAAAATTCTTTTTAAAAGAAATTAGCCCCTTTCAATTAAAGGGGTGGAGTAAGGAATTTTCTTACAAAATGATATATAAATTGAAATTCTTAAATTAAAACTTATTTAACAAATGAAATAATAGAAAATTTTGTTTGCTTGGGAGGAGTGAGTGCTTCCAATTGCAGTATTGTGTGTATAGAAATTATAGTTCTACTGAAGATAAAATCCTCCAAGTTTCACCATGAACAAATAATCCAGATATTCTTGAAAGGTTTATGGCAAATGTACAACCAGAAGGAGGTTGGGGAAACGAAGCAATAGAGGTTGGATTATGGCACGTAAATAACGTTTTAAAAAATGATACAATTTCACAAGTTATTTTAATCGGTGATATGCCTCCAAATACAGTTGATGATATTCAGGAAAAACGAGGCAAATATATTTCGTATTGAAATCAATCTAAATTTAGAGCTGTTGAACACTATAAGCAGGAGTTGGCAACAATCATAGATAAGAAAGTCCCAATAAATGCATTTTATGTAAAAACGTACGCTAAAGAAGCTTTTGAAGAAATTGCAGCTTTAACAAAAGGACAAAGTGGATTTCTTGATATTAATTCAATTTCAGGGGCTGATAGACTAACTGATTTGGTTTCTACTGACTCTTTCAACAATAAGTAAAATGTTTTCTCATTATTGGGAGTTTTAGCACGAAAGCTACAAGTAGTAAATTTTGCTTATTATGGGGGAGTGAGATTTTAAGGAAAGTAGCTGGAGAAGAAGCAGTCAATCTCTATAAAGAAATGTACCCACCTTCATATATAAGACTTTTGCATGAATACTCTAATAAGCAATTAATAATTTAAATGAAAAATTATATGTGAAAAATATTATACTTAAATTTAACTCAGCTTTTATTCACTTTTATTAAAGTAAAAATCCTGCTCAATAATAATTTACTATAAATTGCAATTCAGAATGTGGTTTTAGCATTCTAATTTTCTAATATATAATTTTAGAGTGTAATTCAATTATATTATATATGCAATTTACGCTTGCAGGAAAAAATATACAGTTTTAGATAGACGGTAAACGCCAGTTTTTTTAGGTGATCTTGTTGTGCCAATAGAAAATGCCCATACTTAACCTTAAAGACTATTTAATTATGGATTTCTTATCTCTTTAATAAGTGCCTTTGAAGTAGGCCTAAAGGCATGACTTCTTAAGTTAAGGCAATGTTAATTTAGCTGCTAATAGCTCTGAATAAAATGGCTGTGTGTATAGGCATTAAATTAGAAAAGAGTGATTGAAGAGACAAATTCCACCACTCTGAGCTAATGACCTATATATAACTATTGTGGAATAGCGTAAGGTTTCATTTCAGAAATTACCGTTTTATTAATGCATAAATTTGGTAGACCAAGGCTAGGTAAGTCAATTCTGACTGTGACATGAAATCAATTTTTCATATGAAAAAATGTTTAGGCAAATTCTGGTAAGAACATAATTATCCTGATAAAGTATAAATAACTTTTACTTAAGCCTTAACACCTTACCAATCTAGCACCCTAAAGAAATAGCTTGGCAATGGTGTGCTATCCTAAACTATTAATAATCTGGCTGGCATAAGATTTAAATATTTAACATCATAGTAGATTATGCAAACTAGATGCTATTCTGGTGCGGTGCAAATCCGAATTTTCGCGCAAAAAGATTGCATTTAGAATTAACTCTGTGAATTCTTATCAGAGTCTGCCCATACAGCAATAAGACATATACTATTGACAATTTTGTGATATCTGTAATTCTTCAAATGATTCATAAATTCTACCAGATCAAATGATAGTAGATCCAAGCAGCCTTAAAATGAATTTTTCCAGTGAAGTTTACTGCTCTGATAAAAATGTGCAACTCTGTTACTATTACCCTTATTGTGATTCTACAGGCTCTGAATGTCTTGCTTGCAAAGAGAAGTGCAAATTTTGCTCTTCGCATTAATTCTTGTTCTGAGTATACCCAGTCTGATCGAATGCATACTGTTAGTTTGCCTGGAAACTGTGCATGCAATGAAGCACAGTGCACTGATCATCAAAAAATGCAGAACTTGACAGCAATTCGCTATGCAGATGCAAAAATTGGTATAACTTGAACAACTCAAATAATGAATAGCCACCTGCAACCTCCTCTGCACTTCCTGCAATAAAAGTGATAGGACTTTTTTTACAGATGTGTGCCCAATCCTGAGTTAAAGAGTATGCCCAGCTCCTGCACTGATAACTCCTAATCTCTTCCCTGCAGTTTCAGAGATTATACTATTTGTCTCAAAGCTTTTGTATCACATGCAAAAATGCTTATCAAATGCACTGATTAGTGGGGCTTTCTTTTCTTCATCAATAAGGCTATATATGCATATTTTTGTAAATATCGACACAACAATTAATGCAGAATGTGATATGGTACTGCTTGATTCCTCTTTATAAAAAAATGGGAAAAAATCCAATTCGCGCATGGGTTGATTCTAGAACTTTAAGAATTAGATTTCAAACAGAGAACAGACGAAATCTTTTAGATAGATTGCATATACTTAAATATGGAGAAGACGACGCACATTAGATTACGAGCCACTAATAATCAAACCCTAGCTTGAAGGAAACATATACCCTCAAGCAACTTTATCGGGCCCTTCTTATTTTTCTTCTTGTGATATCAATCTTCTAATATTTTCTGCAGACCTATCAACTGGATTTATTTGCTCATCTTTTAACTATCAATGAAGTGTAGTTCTGAGCTCAATGAACTCGCTAGTGTCATCAAAAATTGCTGAGGCTAAGACTTCACAATTTATATATCTCAGCTATGATTCAATTCCAAAACGCCTGTGATTTCCTTATAGGCGTTTTTTATGTAAATGATCTTAGTCGTCTAGAATACCCTTCCAATTCAAACTTTATTTTTTCAGTTTAAATACTTTCATTTATCCTAAAGAGATAAATTATGATGCTAAAACTGCGCTTTCAAAAGCTAGCACTATATAAACGACAAAATTCTTTCTGCTATTTTGATTTTATCCACTTTTGCTATCAAATCGTCAGTTTGGGATGTTGCAGTTATCATAAGATTTATTGTAAACTATTTTAAACTAGATGAATTTAAAATATTTATAATTTTTAAAATGAGTACTATGCAACATAATTCTATGTTCCCATTTTATAACCTTAAAAAAATTAGTAAATTTGATTTCATAATCCTGATATTGTTTGATATTAGCATAAATGCTAATATATAACATTGAATATTTAAAATTTATTAATATTTCTAAATAGAAGGAGATGTGTTCTTAGATTTTTGTGAGACAAAAAATCTGACTAACTTCTCTAATCTTTTGCTGCCAATTTTAAAATATTTATGGCTGCTAAAAACCATAAACAAATATAGAGAATTCTCTATTTACAATCCAATAGAAATCTATTTAATCCATAATTATAGCCTATTTATCCTTAATCATAGCTATGCAGTTTTTTAAAATACAGCCTTTGGTTGAACTTCACAAGCTGCATGTCTCTAAATGCAGGTCCAAGCATATCAAAATATCTGTTCGCACACCACCGAACTCTTAGTCTCTTGTAAGTCATATAGACAGCCTTAACCAAAAAGGAAAGGGTTGTGTAAATTATAAAGCATCAAAGTATTCTAAAAAGAGTTGGCCTAGTTATAAAAATGCAGCTCCAAAAGTACTCTTTAAGATTAAAGGTTTCTACGTCAAAATCAGAGCTTTCTGTGTAAAATTCTCTTTGGTTCATGTCAGCATGTCTATCAATCAAAGCCTTATCATCAAGAGTTACAAGCTTCGGTATTTCTAAGGGTTTTTGAGTGCCAAAATTCTTAGGGTTTTTGCTAAGAAACTCCTCGTAAGACTGAAGCTTTCTAAATTGAGCAAAGGATCGAAAAAGATTAGGAACTCTTTTCATTTTATATTTCGGAATAAAAATAGATCGAAAAGTACGGGAAGGATAAAATATTATTTTTAAAAATTAATAATTATTAGCATTGCTAATAAAGCTATTGATGGACTTCTAAACTTGTGAATAGATTTACCTGTGCTCCATCTTTATATTGTTTAATTTATTTAAGCTATTTGAAAAAGGCCTTTCGCTATATTGATAATCTTAGTTGAATTAAATTCATAATAAAATATTTTTTCTATTTTGTGTTTTTATTTTCAAAGACTCTATAATAGCATCATGCCTTTTAGACATGATTTTTTCCCTTCAGACATTTCTTCGGTACCATTTGGCATTTGGTCAAAACCTTTTCGCATCAGACATTTCTCTGGCAGAAGCCGCCAATTTTCGACCTGATGCTTGGATATTTAAAATTTTCAACCAAATCGCATCGAAAAATGATAGGCAAGTGAAAATGCCCTGGGGAAAAAGATGTAGCTTCAATAATAACTTGGCTGCTTGGCTACGCTTTGATTTATAATATTATTTGTATTTATTTTAAACATCTAAAGAGGCATTAGCAATGAAGAAATTGATTGAAGGCTATATTTTTGCTGTTTTGCATATTTTCCCTTAAATTTAGTATTGTCAGCTACTATGAATGGGCATTAAGTTGCGTTTTTTATGAATCAGAATAGGTGAAATATATAATTTAATAGATTTAAATTCGCCATTCTGTTGCCTGATTGGCGAGAAGCATTCATTGCAGAGCCAAATTCAATATAGAAACCTTGAATAGCTTAAATTTATCAATTTTAAATTTAGTTTGCCAACTCGCATTAGCCTGCAGAGTGGAATCATCAAAAACTGCTCCATAAATTAACGGCATCGCCAAATAAGTGAAGCCAGTCCACGAACTATATTTAAATACTGAAATATTATTATAAAATCTTGATATGAAGGAGAATTTATTTTTCTATTACATATAGCCCGTTCTCTTGCAAAATTTCAATATAAATCCTGTCTGTTAGTTTATCATTTCCTGCATTAGCATCCATTATAAGTTATCTACGCTAATCTACTGCTGATATTCAATCTCTAATTTTTATTTATCACTATCGCTTTATTTATAGCCTATTTTTCCAGGAATTATTATTATTTAATACCCACACGCCCCAAAATATATCTCTTGCTGCAGTTGAAAAATGCTTTATAGTCTTTTATTGAGGATAAAGATTTAGGAATTAAATAATTTAAAGGGTTTTTAAATTAGGATATAAAACGCAAAGATAAAATAAAATAGAATTGTAATATTTAAGAAGTGTTTTCATAGCCATCAATTATTGCTAGATTACTATTAAAGTTGAACATATATTTGTTATAAACATGTGGCTTTAAGTTATTGAAAATGAAAATTGATCAAAATCAACTTATAGATTAATTAAGTTAAAATTAAGTATATGAGCGAGGGTACATTTCTCTATAAAGCTTTACGGCGTCTTCTCCAGCAGATTTTCTTAAAACTTCTGTAGAAACTAAATCAGTGAGTCTATCAGCTCCTGAGCTTGAATTAATATCAAGAAATCCGCTTTGGCCTTTTGTAAGTCTTGCTATCTCTTCAAATTTAACTTTAGCGCAGTTATCGACATAAAAGGCATTTATTGGGATTTGTTTACTTATAATTTTTGCTAATTCTCGCTCGTAATATTCGACGCTGCTAAATTTTGAACTATTTCAATAAGATGATCGTGCACCTCTCTTTTCAGCAATATTATCAATAGTATTTGGAGGACAGTCACCAATTAAAATTACTTGTGAAATTTTATCATTTTGCGAAATCTTATTTATGTGCCATAATCCAACTTCTATTGCTTCATTTCCTTGACCACCTTCAGGTCGCACGTTTTCCATAAATCTTTCTAGAATATCAGGCTTATTTGTTCATGGGGAAACTTGGAGTATTTTATCCTCATTTGAACTATAGTTTCTATAAACACAGTACTGAAGCTGAAAACACTCAGAACTAACCCCTTTCTTTGATAAAACTGCGCAGACTCTTGAAAACATAACTTTCACAGTATTTTTAGCGTTCTGCAGCAAGTGTGACATAGACCCCGTTGCATCCATTAAAACAACTGTTTTTGAATTTCCAATATCAATGCTAAGCCCTTTGTTAAGCTCATGCAGAAATACTTTAGCTCCTTGTATATTGTTATTTTGAAGAAAACTCTGAAATTCAACAGAACTATCATGAAGAGCTTTAGATTGCTTCACATGGCCAGATTCATTGTCATTCTTAATTTGATTATATTTATTTCTCTTTTCATTTAAACCATCATAAATTGTTCCATTATTTCTCATATTTTCAATATCTTTTTTCGAAACCAAAAATTTTTCGAGTTCGCTATCTAAAAGGACCATGCTGAATGATCCTTCTTGGCCTTGCCTTGCAGATCTTCCCATAATTTGAGTTTCTTCTGATATATTTTCTGAAAAAAAAAACTTGGATTACATGCACTCCTCCATTGGTCTCAATTTCATGATTTTGGCATTTAAAATCAATTCCTCGGCCGTAAGCTCTTGTTAATAATGATACTGTATTTGGAACTGTGGCTTTTTTAATCATCATAACTCTGTCATCTACACTTAAACTTTCTGTCATGAGCTGAATTTCATAATCAGTGTTCTTTAGGTTCGAAGTATTATAAAAATCCATTAATTTTTTTTCATCTTCAAAAAATACCAATACAGCTCTTTTGCAACCTGCTTTTTTGCCTCCTATTTGGCTATTTATTTCTGACATTATCTTCATGCTGTAATTGTCTTTATTTTCTACATAAATGTCTAAGTTTTTTCTAAAAATACGATTGCTTTCCCCAAACACTGATGGCATATAGGTATTTAATTTTATGTTATATTCATTCTCTATAATATGCTTTTCATAATCACCTAAAGTTTCTAGAGTTCCAGTGACTCCCATAATGTAATTGAATTTGTGAGGAATTTCTGCAAATGAAAACATTCCACACTTAATTCCAATAAATATATTTTCTTCTAACCCTTTCAATTAAAAGCAAATAAATTCTTATTTCAGTGTAAATTTTATCAAACAAATTTTAATATATAATATTTCTTATAAATTTTTTAAATTGAATTATCACGAAAGTGTCCGTAAACTATTAATTTGGGTAAGCTTTCTTGAGATATATTTCCCTTTTCATTCTCAAAATAGTATGCAAATAATGTATTATATCCATAAACAATATTAAATGAAACTCCGTCGTTTTCTTTGTAGCAAATTTTGTCATGCTGTACTATATAGTCATGGGACTCAAACTGCCTTACATGATTTATCATATCTTTAACAGCCTCTTCAATAATAAATTCAAACCCTGGAAACTGCTGACTGCATAGTCTATACTCAGGCGCATTTCATATTTCCATCAGTTGAGGCGTTTTTCTTATTTTTCATACATAATCAGTCAGATTTTTAATAGTATCATGCTTTAGCTTACTCCTTCCCTCTCAGAGCGATTAATACCTTTTTGCTTTCAGGAAAGAAGGATTAATTTTATATTAAAAATATATAAAAAGTGTATTTTTGATATAAAACCATGTTTAAATATGTGAAAAAGAAAAATTATTTATTTTTAAGAACTAATTTAATAGAATTAGCTATAGATCTTGCTCTAAAATTATTAATTATATATATAAAAATATTTATAATTTTTTTATAATCTAAGGTTAGAGTTAGCAAGAGGCCGATATATATTTCCATAGAAAGTTTTAGTGAAGAAGACATCTACCTCATCTATTAAAAGAATTTTGGGTCTTTCCTCTACTCCACTATATGCTCCTGGGCATCTTCCAAATTTGATAAAATCTATAACAATCGTTCTGATGTCACCTTTTGAATTTATTTCATCTTCACAAAGTTTGTTAAAAGTTCCATATTTTATATAAGGGCAAATATTTAGGGCTGTGTATAAAGGTTAAAAATCTTGAAAATCTCTGTTACTTAGGTGCTCGCTATAGCAGGCGCAGTTCACACTGAATCCTAGCAGGGCAAGCATAGAGCATAAAAACGCTAGTGTGATTGATTTTCCCTCACCTGTTAAAATTTGCACTAGATTATTTTTAGGATTTGTATTTTCTCGATAGCCAATTCCAATCATTCGGAATATTGATAAGATTTGTATTGCATGAGGGGTAACAATTGTAATTTCTTGTTCTGTATCATTTATATCTTGATTATATTTTTTAATATTTAAAAGCACCCATAGCATTGCAATATAAGCTAAAAGCTCAGGTATAAACTCCTTAAATAAGCTAATATCTGGATTTGAAGAGGTTATAGCATAATTTTTGGACACTATTTCTATTTGGCTTAATATTTGAGAGATAGCATTATCCGCCCCTTCATTGCTTGCAATTCTTCAATATATTCTGTGCAGCTCACCAAAATGCTCACTCCCCTCCTTCGTGAGCGAACAAAAAAATTTTTGTTCGCTCACTATTGGGGGGTTAATTTTTTTTTTTAAAAATTATATATAATTTTATAGAAAATTAAAAATCAAAAATTAATATAATTTGCGAAATTTATGTTTTAAAATGCAAGCAGTTTGAAATTTTAAACAGAATTAACTCGAGATTTCATTGTAATAATTATCATTTATATATTAAAATTGATTTTCATAAAAAAATTTTTGTTCGCTCTGTGAGGTGGGTTTTTTGGGCAAAAAATAGGGATTTTTCTAATGATTTTGTTCGCTCACGGAGGGGGGAGTCAGTGTAATCCCTATGCTTATCTTCTAACTCTTCCTTATTCAAATTTGTACCTTTGATTTGATCTAGCGCATAATTTATATCATGCCTCTGGGTCTTATTAAGCCATATTCTTTGCATTACACCCTCGAAAAATTTATGTTCTGAAAGAATATAAAGTCCTAGCCCGCTTGGATGTTTTTCTAATTCTTCGAAAATTGCCACAGCTTTGGCTTTGTTTTTCTTCCTAAAAGTTTCTAAAAATTCATCCAAAATTTTATCTAGTCCTTCTTTTAATAAAGGAAAATTATTTGAAATGTTCTTCATTTTTATCATAGGATCTACAATTTCTGCCACCTGAGCTCCATTTTCAGCTTTTTCTCTTAATTCAACAGTTTTACTAAAAATTTTGGCTTCAATTCCTCTGACTCGACCCTGAGTAAGCTAACAAAATAATTTTAGGGGGTTAATTATTTTTTTCAAAATAGTATATATAAAATTTATATAGAATTTTGTTTCAAAAAAATTAAAATTCGCAAAAAATGGGCAGTTAATTAATTTAGTCCGTAAAATTTATGTTTTAAGACGTAATTGCTTTCAAATAAAACAGAATTAACTAGTGAATTCATTATAATAAATATTATTTATAAATCAAATATTTTTTAATTAAAAATTTTTGTTCTTTATTGGAGGTTGGGTTTTTTACGGATGGGTGGAGTGAGTGTCTTTTTTCAATCAAAGCCTTTGATTTTTAGATTTTTCTCAAACATTACCAAGCAATTATAATAAATTCTAATTTTAGTAAATTCTTCTTCCCTGATTTCATCTTTATTTATCAAATGTGAGGCGTCATCTACAATTTTATCCATTTCTCTGGATATAGAATTAATTGCTCCTGATTCTATTTTTTCAAAATTAGCAACATGAGGATTTAGGTGATTTTTTAAGTCTTCAAAATTTTTTATTTGGTCTAATCTATCTTGAATCTCATTAGCACGGTCTTCAAGGAGTTTTTGGTGCTTTATTTCATCATTTTGAATTTTCAAGTTCATAAAATAATCATCCAGTTGACATAAAGCTTCACTTAAGTCTTCTACAAGCCCAGAATAACGAGGCAATTTTTTAATTCTTTCATAATCAATGTAAAAGTGATAAATTTGATATTGTGATAAATATTCTTTAAAAATTCTGAAAAATTCATCCCATTCTTTAAGCTTGTTTAAAATTTTATTGCAGCTATGGGCATTATTGGGAGGTTTAAACTCTAAATAGCTTTTATTGAGATTTGCATAAAATTCTGAAATGCCGACTAGCATGCTTTCAATAGTATTGTTAAAGTTAAACATATTTGAAGCTCCTTTTTCCTTCTCAAATTTGATTTTAAAGTCCATAAAAATAGTATGACATTTTAAGGCCTCAATGCATTCTATGCTTTCATCTTTATGATCAATATTTAGAAGAGAATTAAAAGCATTTGCAATAACTTTCTTAAGACTCTGCTCAATTTCAGATAGAATTCATTCACTGTCTGATATTATATCATTTAATTTGCCTTTATACTCCAAAACCCAAGCATTTTTGAAAACTTTTTCACACTCACCTTTATCAATAGCAAGACATATTTGATCGTTAAGATTTATCAAAATATGCCTTAAACTCTTTTCTATATAATTAGCTTCCCATGACAAATTAATTTCCTGTGAATAATCAGTTTCCCGCCAATAATTATTATTTCATGATGGCTTATTGACAGATTTGCGGTACATGGCACATAAATCTTTTATATTTTGTCCTTTCGCTAATATATTGATTTTTTCTATAGTATATTTTTTATGCTCTTTATAGTTTTTCTTAATGTCATCAATCAAAATATTTGCTAAATTCTTAAAATCACTTGGTAAAATCTCTAAAATTGAAGATAAATCGTTGATAATTGACTTTTTTCATCAAGAGCATTTTATTAACATAGTGCGTCTTATGCTATCGAATTTTTCATGGATTATATTTTTAACTTGGCTAGGACTATCTTTATATTTTGGGAAGTCATTTGAAGCATTTTCAAATTCTTGTAAGGTTAACCTAGGATTGCAATCTTTAAAATCTTTAATTTTGCATGACCTCATAAGATTAAGTATTGAGTGTGGCATATCATCAAGCTTCTTTTGAACTTTAGAGAGATGATCTTGAATTCTCCACCCATATATCTTAAATCCCCTTCCGTTAATGAAAAAAAAATTAATATAAAAATTTTTAATTGATATAAGTGGCTTATAAGAATGAAGTCTCTCCCCAATTCTTTTTAATTTAAAACAATTTGCATTCAAAAACATAATTGAGATTTTTTTTAAAATTTTGAAAAAACAATTAACAAAAAAAATTAATCTCTCTGACTCCCCCCTTTTAATTGGAACAAAATATAGGTAAAATTTCCACTTTTTAGGTAATAAAAAATTATATAATTTTTATCTAAAAAGTTTTGATATAAGTTAAATGTTTCTTCCTAACTAAAATTTAAAAATTTAGTTATATCTTGCTCTTGTTTAAAGAAGAAAGTATAAAGAGGATCTTATTTAAATAAATTTAATATCCTTAATTGCTAAATTTTAAAAAAAATTTATTTGTTTTTAAATAAAAATGATAATTTTTTATTTAAATAGTTTTGATATAAATTCAATAGGAATTCTTTATAAAAATTCAAAATTTACTTATTCCTTGTTTTATTTTAAAGAATAGAGTATAAATAGCATCTTATTTAAACAAAAATAGCACTTTGATCGATAATTTTCTAAAATTTTTTTTTTTTTAATTTTTTTTATCAATAAAAATAATTAATTTTTGTGCAAATAATTTTGATGCCAATTAATAGTGGCGTATTAACTAATAATAAAAAATTTAGTTATACCTTGCTTTGTTTTAAAGTATAAAGAGTAAATAACATTTTATTAAATAAATTTATTTAATCTAACTCGATAAGTTTTTGAATTTTTTTTTTATAAAAAATTTTATATTGATATTTTTTTTTAAAAAATTTGTCTTAACCCCCCTTTAAATTGGAACAAAATTTTTAGTTCCAATTTAAAGGGGGGGGAGTGAGCAATGAATATTTTTGTTCTCTCACAAAGGTCAAGAGGGAGGATAAGTAAATCACTTTTCAAATCTTGGATATTTTTCATTTTTACTTCAGCTTCATAATATTTATGGGAGCTAATAGCGCTTTCAATTGTATACAGAAATTCCATAATTTTATCCATAAATATCTTTCTAATATTTCCCTCTTGTTCATTGAATAATTGAACAACTTCTCTATCAAAAAAACTATAAAAATTATTTTTCAGAGTAGCTAGTTTTTGAAAATTTGAGCACGTAGAGCTTATTTGGGCATGATCTAACTTAGAATTGCTTATATTTAAAGCGTTTTCTTTAAGATCTTTCAATAAATTTTCAATTTGACAATACACTTTTTCTTTAATTATATCTATATTTTGATTATAAGCCCCTTCATCAAGCATTCTTATTAACTGAATTGCTCTATCAAAATTATAAGTCTCAATTGATTCAATTATGTTTTGGCACGTTTGATCTTGCTTTGAATTTTGTATTTTTCCATAATCAATCGAAATTGCTGCAAAATTTTCATTAACTTTGGCAAAGTCATTAGCAATAGCTAAAAGCGAAGACATTTTTTTCAATTCATTTTTATCAATACAATTTCTAAGCTTCTCATTGAAAATTGTGCATAAATTATTGAGCTCGTTAGTATAATGATCAAAATGAGGTTGATATTCTAAAAATTTGAAAAATGATTGAGATTTTGTATTCAATAGTAAAATTTCTTTGAAGCTTACTCCCCCCCCCCCCTTCCGTGAGCGAACAAAAAAATTTTGTTCGCTCACGGAGGGGGGGTTAATTTTTTTTTTTAAAAAAAATTTATATATAAATTTTATAAAAAATATTTTTTCGAAATTTAAAAAAATCCTAATTTGCAAAAATTGGGAAGCAAATATTAATTTAATTTTTAAAATTTATGTTTTAAAACGCAATTTGTTTAAAATTAAACAGAATTAGCTCTAGATTTCATTATACTAATTATCACTTATATATCAAAATTTTTTTCCATTAAAATTTTTTCTATTAAAAAAATTTTTGTTCACTCACGGAGGGTGGGTTTTTGGTCAAAAAATGGCGATTTTTCTAATGGTTTTGTTCGCTCACGGAGGGGGGGGGGGGAGGGGGGGAGTTAAAGAAAACTGATGAGAATTTTTCTTTATAAGGGTTATATCCCAAGGCCTGTAATCTGAAATGTTTTTTGTAATAATGTCAAAGCATTTTTTTGAAGAAACAAGATTCTTATTGTAGAATTGAGATAATATGGAGATAATATTTGAAGAAAAAGGCTCAAGAATTTCAGATAGTTCAGGTATAGTTCTGCACTCCACAATATAGTTATATGAATTTTCCATTTTATCAATATCAAACAAGTTCTTCTCCAATTTTTGGCTGAAAATTTCAATGAAATTTTGAATTTTATTTATTTCTGTATCTATTTCTTCAATATTTTCTAATCCATAAATTTTAAGGATTTCTTCTTTCTTTTCTTCTTCATAACATAAATATTCTTCCCTAATGCTTATGAGTCTTTTTAAATCATTTTTTTCCTTTTCAATGTCTTGCAGCTCTGGGTTAAACTCCCTTTTTATTACTTTCAGCGTCTCCTCTACCCTTTCTTTGAATTTTATTCAAATATCTTTATCATAATTTTCCAATGAGGGAACAAATTCTTTCAATTGAAGAATTGGGTTTAATTTTTTAACAATATTATATCCTTGAGACACATTAAAAGGAAAATTGATTCCTAAATCAATTTCTTTTAATTCAACTAATAATTTGTCAATATAACTTTTGATCTCTTTTTCTATTCCTGAAAGTTCATTTCTATAAATTCCTTCTCTGAATTTTTCTATTCATTTTCCTGACTCAAGCCAAGAGAAACAATTGCGCAAGTGGTTAAGATCTATGGATTCAGGAGAATTTATAAAAGATTTAACAATTTCTTTTGCTTCTTTTCTGAAATAGCTGATTTTATTTATCAGTGAATTTAGGCTTTCTTGATAAGAAGCAGAAATTAAATACTCTATATCAGGTATCTCCATTAACAGGCTAAATTCATCAAATTTTGGTTCAATTTCAGCTACATTATATGTCGCTTCATTGTTAATAAATGATATCACATCATCCTTACTCCCCCCTCCGTGAGTGAACAAAACCATTAGAAAATCCCTATTTTTTGCCCAAAAACCCACCCTCCGTGAGTGAATAAATATTTTTTTAATACAAAAAATTTTTATATGAAAAAAAGTTTGATATATAAATGATAATTAGCATAATGAAATCTAGAGCTAATTCTGTTTAATTTTAAACGAATTGCTTTTTAAAACATAAATTTTACAAATTAAATTAATATTGCTTTCCAATTTTTGCAAATTAGATTTTTTTTAAATTTCGAAAAAAAATATTTTTTATAAAATTTATATATAAATTTTTTTGAAAAAAAAAAATTAACCCCCCTCCGTGAGTGAACAAAATTTTTTTGTTCACTCACAGAGGGGGGGGAGTTAGCTTTATCAAAGTATTGTTGATATACAATAATAATTGATTGCAAAAGCTCCTTTATTTCTAATTTGGAGATAAGAAAATTTAAAGAATGAGCATCATTCGCTGATTTTATCAAAGTAATATTTGTCTTAAGAATTTCTATATCGTTTTTTTCAATGCATCCTTTGTTTAATAGTGCAATTGAATTTTCACATCTTTGTTTCAAGCTTGAAACAAACTTATCTAAAAGAATATGATATTTTTCATTTAACTTGCCTCAGTAAGCGAACAAAAAATTTATGTTAGCTTATGGAAAGGCTAATTTTTTTTTAAGAAAATATATATAAATTTTAAGTAAAATTATTTTTCTAATTTTAAAAAATCCTAATTCGCAAAAATTGGAAAGTAAATATTAATTTAATTTGTTTTATGTTATAAAATGCAAGCAGGCTTATACTTACATATAAAAATTTTTCATAAAATTTTTATAATAAAATAATTTTTTATTCAAAGGATGGATTTTAGCCAAATATTAATGATCTTCCATGGGAGAGGAGAGTAAGGAATCTAAATTCAAATGGCCTAAAATAATTCCTAATAATTTTTTTGCTTGCAATAAAGTATTAGCAAAGCTCTCAAAATTATCATTCTCCATAAAAAATTCAGCAGAAGACAATAAGCTTTCAATAAGATTTATATATTCTCTGCAAATACCTTCATAATTTGGTGCCACATCTTCAAATGTTTCGCTCAAAAGTTTTGCATTACTTAATTGTGCTTTCAAGATATAAGAATCAATATTTTCAGATTCTAAGTTTAGATGAGCGAGACTGAGCTTTGAGATAATATTGGTTACCATCGCTGCTGCTTTTACTGTTTCGCCTTTTAAATGACTTTCTCTTATTTCTTCTGATATTTTAAGAGAATTATAAATTTCTTTATAAGCTTTTATATTAGCTTCATCTAAAGCTCCATGCTTATCAAGAAAGCTGTTAAACTGAGTAACTGTATTCTCATATGTATCATTAGTTTTTTTGATTACAGACTCAACACAGCTAATATATTGTGGCCCAAACTGTTTAAATTGGCTAGCTAGATATTTAAGATCGTCCAATTTATATTTTATTATCTCATAATTCATCGAATTTAAGGCTTTTTCAATATCTTTTGAATAAATCAATACTTGGTTTTTTATAGAAAGGCGTGAGTCTTCAGTTATAAAAGTTTCAAAAGCGTTTTTGGGGTCTTCTATTGGCTCTCTTTCCAATATTTTTCTGATCAATTCTTGTGGATCATCTTTTAATGGGTCAATAGTTATGGCACCGTTTTTAGTTTTATTCTTTATATCATTCAAAATATGGAGAAATGCTTCATCAGGAATCTCAATTTTTCCGATAGCATTATTCACCAACGCATGTATATTAGAAGCATCTTTCTTTTTGTATTTTGTAAATGCGTATGTAAACGAATTGCTATATTTATTGAAATTAGGGACAAGTCTGGCCAATGTGTGAGCCAATTTTTTGACTCCTTAAAATCTATCACCTTCAGTTTTGCTACTTAATAAAATCAATGGTCTAAAGCCTTATAGAGAAGTACTATATCGCATAGTGTCCACTAATAATCTCCAGTGTCACTTCTTCACGTGCTTGCACATCCGGGCATCACCTTCTACTGTGCTGATCCTCCTAGACTAGCTTAAACTTGGTACATAAGAGCCTGAGACCTGGATCACTATGCCACACGTCAGCGGGGCTAGCTTCTGGTCACTGTCGACCAAGATGGAAATTCGAAGCCTAGAACGTAGTGCCTGGTATCGTACTGACAAAGTGCTCTAATGGCCAAGAAATCGCTTCTCTGGGTACTGCTAGGGCACCCATTTCCAACTCTGAGTTTTCTCTCCCCATGGTGAGAATCCGGTGATTTACCGGATATTGCTCTCCACCACGCCAACAAAAAACCGGCCGGATAGCCTGCCTAGTTGCAGTTGCTAAGAGTCTGGGTTAGTTCGCCATGCCATTTTAATGCAAAATCAATGGTCTGACACTTCTGCATTTTTTAACATATTCAACAATGCTAATTGTGTTTGCCATGTCAACTTCTGCTCCATTTGTATCCATTAGCCCTGGAGTATCACATAGAAAAATAGTCTCTTGAGAATCTTTTATATTTATTGGCACCAAAGTGATGTATCTAGTCTCAGATTGTGCATGCGATGAAATTGTTATATTTTTTAATATGGGATTTTTTATAGCAACAGCTTTGATATGACTCACGCCATCTTCCAGAACCCTATCTAATTTTGATTCGCACATAAAATGAGTTGTTGTTGATTTTCCTGCACCTGTGATCCCAATCAGCAAAATAATATCTTTATTTTCGATATTTTCAGAGAATTGAGCTGATTTGCTGATTAAGCGAGAAAGTTCTTTTACGTTAATAGGACGAATATACTCTTTGAGGAGTTTTTCTGTGTCTTTAATTAAATTTTCCCAGTTTTTATTTTCAAAGTTTTCCTTACTCTCACTCCCACTTTAAATTGAGTTTTTGACTCCATACGATTTGATGGAACATTTTTGTAATGTAGCATTTCCTCGGGTATTTTTAGTTCAAATTTTTGTTCTTCGTACTATATTAGATAGGATTTTAACAGAAAAGTTCCTATCAAATAACTAGGAACAGAATTTTTTTATAATTTTTGTTTTATATAAAATTTTTTAAAACTTAAATTGATGCAATATGTTGAATTTTAATTTATTTTTCGAAGAATTAATTCAAAAATTAATCAATTCAGTGTGTTAACTGTTATAATGGATTTCAAATTGCACTAATTTCATTAAATCAGACTAAAATTATTAATATAAAATTTAATATTTTCACCGATAAGTTTACCATTAAAAATTGGTTAAAATTAAATGGTTTAATTCATCAAAAATACGGAAATTTAGCAAATATTTTGTTCAAATTTAAAGGGGGGATTTAAAGCTAGAAATAAGTTTTCTTGGAAAAATTCCTTGAGCACTTTGATTTAGAAATTCAAGAAAATTCCTGAACTCATCATAAGGATCGATAGACTCAATTTTTTGGTGAATATTTAATGATTGATTAAGATCATAGCTTTTATAATAGGCATAGCATAAAATACTCGTTAAAAACCTTTCAGTGCAGCGGGGATATGATGAAATGTCGCTCAGCATTCCTTCAAGAAAATCGAGTTGCTTTATATTTTCAACTTCCTTATTCTCCTGTTAATTAATAAGCTAGCCATTGAATGAATAATCATACTTTTAAGAAATTAATCCTTATTAAATTTTTAATATTAATATATAATTAATAATTAATGGTTAATTTAATGTTGCATTAATTATGCACAAAAGATCACTAAATTAAGCTTAATAAATAATAAATTATATATCCAATAAAAATATCTTCACTACTAAATGTATTTTTTATGATTAAATATGATTGCATTCTAATAAAAATAAAATATAATTTATTTGATCTCCATCTATAATAAATAAATAAATTAAAGACAACTTGCACCTTAATAATAAATTTGATAAATTAAATTATTGATAAGAATTCAAATTGTATTTTTTATATATTTTTGAATTGGACTTTCATATAAAATTTAAAGAAAGCTTCAAAGAAATTTTACTCGCTAAACCAAGATGGAGAGTCAGGATCTAAAATTATCATTGATTTTAAGGCAATTTTTTTGTATATAGAATTCAAATTTTCCAAATCAGCAAGTATATTTTCTTCATTTTTTGCTTCTTCTAGTCTTTTTCTTTTAATTTCCCCTTGGTTAACAAGCAAAATCAGCATTTTTTGGGGAAATTAACAACTTTATTCGTGAGCGATATTTTTTTTTAATTTAAAATTTTTTACTAGTAGTAATTCGAAATAAATTAATAATATTAATAGCGATATCGAACTAATTATATTAAATTTTAAATAGTTTGCACAAATTTTATAATTAATTAATTTCAAATATTTAAAAATTTGGATTTTTAAAAATACGAAAAAATAAAATTTATATATAATTTAATATTTCAAAATATTAAATCCCCTGATTAGCAAACAGAAAAAAATTTTTGCTTGTTAGCAAGAGGTGGGTAAGACAAAATGAAATATTGTCTTTTGTGTCATTTATCATTTCTTCCAATTTTTCAGGGTTTTCAATATGATATTTGCTTAGCCCTTGCTCCAGCTCATATTCTAAATTTTCTTCCTCTAAAGTACTTGCATTATGCCTATTCTTTTCATTATCCTTTTTTGCTGTTTTTATTTCTTTATGTAATTGCTCTAATCTTTCAAGTCCTCTTAGCCTATTTTTTGCTGCTTCTTCATCTTCAATTAATTTTTTTCTATGATAAAAAGCGATATCATCCTTCACTTCTTCAATTTTTTCAGTTAATTTATTTACGTCATCAATTTCATTAAGCCTCAATAACTCATACATTTCCTGCTCATTTCTATTTTCTACATTATTTTTTTGCAGATTGCTTTCTTTGTCGTTGACTTCACTTTCACTAACTCCCCCCCCCTCCGTGAGTGAACAAAACCATTAGAAAAATCGCTATTTTTTGCCCAAAAACCCACCCTCCGCGAGTGAGCAAAAATGTTTTAATAGAAAAAATTTTTTATGAAAAAAAATTTTGATATATAAGTGATAATTATTATAATGAAATCTAGAGCTAATTCTGTTTAATTTTAAACAAATTGCTTTTTAAAACATAAATTTTATAAATTAAATTAATATTTGCTTTCCAATTTTTGCGAATTAGGATTTTTTTAAATTTCGAAAAAAATTTTTTCTATAAAATTTATATATAAATTGTTTTAAAAAAAAAATTAACCCCCTCCGTGAGTGAACAAAATTTTTTGTTCACTCACGGAGGGGGGGAGTAAGAGATTCTTGGATAATTTCAAATGAATTTTCAATGTTTTCTTCTTTTATAATTTCTATTTCTACACTTAAAATTTCGTCATTATTACTCGGGATAGTCAACCATGTTTTCAGAGGGAGATTTTGGCTAAGGTCAATTAAAGCCGACCCAAATAGCTTTTTTTCATCGAGGACTTGCATATAAAAACTAAGCGTCATCGAATCAACAAGATCAGCATCTAATTGAACAGGATTGAGGTTGGAGATTTGAGCCAAATCAAAAGGTGGAGATTGAAAGATGAGCTGGGATGTATGGGAATTCGACAATGTATAAAGGAGCTCTGAAATTGGATTTGGATCTGATTTTCAGTTGAATTCAACTTTGTTGATCTTAAAGACAAGAAAAGAATTAATTCCACTAATCATTTATAGAAAGATAAAATTTTCGGGAATATCTGAATTAAAATGTGGAATATTTATTTGATAAATAATTGGCGCTTTTATTAAGCTATACGATGAAGATTTGCATATAAGCGGATCTCAATATGTTTTCAATATTTATTCACTTTAAATTTCATAAATAATTATGAATTAAATGATATTAGCTTCTCAAAGGACAATTTACGCTGGAAGAGAAATTTCTTAAAAAAGAATTTGTTTTTAAAATTATAGCTTTCAATTTAAATTATAGCTACCTAAAAGGTAAAGAAATTGTTTAATAGCGAAGTCAGCAATAAAAGAACAAAAATCGTTTTTAGATAAAATATAAATTTAATTTTAATAGAATTTAAATGTTTATGATATATTGATGCACATTTAAGATATTAACAGCAACATTATTTTTCTGAATTTAAACAAATATTATCAAAGTATTGTAAATTTGAGGAATATAAATCCCCATATAGATTTTTTTGAAGAATTCTCCTTTCTGAGCGAATAAAAATTAAATTTAAATAAACTTTATTTTACAAACCTTTTAATACAATTGCCGCGAATCCTCAAAGTGGTGGAGCCTTCATCATCAAAATGATCTCTTATAATTAAAAGAGCAAAAATTTATTGCTTTGGCCTAGCTATTTGCATGGAGAGAATAGCGAAGACTTGAGCTTGACAAAGCTAAGGAATTTTATTTGAAATTTTCACGAATTCTGTTCATAGAATTGAGTTTTTAGATTTTAATTAAAAACATAGTGTATGACTGTTTGCCAAAACAGCTAAATTGGCACTTAAAAAGAGGAGAGAAACCTAAGAATGAGTGAAGAAATATCTTCAATTGAAATTTCTAAGCTTTTCTTAATAGCTAAAGCTTTCTTCATAATATCTCTAAAAAATATTTAAGACTCATTATGGCAAGGAATTAAATAGAACCTCTTTGATATGCAAAATAATCATTATATTTATCTTAAATGCATGAGTGAGAGATAATATTGCTTTTTAAATAAATTCTAATTGAAATAAATTTAAAAAATAATTTGCATTAAATGATTTGGTTAAATTTTACCAAATTTTATATTAAATTTCAAAAAATAATAATAAGGGGCATAAAACCCTGAAAATAAATGAATCATACCTTTAATGCCGATAAACAAGATTTTAAACCCTACTCAAACCTTTTACAAGACCTCTCCCCTTTAAATCCATCAAAATCATATTTTAAAGAAAATTTTATTTTGCAGAGCTTTTTAAAGCAATCTGAAAGTGAAGAGGAAGAACAAGATAATTTCTACCTAGGACCCTCAAAAGTCGAGGAGCCTTTATCATCAAGACAATCTCTTATGATCAAAAGAGCAAAAATTCATTGCCTGGGACTTGACTATTTGCATGGAGAAAATGGCAGAGATCTGAACTTGGCAAAGGCAAAGGAGCTATTGCTTGAAGCTGCTGAAATGGGGTGCACGGAATCTATGTACAGCATTGGAGTGTTTTATGTAGAAGGACTCTATGGGTATAGAGATAAAAATGTAGGGATTGACTATTTGCAAAAAGCAGCTGGATTGGGACATAAAAAAGCAAAGAAAAAGCTTAGGAGAACTGGCGAATTATCACCAATTGAAGTATTTAAGCTTTGCTTTGATAACTAATAATTATTATAGTAAGATTTAATCGAAAATTAAAAAATTTTGCCTTTATTTATATTTCTCTATTTAAAAATGATTAGATCGCGTACATAGCAGGGTTATCAGGAAAATTTTTTTTTGAAAAGTATTTTATCGGGATCTAATTATTTTAGCAAGAGATTTTCCTTAAAGATCTAATATATATATATACTTGCTTCAATTTTAATTCTAAAATCTAAAAAATATATGGTAATTGAAGAAAGAAATTGCATTGTATCTTAACCATTATATTTTCGACCATCATTTTTTTTATCCAAAAATCATGAAAAAACCCAAATAAAGATTAAAAATACAGATATCAGCTATAAATAGAAAGCTGCAAATGACTAATAATTCAAGATTTAGATTTCTCTAATAAATATATTTGGATTGATTAACTGATAGATCTCTAACTCACAAGGAGTATAATGAATGTGTGTGACGAAAATTTTAAAAGTAAAAAGCACCTGTCGTTTTTGATATAGTATTTCCATCACATATATCTATAATCATTTAATATTAGTTACTGATCTGCAAATTTATCAATTAAAATAATTTTGCCAGAGAAATCTAAATTTGAATTATTAGTCCGTTTGCAGCTTTCTATTTATAGCTGATATTGATTTTTACTGCGATTTTTGGATAAAAAATTGAAGGTCGAAAAAAATATATTGGTTAATATACAATGCAATTTCTTTGTTTCATTCGGCTTATATTTTAGGTTTTAGAATTTAGATTGTAGCAAGACTTTATATATTAAATCTTTAAGGGTAATCTCTCGCCAAAATAATTAGATTACGATAAAATACTGTTCATAAAGAGGTGTTTTCATGTGATTTTTGGATTCGAAAAAACTAGAAAAAACGCAGGTAGGTTTTATATCCAGTATATTTTTTAAAAAATTATTGGGGTTTTCCTAAAAAAAAAAAAACTGAAAAAAACATCCGTCATTTTTGACGGTTTAAATGTAGCAGTAAAACACCCACCTGGGTGTTTTTTTCCGTATAACCCTACATAGCCGTAGCTTCTTTAACACAAGAAAAGTATTTCTCTTCATTTTCATTATAAATTTGTACTAATTCTTTATTAGTGGCTAATTCCCAATTTGGTTTTTTCAAAAGCTCTATTATTCATATAAGTCCATCTTCTATATCTATTTTGATTAAACTGGGCATTTCTGTCTGAATAATTCCGTCCTCGCTTATATTTGGGTGCAAAATTTTTGTAAGGAACTGTATAGGGCCTTCCTATAGATGGCGCGCAATGCGCCATCACCGAGCCATGTCGGAGAGGGTTCCACACGAGGAATGGTTCTACGTGTGAACCCTCTTTTTGACCTGTGAGAAAACTACTTTCCACGAGCCAAAAAGAGGGTTCCACACGTAGAACCATTCCTCGTGTGGAACCCTCTCCCGACATAGCCTGGTGATGGCGCATTGCGCGCCATCTATAGGAAGGCCCTATAATATAAAAGCTTTTATAAAGCGGAACCGAGATATAAAATATCCCACCTTCATATGGAGTTTCAGAGGGTCCTACAATACCTGCAAGAAAAATCTGTTGCCATCTGTAGTTATCTTTAGGATCTCTTTTAAAGGCAAATATATCTGGCCTATGGTTTTTTGCTATTTTTCTAATTGACTGTAAGGCTTGACCTTTAGTGTCATATCCATCCATAAATAATATAAGCTCTATATTATGGTCAAGCTTATGTTAAGCTTTCCTTAAAAGCAGCTCTCCTATGCAAATTCGTATTTTTTAAATTTATTATCAATTAAATAGAAGCAGCTTGCTTAATATTTTGGTAACAAGAAAAAGTTATGATAATTTATTCAATATAGCGATCACCTTAAGCTATTAAAAATGCTGTTTATGGGATCTTGATGAAATAAAACCGAGTCGCCAAAATAAAGGATAGGAAAAGATTTATATCAGCTGCTTAAGGAAAAACATTTTTTCTTGGCTTATCTCGATTTTATGATTTAATCTTTACTTATTTCTGCTAACTTTAGTAATTGACCAGGCTGTTAATAACAATTTGGCCACTAAAAGTCTTAGCTTTTATATGATTTAATATTTCTATCTCAATTATGTATCTTGATTAATTTTTCATTGCTTTTATTGATATATACTTTTCCTTGAGAATAGAAATTTACAATTATAAAAGACAAATGAAATTGCTAATATATTCTTCATATGGGAGAAACATAATTTTCTAAACCTTAGAGAGGAATAATACTGTTTATTGCTTTAGGACTGATTTTAATACACAAATATATACCCTTTAATATAATTTAGCAAGTTTCTTAGCACTTTAATGGTCTTCTGCTTCACAGGTTTCATGAACTCAATATACACAAATAAAATCGCATTTTAAATCCTCAGATATTCCAATAAATGACTTGATTAGATTTCATATAAGCAAGCAACTAAATTTAAATTGCAAATCTTGTTTCTTCTCTCCTAGAAAGAAAACGATTTTACTTATATTTTTATAAATATAATGATCCTTCTGCCACTTAGGGTTATATAAGAATGATAAGCAATTAAAGTCCTTGCCTCTAACAAAAGTGTTGTTTTTATTATAATTAAATAAAGCATTCTCGTTGAAGCGATACCCAAAACATTTTTATTTTGAAAAAGCCATTTATATAAATTTGCAGAAATGACTTTGAATATAAAATGGATTTAAACTAATAAAAATCACTGATTAAAAATTACTTAATATTTCCCCTGCATACACTTTAGTGAATAATTATGATTTCAAAAGTCTTATATTCCGAGAATTGCTAAATAATCTGCAAGCCTATTAAATTAAGGCATGGCTAATTCCTCACTTTAGAATGGCTAATTTCAAGAGGTTCCCTTTAATGATTACTATAGCGCTTTCCCGAGGATGGCGCCATTCCGCGCCATCCTCGGGAAAGCGCTATATCTTACTTTCGTCCTTATTCTTAATCACTTTAAGATAAACGAATAATTAATTCCTTGCTGTTTTTATAGCCTCTTTCTAATTTGGCTTCGGTAAAGCGTACTCATACGATGCTTTATCATTTGCAATGCTTTAGCTTAAGAAAGTCACTTTCTCACGTATTTTTATATCGAATAAAGTTAGGACCAAGGTTCTTTTATTATTATCAGTTAGGTGTTGAAAGACCTAAAATTCGAATAGGTCTAAGTAAAAATATTTGCTCCATTTTATTGTGCAGATATTCAGAAAAATTTATAGATTCATAAATGATAAGTGAAAATATTCGTTTGGTTACCTTTAAAATCAACGAAGTTAATTTCAAGCCAAATGTGAACTCAGATACCATTCCAAAGCTCTGCTATACTTTATGTGACCCCATAACGTCTCAAGTCATCTTTTCATCATTTGCTTTTGAACTATCAGAAGTCTCCAGCCTTGCTCCTATACACTTGCAGCCAGATATTTCCAGCTCTTTAATCCTCAATATTTATATGAAGACTTATGATGATCCCAAACTACTGGGCTCGGAGGCAATCGACTTAATCAGAAATATCCCTCTAAAAACTCAATTAAATTTCCCTAGCGAATATGATGAAAATTTTAACATCGAAATAGAAATAAGTGAGAAAGAAAGTCCTGAAAATCCATCAGAAACTATTCAAGAAAATGGTGAAATGGCACAAGAAAAAGAAAAATATGAGATTCTACAAATTGAGAAAGTAAATGGAATTGATGAAAATTCGAAGGAAAATGAAAATATGGATATTAATGAAATAAAAAACCAGGAAAAAATAAATGAGCTAGACTTAAATGAATTAAATATTAACAAAGAAAGTATAGAGGAAAATGAAAATGAGCAGGAAAAGAATGAATTAAATATTGATGAAGTGAGCAAGCTAGAAAATAAAAACGAGCAAGAAATAAGTGAATTAAATACTGGTGAAGAGAATAAGCTAGAAAATAAAAATGAGCAGGAAATAAATGAATTGGGAATTGTTCAAGTAAATAATCAAGAAAATACAAATGTGCAGGAAATAAATGAATTTGATATTGATCAAATGAAGAATCAAGAAAATAAAAATGAACAGGAAATGAATGAACTGCTTAGAATCTACGAAATTGATGATATAAGCAATATAGCTGAAAAAATAGAAGAAGCTAAAGAGGAAGTTTTATTTTACCATAAGAGAAAAAAATTTAATGAAGAGGAAAGCGCAAAAAATAAATTAATAGATCTTGAAAGATTGCTGCAATTGTCTGAAGAAATAAAAGCAGCAAAAGAAAATAAAGAGCTTAAGCAAAATGAAAGCGCTTTTGAGGAAGAAAATTTGGAAGAGGAATTGAAAAAAGGATTAATCAAGTTCAATATTAAAAATCCTGAAAACATAGAAGAAATGATAAATAAAACGAAAACAAGTATTTCACATTATCTAAACAGCGATAAAATAGACAAAGCAAACAGTAAAAAGATCATTCTCGCTGATTTAGAAAAGTTGCTTTGCATATATAAGCGAATTAATTTGAAAACTATGATAACTATAGATCCTAAGGAAGCTGAAAATCAAAAAAATATAGACTTCCTGGAAGGAATGATAAACCATATATCTTCTATCCCATATTGCATGGAAAGATTTCTCACGAGTATTTTGTGTTTTGCCTACTATAAAGTATATAATTTGGACGAAGCAGAAAAAGTAAATTATACTTTTATCTTTTGCATAATTATAAAATAGATATGCACGGGATTAATGAGAACTCTTCCTCCTGTGAAATTTTATGATAATAAAGTTCAGTTTTTCTGCTGTGCCTTATCCAAATGCTAAACTTGGCTTATCGCATATTGAAAGATATATTGACCCATGGAAGCAAGAAAGCATAGAATTTTACTGCTTAAAATTCCCATGGAAGCAAAGTTTGCAAAGCTTGCTAAAGCCACAAGGCAGAACACCTATGAGGTTTTCTGGCCAGCTTGTGGCACTTAAAATTGCCGGATTGCCTCCATCCGATAAAAGGGCGACGCAGAATGTTTCGATATCACTAGTTGAAGTTAAAATGGTGGGCTCTTTCTAAATCACACTGCATAAGAAGGCGATACATTAGAACATTTACTTCTCCATCCGTGAGCGAACAAAAAATTTTGTTCGCTCACGAAGTGATTTTTTTTTAAAATTTTATAAAATAAACTTTATAAATGTTTTTTAAAGATTTAAAAAAAATCCCACTCACAAAATATGGAAAGCAAATATTAATTTAATTTTATAAAAATTATGTTTTAAAATGCAATTTGTTATAAATTAAATAGATTTCATTATCCTGATTATTAATATGTATCAAAAATATTTGTCATAAAAAAATTTTGTTCGCTTTTTTGGCAAAAATAGGGATTTTTGCAATGGTTTTTTCTAGCTCACAGAGGGGGGAGTAAATAGTTATTTCAGCTTATTTGAACTAAATTTACACCATTTGTTCTTTGTGTAATTTTATTATTTGCTATTTATTTAATTTAATCTTTATAAATCCTGGAAAAAAAAATTTAATATTACTTTTTTCATCCCATTTGACTATAAAAAGCGCAATGCACTTTTTTATACCTTTATTTTTGGGCTTTTTTCACCAAAAAATAATGGCTTTACAGTTATTCTTTTGTAACCCCTCTCAATGAGCGGACAAAAAATTTGCTCACCCGCAGGAGGGGATAATTTTTTTTTTAAAAATTTTTATTATAAATTCTTTTGGGTAAAATTTGATATTTCATTATAATGGTTATCATTTATTTTTTTCTAATAATTTTGACTTGCTTGCGAGTCGTTTTTGTCCAGAAAATATTGATTTTCCAATAATTTTTGCTCACTCATAAAGAGGGAGTAAAAAAAATGAGTTTGAAAATAGTTGTACTCTATCCTATAATTTTGATTCAACATTTGACATTCACAGAAAAATTGAGCATATAGATCACAATAAAGAGTTCAGAAATTTAATTGAATATTTTAAACAGAATCCTAAATGAATTTTATCAAAAAGCTTAATTTCAGATTTTATTTCAAGCTTTGAGAATCAAAACTGAGAAAATTTGATCAAAATAACTGAAAAAATTCTAAAAGGTCAACGCCCTGTTAATATAAGAGAGATTGCTCGTTTGATTAGCAAATCAGCCAAATCCTCTGAGAATCTAGAAAATAAAGATATTATTTTTCTTATTGGTGCTACAGGTGCAGGAAAATCCACAGCAACATTAATGTTTAAAATCCTAGAAGACAATGTATGGCATATAAAATCTATTGCTGTAAAGCATCCCTTATTAAAAAATATAACAATTTCCTCTCATGACCGATCAGAAACTCGATATATCACTATGGTGCCAATAAAAATAAAAAATTCCGAAGAAACTGTTTATCTATGCGATACTCCAGGATTAATGGATACAAATGGCACAGAGGTTGACATCGCAAATACAATAAGCATTGCTGAGCATGTAAAAAATTGCAGAAGTGTAAGACCAGTGATTTTATTAACTCATTAATACATAAAAAATATTTTTTAACATATTATGATATTATTAATATTTTAGCTTGACTTTGTAAATATTAGCTTACTCCCCCTCTGTGAGCGAACAAAAATTTTATTCGTGTATGGAGGGTATTTTTTTTAAAAAATTATCTTTAATTTATATAATTTAAATAAATCCTATTCCGAAAGTGAAAATTAATTTGCAAAATTTATGTTTTAAAGTTCATTTGTTTAAAATTTAAAATAGTTAACTCAAGATTGATTATATAATTTTTCAAAACATTTTTTTCATAAAAAAATGTTTTGTTTACTCACTGGGGATGGTTTTTTTTATCAAAATATATGGTTTTGTTCGCCTACGGAAGGGGAAGTTAGGAGTAAGCAGCCAAGCTCAAGGCGATAGATTTGAAGGGATCAAAAAAATTGCTTATACATTGATGAGGCTCATTCCTGACTTTAATAAATATCGTAGCTCATTTACATATGTTTTTACCAAATATTCTGAAGATGAAGCTTCAAATATCCATGGAAAAGTGATCAATGCACTGGCAAACACAAAAAACTCTGATATAGGGTATAGGCACATTCTTGAGGATATAGAACAAAAAACAGTTCACGAAGTAATAACAATTAATCACCTAGATGGGAATCCTCAAAAACTCATCCAAAAAATCATGGAAAGAGAGCCAATATATGACCCAAAAAATGTGTTTAAAAGCTTTATTACTGAAGATTCTCGAATTTCGGTAATGAATCAATTATCTATCCATTCAAAAGACATTGAAAAAGCCTTAAATTCTATAAATTATGAAATAATCAAGCAAAAATTGGATGAGGTAAAATATATAGCAAACTTATTCTCCATGTTTGAGAATCAATATAATCAATGTGTAGAATCTGTAATTAGAACGACTAATAATATCTACCAAAAAGTAGTTTCTCAATTTAATAGCTTTTTAGAAAGCCATGCAATTTTGGATGAAAATATAATACAAACATATCAAGAAGTTCACAATTATTTGAAAAAAATCGAAGAAATCAGAGAATGCCATTTAAGAGAGGAGACAGTCAACCCAGCAGCTATGATCACCAATATTGTATTTAAACTAGGTCTTATCAACTTCGACTTAAGAGACGAGGATATTGATTCTTATATTTTGAAAGCTCAAATCAGCAATGCAAAAATTTTAAGAGGAAAATTTCAAGATATAATCCCATATTATGCAAATCTTTGTAAAGAATATGAAACTCTGATTAGAAATTTGTTGGGAAATGCAAGCTCAAATTTAGAAATAAATAATTTTAAGGGTTTTGTTGAGAATTTATTACAAGAGCAGAAATTTTTAGATATTGCTCGTGATCACTTGTGCTTACCAGAATTAGATGAAAAGCATGGCCTTCTTTTAATACAATTTATTTCAAAATTAAAAGGAAGATGTGATAGTTCAATTGGGCTGTTAAAAAAAGGATATATTGAAGAATCGGATATAGAAATACTTCAAGAAAATATTTATACAATAAAATCAGCTTTAAGCGTGCAGGACTTATATGCTCTTACAGATAAAAATGAAATAGAAGATTTCCTCCAACCAATTTTTGAAGAATATAAAACGCATTTTGAAAATTCTGACTCTTACCCATCGTAAAAAGCAAAAAAATGGGAAAATCTGTATTTCCAAAATAATTTTTTTTTTAATATAAAAATATTCGATGATTCTATAAATTCTATGAAATTCGAGGCAATGCATTCAAAAACGGTTTCTTCACACGACGACTATTTCATAACGACTATTTTTTTTTGGCCTATTTTTTTTTTGGCCTATTTTATTTTGGCCTATTTTTTTTTGGCCTATTTGTTTTTGGCCTATTTGTTTTTGGCCTATTTGTTTTTGGCCTATTTTTTGCCTAGCCTCATTCATGAAGCTGCTGAGAGGACTAAAACCTAATTGAGAAACAGAGACTTTTACTTACGCGATTAATATTTAGTAAATTAAGTGAAAAACTCCTAATTAAATCTAAAATTCTCGAAATTTTAAAAGCAATGAATTAGTATTCATGGAGTAAGAAATCTGTTAAGGGTGCATTTTTTGTTGGTTAAATCGTTTAAAATACATTAAAAATTATATTAAAACAATTAGTATGGAATTATGCCCAAATATTAGTAAAAATAGCTAAAAAATTGTCAAAAAATTGGCCAAAAAAATAGGCCAAAAAAAAAATAGGCCAAAAAAAAATAGGCCAAAAAAAAATAGGCCAAAAAAAAATAGGCCAAAAAAAATAGGCCAAAAAAAAATAGTCGTCGTGTGAAGATACGTTCAAAAACATACAATTATAAATTATATTTTATTTTATTTCAAAATTTGCTATTAAAAAATATAAAAAAAAATTAATATAGTATTTAACAAAATCTTTGTTTTCTAGGGATTAAGAAATCTGTTTTATCAATTATCAATGATGATTCCACAAATGATATAGCTGATATTGAATCTAATTTTGACGAATTCGAATTGTTGATGAAGGTTCCAGATATAGAATACCTTATAGCTGCCTCTTATCAAGAAGCATTAAATTCGATAATAAATAAAATTAGCTTTTTCAAGAGAGAAGCCAAAGAAATCATCAAGTCTTTTTCGAATTCTCCCGAATCTATAGATTTCAAGCTATTGTATGACTGCTTTTCTTGGCTGGAGTCAGGAAAATGAATTGAAAAATTCAGTGAAGGAACTTACAGCAATGAAATTTTAGGGATCGAAAAAGAAATAAAACGCTGTATTGAAAAGCTGCAGTTTGAGTTAAAAGAAATTGACCTAGGCATTAATTTTCATTTCAACGTGCCTAACTCCATCCTTCATGAGCGAACAAACCATTAGAAAAATCCCTATTTTTTGCCCAAAAACCTGAACTAACAAAAATTTTTTTAATATAAAAATTATTTATGAAAAAAGATTTTGGTATATAATTGATAACTAGTATAAAGAAATCTCTACCTTATCCTCTTAATTTTAAACAAATCGCATTTTAAAAAGGTGAATTTCGCAAATAAAATTAAATTTTTCTTCTCAATTATAAAAAAAAAATATTTTATAAAAATTATATATAAATTTTTTTGTTCGTTCATGGAGGGGGGACTAAGGGTTATAGCATTGTTCAAAAGCTGGATCCTATTTTTCAATTGGAAGAATTTATTCCTTCATTAAAAAATTATGATAAAAATATATGGATAGAATTTAAAGAAAGGGTTGAAAACACACTGAAATCTATAAAAAGAGAGTATAACCCAGAATTGCAGGATATTGCAGAGGAGAGAAACGAGTTCAAAAAATTGGAGACTGTTAGGAAAGAATACTTAAAATATCAAAAATTGGAGAAAAATTTAGAATGTCAAGAATTGCTTGGGAGATATGGATTTACAAATATTGAAGAATTAAATATACCCTGAGCGTTAGTTTAGATTGAAATCTCGATAATTCCTGATGATAAAAAGGAAATTATTTGGCCAAGCTACCTAGTAGCAAGCCGTTATTTCATTTGGGAGTTGGTTTTGACTAACAAAAGCTTCTCTTTACCATGGGAAAGACCGAGAAGTCCAAATAAAGCTTGTTCTTATCTATACAAAAATAAGCAAAATCCAAAATTTTATTGAAATATTCAAAGAAAAGATTGCAAAAAATATGCCTGATATTGAAAAATTAGAAAGCTCGTTTAATTACATTGAAGAGTGCAAAAATATACCTGAACTAGCTGAATCTGTAAGGCAGTTCTGTTCAAGCGTTTTGTCTAATTTATCTCAATTTTACAACAACCATTTAGTTTCATTAGAAAACTGCCTAAGTTCTATTTCAAAAATTATTTTAGACGAAAAAAATGACATCAGTTTGATAAAAAATTATTCTCATCAGATATCGTTGAATTTTAAAGAAATATCATTACTAAATACAAAATCCCCATCATTTTTCAGAGTTTTAGACATGCAGCCTCATTGTGAGCATTATATCAAGGAGTTCAATAATTTAAATTATTTTTTCAATGAAAAGCTTAGAATTTGCGTTGAAAGAAATCAATTCAACCCAATTGAGCTATTATATAAAAGCCTCTGGCCAGCCGGCTAATGGCTTTTCACGTCCCTTGATTTGCACCACTCCCTTGCTTGCCAATCTGATTATACAGCCTAAGGCTTCTGCTACTCCCTCTGGCACTTACTATCCGAGGTAAAGACGCTGGGCCACCGTGAAGTACGTCGACGAGGTTAGCTTCTCTAAAAATTCAAAAAGTGAATTTTCTGATCAGGCTATCGACCCATATGAAACTTGTAGACCAGGGCGCAACTCCCGATATCGCGCCTGGGAAAAATCCCTATGGCCAAGAGAACGCCCTCTGGACTTGCTGAGTGATCCCTTTCAATCTTCTCCTCGGGTAAAGCCTCGCCCTGGACGTGGGCTTGCGGTCGGTCAACCCGATATTGCTCTCCACCAGACTAAGTAAAACCCTGCCTGATATACATACCAAATGCTGCTCTCCTTTCCACAAGGTTCCCAGACTTCTATCTGGCTACAGTTATTAAGAGGGCAGGTTGGTTCGCCACGCCATTTTTATGTATGCGTTGAAAGAAATCAATTCAGACAAATTGCTTTATTACTAACGATTGTTAACGATTTTGCCAAAATAAATGAGAATTTTTCAGCGACCTCTGATTATTATGAAAAAATAAAAAATTCAAAACTTGACCAAGCATGCCAAAATATAATTGAATCTATTGTAAGCCATAATTTTGATAGAGCAAAGCAACTAATAGCAGCTCTGGATGACGCAACATGGAATGCGTTTCAAGATACAATCAAAGAGAAATTAATTTGCTCAATCGAAAATTTAATAAAAGGCTCATATGATAGCATTTTTCAAATAAATAATTCCAAGCTAGATTATGCGCAAATAAATGAGATATGTTCAAATTTTGAAAAAGTTTCGAATGCAAAGCAAAATGATTTATATAAAATATTTGATAAGAAATATGAGCAGTCACTTATTGGTCTTGAGAAGGATGCCAAGACTGTATTTTCTGAAAAGGTTGAAGCTTTTCTATCTGCAATTAAAGTCGCTATTCAGTCTATTAAATTTAGTGAAGCTGAGGCAAAAATCAAAAATATTGATGACTTAAAAACCAATTTACTTACTGCTCCCAGTGTTCGAGCAGAACCATAGAAAATCCTTATTTTTTGGGAAACACCCACCCTCCGTGTGTGAATAAAAATTTTTTATGAAAAACATTTTGATATATAATTAATAAATTATTAATAAAATCTCCAGCGAATTCTGTTTTAATTTAAACAGCTTACATTTTGAAACATAAATTTTTACAAATTAAATTAATACTTGCTTTGAAATCATTTCGAATTGGGTTTTTTATAAAATTTGGAAAAAATTCACTATAGCATTATATAAATTTTTTAAAAAACATTTTGTCTGCACAAGTGGGAGGAGTTAAGTGTTTGGGATCTCAATTTGAATCCAAAAGTATTAATGATTTTAAGAAAAATCTGGATCGTTTACGCCAGGATATTATTTTACGATTCGAAAAATGCGAAATCAACGATTTTAAAGAACTTTCTCCAAAATTAATTTTGAAAGAGTTTGAAAAAACTTCAAAAGATTTCCCAATTTATAAAGAAAGTTCTAATGAGATTAAAAATTTGATTTATAAAAAATTTGATAGCATAAGAAATGCTATCAATTGAAAATCTTTACAAGAGAAAAGGAGTATTTGCAATGATATACTTTCTATTTTAGATTTCTTGCCTAATGATATTGCTAATTTAGCGAAGACTTTAAGCGATGATATTAAGAAAGGATACGATCAAGAGAAAAAATATAATCGAGAAAGAATCAACATCTTGGCAAAAGATGGGCACATTAAAGAATTATGCGATATCCATCTAAAATATACTAGTGAATACTCCTATAAAGACTACAATTATGTAGAAAAAAAACTAAGAGAAGTTGTGTCAACAATTAGGGTTGAAATTATTTCTGCCCTTAATAATCATGACTGGGACTCTGCTTTTCAAAAAGCTAAAAAATTAGTTTTTAAAGATAAGCTGATCAGAATTGCATCTAATTGTGATTCATTGTTTAAAGAAATCGAAAGCAATATAAACCAAGCAATTCGAAGCAATTTGAAAACTCTTCTCAATATTGAGCACAAAGATAGCAGCACTGACTCCCCCCCCCTTTAAATTGAAACAAAATATAGGTAAAATTCCCCTTTAAATTGAAACAAAATTTTTATTATAATAGAAAATTTTATAGGTAAAAATCATTATTTTATATGTAAATACGTTAATACCCTATTTAATATGCTTCAAACATATAAGATTTAGAAATTAAACTCTATTTTTGTCCAATTGTTATGGGGAGAGTTAGAAGAATACTATTTCAGCAAGTTTACACTTTGAGATTGAGAAATTTATGAATTAATTTTTCATGAAATTAAAATTAAATATATAAATGTTTTTATAAAAAAATTTTATTAACCCCCCTTTAAATTGAAACAAAATTTTTTGTTTCAATTTAAAGGGGGGGGGAGTGAGCTAATAGAGGCCTTTAATTTTTTTAAAATTTTTATAGATTTTAAAATAAACTTTGATCAAGAAGTGCCTTCTACTGATATGTTTAAATTTGAAAATAATATTGAAACAATGCTAATTTGTATATCTGATTTTTATATAAAGCTCAATAAAAGCTATATCGATTTCAAGCCTCCACATAATCTTCACAACTGCAATAGAGCTTTAAATAAAATCAAAGAGTGAGACGAGCTTTTCAGAATTTTTAAAGAATATTTGTCACAAAACGGAAACTATCATATGCATACCAATTATTCTAAAATTGAAAATCTTCTACGGTATTCTGAAATTGCAAATCACTTTAGTGAAATGCTGCGTCAAGAGAATGAGTACTTCACAAACTTCAAAATTCAGTATGATGAAATTAAGCATCAAAAACTTCTTGAAGATAAGGCACAAGATATCCAAGAAAGATGAAATAGAATAAAAAGCTACGAAGAAATAAAAAATCATATAAACCCAGACATTGCAAATCTTGAACAAATTGAATCGAATGCAATTGAATCTATCGAAAGAGAAATGGAGAGCATTGTAGAATCTGCTTCAAGCTATATAAACAAAGAAGAAATTAATAATGAAGATTTCAATGAAATAAGAATTTATTATAGTTGTTTGTCGGCTTTTGAAAAAAATTTAAATATCAAAGATCTTGATTGGAAAAACACAATCAAAAAGATTGAAAAGAAAATTTATCAGAAAACTAACGAGTTCAGACAAAAGGCAGAAAATGAGATAGAAATAAGTAAAATTGTGGAGCATATGATAGATATGAAAAAAGTCTCAAATAATTTCCCTTTATTGAAAAAAGAACTGGATAAAGTTATGGATGAATTTTTGGAGAAATTTAGAATAAAAAATAAAGATAAAGCTGTAAATATTGTTAATGAGCTAGAAAGTCACAAAACCGGATTAGGGATTTATATAATTGCAGAGCACAAATTCTTTGAAGGAGTTAGTCAAAGGTTTTGGCTGGGAAAAACCCAAGGACATGATATAGAATACGCACTGGAGAAAATCGAAGGGTCAAATTTAAATAAACAAGAACTGAATGATAAATACGAGGAGTATTATGAGATATTCCACGATTTTCATGGAACTTATTTTAAAATAGATATCATTCGTGATAAAGGACTGGATTATATTATATCGCAAATCATAAGTGATATAGAAGCTTTCTCAAGGGATCATGCCATAGATCCCTTAAATCCAGATATTCAGACCATAAGAGAATTTATTCCAGAGCTTTTAGCATATATTTCAATACTCTGAATGTTTTTGAATATGAAAAAATGCAACTATGATGTTGATGAAGAGGGAGAAACTACGTTTTTCAAACCACATGCAATACAAATTTTATCAATTTTCCGCATGATTGGCATTGGCTATGAAAACGTCGAACCTAAAAATAACCTGGTTCAAATCCTTACAGGGGAAGGAAAATCAATCACATTAGCATTTTTGTGCTCTATGCTTGCTCTTTTAGGGTTTAGTGTAAACTGTGCCTGCTATAGTGAGCATTTAAGCAATAGAGATTTCGAAGATTTTCAACCTTTATATGCAGCTTTAAATATACACCCATACATAAAATATGGGACTTTTAATAAACTTTGTGAAGACGATATTAATTCCAGAGGAGACATTAGAGCAATAGTTTTAGACTTAATACAAAATGGGCGATGCCCAAGTCTTAGTGACGGAGTCGCAGAAAGACCTAAAATCCTACTGATAGACGAAGTCGACGTGTTTTTCACCAAATCTTTCTATGGAAATATGTATAGGCCCCTTGCTAACCCCCCTCAGTGAGCGAACAAAACAATTGGAAAAATTCCTATTTTGCCCACAAACTCTCCGTGAGCGAACAAAAAATTTTTTATGAAAAAATTTGATTTATAAGTGATTATTAGTATAATGAAATCTTTTTAATTTCAAACAAACTGCATTTTAAAAAATAAATTACAAATTAATCAATTTTTACAAATTTCGAATATTTTCATAAAATTTATATATAAATTTTTTGAAAAAAAATTAATCCCCCTTCGCGAGCGAACAAATTTTTTTGTTCATTCACGGAGGGAGGGGAAGTAAGTTGAGACACTCTACAATTAAAGAACTAACTGATTTTATATGAAAAAACAGAAACGGCCAACTTATGGAGCTTTGGAACGCCAATGAATATAAAAATTGCTGCAAACAGTTCCCCGGCTTTGAATTTCTCATTGAAGAAGCTGTAAAAGACATGATTAGCAAGGTGAAAGATCTTCAATCTCATGATTCTGTTGATAGCCAGAAGGAGAAGCGTAAATCTTATGATTATGAAGTGCAGAATGGTAAAATTGGCTATAAAGAGAATGATGGAATTTCATTTAATATCGTTTATGGCTGCGATACTTTATTTGCCTATTACTTACTGCGAACAAACAACAAAATTTTTCGAAATAATTTTAAAGCAAATATTAATTTAATTTGTGAAATTAATGTTTTAAAAATGCAAGCTGTTTAACATTAAACAGAATTAGCTAGAAATATAATTATAATAATTATTAATTATATATCAAAATAGCATTTATTAAATTTGAGTTTGGTCCAAAATAGGGATTTTTCCAATAGTTTTGTTGTTTAAGGAGGGGGAAGGTTAGAGAACGAAAAAGGAAAGATCCCAACAGAAAGCTTAAATGAAAACATTTTCATTGGGATCAATTGTGGCATGTTCTCATTTGCAGAAATTCCTCACAAATTTAAATATATTATGGGGGTTACTGGAACTTTGAAAACATTGGGGGATTATGAAAAAATTATTATACAAAATGAATATAAAATTGCATTAAACACTTACATGCCTTCAGTTTTTGGAGAAAATAATCGAAAGTTCAGAAAAAATAAAGATGTTCATATAGAAAATATAGATGATTATCATAAGAGGATATTTACAGAAATAAATAATCAAATAGAAGGAATCAAAGAAGGATGCAAACGAGCTGTACTGGTATTTTTTGAAAATGAAAAAAAATTAATGGACTTTTTTAATAAATCGCAGTTGAAAAATAGCAATTATGAAATTCAGCTAATGACTGAGAGTTTGAGTGTAGAAAACAGGAATATGATGATCAAAAAGGCGACGGTTCCAAACACTGTATCATTATTAACAAGAGCGTATGGCAGAGGAATTGATTTTAAATGCTATAACCTTGAAATCTCGACTAATGGAGGAGTTCATGTAATTCAAACATTTTTATCAGAAGATGTATAACCCCTGAATATATTTAGATCATTGCTGACCATATATTTTAATTTATAAAATAATTTGCACTTATTAATTTTTGAAATCAAAACGAAAATGAAAATTCCGTTTATAGTTTTAACACTGTTATGCGCCATATTTTTCTAATCGGTATTCTGCTGGGGCATAGCGATCTATTATGTGCACAAGTTATATCCGAGGAAACCCAAATTATGGGAAGATGTGCAAGACAAGGACAACAAGGATCGTTTAGCATGATTCTTTTGGATAATGAATTAGAACATTTTCTAATATCAAAATTAGATATTGAAAATATGAGAAATAATGGATCCTTTTATGAATCATTAAATAAAAAAAGGGATGAATTTATTCAAATTGAAAATATAGGCGAATCTAATAATGTAAAACAATCCAAAGCTCAACATGACAGTACAATTGAATTTTTGAATTTTATTCAGAATAATAATATTGGAAAGGCTAAGGCATTTTTAAAAGAGAAGAATAAAGTAATTCCAATAGAAATTGACGATAAAAAAACAATTGTTCTAATGGACGCAACAGGATCTATGTCATTATTACTTCAAAGCGCCAAAAATACAGTAAGTATTATGTTTTCACGAGTATGTGAAGTTTTAACTAGAAGTGGGGTAAACCCTGGAAGTTTTCAGCTGCAGTACTGCGTTTATAGAAACTATAATGCTCCTAAGGAAAAACTACTAGAAGTTTCTCCATTTACAAATAAGCCGGATATCCTTCAAGGATTTATGGAAAATGTGTGGCCTGAATATGGTTGGACAAATGAAGCAATAGAGGTTGGATTGTGGCATGTCAATAGGGTCTCGGAAGTTCATAAGATTTCACAAGTAATTTTAATTGGAGATTCTCCTCCAAACACTCGTGAAGAAATCTCCTGAAAAAGAGGTCATAATTCAGATTATTGAAATCGCTCGGGATATAACGTTGTTGGGTACTATGAGGACGAATTAGCCAAAATTATAGAAAAAAAAATTCCAATACATGCGTTTTATGTTTATAGTGCTGCTCAGGCAAAATTTCAAGAGATTGCAAACTTGACGAGAGGCCAAAGTGGATATCTTGATATCAATTCGATTTCAGGAGCTGATAGATTGACTGATTTAGTATCTACTGAAGTTCTGAGAAAGACAGCTGGGGAAAAAGCAGTTAGGCTTTACAATGAAATGTACCCTCCTACTTATACTTAACTAAGGAAATCTATTTTAAATACGGTTATCTTTCAGGACTATAAAATTAAATCTTATTTTGCGTACTTTCTTGTATAATCCTTTGCTTTTTAAGTGTCTTTCTTCATTTTCTTGATAAATTTCAGCATATCTTTAATTTTTGCTAGGTCTCATCTTGACTTCTTTCAAATCTCAATTATCAATTTCAGCGATTTTTAAGCACTTCACCCAGTAAAATATTTTTTTTCAACTAAAATCTTCCCCACAGCGCTTATATTTGGGTGGATAATTTTTATTAAGAATTTTAGATGCAATTCTAAACGTCCTCATTAAACCTAAGTTGAAAAAAAATTCTTTCTCATATGGAGCCCACGCGGACTATCCCCAACAAGAAAGCTTTGAAAAAAAGGCGATTTACTGATACCATAGATATATCTTGATAATAGAATTTTGGTAATTCACTAATTGACACAATAGAAAGCTGATCTATAATTTTATGCTTCCATAAAATATTATTATAATATATAGTTGCATGTCTCAAAGCAAATCTGCTATCATCAAATCAGAACTCTAATATTTCAATAAAAATGCTTAATTGGACTGGATAAGATGAAAGAAAGTTAAATTATTTAAGTTATATTTATATAACTATTTTAATGTAAAAATTAAAAATTGGATTTGAGTAATAATTTTGATTGCTTACTTACTTACTTACATAGTCTTTAAGGTGTCTAGTGCCCACACCCCTTAATAAAAAAGGGTCAAAGCGACAACTAGAGACATCACCAAGCCATCTTGGAATATGTGGTCAGCCCACACCCAAGCCTTCTATAAGGCTAGTCGCCAGATAAATCGCCGCACATCTCACCCGGCTCGTTGCCGTCGCTCGCTCCGACTCAGCTCCTGCGCGTGTTCCGCCTAAGGGTCATCCTCCCGTGGGGACTTGCTGAGAGGTAAAACTCCGAGTGTCTTGAGTGCACTGAGGAGCCGTGCCTTTGGTTATCCCCAAAGTTAAACGGCTGTTGCTGTGCAGAAGTTCTCAAGAGAAAACCCAACCCCATAAATAAAATTCCATGAGGGAGAGAAAATTGGCAGAGCCAATTTCTCTCGAACCGAATGCCATTTTATTTATAATAATTTTTATTGCAATAAAGGATTTTGCATGATAATGATCTAGATAGCTTAAATGAAAACCAATCTATCTTAAAGGAAATATGATCCAAGGTCTATCACATAAATGGTACTATAAAATTAATGATTATTCCCAATATAATACAATTTTTTATCTTAAAAATTATTATTCCAATAATAGCTCAAAATTCTCTAATATAAAAAGTAATTTCTCGATTTTTTATTTTCAACTCCACAGTTATGATGCAATATATTTATATTTATTAAAAAATTAAACGTTATGGCAAAATCCCCATCTCGCTTTTCTTATTCAAAAGCATTTAGAATGCCTCTTGAACGCAGTGACATTGGAATCCGCAAATCTGCTGATTTCAGTTCTAAAGAAAAAACAAGGCGTCCAAATTTTAACAGCATTATAGATGACGCAATTTTATTATTCCGTTTAAAATTAACCAATAAATACCCTTTTTACTAATAAAAAGGCAATTTTAATATCTAATTATACCATTTTCAATTAAAAAAGCATAAAAACAGAATACAATGATTTACTCATTACAACTCCTAACAAACCTACATCTCCTGCTCGTAAACTTTTAGTTTCTCGTGCAGTCCAGCGTGTAGAAACTCAAAACTCCCCACGTCATAAAAAGGAATTTTCAATTGAAGATCCAACGGAAATTGAACCTCCTCGAAAAACTCCTGAAATGTACACAACAACAATCAAGCAGCCGACTTCTAGTTATAAAGAGCCTTTTAAGCCTATTGAGGATCTAGAAAAGCAGTACCAAGACTTATATAAAGAATTTACTGAAAATGAATATAAAAGGAGCAAAATTTTATAATAAAAATGGCTGAATATTGGCTTATGGTAAATTATAATAAATATTCATATAAATAAAATATAGAAGATTTGTCTGACGAATTACAAGGAATTAAAGGAAAATACCAAAAACTCTTATCGGAAAGAGAAAATGAGAAAATCCACTGGGAGAAATACATAGCAGAATTAGAAAATCAGCTAAAAACGAGTGGAAATGATAGGGAAAGCATAGAAAGTGATATAGAAAATATTTCTAGGAGAATTGAGGAAGCTGGAAACAAACAAATAATTTTGTTACAAAAGATTAAGTAAATAATAGTAGATATATTATAAATGGGAAGCGGGTCGAGCAAAAATAATAAGCAAAAACAATCAGTTAAGGTAAAAATTCCTAAGTTTCAGGTTGCAGATCTGCGAGCTCCAGTTGCTTATCCACAGATGCCGATTCCAAGTGCTCCACCTTTAGATACAGAACAAGATGAACTGCTTAGGAATGCTTCTCCTCAAAAGGAGCCTACTATACCTAGATCGCAGCAAATTCCTCAACCAAAAAACTCAAATGAAAATGAAGACCCTGATATTTTATTTGATGAAAATCCTGAAGTACAAGAAATTCAAGGAAATCAGCTTCATAATTATTTTAAAAAAATAATAGTTCATATAGAAAATCACTACTTAAGTCAAAAAAAATATAAAATATGGCCTTTTTTTCCTTCTAAATTTAATAATACCCCAATCAGCCAACTGATTTATCATCAGTCCCACAATTTTCTTCCCAATCCTGCACTTTGCAAGGCAAATGGAGCTATCATATGGAATTATCTGAGATTTATTTCCCAGAATCTATCAGCAATTATATAGAAAAAGATTTCATTTTACTCCTCCCTTCCATGAGCGAACAAAAGAATCTTGTTTGCTCACGGAGGTGGTTAATTTTTTTTAAAAAAATTTATATATAAAAATTTATAAAAAAATCATGATTCGCAAAAATTGGAAAGCAAATATTTATTTAATTATACAATTTATATTTTAAAACTCAATTTGTTTAAATTTAAACAGAATTAGCTTGAGATTTCATTTTAATCATTATCACTTATATCTAGCTCACGGAGGGTGGGTTTTTGAACAAAAAATAGGGATTTTCTAATGGTTTTGTTCGCTCACAGAGGGGGGAGTTAGGAAATATAAGAAGTAAATTTGAGTTCTCAGGAAGCCAAGCTGAAATTATATTTCAAGAGTCCTTAATGACTCTAAATGGCATATCCGGAGAAAAATTGATTTATCCAATAAGTAGGTCAAGTTCTAATAAAGAAAAATATTGGTGATATGCTAATGACCAATCTGCAAGGCCCATAATTAAAGAAATTGAAGAAATTTTAAACTCCACAGAATGGATTTTTATTTATAGTTTAGATGGAGTAGTCTATCAAATTAATCTGCATAAAAAATCCATGATTGAGATGAAAACTGGGCTAGTAAGAAACTTAGTTATAGCATAAGCTAAAAATAAATATAATGGCCATTTATTTTGGATATGCCTAAAATGCTGAACACTATAATTATGTCGTTGATGAATACTAAGTCTTGTGAAATCTGCAAAGGAGTTGGGGAGCTTATTTGCTTCTGTAAGCAGGTTATTTTGTGTAGCAGCTGTGTAGGAATGAGCTGAAATTTATATTAGAATTTTATTATTCCCTATAAAATTGAATTATTGCAATGATTATATAAAAATAAAAAATTCAGTCTAACACCTGATATATTTTTGTATTATTTTATAAAAATATTTCTGTAGGAAAACATATAATTTCCGACATAGGCTCCAACCACAAGCCAGTCGCCCTTAGTGAAAGTCAACTAACTTCTTTAGTCGCTGAAAATTGGCGCGAGATCTGTGCTACTGAGGCACAAATCCTCGCTCAGGCTTCCCAAAAGCAAGAAATTTTATCACACATAAAATCTCGTCTCGAAAGAGAAATATCTAATATTGACGAATTTCAAAATTTGTCCATTCAATTTATTACAGAAATCGTAAAAGTAATAGAGCGTGACTTGCTTGGGGCTGCTGAAGATATGACACTAAAGGTCATAAATCAATGTGGAGCCCTCAAGAAGCAAATAAACGAAGCTTTAGAGACTGTGAAAAAGGGTGATTACCAATATAACGAATTGGCAAATTCTATGACAAACTGCCTGACTATAGAAGAAGTCGACAAATTTGAAATTATAAAGAAAAAAGTTGACTATACACAAGTTGACATAAAAAATGCCATTGTAAACCAATTTGTATTTGACATTGGGCTGAAAAATAGCGGCACAAATACCCCAGCGCCAGATCCAAAGCACCCTAAAGCTGCAACCCCTACTTCAACAGACTCTCATTCTCCTAAAAAAGTCCCACAGCTTGCTTTACCAAAGCAAAATATTATAAAAACAAAAATTGCATCTCCTAAAACTGCACCTCCAAAAATCGGTTTTAGAGATGCCAAAAGGACAAAAACACAAACACCAATGAGTTTATCAGATTTTGAAGAAAATTATGTATCACTAACTTCAAGAGATGGCTCAGATTATGAAATTACAAGGATGTCACAAACACAGAGAGACTTTAAAACAAAAATGCAGAGAAGCAGCTCTGTATCAAGGAGAAAAATAATTTCGTCGATGCTGTATTGCTTTATCCCCAACATGAAGTATTTGATTAATTTAAAAATAATTATAGCCTTGGCATATGAATAATAATTTAAATAAATAATTTTTATTAGAATAACAGCTAATAGGGAAAGAGAATATTTTTAAAAACAATAGAAAAATTAAAGGATTTTTTTATTTTTTTTTTATTTGATTACTTTTAATACTTCTATAGACGAGCTTTCAAAAATCAAAATAAAAAATCGAGATGTTGGACTTGATGGAAGTGCTTGGACAATTACCCCAGATGGGCTTATTATAATCACAGGAGGTCTACAAATATCCCCTAAGAAATCTACATGGATTTTCAATGTGGTTTCCCAAGACTTGACCATTGGCCCAGCTATGAAAAATCCTCGGTTTAATCATGCAATAATAAACATAGGGGAATTTGTCTATGTATTTGGAGGCTTCAATAATGGAAATTTAAAAGACTGCGAAAGGTTAAACGTAGCCCAAAGGACCTGGCAGAAAATAGCAAGCTTAAATGTGGCAAGAGAAAGCTGCTCAGCAGCGTTTATTAAAGGAAATATTTATATAGCTGGAGGCACAGACTCTATTGAAGCTTATAATATAGCAGGAAACAGATTTTCTTTATTAAAAATAAAAATTCCTGACTGTATCCGATGCTTTATGTTCTCAGTGGAAAATAATTTGATAATTTTGCATGGGAAAAAGGCTACAAAGGTGGACCCAATTAATTCTCAGACTGTAGAAGATGTATTGGACCTGCCTGAAGAAGACTGGTGGAGCCCAGCTAATCATATTTCCAATGAAAAATCAATATTTTTCATCAGAAAGTTCTTTATTTATAAGTACGATATTGAAGAAAATTTATTATTCCCAATTCAGTCATGCACGAATTAAATAAAAATTTTAAATTAAAGATTTTAATATAACTCATATGGTTTTCAAATGAAAATTACGATATTTATAATGGTTTTCAAAATAAAGGAATATCCATTTATGGAAATATAAATAATTCATTATTCAAATATGACTGAAACAGCTGAAAACATCCCTGAAGTAATTGAAACTTTAAATATCCCTGAAAAAAATCGCATATCAAGACCACTCGAAAGACAATCAAAAGACCTTAAGCGCCCAGAATCAGCAGGATTGCAAAAAACCCAAAAAATCCCTGCAAAACCTACAAAATCTTTTCAATCGATGACAGAAAAACAAAAAACTGAAGCATATTACGATTTATATGACACCAATATTGAATTAAAAAACAAGCAAAATGAATTAGAAGAAAGGGTATTTTTATTCATTATAAATAACCTATATTTCAGATATTAAATAACCTAATTTTCTATAAGAAATATCATTAATATTAATATAACAGCTTAAAAAATTAATTTTACACCATATAAAACAATTAACTACGCAGCTAACAAGAATTGTTGCAGATATAAAATATGAGCGAGATTTGGCAGCAAATTCTGCAGGTGGCGAAATTAAAGCAAAAATCCAAGCTTTAAATGAAGAAAAAGAAAAAATTTCCAAGGAGAATTTGGAGTTGAAACAAAAATTAAAAGAAAAAAAATTTTCTCAAGGCAAAAATCCTCGGCAAGTTGGACAGAAAAATAGGCCGCCGACAATAGCAAAATTTAATACCCAGCCAGTAGTGATTTCTAAGGATAGAAGAGTTGATGAAACTTTAGAAGAAAGAGACAGACTGATTGAAAGACTAAAAGAGCAGCTTCAGCAGACTGAAATTGAGCTGCTTCGATCAAAAGGGGATAGAGGCTTAGCTCCAGATCTCACTGACAGTTTTAAAGAAAAAGCGACACAGCTATATCTATCAGCCTTAATTTCACATAAAAATATTTTCATAATTATTTATAAATCATACATTTTCCTTATAAATTCTCATATAATTCAGTATAAACCATAATACTAAATTTAGAGCAAAAATTTTCTTCCTTAGAACAAGAATTTCTATCCCAAAAAACCTATCTTGAGCTTACCAAAAAAATGCTTGAAGAATCCCAAGCCTCCCTCAGAGACGAAAGAACCAAAAACTCCGAGCTTTCTATCCGCCTAAACGCTGCAGAAATGGCTGCAAAAGGCAGCAAAGATCTTGCATTAAAACTTAAAGAAGTTGTATCTGAAAATAAGCAGCTCGAAATGAGGGTAAAAGAACTATGCCAATCCCCCTTTATAAAAGAATCCGGCGACCGAGTCATAATTGGCACCAAAATTACCCTCCTTGAAAAAGAGCTCGAGGAAAGGCTTTATACCGTCAATGATTATAAAGAAAGAGTCCTCAGAGCTGAAAGCGAGCTAGCCAGAACCAAACAAGAGCTGGATTTAGCCAACATAGAAAGAAGCAGACTTAAAGACGAAAATTTGGTTTTAAACGTAAAATTATCAGAAAAAGGAAAATATGTTGACGATTTTGACGAAAAATTAAAAGTCCTGGTCCAAGACAAAGACTCTGAAGCCTTCATGAAAGCTATAGGGATGATGAAGCTAGAAGGTCAGCAGCCTGTATGGTCACAGCTAGATATGATAGAAAGGGCTCAAAGTGTCCCTGGCGACGTGCCTGGGCTTATGCGAGAAATAGAAAGGCTAAAAATCGAAAAAGGCGACCTAGCAGCTGAGCTAGAAAAATACCAAAACTTAATAACATTAAAAGCCCAAATTGAAGAAGAAAAAACAGCCATGATAAAAGCAGAAAATGAAAACTTAAAATTCCAGCTGAGGGCTGCACAAAAAAGAATTGAGGAATTAAGCAAGCTTTCAGATTATCGGGCAAACAAATTAAAACAATTTTCTAAATTGCAAGGACCAAAACTACCTGTTAGTGTCAACCAGTCAATAGAAAATTTAGACTTAGGAGGTGGCTTTATTGAAGGCGGCACTGAGGTCGACACAGGCGAAAATATTTTTGATTTAATGATAATTGACGCTGATTACAATTTAAACCTCCTCCCACCAAAAGTGATAGAAAATATCAAAAATTTGCCGGAATTCCTTACTTTTATGACAGTGGATTTTTATAATCATGAAAGTCAGCTTACTTCTATATGTGAAGGGCTTAGGCCGAAATTTGAGGTCCATATAAGTTTTAAGGTATCTGTGGATAATTTATTTTTAAAATATTTACAAGCGGATTTTGTCATAGTTGAGGCACATTTGACGGTGGGTGACCGATATGTGACGATTGGGAAAAGCAAAATTCCATTAAAAGTACTGATTGAGGTGTCAAGGGCTGAAAACCTTACAAGGGTCATAGAGTCAGCCTGTGTGCTGTTTAGCAGATTTGACGAAAAAGTCGTTATTGGAGGTTTTCGGTATAAAATGAGAATGAGGTATCCGATGAACGAAATTTTTGATTATTATGAAGACCAACAAGAGGTCATGGTAAGACCGACAACAATAGATGCTATTGATACAAGCCAAAAACGAAGGGAGTATTTTTAATTATGTTTACTATCAATTTATTCAAAAATCCTATTAAAATTATTATTTAAAATACAATAGTAATGACGATTTCCATATATTGTCATCATGGAAGTCGATGAAAAGCTTATGATTCCTTATAAAGAAAAAGATGAAGGGACTCGGCTCTTTAAAGCAGGGGAGTTTGAAAATTCAAGCAAAGCTTATTCGAAGGCTTTATTAGCTATAAATTATCTGTTTAAAGATGAATTAATTCCTGAAGAAGATGTAATGCGATATGTAAAAGAAATCCAAATCCCTTGCTTTTTAAGAGAAAATAGAGTGGCGACGTCGGCAGAAGATGGCTATAAAAAAAAATACTCCCTATGGAGTAGCTGAAAATAGTTTCTATGTCACTTTTTGAGGCCTTCTAGTTTGGGAATACCTTCAGAAGAGGAATGCTTTTTTCGAAGGTTTTCCCTGTCCCTGCCAGATGGGCTAGACAGGTTTTGCTTAACACTTTAGTCTTTGCTTATCAGGACTAACAGAGCACCAGCAATAGATCGCTCTATTATAAGAGCTAATCCTTAGGTAGGCGTATGCCAGATAAGCAGACTATTAGTCTATCCGCTTAGGCCTTATAACTTAATCTTGCCTTTTAAACCTTTCAGCTTGTTATTTGAAAATGAAGGTTAATTATGAAAACGTCATAATTCATTGCTCTGATGTGCTATGCCGTGCTATTAAAGATTGGCATATAGCAAAATTAGTATCTTTTATAGAAATAATTGATTTGGTATAGAATAAATGTAGATCCAGGAAATCCTAAAGCCCTTTATAGAAGAGGAGTAGCCCATACAGAACTGAGTAACTTTGAAGAAGCTTCAAGAGACTTAAAAGAAGCAAGACGTATAGAGCCTAAGAATAATAGCATATATGAAGCCCAAGTGGAACTAAAAAGTAGGATAAAAGCTTATAAAGAAAAAACCAAAAAAATTGCTCACTTCTCCTCTTTGTTAATTTCATTTACTCCCCCCCCTCCGTGAGTGAACAAAAAAATTTGTTCACTCACGGAGGGGGTTTAATTTTTTTTTTTAAAAAAAATTTATATATAAATTTATAAAAAATATTTTTTTTCGAAATTTAAAAAAATCCTAATTCGCAAAAATTGGAAAGCAAATATTAATTCAATTTGCAAAATTTATGTTTTAAAAAGCAATTCGTTTAAAATTAAACAGAATTAGCTCTATATTTCATTATAATAATTATCATTTATATATTAAAACTTTTTTCCATAAAAAATTTTTGTTCACTCACGGGTTTTTTTGGGCAAAAAATGGCGATTTTTCTAATGGTTTTGTTCACTCACGGAGGGGGGGGAGTTTAGGGAAATTTTTATTTCAAATTTCAAAAATTGCAAACTGTTTAAATTTAATAAAGTTGCCTATAATAATTAGCTTTATACATCGAGTTTTTTACATAAAAAATTTTATTTTAAAATTTTTAGCTTTCTCATAGAAAAGAAGCAGAATTTTCCTAATAGTTTGTTCGTTCTGAAGGGGGAGATAGAAAACTTTTGAAAAGAAACCTCAGCCAGAAGTAAAAAATATTCCTGAGCCTTCTACTTGGACTCTTTTGGGACAGATTATTTTCCAATGCTGCAGAAGAAGGGCGAATTTTAGACATTAGTAATGAAACAATTAAATAAACAGAAACACATTTAGTATTAATATGAGTTTTATTATTAGAGATGAAAATATTGTATAAATTTTAATTGGGTTATAGAAATTGCATGTTAATATGAATAAACTTTAAAAATTATAATCTTAGAAATATTTCTTGTCAGTTATTTAATCTTTTAAATATTATTAATTCAAATATAAATTAAATTTAGCAGTCTGATTTGAGCCTGAAAAATATGAGATCATAGCATTTACAATTTGATTTTGCCAATAGGAATAAAAGGGATAAATATAAAATAATGTTGAGAAGAAGTCAAATATGATTGATTTATTGTAAGTTATTTATATTAAAATTAATTTGCTGTGTGCTTAAAAAACGTGAATAAATAAGTTTTCTTGAATTTTTTGCAAATTTTCAGAATGCATATTGATATAGCTTCTTCTATTTGATAGAAAAAAAGAATCGATCAATAATAAGAAGCTTTATATTATATTGAAGACAAAAAAGCTATAAAATTATTGATGATAAAATGTTTAAAAAATATATATGAAATAAAACGAAGATTGCTTTAAAATTATTTATAAAAATTCCTACAAGAGAAAGCATTTTAACAATAAACACTAAAGGAGCAATACATATTTATTAAAATCTTTAGAATTACAACATTAATATTTACTCGATAATTTAAAAGCTCTCAATCTAATGTCTAAAAGGAGAAGATCGCTTCACTATCAGGAATGAACTAGATTATAAGCAAGATTTTCACAACATACATCATACCTTGACTCTTTAATGAAATCCATAAAAAATCAGAAAATGTATATTGATCCTTTAACAGCTTGAATATTGCAAAATTTCGGAACTCTCCTCGCTCAATGAAATAGTCTTTTTTTCCCTGTTTTTCTAACTTAGAATTATCAACAAGTAAGCATATTAGGAAAAATCTTTACAGTATGCATAAAAAGAAAAAACTTAAAGAAATCTGAGAAGAATAACCTACAAAATAGCAAAAGGATTATTTTCACATACTTAATAGATAATTTATAGGTTTATTTAAATTCTCAGTCAAAATAAAAATTACACAGAAGCTTTTAAGTATTTTTGTAGTAAAATTTCCGAGTAATTTAGCCATAAATTTGAAAAACCTGAAGAAGTTTATAATATGGAGAGATTGAAATCAAACAGGGTACCTAAGAGAGCTGAGCCAAGAAAGAGCGATCCACATAATGTTTCATCTGCATCTACAATTGGACGGAATATTTCGTCAGCAGCTACGAAAAAGAGAGGTGTAGGCGAGCTTGCCAGTTCGGTTAATCGAATGAGCCTAGAAGAAAACAAAACTGGTAGTGGGGGGAATTTTTTTAAAATTAATATTTATTTAAAAATAATAAAAATATAGTTAACTACACTGACTGGCACGGGGTGATTTTGGCTCGAAACTGAGCCAAAAGCACCCCGTGCCAGTCAGTGTAGTTCACTATAATATTTTCAAATATAAAAGGGCCAGCAGTGGGACCTTCACATTCAATAATGAAAAAGTCATCGGAACAGGCACGTTTGCTAGTGTTTCTCAAGCTACAATAGCAGAAACTGGAGAAGTCGTAGCAATTAAAAAGGTTTTGCAAGACAGATTAGGTTTTGTTAAGCTCGAATTGGTCTTTAGTGCCTCTTTGCCTTGCCGATTTCAGATTTCTCGTCCTCCTTAGTATAGGTTTGCACTAACGGATTTTTCTGTCGATGTCACTAAAAAGATTGTGACATCTTCATCTCTCGGGGAGATACACACAGGTGCTTCTTTGGACAACTCCTAGCGGTGGGCATCATCTACCAGGGGATTTGGGTAAGGTAAAATCCTATATCCTCCTTCTGGTTCCTATTACCTTTCACGTCCAGAAGTGCATGGACAATGATAGACTTGTCTATGGATCAGGGTAAAATCTCTGTAGTGGTGTCCAGGCAAGCCCATTTTATTTGTGTTCGCAAGACAGAAGATATAAAAATCGTGAGCTGGAGATCATGAAAGATTTACACCACCCAAACATAGTAACTCTTCGTCATTCATACTTCACGCAAGGCGAGAAGCCTGATGAAATGTTTTTAAACTTAGTTATGGACTTTATTCCAGAAACTATATATAGAGTTACTAAAGATTATGTTCATCAGAAGCAGCCTATGCCAATTTTATTGGTAAAATTGTATGCTTATTTTTATTTATTTAAAAATATATTTTTTATAATAAAATATTATTAAAAATATCTATACAATAATAAATAAAATGCCAATAGCGAATTCATTATAATATTTGCTTTCTAAATAAAACAATTAATAAATATTTGAATTTAGAAGTAAATTTATTCTATTAGAGCATAATACCATGCTTATCAAATCATGAGAAGCATTGCCTATCTCCACGCTACCGGAGTTTGCCACCGCGACATAAAGCCTCAAAATGTATTAGTAGACACCAATAGCCATATCGTCAAACTTTGTGATTTTGGCTCAGCCAAAAAATTAGTCAAAGGTGAGCCTAATGTCAGCTATATTTGCTCCAGATATTATAGAGCTCCTGAGCTAATTTTTGGTGCCACTGATTATACGACAGCCATTGATGTCTGAAGTGGAGCTGCCGTTATAGCAGAATTGATATTAGGCCAGCCTTTATTCCCAGGCGAAAGCAGTATTGACCAGCTTGTCGAAGTAATAAAAATCCTAGGGACTCCTACAAGAAACCAAATTAATGATATGAACCCAAATTATATAGAAAGAAGATTTCCTCAAATAAGACAGCAGCCTTTGGACAGGATTTTTAAGGCAGGGACTCCTCCAGATATCATTGACTTTTTGAGTGGAATTTTGGTTTATTCGCCTCAGTTAAGGCCTACAGCACTACAAAGCTTAGCACACCCATGTTTTGATATTTTGAGGGATGAAAACACGAGGCTGCCTAATGGAAATCCATTACCAAGTCTATTTAATTGGACACCGGAGGAAAGAAGTGCAGGGAATTTGCAATTGTTTAGACAATTGACTCCACGTTGGTTCCGAGCATAAAAGGTCTATAATTATGAAGATATAGATAATTCAATTAATAGAAATTCTTATTTAGCTATTTATAAGGCTTATTTTGCAATTCTTAATAAATTGTTAAATCTCATATAAAGATCTCTTTAAGCGTTTATATATTGTATATTCATCACTTCAACTAATATAATTGCTACTGGTTTTCTGGTTTTATGGGTTATTTTGACAAATTTAAAGATTTATAAAATCTTAAAATTTTGATATTTCTTTAATGATTTTCTCATCTTAAAATATTCAATACCTTTCTTATCCAAAATTTTTAGCTTGAAAAAAATTCTTAATTCCCCCCCATCCTTGATCGAACGATTGACTGTAAAAAATTCCTAAAAATTGGGGAAATTAACCCCCATCCTTGATCGAACTATTTTCATATCATGTAAATTTTTATTATATAAAAATATATTAGTATCGAAAGCTTAGGGAGATGTGCCTAATGAAGTTTTTTTTCAGAGACTTTGAGACGACAGAAAGCTACAGAATCAACCATCCGAAGTGATTTAGTATCAACCTAGGCTTAAAAACTCAATAATTTAAAAAATAGAGATTTTTTAAAATTTTAAAAAAAATTTAATTCAATAAGAAACAAATTAAAATTTATACAGTTTAAAGGGGTGACTAATAAATCAAAATATTAGAAATTGGTATTTTTATGAGATTAATTCAATTTTTTGCTGTAAAAATAATTATTAAATGCTCTTAACCCTCTTATTTAAAAGTAAACAAAAAAATATATATATATAAATTTTTTTTTAACCCCCATCCTTGATCCAACGATGGCGAGCTGTTCGATCAAGGATGGGGGGGGAGTAAGTCACATTGTTTTTAAATCATAAAATAGAAAATCATCTTAAATCATTCTGCTACCTTATAAAGAGCTCCTGCAGCTTTATTTAATGGAGAAAAATTCAGTTATTCTTTATCGGACATCTAAATAGCAAATTATAAATCGCTATGGATTTCATAGAGCAAGCTCCTCATGGAAAAATCGGAAGCTATAGGCTATAATTTTCCTTAAAATTAATATTTAATTTAAATTAATTCAATCGAGATATATCAAATGTTGGCTGCATATCATTAAATTAGAGAAATTTACGCTGCAGATATTTCTTGGACGCTATTTGGTCGAGGCATTTAATTGAGAAAAAAACTGTTTTTACAGTGCAAATGTCTAAAGTAAAATTTTCAATCAAATGATGTTGAGAATATTGCTTTGTAAAAAATAGGACCAAAAGGTGTGCATTTCAAATTTCGACAAACAGTGCCAAAGGAAAATCTGCAACCACAAGACGTGACCGCACGTACTCTAAAAAGGATGCTTCTCAGCCAGTAGAAGAGATTCAAATTCCTTCAAAATCCGAAGAAATAATCAGACCTACAGCCCGATCAAGATCTCGCACCCCTGCCAAAAGTCAAAAATCGCCAGCTAAAAAAGCAATAGCACCCAATCCACTTGCAAAATCTCCTAAGCCAGAACTAAAATCAGCTACCAAAACTCCTAGAAAGTCTCAAAAGCCAGCTGAAGCTTTAACAAATTCTTCAAAAGCTGCAAAAAAAGCTAAAAAATCAAGGACAAGGAAATCAGCTCTAAAACGGGCAATATTGTCAGCGGGTTTGCTTGATCTTTTATATCCTGGCCGCTATCCAATGCCTGCTAGGATTAGGCACTCCTTCTAATTTTCAAAAAGCATTCTCATTATTCAAAAATCAAGAAGAAAAGCCCCAACTACAGAATAAGAATAAATTAATTATTCTTTTTAAATCTCTCTTATGATTGTTTTTGCGTCTCCTTAAATTTGAAATTTAATATACACTTAAAATAGCGTGGAGAGCCAATCCACCCTCTTAACTCCTGTAACTGGCATCCCATAGGGTGCGCAGGATCTTGAGGAAGAAAGATGGGTATTCGGCCAGGCTTTTCTTGGTTTGGTGAAGTGCATTGCTGGGCTAACTACCGGATGCTTCTTCTAGTGCCAAGTTTTGTCTCAATAAGAGAAGGGCTGGAAGTTGAAAAGGGTTTCCTAGAGCCAATGGCGCTCATCTTGGTCAATCAGGACTATTCCCCAGCGTGAAATCGGGAATTAAACTTTGGGCAATGGGTTTCCATTTTGGCTGATAGTTGACAAAATACTTTAACCCTTTTAAATTTTAAAATGGTGGTCAACTCTGCTGATGTACATCATCGCGACTCAAGTGACTCAAATACCAGGGCACGAGTTCAAGCCCTCGTCCAGCTAAGCATCCTTTGTAAGGTTGTGCACAAACTGGCGAGTAGGCAAAGAGGGTGTTACAGATTGAGATAGTCCTTTTGGAATTACAGCAAGCTTCTCAATAAGTCTTAATAATGATATTTAATAGACTATTGCTATTTTCCAATTCATGCACAAATAGCTAATACCGTTTATCCGTTTATAAATAACTTTGTTCTAAATATTCTATTTATGATGCTTCCTTTTATCACATTTTTTCTTCAGCTGAATCATCTAAAAAATTTTATAAGAGATTTAGATTCAACATAAAATACGTATTTATTGAACACTTGAAAATTCAAGTCTTGTGCATGATAAGATAGAATAAGCAAAAGAATTTTCAATTCCATACAATATCCAAGAGCTTTGAGAAACTAATTAAGTTTAAGATAAGAATATAAGGATTTAATAAGCAGTCATTTAAAATATTAGGCTTTAGCTATCATTCAAATTTTGCAATTAAAAAGTAATCACAAATAGTTCTAAACATCTAGAATTAGGAATGTTCAAATTGCTCTTAGAAATACGCTTATTGAAATAATAGCCCAAAGAAAAACAGCCTTTGTAGTCAATCTTAAATATTGGTGGAAAGATAAGCTTTATAAATAATTTCTTCTTTAAAATCTGGCTAACTCGATTTGAAGCATAAATTTATACACATTTTCCCTTGTTTTTAAAAGCTTATATTGTAAATGATGATAATAAAGTTCTTATTTTTTGTCCTTGCTAGCATTTCATCAGGCAAGGTATTTGTTCTTTATATTAGATGGGTCACTACAGCAAATGACTTGAAACATTCAACTAAATTTAAAATTTGCTAGGCAGCTTATAAGCTCACTGCTGCTGAATATCAGACGCCAATTTCTTTTTTCATGGCCCAGGACTTTGTGATAGTCGGCTTGATGGACTCAAATTTTAAAATTGTTATCTATTGAAATCATAAAAATGCAAACTGTAACTCCTAAATTTATTTCGATATCGATAAAATGGAATTATTCGCTATAAATAAAAGATCAAGTTTGTGCTAATAAAATTGCTCTGGGCGCTAATTTCTAAAAAATTAACGATAGATTGAGCAAAAGAATAGAATACAACAGCCAAAAGTTACGAGAAGCTGATTAAGATTCAGATAAGAATATATGCAGGATTTAATTAAACAGGTTATAAAGGCTTAACGCTAGTGATTAATCGACTTTTGTATTTAAAAAGTAAGATCAATACATAGAATCCTAAGAACTAGGGACATTCAACTTGCATTTTTAGAAAAACGGTCATCAAATTTTAGCAAAATAATTTAAATGGCTTTCTTAATCAAGCTTAAATATTTATTGGAAATATAAGCTTTAGCCTATTTCTCTTCTTTTAAAAATTTAGCTAGCTTTAAATTAAGCATAAATTTATCGATTTTTTTAATATTGTTTATAGGCATATAATATAAATGGTCTTGATAAAGCTCTCAATTGTCCTTGCTGTCCTTTTTAGCATTTCATCAGGCAAGGTATTTACTCCTTATATTCGATGGATCTTGAATACTAATGGGGTAAATTCAGGGGATAATACTAAAATTAAGGATTCACTAGGTGGAAATCTTGTCTTGTATGAGAAGAACAGCAATCCTATCTCGGCTTCCTGTGGATCCACTGATATGTCATCGTTAGAATTACTTGGAGACTTCTCAACTTTGTCTTTAAGTGAAGTTGCGATAGGCATTTGGTTTTTTCAATCTGATGATACAAGTAGTGATAAATACCCTTTTAGTTTTATCCATGACATGAATAGCTATGGAAAAGATTTTTCAGTGAGATCTGATACTGGAAGTTATTATGCTTTCTTTCAAGATGACAATTCCAACCAAAACAATGATGATGACATGACTATATCCGACGTTCTCAGTAATTTTTATTCAGATCAATGGGTTTTCATTACATTTTATTGGACTGGCGCAGCAGGAGATATTACATGGGACATTTACTTAAAAACTCAGATTTTTAACAAGAAAGGCTCAAATCCAGTATATGTGATGCCAACCATCATCAATCTTGGATCATTTACTGGATTTATTTATGAGGTAATTGTTTGTAAAAGTGCTTCATTTAGTGGAAGTGTGATTCCATATGCAATTACATTGGCGGATGATGCAGGAACTAATTACATAGCGATATCAACAACAGCTTGCTCAGCAAGCTGCACTAGTGATTGCCACCCTAAATATGGATGCTTAAGCAGCAGTGATTGCCAATGCCCAGTAGCTTGTTCTAGTTGTGCAAGTGGGGTATGTCAAGGCTGTACAGAAACGTACCGAACTCAAAGCACTGATTGCTGTAATTTTTATTTAGTATGCTTTGAAAACTGTCCTTCATGCGATTCTAACACTGTTTGTAATCATTGCGATGCAGGTTATTTCCTGAAAACTGATAGCGACTCTAATTTACGCTGCTTCTGTAAGATTTATGTAGCTTGCGCTAGTTCTTGTCACGATTGCATTGATGGAGAGTGCTACCAATGTGCTGATTTTGTGGTTCAAGATTCAGGAGCTTGCAGACTGGACTCAGTGGGATTCCAAATAAGCTTCAGCTATCCAAATATTATTATTGAATTTGCTAATCCTCTGAAAAGTGCTCTTACTAAGGACAATTTCAGCGCTCTGGATAAAAATGACAATATAATCGATATAACGAATTGGGTAATCGACTCATCTTCGACACTGTCTATAACTGTTATAAAGACTGAAAACGTAAAAGACAGCGACCTTCCAATTACTGTTGACTTCTCATTCGGCGCAGGCACTTAAACTTAGCTTAATTCTTAACAGAATCTATTTCTAAAAACTTTATTAATTTTTTAACGTGAGATTAAGGATTGTAGCTTTCTTTAAAGATAGCTAAATATTATTATTTTAAAAATATCTTCGATACAATTAATGTTAGTATAATGTTTAGACATTATAATTATTCTTTAAAATCAATTAATAAATCTTAAAAAAGAAGCTTTAGCTGCTTCGAAAGCAACATGCAGCGATTTAACTAGCTTACTATTGAACCTTTTATTATTTTCAGAAATGGAAAAATTAGCTATATCTTTCATAAAATGCGTATTTAGTTTAATTCTTAAAATGCTATGATAAAGCCTTATATTAGAAATTTCTGAATTTTTTGTCCGATTCGAGCCTTATATTAGAATTTTTCTGAATTTTTTTTAAGATTCGAGAATTGTGAATTTCAAAATAATTAGCTACTAACTATAATTACTTCTCCATCTGAAATCAATAAGAATAATAAAATTATAAAGCCTCGATTTATTTCGATATCGATAATATGGAACTGTTCGTAAACAATAAAGGGTCAAGTGTGAGCAATAAGGTTGCCCTGGGCATGAATTTCTAAACTCCCCCCCCTCCGTGAGTGAACAAAACCATTAGAAAAACCCTTATTTTTTGCCCAAAAACCACCATCCGTGAGTGAACAAAACCATTAGAAAAACCCTTATTTTTTGCCCAAAAACCCACCATCCGTGAGTGAACAAAAATATTTTTAATAGAAAAATTTTTTATGGAAAAAAATTTTGATATATAAGTGATAATTAGTATAATGAAATCTAGAGCTAATTCTGTTTAATTTTAAACGAATTGCTTTTTAAAACATAAATTTTATAAATTAAATTAATATTTGCTTTCCAATTTTCGCGAATTAGGATTTTTTTAAATTTCGAAAAAAAAATTTTTTATAAAATTTAAATATAAATTTTTTTAAAAAAAAAAAATTAACCCCCCTCCGTGAGTGAACAAAAAAATTTTGTTCACTTACGGAGGGGGGGGAGTAAATTCTAAAATTTAGCTTTCTACTTCTTATGGATTCAGCAAAAGAATTTTTAATTCGAGATCATAAATTAAAATTTTTAGAATGTGCTTAATGTCAATAAGAATGTGCAGATTTGGTTAAAAAGGCTTTAAAAGTTTCAGCTCCAGTTATTGCTCTACTTTTGTAATTGAGAAAGCAGTCTTAGAAAAATTGACCCCCTTCCGTGAGCGAACAAAAATTTGTTCCCTTTTTTTTTGAAAAAAAATTTGTATATATTTTATAAATATTTATTTAATTTGTAAAATTTATGTTTTAATATCAACTTGCTCAAAATTAAACAGAATTAGTTAGATTTCATTATACAATTATCACTTCTATATAAAATTTTTTATATCAAAAACATTTTTTGCTGGCTCATAGAGGTGGTTTGTTGCAAAACTTCGCTAAGGGATAGGGATAGTAAGCATATAAAAAAATAAAATGATGGCATTAACTCACTCCCTATAGAGCAGATTTGATCTATACCATTGTGATGGATTCGGGCGCCTGAGTCGTTTTTAGGCCTTTGTGTTAAAGGATATTTGTGAAGAGGAGGTGTTGTTTCTTTGCCAAAGGTTACTCTATTTTTGCTTAGGCAGGATAATAGATTATTGTGAATCAACCCATCATATAGCTTATATCCCTCGGGTGTTCTAAAAATTTAAGGGAGAATATACCCGAGGATGTATATGTGCCAATGTTTTTCTGGAGTCAAGTAGAGCTGTAACACTGAACTGATAAACCCAAGCTAAGGTTCTTCCTAAAGCTGAGAGTTTTAAAAGGATCTGCCAGCAGTACCAGAAATGAATTTAAGGTCAGTCGGACTGTTTCCTAGCGTGAAACCAGTATTACACTATTACACTATAGGCTGATTTTAAATCTTTTATACTAGCATCTAGAAAAGCTGATAATAAAAACGATATCAATAGAATTAAAAAAATAAAGCCCTCAGCTAGCAAGGTATAAGCGAAGAGTAATGACTCTCAATCATAAAACTGAATTTGGCGCAAAATCTAGAGTAAATTAAAAAAGATTCAAAATTACAGATATTATATGACAGAACTCGAATCAAATGCCAAAGTGAAAAAATTGTGAAATGAAGGTTAGATCATTAGAAATTTAGGTTAATTATAGCATCTTAGCCTGCTTTACAATTAAAATGCTTAGCCTTAAGAACAGAAAAGCTATATCAATTTATTTTAAGCAGAGTTTAAATAGGATCATACTGCTTAAGTTTCATTTATTGAAATTTTGAATCCAATATTGAATAAACAGGTTAGACATATTTATTATAAGTATTTCAAATAAAGGGAGTTCTAAATCTAATTTTAAAATGCCTAAATTTATCTCGATATAAATAAAATGGAACAGCTTTTCAAGGAATAAGGCCAACCTATTTGCTAAAAATGCCCTTTCGATTAAATTCTTAGCTGGCTCGTTCGAATTAAAGCATTAATTTATACATCTTTAGCTTATTTTGTAAAGACTTATAATGTAAATGGTGATGATAAAGTTCTCATTTGTCCTTGCTGCACCTTTTAGAATTCCATCAGGAGCACAATTGTTACTTATATTATATTAGATGGGTCTTGACAACAAATGGGTTAAAAAAATTAACTAAATCAAGATTCGCTAGGTAGCTGATCAGCTCACCGCTGGTAAAAACCTCTTTTTCATAGCTCCTGGAACCTTGTGATAGTCTGCTTGATGAACTAAGAGGTTGGGTCGACTTATCACACCAATTTTAATATTTTTCTTCCATCTGAAATCATAAAATAAAAACTTTAACGCATATTTTTTTTCAATTTCGATAAAATGGAATTATTAGTTATGAATAAATGTCAAGCAAGTGCTAATAAAATTGCTCTGGGCACTAAACTAATTTCTAAAAAATTAGCGATAGATTGAGCAAAAGAATTTAAAGGGGCTAAAAGTTGAAAGAAACCGATATGGTCCAGATAAGAATTTATGCAGGATTTAATTAAACAGATTTTGAAAGTTTAGTTCTAGTTATTACTCAACTTTTGTAATTAAAAAGTAATATCAAATAGCTAGAATCCTAAGAATATAGAAAAATAAAATAATGACGCTGATGCATTCAGTATAGAGCAGATTTTATGCATCTCATTATGATAGATTCGGGCGCCTGAGTCTCTTTCCAGTAGGCCTTTGTGTTAAGGGATACTTGCTGAAGATGGAATTTTGTTTCTTTGCCAAAGGTCACTCTGTGTTTGCTTAGGCAGGATAATAGATTATTGCGAATCAGCCCATCATATAGCTGATATCCTAGAATCTAGGAAAGCTGATAATACAAGCGATATCAATAGAATAAGAAAAATAAAGCTGGTAAAAATGCAAAGTAAATTCAGCTCTCACTCATAAAACTGAATCTGGCACAAAATCTAGAGTAAATTTAAAGAAGATATAAAGGCTACAGATCTTATACAGAATTAAATGTCAAAGTGAAAAAATTGTGTAATAAAGGTTAGCTCATTAGAAATTTAGATTATTTAAGGCATCTTAACCATTTTCATAGCCTTAAGAACAAAGAAGCTAATTACTTTATTTAAGCAGAGTTTAAATGCATGATGCTGCTTCATATTCATTAATTAAAATTTTGAATCCAATATTAAATAAAGCAAATAAAAACAATATTATACATATTTCTAATAAAAGAGTTCTAAGTCTGATTTTAAAACGCCTAAATTTTCTTGATATCGATAAAATGGAACAGCTCTTCGAGGAGTAAGACCAAATTATTTGCTAAGAAAAATCAATTCTCCCCGTTGTTAGTCTAGGCGTGAAGATGTTATTTTTCAACCCCAGGCAATTTTAGAAATTTTTAATCCAGATAAGATTTTCCTATTTAAGCTAGGCAAATCGCTCTATCCAGAACTTAAACTTAAGACAATATTAAAAATTTATGCAAAAAGCTTGAATTGTGACCTTTTAAGTACCAATGCTTAAATATTTGAATGGAAATAAAGTCTTTGTTTAAAAATTGGTTTAACTAATTAATAGGAATAAGCTTGAACATTTTTTCCCTAATTATATTAACCTTTATAAAATAAATGGTAATTATAAAGGCCTCAATTGTCCTCGCTGTACTTTTTAGCCTCTCGTCAGGAAAAGCTTTTACTCCTTTTCATGATTGGATAATGACGAGCAGATGAATAAATGCAATTAATAGCTATGAAATTGATGACTCTCTAGGAAGTACTCGAAAACTGGCTACATCTGACAGTTCTTCTTTAGTTACCACTTGTGGGCAAACAAAAGTTTCCCCAGATATCATGGGAGATTTTTCAGGCAGTTCAACAACTGAAATAGCAGTAAGCGCTTGGTTATATCAAATTACCCGTGAGGCTGATTCATACCCTTTTTCATTTTATCGTGATGCATCTAATGCTGGTCACGATTATTCTGTTCAATCAGGATCAGGAATCTTCATTGCGTTTTTTGATGACCAGAGCGTTAGAAATAGTTTTAATGATATGGTGATTTATGATGCATTAGGTAAATTTTATTTAGGCGAATGGATGTTCTTCACATTTTATTGGGTTGACGTTTCAGGGACTATAACGTGAAAAATTTACTCGCAAAATGATAATAAGGAAGCTACAGGCACAAATCCTGCATATGTATGGCCTAACCTATTAGATGTGGGGTATAAAATGAATGGCTACTTTTATGAGATTATTGTTCATAGTGGAGCATCATCAGTTTCCAGATATGGAACTTATGTAATCACTTTACTTGATGACCAAGGAGGTAGCTATGTTCCGATAGCAGGAGGCACTGGCTCGCCACCTTGTACGCAAAGATCCCATCCTAAATATGGGTGCTTGCCAATAACATCAGCCTGCCTATGCCCAGCTTTTTGCTCTAACTGCGATTCAGCCGGTGTTTGTCAAGGATGCACACAAACACACAGAACTCTGAGCACGGAATGCCGTAATTTTAATTTAGAATGCTTCGAAAACTGCGTTTCATGTGATTCCAACTATATTTGTAATCATTGTGATGCAAATTATTTTCGGAAAATTGATAACGACTATAATATTCGCTGTTTCTGTAAGATTTATGTAGCTTGCACGACTTCTTGTCAGGATTGTGATGGTGGAGAATGCTATTTATGCGCTGATTTAATAGTTCAAGATTCAGGATCTTGCAGAGAGGAATCAGTGGGCTTCCAAATAAGTTTTAGCTATCCAAACATTATTGTTGATTTTGCCGTTCCTCTTCAAAATGTTCTCACCATAGACAATCTCACTGCAAAAGATAAAAATAGCAATACAATAGATGCATCGAATTGGCAAATTGATCCATCTTCAACACTTTCTAGGGCTGTTATTGAGACTGACAATATAAACGAAAGCAGCCTTCCATTTTATGTGAACCTCTCATTCAATTCCTAGATTTTAGTTTATTTTAATAGAATTTATTTCTAAAAGCTTTATAGTTTTAAAATATTAAATAATGAGATGCAAATTCTGAATTATTAATAAAGAGAGTTTATGATTATAAAATTGTTATATAAAGAGCTAAAATAAATGCTAAAATTTTTATTAATTATTGTTTAAAATCAAACAATAAATTTTAATAACTATCAACTTCTAGAGTATTATGCACTGTTTTAATTATCTTGATATTAAGGAATAAATAATATATATTTTTAATCCTTATGATATCTTCTTTTTAATTAAGCACTATAAGTAACAATGTTGAAATAAGCTTGAAAATATCCCGAAATAAATGGGATCAAGACTTCATAATTTTAAATTAATCTTGTCCGACAACTTTTATTTATTGCTATCGCTTATAATCCATTAAATATAAGAAAACCAATAGCACATAACTTCACCTCTTTAGTCATTTTACTTCCACATAAAGTGTTGTCTCCTGAATAAGGGTATTTATGCTGCAAAAATAAATCGATTTTATTGTTTAAAGATAAATATGAGATAAAGAAATACTTAAAAAGCATGCATTTGTCTGGTTATATAATAAATTAATTAAAATTCAAAAGTCATGTTATAGATTTTAGTCGCTTTATTAGATTTAGGAGTCTTATGGCTGAAGTAAATTGTATAATCAAATAATTAAATTAAAGATAAAAACGAAAGCACAAAAATATCAATGACTATAGATTTTGATAATATAATAGCTTCGATAGCAAAGACAGCTAGCATAGATGCACAGAAAGCAAATGCACAACTATTTCTAATCATTTTTTCATAAAGAAATTCCAATATTAATAGGCAAAAGAAGCTTCTGTTGCACCACGTATACAGTTAATATTAGTTAAAAGTACAAAAAGCAAAGGAAATAAAAATCATCAACTAGTAAACAGTGATAGAATAAGGTTAAATCGTGCTTTAAATCCTTAAGAAGGTTACTCTTTTTCAGAAATTCCACAATGGAAGCACTGTGGAGCAGACTTTTTGAACCACATTCTGCCTTTCGCTTCAGTTTTAGTTTTTGCCAGGAATATTATTGTCTCCGTTTTAGCTAGCTCAAGGAGATGGCCGGATCGCCCATTCTCAAAGTCTTTTCAACAGGAAAAACTTGAAAATTTAGAGGTCTTGTCGGGCTTGACTTAAATCTTTCTTGAATTAGGGCATAATAACAGAGCAGCCAAGGCTTGAGCTTCATAAGAAAAAATAAAGCCTCAGCTTGCAGGGTAAAAGCAAAGAGTTCTCAGCCATAAAACTGAATCTGGCGTAAGATGAAGATATAAAGATTACAGATCTTAGAGAGGCAGTACTCGAATTAAATGCCAAAGAGAAAAAAATTGAGAAATAAAAGGTTAGCTAGCATTAGAAGTTTAGGCAATTTATGGTATATTAGCCTGCTTACAATTAAAAAGTTAAGCCTTAAGAATAAATATATTAAAATTTTAAAAACTAATATTAAAAGCAGATAAAACATATTATAACTATTCTAAGTCTAATTTTAAAATGCTTAATATTTTTCCATTAAATAAAATGGAACAGCTTTAAATTATTAAGGCCAATCTATTTGCTAAAAATGTCCTTTCGATTAATTCTTAGAAAAATCATTATTAGCTTTGGGCATGAAATCGTTTATCTTCACACCTAGGAAATTTTAGAAATTTATAATTCAGATAGCGAAAATTCCACCAAATTTCTGATTTTCCTCATCAAGCTATGCAAATCACTTATCCAGAGCTTAAACCCACGGCCTTATTAAAAATTCATACAAAAAGCTCGAATTCTAGCCTTTATAAGTGCCAAACTTCCACATATTTAATGGAAATAGAGTCTTTGTTAAAATTGGTTGAATTAATTAATAGGAATAAGCTTAAATTTTTTTTTCTTGATTATATTAACCTTTATAAAATAAATGGTAATTATAAAGGCCTCAACTGTCCTCGCTGTACTTTTTAGCCTCTCGTCAGGAAAAGCTTTTACTCCTTATTATCATTGGATAATGACGAGCAACTGAATAAATGCAATTAATAATTATGAAATTGATGACTCTCTGGAGAGTTCTCGAACTCTAGCTACATCTGATAGCTCTCCTTTAGTTACCACTTGTGGACAAACAAAAGTTTCCCCAGATATCATGGGAGATTTTTCAGGCAGTTCAACAACTGAAATAGCAGTAAGCGCTTGGCTATATCAAATTACCCGTTAGGCTGATTCATACCCTTTTTCATTTTATCGTGATGCATCTAATGCTGGTCACGATTATTCTGTTCAATCAGGATCAGGAAACTTCCTTGCGTTTTTTGATGACCAGAGCCTTAGAAATGGTTTTAATGATATGGTGATTTATGATACATTAGGTAAATTTTATTTAGGCGAATGAATGTTCTTCACATTTTATTGGGTTGACGTTTCAGGGACTATAACGTGAAAAATTTACTCGCAAGATGATAATAAGGAAGCTACAGGCACAAATCCTGCATATGTATGGCCTAACCTATTAGATGTGGGGTATAAAATGAATGGCTACTTTTATGAGATTATTGTTCATAAAGGAGCATTATCAACTCAAAATATTGGATCTTATAAAATCACTTTACTTGATGACCAAGAAGGAAGTTATGTCGCGATGAATACAGGCATTGGCTCGTCACCTTGCTCAGATATATCCCATCCTAAATATGGGTGCTTATCAATAGATTCAACCTGCCAATGCCCAGCTTTATGCACTAGCTGCGATTCAACTGGCGTTTGTCAAGGATGCACAGTACCATACCGAATTCTGAGCACAGAATGCTGTAATTTTAATTTAGAATGCTTTAAAAACTGCGTTCATGTGATTCCAACACTGCTTGTAGTGTTTGTGATACAGATTATTTCCTGAAAACTGATAGCGACTCTAATATACGCTGTTTCTGTAAGATTTATGTAGCTTGCACGAGTTCTTGTCAGGATTGTTATGATGGAGAGTGCTATTCATGCGCTGGTTTAGTAGTTCAAGGTTCAGAATCTTGCAGACAGGACTCAGTCGGCTTCATCTATCCAAACATTATAGTTGAATTTGGAGCTCCTCTTAAATATTATCTCACCAAAGACAGTTTCATTGTGCAAGATAAAAACAGCAATACAATAGATATAAAGAATTGGCAAATTGATCCATCTTCAACAAAGTCTATGACTGTTATTAAGACTGACAACGTAAACGAAAGCGACCTTCCAATTTATGCGGACTTCTCATTCAATTTCTTACTCCCCCCCCCTCCGTGAGTGAACAAAAAAATTTTGTTCACTCACGGAGGGGGGTTAATTTTTTTTTTTTAAAAAAAATTTATATATATAAATTTTATAAAAAATATTTTTTTTTTCGAAATTTTAAAATCCTAATTCGCAAAAAATTGGAAAGCAAAAAATTAATTTAATTTATAAAATTTATGTTTTAAAAAGCAATTCGTTTAAAATTAAACAGAATTAGCTCTAGATTTCATTATACTAATTATCATTTATATATCAAAATTTTTTTCCATAAAAAATTTTTCTATTAAAAAAATTTTTGTTCACTCACGGAGGGTGGGTTTTTGGGCAAAAAATAGCGATTTTTCTAATGGTTTTGTTCACTCACGGAGGGGGGGGGGGGAGTTAGTATCTTAATTCTTAATAGAATTTATTTCTAAAAACATTACAATTTTTAAAATATTGAATAAAGACATGCAAAGTTCTGGATTTTTAATTTTAATATATAAAGGGCTTAAATAAATACTACAATTTTAATTAATTATTGTTTAAAATCAACCAATAAATTTAATAATTATAAATTAAGTATTTCTAGGGTATCATGCACTGCTTTAATATAAAGATTATAGGCTTTTACTTCTTATGATAATCTCTTTTTAATAAAGCGCCATAAGTAGCAATATCGAAATAAGCTTTAAAATATCCCCAAATAAATATGAATGAGACTTTATAATTCTAAATTAATTTTGTCTGACAACTTTTATTCACTGTCATCGTTTATAATCCATTAATTATAAGTAATTCAAAATATTTTTTGTAGCAAGTCAGCTTTACCTCTTAAGTTTGTTTTACTTCCTTACAAAATGTAACTCCAGATAAATGGCATTCATGCTGCAAAAAAAACTTTTCGATTTTATTGTTTTACGAATAGTGTTTAGTTTTTTATTAGGTTTTTGAGCCTTATGGCTGAAGTAAATTGTAAAATTAAAGTAGTTAAATCAAATATTAAAACGAAAGCATAGAAATATCAATGGCTATAGATTTTGATTTTATCAGAACAACTTCGAGAACAAAGACAGCTAGCATCGAGTCGCGAAGGCAATGAAACGACTATTCCTAGTTTGATATAAGATAAAGAAACCAGTTATTTTTTCATTAGCATTTTTAGATTATTTTAGCTGATATTGACTATTCATTATAAATTCTAGCTTATTGCGCTAAGCGAAACTTGACTTTTTAGCTCGCTTTACAAAGTCCTCCTTAGAATCTTAAGCATATAGCATTACAATTTTTAAAATATTGAATAAAGAGATGCAAATTTCTCATTATTGGATAAGACCTTGTACTTTATTTATTAAAAAGCTCAGCTTTATCAATCACAGATTTATGCTGCTCTCTTTTTTTCTTCATGGTTATATTTTATTCTGCCCAAAAAATGCAACAGTTTGTTTGGATTTTTATATAATTATTAAGTTATATAATGATATAGATATTTGAGCGTTAGCTTTAAAAAATTATAAGTTAATAACTTAAATGAATAAAGCTAGTGAGCTCAATACAATAAGAACTTGTGCAGAGCTATTATCATCGTTATCAGGACTTGGTGGTGGAGGAGGTGAAGGTCCTGGTGGTAGCCTTGACCAAAACGCTGAATTGATCACTGTCCTTACACATTCATCATTTTCCATATAGGCTGGGAAGTTTGTAAAATTCAGCAAAGCTGAATAATAAATATTTGCGTTCGCTCCAGTCATACTTGCTACCATATCTAAACAGTTCGTGTTAAACCTGAGTGCAGTATGGCACATTGTTATTTGGGAAAGTTTATAGAGTGGGGAAACTTTTTTTACAAACAGAGCTCCAGGAGGATCTCCAGCGAAAGCGTTGCAATATTTATAGCCCCATGGATTATATAAAGTCTTAGATTAATTTAATAGACCATATTTGAGGCTTGGATCTTTTGCATATATAATTAAGGAATCTTGTCTTAGAAGCGGAAAACTATAATATTTAAAATTAATTCATTATATTATACCCACACTGACATTGCCCAACAAAGCTTTGATTATTTGAATTGATTCCCATACAGTCGTTACTGGTTTGGCATGTTGCACCAAAATTGACAGATTTTGGAGGAGGGACACAAAATAATAATTTTTATTTTTCTCATTTTTTAATTTTTTAATAAAATTTCTGATTAAAAAATAATAAAACAGACACAAACTCCTCTATCATCTTTTCCATTGTTATAACAGCTTCCTGACTCACACAAATAATTAGTTCCAGATATCGGGCATGGGACTTCAGTACCTAGCTGTACTGAAAAATAAGCCACACACTCACCTATTGGGTACTCTTTTGTAGCATTGCACCCAGCATTTGTGACGCAGTCATAATCTGTAGCACAGCCTTGCTGTCCAATTGGTATTTGAGGAACACATCGAAAGACCATATTAAGAGCATAGCAATACAGCCCAGGGTTACAGTCATAATCATCATTACATGGATCATTTTGAATAGCACCTCTGCATGCTCCTCCTATACATTTTCCAGATAAACAATCACTATTAGCCTTGCACTGCATTCCTGGATATGCAGGAGCTACTGTTGGGGCTGGCCCACAAGTAGAATTCATCCATTCATTTCCTAACGTTTCTTGAGTATTACAATAAAGCTTATTTTCGCATTCTTTTATTGCAAATTTATTACTTCCTTCTTGATAAGTCAGACAAGTTTCTGTTGCCCATGGATTTTTAGTATCACACCCATATGCCTTGCAGGTAAAAGATTGAGGAGAAACTCTATAGTAATCTCTATTGAAAATTGTTTGGGTACAGACATCATTATTTTGGTATCTTGCTAAGTCAGCTGACATCATTTCGTTTTGGGTATAATTAACTATTTGAGCTGGAGGCATTGTATGGTATAAACAAGTCGGTGCAAATCTTCTCATTGTATGACAATTGGCTATCCCAACTGAATTTACATGCTGCACCCAGATTTCTTGGACTATTTGGTTTGGCTCATCTCCTGACCAAGAATTGCAGTAGCTTTCTCCAGTCGGATTCATACCACATGCACAAGTCCCTGTATATTTTGTATTTTGAGTATTTTGTCCGACACAGTCTGTGTCTCCTACACATTTTGATGGGAATTTCCCAACAGTTTTGATGCTTGGCTGGCAGAATCCTTCTCCATTTGTATTAGGCTTCTGCTGGGCACATGATCCGCTTATGCATAAATTAGAGACTCCTTCTGATAGCTCAGTTACGCACATTCCAACTGCGTCTCCATTAGCAATTGAATAATAAAGCAAACATAGCCCAGGATTATAAAGTGTCCTATTGCAGGCTAAATTATTTTGGCAATCCCAATCAGAATTACAAGAATTAGAAATCCCTAGCTGCTTTATACAGTGGCCTGCTTGATTACAGAATAAACCTACATTGCAATCAGCATGAGAAACGCACATTCCTCCTAAAGGCTGCCCTTGGCAAGCATTATTTGCGCAGTATCCTGAAAGGCATTGGGAATTTGAATGGCAAAATTCACCTGGGTAGTTTAGTTGGATTGGTCTGGTGTTATCGAAGGGTTGACAGGTGAAATTGTGGGTGATTTGAGGTGTTACCAGACAAACACGGCTTTGGGATGAAGCATCACACATTTGCATCATAATGTCGTTGGTTGCTGTTGGGTATGCACATGTAGGACCTACATTGAAGCCGCCCGTGTGGCATTGGTACTTGGGACAAACTGCAAAAACTCCTATTGATAGGAATAGCAAGGCTCTCCACATTTAATATTTGCCCCAGATAGGTCATGATTATGGATTTAAATTAAAAGCTTAGATAAGATTTACTATTGCTTATTTACTTTATTAGATGTTAACTTAAAAAATTCGAATGTTTTTATTTTTCTCTAAAGATACATATAAGTGAAATCAATAGAGATATTATTTCTATTTTTTCACCAAATTCATCACTTTAGTTATAATTCAATTTTTTTAAATAAAGATGCAAAATTACAAAAGAAATAACTTTAATTTATTTCTTATTATCAAGCCTGACAATGATTAGTCCTTAAACGTTATTTATAGTAATTATCGAGTTTAAAATATGTGTTTACTAAATAGGAAATTAAGAATAATCATTAGGGAACCTCACAAAAGCTGGTGTGCTTTCCAATTTGTATATAAGCCCCACTATTGGAGTCACTTCAATCTTCAATTTCACAGTTCCCGTTGCGCCTTTCAAGTTATGTTTCTTCGTCCTCACAGCGTATTTTCCTTTTTCCTTTATCATATTCAAGTTAATCGGTGTATTCTGATTTCTCCATATGATTTTATCCCACAATGTGATTTGGTTCCTTTCTAAAGCATTATACTCCAGCTCCACATAAAAAAATGCTAGCTTTACATTCCAATTAAAAATATCAGAAAAATTCCCATTCAAATTGAAGGTCAATTCTGCTTCATCCCAGTTATATCTTGAATTTTTTATGAATTTTGTCACGTTAACATTAGAAATTGAAGCAGAAAAACTATGATCTACTGCAAATGATGTCGCAAAGTTTATAGCAGCTAAAATGCCAATAACAGTAACCCCAAAGAAAAATGATGAGTTAAACCTTGACGTGACATTATGCATCATACCCATTTTTCTTTATTAGAAAATTTAGCACGTGTGAAAATTAGATTAAAGGGACATCTAAATAAACTTTTTCTGTCTTGCCTTCTTCTCTGCGCCCAAAAAGGGTTTTGATGAGGGTGTTGTGTCTTGGCTCGAAATTTGTAGCGATTGGGGTCATGAAATTTTGAAGTTTTTCATGGTTTTGATTTTTGAATAATTTTTTATCATATTTTATCATTTTGGGATTTTTTTATTTTTTTCATGAATATCAAATTTAAGCTTTCTATGCTTTGAGGAATGGTGATGAGGCTTTTTCACTGTCTGCTTATGTACAGGGACATCATTTGTTCTAGTTTCTCTTGCTAAAAATGCTTGGATGTCAAACTCTGTAAGCTTTTCTGACTCTTTTAGGGTTTGATCTATGATGTCTCCACCGATTTTCAAGTTCACCCTTGTGCTTCATTCTCTTGCTAATTCTGCCATCCAATCCCATATGATTTCTGAATTATCATCTATTCTTGACAATTTTTTAGGCTTTATCTTTTGTGAGGATAATTTATATTGAAAATTCAGCAGAGACTTCAAAATCGTCCTCAGAGTTTTTCTGTATCCTTTTACGCTAGAAAATGATGAAATCCTGTGTAATTTTAATGAAAAATCAATCAGCTCCACATATAATTGTTTTTGTAAGAGAAGCTGATCTGCTTGACTTTTGTCTTTTTCAGAAATTTGTGATAGCCTAGATCTGTATTCATTATCTTCAGCTTCCAATTTTTCTAAGGATTCTTCTATTAATTGTGGCTGGGATACCCAAAGCTCGTCAATGTAATTTTGGACTGCACCTGTCTGTGGTTGATCTTCTTCAAGCTCTTGATCAATGCTTTCTAAGTATTGAGGCTTTTCCATTTCGTCAATGTCCATGTCGTAATGGTTATCGTATGAGTCTTTGAGCTTCCCTTTCATATGGTAAATTTATTATGAAGGTTTTATTAATAAAATGCTGAAATTAATTAAGTTCTTTTGAATAAGCTAAATTTCCAAAGGTTTTCCAATTTTCAATAACTAAATAAATCTTTGAATTAAAAGAAAATCAAAATTTGAACTAAATTATTAACCAGAAACAATATTGCATGTTAGAATAACTATGAGGAATTTCTTGTAAAGAACTCTGGCATAAAAGTAATAAACAAAGAAAATTCGGGATTTTCATCAAAAATAATGGCATTAGCTTTTAATAAAGAACAGGATATAGAAATCATATATCCTTAAAAATCAATTGAAAAATCTGCTAAAATATAAATTATAAATAAAATCAATAATATTTCACAAAGAAAACTATGTCTAATTCTTATCATTAGATCGACTGCCAATTTGAGTATAAATCCTATACGAAATCTCTCACACTAGGAATAATTGATCAATGCTTTTAAATTCCCAAATAAATTTCCAAAATTATTTAAAGTAACGTATATTAGCTAATAATGGGAACAACTAAAAGTGCTCCTGAAAAATCCTCAGTTGAAGCCCTTTGTCAGCAAATAATGCTCAACAAAGCTGAATCTCAATCCGGGCTTTCTATGACCAAACTTATCCATCAATCCCTCACCAGGGTCCTTCGAGATATGAATAACCCAGAAAAACGCAAAAACACAATCCAAGAGCTCAGCGGTGTCAAAGGCATCCCCGCACTAATTGCTTGTTTAAACACAAAAATACCTGGTGAAGAGCAAGGCAACATAATACAAAGTGAATCCATAAAAATCTTTTATGAATTGATGATGGACGACAAAGGGAAATTTGACATGCTTTTTTCTCACGATATCATACATGTAGTAAATCATCTGGCGTTATCAAATACTAAAGAATTTATATCAACACCTATACGAATAATGGTAAAATGCACAGAAGATAAAAGCTACTCGGAGAAACTGGAAGCTGTGAACCCTTTATATACATTTAATGCAGTGCTAGCGGCAACTATTGTAGATACACAAACTAACTCCCCCCCCTTTAAATTGAAACAAAAAATTTTGTTTCAATTTAAAGGGGGTTTAAGAAAATTTTTTTATAAAAAAATTTATATATAAAAATTTTTTCAGAGATAAAATTTTATAGAAAATAAATTATATAAATTTAAAGAGACAATAAATTGAGTAAATTATATTTATAACAATTGGACAAAATAGAGTTTAATTTCTAAATCTTATATGTTTGAAGCATATTAAATAGGGTATTAACGTATTTACATATAAAATAATGATTTTTACCTATAAAATTTTCTATTATAATAAAATTCTGTTTCAGTTTAAAGGGGGGTAATTTCCCAAAAAAGTAGGAATTTTACCTATATTTTGTTTCAATTTAAAGGGAGGGGGAGTAAGATAGAAGTACTGATAGGGATTAAAAACTTGGCTACGAAATTCAAAAAAGAATTCTTAACCAGAGGAATTGTAGCGACTTTATCAGGGATCATGCTTACTCCTATCAACCCTATAGCTAATGTTTTATAAAAATAATTGTCAATTTTCCTTTGGTCTTCACAATAAAACCCGTGTTTTATAAATTGCCAGTTTTTTCGTATCAAATTTATTAATAACCCTTAGTTAGTGAAAAATTACCTACTGAAAACATGGTCAGGCTTGTACTATCCTGCATTGCAATCATAATTGATGAAAAAAACATTTGCACTAGATTTATCGAAGAAGACGTCATCGATAAAATTAGACTCTTTTTGACAAGTAAAAGTCCTGATATTCTATGCTCCGCCACCCAGTGTTTCCAGATTATGTGTAACTTCGAAAATGGTAGAGAAGAAATCACCAAAGCCGATTTAATATGTCTCAGAGAAATTTCTACAAGTAAAGACGAGGTTTCTTCTATCTCAGCAAAAGCCGCTCTATTGATTTTATGTCTAAACGAAGAAAAGCTGGCTTACTTCAAAAAGCACGGCTGGCTAAATGATATTTTTTCTGGCTTTAAAGATATGAAAAATAATAGCGGGAAGTTTCAAATTGTGAATATAGAAATTGCCCGAGGATGGCGCTATATCTTGCGCCATACTCGGGCAATTCAAAAAATGGCCCCATACGGGAATCGAACCCACGTGTGGGGCCATTTTTGGTACGTGTAAGTCGATGTTTTACACATACCAAAAATGGCCCCACACGTGGGTTCAAATTCCCGTGTGGGGCCGGCTTTTTGAATTGCCCGAGTATGGCGCAAGATAGCGCCATCCTCGGGAAATTTCTATACCTTGAAACAGCTGTCTAAAGACTGCTTAAAATATACTTTATATGACCTTTACCATTCTTTAATAGATCCCCTGCTCATTCTTGTACAAGATTCCAGTGTTGTTGTGCAAAATAGAGCATTAAGTATATTATTAAAATTGGTTATCAGAGGAGATGTCCAAACTGAGCTAGGCAAAACAAACTCCTCAAAAATTCTTTTACAAATTTACCCAAGATTGAGGAGCATTAAAGAAAAATCAGCTTGCATATTAATTTTGGCATTAATTAGTAACAATTATTTACCTTTGTTACAAGATATTAATTACGCTGAGTTTTTTATAGGGAAAGCTAACCAATCTCGTGAAGAGATCGCTAGGGAGTGTGGAATTTCTAAGCCCAGCACGTCACAGTTAGAAATTATTGAAGAAATTGTATTATGTTTTGCCTATTTTATTTTTAGGGTCCCAATTGGCATTTATATTTGGTATGCTGAAGTCTTATCCAATGTGCCAAAATAAATATTAATAAGTGAGTTACGTAAATAAAATAAGAGGAAATCATAAAAATTAGCATGGTTACTTGTATAGCTTTACCTGAACAATATGTTCAAACTGATATGAAAGCTAAAATTAAATTTGTTTGCACTCAATGTAGAAGCCCTTCCCATTATATAAGAAATAGATCAGCAGGGACTTTAAGTGTCTTAGCAAGCATAGGCTCTATACGACATTTATTAGTAGGAAATGGAGTCATTGATGAGCTTATGATGCTGCTTAAGGATAAAAATGATAGCGTAATCTGTCAAACTGCAAAAGCTATCATAAACCTCTCAACAAGACCAGAAAACATTGAACTTTGGCTTAAATTTGACTCAACTTATGCAGTAGATGCGGCAAATCTGCATGTCCCTGAGTTGACTATAGAAATTGCTCCTCTTAAAAAGAATACAGGTCTTTATGTCATTTGGGGTAAAGAATTTTCAACAGGAGACGCCATTTCTTTTAGGGATATTCCATTTGTGCCTGCTTGGTCAATTTCTGTATGGTTCAGGACGCCTTTAAGCAAATCAAAAAGAAAAGTTAGCATTCTTGTACAAGGGCAAACAGGTGCAGGTGCTATGGTCGCCTATCATAAAGGCGCAATAAAAAGTTTTGACCAAAAAACTGGGTATTTTATTACCTTATGGGATGGAATTGACAGTCTAGAAAAAGGCTGGCACCATATGGCTGTTCTTAGGTCTGACAATGGAAAAATGGAAGTTTTAATTGATGGGAAAAATCAGCCAGAAAATATAAAAATCGTCAATATAATGGAGCCAATGAAGTATTTCGGCAACAGCAAGGCAGGAAATGAGCCTTTTGGATGTATTGCAGACTTAAGGATTTATACAAAAACTTTGGCATACTCAGAAACAAAGGCACTAGCTAAATATAATGAAAATGTGATAGATGGGCTGCCTGATAATATGATAGAATACGTCAATATTTGTGATGGAGTCAGCCATGTAATCCAAGCAATGGCCAATGCAACTGATATCGTAAAGGTAGAGCTATGTCATGCCTTAGCCAATTTATCGACCAAATCTAGCTGCCGCTCAAGCATCTTAAGGAATAATGGCTTGCCAATACTTATAGATTGCATGAACACGAAAAATGAATTTTTACGAGTTCAAGCTGCAAGATGTCTCGTTAATTTAGCATAATTATTTTTCAGTTATATAATTATTCTATTCCCTATTGAATTATTTACAGTTTTATCATATAAATTTTTTCTATAAAATACACCTTGAACTGTATTAATTATGGATTCTCGTAGATCAAACCCAAAATCCAAACGAAGCCAAGAAGAGTCAAAATCTTCTTCTCGGTCTCCTTCTCCACCTAAAGAAAAATCATCAGACAGCCCAAAGGACAATATCATTAACTCGTTACTACAACCCTTAGAAGAAAAAATCCAAGAAGAAGTCAAAGAAGAGCTCAGAGAAACATCCAAAAAAAGCTCAAAACTCAATAGAATGCAAGAAGAAGAATATCAAGAAAATATTGTAACTCCTACATCATTGGTGCCAGTCGAAAGTGAAGGCCCACACACATTTGTTACGCAGAAAAAAGAGGAAGAAAAGCCTGGAGAAGCCCCGTGAACTATAAATGATTTGTTGTTTCCAGGAGGAAAAGTAGCAAAACTGTGTAGGATTTTGAATCCGAGAAGTAAGGATATTAAGCTTGGGGAGATTTTGAAAAGATGTGGGATAAATGAAAGTCTGCCTGTTATTATGCTGGCAGGAGCGGAAGGGGACCAAAAAGCTAGGCTTTTGATTGGGATTGCTAGAGCTGCATATAGCACAGATGCAGTTATAATAGATAATGGGCTTAAAATGGGTATTGAAAATAAAAAAAAATTATATTTTAAAATTTATTTTTTATTTGAATTAATTTAAATAATAAAAAAAAGTTATTTTTCCCCCCTTAAAAGTGGAATCGAACAAGCCTGCGCTCGCAAAAAGGTTCGGCTAATTGGAGTATGCCCTGAAGAATTGATTGTCTATCCTACTAAAGCTTCTAGTGGTGACCGTCTAGGAGAACTCAGTGCTGGGCATTCTCATCTATTTATAGTAGGCTCCAAAGGAGACAATATGAGATGGGACAGTACCGTCCCCTTGAAAATCGATTTAATTGAAAGGATTCGAAAAGGAAGAGGAGGTCCAGGCTCTTTTACATGTCGAGCTATTTGTGTGTTAGTTGGCGATAACTCAAACTGCTTATGGGAGGTAGAAAAAGCAATAAAAGCAGGGTGGCCTGTATTAGTTATTGAAGGAAGCCCAATAGGAAGAGAAGTGTCATCTATATTAAAAGGTGGGCATTCTACGATGGGCAAAAGTTTCCAAGAGGCTATAAGAAATGGGAAGATTTTTATGTTTCCTGAGTCTGGAACAGCTGAGCATTTAGCATCGGCCGTGCACTTGCATCTTGCAGTAACTTTATAGTTGATTTCTTCATAAAAATAATACAATAAATGATATTTAGTAATAGAAATTTGTTTTTATCATTTTTTCTTAGAATTGAATATAAATTTAGATTATTCTTTTAATAATTCTTTCGCTTGTTCAGATGCTTCTAAAATATTAGGCTTGTCTAATGGCTGGATAGCTTCATAGCAATAATGTGCGCAGTCATCATCTTTTTGAAGGGAAAACAGTTTATGCTCTTGCTCATAGCATTTGGTTAAGCATTTGTAATAGCCTTTCTATTTTTTAACTCACCATAGCTTTATCTAAAAATTCAGACATTTTATTATAAAATCACTATTTATTCTTCAATTAGCTGAATTATCACTTAAGCTAACAGAAAAATGATAAGAATTACTGGAGAAATAATTATTTGCCTCCTATTTTCTAACAATTTAATGTATTTAGGCTAGAAAGGTATATTTATATAATCTTATACTAATTATTGTTTTTAAATAAACAATTTTATTTATATACAAAAACATGGGATCATGCATAATTTCGGAGCTATAACAGAATGCAAAATTTTATTACCATCATAAGCTTCTAACGCAATAGCTTCTTTTCCTAAATTAATGACTTCTTCTTTATCAAGCTTTGATTTTACATAATCTTTAATATCTTCATGAAGCTTATCTGATTCCGTTTCCAGCTTATTTATTCCTTTTCACTAAGCCCACCATTTCTTTATATATTATATATTTTCTATTAAAATTATATTAAAAAGAATATAATTGATATACCCTCTTCAGCTAAATTTTGGTTTATTTGTAAAGCTACTAGCTCCCCTCGTGGAGGATCAGATCTATCAATTTCAACTAAATAATTCTCCAGCGTTAATCTTGCTTGCTGCATTCTTTTCCTTACAATTGGGATCCCAGCATATGTTTCTTTCAGCTCTTTCATTTTATTCGCAAAATTATCCCAAGCGTCCACAATATTTCTTGATTCTGTCCTCAGGCTTTCTTTGTTAATACTGATATATGGAGGACTCTGACTCCCCCCCCCCCTTTAAATTGGAACTAAAAATTTTGTTCCAATTTAAAGGGGGGTTAATTTTTTTTTTAAAAAAAAATATCAATATAAAATTTTTTATAAAAAAATATAAAAATTTAAAAAAAAAAAATTTCAAAAACTTATCGAATTAGATCAATAAATTTGTTTAATAAAACGCTATTTACTCTTTATCCTTTAAAACAAAGCAAGATATAACTAAATTTTCATTATTAGTTAATACGCCACTAATAATTGGTATCAAAATTATTTACACAAAAATTTTTATTTTTTATTGATAAAAAAAATTAAAAAAAAAAAATTTTGGAAAATTTATCGATCAAAGTGTTAATTTTGTTTAAATAGGATGTTATTTATACTCTATTCTTTAAAATAAAGCAAGAAATAAGTAAATTTTGAAATTTTATAAAGAAATTCCTATTGAATTTATATCAAAACTATCCAAATAAAAAATATCATTTTTATCAAAAAAAACAAAAATTTTTTTGAAAGTTTTTTAAAAAATAAAAATTAATTTTTTTTTAAAATTTACCAATTAAGGATAATAAATTTATTTAAATAAGATGCTCTTTATACTTTTTTCTTTAAAAAAGAGCAAGATATAAATAAATTTTTAATTTTAGTTAAGAAGAAACATTTAACTTATATCAAAACTTTTTAGATAAAAATTATATATAATTTTTTTTATTATAAAATTAAATTTTGTTCCAATTTAAAGGGGGGTTAATTTACCAAAAAAGTGGAAATTTTTACCGATATTTTGTTCCAATTTATAGGGGGGGGAGTGGGAAGCTTTTAATTTTGCGATAATTGACGGGTTTGATGCATAAATACTTAATAGCATATACCATTTAAGTTCCCAACAATTATATATAAAAAATAATTACTATATATACAGGGTATTTAAATAGGCATAATAAATATCCCATCTGTAATTTGGAAGTCCTTAATGCACTGAGCATGGCATTGAGAAAAAAAAGCATCCTTAACCGAAACTAATCCGATGTATTTTCCCTTGATAAGGGATATTTCATTATTCAAGTCAAGTGAGTTATAATGAATATGCTTCACTCTGACTTCACGGATCTTTTCTTTTAGAATCGAATTATTGAGATCTTCAATGTGATAAACATTTTGACAATTAAAAGGCTCAGAAGCATTGTCTGGAGTACTTTGCTGGAGAATTACTTTTGGTTGAAGTTCAAATAAAGTAGATGTGAAAGGAGGTCCATTCTTTATTTGGCCACAGCCCATTTTGTTGCAAATGAAATATATGTAAGATATTATATTGGTTTCAAAAGGGAAAAACTGATATGGAAAATCATTTTAAATATGATGGATCTATCTAGGCATAGCTTGCCATATTTGTATTAGGCAAGCTTTAAAAATCCAAAAATAGACAGAAATGATATGTAAGAAATTCAAGCAGTGCGGAGGCCAAGACCAAGTCAGCTTTTAGGGTTAAATTTTTACCATGTGGGAAGGAAGGACAAGAAATTGTAAACTGGAGGTTCAGATAAGCTTGAAACAATATCTAGATTTATCTGGCAAATCCCTAGCACGACACAGGAGTTGGGAATTGATTTCAAGTTCGACCTTTTGGTGAAAGTTAACAGGAAATTCTATTTTTTTAGAATTTCTATGAGGTAATCATACTCCCTGAAGTCTATAGTATACCAGCACAACGGCGGAGCTTAAAAGCAAACCAGATGCCAATAGCATCAGGGTCCAAAGGAGGAGCAAAGTGAATAATTTTTTACGAAAATTTCTATTATTTTTAAATAAAAAATATTCAAAAATTATAAATTGAAATAATATTTTTAAAATTTTAATTTTTCCATTAAATAGGTCAAAAATAAGTATATCACCTATAAAATTTTCTAATTAAGAAAAAAAATTACCCCCAAATTAAGGAGATTAAAATATCCAAAAACTAAAAATTTGCCTTTATTTTATTATAATTTAAAGGGGGAAAGTTAGATTAGCATGAGTCTTTTCATAAGCATTAGGACAAGTTTTTAATAGGGAATTTTTGATATATAGTAATTTATTTTTCAAGTAAAGATTTTAAACTTAATTAGATATCAGTGAAATTACACGCTTTACCTTGATTTTGACAGCGGTAAAGCGATTGAATCTTATCTTATTAAATTTATAATGTTTAACGTTCACTACAGGGTAGCCGTTTCCCAGAGCTGCCGCCATATTTGTCCACGTATCGTAACGCCTCTGGATCGATCCACTTTGTTGCACCAGGGCACGAGCAAATATAGCGTTCCGGCTTCGATGGGCTGAGTTGCCTTAACTTCTTTGACTCAGCTCTTGCGCGTGTTCCGCATAATGGTCCCCTTCCTCAGGTGTGCTGAGAGGTAAACTTCGAGTCTCTTGAAGTATTTGGAGCAGTGCCTCGGCTTATCTCCCAGAGCTAAACTGCTATTGCTGTACAGAAGTTCTCAGAGGAAAGCCTAATCCCATAGATAAAATTGCTTGAGGGAGAGAAAATTAGCAGAACTAATTTCACTTGAACCGAATGCCATTTTATTTATATAAAGTGATTGAATCATCGTTTAACCCTATAGTATCAGGGGTAAAAACTCTGATGATGTATCTTTTCCTCTTTTTCTTAAGCATCAAATCTTTTATGTGACTTGAAAGTTCTTGAAAGTGATTTGTTCTAGCACTATAATTTTTTAAAGTCATTGAGTTTTCGAGTAATCCTTTGTGTTTTGGTATCCCACAACCCATCTTAAATAATAGTTTATATATATAAATGGCCAAAAAAATGGCTAATAAATGCGAATAATTTAATCATAAACATGCTTAGCTCCTCTTCTTAAAAATCCTTGAATTTTAAATATTCGTCATTAAAACCTTATATAAAAATATTTTGAGATAATTAATAAATGTTCTACAATCAAGCTGCTTTAGATAGTGTATTTAATTTTAGCTGATTAATTATAGAGTTAAATGTGGTATCTTATAAACAATTTATTTTAATTTCCGGCTATCATTATTACACAGACACTTATTTCACGAATTAAACTGACATATTTATATAAATTTCAATAGATTCTGATAATACTTCAAATTATTAACCCAAACCAGAAAATAAAATATTAATCAGATTTTATTATTATAGGTCTACCTAATTATTAGGTAATGATTTATAAATTCAAGTTAGAATAAAAAATTTTAACAGAAATTAATATATTATCTTTTTAAAGCAGTTCTTTTTAAATTTTCATTAAAATTATAAAGTTACACACTTTTCTCAGCGTTAGGCTGAGGCAAAGACGTTGATTCATCAAATAAACCGATATAAGATGGACCAAAAACTCGAATTATATACTTGCTTTTCTTTTCTACTAATTCAATTCTTTTTCTTGCTGATATTTTAGATCCTTTTGAGAGACCGCAGCCCATTTTTGAAGAATTTTTTATTATGAAATGGTGACTTAATGAAAACTAATTTAATGATAATTTCTGTTAAGACCTTATAAATTAGGCTATTTATTTTTCTGAATGAACAATTTTTAAAAGACTAGCAAAAATGCAAATTAAAAAATTTTAACGATGCAGCTTTATATAACTGTCATAAATCCTTTAAAATAGCTTAATTTAGAAAAACAATTAGGCTTAATCAACAGTAATGGTAAAAATTTTACTTAATTTGGCATTTTATTTTTAGAATTAGATTTTTGTATTAATGCTTAAAAATCGTTTTAAGCTTTGGAATTTGATCCGATGGTGCATTTTTTAATTAATTCTCATGAATTTAGGCGAAAGAATTTAAAATTGATAAATAAAATTGAGCATTCTCCCTGAATTAATGTATATTTCTGTATTTCACAGTGCCGATAAAGATATTAAATTAAATTATAAGAAATAAATATCCATGCTTAATAAAATATTAAAAAAAGAAGTGTTCAAATACTGCCTATTGTATGTAAGAAAAGGTAAAAATTTATATTTCATTTAGTTTTATGCTATTAAATCTCGCATTCGCAAATCAATAGCAATTTTTGCGAAATAAAATTTTTGCCTTTCAATTTCAAAAAATATAAATAATAGAGGATTTACACAAAATTGTTATGATTAAATACTATACTCAACCTTTGCATTATTTTCTAAACCACCTGGATTCTCTTGAAGTCCTAAAACGTCAGGAGTGAATATCCTAATCGAGTACAATTTCCTTTTTTCATGTATTGAAAATGAGTTGTTTTTTCCTTGCTTCTTTTTTGAGCATGAACTTTTGCCGTATAAGTTTATAGAGATTTTATCATAAGTCTGATGACTTGTCTTCGAATGCTTTCCACACCCCATTTATCCAAATTTAATTTATGAGATTATGAAATGTTTGTTGCTTTATTGAGATATTGAGAGACTTATTTTTGGTGAAATATCAAAATTGATATTATAATTATGGTAAAAATAAGATTTTTAGGGAAAATAAATTAAAAATAAAGGCTTTCAACAATTATAATGGCTTTTGTCCAAAGGACTAAGTTTATTTGATTCTTTATCAGGAAATTGATGGAAGTAATGATTTTGTTAATTTAACTCCCCCCTCCATGAGCGAACAAAACCATTAGAAAAACTCTATTTTTGCCCAAAAACCTATCCTCCGTGAGCGAACAAAAATTTTTTAATAGTAAAATTTTGATATATAAGTGATAACGATTATCATGAAATCTCGAGCTAAATTTGTTTAATTTTAAAGAAATTGCGTTTTTAAAACGTGGGTTTTACAAGTTAAATCAATATTTATCTTCCAATTTTCGAGAGTGGGATTTTTTTGAATTCCGAAAAAAAAGTTTGTATATAATTTTTTTTGAAAAAAAAAATAACCCCTTCCGTGAGCGAACAAGATTTTTTTGTTCGCTCACGGAGGGGAGGAGTAATTAAAGTCTATCTGATAAGTAATATAATGGATTTTCAATATGAACAAAATAGGAATTTTACTCCTTCCCTTAAATTGCCCAGTAGAAATCTTAAGCTATTTCTAATTGGTCAATTAAAGCTATTCCTCTATATATTGCTCCATTTTCTACCACAGGCTGCCAAAAAAATTCATCAGTCTATTTCTTTATACAATCCTTGTTTGAATTTCACGTTTATCTACCATCCTCTTTTTTAAGAAAAGATAGATTTCCTATAATTATCTCTACAACAAAATTTTACTACATTTTCCATAAAAATTGGTTAAATTATGTTAAATCGTTTGCTGAGCCTAGTGAAAATTAACCGTTTATTGTTTCCACAGTAGGCTCATTAATTAATCCATTTGTTGTTGGTCCGTAAACCCTGATCTTGAAACTTTTACCATTTGCTGGTAGACTTAGACTTAGGTCTGCTTTTGGTAAATCTGGCGGGTTATTATTTTTTTCCTCTGATGTTTCTTCATCCCTATATATATATTATATCGTGTGGTGATCCAACCTCCCTCGAACACCTGTAGCCGGAGACCTGATGGAAGGGAGGACTGCATTTGGGAGTGTGTGTCCGGTCAGGTTTTGCCTGGTCTGGTGGAGTGCGTTGTAGGGATTTGCCGAATGCATACTTATATTCAGATCCGATAGGGGAGCCCCATAAGGGAAATCGTGCAATTCTCCCGGCTCGAAACTGGGCGTTACGCCTTAGTAACGAAGTTTTATTTTCGCCTAGAGCCTCAGAAAAAATAATATAATCAAGCCCAGACTAGAGAAGTCTGAAATTCAGCTAGCAGGCTGCTAAGATTTCCCCTCCAGATCAAGGTTAGTAAGATGACTGAGGATACTGAAAGCAGAAAAACTTAAAGCTCACTTTGCGATGCTGAAAGTTTTCAAAAACGTTAACGTTAGCTTAACCTTCTTCATCTCCTGAACAATTGTGGCCTTTTATGTTTGCTGTACAACCCATTTTTTAATATATAGTCTTTATTGTTTCTAAATTATATTAAACATATTGAAAAATGAAGCTTTAATATTTAATAACAATTTTTTGTATAATAAATATCGTTAACGTTAATTACTTAATTTCTCTGAGCGGCATACCATCTGAATTAATCGAGCTCACCTGAGGTCATCGCGAGACGGCTAAGCTATGCCGGACTTACTGTACGATTCCAATTCTCCAGATTCCAGAGTCCTCCTCTCCGTTGTTGCCGATGGAGCGTGAAGGCATGGGCAGAATAGCTTATGCTGAAAAGGAGCAAGTGGCGAGCAAGTCCCAAACCTACGCACTCTAACTGCAAGTTGCTTTTTCTTGACCCTCTGCAGAACACCAGTAGCCAGGCATTGAGACGGGAAAAAAAGCCCTTCTAGAAGTGGAAAAAACCCCCCATAGAGAGAGGAACAATAAATATCTATAAAAGCTTTATATCTTGCAGTTTATTTTATTACGAAATTTATATATCATCACTATTCCACAGGTTTAAATTCTAACGTATTCATATCGAATTTGAAGCTTCTTTCAGTCTTGTCTCTTTCTTCAGCTAATCCTTTCAACTTTTTCGGCACTTTTAGCTTGGGGAGTCCTTTTTTGGGATCTTTCCTCATAAATTCCAAAATTTCATTAGAAATCTCGCAAATTGATTGCAGTTTTCCTTCCATTTTGGTTAGCATAAAATTGTTTTCGTCCATTTTGTTTACAACTTCGCTGAACTTGATTTCTTCTTTTTCTTTTGGAGAAAGCATTTCTTTGGTATTTTTCCTTTTGTCAACAATATCTCTAATCATGTCTTTTACTTCTTTTAAATCTTTTCCTTCAATTTCTTTAGTTTCTTTCAGTCTGAGATATTCTGCAAATTCTTCTTTGGCTAATTGGTTTATTTTGTCTCTTTTATAGGCAATTTCTCTCATATCTTTGCTAATGGTTGGAAATTCTTCTAATATATAGCTGACAACAGATTTGCTCATTGTAAGCAAATGCACGTCAGTTTTGGCGACCACTGTGTATTTCCTAAGGATTACTTCAATAACTTCTATGTCGCCAAAATATGAACCTTCTTGCAGCTTTTTGTAAGAAACTTTTTCAGGTCCCATGACATAATTTACAGTGCCTTTATAGAGAAAATAAATTTCATCAGCATATTCTCCTTCAGTGAAAATTATTTCTTTATGCTTACTCCCCCCCCCCCTCCGTGAGCGAACAAAACCATTAGAAAAATCGCCATTTTTTGACCAAAAACCCACCCTCCGTGAGTGAACAAAAATTTTTTTAATAGAAAAAATTTTAATGGAAAAAAAATTTTGATATATAAGTGATAATTAGTATAATGAAATCTAGAGCTAATTCTGTTTAATTTTAAACAAATTGCGTTTTAAAACATAAATTTTGCAAATTAAATTAATATTTGCTTCCCAATTTTTGCAAATTAGGATTTTTTTTAAATTTCGAAAAAAATATTTTTTATAAAATTTATATATAAATTTGTTTTAAAAAAAAAAATTAACCCCCCTCCGTGAGCGAACAAAATTTTTTTGTTCGCTCACGGAGGGGGGGGGGGAGTTAAGAAATAAATGCTGGAGAAATGGGACAACTGACGCTACAAAAACCTTGTCTTTTTCCATAAAAAAAGGAAGATGTTTAATTGCCCCTTGATGCATGCTTAGTGCAACTTCATATTTAAGCTCTCTCGGCAACTCATTGAAAATATTTAGTTTATCGCTTCAAGAGAATCCTGCACTTTCTGTTGAATATTTCAACGCATGCCGCAGGCGAAGTCTCAATACTTTTTTCAGCTTTGTCTCTTTCGCAAACTCATCTATAATTGTTAATTTATTGTTTAAAACGATTTCTCGAGTATCCAAGCTGGAGAGCATGGAACTTAAGCTGCCGATTGTAAAAGAAAAAAAGCAGAGCCCGAACATCATTCAGACCATGCATATTAAGACTTCTAAATCATTTCATGGGTGGATGTCTCCGTATCCTACTGTTGATAAGGTGGTAAACGCTCAATACATGGATGTTAAATAAAGGGATTCTGATGTTAAATCCATATATCCTGATTTCACTACCCAGCAATCTGGTGGGAATCCTTGCATTTTAGCGGATCAATACCATAAGCAGCTAATCACATGAACACACAAAAGTACAGTAATACTAAACATCAGAAGCCTTAGTGCTGTTCTTTTTATGTTAAAAAAATTTTGGACTTTTTCCACAAACTCAAATTTATTATAATTTGTGACGACCTTAAACATCCTTGATATTCTTATAAGCCTTGACAATCTTGGCAGCCTAGCTAATCGGGCTAAGCCGTTATATTTACTTGTAGATGACGAGCTTCCTGAATCAGTCTCCACGAAATCAAAAGGAAAGCACGCCGCAATATCAAGTAAAAGCCACGATTTCAAGTACCTCATAAAAATTTTCTTCCTTGATTTAATAACAGTTCCATTTGAGTCTGTATAAGTAGTAAAACAATTTATTATGACATCAGAAAAAAAAATTGCATTTATCCATACATTTATCCATCATCAGACATCATAAGTTTTTCCGTCAATAAATGCCAATTCTATAGGCAAAACTATAGCTGTATATAATAACAGCATAGCTATCAGAAAATTTCATATCGATTTAAATTTTCCGTCTTGGTTTATGACATAATAATGCTCAATTTGGTCCCCTTTCATAAAATTTTTGATTGCGGTTGCAGATTTCAGCTGAATCGTTCGTTTTTTATTGTCCATAGGCGATTCTAATAAATCATTAGCAATTGCTGAAGTCCCATAAATTTTCAGTTCTTTTTGCAGTCTCATCATAAATAATTTGCTGAAAATTTTAGCTCGAGCTCTTTGTCAGACTTCTTTGTACTTGGACTCGATAACTGGGGTATTCCTGATTTTTAACTTTTCACGCTCAGTAGATAAGATTTGTTCTTCTGAGTCTGAATCAATGTCGGCAAGTTGGCTTGTCAGAGAAGACCAGCGCTGAGGTGGCCGCCTGTCTAAAGTAACGGCTTCGATTGGAGGAGGAAAGTCAAAATTTATTTGGCCAGGATGGGGGGGATTTGTTTTAGGCCTGTATTTGTTTAAAAGCTGTGCTAAGATCTATGTAAAATTTACCATTTGAATATTTTTTAATAATTTGATACTAAAATAGATATTAGGAAAGCGTTTTAAATTTTGCTTAAAAAAGATAGTATCAGCCTATTATATAAGGTAAATAATATGAAGTTACTTAATTTATTAATTTAATTTAATATACTAATTTATTGTAGGAAAGCTATTGGTTAAATTTTAATATATTTTTTATAAAATTTATTTTGTTTATTTAATTCAAAATAATAAGTATAAATAAACTTTATTATTTTCTCTGGTAATATCTAAATTTTTCCTCGCCCATTTTTGCTTAAAATTCTGACTCTCCTCAGTGAGCGAACAAAAATTTTGTTCGCTCATCAATTTGCAAAAGAAAAATTGAGAGCAATTGCAGTCGAAAGAAGTTCAAATATTTCAAAGAATGAAGCTCAGAGATAATAAATCAGAATCCGATTTATTAGGAAGATTAGAACGAGAAATGATGAAAAAACGATAGTCTCAGGGTAGGCTTTTTATATGATATAAATACTTATAATTCAGACTCTTTGCATCTTAGTGACTATTCGACATCCATAATTAAAATATGACGTCTTCGTCTGGGCATGGCCTCCCGGCCATGCATACTCGATTCATATTTTAATTATATCCGGCAAGGTTTTGCATTTCAGAAACGGACGGCAATGCTAGGTAAGCAATTCTGGTTGTGCTCAGAGCCTAGCCCAAGTCTACTTTCGGGAATGTTTTTTCCTCATGGGAAAGGAGGCACGCAAGTTGGAAAGGGGAAGCTCAGCCAAGTCCGTTAGGACCAATCGGGCAACTCCCTAGCGTGAAACTGGGCGTTACGTCTCAGGCTTCGTGTTTTTCCTTTTTGCCGAAAGCCTACCAGAAAATCCATTTTTTATGGATTTTCGGAATGGCAACCCATGTCCTCAAGCAAAGCAGCTCAGGCATGAGCCGCCTTAGTCGGCAACACTGCTCCGGAGGCGCGTACTGGAGATCGAGGCTGACTGGCCCCAGACGGTCGGCGGGCCCTATGCGGCGAAGAAGCAGCGGGAAGCTCTGGGAGGGGTTACCCCGTGAATGGCGTTAAACACAGAACCTAATAAGTTAAGTTAAGACTATTCGATATCCAGTTGTACCTCTTCATGCTCAAGTCTCCTATTGATCTTAATTGCACAAGCAACAGCCAATTATCACAATATTATGATGGTTCAACATGGATTAATTGTATGGAAACTACAAATAACTGCAGGCTGTGTAAAATTGAACAATGTATGAATATACCTCTTTTTCTAGGTATTGTTCAAACTGAATTACAAATGCAAAAGCTGATGGAGCAGGATGATGACAATGCAAGATATGGCTATTTGGAACTATAGTGCAGCTAATTGTGTTTTATGTGATGCGCTTTGTAATATAATCGCAAAATACTTATTTTATTGTCATTCTTGGGTTTCAGGGTAACAATTAGTAGCAGTATATATTTGAATGATTGTGCATTTGGCTATGAGTACTTTAGTTCCAACTCTAGTAATTGATCAATCTCTTATTTTCAAAGTTCTTATGAGATTTTTATAACTGAAACATCATCAAGACATATCAAACATTAATCCTGAATCATTTGATCTTATTCCTGCATATGAGAAAGATCATTATTTTAATGGATTTAGCTACTTATTACACTCAACATCTATTTATCTTTCTTATAGTTTTCTATTGGGTTATGAATGTATTTAATAACTGATTGCGATATATTAGAAAAGCAAACACAACTGGAAGTATGACAGCTAATTTGGAAACCCTACACATACAGTGCAATGCAAACTTTATCCGGAAGCTCTTCATTTACTGTATACTAAGTCTTTTTGTCAATAACTTTGGAAAAGCAGATCTTCTGGCTTTATAGGGTTTATTAATAATTTTCAGTTATGAATTATACCTATTATTTGTTTTCACAGCTATATGACTTTGTGCTTAATCTAGCTATTATGATAGGTCTTCTTGTTATTTTGCGATTTTTGAGTAAACAAACCGTTATAAAGGAACATGCAAAGATTATAACGATATTTTATACCAATTTTCACAGGGTTTGGCTCAATAATGTGCTCAATTTGTAGCTAATGCAAGTAGAGCTCCTAATACATGCGTCTGTATTTCTGGCTATATAGCTTCTTCAGATGGATTCTCATGCATGGCATGCTCTAGTGGGGTGTTTTACTTGTACTGATATAACCTATCAAAAATATGCCTTATACGTTTCTTGATTATATTTCTTGTCGTTAACTGGACAATGTTTAAGTAAGAACCCAACTGAGTATACTTCAAACTCAGTTACAAATAATTGTGATTTTTCAACAAATTTAGTTGATAGTCTAAACTTGGCAAATCAGGTTTATATTAACACTGTTTCCATTTTTAATATGATTTCTTGGCTAAATTTCTTATGGCCGTTATATGAGCCATTTTCATATGAAATTTCAAATTATGAATTTGCCGCACTAAAATCTGCGTTTTGAAAAATCTATTTGGTTTTCACATACCAAATTCAAAATGGCATACATATGCATGATAAGAAATAAATGCAAGCATTATATAAGTATTGTGATCACAAATATTTATCCTGATTGATCTGATTTACATAGCCTCCACTGATGCAATTTTAAAATAATTTTATAATTTTATTTTAATTAATCTGATAAATGCCCACATATCTAACACTTCTTTGCTTTTTTCATCCCAATGCTTTCATAATATTTGCTGAAGTAATTTCTTCCATCTTGAGCTTCTATTAAAAATTTAACTGTACTTTCTGCTGTTGCTCTTTTGACAGGGAGATCTTCTCCAACTTTAAAATTAAGATTAATAAGCAGTTCGCTCTTGGGGATTTCTACCACTGCATGCTCATCCTCCCTGAGAGATCCCGGCAGACAACCTTCAGGGATTCGAACGACCGATCTGGATTTCCATGATTTCTGAAGCCTATAGGCTCATCACCTGGATTAAAACTACCAGTTTCTCGTTAGAAGATATCACATCTTGAGCCCTGTTCGAGGGATTTATCGCCCTCTCGGGACTTCTGCTGGCCCTACCTTTCCAATGATGGTCTCAAAGGCAAAAACTCAGAGTCCCAGGACTATAGTGGTTGCCCGATGATGGCGCTCAATGCGCCATCATCGGGCAACACCAGAAAGGGCTTCACACGGGAAAATGGGTTTCACGTGTGGAGCCCTTTTTGGCGCGTGGAAGTGAGGATTCTCCACGTGTCAAAAAGGGCTCCACACGTGGAACCCATTTCCCGTGTGGAGCCCTTTTCGGCGTTGCCCGATGATGGCGCATTGAGCGCCATCATCGGGCAACCTCTATATCTCCTTAGGGCCGAGAAAAACCTAATCCGATATACACAAAGGACTCTCAACCTCTTTCTGCCCTTCCTCTTCACACTAGCCCCTGCTGGTGTTGAAGAAAAAATGTCAGGATATCGGGTGGTCTATTGCCAAATTTTTATGTATATCTTCTCCAACAAAATCTTGTCTATATAAATTCATCAGATCGATATTTTTAATATACCCGATTAACTGTTCATCTTTACAATTCCTTTTCAAATTTTCCAAGATTTTCCCTTTCATAATATATCTTGTTTCATTGATTTTTTCCCACAATAAAAAGTTATATGTCACTTTTTGGTTTCTTGAAGTCTTGAAATACTTTAGTTTCCTTTTGTTGATCCAGTTATCGTTCAAGTTATATAGCTTCTTTATAGCTTTTAATGGGATTAATCCATATTTGTCAGAAAATCTGTTTTTGAAAGCTCGGCATTCTTTACATATCATCCTATCCAAAATTGGGCAGTGTTTCCCATTTTCTTTTATTTCCCCACATTCCACGCATGCGTTATTATAATTATAAAAATATGAATTTATCCACGAGTCGCAAAAAACGGCTTTTGGAAAGTCGCGATTTACCAAGAAACATCACACTTCTCCATTTAAGGAAATTTCGTATCATTCTTTGCATACTTGTGATACAAGAATGAGTTCTTTAGGAGATAAAAACTTGAAAATCTCTTTGAGGATTCTGGGTTGTATTTGTGAAGCTTTTGTGTTTGGCTTTTCAAACAACTTCGCAGGTGTAGAGGGAATCGGGAAATTTTTATTTCAATTTGATAGCCATGTTTGAAAGGTTTCAATGTGTAAAGGATCTGTTAGTTGAAGTCTATAATGGTCAGGCTCCATTCTGGTCACGTTAATCGGCTTAAAGCAGTTTAAGTGAAAGTAGCCGATTCTTCCAGCTTCCATATCATAGACCTCGATTTCTCCAGCTTGAATAGATAATTTGCAGGATCGGCACAAATTTCTTGGTTTATCTGCAACATAAACAATCAATGAAAGATAAGCTTTCATTTCGTCAAGCGGGTCGTAAAGCATTTTTATTTTTATTGTTTTGTTAAATTGGCTGAATCTAATCGACGACAAAATAATGGCTTAAATCAGATAAAAAAACAAAAAAGCTGTGATGAGGGTTATTGTTATTGAGACTTTTGTAAAAAAATTGCTGGATTTTACATAATTTATAATCAAAAAGAGGTTTAGACGGGATACATAATGGATATTATAAAGTTTATTATTTTGGTCAGAAAACTTTTAGAGGGAACTAAAATCTCTAGTAGTGTTTAAAATTTAGGCATCCCATTTATCGAATGCCATTTTGCTGACATCACTGGCTGATTAACATAAAGCTGCAGTGATTTCTGCTTATGTCTCATCTCCTGGCAAAATCATCATTAGCATATCTGAGCAAGATCTTCTTTCCTTCGAAAATTCGCTTACTCCCCCTCAGTGAGCAAACAAAATTTTTTATGAAAAAAATAATAAGTGATAATTGTAATAAATGAAATCTCTAGCTAATTCTATTTAATTTTAAACAGCTTGCATTTTAAAACATAAATTTTGCAAATAAAATTTATTGTTATTTCAATTTTGTGAATTGGGATTTTTTAAATTTCGATAAATAAATTTTAGTATAAAATTTATATATATTTTTTAAAAAAACAAAATTACTCCGCTCTGTTGGCGAGCAAAATTGTTTTGTTCGCTTACGGAAGGGGAGAGTTAGTTTCTTTAACATCGTTGAATTATTTGTAATAAGAAATGACTTTTTTTTGCTATTTCATTGTTTTGCTAATCTTCTCAATAATCGCATGACTAAATATTGAAATTTTCATCAGGAAATTGCATATTTTCTTAGTTTTTATTAAATTTTTTATTATCAATCCTGCAGCAGTCATTTTAGCAGAATTAATTTCGTGCAATGAAATAAGACATGGAGAAAGACACGAACTAAGTGCAAAAACAATTACTATCTTTATAAGGCTGCTTTATTGATAAACTAGCTACGAAAGACTATAATTATGTAAAAACATTAAATGCTAGCTCATTTTCTTAAATTGCCAGAATCCTTCAGTTTATAAGTACTTTTAGGTTATCTAACCGAAAAATACGCATTCGGCTTTATTAAATTTAAATTTATTAGAGATCATAAAAAAACTTTATAGCAATAATTTTTTCTCTATACCAAAAAAATGCTTAATTAAATTTATTTCTTTATTCGATAGACATTATTGCAATTTTTGATATATTTCGACAGCCTCCTCGGCAGCACATGCTCTAATTCAATTTTTTTCTCATCCATTTCATAATATAATTCTCTTCCGCTTGGTTTTGCTTTCTTCACATTAATCATTTTATCTTTCTGAACTAAGCTAAGCTCTTCTACTAATTTTGCTTTTCTTTCTTTTTCTTTTTTATCTAATTCAAGTTTTCTCTCTAAAAATCTCTCGGTTTTCTTCTTCCACATCTTGAAAGCCTTTTTCTTGTCTTTTATTTCGAACTCTTCTTTAAAAATGGCTGCTCTTGATAAGATGCCAATTTTCTCCTCTTTTGTGACTGCAGCGTTGGATAATTCTTCTAACCTTTATGAATAGTAGCGATAGAATTTCATTAGTCATATATTTTTTTTCATCCAAATAAATTAAAGCGAAATTTATAGCCCTTTATTTTTTTTGATAAGGCAAAAGTTGTTTATGTGAAATCATAAAGTTTACCATGTGGGCTAATTTTACCTTTTTGAAAAATAGCTTATATATCTTATATTAAGTTTGCATATATTATATATGGAATTTAATTTTAATATTATAGCACCTTGTAAATATTTCCTGTAAGTTGGTTTACTTGTAAAAAGTATATTATTCAGACTTGGTAATAGCAGATTGAATATTAAACAGCAGACCAGTTTCTTTGCCCAAATATTTGCACAATATAATCTAATAAAAGCAAAAATTGTTTGCTAGTCAATCAAGAGATTATGTAAGTGGCTTCTTCGCTTTCTTTTTCGCTTCCAGAATTATTCTTGGCTGGAATTTTTACTTCTTGAGGGAGTCTTGGGGTTTCTGGAGGTTTTAAAGTTTCACCTTTTTGTGCTGCTATAGCTTGCTGCATAAAAGTGATTTTTTCACCCGGAAAAGGGCTGCGGGGGGTTGCTTCTACCGAAGAAATTCCAGCTCTTTTTAATTGTTCAATATAAGCAAGTTTTTCTTTACCTTCACTGGTTTTACTTTTTGCATCTTTTACCATTTTTAGCTTAGATTTCCTCAATAAAAATCCAATATCTTGCTCTACTGTAATTAAGCCATGAGGAAGAATTGCATCAATTCCTTGTATTAGGTGGTCACCTAATTGCTCGAAATATTGATTTTTCCTTGTGAATATTGATCCCAAAACATTAGCTTCAGAAACTGGCTCCTTAGGTGGGAAAAATGACGGAAGTTTTGGTTTGATCTTTACTATTTGATCTTTGACTTTTTTTCTAAAATTTATAAATTCTTGTTTCGCTTTTCCAGATAATAAAGATTTTCGGCTATCAAAAATTTTTGCCTGCTCCTCGTCGCTGCTAGATTCTGGCCATTCTAAAGCTTCATCAAGAAAAACTTGTTCTTCGCATTTTAAAGATTCCAAGCATTTTTCTGTTCGAAGACCGTATTTATTTTTTGATAAAGAATCAAACCCAACACCTCCAGCTTCAAAACTCTGGCTAATTATTGATTGGGAACTGAAGTCAATTGATATGAGACTGTTGCTATTAGAAGCCATTTTGAGTAATTTATGTTGGAAATTTATATAATTAAAACAAATTTGATACAGATATAATTCTTAACAGGCTAAACTGCATACTAGTTTTATATTTTTAGATAATTTGTATATATTAAATAAAATTTTAATTTTTTCTCGTTTTTAACTACTCCAATTTCTAATTTCTTACAGAATTTCTTTTTGGAATTTCATTAGTTTTCTAATAGGAATATTTGAAATCTCAGAAGATAATTTAAAAACTTAATGGATAAAAAGGAGCTAGAGCGCAGATTAAGCCTTTCACTTGAACCAGATTTTTTCTCTCACTCTTTAAGGCCAGTTTTTTGTGACCCGCCTATCCTATATGACCGAGAAGGCAAACTCCGAGGTGCCGATATCAGAGAAATTTTATCATTTAAAGACTCAACAATTACGAATCTGTGTAGCTATTCAGCTACCGACGAAGAATTCCGCTTGGAACATGTAGAAAATAACGTAATTATCAAGTGTGAAGGCCCAGCAGATGGGCAGAAATTCAAAGTGAAATTTATTGAGCAACCTTTTATTGAAGATGGAATTAATTATTTAGGGAAAATTGAATTTCAAGGCAAAAAAGGCAGAAAAGTTATGATAAGAGTGCCTGGGGAAAGAACTTATGACCCTGCTTCTCCTGAAAATCCTATAGTGACAGCTGATCAGTTCAGGTTTTTAATATCAATATTAATCGCACAAGTTATTGCAGCAATGAACGGCGCTGACCAAGATTTAATTTTAAAAATAATGCAGACTTCTAAGCACTGCCACAAGCTGCATAACAGATATTTACTACAAAAATACCTGACTTCGCAAGTTGTTAGCGCGTTTTATGAGGGAGAAACTCAAGAAAGCTATGGAGAATTTTTATTGAAAAGTCTAGCTGATGGGCAGCCAAACTTGGATCCGACAAGAGATTTTTACCAAATTAATTATTTAGAGCTAGAAGCAAAAAAAGTCGGAGGCCATATGAGAGGGGAAGATGTTTTGCCAGCACAAAATGGTTTATTAAAAAAATATTTAAGAAAATGAACCTATATGGCGTTAAGCTAATAGGCTTAAGAATTTATATGCCTAGGCATAAATAACATCCAAATTTTTTTAAAATAAATTTTTTCCCCACAAAACTACTTGAAAGAATTATTAAAGAGATACGAGGACCAATTAAGACTTGAGCAAAGTGAGCCAACCATAGCACTATTAATAACAATTTCCGGAAGATTTGAGTTTTCAGCTTATTTAGGAGTGAATCATTTAGAAATATACTTAAATAAAGAAATGCTTGCAAGAATTAACAGCTTTCAAGGTATAGGCATGAAATCAATAAGAGACAGAATTTCAAAACTTGAGCAAAGCTATGATATTCAGTTTAAACTTGCTTTAAAAAGAAGAGGAATAAGGCAAAGAGCTGTAGAAGAGAACCAGAAAAGTGACTGCAGCATCTTTTAGATTTAACTAATATGGTTATTTAATGATTTTTTAAAATATATTCCTATAAATAAAATTTTAATTTCCAAATACCATTATTAAGATATTTTGAAGCTCCAAATGGATTCTTAAAACACTCTAATGAGGTATATAAATTAAAATGATGAAAATATCTAGATTGAAAAGACCTAAAAAGCCAAAAAAAGAACCTATAAAAAAGGAGCCCATAAGCAAAGATAATCATCAGCATCTGCATGAAGATATTTCTATCATTGACCTTCCATCGCCGCCAGTCTTTAAAAATCCTGAAAAAATTGTAGAATTCAATAATCTCTGTGTTTCCTATGATGATTTGCCTGACATTAGTCACCCATTTGAAATAATTGATAATTCATTACATGGACCGCAAGAATCTAAATCTGAAGGAATCAATAGCAATTATGCAACTTTCCTTACTCCCCCCCTATCCTTGATCGAACGGCTCGCGCCATCGTTCGACAAGGATGGGGGTTTAAAAAAATTTTTGGGGAAAAAAAATTATATATAAAAAAAAAAATATTTTTATATATTTTTTTATTTACTTTTAAATAAGAGGGTTAAGAATATTAATAATTATTTTTACAGCAAAAAATTGAATTAATTTCATAAAAATACAATTTTTAATATTTTGATTTATTAGTAACCCCTTTAAACTGTATAAATTTTAATTTGTTACTTATTAAATTAAATTTGTTTTTTTTAAAATTTTAAAGAATCTCTATTTTATTAGATTATTGAGTTTTAAAGCATAATTGATAACTAAATCACTTCGAATGGTTGATTTCGTAGCTTTTCTGTCGTCTCAAAGTTTCTGAAAACAACTTCATTATGTACATCTTCCCATACATAAAAATGGTGACGACAGACCACCCGACCTCTCGATCCTATTTCCTCAACAGCAGCAGGCAACGGCCCAGTGTTGGAGATTTAGATGGAAAGGGGCTGGTAATCCTTTATGTATGTTCGGGCTGGGTTTTCTTCGAGCCCGAGGAGCTAATTCTCGGACTTGGAGTTTTTCCTCCAGGACAACCATTGGAAAGGGCAAGGTCGGCCAATGTTTGAGGGCAATATGACCCTCAGACCCTGAAGACGGTATTTGCCCAACGAGAAACTGGGAGTTTCGACCCAGGTGGTTGGCCCTTAGACTCCAGAAGCCATGGAAGTCAAGACTGGTCGCGCGAATCCCTTGTTTGAGGCAACAAGGAGGGTGTCCGCCAAGGCTCCTCAGGGGCGATGAGCGTGTAGGGGTGCGAATCCCCGGCCCTGCAAGGCAAACGGCATAATCTAATCTAATCTAATGTGCATCTTCCCAAGCTTTTGATAACTAATATATTTTTTTATATATAAAAAATTTGCATGATATGAAAATCGTTCGATCAAGGATGGGGGTTAATTTCCCCAATTTTTAGGGATTTTATACAGTCAATCGTTCGATCAATGATGGGGGGGGAGTTAGTGAAGTACCTTTTCCTTTAAATAGTCCAAAAGTTTTAGAATTTCCTCCAATTACACCACTCCAATTAGATGGCATTTCAAGACGCACTGACATTTCTATGCTTAAAAGCTACATCCCAAAAGAATGCGATTTCCAATATTTAAAGATTAGTTATCTACAAGCGCGTGGAGTTGGGTCAATTTATAACCTAATTACTGCTATAAGTGTAGCTTATTATGAATTTCTTATGATTCCTGCCTTCGCAGTAGAAAATATGCTATTTTTATTGAATTTTATATAAAATAATCAGTACTTAAATATGAAAATAAGTATTTTAATAGAGAATAACAAAATTTCATATGAAATCAGCCAAAATAAAAATTTATTTCAAGCCCACAGAAATGATTCATATTTGTCGATCATGAATTCTGTAAGATTTTCACTTATTCCCCCCCTCCGTGAGTGAACAAAACCATTAGAAAAATCGCTATTTTTTGCCCAAAAACCCACCTCCGTGAGTGAACAAAAATTTTTTAATAGAAAAACTTTTTATGGAAAAAAAAACTGATATATTAGTGATAATTAGTAAATGCTAATTAAGAGCTCATAAGAGCTTCGACATTGCGTGCGCAATGTTATAGATAATAGATAGATAGATAATTAGTAAATGAAATCTAGAGATAATTCTGTTTAATTTTAAACAAATTGCTTTTTAAAACATAAATTTTATAAATAAATTCATATTTGCTTTCCAATTTTTGCGAATTAGGATTTTTTTAAATTTCGAAAAAAATAAATTTATATAACAAAAAAATTAATCCCCTCCGTGAGTCGTGAGTGAACAAAATTTTTTTTTGTTCACTCACGGAGGGGGGAGTTAATACTTCAAATATTGATGAGCTACCAAAACTATCAGAAAATAAAGACCTAATTCAAAACTTAAGGTTTATGTTATCGATTATTGGACAAAATTATCTTATGAGTAATGAATCCAAAGGTTTATTTGAAAAATCTCTAGATGAAGAACTAATTAATGAAATAAGAGAAGCAGCCAAAGCCGAATTGTTTGAAGAAAATGCTATTGCGAATGATTTATATTTTAAACTGTTTTCGAATGCCTTATGTGTAAAAATAAAAGTGTATAAAGTGACCAATCAAGGGCTGCAGAAAAGCGTGCATGAACCAAATAAAGAAAAATCATGGCCAGTTTTGAACTTTTTTATGATTACAGATCCATCAATTAGGCTTTTTATTCTTTATAGCAGAGGAATGGTGCATTTAGATGGGTATTCTGTAAGCACTGGGGTCTATAATCCTATTAAAATAGAAAATCCGGAGAAATTTATGTATGCAACTAAAAGAATAACTGATTGTGAATGCGCAACTAAAGATGAAGAAATAAAAACACTTAATATTTCGCTCAAATTAAGTGCAAATATGATACAAAGTTATGATAAAAACATCACTTCATTGTTCAACAAGCTGAAAGACTCAAATATTAAGCTGAATCATAGAGAGGTTGCAAGTGATCTAAGCAAAATTCAGCAGCAGATAGATTTCATTACAAACCACTTGAAGCCTGAAGTTGCTAATAAGCTAAATTTGTCCAGTTTAGAATATGTCAAATTTGGCCATGAAACCATTTCAAAAATATTAAAAGACTGCTGTTACTGCAACAAAAGGCAAGGAGTATGGAAATCTTCTTGCGGGCATTATTATTGCTCAGACTGCATTTTTTTACTTATGAAACCCAATAATTTTGAGAACTTTGAATGTGAAGAAGAATGCAAACAAATAATCAAACTCGAAGACTTAAAAACTTTTCCAGAATATCCAAGGCTAAAAGAGGAGCATTTAAAGCACCACAGAAAATTCGAATGTAAGGAATGTCATCAAGAAAAAGACACAAATCAAGGCTACCAATGCCAAAAATGCCAAAAGTCTATATGCCACTACTGTCTTTCTAAGCTTGTAATTGCAAATCGAATGGAGAGCCAAGGCTGGGCTATTCAAATTACTTGTAGCCAGTGCAATGAAAAAATGTTTGTCAACACTGAAGGGTGGATGGACCAATGCCCAGCTTGCATGAAAACGAGACATATATTAGAATTCTACGAATTTGAATGCAAACCTAATCAAAATCCTCATGGCTTGCTATGTAGAATGTGTTGGACTATGATCTTTAATGATGTATGCCCCATCCCTGGCTGCGGAGCCTCTGCTTCCAATAGTGCAAGGGCAATGATACTAAGCGAAAATAAAATTTTATGCAGAAACTGCGGGGAACTGAAAATGATGTATATCGGAGAAAAAATGTGCGAGAGTGAGATGTGTTTTCCTTGTCAAGAATGCCAGGAAAATTATTTTGAAGAAAAGCCTGATATATGTGTTATATGTAGCAGAGTGATGATGGATAAGATATCTGAGAGAGGGTATAATTGGTGGGCTAGAATCAGCTAATGATAATTATTGTATGATGATTTAAAATCGATACAAAATAATTAGAATAAATTAAGAAAATTGAGGCTTATAATCATAAATGTAAATGGCGATGTAAAGCATCAAAAGGACCGTCTTTCTTATTGATTTGATGGGGGACAGTTATGCAATAGCAAATGCAGCCTATGTTTCTAGTAAATATAGCTGCTTACACAATAAATTTGAGAAATAAAGCTCTTAGGCTGAGCTGATATGCCAGCACTAAGTTTTACCATAAATTCCATAAGGAAAGCTAGATTCCTCAGCTTATACAGCAGCGCTTTAAAATTATCCACAGATTACTATAAACTTAAATACCCTAAATTATCTATTAAGCTGGCAATAGATTAACATCCGTCACTTTGCACATGAGCTCGACCAGATAATTTTTGTCAGGGTCTATCTTTGCTGGTGCTAAGCTTGGCAAATTATCAAGTGGCATAATCACTTGCAAATTTTGCAGGCTGGGCACTTCTTGGTCATTTTCCCAGAAAACTTGGACTGCAGGGCAAAACAGCGTTGTTAAAGATCCTTTAGAAACTTCTTGCATCATCTGTCGAGAGCATGGATCGCTGGCACCAAGCGCTCTAAGGCTAGATTTTATGCTTGACTTTTTGATGCGCTCCTGCCGAATGTCAATGAAATCTGTTTCATGGAATTGGACAGGGGTGTATTTTTGGAGCTGTGAATTTATAACACCTATTGCTTTTTCTGATATTTCTTCTTGGGGATTTGTGTACTCACTAATGAAATTTGTGGTTTCTACAAGTTTTCTACCGCTTGATAATTGTAATGCAGTGTTTTGGCTTGAATTATCAATAGAAAGATTCATGATCATCATGACTGAAATCATCGCAGCAAATGCTAGCCCAGCAGCTTTTGTAATTTTTGAATAATTTGAGCTGCTATCACTCATATGTATGCTTGCTAATTGATTTTTCAAATAGTCATTTTCTGCTTGTAACTGCATAACTTTATGTTGTAAGCACGAATTTTGTTTTTTCAGCTGCGAATTCTCATCTTCGATCAGCGAAATGTATTGCTTTTTCCTATCTCTGCTTTGCTGGGCTGAAATTCTGTTTCTGATCATCTGCTGCTGCCTTTTTCTCTCAGCGTCTGGGAGATCTTTGGGCTTGCATGGAAAACAACTGATCATTCCTTTTCCCTGATTTTCTGCAAATTTTATTTCAGCTTTTTTATTACATTTTTCTGCATTTTTTAGAGAAAAAAAAATTCGGCAGTAAAATAGAGACCATTTGCTTTTCCACGCAACAAGATCTTTACAGATTTCTTGCAACTTTTTCTGTTCTTCTTTGAGCTTGTTAACAGCTTCACTTTCCATTGCTCTGCGTTTTGCATGCTCTCTTTTGACGACTCTTTTGGACTTTTCCGGAATTTCTTTGTCTTTTAAGCTCGCTAAGTCCATTGCTCGACATTCTTCACAAACTTGCATGGAAGGAAGAATTGGGATATCATCAAATCTTTTACGTTTTTTAGGAATTTGTAGAGGGTCTTCGAATTTTACAATATTTTTCTGGCAAATTGTACAAAGATATGTAGGGGTAGAGTCAATAGGATTGTAGTCTAAGCCTAAACTTAACGAACTATGAGCGGGCCAGGAGTCTACTGATGCTGGAATACGAAAATCTAAATCAATGTTGTGAAGAGATAAGTCGTCGTTGAGATCTTCACTTTCAAAAGGTGATGTGTTAGTGGAAACCTTTTCATCATATGAATAGGATGAAGGATCGAGGGATTCTGGAAATTTCTCGAAATCAAGGGTCGTCATTTTTCTATTAATTTTTTCTGATTTCAAAATGAAATTAAATTTAAAATGCTTAATCAAAGCCAGCCTAACTTATTATACTTAGTTTATCCCTCTGTAAGTTAGTAAAAAGATTGAAATAATCATCCGCCCTCAGTAAAGGAGCAAAATAACTTTTGGCTTCCAAACATAGTATCATTACAATGGCATGACGAGCTAATTTACCCTCTTAAAGCTTGTAGCTTGGGAAACCCAGGGACTTTACTTAAGGGAGGATGACGCTCGGTAATGTGCATTCGTATATGTTTAACTTGTCGATTAGGCCGACCGCAACTAATTCCAGATCATGATTTTACTTGGAGAAGATGTAAACTTGGGGTTCGAAAGGGAAGGTAAGGCTAGCAAGGTCTCTGACCAATCGTGCAATATCCTAGTGCAATACTGGCAATTGTGTGAGTTCCATCTTGGTCGACAACTCAAATTTTCTGGAAGTACAATCCAATTCAGGCGTGCTGCATGGTTGCATATGCGTAGCGGATAGGCAGACGGAAGGCAGTAATGAAGCAGGTAGATAAAAATACCCTTATAAGATATTATATGGAGCTTCTCTATAATCTTAACTAAGAACTAAGGCTTCCAAGCATAATATTTATGATTTAGAAAATTATACAGAATTTTTTAATTTTTCCATCATATTTTCATATATAATATCAGTAAAACTTTTATTGACTCTTTCACACAAAATCTCTCTTCACAGGCTTTATTTATTCATATATCCTCAATAGAAATGCAAAATCAAAATTATTATTCATTTTTTAATATACACTCTTTTTCAGCCACTTTTCCCTTATCCTCTTCCAATGTTTCTCCAATAGTTTTTCGCAAATAAAAATGCCCAAAAAAAAGTATCTGTTTCGCATAAACAAAACTTCCTATTTAATCTGATTCAGCTCAAATTTCTTAATATTTCGAAACCATAATGATTATGCAGCCATACGAGTCCTTATTTTATTAAAATGAAATAATAAACAATGAGCTACTTCCCTTCACGAAAGCAAACTCCTCATTCTAATTCTTACCACAAGAGAAATCAGTCTTACGTTGCACCTTCTGAAGAAGAAACCAAAATTTACAAAACCCAAGACCCGACTCATCCAGCGAGTTTAAATTCTTCTCTTATACTCGAACATCAGACAAGTCCTTTAAAAAAGGTCTGGCGATTAATAAACCATAGGCGGAGTAAAAGTGTTGATAAAAATCAACCTCCAGAAAAATTATTTTCAGAGTCCGATGGAAATATTCGAGTAACCATGACTGCAACTGAAAAATATTATTTGAATATTATAAATGGGTGCAGATCCAATGATAGTACTTTTAATAGTGTGCATTTCACCAAAGTACTTTTGGTAAAAAATTAGTTGAAACATGTTGATATTGAGACATTTGACCGAAAAAACCTGTTAAATTTCGATGAAATGTATATGCTGTCAAAAATCCACTGTTATTTGACATGGAGCCATTATAAAATACTCAAAAGCTTGAAATCCAAAAATTAAATAAGGAGCTCGAAGTAAAAGGCCAAGAAATTGAAAAATTAAAAAGAGAAAACCAGGACCTAAAATTACAAAAACCTCACAACAAAGCAGGAAAGATTTCTTCAGATCCTGCTATATATCCTAGAAACCCAGCTTTTAATCAAAAAATAATAAGAGTTAAAAATAGCTTGTTTAGATAATTAAGGTAATTTACCTTAGATTTGTAAAAATTACCATATTTATAATTTTTATTTATGGCTTAAGGATTAGCTATTGCAAGAGACAAAAGCTTATATAGATTGAATGATGAGAACGTACTGAGAACCTGTTCCTTGATGATAAGTTTGTATTCTCTGACTTATTTTTTAATTTTTACCTTCTATTTTATACCTAAAAATCTTTAAAAACTATTAAATTATAAAGAAATCATTATCTATTCACTTAGTTTTATGTGTTTTGTTGGGTTTTCTTCATTTTCTTCAGCATTTTTAGGAATTGTCTCTTCAACACTTTTCTCAAAAATTTTTCTTATATGATCAGTCAAAATTTTAACAATTTTGTTAAATAAAAGCACTAATTGTGAAGTTGGCAAGTCCAGCTCTGGAGGGAGATGTTCAAATTCTTTTCTTTGCAGAGCAATTGCGATTAAAATATTTTTTTGTAAATTTGAAAAAGGGATATTTAGTTGGCCGCAAAAGTAAAGGTCAGCAAGTCTTGGCAAGAGGTCAAGAATTAAGTGATAATCAATCAATTTCTTGCAAAAAGCTTCAAGACGCTTAAGATCATAAAGGCTAACAAAGTGCTGAAGGGTTTCTTCAGAGCAATCCTGACCTATTTTATGGTCTAAGATTTTAAGTCCAAGCGCTGCTGGCAAAGTTTTGAACTCAAAGCCAAGCAAGTATTGGAATCTTCGCTTAAAGTCATTATAAAATGATGAAAAATCAACATCAGTAATGCTTTTAAGCATAATCGTGGAATATTCGCCTGTGATATCACTTGATTTTTGCTTTATGTAAACTGTTTTAAAGCCTGAATTATCCCAGAATTTATAAAGCTGCTGGTTTAGCCCATAAGCTACACTTAAATATTCAACTTCTTGTGGGGAGCTTTCACTTAATTTCTGTAGCAGCGGCTGCACACATTTTTTAGGCTTGATTTCTTCATTAATCAGTCCTTCATTTTCTCTTTCATCTTCATCCATTTGTTCAATCTTTTCTCTTTCTGCTACAAACAGTTCTTTTTTAAAATATTTTTCTAGCTCTTCTAGAGCTTTAGTGCCATATCCCATTTTCTGCAAGTCTGGATGTGTAGCAATTCTTATCACTCTAGCTCCAGTCAATTCCCCAAAAGATGCATCTTGATAATACTCTGAGACTGTCCAAGGGACTAAATCCCCACTTCCTGCTTTTCCTTTCTCTAGCTCTTTTTGGACCCTTGCTCTATTAATTTTCCCTTCTAGTGCTACTTGAACTGCACATAATACGTCTGGTAAAGCTGGATTATTTGGGTCAATAGGCCCTAAAAGCACAAATAATAGGTGTGAAGGTGCATCAGAAATCATCTGAAGGTCATTTGGAGAGTTCCTATAATGTGATGACACAAATAATGACATCATTTTGTGCAAAAATAGCTCGGAAGCTCTATGGAATGAAAATAAAGTATCTCGGTTTACTAAATACAGAGAACAATGGGAAGGATGAGGAGGGGCTGAAGCTAAAGGATAAGGTGTGGTAGCTTCTAAGCACAGCAAATCTGTAAGCCATTTTTCTATAGGATCATTCAAAGAGTATCTTATTGGTGCTGTCATTTTTAGCTGCTTCAGATTTCTGGTTTTTAAGTCATTAAAAAGCTTTAATGATAAAGCACGGCCTGTTCCTTCATAACCATGCACTGTTGAGGACATTAAAACTGGATAATGCCCCAGCATTCTTTTCACAAATGGCAAAGGTATAGCAGCAGCTTCATCAATTACCAGTAAATCTGTTTGGATGTGGGTGGAATTTACAGTGATATATCTTATTATTTGTGTGTGGGTTTTATTTATAGTGACTCTTAACACTGATTTTTTATGCTCTTTTGAGCCTCTTTGGACTTCGTAATGTTGGTGCTCTTCGTAGCCTAAAGCATTAAGTCCAATAAAGAGAAATTGGAAAAATGCGTGAAGATTTTCTGGGGAAGGCGCGGTAACTAAAATATTTGAATAGCCAATAGAAACTGCAGCAGAAACAGCTAGCCCAAGAGCAGCAGATTTTCCTCTTCCTCTTGCTGCTGTTATAGCAAAGGTTAGTTGTTCTTTATCGACTAAGCTTGATACAATTTGCATTGTCACATTTCCTTGATCTAGAGTTTTAACTTTGGCCATTAAATTACCAATAGGAAAAGTGCCTTCAAGTGATGTTTTTAAGTCTTTTAATTGTAAGTCTTCTGGTGTTTCTATAGCATCTTTTTCTTCTATAGGGTGATTTGTGATATTTAATATGTTGAATTCATCATCCATGACAAGGCAATTTGAGCATACAGTTAAGCTTAAAATAAACCTTTCGTTGAATCTTGGGTCTACTGCATTATGAGATGGTGTTCTATATCTTTCATGAACATCCATTGTCATTGCATAAAGCTGCTTTAAGCTTGTCATGGTTTTAAGCAAAATGATAATCATTCCTCCCCCTTCTACTGTTTCTACCGTCCTACACAACAGATTTGGATTCAAAGCTTCAAAATCTTGCAAGACTACAGCACTAAACGTATTTCCCAATACTTTATGCGAGTCTTTATAATAGCAAAATCTAAGTTGTGTGGATGATATAAATAGTTCAAAAGGGTCATCTACTTCTTGGTCCCATTGTCCATGCTGTTGCAGCTTTTTAATTTGCTTCATACGTTTTTTCTTGTGTGAGCTAAAACCCAGGTCTTTTGAGTAGCATCATAACACTGAAGGCTTCACTTTTAGATCAGTCCTTGAAAGCAATAAATGCAAATCAGCCACACGATCACGGCCACGGTCTCCAACAATCACAAACATGCTTCGCTGCTTAAGCTTAACGCAGTTTTCTACCAAAGTTTTTATTCGGCTGTCAAGCTTAATCTTCATGTCTTAAAATATGGTAAAATATCCCATTTTCCTAGGATAGTGAGAAATAGCCATTTTAGTTAGTTAAGCTAACGGAATTATTAAATTAAATGAAGATTTTGCTGCTATTAGGGGTGTGCTGGGCGACTTATTTAAGAAATGAGGAAAAAATAATCCCAGAACCTATGCCAATTCAAGCTGAAAATGATGAATTCCCTGGGTTTGGAAATGTCCAATACATAAATCAATTAAAATCGAAATTAATAGAAGAACCAGCTGGATCGTCAAGAATTGATATAAAAATAGATGGAAGAAACTATATTAGTCCTTGGGTTTTAGATAGAAAATCTAAAGGGATGGCAAAAATGAATAAATTTAAAAAAATAGAGAAATGTTTGGATTGTGAAGAAAGCATTAAGAAAAACACAGAGGATTATAATGAGTTGAATTTTGATGAAGAAATGGAAAAAATAAATAAGCAAATAGAAGAATTAGGCTTGGGAGAAAATCAAATTGATAAGATGGAAGAAAATATCGATTTGGATATTATGTATACAATTGAAAAACAGCTTAAAGAGATCAAGAAGCTGCAAATGGGTATAGCCTAAGCACAATTTTGGCTGGGGCTTCCCATTCTTTATAACAGAGAAAAGCTTAAGAAAATTTATATTGGCCATACCATCTCCCTAAATGACAGAACCACTTGCTGCAGGTTTTTTGCTATTTGGGGCTTTGGTTTGCATAACATAAGTTGATGAATCAACTCCTATTTTACCGCTGGGAAGAAAAGGAATCTCAAGCCAAAACAGTGCTCGGGCTATATTGATTAATATATAATTATAAAGGTGTTATTTATTTTTACACTTATTAAAGTTGAAATTTATATTTTGGTTAATTGATTATACTTTTGTAAATTGAATTCTAAATTTCAAAAATTACAGTAATTATTATATCATTTAATTAACCAAATGAAGTATAACCATTTCGAAATGTATGCATATATACTACAATGCTATCTTATTTTTGCTAAAACAGTTTTCTGTGAAACCCCTTCCATTTTCTGAGGAGCTTTAAAAAATATGGTTCTTTTCTAAACCAGCCACAAAATATTGATTTATTAACAATAAACCCTAAAAAGTAACTCCATCACTTCAAATTCCTTCATTTCTTCACCAACCCTTCCTCCATTTCCCTAAAATTTCCTAAATTTTTCCTTTCCCTCCTCTCCCAGTCCAAATTTCAATATCCTATCCTTCCAATCTCCAATGCCAATTTTTTAATTCCCTAATTTTATTTATAAAAATTTGCTTCTTAATCTTTATTTTACTAAGATCCAGTAGTCAAAGTTTCCGATTCCATCTTTCTATATCTAATTATAATAAATAAAACTCATGACTACCTATTTTTATATGTAAAGTAAGATAAGGCCATATGAATGCTTTTATTCACCGCAATTAGGTATAGGTGATTCTATTGATTTATGGTTCGGATATAATATTAAAAATGGGATGCATTCTAAGCATAGATGAAATTCCTCGTGAGACGCCAATATATAACTTTATAATACTTAAACCGCTCGAAGATAACAAATTGTATTCCTTAAGGAAGTTTGGAAAAAACGTTCCAAACCGTTCGTTCTTTAAGGAAAGTGCGGGCCAACTGACTCCAGATACATGTGATACTATGTCACCTGGGCTATTAGAAATCGTAGAAGAAGCAAAAAATTTGTAATATTTTAAACGTACACACAAACCTTGTCTTGTTTCCCATGTTCGCAATCCTTGTCATAGGGGTATGATAGACTATATCTGGTCCTTGGCATTGACTGCTTTAATCTCTGTAAGTCTTGTTTTATTGTAAATTATGAGTTAATCTTGATATTGTCTATAGACATTTAGGAAAATTCTGTGGTGACTTACTTCTTATTTTTTCAACAGAAATTTGAGGGATGGGGATATTTGTCCTTTTATTTTATTTGAGAAATAAAATTTTAAATTTTCTTAGATGATTAGGAGAGTTAGAAAAGGGCGCTGTGGAATTATTCCCTTAAAACAAAAGATGATGTTTAAATATTTCGTCTAAAAATTCGTGGAGTTCAATAAATAAGCTTATGCAATTAGATTTTGAAAAATTAAAACTTGGGAAAAATTTCACCTGAGCTCAGATAAAATTAAAATGACCTAAAATTAACAAAATGATAAATAGGTTTATTAACTTTCACAATTGAAAATTAGTGTCTGTTAGATTCATACATGCAGATTATTTTATAAATTGCTTGCTTAAAATAAAATAAAAACAATCTAATCAATAAAATTTACTTTAAAAATTAAAGAATTAGTAAAAGACTTTTAAAAAAGTCAATTATCCTAACAGTAAGCAATTTCTAAGCTAAAAGATTACTGTAAATTTAATATGGATATTCCGAATTTTATAAGGGAAGATATAGCTCGTCTAAAATGGGAAGAAAGTGTTCTAACGCGCCAGCAGCGAATTTTAAAGTACAAACTCGACAAAAGCCCTAGCGAAACTGTAAAAGCAGAGTATGAAAAAATGTTAATCAATCTTAATAACCAAACAAATGAAGTTCAGTTAGACATAGATGAAGCTTTACAGTTCAGAAGAATACGGCAGGAATCTCACAGTGATTTAGAATCCTCTAGTGACGGCTCCAGCTCTGACGGCAGCGCTTTTGGGATCTTTTATTACGACGTTCGGCCTCGACATATATAAAAATAAATTGGTTAAATTTATCATACAAAAAATACTCAATTAACCAGAATTTAACGCTTTCGCCTCAATCTTCCTTTTCCTCCTAAAATACTGCATTCCCTCAACATGTTTTTTACATTGTCACATCTCAGTTCTCTTTGCGATTTTATTTTTAAGTTCAATCTTCTAACTCTATTCTTCGACAAATCGAATTTTTCTTTAGGCCAGCTTAAAGGAGAAGGTATAGTCGACCTTACTGATCTTGGCGTCAAATTATTATTCCAGGCCAGCGAATTTTCAGTGAAAAATTCATGCTTTGTAGAATTTAAAGCTGTAGGAGTTCTTGATGTAATAAGTGCTTCTGGCGTAGGGCTTAGTTTTTTAAGAGAAGTTATAGTAGATCGCTTGTCATCTTCAAGGTCTATGCTAAAGAAATTAAGTTCATCAAGAGATTCTCTTGATTTTTGAGCTAATGTATAGCTCATATCTCGAATTTTTATTCCGCTTATTGCTGAAGTCAATCTTTCTCTAGTCTGCTCTTGAAGTTTATATTTTTCTGTAAAATGTGTGAGGGACTCTTCTTTCCGGATTCTTCGCTTAAATTCAAGCTTAGAAATTACTAGCAATGTGACTGTATCAGAAAAGCACTTGCAGGTTGTGATCCGAGGAATATCTTTAATTATTTCTTCGTCCCCAAAAATTTCGCCTTGTGCTTTTATCGCGATGTTTGCTTCGCATCGTTTTCTGTAGGGCTTTATTATAGGCATTGGCCGCCCATGAGCATCAAGCCGAGTTGGGCTTGAAGCTTTGAGCTCTAGTTCTTTGCAAAGCTGAACTTCACCTCGGCGGACTATATAAACGTTATCAGCTTCAGCTCCTTCTTTATAGATGATCTGTTTTCGCTTATAAGTAGATTGTGTAAAATAGTAGCTGAGCTTTACCAGCTGACTGAGGTTTCATTTTTCAAAAGCTGGAAGGCCGCTTAGGAATTTAACAAGGTCTTCCAGCTTTCTCGTAGCGTGCTCACCTAAGATCTTTAAATAGTCTTTTTTATTTAAGGTTGCGAAATGTGTGTCTTCAGCACATAGGATACTAGCTGCTCTAGGCTGATTTTTAATTAATGCTAACTCTCCAAATGCAGAGCCAGCCTCTAGAGTGGATACTTCAGTAAGCAAATATTCATTATGTGGAGTAGGAGTTGGAACTAAAACTTTTACAGATCCGTATATTATAATATAAAACAAATCACCATCATCACCAAAGTGAAATACATAGTCCCCTTTGTTTAAAAATTGGTACCTCATATATTGGCAGCAATTCAGATGTGCCATGTCATCATACTCTTTTCTGATTTTCACAAAAAACGGGACGTTTTCTGTCAGAGTCTCAAGCTTCCTCAAAGAATTTTGTGTTCGGATAGTTGGGTCTGTTTTCAACAGTGAAAGGATTTCAGCAAAGGATGACACTGCATCATCTTGATCTTTATTTTTATCAATAGTTGACCTTGTTACAATTCTGGTCCGTCTTCTAATTATCGTAGGTTTTCTTGTGAAACTTCTCTGCATGAAACTTATTTTATCTTTTAGATATTCGAAAAACTAATATTAGTAACAAAAATTAAGATTATTAGTAATGCAAATACTGGCGCAGGATTTATTTATGGGAGTTTGACAAAAATAATTATTTTTCAGCTAAGAGCTAATAAAAGAATGAGTCGAATCAAATAAGCCAGGAGAAAGCTTGATAAAGAAGCAGCCTATAGCTAAAATTGGCACTGGGGATTTATAGCTATTTTGGGAAGATAAGGAAAAATCACAGAAAAAACAGAAATTTGTATAGAAGAAGTTTTCAGAGAATTTTTATAAAGAAAATCAAGCTAATAAAATTTAATAAAGAAAATAGATAAATAATTAGAATTAAATTGTTTAAATCTTACTTAAGAATGCCCATATGGATCTGGCATAAATTATGATACCATAGGTTAGAAGTACAGGGAGAGCCAAAATGTAGACAAACGGGGCAACGCAGGCCATAATTGCGAACAGGAAAAATAGCATAAGAACTCTCCAGTATAGCGGGATCCCTTTACTTATGATATCTTTTTCGTCAAATTTGGTTGCCTCATATGCTGTTAAAAGAAGCAAATAGAGTGGTAAGAACATTACGATGATCCAGAAGCCGATCAGTTTTCCAATAACACCAAGCTTGTGCATTTTATTATTATAACTGATTATTAAAATCTCCAGAAAAATGTACACTTATAATTATAACTTTTATATTTCCTATGCCATCAGAATGGAATCTTATTCAATAATTTTTCAAGTTATTGAAAAAAAGGAGAAATCATATCAGCAATTACTGAGCTAGGCAATAAATGAATGAAATCTCTCAAAATTAAAATCTACTCAATCAGATTTGGAAAAATTGTATACAGAAGAAAACAGACAGAACGCCTTCTATCTCCCGACTTCCAAAAATGCCTTTATGAATGTTCGGCCTCATTTACTAAGCTTAACTGAAAGTAGAATAGTAGAACTCCGTGCTTATGATCACCCCCCAAAAGCGGCAGACATGATTGCTGAAGGAGTCTCAATTCTTTTTGGTCAGAAAAAAAATCATAAAGCACATTTAAAACAATCTCAAGCTAACCAGGTTTTTTAAAACCTTAATTGATTAAACTATGGCACATATTTCACAGGAACCCCTTGAGCAGATAAAGATAATAATTTCTGAATTTAAAGGAAATGCTAGGGAAAAAATTTTTCTGAAGCCACTTATGGTTTGTATAAAAGCTGCAATTTTTTGAGTTTTGTAATTTCTTTTCTAAGTTTAGGTCTGAACAAATAAGAAAAGACATAGATTATAGAAAAAGAAATCGCTGAAGTGGAGCAAAAATTAGTAAATACTCCAATTAGTAGAAATGAGCTCAGAGCAGTGATAGAAAAAATTAATCCTTGATTAGGTTACCACTCGAAATATAATTTTGTTTTAGTCTAGATTCATCATTAGAGCGACTTATGGTCTAATCTGTAATTTATGTCTTTCCTATAATTATTTTAAAATCGTAAGTATAACATAAATAATTTTGCTAATATTAAATTGTTTATTATATTAATGCTATTTAAACTTCTAAATCATTTATATTTTATAAACAAAGTTTGCAAATGGACGTTAAATTTATATACTCAACGCCAAATCCTCGGTCAGTTTCCACAAGAGCAAGCACACGTAGATCTCCACAATGAACCAGTTCTCCTATAACGAATTTATCACCTCCAGAAGGGATCCATTTTAAGGACAGCTTAGAAACCAGCAAAGAAATTACTCCTATGGATAGTGACAGCAAAAAAGCAGAAGCTGCTTCTGCTCATATCGCAACAGAAAGTGATTATGGAGAAATTGATAATTTCGAGAAAAAGATTAAAGAAGCATTTGATATAATTAAAAAAGCAAAAAATAATAGAAACAATGTGGAATATACACATAAAACATCAGAAGAAACTGTCATCTCCTATTTGGAACTTGTTGAAGGAGCTTCAAAGTCACTTGTAGAGCTTTCAGATCAGCTTAAAGACGTTGCTGATCACCTTACTAAACAAATGGATTTCCTGACTGATGAAATACAAACAGCAGTAGTCCCAGGCTACTATCGAAGAAACGCTTACCCTCATCCATGGCGTCTCAGAAAAAATCGCTCCCTTAATTAATTTTCCTGCTAATAAAAAATGGACATTGACTACATTATTTCTCTTTGTCAGCAGACAGTTCCCTCGTGGTCCAATGTTCAAAAGGAGTCATGCAGCTTAAAACGACTTGTAGGAAACTCTAACACGGTCTGCGTAGTAGAAACTTCTTTAGATGTTCATCCTCGTCGTATAATTTACAGAATATTCGGTAATGGTGAGACTTTAAATCTACAACAAACTTCAACAATCTTTAAAAGACTCTCAGAGACTGGAATCGCACCAAAAATTTATTTAGAACTTGAGCACGCAAGGCTTGAAGAATTTATAGATGGCAGCAGAAATTTACAAAGGGAAGAGTTCTATCAGCCCCACATAATTCAGCTGATTTCTCAGAAATTGAGGGAATTTCATGCCCAGGATTTGTGTGATATTGTGAATAATGAAGATTTAGTGCATATGAGCTTGGCTCGCAAGTGGAGGGATTTATCAATAATTAATTTACAGAAATATAGGAATAGTGAAAGAGAAGAGGATATTAAAGAAGCTATAGAGTCTTTGGATGAAAAATATTTAGATATGTATAGAAATATACAGCCGATCGGATCGCCTGAAGTATTTGCACATATGGACACAAGCACTTTAAATTTTTTATATGTAGAGGATGCTGATGCAATCGTGATTATTGATTATGATTACTCAGGATATTCATATAGAGGGTACGATATTGCATTGCTTTTAGAAGATGTTGTATATGATTATAACTACTCTGAGTGGCCTTATTACTTATATAACAGAGATATGGAAGCTTCTGATGAAATTATTGCTCAGTACGTAAAAGCATATGGAGAAGGCCCTGAAATGTTTATTGAAGTTAAAAAGTGTATGATATGTACTCACTATTTCTGGGCTGTCTGGGCGTTTTCTCTATACTACGAAAACAGCCCTACAATGGACATGCTGAAGTACGGCTTATCAAGGTTTCACGATTTTCTTTCTCGATACTCCGAATTTAATGAAGACCTATCGTCAGGTGCTCTTCAACTTACAATAGATAAATTATTTAGCCAAGTTTAATAATGGAAATAATTTTAGTTTATGCTGCAGCTTCTTCTTCTTCATCGAATTCTCCTTCTTCTTCAGCAGTTGCATCTTGGTATTGTTGGTATTCACTAACCAAATCATTCATGTTGCTTTCAGCTTCAGTGAATTCCATCTCGTCCATACCTTCTCCAGTGTACCAATGCAAGAAAGCTTTTCTTCTGAACATAGCAGTGAATTGTTCAGCGACTCTCTTGAACATTTCTTGGATTGCAGTTGAGTTTCCAATGAATGTTACAGCCATCTTAAGTCCTTTAGGTGGAATATCGCAGACTGAAGACTTCATGTTGTTAGGGATCCATTCAACGAAGTAGCTAGAGTTCTTATTTTGAACGTTCAGCATCTGTTCGTCGACTTCTTTGGTTGACATTCTTCCTCTGAAAATTGCAGCTGCAGTGAGGTATCTTCCATGTCTTGGGTCGCTGGCGCACATCATGTTCTTGGCATCAAACATTTGTTGGGTCAGTTCTGGGACTGTCAAAGCTCTATATTGTTGTGAGCCTCTTGAAGTCAAAGGTGCGAACCCAATCATAAAGAAGTGAAGTCTTGGGAATGGAATCAAGTTGACTGCAAGTTTTCTTAAATCAGCGTTTAATTGGCCAGGGAACCTGATTGAGCAGGTAACTCCAGACATTGAAGCGCTGACAAGGTGGTTAAGATCGCCGTAGGTTGGGGTAGTCAGTTTGAGGGTTCTGAAGCAAATGTCGTATAAGGCTTCGTTGTCAATTACCATGACTTCATCAGAGTTTTCGACCAATTGATGGACTGAGAGGGTAGCGTTATATGGTTCTACGACAGTGTCTGAGACTTTAGGGCTTGGGAAGACTGAGAAAGTTTCCATAATTCTGTCTGGGTATTCTTCTCTTACCTTGGAAATCAGTAAAGTTCCCATACCTGAGCCAGTGCCACCTCCTAAGGAGTGGGTGATTTGGAAACCTTGTAAACAATCGCAGCCTTCAGCTTCCTTTCTGACGACATCGAGAACTGTGTCAATCAGCTCAGCTCCTTCAGTGTAATGTCCTTTAGCCCAGTTGTTACCAGCTCCTGACTGACCGAACACAAAGTTGTCAGGTCTGAAAAGTTGGCCAAATGGGCCAGCTCTTACAGAATCCATGGTGCCTGGTTCTAAGTCCATAAGAATAGCTCTTGGGACATAACGTCCTCCAGTGGCTTCATTGTAGTAGACATTGATTCTTTCGAGTTGTAGGTCTGAGTCTCCATGATAAGTTCCAGTTGGGTCAATTCCATGCTCGTCTGAAATGACTTCCCAGAATTTGATAATTAAAATATGGGCGTCTTCGTCCAACTTCGAGACTGGTTTTTACCCCGAAGGAAAGGAGGGTTCAGATTTTGGAAAGGGCAAGCCCAGCAAGGTCTACAGGTAATACCTAGACCAATCGGGCAAACTGCCTAGCGTGAAACTGGCGTTACGTCCCAGAATCTTGACTTTCTCCTTTTGCCGATAGGCTACCAGAAATTCCATTTTCTGGAATTTCGGAATGCCAACTTCGTATTCCCTCAGCCTCAGGAGGCCGCACAAACCCGTAGCTTGCCCACTCAACACTGGAAGCAAGGAGGAGACCGGACGGAAGAAAGGTCTCAAAGCGGGTGAATCCCCCAGGGGATCCTCGGTGATTGCGTTAAAATTAAGGGCATGAGCCCGTCTATCTAATAAGATAATAAGACTTTCCCAGAATTTGGCTCCAATTTGGTTGCCGCATTGACCTCCTTGCACGTGAACGATTTCTCTCATATTTTTATAAACACAGAAATTCCATGGCAATAAATCGCTTAGTTTGAAATAAATTGAATGGCCAATAATTTATTTTAGAAAATTTTCCCGGTAGATGAGCTTTTAGATAGAAATAGGAGACTTGGAAAAATAAGTTCGTTTACAAATAAAAAATGGCTTAGAGAATGCCTCTGGGTATATAAACAGCTAGTAAAGTTTTAAATCTCGGGATATTTATTATAAAGATATAAGTAATAAATATTTTAGAATGATCAAAATGTAAAGATTATCATAAATGGTTTTTAATTTACAATTCCACTGGTCAATCAGATTTGCCATCAATATACTCGTATTAAATGCACCTTTTTGGCTTTTTTGGAAATATCCTTTTCTATTTTGGACATATAAACTAGAGGAAAGAAAGAACGAAAGACTAAAATCTTATGATCAGGTAAGAATGAAGCCATGGAACGAAATCCAAGTCATGACTCATGAAGCAGAATTAGTCAGAGAAATGATCGAAAAAGAAGGACACCCAATGCCACTTTATGATAGAATTTTATCTGATGAAGAACTTAAAAAGCATGGATTGCATTCCATTGGAAGAAATTAACTAACTCCCCACCATCCTTGATCGAACGGCTCGCCATCGTTCGATCAAGGATGGGGGTTAAAAAACATTTTTTTTGGGAAAAAAATTTTATATATAAAATAAAATATATATATATATATATATATATATTTTTTTATTTACTTTTAAATAAGAGGGTAAAGAGTATTTAAATAATTATTTTTACAGCAAAAATTTGAATTTATTTCATAAAATACCAATATTTAATATTTTGATTTATTAGTCACCCCTTTAAACTTTATAAATTTTAATTTGTTCCTTATTGAATTAAATTTTTTTTTCTAAATTTTTAAAGAGTCTCTATTTTTTAGATTATTGAGTTTTTTAAGCCTAGGTTGATGACTAAATCACTTCGAATGGTTGATTTCGTAGTTTTTGTCGTCTCAAAGTCTCTGAAAACAACTTCATTATGTACATCTTCCCAAGCTTCTGATAACTAATATATTTTTATATATATATAAAATTTGCATGATATGAAAATCGTTCGATCAAGGATGGGGGGAGTAAGAAAATATTTCTTGGCAATTTTCTATATAATTAGCGATCTAATCTTAATACTAAAGACTCTAACTGCTGTTTCTCTTCAGCCACTTGGATTATTTCTACAAACAGCCTATCAATCATTTGCCTGAAGTCCCCAACAGGCCTTGCTATTTGTGTTTGATTAATATTTTGACCCTCAGGCATCTCTAAAGTATAGCTAAACCTGAAATTATTGGCAGATTTGAAATATTCGCTGACTCTTTTTTCTGCGTCCTCATCTTCTACAGGGTTAGGCTGTGCTCCCAAATCTAAAAACTTATTTGATGTTTCTTCAGCAATTTTTGAGCATAATAAACCAATTTGCTGCTCGATTTCTTGTGCAGATTTTTTGGGCTTATTTCTTTGTGATTGGCTGTTTTTTGAGTCATTAAGAACTTTCCTGTCACTTGGCTTCATGAACTCTTGAAAAATTGGTGAAGAATAAATGCTTGGGTTTTTGACTAATTCTTGGAAGTAGCGTTGAAGGTCATTCCTTCTCTGCTCAAGAAAATTAGAGTTTTTATTTCCAAAAACCTTTTTGCCTGGAAATTGAGCATCTTTTGAGAATTTTTTCAGTGATTCTGAGATTTTTCGGAGCACTGAGTATCTTCGCTTGAAATTCCAAGACTCTCCTGTTTGGGGGTCAACGACTAAGAAAATATAGTCTACATAGTCGCTTTGTTTATCAAATTCAGGAATTGAGATTGAGTATGGCATTGAAAAATTAGCAAATAATTATTATTTTTAGAATTATTATATCAATTTGCAAAATCTTTGTAAAGTTGCCAGCCGGCTGAATTCTTTTGAAATACTTGGAATGTAAAAGCAAAAATATATAAGAAGAAAAAAATTACTTACCCTACCCTACTAGCAATAGTTAAAGCAGCACCAAAGCAAACGCTAACACCACCAACACCAAAAGCAGCACCAAAAGCAAACGCTAGCACCAACACCAACACCAAACGCCAACACCCAAAAAAAAAGCAGGAGCAAAAAGAACGACACACCTACGTTTTCAGGTCTTTTCAAATTCTGTGGGGTGACCCACAACTCCCCAATCATCTGAGCTTTCACCACTCCCACAACTCCCCGGGGCATCGACCCCAAAAGATCACCATCCCCCAAAAGGGCCACCACTGGCAGTTAAAATATATAAGGATTGAGAATACAGCATAAATTGCTGTGAGAAATGTTAATAACTGAAAGTTTTCTTTTATGAGATTTGTTGAGTGGCTAGTTGCGATATCGATGATATTATAATTTACTTTGTTTAAAGTGTCTCTTATTGCGTCAATATTTGCTAATATAGCTGAAAATTTGGTTAGATTGCGGCTTGCATCAAATAAAGAAATGCTTTCAAAAAGTTGTTCATCTAGACATGATGAAGCTCCATAATTTGCATAGTCTGGGCTGTCCTCAAGCTTCTCAAATGCCATTATTTGTAATTCCTTTGACATAAACTTTTGCATTTCTTTACTCCTTTAGTAGGATACATCAATATGGCGGAGGCGACCACCCCTCTTGACGCAATTTCCTCAAAGCCTGCAGGGAAAATCCAGATGGAGGAAGCAAGTCGAGATACAGGTATTGCATCCTTAATGTATTCCGGCAGAGGTTTTCCTCGTCCCACAGGGTATGATACCTGGGATATGGGGTTTTTCCTCCTGGCATGGAGTTGGAAAAGGCACAATCTGCCATTGTCCCCAAGATTAGGTATGATCCCTACTCGAATTAGGGACCCTGAAGACAGCAGGTGCCTAGCGTGAAATTGGGAGTTACGTCCCAGGCTCCCAGCTGATAGCGTACGGACGCCCCGGGAGAAAGTCAGGTTGACGATGCCTAAGCAAGGAGACGGTGTCAGTCGGGGCTCTTTATTGTAATGAAGAACTTGTAAAGGTGAAAATCCTCGGCCGTCTTTAAGCAAGGCTACTAATCTAATCTAATCTACTCCTTAGTGGGAGTTTTAAGTCTTTATAAGAATTTAGCAATGAAAAATATTCATCATATGGTGCCGAAAAAATATAATTTTTGCTTACTTAACTCCCCTTTAAATTTGAACAAATAGTCCTGTTCCAATTAAAGGTGGGTTAATAAAATTTTTCTAAAAATTTTTAAAATCTTATTACATAATTTAATTTATTTTATTTTCATGAAAAAATAATTAAAAAAGCATCGGTTCAGTGTGAGAATTGTTTTAATAGCATTCTACTTGCAGTTTTTCCAATAAAACAAGCCAAAATTAATTTTATAAAAATTAGTATTTTCATCTTTTTTTGATAATCTTTGAGAAATATAAATTGATCACAATACTTTGAATTTTAATTTATTTTATAAAGAATTAAATAAAAAATTATTAATCGATAAAGTGTGAAAACTGTTTAAATAGCATTATACTTGCATTCTACCTATTAAATTAGGTCAAAAAATTTTTATACTTTCAACATTAAAATTTTCCTTTGAAAAAAATTTGTTCCACATTAAAGGGGGTTAAAGTACAAATGCAAATTTCACAGATTTTTTGTTCCTATTTAAAGGGGGGAGTTAGCCTTGATGAAAGACTTATGGGTGTATCTTCAAATGCATAAACTCTAGTTCAAAATGCAATAATCCTTCCATACAATTGTCTTTTCATCATTAAAGCTATAAAGCTAGGACGATTCATCAAATAATCTTCTCCACGCTTATAAGCATAAAAATAAAAAATGAAATAAAAGGCAAAAGTTAGTAGAAAATAAACGAAAATTTTCAAAAATATTCTTGCATAATCATTTGTAAATCATCTTTTTATAGGCATTGATCGAGCTAAATTGCTACTTGTTATATAATCATAGCCATGAATTTCAGTCAGCCGCGTTATTAATTTATTTTGAAGCCCTCCATATGATTCCCTAATTTTTTGTGAAATTACGTCATAAAATTTCTGTAATGTTCTGCAAACTGTACATAAAATATAAAAAATTATACAAAAGCAAATACAAAGCATTATATTTGCTATTATAATCAGCAATAATATTAAATCAGTTAGCTCTCCTGCTCGATATTTCTCGCACGATGCCAAAATATCCATCAAATGATCATACTGTTTTGCTAATACCCCAATGCTGTTTAGCATCAAAAAATTTAAATCATCAACATAAGACTCGTTATTTAAAAATGCCTTTACAAAATTTCCAGCAATATTCTCGTATCCCTGCATTATATCAATTAAATTTTTTTTAGTCATTTTATATGCCCCTATCGTCTCTCACATAGGTATTTCATTTTTCACATAAAATGAAAAGCTAGGGCAATAATTCCAAGTTGAAAGCTCCCCTAGCATTTCTTGGGTCATATTTTGTAAAGAATCTATAAAAATGCTCATTTTAGCTGCTCCTTTACTAATGGAGTTGCTTGATGCTTTTGAGAAGGCATAAATATCCATTTTCATTGCATTGTTGGAGATGCCTATCATTGTGTCTAAAATCAGCCCTGTTTCTTTTAAAGAATTTATATTGTTAGCTTTGTTCGTTTCTGATAAAGTGAAGCCAAGGATAATCCCGTTAGTTGTGATGATAGTGATTATGGAAAAAAATAAAATTCATTTAAAAATTCTGAACTGCCGGCGTATTTTTGATAGATAAATTTCCCATCATAAATGGTCTTTAATAAATTTAGATAGATCTTGGGAGTTTGTCATGTCAATAGAAGTATTTTTAATGTCTTGCTCATTATCTTCTCCTGGGTAATGGACTTGGTTTGATTTTGTAAGCAATTTTAATTTTTTGATAGGAACTTCTTTTTTTACTATTTTTTGCTTAATTTCGTTATTGCTCACATTGCCCACATTTGTTGTAGTAAGCTCGATGTCTGGAATGGGAGAGTGAGCTACTTCCTCTTGCAAATTATCATCTATTGGATTCAAGTCTTCTAAATGTGACCGTAAATTTGTTAATACTGCATTTTTGCTTATATCATCGTGAGTAATTGCCAAAATATATAAAGATTTACTAAATAATGGTTTTAAAATAAATTGGCATAAAATATAGCCACCAGAGGTGGATAATTTTACAAAATCATTATCAGAAAAAAATTTTATTTCAGGGCATGGCAAATTCTTTGTGCTTACTTTTTTGAAAACACTGCTTCTCCCTATTTGTATTTTAAAGTCAAAAATTGATTTATTTATCAAGAGATCTTCTGATAAACAAAGCATAAGTGGGAAATACTGAGAAAACCCAATAATTCTTCCATTTTCATTAAGGAGACATATTGGACGATTATCATAACTCTCTCTAAATAAAACAAGAAAAAATGGATATTTGTCAAAGGAAGTGCATTTTATTGAAAAAGCGACTTCTACTAGAAACCCAGACTTCATTACAAAAATTGCATCATTTGAATGGTCTATTTCCCCTGTTGTTGAAGAATGTAAAAAATCTTTTAACAGTTTTTTATGGTTAATATTATACGGAGAAGGAATATAGTCTGTTATGTCAGAGCCAATAATATTAAAAGTTGTATCTCTTAAAATTTTAGCAGCATGATTATTAGCAAATAGTACAGTCCCAACATTATTTTTGCACCCACTAACAATCATTATCCCACTACTTTCTTCAAAATAGTTCAATTTTTCTACATTTTTTGCGATAGCATTTATATTGTTTTCATATCTATTTTTTTGTAGCGTCAATTCTTCTGATTCCATTAGATTATTTATGTCATCGATATTTTTAAAAAATAATCTATACTATTAAAGAGAATATTTGGTAGTTGGCGCTTAGCATATAAATTATTTTTAGCAAGATGTGATAATAATTATACACAAAAATAAAATATCCAGTTTAAATATTATATGAGCTTCTGAACTTCTTGGAAAGCTAGAAATTATTTCTTTATAATCTTTTTTCAAATAGTTAAATTTTTTATTCATTTTGACTATTGATGGAAAAATTTTTTGTACAGGCAAATGATCAATATAAATAAGATTAATCACATCAATTAAATCCAAACAAAATTTTTTGTCTGTTTTCTTCCAATTTTCTAGCTTTTCGAGGCACATAAGAAATTGTGTATCTTCACAGTTTTGGCATAACTCTTGATGCAGTTGCTTCCTTAAGCAAAATTCTAAAAACTCTTCTTCAAAATTTGGCTTTTTTCAAGGATACCCTGATCCTATTTTAATTGATGCTAATCTTGGATTTTTTAAAGAATTTAGACAAAAGTCAGCTTCTCATATTGTTACAAGTCTTGATATATTTAATTTATTATTGAAATAGGCTGAATCAAATATTTCAAGGATTTCCTGTGGTTGATTTTCCTTATACAAAAGACTTTGTCTCATAGCTCTTTCAAATTCATAGACATCTATATATTTTTTGATTGAATTTAGTTTCACTAATTTGCTATATCTATATTTAAAAATCATATGCAAAAATCATGATAAAATTGGGTTTAGGAATAAAAAAAGCACAAATCCTGTGGAAGAATTCCCTTGAATTTCACCAATAAAAAATGCTATTGAATTTATGACTGCAATTAGCATGCTGCAAGCTTCAAAAAAGTTTGATTCAGGAGTGAAATAAGGAATATAATAAAGATTCAAAAGACAAATTATAAACGCAAAAGTAGAAATAATAATCTTCTTATATGTAAGATGTGATGAATCGCATAGCATACTATAAATCAATATGATAGTAATTCCAAAAAATTTAATTTTATCTGGATTTGAGTGTGATTTTGCATATATAGTATAAGAAGAATGGCTATGACGAAATTCGTAGATAAATATTTCATGCATATAATAGAAAATTAAAAGCAAGATTGTAGTGATAATGAAAACAGGGACCATATCTAGTAAAGAGCTATTTAAAACTTTATTTTGGTATTCAGCCATACTTATGTTTTGATAAAATATCTCACCTGCTTACTTAATAATTCGGTGTTTAAGGTATCTAGTGCCGCAGCCCCAAAAAGGGCTTTAGCTAAACTAGCGACGTCACCGAGCCATCTTGGATTAACCTGGTCAGCCCAGGCCCAAGCCTTCTATCAAAGCTTCGCCGCCAGTCTTCGCCGCACGTCTCATCCGGCACGTTGCCGATGCCTTGCCCTGACTCAGCTCCTGCGCGTGTTCCGCCTAAGGGTCATCTTCCCGTGGAGATGTGCTGAGGGGTAAAACTCTGAGCCTCTTGAATGCGCTGAGGAGCGTTCCTCTGGCTATCCCCAGAGTTAAACGGTTGTTGCTGTGCAGAAGTTCTCGAGAGAAAACCCAACCCCATAAATAAAATTCCATGAGGGAGAGAAAATTAGCAAAGCTAATTTCTCTCGAGCCGAATGCCATTTAATTTTTTTTATAAAATATCAAATATTTTATAGCTATCATTAATGAATATAGCATTGGTATTAGACCGATTCCAAATATTAATAATCTTCATCAATTTTCTAGTTTTAATAGTATCAAAGAAATCCTTTTGTTTCTAATTGTTAATAAATATATTGCGATTAATAAAATAAAATAGATTCAAACTATAAATACTGTAAAGCACAAAAAGTATTCGAGGAGTCCTAGTTCAGAAAAAATATTATCGATTCTAGCATAGCCTAAGATATTTCAAAAAGAATCAATTGAGTTTCAACGGTTAAAAGACCATTGATTTCACCCTATACTTGATAGTTGTAAAGCAAAAATTACTTTAAAGAAAGCTAGCTTAATCATTGGTATCAAAAAAGAAATTTTTTGTACTTCATGTTTGAGATTATGTAGATTTAAAAGAAAAGAAAGCAAACCACTCCTAAATGAGCTAGTTTTAAAGTTTCGGGAACTTATATGACCAATCCCTCAAGATATATTGAAATTTTCATCTTCTTTTGGCATATAATTTTTGTTGTGGTTGAATACTTCTGTTGCAATTGCCATTAATTCAATTCACTATATTTAAATGTATATAATCTCTTATTAAAAATAGCCTTATTATAATAATAAGATTGTAATAGCTCAATCAAATTTGAGATAATTTTTAAATTTTTACCTGCTGAATAAAAATTGTTATTCATTAAACACATTTAGTGATTTTTATCACTAATATAAATTTCTTAATTTGGGATTTTTAAATTTATAATTTTAATATAACTATTTTTTGATGATTATTAATTAATATATGAGTGATAGTAATTTTATTTATTAAAGTTAATTTTTTACTACATAATTTAATAAATTTTTCATTAATATTAACCAAATATGTTGTTAAATTAGCTTGCAAAATCTTTTTAAAGTTTCTAGCCTTACGAATTCATGTGATATACTTGGGAGATAAAATCCAATGTATATAACAGCTGCAAAAACAGCATATATAATAGTAAGTTGTGTTAATAATTCAAAATTTTGAAGTATAAGGTCTGTGGAATGTCTTGTTGCTATATCTATAATATTATAATTAATTGTGTTCAAGGTATCTCTTATTATATCAATTGTTTTTAATACTGACGAAAATTTTGCTAACTTCCCCCTTTAAATTGAGACAAAAACATTGGCTAAATTTCCATTTTTTGGATAAATATTCCATTAAAATTGAAAACAAAATTTTTGTTCTAATTTAAAAAAGGGAGGATTAGATTTCATTTGTCTTCAAAAATATATGTGCTCTGAAAAAATTGTTCATCTTGGCATGAAGAAATTCCATATTTTGCATATAAAGAGGTCGCATTTGAACTCTCAAAAATCATCTCTCTAAGTTCTGGAGATATGAATTTTTGGATTTTTTTTTCTCATAAAGGGAGTTTTAATGATTTTTGATAATAATCTAAAAGATCAAAATATTCTTGAGAAGTATTAGCAAAGAAATATGTCATGTTTAACCGATGATAAAGACCGATTGGGGTATTTTGAAATACATAGACTCTTGCTCAGAATGCAAGAACTCTCCCAAAATATTGCCGCTTGATAAATAGTGCAATAAAATCTGGTCGAGAAAGCAAGTAATCTTCACCTTTTTTATAAGCATAAAAATAAAAAATCATATAAAATGCAAAAGTCAGCACGAAGTAATCTTTTTATAATAATCATTTATAAAATAAAATCTATTTTTCTGTTTTATAAAATTAATTCAAAATGATATAAATAGAAATTTTCAGCAGCATTCTTATATAATCACTTTGGGATCATTTTTTAACTGGAAGAGTATTTTGAACATTATTTATATTTGAATAATCAAATCCGTGTATATCTGAAAGTCTGTTGATTAGCTTATTTTGAATATCTTTATAAGAATGCTTTATTTTTTTATAAATCACACTATAAAAACTTTGCAAAGTATGGCAAATGTCAATAATAATATATGTAATAATGCATGCACAGATGAAAAGAACAGTAATTGCAATTGCTATAAGTGAAGAAATAGTCATAGTCAATTTATTGGTTCTATAAGTTTCACATGATGATAAAATGTCCATTAAACTACTTGACCGTTCAGCTATTATGCCAATACTATTTAATACCAAATAATTATAATCTTTTATATATGATTCATTTTTTACAAATTTTTCAAGAAAATCTCCAGCAGCATGCTCATAGCCTTGGCAAATATCGACCAAATTTTTTAGGACAATTTTATAATCTCCGTCAGTTTCTCACATAGGAATTTCATTATCAATATAAAAAGAAAATGAAGGGCAATAGTTTCAAGATGGGAGATCATTTAGCATTTCCTTTGTCATTGATTTTAATTGTTCAATAAAAGACGTTATCCTCATTATTCCTTGGCTTACTGTTAAAGCTGTAGCATTTGTATAGTCAGATATATCCATTTTTACTGCATGCCCAGAGATTGCCAGCATTGTGTCAATGATGAGCCCAGTTTCTTTTAAAGAGCTGATATTTTTAGTTTTGTCTAGCTCAGTTAATACAAATCCCAAAATAATGGCATTGGTTACAACTATAGTAATTATTGAAAACAATAGTACTCATTTATATATTAAAAATTGCTTTTTGATTTTTGTGAGATATTTGTCCCATCAAAAATCATCTTTCATAAGTTTAGGCAATATAGAAGATTGATCTGGAGTCACTGAATCGTCTTTGCTTTGCTGACTATCGACTCCTGGAATATGGATGTTATTAGACTGAGTCTTATGTCTTAATTATTTATAAACGTTTAACGTCCACTACGGGATAGCCGTTTGCAGAGCTGCCACCATATTTGTCCACTTGTCGGGCCCATGGACCTCTGGATCGATCCACTTTGTTTCGCCAGGGCACGAGACAAATACAGCGTTCAGCTTCGGCGGGTTGCGTTGCCTCGCTCTTTCTTGACTCAGCTCCTGCGTGTGTTCCGTCTAAGGGTCACCTTCCTCGGTGTGCTGAGAGGTAAAGCTTCAAGCCTCTTGACCTACTTGGAGCAGTGCCTCGGCTTATCTGCCAGAGTTAAACTGCTGTTGCTGTGCAGAAGTTCTCAGAAGAAAGCCTAACCCCATAAATAAAATTCAATGAGGGAGAGAAAATTAGTGGAGCTAATTTCGCTCGAACCGAATGCATTTTATTTTATGTTATTAGACTGAGTCAATAATTTTAATTTTTTTTTGGATAAGCTGGCTCCATTTATTACAGCTACATTAGTGCAATTTTCAGTTCTTTCAGTTTTAAAAGTTGGGCAATCGTCTGTAGTCGCTAACTCTGCTTTTTTAGCTACATCTTTTAAGTGGGCTCGCAGATTATTTAAAGCAGCATTTTGGCTAATTTCGTCATGAGTTATAGCTAGTAGATTCATATTTTTTTTAGAAATCTTGGTAGAAGAGTATTGGCAGAGAATGTAACTAACAGGATTGCATAATCTGATAAAGTCGCCAGTACGGAAATTATCTATCCCAGATTTAGAAATATCTCTTATATTATTTACTCCCCCCTTTTAAATTGGAACAAAAGATTAGTAAAATTCCATTTTTTGGAACTTTAAACTTCTTTAAATTGGAACAGATTTTTATTTCAGTAGTAAAATTTTATAGGTAAAAATATTATGGAAAATGTTTATAGATTTATTTTTTTAATTAATTCTTCATAAAAATAAATAAATTCTATGTATTGTGCTCAATCTATATTTTTTATTTTTTTTCTAGAAAAAAAATTTATTTTAAATATAAAAAATTAACCCTTTAAATTGGAACAATTTAAAGGGAGGAGGAGTTAGATTAAATTGATATTTTTCTTACTAAAATAATTATTTATCCCAATATTAATTCAGTTTCTAACCTATGCTTAAATTAAATTAATTCATATAGTATAATATGCATTTAGATCTCGGAAAAAGCCTGATCTTCCAACTTGTAATTTAAAATCAAAAATAGATTTATTCAATAAAGATTCAGTTGATAAATATAGCATTATTGGAAAATGTTCATTTAAGCCAACAATTTTACCCTCATCATCCAATAAACATATAGGACGGTTATTATTTATTTCTCTAAATAGCAGAAGTAAAAGTGGATACTTATCAAATGACGCGCATTTTACTGTAAAAGTGATTTCAACCAGTAGTCCATTTTTTCTTTTTAGGATTCCTTCCATAGAATGCTCTATATCAGCAGTCTTACAACTCCTTAAAAATTTGTCAACAGAAGCTTTATGCTCAATGCTAAATGGATAAGGTATATAATCATCTATATTAGAATCCAAAATCCCTATAACAGTTTCTCTTATTCTAACTTTTTAAATTGAACAAATATTTAATTAACCCCTTTAAATTAAAGCAAAGATTTTTTATAGGTAAAAATATTAATTTTTATATAAATAGTTTTAACCAAATTAATAGAGGAAATGTAAGTAAACAGTTGACACTATGAAAGATTAAATTTTAAACTAAATCTCTATTAAAATTCAAAAATATTTCATTCAATTTATATTTTTCAATTTTTAACAATTTTATATTTAAAATTAATCTCCATTCAAATTGCAACAGGATTTTTATTTCAATTTAAAGGATGGAGAGTTAATATTTTTGAAGCATGATGATTTGCAAACAAAATAGTGCCAGGGTTGTTTTTGCAGCCGCTTGCAATAATTATACCGCTGCTTTCTTCGAAATAGTTCAGCTTTTCTGCACTTTTTTCAATGGCATGCATATTACCTTCATATCTACTTTTATGGGCTGTTAATTCCTCTGATTCCATTAAATTTGTTATATCATTGATATTTTTATAAAACAGTGAGTGTGCTTCAGAATTTCTAGGAAAACTTAAGACGATTTCATTATAATCTTTCCTCAGGGTGCAGAATCTTTCATTCAGCCTCTTAATGGAGCTGAAAATAGAAGGGATTTCATAATGTTGCATATATTCTGTTTTTACTATATCAAAAATATTTTATTGTAGAGCTGTCGATAAAGTGCCTTTTTTCTGTGTAAATTTATTCTATTAAATTCCTTCTAGATATTTAATTAATTTGAAAAATGATAAATCAAATTGACTACATTGATTAGATTTATGCAAAATTTTTTATCTTAATCTTAATTAGTCTATTACGTCTAATGTTCACTACTGAGTTGGCTGGCCTCGAACTACTGTTGCCTTCGTTTAGGGTTTACATTTCCTCGCTAAGAAGTAAATTGTAGAGACGCCCTAAAATCATCATTGGAAAGACGCTTTAACGGGCTGCCTTGACTTTAATTGGCTTTGTATAGCTTGGCTGTCTTCGGCTAAATATCGGGATTATAGGAAAGCCTCTATACCTTCCATTTCCCTCATTTTTACTCGTACTTTGCTTCTATCTATACATCGGGATAGACTTCACTGTTTAAACAAAAAATCTAATGCTATGCAGAAAGAACTATTTAGCGAGGGCTAAATGATCTTGATAGAATGCTATATTCGACACCCAATTTTTTTATCAGTTTTCTTTCAATCTCTTAGTTTTTCTAGACACATAAGGAATTGAATATCTTCGCAGCTCTTACAAAGCTGCTCAAATAATTGTTTTCTTAAAAAATACTCCAAAAATTCTTCTGAAAAATTAGGCTTTTTTCATGGATACCAAGCTCCAATTTTAATAGATGCCAGTCTCGGGCTATGAAGTACATTTAGGCAATAGTCTGCTTCCCAAATAGCAATCATTCTTGAGACATTTAATTTTTCGTTGCAGTATGATAAATCGAATGTTTCCAGGACCTCTTGCTTTGCTGCTTTGTCAAAAAGGTCATTTCTCATGGCTCTTTCGAATTCATATATATCTAGATATCGTTTAATTAGACTGTGCTTTTTTATATGTGAATATCTGTGCTTCATAATAATTCTCAAAAACCATAAAAAAATAGGGCCTAAAAAAATAAATAGCAAAATGCCAGTGATTGGGTTATTTTGCTCTTCGCTAATTATATAGGCAAAAGATCCTATTCCAATAAATAGTGTACTTGATGCTTCTAAATAATTTATAGATGAGTTATAGTAACTCCCTCCTCGATGAGCGAGCAAAAAAAATTTTGTTCGCTCTTAGGGGGGTTAATTTTTTATATATATAAATTTTATAGTAATTTTTTTTCTAATTTAAAAACAATTCGTAAAAATTGGAAAGCAAATTTTTATTTAATCTAATAAATTTATGCTTTAAAATGCAATTTATTTAAAATAAAACTGAATCAGCTAGATTTTTCATTATAATAATAACCACTATATATCCAAATTTTATCATAAAAATTTTTTTGTTAACTCATGGAGATAGGTTTTTAGCAAAAAAAGGGATTTTTTTCAATGGTTTTGCTCTATCACGGAGGGATGGGGAGTAAGGAACATAATAAACATATCCAGCAGTAATTATGAAAGATACAAAGCATATAGCTACACGAATATAAACTAAATTTGAGGAGTCACATAGCATACTTGTGATAAAAATCAAATTAATCCCAATTAGTTTTAGCTTTTCCGCGTTTGAGTGTGATCTTGATAGCTTTAATATCTTAAGTAAAGCTACATTTGATTAAACTTGGCACTTATCTTCACTTGCTTGTTGGGCTACCTGCTCAACCTCTCACAGAGTTAAACTTTTCTTACTGAGGCTCATGTATAAATGAGAATGAAGTAAGATGGGCTATCATGCCACGCCAATGTAGGCTACCTTTCAGAAAGTTCGAAAACCGAAATTTTTGCTTGTATACGAAAACTTGGAGCTGAAGACGCGATGCCTGATATTGCGCTAGGGAATTAATCGAATAGTATTGTGGTATCCAGGCTTTGCTGGGTTTTCTCTTCCCACTTCATTTCCTAACTTCCCACGAGGAAAGAGACCGATCTGGATGCTAGCTTGGGTTGATCTGCCTTGCCAATTTGGGTAAAGCGAGGCCAGATTAGCATTATTATCTTTTCCCTTCCTCAAGATGCCCGGTGTTGTCTGAGAAAAAGGGCTGCTTCCCAACAATTTTAATGCATATGTGATCTTGATAATCAGTTGTATTTAGAATAGCTATGCCTATCTTCATATATAAAAATTTCATGGGTATATATAAATAAAAATAATAAAATAACAGTTATTATGAATGGTATGATAAAATCCATTAAATTTTTATCCAGCATTTTATCTTGATATTCTGGCATTTCTTGATTAGGATAAATTAGCAGATATTTTATTGTTGTAACCATTGAGTAGGTCATAGGGATATAACCTATACTAAAAATTAGATTTCTCCACAGTTTTTCCAATTGCAATATAAATAAAAATATTTTTTTACTTGTTTTTGATAATAAGTGCAATATAGCTAATAGCACAAAATACACCCAAATTATAGATATTGTAAGATATAAAAACGTGCTAAAAATGCCCAAATCAGAAAATATTGCATCAATTCTTGCATAGCCCAAAATAATTCAAAAGATTTCAATTGATTTTCAATCATAAGAAGATTTTTGGTTTCACGCAAGACTTGACAACTGCAGTGAAAAAATAATTTTGCTTGACACTATTTTTATTAAATATATTAAGGATGATTTTTTCTCTGATTCTTTTTCTCTGCTTCTTAGATTATAAAGAAAGTTGATAAAAATACTCCTATATGATCTACTTTTGTAATTATTATAGGTTAAGTATCCAAGGCTTCATGAAATTTCAATATCTTCTCCTTCATTTGACACAAATAAAATGGTGACTTATCCATCCCGTCCTTCTCCCATGCTTTCGGGGATTTTTGGGTTTAAGAGGGACGGGGCCTGGAAATTTTGTCCGGGGGTGAGTTTTTATCCTCGAACGACAGGGTTTTTTACCCCAACACAGAGACAAATCGACCAAAGTTTATACAGCAACTCCACACTTCTGGATGCGAAGGATAATGGAGGCCAGGGGAGGATTCGGGCCTCCTACACCTCCGAGTAGAAGGTGCCAAGGCTAGAAGTTTGTCTAAGGAAATGCCTGGATGCGTCTTACCAAGGGATGGTGACGTCATCATTTTTTGATGACAATGAAAGAAAAGGGTGTAAGTGCAACCAGATGATTAGGGCGGGAAGCCTGAAGTCGATGAAGACGGAGAGGGGCTAAAATAAACTCGAAGATCATACTCCTTTTAATCTATTCTATCTAATCTCCTTCATTTGAGGTGAATTGATGAACTTTCTTTTGTAGTTCGGAAGCTAAACTCATATGTTTTGATTACAAATATTATTGGATTTTAGTTATTAGATAAATAAGATGAAAAATTTCTTTGAGTTATGTGCTTAATATTTTTTAAATTCTATGAGTTGATCCAGATTTCTTTTAAAAAAATTTATACCATTAATTTTGACAAATTATAGAGCACTGGAAATTGCATAATTTTTTATTTATAGAAGTGGCTAATTAATCCTATGCTGCTATTCTCACCATATGCTATTATTATTATCCCACGGATTAAAATCCTTCAAATATTTGAAAACAATTTAATTTAAATTATCTAAAAATATTTTAATTGCTTGAGGAGGGCACTTATATTAAAAATTAATTTTCATAATTTGCTGTTGATTTTTAAGAAGATAGATAGTATAATTCCTAATTAATCTGAAATTTATTGTATAAAATCTATGAAATAAAAAAGTGATTATTATGAAGCTCATATAAAAATTGGCATATTTGGATAAATTCTAAAAGATATTTGCTTAATATAAGTCTATTGAATATGCTGATCATTTTTAATTCGAATGAATGTATATTTTTTTAAAGTAAATATAGCTTTTGGCCCAAATATTTCGCCTCTTAAATTAGAAAAATTCTTTAAACTATAAGCTCCCAAAAATAAATATTTGTTTATTAATTCCTACCCTTTTAATTTATTTTAATTTACTCTTCTTTATTGCCAGCTGCTATTAAGGCTCTTTCATTTTCTTCTGAAAGACACCATCATGAATTATCTCCAGGCCTAATATCCTTTGCTCTTTCAATTACAGAATAAAATGTATCCTGCTCATTAGACGTAATTTCTTTTTCAGCTCGAATTTTTGATTTTTGCATTATTTTTAAGAATTTGACTTCATCATCACTTAAATCTGGGTGCCAAAAATCAATAATTAAATTTACTCTTGTTGTTGTCCCTTCATGCCAAGCTTCGTGATCAAAAGAATCATCAAAAACAGCAACTTTTCCTTCTTCAAAAGTCCTTGTTTCTTCTGCAGCTCTCAATCTGGTGCCAGATAAATCAACTATAGGCAAATGCAGCCTTAATTTTTTATTAGTAGGTCCATGGTGGGATAAAACATGAGTTCCTGGGTTTAAAGCAGAAAAAAAAGCATGCTCATAATGCCTTGGAACATAAGTGTTAATAACTCTGACAGTTTCTGGACATTTGGCAAGATTTTCATCAAAACTCATACCGTGGAGGTATAAATAAAACACATTCCAGTCTCCAGATGTGTGGCTTTGGGTGCCAACATCTTGAGATGGAATGCCTACAGCCCAAGAAGGGCCTCGATATGGCTGAAATCCTCCTTTATTATATAAAGCTAACAGCTCAGATTTGATTACCTCATAATTGGCTTCTATATCCCGAATCCATGGAAATTCATTTGCATCCCACCATGGATGTGCACGTAAGCCTGGTATGATTTCAGGGCATCCTCTTTGCATTGGTGCGATAGGAGGTATTCTTTTATTGTTTAGCTTTGCCAGCATCCATTCTCTTATATGATTGACACTTAAGTCATCAGGATTTGAAATTTTTTCCTTTATGAACTTCATAGCTCCAGCTCTTTGGAGTGCATTTAAATGAAATTCATCAAAAAATTTTTGGATTTTTTCCATTAGAACGGTTTCTGACATAGGAGAAGTTTCCTCCATCGTTTATTATATCTTTTTCATTTATATGATTAAAATTAATTACTAGTATTATTAATATTATATTTAATTTTTATTACTATATATTTCTTTTTGGAATAGACCATTAATAAAGATATGCACTTTATTAGAGTTTTCTATTGGAAATTTTATAAAATTAGAAAAATGGTGAAACAAATAATTTTGTTTACAGTTTTGATTAGTGGCGTTTTTAGTGGGTATGTAAATGTAATGAATGATACTTTTCAAGATATGAGCAACTGGATTGAAAATGTCATGGCTGGAGCAGACTCAGGAAATAATGACTGGGAATACTACACAGACACCCCTACAAATGTGTTTATTACAAAAATAAACGGACAAAATGCCTTAGTTCTTAGAGCTGTAGCTCAGAATTATAAAGGCTATAATTATACCTCTGGAAAAGTAAACTCTGTAAGGCCATGGGGTCCATATGGATTTTTCAACGTGAAAGCTGTCGTTCCTAAAGGAAGCGCATTATGGCCTGCTATTTTTATGATGCCTCCAAATGCTCAGTCTGTATATGGTGGCTGGGCTGCTTGTGGAGAAATTGATATAATGGAGACAATTTGTTCTAACAGCTCAGGATATTCTACTTTACATTTTGGTGGAGTATGGCCGAATAATGTGCAATATCCTGTATTTCCAAGCAATGCTTATCCTTTTGAGGTAACTTGGAACCAGCCTCATTGGTATGGCGTTGAATGGCAGCAAACTTATATGAACATTTGGCTTGACGCTCAAATGATAAATGGATCTATACAAGGAGGAAAATTAATAAACCACATAAACTCTTCACAGTGGTATTCATTGAATAGCAATGGACAAAAATACCCTGGAAATGCTCCTTATAATCAGCCGTTTAATATAATTTTCGATTTAGCTGTAGGAGGAAATTGGCCTTGCAGTTTTCCTGGGTGCTGTGATTATGCGGCAGTGCCAGCGCAGATGGAAATATATAATGTGCAGATCTGGGCATTAACTAATGTAGAGGAGCAGCTTTAATACTAAATTTTTTTAAAAACATCAAAAATATGCTAGTAATAGAGAAAGGTTATTTATAATTATTAAATAGATAAACAATATAAAACATGGAAAACTTTGAAAAAATTATAAGTGATGCTTTCGAATATATCAACTTAGCCAGAACTAACCCAAGCCGGTTTGCAGAAATAGTAGAGGGTAATTTAGAAAATTATAAAACTCATAATTTATACCATAGAGAAGGAGACGTCCCTGTTATTACAAAAGAAGGAAAAGGGCCAGCCAATGAGTTGATTGAAACTCTTAGAAGAAGCCGCCCAGTCAAACCTCTCAAAATTAGCCTTGGTCTCTCAAAAGCTGCACAATCCTGGGCAAACTTCTCATGGAACCAAAATATTATAGGCCATTTTACACCTTCATCAAATAGTTTAAGTGATCGTTTGGACCCATTTGGTAAATGGTCTGAATGTGTGACAGAAGCCTTACTCCCCCCCCTCCGTGAGTGAACAAAAAAATTTTGTTCACTCACGGAGGGCGGTTAATTTTTTTTTTTTAAAAACATTTATATATAAATTTTGTAAAAAATATTTTTTTTCGAAATTAAAAAAAATCTAATTCGCAAAAATTGGAAAGCAAATATTAATTTAATTTATAAAATTTATGTTTTAAAAAGCAATTCGTTTGAAATTAAAAAGAATTAGCTCTAGATTTCATTATAATAATTATCATTTATATATCAAATTTTTTTTCCATAAAAATTTTTTTTCTATTAAAAAAATTTTTTGTTCACTCGCGGAGGGTGGGTTTTTGGGCAAAAAATAGCGATTTTTCTAATGGTTTTGTTCACTCACGGAGGGGGGAGTTAGATTATGGAAGCTTAACTGGATATGAAGTAATTCACAGCTTTCTAGTTGACGATGGCATTGAATCAAGAGAGCATCGCATCAATTTTCTTAGTGGAAATTTTAAAAAAATCGGGATAGGATGTGGGCCTCATGACAATACCAAATCAGTTACAGTGATATTGCTCGCTGGAGATTTTATAGACAATCCTCAAATGCCTAATGTAGAAAAGGAATAAAATGGTGGCGTTGACGGAAATTGGTCTTTGAGGAGCGCTTCCGATGGAGTAGGTTGGGCAAATTCTGATGAAGCTAAAAATAGGGACTCTGCACTTTTTTGAAGTATGCAATTTTGGTAGGGTCATACAACGTTGGTACTCTGATGCATATGCACCCAACGTAGGCTGCCTTTCCTGGAGCCAAGGCAATTCGTCAAGTGGAGATCCGCTTATGGCCATATAATCTCAATCTTAATGTAGAAGTCCCAAGTGGAGGAATAAAAAATAACTGGGAAGTTGGCAGCTGAATAGATGGGGCACTAAAATTAACATGTGACATTACAACAGATATTGAAGATGATAAGCTCATAAAAACAATTAAAAGATTCTGGGAAATGGGTGATGGATCTTCTTTTATAAATGAAGATGTGATTGTTTCGGATAAAGGCGACTACTCAGGGTCTCCATAAATATTTAAATCAAAAAATTATTTTCTTAAATAAAAAATTCAGTAACTAAATTCCCAAAAATATAATGAAGTTTAAATAACTCACAGATAATTAATATGACCTAGAAGATAATTAATCACAGATTTTTATTTTCAAGCCCCTTTTCTACTAGATAAAATAAAAAATAATGCAATAATATCTAGCATTTTTTCATTTAGAAATAATATTACTTTGCGGCACCATTTTGATTGGTAATGGAAATGAGCAGCGTATTAAACAATCAAGATTCAGAGTTTTCAGCATTAATAACTCCTATAAAATCACATCTACGACCAACTATAAAAATAAGCAGCAATCGAAGATATAAATCATTTACAGACCCCTCTAGGATTTTAAGTTTAAGCTCCGGTAAAGGGAAGCATCACAATGATTCACTAATCAGTGAATTATCAAAAAAGCATCGTGAAAAATCATTTAATTCATCTATGATACCTATAAAAACTGGGTTTTTCCCATCGATTACTATCAAAGAAAGCGAAAGTTTAATTTTAGACGCTAAAACTCCTACATTTATGGGCAATGGATACCAAACGCCTTTTAATGTTACCTTTAGACCACTTGAAAGGTGGACTGTAGATCAACCCAAAAAGGTTAGAAGGTTTCCAAGAGAAATTTTTGGACAAATAAAAAGAAAAAGATTGTCAATCTAATTAACTATAACTAACAATAAGAAATTTTTGAATAATTTTGAGAGTTATTTTAGAGTAAATTGTTTTTTTGTAACTGATAGAAAGAGTAGGTGGGGTAATGTATAAAAGATTTTTATAATTATTGACTGTAAGACTGATAAGCTTCGTTTAGATGCTAATTAGATTATAAATAATTTGTATTTGAGTGATAATTATAATAATAAAGGAAAGATAGAATATTGTGAAAACTTTATATGGTTGAGGAATTCTCCTAATAAATTTTCGGCATATTTCAAATCAGAGTTGTTATAAATTATGTGAAAATGTTATACTGCTTATAATAAGCATTACTTTAGCATAAAGTATATATTCTAATAAAAACACTTGAAAGCATTCATAAAATTTGAAATAAATTATTTCATTACTAAAAATTCAGGCTCTAGGACTGCCAAATATTTTAGCACGTTTTAATTTTGTTTAGTTTTGCCTCATACATTTCATTCTATTTTCCACAAAATCTTTATGAGCTGGGTTATGTGTTTGATACGTCAAAAACTCTTCATAGTGTTGCTCAATCCTTTCTTTTGACTGCAACTTGCAAACCATTGGTAGCTCGTACGTAAAATCAATTTCTGCATACTGCATTAAAAAGGTTGCAGAATCATAAATTTCTTCCAAATTATCAATTTCCAAGGTACTCGACAGAAAAGTTGCAATAAATTGTTGAGCTCTACAAGCAAATTCAAACTCAAGCTGGAGACAATCTTGGTCCTGGAACATGGTATTGTGAAGGAAAAGAGCATATTTGGAATTTTTGAAGAATTTTGAAGTCATTAAATAAAATAAACTCCCAGCAATAATTCTTGGAGGGAACCTTAATGTTCGCTGATCCAAAAACGAAGCGTCTAGGACATGAATTATATCTCGGAACCTCATATAAGACTGATTATTTGCTTGCTTGAAAGTAATGAACCTTTCTTCATATTTTTTTTGCACTTTAATTTTTTCATCATTTGGTAAATTTTTAAAATCATTAGGATTATAGATTAAATGATAGTGTACATTAGCTATCTAGGTCACTCGCTTCAAGGTTAACACAACCCTTGGCACCAAAAACCACATCCGGATACGCATAAAGACACCCGCCACGGGGAGGGTGATCATGCGTCACCCCCCATTTTATGTATATAGGATTATTGTAAACTTGGCTTCCAAAATGATAAGTAATATATGAGTCTCACTGGTTTAATAGTCAATTCAAAATATTATAAGTGGTAATTGGAAGAATTTTCCATCCTAGATGTTTAAGCATAGCTTTTTCCATTATTTTTATGCTTGCTACAGAATATCCCATTGCGGCTGCTCTTTCGAAGTCACTGATTTTTGGCTGGTAAATTTCATCAAGTTTTGAAGCTATATATAGTGCGGTTACTCCAACAAGCTGGTATTCTTCTTTTTTTATATTAGGGACAATTGATGAGAGTCTATCCACATAATTCATTGCTAAATACACACTTTCCCGCTTCATTAAGAACTCGCTGGTAACCTCAATCATCCAATCAAAAAGTATTGTCCTCATAATCGGATTTATATATGGCTGATTGTATTCCATAAAATTAGGATTCGGCATATAACTGTTTTGCTTTTCTTTGACAATTTGAAGGAAATCATCATCTTTTGGCTTTCAAATAGGAGGGGACATCTCAAGATCAGCAGATGCAGAGTCTAAAGTATCATGGCATTCAAGGTCAATTTCTGAAGCAATTGAATTTTTTGTATCACAAGAGTCTTTATAAAGGGATGAGCAACCTTTAAAATTGTTTTCATTTTGATAGTGTGAGGAAACAGTCTGGGTCTGGGGGCGAGCAGAGGTGAGTACTGCATAATCTTTTGAATGGGGTTGATACATTGCGCCAATTCAATTATTTTCTATTATGAATTAATAGAAAATGAAAAAGGATTAAGGGAAGGGGGAGAGAAAGATAGAGATAATGGGGAAATTGAGAAGGAAATTCAATTTCAGAAGGTATTTGAAGCAATTTGAAGATAGAGAGGAAAAGTGGAGAGTTTATTAGGATTTTCCCGCCATAAGCAAAGAGATAAGAAATCGTCATATTAAAATAATAAATCCATATTTATTTATGCTTATTTATTTAAAACATAAATTTGGCAGAATTTGTTTTGCACACTTGATTTATATATTTAATTAATACTTAAATTTAGTTCTTGATAACTCCTGAAAATTTAATAATTATGCCAAACAAATATTATCAATTTAGATTAAATTTTAATCGTCTTCGAAAATATCCAGGATATTATTTTAGATAAATAATTTAAGTAAATATTTTATCAATTTTTTCTAAAAGTTCCATCATACTTGGTCTAACTAGTTTGACGGTTCTGCCACCATCTTTAAAGGATCAATATAAAGAACTGTACCAAAAAGAAGATCTTTTGATTGTAGCTCTGAAACCAATCTATTCTATAAGCTGAACAGTGAAATCATATATATTAGCAAATTTTCAATAGAGATTCTATTATCGATACATGTAATATTATTTTAAAAATTCCGCTCCCTGCTTTAATCAATTGAAAGTTATTTGAAAATTAAAAAATTCTAAGCTGCTCCAACCTTTTCATTAAGCTCTCTAATTTCGTTTTCTTTTTCTCTTATAGACTTTTTCAAAGTCCTATTTTCCTTCCTCATGTCTGATATTTCATCTTGAGCCTTATCCAGTTCTTCCTTTAAATTTGAAATTTCTTCGGTTAAGCTTGTGACTTGATTTTTCAAGTTGCTCATTTCCATTTCTTTGCTTGACGAACTTTGGCTCAAATTGTTAACAATTTCGGCATCAGCTTGTATGCTTGCTTGCAGTATTTTTATTTGAGCTTCAATTCTTTCATTTTCAGTTTCGAGCTGGGATTTTCTATCTTCTAATTGGTTAATTTTTTCTTGCATTTCTGATTTTACGCGATTAATTTCATCTTTATTGTATTCTCGAATTTTCTCTCTAGTTTGCTCAATTTTATGGGAACCTTTAAATTTATACTTTATTGGCTAGATATGATAGTGATATTTTTTTTGATAAAAAAAAATTTGCGCTTTGTCTTATAATAAGCAATATAATAAAGTATAGAATATTGAAGATTACACCAAGATGGTCGACTATATTCATAGCAGTTTCAGCTTGGGAGTTTCTTTCAAAAATCACTGGTTTAAGCTTGTCCAATAAATCTCTTGATTCTTGATCATTTGCTGATACAGTTCTGGTTAACTCTCTCATCTCTTGCTTCAAAAATTCGTCTAATTGGATTTCAAGATCATCTAAATGATTTTGAACGCCTGCAACCTGCTCAGCTAAGTTAAATAACGCTTTATCCTGCTGTTCTGAATGGCTTATTATTGTTTCTATTTTTGACCGAAGCGATCTAGTAGTCTTCAATAAACTTTTTTGGTTAAGAGTCCCTAAAGCTCCTAGTAAAGATGAATGGATATTTCCTTTGGCTGAGCTAAAAAGCTTTGACAAATCTGTTATTTTTTGAACGTCAACTTTTTCAGCTCCTCCCAAATGTCTTTGTAAACTTGAAAGGGTCTTCTCTTTTGCAGAATTTGACTGCTCTAACTCCTCCTCTCTATGTGAGAGAACAAAACTATTGGAAAATCCTTATTTTTTGAATGAAAATCCCTCTAAGCAAACAAAAATTTGGCGAATATAAAATTTATTTATTGAAAAATATTTTATTTATAAGTGAAAGATAATTAATTTTAAAAAGCTTGTATTTTAAAAATAAATTAATTTCCAATTTTTGAAAAAATATGAGCTAAAAATTTTTGGTCGTTAACTGAGGGAGTGAGTAAGTATTTGCTCATTTTTTCATCAATTTGATTAATTTCGTTATCGACTGTATTCGCTTGCAAAATCCTTGTTTTTTCTTTTTCTATTGAGATTAAATTTTTAAATCCATTTGATAGTGAATTTGCAACAGATAAGATAGAATCAGAGAAAAACTCTGGCTCAGTGAGATTTTTCATAGAATTTATCTTTGCATTATCATCTGGAGAGCCATGGTCTAAGCTGATCTTTTTGAGGTTTAAATAAGACTCATTTAGAGCTTGTAGCAATTCTTCTTGGATTTGCTTTAAATTTTTAACAGCTTCTCCTTCAACCTCATCATAATTTTTTGGTAAATTATTTTTTAGCACCACAATCTCATGCTCTAAATGTAACGTATTTAGCAGCCTTGTAGCCACATTGACAATATTTAAATCTTTTTTCCCACCATATTCATCTGATTTTTTCTTAATTGCATCCAGAAAAGGCTTTGAATTGGAACTTTCAGGAATTAAGCTTTCTAATTCATTAATTTTGCTATTAATATCTGCTCTTTTTTCGCTATCCAGTTGTTCTAGCCTTTCAGCAGCTTGCTTAACATTTTCACAAAGTCTTAACTCAAGACTCGTCTCTTCCTTCCTCACAGTCATGTATTTCTTAATTTTTTCGACCCCCTGTTGCTTTTCAAGATCTTTGATTTTTGAGTTAACCCCAATCTCATGGATCATTTGTCCTGCATTTCCAAGGTAATTGATCAAAATATGTAAAACTTGAGAAACTTCATTTTGCTCAGAGCTGATTAATTGAACGACATCGCTTGAAGGCTCGTTTTCATGAATAATTGTTGTGGAATTTGTGGTGTTAAGTTTTTCATTAAGGTCTTTTTTTTCGCTTTTAAGATTAGCGATTTCTTTTTCAAGAGTACGAACTTGCTCGTTGTTTGAAGAACAGCAGCCCATATTTATATTAAAATTTGTGATGAATATATTAAAATAGTTATTATTTAGGAGGAGAAATCATTTCAATGTAGAAAAAATATAGCGCTTTCCCGAGGATGGCGCGGAATGGCGCCATCCTCGGGAAAAGTCAACTAAGCATCCACACGGGAACTGGGAGCTCCACGTGTGGATGCCATTTTTGACATGTGGGATCCAAACTTCCACATGTCAAAATGGCATCCACACGTGGAATTCCCAGTTCCCGTGTGGATGCCTTCCTGGCTTTCCCGAGGATGGCGCCATTCCGCGCCATCCTCGGGAAAGCGCTATATACCCTTTTATAATGAATAAAATTTTTATACTGATTAATGTTTTTCTATTAATATAGTGAATAAGAAAAAGTTTAACCTTAGCGTAGTTTTTGTTCTTTATAAAAAGGGTATACGTTTTTTAGTCTTATAAATATGACTATATGAATGAAAAAAATTAAATAAAATTTAAAGGTAATAAATGCAGAAAAGATGTGTAACGTTAAAAGAATAAAATTGTATGCTAAAAAATTGTTTTAAGCCCTTAAAGCTGCTAAACATAAATTAATGAGTTAATATCAATAACATTTTTAAAATGAAAATAAAAAAATCAATTAATTTTTCTAATTAAAATAGTTAAAATCATAATACAATGCCAAATATATATAATTAAAATTAGATATATCTGGGTAGCCTATAAGATTCAACGAGAATGTTGATATATTTATAAATATCAAATGAGGTTCTTGTCAGTTTTTATGAATACTTTCAAAAGACTAAACCTTTTGGTAGAATGCATACTTGGGGATGATTTAATTATATTAAACCAAATGGACTCTGAAGGGTGCAAAAGTTCTGAAACTTAATTTCCAACAGAAGAAAAAGAATATCTAACTAAATCATCTGCAATTTTGGGTGTAAAGAAAAGTTAAATATAATGCTGACTCCTCCATTTTAAATTTGAACAAAAAATCCTGTTCCAATTAAAAGGTGACTAATTTTTTTTTAAAAAACATCCAATTTATACTCAATAATGGAAGTTTTTAGAGTTATGATTCTTAAAAATGCAAAAATATATATATAGAGTTTTCTCTTCAATAGCGCGATAAGGTGCTTTCCCTGGTAGGACCAAAAGAACTTGGACAAATGAAGGGCTGCTTTTCCTTTATCACTAATGAGGCACATAAGATAAATAATAATTTGGGCCCAATACAGTCTAGAGAGGTTTTAGAAATGCTATTGCCAAAGATAAATTTTTGGTTCGTCAAATGGTTCTGACGAGTCAATTCTGACCAGCACTTGAAATAAAAAAATGACTAATTACTTTTATTTTAATTTTTCTGATCATTAGATGATCAGAAATTTTTAAAAATGTCATAATTAATAAAAATTTAATAAAGAAAAAAGCAGATGTGATCATCACATCGATTCGATACAAAAGAATTCAAGAACTTTCCATTAGTTAAATAAAAATTAATTCACAATTATTGAGATTTGCATTTAAATCACTTAAAAAATTTTCATAGGAACTCGCTTAATGATGGGTAACTTTTTTATTGTTAGAAATTTAAATTTAATAAAGAAAACCCAGATGAATACATAAGATCATATCGAACAAATGAAATCAAGAAATTTCCATTAGTTAAATTAAAATTCATTCAAAAATATTAAGATCTGCATTTAAATCACTTTAAAGTTTTTCATAGGAACTCGCTTAATGATAGGTAACTTTTTTTTTTGTTCGCTTAAGCCATTTTTTTTTAATTTAAATTTAATAAAGAAAAGCAGATGTTATCATCCCATCGATTTGATACAAAAGAATTCACGAAATTTCCATTAGTTAAATAAAAAATTCATTCAAAATCATCAAGGTCTGTAGTAAAATCGCTTAAAAATTCTTTATAGGAACTCGCTTAATTATGGGAACTTTTTGTTTGTTCGTTCAAGCCATTTTTTTTAAATTAAAATTTAATATAATGTATTGCTAATATTTTATTTTGCTTATTTATGGTAAATTGATTTTAAAATGTCAAAAAAATTTTGACATGTCATTATATATAAAACTGAGTCTATGGTATGTTAAAATATTTTTGACATTTTAAAATCAATTTACCATAAATAAGCAAAATGAAATTTATGCAAGGGATAATAGAAAAAAAGCTGATGCCAGTATATGATCAATATCGAACAAATAAAATCAAGAAATTTCCATTAGTTAAATAAAAATTAAATTAAAATCATTGAGATCTGCATTTAAATCACTTAAAAGTTCTTTATAGGAACTCGCTTAATGATGGGTAACTTTTTTATTGTTCGCTTAAGCCATTTTTTTTAATTTAAATTTAATAAAGAAAATCCAGATGCAAACATAAGATCAATATCGAACAAATGAATTCAAGCAATTTCCATTAGTTAAATAAAAATTTATTTAAATTCATTAAGATCAGTAGTAAAATCACTTAAAAATTCTCTTATAGGAACTCGCTTAATGATGGGTAACTTTTTGTTTGTTCGCTTAAGCCATTTTTTTTAATAAAAACTTAATAAAGAAAAAGTAGATGCCAATATATTATCAATATCGAACAAATGAAATCAAGAAATTTCCATTAGTTAAATAAAAATTAAATTAAAAATCATTGAGATCTGCATTTAAATCACTTAAAAATTCTTTATAGGAACTCGCTTAATGATGGGTAACTTTTTGTTTGTTCGCTTAAGCCATTTTTTTAATGATTATCGCATCTGACGTTCCTTATTAAACATAAAATAGAAAATAATGACTTAAACGAACATAACAAAAAGCTATCTATTGAATTTTAATTAAAACAAATTGCTTAAGCGAACATAATTTTTTAAATAAAAAAAATTGCTTAAACGAACAATAAAAAAGTTACCCATCATTAAGCGAGTTCCTATGAAAAGTTTTTAAGTGATTTAATTGCAGATCTTAATAATTGTGAATGAATTTTTATTTAACTAATGGAAAGTTCTTGAATTCTTTTGCATCCTATCGATGTAATGATCGCATCTGGGTTTTCTTTTATTAAATTTTTATTAAAAAAATGGCTTTAGCGAACATAATTTTTAAATAAAAAAAATGGCTTAAACGAACAAACAAAAAGTTACCCATCATTAAGCGAGTTCCTATAAAGAATTTTTAAGTGATTTAAATGCAGATCTCAATGATTTTAATTTAATTTTTATTTAATTAATGGAAAGTTCTTGAATTCTTTTGAATCCTACCGATATAAAGATCACATCTGGGTTTTCTTTATTAAATTTCAATAAAAAAGTTACCCATCATTAAGCGAGTTCCTATAAAGAATTTTTAAGCGATTTAAATGCAAATCTTTATGATTTTGAATGAATTTTTATTTAACTAATGGAAATTGCTTGAATTCATTTGTTCGATATTGATCTTATGTTTGCATCTGGATTTTCTTTATTAACTTTAAAATAAAAAAAAATGGCTTAAACGAACAAACAAAAAGTTACCCATCATTAAGCGAGTTCCTATGAAAAAATTTAAAGTGATTTTACGTCAGAACCATTTGACGAACCAAAAATGTATCTTTGGCAATAGCATTTCTAAAACCTCTCTAGATTGAAATAGGCCCAAATTATTATTTATCCTATTTGCCTCACTAGTGATAAAGGAAAAGTAGACCTTCATTTGTCCAAGTTCTTTTGGTCCTACCAGGGAAAGCACCTTATCGCGCTATTGAAGAGAAAAATCTATATAAATTCAATTGCTACCATCATGACGCTAATAAAAATTCCATAAAACTAAGAAACATTGTCATCCTCTATAATTTTAGAAAAGAAAGTCAAAACGATAGTTTAAGCTATATTTATGTGATAGAAAAATTCATTAAAGATAAAGTAAAATAAATTAAATTTCATTTCAATTAATTATTATCTCGATAGCATAATCATTAATGTCCTTCTAATAGAATCAATTTGTCTATAATAAATATCATTGAGTTTTTCATTTTCTCTTCCAATTTCATCATTTTTCTCAGCAATTTTAATAAGTATATTTGCACAAATTTCAACCTCAATTTCTACAAAATACTTATCAAAAATATCTTTATTCATGAGTCCTTTTATCATATTCCAAATGCTAACTCCATCTCTGTGAGAGATCATAACGATTTTCATTTTGATATATAAGATATTTATTATAATAAAATCTTGAGCTAATTCTATTAAATTTTTAAGGGTTTGCATTCAAAACATAAATGTATAAATTTATTTTAGCTCAAATACTTGCCAAATGAATATTTTAAATTCAGAAAAGAAATTGAAGCTAAGCTTATATTTTAAATTTTTAAAAGAATATAGCTCTCCTCCGCGGAAGCAATAAATTTGTTCTCTTACAGAGGGGAGGCTAAGGTATCTTTCACTCATAAACGCATCTACTTCAGTTACTTTATCTCTGGAAGAATAAACGCTTTTTGAGGTTTGGGTAAAAACGCTTTGGAATTTTGTAAACAAAGAATGAATAAGATTTGTGATAACTTTCTTTGGATGTTTTATCTTAGGGCATGGATCTATTATTGACTCGCTATGAGCATTTCATAATTTTTCAATTTCATTTTTCATAGCTTTCTTGATATATTGCTTGATTTTTGTTTTAATTTTAGACATCACATCTTTTTTTACAACTTCTTTGTAAATTCATATAGGAAGGTTAGCTGAAGATATACTGTTTTTATTCTCAACATGATAGTGTTCTAAGATATCAATTAGATCATTCCAAAATTGAGTTCGAAAGTATTTACTCCCCCCCTCCATGAATGAACAAAAAATTTTGTTCACTCATGTAGGGAGGTTAATTTTTTTTTTTAAAAAAAAATTATATATAAACTTTATTGAAAAATTTGTTTTTCGAAATTTTAAAAAAATCCTAATTTGCGAAAATTGGAAGCAAATATTAATTTAATTTATAAAAAATTTATGTTTTAAAACGCAATTTGTTTAAAATTAAACAGAATTAGCTCTAGATCTCATTATGCTAATTATCACTTATATATAAATTTTTTTCTATTAAAAAATTTTTGTTCACTCACAGAGGTTTTGGGCAAAAATTAGGGATTTTTCTAATGATTTTGTTCACTCATGGAGGGGGGAGTCAGGTAAATCAATCCTACCTAATTCCATTTTATAAAAGCATTATATTAGAAAATGTTAAATTCTCATTTGCCTTAATGATATTTTGAATTAATAATAGACAATATTTAATTCCTTTGCTATCGTTATATATTAAATGTTCGTAGAATTTCATATTCCTAAGTTTATTTGATCCTTTTGCTGCTCTTTCTTTGATCACCAGCAGAAAAAAGTTCCTCTTTTAAAGTTCTCTCTATATTCCTGAATCTAAAATAATTAAAAAAGATACTTGAAAAAATAGATAATTGATTTATTCCTGATTCCATTTTATAAGTAAAATATATGCAAAGCATGATGTCAGAAAAAATATATGAATTTTTCAAATAAGTCTATAGGCTCACCTATTACAGTTTTAGGACTTATTTTGTACCTTATAGGGGTTTTCTTGTGGTTTGATAGATTATTTTTGCTCATAGGCAATACTCTATTCTTGATTGGGACTGGATATTTAACTGGAATATCTGGGTTAATATTTTTCTTTATGAAGCCATCAAAGCTTAAAGGTACAATCTGCTATTTCATCGGATTCTTTTTGATTTTAGTAGGCTGGTCAACAGTAGGTGGAATCCTTCAACTTTATGGCATTTATCAACTCTTTAAAGATTTCATCCCACAAATACTGCATTCTGTCAAATTTATTCCAGGAATTGGACCTATTCTCAGCAATTCTCAGTTTTATCAAGATTTAATTATGAAACTCAACAAAGGAAAAAAATCAAGCTATGTGTAAATCTTAATATCAATTATCTCTTATTTATTTAAGTGTGTGATCTTTAATTTTAAAGGAAAATAAGCTTCTAAACTAGAAAACTTAAAGATTCTGACGCTTTTCTCAAAATAAATGCTCAATGCTGATTTATATTATCTAATTATTAATCTTGCATTATATTGGAATAATTACCATGCAAAAGTGTAATGAAAATTAAAGATTAAGACTGCTAATGCAGTTTAATGTACTTATTTTTAACTAATTATCCGTTTGATTAAAATTTATGCTTTAGGGTTTTGATAATTATACAGAGACCTAATATTTTCAAAAAATTTATGTACTCTCGTAATTACTTTGAAACTATTAATTTAATATCAAATTAAAGTTTACTCATAATAATATTTTGAAACTCAGAAAAATCAATTTCTCCGTCTCCATTTAAATCCACTTCATTAACAATCATATTCCATAAACTTTTTTCAGTCTGCGCTCCTCCTTCTAATATCCTTTTCAATTCCTGCGTTGAAATTTTCCCACTTCCATCCTTATCAAACACATCAAAAGCGACTTTCAAATTTTCTGCTGACATAGCTGTTTTCATATCAAGTGTAGCTTTTAAAAACTCTGTATAATCTATAAACCCGTTATTATCTGAGTCTGCTTCAGCCATAATTCGGTTTACTTCAAGCTCTGCCATCTCAGGCCCCATTGTTCGGGCATATTGTGCTAATAGCTCTTCTTTGCTTAATTTCCCATCTCCATTTGTATCCATAGCTCTGAAGGCTTCTCTCATATCTTTTGTATCTTGTTGAGAAATACATTGGGTCGCGATAAATGTCTGGACTGCATCTCTTAGTTTGTTATTATTGTGGAAGCCTTTAAGGTTAGACAATGCTGACTGCATCACTTGTACGCTCGGAAGAGATCTCGAAGCATTAGCAGCAATTCATGGATGGAGCAAAGCTGCAGGTGCTGATAGACGATTTGCAGGAGGACATAATAGAGAAGAAATTAAATCTTTTGCTTCTCTTGAAATATTTTTTCATGCTGATCCTGCAAAAGAGTAATTTCCTTTTTTAACTTTTTCTATGATGTCATCGTCAGTTTTTCCATCAAATGGAGGTACACCTGATAATAAAATATAAATGATGACTCCAATGCTTCACATATCACATTTCTCATTATAGTATCCAGTTAATACTTCAGGAGCTATATAATAAGCAGTCCCTAAAGCTCCTCGAAGAGTTTTATTTTTTTCCAAAAAGCAAGCAGTTCCGAAGTCAATCAATTTGATATAGGGTTTTCCCTATATTGCCCTGTAAGGGCCGTTGATTCTGTCCAGATCCTCTGGCTGGTTCAATCAACAAGTGAGTTGGTCGGAGTTGGTTCCACCAATCAACGGATTCCGGACAGAATCCACAGCCTTTACAGGGCAATATAGGGGAGACCTTATATTTAAAATGTCTCCTTTTTCTTCTAGTAGAATATTTTCTGGCTTTAAATCTCGGTGAACAATCCCACGATCATGCAGATACGCAACCGCAAATAAAACTTGCTGAACAATTTGAGCAGCGTGAACTTCACCAAATGCTTGCCGCTTAAGGATTTCTTCAAATAGTTCACCACCTTTGCAATGCTCCATGATGATATAAAAGCGTTTCGAATCCTCAAAGAATTCATAAATTCGAACAATATTGGGATGATCAAGTGTTTTTAGAATATCTATTTCGAGATTCAATTTCTGTTTTGCTTCTTCAGTTTTAGCTAAGTCTTTTCTAAATATTTTGGCAGCTCTAGTTGCGTTAGCTTGACGATGGACAACTTTTCGGACCTCGCCAAAAGCCCCAGTGCCAATACTTCTACCTATTGAATAAACTTCCTGAAAAGGATTTGGATTATTCTGCACGAAAGCGCTTTTTTGGACTTTTAGATCTTTTACTGTGACTATTTTTGAATGACTTGATTTTTGCTTGCTTTGATAGCAGCCCATATTTTATTTAAAAAATAATAGCTGTTTTAAACAAATCTTAATTGAATAAATGAGCGAAGTAATAAAAATAATATAGATTAGAAAGTTAATCAATATTAGCTAAGAAAAGTTAAGAAAATTTTGGTAATTTGAAAAATAATGATATTTTAGAAATAAGAAATAAATTATTGCAGGGCTACTGACTAAAATTATATACAGAATTTTTATTTCCCGTAATAGTCCTACTCCACGAAAGAAAGCTTATTAAATATTGATTTGAAAAATAACTGATCCAATTATTACAAAAGAAAATATTATGCTTTGACTGGCTTCAGCTTTGTAGGAGGCACTTTTGGATCAAAAATTGCATTTTGTATTTTTGTTTCATACTCTTCTTTGGCTGCTTCAATATTTTTATCGTTTTCTGTATTTTTAATCCTAGCAAGCTCCTTGGATTTTTCATCAAGCTTTTTCTTCGCAAAATAAATCGTTGACTCTGCATTTCTTTTTAATAATTCCTCATTTTCAAGCTTAGCTCTTAAATCATTTATTATATTTGTATGCTGGTTTCTTAGCAACCCTAATTGTTCTCTCTTATGTGTTTTTTGTTTTTCTAATTGTTTAGCTTCTGATACAGTATATGCAATTTTATCGCTTAATTCCTTGATTTCTCTTTCTCTGATTATTTTTGTTTTCTATATAAGACTTTACCTTAATTTCACCCTCAAGCTCATCAATAGCCTTGCTTAATTCTTTTCTTTGCTCATATAATTTTTCAAACTCTTCGTGAATTACTAACTCCCTCCCCCCCCCCTCCGTGAGCGAACAAAACCATTAGAAAAATCGCCATTTTTTGACCAAAAACCCACCCTCCGTGAGTGAACAAAAATTTTTTTAATAGAAAAAATTTTAATGGAAAAAAATTTTGATATATAAGTGATAATTAGTATAATGAAATCTAGAGCTAATTCTGTTTAATTTTAAACAAATTGCGTTTTAAAACATAAATTTTGCAAATTAAATTAATATTTGCTTCCCAATTTTTGCAAATTAGGATTTTTTTAAATTTCGAAAAAAATATTTTTTTTATAAAATTTATATATAAATTTTTTTTAAAAAAAAAAATTAACCCCCCTCCGTGAGCGAACAAAATTTTTTTGTTCGCTCACGGAGGGGGGGGGGAGTAAATATTTTTTTTCTTCATTTTCTTTAACTTCAATATACCTCACATTTTGTTTTTCCAACTTTTGCTGATTTTCTGTTTTTTCTTTCATTTTTGACTCAATTTTTCGTCTGATAGTATCAAATTCGCTTTCGTTAAACTGAATATCACTGATTTTTGACCTTAATTTGGGAACCAAATATTTTTGATGGACTGAAACATTATGCTTCATGTGTCCTTTTATATCATTAAGATACTTAAAACTCACTGGATTTAAATCCAGTACGAGTCTCACTAAGTTTGGGCGAAATCTAGAAATCTCGCTCAATTGTTGTGCAGCGTCATCTTTCAGCCCATTTCCCTTTAAATTTATCTGCTCTAAGCACTGATTCATTTTTAGCGCTTGTGCTAATGCTAAACCTCCTTTATTTTTTATAAAATTATTGCTTAAATCCAAAAATTTCAGTCCTCTATTTGTATGCAAGCCTATAGAAATTGCTTCAGCTCCATTATCATCAATCACATTGTTGCTGATATTTAAAATTCTTACTCCCCCCACCTTTAAATTGGAACTAAAAATTTTGTTCCAATTTAAAGGGGGGTTAATTTTGTTTTTTAAAAAAAATATCAATATAAAATTTTTTATAAAAAATATAAAAATTTAAAAAAAAAAAAAATTTCAAAAACTTATCGAATTAGATTAATAAATTTGTTTAATAAAACGCTATTTACTCTTTATCCTTTAAAACAAAAGCAAGATATAACTAAATTTTTATTATTAGTTAATACGCCACTATTAATTGGTATCAAAACTATTTACACAAAAATTATTATTTTTATTGATAAAAAAAAATTAAAAAAAAAAATTTTAGAAAATTTATCGATCAAAGTGCTAATTTTGTTTAAATAAGATGTTATTTATACTCTATTCTTTAAAATAAAGCAAGAGATAAGTAAATTTTGAATTTTATAAAGAATTCCTATTGAATTTATATCAAAACTATCCAAATAAAAAATATCGTTTTATCAAAAAAAACAAAAATATTTTTGAAAATTTTTAAAAAAAAAAAATTAATGTTTTTTTAAAATTTACCAATTAAGGATAATCAATTTATTTAAATAAGATGCTCTTTATACTTTTTTCTTTAAAAAGAGCAAGATATAAATAAATTTTTAATTTTAGTTAAGAAGAAAACATTTAAATTATATCAAAACTTTTTAGATAAAAATTATATATAATTTTTTATTATAAAATTAAATTTTGTTCCAAATTTAAAGGGGGGGGGAGTTAGTGTTTTGTTCTTTATCAGCCCATCCCCAACTGTACAAATTCCTTCAGATTTTATTTGGCAAAATGCTAAATTCAGCATTTTTATTTTGGTATTTCCACAGACAAATGGGTGAAACGCTGGTGATAGCCCTGAACTGAATTTATTCTTTTCTAGATTAAGTGTTTGCAATATAATATTCCCTGTTGCTGCAGTAAATAGGTTAAAAGCTCCTCGGGTGGAAATTTCATTTTGTGATAAATCAAGGGTTTCTAAAGGGCAAATAGCATCAAATTCACCCATTAATAAATTCGAAATGATATCACAGCCTTCGTTACCAATTTTATTGAGAGAAATATTGAGGATTTTTAAGGAAGATGAAGCAATCGCTTCTGCTAGGTTGGAAATTCCTGTCGAGCCTATTCCATTATTTGCAATATTGAGAGAAACAAGTGTTTTGCTATTTTTCAGTCCTTTGCTCAAACTGATAAGTCCTTCTGGTCCGATTGATGTTCCTGCTATATTAAGAAAGGAAATAATCATACTGCTTTCTAAAACCCTTCTGATAGCGCTTGCACCTACAATTCCAAGACGATTTCTATGCAGCCCTTCATGTGATGATATATTTAAGCTTGCAATGCTTGGGTGCTTTAAAACTAACATAATTAGAGCTGATGCACCCTCAGGAGTGATATCGTTGCTGCTCACATCTAAATGCACTAAGTCTGTATTTCTGCATAAAGCTTTGGCTAATATAATTGCTCCTTTATCTCCCATTATGTTTTTACTTACTCCCCCCCCTTTAAATTGGAACAAAATATAGGTAAAATTTCCACTTTTTTGGTAAATTAACCCCCCTTTAAATTGGAACAAAATTTAATTTTATAATAAAAAATTATATATAATTTTTTATCTAAAAAGTTTTAATATAATTTAATGTTTCTTCTTAACTAAAATTAAAAATTTAGTTGTATCCTACTCTTGTTTAAAGAATAGAGTATAAAGAGCATCTTATTTAAATAGATTTATTATCCTTAATTTAAATTTTTAAAAAATTTAATTTTTTTTTGTTTTTAAAATAATTTCAAAAAAAAATTTATTTTTTTTGATAAAAATGATATTTTTTATTTGGATAGTTTTGATATAAACTCAATACGAATTCTTTACAAAAATTCAAAATTTACTTATCTCTTGCTTTATTTTAAAGAATAGAGTATAAATAACATCTTATTTAAACAAAATTAGCACTTTGATCGATAAATTTTCTAAAATTTTTTTTTCTTTTTAATTTTTTTTTATCAAAAAAAATAATAATTTTTGTGTAAATAGTTTTGATACCAATTAATAGTGGCGTATTAATTAATAATAAAATTTTAGTTATATCTTGCTTTGTTTTAAAGGATAAAGAGTAAATAGCATTTTATTAAACAAATTTATTAATCTAATTCGATAAATTTTTGAAATTTTTTTTTTTTTTTAAATGATTTTTTTTTTTTAAAAAAAAATTTTCTTAACCCCCCCCTTTAAATTGGAACAAAATTTTTAGTTCCAATTTAAAGGGGGGGGGGGAGTTAGTTCTAAATATGCGAATTCTTTGTTATGTTCAATTACTTCACCAATAGCTTTTGCAGCCTTCGGACCTATCCCTGATTCACTCAACTCAAATTTTCTTTTACTCCGCTCTATGAAAAAAATTGTTTGATTGGTTTAATTTATAAAAATTTATGTTCTAGAATGCAAGCTGTTTAAAAATTACTAGAGATATCATAATATTAATTATCACTTATATATCAAAATATTTTTTTATAAAATTTTTATATTAAAAGAATTTTTTGTTTGTTCTAGGAGGTGGTTTTGGTCGAAAAATAGGTATTTTCCAATGGCCTTGTTTTTACAGAGGGTTGGCGGAGTTAGTAAAATGTATATGACAATAGGAGAAGAAATTTTTTTCCTGATCCAAAAGCACTGGGATTTTCAAATCATTGCATTTCGCTACATAAATTCTGTGAATTTGATAAGCATCCAAGCCGTTGATAGAATATTGTTCAGTTTTTGGTATAAACGTTGAATAAGAGATTGAATGAGAGTGACTAATAGGATAATCCTGAGAACTTGCTCTAGAGTGTTTAGTATTCATCGACTGATTTTGCAAGCTAGCACTTCTGTTATGGTGGAATTTTTCTCTCGAGCATCTGCTTTTAGGCTTTTGGATAAAGTCTGAAGTATTTGGTCGAGCTGATACAGAAATTGATTGATTAGCGCTTTGGCTTGTGGAAAAACTGTTTTCCAGTTTCATTCATGACGCCTCAATGCTTTCTTTTGATCTAAAGGAGTAGTCCATTTGTAAAAGGAAATGTGTTGTTTAATTAAGAAAATCAGCATTTATTTAATTTCTAGCAAAATTAATTTTATCACTGATAAAATGCTTATATATTATGAGCATAGAAAATACAAACCAAAAGATTTTTCATTCCACTTGTTTACAAAATTTTCCTGTTATTTTCTTAAATAATTAAATGGCTTTGAAATAAAACTCCTTTAATATTTCTGTAGATATGCATTTTCATATGCATTTTAATTATATTTTAATTACGCAATATTATCTAAATCTCGCTTTTCGTCTTATTCTTTTCTTTCTCATTTGTCAACCTCAAAATATCCCTATATATGTCATACCAAATATTAATTTAAGTAATATCCATACTTTATAATGAGTGATCAAGAGGCTGATATCTATTTACAATTAGACCAATTAAAGCAAGAATACGAAGAGTAAATTTTACTCAGCTATCAAGCTCAATCCAAAGAATATGAAGAACTTCTTGAATCTGAAGTTGCCGAAAAAGATGAAAAGCTGTCACAAGCTGTCAATAAAATTGAAAAACTTACTGAAGAGCTCCAAAATTATAAGGAAAGGTACCAAAAAAACGAGTCAGAGGTATGCAAACTGCAAAAAGAAATCGATCAGCTTAGGTCAAGGCTGAAAATATTTGAAGAACAAAAAAGAGAGCTTGAACATTTAAATGATCAATGGGAAAACTCAGCCAGGATTCTTGAATACTCAAAACAAGACTTAGAGGAGCGCTTATACCAAGCTGAAGAGAACGCTATCATGTATAAAGGTGAGCTTGATGAAATAACCTATGCGAAAGAAGTAGAAATACAAAGGCTAAAAGAAGAATGCAATGAACTTAGACAAGAAATAGCAACCTTGGCTACACAAAAAGGAGACACAACAAGACTAGCAGAGCTAGAACAGATGCTATCTAATACCTTAAAGGAGCAGGAAGAGCTCAAATCGCAATTAGATACTTCTAGACAAACCAAAAAATCTGGATCTCATATCTCTTCTCGTAGAAACTCCATTGATTCAAGCACAAACTCGCCAGCAGAAGCCTGCCACAGTGTAAAAGTCTTACTCCCCCCCCTCCGTGAGTGAACAAAACCATTAGAAAAATCGCTATTTTTTTCCCCAAAAAACCCACCCTCCGTGACTGAACAAAATTTTTTTTAATAGAAAAATTTTTAATGGAAAAAAAATTTGATATATAAGTGATAATTAGCATAATGAAATCTAGCGCTAATTCTGTTTAATTTTAAACGAATTGCTTTTTAAAACATAAATTTATAAATTAAATTAATATTTGTTTTTCCCATTTTTGCGAATCAGGATTTTTTTAAATTTCGAAAAAAAATATTTTTTATAAAATTTATATATAAATTTTTTTAAAAAAAAAAAATTAACCCCCCTCCGTGAGTGAACAAAATTTTTTTGTTCACTCTCGGAGGGGGGGGAGTTAGTAAAAGTGCGGCCTGTGCTGGATTCTGATACAAATAAAAGTACTTGTGTGGCTTATGATGAGTTGGGAATCCAAGTCAGCACTTTTTTGAACAAAGAAAAAGGGAAACCTATAACTGAAATAAAGAAATTCGAATTTGATAGGATATTTGGGTCAGAGTCTTCGATTGACGACTTGTTTTTTGACATTGCCCCATCGATTAATATGGTAGCATCTGGAGGAAGGGCATGCATTTTAGCTTATGGGCAGACTGGATCTGGGAAGACTTATACAATGAATGAAGTGCTGTCGAAATCTGTGGAAGCTTTAAAAGTGGCGATAGTAGGAGAGTATCAGGTATATTTGAATTGTATTGAAATTTATAATGAACAAGTAAGAAACTTGCTAACTCACTGCCTCCATGATCGAGAAAATGATTGGGAAATAACTTACTTTGACCTGCTTCTTAGAAATCACTACTCCTTAAAACAATTTTTTATTTGAAATATAATACGTTTAAATTTTAACATTAAAATTACCTAAGACTTATAAGAGGCTGCCAAACATTTCTGATAAAATCTATGTAATTGGTCTGAGTCGATTTAGAATTAATTTTCTGATAAATCTGAGTCTGATCAAAAAGTATAATTTCTGATAAAATTATCATGGTGATTATTTTCTTCACATTCAAACCTGATTGTTGCAGATAGAATCTTTTCTGAGTTTGCTATTTGGGCCTTGTCGGATGATAGCAGTAGACACCATATGGGCATGGCCGTATTTCCCTCTCCTCCTGGCCCATAATCTTTAGAGTAGCCCTAATAAGTTTATTCTATACTAAATTTTATTTTTTATATGTTAAATTATTAATAGCTTGAGCTTTATGACATAAATTTAATAAATAACATTAATCATTAATTTCAAATTTGAAAAACTATTTTTCAATATAAATTTTAAAAAAATAATGAAATTAAAGAATTTAGTGGCTTACAGAGAAGAGCAGTAAGTAATGATGCACTCAGCAAGAACTGAAAAGAAACTGTTGAAATGGCTGAAATTAAGCTAGAAAATGATTGGTTTAGCCATACATTAAAATGGCGATGGCGAACCAGCCCTTTTTCTCAACACCTGTAGCCGGGGTTACCCGGGGACCTTGTGGAAGGGGAAAACGCGCTCGGGGCGTGCATCCGGCCAGGTTTTACCTTGGCACAGCATAGCGCAATGTCGAATTTGGTGGACCGCAGCTCACTCTGTCACAAGGGTTTTACCTCGGGGAAGAAAAGGCTTCCAAGTTGGAAAGGGGAAGCCCAGCAACTTCAGGAAGGTACCTCCTGATCAATCGGGCAACTCCCTAGCGCGATACTGGGCGTTGCGTCCAGGGCTTGGATTTCCTTTTTGGCCTATAGCCCTACCAGAAAAATTTGTTTTTCACATTTTCGGAATGGGCAACCTCGTTCTCACAGCCTCAAGCAAGGCCGCAGAATTCCTAAATCTGCGCACTCAACACTGGAGCAAGGTTGTAGATTGCAAGGAGGAGGCAACCAACAGAACAGGCTAGCCATTAAGTTGGAGTCCTGTAGGCGGAAGTCGCAAAGCGGAGGAACCTTCGGATCTGGGTGACTGCGTAAACAATAAGGGCTTAGCAGCCGTTAATCTCCTAATTAAGATTAATTAAGACTGGTTTAGCCAATGCTTGACTTTAATTCAGCAAGCAGCCCTTAAAAGATCCACAAAATTTACTGAGTCGAATTCCAGTTCATCCAGAAGCCATTGCATTTATACATTGAAAATTGTAAAAGGAAGCCATACAGGAATTATTCAATTTGTAGACTTAGCTGGCAGTGAACGAATAAGCAAAAGTAAAGTCAGTGGAGATATCTTAAAAGAAACTTTGCTAATCAACAAGTCTTTATCAGCACTGCAAGATGTAATTGCAGCACTAGAAACCAAGCAAAACCATATCCCTTACAGAAACTCTATGCTGACAAGAATTCTGCAGCAGACTTTAGGAGGTGAAGAAAGCATGGTAACTGTAATTTTAAACTGCAATCCTTGTGAAGAAAGTTCTGGAGAAACTGTCTGTACATTAGCACTAGGCACTAGGCTTAAATCTGTAGATTTAGGATATTCAATTAGAAAAAACCTAAAAAATGAAGAAGTAGAAAGGACTCTTAGGCTGCTGGAAAAAGAAAGGGCTGATAAAAATACAATTTTAAGGAAACTAGACAAGCTAGAAAGAGATATTGAAAGCTACCAATATGCCATAAAAGATAGGGACTCGAAAATCGGAGGACTTATAATTAAAATGAAAAATAAAGAAAAACAGCTTACAGAAGAAAATGAGAAATATAGAAAAGAGCTAGTTTTATTGAAAAATTTTCAAGATGAAGCAAATAAAAAGCTGAGAATAATAAAATCTCATGCAGAAAATGAAGCACAAGCTAAAAATAAAGCTCTGCAGCAGCTTAAGGTGAAAGATGTGAATATTAAAAGAGTGCTTAGCGCAAGTCCACTGGCGTTGAGAAGGCCTCCAACAAAATATCAGCCGATTCAGACTGCAAACCAGTCTACGCCTTCCAGAATCCCTCGACCTAAGTTCCGAGAGAGCTCAGCTGAGTCTTACTCGAAAAACGGCACAAATCACTATAATTTTGCACTTTAGTCCAAAAATTAATTCTTAACACATAATTGTAAAAGTCTATTTAACGAAATTTTTCAGCTTTTCCAAAAACTCTACATACTGATGCCTCTCTTTGTCAGGGGAATATGCTTCAAGAAAAGCTACAAGCTCTTCATCAATTCCATGGTCTTTCAAATAATCAGTCATCCTTAACCTCAAATTGCTGTCTATATTTTCAAAATTCCTTCCTTTATACCTATAATCAACAGCTGAAATATCTTTCGATATCTCTGTATCATGTGTAGAATAAGCTTTATGAATGATCACCTCATTTATTTTTGTCGAGCATTCAAAAACCATCCCAGATTTCGCATCAGGCTTTTTTATAACTACAATGAAATCAACTGAAGTTTTATGAAAATCTGGAGATAATTTGAAAGGAACCTTTTCATCTTCTTTGTCACTAAAAGTCTTTCTTATGCCTTTTTCTTCAACTAAATCAGAAATTTGTGGCAAATTCTTTTCTTCTTTGAAGACAATCTTGGCGTTGAAGGAAACAACCACGTTTTTACCGTGAGAAATTTTTGTGAGTAAAATTTGTGTGGAGTCTTTGATGTCGGTCAAGGTGAAATCTCGATCTTTTAGGAATCGAGGGATCGCTTCGTTGATTTTGTAGTTCTCGTTTTCGTGGACGAGTTCTTTGTCGATTGACCTTTGTAGGCGATTAAAAGTGGAAAAGTTAAAATGAGGGAGCCTTTTGAAGGGAGAAATGATAGAAGGAAATAGCCTTTTTATCATTTCTTAAATGAATAATATAATTATATTGTTTATGATATTAATGATATTAGCAAGAACTTTTGATCATTATCTTATTTTAGGTAGAAAAGATGCAGTTAAACTAATTTTGAAATATAGAATAGACCAGAGAACCTGAATTAATTTTATTAATTACCACATTGGCTGCTCTGATTTCAAATGCAGCAGGTAGCGGATTCTTATTTGATCAGTGTTGTAAACGATATATTCGTTCATATTTAAACTCCAGTATGGCTCATTATTAGGCTTTTCTTGTTCAATAATAGGGCCAAGCGGTACTTCGACACCATTTGGTAAATAGATACTCTGAGTGCAGTCTGGGCCTTCTTGTCCTTTCCCAAGAGTAGAAAGGAACCCTTCAGGAAGTTTCTCTACATATTCAGATTGATATCTATCATAAGTCTTCCCAAGCACAACCTCACACAAAAGCATGAAAAAGCTTGTATCTCCAGCTTCTGAATGAGCATATCCCAAGCTTTTCATAAACATGTCTGCAAAATATACACCTTTTCCAAACATCCAGCCCATATTAGGCACTTCAGGGGGAGCAATTCTTAGTCCTTGAGTTAAAATCCCAATAATATTCGCTGATCCAGTTCCATGCCATAATAGCTTTCTTTGCTCTATATTTTTGAATTTTTCTATTTTTTCAGCTTCACCTCTTCTATTTACCTGGAACAAGCCTAAAATTTGTGTATCATCGCCTCTTCCTGCTTTCATATATTTCTCAATAACGTTAAATTCTGGACTTTTAGAGTCTACAAGGTTTAAGCTTGTATTCAAGGCAAGATATGTATAGTCAAGAGGATTGATAGAATCCTGACTGTTAATGGCACCCAAAATAATTTTGCTTGCAATTTGGATGTTTTTTAAGCTGTCAAGAGTATCAAGTTTGGCTTTAACATCTAAAGGGGCTAAAATAGGGCTAACTGCAGTGTGCTCAAATCCAGGAGATGGTATTAATTCATAATATCTGCTTGATAAGTCAGAAATTTCTTGTTTGATATCTAGATTTTTATCAACATCCTGAGAATCTCTGAGCTCCCCAACCAAAACAGCAATTTTCCTTATAATTTCTTCAGCTTCTAAAATAGTTTCTCTTGATATTGAAGAAAAGTTGAGAACGTTGACATCAATTCCTGACTGATCAAAATAGCTTCTATATATTGAATTCTTTGTAAAATGCTTTACCGCTACTTGCAGCTCTTCAACTAAATTGCTATTTGGAGCTCTTTCTAAATCAAAATCATTAATAAAGTCCTTATGACTTATTTTCTTTTTCGCGAATTCAACCTTTACATATTTTCCTTTAATTCTTACAAAGTCTTCTCTCCACTCATTGCCAGATTTTGACTTAAAAATCTTTTTAAACTCTGTTTCTGCTTCATTTCTATCAGCAAAAGGCGTCCTCTGGAAAGCTCCTACTTCTCCAATCCTTCCCCATCTGGTGAAAATGATATAGTTATCTCTATTTGTGTCATGCAATAACTGCATTCTATAGAAAAGATATTGAGAGTAAGGGCCATATTGAAGATCTACCTTGGTCATGTATAAGTCATAGTCGTCAACCACTTCATAATAGTCAGGGAAGTCCTGTGTGTTGTCTGGAAGTCTCTTTATTTTTTCTTCTTTAACAAGCTCTGACTGCTTTTGTAGATATGACTCAGCGTCTTTTTCATAGTCCACCTCCATGCTGGGCTCAAAAACAGAAAGTCTTCGTTCTGGGTACTCTGAAACCTTGAATCTGTGGGCTTCAAGCAGCTTGGCCATTCTTCTTGACCTTTGTAAAGCTGCCAGACAGAATGGTGACCATCCTTCATTATCAAATTTCCCTGCGTTTATCTTTGAGCTTATAAGGAGTTTTAGTATATCTATATTTTCATAAGAGCCATATTCTAAAGGCTGCACAGCATAGTGGGCTGCGTTTCGTCCTTTCTTATCAGAATGGTTTATGTCAAGTGAGCCTTCTTTAATTAGTGCTTCTACCATTTTTATATCATTGTTGATTATAGCTAGCATCACTGCATTCCTTCCTAATTCCCAAGTTAAATTGGAAAAAATATAAGTAAAATTTAACTTTTTAAACTGGGAAAATTTTATATAAAAAAATTTCTATCTCAATAGATATGATACCTATTCTAATGTGTAGAATCGAAAATATATCTATATCTTACTTTATTTTAAAGGATAAATTAATATTTTTATAAAAATTAAAAAAATTTTATTATAATTTTTTTTTAATCAAAAATTGACTCCACCTTTAAAAGATTTTTTATTTTAATTTAAAGGTGGAAGTAAGCTGTCCACTTCAGTTAAAGAGCATCCATTTTGCAGTAGAAAAGTTATTAACCTCGGAGGGCCTTTCTGAGAGATTGCATGAAGAATTGGGGTCAGATCAATTCCGTCTTCTCTGAAAGTAAAAGACAAGGATGCCCCATATCCTCTGAAAATCAAGATCATTTGTTCTGATGTCAATATTTTGCTTCCTTGCAATGCATATGCTAATGGCACAATTCCATTATTATCAGGCAATGCATGATTTGAGCCTTTTCCTAATAAAAATTGGCACAATGAGCGATATCCAGAAGCAGCAGCATAATGAAGAGGTGTTTTGCCTTTATTGTCAACTGCAAATAAGTCAACTCCTCTTTCAAATAATTCATCACATATAATTTGTGTGATTTCTTGGTCAGCTGCAGATCCTTTGATGGCTAATGTATGGAAAAGATTTTGCCCATCCTCATTTATTTCCTGTAGCTTTTTGTCGTCCCCAACCTTGGCAAGCAGAGTTTTGACTAGTTTAAATTTCATTTCGTTCATCGCGTCTTGCATTGCTAGCATATAAGGATAGCCATTGTATAGCATTAAATAAGCAGCACCTTGCCAACCTTGTATTATAGCAGCTCGAAACATGGAATAAGTGCCTTGTGGTAGTGAGGAGTTTGTGGATGGCTTTGTAGGTCGTGCCCTTGACATTCCTCCAAACATACCTGATCGCGCTGTTTGTTTGGTTCTTGCTCCTCCAAAAAGCCCGAGCCTGTTTTCTTCTACTTCTTCTTCATTTTTTTCTTCTGCTGGCTTAATTATTAGCAGCTTATTCACATTTGCGTCTTTTTGTATAAGCATAATTGCATAGTTTGCATGGCCAAATTTAATAGAAATTCCTAAAGAGGTGTTTCCATCTTCATCTTCTGTATCAATTTTCGCTCCTTTTGCTAGCATAAACATGGTTGATGTCAGTGCTCCCCTTTGTGCAGCATAATGGAGTGGTGTCTTTTTCCACTGGTCTTGGATATTTACGTTGATGTCTGATCTTGAGCAAGCTGAGCTTACAGTTTCAATAGGATCTATCTGGGATTTATCAAATGGTCTCCCAATTTTTACAAAAGCATAGTGCAATGGGCATCTTCCTCGGTTGTCCACTGCATTTATGTTAGCTCCAAAGTGGAGCAAAAGAGACTCCATGTCGAATGATGCGTCTGAGGTAGCTTCTGCAGAATTAATAGCAATATGGAGAGCTGTGCGGCCTTTTGGGTCTTTAAAATTCACACTGGCCCCTGCCTCACATAATTTTCTAGCGATTTTTACATTTTTCATTTCTACTGCTAACGTCAGTGGAGTTTTCCCAAGTTTTGAGGTGACTTCTATCATAGCCCGATTCTTAATAAGCAGATCTATTATATCTAGCAAATTATGCTGAATTGCTTTTAATAGAGGGCCTTCATTTTCGCAGTTATATATATTTGGGTCTGCATTGTGGTCTATCAAAGTTTTAATAGCACTTACGTGTTGGACTGCTTTCACAAATAGAATAAGCGGAGTATCACCATAAAAATCTCTTTGATTAATAGGGATAGGCAGAGATAGCAGAAAGTCTAGAAGTGGCTTTTCAGGCTTCATCGCTATAAGGTGAAGAGCATTTTGCTGGCCTTTGTCTCCGTACTCTTTATATTTCTTTGTACCATCAATATCAGTAATAAAAAATTTCCTTTGTTCTGATTGCCCATACCTATTATATACGCCACCAGCATCTTGAATCTGGCTTTCTTTTTCTTCTTGATAAATAAGGTCAGGATTTTCTTTGTATTTTAGCAATTTTTCAACTGTAGCAGCTGGGTTAGCTCCGTGGTTTATAAGATCGACAAGGACTCCTCTTATTATCTCTACTAGCTCTGCGAATTTTTCTTTGGACCTTCTTTCAAGTTCTTGGTAATTTAAATTTATAGCCTCAGAGTTAAAATTTTGGAAGAAAAGCGTAGGCTGAGCTTGATTTGATTGAAAACCCATAGCAGGGTCTGTAGGAGTCTGAACTAAATTAAATTGTCCCCCTATAGCCATTGCAGGGACTTGAGAAAACTGAGTTTGATTTAGCTGCCCCTCTGAGAGCATTGCAAGGCCTTGAGAAAAGTCTTCATTATTAATAAATGTTGCATTCTTAATACTCTTCGCCGGCCTTTTTGAAGTTATTTTTCCATGCACAACTTTATCACTAAAATCCACATCCTCATCTTCTTCTGATGATTCAGGAACAGGCTGCTTAATAGTCTTAGAAGGTCCTTTTCCACTTATTTTCCCATGCACTGCAGGTCTACTTGGTGAAGCTGTTTCCACCAGCATTTCGCCTTTTGCTATTTTCTTTTGCTCTTCCAGCTCATTCGTCATTATTTTTCTTTCTAAGTCATATATCTTTTGCCAAGCAGTTGAATGATTTGAAGCAAATTCATCAATAAGCTTTAAAAATGGGGTAAAACCATTATCGTCAACAATATCAATCGCAGCACTTACAACTCTGGGCATATTTAGCAACTGATGATACATTCCCAGAAAATCTGTATCCAAGCAGGCTAATTTATGGAAAATTCCTCCTCCGTTTTTGCTAGTAATAGCTAAATCTGCTTCTTTATGTATCAATGCTTGGAAGATTCTGATATTTTTTGCTTGCAGGGCATATAGTAAAGGAGTGTTTTCGCTTTTGCATTTTAAATTCACGTCAGCGCCAAACTCAATAAGCAGCTCAAGGGCTTCATGTTGGAAGTCTGAAGCTTGATCTTCCCAGTCTTTTATTTCATAAGGAGTCAAATTAGGAATCTGGCAAACAGGCTTTCCTTTTCTGCACAAATAATGTAAAGCAGTCATACCATTTCGATCAGCAATATTGGGGTCAGCTCCTTTTTCTTTTAATAAAAACTTGATCTGAGATAAAGTTTCTATAGAAAGCATTTCTATGGCTTGAGAAAGCAGGGTTCTTCCTTCTTCATCTTTACAGTTTACATCACAGTTTGGCTCTTTTAAAAGTCTGTCAACACAGCCAGTTTGCCCCATTAGCATTGCTACTAATAGAGGCTGCAGCTTTCAGTCATTAACTGCATTGATGTCAGCTCCAGCTTGGATTAATAAATCAATGCACTCTATCCAGCCATAAGCAGCGGCATAGTGAATTGGATAATTTTTAGACGAGTCTGGGTCATTAAAATCAGAGCCGTTTTGTAATAAAAGGCTAACAACCTTTGCTTGGCCGTTTTTCACTGCTAGGGTTAATGCAGTTCTTCTGCATTTATCTCTTTTAAGAACTTTAGCTTTGTTATCAATGAGTACTTGAACACACTCAAAATGTCCCTGGACTGATGCTAGCATCATTGGGGTCTTTCTGTCAGGGCCAGGCTGATCTACAGTGGCTCCATGCTCAAGTAAACATTTTATCATCTCAATGCATCCATATTCTGCTGCATAGTGTAAAGCAGCATATCCTTTTTTATCCTTAATATTAGCATTTACTCCTTTTCCAAGCAGAATTTCAGCATTTTCCACTCTATTTAGTTTAGCAGCTACCATTAAAGGAGTCATTTTATCTCGACTCATATCATTTGGGTTCATTCCATGATCAAGCAAAACTTTGAGAGGCTCTGCAGAGGTACAAGCTGCTGCGTAATGGATGGATTTTCTGCCTTCCATGTCTGGGTAATTAATGTCATCACATTGTGAGATCAACTCTTTAAGGTGGGTGGAGTCAGGATTTATGCATGCACAATGGAGTGGAGCAACTAAGTAATTCATTATTGGCTTTTTGGTGATGGAAACCTTTTTGAATGGAGACAGTGGGCCATCTTTAAAAACTTCTTCATGGAGCATGTTAAAGCCATATCCACCATTTTTTATTGCAAGGGCCATTAAGTACGAAGAAAGTGCTATATTGCCGGCTCGCACGCATTCACCAACAGTACCACATATAGTATTTTCAAAGTTAGGAATCATCGTTCTCAATAAGTTCAGGATATTTTCTGAGCAGTTACTTAAATATAGCCTTTCTAGCCACTTCACATCGTAAACAAGTTGATTTATATGATCATTCTGTGGGATATCCCCAAGAAATGCATTATTTCCTTCTCTTCCCCCTCGAGACATCTGAACTTTTCTTGTCATAACCCGTGTCTTCACACGAGGTCTACTCCATAACGACTATTTTTTTTTGCCCTATTTTTTTTTTGGCCTATTTTTTTTTGGCCTATTTTTTTTTGGGCCTATTTTTTTTTGGCCTAATTTTTTTTGCCTATTTTTTTTTGGCCTATTTTTTTTTAGCCTATTTTTTTTTGGCCTATTTTTTTTTTTGGCCTATTTTTTTTTGGCCTATTTATTTTTGCCTATTTTTTTTAGGGTCTCTATTTTTTCTGTCGAGGATAATTCATGAAGCTGCTGAGAGAACTAAATAATTATTGGGTAACGGATGTATTTCCTTACACGATTAATATTGAGTAAATTAAGTGGAAAAATCCTAATTAAATTTAAAATTTCTCGAAATTTAAAAAGCAATGAATTAGCATTATTGAAGTAAGAGATCTGTTAAAGGTGTATTTTATGTTAATAAAATCGTTTAAAATACATTAAAAGTCATATTAAAATCATTAGTATGAAATTAGGCCCAAATATTAGTAAAAAATAGCTAAAAAATGGCCAAAAAAAAGTCAAAAAAAAAGTCCAAAAAAATAGGTCAAAACAAAATAGGCCAAAAAAAAATAGGCCAAAAAAACATAGGCCAAAAAAAATAGTCGTTATGAAATATAGAGGTTTCCTCTATATAGCGCTGAAAGCGCAGACATTTTCCCAGGAGCTTTCCAAGTTCGTCGGACCAAATCGCTTTTTGGTCCGACCAAGGCATTGATTTGGTGCAACCAACCGATAAATTCCGATCAGAATTTATCAGCCTTACAGCACCAAACATAGGAAACTTCTATAGGCCAAAAAAAAATAGGCCAAAAAAAAAATAGGCCAAAAAAAAATTAGGCCAAAAAAAAATAGGCAAAAAAAAAATAGTCTTTATGGAGTAGACCTCGTGTGAAGGAACCGTCATAACCCCATAGGCTTCAATGCTTACACTTCCAGTGCCTACTTGGGTTATCCCAACTTGAGGAGGATGGGCGCGCTTTATTGTGGGGGTTATTACTTCTTTGACTATTTCTTTTACGAATTGATCATTATTATTCATAATTGCAAGCTCTAAACCAGTGACTCGGCAGTCGGCACTTCATGGAGCTAGAATTGAACTAATTTTTTCTTTTGAGTTTAAAAGTTTTTTAAATAAAGCTTTGTTGTTGGTTGCACAAGCCCTGTGGAGATTTTTGTTGTTCATTAGGACGGATACGTCGAAAAATGGATCGTTTGAAGGATCTAGCATGTGCTTGGTAAAGTCAAGGACTTGGACTGCTGGATTGTATTTGCCTTTTTTGTAGGTTGTGGGGAGTTTTGGGTTTTTAGCCTTTTTTATAGGCTTTGCTGCTTTTTGAGATTTTGCAGCAGTTCTTTTTTTAGGTTTGACGTCTTCTTCACTGAAGTCTTCATCCATCGGATCTGCCCTTCTTGGTTTTTGAGTTTTTGCTGCTGGCTTTTCTTCTTCGCTCTCTTCCTCGCTTTCTTCTTCATAACTTAACTCATTCTTTACAATTTTCTCTGGAGATTTCTTTTTTGCTACTTTGGTTTTTTGAGACTCTTCTATTGATTTTGATCTGGTAAGTCTTGCATTTGCTGCTGGCTCTACTTTTTTCTTAACAGGTGAAGCTTTTTCATTTTTCTTTTCTTCTTTTGGCTTTGGCGATGCTGATTTTTTAGCTATTTTCTTCACAGGCTGTTTAATTTCTTCTTGCTCTTCTTCTTCTGACTCATCTTCTTTGCCATCAATTGTGAGCTGCTTATATTTTGTTTTAAATGTATTTTTGACGTCTTGCAGCTGCTTTTTGGTTATCTTGAAAAATTTCCCGTCTTTTTTGAGCACAGCCTCCATTATAACGTCACCTATAGGAATTCTTTCTTCCTTAAGCTTCTGGTATTTATTTTCTTGACCCGCCTCTTTTAGTGTAAGTGCCAGAAATGATTGGTTTTTGGCTAATACATCTTCTAGAGCGATGCAGAACCTGAATGAATTATTTGCTTTAATTGCTAGCCCTTCATCTTTTTGGTATAGGATTTTTGGAGCTTTTGGTTGCGATTTTGACTTGGAGGTTTCATTGCGGGCTTTTTGAGCACGCCTTGGTCGATCTGCCATATTTTAATTATTTAATCAGGGCTCTTTGATGCTAAAGACAAAAATATTAATAACTAATCCATCCTTCAAACACTTCAAATTCATTATTTCTAATTTTTTAAAATGAATTATTTATCTGTATGCTTTCCACTTAATTTCTGCTGTTTTCTTCCTTCTTCCACTATTTCTCCTTCAGCTGCTCTTCCTCTTTTCTTTTTTACCTCAAAGCAAGGATTAAAATTCCCAAACGACATGCGTGTTGTATTTTCCTCATCCAAGATTTCCGATTTTTTATCATCTTTTACATTCTTATAAAGATGCTTTAGGCTTCACTTTTCCTCTTCTTTTATAACAATTTTCTTACTCCCCCCGTGAGTGAACAAAAAAATTTTGTTCACTTACGGAGGGAGGGGTTAATTTTTTTTTTTTTTAAAAAATTTATATATAAATTTTATAAAAAATATTTTTTTTCTAAATTTAAAAAAATCCTAATACGCAAAAATTGGAAATCAAATATTAATTTAATTTAAAAAATTTATGTCTTAAGAAGCAATTTGTCTAAAATTAAACAGAATTAGCACTATATTTCATTATGTTAATTATCACTTATATATCAAAATTTTTGTTCACTCCGGAGGGTGGGTTTTTGGGCAAAAAATAGCGATTTTTCTAATGGTTTTGTTTACTAACGGAGGGGGGGAGTTATTATTTTCTCCTTCTGCGTTATTTTTGGTCATGAATTTCATCTTCAGGACCTTGTGTGAAATATTGGTCTTTTTGTTACTCATAATTAATTAATGCAAAAATTGCCTCCAACGCCTCTAATTTTAAGCATAATAGAAGGAGCCAATCTGCATTTATTAGCTGATTTTAGCATCAAGCCTTTTATAATTTTCCAGAACGGCGATAAACACTTTAGGACAGGAGTAGGGATCGCAAAGGGAGACATGAAGCATCTGTGAAATCAAGAGATTGAAATCTTTTTGGAGCCTTCCCAGCCATTAATCGCATCACTTTATACTACTGATGAAGACGGAGAATATGAAGTAGGGAGAATCACGTTTTTGTATAATGATCTCGTTGAATATGGGGAAAAAGCTAAAGATATGTGGGTTGCTTTTGGGTCAGAAAATAAAAAATCGTCAGGGAATATTGCGGGAATTTTGAAAACAGGGTTAATTAGCAATTTAGGAGAGTCGCCGCAGCTGCATATATATGTAAAGATTTCGAACTATATATTGAAAAATGAATTGAATGTTAGAGTCAGCGATTACCGGATAATTATAAGAGGTGAAGATGCCTTTACGCTATATCAGGTTACAGTAAATAAGATAGATGGGACCAATTGAAATTTAGAATTGAGATATTCAGATATCTCTGCGTTGAGAAGTGAAATTATTAGAGTTTATCCTGAGCTAAAGAAATTTCCTTTTCCCAAGAAAACTTATTTTGAGTGACTTGCGTGTGTGTGGCCAAAACTAGGAAGATTTGATATTAGAGTAATTGAAAAACGAAAATCCTCGATTGAAGACTTACTAAATTATTTGCTAGAAATTTCTGATAAGTTTGATACTGGAAAATTAAATAGGCTACTAAAACTCAATTAGAAAAAACATTACTGGCTAAACTAATTTAAAAATAGAAATACCACGAATAAAATTATTTCTATATCTCATAAGCAATAGATATAATAATTAATTACCTTCTTCAGAGGAAACCATAGCTTTGAATATTTGTTTTTCTTTGTTTTTATACCTTGCTACTTTTTTATCTAGCTCTCTCAGCAGCTCTTGTGCTTCAACATTACTTGAGTTTTGCTCAAGAATTTTCTGGACTTCTTTTCTGCAATCATCAATTAAATCTCTTTTAAAAAATACTTGAGCCCTCCTAAATAGCGCTTTAGGATGATTTGGCTGAACTCTTAAAGCTTGCCCTGCATGTGTTAAAGTTTCATCCAGCTCGTCCATATGGAATTTTGCTAAAGACATATTTAGGTGCAAAGTCAATTCCAGTTCTTTGAATTTATCTTCTTCAGAAGGATTTTCTGGGAAAGTGTAGTCTAATTGTAGTAAACCTTTTCTATAAAACAGCGCAGCTAACTCCCCCCTCCGTGAGCGAACAAAACCATTGGAAAAATCTCTATTTTTAAAGCCCACCACCCTTGAGCGAACAAAAATTTTGTATGAAAAAAAATATTTTTTGATATATAAGTGATAATTATTATAGTGAAATCTCTAGCTAACTCTGTTCATTTTTAAACAGCACGCATTTTAAAACTAATTTTGTAAATTAAATAAATTTTACTTCTCAATTTTTGCAAATTGAAATTCGACCAAAAAATTTACTACAAAATTGTTTGATCACCCACAGAGGGGCGAGTAAGGAATAATTTTTCTCTTTGAAGGCATCGTTTCCTTGCTTTTTAAATTGTGAAGCAGCTTCTAGCTTTTCTGGATTGGGTCTTTCAAATAATTCGATTTCTTTTCTGTGATCTTGAGAGCACATTGTTTTGGCATATTCCTCTTTTTTCTTTTCTTCTTCCTCTTCGTCTGCTTTGAACTCTTCCCACTTTTTATAATCTGTTAATCCAATTTTTCTTCCTGGACCTTCGACAGGCTCTCTGGGTTCTCGCTCTATTACTGGCTCTTCTTTTTGTGGCTTAGGATTCATTAGGTCTAGTGCTTTTCTGGCAAAATCTCTTACGTAAATTGGAGTTATCACGGGTTCCATATTACGAAAAATATAATTATGTTTTCAATAAGTAGGAAATGAGCCAAATAGCTTCTGAAAGCATTATATATATATTTTTTTACAGTCTTAATGGAAAAATATTTACTAATAAACCTGAAGTTATAAATAATTGAAGGTTTATAATTTTATCATTCTATGAAATTTATAAGCTTGCTTTAAGAGATTTGATCATATTTACAATATGCATAATTTAAGTAAGAATTATGATATTTTATAATTAAATATGGTGATGATAGCTTATGACCGCTCGATTACCTATGAGAGCTTCTCCTTCCACTGATTTATAAAACTTTATTGATGGCTAAATTAGATTAGGAAGTTTCTTTAAAGTTCTCACTTTCTGAGCACCATGCATTCCACAGTGATCGCTCCGGAGAGCAACACGCAAGACTTTTGAAGCCCAGGCTGAAACTCTCGGTTATAAAATTCATGTTTTAAAAACGCAATTTGTTTAAAATTAAACAGAATTAGCTCGAGATTCATTATAATAATTCTCAGTAGTTACGGATTTTGCTCGATAGCACAGTTTCCAACTTAAAAATCACTATCAGCCAACCCTACTTAGCTCAGACCAGATCGTCCCTTTATGGGACCTTTTCAGCTGGAGAGACTTTTAGCTCTCGAAGTCTTATCTATCCCAGGAATTGCTCCGAAAGAAAGTCTCAACATGTTTGCGCTTGCAAGTCGCTCTGACTCTATCGGGCGCCTGCTGCTCTGGGCCTAGGTGCTAGTCAATAATCAGGGAAATCGTGCTGGGCATATCGCTTCGAGGCTGACATACTTTTGGGTAGCTTCTTGCGCCAAAAAAATCAGGTATGCATAAGGACACCCACTACAGGGAGGATGGGTTGCGCATCTCTAGCCATTTTATGCAAATACTTTATTGATGATAAGAGAGCACTTATTAGTGATGTCTATTACTCTCTACTGCCTTCCTGCTGAATTTATTGATTCAATATTTACTTATAGGATAAGTCGAAGTTTGGATAGTCAATGCTATCTGAATCAAAATTGTCCGAAATAGAGGGAGCCCGGGTGACAAGCGTTCCATTGAACCTATGTCAATCACAAGCTCGTATAACTCTTCCAATCAATTTCATGTAAATAGATTAATAATAAATATAATTTCTCTTTAATTAAATCTTTTCTATTGACTATATTTTACTCACAAAAATTTTCTGATACATTTATATTAAAAGAAATATATTTTATAAAAACTAATTATCATCTAGAAGCAATAATAAATTTACTTAAACTCATAGGTTTGAGTGAAATAATTATTCGTGTACAGAGGCCACCAGTTGTAAATCAAATAAGGCTGCAGCACTTGTTCACTCTCAAAAGTGTTGTTATTTCTTCTTGCTTCAGAGACAAAGAAATTCGACAAATAAGTCGAAGCCTTAACGGAATAAAAGTCATGAGGCTGAGGAGAAGCAGGAGACCACTCATAAATGTTCTTCTCTGGGTGGAATTGAGTCCCGTAAATAGGGTAATCTTTAGCCTCTATCATTGCTATACCTTTTTACTCTCTGCTTTCTGCTAATCTTACAATCCAACTTTAGATTTTATCTAGCTGAAACTATTTTGATTCTAATTTTTTATAATTTTCAGTAGACTATCTAACTCCCCCTCTGCGAGCGAACAAAAACATTTAAAATCCCTATTTTTCGCAGAAAACCCATCGCAGTGAGTGAAGAAACTTTATTATGGAAAAGGATTTTGATATTTAAGTGAAAGTTTTATTAGCTAATTCTGTTGAATTAACGTCTGCATTTCAAAATATAAATTTTTGCAATTTAATGTATTTTTGCTTTCCAATTTTTGCAATTGGGATTTTAATTCGAAAAATAAAATTTATATTTAAATAAAAAACAATATTAATTCACCGTGGTGGATATTAATGTATACAGGCAGAGGATTTCTTCATAATACTTGGGACATGGAATTTTTCCTCCTGATGGAATTGGGAGAATAGATATGATCCCTACTAGAATTAAGGACTCTGAAGACAGCAGGTGCCTAGCGAAATATTGGGAGCTTCCCCCAGATCCATTGCCTAAAGAAGCCAGAAGCCCTGAAATCGATTCAGGTTATGGAGCCTGAAGTAAGGCCGTAGTGTCATCCGGGCGTCTTCGGCTGCGGATAAGCTCACAGAGGTAGAAATCCTCGGCCGACTCTAAGCAAGGCAGTTAGTTCAATTTAATTTAACCCCTCCTAAGCAAACCAAATTGTTTGTTCACTAACAGAAGGAGAGGGGATCAAGGTAAATACCTATACAAACGGGTTTCCGCTTTTATCATGCATAACACTGAGCACATCAAAGAACTCAGTCAAGTTATTCTGGTAAGAATACATAGAAGTCGAAATTCCATTTGAATGAGAAAGAAGCGAAGTTTGTTTTTCTGTCATAACTCTCATCATGACTTCTCCATATCTTCTGCCAATGTTATTGAAAATGCGGCTTGTATAAGCTTTCTTGGTGAAGTTGTTAGCTCTGATATATGGAGGCTCACCATTGAAGTTTCCAAGTGTGGCGTATTCAGTGTTTTCGCAGATTTGGATGGTTTCGAATCCTAAGCAAGTTGCCCAAAGAGGGTAATAAATGCCATTGTCGTTAGCTTGTTTGACTAAGTTGTAAAGGTAGCAAGCTTTTGCTGCGTAGTCAGGGCCTAGGGTTGGAACTGGGTAGGTGCTGTTATCAAATAAATTTGCAGTACCCCCGGTAAAAAGGATGCCATTGAGTCTGGTAAATAAATAATTCAGCTCTTCATAGCTGTGGTCTGACCTAAGAGGGACAACTCGTGCGCCTCCCATTTCGACGTAACGATGACCCCCCCCTCTCAATCTTCATGTTTATTGCAACAAAAATTTTCGAAAAAATCTTCATGCCTACTGCAATACAAAATTTTTTATAAAAAAAATTAATGCATTTTTCTTTAGGTGAGTTTCTCAAAAAAAAACCATACAACAGCGCTGCTGTAGGCGTGCCAATGACCTTCTCATAGAGATTTGGACGGCTATTGTCATCGCTCGCCATTTTATTAAACTTATTTAGCTAAAAAGTACGGAAAAATTTAAGATTCGCATCGAAAATTTGTTGTACCAAAAGGTTTTACCGCTTTTCGACTCCAGCCCACAGGGTCTATCCCTCTTACGAGTGCCCTTCCGTACCTTCTGTCTCCTCCTTGGCTTGCGGCTTCAGATTTGAGTGGCGGCTTATGGATTCTGCAGCCCTGCTACGGGCAATTGGAGTAGCTTGATTCCAAGGATCAGCTCCTTGGAACCTATCGGGTGTCAAAGTACCTTCCTTCGACTGCTACAGGAAAAAGACTGTTCCCTTGTGGCATGGGCAGAAACCCCCAGTTTCTCGGTAGAGGAATGCCCATGGGTCCTCGGATCCAAAGGACGTTGTTGAGCACCTCCATTTCCAACCACATGAAAGCAGCCAAAACCTACCCGGATACACACTTCTTGAGCCTGTGTCTGATTCTCGGCTCGGAGTCCGTCCCAGTTCGCCGTATCCATAAGGTCTGGGCTGCTGCGCCAAGAGCAGGTTGACACGTGTCGCCATTTTAATGTATATAATTTGTTGCAAGAGACATGAAAATTATTTTTTTTTGTTATATAAAATTTTATATTAAAAAATTGCATTTTTGTTGCAATAGACATGAAGATTGAGGGGGGTCATCGTTATTTAACATAAGAAGCAGCAATATAAGTTGTTGCTGTGGTATTCCAATTATTGTATGGGAAAATTGGGATTGTGAGGATCCCAATAACTGGTCTGGTTATATTTTGCTCTGGGACGATTAGAGAATCCTCATCAAATTCGTGATCACCCCACCTATGAAGATCTGGACGAAGATAACTTCCATTAGCAAGGAATAGCGCAACCAGGAAAACCAACAGTTTGTTTACCATTTTATCAACAAGTATGTTCAACTTTTAATAAAGAGATTTCATCAGATGTCATAGAATTTGAAAGAGAATAGTTTAGTTTATATTAGTATAACCATGAATATTTTAATATTATTTAATGGCCACTTACAAAGGGTAAAGGCTGGCTAAGCCTAAAGAGATTATAAAGCTCATTTATCATGCTAATCATTTTTATTTATCTAAGAATAAAAGCATTATAATTTGAGAAAGCTAAAAGTTTTCTTAATCCTGACATATTTGCTTTTATAAGAAATCAGCATTTAAAATAAGCTATTTTTAATAAAAATTAATGAAATTATTCATTTATAGGAATTAGACAAATTCAATTTAAAATTCAAAATGTCAGGGAACAATTCCCACAAGAGTATCGATTCCATTTCCTCTCAAAAAGGTTTTCTTTGTGTCCCATCTGATACCTCAGCAACAATTTCAATATCTCAAAATATTCCTAAATACAAACTCTCAAAAACTTATAATAGCCCAAATCCTACCCCCGTCAGAGGAAGAAGGTCAGTTCCTCAAAATAAGCGGCAAGAAAAATCCATTGACACCAACATTCCAAAAGGCCTCAACGATATCTCCAATATTTATCAAGACTCCAATTCTTATCGCAGCGCCAGCAGTAGCCAAAAAAGTGAAAAAATTGACCTATTGATCGACAAATACAAAAAAGACATAAACAGCCAAGCACAGCGTATGCAATACATTAAAAGAAACATGCAGGAATATGACCAAAATATCAAAGGCTTACTTGCACACAAAGCTCAAGATGAAGAAAAAAGGAAAATTTTGAACGAAACTGAAACGAAAAACAAAGAGCTTAAGAAGAGGCTTAAAAGCTTGACTGAAAGTGAAGAAGAAAGAGTTAAATCGGAAAATAAACATCTGCATGGTTATTTGAATGACAATTTAGAAACCAAAACAAAATTAGAAAGCGAAATAAAACTTTTAAAGCAGGCTAACAATGAATTAGAAAATCTACCTCAATTTCCTTCACAAGAAGAACTTTTGCATAAAAATTTTGAATTAAAGCAGAATTACACCCAGCTTAGCTCAAGCTTAAAACAGCTGAAAGAAATAACGATAAGCCAAGAAGAGTGCAATAAAATTCAGAATCAATTAAAAGACCTTGAAGGCATGCAAAACCAGCTGATAAATGAAAATAATAATTTGAAGAAAGAGCTGTATCAGGAGCAACGTCAACAAATAGTTGGAAAAGACTCTGCCATTCAAAATAGAGCATATGCCAGAGAAGTCGCGCTAGTAAAAAAAGAACTTTCATTGCTGAAATGTTTGGCTAAAAGCATATTTACAGGACAAAATGTAAATTTAAGCTTTATATTAGGCCCTGGCCCAATTACTGAGCTGGAAGGAAAGTCGATAAGTGAAGGGATTCAAGGCGTTAAAGAAGAACTCTCTGAGATTAGACAGCTAGTCTCAGAAATTAGCACTGAAACTTCAGACAAATCATGCTCTATACATTAATAAACTTTATTTAAATATACTTTTTTAATGGAAAAACACCTCACTCCCCCCCCCCTCCGTGAGCGAACAAAACCATTAGAAAAATCGCCATTTTTTGACCAAAAACCCACCCTCCGTGAGTGAACAAAAATTTTTTTTATAGAAAAAATTTTAATGGAAAAAAATTTTGATATATAAGTGATAATTAGTATAATGAAATCTAGAGCTAATTCTGTTTAATTTTAAACAAATTGCGTTTTAAAACATAAATTTTGCAAATTAAATTAATATTTGCTTCCCAATTTTTGCAAATTAGGATTTTTTTAAATTTCGAAAAAAATATTTTTTATAAAATTTATATATAAATTTTTTTTAAAAAAAAAAATTTAACCCCCCTCCGTGAGCGAACAAAATTTTTTTGTTCGCTCACGGAGGGGGGGGGGGGGGAGTCAGGCATCAGCTAGAGCTACTTCAAACAGAGCACAAAGCTGAGGAAGAGGAAAACTACACACACAGGACAAAATGCAGTCACAAAGTGCTAGAAAATGAAGGTGTTTTAATTAAGAAATTAACTTGCAAAGGAGTCAAAGCCGGACTATTTGGCCGACTTTTAGTGAAATTAGCTAAACCGTTCGGAAAATTACCGACAAACAAGTTTGGAGCTGGAGACGTGGTAGGGATATTTTCCAGTGACATTACTGATCCTGAAGATGAAGGAATTGTTTATAAAATTTCTTCAGATCACATCATCATTGCATGTGATAGTTTTAGCTTACAAGAAGTCTCATGCTCTATTGTAATGCTTGCTAATGAAGTCACTTTCCAGAAACAGAGAAAAGCAATAGAAAACGTGCTTGCCTTGAAGACTGAGTCTCATGCGTATAATTTATCACAAGTGTTGCTTGGGGAGTCTGCTCCGAGGATAAAGCAGCCGGATAACATAGTGCAAATAATTAACCAGGATTTGAACCAAATTCAACAAAATGCTGTACAATTTGTGATGAATGAGTGCTTGGATGTAGGAATAATACATGGACCGCCGGGGACAGGGAAAACGACGACAGTTATTGAAGTGATATTGCAGGCTGTAAGTAAAGGGCTAAAAGTCCTTGCTACTGCATCTTCTAATATTGCTGTAGATAACTTAGTGGAAAAATTAGATGGAAAAACTAGCATATGCAGAATTGGGCATCCTGCAAGGATGATTCCTCACATAAGCAAGTATTCTTTAGACAATCTTTTAAAGCTGTCAGATCAAGCATCCCTTAATGATGATATCAACCGAGAAATAATGCAAATTAATCGGCAGCTCCAAGGATTAAAAGGAATTGCTGCAAGAGAGCTTAAAAGACACTTGCGATCTCTCGAAAAAGAAAAGAAAATGCGAAGCAACAAAGGAATTGATGAAGTTTTTTCCAAGAGTAATGTAATTTTGACTACAAATATATCAGCAGGACACAAATTCTTGCAAAAGTTCGCTGAAAAAATCAAGGGCTTTGATTTAGTTATAATTGATGAAGCCGCACAAGCTCTTGAAGCAAGCTGCTGGATCCCAATTTTGCTTGGTAAAAAATTAATTATGGCTGGAGACCACAATCAGCTGCCTCCTACCATCAAGAGTGAAAAAGCTGTCAAAGGAGGCTTAGATGTCACACTTATGGCAAGAATATGCAGGATTAATTCAGAAACAACAAGAATGCTTGAGTTACAATATAGGATGCATAGGCTAATTATGACATGATCAAGCCAAGAATTTTATAATGGAAGACTTCAAGCTGATCCTTCAGTCGCTGAGCATAGATTAGCCAATTATGAGCCTGGTCCTTTAGTATTTGTAGATACTAATGGTGCAGGGTTTAATGATGCTGGAAGTGCCTCTAAATACAATTTAAAGGAAGTTGATATTGTTAGGGACTTAGTGCAAGAGCTTCTGGAGGCTGGGGAAAAAGACATTGCGGTAATTACCCCTTATAATGCTCAGGTTGAATTATTGAAAAATTATATACAAAATGTGGAAATTTCAACTGTGGATGGATTCCAGGGCAGAGAAAAAGACGTTGTTATTATGTCACTTGTGAGGTCTAATAATAAAAAAGATGTCGGGTTTTTAAAAGACTTTAGAAGAATGAACGTAGCAATCACAAGAGCGAGAAAATTAGTTTGTCTGGTAGGAGACTCTGATACAGTTGGTAATTCCAAATCTCCTGAGTTTTTACAAAGGATGTGCCAATATTTTAACGCCAATGCAGAATTAAGGAATCCTAATTTGTTTAATATTGGTGCCACTAACCCGATAATAGTAGAAGATTTTGAGGAAGAAAAAATGCCTAACTCCGCTCCTCCGTGAGCAAACAAAAACATTTTGTTTGCTCTCGGAGGGGATAAATTTTTTTTCTCAATATTTTAAAAAAATTCCAATTCGTAAAAATTGAGAAGCAAAAATTAATTTAATTTGTAAAATTTATGTTTTAAAATGCAACTGTTCAAAAATTAAACAGAATAGCTTAAGATTTCATTATAATAATTATCACTTATATATTAAAAAAAATTTTGTTCGTTCACGGAGGGTTTTTGGGGCAAAAAATATGATTTTTCCAATGGTTTTGTTCGTTCATGGAGGGGAGGAAGTAAGAAAAAGTCAGATAAAAAACCAAAGAAAAACGTAAAAAGCCAAGCCCAGCAATTTAAAGAGTGGCATGAAGCTAAAATTCAGAGTAAAAATGATTTAAACCAAATTCTAGAAGAAGTTAAATCTTTTAAGCAAAATAAAAATGCTGAAGAATATATGGCAAGAGATTTAAATGGCTTTGAAAGAAAACAAGTCCATGATTTGTGTGAAAAACTAAAATTGTTCCATTACTCAAGAGGAAGCGGTAAAATTAAAAGCATTTTGATAATGAAAAATGAAATTCCTGATGATAACCATGAATTTGAAAGATTTGAAGATGAAGAATTAGAAGAAAGCGAAGAAAATGAGGAAGAAAAAGGTGAAAAACAAATAAATACTAATAAAGAAGAGGAAAAAAAAGAAGAAGATAAAGTTGTTGACATTAAAATTATCACAAAAGAAAAACCACAGAAAAATAAACTAATTAAAGCAGTTCCTGAAGGAGAAAATATTGATGAAATGGAATTTTTAGATCAGCTGATAAATCAAAATAAGTATTGCAACTATAAAGGTTGCAACAAGCCTATTGTAAATTTGATGCAAACATGCAAATTTTGCAGAGGAGTTTTTTGCTTTTCTCATGGCGTTGCAGAAGTTCATGGGTGTGGTGATGCTGCTCATCAAAGTGCAAGGGAAGGGCTTAAAGATACAATTCCAAAACCACATTATAGCTCAAGCTCTCATTTGCAAAAAGAAGAGCTTAAGAGAAGATTGAATGATAAAATTACAAAACTTCAAGAGAAGCAAAAGCCAAAAAATAAGAAAAAGAAGAAATAAAATTATTAATGATTGTGAAACCTTCCAAAAATAGCTGTTATAAATATCATGCATAAAAAATATTAAATATTTTTATTGTAGCTCAGGAGGGCTTTTAGCTGTCCTGAGCTACCAATTTTTCCTTCAACTTGTGGAGTTGGTTTGGAACGATAAGCTGCTATAATTCAACTCCACAATTAGGAAATACCATTTGTCAATTCATGGAGTTGGCTTGAAACTTTGTTTCTGAACCTACTCTAGAGCTGGAGGAAGAGTTGGTAGCAAAGACCGAGCTAAAAGCTGTCTAACACTATATTCAAAAATATAATTTATACTTGCAATAGAACATATAATATTAAAATATGTATGCTTCTTTGAATTGGTCTGGCTGGACACTTTTCTGGTGTGCATTTTGGAGTCGGTGAGCAAAGGCAAAGCTGCAAATTAGCAATGCCCAAGGATTAACTCCCTAGGTTAGAGCCACTTCTTGTAGATCCCACGTTAGTCCCGATAAGCAAAGACCTGTCTAGCCCATCTGGCGGAGCGGGAAAAACTTTCGGGGAAATAAAACTTCCAAGTCCTGGAGTCTACTTCAAAAAGTGATAGAGACACTATTTTCAGCTTTATTGGGACTGGTCTTACCTGCTCCATAAGGAGTGCGTACCTCGGAGTTCATCTTCCGTTAACTTCAGAATTTTATTTCTATATGCTATATTAAGGAATATATTTAAAATGTCTTTGCTTCTAATTTTTATACAAATAAGACTTATTCCAGAGAGCACTTTAAATTCATTTTTCAAATTAATTTATGATGAATTAACGTCGTATTTAAAAATGTCTGGATTGTCTGAGCGTAATACAGATGAAGAGAAAGAAAATTTTACTACAAACAGCAAAAACGGTAAAACTGGGTTCATGACTCAAAAAACAATTGACTTCAATTATAATGTGTCTATTTTAATAGCATCCTTAAAGCTAGAAGGCTTGAAACGAAAATTTGAGTCAAAAAAGTTCTCATTTCATTTATGGAAATACAAAACCTCAATTTCTCATTTGATTTTTCAAATTAAAGCTCAATCATCAATGATAAATGAAAAAGAGTTAGGATTAGAGAGAGTTAAAAAAGGGGCCCAGTTCCTACTATCGGAGAGGATGTGCTGGCGTATGTCCGGCCGGAGCAAAGCTTTGAAAGTAATGCTACGATTATTGGCGAGCAGATAAGTGGAGCGTTATAAGTGAATAAGGATCTTCGGATCCTAGCAGGAGCTACTCTATAATATAATTAATGCTAATGGTATTGGGGGGTTTATGCTTGACCAGCCGTTTTATTTTTTAATTCGACCAAAGTTTTGGGTATTTTGTTTTCTGTCGCTTCTAGGCATGCCATGATGATAATTTTTCTCTCAATGATAAATGAAGAAAGCCAAAATCAAATCTTGCAAAAAAATGAAAATGCCAATAAAATTTATGGCACTAGGTCAGATTTCAGAAGAAAAGAAGAAGAAATTATTAGGCCTAATGCACTTCCAATTATTTATTCGCCAAGTAAGACTATTGAGAAAATGTCTGAACCTGTAGAAGTTGGTTATGACAGCCCAACTAGAAATGGTTGCATGTCTTTTCCTCTGAGATATTTCATTTTGCAGGCATTTCCTCTTCGCTATTTGTTAGAATTTTTTCCCTTACAAGCATTTGCTTGTCAGTAAATGTCTTACAAGGAAAACTTCATTCGAATGATACAGAGGAAGAACAAAATAGCCAAAAGATATACTACATAGAAATCAATCTCTCCCTAAATCCCTTAGCTTTGAATCTGATTGGGAATTAAATGAAAGCCAAAAGTCAAAAATTGCGAAATTAAGTGAAGAATATAAAAAGCATTATAACCAAAAATTTGAGTACTTGGAATCAAGATTATCCAAAGCATTATCCTTAGAAAAAGCCTTGCAAATCAAAAGTTCTTTGATTGATGATCAAAAAAATCTTGACAAATTAAACAAGGATACTCTCGAGTCTGATCGATATCACAAAATCCTTGATTTAATAAAAAACGCTTTAATTGAAAGGCAAAACAGTGAATATTCAATTCGTTTATCTGAACTCGCTATAAAAGAACAAGATATTAAATCAATGATATTAGATGATGAAAAGAATGAGTTTCAATTGATAAAAGATAAAATAAAACTGAAAAAATCCAAATTAAAAAGTGATTGCCAAAAATTAATTGAATTAGCTGATATCATGATAGGCTCTCAATTTTTGTCAAAGGAAAGGCTTGATTTATTCAAAAAAGAACTAAATGATATTGTCAATGTGCATCAAAATCATAATACTGAAGAGAAAGAAAAAGGAAAAATTCTCTTCTCACTCAATAAATGGGTAGAATATTGCCAAGATAAAAATGTATCAAAAACCTTACAAGTTTTCAAGCTCATGTTTTCAGGGTGGAAAATTAAATGTTTATCGTTGAGATCAGCCAAGCATAATAATTCAGATTCTAATTTAAACTGCTGGCTAGATATATTATGAATAAGAAATAGAGAAGCTTTACTTGGGGATATGCTGCGCTTACTCCCATCTCTAAAAATAAGCAAATTATTGTTTATTTGTAAGGTTTTAGCAGCTAATGCTCAAATAGTAGATTTTATATTATCTAGATCGAAATTTGCTTATTATTTTAAACGCGTTGGGAGGGTATCTACACTTCCCACATGTGGAACCCAAATCCTACATGTAGAGCCATTCAAGTGTGGAAACTCCTCATGCGGAATTTGGGCTCCCATGTGGGAAAATGTCCCCCGAGGTGTGGAGACCATTCCAAATTATGCCAACGCATAATATGTTTTTAGGTAAAAGTGAAAAATGAAAATTTTATTATTTACTAATAATCAGAAAATTTCAATCTATTCATAAAATTTACTATTTGATAAATTTTGTGCTAAAAATCAACTTTGATAAGCAAGAATTTGCTCTTTAGTGAGAAGTGAGTTAGATGATTCTCTTCAAAAGCAAAAATGAATTCAAGTAATAAAATCTTGCTATTTTTCATCCTCAAAAATCAAATTAAAAAACCTTGCAGAAATCATCATAAATTGTGATTTTAGGAATAAATTTAAATATTTTTACAAATATAGAAATCAGACCATAAAAATATACTCAACCAAAGTTCATGTATTAGGCAAAAAAATATTTTCCCTCGCACAAGACTCTCCTCAGCCCTCGCCTAAATTTAGCCCTGACCAAATAAATTTGAATCTCTGCCAAAAAGGTGCTTACATGCTTCTACCATATTTTGAAAGATTTTCTCAAAATTATAGTAACTCCAAAAAATTATGGCTATTGAAATGGAGACTGATTACAGAGAATTATAAATCTGCTCAATACCAGTACCTAATGGCAACATTTTCTAGAACTCTTTCAGTCCAGCTTCAAAAAGAATTTGCCTTAAGACAGTCACTAAAAGAAAAGCAAAAAAGGCTTAAAACAATTTTGTCACAGTCCAAAGTTTATATTGATAAATTAGTTAACTAACTTAAATATTTTTTATTTATTTCGCAACAATGATAAATCAGTTACTTAAAATTTCATAAATTATTTCTATTCTAATTTCACTTGATTAGGGCAAAACAAGATTCCAAAAGTTTTATTGAGATTGAATTGGAGCTTGTTTCATTCGATTTCCTGCTCTGATGTCCAGGTTTCTTGATGTTTTGACCTTTGCTCATCATTTCTAAATACCCATTACTCGGCGGCCAAATGTACATCTCCTTCGCCTGACATAATCATAAATGCAGTATTGGGTGGTGCCGTTTTAACAAGTTCTTTCAATTTTGTGTCTCATTCGCTAATAATCCTTGGAATATCTCTTTCCCTATGCTGAAAAGATTTATTTTCAATAATTTCTCTTCACTCCGATACAATTAGTGCATAATTTTTCGAGAAATATTTATCAATTTTTCCAGAATAATCAACTGATAGATTTCCAGCAATTAATTCATTTTTCCCTATAATCCCGACCATAACTGATTTTTTACCTTCATAAGCAATGTCTTCAAATAAATTTGAATCTATATATTTTATATCAGGAATTCCAAAAGATGGCCCATGGCATAATTTCATTGTAACAAGCTCTAGAGCCGCGGCTGCATCTTCTCCGCTGTCATGAGAACCGTTTTGTATATTTTTTCTCAAATATTTGGCTGCCAAACTTTTCAAGCTATATTTAAAACCAAGCGTAGGATGAGGATATATGACTGAAGTGTCAATGATTTTATAATGTATAAGCTTTAAGACTCTTAAATCATTTTCTAACGAATGCCCACATATTATTGTGTCTGACGAAACAATACCCAATATTTCTTGCTGGACCTGTGGAAGAGTAATGTTAATATTTTCTAAAATTTCTGGAGTTATTCCAGAAAAAGGAGTCAAATAATCTAAAATTTGACTGCTCGGTTTCACATATTTATCGTAAATAATTTTTGAGTCAGCATCCACAATTGATACCCTTGCAAGCTCCAAACCTTGCTGAGTCCTTACCATTTCGCAATCCAAAGCGATAATTGGCACAGCATTTTTATTGCACCCAGTTGTGACCCATCCCTCATATTCTTGTATTTCATAATTATTTGCCAATAACTGATTTTCAGTCATCAAATAGCCTTCTATCCCAATTTTTTCAAGTCCATGATCCACTTTGCATTTAATTGATTTTTGGTTGACTATCACCGTATGAATATATTTTCCATTTATTTGCCGTTTCCCATGTCTAAGAACAGTCGAAATATCATGCCTTTTAGTCAATGCTGATAGAAAAGGAGCATGGTCTGAATGCTCATTTAATACACAAAGATCAAGTCCAGGCAAGAATAGCAAAACAACTTGGTTGATTAAATTCTTATTCTACAAAGATATTACTTGCACAAATACTCACTTTGGCATTGTTCCTCTCGTTTCTGATAATATCCAAAGTAAGAGATTATGAATATCAGACAAGCATGGACTTGTGTGCTGTGGTTTTAATGTAAATTTTGACACGAGTTTTGAGTCTTTTGTTTTTTTCTTTTTCAATGCTGCAGGAATTTCTGAGTCTGCTTCTCGCTTCTGAGGCAATTCATCAGTCTTTATCATGAAGGTTTTATTACTAAATTAAAATATATTTCAAGCTTTTCTTTATATATTTCTGGATAAAGAAAGCATTAAGTAAGCAATTATTTGCTTAATTAGCAGAAATGAGACCACGTGTAATACTAGCCTTTTCATAATGAACACTGCAACTGATAATTTAATTAGTAACTAATTATTGCGCTTTTTCTTCTTAAAAAGACCTTTGAATTTTGAAGTGAAATCATCCCCATAATTTTTTCTTCTTTCGTTTTTGAGCTCGGCTACGTCTATATCTTCTTCAAAAGCAATCCCCATGTCTCTTTCTAGCTGCTTTTGATTCTCTACTCCTTCATTAATTTCCATTAAATCTGCTTCAAGCGCATTTAGCTCCATTTCTTGTTCTTCGTTTACAACTTGTTCTTGGAGTTTCTCTTTCCATAGCTGAGCGTGCTCTTTGGCTGCTTCAAATCTTCCATCCATAGCCATCTTAGCAGCTTGTCTAGTTCCTGCTCTGGCCAAAATGTCAAATTTAGCATCTTGTCTGGCTTGGTTAAGGTCAAAAGTTACAGGCTGGATTCTTGTGATGGATCTGACACATTTCATCCCATTTAAGCTTGAATATCTTATAATAGACTGCATTGGGACTTCTTTAAGCTTATTTTTGTCAATCCCTTCACGTAAGAGTATAGCATTTTGCTTCAGGCCATAGCTAAATGTAACGGAAGAGCTTGCTGTAGCGTTTCCTATTTTTTTATTAAGGCGTGATTTATTCCATGACAAGTCAGCTGCGTCTTCATTTCTGAAATAAAGAGCTTTATGGAGAATCACAGTCAAACTGACGTGTGTAGCTATAACATTGTCTGATAAAATATTAGCAAATTCTTCACTTATATGCTCTGGCTGAACTCTTAAGATATCTCCATTTGTTAGTTCAGTAATAGTAGAAAGACGCTCAAGTTTGCATTCCTCCCCTTCAATAGAAATCAAGGAAACACTTATACCTTTTTCTGATGCAAATCTGCCGAGCTCAGCATAAAATGCTTCAGAAGTTTCTTCAAGTCCAAGTTCTAGCGACCCAAGTCCCACATTTGCAAGGCCGTCTGTACAAATAATCACTTTTGAACCAGCTCCACCTTGAGCAGCAAGTATAATTGAAGCCAACAAGGCTGGACCAAGAGCTGTTGGGCCTCCTTCTTCTAGCTGGTAAACCTTTGCTATCAGTTCTTCAGCGGTTTCCCCAACTCTTCTTCCCATAAGGCTTTCGAATCTTCCTTCAAAAGCTTTAGAAATGTTATCATATGAATAAAGTCTATCCCCAGCAATTACTTCATCAGCTCTGCCATCACCAATGACTCTGACTTCTCCATTAAAAGTTACAATTCCGACTCTTCTATTTGAGGCGCCATGTTTAAGCTCTTTTAACTGAGATTCGATAGCGCCTTGTACACATTCAAGCCTTGAGACATAAGTAATATCTCTTCTTTCTCCAGGCATGTGCTGCTCTTGCTCGTCTAAGCCAGCTAGCTTCATAAGTTCTTGCTGCTTATTAGTTTTTAAATTTAAGTTGCCAGATACAGCTTTGCTTACACACATAGAGCCAGAAATGTCGATACAGAAAATAATAGCAGAGTTATCGTCAGTTCCATGTCGAGCTTCAGCAACTTCGCCAGCACTTTCTACTACATAAGTCAATTCTGCAACTGTTGGGATTTCTTCATCTTCTATCTGCAAATTATTAATAGTTCCACAGAATTCGCAAGTCCATACAATGTTCTGTTCCTGTCTGACGTAGTGGCTATATTACAATCGATAATTATTATAAGTCTAAGCAAAATAGTGTTCTGTTTTTTGCAGTAATTATAATATATCATTTTTACCTTATGCTTTTCTTTATATTAATATATATATAAAAGAATTAAAAACGCAACTGCATGTTGAGCAGAACATTGGCTCTCCTGTTGCAAGCTGAAAGTCTTGTTGAAGACAGTTGAGATTAATTTCGACTACATTAGTGTCAACTTGACATCTTTGAGGATGGGATCTATATTATTTATTTTGTATAGGTAGTTCTTATCAGTATGAAGATAGAGTTTTAAAGGCGATAATATTTTTGAGATAAACTGGCCGATTGAAATAGTGCTGCAAAATGTATAGCCTTTTGCTGTGGATTGGGCAGCATCTCAATCGATGAACTTCTGACATGCATTTTTGAATCAGAGGGCTTTGAAACTTGCTTTTTTTCCTCCTCACCACCAAAAAGATCCATTCCAAGATCCTCGTCTTCTTCCTCGGCATAGGCAAAATTATGAGCGCACTCCATGGTTTAATATTTAAAATTGAAATATAGCGTCTCCACGCTTATGGACGGTATCTCTCAAGAAGATGAAAGGGCTGATGACACAATTCTCCGATCTCCTCGGAAGATATCGGAACTATCGGAGTCCATAAGCGTGAAGACGCTATTCAGCATTTATATTTTTATTGATTTAGGTTTCTGGTAAAATTCCCCTATTTAATTTTTTAAATAATATAAGCATATCTTATGCCCAATCCAAAATGCGGAAAATTGAGATGTATAGCCAGTGCATTTAAATTTAATTTCTAAATAAAAGCGTATTATTTGGTTAAAAAGTGCTTCAAAAGATATAACACAAAATTAAAGATGGTGAGAGAAATTTTTTAAAAAATGGCATCTCTTGCTTATTTTGTGCTCATATCCAAAATGTGGAAAATCGAGATCTATAAATAGTGAATTTGAATTTAAAGTTTGAATATAAAGGTATTATTGGGTAAAAAGTTCTTCAAGTTTTAATTTTTAAAAAGGTTATTTATTAAAGAGATAATTAAAGATAGGAATTTTTTTTAAAAAGACTTCTTATTAGATATGCTCAAATCCGATGTTCGGAATAATAAGATCTATTAATAATGAGCTTAAATTTAAATTTCGAATAAAAACTAATTATTGGGTTAAAAAGTTCTATTCAAGCGTATTATATAAGAATAGGGGAAACTAAAAAAAACTGAACTGAGCTTTCAAGTTTATAAATAATAATAATAATAAATATTGATTATTGCTTTTAATGCTAATTACTGTATGATTTATATATATGATTATTGAGTTAAACTTTCTTTAAAAAATATTGCAACTCATTCAATCAACCTTGATAAATGAATTAAACATTAAAGATTTTTTAAGAATAGAAAAAATGCAAAAAAATTAATTTTAAAAATTTACCTTATATTAATTTTCATAAAATTAGTCTAAAGAATTTTAACTTTATTCAATGGATTAGCCTATTTTATACTTCCCATTTTTTTTGAATTAAATGCTTGCCGCTTCCTCTTGAACATATGCAAATTTTTGAGCGCAATCCATTTAAATATAATCTTATAACTTACTATTATTTATAATTTGATATATTTTTCTGGTTTGATGCTTGGAACGAATAAGACTATTCAATATAATAATTAAATAAATATAATAAGGCCGGCATAATAGTCTCAAATTTAATTTAAAGCTTTCCCATTAGATAAATTAATTTATAATAAGTTGAAGCAGCTATCCGAAATGCATTGAAATCATTGCATAAATTTTACCAAAATAAAAAATAAATTTAATTATTTAATTTTACTTAACTTGTAAGCCTCCACATCTTCAAAATCAATATTGTTGAAATAATTAATTTTTCAATTTTAAAATTTAAAACCTATCCTTTACAGGACTAGCATAAAAGTATCAATGGCATTAAATTTATTTATTCTTATGCCCAATAATCAAACATCCATTCTTTTCCAATAATAACAATTTAAAATTTATAATGTCATCCAATATACCTGAGGAGCTCAAAAAGCAAGGTAAATAAGGATCTCCCCTCATTTGTCCAATTTTCTAGTCTTTTATCATTTGTCCATTTTTCTAGTTTTTTTATAGAAAAAAACATTTTTTTAGAACCTCATTTGTCCAATTTTCTAGTCAAAATTTTGATAGAAAAAAAAATTTTTCAGGTCCTCAACTGTCTCATTTTCTAGTTTTTTAAAGTAAAAAACTAAAATTTAGGACATTCGAAAAAATCCAAAAAGACTAGAAAATGGGACAAATCATTTTTGATTAGATTTTGGGACAAATGAGGTCCTGAAATTATTTTTTTTTAGAAAAAAAGACTAGAAAATTGGACAAATGAGGGGAGGATCCTTACGAAAGAGTGATGGTACATTTACGAGTTCGCCCCTTTAATGATGACGATATAAATAGATCTGGCAGGGACTCATCAATTGATTTTATTGATCCTTCAAAAGGAATTGTTGTAATAAAAAAGGATTTTGACAAAAAGACATTTAATTTTGACTCTGCCTTTGATTATGGTACTTCACAGTCCGAAGTTTACGATAAAGCAGCAAAGCCAGTAGTTGATAGCGTTCTTCAAGGATATAATGGAACAATATTTGCATATGGACAAACAGGAACAGGAAAAACATTTACAATGATGGGCGGTCAAGGAGATTCTAGAGGGGTAACTCCTCGCGCAATACAGCAGATTTTTCAGCATATTCAAGAAGATTCCAATCACGCTTATACAGTCCAAGTAGGATTTCTTCAACTATACATGGAAATGCTTCAGGATTTATTATTTCCCAGCAATGACAAACAAATTCGTATCCGAGAAGACCCTGATGAAGGGGTTTATTTATCTGGAATTTCATGAGTAAATGTAGGCTCAACAAGGGAATGTATGGAGCTCATGTATATTGGCGATAAAAATAGAAACACAGCATTTACCAGCATGAATTCGACGTCTAGCCGGTCTCATGCTGTTTATATGGTAAAAGTTGAAAAAAGAGTAAGATTGACAGAAGAACAGATAGAAGAATTAGAAAAACAAGGAGAAAGCGGCGATAATAGCATGACGAAAAGTACATTGTTTTTGGTAGATTTAGCAGGAAGTGAAAGAGTGAAAAAATCGAAAGCTGTAGGAAGCAGGCTTGATGAAGCGAAAAATATTAATTTGGCACTTTTAGCACTTGGGAATTGTATTCAAGCTTTGGCTGATAAGAAAGCAAAATATGTGCCGTTTAGGGATTCAAAATTAACAAGGCTACTTGAAGATTCACTTGGAGGGAATTCTAAGACTTCATTGATTTTAACAATTGGACCTTCTATTTCGCATTTGCAGGAAAGTCTTTCTTCATTAGCGTTTGGAACGAGAGCTATGAAAGTAGAAAACAGGCCTGAAATCAATAAGAAAGTTGATTATAAAGCACTATGCGCTCAACTTCAAGCAGAGCTAGATCGAATAAATGATGGCAACAATTCATGGTATTTAGAAAAACAACAGTTGCTCAATGAAATTTCTGGGCTAAGAGAAAAACTTGAAAAAACTACCACAGAAAAAGAAAACTTGGAAATTTTAATTGAAGAGATTAAAAAAAACTCAGGTGCCAGTCCTGCAGCTTTAATCGAGCTTGAAGAAAGCAAAAAAGCTGAAATTCAAAAAATCCATGCTTATTATCAAGCTAGAATAAACAAAAAAGATGAAGATCAAAGAAGAGATATGGAAGAAATAGAGAAGCTTATGCTTGAGCAAGAACAAGACATAAATCAATCTAAATCGCAGATGATGGAAATTCAAGAAAAAAATAAAGAACTAAAGAAAGACTTAAAGAGGTGTCAAGCTGAGCTGGAGCAGGAAAGAAATGACAGGCTTATAAGGACAAGCCAACTATCAACTGAATTAGATGAAATAAAAAATAAACTAAGCACTGAAAAAGAAAGGGTCGCTCAAATCCAGTCAAATTTTTTAAATTTACAAGAACAAGTAAAAGCAAAAGACAGAGATTTGCAGGAAACAAGAGATGAACTGATTTTTTCAAAAGCCCAGCATCAAGAAGAAATTGAAACTTTTGAGAAAGAACTGGAAAGGGCTAAGAGAAATCAGGATAAAATTAAAACGCAAACGGAGAAAAAGGTTGAGGAATGAAAATCAGCAGCTGAAAAAGAAAGATTACTATTAAAAGCACAAGTTTCTGAGAAAGAAAAAGAGTTTGAAAAAACAGTTAACGAGTTTAAAGAGCAATTAAGAATGGTAAAAGAGGAAGCTGAAAAATATAAAAATGATAAAGAAAGCCTATTAAAAGAGAAAAATGATTTGCAAAATAAAGTTCAGTCACTTTCAACAAAAACAGTAGAATTTGAAGAAAAAATCCACGAAGTGCAGATTTTAGAAGAAAGCAAAGAATATGTGCAAAATGAGCTAAAGGATACACAAAGAAGGCTGCAAGAACTCATTTCTGACAATTTAGACTTAAAAAGTCAAGTTGAAGAAGCATGAAAAGAGCATGATACAATTGAAGTAGAATTAAAAGAAAAAGCGATTATTTTAGAAAATGCTGAAAAAGAAAAAATGCTGGCTCAGCTTCAATGCGAAAATTTAATAAAAGAGTTAAAATCTGCTCAGGAATATATAGAACTTTCTCTTCAATAGCGCGATAAGGCGCATTCCTAGGTTTTACCGAATGGTCTTGGACATATGAAAACCTGCTATTCCTTATTCATGGGGGAGACAAACAGCCTAAATAAAGAATTGTGCCTGGTTAATCTCGAGAACTTGAAGAGAGGCTGTGTGGAAAATTTATATTTTGGTTTCGTCAAATGGATCTGACGAGCCAATTCTGGCCAGTACTTGAAATAAAAAATGATAGTTGCAGAATTTTATTAATTTTCTGATGAAGAGTATGATTAGAATTTTAATAATTCCTTTTGACAATAAAATTCAAAATTCAAACTTTTAATAGAAGATTTGAAGCGATAATTAAATCGTTAAAATAACGTAATGAATACTCTTTACTGCCTTAGGGAGAAGATGCCATTAATGATTTTTAAATTTTGACTTTTTTCATAGTGACTTAACCATCTTAATAATTTTTTAATTTTTTAAAAATCCAAACTTTTAATAGAAGATTTAAAGAGATAATTAAAGCATTAAGTAAATGTAATGAGTACTCTTTACTGCCTTAGGGAGACGATGCCAGTAATGATTTTTAAATTTTGATTTTTTTTCATAGTGACTTAACCATCTTAATAATTTTTTAAATTTTTTAAAAAATCCAAACTTTTAATAGAAGATTAAAGAGATAATTTAAGCATAAAGTAAACGTAATGAGTACTCTTTACTGCCTTAGGGAGACGATGCCAGTAATGATTTTAAAATTTTGACTTTTGTCATAGTGACTTAACCATCTTAATAATTTTTTAATTTTTTATAATTTTTCAAACTTTTAATAGAAGATTAAAGAGATAATTAAAGCATAAAGTAAACGTAATGAGTACTCTTTACTGCCTTAGGGAGACGATGCCAGTAATGATTTTTATAATTTGAATTTTTCATAGTGACTTAATTAATTACTTGATCCTGTGCCATTTATTAAAATTCTGATCATACTCTTCATCAGAAAATTAATAAAATTCTGCAACTATCATTTTTTATTTCAAGTGCTGGCCAGAATTGGCTCGTCAGATCCATTTGACGAACCAAAATATAAATTTTCCACACAGCCTCTCTTCAAGTTCCCGAGATTAATCAGGCACAATTCTTTATTTAGGCTGTTTGTCTCCCCCATGAATAAGGAATAGCAGGTTTTTTCATATGTCCAAGACCCTCCGGTAAACCCTAGGAATGCGCCTTATCGCGCTATTGAAAAGAAAGTTCTATAACACACAGCTAGTCATAGACAAGGACACTTTTCTAAGACAGCTTGAAGAGACAGGAGAAAGCAATAAAAAACTAGCCAACAAAAAGAGTGTTTTAGCAGAAAAAATAAAAGAAGAGCGTGATAAGCTTGAAAAGAAAGAAGGCGAGCTAAGCCAATTAAATGACATTTATACTCACTTAAAGGTAGAATATGAAAGCTTATTAAGGGAAAATAAAAATTTAAATACTCAAAAGTCAGCTGTTGAGCAAAGAGCTAGCAAGCTAAATGAAGACTTAAAAGAAAAAGAAAACGCTATTTCAAACTATAGACAAGAAGTCAGAAATAGAAGCAAACAATTCCAAAACTTAAAAAATGAATTTGCTAATGGATTTAGGACGGTTGAAAAAATGTTTGACAAATTCCAAAACGAAATTACTGAAAGAGTTAATAAAAAAATTGAGCAAATTCAGAAATTTAAAAATGATTTATTGGGTATACAATATACCTGTCAAAAGAAGGCAAAAATTGAAATTACGAAAATCAAATGTGAATTTGAAGAAGCAATGAAAAAGTCTGATGAAGAGAAAAAAATGTTGGAAAAAGCTGCTGAAGAAAAGTATGTAAAGGACACAAAAGACCTTCAAGCTCATTATGAGTTAAAAATTAAAAAAGATAAAAAAGCATTTGATAAGCAATTAGAAGAATTGTCTCAATCTTTAAAATCTCAGCTCGAGGCAAAGGAGAAAGAATATCACACTGAAATACAGAAGCATGAATTTATTCTGAAGAATAAAGATGACCAAATTTCCAAACAAAACAGCCAGCTCAATGAACTTTCTTCAAAATTTTTAGCAGAAAAAGAAAAAATTATAAAAGAATTAACAGCTAAACTTGAGAATGAAAAGAAACAAATCAAAGAAAAATATATGAGTGAAATCACGCAGATTAATTCCAAATTTGATAAAGACAAAAGAGAAAGCGAAGCTCAGCACCAAAGAAATCTTGAATTAATTGTAGACGCAAAACAAAAAGAAATAGACTCTCTTACTCAATCAAGCATCCAAGCTACTAAAGACTATGAAGCAACAATAAAAAAACAAAAAGAAGAAATCGCATCATTAACTGTACAAATGGAATCAATTATCAGAGAAAAAGACATAGAAATGAGCGAGGACTTCAATATAGACAAAGAATCACCGTCTCCTCAGCTTCCAAGTGAAAGATATAATGATCCATCAACTTCTTTAGAAGTTCAGCTCTACACAAGAAGAAAAAGCAGCACAGTAACAGCTGACACCAAGCAGATAAATGATTTATTGTTAGAAAATTCTTTACTTAAAAAGGATCTAAAAGAAGCTACTGAGCTTGTTATTGCTACAAAGGCAGCTTTAAGAAAGGTTGAAATGAACTTTTTTAGTACAAAAGAAGAAACGAAAACTGTAGGAAGATCTCGGTCAAAAACAAATTTGACAAAAAATGCTGAAGACTCACAGCAAGCTAATAAGCAAGATGAATACCAATGTATTGCTTCATATGTGATAGAAAATATGCAGCTAGCTTTAGAACTAGAAGAAGCAAGGTCAGGAAACTCCAGAAATCCTACAAAAGAAGAATGGCAGCTTATACCATGGCTAAAATATTTTTTAAAAAATCATAAGCAGCCTCCAGGAGGTAGCTTCTTTGATTTTCTATCATCATTAGTGACAATTTACTGTAAAATTGTTGACCGAATGCAGCTAGACCGCCAAGACAACATCCAGATTTTCCATTTGTCGAAGGTCGTACATGATAAATTCCTCCAACAAGTGCGACTTCAAGCTTCAAAAAATCCTCGAGTTTTTAAGCCATTTGAAAAGACTGTTTTAGAAATAGAAAAGGAGTTTGGGATTGAAAGAAATAAATTGCCTAAGTCGATCCAAACTGGAAACTCGAAAACTATGATACAGATGCAGCAAGAGGCACTAATGAAAAAAGCAAAAGATGCTGAAAAAGAAGAGAGCTTAACGGTCAATAAAACAATGGAGCATATGCTTATGATTTTAGAAATGCAGGAGTCTATTGAAGGGTCTCTGCAAGAAATGAAATGCAAATCAGTAAGTCCTGCAAAGCTTAGCCCAAATAAAAATGTGAATAAAAGCTCAGAATTCCCATTCCAAAAATTAAACGAAAAAATAAGTATTCAGCAATTGCCGATTGGAAAAATCGTGAAAGAAGCTTTAATTCGCAGAAGTCAAGAAACTGAAGCATTTCTTCACTTATCTCAACTTAAACAATTCGAGGTTACTGGAATTGGGCAAGTTTTATCGACAAATGCTGCATTTCCTACTTCTCCAAGCAAGAACCCATCAAATTTAAAAGACCTTACACTTCACTTAACAAGCCTCCTTACCATAGTATCAGCGCTTTATTCAAGTATTTTGTTTAAAAAGTAATCCTTATTTAGCATTCAGCTTGAATGGATATCTGAAGACAGAGGAGACTTAATAGAAACTTTGGTTTCTGTAATAGCAAGAAAAGAAATAGAAATTGATGAGTGCAAATATGCTAAAAAAGGAGTTGAAAGAGAACTTAAAAATTTAAATATTCATTTTCAACAATATAGAGAAAAGCATGAAGATTTTGTTAGGCTGTTCGATTCAAAGGATGCAGCTGCAAGAATTATACAAAGGTTTTGGAGAATTAAAAAGAAAAGAGAAATGAAGAAGAAAGCGTTTATTGCTGAATATGTAAGGGTAATATAGAAATACCAAAGAGTAGAAGAACAAAGTAAAAGCTTAAGCCAAATGCTTAGTCAAGTCAATTCTCAAACTGGGCTGTTTTTAATAAGATTAGATTAAATGATTGCACAATCATAAGTGTGATAATAATAGTGCAACAATTTTTGTGACCTACGCAGAGTTCATATACGCTTGAGTGCTAATAAACGCAATCCACTAATATTCACCTTCTTGAATTTTCTGGCGAAACACACTCAGAACAAAGATCTACTCCCTGGGTTAGAGTCACGCTATGACATTTGCCCGATAGTCCCCATAGACGAAAGCTATATAATAGTCAAACCATCTAGCCCTGGCAGAGACAAAAAACCTCCGGAGAAGCATCCTCAAGCCCCATTGTCAACTCCAATAACGTAGACACTCACCTTTTTGCACATAAGGATAGCTCCTACCTTCTCAACAGGAGTGTGCTTCGTAGCCATTTTCAATATCACATTTTATTCCTATTTTTAATAAGGAATCACTATAAAGAAGTACTGTCTATTTTTTCAGGAGTTAGCAAAAGATTTATAAAACCACAATGCGATTTAAACAAATTTTAACAAATAGTCAACGCCTATGCAATAACATAATTAAAAATAGTAATATAATTTGTCTCCAATATGAGCCAAATTTTTAGGGTACGATATAATTGCTTCTTTATCAGATTTATCAATACAAATTCTTGTAACAAACTTAAGTCTTTCTTTAGCCTCAACTTTTATTTGAGTTGTAAATACAATATAGATAATCACGCAAGAAAATAATTCTAGCGAAAACGAAACATAAATAGCGGTTAGGGTACCATGAGGTTTGTCTCCTCAGTTACTCATTGTAAACGAAATGTAAAGGAGTAGAACACTTATTCCTAAAATGGCTGAAAGAGTTGATAAGATAACGATCTTTCTGAATACCACACCGTCTTCTTTAGTGAGGTTAAGAATATAGTGACTTACTTGCCCATGTTTTGATGGATATCTTATGGAAAAGCTCTCGTATTTAGTATTAGTTCTCACAAATTTTCCACTGTCTTCAAATAAGTCCTCACTTTGAAAGCTGTACCAAGTCCTTGATTGCTTTTTTTGATAAATATTTCGATCTCATTCGTCATCTGACCTATCAGCTAACACTTCTTCTTGATTTTTATTTACAGATTCGTTAAACATAAAAATTTGTGATGCCCTTCTGAATAAATTTGGAGTTAAAGGGATATCATCTTGTTTCTCTGTCGTCAGCATTGGCTGGGCCTCACTTAAGGTAGCACTATAAAGCTTGCCTTCTTCGAGATCATTCTTTTTAGAATTATTGTCTATGTAGCAGAAAAGTAATACTGTAAATAATATAAACCCAAAAACAAGAATTACAATTCCCAATCCTACACAGACAGACCCAAGGATAAAAGCAGTAGTGTTAGAATATCTCATTCCTTTAAGAATACTCAGTGTGGCTATTCCAGGGAAGGAGATAATCATAATCCATAACAGAACTCTTCTTAAAATTCTAAAAGGATCCGTTTTTTTAGATGCTATTCCTTGATATAAGCCGCCTCATACTAATAAAACACATGTATATACTCCATAAAGTAATGGATACACCATCTCACAAAGCAAACGGTCTCCAACTCGAGGCATTTTATTGTTTAGGCTATAAGGGTCATAAGAGATTCAAATCCCTCTTAAGGCTCCAACTAGGCTTATGTAAAATAAACTTAAGTGCTTTGGGCTTCTGAATAATCTAACAAAAGTCCGGTTGATTCCTCAATGCTTGTCGCTGTTAATAGTCTTATAGAGTTTGGTTAAAGCTAGCGTAAAGAGAAGGAAAAACATAATAGAAAATACAATTACTAGCGTCTTTCAGGTTTCTTCGCCTCACTCATCAATTCCATTCTTGTTGCATTTGTCCCCAAATCATCCCAAATCACAGCTGCATTTATCAGATATGCAATCGCCGTGATCGTTACAATCGTTATGTGAGCTGCATGTCTTTTTTGGCATTACTCAGCAATACTGATAGTTATGTAACTAATTATAATGAATAAAATTATACCTAATAATAGCTGTTATCCAATTTTATATAAAAAATAGGATAAAGCTGATCCGTATGGATGCTTTTATTTATTATAATTAGGGATAAATTATAAATAAAATGCAGAAGAAGTTGCAGATTTTGAAAATATGAAGTTTAGATGGCATTAAATTTTATTTTTAAGATAGTTAGCATAGTTTTGGCTTTTAAATATTATAATCATTGATTTGTCTATTCTTTGGCTATATTCAAATTCAGAATGATATGCGTTGGGCAATTTTTTTCATAACTTCTCAAATTAGAAAAATGTATTAATAATTTAAACTTGACCAAATTAAGCCCCTTTAAATGGGAGCAAAATTCATATGAGCATGATAAATATTATTTAATAGGCTATTGATGCCCAAATAATGCTAGTTGTTTTCACAAAGATCAAACTTTATCGATATCTTGTCTATTTTGTTAGGAGAGGCATAGACCACTATTCAAACAAATTTGGCATTTTAAATCAATAAATTTAATTAATTATTTTACTATGAAAGAATTTTATAATTATTTTAAAATAATAACTTCCGTTTAAGGAAGAAAAAAATTTTGTCTAACTTAAAGAGAATAGAGTAAGAAAAATATAACTAAATTTTGTATAAAATTCAGTCAAAATAGTAATAATTAGCATGCACAATATACAAGCTATATAATGCCTAATTTATATGTGAAATAAAATTGTTGCATTGCTGGAAATTGGACTCCAAGGTGGCACCTCCTGACAGAGTGGTGAACCATGGGCAGCAAAAGATCCTCCTTGTGAGTTGTAGACCTCTTTTAATGGAGGAAACGCAATTAAAATGCTACTTAAGCAGTTTAAATACTGAATTAATTAATTTTTTGAATTAATTCTTCATAGGAATAATATTAAAAAATATTGAATTCAAAATATACTTACATTTTTTTACAATTTTTTATTATGAATAATTTTATAGTAATTTTGTATTATAATGCTTTGACATGATTTCGGGATGGACTTTACACGTCAAGACATTTTCCCACAATAAAAGCCAAATCCTACACCGAAGCCACTCAATTGTGGAAACTCCATATGCGGGATTTGGGTTTCACACATGAAAAATGTCCTGACGTGTGAAATCCATCCATAGATAGCGCAATAAATAATAAATTAAATCCATTGAATTAGATGAGCTTCTTTGTTCCAATTAGAGGTAGATTAATGAATTTAAAAAATTTGTATAAGTTTAAAAAATCGCTTGAGATCTATCATTATTATTTATAATATACATACAAAAAATATTTACAATATAAGTTAATTGTTTATTCAGAGAGGTAAAAGATTATTTCTAATTTTTACTTCTCAATTTCTGTGAGTAGGATTTTTTAAAAATATTTTGCTGTGGTAAATTTTTACTTCAAAAAATTTTGTTAAAGATTAAATAAATATTCTTTTCTAAAAAATTTATATGTAAATTTCGCGAAATTCAAAATATTCCAATGCAAAAATTGGAATGCAAATATTAATTTAATTAGTAAAGTTTATGTTTAAGATGGAGCTGCTTAAAATAAAACAGAATGGGTAAAGATTTCATTATAACAATTATCACTTATATTAAAATTTTTTATGAAAAATTTTTATTTGTTTTTGGGCAAAAAATATGGATTTATTCAATGGTTTTATTCGCTCACTGGAAAAAAATTAAACCCCCTCTTTATTGAACATAATTATTTTTTTGCTCATGGAGGGAGGAGTGAGTTGAATTATTATCGCCCGAGCACCTTTATGGCCCAAGCTTCCCTATCTTTCCCTACGAGAAGGAGGGGAATTGGTCGAGCCAACTAATCTTAGTTTGATCAGCTCCTCAAGCAACAGAACCAAATGATGCAGGGTTTCTGCCATTTGGGGAGCTGGGCAAAAAGCATTAGTTCGCCTGGCCAACTTCCCGTATTACCGTCAGGAAAGATTAGGACGCCCTTGCCATAAAAGTACTCGGGCTATAACAGGCTACGCATATTAAATAAATATATAATTCAAGCTTATATAGACACAGTTTAGTTTGAGTTTAAATAAAAGGTTTGCTACCAAAAATATTCGAGATTTTTTCGTTTAGCAACTAAGTGTTCTTTGATAATATTTTACATAAATAGCTTATTTATTAAAAGCTGAAATTATCAAAATATAGACTTTGAAGAAATATGCCTTGTAAATAATCAAGTCTGAAGCCAAAAAAAATGGTGGTCTAGAGAATCTTAAGTATATACTTATGCAATGCTTTATGCATATTACAATAAATAAAAAATTCTTACTTGCTAACCCTTTTTATATTTATTAAATGAGTAGTATAGCCATTCAGCAGGAATATTATATTCCTTATAAATAGGTATAGCAATTTCAAATGCATCTTACAATGAAATAGATTAATTTAAGAAAATTAATTCTAATATTGAAATCAGAGATTGAGAGTAAATGCTATAATTTCTTAAATTTGTTTCTTTAAAATATTTCAACTTAAAGCTAGCCTAAATACGTTTCAGAAATCGAAAAAAAAACCCTATATCATAAAAAGAAATTGAAATTTTCTATAAAATTACTAGAATAAAACTTTTTGTTTTGTTAGCTGTTATCGTTTTTCAAGTTCAGGCAATATATTTATCAAATAATATCACTTTTAATCTGCCATTTAAGAAAATATTTATAAAATCACCTTAAAATGTTTGGATAAATTTCTTACACAGACAAATGAAAAAATTATCTTTATTGGAAAATATTTTTATTATTTTCATAATATCTTAATTTAAACTAACATGCATTATGATTTATGCACTGCAATAAGATATAGCTAGTATTAACATAAATGACCATTTATTACATGGGGAATTAGTTGTACGAAAATTAAACTTTACATATCATCTAATTTAATTTCAGATTCTGGAGTTCTTGAAACATAAATGTTTTTATTCTTTGCTTGAATTGACGATACTCGCGAATTCGGGCATGTATCTTCCGTGGAATGCCTTGCATCTTCCTGAAGATTGTCTTTTGTACTTGTTTGTATAACTGACGTATAAATCACGCCTTTTGAAATTATTTCCTGTTCAGGATAAATTTTTGTAAAATCTGAGACCTGTGACTTTCTCATTATCTTTGCTTTTCCAAGAGAAGGACGACAACCCATGATTTTGTTTAAATAAATTCCATTTAATTGACTGTCACTTAAAATTAAATTTCTCCAAGAAAATAACGATTTTATGTTATTATTCATTTGAATACAGCTAGTAGTTGACACTTATTTAGCTCCCCCTTATAATGAACAAATATAGATAAAATTACTTTTTTTTGGATAAATCATAATTTAAATTGAAATAAATTTAATTTAAACAGATGGGAATAGTAATTTTTAGTGAATAGAATTAATATTATTTAATTTTGTTGAAATAGAAATTTACCTGCAACTTGGAATGATGAAAAAACTCGATTTAAATAAATTAGACACTTATTTGATAAAATTTATAAACTTTTTATTTTTGAAAAAAATTATCCCTTTAAATTGGGATAGCTTTTTGTTTCAATTTAAAGGGGAAGTAAGCAAATTTGGTTCTGCTACTAACCTTATAATAAATGGAGCCTGCACACACCTTGCAAAGCATTCTTGACGAAAGATCTTTAAAATGGGTATTTGTAGGTGGCAAAGGAGGGGTTGGAAAAACATCTGTGGCGGCCTCGTTAGGAATTCTGCTATCAAGACATCGTGAATCTGTATTAATTATCTCTACAGACCCAGCACATAATTTGAGTGATGCTTTTGATCAGCAGCTTGGACCAACACCGACAAGAATCAATGGAGTTCCTAACCTTTATGGCATGGAAATTAAGCCTCAAGTATCGATGGATTCTGTCGAAATGCCTTCGTTTTTTGGTGTCCAAGCTGACCCAGCAACCAAAAGCTTAATGGGCGAAATAATGGCATCAATCCCAGGCATAGATGAAGCGATGAGCTTTTCTGAACTATTAAAAACCGTGCAAGAAATGAGCTATTCTATGATTATCTTTGACACAGCCCCAACTGGACATACCTTAAGACTGCTTAATTTCCCAACCATTCTTAACAAAGGATTAGCCAAAATTGTATCACTTAACTCCCCCCCATCCTTGATCGAACGACTCGCTATCGTTCGATCAAGGATGGGGGTTAAAAAAAATTTTTTTGGGAAAAAAAATTTATATATAAAATGAAAAAGATATATATATATAGATTTTTTTTATTTACTTTAAATAAGAGGGTTAAGAGTATTTAATAATTATATTTACAGCAAAAAAATTGAATTAATTTCATAAAAATACCAATTTTTAATATTTTAATTTATTAATTACCCTTTTAAACTGTATAAATTTTAATTTAAATTAAATATTTTTTTAAAATTTTAAAGAATCTCTATTTTATTAGATTATTGAGCTTTTAAGCCTATGTTGATGTCTAAATCACTTCGGATGGTTGATTTCGCAGCTTTCTGTCGTCTCAAAGCTCTGAAAACAACTTCATTAGGCACATCTTCCAAAGCATTTGATAACTAATATTTTTTATATATATAAAAATTGTCATGATATGAAAATCGTTCGATCAAGGATGGGGGTTAATTTCCCCAATTTTTAGGAATTTTTACAGTCAATCGTTCGATCAAGGATGGGGGGGGGAGTAAGCAAAATTTAGGAGCTTTGGTAAATCAAGTATCGAATATGTTTGGAAGAGGAGAGCAAGGGGAGCAGCTTTATAATACGGCGTTTGAAAGAATGGAGCAGATGAAAAATATTATTGAAGAGGTAAATAAGCAGTTCCAGGACCCTTCTATTACGACTTTTGTAGCTGTGTGTATACCTGAATTTTTGTCTATTTATGAAACAGAGAGGTTAGTACAAGAATTGTGCAAGTTTAATATAAATATTGAGCATATTGTTGTCAATCAAGTGCTATTTCCAGAAGATAAATGCAGAATGTGCATTGCAAGGCAAAGGATGCAGCAGAAGTATATGGATCAAATAAAGGAGCTGTATGAAGATTTCCATATTGTGGTGTGCCCTTTATTGGAAGAAGAAGTCAGGGGAACTGAAAGACTGTCGTCATTTAGTAGATATTTATTAGAACAGCGACAATAATTACTATAATCTTACTTACACTCTACCTTTAAACCCATTGACACTTAAACAATTTTGATGAGTAAAATTCTTGTTTTAATTAATCTTAAATCTAAATATTTATTAATATTTTATAATTTTTTTTGTTTATTTATAGTTTTTTCTTTTAAATAGTGCCTCCAGCCATGAAGGCACTATTTATTATAAATTATTATAAGTTTGATATTTCAAATTCTCTCTAAATTTAAATCAATATATCGAGAAAAAAGTATTCAGGGGATTTAGCAAAACTATTTGAATAAATATCTGGCAATAGATAGATATTTATCAAGGATTTAAATGTAGATCTCTATGTCATTGATATCTCTTGAGTTTCTTTCTTCTCTAATAGAACTTCGGTTTCTTTATTGCGATTTATTCCCAGAATTTTGAATATTGATTCATTTGAAATTTTGGCTCTAAGTTTGGGGTTTTCATAAATTGACAAAAGTACAAATCCTAGCACGATTAGTAAAGCACCTAAAATATAAACAGCGGAATAAGTAAATTGATGCAGCATTGTATCTACTACCATTGACAAAGGAATAGTCAAAGAGAGCCCAACAGTGCATAATGCAGGGTTAAGCAATCTCACACTTAGTGCTCAAAGCATATCTGATAGCACAGTGCCAAATAAAGCATTGAGAAATAATAGTCCTAACGTAGTAGCTGATGGAAACTCAAAAGGCTCTATCCCACTAAAATTTAAGATGATAAACCCAGGAAATAATAGAAAAACATTTATAGCCCCTACACATCCAAAAAATATCACCATATCTACATTTGAAGCTTTTGCTTTAATAAAAACACTATAAGTTGCATATACAATAGCCCCAAATAATGCAAATAAATCCCCTCAAGCATTATCACTCCCGCCCTCATCATCTGACAAGCCTATACAAATAACTCCACCTGTAGCTGTTATAACAGCTAAAAACTTTATAATTTCAGGTGATTCTTTAAGAAAAAAGATAGAGAGAAGCAGCGTAAACATCCCTGAGGTTGAGCTTAATATCGTATTAGATGCAACACTTGTCAATGATAATGAAAGATTGAAAAAATAATTCGCAAAAAACCAGAGAGGGCAAAAGTGCAAAGCTATTTTCGCGGTAGATTTCAAGTCTGGGCAAGTGCCTAGTTTCAAAGTTTTATGTTTTCAAGTAAGAGAGATTAAATAGAGTGAAAAATTGGAGGTCGAGAAGTAAGTCAAGAAAAAAGGCTTATCGAAATTTTCATTTGTGAGGATTTCTTGGATAAGAGTGCTGCTTCCTACTCATAGGACTACTACTAATAGCAATAGAACAAATCCTAAAGCTATTTTTTTCATTAAATGCAATTATATATTTTTGCTCCTGATTTAATATTAAAATTTCACCAGCACTTAAACTATTATTTTCAGTTTTAATTAATAAAGGATTATTTAATATGCTGGATAATTGCTCCAACTCTTTCTCCTATACACTTTGCCATTCCTTGAGTTTTCGCTCTGACTCTAATACTCCCAATAATTCCATTATCTTTTCTTTCAATTGACACATTCATCAGCATATATATAAAATGGCGACCTAACTGTACTCGACTTTTTGATGAATTTTCTCGACCTTACGACCAATGCGAACTAGGCAAGAAATCAATCTAGATTAAGGTCTGATACGCGATTATATATATCCTGTAGGCTTTGACTTAGTTCCTGTAGTTGGAAAGAAGCAGCCTGGTGGATTTTGCCACGATATCATGATTTGCAGCCTGGGCCAACGTTAAGCCTTTTTCCTGTAGCTGAGGGGAAGGCAACCAGCACCCATTAGACCCCAGGTTTTCTCTGTGGATCAATCTACTCCTCAATTGCCAGAAGCAGGGCCGCAGATGAAGTCTATAGTCAAATACTGGAGCAAAAAAGGCAAGAAGAGGCGCCTCAGTGCATGACACTTCTGATGTCCAAAGCATCAGAATCCAGAGAAGGAAGAAGATGGTGTTCGAAGCAGTTTACCAACCAAATAATCTCAACTATCCAATGCCAGCAGGTGATTTCGCAAGCGGATAAACTATCAAGGCTCCTTGTGTGCTTCGTTCATAATCACTATGGCCAAGCCATCTGCTGATTAAGATTAAGATAATTCATCAACGCATCCTCAGCAAATCTTGACTGCCCATACATATTACACACAAGAAAATGTTCACTACAAAGCATTGCATTTTCAGGTGTCAAAATATTTACATTAGATATTTTTGATAATTTTTGAATATAGTCCAAAAGATTCGTCTTAGTGCTGGCAACGTTTACTGGGCTTTCCCATTTAAATTCTTGCCATAGTTGCCTGAATTGGCTTTCACTACAAGTTGCAGGGTGAATATATTCAATGGCATCAATAGTTATTTCATTCAGAGTAATTACATTTAAATTTCCTCCTTTAGGAGAGTCATATGTTAAATTCCCGAAAATGCGTCCAGCTTCTGAGCTGCTAACTTTGACGCTGGCTTTGATTTGGGCTGACTTTCCAGGTGCTAAATTAATGGGTAGAGGCTTTTCTACCATTTTTAAGTCTCCTTGAGAAGCAAGCTCAAGAGTTAAATTTTGAATCGTTTCAGAGGATCTATTAAAGACGGAGAATTCCAAGACGATATCGTATAAATGCATCCTCATCATACATTCAACATAAACAGGATCTCCAAGACCTGTCAGCTGTCTGACTCTGCTAATTCTTTTGGAATACTCTTCGTCTGTGTCTTGGAAAATGGCCTTAAAGCTGTCTTCTTCGATGATGAAATCCATGTCACTTATCCCTTCTCTACCTCTTACTCCTCCTTTAATGAAAAAAATTTGTCTTAATTTAAAAGGAGCTATTCTTTTTTTAAGAAAGATTTTTTGGTAATAATTAATTTATAAAATTTATCGCTAACTTATTATTTATGTTTCCTCATTGAAGAACAATTTATAGAAAAAAAATTATGTTTAGCTATTAATTTGGTCATCGAGCTATTTGCATATAAATTATAAAAATAAAATTTTATTCCAAATTATGGAGGATCTAATTTCCCAAAATACCGATATTTTGTTCCAATTTAAGGAAGAAGTTAGCTGCTTAATTGGAATTAAATCATCTGGCTGAGAAATCTGTTTTACTTCTTCTAATTGCTCTTCAATTTGTTTAGCAATGTTCTGAGATCGGCTATAAAGTTCTTTTCCACCTTCAAGTCAGTCAGGAGAAATCATTCCAGTAAGTGTTTGAATGCACTGAACGATCCTTTCAAAATTATCTGGGTCTATTGAGTATGGAACTTCACTATACTCTTTTTCATTTTTATGTTTTAAAGGATATGTTCTTAGCTGTACCAACCCACATAACATCAATAAAATATCCTGCTTATAATTTTCTCTATTTCTTTCTTCAATTTTGAACAGTAACTTAGTCAGCGATACAGATATGGCGGTCGCCAAAAAGAAGTCAACTTCTTCGATTTCTGTCAAAAGTTTCCTCAGCCCGCTTACATTTTTTTGCCTTGAAAAGTCAGAAGACGAAATAATTTGTGTCCCATAGGTCCCATCAGGCAAAATCACAGTGCGGTGAATTTTATCTTGCTCATCTTTTGCTACTTCTGTATGAGCAATTCTTTCCCGTTTGTTTATAAATGGTCCTTCACCAATTGTATTGAGAATGAGAACTATTGTTTTGGCTGGATCTCTGGTGTATTCTGAAAGCATTCATAAAGCAGTTCTGTGGACTTGTGCAGATGAGATTTCAGCAAAAATATGATGCAGCTTATCAATGATCGTGTTTTGGAGTGATTGATAGCTTGACATTAGCTGTTGAATAAAGCTTGCAACTTCTGCAGAAGTTGATGCTTGGAGTAGGCAACAATCCATTAAAACCTCAACAAGACCTAGTTGTCCAGTTATGTCAGGAAAGCTAACAGCACATTTATGGAGTGAAATAATTAAAAGTTCTTGATAAGGAAGCTCTTCTTTTTGGCTTTGGACATTGAGAAGTTCTTTTTTCAGGATCCTCACAATTTCTTCAACATTTCTTGATGATAGGAGCCCTAAAACCAGATCTAAACATTTTTTTCTAATATCATTCGATGGACTTGACAGAGATCTCAATAAATCGACAGCTTGCTCTTGTAAGAGCTTTGGAAACTGCTCTTTTATTCCTACCAACTTTTCAAGCACAAGCAATTTTACATTGTTGTCGGCACTTGGATCATTGAGAAGCTTTATATAAGTCGAAATTGATAATTTGACTGCATTAGGTGCTTTAGTTAACTGCATTAAAGTTGATGCACACTCATAAAGCACACTTTGCGATTTACTTGAATTAGCTAACTGGAAAATTGCTTTGATATGCCTTCCTTTTTCTTGCGGATTTGCTTTGCAGACTCTCTTCAACTCATCTAGCACCACAAGCTGTAAAATATCTGCACTTGATCCATAAGCAGAGGAGTTTTCTTCTTCGTCAGCTAGAATTGTATTCAGATATTTCATCGCCACATTAGGTTCTGCTTCAAATAAAAAGAGCAATGCATTTCTGCGAGTACTTAAATCAGTTTCACTCTTAAGCAGCTCATCAACCTTTTCTACAGCGTCAGGGAGCAAGCTGTCACCGAATGCCATATAAATGCTGTACACACACATAACCGCGTTTCTTCTAACATACGGATGGCGATGAGTCAGATTGTCCACGACTGGCTGAAGTAAGCTGTCCATCATTTCTCTATACTTCATCTTGGCTACTAATCTAACTCCCCCCCCCCCCCCTCCGTGAGCGAACAAAACCATTAGAAAAATCGCCATTTTTTGACCAAAAACCCACCCTCCGTGAGTGAACAAAAATTTTTTTAATAGAAAAAATTTTAATGGAAAAAAATTTTGATATATAAGTGATAATTAGTATAATGAAATCTAGAGCTAATTCTGTTTAATTTTAAACAAATTGCGTTTTAAAACATAAATTTTGCAAATTAAATTAATATTTGCTTCCCAATTTTTGCAAATTAGGATTTTTTTAAATTTCGAAAAAAATATTTTTTATAAAATTTATATATAAATTTTTTTTTAAAAAAAAAAATTAACCCCCCTCCGTGAGCGAACAAAATTTTTTTGTTCGCTCACGGAGGGGGGGGGGGGGGAGTAAGAGTTTTGGCTCTGACAAATTCATTAGGACTGAGCAAGTCGTTTCTCAAAGCATTGCAGAGCATAACCATTTCATCTTTGATGGTGCCGTCGTGATTTGTTTTTTCGATAGCTTCCCAGTATAGAAGAAGCAGTTTTTTCATGTCTTTTGACTCTGCTCTCATTGCGTGTTGGACTATTGTCATAATCATCCTTGGATAATGGTCGTCTTGAAGTATCATGAGGATTAAGGTTTTCATGGCATCGATTTTTTCTTCCTCAGTGCCCTGCTGAAGGATTTTAGAGATTTCTTGGCTGGTGGGAGGAGCTAGCACCTCATAGTCAATTATAAGATAGCAAGGCTTAGTCTGCTCTGGCATGTGAAATTATATTATAAGAGAAATGGCGTTAGGATTATCATTTTTTATAAGGGATTGTATAAGGCACCCCATTTATAGGTTTATATAAAAATATATGGTAAGATATTTGTTTTATTGTACTTTCAAATAATTATTTATTTGATTGAAGTTTTATCTTATCTGAACTTAAATATTTATTACTAAAAATCATTAAGGTTAATTTTTACAATTATCCAATCTCAAATTGCTGTGCTCAATGTTAAATTGTGCTGGGATATATTGATATCCAAGTTTCGTTTCTACGATTAATTAATTTACCTTCAGAATCCATTTTCTGACATTATGGCCTTAATTCTATAAACCAATCTTTTATAAATTGGTGAAGAATTAAAATGAAAATTATTGTGCTTTCAATTTTTGTATCTGTATTTTGTGTGAAATCAATTTATCCGCTTCACATGGACGAGTTGGTAATGCCTCAAGAATCAATAGATTTTGTCAATCAAAGCCAAGATTTATGGACAGCATCTTCTAGCTGGGTTGGAGAAATGACTATAGCAGAGGCCATGCAATACACACATACTCAAATAAAGCCAAGCACTTTTAAAGAATATGACTGGGGACTTATTTTGAATTTCCTCACAATTCCTCAAGGATTTGATTCTAGAAATCAATGGCCAAAATGTATTCACCCTATCCAAAGTCAAGGGAAATGCAGCTCAAGCTGAGCCTTTGCAGCTTCTGAAGTTTTATCAGACCTTTTTTGCATTGCTTCTAAAGGTTCCACAAATATAGTCCTTTCTGCTCAATACATAATTTCATGTGATTACATGAATGATGGATGCACAGGCGGCTATGCTGACCTTGCATGAGAGTTTATGGCTAATGGTGTCCCTACATCAAGCTGCATTCCATATTATGGCCAGACTACATATTGTCCTTCAACTTGCTCAAATGGGCTAGAGATGACTTTATATTACCCATCGATGATGTATACGTATATTGGCCAGACAGCAATTCAAGCTGCAATTCTAATGAATGGCCCTGTACAATCAACTTTTATGGTCTACCAAGACTTCATGAGCTACTCAGGAGGAATTTATACACATGTTACGGGTGCTTATTTAGGAAATCTCTCCGTGAAAATAATTGGCTGGGGAAGCCAGAATGGATTCAATTATTGAATTTGTGCGAATTCTCTAGGGAGCAGTTGGGGACTTAACGGATTCTTTTTCATTGCTTTTGGGCAATGCGGTATTGATTCACAGGCAATATCAGGGGTTCCACAAATTTAATTAATATATTTATGATTATTTATACAAATTTGTATTAAAGCGAAAATGATTAAGCTTACTTTAATTGAAAGCTTCATTTTGCATTCTATATACTCTTCATATTTTTTAAGTCATTATCTTCTTCCCATAGCTTTGACACATGATATTCGCCGCTTTTTGATAATTCTTTAAGCTTCTCTCTTGCAATTCTATTGAATGTCTTGCTTTTTTCAGGATCTTGAATATCTGGTTCCAATAAGGAAACTTTGGATAAATCTAAATCACATGTATATACGCCGATTTCTTTTTCTTCAGAAATTGCAACACGCCCTGTCTCTCTAAGCTGTAATTGTGTCTTTTGTGAGCAGATTTTAAAAAGATCTTCACTAATCATAATTGCTGTTTGGAATTCATTCGTAATTTCTCCTAGTTTAATTGCAATGTCCAAATTCGGGGACAAATAAACAGGATCAATTTTTAGTTTGCTGCCTAGAGTTCCTTCCAATGCCCAGCCTTGATGAAGCCCTATTCCAATTTCGCTGCATTCTTCAGAAATTATTTTTCTGATTTCTGTACCATTTCCATTATTCAAAATAAACTGGCTTTTCTTGAGTTCTGCCAAAATTTTTGCAAAACTGATAACTGCCATGTCTGCTAATTCTTTTACAAATAAATTATCATTCAAACCCTTTTTGGCATTGCTGAAGATATCAAGCTCAATGCACTCTTCAGGGAATTTCCATACAATTGAAAGCTTGTCTCCAGTTATTTTTTTAGCTAAGCCTAAGTACTGAGAAGCAATGCTATGAGTGATTAAAGAAATTTTGTTAATAAACTGAATAGTGTCTTCTTTTAAATCATACATACATATATATATTAATTTATTAACATTTAACGTCCACTACGGGGTAGCCGTTTCCAGAGCTGTCACCATATTTGTCCACGTGTCGGGCCCGAGACCGCTGGATCGATCCCTTTCGATTCGCCAAGGCACAGGCGAATAAGGCGTTCCGGCTTCGACGGGCTTCGCTGCCGCCACGGCTTTGTTTCGACTCAGCTCCTGCGCGTGTTCCGCCTGATGGTCCATCTCCCTTGGGATGTGCTGAGGGTAAAAACTCCAGATCTTGAGCGCACTGAGGAGCAGTTCCTTTGGTTATCCCCAAAGTTAAACCGCTGTTGCTGTGCAGAAGTTCTTGAGGTAAAAACCCAACCCCATAAATAAAATTGCTTGAATGAGAGAAAGTTAGCGGAGCTAACTTCGCTCGAGCGAAAGCCATTTTATTATGTCTTCTTTTAAATCAGAGGTAAGTTCTTGCAAGTTTTTTATGCATAACACTCCAAAAACGCAGAAACACCGTCTTCCTGCAATTAATGGATTAATTTCACCTCCGTTAGTTTTCATATTGTAAGTAATAATCTCCGCACCTATTTCTCCAAACCCAATCGATAAAAGTGAGCCGATTTTATTGATTGCGTTATCTAGCAGCTTAATTTCTTCAGGCTCAGATTTGCATGCCTTTTTCTCTTTTAAATTTTTTGTATAGGATTCATATTCTTCTAATTGAATAGCAAGCAGTGGGTCATTAGACATATTCTGCACACGATTTATTGTTTTTTCTAGTGGCTTTAACAAAATTTCTTTTGTATCTTTCGCAAGCAATAATGCAGCAACCCCAATTACAACACAAATGAAAGCTGTCCGCAGCATACTCATCCATGCTTCCATTTTACTTGTATTCTTCATGTCAAAAACCGCGACTATCCAGTAGTAATAGTCAGAGCTCATCCCGTCAATTGTGTATATAAGAACTTCTGACAATCGTAAATCGTCCAGACAGGCTCCTCCTTTCCACAGTTTTTTGTTTTTGACTTGCAGGTAAATTAAGGGATTGTTTAAATCTTTATAGGAGTCAACATATGAATTTCAAGCCACCTCAAATTCTTCATGCTCAAAAATAACATCATAAATTGCTTTTAAGCCTTAATCTTAGCCTTAATTATGCTTATAGAAAATTTCACTGTAATTCCCGAAGGACTGCATATACCCTTAGCGCTTCCACGTTTATTCGCCATATCACGTTTGACGACATAGCAAAGGTTGCTCCTGCTGGGCAAGGGCTTGTACTTGCTCACTGGCATTTGAATGAGAGCAGTTATATCACTGCACAGCACGTCAACAAAGATTGTCCTTCATGGAATACTCAGGCTTAACGCTGGAAAATAGCCCTGATAGACAAGGAGATGCTTTTGGCACTGCTGGGATATAACTTTCTAAATATTAATTCCATTTTCCTCTGAGGCAAAAACCTTGATCTGGAGTAAAGTTTGCAGTCAAATAACCTGGCATTCCGCATCACCAAACCAAGCAAAACTTGGCTGGATTCCACCACCCCACTAGACATGGACAAGCTGCAGGAGTTTAGAGGGTTGGCTGATTAAATGTTTATCGCTTTTAAGCCGAATTCAAAAAATTTATAGTCATCTAGATACAAAGAAGGATAAAACAGGGGAAACACAAGTACAGCGCCAATAACCAGAATGATCATTCGGTTCATAATGACATCGGTCAATCTGTTTCCAAGTTTGGCCTCAGGGTCTGACTTTGGTTTTTCCTTTTTTTCAACATTTTTAGCTTCGTTTTGTATAACAATCATATTCGAAGGAACGTCAAAATTCAAGCCAGTAGAAGCAGGATCGGATGAAGGATGATCCGCCTGTGAAAACGGCCCTAATGAAAAAGAGCTTAAAGAGTGAGAAGACTGATCTTCTAAGTTATCAAAATCTATTTCATTATTAAGAGGCATTTGGTCTCATACCTCTACTATTATTGGGGCTTCATTTCCTCTAAAGCGAATTTCTACTCTTTTTTCACTTTTCGTTTCGTCTTTTTGTAGGTTACGCTCGACTGCTAATTTGTAAATTTTAGCGACCCTAACAAGCCTAATGACACGAAAAATTCTCATAAGCCTGATATTTCTTGGGCCAGTAATACTTTGCAGTCTGTTAAGAGAAACATGGCTTTCCTGGACGTCTTCCGAATCTTGGTTGGAGTTTTTGCCTGTAATGAAGCTTCAGACTCAGCCAATATCAAGAATAAGAGATATAGTCGCTAAGATATCAAGCCAAAAGAAAAAACTGTTGAAATATTTCTCCTTAGATATTGAGGATAAAATAATTTCTACAGCAAAAGAAACAAGGCAAACAAATGCTGTTCAAAAAAAGTAGCCATCAGATGATTGCTCCGTAGCTAAGAGTCTGATGTCATCGCCAAATAAAGCAAAAAGTGTGAGAAGCATTAGATAAGCTTGAGTGATCCAATTGTCAAGTACTCAGGAAGCTCACTTTGAAAGCTTGGATTTGGGTTTCCTGTTTCCATTGCCCCAGTAAAGAGGAATATTTTTAATACAGTCATACCCCTTAAAGTAGCGTTGGTCAGAATTCAATTCATCAATTTTTTCAGAAATTTGATTCTGCTGGGGTTCTACACTGGATTTTGCCATTAAATTTTTATCTGATTTAAATTATAAACAAGTTTAGTTTCTTGAAAATAATTTTATGAAAGAGAAAGCAGGTGCATATCTATTTTCCTCAGCGCCATAGCTTAAATAGAACATAAAAAACTTTTTAATTAAAAAGTCTTATCTTTTTCTTTATTTTAATGATTATATTGTGCTATTTATAAATGAGTTGCTCTACTCTTAAAACTTGAAGATAAATGGTGTTTTTTATTTTAATTTGATTATCTACAAAGCCTATAAATGAGGCTTTTTGAAGAGATCTGAATAAAATTATTATCCAGATTAGAATTAATTGTTCTTTTTTATTTTTGCAAGGATGCGTAAAAGCAGATGCCCAGCTTTCAAATTAAGTATTTCTACTGCACCTCAATTATAAATCCAACAGCCTATCACTGGTTTTATTAAAAATAAGTATCAGACATAAACATTATTCAAACGAAAATAATTCAAACTTTAATTTTTAAGATTGATATATTTATTTTGATTTGCACTATTATTTCCAAAATAAGATAAAAATATTTTCAAATCATTAAAATTTAAAATCTCAAATAATAAAAATTTATTCAATCTTATCTAGAAAGATAAATGGCCCAATAAATATTTTTGAGAGGTAAAATTCAGCTTAAGACCACAATAACCAAATTGGAAGTAAATTTCAAAAATATGAAACTGATCTTACCATTTCCTACCATATTAGGGAAATAAATAAGCTAAATCAATGTAAATCCTAACACGAATATTAAAGCTTATTGGCATATCTACCAAACAGATAGCTATATTTAAACAATTAAATATGTCAAGTTGGTCTAGATTTTCTCCTTCTGAGCTTGACCTTGCTGAAGAACAGTTAAAATTATTTTCAGGCATAGAGATAACAACCCGAATAATTCCAGTAGGAAATGGGCAGCATCTTTATTCTTCCATCTGTGGAGATCCTTCTAATCCACCATTAATTTTATTGCATGGATTTTGTGGAGCTGGAATGATTTTTTATAAAATTCTCTCTCAACTTGCATCTCTCTACTATATCTATCTTGTGGACTTATTAGGAATGGGAAGATCATCTCGCCCAAATTTTACGGCAACTTCTATATCTGATTCAGAAGACTTTTTCGTCGAGCCCTTAGAGAACTACAGACGAGAACTCGGTTTGGAGAAATTCATTTTAATTGGGCATTCTTTTGGAGGGTATATAGCCGGTTGTTATGCTGCTAAGTATCCTCACTCCCCCCCTCCGTAAGCGAACAAAAATTTTTCAATAGAAAAAATTTTTATGGAAAAAAAATTTATATATAAATGATCATTAAATCTCTAGCTAATTCTGTTTAATTTTAAAAATTGCGCTTTAAAACATAAATTTTTACAAATTAATTAATATATTTTAAAATTTCGAAAAAATTTTTTTTTCTATAAATTAAGCTCCTGCATGAGCGAACAAAATTTTTTTGTTCGCTCACGGAGGGGAGGAGTCAGTATATACAATCTTTAATATTTTTATCACCTGTCGGCATATCTGAGCAGCCGCCTGGATATAATTATCTTTATACACTGGAAAGTAAGGATTGAAAGTACCGTTGGGCTATGAAGTTTCTGGTCTTCTTTTGGACGAGAAATGTGACGCCTACTAGCATTATGAGAAAAGCTGGGCCATTTTCAGGAAAGCTTCTAGAATTGTACTCGATACGCAAAATAAGCAAAATCCCACAAAGCGAGCTGAGGAGCTTAGAGAGATATTTAGAGCAGATTAACTTGCTCCCTGCAAGCGGGGAATTAGCCCTGCTTTATTTATGCTATCCAGGCGCGTGAGCAAAAATGCCATTATGTAAGAGAGTAAATAATTTGAAAATCCCTATAGGATTCCTTTTTGGAGACAAAGATTGGGTAAGCACTAGAGGAGCTGAGCAACTAAGAGAGCAGCATCCTAGCTCGATAAGAATCAAAACAATATCAGACTCAGGCCATCATTTATACTGGGACAATCCACGGGAGACTATACAACAAATAACAGAAATGCTAACTCAATCTTTGCAGAAAGTATGAGGATAAGGTAAAAATTTTTTAAATATTACAAATAAATTTATTTGATTATATGCAATTTTGCAATAATAGGGAACTTTTTATAGGGGATGAAATTTAACTATGAAAAATTTTATATAGAATCGCTCGACCAAGATAGGTAGTAAGCGAATTTGAGAGAATTAGCAAACTAGAACATACGTGTGAAGCCTAAGGATACTAATTATCAATATTATTAAATTTTATAAACCCATTGGATCTAATTGGAGATTTTGGAACTTTAGCTAAAGGAAATTTCTTTCCTACCATTGCTACCGTTGGAGATTTCCCAAGCATAGGAGAGTTTAGCAATTGGCTGCCACTTTCAGCAGGGATGATCTGTGTCTTCGTTGACTCTTTTATTTCTTGAGTCATGTGCAAGCCGGGCTGGTCACCCAAAGGTGCTAGAGAGATCCCCATTTTGGCTGCACTATGCAGAAAATAATTTACAATTGTGCTCAGCCGATATTTATGCTTTGGCTTTGAATTTTCTGGCTCATCACCTTCAACTGGAGCATAAACTTGGAACGGCCAAATATGATTGGGCTTATCTGTAACTTTTGCTTCAGATAAAGATCTAGGCAATATCTTTCCTGTTTTAGGCTCTATTGGCTCATCATAAATATCTGGTTTTGCCCAATTTCTTTGTGACATTCTAAGAGACGTTCTCGTTGAAAATTTTGGGTTTGGCTGATATGAGTCACGAATAGTCCAATAATCTTTTTGGGCTTCAGCAAACTTTGGCAGCTCATGCCCATGAACTCCTATAGTATTATTTGAAAAAGTTTGAATATTATGTTCATTAGTTTGAATCCTGACGTCTTCTTTTATTTTACGAATTGTTGGGAATTCAACCCCTTCAGGGATGTAATATAAATTCTTCATTTCTCGCTCTATCATTTTTTTTTCTCTTGATGCGTGGCTGTAGTCGATTTTCTGATGCAATTGATTCAGCATTTCTTCTTTTCGCATAGCTTTTAGTTCTTCTAATGTTTTAGCTCTGGGAGACTGTAAGTAAGTGGTTGATGGGATTTTGGAAAGCTCTTTGACTTCTGTTGGAGCAGCGAGTCCTAATGAAGCTCGCAATTCTAAAACATTTCGCTTTTCCAAGTCTTTTGAAGTTTTCATCCTGCATAGCAGTTACAAAGGATCTTTCATCCATCATTCGGGGTTTTCATACTTCACTTCGAGCCTGTTTGGCACTTCTCCAATTTTGTCCTTTAATGCTCTTGCAATATCCTTTTTTTCATTTTTACGAAGTTCTTTGAGCTCTGAGAAGGTTTTTGCACAGTCATTTGCAAACTCTCTATCTTAACTTAAAGATATCTAAATACGTAGAGTCCTGCTTAACGTCCACTATGGGTGGCCACACCAGAGCTCCCACCATTTTTATATGTATCAGGCCCAGGTCGCAGGACTGATCTACTTCGATTCACCAGGATATGCTTGGAAACGGAGTTGTGATTACGACAGCTCAAGAGAGATTGGCTTCTGTCTTCCTTGATACTGTGTAGCCGTTAAAGGCTCCTTCTCTATGCAGGATGAAAAGGAAAAAATCGCAGGCCTTTTAAATTCCTAGGACATGTCAAATGCCAGTACTGTACGAATGTCACCATTTTAAGATTATGCAAATTCTCTATCAATTCCTAGTCTTGATCCTTTTTCACTTGTGTTGGATGCTGTTTTTCCCATTTGAAAAACAGACCTAGTTGTATTATCATTAACATACTCTTGATTGATCTCGTCTATTTCAGATTTCATTTATAAATGTGAATAATTTTTACTTTTACAATAAAATCCTAATCCATCAAAACTTTTTTATATTATTATTATTAATCAAATAAAAGACATCAAATCGATATATTTAAATAGCCTAATAACTGCTCTATCAATTGATGGATATTTATTCAAAATAAATAAAAATAAAGATTGTCTCAATCTTCAAATGATCTATGCATTAACTGATTTTTAGTGCTTCATTTTTACTGAATAATATTTACCATAAGAAAACAAAATTTTTTATCTATTGATCCGACATTTTATTTAAAATTTGAAAATATCGAATGCTAAATTCAGGCAAAACCTTGTTTTTTCTATTATTTTGAAGTAATTTTTAGCTCTTCGAAATAATATTAAGTTTATTAAAAATTCACCACCATAACTAATTATACAATAATTAAAGAAATGTTCAAAGTTAAGGCAGAATTATCTATACTTTTACTTAAAAGAACAATTTTTATTTATTTGTTGTTAGAACCATTAATTAACCCTAAGTTTGCCATCAGATTTACAACGGCTCTCTTAAAGGTTCATTTATATCTAAAGTTTAAAATATAATTATTCAAATGGCCAGTCCTCGACCAGCAACTCAAAGACGAAAAGAAGAAGGGGAGAAAATATCTTCTGTCACTCGTGATAGAGCTCAGCTTGCTAAAGCCTACATAGAAGGAAGATTCTCAAAGCTCAAAGAAGAAGAGGAAGGACGTAGAGAAGAATGACAAGAACTGAATAAAATTATGGACGAACTCTGCCTGTCTTCTTCTGAAAGAAGCATGATCAAGCAAGAAATTCTGCATAAAGAAGCAGAACTGCTCAGAGAGAAACGCCAAAAAATAACTGTTTATGATTTTGAATCAATAGCGATATACATGCTAATATGAGTAGCCCTACGGGAGCATTTTTAAAAAAGCAAATTAATTTTGGAATATCAAAAAATTGCTTATCCCTCCTCTATGTGCGAATGAAGCCATGGGAGGAGTTAAAATATTTGGCAGGCCAACTAATATATGGCTAACCAAAAAATGCTCTTTATTACCCTTTTATGAGCGAGCAAAATAATTGGAAAATCCCTATTAATTGATGAAAAAAGTGAGTAAAAAGTGTTTTTAATATAAAAATCAAGAATATTTTAATAAAAGTGATAATTATTATAACTAAATCTCTATAGTTAATTCTATTGAATTTAAAGCAGTTTACATTTTAAAACATTAAATTTTGCAAATTAAATTAATTTTAACCTTCAAATTAGGAATTTTGAATTTCAAAAAAATTAACTACTATAAAATTTAAAAAAATAACTCCCTCTGAGCGATCAAAAATTTTTTGCTCTCTCATGAGGGCGATTTAGTAGGCTATTTATCTTAATCTAGTATAATAGGAAAAGGCGCTTTTGGAGAAGTCAGAGTTGTAAGAAAGAAAGGTACAGGAGAAGTCTTCGCACTAAAGAAAATGGACAAAGCTGAAATGGTTTGTAAGAACCAGATCCAGCACATTAAAGCTGAAAGAGATGTCCTTGCACATTCAGAAAATCCCTGGATTGTAGATTTGAAATGTTCTTTCCAAGACGAAAAATACTTGTATTTGGCAATGGAATATTTAGGTGGAGGCGATTTTATGAATTTATTGATTAAGAAAAATATCCTGACTGAAGCTGAAAGCCGATTTTATATTGCAGAGATAATACTTGCAGTGGACTCTGTACATAAAATGAATTATATACATAGAGACTTGAAGCCTGATAATATACTTATTGATAACAGAGGCCATATTAAGCTCTCAGATTTTGGCTTATCTAAACAGGCTGAAATATTTCCTTCTCAGCATAGAGAAGTGTTAAGAAAGTTGGAAGAAGAAAGGATGAAGCAATATGTTGACAAAAGAAACGAGTTTCACCGCAATAGAAAATTGGCATTTTCTACCGTTGGGACTCCTGATTATATTGCCCCAGAGGTATTTTCTCGGCAAGGCTACACTGAAACAGTCGACTGGTGGTCTGTCGGAGTCATGCTCTTTGAAATGCTCGTCGGATATCCTCCATTTTATGCTGACAAGCCTAAAGAAGTCTGTCAAAAAATCATTAATTGGCAAAATTACTTCACTATTCCTAGAGAAGCAAGGCTTAGCCACGCTGCTATAGATTTAATAAGAAAACTAATATGTGAGTCCAATACAAGACTTGGAATCCGAGGAGTTGCAGAAATAAAAGCCCATCCCTTCTTTGCAGGTATTGATTGGAACAATATAAGAAACCAAGAAGCTCCTTATGCTCCTGAGCTTCGTGGAGATACTGATATCTCGAATTTTGAACAATTCGAAGAAACTGAACCGTTTTACCCTCCTATCAGTAATAAAAAGAGGCCACAAAAAAAAGATGTGAATTTTGTAGGGTATACTTTTAAAAAAGATGTAGAAAAACTGCGATAATAAAATATGTCATCGTTCGAATTTTTCTGGTTTTCTGAAAGAAAGCTCATCTATGGAAGTTTGGATTTGCCAGCGAATTTTATCGACAATTATAGAGTATTAAAACTTCAGCGTGCGTAGCACTGGATAGCCATCAGGAGGGAAATATATTATCAAGAAGTATGTCACAACCGAAGACTGGGCCTTTAAAGTGTCAAACAGACTCAAATTGGTTTTGCCCAAGAAACGGTAATCGGATTTCTGATTATCTGAACGTCGGCAGAAGAAATTTTTCTGGTGATCAAGTTCAGACATTTCCGAGTACTGGCTGGTGCTGTAAGAATTTTGTCTATGAAAGCACGAATAAGCGTCATAGCATATATGTATTAAACTTAAAGCTAATAAGAAAAATTAGAAAAACAACGAACTGGGCTGACCAGCGCAATTGAGGAGCTTGAAGCCATTCGAGCATCCTCTGCAAGGGAAAACCAGCCTATTAATTATATCCCATCATCAGAAGAGTTATATAATGGAGAACTGTAAGTAATAATTTCTTGATTATTTATAGTAATTGTTTGGAACAAATGGCATTTTTTCGATCTTGACCTGGACTGATTTATTAGGTCTTATCTTGGCTTCGTATTCAAGTCCTGTTTTGGCGTGCTGTGAATTGACATAAGCCATGCCGATTCCTTTCTTTAGAATAGGACTGAAGGTTCCTGAAGAAACTTTTCCAACTTCTTCAGCTCCTGAATAGAGAACCACTCCTTCTCTCGCTGAAGGTCCATCTTGGACGATAAATCCAACTCTCTTTTTCTGGGTTCCATCTCTGATTTGCTGCATCACTGTGTCTGCTCCTAGCCAGCCTCCATTAGTTCTTTTAGTTTTTGGAATAGTCCATAATAGGCTTGCTTCGATTGGAGTAATATTTTCTTCTAGATCATGCCCATAAAGACACATCCCAGCTTCCAGCCTCAAAGAGTCTCTTGCACCTAAGCCGCATGGCAATAAGTTTTCGCCTCCAGCGCTAAGCAAGATTCTTGCAAGGTCAACTGCTTTGCTTGGGTCAATCGAAATTTCAAACCCATCTTCTCCAGTATATCCACATCTTGTAACTAAAACAGGCTCATTCAATGGCTTCAGCTGGGTATATCTTGCTTGCATAAATTTAGTGGTAGCAAGATCAGCTTCTACTAATGGCTGAAGAATTCCAGCAGCCATTGGGCCTTGGAGTGCTAAAAGTGCTCGGTCCTCTAAATGCTCAATTGTGACATCCTTTCCTTTATTTCTGAATTCCTGCAGGAAATGATTTAGGTATTCTAAGTCTTTATCTTTACACCCAGCATTAATGACCATTCCAATATGGTCTTCAAATCTAGTGATGATAGTATCATCCTTGATTCCTCCATAAGACATCATAATTAAAGAAAGCACAGCAGAATTGGCAGGGACTTGGTTCAGATCTGCAACAGTGAGATAATTGATAAACTCAACTCTGTCTCTTCCTCGGATTTTGAGCTGTCCCATGTGGCTCACATCAAATAAGGCTGCTTTTTGTCGGCATTGCATGTGTTCTTTCAAAACACCACCGCTACGCTCTTTATATTCTACTGGCATTTCATAGCCTGCAAACGGAACCATCTTAGCTTGCAGATCATTAGCGTGAAAATCAAACAAAGCAGTTTTCTATATGACACTTACTTTAAGTGCTCCGGTTGAAAATCGCCTCAATGTCGCCATCAACATTGTATTATTATAATATGGCTCACACCTTTGATATTTAGCTTTAAAAAATATGAGATTTTCTTGTAAAGAAATTTAAAAATAGACATTAACCTGAATAAAGTTCTTGAGAGTCTAGAACAAATCTTCTTTGGTTGCTTCCTTGTGAAGGAGAAATGACTGGCCTCATGCCTGAATTTGACTTATTGATAGACTCAAGCTCCTGCAACGCATTTAGCAGTGTATTTGTCTGCTCTTCGTTTTCTTTCTTAAAGGTATAGCCTACAAAGTTGTTGTCTTTTTTCCCTTTTTTCCTTCTTTGCCCTTCAAGTGGGTAAAATGGCTCCATTTCTTCAAAAGTATCGAAATTGGCTGTGTCTGAGTCACTTGTTAACTAACTAAAAAATACCTCAGGAACCCATGGTGCTCTGGTGTTTCTAATATTGTCCCAATTAACTCCATTAAAAAATGGGTGCTCTTTAATTTCTTCTACCCCACGAGTTCCAAGCCTGTCTGGGGCATCGCATACTAATTTTCTTATTAAATCACAAGTAGAGTGCTTCAAATTAGCTTCACGTGGGATTGCTAAAGTGCTTCTCCAATGCAGTATCTTTTGACAAGTTATTGAAGGTTCATCTGAAAAGAAGGGTGGATACCCAACCACCATTTCAAATAAAATAACTCCAACACTCCACCAATCTACAGTTTCCGTATACCCTCCTCTGCCAAAGACTTCTGGGGCAATATAATCAGGAGTTCCCACAGTCGAGTAAGCCAGTGCACGGTTTCTCTTGTAATCTGATTTCTTTTCTATATACTGCTTAGCCCTAGCTTCATCTTCGAGCTTATTCAAGTTTGAGTATAAATTGTCAGGCTGGACCTCACTTAGTTTGCAGAGCCCAAAATCGGAAAGCTTGACATGGCCATCTCTACCGATTAATACGTTATCTGGCTTGATGTCTCTATGGATGTAATTCAACTTATGCACAGATTCGATAGCCAAAACCATTTCAGCAATATAAAATTTGGCCTCATCCTGAGGAAGAATGTCTCTTTTAATAAGAATAGTCATCAAATCACCACCTTGTAAGTATTCCATTGCCAGATACAGGTATTTTTCGTCTTGAAAAGAGTATTTTAGCTCTACAATTCATGGGTTATTTGCTTTAGCGAGGACGTTTCTTTCGGCCCTTACGTGCTGGATTTGGTTTTTCCTTATCATTTCCGTTTTGTTCATCTTCTTCAAGGCAAGGATTTCATTAGAAGTTTTATGCCTAACGACTCTGACTTCGCCAAATGCGCCTCTTCCAATGATGGTTATAGGTTCAAAATCAAATATGCTAATTCTTGCACGCATCAGCCTAAGTCTTTCAGCTTCTTTATGCATGATTTCTTCCTTTACAATTTGTTGCTCGGTTTCAGACAAGTTTAGCTCAGTCATTTTTTTGTTGATTTCGTCTCAATACTCACGGTTTTCAGTTTCTTCTCTTTTTTTCTTCGAATATTTTTCAGCTATAAAAGCTTTGGCTGCTTCAGCTTTTTCTCTTGATGCAGCTGAGATTTGTGGCTGATCTCTGGTTTCAGCTCTTTTTGGCGTTCTTGGAGGGTCCATTTATAAGTCAAATATTTAGAGCATAATTGGTGATTAAATCCGAAAAAACTTTAATTATGCAGAACAATTTTAATTAGAGCATAACTTATCCCAATATGATAGAAATTAATTAAATGAAATTCTAAGGCTTAGATAATTTATTGTGCAAACTTAATTAGTAAGGCATAAAATGTTATATTAATATAGATCTATTTATCTAACCTTAAATTAAAGTTATAAAGATTTATTTAAATTTTCGTTTAAATAAACTAAAGGAAAACGAAGCATAAAACAATATTTCTGCGGTTTACTAATAAAGATAGGGTGTGCTAGATTGTAAACCAATATAAAGGCTTAAGTAAAGAAAACTCAGATAAACCATGAAATGTGGTTTATCATATCAGAGATTTTGATTATTTAATTTCTTTATTCTACTATTGTGAAGAGTTAAGATTAAGATTATTGATTTTCTTCCTTTTCTATCTTTAAGGAAATCCCATTTGCTTTGAGCTCAGGATGTGATGCAGGAATCCTATGCCTCCAGGTTCCTAGTTTGAGTGACGATCTTATTTGCTCTTCCGTTTCACTTTTCAGCCCTTTCCAAGTTTTGATTCCCCAAACTTTTCCATGTCTGGGATCAGAGTACTCGATTCTTGTGATTATATAATATGAATCAGCAGGCCAAGTAGCTCGCCAAAATTGGAAGCCTACACCTTGACTTCTGTATTGCGAGCAGATTTCAAATATACTTTTGTAGTTTTTACCTAAAATACATTAAAATAGCGTGATGAATCAGCCTAACCTTTTAACTCCTTGTAGCCGACATCCTACAAATGTATGGAATCCCGAGGAAGGAAGGATGATATTCAAAGATGTTTATTCGGCAAAATTTACTAGAGTCAAGTGGAGAGCTGATCAGCCTGGCTCAATTTGATTCCAGGTTTTTTCTCACAGAGAAATGGAGATAGAGTTGAAAGAAATCTCACAGCAGTACTAGAAGTTAGTTTATAGACCAATCGGAATGTTTTCAGAGCTAAACTAGGACTTTCGCCCAAGAGTCGGCCAGAAAATTCAATTATTTTGAAATTTTCAATTGCAATGTTGACGCGCGGAACGATAAAACAACTCTTCCGATTACCGGCAGCAAGCAGCCTTGTCGTGAAACGTAAACTGGCAAGCGTTGGGAAAGAGGTAGTTCTTCACGAAAACAATGAAAAAAATTATTAAGATTAAGGTTTCTACCTATCAGTGGCTTCAAAATTTCTTCTTTGGTATAGATTTTGTATGACCTGAAAATTCTTATTGAAAACATAAATTATTATAAGCATAATAATAATATATTAGGTAGGCTTAAACTTTAGAGTGCTCTAAAATTCTTAACAAGAGAATCTCTTAGGTCAATTGAAGTTGGTAAGTAGCTTTAAAATGGAATCTAGATTACCCTTATCAATTTTTATATTAATAAGCTTGCTCTCTTCCCTAATTATCAGGCAATTTTTTTATTTCAAAAATTCTAATTTGCCTTAAAAAAATTTATTTAAATTATAAGGTTTATTTTTAAAGCCAAGCTGTCTTGAATTTAATAAAATTAATAGAATTTCATTATAATAATCAATACTTATACATATTAAAATATCTTATACAAAATTTTTTGCTTGCTTGGCTTAAGAAGGAGTTTTCCCAATATTTTTGTCTAGCACAGAAGGATAATTAAGAAAAATTTAATTATTTTTTAGCACTAAGTGGCCTAGGTTTTTTGATTGTTGAAGGAAGAGTGCTAGAACTCTTCTGCAGCTCTCTATTGACAACTATGTTTATAGCTGTTTTTTGAGATCTTGATACATTGCTAGGAGGAGACTCATCTTCCTCCCATGCAGTTTTATGATGGAATTGCTCATGAGTATCAATTGTAAAAACATCTGCTCCAGTCTGATAATTTTCAAGCTCAGCATAGCTTATTGAAGGGCCTTTTACGACTCCATCAGCTTTGTATACTTTTCCATCTCTACCAACAACATGAGGATGGATAGGAGAAAAATTTGCATCTCCCCTACCACAAGACAAGCAATTTGCAGGCATAAATGTTTTTCTACCAACCAAAGCATATCCAGATCTTGAGTTCATTTCAAATAATGAAGCCTGAAGCTTTTTAAGCAAGGAATATAAATGATCTAAGTCTTTCATGTTCTGCGAAATTCCATTCTCAAGATCTCCTAATCTTGCATCTCGAGCCCCTAGTTCGTTCTTCATATCTTCTTCACCAGCCTTGCTATTCAAGAGCTTTTTTATTGAACTCAAGTCAGAATTTTTCCCAAGCTTCTCTACTTTGGATTCTAAGATATGGATTTGCTCAATCATTTTCTCTCTAAACTTCCAAAATTCATTCATTTCAGATTTTTCTTGAATTGGAGGCAAGGTGGAAATTGAAGATTTTTCTTGATTTTTAGCTAAAATTTCTTGAATAACTGATATATCTGCTTTATTTTCAAGCTGCTGCTTTAGAATCTCTATCATTCTCTTAAGGTATTCAACATCTTCGTTTGAAGTCTCGTTCACAAATTTCCCTACAATTTCTCTTATTTTCTCATCAAATTTGCTAATTTTCAAATCCATTTCTAAAAATTTCCCATGAAATTCGGCTAAATTAATATTTTGCAAAATTTCTTTTATCGAGCTAATTTCTTTGCTGCAGTTATCAAAATCACTTTTTTTCTTTAAAATTTCCGACAGATCTTTAACATCCTCTTTTATTCCTTTCAATTTATTAGCAAAATCATGCTCATTTTTTTCGAATCCCCTTTGCAAATCTTTCAGCATTATTTCATATTTCGCCATACTCTCTTCATTAAAAGTGATCAGCTCATTTCTTAGCTTATCTTCAATTCCTCTAATAGCATCATGCACGTATTTTTCATTAACTCTGACTTTCAATAGCTCTTCACAGTCTTTTATTTTTCACAACGTATTTAGCTCAAGATCTGAAAGTTTCTTTTCAATTTCCGCTATTTTTTCGCTCAATTTATGATCCCCTTGCAACATTTGTTTGCGCAATTCTTCGCTTTTTTCTCTAATCTAATTATCTTTCACCGTTTTTTCAACTTTACTCTTTACTTTTTTAGTCATAGACTTAGCTTCATTTTTTGTAATTTTCTTTTCAAGGTCTTCATTAATATTGGTTATACTAGTTTCAGTAGCAAACTTGAACTGCTTTAAGTCAAGCACATTATCACTTAAAATCTTTATTTTATCAGCAAATGCATAAACTGCATCCTTAAAGTCATCCCCACTTCGATCTCTACCAGCAGATCCGAGCTTATCAGTGATAGATCTCTCAGCAAGTCCAAAAATTTCAATTAATTCTGAAGTGCTGACTCGAGTTCTAAGCTCTTCTGCGAGGGTTTTGATAAGAGTGCCATGGTGGTTAACGGTTTGAGATACGCTATTAAGAAAATCCTAAAATAAAGAATACTTTCAGATTATCGAAGTGCAGATCAAAGCTTACTAATGGAGCTCCAGGAAGTGGTGAAGATTGCAGCTGCTCTAATTCAAGCCTTGTCGTTCTAATGGTTTCAAAGGAATGCACTTCAGAAATTTTCATATGAGAAGCTGACATTTGCAAATTTATAGTAATAGTTATGCTTGCTTAAATTATTTTTGCAGAAAATTGCCATAAATTATTTATATCAAATAACTTAAATTCGGAATAAATTCAGTTTGGCAATTAATATTTAGGATTTTAAACTTATATTTTCTAATTATCCTCTTCTCTCTGCCACTTTATTCAGCACTATTTTGTGGAGTCTTAATAAATAATCACTATAACTCATTTCGCTAGCAGTTGCATCTTCAACCATGAATCTTCGTAATATGAAATCATCACCTTTTCCTTCAAATAGTCAGTATAATGTTGGGTAGGCTGATGGGGCTCGCTTTCTGATCTCGTCAACAATTGCTATAACTTTAGCTGACTCGTCATTTCCTAAATCATTCAAAACCCAATATTCAGGATTTTCACTTAATTCATCAAACTGAGAAATCCCAAAAACATTTTGCAAGAATTCCTCATTTGTGTTTCTTCCTATATAAAAAAGCATAACCTCGCCATTAAATAGCAAATAAGCACCATTTGTGTTTATACTGTTTAAAGAGCAGCAAACCAAGTTAGGTAGGATAAGAAGCTCAGAGCTATTTAATGTACCTGGCTGATGAGGTTGGTATGATATATCATGCAGACTGTAAATAGATGGGTAAAAAAGCAGTCGTGATTGATGAATACTCATTCCTAATAGATCGTGGACTGAAAAAAGCCTTGAGTCAAGCTGCACCCCAGTCAATGAAAATGCTGGAAGTTTCATAGCCGTATTGCTGTATAGAGGAAGAAGTCTTAAGTTCTCAGGAGCCAAAATTTTATTCTATTACTCTCTATTTAGATTTTATACGTGCTTCCCCTCTTCAACAGGATGAGAAGCCCACTCTTTTAACTCCCAAGTGGTGAGGCCAGCAGCCATCTTGTCTGGCAAGTATTCTACAAGACTCCAGATACGCTCCGCCAAGGGTCACCCTCCCCAGGTGTGTCAATCAGTAAAAAACATATGTTTCCTTTCTTCTTTGAGTAATAACTACTCTATGCGTTAATTTCATACTGGTATTGTGATAAAGATCCACTGAAAAACTTAACCTTATAATAAATATAGTGGAGGAGTAAGGTTTGTTAAAGATAACCAATTCCCGACGTAGCCATTTTATTATTATACCAAAATTTTATTCATTTCTGCAGTTTCTAAGGTTATTCTATGTGTCGTGAGTAGCTGTATCATGCTTGAATGCCATTTTTCTCTGATGGTTCCCAACATTTCTTCATATAGAGAATGCGCATTAATTCTTGCAATTACGTTTGCAATTGTATCAGCATCGCCACTTTTGAAAATATTAGGGACTATTTTGGTGCTTCTCATCAGGCCATTAAAAATTCTTATGAGTCTTTGTCCGTACTGGTTTGTGTAAAGCATGGCACACTGGACATGCAAGTCAATATCCTCTTGCAGTTTTGAGTCATGCTTGAGTATGATAGCAATCGTCTTATCTGAATCAATGCAAGACAGTTCCATCTCAACTGGCCCTTTTCTTTTGAATTTCCCTATATATTGGTCGATCGCTATTCCATTGCTGCATCTCGCTCTCATGACTGCTTGAAATCCTTGTGTCCTTGTTAAGATTCTAACTCCCCCCCCCCCCCCCCCCTCCGTGAGCGAACAAAAAAATTTTGTTCGCTCACGAGAGGGGGGTTAATTTTTTTTTTTTAAAAAAAAATTTATATATAAATTTTATAAAAAATATTTTTTTCGAAATTTAAAAAAATCCTAATTTGCAAAAATTGGGAAGCAAATATTAATTTAATTTGCAAAATTTATGTTTTAAAACGCAATTTGTTTAAAATTAAACAGAATTAGCTCTAGATTTCATTATACTAATTATCACTTATATATCAAAATTTTTTTCCATTAAAATTTTTTTCTATTAAAAAATTTTTGTTCACTCACGGAGGGTGGGTTTTTGGTCAAAAAATGGCGATTTTTCTAATGGTTTTGTTCGCTCACGGAGGGGGGGGGGGAGTAAAGATTTTGTAATAGATTCTTTCACCATCAAAAGATGCATTGAAGCTTGGATAGTAGTTTAAGTCACCTCCAGTCTGTGAACAAAGTGCGGCTAGGGAAGGAACATCCGCATATTGGCCTGTGCAGAGGAAAATATCGACACAAACATCTTCAGCTGTGCATTCTTGTGCTAAAGTTGCATAGCTTTCAAGAGGAGCATACATCAGTTTTTCTTTTTCTGTGTTAAACAGCTTCGGGTCTACCCTATTAGTTAATTTGTATTTTCCAACTGTTCCAAGCTGGGAAGTGAAAATGAGAACTCTGCCTCCTCTTCCTTTCAATAAATAATTTTTACATGCATCAGCTATCGTTCCAGCAGATAAATTAACCTTCGTAGGCTGTGTCCACTCCCAGGTCAGTAATTTATCTAAAAGTCCATCTAGTTGTTCTCGTTGCTCAGCTACATTGTATGCAAGCCCATCTACATTTTCCGGAACAAAAGGATCTTCTACATCAGTTACGAGTATTTCTGACACTTCTCCTGTAGGCCCGATTTTATAGAACTGCATTGATATGTCAAACGTCATTATTCCAATATTGCATCGTTCAGGAAGGGTTATATAGTCAAGAATTCCTTTAATTGATGTGAGGATCTGCTGGGGAAGTCCTGTAGAGAGTGAGCCAGCTGATATATCAATGCAAAAAAAGAAAAGTGGAGCCATTGGAGGTCGGTTTGAATAGTCACTTGGAGCAACAAACTCATAAGTCCCTGCCAAAAGTTCAGGCTTATTGTCTCTATCATTGAAATATTCATCAGAATTATCCTGGACGAGCCCACAAATATTGCAAATGCACTTCCTCAACTCCATATACATTAAAAGGTGTGACAATCCAGCTCACCTTCTTGATGCATGCAACTGGTTTCGTTCTTCTATTGGGCTGAGAACCACCGGGAAGGAGTTGGAATTCGAGACATATCCGGCCTGGCTTTTACTTGGTTTGGTGGAACGCAATGTTGGACTTAGCAGGCCAAAGTTCTAATCCAGATCAAGGTTTTGGACTCAGAGGGGAGTAGTTCGAGAGTTGGAATGGGTCTCCTGACAGCATCAGTAGCCAATGATCTGATCAATCGGAAATATTCCCCATTGTGAAACCAGGAGTTACACCTTGGGCTTCGATTTCTATTTTTGGCTGATAAACCTTTTTTGGCACAAGGTATAGAGATGTGAGCCATCCGACTACCAGAGAGAGGAGCAAGCCCTTGTCTAGGAAGGAGACCAGCCTTTGTAAAATTGTGTACAAACTAGCAAGTAGGCAAGGGAGTGTCAAGAATGAAGATAGTCCTTCAGGAATTGCAGTGGGCTTCTAAACAAGTTTAATAAAAAAAAAATTAATAGGCTTCCTCCCTCCTTCCACAAATCTGAAATGAGGATTTATAAATGCCAAACATCTATTACACCTGAACGGAGTTTTATTGAGGATTGAAATTGCATCTTCTCCAGGACCGACATCAGCTAACTCTTACCTCTGTAAGTGAACAAAAATTTTTGTATGAAAAAAATTATGACATATAAGTAATAAGTAATATATTGAAATCTGTAGTTTTTTTATATTAAACTTCGATTTAAAATTTAAAAAATTTTAAAAATTAAATCAATTGGATTTAATTTTATATATAAATTTTAAAAAACAATTAACCATCTCCATTAGCTTACAAAATATTTTTAGTTCGCTTACAGAGGAAATAAGGGATGCCAAACTGCTGCAAGTGGCAAGCCAGTCGTTTTTTGGGTGTTTTCATCAATTGCACATTGTGAAAACGTAAAGCGAAGGAAGCGTGGCGAAGTTACAGCTTGCTCTTTTGCGATGTAATTGTCTAAAATCGGAGGAGCTAATTGTCCCATAGCAGTGAACTGGCCTAAAAACTCATCATGCCTTTGTAGAGGTCTCGGAAGAGTTTCTACTTGAATGCGTGCTTCTCTAGGCTGCTCAGCTTGAATTCTACGTTCAGCAATCGTATCAGGAACTGTATTTTGCTGCATCATTTCTGACTTCACAGTAAGAGGCTCTGCTTCTTGATAGAGAGGCCTCTGCAAATGAGGCAAACGAGATTTATGATCACCTTGAAAAGCCATATTTTTATATTCCTAGCTGGAATCCTTGCAAAGGGGTCTAAATAAGGTTCATATTTTCTTACATATAAATGTGTAATAGAGGAGTATTCCAGCTTAGGCTTGTCAAGCTTCAATTCTGTGATTGGGGTGGTAGCTCACAAGGGGTCAGAGACCTTTTTAAAACTCAGCTTGTAGAAGATTGGATTGATAGAAACCCTGGAATGACTTTTGAAGCATATATGAGGAGAAGCAGACATCCTTATATTTATACTCAGTATATCAATGGGTGGACTAGAACACTTAGCATAAGAAACATGAAGCCAGAGGAAATCATGGACGTTTTGGAGCAAGCAAGAAATCAAATTGGGCATCATGCTTATAAACATGCTGGGAACAAAGTAATTTCGACTAACACGAGCATTCAAGGACCGTGGATGCCTAATATGTGGGGAACTAATAAGATATATCAGGACCAGAAATTGAGGAAACTTCCTGAGTTCCCACTTACACCAAAGGAAAGAGAGCCTAAGAAACCTGAACCAAAGGAGAGCGAAAAGATTGACACCTGGATGAGACAAAGAGTAATCCTTTAAGAATAAAGATGATTATTTTAACTTTTTCTTTGATAGGTAATGCATTCAAATTTCTTCAGTCATAAATTAAGTATTATTTAGGCTACCTGTACAAAAATAATAGAATAAGTCCAATCCTACTCTTTGCTCGGGCTCTATTGTATCTCCAAACAAAAAGATATCAGAAATAATTCTATCATGGAACTGTGGCGAAGTTCTATGTTTTTTCTAGTAAGAGAGTCTTCGAGATCAGCAATATTTATTTAATTAGAGCACTTAAAGCAATTCTGCACAAAAATTTTAAGGAAAAAGGCTTACGAAGAAATCTCAAGGAGTGTGAGTTACTTAGCAAGGCTTCTTATACGGGCAAATTATGATCTTTAATTAAGACTCAAGAATTGTTGAAGAAACTGTTCATGGGAAAACAAGCTTTTTTCAATTTTTATTAGGTGTTATAGTGATTAATGCCGCTCCATAATAATTATGTTGCGTGCCGTCTTGCCACTTAAAATACATATATAGGTAGCATTCCAAAGCAAGATAGCATCAGCTGCATACACAACTTGATCGGCACCTTTAATGTTGCCCTTCCCTAACTCAGCCTGTGTGCTCATCTAAAGGTCACCATCCTCAGGTGTGTTAGTGGAAAACCTTGAGCCTCTTAAATGCCCTAGGAGAAGTTCCTCTGCTCTTGGAGACTAAAGTTAAACCACTATTGCTGTGCAGAAATTTTAGGAAAACCAAACCCATAAATGAATCCCATGAGGAAAAAGATTCTGAATAAATGTCATTTTATTGATATCCACTCATAGGAAAACAATTCAACCCTGCTCATTGATGAGAGCTCATTGTAAGTTCCATTAAGGCAAGTATCCTGCAGACAGTTCTTCCCTTAATGAAGTCCATTCAGGTTCTTTCCCATCTATTCTAAAATGTTTGATAAAGAAATTTATATAGGGATATGAGCTATATTGACTATCCAATTAACTTTAAAATAAATTTTAATTGTCAATTTTTTTGAAAAATACAAAGAAAAATCAAAAATTTCCATTTAGGGTCTTGGATTCCTTAATAAGACTTAAGTTGTATAAAGCATCTGTCCTGTGCCATATTTGTTGTTTGGCAATAGCGATCTATTATAATCCATAAGATATAAAAAAAAGCATATTGGAGACATCAAGCAGGTCTAGAATTTAGCAGCAAAATGAATCGAAGCAAATCTAATAAAACTTTAAAACTAAATAAACCATAAACTCTTTATAATCAGAATGATATGATTTTTATCATTTATATTCCTTTGAAGAAAATATACTATTGCATCAATTCATTTATTTGTAAATGCAGATTAATTAGATTATTAAGCCAATGCTATTTGTTGAATTGCATCTTCAATTCTACCTTGCTCTTTCGCAATACAGAAATAATCACTTAACGGATCATCGAAGTTGGGATGATGCAGGATATATAAAATTCCCTGCATGTAATGCTCAATGCTCATATCAGGGCACCAGTCGTCATCAAACATACTCAAGCACACTTCTCCATCCAATTCCAAAATATTTGGATGCTTTATGCTCGTGATGCAAATAACTTTGCATGGCTCCTGTGGATATTTATTTCTGGTTTTTATTTCAAATATTAAATTTTTGCCTGACCATATTCCTGAATCCGGCTGTACGACAACTCTTACATGTTGAAGGGAGGTTACTTTCAATTGCTTGATTTGCCCATCGCCTAACATATCTAATTTTGTGCTTAGGATCTGTACTTCTTTATAAATAGAGTGCTTCATTTTTAACGTAATATTAATTATTAGACTTAGTGAAATAAATATTTATTGGTACGCTTCTTCGCATCTTTTGAATTTGTGGTCTTCTTCAGTCTCCAAAAATTTTTCATGCTCATAAATGCAAGTGATTCTTTTTTTCCTGAAGTCAAATTTATAAACGTCATAATATCTCATGAAAAACACCGTACTCTCATCTACGATCAAATAGGAGATGGTGTCACCAGCCGGAGTGTTCAGCGCACACACATTTCTCCACATTGTAGCATCTTCAAACTCAGATTCGTAAATTGCTTTGCTCCTTAATAAATATGCTTTACCATTAGCAACGCATAACTGCTGGATATTATGCTTATGAAACTCTATCATTTTTGAATAGGAATTGGATAGTGGATTATACGAAAATACTTTGGATTTCTGGACTAAAACCAAAATTTCGTCTTTAAACAAAGCGCATGAACAGTTTTCAGAAGTTTCAGGAAGATTTGCAACTTTTTTTCATAAATTGCAAGTAAAATCGTATTTCTCAGCAAAGTCAAGTGCTTGCCCATTATCCCCCCCAAAAGCAAATATATAGCTGTCAAAGTAAATTGTGCCTGATTTAATGCGAGGCTGACCAGAAGTTAAAATTTTGATATCATAATTTGGAGAAACAATAAAAGTGATTCCGCTGAAGATATTTTTGTTTTCTTCTCTATAAAGACTCCCAAAGCAAAATAAGCTACTATCTGGGAGCTGGCATACGCTGGAGTGATCACTCATGCTCACAGGTAAAGCTAAAGCAGTAACTTTTTGAGAGTTATTTTTAAGATCTAATTCAATGAGATTTTTTGTTCCACTTTTGAATGATGCCATTACGTTAAGATTTGGAATGGTAAAGCTAGCTTCGATTTCTTCAATATCATCAGAAATTTTGCTGATTGAGCTTTCGATACTGGATCTTAAAGAGCTAACTGATAAAGCGTTACTTAAGCAATTTATCACAGAATTCAAATCAATCGAAGCTTCGGAAAACTCTCAGGCAGGGAGTATATCACAAATTTTGCTGGGGTGAAGCTTGAGAGCCATTTCTGTATATGACCCTTTTTTTTCTGATGATGGAAAGTTTACTTCGTGCATTATACTCATGCATAGTTTTTTAGACTCATTCAAGCTTTGCTGGGCTTTGGCTTCACATAGTGCAATTTGATCAATAAGTACTGAAGCACTTTTTGCAATGTATGCCTGGCATGATTCGATGTATTGCTTTATCGCAGCGAAGTGGTCATATAAGATTGATTTCGTAATTTTGGACAGCTCAACACTATCTAACTCAACTCCTTTTTCAGTGTCCATATATTTATAGGTAGATAAAGGACTATCTCAATAGCATGAAGTTGACCTAGACATCAGCTTATTATTGTCAATGAAGTTTATCTCTTTCCTATCCATTTATAAAAAAATTCAAATTAAATTAATTTAGCGGAAAAGTTATATGCTAGGAAATTAAAAAATTAAACTGATTTGTTTATTTTTGGTATAAAATATAAAATTGTAGTTAAAAAGATTGTCAATTATTGATATGATAGTTGATATCGATGAATAATAAAATTAAGTCTCAAAAAGCCAACTCCAATTAGGCGCAATTTCTTATTTATAAAATATTATTATGAATTATTTTATTAAATGCTTCATTCAAAAATTGCTAACTAGAGCTCGTAAACAGCAGCAATTAATTAGGCAGCACTTTTTTATAATATAAAAAAATTCTAAGCAATCAATGCGATCTTGGTATTTTTTATTAATAAAATCGCTATTTCACTTTTATGTTTCCTGCATAAAATTAAGGCTAAAAAAAATCCCACAGAGCTTCTATCACTCTTTGAAACGAGTATCATTAAAGCATTCTATTGCTAAATCATCAAAATACAGGCTCAAATCCTCTACAACTTTAATAATAAACTAAATATATTTATGCTATCATTATTAAAATGGGCAACATGATGGGAGGAGCTGGAGGTGCGCAAGGTCCACCTATTCCAAAGACTCAGCTGGTCAGGATTCTCTCAAAAGCTCGCAAGCTGATCCTCCGACGAATGCTAGAAGCCAAAAGAGCCAACATCGAAGAACGAATTCAATTCTATAAGAATGACGCTGACAAATACAAGGAATGCATTATGAAATTCGCAATGGGCCAACCAGCATTGATCCAAGGTGCTTTAGTCGAAGTGTGCCAAGAGCAAAATGTCAACGTCGCCTCGATCGGCTCTTCAATTCAGCAACACATGTTCGACCCTGAAGTGCAGAATATGATTTCTCTTATGCAAACCATCACTGGAGATATGTGCGAAGGGCAGCCATTCCCAGAAGAGTTTGATAAAGAGAGGTTCAAAGAAATCTTGAGAATCCAAACGGCAGAGGTTGCAAAATATACAGTTACTGATCAAATTTCATCGATGGTCGCTCAGACGGCATCTGCAGATGAAGTTTTTCAACTTTATGGGCTGAATGAAATACAGTTAGGAGCCCTCGCGATAAAATATGAAAGTGATCCGGACGCGGAGTTGAGAGAACTTAAAGAGAGATGGAATGAAGTTACACGTATGGATCTCATACTTAACCAACCGCAAAGAATGGCCCCTCAGCAACACCAACATGGGCCAGGATGCCAGCACAATCATAGCCATTAAAATTAAGTCACATCTTACGAAATTTACCTTCTATTAGTCAAATTTAAAAATAAAACTCTCTATTTCTTATTATGATAGTTCTTCGCACTATTTATTTCAATTATTTTAAATTTTATTCCTCCTAGATTCCGAATTAAAATAATATCCTTAAAAAAGAAATTCTTGAATAAATGTTTGAGCAATTTCATTTTATTTGCTCAGTTGCTTATAACTGTTATCCAAAAATGTCATCACCTCCTAAAAGATTGAATCCAATTGAAGAGCATGCTTGTTTAAATGAAGCAATCAGGAAAGAGAATCAATATTCTCGTATAAATACTGTTTTCACTTTGAACCCTAGAAGCCGTAATTCCTAAATAGTTGTGCTTTTGTCTGATAAGCCAAACCGAACAGGAATTCTCAATGTAAATGAAGAAGCTAAAGCAAATGATGATAGCCCAAAATTTAAAGACCAGCTCATGCGACTTTCAGCCGTTCCAAAGATGAAAACCAGCCATCCCTTAACATCAAATCAAGAATTTGGATGGGATGCAGATATGCCTCAGTACAGAAGTACTTGGAAGCATACAAAGCCAAGCTGTGCCGAAACAAAATATGCAAATAGCTATTATACCATGACAAGAAAAAGCCCTTACTCCAATAAAGTCAATGAAGCACCAGCTAAAAAATAACTTTAAGTCTTTACAATTATAAAGTTTTAGTTGCTACTGTTGGGATTACTATCACAAGAGCTATAATCAGTACTGCCACTAATATGCAACACTTTTTCCACCTAGCCCTCTCCTGGTGGCTTTTAGCTCCTTCAAGTGCTTTTTCTGCTTGCTTGACGTAGTCTGAGGCATTATCCACATGCTTTTCTACACTATTCAAGAGTTCTCCTTGTGAGTGAACCAATGCAGCGAGATCGAGAAACATTCTATGCATGATATTGATGTTTTGTTCAAGCATTTTGATATCTTCAAGTCTGCTTTCAATGCTATTGACCATTTGAATGATATCGGAGTGAGCTCCAATCATCTTCTTCTCGACCATCATCTGTGCTTGCCGAGGGTCTTCTAAGCACTGTTCAATCACTTCATCAGAAATATTCTCATCGACCATTCTAAGCTGATTTGCCGTTTTATTTCTAGCTGCCTCGGTGAATATATTCTGGGCTTTTTCGCCTTCTCCAAGGGCTTGTTGAAATTGTTTAATTAAAGTGGCGTGCATTGTAGATCGCATTCTTGTTTCTGTATCACTTGATGTCCCTCGACCATCTTCTATTGTTTTTGCAAGAGTTTCGGCAATATCGCGGACTGTGTTTAGTTCTCCATTGTTAACATCAATTAATTCTTTCAGCTTCTTATTAATTTTTGCTTCCTGGTCAGGTTGGGTGCATTGGTTGAATTCGTCTTTTAAAATTCTTATTTGCTCGGTATTTGAGCGGACACGCTCAATTGACTTTTGGGCCTTTCGAATTTGAATCATAAATTGCATGTTTGGACCTGATGCAGGCTGTGGATCTGATAGTAATATCTCATGTGAAGGGTTATTTGATGCACCTTTAAGCTCTTGCAATCTATCAATCATTTTATTAAAATGCTAATAGTATTTCTTTTATAAATTAACTTCAAAATTATAGGAGATAGGAGGAAAACTGAAATGCTTTATAATGAAAATAAAAAGAAGATGAATAATTAATTCTTCACTATAAATAATTTTTATAATATAAAAATTAAATAGTGGTCATTGCTTATATTTTTCAAAATTTATGCTACTTTTGTGACAAATTTCCAACAAGACTTCTTCCAACATGGTCATCAGGATTCAAGTATCCATGATACCTGTTAAATAATTGTGTTCCATCCGTTCCTGCACACTGCATTATTATATCTCCTCCAGGATGAGAGGAAATGAAACTTGTAATATTGTATACTTTTCCATTCAAAATAGTCCAGCAATCTTGCTTTTTATTGTGTTTCGCGACTTCATTTCGCCCTACTGTTTTGGGTTCTTTTTCTGACTGCTGCTCAGCAACTATCGAGGGACTTGATGCAGAAGAAGCTAAATCACTATCGGTAGACCTCCTCAGAATATCTTGATCAGTAACACAAGCTCCATCTTCTCTAACCCTATAGCACTCGTGCTTTACAAATTTCCGATCTTTCATTGCTTTGATCTACTTATCGCCTACTTTATCAAAATCATACTGATGCTTTGCAGCATCGTCAACTACCACAAATATAGGAGATACCAAATTCATTACAATCCCAGCAATACTTGTGATATTTCCTTCTTGATCCTTATTGTTTATTACTTTAAAATGCAAGATAGAGCCTTGAAAATGTGATAGAAACCTTTTCCCGAGATTATCAATAGTGTCCATTGCCATGTCTTCAGAAATTTGGGAAGAGTCTCATTTAAGAGTAACCGCTGATCTTCCATAAATAAATTGTACGGATCTTTCGCCTCCTTCCATTATTTAATAATCATAGCTGGCATATTTTCAAGTTACGCTCCAAAAAATAATAAAACCGAACAGAAATGATGCTAGAGAAACATCGGGTGCGGTTTAAGAGCTTTTATATACGGCTTATAAGAGTTATATATGCTCCTATAGCATTCTTTATGAATTTATTCTTTAAACAAAAATATAAATTTAAGTTCATATAAAAATTCTTAAATAAGAATGAGAGATTTATTTTTTCAATAATATTTTGATATTAGAAATTATAAGTTGCCTTATATGATATTTTATCTAATATTAATAGACGCAGCTCTAGCATCAAGTACAGAAAGCCTTCATGAATTTTCGTGAAACCAAAAGATCCTGCTTATATCTATAACTTTTTGCTTAATCCTCTTCGCAGGAGCGATGTCTGGCCTGACCGTAGGATTAATGTCATTTAGTGTTAAGGAGCTTGAAAGCAAAATTATGTGTGGAACTGATCAAGAGCTAAAATACGCCAAAAGAGTCCTTCCAATTGTTTCAAAGCATCATCTACTATTAGTTACACTACTTCTGGGAAACACAATTGCTATGGAGACTTTGCCGATTATGCTTGAAATGATGGTAGGAGGAGGTGGAGCAATACTTATAAGTGTACCCATGCTTATGATATTTGGAGAAGTTTTACCGCAAGCATTTTGCACAGGACCTGATAAACTTATGATTGCAAGCAAATTAGTACCATTGGTGAACATTGTAACCTATTTCCTTTATCCTTTGAGCTATCCAATATCTTTATTTCTTGACAGGCTATTAGGTAAAGGAGAGGAACCTGCCCAAAATGGAAGCCTAACAGAACTTCACTCTATAACTGACAGCAAGTGCAGTAGGAGCATAAATAGCATAGGTTCGGATGAAATAACTGAAGAAAATACTATTGGGAATGAGTCGATAAATAAATACATAAAGCCAATCGAGCAAACTTTTAAATTGAGTATAAGTTGCACTTTTACTAAGAAAACTTTGAAAGTTATCAAAGAGTCTAAGCACAGCAAAGTGCTAATTCACAACGAAAAAGATGAAAAAGTTATTGAAGGGATATTACTGACAAAAGAATTGATAGGAATTGATGAAGGTGTTTCTCTTAAGAGCCCTGAAATACATCTAGAAGCTCCCTTATTTATTAAGGGAGAATACACAATATTTCAGGCTTTAAATGCTATGCATCAAAATGAAATACAGATTGCAATAATTGTTGATGAAAATAGTCCAAGAAATAAATCTATTGGGATCATAACTTTAAAAGATATAATGGATGTAATCCATAATAGAACAATTGGTAGAGATAAAATACTTGATGAAAAGAATGAAAACGATATTGACAAAAATCAAAGCTTCGCAAAAGAAAATGAACATTATCATAATTATTTATAGCTTGACATCTGATTACGCCTCAGCCACCACCAATACCGCTCTTTCCTCATTGCATTTCCCGCAGCCCTAAAGCTTTAGCTTAACCAATTTAGTATCTGGATGCCAATCTTGAAGTTTGGACTTCAACCGCTCTTCTTTGAGGTATGCAACTTATTTGAGTTTAGACATCTTAAGGTCCAGTCTCCATAATCTAGGGTAAAGAGTACCCACTGGAAATTAGACTCCCAAGGACACATCCCACGCTTTGCACCTTGAACTCTTGATTCCCTTTCATAACCGAGATAAAACCTCATAATTAAATATAAAAGAGAAGAATTTTCGATTAAGATGCCAGAAAATTTAAGTGGCATCATATTTAAATTATAAATAAAATGAATCAGCTTTTTATAATTTGAAAAAATATATTGAGATGCTGTCTGTGAAATATTTTGATAAGCGTTTTTTTAATCAAAAAGTTAAATTATAATATGCGATGAATATTGGCTGAATATTCTAAGTTTTTTATAATTAAGAAGAGACAAGCTAATATTTATTTCATAATTTATTTTATTAATATTTTTTATATCTAAAGCTTCAAGATAAATAAATTCTAATTAATTATAATAGCATTTATAGAAAATATTACAAACCCTGTAGCCTTATATATACAATAAATATTTATTTATCTAAACTAATGCTCTTATGATTTGAGCATCAACACTATAAACAACTCCTTAAAATGGATGCCTCAGTCCAGAAAATTCCAAAGAATTTTTCAAGTATTTTTTCGGTGAAGTGTGAATTCTCTTCAAAATATAATGAAAATTATCTTCAAACTCTTCAACTGGAACCATCATCGAAAACTTTAAATACGAGTACACTTCAAATTCGTACTTCGCAATAGATTTGCTTTGTAAAATATCATTTTTATCTGCCAACCTAAGTGCATGAATCAAAGCTTTCATTTTCACAAAATTGATTTCTTCATTAAATTTGTAAGAAAGCAATACACAGATCGCTGCATACAATTTTCTATTTGCTTTCGTTATTACATTCATTCCAAGCAATCTTTGGAAATAAGATCAAGCAACAGCGACTGTAAAAGCTTCAACATCAAGCTCCTTGCATACCTTGATAATTAGCTTCTCTTTTAAGTTTGCAATTTTGCTCAATGTAAGCTTATCATCCAAAAATGGATATCTTTCTCTGAATTCTTCGTTCAAGTTTACCTTCAAAGGAGAGTTTCTTACTACATTTGGGGCATCACTTAGGTCAATTTGGGGACTCCTATGAAAGTTGTTATCGTTAGCCCTTAAGCAATAGGAATATGACTTATGGATTTTACCTGAGTGAGATTTTCATACGAGAACCCCTGACTCTTCTCTTAATCCTTCAAAATTTGTATCACCAGGTGCAAGAGACACTCGCATCTGGATGTCAATTTCGTTGTTAGTTTCAATCCCTGTTAAAAAGTCCATCGCTTTTTGTATGTATTCAGCTTCGTTGGGATTTTTCGGCTTTTTTATCTTTTCTGTGTATTTTTTTGATTCAATCGGGCTTGATGTGCAGTTATCTGAGTCCAGCGAAAACGGGGGTGGACAATTGCCTGTGCAAGGGATATTTCCATAGCAGCTCACCGTTCTGATAACGTTTGGAATAATCAGAGGTGAGCTATATAAAGCTTTCCCGTCTCCAGAACAAGTCGACTGAGGGATATTCAAAGAAGATCGCCGATTTGCAATCAACCCACAAGATTTCAGCTTATTTGTTTCTCTCATATACCAATAATAGATTATAAATTTAAATTCATCAAGGTGTTTATATAGTAATCTCTCTAATAGTCTCCAAAATAAAATAATTATAATTAATATGGAGCAAGATTCTCAGCCAAATCAAGCAGCTCAAGATATGGAAATCGAACCTGAAAACAATGCAACCCCTAGTGCTGAAAACACTGAAGAGCCACCAGCAGAAGAGGGCCAATCAATAAGCGGAATGGTTAACCAATCTCTTGTGCAAACTTTGAAAGAAATGGGATTTTCTACAACAGTATGCGAAAAATCACTATTTTTGACAGGGAATAATTCTGTAGAATCTGCTTTTGAATGGATTAACGAGCATCAAAATGATCCTGATTTTGAAGAAGAACTTCGAATAGTAGGGCAGGCTCAAAATAAGCAAAAATTAAGCAAAGAAGAAGCCCAAAGAAAAGCAAGGGAGCTGCAAGAAGAGCTTAAGCGCAAAAGAATACAAAAAGAAAAAGAAGAAGAGCTACAAAGAGAAAAGGACAGAATGGTTACTTCACACGAAGTATTTCATAACGACTTTTTTTTTGGCCTATATTTTTTGGCCTATTATTTTATGGCCTATTTTTTTTTTGGCCTTTTTTTCACCTATTTTTTTTGGCCTATTTTTTTTTGGCCAAAAAAATAGGCGAAAAAAAAATAGTCGTTATGAAATAGTCGTCGTGTGAAGACACGGGACAGAATACGGTCGACTAGAGAACTAGCAGAAGCAAAAAGAAAATTCGAAGAACAAGAAAGCAAGAGGGCAACTGAACTATATTTAAGGGAGAAAAAGAAAACAGAAGATGAGCTTAAAAAAATGCATGAACTTCTTAAAAAGGATAAGGAAGCTAGAACTGGGAAAAAAGCAACTGAAGATGCTGCAAGTGCAAAACCTCCACAGGAAAAAATGGCAAGTGCTATCAAGACTGTAAAGACATTGTATCCGAATTTCAGAAATCCAGGTGTAGCGGCACAAACTTTGAACACTTTGAAAGCATATATAACAAATATTGTCAGCAATCCTGAAGAGGAAAAATTCCAGAGAATACGAATCGAAAATAAAGCATTCCAAGATAGGATTGCTAAAGTTAGTGGAGCTATTGTTTTCTTGAAAGCTGCTGGGTTTGAGGAGGAAAACGGATTTTACGTCCTTACTACTCCCTCTATGAGCGAACCAAACTATTGGAAAAATCTCAACTTTTTTAGTAAGAGCCGCCCTCAGTGAGAGATAAAAATTTTTTTACTAAATATTTATGAAATAATTTGATATATAAGTTTAATGAAAAATATAGCTAATTCTTTTTGAATTTTTGAGCAGCTTGCATTTAAAACAAAATTAAAAACATTTTACTTCAGATTTTTACGACTTGGATTTTTTTTCGAAAAATAATTTGTATATAAAATGTTTTAGCGTTCCTCAACTAACAAAATATTTTGTTCGCTACTGAGGAGGGGTTAAAAATCGTAATCTTGAATTATTGCAAGAAGGGATTAGGATGCTGGATGATGCGATAGTAACAATTTAGCTGACTTTAGTTATAACTAATAACTTCAAACAAATTTATAAATGATCCAAAAATTAAAAGTGTTATCCAATTTTTATTACTAATTTTTCGAAGAGAATACTAATTTTTTTTTCCTTCTAGAAAATTTACTAAAATATGTGATATGCTTAATGCAAAGAATTAATTTCCAATTTTAATAGATTAACTACTAAAAATAATGATCTTCGCTATCATGCTGGCTTATAAAATCTGAAAACTTACATTAAAATTTATAGCTATTAAATTTAATTTTAGAAAAAGATTAATTGATTTTTAAAGAATTGCAAATCCGTCTACTCGGAGCTGTAAAAATTTAACCTTCATGACCTGAGTTAAAATATAAGGAAGTGCCAAAGATATTAGGAGTATTGAAGAAAGCAATACGAATTTTCTATGCTTTATCCAGTTAATTCCCCAAATAATCCGTTTTAAAAAAGCTCTGTTGTCATCATTCTTCTCGATCTTTTTAACAACCATAAAAACCAATATAAAAACCCAAAACAGCGAAACCCCAAATAATGCAGAAACAGTAAGTTTATATACTGGAGTAATAACTGAAGCCCAGACATTCAGCATATACCATGTTCCCACTATAACCCTGGAAAATACAAACAGCATTGCAAACGTTGTTTCGTAAAAATTATATCTTGGGGTATCTTCTAACACTCCTTCCATAAACGAGAAACAAATTTATTGATATAGTAATTAATAATTATAATAATAAATAGATAATTTCAATATTTTTATATAGCTATCATCAAAAACAAACTTTACAAATTGGATTTTTTAATATTTAACAATAAAAGAAAATGCTCTGGGGTAAGCACATTGCCTTCATGATGTGTCTCTTCAGTATACAAGGATTGGAAATTTCAGTTAAGATGATTCCCACTAAATAAAAATTACAAACTCCAGCTGAACCTCCATACTCCGCAAAGTACAGACCAGTCAAGGCCGTAAGAGCTCCAACATGATGGAATCTCATAGGCCAGTCATGAAGTTTAAAAATTTCTGCGTAAAATGAATCGTAAATAAAATACCCAAGCGAATTCTAACTAGCAAATACTGCAAAAACTATAATGTGAAGATAATTTGTGGGAGCGTTATAATTGATTCCTCCTTCAATATAAATAAAATGACATTCGGTTCGATCCGCTAATTTTCTCTCCCTCAAACAATTTTATTTATGGATTTGAATTTTACCTCGAGAACTTCTGCTCAGAAACAGCGGTTTAACTCTGGGGATAACCAGAGGAGTTGCTACTCAGTGCGCTCAAGAGGCTCAGGTCTTTACCCCTCCAGAAACAGCGGTTTAACTCTGGGGATAACCAGAGGAGTTGCTACTCAGTGCGCTCAAGAGGCTCAGGTCTTTACCCCTCAGCACACCCGAGGAAGGTGACCCTTAGGCGGAGCACGCGCAGGAGCTGAGTAATATAAAGCTGTGGCGGCAGCGAAACCGTCGAAGCTGGAACGCTGTATTTGCCCCTGCCTTGACGAGTCAAAGTGGGTCGATCCAGAGGTCAATCGGCCCGACACTTGGACAAATATGGTGGCAGCTCTGGACAAGGCACCTCTTAGTGGACGTTAAACGTTATAAATAATTTAAGATTAAGATTCCTCCTTCAATAAAGTAAACTATTGTGGCGAGTAATAAGCCACAGTAGGCATGGATAATAGAAATGTGTTGTCCAATATAATCCTTACTCTCTTTAATCGTAAGATAATGAGGCGGATTAAGAAGTCTTGAGAAAATTAATGCGATAACAAAATAAAAAAGAAAGAACACGCATATAGGGCTTTCCCTTGAATAGCCCGATAACGGGATGAAGTCAGCCCGTTATCGGGCTATTCAAGGGAAAGCCCTATACAGGCGAAAGTCTATCCATATTTATTAGCTGGTAATAGTTAATGAATTCCATTTGAGCATTAAAGGCTGTTATTTTGTTCTGAAGATTTTAATTTTTACTTGGACAAATTCTGGTCACTTTCTGGTGGTATAGCGATTCAATAGTTTTATTAGGTTGAATTAAGAGAAAATCTGATTTATCTGATTAAATATTAAAAGCATTTAATATGTTTCCAAAATAGAATTATTTATTAACTGAATGTTTTATTTGTTTAAATCTTAATTATTCTTATCAGAAAAGCTATATTTTGTAATCGAAAAAAATCTCCATGTTAATGAATCAATTTACATATGAGTATAGAACCTTTAATGTCAGAACTCGATATGATTTATATCATTTCTAATTGAGATAATGCTATATTATCAAAAATTTTCTCTCTTAATATGTGATAATATAGAAATATTAGATTTGCTTTTAATTTATAATAGTATATATTCGGAAGCATGATACTTCAACCCCTGAAAGACTTGAAATTTGCCAAATTTGCACTCAACTCACTCCAAGTAATCACTTCATCCAAGTTAAAGAATGCAATGATAGGTTTTGCTCATCATGTTTAAAGAGCTATGTAGAGTTTAGAATTAGTGAGCGCAAAGTATTCCCAATTGAGTGCCCGCGATATACCTGCCAAAATAAAGACATAGATTCGTCAATTATAGACATAGTAGACTCAAAACTCTATGAAAAATATGATATCTGATAATAAATACAGTAATCAAAATGCAGATAACTTACTCTTCCACTTAAAGATCACATTTTATAAAGAAAATTAAAATTTACTACTCTATCATTATCATAGCACATCTAAAAATTAATTTTATTGAGTGGGAGATTATGAAAAAAGCTATAAAAAATTATAAGCCCTCTGAGTAATTCAATAAAGCCGAGGTCACAAAATTTTCAGAAGAAATGCAATATTAGAAAAAGACCCAAACCTGAGATGATGCCCAAAACCAAACTGCCAAGGATATGGCTTTATAAATTCGGGTCTCAAGATTTCATGTAATGTGTGTGGATACACTTACTGTGGAAATTGCAGTCATGATTATCATGAAGGTGCATGCCAACCAGAGGAGCCTGAATTAAGATCTTATATCAAAGAAAATGGCTTAAAAGAATGCCCTCGCTGCAAATTTTACATTGAAAAAGCATGGGGTTGCCCATCTGTTATGTGTAAATGCGGAGCTAATATTTGTATGAACTGTGGTAAAATCATTGATATTAATCATGACATGCTAAGATGTATGCTTGGAGGAAAGTATTCTAATGCATCTTGGACATTCTTGCTTGTGCTTCTGTTTGCTTGAATTTTATTCCCATTTGAAACAGGGCTAATAATTGTGTATATATCTGAAAATTGGGCATACATTAAAATGGTGACACGTGACATCTGCCCTATTGGTGCAACAGTCTAGATCTTATGGCTACAGCGAATAGACGGACTCCGAGCCGAGAATCAAGTGCAGCGCTCAAGAGATATACATCCAGGTAGGTTTTGACTGTTTTAATGTGGTTGAAAAGGAGGCGCTCAGCAAAGTCCTTTGGATCCGAGGATACATGAGCATTCCTCTACCGAGAAACTGGGAGTTTAGGCGCAGGCCACATGGGAAAAGTCTTTTTCCTGCATACAAGTTGCCCGATAATGGCGCTCAATGCGCCATCATCGGGCATTTCCTATAGCTGCCGAAGGAAAGCACTTCGACACCCGAAAACTCCAAGGAGATCCATGGAATCAAGTTTCCAATCGCCCGTAGCAGGGCCGCAGAAATCCATAAGTCGCCCACTCAATAAACCTCAAGGCAAGGAGGAGACAGGAGGTACCGTAAGTGGCACAGACCCTATGGACTGGAGTCAAAAAGCGGTAGAAATCCCGTACGGGACGTCTTTGATGGGCCGCGTCACCAATATGGCTAGCGCCTGACTTTTTAATAATCCTAATCCTAATCTGAAAATTGGGCTGGAATAGACGATCAAGCTTGAAGCTGGAGAACAAGAAAGTGCAAATCATGCTCATATATTTCAGTTGTTCTGGCCAGTCCTATAATTTCACTTGTTTTCTTGTTCGCTGCAGGAGTAAGCAGTGGAATTGAGTTCTCAACATTTATAACTAAGAAATTTCATCTGAGAGATAAGGTTAAGAAATATGGAGAATGTGCAATTTGTGTAGCAATTACGATATTAGTGACACCAATCTCGATTATTTTGATAGCATTGGCATTTTTCATATTGAATTTATTTTTACCTTTTATTGGACTTGCCTTGATGCTAATGAAATGCAAAAGAAAAAAGAATAGTCAATTGTAAGATAAATTGAGGTATAGAGGTAACAATTGAATTGCGTCTTTAAAAATTGATGCAGCAACTTAACAGTTATTAAGTAATTAGATTATTTATATCATAGCAAATAATCCCGCAATATTTTTTAATTTAAAAATTAAAAGAGTAAGATCAGTCATAAATCGCTTTAAAATTTTTTTTTAGATTTATCATTATAATGTATTAATATTATTATTTTATTTGGCTAATTGATGCTGCCCTGAATTAAAACTGAATTATTGCTATGTATTTTAACATATTATTTCTTTATAAATACTGATTGATCCTTACGGTACCAATGCCATACAATTTCAATCAATTATAACTCAATGACAAACTATTAACTCTTAAGCATCTTTTGAAAAGTTAGAATGTGATAACTTTTAGAATGATTTTTAAAAACATTGGTATCCATTCCAAGTTCAAAGTTATAATCTATGAAGTCATATTATAAAATATGGACGCACTCCTTTCTGACAATCAAAGTCTTGATGAAAACGAAAATAGAATTGAGCCTCTTAATATTTATTACCCAGGAGGCCAAAAGATTTACTCATACAACGTAGACTTAAGGATAAAAACAGAAAAGCGTGTATTAGAGCCAAACCTCTTAATTTCCTGCGTATCACCCATAGATAGCCATATCTTATTTTGCATAGGATATATAAAGTCAATGATAAAAGTTTGAGGAATCTCTTTTGTTTTTGATTATTCTGAAGGAAAAACTTCTTTAATGTCGCATAATGCTCCAGTATACATTACTAATTGCACATTCTTCAACAAAGAAATATTCACATTTGGAGGCTTCGAAGTGGTTTCTCCAAAATATGCGACGAAATACGATTTTAAAACAAATGAATGAAGAAGCTTAGCAAATCTTCCAAAACTCTCAGATTTTTGCAATTCTATTGAGTTCAAAGGGAAAATATTAGTTGCTGGAAGATCACACCGATGATTATGTGTCTATGATCCAGCGATTGACAGCTATTCTCTAGTGTATGGCTTTCACAGAACTCACAAAATACTCATGAAAGTAGATAATAGGGTTTATGTGCTTGAAACAGAAGGTGGTTTATTTGAAAGCAGTTTAGGAGATATTTATAATTGGCAGAATGTGTCGAAAGACTGCTGTATTGGATGCAACTCTTTTTCATATTGCTTAAAGCTTAAAAGCGGTATTTATTTTATTGTAAATGAGCAGGAATTATGGGAGTTTGATTTTTAACCCTCCCATCCATAAAGCAAACAAAACCATGGAAAATACCTATTTTTTGAGTAAAGACACGCTCTTTGGGAAAACAAACAAATTTTTTATTAAGATCTTTGAAAATTTTTAAGAAATAATTTTTTTTAAAAAAAATTTATTTATAAACTTCTTAAAATTTTTTTTTCTCTTTACTAGAACAAAATTTTTTGTTCACTCACATATAAGAGAATAAGAAAAAAGTAACAAAATCAATTGCCCTGGTGTCTTAAATTTTGAAATTCCTTATTGAAATCAGCAATAACCTTACATAAATGGCTAAATTAATATGCTAACTTAATTTTTCTTCTGAAAGATAAACATAATTAGATTAAGCTTATTTGCTAAATGAGTGACCAAATTTGTAGTTTTCAATTATTTTATGATTTAACTTTGTATAATTTTGTTCTTTCGTTTGAATCGGTATGAGATACATTTGAAATAAAAGAATACCAAATGACGCATAAAACGCAGGAATACAAGACCCTATGTTTTTCTGGTATCAAGTAAAAATTTAAAAATTGCCCAGGGATCCACAACTTATAGTTTGCAAGCAATGTGTCTTTTAAATCAGCCTGGATCTTATCTTGAAGAGAATTAGGCTGATGCTTACTATAATGTGTCCATCCAAAGAAAAATATGATTTCCAGTGGTGCGAATATCCCCTGATCGATGAGAATTTTTTTAAAAGCAGTCATTAATGACATCTGAGACCCAATCACATAGTCTAACCCTCGGTATCATAAATGCCCCACTCCTCCAGCAATGAAAAATCCGTACATGGACAAGCTTAATAGTCTTTTCTTGTCGATTTCACTTTTTCTTTCCAAAATTTTCTGAGCAATGATGTCTCCTCCGCCGACAAGAGAAACTCCAGTAAGCATTCTGATATAAAATTTACTTTGTTAATGCAGGATATTTATCAAGACAATCAATATACAGCTTCAGCATCCTACGAGCCATATTTTATATCACTATAATTTTTGCATTAGGGTGTCATTAAAATAGGGTCATTCTATCTAGTAAAAAGTTAAGGTATTTACCTAGGTTGGGGCGTTTAGATACATAATAGAAATTTCTTTATATAATTTTCAATCTTTTTTTTATTGATTCAGAAGGGAAATGAAAATGTCGAACTTGGTTAGTATATTTGGAAGTAATGAGGTATTTAACGTATCAAAATAAGCCCATTTAATTCAGGATGAAGGACTGATAAAGCACTAATCCATTTAGGCTCGATTTATGTAAATTGTAGGCCGATAATTTATTTTTCGGATACATTAATCCTTTTTATCTGATTTGTGGTCTATAGCTTGCAAATAATAATATAAAAATACTTTGATAAGCGAAAAGTAATATATTTGATGAATTTAATTGTATTTCAATTTCAATTTCAATTTAAATGCGAGAATGAGTAAAAGCGATTGTCAGCAATTTTTATAAATCCTCAGTTTTATTGTTTGCAATAATAATAGTAAAATTTTGTTTTAGTAAGATCAAAAATAACTCATAATATGGGTGCAGATCCAATAACCGTGCAGCATTTCATTGAAGAAAATTTGGTCGGAAATTTTTAAATAGTGTCAATGTCAAAATGCTTCGAACAAATTTTCACTCATTCCGGTGTTGATTTTTTTTAAAAAATTATATATAAATTGTTTTCAAAATTTAAAAAAATCCCAATTCTAAATGATTTTAAAGCAAATATTAATATAATTTGTAAAATTTATGTCTTAAAATGCAAGTTGTTTGAAATTTAACAAAATTATATATAGATTTCATTATACCAATTATCAATTATTATATCAAAATATTTTTTTCATAAAAATTTTTTGTTCGCTCATGGAGTTTTTTTTTTACCCCAAGGATTTTCCAATGGTTTGTGTTCGCTCACGATGGAGGAGTTATGAAATGCCGCGCTATCAAAAATGCATAGTCATTTGACATTGAGCCCATAATATGTCCATACTAAGATTTAAATCTTTCATTCAATCTGTTTGCTTATTCGTAAAAAAACTTCACTGTCATCTTAACTTTAAAATAACGCAATCGCTTTAATCTTCTTCGCCAATCATAAATATCTAATATTTTTAAATTAACTGAAATGGAGTCTAACCGATCCAGCTCTTCTGTAGACTTATCGCTCACTTCTCCTTTAAGCTTTAGTAAGAAATGAAAGCCAATCCGCCTTAAAAATCTCAATGAGGAAAGAGCCCATATGAGAACTTATGGAAAAAATCAAGAATCATCTGCCAACGACTCAGCATTTTTTTCAGAAGAGACAACTTTGAATCTCACAGCCTCTTGCATTTTCAACGAAAGTTTTATGAAATGCAAGCTTCAGTCACCTAAATTTCAGAGAAGGAGTGAGGTGAGCTTAGAACATAATGAATCTATTCTTGCTCTGGCCTCAGCAGCAAATCAGTCATTATGTTCAATACTTAAAAGAGAAAAAACCAAGGCTACTAATATTGAAAATAGACACTCTCAAAGCTCAACTTCGGGCTCAGAATCGAGCTTAGCATTAAAAGAATCTAATCCCCCCTCTGCTAGCGAACAAAAAAATGGAAAAATTCCTAGTAGAAAACCACAGCTAATAAAAAATTATTTTAATATAAACTTCCTTAGCTGTAGCCATTAAAAAATTAACATTAATTATAGATTAGAGTTCTTCCTCCTTTTATGCCTCACCCGAGACTATTCTTCGTAGAAGATTCGCTCAGCTCCCTGGGTATGTCAGCATGTCCACCAGAGATAGCTCTGCTCCTGGTCAAATGCTGTCTTGGAACTTTGGATATGCAGGCTTGGGCTTGACGGCTGTTGCTTGAGTGACTAGAGTTACAGCTAGGAATAAACTCCCAAGCTAGCATTGGTACAAACTATGCCTTCGTCATTGGCACGAGTGGCCTCTAGAGGCAAAAGGCCTTTTCCCAAATGTCCATCGAAAAGACACAAATCTTCATTGACGGATGAGGAAGACAAAACCCAATGGGAAACAAATGCCAGTACATGGAGACTCTGTTTCCTGTTCGGTTTGGCTCCAGGCCGCAGACAGGTTCCCAAACTCTAAAAAGGTCCGGAAGAGGACGGGTCGATGAAGCGCGATTTTATTTATGTGTACCTTAGCCATAGACAGTCCCCTTTTTTTCAGTCAGAAGCTGTCATAATATAGATTAGCTATGGCAAGTAAGCCAATTACTAGCAACCAAAAAATATCAAAGGGCTATACATAACAATTTGTATAATGAAATCTCTAGCTAATTTTGTTGAATCTTAAAATCTTGCATTTTAAAACATAAATTTTACAATTCTGTGAATTGGGATTTTTTTTAAATTTAGAAGAAAACATTTATTAATTTTTTTAAAAAATAATCCTCTGTGAGCAAGCATAAAGCTTTGCTCTCTAATGGAGAGGGGAATAATGGAAAAAATTCAAAAATCTCAAAGCTAGGCAATGATATTAAGCCAGTTCCATCATTAAAAATCCTTCAAAAAACACCTGATGTTTCTCCAATACGCCCTCTTCCTGAAAAGAAATCAAAAATTCCTCAAAAAGAAAAAAAGGAAATTCAAAAATCACCCAATGAAAAAACAAGAGTATATAAGCCAATTCTTACCAAATCTGAAAAATTTGATATCATTTTCGCTGAGAAAATTTTGCCAGTTCTATTAAAAAGTACAAAGCATAAAGACAAAGCAATAGAAAACCATAAACCAGGGCCTGATAATGAAGTTAAAGCTGCTGAAAAGCCAAAAGGAAGCATCATAATTAATAGAGTCATAAAATCTCAAGGAAAGAAAAAATAATTCAAAAATATATAAATAATGAGTTTTGAATTGTTTAATTTTATGAATCACTTCTATGAGTAATATAGATTTTATCAGTTAATCTTGAGTCTAAAGCATTCCAAAAAGCATGCCCTGGACTTCTTGATGAAAGTTTGACATAGTTATTGTTAAATAAATGCTTTTTTCCATTATCAATGCTTACTGGAGACGTCACAACATGCAGATTCAAAGCGCTTTCTCTCCTATTTTTGTAATTTGGGACTGTTTTGTGTATTTCTGGCAGTTCAAATCTTTTCTTTTGCGCTCGTGACTGCCGACTTGAAGGACTTGATCATCAATCAGAAACCTTTGTTGTCTAAATTACCTTTACGCGCTCAGCATCAGACTTCATTTTCCTATGAAGCACATGATTGACAGCATAGCTTGTAGGAAGAGCGTTGCTTTTTCTAGGTGCAGAACAATTGTTTTCTATTCTTATAGTGTTCAGCTTTATTTTTTCAACAGCCTTTTTTGGAGTTGGGGTAATGTGCCTGATTTGTGTAACTTTTTCATTACTTATATCTTTAGTAATGCCAACATTGTTAGAGGTTGATGGAGAAATAAGTTTTTCAGCATCAATTGAAGGCTTGTAATTGAAAACCGATTGAGTATAGTGGAATTCTTCAATTATTGGAGGAGAAGGGGAGTCTTTTAATCTGATAGTAATTCTCATATCAATCGGAGCCTGCTGATTAGTTCATGACGAGATATTAAAAGAGCCACTTGGGCTGAGCTTATGGGAATTTATTTCTTCTATGCGAGCAACCTTTTCACTTTCAAATGCTAAAGTAATTAATGATTCAGCTTCTAGTTCATATGGGCTTGGATAACTCATTTATTTTTCTTATAATTTTTTATAACGTTTAATTACTTATTCTAATATAATAAGTTTTAGCTTATAATTTAATTTATTTATCTATATATATCAAAAATACAATTTTTATTTCAAGCCATGAATAATTAATTAATAAAAGGCAATTCTTAAATCAATTTAATTATTTAATCAACTTCTTCAACAGTTGGCCCTCTTCCTTGGCTTCCTTCATTCTTCTGTCCTCCTGGAGTGCCATTCATTCCATTCATATTTGGTACTCCTCCTTTCTGGTAGATCTTCATCATAATTGGATTGCAAACATTTTCCAGTTCCTTCTGCTTCGCTTCATACTCTTTGGTTTCTACATTTTGATGTGCCTCCAGCCATCTTTGAACTTCATCAATTTTCGACTCAATAATTTGTCTGTCTCCTGCTTGAATTTTATCCTTCAAATTTTCATCATTCAAAGTGTTCCTCATATTGTAGGTATAGCTTTCTAGCCCGTTTTTCGCTTCAGCTTTTTGTTTGGCTTCTTCGTCTTCTCTCTTATATCTTTCTGCTTCAATTACCATTTTTTCAATGTCATTTTTACTGACTCTCCCATTGTGAATGAAAAACTATTCTACACTTTTTGGGGACATGAAAACTATTTCTTTTGAAAACTAGAAAAATTCTTTTTTTAGATATTTTTTGTAAATAAGAATTTAATTTATTATAAACAATTTGCCTTCTAAATCATAAATTTATAAATGAATTGATTTCTTTTGAAATATTTACAATGGATTACAATTTTAATATAAAATAAAAAAACTGAGAATTCAATTTAATGAAAAATATTGGTAGCTCACAGAAGGGGATTGAGTCTTCCTTTATCATTTGTAATAGTAATTTTATTAGCTTTCCCAGTAGCTTTATCGAGAGCTGACACATTTAGAATTCCATTTGCGTCGATATCAAAGGCACTTCAATTTGTGGAACTCCTCTGGGTGCTGGCGGGATTCCTTCTAAGTTGAATTTTCCAAGGAGATGGTTATCTCTCGTCATTGATCTTTCGCCTTCAAATACCTGAATGCAAACCCCAGGCTGATTATCTGCATAAGTTGTGAAAGTTTGGGCCTTTTTAGTTGGGATAGTCGAGTTTCTCGGAATAAGCACTGTCATAACCCCTCCAGCCGTTTCAATTCCAAGTGATAAAGGAGTGACATCTAATAAAACTACGCTTTGCACTTGACTTGAGGATTCTCCTGAAAGTATTGCTCCTTGTACAGCAGCTCCATACGCTACAGCCTCGTCTGGGTTTATATTTCTGCATGGTTCTTTTCCATTGAAAAATTCTTGAATTATTTGCTGCACTTTTGGAATTCTTGTAGACCCACCTACGAGCACAATTTCATGGACTTGGCTCTTAGCCAGCCCAGAGTCCCTCAAAACGCGTTCAACTGGCTCAAGGCATCCTCTGAAGTAGTCCATATTCAATTCTTCAAATTTAGCTCTGGTAATCGTAGTGAAATAATCAGTGCCTTCTGCAAGAGAATCGATTTCAATGCTTGCTTGAGTGGCTGATGAAAGCGTTCTTTTAGCTCTTTCACAAGCAGTTCTAAGCCTTCTTAAAGCGCGATTATTTGACCTTATGTCAGCTCCTTTTTTTTCTTAAAATCATTAGCGCAAAATTCTACCATTCGATTATCAAAATCTTCTCCTCCCAAGTGGGTGTTTCCTGACGTTGCTTTTACTTCAAAAATCCCGTCATCAATAGTAAGTAACGATACATCGAATGTCCCGCCACCCAAATCAAATATAAGAATATTTGTTTCGCCTTGGCCTTTTTTATCAAGTCCATATGCAATAGCTGCTGCAGTTGGCTCATTGATAATTCGCTTTACTTCAAGTCCTGCTATAGTTCCTGCATCTTTGGTAGCTTGTCTTTGAGAGTCATTGAAGTAAGCAGGGACAGTGACAACAGCATTTTTTACTGATCTCCCAAGATAAGCTTCAGCTGTTTCTTTCATTTTTGTGAGTACCATAGCAGAAATTTCTTCTGGGTAAAATCTTTTTTCTTGGCCTTTGAATTGTACAACAATCTGAGGACGTTCATCAGCTCCACAGATAACTCTAAAAGGCCAAAGTCGCATATCACTTTGTACAACTGGCTCGTTGAATTTTCTTCCAATCAATCTTTTAGCGTCAAAAACTGTATTTTCAGGGTTTCTTGCAACTTGGTTTTTAGCTGCATCTCCAATTAGTCTTTCGCTTTCAGTGAATGCGACGTATGAGGGAGTTGTCCGATTGCCTTGATCATTTGCTATGATCTCGACACGGTCGTTTTGCCACACACCAACACAACTGTATGTGGTTCCAAGATCAATTCCAATACATGGTCCTTCGCTTGACATTTTATTTTTATATAAACACTTTTGGGATATCAATTTTTATAGTTTATAAAAAATCTGGAATTTGAAATTTAAATATGGAGTATTAGAGGTTAATGTAGATATTGGGATATAAAAATTAAAAATGGAAAAATCTAGAGGAGGCCAAGTAAAGGGATAAACTGTTTTTTTAGGTTTATATCCAGAAAAATGCAAAGAATGATCAGAAAACAGATTGAAATTATCAATTTTATGACTTTAGGCTTCTGAATACATTTCAAATATTTTTTAAAATTAGCCAAGTAAATATAGAGCCTCAAAGATCAAAATCTCCTAATTTATGATTAAAATAGCATTGACTATATGCTTATAATTTATTGCCTTCGCAAAAATGATATTAATATTTTATATTTAAACTTCCTGCTTCTTATAGAGATATTAACTTATTAAATATTAGTATCTAAGAAGATTCTTTATTTTCATCAAGCATTGCCTTAACAACCATCTGGCACGAGCTATCCTTTCTCAACGATTCAATTGTTTCATCTAATATTCTTTGTACTCATTTCTGGTTCGAGTTAATTTTTAGCAATTTTTCAATATTTACTTCAGGCTTTTCATATCTAGGTAGAAGATATCTGAAAAATGCTTCAGCATATTCTCTATCTTGAGAATTAAAAATAGATGGTAAATATTCGAAAAACTGCTGGGCATATTCCTTTAGCACTTCTTTTTGGTTAAATTGGTTAAATCCCTTCATCAGAAATTCCAATTGAGACAATGAGAGTTCACCTCTACTCAAAATCAGATCCCAAGAAAATTTTTTATTATCAAATGCAGCACCATCACAATATAATTTCAATTTGAGTGAGTTGTCAGTCGTGTCATATTTAAGTTCTTGGGCAAGTATATCTTTGATTTCTTCATAAGGGATAATCGAAGCCAGCGACATTATCCCTCTCCATGTTTCAGCTCGTGCCAGAGATAAAGAGTATCGATAAGCTTCTCTGATGTCGTCGTCTGAAAATAAAAATCCAAATAATTTTCGTTCTAAATAAAGCTTACGTGTATTTTTATCAGCTGCATTATTAGACAATTTCTCTTTGATTGCTTGAACCAAAGATTGACTATGAGCGGAAATCATTTCATAAGGCAAATAATTAAATGTTGCTTTCAGCGCGTTTCCAAGAATTATGTCAACTATTTCGTCGCAAGGCTCTGATGGCAAAAGTTGTGATACAAGATCAAGGAAAACTGTGGAAGAAAGTAGCTGTTCTTCTACTAGAGACCAAATTGATAGCCAAAGCACTCCTCGGTTTAGAAGAGAGATTGAGTTTATTTGTCTGTTTATAAAGAAAAATTCCAAAGACTTCGAATCAATAAGGATTTCTACATATGCGTGGTCTTCAGAGTTTACAATAATGCCTTTAGGCGCTGGCTTCCCTATAAGTTCTAAAACAATTTGTTGCTCTACATTAGAAATTTTAATTTTTTCTTTAAAAAGAGTTCCTTCTTCATTCATTCCTTCTACAAGTAAAACGTGCTTTCTCAAAATAGTCCCACTTGTAATATTCTGATAAGCCGTTGCATTTAAAATGATCCCATCTTCGACTTCCCATTCCTAAATAGCATTTACAATTCTTATAGAATTTATTCCAGCTTCTAAGACCCATTCTTGTGTCCAATCTCTAAGGTTAAATTCAGTTTCGTCTTGCAAAGTATCAACAAAATCATAAACTGTCACGTTCTGGAATTCGTATTTATTGAAATAAGACACCATCCCTCGTCTAAACGCATCCAAGCCCATCGTAAAAATGAGCTGCTTTAAGAGGGAAGCTCCTTTTCAATATGTGATGGAATCTAAGTTTGAGATGGCTTCTTGAGTATCTGTAACTTGTACTCGGACAGCATGAGTTGATTTAAGAGTATCAGCAGCATAACCCCTTACTTTATTTTCTAAAAATGATATCCATGAATCACCGCCTGCGATTTCTTCATTTGCGTAGAATGAGTGTGTGAATTTATTTTTAATTGGAGCTTATTAACATGTTTAAGAGCTAAGTCTTCTTAGGCCTTTAATTTGATTAACGAGCACCTACTCCAGGAAACAATGGAATCACTGTCATAGCATTCGGTTGTGAGACAAAAACCCATCTCAGGAAAAATTCAAGCTCAAGGGAGAGTATTGTATTTTACGATGGACTTCTCTTCCTCCGTCAAGGAATATAATCAGTTGCACATTAAGAAATATGTACAACGGATAATAACCTTTGCCAGGGGATTTCTGATGGGCTGGTTGCCTTCACCCAAGCCAAGGAAGGTTTTAAGCCACCACCTTCCCTTTTGGATAGCATCTCTTCACTCGGACATATTTTTTCCCCAGCATATAAAGTTTCGTGAAGAATGAGAAATAAGTAGCAAAGCTTTCATTGAGCCATAAATCATCCCACCACTTCAGTGTGACTAGATTCCCGAACCACATATGGCACATTTCATGAAGAACAGTATTATATAGCCAAAACTCTTCGCTTTTTACTGCTTGCTCTTTTCATACATAATTATCATTAATTTCCACACATCCGGCACACTCCATGGCACCCATGTTGAATTCAGGACAAAACACTTGGTCGTATTTCCCGAATGCATACTCTTTTTGAAAAAACTCCTGATAAAAGTTCATTCCTCCTCTAGTCCAGCCAAAAACCCCTTCAAATTGAATAAAATTAAACAAACTTTGACGGCAAAAAATTCCCCGATCCAGCTCATCTTTCCTCCCTGTGAATTCTCCACAAATAATTGCGACAATATAAGTGCTTATAGGTTTTGTTGGGCAGAAAATGTGGTTTGCTCTGCCATAAGCCCTTGACCTGGACCGTACTTCTTCCTATCTCATAATTACGTTGGAGTATACCTTGAAGTCTTCATTAGCTTCAAGTGTGATTGTAAATTCCCCTTTGATGTCAGGCTGATCAAAACAAGGGAACACTTTATTGGCATAGTATGGGCACATATATGAATATATGTAAGTCCGACCATCCATAGGATCTGTGAACTTATGCAATCCTGTTCCATTAGTGGAGTAGTAAGACTCAAATGATATTTGAATTTGGTTCAGGCCTTGCTTGAGGCATTTGAGGTACAATTTATTATCAGACCTAGTTGATTGGCAAATAGAATCATTGACTTCAATGGAATTAATAAATTTCCCTGAGTAATCCAACCAAAGTTTTGTAGGAGCCGAATTCAAAAAAAATTGGATTGAGACACTCCCTACGAATGAGTCTTCGCCAATGCTCAAGAATAGCTCATATTGCACATTTCCTTCTATTAGAGATTTTCGCCACTCAGCCTCATCATGCAAAAGAGTGTAGGATACCTCCATAATTTACAACTAAATGCCATTTAGTCTAGAATATGCAATTAATTGATGGAAATTAAATAATTCTTATAATTTGACTCCAGTTTCCATGCTCCTGCAAGCATTCTCTAGCACCCTTATTAAGTTTTCTTCAAACAGTTCTCTTTCTCTTCGATCTTGTGCAATTTGACTTTCGATTTTTGCTTTAAGCTCGTTTACAAATTTTTTATAAAGTTCATGGATAGCTTTTCTGCTATTCCTCTCAGCATCAAGAGCTTGATAGCCTCTGCTTAAATTATCTCCAATGATTCTGATCAAGTCTTCAAACCTGTCATCTCTAATTTTTGACTCGTTGCTGACACTTTCGTTTAAATTGATGATATCAGTTTCGAAATCTGTGATAAGGTACTCTTCTGACTCTTCTCTCATCTTAATTTCATTGGAAACATCGATTTTTAACGTGACAAATTTTTCATCGAGGTTTTTGTTTCTTTTCATTTCATGGAGTTTTCTTTCTTGTTTTTCATCAGTAATGCTGATAATCAGATTATTTTCAGATAGTTTTAACTCTTTGGTCTTTTTCTCGCTCAGGGCTTCAAGGGATTGGGCTTCATCGAGAAACGATTCTTGTAGAGCAGAAATGCTATCTTCTACTGACTGAATTCGAAATTACCTCGAGTTTGGTCTCTTCTAAGGCTTTTAATGATGTTATTTTATTTTGAAGTGATTCAATACGCTTATTTAAGGCTTCATTTTGAGATTCCACTTCTGCTTTTGCGTCAGCCTCATAATTGTTTAATTTTGAAGAAATTTGTTTCACCCGTCAATACTTGGGAGTTTCATAAAAAGTGCTTCTAGTTTCTCCATCTAAGCCTTTATCTGGTGAAGATCTTCCATTATCATTAGCTATCATTGTTTGCAAATTATATAAATTTTAAATTATGACTGTATTGGTATCATTGTCAAATTAAAAAAAAATCAATAAATTCAGCTCAACAAATTCCTATCTAAAAAATAAATATAATGACTACTGAAAAACAATAATCCACTCTAATCGTGGATGAATAAAGGCAATCACTTTATAAATTATAAAATGGAGATTTCTGCAAGCTTGAATTTACATATCATCGTGCCAAACAAAAATCCTTTCGTTCTGTACGGAATCGAAGTTTATACCAATTTCTCACGCACTGTTGTTACCAAAAGATTCAATGATTTTTACAAATTTCAGTGCGTTTTGTGCTATTTTTCACATACGGAATATAATTCCAAAAAGAAGCTTCTTGATTTGATCCCAAAACTGCCCAGCCAACAAGTATTTATGAGCAGTGTATCAGAAGCTGCCATAAAAGAACGAAAAATCGACTTAAACTACTACATCAAATCTCTTGTTGAGATCCACAACTATTTCGTCGCTTCTAATCCAAAAGCTCCATGGGTATACTTAATCAGAGAGTTCTTACAAGTTCCTGACATTGAGCTTAAGGAAGCTGAAGCAGCTCTTATTATACAGCAGAAATTCAAAAAATATAAAACTTATTTATTATATAGAAACCAGATCCATGAAAAATATATTAATAAAGGCTATGTATCTGACTTGGATGCACTGCCTGATGCTCTTTTTATTGAAATATTCGGCTACTTGAACTTGGAAGACCTCAGCAAAGTAGCGAGAGTGTCAAAGAGATGGAACCAAATTTCACTGCAGCCCATTTTGTGAAGGACACTTTCTGTTTTTCCGAATAAGTTCATTCTTGATTCACAAAGGCTGAAAGCTATTTGCCAAAGGGCGTGGCAGCTCACTTCTTTAGATTTCAGATACTGCCAATATATTGATGCGCAGTCACTTCTTGCAATTGCTCAAAATTGCAATCCTTTGTCGTAAGATTTATGCAGGCTTCAAACATTACTGCTTGATGGATGTGATGGAGTTGATGACCATGCACTGGTGTGCTTGACTGAAAAGTTTCCAAACCCAAGACAAATTAGGCTCAGCTCGATTGATTCTGAGATAAGTGGGATTGATGGAACAATTCTCCCTGTGGACTTAAAAGGAGGCGGCAGAGGGCTTACTCGGCTATCTTTATCTGAATGCAGATGTGTTACTGATCAAGGAGTGGCTTATTTAAGAAAACTCAGGCGCTTACACCTACTCATTAGCAGATGGGTTATTTTAATTATTTTGTTCTTAAAAGATGTAAAAAACAGAAGAAATTAGAAAACCTCAATTAATATAATCTGCCTTTTAGGAAATCATCTTAAATAAGCGAAATTATCATTTAAATAAATTAATCATTAATTATATATAAAATTTCTTGCTTGCTCATGAGGGCTTAATTTATCCAAAAAGATTTTAACAATATTTTGCTCTATCAGAAAAGAGCTAGAAGATTTGAGTTTACTTGGCTGCTATTCAGTTGTTGATAAAGGAATTGAACTGCTTGTTAAGGGTTGCCATAGCTTGAAAAAGATAAATTTATCAGGCACTTATATAACAAAAGAAGGGTTAAACTTCATCAGCAACTCATGCAAAAATCTTGAGCATATATTGCTTCATAACTGCAAATTACTATCAGAAGACGATAGAAAAATATTTAAAGGTGTCTTAGTTGAGCTTAGAGAAGACATTTTCAGATTTCAATTGCTTCCTAGCGACACCGTCCTTGGACTTATTACAAACAATATACTGAGAACAAGGAGTTCTCTGACTATTCAAAGGGTGGGTCATTATGTTACAAGGAAACTGGATCAACAAAATATTGAGATTGATGTAAGAACAATGTAGATTTTATGTAAAGGGCGCGTATTAAGCCCATATATGACCCTAAAAGACGTCCAAAACGACATGTGAGGGTCCTCAATGCTAACCCTGCACTACAGACTGAAGGAAGAGACAAAAGAAATCCAAAGCAATCATAAAATTAAAGAAATCTAGATGCGCAGCGTCCAGAGCTTACACCATTTTTACACGCATTGGGCTCACAGGTTGCTGGGTTACCTGCTTCGATTTGCCAGAAGTGGTGTTGGTGTCTTCAATAGTTAAAGAGTGATAGACTTCTGTCTTCCTTGACGCTGTGTAGCGGCTAAAAGCTTTCGCTGCCACAGGATGGAAGCGGAAAACCACAGACCTTTCAGATTGCTAGGGACAGACTAAAAGGGCAGGCGCCTCCCCTTCAAGTTATTTTACTGTCTTGGAGAATTTTCATGGAAAACCAAGCCTCACAATCATAAAGTACAAAATTAGTGATATCAATTAGGAAATCAGCACCTTACGAATTTCACCATTTTGTGATTATAATCCAAGCAAATCAGCTGCTGAATGGCTACTTGTGAAGATGCCAAAATGGGTTCCTGACGAGACTGCTGAAATCTGCCCGAAATGCCAAGTGAGATTTTGGCTATTGATAAGAAAGCATCATTGCCGGAACTGTGGTTTAGTCATTTGCAACAACTGCAGTCTTAAACGGGAATTCATCCCAATACTCGGATATACAAAAACTCCAGTTAGAGTGTGCAACGACTGTGAGGCTATTATTTCTAAGAAGAAGTAACTATAATTTATGAAGAAAATTTTTTAAGTCTTTATAAAACTTCAATTGTGTCATCAATGTGTTGTTGAGAAGCCGTTTCAGGCTCTATTTCGTGTCTTAGAGCATCCAAATTAATAATCTCCCAAGTAAGTGTCCACTGTTCCTGATTCAAATCATTGTCAGTTTTCAGTACCAAAAGCAAGTTCTTTAACATTTCATAGCTTTTTTCATTTACGTCCCCACTTTCTTTGTTTTTCAAAGTCTGTGATAATAGTTTAAGCAGACGGACCCAAAAAGTGGTGAACTCAGAAGCTGTGTTCAGGGTTTTGATTTTAAATAAAACTGCGTAACAGATGATATCCATAGCTTTTTCTCTGCACATTTCAAATTCTTTTTTCATGATAGTGGCTTTTTCATCAGATATATCTTTTAGCATTTCTCTAGTAATCATAAATGGCTCGACGACAAGAGGAAATAGAACTCGCTCAAAGCATTCTTTCCAAAGCGGCCATTTTTCTAAATCAGGATGAGAACTGCTGGTCAGAATTATTTCTTGAAGCAGTGTATAAGCTTGAAGCCTTAATGCCTGCTTTTGTTCTTGGCAGAGTCTTCCAACCAATGCAAGAATTTTTTTCCAAAAATAGATGACTACTTCTGATGTGTTTCTTTTTAAAATTTGCTTGTGTAAGGAGTGCACTAGTTTAAGTCCAAGCGAAATTCGTCCAGATGAAGGAAGATCTTGCCTTATATACACAATAATGAGATCTAAGAGTTCTTCATACATTTTTAGCTCAACCCCAGGCCACTCGTGAAGGTGGTGGATGATTAAAGAGACGATTTCGAAGCCAGTCATAGCTGTTCTTTCTATTAAAGAAAAAGAGTTCAGAATTTTCAGCAGTAAGGTCCAAGAGCTTCCTTGAATCAAAAAGCTAGTATTTCCTGAGTTCATTAGTATTAAAATGCCAGCCGCCAAACGATCAGCATATCTTGACAGTTTTTTGGGAGGTAATTCAGCCATATGCTCCAATACAGTTACCAAGCTGGCTTTTAAGTCAACAATATCGTCATGGTGATGAATGCATAATCTCAGTAAGCATACAAGCCCTCTTTCAGTGCTCCAAGAGTGATGAGTACTTGTCACAACATTAACTAAATGTGCTATAGCTGATTTTCATTCAGATACCTCCAGCCTGATTGCATTTGAAAGTATAGAGTTTGTTAAAAGTTCGAGGCTAAGGACAATATTAACTTCTTCATTAGAATCCTTACATCTTTGAATTAAAGTTCTAAGCAGGTAGTTCAATGATTCCAAAGGTAAAGATTTGGTATTTAAAAAGATTTGATGTATTCCAGTCCCTATTACTTTTTCTCTCAGCTCTTGTGTAAGTTCTTGCATCAGCTCATCTCCTCTTTTGGCTGGCTGAGTTGGCACTCCTAAATACATAGCAAAAGAAGCCCAGAGCCCAGAAGATTCTTCGACTGTATCATCTTCACTTTTATGGCTTGGAGGGTTGGATATAGAAATTGCCCGAGAGGATGGCGCTATTTTGCGCCATCCTCGGGCAATTCAAAAAATGACCCCACACGGGAATTTTGGTACGTGGAAGTCAATATTCTCCACATGCCAAAAATGGCCCCACACGTGGGTTCAATTCCCGTGTGGGGCCTGTTTTTTGAATTGCCCGAGGATGGTGCAAAATAGCGCCATCCTCGGGCAATTTCTATACTTTAGATCCTGCTCTGAAGTACTGAAAAAATGAGTCGTCAAGAACTGGGTTTGACATTGGCAGAATTCTTCCTTCTTTGTCTACAAAATCATCAAGGTCAATTAATTGCTGTGGCAATAATTTCAATGAGTGAAGTCTAAATAGACAGTTAATGAGGTGGCCCCAAACACCATTTAGGTGGTCTTTGCATGCAATTGCACACTCAACTGCAGCTTCAAGGGCATAAAGAGCTCTTTTACTGTGATGAAATGCAATGATAGAGTCAGTATTTCTTAAAAAGCACTGACAAAGAGTGCTCAGAAGTCGGTTTATGTGGTCAGTCATATTAAAATATGTGCAAATTTTAGAGATTTCTATAAAAAGCTCTTTAATTGCTTTCAATGATTTTTCTTCTCCTGCACAATCCATAGCATTTGTTAATGTCCCTAGGATCCCGGACTCCCATAATATATCCAGCATATCTTTTTCATTTTCTCCTGCTGGCTGAAGCATGAGTTCATTGAGCATTCTATAATTCATTGACCCTTTAGTCCTCTTGATAATCTTTTTCCATGTGTTATTGGCTAGATCATTATCAGCCAAATCCTCACTTTTGACGACATTTACAGTTTCTGAGACTTGAATTGGCTCGTTCTTTATGCTATTATAGATTTCAATAAGCATTTCTTGAGGGAAATCTTTTCCTCCATTTACACCCTTCACGTTTCTCATGTAGCTTTCTATGCTCATTTTATTTATAACTGCACAGCTATGTAAATCTGTATTGAGCATGATAATGCTGAATGCAAGGACATAGGAAGCAGTTTCATCTGCAAACTCAGGGTTTTGTTGAAAATAGACTTTTCCAAATGCATCAAGAATTCTATCAATGCATTGAGGCTCGCCAGGGGCTTTTAAACTTGTAAAAGTTAATCTTAACGCAAGGTCTATTCTCATACCTCCATAGTCAAAGAATTTCAAATAATGGCGGAGCACTTCTTGATTGAACTCTCCAGGCTTACCAAGATATTCTCCTAAAGACGTGCTATCTATTGCAGGATTTTCTTTTAAAAATTTCGCAACAGCTTCTGCGTCACAATTTTTAGGCAAATAATTTTTTTCTTGAAGTTTCACAATAAAATCTTTGGGATGGTTATTAAAGATATAAGCAGATTCTGAGTATTTTTCTTTCATTACTTTATTTTCTTTAATTTTATTTTCGAGTGGCTCTGGCTCAATATTATGCATTTCAGGATCACATCTAATAGATATTGTTGAAGTTATTGCTAAAAGTCCTTGGAGGCACAGCTCATTAAGTCTTATTAAATTTTGATGCAGAGGGAAAGCATGCTTGCATAAAAATTTTGACAAAGCTTCAAAGAGGTTTGCAAAATGGAGATCACAGTCATAATTGGTATAAAGCTCAAGAACTAGACTTGGCTCTCGGCAAAAATCCACAATGCTTTCTAGTGCCAGTTCGCTTCTTTGGTATACAAAGGGATCTTGTGAATCTTCATACTCAGAAGCAATTTTAAGATGAATGCTGTTAAAGAATACTTCTAGCTGGACCTTTAAATGTCTTTTGATGGATTGAAAGAGGTTGAAAACCACTCTTAAAGTTAGCGATAAAATGAACAAATCTCCTGTATTTGAGTTAATCAGGAGTGACTTGCAGACTTCATCTTGGATTATAAGCACAATTCCTTCGTGCAGGCCCATTGCTTCGCCTGCTGTTTCAAGTGCTGTGTTCATCAAAAACAGTCCCAAGCATCTCTTTTCTTTCCAATTAGCTTCATTTTTCTCATTTGTCCCAATCAGATTTGCTAATTTCAGCAAAATATTTCTGACACATGGAACACCATAGCACTCTTCATTCCCCATTTCTGCGGTTCTGTTGAAAATAACAATAAATATTTGCAGCAAAGTGTTTTGGGCTGTCTTTTTTAAAAGTTCGCTTACTCTTTCTTTATCAAATACATCAAAGCATCTTTTTACAATGCTCCAAACACTTGCATCAGTCAAATAAATACTTGCCTGTGTTCTCAAGCACTCTAACTCCTTCTTCTGTGAGCAAGTAAAACTATCTTGATACATCACAGAAGGGTTAAGGGTTATTTTTAAATCTTTATATAAGATCTTCAAATAACCCCATTTATAAAAAATTTAAATTTATAAATTTATATATAATAGAATTAGCTAGTAATTTCATTATGATAATGATTATTTATGCGTGAGAATATTTTGCATAATAATTTTTATACTATGGATACTTTTTGTTTGCTCACTAAGAGATTAATTTCCAAAATAAAAAGTACTTTTCCAATGATTTTTCTTTCTTACATAGGAAAAGAGCAAGAAGACTTGTAGGAGTTTCATAAATATCACTTCATCATTGCTTGAATAAAGCCCTGGAATATTTCATTGAACCACACTATTGACGATGCTATTCATATATACGCAAAAATGGCGACTTAACCTCACTCGACCTCTTTAGGCATTTTCTCAATCTTATGGCCAGGTGAACTAGGCGAGAAATCAGCCAAGGTTTAGGTCTGATATAGTTTTATGTATGTCTGGGGTAGGTCTTGTCTTAGTTCATGTGGTTGGAAAGAGTTTACCTAGCAGTCCTTTGGGATCAGAAGGTGAAACTCACCGCGATACCAGGAGTGCGGCCTGGGCCCAGGAATTAAGGTTTTTCCTGTAGCTGCTGAGGGTAGACGCCTACCATCCATTAGAATCCAGGTTTTAATTCCTGAATAAAGCTGCTCACCAATCGCCTAATGAGGGGCCGCAGAAGTCCTTAGTCTGCCCACTTAAAAAATGAAGCCTTCAAGGCAAGGATAAGATATTCTCAGCAGAAGAACACTCTGTAGGTTCCATGGCATCAGGAGCCGGACAAGGGGAAGATGATTTTAACACTTTTCTTGCTTGCAGAGTCATTCTTGATCGATCAAGTGCCTGACAGGAAATGTCGTAAAGCCCTCTGGAAGTGTCCTAGGTGACTGCTTAACCAATACGGCCAAGTCCTTGCTAAATTAAGATTTAAACGATGTTATTCAGAATGAATCCTGATGTTGGTGACAAAAACCCATACAATAGAAATTTGTGGATCGAGGACAAAGCTACGCCTACAATAGGACCTGCCACTTCAGTGGATTGTATGATTTTTAGGAATGGCGACCAAAAATCCAATGAGTCCACGTCAGAACATACAAGCAAGGATTGGAACAAGCTTTTGAACTCTGCTATATACTACATATAAATCACGATTTCTGGAGATGCTGTGAAGTCAGGAACGAAGCGCATGATGGCCAGGAGGTTGTGGATTTCGCCTTTTACACAATTGATTGTTTTGACTCTGTTATTCATTATATGTGTTTTAAAGATGGAGAATACAAAAAATATGCCCAGTGAACAGAAGAGATTGACATACACAACAAACAGGACGTCATTTTTTGACATCACTGAGCCAAATGCGCCCATTCATAAGTGTGAAATGAAGGGGTTTTACATCATGATTGTTTTGCTGGTTGGCTACTACATTTTGATATCGTGCTATATCAAGTTCATGTCAGAGGGCTCATTCTTCGAGCAAACATTTTTTGAGAACATGGTAAGGGATGGAAAACTTGTTGTGCTTATTTGGCCGTGCGTATTTTTGTACTCATGGATAGCATTTTTCCATCAGCGACTGATACTGGCTGGACTTCCTCACAGTGGATCGTGGATAATCCAGCACTCTTCTCAAAGTCTGATGTTTCTGGTTACTTCCTATTTGGTTTTAACCAGAGATTGGGGCTTCACTCAAACGATTTTCATAACATTCCTTTGCTTTACTCACTTTATGAAGATGCACTCATACACCCAGATTAATCGAGATCTAAGAGAAGAATGGCTGAAGAACCCAAAGGATTCACTCCCCCTTTGAATTGGAAAAAAATTATTGTCAAATTTTCCATTTCTAAAAACATGATCCCATCTTTAAATTGGAAATAAATGTTAATTTTTATAGGTAAAACTAATAATTTCTATATAAATATATTTGATATCAAATTTGATGTTACAAAAATCAAAATTTACCCATAAATCTTCTATTTTAATTTAGAAGTGGAATTGGCCTGCTATTTAAGCAAAGTTAACACTTTAAATCGATAAATTTTATAAATATTTTTTCGGATATGAAATTTATGAATTTTTTTTAAAAACCCTTAAATTGGAACAGATTTTTTGGTTCCAATTTAACGGGGGGAGTCAGCATATCCCAAGAATATTACATTTTATGACTATCTTATGTATATGGTAAGGCCTGTTTTGGTTTACCAAACTTCTTATCCATCCATTCCAAAATTCAGGATAAGTTACTTTTTAAAGAAATGTGCCTTATTATCGGTTCAGATCATAACTTTATATATATGCATCTCTGATCATATCCTTCCAATTATAAATGAGAGAAGTCCCCTCTTCATCTCTTGGATGAAACTTGCGATTCCTTGTCTTGTTACTTACTGGCTGGTCTTTTTTATAACTTTCGAACAAATCCTCAACTTATTCGCAGAACTTTCCTTATTTGGGGACAGAGAATTTTACCAAGACTGGTGGAACTCTAACACATTTGCAGACTTCTCAAGGAAATGGAATCGCCCAGTGCATCAATTCTTGTACAAGCATGTTTATCTCGAAGCCAAAGAAAGGTGGGGTCTTACTGAGAAAAATGCAGCTTATTTCACATACTTTTTTTCATCACTGTGCCATGAGATGGTGGTAGCCTTGGTTTGTAAAACAATCAGGCCTTACTTGCTTGGGCTGATGATGTTTCAGATTCCTTTAGTGCTGATTGCGAAAGTCGGTGGGAAAGAGTTTGGACTTTATCTCTTTTGGACAGGTATTATAACAGGTCCTCCTCTGCTCTGCACTCTATATTCAATTTCATCATTTTATTAGATAATAGTAAATAATGTCCTGGTTCTCCAGAATTAAAAGTGAAAATATAAAGGCTTACTTGAGAGGAGTTAAAATCCTTGAGGAAAAACAGCAGAGAAGATATAGGAAGCTTTTATATTTGGCAGCTGCTTATCTTTTTGGACATGAAATTCATAGGACTTTTTTCCAAGAGGAGTGGGAACGAAAAATCTGGGTCCCAAACTGAGTTTTGTATTCGAGAAGAGAGCATTACATTAATACTGAATATGTAAGATTAAGAGAAGGGTACCCTACAACATTTACGTTTTCTAATTGGGATCCTGAATCAAAAATGATCTATCATGTAGATCTTCAAGGAAACCATAACTTTGAGAAAATTGTGCTGCCTCCATATCACTATGGAGCTTTAAAAGATCCAAACGTGGTAGAGCATTTTTCAAGGCTTGCAGCTTATAATTTGAATAGAAATAAAAGGTATGATCTTGACAACTACTTGAGACATAAGACGGTGACATTGGGGGATTGAATCACTGCAGTTTATTATTATTTCAATATTTTAACAAGAAGCTTTGATCCATTTTGGTACAAGCCAGAATTTTATTATAAGAAAGAGAGAGAAATGATTGCTCTTAATTTTCAAAGGGATAATAAGCCGGACACAATTAAAGATATAGTAAAATATGCAGAATTGAAGCTTAGAGAGTATGCTTCAAATATCAGTTAGAAATTATTTTTGCTAGCTCCCTCCCTCTCAGTGAGCGAACAAAAAATTTTGTTCGCTCACAGAGGGACTTTTTTTTAAATTTATATATAAATTTTATAGTAATTTTTAAAAAATGAATCCCTCTCCTAAATAATTTAATTAGCTTAATATAGTCCATACCCCTGTATAGATTTCTTTATCGAGAAAAATGTAATAGATAGTTGAAAAATCAAGACAGACTCTATCAAAGGGATGAGCTACGCGCTAATTTTTAAAGTGGCTTAATGATTAAATTAATTTGAAATTAAAGATATCCTTTTAGAAGCCTCTAACAATATTTTATATTTATATAAAAAATACATTATGACGGCAATTGATTTTATAGTTTTAAGCGATTAATAATAAACAAATAAATGTGATATTTTAATTAAAATTTTAGCCTATAAAATAAAAAATAAATAGTTTTCCAAAAATTACAGGATGAGATGTGACTAATATAATAAATAGGCTTTACTTGTAAAGAGCTTTAATACATAAAGTATCCAGCCTAATTCATGCGCAACAAAAATCGATTTTTTTTCATTAAAATGTCGAAGTTGATTGAAGTTAACGAAGCATAGAATACGAAAGCAAAAATTGCAGGATAAGTTACGGTTAATTTGATATTAAAAAGCTTTACTTTGAAAGAGCATGAATACATAAAGTGTCAAGCCTAATTCATCTTCAGCAACAATCTCAAAAAAATCGAAAATTTTATAAAATGTGAAAGTCAATGAAGCATAAAATTCGATGACAGAATTGCAGCGACTTATTTGATATAATGAACAGATTTTAAATTATAAAGAGCTTTAATACATAAGTGTCGGGCCTAATTCATGGTCAGCAACAATCTGAAAAAAATCGAAATTTTTATAAAAATCATCGAAGTCAATGAAGCGTAGAATGCGATGATAAAAAATTGCACGATAATTTATAGTTAATTTGATAGACTTTACTAGAGATTTCGTTTTAATAATTATCACTTATAATCAAAATATTTTTTTGTTCGCTAACGGAGGGTTGTTTTCACCCAAAAATTAGGGATTTTCCCAATACTATTGTTAACTCACGGGGGGAGTAAGTAAATATATATTGCTAAAATTGAGGATTATTTTGTTTGCAGCTTGTTAGAATTATTAGCAGCAATTCTGATTTATTTTTGAATTTTTCTTTTCTGTTGTCAAATTCAGTTTGGGAGCAGAAGATCTAGAAATAGCAGGAGCTCCACCTTCCTTTCTTCCTTTCATTAGTTCTCTTGCCATTGTCATAAATGCTAAGTCAACTTGATATGCATTTTTTGCGCTGGTTTCAATATATGGGATCCCAAATTTTTTGGCTTTATCATCAGCTTCTTGGCTGCTAACTGCAGCTTCCATGTCTGATTTGTTGCCGACAAGCATTTTAATTGCATTTTCATTTGCATGGCGGTTCACTTCTTCCATTCACTCGTCAATATGCTCAAAGGATTCACGCTTAGTTTTATCAAAAACGATCATAACTCCGTCTGCTCCTCTATAGTAGGCTGTTGTAATTGTACGGAACCTTTCTTGACCAGCGGTATCCCACTAGCCTTCCCATACATAATAAATGCATTTTTCGCTAATTATAGCTGTTAAAGAAATTTTATAATTATTTTCTTAATATTGATCCTAAATTTAAAAAAATTAAAAGTTAGATTTATTAAGTAAAGTCTAATAAAAATATGAAAAGTATTGAAAACTATATTAAATTAATTTGCTTATTAATATATTCTCTCAGATTTTAAAAATAAATATTATATTCTCAATAAAAATAAGTAAGTAATATTTACAATTTGTAGCTTCACAGAATTTTCTTCTAATGCGAGGGTTCTGAATCTGAAATCAACGCCAATAGTTGTGATATAGCTCTCTGTAAATGAATCATCTGCAAAGCGAATTAATAGACATGATTTCCCAACCCCAGAATCGCCGATAATGACTAATTTGAAAAGATAATCGCTGATTTGAAATTACTATTCTCTCCTTGCTGACATTTATTTTGATATAAAATATATTTACCATAGCATTATTTTGATTTTGATATATTTCTAATATAAAATAAAATGGCTTTCGCTCAAGCGAAGTTAGCTCCGCTAACTTTCTCTCACTCAAGCAATTTTATTTATGGGGTTGGGTTTTTTACCTCGAGAACTTCTGCACAGCAACAGCAGTTTAACTTTGGGGATAACCAGAGGAACTGCTCCTCAGTGCGCTCAAGACCTTGAGTTTTTACCCCTCAGCACACCCGAAGGAAGGTGGGCCCTTAGGCGGAATACGCGCAGGAGCTGAGTCGAAATAAAGCCGTGGCAGCAGCGAAGCCCGTCGAAGTCGGAACGCCTTATTTGTCCGTGCTTTAGTGATCAAAAGGGATCGATCCAGAGGTCCCCAGGCCCGACACGTGTACAAATATGGTGGCAGCTCGTAGTGGACGTTAAGCGTTATAAATTTTATAAGATAAGATAAGATATATTTCTAATAATACGAATATCAGCCAATTTTCTAGTTTTCAATATTTACTGATGAGCATCATTAAAAGATGTTAATTAAATAGTCCTAAAATGAGTGCTATATTTTTAATTCTCTAGCTGTGCATATTAAATTAAATATATCGCCAGTTTTAAGTTCTAATAACTTGAAATTCATATTTTTATAATTAAATATTTGTCCGCAAAAAATTAAAAATTATCTATTTTGTTGGAGAAACCCTTAATTATTAAATTTCAGTATTGAGCAACGTATAGATTTCTCTTATTTTTATTATTAAAAGTGAATTGCATTTTGATTGGGCCATATCTATTCTTTTCTAATATGGATTGTAATATGTCAAGCCAAGATGACATTTATGAAAAAGATAGCCTCATTGACGCCATCAACAACTATGCAGAAACAGAAAATCTGCTAGACTTGTTCGGAACCCTAAAAGAACTAGAAGAGTTGCGTCATGAGCAATTTATCTTGTTGACATTTAACGCTTTTCAACGGCTACTGTGGAATCAAAACCTAGATGGAGCCCTCCACATGCTAGACTTGTTTCCTTTTTTATGTTTTTATGATAAATGCACTGAGCAGATGCTGATTGAATATCTTTTTGACCTGGTGAGTCGTGGAGAAATTGATTCAGTCAAACATATAATTGATTCTTTTGGAATTTATATCCATGTCGTGAACTCATCTAAGTACAACCTATTTGAACATGCGGCATCTTCAGGGCAATATGAAATGATGATTGTCTTACACAAAGAGCTTGGCCTTTCAAGCGACGAAAGCTTTTTATTGGATAGAGCTGCCAGACTTGATAGGGCGGATATTTTGGAATATCTCTGGAGAGAAGTAGGAATAACTCCAAATCGAAGCGAAATACTTATTAAGTCGGCTGTCAAAGGAGGATCAATTGAGTCGCTGAAATTTATTAGATTCGTGATGGGGATTACAGATTTTAAAGAACACTCCATACTTGAAGTAGCTATAAGCAGCTCAGTTGCACAAGGGTCTACTGAAGTGCTGGACTTTCTTATCACATATTTTAGAATGATCTTTAATCCTAAAAAACTCTTTCCCTTACTTTCACCTTAGGAGTTGAGAAGTTTTTTTGCTTGTGGTGGAGGGAGTGAATATTTATATAAAAAAGTATTGATTAATAATTTTTTTACTTTCAAAAACTTCCAATTTTTAAATATTTACAAAGAAAAATTTACTTTAATTTGTGTAGCATGCAAAAATCTAAATTAATGCAATTAGCTTATGATATCATTTTTATGTAAAATTTTTTTAATGGCTTATATGCTTGCTAACTCTCCAGGTGGTTAGTAAACAAAATTTTTATACTTGCTAAAATTTTATAAAATCACATAAAAACAATTTTTCTCAATTTAAAAAATCTAAGTTTGTTAATATTTGAAATAAGAATCTAATTTACCATATAAAACTTATGTTTAAGAAGATGCAAGTTGTTAAATTTAATAATACTACTGGAGATCTTGTTATTACAATTATTAATTCTATATATAATGAATTATTTTTTAATATTTTTTTTTATTAAAATATTTTAAAGCTAATTTTTCAAAAAACAGGGATTTTTCTAGCAGTTTTGTTTGCTAGCCAAGAGGGTAAATAAGGGAAAAGTTAGGAGAAACGGAGCCAACGCCTAAGTCATGCTTAGTCAATTCACTTACTCGAGCTGCATATAATGGTAATATAGATTTCATCAGGTATTACTTTTATATAGTAAAGCTAGATTTTGCTACAGATAATCCCAATAGTGAATGGGCAGGATACCTAAAACTGCTGCAAATTGCAGTTAAAAAAGGTGACTTAAACCTATTAAAATGCCTGATTGAAGAGATCGGAATCGATATAAAATTGTTGCCTGATGCTAGAGAAGATAGTCTTATTTTTACAATTCTAAAGAGATCTGGAGACAAAAAGACAAAGAAAATGCTTCTAAGCTATGCCCTGAATTTTGAAAGCAAAGATAACATCAAATATTTTAAATGCATGCTTGATCCGGAGCAGCTGGATTTATTAAAGAAGATGAGGTATACAGAAACGAATGGATATTGTTACAAGAGGATTAAAAGAGGGCTGTGGGCTTAAGAATTATATACGAGTGTATGAACGCTAATTTTATTATCTCTGGTTGCTTGAATGCATTGATAATTAAAATTATAAGAATTAAGCACTCACCTTCGCAATTTCTTGATTGCATATAGGGCAAGAATGCACAAGTACATGACTTTTCATCCATAAATTTGAGCAGCAGCATAGAAAGGAGTCAAGTTTTTTGAAAAAGCCTTTTTCTTGTTTGATTTCTGGCTTCACCGTTGTTATTATTTCTTTTTTACAATTTTCACAATAAATTACAGCAGGGTATTCATTGAACTCAGAAACCTGCTGGAACACTGAGCTTGCTTTGGCTTCCTGCTCGTACTCAAATACTTCTCGTTCGTAGAATAAATCTGGGACCTCTTCATTATCAACGTTTCCTTGTGTACTAACAGTACCTGCCTGTGTAGTTATAATCTTTTCTTCTTCAACAAGCTGCATGGCTTGATTTTTACTTAAGGGATAAATAGCTGACGATTTCGGCTCAGCAACTGAATTTGTAGCAGTAGGTATCGTGGCCATGCTTTCCTTTGCTTTTGTTGGAATAATTTCTTCAATCTCCAAGCTATCCAGAGAAGAATTCGAAAACTTATCTTTATCTTTTGGTATCGACAAAATTGAGTCAAAGAAACTTTGCCCGCTTGATCTCCCAATTGAGCTGAATCCTTCAATTTCAATTGGGTCTCCTAAATCACTCCCAAATGATACTCTTTTCCTGTTACTTCTATGAACTCTGCTTCTAGACCCAAATTTTGATCTTGGGTTTTCTCTCAGACCTTCTAATATTTGGCTTAATGATTTAGGCTCTGTTTGCATGCTTAAATTGGCGTGCTCTCGGTATTTCGGTGTATGCCTTTGGTGATAAAAAATTGGTAACAAAATTTCGCGCGGCCTTCTGTCGCCTGGTCTCATTTGAGTGATACGGAGAAGCTTGGAATGAGGGTGGATCTTTTCAGTTGAATTTCTTGAAAATCCGAATATTGCTGAAGATGAAAACTCGGTTCCTTGTCTTTCTGGGGTTTCAAAAGAATCGGAGGATGCGTAGCGCTGGTCTGAAAATATAGGATTTGGCTGATCAGATACCATGGGCGTACCACGAGGTGAGGGTTCTGATGAGATAATTGAATTAGATTCTATTTGAAGAGGAGTTGTGCAGTCAGGTTCCATTATGATTATTGGCTAGTTTAGCTGGATTTTTAAGCACATTATGCTTTTGTGCCTATAAAAATGGAATGAGAATTCTAAAGAATTTATTGAAACGACAATTCTTTGCAAATTTATTACCAGAAGTTGCTGTTTTGATTCTTGTTTAATCTTTGATGACCTTTTCTTGGAATGAAATTTTTATTTTTACTTTTCTCATTTGAAAAATGCAGAATTCGATTATCCCAAGCATAGTTTTTTGATTTAATATTATCAGCGATTAGTATTATACAGTTGAATGCTATATTGATATAGCACGTACCCCTTAATAGATCTTAAAGCATATGACTTTTAAAAGTAAATTTTGATTTAAAAATTCAAGAAAATCTAAAATGTCAAAGTTAAATTTAAAAATTTCGTCTTATATCTCCTATTTGTCAGTTTTAAATTGACTTTTCAGAATATTTTGAAACGACAAAAGGAATATTTCTTTAAGAGTATTTTTCTCAAAAATCAATAAGGAGTCGAGCGCTATAACCAAAGCGAAGGACATCGAATCTTTCTAATCTAATTTTATTTCCAAAAACCCAGCATTTAATGGCACTATATTATGATTATTGGAAACAAATTAAATTTAATTTAATAACACGTGTATAATGTCCAAAATATTACTTGCATTATTTTCATTTCTTGCTATTGTAGGATGGCTTCAATACCGAAGGATACTTCATCCAGATAAAGATGTGGTGCTCCATCACTACGAAAGCTGTTCTCGGTTAAATTCGACCGGAAGCTTTATTGACTTCACTTATTATGAAGATAGCGTTATTGCAGCTGAAGATGACTTGATTTCTATATATACAGAAGGGCCCAAAAATGCCAAAAGTGGAAGATTATTGCTCATTGAAAAAATCGCGAGCAACAATCCTACTATAACTGAACTTTCAATACAAAATTTTCCTGCAGATGTCGGATTTCATCCATTTGCGTTATACTTGGTAAAGCCAAACACCTTATATGTATTAAATCATGCCTTTCATGAAGGAGGGACAAGGGTCGAAATATTCAATATAACAGAAACCACTGCAAATTACTATAATTTCTTCAATTTTTACCCAGATCTGCAAGGCATTTTTGGAGATTTTATTATAGACACAGATAATGAAGCCTATTTCACGCAGTTTACGCCTATCCCAATGCCTTCAGATGGTGGTCCAATCCTAAAATCAAGCTTAATTAAGATTATAGAAAAACTCTGGCAGGCCTGAAGGCTGCATTCGTCCTCAGCCTGCTTATAGTTCTGTCGGCCTCTGTTGTTCCTTCTCACAGACAAGGGCTTGCATGAGTCAGAGATGATCCGTCATCATGCGTACATAGACGGGGTTCAGTTTCCGAATTCGAAAATCGAATTTCTGATCACTTCTTAGCCAAGATGGAAACGCAACGTCTGGCATCGCGTTGGAAAACCTTCCCGATTGACAAGGGTGGTCCAATCCAGTAACACAAAAGTTTCTTACTTTATTGTCTGATATTTTACAATTAGCAAATACATATATTTATTATTGCAAATTCAGTGTAAATTCAACTGCAGACTGTATGCCTCTAAATCAGACAGAAGCAATTTCAATTACTGGAATAACTAAAAATAAATTTGGCGACTACTATGTCGCTTATTCGTCAATTGATTATAATTGGATAAGTGAATATACAAAATCAAGCAATGGGAATTTGAATGAAAAGTTCAAGCTAGGGCTGAGAGATAGGACTGAAAAAATTTTATATGATGAATACACACAGAGAGTTTATGGAGGAGCAGTTCCATGGCAATTTCAAGCTTTTGGAGATGGGTCAGTTGTAGGTGGAGCTATTGAAGTTAAAGACTGGGAGCATAAAACAGGATTAGTCTATAGAAGACTTTTCACTCAGGAAGGAATATTCAAAGGTGCTAGCTGTGCAATTAGGATTGGAGATTATGTTCTAACTGGATCTTATTTAGACAAAGGGGGATTAATTTGTCCAATAGTTTCTCCTAAAAACTAAGAATAATTTGCATGTAAGGATATAAATTTATTGGTATTAACTTCAATAATTTTTATAAATTAATAAATTAAAGTATTTTGGCCATTTATTCCACCCTGAATTTATGAAATGATTTGAGATAAGATTATTGATCTTTAAAAAAATATAATACTTCTGCCATATATAGTACCCCCCCCCTCGTTTGTCGCATTTTCTAGTTTTTTTTTAAGGGAAAAAAAAAATTTACAGGACCTCGTTTGTCGCATTTTCTAGTGCAAATACATTTTTCGCAATTTCTAGTTTTTTTTAATTTTTTTTTGATGTCGCAAATCTTAGTTTTGTTAAAAAATAGTTTCTGATTAATTTAATTGAGTAATTATAGAGGAGTTTACCTTACATTTGCCTGCAGAGGGTTAGCAGGCCCGAGTCCTTCCAGTCCTTCCCAGTCCTTCCCAGTCCTTCCCAGTCCTTTCCAGTCCTTCCCAGTCCTTCCCAGTCCTTCCCAGTCCTTCCCAGTCCTTCCCAGTCCTTCCCAGTCCTTCCCAGTCCTTCCCAGTCCTTCCCAGTCCTTCCCAGTCCTTCCCAGTCCTTCCCAGTCCTTCCCAGTCCTTCCCAGTCCTTCCCAGTCCTTCCCAGTCCTTCCCAGTCCTTCCCAGTCCTTCCCAGTCCTTCCCAGTCCTTCCCAGTCCTTCCCAGTCCTTCCCAGTCCTTCCCAGTCCTTCCCCCAGTTTACTCTCCCCTTTTTAGAGAATAGATTAAATTAGCTAGCTTATTAACTCCATTCTCCTTGCGCTTCAATGACCTGCTTGCTCTTTCATTTTTCACCTTAAGAATGGAATTTTGCACTTCCTCAAAAGAAATTTCGTCCCATGACTCCTGAATGGCAGCAATTAGTCTGGCTTTGCTGTCAGGCCTTCTTTTCTCCACTTTCCTCTCTCAAATTGGCCCAGATCATCTCAATTGGATTGAGATCTGGGCTCTTCGGCGATTGAGTCTTCACATCAATCCCGTTTTCTCTGCAATATTCCATAGTCTGCCTTGCAGTATGGGCTGTTGCCCCATCCTGAACGAAGGTGTAGTCTCCATCTAAAGGCTCAATATAGCCCTGGAGAATGTCTCTGATATAAACCTGGGCATTGATTGCATACTTCTCCTTCTTTATGAAGAGCATTTTGCCAAAAACGATAGAAATTCCTCCCCAGATCATAATTGAGGTTTTTCAATTGATAGGCTCTTCAATCGTTGCGTTTATCCCTTCTTTGCACAAATTAGAGTTACGAAAGAGATGCAAATAGCACTCATCACTGAAGATCCATGAAGCGATATCTGAGTCAATCAAAGACCTAGCCCAGGACATTCTCTGCTCTTTATGAGCTTCAGTTAGCTGTAGAACAACCTCTTCTTCCTATAGGCATATCCCCTCTTCTTCAGCTCTTTTCCTAGCTGTTCTTCGCTGATGTCAACTGTCTTTCTTTTGAATTGGGCCCTCAAACTTGCCTTGCTGACAAAGCCTGTATCCTTCTCACATTCCTTAATGACCTCAGCAAAGTCTTCATCACTTCAATGCTTTAGGGGAGATCTGGATAGTGCCTCTTCTCTTCCAGCCGCTTCGTCAGATTCACTCTCAGTATTCTCTGCAGCAATTCGCTCAATAGTCCGTTTAGAAGTCCCCAAGATTGTCGCAAGTTCTTCGTTTTTAAAGAAACCTACGTCAATGATCCTCTTGACTATGCTCTCTCCATCATTCCACTTGATTTTCTTAGGAGGAGGCGATAGTCCATGGTCCACAAGCTTCCGCCTGAGCTCTAAAGTGTGCTCTTCAGGATTGAACTTGTTGGTGTAGTGCCTGATCGTCGTCAGGCTCATGTCCTTGCCACAAGCAGCAAGACGCTCTTGGATCTGCTTTGCATTGAGCCTCCTCTCTCCATAGGCCATGCTTTGAATCATTGCCGGGATGTTTATCGGCTGGTCCTCAATTTCGCGCAACTCCATTAATTAATATGACTAGAAATTAAGCTATCAAATAAGGAAATAGGCATGAAGATAGGGGAATAAGAATGGTGAATGGCAAGTGGTGAGGCTTAAGCAATGGGAGCAGGTAATGGGAAGCAAGCTGTGGGGATTGAGGAATGGGAGCAAGGATTTTGAAGGGAAGAAATGATGAAATTTCACTAACTGATCCCTTGACGAATTTTAATTTTTTAGGAATTTATAGAGAGAAAAAAAAAAACTAGAAAATGCGACAAGCGAGGTCCTGAACCGATTTTTTTTTGGCTTAAAAAAAAAACTAGAAAATGCGACAAATGAGGTCCTGAAAATTTTTTTTTTCTCTTATAAAAAAAAACTAGAAAATGCGACAAATGGCAAAAAACTAGAAAATGCGACAAACGAGGGGGGGGTACTATATAATTTTTAAAAGAAACGATGAATATATTGTTTAAAATTAAAAATATAATTTAAGGAACTTTTTAACGATTAGCCTTATTAAGCTGTATTTTGGACTATATCTAATACAGCAGCATCGAGATCATTTGGATATTTTGATAGCGACTTGCGTGCTTCTTCTTCAGGAAAGCCCAGCGTTATTAGAGTTTCAAGATTTCTTTGAAATACAGGGTTATTTCTTATAGCTTGAACTGCAACACTAAGCTTATTTCCAAACTTGATCCCATGAGGGGTAATTAAAGTTCATTCAGCTATATATTTTCCTTCCTTTTCAGGCACTTTCACAGTTGCCTCTAGATCAATCTCCTTCCCAGCTTTAACAGGAGGAACATATACACTATCTCCTTTAAGTTCTCCTGACAAATGCACAAGTAAAGTCCCCTCTGGCCAAGGCTCATTTCCACAATTTTTTACTTTCCAAACCTTTTTGAAATTTGACCCAACTTCGTACTGTTCCTCACTTGCCATCGGAACACTCAAAACTTGCATTTTCGGCTTGGTTTTTGATATGAATTTTTGGAAATTTTTTCATGTCTTTCCAACATCCTTTTCTTCTAAATTCACTGAAATATAAAACACTGACTGGTTAGGGTTTTTAACTTTCAAAAATGGATGATCATGAGGAATAAGTCCTTCACACACTTCGCACAGATCATAGTCTTCACATACAGTGCATTGGAATCTTGGACCTCTCAATGGAGTTTCTCCACAGCCATCACAATAAACCCCTTCCCACACGATATTTGTTCCAGAAAGTCCAACCTTTTTTCTCAGTCTTTCTCTGATCAGTTCTCTGACTTTTTCCTCGTATTCGGCGGTTATTTCATAATCAATCTTTTCTTCTTCTTTGATCTCTTCTTTGGTTTCTTCTTCACTATCTGATTCTTTAATTTCTTCAACTTCATCTGAGCTCAAGACTGTGTAGTCTTCCTTGGTGACATCACTAGAGACTTCTGTTGAAGATAAAGGTTCATTGGTTTCTTCTAATAGTATTTTAAGGCTTAAAGCGCCCAAATCTGAAGCTGCCAGATAAGCATCTCTCAATTCTGTGGTTGTCGAGATTGTGATTAAATCTCCTTCCTCGTCCATATACTTGAAGCGATACTTAGTGGTGGCGAACAGCTTGTTGACTTCTTGGTAAAGCTCTTGAATTGTTTGAGGAGCTTGCTTGAGCTTACGTATTTGGTTTCCACAAATCAGTTTTACTGCGATGTTCAGACTCATTAGCCCTTGAACAGAAATTTATAAACAATTATTCGGATGGGGATAAATAGGACAGATCTGATCAGATGCAATAAGGCAGGCTTTTTAATTTCTTAAATTGGTTAAGATTAGAAAATCGACTGGGTCGAGTTAATTTTAGTTTTAATAAAATTATAATTCATATCAAATTTGGTGTCATATTTAAATATTTTATTATGATATAGTCGCTATTTAAATATGATAAGCTATTATAACTCTAATCTAATGCACCATATACAAGCCGAATCAAAATTAAAAATTTAAATTTGATTGCAGTTTGATGATAATTTTATCCAGGGTTATGCTGATAATACATTATATGAGAAATTAAAATTTAGGAAATTTGTGGACATATGATATTTTTCTGGGATTTTATATATCGAGCTAGATTGAATTTTGCAAAAGACGAGTTGTGTATGCTATATTTCTTAATTTATTCCTGCCATAAATGCTTGGAATTATTATTTATTCACATATAATCTTTATCACTCTTAGCAATTCTAAACATAGTAAGCTTTGCCAGATCGAATAAAATATTAATGCTATAACAATAGAGGAATCTGGAGCTTTAAACAAACGATTTTGCATGATCTCTAGAATGAAGCAGTTTCTCTATGCCAATATCAAATCTAAAATGCATAAAGATTATTATGATTAAAATTGGGGCTTGTTTACTAAAATCAACTAATCTCTTAAAGAAAATTTTATTCAGAAAAATAAAATTTCAGCGTTAGCTGCATGTAATTATTCGGGTAAGAAGTAAAGTTTTAATAATTTATGGATTTGCTTTATTTTCTTCTGTTTTAACTGGCACTTCATCAGTAGCTATTTTTTGACGCTTTGAAGGGCGATCTCGTAGTGGATTTTTTTTAATTGAAGAGGCAAGCTTTTCAACTAGAAAGCTATTTAAATCTTACTTTCTTTCTCTTTGTATTGCTTTTCCCGTTCTGTTTGCTAGTTCTAACTGTGCTTGGACTTTTTGATTTTCCTATATTAAACTCACAGATTGCAATGCTTTGAACTTCTTTTTTAGCGCTTTGTACTTTTCTTTGTAGTTCTCTTCTTCCATTTTTTATTTAAGGTTTAGCATAAAGATTTAGTGAAATATGATAAATTTTTATTGGGCTATATTTAAGACTTTGAGAAATATTTGCAAGATATTTTATATTTAATCTTTAATAATCATAAAAATTTTGAAATTTAATTAAAATTAGGAATTTACCTAAATTTATTATTTTAGCCTTATGATAATTTTAAATTTAGCACTTGAATTTATATTTCAAGTTAATTATAAATATTTGATGACTTAAAAAAAACGTTGAAGAGGCTTAGAAATCTTATTGCAACCAAAAATGCCTAAAGCTTATCGATTTATTTTATTTTTTCACACGTTTTTTCTCTTCTAGAAATGTCTCAAAATTAAATATGATTTCTGATCGATTTTGAATAATTACATGCAAAAATATGCGTTAAACTTATAGTCTATTCTTTTTACAGCTCAGGATTATAATAATAAATAATTTCTTCTTAGTGTGAACTGATCTTATTTATTTTTAATTTGCTTGATTTTCTCAAAACAATAAGTAAATTGAGACAGTTAAAAATTATTACCAATCTTAAATATCATTATAATTAAATTTTATTTAAAATTATCGAATTAAAGCTTGCGATACTAATATCCGAATATTAGCAGGTTATAATCAGTAAATTGGTTATATTTTTTTTTATAAAAACTTCACTTGCCTCTTGTATGTCAAAATCTGTTCCAGCAACTACCATAATTTTCCCATTTACATATTTAATCTAACCAATTTAAAAACGCCTTTAGCCATCATTTCTTTTCGACTCACCACTGATTTTTTCATATACATGCCTAAATATATTTTTGCAAACTTTCCACTTTTTATTTGTTTCTGAGTAATTTAAGCCATAATATTAAATTAATAAACTCGTAAGCATGGGCAGCATACAAGACAAGCCAAATCATCAAGAAGTTGACAACCCTATCATGTCTAGAAGCCACTTCAATTTTCTTAACGTCATCGGACGTGGAGGTTTCGGCAGGGTTTGGAAAGTAGAGCTCAAAAAGGGTAAGAAAGTCTATGCAATGAAGGAGATGCTTAAATTGAGAGTGGTCAGTAAAAGAAGTGTTTCTTCTGTCATGAATGAGCGACGACTTCTCTCAATGATAAAACACCCCTTCATGGTAAATATGCAGTATGCATTTCAAGACAGAGACAACCTTTATCTTGCAATGGACCTCATGACAGGTGGAGACCTACGCTATCACTTGGGAAGAAATAAGAGGTTCAATGAAGAACAAACGAGGTTCTTCGTGGCGTGCATCATAACTGGGCTTGAATACCTCCATATAAATGGAATTATTCACAGGGATATCAAGCCTGAAAATTTAGTTTTCGACCATAAGGGGTATCTAAGGATAACTGACTTTGGGATTTCAAAAGTAATAACACCTGAGAATTATAGAGACACATCTGGGACACCAGGATACATGGCTCCTGAAGTTATGTGCAGACAAAACCATGGGATCGCTGCAGATTATTTTGCAGTTGGAGTCATAGCTTATGAATTCATGACTGGTAGGAGGCCTTACTTAGGAAGAAATAGAAAAGAAATCAAGGAACAAATTTTAGCTAAGCAGGTTCAGCTTAAAAAGTCAGATGTGCCTGCAGGATGGTCGATGGAAGCTGCAGATTTTATCAACAAATTATTACAAAGAAAATCACAAAACAGATTAGGCAATAACGGGCCTTCTGAAGTCAAGAACCACGCATGGCTGAGAGATTTTCAATGGAAAAAGCTTCTGGAAAAATCATTAGAAGCTCCATATGTGCCTCCGAAAGAAGATAATTTTGACTCAAGAGTGTGCAGCGATTTTAAGGATGAAATTGATCCATCCTTAGCACAAGAATCAATACAGGGACTCTTTGTGGGATACCAGTTTGATTCTAATATGCACAACAGCAAAGAAGATGAGGTAACTCTGCAAATTAAAAACTATGCAAAAGGCAACAAAAGATTGTCATCATAGATAATTCTGATATACATATATGTTAATAGTGTCTAAAGTAATTTTCACTTGTATATACATAAATCTTGTCTCTTAATTTTAAAGGGAAAAACTTAAGTTGTATATCTCTATGAAAATACATCATTTTTATTTATCAAAAGCGATAATGAGATCATAGAGCTGCTTTTAAAAATGATCGACTTCTTTATAGCCTAAGTATAATAAGTTTTTATGAAATTAAATTTCTAAATCTTTTTCAAGATATTTAGAAAAGAGTCTGAGACATTAAAATAAATAAGCTTAAAAGCATTAGATCATATAAACTATATATATTTATTACTGATGAAGATATATAAGCTTGTTTATCATACTTAAATAGAATTCTATCAAGCATTTTATTTGAAAACTCACAATAACAGATTTCCATTTTCTTGAAAAATGGATACAAGACTATTTAATCAAAATGTCAAAAACAAAATAATTTTCACCAATTCTATACAAAAAACTTGCATATTCTTTTATAGGTTGAATATATATGACTCAAATCTAAATGACTTCCTAAAGAATAATAAAAATAAAAAAATATTAATAAAATAACTTTATTTTATAATATTTATTATAAAAATACTTCAATTTCTAAAGTTTTTATTTGTTACTTTTCGCATTAGGAATTAAAATTGCTAAAATCAATAATTCTAAAAATTATGAAAGTTAATGAAATCTTTCATAAATGGGCTATAATTTTAATGGATGCGCTTTTTTTGCTTTGAAATAAGGTCAGCTTAAAGCAAGAGTCAATTTAAGCTTTATCCTAGTTTTTTGAGCTCAATGAAATAATTCAGATTGAAGACCTAATTTTCCTCAAATTTTAAAAGCGTTACTTTAAAACTACTTTAAAGATAGAGATTTACACATTTTTACCTTCCTAAGGAAGAAGCTCCTTCGAATTCATTTCAAGCAATTCATCTACTTTCTGCAAACAATTATTCTTATTATACTGAATCTTAGCTCAATTTTTATTCAAAAAATTTTGAGAAAAAAGAGCTAAGAATAAATACTGCATCAAATCCTCTGCTTTATTGATTAATAATTTGAATTTGATGAAAAACTTTGAAATTATATTGAATAACTAGAAGAGCCAAGTGTCGAATTGGGAATACATAATTCAAATTCTTTTGATTGTTGAGACTTGCTATGGGCAAAAATATAGATTTTTCATCAAAAGCAGCTTATTTATTTGTATTGAGCTTCTGCAAGTATAATTATCAATATATTTCGCAACACTTCTTATCACTACTTTCCAAAATTTTATTTCAATAAATTTAGGCTAAGTACGTAGCTAGCAGATTAAACGTTCAAATCAAAGCTTGGCCTAAATTCTTGCGCTCTAAATTCTTATTTCACCAGCAAAAATCCGTTTTCTCTACAAATTATTGAAATCTAGAAGACAATCGTTGAAGGCAGTACAGACACACAAATTGATTTACCAAAGAAACATCAATAGTTATCTATTAAGTTTAAATTGAAAAAAGATTTTGCTTAATAGCTGACAAGCAAAGGTCTACCAAACCGCCGTTTGATGGCTCTGTGTATGATTTGTTTTCTGATTGCCAGCAATAATATAATCCCCAGCAGAAAGATCAGCAGAATCTGAATGGCTATATATCAGCCAAACTCATCCTCCTCCTCAGCAAGTTCCTCTTCTGCTACACAAAAACGTTGCTGACAATTGATTGTACATTCTTGATTACCCTCTGCCTCATTGCACAACAACTCACAGTTTTCAGTACAACCAGCATCATATGAGAAAGCCTCAATTATTTGCCCTTTCTTTTGTTCGACAAGGAGGTCTTCACAGCCAGAATATATTGCACACTGATATTTGTCTTCGCCTTTTTGTGCAAGTTGTAAGCAGATTTCAAGAGAGGTGACGTCGCATCCGAGCTCGCGCTCAGCCCACAATTTTTCGTCTTGTTTAATTTTAGGTAAAGAATAAGAATTGCCTTTGGCAACAAATTCTTCTAAAGGTGGTGGCAGCGGGGACTCGCACTGGCATAATTCATAGCAACTTGAACCTTTATTTTGTTTTGTGCATTTATCTTGGCAAACTTGGTCACAAGCTTGGGTTGCGATTGCGATAGCAATAAAAACATATGTTCGCTTCATTAAGTTAATGTAAAATTATAATCCATTCTATGGAATGATTTTCAAATAGGATTATTATATTGAAAGATGTTTATTAAATTTATTCTTAACTATTTTTTATTTATAAGTTATAGCTTTCAATTTTTTGTGCCTATAGAGCATTAAATTTTTAATATTCAACATAAGATTTTGCTTGATTCATTAAACTGATCAGAAACGATCTTTATTATAGAATAAAACTTAAGAATTTTTTTTGCAATAGGGAAGAATCTATTCAGCCACTATTTAAATGAGAAATAGGGTTGAATAGTAAATTTATCTATAAGTTTGCTAAAAAATTATATTTAGCAAGGTTATTTAAATTTTTGTCGTTTCAGTACAGCTAATGCAATCGCAATTTAATTTTTTCTTTCAAAAAGTAAACATTTTTAAAATAAGAATGTGCTAGAAATCAGTTTAATTTATCTCAAATACAAAATTTTATATTCCTCCACTATCCGAATCTGAGAAAAACATAATATCCTTAAACCTTCAAACCACGATAACATCAAATTTTCTATTTTGGACTAATAAACAAAAGCAACAAAATCTTATTTCTATTATAAAATTTTGAATCAAAAGGAATTTTATATTAGTCTAGTTATAAATTCATAGCTAAAGAGTGCAACCTTCAGAATCAGAAAGTACTAAGAAAATGGTATCTATAATTGAAATCTTTTACTAGTTTCTGAAAAATCCTCATTATTTGAAATAAACTAATCAGCCCATCCTTCACTCTTTTATCTCATTTTTATCTAATTGTTTAATTAAAGAGAATTAAAATATGATTGTAGGAAATAGAAAAGATTTAATTCACTCTTTATCTCTTTCAAACATTTCAAATATCTCTCCTAATACTGTTAGACTGACTCCAGTGCTAAATCACCCTAATTCTGAATCAACAACTCGAGATGTGACAATTAGCCGAGGACGCACAATTAAAGCTGACTTACAAGGGATTTCATCAACTGAACGAATTTCACATAGAAACTCCAAAAGTCTGAATATAAAAGTGTCTCCTGATATAGCTGCAGAAGTTGTTAAAAAATATATTTTACCGATGTTTGAAGCTGACACTCGAAATCTCAAAGATACAAAAAGATCTCAAGCTTTTGGGATTCCAAAAACTGAAAGATCAAGAAACAACTCATTATCTGCTATAGATGGGACTGTTTATTCAGAATTAAAACTCAGTGATAAATTAAACCAAGAAATCAAGCTTTTGAGAGAAGAAGTTGAGAAGCAAGTTCAATGTGTAAAAAAAGTTGAACAAGAAAAAGAAATAATAAAGAATGAATTTGATAAAGTGAAGGATACACTATTTAGAGTTGAGGCAAATTATTTTGCATTGAATTTTGAGCATATTGAGTTGAATAAAGAACTTCAAGGAGCCCAGCAGCACTATAATATGCTTGAAGAGCAAATCCAGCAGTATCAAAAACATAATAGCGAACTTGATACTAAAGTTAGCGCGCTAGGAATTCAGCTGCATGATGAAATGGCAAAGAATGACAAATTAAAGAATATTGCATTGCAGCTTCATCATGGAAATTCTTTGCTTGTAATGCAGAGCGAAATTATGGGGGAAAGACTAAAAGGACTTTTTGAGTCTTTTGATCTTCTTACTAAGGCTTGAAGTGCGGAAGCTAAATTTCCCTCCCACTTTAAATTGGACAAACATCGATAAGATTTCTATTTTTTGGTTACTTTTTAACCCCCTTTTTAATTGAAACATTTTGCTTTCATAAGAAAATTTTATAGATGAAAATACTAATATAAAATTAGTTTAACCTAATTTAATTGGAAAAATCAATTAGAATATTAATGCTTTGCATTATCTTCTTATCTGATCTGGCAGGTGAAAAATTTCTCCAAACATGGAGAAAATTTTGACATGTACAATCTTATATGAAATACATAACATTTTAAAATTCAAAATATTGATACTTTTAATTTTTATAATAGAAAAAAAATTTAATTTAATTTTTTTAAAAAGATTAATCCCTCTTTAAATTGGAGCATGATTTTTGTCCCAATTTAAATGGGAAGGGACTAAGCTAACTGATGAATATGAGATTTTAAGCCAATGAGGCAAAGTATTGTCAAATGATTTTATTAATTTATATAGTGAATTGAAAAATGTGTCGTCAAGTAGGGATGAATTATTTAAAGACTCTGTTGAGCTCATTGAGCTAAAAAGCGAGCTTCAAGGTCAGCGTGACAAAATTTATAAAGCATTCAAAGACAGAGTTGCTAATCTTGAGAGTGAGCTCACAAAAGCTCAGCAAGAATTAGTGACAACAAAGCAAGAATGCTCTACTCTTGAAAAAAAATTCAATGATATATCAAATGAATACAATCGACTACGGCAAAGACTAAAGCAAGTCAAATTTCAATCAGAAATTGAAGAAAAGTTTTGCAAAAACTGCCAAAAGCCTTATATCGAGTCTGAAAACTATAATTGGTCTTGCAAAACTCATAAAAGTAAATTTAATGGAGATGTGTATTGGTGCTGCGGAAAAACAGGTAAAGATGCCCCAGGATGTGTTTCTTCTAAGCATACATCAAAAGATGACGATGAAATTGAAGTCACTAATGAGAATTTGAAAAACGCCAACAGATGATGCACGGTAAATTATATATAGAATTGCAAGCTGCTTGGCCATTCAACTCAAGAGTGCCCTAAAGACCCTAATGCTCGAACAAAATATGAGCCTAAAGACGAACTCGAAAGGATTTTAGAGGTTGCAAAAAACCGAAGAAAATCTCATTTATTTGAAAATGATATTCAAGAAAGAATGCTGAACTTGTTCCAAGAAAACAATATGAAAGTAGAAGAAACAGAGTATGAGCCTACAGAAGAATGGTCGGAAGACACTGAAGACAAAGGAAAGTCGTTTAAAGATTTGTTAAGGATTAAAAAAGAAGTTCCTTTTGATCCTTATATAAATAGAGTTGCGCTTGAAAGCAGTGCCCTCAATGAAGAAGCAAAGAGCTCTTATCTAATGACCAAGACAAACCAATCGTTTAAATCCAAAGAAACCAAAATATTTAGAATCAATTCATAGTGATTTGCTAAGGATCCCCCCCTCATTTGTTCAATTTTCTAGTCAAAATTTTCATAGAAAAAAAATTTTCAGGGACTTATTTGTCCCAAAATCTAGTCAAAAATGATTTGTCCCATTTTCTAGTCTTTTTTGGATTATTTCGAATGTCCTAAATTTCAGTTTTTTACCTTAAAAAAACTAGAAAATGATACAATTGAGGTCCTGAAAATATTTTTTTTTCTATGAAAATTTTGACTAGAAAATTGGACAAATGAGGTCCTAAAAAAATTTTTTTTTCCTAGAAAAATTGACAAATGACAAAAGACTAGAAAATTGGACAAATGAGGGGGGGATCCTTATTTTATATATGTTTAAGTTAAAGTTTATGATAACTCTGCAAGCCCCGTACTTCTTGGCTCAGCTTGGACCACGGTTCTGAATCACGGTAGGTAGGGTTGGCCTAACGGCCAAACTGTTTCTGTCCGCAAGCCTCTTATGGCCTCTCTGATCTACACCAGGCACAGTTCAGACCCATTCTTTGACCGAAACTCTTAAGGTATCATGAACTTATCTCACAAGCTCGGATATAGGACCTGAGCCCTACCCCTAACTGACATTTTTAATTTGGATTTTATATATAATTTAATCATTTGAAAAAATATAAAGATGGTTTCAGTAGAATCTGATATGCAACTAAACAGTGCTGACACGAACGAAGCTAAAGAGTCACTGCTAGACAATATACCCATCATCAATTCGGATGACTCAAGCCCTGAGCATGAAGACGAAGAATTCATTCTTCACTCTATTGAAAGTGAAGAAGAGAAAATAATAGAAAACTCGGAAATAATTGAGACTTCTCTTTTCAAAACGGACAACCTCGTTCTACTTGAGTCAGAAAGTCCTAAAAAAAGCAGAGAATCAAAAGAAGAAGCAAAAGAAATAGTTAAAAAATCAGAAATCAATGAACAAGGCATCCAGACTGAAATCGATACTGACAATATTCAAGACCTGTCAAGCATCCCAAATGGCTTGTTAATGAGCATAAGGGATATAGTTAAAGCCGAATTATTGGCAGGAAAAAGCATTATCCGCGAATCCAGCATCCAGGTTATACATGATGGAATCGAATGCGGAAATTGTAAAGTGGAGCCAGTTGTAGGGGTCCTCTATCATTGCATGGAATGCAATTATTTTTTATGTGAAACGTGTGAAGATAGGGTAGAGCACAGCCATCCGCTCATAAAAATTAAATCGTCGTTTAATAAGCTGCGAAAAAGATCTGACTCATCGTTAGTTATTGAGCCAGTGAAAAAGCCAATTATCCAGCTGCAGCAAGAAATTAAAAATGTACAATATCCTCCAATCCAAGCTGACTGCTCTGGGGCTATGTATAAAAGGCCTACTGGAAAAGAAATCCAGAAAATGGTGAATAAGCTGAAAGAATTTGGCTTTAATGACCCATTAAAGTGTATTTCTGCTCTTGTGAAGTCAAAATACGATATTCAAAGTTCTGTAGATATTCTTCTGAAAGGGAAGTAAAATTAACTTGATATTTATTAGATATTATGCATCTCAAAATTGCTAGATAAATAGAATTAAATGATCATTATGAAGAATAATTTTAACTAGCTATGGAAAGCAATAACCCAACTTGATATATCTAAGATTCAGCCAATCTTATAGAAGAAGAAATTGAGATATATTCTCTATTAATGAAATCCCTAAAACTTTGACCTTATAAATATAAAGCTAAAAGAAGTTTTTTTAATATAGCATATAAACAAATAAGGTTTTTGCAAGAATATTTCATAATTTTCTAAACAGCTGATGACTTCAGTATTGTAAAATGTGTATATTTTTGGAGGTGATCAATCAGGTTTGCAGATTTATTTTGAATTGAAAAGAGTTTAAGTAATGGAAAAATTAATAGTAACGAAAAAAAGGCTTATCACCGCTTCGAAAAAAATTACTCAAGAGTTTGTCTTAATAATTAAATTATTTAAAACAGTATTTGAATCTTTTTAATATTAATTATCAAGTAAAATCTGTGCTGATTCTGAGACCTTTGCATTAAAATAAAGCTGCGAAGATAAAACTAAACTTCCAAACATTGTCAATAAATTAAAAACCAAGGCAAAGGGCACTTTAAAAAATTCATCAATTAAATCGTTAAATAGGCATGCATGAAGAAATCCTGCAATAAGAGCAAAGTAAATTCTCCAATATTTTGGATATGAGCCTTTTGAAGCAGTGGCTAATAGATTTCAAATAAGAAAAATTGAATCATACATAATTTGATAAAAAGTTCTCTCTACATTTGATATGTTAAATTTTGAGACTGCTTTTAGTGTTTCATTTGAAAACCCTTTAGCATTCTCGAATAGCAGCAGAGATATTTGAGATTTACAAGCCGGACATTCTAATATTCTTCCTTGGCTATAATTATCAAAAATGCACTCTCCTTAATTACTCTTACCACAAAATTTATGTCCACAAGAAGTAGTGATTAAGTTTTCGACTCCTCCTTCGCATACAAGACAATTTTTCCTTTCAAAGTTCTCGATTTTTCTTTTTAAAAGGACTCATATCCCAAGAGCAAATAAAATCCCTTCCCATACTCCCAAATTACAAAAATTCATTTATATAATTTATTTTTCATCATCATTTTTTCAAATCTCCAAAGATATTATCAATAAGCAGCTCTTTTTATGTTTCAAGCTATAAAGATATAAGGTATTTTCTAATAATAATATGTTGACCACAATTAAGAGAAGGTTTGGAATACTCAGCAATTTCTTCGGCATATTAAACCCTTCAACCACAGGAGTGATTATTGGAGGCTATCCACCTGGCCGTGAAATCCCAGACCACCAGCCAATAACTCGAACTGATACTGCTCCAAAATTGCAATCAACTACTCTTCCTAATGGTGTTCGAATTGTTACAGAAAGCACAAGATTCCCAGGAAATGTGAGGTTTGGCGTAACTATTGATGCAGGCACTCGTGACGAGACTGCTGAAACCTCAGGAGTAGTTAATGCTTTAAGACAGACTTTCTTAAAGACCAATGTCAGGACCAATGAACAAATCAACTACTGTATGATACAAAGCTCTGGAGGAGCATTCTCTATGGAGTTCAATCAAGAGTTTATGAACTATCAAGGCCACTGTTTAGCTCACGATTTCTATGATATGAACCAAATGCTTGCTGATTGTGTTCTTGACGAAAAAACTCTTATTGATGAAGAAGCAGCTCAGTGGAGAACAGATGAAAAATTCAGGCTTGATGAATATAACTTAACCCTACCAAAGAAAATCGAAAATGTCTGGCTCAGCACTGCCTATGGGTATAAAGGATTTGGAAACCCTCTTATGGGACACCAAGCCCACTTCCAAAGCATTGGGTTTTTCATGCTGAATAATTGGAGAAAGGCAACAATCACACCTGACAGAATTGTAGTGTGGGGAGCAGGAATTGATAAGCACGAAGAATTTGTGAACACAGTTACAGACTATTATCGATTTATTGACCCTATCAAAGCTCCTAAAAGAGAACCTTCAGTTTACTTAGGAGGAGAGTTCCGTGAAATCTGTGATTCACCTTTAACTCATGTAAGTTTATCTTTCAAAGGATTTTCGAGATCACAGCCTGAGCGTCATGCTGCTTGTGTTCTTAAATATTTAATTGGCCAAAGCAACACTGGGCTATTTAATAGAGCTCACACCAATTTCCATCAAAAAAATCCTTGGCTTGTTTATGTTGATCCTCACCATGAAACTTTCCAAGACAGTGGCAATTTTAGAATCAACGTAGCAGCACCAAATGAAAAAGCAGCAGAGCTCAGTGAAGCTCTTGTCAAAGAGCTCCGTGACCTGCAAAATGTGACTGATGAAGAAGTAGTAAGAGCCAAACAAAAGCTTAAGAGGGCAACTTACAACAAATACCAAGACCCTGATGCCAGAATGATTAAACTCACCAGAGAGTTTGCACAAACAGGAGAACTTAAAGGATATGAAGATTTCGAAAAAAATATTGAGAGTGTCACAACTGACCAAGTTAGGAAAGCAGCTGCAGCAATGCTTAAGTCATACCCAACTGTAGTAGTTTTAGGTGGAAACCCTCATGGTATCCTTAGCGCTCAATCCTTCCAGGAAAAACTTAGATAAGATTATTATCTAGATAAACTCTAATAGGATTCATTATTAGAAACTTGAAGGATAAATATAAGTTGTATTAATAAAATGGTTGATAAATATCTTGTAGACAATAACAGATCAGCTCTGCGCAGCTTATTTTCTCACTACATTAATTAATTATTTAAAAGTTTATCGTCTCTATTCCATATCGCCAGTCAAGGGTCTTGTATCTAGGGCCCGCAAGTTTCTTACCCAACCTGGTTTTGCCAGGAAAACTCCTTCACCAATCTCAATATCACCTCCGATGTTCAGATCCTTAGACAGCTGCCCTTTCTGCTCGGTCTAACCAACTTGAGTCCGATCGGCACTCTTAAGGTCCCAGTCTCGCCGCCTGAGATTGGTAGCATCCTTCCAAAAATTAAATTCCTAAGGACAGTAATCCTCTGCTAGAAAAAATAGGTTCTTAATTCTCTGCCTTAGCTAGACTAAATTCGCTTGGGAGCTAAACCTAATAATTACACAATGTGTTAAAAGAAGAATTTTCGGTTGAGAGATCAGGAAATTTGAGAGACCGTTTTTTAATATTATTTTCTCATTACACATCTCCTCCTGCAGCGCAATCTCTGTCATATAATGATTTGGTCAATCTTTGTACAGCTATAAAAATTATACCAGATTTAATGAGTTCATATGACTTGAAACGAGTGGTAATGAAAACGATGAGTGCCAATTTGAATCCTGATATCAAACTTCAAATTTCTTATTTAAATTTTGAAAAAATTTTGAAAGGGATTGCTTTGGCGGCATTTAAGTGCAATTCTGAAGATGAGAGTTTTTATTTATTGATTAATCATATTGAAAAGCCATGCAAAATACTGTATAACATTGAATTTTCTTATACTAGCTCTAATATTGCAAGAAATCATGAAAATTCAAAATCATTTGTCTGTTTATATCAAAAGCAAGAAATTGCGACTTCGTTTGTAAGTCCAGTTTTTAATAATAGCGCACAAATGAATGATATGAAATCGCCACATAGCATTACACTTACTCCATCATTACAATAAAAATTATTGTACTATTTAAGAATAAATTCAATTATAGAAAATAATAATGCTTAAATAATAAATTATTTATCAAGATAAATGGGTTAGAAGAAATCCTAAATCATTTACGAGAGAATCACTAAAAAAAATCCAAAGAAACCTAACTTCCAATTTCACGAATATTAAAACAGAAGCAAACTCTCCAAGACATGCCAAAAGCAGAAGCAAAATTCATTTACGAGAAATGTATTTGCCTCAGACCCCTTCTTACAAATCACATAGAACAATGAGCAATAACAGATCATCACTTGAAAAAAATGATCCAGACTATTTGACCCCTCCTATAAACGTTACAATCCCTAGCAAATCTGAGCTAATTAAGATTGAAAAACTAAAGTGCCTCTTAAACAAATTCAAGCGTGAACAGAAACTTTCAAAATCAACTCGTAAAAATTCAATGAAACAAAAAACTTGCAACTTTGTTACAAAACTGCAAGCACGAAGATTTAAAGCTGTAATTTATATGTAGAGATTTGTCATTAAATTATCGTTTGAAGTATGGAAGTACTTTAATTAATTTAAAATTTATCTTCTTCTCGTTTAGTATGTATGTGCTCTGCTTGAGGGTTCCCCATTCGCCATAGTTTCGTGCACCACCTGGCTTCACCTCTAAATAGTCCCTAAGCTTCAGGCCTTCGGTTTCCAACAGCCTCCCTTCATGCTTGGTCTAGAAAACAAACTTAGATCCGTCAGGCACCTAATGGCCTCAGTCTCCACCGCCTGTTGTTGGTATATCTTTCCAGAAAATTCGATTTCTCTAAGGGACAGGAGTCCTAGGCTGCGCATCGCATGCGCTTGAAGCTCTGTCATATCTGGAATAAATTCGCTTGGAAAGCCAAACCTCACAATCATAAAATGCAAAAAAAGAATTTTCGGAAGGGAGATCGGAAAATTCGAGTAGCGTTATTTTATGAATTATAGAAGTGCAAAACCTTAAAAATTGTAAAATAATGTTTTAGCTTATTTTCTTCTCTTTTTCTTCATTTCTTTTTCAATTTCTTCCAATTTTTGTTTCAAATTTTTATCCCTTTGCTCGACCTGCTTTATCATATTTTCTTTAGCTTCATTTATTTTTTCAAGCAGCTTGACTCTTACAGATTCATCAAGTGAATTTAAAAGCTTGTCTTTCAAGCTTTCTTTGGTTTCTTTATTTTCTTCAGCACCTTCAGGAATTTCTTCTGATTTCTCAGGCGGTTTGATTACTCTTAATACTCCTTCACTATGCGCTGGCTTTGGTAAAGGAAGGTCTATATCTGGCTGAATCACAATGTTTTTTTGATCTCTTTTGATAGTAAATAAAAATTTTAGCATGTTATAGTGTGCGAAATAAGTTAAATCGAGATAATCTAATATTTTCTGTAGCTCTAATAAGTTAAAAACTGGACTGTATCCTGAGCAGTGAGGGACTAAGCTATTTCTTAAATAATCTCTGTCTTTTTCAATGTTAAAATCTGAAGATATTGCTGGCCTTTTTATGATATCAAATACAATATGCATCAAAACTGAGATCTGAGAATCAGTAAGTGTCATTTGTTTCTTTCCAAACACATAAGTATGAAGTAACAGCTCAGAAATAATTGCTCGAGGCTTTGAATCTTCTTCATGCATAGCTAAATCAAGACTTTTGAATGCTTCTGCTACAAGCGGACCTATTATCTTGATGGGCTCAGGGTCATCCCACAGCTTTGCAACTAGCATTTCTGGGAAATTTGAAACAAAAGGTATGATTTCTTCTTCAGACATAATTTATCCAATTTCTCAATTAAAATTTTAGTTATTGAGGGTTAGCCTGTGGAACATTCCACATGAAAATAGCTCCTTCAGCGCCAACAGTGACAATGTTTCTTTGGTCTGGACTAAAGGCTATTTTATTAATGCTTCCAGAGTGTCCAATTCCTTCATATAAAATGACACCTTCATCATAGCTCCAGAGCTTGACTCTCTGGTCTTCTCCACCAGACACGAAATAGTCGCCTTCTCTTGTAATCGCCAAGGCATTGACTTCTCCTTCTTCTGAGCCATCCAGCATTCTGATTGACTGCCCGTCAAAAGTATCCCAATATGTGATTTTTCTATCAGAGCCTGTAGTTAGCAATTGGCTTTCGTCAGGATTATAGAGGACTTGCTTAAACATGGTGCTTTCGAACAAACAAATGACTCTTGTAAATGATCTTAAGTCCCACACAATGCAAGAACCGTCAGAGCTGGCAGTTACAGCGAGGTCGTTATTTTTGTTGATTTGGATTGCCCAAACTCTTCCTCTATGCTCTTTCATTGAAGATTCCATAGTTTGAGTCTGCTTCCCAATTTTCCAAATTCTGACTTCTCCTTCAATCCCACCTGACAGAATTCTGGTTGAGTTATTTGCGGAAATGATTGCAGTAACTCCATGCCTATGGGCGTCGTTGATAACATACATTAATCTTCCAGATTGAGGCAAAAATGCTCTTATTTTCCCATCATTCCACCCACTAACTATGCTTTTCCCGTCTGGGGTAAAGCCTATGCAGTTGCATTCTAAGTTTTGGACTTGGATTCTTAGGAGCTCTTGACGGTTTCTTGCATTTCAAACGCGAATGTCGTTGATTGAGCAGGTTGCAAAAACTTCTGAATAGTTTAATGGGAAGGCAACGTCGTTGATTCTTTCATAATGGCATGTGTTTCTCAGCTCTGCTTTCAGTTCATCAGAGTCGACGAAATAGATATTTGATTGGGAAGTCCGAGAAACATGCTGTATGCCATTTAATGTATTGAAAAAGAATCGCATTTCTTCCAGGAAATTTGTTCGAAAAATTTTTATATTGAGACATTTGTTAAAATAAAACCGTTAAATTTCGATTAAACATCTTGCAAGGTAAAGAATTACGATATATCCCAGGGAAACGCACAGTTTAAAAAGTTACTATCAAAAAAGCATGAACCACGAGAAACATGTGGGTTGCGTCTGATGTCAAACTTATCGAAGTAGGGCCTCCTAGCACTTCTGCTTGGACTTTGACTTGCAGATTTTGGAATTAAAATATGGCGTCTTCGTCTGGGTATGGCCTCCCGGCCATACATACTCGACTCATATTTTAAATTATATCAGGCAAGGTTTTGCCATTCCAGAAATGGGCAACAATGCCATGGTAAGCAATTCTGCAGAGCAGAGCCTGGCCCATGCTCAATGACTAGAATGGTTTTTCTCCTCGAGAGGAAAGGGTGTCCAAGTTTGGAAAGGGTAAGCCCAGCAAGGTCTACAGGCAATGCCTAGACCATTCGGGAACTACCTAGCGTGAAACTGGGCGTTACGTCCCAGGACTTGGAATTTCCCTTCTTGCCGAAAGGTGACCAGAAATTCCATTTTTTGGAATTTCGGAAAGCCAACTCCCGTAACTCAAGCAGCTGCCGCAGGATTCCATAACTCGCCCACTCAAGACTTAAGCCGCAGACGCTGTGGGAAGGAGTAGACGTGTTTTCCCTTTGGCGATCCTTTATGGCTCGTTGGGAGTGCGTCACAAAGCAGGTGAACCCCACATCGAGGTCCTTGGTGTCTGCGTTAGCAACGCGGCAGTTGCCTCATTAATGTAATTTAAGATTAAGACTTGCAGATTTTGGCTGCCAAGCTTTGCTAATGTTCCATCTCCTGCACCAACTAATAAATCCCCATTAGGCAGTAATGCCATACATTGCACTCCCTGAGAGAAAAGCTTTCTAGCAGGTCCAGCCCTTCTGTATAAAGCAGTTTCTAGATTAAGCTCTAAAATGTCTCCAGTGCGGGTTCCTACATAAGCAAACCTGTCACTCGGATGAATGACGACATTGAGGATTTGCCTTTTGATGTTTCCTAAGTTTACAGCTTGGAAATTCAATTTTTTGCTGACATAGTCTGCGTCCCAAATTTTGACAAGCAAATTATGCACTGTAATGAGTTTTGAGTCTGAACTATTATAAAACTTCACTTCAAATCCTTGCTCATGGCCAACTGTGCTCCCACATAAGCCTTTGCCGGTCGCTACATCCCAAATCACAAGCATATTATCGTCTTGGCCGCCAAGCGAGGCTAAATAGAGTTCATTTGGCGAGAAATGAAGGGACTGGATGAGAACTTTGTGGAGTTTGATGACTTGAAGTGGCTGCTTGGTATTGAAATCCCATATTATTGCTTGAGCCTGAAATCCCATGTGAGTTTGCTGTCCACTCGCTATAAGATTGCCTGATCTAGAAATGGTGATGCACGATACTCGCTGATCATGGCCGCGAAGGAAAGTTTGAACTCGAGAAACAATATGTCGAACAACAATTGTTGAGCCTAAGGGATAGATAATATGCTCATTGTCGGGGTGAAGAATAAGTCCTTGAATCACGTTCCCTGAAAATCCAATAACTGCTGAAAGTTCGAGCTCCATATTATAAATTATTTCTAAACTAGAGGGATTATTTAGATAATTCCTGGGATGAAAGCGTACTTGACGATTTCAAGGTACTTGTCCCAGTCTTTCTTGTATTTTCTTCTGCATCTTACGATGTCTCTGCTATATCTGTGGATGATCATTCCGAAGAAAAAGAAAGGATAAAAGTAAGGAAGAATGCCTCGAAAACCGCAACTTAGACCCCACACGAATGCCATGACTATGTCAGCTGTATAGTGGATTTTTCTTGCATATTTCCACCAGCCATCAATTAAAAGCTTGTCTCCAGCTTCTGTGTCTAAGTATTTTGGATTTTCTAGAGTTCCCCAAGGCAATTGTGGGAAAGTGTTTCTAGGAGTATAAGTGCCCCTTAACTTCATTCTAAATCTATTCTTTTGGGCTTGTGCAGTGTCCCAAATATAATAAGCTCCTAATAATGCAACACAAAAAATAAGAAGCAAAGGAGCTGGGACATGTGGATTATTTTTTAGTATATAAAGCGATTGGAAACAATAAACGTAAGGAACTCCCGCGATGTTCCAATAGATCAGCATCCACCCCCATTTTTCATAAAAAATATCCCAAGTAGTGACTACACACTCTTCTCCTTTCATGCATGCATTAGAATATAAAAAGTGAGCTAACAAAATAAGGAGCATTGATCCTGAAACTCCTCCTGTTAATTCATAGTGTTTTACTGCAGCTGATAAAGTAATAATAAAAAGCTGCATCCACGAGATCCTGATTTCTGCCCACAGCTTTAAGTCGAAGTTTCCAATTCTTGGATTGAGCCATGCTCCCATAAAGAAATCATAAAAATGGTTCCCTGACATCCTTATTTGTTTTCCCTTCAAAATAGCAGTCATGTGGATAATGATTGCTAAAATGTTTGAGAATATCATTGACGTTACCATCAAGGGGCCATGAAGTTCTACAATCCTTGACAAAGGAAAAAGTCCAGTGATGTTTAGAATGGCTAAAAGTGCGAGAGTTGTATACCAGCTTGAATAGGCATTGCAATAGTATGTGTGCTGGATGTTATTTTCAGAGGGAACTGGGAGACCTTTGACGACAGGCCCTGGCATGTAGATAGCAAATAGCGTTTCAATAATGAGGAATACAGAGAGAATTGTTATTGATTCACAAGTGGGTAAGCCATGGCTTATAATCTTTCCAACATGAGTGGTGAAGAAACTAAGATTAAGATTAAAGTATCAGCCATAAGGGAGTTAATCTCCTTGGATTAGCTCCAAAAAAAGTCTTCAAATATCTTAGAGTTCAAATAAGGAAATGGAAGCCTTTTTGGATTTCCTAGGACTCTGGGAGGTACCCTAACTCTTCCAATAAGGAAGAGCGGTAGGTAATCTTTTAGCGAACGCAAGAGATAGAAACAAAATTTCCCTCTGCATCAGGCACCCCCGAATCTAAAGGCCTACTGAAAAGCAGCAAAGATGCCCATATTCAGTACGATGGAAGGGTTTACCTACCCTATAGAGAGTGCACTTTGGGATCCTTCATCTGGCAACGTTACCATTTTATTTACTTTAAAGAAACTAGGAATTTCTTGAAAAGATGATGGATAAAAAAAGCCGCCGTCATAAAATTCTAGACTGAGCCAAAAATATAGCATTATATAATGCGACCATAAGAAGAGGACAAAAGTCCCAACAGGTCCTCCAAACTCTTTGACTTGGCTTTTATCAGTATCCACAATTTTATTTTGCATAAAATTTTATTATTATTATGTTTTAATTTTTCCCATGTCCATTTCTAGTTGGCGATTGGTCATGTCTTTAAACGTCTTTTGAATTTTGAGGTCTTTTCCCCTAATAGTAACCTTTCCTTGCTTTAAAGCTTTTTCTGCTTGTTGATATGTCTCAAATTCAGCAAATGCATATCCTAAAGTCACGCCGCCAGAAGAAGTGGGGTATGTCATTTTTATCAATTTCCCAAACTGTTCTAAGCTTTGTTCTAATTCTTTGGACAATATATATGATTGAATGACATCGTTTATAAAAATAGTTCTCTTTGTTTTGTCTATTTTAAAGTTTCTTCATTGATCCTTAACCTTTTCATCACATGTTAAGTTTACTTTTAGGCGCCTTCCATTTAATTCTTTATCGTTTAATGAAAGACAATAAAGAGCTTCAGTCTCTTTTGAAAATTGGACGAAGCATGCACCCATCATTCTCCCTTTGTCATCTTTATGCATTATGATCCTGGTGATTTGACCATAGCCTTTCAATAAATTTTGAACTTCAGCTTCTGTTGTGTTTCAGTCGAGATTTCCTATGAATATTTCTCTTGATTTGGGTTCAAGTTTTCGTGGATCATCTGTATCAAATTTAAAGGAATCGATATCCAGAATTGGCCCTGCCTTAGAAGATCTGCTAGAAATAATGTCTTTAAGTGATCTTGTGCTAATGGAAAGATATCTGAAGTTAGAGGCCTTAAATAGAGACCGTCTAAAGCATTTAATAAACATCGGAAAGATTATTTTGATTATTTACCATATTAATTTTTAATGTTAACTCTCCCTCTCCGTGAACAAAACAATTGGAAAAATCTCTATTTTTTGGTAGAATCCACCCTCCGCGAACAAAAAATTTTGATATATAAAGTGATAATTAGTATAATAAATTTATATTTATATCTGTTTTATTTTAAGCATCTTGCATTTAAAAAAAAATTAAATTAATATTTGCTTCCCGATTTTTTGCAAATTTTTTTAATTTTGGTAAAAAAAATATAATTTATAAAAACTACATATAAATTTTTAACCCCCTCTTGTAAGCGAACAAAATTTTTTGTTCGCTCACTGAGGGGGAAGTAAGAGTTATTTCGAAAAGTCCATTTTCTTCATGGAAAGTCATTGCCTATAGGCTATGAGCTTTTAAGCTAAATCTATTATATTTTGGCCTTTTCTTACTGAGCAGCTATTTAGAGATTTTCTGTCAGAAACCAAATTTACTGTGGCTAGAGTAGACATATAATTTTCATAACAAAAAAAAAACAATAAAGCCTACAATTAATTTTATAATAATTAAATATTTCAGAGCGTCTACTATATTCTAATAAGTATTTATTCATCATAATTATTTTCCTCTTTCAATTCTGCTAATTTAATTCTCAATTTTCTTCCCCCATACATTGGATTTTTTATTCCAAGAGCAATTTTAGCACTTTGAGGCCTTGCAAACTCAACAAATCCATAATGCAAGTATTTCCCATCCTCATCTTTTGGAAAAGTCACCTTAACTATTTTCCCACATTTTGAAAAAAGCTCCCTGAATGAATTTTCATCTCTTAATTTATATGGCAAGTTGCTGACATATATAGTGGAACTTGTCCTACTTATTATCATTGCTTTATGCTTTTCTAGAGCTTCTTTATCGCTTGCCATATTAACTTGAAGAGTTCTCTCCATATGCACTTTTCCATTCAATTCTAAAGAAGCCAAAGCCTTCTTTTCATCTTTGTATTTGACAAAGGCTGCACCTTTTGAGTATCCAGTTTCGTTGTCTTTAAGAAAAGAAATTCAAATTGGCTTGCCATAGGGCAAAAACAGAGACTCTACATGCTCTTCTTTCGCATCCCATGAAAGGTTTCCTACAAAAACTGAAAAATATTTATCTTTTTTAGCAGGCTTATCTTCTTTGCCATCTTTTACATTTTTATTTGCTTCAGATTGGATTTCTTTAGATTCCTCCTTCATTTCAGAATTTTCTTTAGCTGATTTTTTATCTAACTCGAATTTATTATTGTTTTTTCTTTCAAATCTTCTATCTCTTTTTGAAAAGCTTTGGAAAGCGTTATCTTGTAAGGATTTAATGCTAGTTGAAGCATATCTAAAGCCAGAATACCTAAATAAAGTTCGCCTAAGAGATTTAATAAATATTGGCAAACTCATTTTTGATTATTTACCATAATAAATTTATCTTAAAGGTCTTTTAAATTTCACTTTTTGTTTTGTTTATTTCATGTTTAATTTATTATTTTATTAATCAATATCAACAGGCTGCCTATCTTTCTCGGCTTGCTTTATAACCCAATCGCAAAAGTTAGGGTCTACTTCTCCTATTTTAGTGATAATCTCATCTCTGCACTTTCTAACTGGCTGGTAAATATTGAAAACTTCAAGAAGAATCATATTTTTCGTATCATTATGAAGCACTTTTAAGGCTTCTTCCATTTCTACTCTTCTTTTTGATTTTTCGGCTCCAAATGCTTCGAAATCAGCTTCTGCTTCATAAATATCTTTAGAGTAGAATTCAGTGCATTCTTCTTTTTTTTCTTGTTTTCTTTTAACGTTTGTATTGTCTTCTAGCATTATAGGGGCTTATCTAATTATTTTTATTTATAATTTTGTAATTTAATTATTTGAATTTAATTTAATTAATTTTTCTACAATTAGCATAATATATTAAACCTAGCAATTATTTATATTAGAAATTGGATTATCATTAAAATGCACATAATAAAGCAGGTATTGGAATTTTATTCCAAAAATTAGTCTGAAAGTTCATACTCATATTCGATGCTTTTATCTGACGCTTCTTCTTCGCTGCTTTCGCCTCCATAGCTTTCATCTTCCTCTTCAGGATAATCATGATAAGGATGATTTTCTCGATTAGAATCCTCACTATCAGACTCTTCACTAAACTGTGGGCTTTCTCCATCAGAATTCAAATACAATATTCCTTCTTGATAGCTTCTATTTTCAGTTCCGACTTCTTCTATTTTATATCAATCATACTCATAATCTTCATATATCTCATCTGGATTTGGATTTAAGAGTTTCATTGCTTTGCCATTGCAGTAAACAACTCCATCCATCATTTCTCCTTCAATAGTTTTATCAATCCTGAAATTAATAGCTTTTTGAAGTCTTTCAAGCTTAGCTCGTTCTCTATGATTGGCAATATAGTTTGTTTTTATGTTTTCTAAAACAGTCCCAGCTTGATTAGGCTTAAGGAAATTTTCAGCTCTCTTCTCAAAAGAATCCTTCTGGAGTTTAAAGACTAGTCTGGTGGGATTTAACGAGAGATTAGACAACATTTCATCGACTGATTCCGATTTTATTTTTTTGGACTCTATTTCAATTATATCTGCTGGTTTCTCATCTCGCTTTCTTTTTACGCGCAAAATGATATCTGACATTTTTCGATTAAAATTAAGCGGCAAACTAGAAAGCTTATAATTAAATGCCTCATTTTCCAAACGAGATAGAATATTCAGAAAAATACAATGACGACGTGTATGAATATAGGCACGTTCATCTCCCAAAACAAACCTTCAAGAAAATGCCGAGAGGAAGACTTTTGACTGAGAGCGAGTGGAGAGCTTTAGGGGTTCAGCAAAGCAGAGGTTGGGTTCACTATGAAATTCATAGGCCAGAGCCCCATGTTCTTTTGTTTAGAAGACCTAAAGGGACTGATCCATTGACTGGATTGGCGCCAACAGCACATCAATCTCAAGCATTTATCAAGAATAATAATTAATACTTTAAAAAATATATAAATATGCAAGAAGAGTTAAATGAAATAAAATCGTCTCTCAATGCCTGGTCCATTACTCTTAACTTAGCAATAACTACCAATACAAAAGAAGATGTTGAAAAGCTTATTATTGAAGCAAAAAAGATAGAATGCGCATGCGACTTACTTATAAGCAAGCTTCAGGAGACTTTGGAATCCCTACCATCTCAATCAGGCCTATAACTTCAGATTTATAGTTTCAATATACTAGCTAATGGTTTTCTTGCCAAATTATAAAGATTTAGCTATAATTAGTAATCTATCAAATATTTCTTATTTATTCCAATGATTATTGCTTTTTGGGAATTTTTTGAGCCAAATCTATAGCTTGATCGATGGTTTTTGCTTGCTTTGAGATTCTTTGAGCATCTATAGGAGTTAGGCCAAATGATACCAAATAACTTTTAATTTCTTCTCTGCTTGGAGCATTGCCCATTGAGGGACTACTGCTATATAGTTGGTGTTGCTGTGAGTTATAACTTTGAGGACTAACAAATTGTTGGGTTCTAGCTTGAGAAAGATTTTGATATGGAGGATCCTGGTAAGATGGGCTGCTATTGACAGGGTAATCAGGTATTTCTATTGAAATTGGAATGTCAACATTTCTTTTTCGAAGCTCAGTCATAATTCCGATTGCTTGCTCAACTTGCCCATTGTTTAGCGCATCCTCAAGTTGATATCTGAATGATTCTAATTCTTTATTCATTTGATCAATGTTCATTTTATAGAAATGCTTGAAAATCAATTATTTGTTTTATTGAGTTTCAATAAAGTAAAATAGAGCCCATGCTATTTGAATTTATGAATATATATATTTAAATCATAGCTTGAGATTTTATAAAAAAAAACTCTTTCCAAAGGTATCTCTAATTTCTTGCCCAAAAATTTATAATTTTGATACAAGTAGCCTAAAAACGATTTTCATAATCGAAAATAGAATAAATATGAAGCTTTTTGCTAATCCATTAAGACTTTCAAAAAGACTTCTTATGTCTGTGCAGCCTTTTAGACTTTATTCTGCTCTTTACGGAATGACAATACAGTCAAGATTAATCTTAAGACCATTTGGGTATGTTGATAGGCAAGATGGAAGCAGCTCAGGATTAGTTAAGAAAAGAAATAATACTGATGAACTTTATGTTGGCAACTTTAATTTTGACACAACAGAGGATCAAATAAAGGAGCACTTCGAAAAATTTGGGAAAATTAAATCGATATCTATTCCAAAAGATGAAGATGGTAGGTCAAAAGGCAAAGCTTGGATTACTTATGAATCTCCCAAGAACAATACTTTGGCTCTTGAAGAAGATGGACGCATTTTCAATGGCAGGGCTCTCAAAGTTAACTTAAGCTGAAATAAGACTGGAGAAAGCAAGCGTCCAAAAGATATCATAGATAAATCCACAATTTACATAAGGCATCTTCCAGTGACCATAAAGCAAACGAACCTCAGATATTTGTTTGAAAAATTTGGTAAAATCGAGAAAATCGCTGTCAAAGACGAATCTAATCCTTTAATTAAGCCAGGAACTGCCTTCATCGAATTCAGCAAACCAGAAGTTGCTGAAAAAGCAGCAGCAGCCATGGATGGAAAGGAAGTAGGAAAAAAAACTATTTCGGTTTCTATTAAAAGCCATATATACGTTAAAATGGTGATACGAGGTTTCAGCCCATACAAAAGAAAAACTCTCTTTTTCTTGCGATTGCCTGAGGAAAGCTGGCTATTAGAATCTCACTGACTCTAATATGCTAGATCATCAAAAATAAGCCTTCCGAGGAAGTTTCCCATTTGCAATTTTGGCTCCAAGTCATATGATACATACTTTTGGTAGTGCGGCATTTTCTTGAGAAAGGAAATGGAGATCCTCCTGCACCTGCTTCTTTTAGCTTGCGTTTACAAAGCGGATAAAACGCTCATATTCGATATAGTTTAGGAGCCTTAGTTAATTTTAATTGATGATACTCTTGATTTTTAGCGATTTCGCCATTTTTTTGCTATGCCAGATAAGATCTGACAATATACAAAACAAATTTCCCGAAAATTTCAAAGCTAATTAGGCAATCAGAAATTTTAATTGCTTGAGAAATGAGAAATTGACACTATGGAAATCCATTAGACAGGATAGATATAAGTTTTGGGCATTACATTGCCAATGCAGCTAGCGTCTTTTATTAATGGAATAGCCTAATATCTATTAAATCTGACCCTTCTGAAATAGCCAAATACGGTGAAGATACAATTCACGTAGGGAATTTACCAAGCACTATAACTGAAGAAGAACTCAGATCAATCTTTTCAATATTTGGAGAAATAACAAAAATTGATGTTAAAAATTTATCTTCAGGATTTGCTTTTATTAAGTTTACAGATGCTGATGCTGCAAAACGAGCATTAAAAATTGACCAGCGCCAATTAAGAGGCTTCCCAATAGATGTTAGCCGCTTTGGTGATACTCATGCTCAAATGAATTCAATACGAAAAGTGAGTAGAAGAAATATGTGCTCTATTTTAATACCAAATCTTACTAAATCATTCAAATTAGAAGATCTGAAAGAGTTCTTCTCTCAATTCGGCCAAGTTGTAAGTGTCGCTATTCCACAAGAAAGAGAAAAAGATTTTGGCTTTGTGCAGTTTGATGATATTGAAGTTGCTCAAAATTTGATAAAAAAGGGGAGTGTTTTATATGATGGATATGAACTTCTGATCGAAAAACCGAACAAATTGAAAGAAGAAAGTAGTAAAAAATATTAATTACTATGAATAGATAATATCATATTGTTATAAATAGTTCAGTTCTTTGGGCTGTGAAGATCCCCATTTGGTAAAATCAAATGCTGGCTTGGTTAAACGAAAGCACGATTTGGTCTTGCTGATTGTGAATTTAACAGCTCAAAGATTTCGGGTTATCAAAGGTTGTTGCCTATAGTACTTAGCTAGTTTTTTACATTTTACCAAAGCTGTTTATAAAATTAGCATTTCAAGAAAAAATGGATTTGATGAAAATATTTTTTTGTTATTCTCAAACCAATTTAGTGATTATAGGTATAAATAGAATTTATTCAATATTAATAAATTTCTAAGTCTTACATAAAGGATACCAATTAATGAGACATATTGAATATTATTGATCAAAGTGTTTAGCAAAATCCAGTTTTAATCCAAAACATTTAAAAAGAATGATAGCAGTAATTAAATTTCTAATCAAACTATTTTTTTTATACAAATTGTATATTTAATATAGAAGAATGAAATGGGACGAGCAAAGCTTTAATAAATGCATCCAAAAATTAAAAAATATGCACTCACTACCGAATTTATTTATTCCTGCAAATTTTGAACTTCCAACGCTCAAATTAAAAAAAGCTGAAGTGCCAAGTGATGAAAGATATAGTGTAGCTGAAATTGAAAGTCAAATTCTTTTAGGGAAAATGACAGAAAGAGCAAATAAAGCAACTGTAAAAAGGCATAATAAATCAAAAGAAATAAAAAGCCTAAATAAAGAGGCTAGAAGAAAAGAGATGATGCAAATAACTGCAGATAATTTTGAACTATGAAAAAGATTGCACAACAGAAAATCGTCTTATGATATAAAACAGCTGAGGAAGGACCGTGAACAAAACGAGCAATATATCACACTTAGATGCGAATATCCTTATGTTATTGGCCCAGTGTTATCAAGTGATAAAACTTCAAGCACAAAGAATTTCAATCATAAAAGGATAAAATTAAGCCCTATTGATGGGGAAGAAAAGCAGCTCCTATTCAAAAAAACTGGAATGATATCAGAAAAATTTTTTTATGTTGAAGTATATAAAAAGAAATCGTAATTTTAAAATAGAAATGCTTGAATTCACGCTTATAATGGAGAAACTTTAATTTATACCCTAAAAATAAGCTTAAACGAATTGAAAAGCATTATTGGAAAATCCCGGGATTACGAAAAACTTCTAAAGCTTTTAAAACTAGAAAATGATGAGCTTATTTTGGATTCTTAATATCATAATTTTTTAAACAAATAAATATCTTAATTATCCATCAATTGTAAACTCGCTAAATGCTTACTCCCCCCCCCCCTCCGTGAGCGAACAAAACCATTAGAAAAATCGCCATTTTTTGACCAAAAACCCACCCTCCGTGAGTGAACAAAAATTTTTTTAATAGAAAAAATTTTAATGGAAAAAAATTTTGATATATAAGTGATAATTAGTATAATGAAATCTAGAGCTAATTCTGTTTAATTTTAAACAAATTGCGTTTTAAACATAAATTTTGCAAATTAAATTAATATTTGCTTCCCAATTTTTGCAAATTAGGATTTTTTTAAATTTCGAAAAAAATATTTTTATAAAATTTATATATAAATTTTTTTTAAAAAAAAAAATTAACCCCCCTCCGTGAGCGAACAAAATTTTTTTGTTCGCTCACGGAGGGGGGGGGGGGGAGTTAATAAAAAACGATAGCTCTTTAAATTCAAAAATAAATATAATGAATTATTTATCTTTTAGCATATGAAGGTATTTCTCCTATTGTATTACGAATCTCATAATAGCCTGGCCCTGGAGATGCATTAAAAGATTTCTTCTTCCATCTATCACTGCCGAATCCCCATTCAGGCACTTGGCTTGAATATTTTGCATCATAATTACCTGGACCCGGCACTTCATTTTTGGCGTATGATAATGAGTTTCTGTTCGCATGACTAACTGAGTAAGCTAAGGAAGTATCCTGCTTTTGAGGGTTATACTGGCCAGGCCCTGGCAGATAGTTTGATTTTTGGTTTTGATTTTTTCCTTTAATTGAATAAACTGGGCCATTAGGCTGAGAAGATACAGAATAGGCACCTGGGCCTGGGTTATCTGAACATTTGCTTATTGAAGTTCTTTTACCTGATCCAAAAACTGATGCAAAATTGGGTTCTGAATGGCTTGGATTATATGCGCCTGGCCCAGGTATATATTTCTTCTGCGAATTCGCAGTCCGACCTGCTTTCCCCAAGCTAAATTGTGGAGTGTCCACAATTAATTTTGGATCATATGCGCCAGGCCCAGGAGTAATTGATCGCTCTTTATTATCTGATATCCTCCCAGTGATACTGAATCCCTGACTGTCTAAAGTGCTTGAAAAGTTATAAGATCCAGGTCCTGGATTGTTATTTTTTTTATAATGGCTTCTTCTGTCATTCCCAAATCTTCAGCGTGGACCATCTGTCATAGAAAGTTTATTATCGTAAGTCCCTGGGCCAGGAATGCCATCGTTTGACCTTGCTGACAATTTTTCGCCTCTTTGTGATGATCCCATTGAATATCCTGGAGCCTTGGGGATAATTTTTTCAAAGGTATTTACGGCTAGGAGGCTTTATCCAAATTATGGTGTATGGCAATAGCAGAAATTAGATACAGTAGAAGATTAAAAGACAGGCTAGAAAAGTATATGATAAAAAACAGATGTATGAAAATATACAACTATTTCAATTTATAATTAATAGTAAATTAAGAAAAAATAATAATAATTACACAAACTCTGGAGCTTGAACTCTAGACGAAATAAGATAGAAATGAATTTTACAAGATTCATAAGCTAGGACATTAATAAATTATAAATGGTATGAACTAATTGAATTGACAACGTGCTCCAAAAATAATTAATTTTTTTGAATAAATGCCTGGATATACGCTTTTATAACTCCAAGAGATAATTTATTGAATTTCAGGGATAGGACCTTTTATAATTCACATTCTCACGGTACTGTTTATTTCAAAAAATTTGGAATATAGTGTATGACTTCTAAATATTGATGATGCCGAATAGTTATTCAATAAAATAAGTGCACAGATTTCATACAAATAGAACATAAGTTTTGCGGCAATCTTACTCAAGATAAGATAGCCTTCACAATATTTGCGATTAAAAATGCAAAATAATAATTATAAGAAACTGCACTTAATAAACTACATCAGGTTGAACTTTTGTAAATTATCATCCAAAGCATACATTTTTTTTAACTGTGAAAGCAATTTTGCAATTTATTTTGTTTTTAGCTCGCATTATTGCACTCTTAATCTATTTAAAATAGACTAATAAGTGTAATATAATAATATTGCGCACATTACTAACTACCCTCCCTCCTCTCCGTAAGCTAACAAGATCTTTTGGCCGATCATGGAAGGGTTAAATTTTTTTTTTAAACCCAAAAAACTCACACTCGTGAGCAAACAAAAATTTTATAATAGAAAAATTTCTTTATTGAAAAAATTTTTGATTTATAAGTGATAATTAGTATAATGAAATCTCTAGCTAATTCTATTTAATTTTAAACAAATTGAGTTTTAATACATAAATTTTACAAATTAAATTATTATTCGCTTTCTATTTTTTGTCGTAGTGGGGTTTTTAAAATTTCGAAAAAAAATTGTCTATAAATTTTATATATAAATTTTTTTAAAAAAAAATTTAACCCTTCCATGATCGGCCAAAAGATCTTGTTAGCTTACGGAGAGGAGGGAGGGTAGTTAGTAATGTGCGCAATATTATTATATTACACTTATTAGTCTATTTTAAATAGATTAAGAGTGCAATAATGCGAGCTAAAAACAAAATAAATTGCAAAATTGCTTTCACAGTTAAAAAAAATGTATGCTTTGGATGATAATTTACAAAAGTTCAACCTGATGTAGTTTATTAAGTGCAGTTTCTTATAATTATTATTTTGCATTTTTAATCGCAAATATTGTGAAGGCTATCTTATCTTGAGTAAGATTGCCGCAAAACTTATGTTCTATTTGTATGAAATCTGTGCACTTATTTTATTGAATAACTATTCGGCATCATCAATATTTAGAAGTCATACACTATATTCCAAATTTTTTGAAATAAACAGTACCGTGAGAATGTGAATTATAAAAGGTCCTATCCCTGAAATTCAATAAATTATCTCTTGGAGTTATAAAAGCGTATATCCAGGCATTTATTCAAAAAAATTAATTATTTTTGGAGCACGTTGTCAATTCAATTAGTTCATACCATTTATAATTTATTAATGTCCTAGCTTATGAATCTTGTAAAATTCATTTCTATCTTATTTCGTCTAGAGTTCAAGCTCCAGAGTTTGTGTAATTATTACTATTTTTTCTTAAATTACTATTAATTATAAATTGAAATAGTTGTATATCTTTCATACATCTGTTTTTTATCAAATGTTTTTCTAGCCTGTCTTTTAATCTTCTACTGTATCTAATTTCTGCTATTGCCATACACCATAATTTGGATAAAACCTCCTAGCCGGTATTTACATCATATTGACCTGGCCCTGGCAAATTTTGGCTAGAGGTTAATTTTGCTAGACGGCTTGACATTGTAATATGAGGTCCTTTACCAATAGTGATGTTGTTTTCATAAGCTCCTGGCCCTGGCGATATACTGCTATTAGAAACCAAACTTTTCCTAGAACTAGAGCCGAATTTTTGAGATACAGTTGAAAAATTTGTTTCTAAAGGATTGTAGGCTCCTGGGCCAGGAGAATTGCTATTTATTTTGGAAAAATTTGTTCTTGAGCTTGTCCCGATTTTGTAATTTGGTGAGTCGAATGAGTCTTTAGGTGAATAGGTTCCTGGACCCGGAATATCGTTAAGATTTTTCATTGATTTGCGTCCGTAAAGTGACCAGGCTGGTGCATATTGCATTGACATTTTCTTATAACTCCTAAAACAGATATTATAAAAAATTTATTAATCTTAAATAAATCCATTATTCCAGCACCAAAAAAAATATAAAAAAATTATCTAGGGATAATCTCTATCTCTTGTTTTAATCATCAAATTCCTAGCAATTCTCTGCACGATTTAGAATTTAATAATGGTTTTTAAGGTCAATTATGCAAATTTTTACATAAAATGGATATTGTAAGTCAAGAAGCCATCACAAATTACGAAGTGCTACAGTGTCTCCGATACAACGCTAAATATAGATCAGAACACCCTACTAAAGAAAATCTAGAAAAAGTGAAGCTTGAAGAAGAAATAAGAACATATCTAAACACAACCCCAGCGTACAACCAGCGACGAGAATCCTTAACATTACTTTCAGAGAACTTACAAAAATATGACCTTTCCAAAGGAGAAATATTACAAATCCTCAATCATCAGCCTAAGGAAGCAGTTGAATTATATCTCATCATAGGAAACATCGAAGAAAGAGTTAACGAACAGCAAATTCAGGAAATTCTAAGCCTAATAAAATCTTCAGTAGTGTATTTAGCCTGTGAATAAATATTCCATAACTCACTACACAAACTTACTATTAAAATTCTATGACGCCCCGATTAATAAATGGATTTCAAGCGTGTATACGTGGACTCTGAAAAGAAGCCGAAAAAATATAATTATATCCCAGCTGGCTCTGAAACAAATTTGAGAGAGTATAAGTATCATGGATCTGATACCTCAATAACTTATAACTATCTTCTTTCCCATTAGAATTATTAAAATGGCGTGATCTGACGTGGACTCCTGACAACCCGTGAGTTGATCCGGGCCAGGAAAGGTGAGCCACATGGCGATAGTTCTCCGGGGTGGGTTTTTGGCCTAAGGGATAACCTTAGATCTTTTTTCCCTACCTGCAGAAACCCCTACCGGCGCAAAGTCCCAATACTACTCCATGGGGAGCATTACCGAACCTGCAATAAGGTTCAGACAGGCCATGGAGGAGGCAAAGGCGGTTCACCCATCATCTGAGCCCTGTCAGACGTTAAGGGAGTCTTTGACTGAACTTTGGGACCAAAAAAGGTTCGACCAGATTCGGTAGGGTTTTCTCCCCGACAGACCGCTGACGTCACCATTTTTTGGTGACGTCAGAGGAAAAAGGGTGGTGTGAGGATAGCGCTTAGCGACAATGCGAAGCTATCCGTTGGACGGAGAGGGGCTGAAATAAACCCCGACGACCCGCTATAATTTTAATCTAATCTAATCTTTCCCCATTAGCTGAATTTCTCGTAAAATTCTTTCCCAAATGAATATCGTAAACTCCACTTAGACCAAACGCCATCACTGCTGCTGGCTGTGCGTGCTCGGTTTCTACTTATTTAGTTACTGTTTATATATGTGGTCGAGATACTGAATGCAGGATCCCAAATTATTGAATCCTTGTCAGCGCTGTGCTTTATTTTGGATGGCTTATTCTTGATAATATAGATGGCAAGCAGGCAAGACGCATTCAGCTTTCAAGTCCTTTAGGGATGGTTTTTGACCATCAAGTTGATGCCCTCCATGCGACGATAACTCCTGCTTTTCTCGCTCAAGCATTTTTGGCTGGAAAAGAAAGGCTCTATCTGCTCGCGTGGTTCATAGGAGGGACACCTTTCTTTTTTGCTACATGGGAAGAACTTTATGTGGGCAAAATGGAGTTCGGAGCTCTTAATGGGGCATCTGATGGCTCACTGCTTATGGGACTTATGATGTTTGCACTTGGAATTATTGGCCCCGACTATTTTTCTGGAAACTATAGTGAAGATATCAAGTACAGAGAAATTGTATTTGTGATTGTATTATCTTCAGCTGTAGCAATCAGTGTCCTGAAGTAATTCTCAATTAGTGTTTACAACGTACTGCAAGTTTCCAAGAAATTTGAGCCATATTTAAAAACCTTTTCCTTTTTTTATATTTCCCTAGCTCTATTATTGGCAATTTACCTTTCACCTTCAGACCTATGGTACAATGCTGGGAGAGAAGTAGGGCTGTGTATTGGATTTGTGTTTGCTAACTCCCCCCTTCCGTGAGTGAACAAAACCATTAAAAAAATCCCTATTTTTTGCCCAAAAAACCACCCTCTGTGAGTGAACAAACATTTTTTAAGGAAAAAAAAAATTATATATAAGTGATAACTAGTATAATGAAATCTAGAGCTAATTCTGTTTAATTTTAAACAAATTGCTTTTTAAAACATAAATTTTATAAATTAAATTAATATTTGCTTTCCAATTTTTGCGAATTAAGATTTTTTTAAATTTCGAAAAAAAAATATTTTCATAAAATTTATATATAAATTTTTTTAAACAAAAAAAATTAACCCCCCCTCCGTGAATGAACAAAATTTTTTTGTTCACTCACCGAGCGGGGGGAAGTAAAGAAATTGCCCTCATTCAAATTGCACATGTGACAAGTACAAAATATAAGCCGCTGCAATGGGCGAATTTTGTAATAATCAGTGGGATGATTTTGAATACGCTAACACATGCATATGGAATTAATATTTTTGATGAATACCGAGCTCAACTAGTACTTTCGATAGCTGCATTTTTAAATTACGCTCATTTGGCTATCTATTTGCCGTTGGAATTCGCTGAAATCCTCGAAATCCCTATTTTCAGAGTACCACGTAAAATTTACACAGGCGAAAAACAAACATAAAAATAACTAGTTCATTTTAGCTTAGATTAAATTGCTTTATTTCTTTCTGTTTAACTAAATAGGCTATAGAAATATTTTTATGTTTTCTTATACTCAGCTGCTTGCTTTATCAGCGTGTATAAAACTAGCAAAATCTTAGTTTATGTACTGATTATTTACTCAAATTAAAACTAGCTTTCGTTTGCATTATTGTTAGTAGCTTTGCCAGCTGAAGAAGTAGGCGGATGCTGCTTTGGTTTAGCCTTCATAGCTGGTTTTGCCAATGTCTGAGAAGGAGATGCAGTGAGGGATTCGCTGAGAAGTTGAATTGCTTTTGTAAGTTGACCTATAAGTGCACGCTGCTGCTCAAGCTCTTGCTCTAAAGGTGTAACTCGACTATCCAGCATTTGGGCTATTTGAGCCTTTACTCGATCCCAATCACCCTCCATCTAATTAAATTAATGCGGAATTAGTAAGATAAATATCATTCAATCAAATTCTCTAATAAACACTTTTTTTTATGTATAACGATTTCTTTTCAAATGAATTATTTGTTAATTAGTTTTTTATAAAATAGTCTTTAGGTTTTTTATTTACCAATATCAGGGCGCTGTTTTGATTACCCATATTTGGCTGATAAGATTTGCTCCAAAACGTTTTCATGTTTGATTTCAGTTCTGTTGCTCCTTCATTATTAGCTTCCCAACCAACAAACCTCCCTAGATAATATTCAATATTAGTTGTTAGCATTTTTATGAGCTCGCTCTCAGCGACTACACAACTTCTTAGCTCCTGGTATCCTCTCGCCAAGCAATCTTTTGACTCTTCGATTCTTCTTTTATTTCAAAATACATGAGCCTTTTCCAAAATTTCCGCTCCTTTAACTCTATAAAAATTGACTATTAAGCATTTATCTAATTCAATTTCATTAAGCAAAAAATCTTCATTGCAAACATTGATGCTCAAAAAGCACTGATCTATAACCTCTTCCACAGTTTGAGGGATCCTATAAGTGACAATTGCTCTTACAGGTACGATTTTATAGTTATCTGGGAATTAATTTGGCATGGCTGGAAATTAAGAGTAAAAATTGTTTCATTTTTACTTCCAGACAGCACAGGGGCATTTTAAAGCTGCTATCACAAGCTTCACTATAAATTCTCCCCAATGCAAATGGAATATCACATGCTTGAGTTTGAATTTGAACTTGAATATGGTTTGCAATAACAGAAATTAAGCTGTTTAGACAATCAGAAAAAGCTTGTGGTGTAGAATCTTCTTTCTAACTACCCTTCTTTAAATTCGAACAAAAAATTCCTGTTCTAAATTAAAGAGGGGTTAATTTATTTTAAAAACAAAACTTATATTTAAATCTCTCTATATAAAAAAGTTTTAAAAAAATTTAAGAAACATAAATTGAGTGCAATACTTAGAAATTTAATTTATTTTTATAAAAAACTGTTTAAAACAACATTCTCTGCATTTTGTCTGTATTAGGTTAAAACTAATTTTATAAAAAAATAGAATTTTCGTCATTAAAATTTCATATTGAAAACAAATTTGCTCCAATTTAAAAGGAGTTAAAATAATCAAAAAATGCAAATTTTACCGATGCTTTGCTCAAATTTAAAAGGGGAGGAGTCAATATAATAATATCTACCGTTTTTCTCTTCAGCCATAGCGGTTAAAAAATTTGCGTCATGATTTGCTCTATACGCAAATGCATGGATTATGGATTGAATATGGGCTTGAAATTTTTGGATCCTCTTCATTTAAAACTGCTCTGAAGCGGCCTAATGAGAATTCTGTATTATTTTCAGTTCCATCAGATAAAAAAATGATTTAAGTCATTAAATTAACATATCTTCTTAACGCCAAAACATTTAAGGCTAAACTGAGCCCTTTTTGAACTTCAGATTTTAATATGACACAACCTATCTGATTGATTTTTTTAATTAATATTTTTTTTCCATTTTCATTAGTGCAAGTCAAAGGACAAACTCTTGAAGCAGAATCTCCAAACATTATAAGACAAACACGATTATTTGGTCCTAATTGTGATACCATAAACTCCATTGATTTTTTAACTAAAGTTAATTTTGAGCCTGACATATTTCTGCTTATATCAACCACAAATATTATGTCAATGCCAAAACTAGCTTGCTTAGATTCTTCAATTGATTCAATATTCAGGCTGCAAGGAATCTCTTATTCGAGAACACTATTTAATTGCAAATAATTCATAGCAAATTTCATTGAGAGAATAAGACGCTTATTTTCTTGAAAATGTGCTATTTTTTCAGTTGTATTTTTTACTATCTTTGAAGAGAACTTTTTGTCGCGTGAAGATAACTGAGACAATGGTTCATCGTCATCAAATTGCAATAAAGCCCTCCATGCAGGTTTAAATCCTGATGTAGAAATATAAGGTATATTTTTTATTTTCAATTCTTCTATATAAATATTCTTTACTTGTCGAGCTGAATTATGAGATTTACTCCTTTTCGAGCCATCTTTTGATTTTAGGGCATGAGATTCTTCAAATGCCATGGTAATTTTTGATGCTTTAATAGTGGGTCTTGAAATCTTAATGCTCGCTATTTTTTTCATTTTATAAGAAAAGAATAGAAAACATTATTTATGCGGGATTTCTGTTAAGATCTTTCAATTCAATCGAAACCTCGAAAAACATATAACTAATTTCTCTCATTAGAATAAATTTTTCTGGCTCAATGCCTCATAAAAAAAGAAATTTAAAGTCCACAATTTTATTAATGATTTAATCCTCTTCCATTTCTTCTCCTCCAAAATATGCTTTTGATTTCTTAGACATTGTTTTTTGACATTTATTTTGGTAAATCGCATTTGATGGCCCTCTTTTAGCCCAATGTCCATTTGCTTTGGATTTCAGATCAGCTGCACCTCCGTGCTCCCATACTTGCCTATCAGCAAATCTACTGACGGAATTTTCAATATCCGCTATCAAAACTTGAATTAACTCATTCCCACCAACAACGCTGTTTCTTAGCTCCTGAGCACCTCTCGCTAAACAGTCTCTTGCTTCTTGCATTTTGCCCTGATCTCCAAAATCTCCGGCTTCTTTTAATATTTCAGCTCCTTTAACTCTATAAAAATTGATCATCACATCTTCATCCAACTCGATTTCATCTATTATATGGTCTTCATTAAATACATTTATTATCAAAAATGCTTGCTCTTTTACTTCTTCACCAGTTTGAGGAACTCTATAAGTAATGCTTGCTTTTATAGGCTGGATTTGGTGATTTTCTGGAACACGAATATTGCATGGTGGAAAGCTAGTTCTCCACCTCTTTGAATGAGTGGTTAAATTTCATATCAATTTTTTTATATTTATAATAATAATAATATTTTATATTTTGAAATGAAAGATACTTAAAAATAATTGAATTAGCTATTTATTTATATAACTTTATATCGAAAATTTTATACAAAATATTTTATATTTAAATTCTTTACAATTAGAAGAGAAATTGATTTCCAAAAATGTAGAATTTTTCAATTTTCTCTTACTCACAAAGATGGGGTTTAAGCACAAAAATCGCTTCTTTTTTGCTTCCAGAAAGCACTGGTGGCATCCTAAAGCTGCTGTCTCCAGTTTCACTATAAACTTTTCTTAATGCAAATGGGATATCGCAAGCCTGTGTTTGGAGTTGTACTTGAATTTGGTCAGCCACAACGGACATGAGCTCTCCTAAACAATTAGAAAACGCTTCAGGTATCGAGTCCTCTTTTTCAACAAAGTAAAATCCTCCGTTTTTTACTTCAGCCATAGCATTCATGAGGTGTGCATCATGATCAGACCCATATCCAAATGTATGAATTGAGTACTGAGTAACAACTTTTGGATCATATTCCCTTATAACAGCCCTCAATCTACCCATTGCAGTTTCTTGGTTGTTATCAATCCCATCAGTCAATAAAACAATCGAAGTTACTGAATTAAACTGTTTTCTTCCAGCTAGAATTTGAAGCCCGCATCTCAGCCCTTTAATAATTTCAGTTCCTCCAATGACACGAATTGCTTTAATTTTTTTATTTAATTTTTCTTTCCCAACGTCATTCATACAAGTTAAGGGTGAAAGTTTATAAGCGTCATCGCTAAAAGTAACGATGCTAGCACGATCATATGGGCCGAGCTGAGTTACCATAAACTCCAAGGTTTTTGTAGCCAGCTCAAGCTTGTCGCCAGACATGCTTCCACTTACATCAAGCACGCAAATTACATCAATTCCTGACCTTGCTTGCTGTTTTGATTCCTCTTCTTCTGCTTCAAGACCTTCAAGGCTTAAGCAGCATGGAACTTCTTGCACATCTGTGCTTTTCAGCTGCAAATAATTCATTGCAAATTTCATTGAAATATTTAAGCGATTAGTTTCTTTAGGGGTTGCAGTGGACTCAGAAGGAGATTTTGTTTCTTCTGAAGATTTTTTTGCTTCTTCTGCTGGCTTTACAGGTAATGGTTCGTCATCATCAAAAACTTTTCCTGGCATTTTCTCAGCTTCTTCTTCCGATAAAACAACATTTTGCATCATTTGTTTAGGCATCTTGCTTTTTGGGGCTACCTTTCTAGGTCTTTGAACTTTTGATACCGTTGGATGAATAAGAACGTTTTGAGTAGGGTTCATAGGAATTTGTTCTTTTTCTTCTTCGGTTTGTGGAAGATCCTCTTCTACTTCCCGCACCAATTTTGATGGTTTTTTAGCAGGTATTACAGGCTTTTTGGTTATCTTCTTTTTCATATTTATAACTCCCACCCTCCGTGAGCAAACAAAACCATTGGAAAATCCCTATTTTTCCCCAAAAAACCCACCCTCTGTGAGCGACCCAAAAATTTTTGATATATAAGTGATAATCAGTATAATGAAATCTCTAGCAAATTATGTTTATTTTAAACAACTTGATTTTAAAACATAAATTCAACAAATTAAATAAATATTTGCTTTCCAAATTTTTGCGAATTAAAAATGTTTTAAAAGGGGGGAGTAAGATAAGAATAGTAGGAGTTACATATACTCAAATTCTGCTGACACTCCCCCTCTGTAGGAGAACAAAGATTTTTTGTTCTCGTTGTAAATTTTATAGAATTTTTTTAAATCTAAAAAATAATTTAATTTGCAAAATTTATGTTTTTAAATGTAAGCTGTTTAAATTAAACAGAATTAGTTAGGGATTTCATAATAAATTATTACTTATAAATCAAAATTATTTTCATAAAAAATTTTTGTTCGCTCAAGGAGTGTGGGTTTTTGGGCAAAAAATAGGGATTTTTCTAATGGTTTTGCTTGCTAGGAGGGGAGTGAGAGCCTTCAAATGATAAATAATTTATTATTAATAGGAGGATAATAAGTGGAATTGGTCAGCTACTAAGATTAAAACTTATTAGAGCCAATACTGAGTATTATATAAATAATATTTATGATTGCAGCATCAACTTTTTTTTTTATCTCAGCTATGAATAATTTTTACAGTTGTTCATATACCAGGCTTATTAATCAAAATCTTAATTCCTATTTATGCTTTATTGTGCTAATTACACATATATCTTTGTCATTAATTTTTGCAGCCTTTTTCTTGCAGCAATAATTGATTCATGCTTTTCTCCTAATACTTTTACAATTTCTAATAAAGTTTTTTGACCTTCTCCTTTCAGACTTTTTTCTTTTTCAATGATTTCGATTGCCTTGTCTATTGCTTTTTGGTGGTATCCATAATTTAAATGGACCATCGCAATTTGTGTTTGTTTTGAAATATTCATTAAATCAGCTGAGGCTTCTTCTTCAAGCTTATTTAGAACTTCTGTATATTCTTGGTTATTCCTTGTTTGCTCCACAACATTTAATATATTTTCCAATTCTTTATTTGTCTTTGCTTCATCTGGATTTTTACTTCGAGCTTTAATTGCATAATCTTCAGCCTTCGCGAGCTCCCCTTTAAGAAAATGGGCATTTGCTAAATTTGAGTAAATTAAATATTCGTATTTTTCCCTATATTTTTCATTTTTCAATGCGTCTTTGTAGCTGAAAACTGCGTTATCGTATTCTTTTGCATTCAGAAAATCTTTTGCGGCTTCTAATACACTAACAAGAATATCCTCATCTGTTAACAGCCCAGCCAACATTTTTACATCACTTAAAAACTGAGCCAAGCTGTCTTCATCAGGCATCCCTTCTAACTTATTAATATAATTTCCCCCATTCATCAGTATTAGTGTCGGGACAACTTTGATCTGCAAACCTTTCATTAAATCTGGAAGTTCATCAATATTATAATTGGCTAGAGCCCATTTGCCTCTTGCTTCCAACGCATGCTTTTGAATAATTGGGACAAGCTTTCTGCATGGATTGCTCCAATCTGCATAGCAATTAAGGACAACTGGTACAGGGGACTTCATAACCTTGCTAAGTCATGCAGTATATGAGTCAATATCATATATAAAAGTCTTGTATTCTTCCATAGCTGCCATAGCTTCTTTTTTGATATCAGTGCTGAAAAATCGAAAAGTTCCTTTCAGAGCTCTCAGCATTTTTAGAAAAAATGGAATTATAATTGTGATATTTTATTAGATTACTTAGCCCTGGAAAATGAATTGCAAACATTTTGATTTTCTTCTGTATCCCAAATTGCCAGAACACCTCCAGTCCCACCTGTAGCGAGGGTGAATGGTGAATCTTTGTAGAACTCCAAACAAAACAGTGAGTCAACTTTCATATCTCTTTCTGCAATCCCTCTCAACCCTTCTCCGTGCCAAATTTTCACTGTTTTATCAACGCTTGCAGTTCCAATTAAATTAGGAACGCCTGGACTGTATGCAATTGTGCATTGCGAATTGTGTGCTTTGACCTCGTATAGTGGTTTTCCCAGATTTCTAGCATCATATGTATATAAAAATCCGTCTTCTGTCGAAAGTGAGAACTCAAGAGGATTAAAAGGATTCCAAGTGACAGCTTCGATTTCAGATGGAACTCTTATTTGCTTTGACGAGTCAGGCGAATCAACGCCCACCACAAAAGCAGAGCCATCTAGCCCACCGCTCACTAGGATTTTTTCCTCAGTTGGGTTTCATTCAATTGACTGCACCTTTCCTTCATGGTGGCTTAATGTAATTTTGCACTCGTGCTCAATTATGTCCCAGACCTTGACTTTGCAGTCTGCTGAGCCACTTGCTAAAATGTTTTTTCTGGTAGGGTGGATGTCTAAAGCCATCACAGCATCATGATGGCTTCCTTTTGTGTAGGTTTTTGTCCTTTTGCGTTTTTTTGAACTTCCTTCAGAGACTTTTTCTCGCTTGACGCCGCCTAATCTTCCAATGGGTTCAAGGACATCAATGATGTCTAAGTTCCAAAGCTCGATTTCAGGCATGAAACTTCCAACTGCCAAACAGTTTCCAGCTTCATTAGGTGTTTGTGGGTTATAAGGAAGCCACTCTAAGGCTAATGGGTAGGCTGTTAAGAAAAAATCGTGATGGACGTATAAGGCCCCTGAATTTTCCACATATATGAAGACATGGACTTCACTAAAATCGCCTTTTTGGTTTCCAGTAATAATTATAGCGTCGTCTGGGTTGATTTTGTTGTCTTCTTCCTCTTCATCTTCAATGTTTTCAAGCTGTGGTTCGTATTCAACATTGCTGAATACTGGGATGGCTTCTTCTTGATCATATGTGTCCATGTTAAGGTCCTCTCCTTCTGCAGCTTTGATATCTTCTATGTCATTCATTGTGACTTCTTCGAGAAGAGGCTCTGAGCGCGCATATCCTTTTGGAACCCATTTCAAGCATGTGATTACGCTCATTTTACAATGATTTGGTAATAGATTTATTAATAAAATAGAGATGGCATCAATATTCCTTCAATTTAGAAGTGAAAACGCATTATTTTACATGAATTAACTAAAATAAATTAGTTATGATTGAATTTTGTTTGCAATTATATTTATAAACTCCTCAGTCTTAATACAACCTTTATTTTTTCTTCTTTAGTGAGAGATTTTATTGATTTCCATATAAAAATGTCAGCTAATCTTAATAATTGTTTGCAGCAGATGAATTTGGACAGCTGCTTATGATATATAAATAGTCTTAGTTTAAATAAGAAAAATCTTGCAAGGAGCCAAAATGATAAAGAGAATAATATTAAAGGATAATGCCAATTTAATAATTTTGTTTGCAAAATAGTCATGGTAAAATTGATTTTTGTCAGCTTGCAATGTAAATGGCGCTTATAAGCGCATAAATTTGTGCTTGATAAGCTTTGCTATCTGGAACGTATTTTAGGACTAATGGTGATTCTTTCAGATGTAAGATGGAAATTTTTGATTCTGTCTGTAATTACTGCCATCTATTTTAAGATTTTAGTGTAATAAATACTTCTTTGAGAATCATTATAACTCATTCGGCGCTTTCTATATTCATTGATAGTGGCAGAAATCAAAGATTCCAATCACTAACAAAATCTAACTTTTTATTTTATTGATTATTTTTTTACTAATTAAAAAATGAGCCTTTAAAAAGAATGGAAAATATCCCTTTTAGTGTTACTTAAAGCTTCTAAAGAAGTTTCTAATGTGCAAATCTTTCCTAACAATGATAAAACAGTTATATTAAGCTAGCCAATTTGAAAAATTAACTTTATCATCAGTTTAAAAGAATAAAATCAAACGAAAGGTGAATTAATTAAGATGGCAATCGATAAGTTTCATTGGGTTATTAAATATTTATTTTCACCTTTTGAATCACATAAGCTTAGATCAGATTAAAAAATCATTCACCATTTCTAAAAGATATATTAAACTTTTTTATCGGACAAAATTTACTCGCTGCTTTTCACGAATTTTCCTTTAATGCGTAGTTTTTGCTTAGCTACTGAACTTCTCCCCGAGAAACTTCTGGATACATGCACTTTTTGCCGATACCTTTTAATTTTATCCTTGTATCTTTGAATTTTTTCTTTCCTAACAGCTGGTGAATAAATTCCTATGAGCGGCTTTTCTTCATCTTCATCTACCGCGGTGCTTGCGAGCGATTCAGAGCTGCTTACCCTTGGCATATTTTTCTTGCAGTCGCTGGCTATCGATGCTAGATAATTCTGGAGGCTGAAACTTTTGTGTTTCTCTTGCAGTAATGCTGTAGCGAGAATCATACTTTTTTGTCGTTCAGCTATAAGTTCTTGTTTAAGTTGCAACAGCAAATTGTTGCTTGTATTGAATGAATCCCAGTGCACAGCAACTGGGATTGATATCTCGTTTCCTTCTTGCGTCATCTTTATTTTAATGGAGATTATTTTCCTTAAATATGTTTTATGAACTATTTGGATAGAGCGAAAAGACGTTACGAGAACTAAGCGAATTATGTGGCTGATTGAACTTTAAAAAAGAAAGGGTGTGGAATGCTAATGATCTGTATCTATTGTTTGAAAATTTAGGGATGAAAATGGAGGATAATCAATGAAGTTTGGTCTCGTAGAAAAGTATATTTAGAATATTAGCCTTTGAAGCTGCATTTTTAATTAAAAAATAGTGAAAGGTGATAACGATGCAAAGAAAGCAAGCAACGAAATATAAAAATGGCAATTGTTGCTTGCCTTATAGCTGATTATTTACAGCTTGGCAAAATTAATAATTATCATAATACTCATTTTTCAAATAAATTATCATATTCTCTCCTCTTAAAATAACTTGTAACTATGAAGTAGAATCAAAGAAATGGCATTTTCTTTACAAGTGAGAAAGTTAAATCGAGGAATCGCTAAATACCATAAAGACTTACTACAGCTTATAAATAAAGCTCAGCCAGATGGAGATAGCGTAATAACTAATAAAGGATCCGAAACGTGTCTTCATAGACTTATCTACATATGAAGAAATGACAAAAATCACTTCAAAATTATTTGAAAAAGATTGTTTACTTAGCAACCTCTATCGTAAACAAAGTATTTATAAATCTCAAGCAGAAATTATATCTCAACTTCGAAAAGAACTAAAGGACTTGAATTTTCTTGTTCAAAGTAATTCAAAAAGAATTTCAAGAGACCTGAAAAGGGTAGGAATGATTCTAAAAGAATACAAGGAGAGGTGCAAAGAAGATTTTGTGATGTTTCTTAAGACCTTAGATGCCGATTTAAGAAAAGCGTTGCAGCCGCTTGTACCTAATCAAGTATTGATTGAACAAATCAAGTATAAGCCTGTTAATGAAAGCTTGGCAGGAACTTTAAAGTCAAGCCAGAAAAACGAAAATGAGCTAGCCCCAATGGAAAGTGAGGTTGAGGGTGCTGACAAGACAGTTGAAATGCTAAATAATCATATTCAACTCTTAGTCAATACACTTGAAGGTGTAGCAAAAACACTTATCTCAATTACACAAGGCACTGATAGAAAATATTATGAACTCGTCGACTCAAAAGAGCTGCAAACTGAGCCACCTTCTCCATTGGCGGCCCCGCTTCCTGATTATTTTTCATTTGATGTAGTAAATTTATCAGAGGAGCATAGAGAATTTAATTATATTCCGAATCCCATGATATTGGAAGAAACAACTAAGAAGAAAATAATTAAAAAGTTTGAAGATATACAAAAAAGCCCTTCAGAAGCCCTAACACCAAGAAAAGGAGAAAGATTGAAGGTAAAACTTGAAAAGCTTTTAAATAAGCAAGCAAAAGAAGCTGACATTTTAGATCTTTTTAAAGAAGAAGGAATTCCTATAAGCATGAGAGAAGAAATGGTATTTGAAATAATAAACTCAACAAGAGGAGATGACAGCTCTACAAATGCTAATGAAATTCTTGAAGTCGCCGATGTAGGCTTTCTTCGTGATCTAAATTCAATAAAACGCACTAATGTTTTTGAAGTTTCAGGCAAAAATTATTCGAAGGAGCTAAAAATAATTCAAGGAAAGGATCTTACTGATAAATTTGATGACACTTTAGCTGATTTTGGGTCACTTGATAGCTCAATAGATGAAAAAATGGTTAGGCCAACGCCAATTAAAACAAAACAAAGATCCAGCAAGTTTAACTTTTCTAGAAAAGCCTCAGAAAGCTTGGTAAAATTTTTGCCACCTGTTAGCATTAAAGCGAAAGCTGAACAGAAAGAGCTGAGGCCAAAAAAATCAGTTAAGGATATAAGAATTAGGTCAATAACTCCAGGCAAGCAGCCAAACGATGACAAGAAGATACCCGCTAAAAGATCGAAAACACCTGTGGTTAAAAAGAAAAAATAAGCTATATTATAGTATAAACAATGTTTAAATATTGTATTTATTTATTTATTTAATTTTATTATTTCACTTAAAGATTAATATTCATCGATAATAAGAGAATTTTGTAGCCTTTACTAGCTTCCCCTCATTTAAGAACTAACAAAAAATTTTGGCGGCTCTTAAATGAGGTTTAATTTTTATTTTAAAGTTAAATTTAAGAATCTAAGCTGTTTAAAATTTAGTTAAATTAAAAAGAGGAGCTTATGTAATAATTATTAAGGTATGAAAATATCCTATTATATAAAAATGTCATTTATGAAATATTTTATATTAAAATATTTTTTGACTCGCTTATTCAAAGGGGGATTCATTACCCGAAAATAGGTTATCCATGATTTTGAATTCCATTAAAGAGAAGGATAATTAAACGATAGATTAATTGATAAATAAACTCTTGGTAGCAGCAAATAATATAATAAATCTTCTTTTCTCAAAAAAAAATCCTAAGATTAAAAGATCCCTATTTTTATGCATTCGATAGCAAAATGGCAATTATTACTTTCGAAATTTCATTAACGTATCATGGATGACTCGTCAAGAATATCTTATCCATTTTCAATAGAAGAGCTCAATTTTACCTCAAATAATAAATCTCATGAGCAGTCTGAGCTAGTCACTGTGCACAATAGCATTATAAAAGCAAGCTCAGAAATATCTCGACTTCGTAAAGATGGCTCCATGTCAAATAAACGTGTATTTTTGACAGTGCGACATTTCCTGGATAAACTTTGTTCGAGGCATTAGGACTGTTAAATTTTATCTAAATAGCTATTTAAACATTTTGAACCAATTTTCTTCCATGAAATGCACACTATTAAAAGTAAAAGATCATTGAGCCTACACTCCATAAAGATCGTAAAGCATTCAATAACGCATTGAATTTTTCTCAATCCAAATGTGAAAGCTTAGAAAAGAAGGTTTTTGAGCTGCATGAAACATTGAGACAAATGAATGATGCAAATATATTGCTCAAAGGGCAATTAACTGAAATGCATCAAGAGTTGTCAAAAATAGATGAATTGAAAATTATTATGAATGAAAAAGATTTGACTATCCAAGATTTACAGTTAAAGTTATCCATATATGAAAAATATGATTTTAATAAAAGACGTGAAACTGATTTTTTGCAAAGCATTTATCAGGCAGGAAAAATCCTTAAAAGAGAATTAAAAACTGAAGAAACGCAGCCTTCGCAAACTCAGCCTAGTTCTAAGTATTACGATGAAATAAAATCTTATGGCTACGTTTTAATTGATGAAATTTACAATATGCCATCAATTTCCTTTCTATTTAAAAAATATGCAATTGATGCTGTACAATATAAAGACCTTCTTTTAAAAGAGGAGTGAGATATTGCACTATTAAAACTCTTGAAATTTACTTTTGATATCTTGAAGAGTCTAGAGTACATAGAAGAAGTAAAAAGCAAGCAGCCAATTCAATTAGATTTATTATCAGTTTAATGTCTATTGCCAGATTGCATACTGCCTCTGCTGCCTACAGCTCTGGGGTAAAATTTGCGCTATCTTCCCCCTGCCCGCCAAAGTGTAGTCACCTTGACTTTGTTACACGACGAGTACACCAGTCTTTGAAATTTGGGCTTCAATGACTCTTTTTTGAGCTCAGGTTTTCTATTCGGGTCCGTATTGCACCCTAAAGGTCACAGTTTCCACCACCTGGGTCGGTGGTGCCCTTCTGGAAAATTTGATTTCCTAAGGCTAGTAGTCTGGTAGGAAAAATCACTTCCCCAACTTAGCTGGGATAATTTTATCAGTGGAAGCTAAACTTCATAGCTAAAATATGCAAGAGATGAATTATCGGTCGGGAGACCAGCAAATTTGCGCTATTCCATATTTTAATTATAAAACCAAGCAGCCAGCTATTAAAAATAATGATACCACAAAAAGGGCGAAACTTGAGAGATTTGATATAAGTGAAGGACTTATTGAAAACTTGCAAACTCAAAGCAAAAGATTAGCGAAGCTAAACGAAGATCTTACCAAAAATATTTCAAATTTAAGAGGCTCCATTAAAATTGGTAAAAATAATCAGCACAAACGATCGTTCTCACAAGTATTTTCACCAAATTTAAGCAGCTTTAATGAACTGGATGAAAAGCTTGAAAAAGCAGAGCAGAAAATGGGCGATAATTTGAATTTTGAAACTCTTATAATTGACGATACAATAAATCTTGAGCCGAAACCTGTAATAATCCCTAACGCAGCCAATCGGTCAAGAGCTGCTTCAGTAAAAATCAACCGAGAACGAAGTAGAGCTCCTACTCATTAACTAATAATATATTTCTATGTTTACTTATAACGATTGCAAGAAAAGTCCTCCTTTCTTACAGTCATTTAACGCGCTTTCCTTTATTCCATAGTCCTTTCATAGTTTTGTTTTGATCAACAAAAGTATAAACTCCTATTCCATCCTGCTTTCCATGGTTTCAATGCCCTTTATAAACTCTTCCATCAGGCCAATAAAAATCTCCAACTCCATGCTTATTATCGTTCACAAAATCGCCACAATATTTTCTTCCATCATTTCATATAAAAGTCCCTTTGCCTTCCATTTTCCCACCAATTCAATCACCATCGTATTTGTTTCCATTGCTCCAGCAAAATTTGCCATTTCCTTCAATATAATTATTTTTGAAATCTCCTTCATAAACACTTCCATCAGTTAATATCAGTTTTCCTTTGCCTTCACGCTTCCCATTTACGAATGCGCCTTCGTAGATGTTCCCGTTAATGCATTTTTGCTTGCCAAATCCATTTGGAAGTCCATGTTTGCAAATTCCTTCATATTCTTCGCCATCTTGAGTTACTATTATTCCCTGACCTTTGGTTTCCCCTCTTTTAAATTTGCCTTGATACATAGTGCCATTAGGGTAAATAATTCGTCCGAGTCCGTACCATTTACGTTTTCTAAAGTAGCCCACATATTTTGTGCCGTTAGGCAAAATTTCGATTCCTCGGCCATGTGGTCGCAGACGGTCTAAATCTCATTCGCCTTCATAAATGTTTCCATTTTCAAGTAAAACAGCTGGCTTGAATTGGACATCGATGGAATCATAAGATTTGAAAGGGAGGGTTAGTTGGCCGTATTTAGTTTCTAGAGCTTTTACGGATGGCGCTTGCTTCGAATCAAGGTCACCTTTGAATAAAGGAAAAGGAAAAGATTTGGTCTTGGGTTTTAATTTTGCCAAATTCCTTCGGGCTATGTGGCCTCGGACTACACTTTTAATAATTATGTTTCCACAGAATGTAGGACTTGATTGAGATTCTTGAGGATATAGAGAGAATTCAAAGAGATTGAGGTCATCTGGAATATGCTCCAAGGTATTTACTCTTGTATCTGGGTAAATTTCCATTGATTTAACATCTGTAACGTTTCCTGAGATAAAGATTAACTGTCTGCCATAAGCGGTAATCACTGACCATTGCCTTGCTTCGGCTCAAAAAATCCAGTCTCCATTCAAATGTGGCAATTTTTAATTCCAATCTGAGCCATCTCTCCAAGATATTAACTACCTCGGACTTAGCAGCAGTTTGAAAGATTGCCCGCTGGCCCCGATAAGGAAAGATCTGAGTCAAGAACGAAACCACTCTCAATATCAAACTGCCTCATCTTGGTAATAAGAAATATATTAGATATTGAGTATTAGCGCTGCTAAGCTATGCAAGCATGATATTTCATATCCCTAATGCTTGCAGAATTTTTATATGGCTAGCAATTTGTCTCATATTTTCGTATTAAATCCATATTATATATATTATATTTTTATATGTAAAACAAGTTAAATAAGCAGGTTATATAGAAACCTCCTTGGAGTGGCGCTGCAAGCGCAGGCCACTCCATGCGGAATTCATGGGTTGGGTCGAACCAACGCACAGTTTTGGTTCGACCAACTCCTATGTTGGTTAAACCACACAGGGAATTCCGCATGGAGTGGCCTGCGCTTGCAGCGCCACTCCAAGAAAAAGAAGTATATCTTTTAAAACTCATTAATTAGCGCAAACGATGCTAGATCATATATGTCTTTTATACATAATTATGCTTGAATTGATCTATTTGTGTTTATTCATTTTAAAGCAAAATTACGCAGGATTCATGACTGCAAGCACTAGGGATATGAATAAAGTATTAAATATATGTGCAGACATGCTATAAATCGCGTTTAAATAGTTTAGAAACTCCAATACTCAATATCGCATATATTTCTTATTATCATGATTAGGCAGTTTTGTATTGAGGTGAGGGAAGCGAGTTCATGCTCAACCAACCATGAGATAAGCAAAGCAATCTAATCCATCTGACAAGGATAGGGAAACCTTAGGGAGAAAAAACCTCTTGTTTTGGCAGGCTTTCCCATTGAAATGGTATACTTCGCTTGCTAGGAGCATTTTCACCACCCATCATGCTGTCCACCTGCACCGTCTAATTTTAATTCTTATGTTTTCCTGATAGGCATGAACATCTGGATCCCATTTTGGAATATTATTAATGTAGCTGTCAGGAATTTTGTCAAAATAATAAAATTAAATTTATCCAAAGTGAAAATTAAAAACAGTTTTCAACAAAAAAGGAAACTATTATCATAGCACTATAAAATGACTTTATTATAAATTTTTGATATAGAATTTGAGCGCGTAGATGTATTGGGACTAGTTCTCGTTCTCGAAATGGAGCTTAAAACTGTTTTTCTAGGCTTTTTCTTTGATTTTTTCATAAACTTGGTTTGAGATGTTAAATATGGTGAAGATAAAATTGCCTGTATATCCTGGATTTGGAGTTTTCTTTTTATTCTCGGGGTTGCATCTTTTGAGTTATTAATAGGAGCAGTTGGAGGTCTTATGAATTTTCTATGTGAATAAGGAACTTCTTTGTCTGCTCCAGACACAGTGCGCCTTAATTCCTTGCTAGATAGTAGCTGATCATTTAAGGTCATAAGCTTAGCAAGCTTAACAGCTGGTGTTGAGCTGAAAGCATCCATCAGTGTTGTTGACAAATTCTATATAAATTCTACATTAAATGCTATTGATGCTTTATTTTCTGAGCATTTTATTCGCTTCAACTCTTCTGTCGCTGAATGTTCAATATTTCTTAGATTCTGATTAGAAATTACTTTTAATTCTTCAATTTCTTTCAGCATTCTCTCTTTGTATTCCGACCTATTTTCTGCTTTAAATGAGGATGCTCCTTCTACTCTTTTAGATAAACTTAGGGTAACCTCTGAAAAATACTCTGAAATCACTTGCTTTGCAGAATCATTTGTAAGCTGCTTAATTTTATTCATTTTATTCAGCTCATCTTGCCAATTCAATCCTGATTCGCAAGCTTTTGATAGTTCTTTTGAATAATCATTAAAAATAGAATTTTCTTGTGGCAAATTAATTGCATTTCTAAGATTAGAATGAAATTGGCATAGCTTTGAAATTTCCTCAAGTTTTGGAAGGCTTTTTTTATCCTGCTTTCAAGGCTTTCTTTTTCCTGCTGGGCTAGATGCTCTTCTTTTTGTAGCTCACATTTCTTGACCATCAGCCAATATTAAAGATCTTTCTACCTCAAAATCTGGGCGAACATTAATTTTTGAGGAGCATCCTTCTCAATTGCATAGATTTGGTATGCTTTTGGCTCTAGGCTTCGTAGGCGCAACAGAATTTTTAAGCTGTATTAAAATGCTTCTTACTAATTTTGAATTTTTTTCTCTAATTAGTCCAATTTTATCATCATTTAAAGCACCTACTTCTCGCTGGATTTCTTCAAGTTTATTTTTTTTTATTAACTCCCCCAATAATAAGCAAATTCTTGCTTATTCGAAGGAGTTTTTGCAAATTTTAAATAGTAAATCGATAAATTGCTTACTATTGGTGATTTTCAGATAAAAAAAAAAGATTTTAGATATTTATCCCCAAGAATAAGCAAATTTCGATTTTAATCTTCTTAATCTTAATTGCAGATTATTGGTAGCACAGTCACAAAGGACCCTCTCGAGGATTTATCTAATTTAAGATACTGTCGGCCAAGCTGGACAAGATTAATTCCCTAGCGAAAAAAGAATCTGCACCACCTTGCTCCTCCTTCTGCCCTCACACCATAGGATATCCAAAGTGTTCACTCTTCCTTCTGCGCTTCCTCCTTGACTTATAGCCTCAGTACTGAGTGAGTGGACTCTTGAGTTGCAAGAAGGTTTTCTGCTCAAAAATGGAATTTCTGGCTGGCTCTAGGAAAAGGAAAAGTTTCTAACTCCTGGTTTCACGGTAGAGACTTGCCCGATTGGTCTAAGCCTTGCTGTGCTTCCAATTTCCAGCAAGCTTTCCCTTAACTTACTCCCCACCTCCGTGAGCGAACAAAAAAATTTTGTTCGCTCAAGGGGGGAGTTAATTTTGTTTTTTTTATATAATATTTTTTACGTGAAATTTTTTTTCGAAATTTAAAAAATCCAAAATATTATTTAATTTGCAAAATTCATGTTGTAAAATGCAAGATATTTAAAATTAAGTAGAATTTCTGAGATTTCATTATGTTAATTGTCATTTATAAATAAAAAATTTTTTTTCAGAAAAAAAATTTCTATTAAATATATTTTGTTCTCTCACGGAGGGTGGGTTTTTGGGCAAAAAATAGGGATTTTTCCAATAGGTTTTTGTTCTCTCACGGAGGGGGAGTTAGAAGTCAAATCCAACTCTGAAAACGGACTTGGGCTAGGCTCCAAACACTCCTGGAATCTACTTATCTAGCATTGCTGCCCATTTCTGAGTTGGTAAAACCTTACAAATATAATTAAATATGTGCTCGAGACTTCATGCAGAGAAGGCCATGCCAGCAGAGACGCCATATATTTAATTATAAGCATATTAATATAAATTTTATTTATTATATGAAAATTTTGCACAAAACCCCCCATAAATATTTAGGAATTAGCTTATTATGGGATATTAAGATAAATATATTTTAATTCCTCTAATTCAATCTCTAACCCTCTGTTTAGATTGAGAATTTTTTTGGATCTTTTAAGGGTCTTATTTTTGCTTTTTAAAAAACATATGCAATGAAATTACCTATACTTTTTTTTCGGGTTTTAAAAGTCAATATTTGGAAAAGAAATGTCTGATTAGTTGATAAAAATTACGTTTAAAATGCGAACTTAAAAATTATAGAATTAATGGAGGCAATATCAGTTGAGAAAAAAATTTTTATTGTATTAAACTTTTTTACATTCTTAAGGATTTGCAATTCTTTTGCTTCTATTAAAGAGAAAAGATTAAGTAGTAATCACCTGTGAGTTTTCTAATTTCTATTTTAGAAAAATAAAGGCTTTCATAAATACTTGAGGTATCTAGAACAAATAATGTTTTTGAGCAAGAGCTACCATCAAGAGAATTTGATAAATGCTTAATCTGAGCTAGCTCTAGAGTGTATGCCTTTCTTTTAACGTAGCAATGAAGAATTGTTGATAAACATTCGTATGTTTCTATGATAATTGGCTTAGAAAAATCATAGTTCGCAAACTCTTCTCGTGTGTCCGCATAAATATGCAGAGTCAATGGCATTTTTGTTGATTTTCGATACTTTTCTAAAACTATCTATCAATTACATGCTCTTGACAAATAAGTGCTATTGGGAAATAAAATTTCATCACTTTCTTGATTACTTTTTGGTTGTTTTAGCATTTGATTATTTGCAAAAATGCTAGTTATTGCAGAAAACGAGTCCAAAACTTGGCAACAATCATAACCCTGATATTTTTGATTTAGATTTTCATATTCAATACTCAGAACTTCTCCAGTAAGATAAGTCGATTTAGAATTTGCTTCAAAAAATTTTTTATATTCAATTTTTTGTTTTCCTTCAAGCTCTTTTATGATATAAGATTTATTTCTTAAGCATTTCATCATGAAAATTTGACGAGCTCATAAGTACTTTTCTAAAAGTGTGCTACTCTTTTTTCTGAGGTTTACCCTTTTCATTTCAATATTCGACAATGCAATTTTTCCTCCTTTTTCAATATCTGATATTGCTGAAAATATTCATTTTCTTGATTCACTAATTGTTTTAAGAAGAATCTGCTTTGTGTATTTGTTCGAGGCTTGAGTTTCTAGTCTGCCTTTGGCGGTAAGCATGATAAGAAAGTTTTTGAACTTATTTTTTATTGATTTAGGAATTTTTCACTTTTCTCTTTCTAAAAGTGCGGACTTTCTTTCCAAAATTTGATTTTTGATCTTTCTTTATTGTTAATTATTTCAAAGTTTATCTTCTCTATTTCACGTCGTCAGTAAAGGACTGTGTTACCAGAGGTTTGAGTTTAGGACCCGTCAAGTTTCTGACCCAACCTCGTTTTTCTGAGAAAACACCTTCATCAATGTCCACGACCTCCGAAGTTCGGATCCTTAGACGGCTGCCCTTTCAGCTCGACCTAATCGGCTTGAGTCCGATTGATACTCTCAATATCCACCTGGGTTATAGCATCCTTCCAGGAGTCCTTCGTTAGAAAATATAGGCTCTCAATTTCCTGCCCTCATAATTAAAAAAATTCGAACGAATAATTTTCGGCCAAGAGGTTAGAAAATTCGAGAGGTCATTTTTTAATTATGGTTTTTGATCTTCTCAACCATCTCAAATTTTGTGCAACTAATTTTTGTCAATAGTTGATAGATTTTTGGTTTCTTTTCGATACTTTTTGAATCACAGTAATTCATGAGCTCTTCGCTTCCTAAAGCAAGCTCTAGTGCATCAAATAAATTTGTTGGAATTTTTATTATCTTAATTATTTATTCGGTGTTTAAGATGTCTGGTGACACTTCCTATTAAAAGGATTAGGCCCAACAAGTGACTTTACGGGCCATTTGCCACTTAAAATAGAACATAATATGCAGACATTCCTTGAGATGCCTCTGCCAGTTATGGCTAAACTTCTCACTCGGTGCGTTGTCATTGCTCTTGCTAACTTAGCTCCAGCGGTGCTCTGCCTAAGGGTTACCCTCCTCTCATGTGCTAATAGTAAAAACCCAAGCTTCTTGATGCGCTTAGGAGCAGTTCCTTTGGCTAAACTGCTGTTTATCATCAGAAGTTCTCGAGGTAAAACCAAGCCCCATAAATAAAATTTAATGAGAGAGAGAAAGAATGCCATTTTATTTATGGAATTTTATTATCAGTAGAAGATCTTTCTGAGTCACTTTCAAAGTCATCTAAATAGTCATTTGAGTCTGATTTTGATTCTAAGCTCATTTTTATGATTTCATTTACTTTCAAATAAATATGTAATTTTTAATTCCTTTATTTTGAATTATTTTAATAAGAATTCGTGTGGCAGAATTAGGTTAGTAATATTGAATTGCATTTATTAAATGGCAGAGGAGCGGCCAGTCCTCTCAGTGACGGTTGTCCTTAATAATATCGGACTTACTTTCTTAGATATAGGGCTTTCCCTTGAATAGCCCGATAACGGGATGAAGCCAGCCTGTTATCGGGCTATTCAAGGGAAAGCCCTATATATTAGCCCTATAATAGCTAAAAGCTTTAAATAAGGAGGCCTTAGTACTGATTTGCCAGCAAATGAATATAGATCTTATTTTCAAGTAACGCCAATCCCAGGGTGGACAGATACGGAACTGGGCAACTTACCTTCCTAGGCTGTTTTGGTCCGCGAAATCTGCTAATTCCCCTTGCGTAAGCGGACAAAAAAAAATTGTTTGCTCACGAAGGGGTTATTTTTATTTTTAAAAAAATTTATATATAAAATTTATAGAAATATTTTTTTTATCGAAATTTAAAAAAACAATTTATAAAATTGAAAAGTAAAAATTAATTTAATTTGAAAAATTTATATTTTAAAATGCAATCTGCTTAAAATTGCATAGAATTAACTCTAGATTTCATTATAATAATCACTTATATATCAATTGTTTTTAAAACAAAATTTTGTTCGCTCATGGGGGTGAGCTATTAATCAAAAAATAGGGATTTTTCCAATGATTTTGTTATCGCACGGAGCGGGGAGTAAAGAAATGCATCAAATATATTATTAATGCATTTCAAAATTACTACAGTTAAAAAATCAATAGATTTTTGATATTAAAAGAGAGTTTAGCCGAATTTCCCGATATTATGCACTTGGCCATTAAATAGTACGCATGAAACTAAATCGCCATCTTGTAAATTTCTAACTCTCTCTTCCGTTAGCGAGCAAAAAATTTGCTCATTCACGACTAATATTTTTTAGTGTTTTTTTTTTTAAATTTAAAAACTCCAATTTGCAAAATCTGGAAAGAAAAAATTAATTAATTGTAAAATTTACGCTTTTAAAATTCAACAGGATTAGCTAGAGATTTCATTATAATAGCTATCACTTATAAATAAAAATATTGTTCCTAAAATCTTTTTTATATCGCTCACAGGATAGGAATATCAAATAGTTCTACGCTCATGAAAGGGTAAGGAAAGCTGCAACGCTATTTCTTAATGCTTGCCATTTTTTCCCTTCCATTGAACCACTAAAATCCAAGTTAAGAAGGACAGCAAATCTATTTCTTCTAATTTGAAGAACTGGAGAGTTTCTTTGCTGAAACATTAAAGCACTCATATTATTAGTTTGCACGCCTACTATTCCAACTTGTCTTTGAAGCCCCACATTTACACTGATTCTTTGGAAAATTTCATTTAAGGACACATTATTTGCGTTGTAAAGATCACAATTATCTCCTCCCAAAGCACTCAAAACAGCAAGTTCTGCAAGTTCTTTATTATTTAGCTCAATACCAATAAATGCTGTCTTGCAGCGGCTCGTTGGAATCGTTCGCCCTACAAGGTAAAATATCCCTCCGAGCTCTTCTAATGAAGTTTCTGAGCTGGTGTCCTCACCATCAGTTATGACAATATGAAGGAAGTTTCATACTTCTCCAGTTCCAAGCTTGTTTAATTCTGCATTCAGCCTGAGGATTAATCCTAATCCCGTTTCAACAGAATCTCTAAGTGCAGTGCCTCCTGAAGGAGAAAGGCGACTTACTTCCTCTCTGTAAGTAGGCAATACCATTGGAAAATCCTTATTTTTGGGAAAACATCACTATGACTACCAAAGCATTTTTGAACACAAAAATCATAATTATAATAATGAAATCTTTAGCTAATTCTGTTGAATTTAAGCAGTTTGTACTCTAAAACATAAATTTGCAAATTGGATTTGTTTAAATTCAAAAAAAATTTACTATAAAAATAAAAAAAATATAACTCCCTCTCCCTAGACAAGTAAAATTATTTTGCTCTTATTAAGGTTAGTTTTTGATTTATAGTACATCGATCTGCTGGTTCAAAGCCCAAGGCACTCATAATTAGTGCAGTTGCAATAGCATTCAGCTCCATTTTATTATAGAATATTAAGGTATAAAACTAATAAACATTTCATTCTACAATTTCGGGCCCAAAAGTTTATAAATATTTTATTAATAAGTTGCTAATATGCTTCAAATTATATTTGAATTTAATATTTTCTCTAAAGCAATGCAAAGAAAGCTTAAAGAGCTAATCTTCTTAAATTTATTAATTTTGCAAAAAATTTTAATATATCTTCCTTAAGGTTTTTTTAATCATAATTTATAACATAGTTCTAAATTTAATCACAAATTAGAAATAATTAGATAAATGCTATCATTTTTAATCAAATGTTTTTAAATAAAGCGAATGTGTTAATTTCATTTTGAGCTGCAGTTACACTAAATCAATTAAAGGTTAATATTTTAATCTCATGTTATAGCACATTAACTTCAACAATTTTTACTTACTCCCCCCCCATCCTTGATCGAACGACTCGCCATCGTTCGATCAAGAATGGGGGTTAAAAAAAAATTTTTTTGGGAAAAAAAATTTTATATATAAAAAATAAAATATATATATATTTTGTTTTATTTACTTTTAAATAAGAGGGTTAAGAGTATTTAATAATTATTTTTACAGCAAAAAATTGAATTATTTTCATAAAAATACCAATTTTTAATATTTTGATTTTTTGTTTACCCCTTTAAACTGTATAATTTTTAATTTGTTCCTTATTAAATTAAATTTTTTTTTTTAAAATTTTAAAGAATCTCTTTTTATTAGATTATTGAGTTTTTAAGCCTAGGTTTATGACTAAATCACTTCAGATGGTTGATTAAAAAGCTTTCTGCCGTCTCAAAGTATCTGAAAGCAGCTTCATTATGTACATCTTCCAGGCTTTTGATAACTAATATATTTTTATATATATAAAAAATTTGCATGATATGAAAATCGTTCGATCAAGGATGGGGGGGAGTTAGAATGATCGATCTTTAATATCTTAGACTTAAAAGATTTTTAAACTCCGATACAGTAAAACTAATATAGTCACAGGCTAATATAATTTTGTATCAACAGTTAATGCAGCAAAAGATATGGACCTGCCATACTGCTGCTAAATTGTTATTTACATTTATACTTAAAGTAATTGCAACTTATCGACAAGCATTAGTAGTTTAGGGGTAGAATGTGACGTTGCCATCGTTACGACCCGGGTTCGAATCCCGGCTGATGCATTTTTTACAAAAATTTATTCTTTTACTTATATAAATATGAGACCCAAATCACAAAGACGATTACTTTTCCCATCTCCTAGCGTTTTAAGTGGTGCAGAGCGCGAGCCTCAAGTAAACGATTTTGAGTCCCTGAGCAAAAAAGCCTTAGGAGAAGGAGCTTTTGGTGAAGTTTATAAAGTCCGTCACAAAATCTCAAAAGAGCTCTATGCAATTAAGGTAGTTTCTAAACAAAAAGTTGTTTCAGCAAATTTACTCCCTCAGCTCCGTAGAGAAATAAGAATCATGTACAGTCTTAGCCATCCTCATATTGTCAAGCTATATAATCACTTTGAAGATGACAATAATTTCTACTTGGTATTAGAACTGGCCGAAGGTGGAACTTTATGGCAAAGGTTGGCAAGATTTAAAAGCTTTGATGAAGCTTCAGCAGCTCAATACATAAGGGAACTGATTTTAGCTTTAGAATATCTGCACTCAAGAGATCCACCAATTATTCATAGAGATATCAAGCCAGAAAATTTGCTATTGGACAAAGAAGGAAGAGATGGAAGAATAAAAGTTGCCGATTTCGGATGGTCGAATTTCTTCAACGCCGAAAGAACTCGTATGACTTATTGTGGCACATTAGACTATTTAGCACCTGAAATGATCAACCAGCAAGGCCACACAACAAGTTTGGATTTATGGAACTTAGGTGTTCTGCTATTTGAGCTGCTAACTGGAAGTGCTCCATTCCAAGCACCAACTCAAGCTGCTATGTTTGAAAAAATCCTCAAAGTGAGAGTCGCTTTTCCTAAGAATTTCCCGCCGTTAGCTAAAGATTTAATTTCAAGACTCCTCAGGGCTATCCCTGATGAAAGACTTTCTCTAATTGAAGTAATGAACCATCCTTGAATGCAAACACATCAGCCAATCAGACCTACAATGACTCAGACGGTCCAAAGGGAAGCCTTGCCTTGCCAACTTGAAGCAGGTGATGAAACTTCAGACATTGCTTCAGAAGACCCAATAAAACCTTTCCAAGAAACAGAATATAGAGTTTTATCAAAAATAAACAACCCAAGAGAAGAAGAAAAGAAATTAGAAGTTGTCCCGAGTCCACAAAACAAATCGCCTTCTCCTGTCAAGCAAGCCAAACAACAGGCCCCTTCAAATTTGGAAAACGAACTGAAACAAACTAGGGATGAAAATAAAAAATTCCAAGAACAAATTGATGATAAAGAAGCTGAGCTATCAAGAGTTAACACAAGGATTCAAGAACTAGAAAATATTGTAGCCAAGCTAGACGCTGAGTATGAAGATAAAAGGAAAATGGAAAAAAGCCTTAAAGACCAGCTTGCTGAAAAATCAAATAGGAATGCTGAGCTAGCCGAGCTGCAAGAAGATGAAAGCAAATTGTATACTGAATATGAAGGACTAAGAGCAAAATGCTTGGAAAAGGAAACGGAATTAAATTTGCTAAAGACAGAAATTGAGAATATGGAAAAATTGTCAAAAGAAAAAACTCAGCAAGCAAGCGATCTTGAAAGAGACGTTGATAGAGTTAAAAGTGATATCGACCAGACTAAAATGAAGTATAATAAGTCTAAATCTGAAATCCAAGAACAATTTGCAAAGATTTCAGGAGAAATAGATGAACTTCAAAGAAGCCTTGGGAATAAGGATAGAGACAGCTCAGTGGTTTCAGTTGAAGCTTTATTGGCATTCACACAAGAAAATTTGGACATTTTAAAAAATCGCGCTAGAGTTGAAAACGAGTTATTGAAGCAATATCAAGATGCGAATGAAAGGCTAATTCAACTTGATAATAAATATTCAGAAATGAGGCTGGCCTATGAAAATTATTTGAATGAACTCAAAAAACATAGCGTAAATAGAGAAGCTGAGTTTGGGAATATAAAGCCTGCAAATATTAATTCCCAAGGAGAATTAGAATCTATAAAAGACAGACTAAGAGAGTGTATTGGGAAGCAATACTCAAACAAGCTTCTTAATGAAGAATTAGTTCATTTACAATCCCTGGTTAACCAATATGAAAAATCATTAGGTCTCGCCAAGAAGCAAAGCCAAGATTTAGATTATTTAAGACAAGTTAATCAAAAGAAAAGCTCGAGCCAACAATATTATAAGAAATAACAATAATTTTATTAAGCATATGTCTTTATTTTTTGAGAACAAGAAAAATCTCGCCAAGAAAAAATTGTATCCAGGAAGGGATTTGATGTAATGAAGACTTAGAACTCCTGAAAATTTCAAAATCTTTTCTATATCTAAAGGGAATTCAGTTGAATATCCAAATCACCGAAGAATACAGTCAATGATGAATCCTAAATTTAATCAAGACATTATACAATCAAGGTTATTTTGCAAATACAGAAGCACAAAAAGCGATGCTGATCAAAAGCCTCGATATTCGAGGCCTTCGACACCAAACAAAATTCCTTATGAATTGATAAGTTTAAATAATAAACTAATTTCAATTCCGTTCACAGTAGGAAGTTTAAGGCCTCGAAGCGTTATGAAGGAGCGCCCAAAAACACCAGATAATAATAGTTCTTTTCAAATTGAAAAACCAACGGTACAAGCTAGACCAAGAAACATAATTTTAAAATACACTCTTGAGTAATTATCCTTCATTATTTAAATAATCCAAAATAGAAAAGCCAGACGATCTCTATTTTATATAAAAAATCAGCAATGATATTTAGATATATAGTATATTATTTTTCTTTAAAATTTTATATATGATGTGCTGGGCGACCTTTAATGAGATCGTCAACTCTAATAATCAGATTCAAAGGACTTTTTGCGTATGTATAATTTTGAGCACACAAGAGTTTGTAAGCATGAGAAAAAGCCTTTTTAGCCAAATCAATTGAAAAAGAGTTTCTTCCTAAATCAGTATCGACGTTTTGTGGACATTCAACACATAGATACCCAGGCTTATCTGACATATACCACTGTCTGCTTCTTTTATTGAAATAATACCCTTCTCCTTTTATTGAAATCCCGACATCATCATAATTAAAAGTATCTCCATAAAGCTGTAAAAAGTGAACTAGATAATGAGCCAATGTGTATCTTGAATAATATTTTCTGTCTTCTCTATGAGCAGGATGCATTTGCACTGAGCTAACTACCATGCAGAACAGTAAAAAACTTCCAATGCCCCCAGAGTATGTTTCATTTAAACCTCTTTGTTTTAAGAAATACTTCATGACAAAAACGATATATTTTACTTCAGGGTATCGATTGATATAATTCTTAACCACATTGATCCCTTCCACTCCATTGTCAATATTAAACGAAATATCTACCAAAATTCCAGTCGCTTTGTCCTTGATTTTCACGATAGGAACTTTCGCAGTTAAAATTCTTTCTAACTGGCTAGGTATTTTCAGCTGCAAAAGTTTGTGTGAGAAAGTGTTTATCAATTCGCTTGGCTCGTCGTCTGAATTTGTCATAATAACCATATCAATATCACTGTTAGGCATCCAGAGACCGCTGCCTAAAGAACCAAAGACTTGGACTTCGGCTCGTTCCCATAATTCTTTTGCCACATCAGTTAAGCGAGTAAGGACACTTTGTTGTGCTGCAATTTCTGATTCAGATGGCTGCATATAGTCATAGAAGTCAATAATCTCTTCGTGAAGCTGAAGTAGTGGATCTTCTAATTTTAGCGTATGGGATCGGATTCATGGAGGTGTCCGAAGTTCTTCTTTTACAGGCTTTGGAGGAGAGGAAGAGAGAAGAGGGATGAAATCTTGACTTTTTGATGGTGAGTTACTGGACGAACGTGAGCGGCTACGCTTTCTTGATTCTGTTTTAGAGGAAGAAAACCTTGAGTGCTTCTTTGGGGTATTATTCATTTTTTAATTATGAAAGCATCGGAAGAGATTCAGTTTAGCGGAATAATTTAATTAGATTTATAAAAAGCTACTTTTATGAAAAATGTTGTATCAATTATAATTTAAGCAAATAATTACAAATTAGTTTGAAAGCTAAAAATTTAATATGCAGGTCTTATATAGAAAGATTTTGAATGAATAGCAGAAAATTAGTTTGAATTTATAAATTTACTATGAGAAGAATAAAAAGAAAATTTATATCTTAATATGCATGATATAATATATTGAATTATAAAGAATTGCTTACTTAGGTTCTCAATGAAATATCTAGCAGTATAGACTGTTAAAACTAACCCCAAGGAGTAATAATATAAGAATGGAGCCAGAATCTAGCTAGCTATTGCAGATATTAGTCTGGGTTTAAGTTTAATCTTTGTAAGGAATGCTAATTTTTAAGCAATAAATTCCATACATTTGTATTGTGAGGGAGGATATCTAGCACGGGGCTTTTTTGGCTTGAAAGCAAGCCAAATAAACCCCGTGCTAGATATCCTCCCTAGCTAATATTTCCATATTATTTTTATTTCTTGCAGTGAATAAAAAACCCTCAAAAGAGTGTCAGCTATAGGGTAAATTTAATTAAGTTTTATATTTAAACTCTTGCACCACTTAGATGTTTTATTAGTTGCTTAAAGTGGCACAGGGAGCGATACTATAACCTCCTTTTCAACTTCAACGTCAAAATATATAAACCCTTTTTTTGGCGATAAAATTCCTCTTTACAAGCGTCAGGCTTTATTTCTCGTTGATAAATTTCAAGTTTCTATTATTGGATATAAATGGATAGTGATATTGACAAAGTCTTTAAATACTTCGATAAAGATTCAAGTGGCTACTTAGACGTAGCAGAGCTAGGTGATGCACTTAGATGCCTCGGTCTAAGTCCTTCCAAATCTCAGATTGATGAGTTGATGCAAAAAGCTGACCAAAATTCAGATAGAAAGTTAACGTTGAATGAATTCACTCGCATGTATCATGAAATAAAGGTCGATGCCAATGTAACTATTGAAGACCTGATCAAAGAATTCAAAGAATTTGATAGAGATAACAGCGGAACCATCAGTCTTAATGAATTAGATGAAATTCTTTGCTCGCAAGGTGAACCGTTATCCAAAGACGAAGTTAGAGAACTCTTGAATGATTTTGATAAAAACAGAGATGGAAAGGTATCAATTGTTGAGCTTGCAGCTGGGCTTTTAGCAAGATAAATAAGCCTATCTTATTTAATATAGAAATTAAAACCAAAATCAATCCTTTTCAGTTTATCAATCTCTTTTCGAATTTAAAAAAAAGTCTTGAAAATAATTTCTTAGAGTTTAAAGGCAATAATCCTTTTCTATAACTCAACATGTGAATTATGTATACATAGGATATAGGATAAAATATAAAAATAATAAAATAATAAAATATGAGAAGAGTTTATGCTTTCAACTTTGACTACTCTGGAAGGCTCTTTAGAAATTGACACATGTCTTTTACACTCTTTTCAACAATCGCATGACTTTTTCTCATTGTTCCTGCGATTTACTACAGAGGGTTTATAAGTTTTATCCTCTTTCTCAATTCAGGAAAGCTCGGATTGATTGTCGGCTTATATATCTTATGCTCAATTATCATGGCAGGATATGCTCTTTCGAAAAAATTTCTTTCATCAATTATTGGAGCTCTTAGCAATATTGATAGCAAGCTATTCTGGGACACATTTATCAATGAAAATATGCTTTTGCAGTATTATTTCATTGCTTTAGGGCAGACTAAAATAAATATTGCAGAATTGATGATTTGAGGTTTTATTAGCTTTTTCTATACCACATGCAAATCAATGCAAGGTGTTGTAAAGCTCAGGATCCAATCTAACAATGAAAAAAATCTCAAAATCCTTTTAAGCATTATTATCAGCTTGATAGCTATTTTTATGACAAATTTTATCTTAATTTTCCATTCAATTGGATTAAACCTTATACTTCTTGCAACCTATGAAGGATTTATAGTTCTTTTTGACTCAGCCTACACCCTATGCATACTTCACTATAAACTAATTCCAAATGAAATTAGAGATCTGAAACTCAAAATCCTCGAAAACTCCATCAGATGCATGCATTGGCTTCAGATAAGTTATTTATTTGGCAATTATTTTTCTTTTCACCCAATTCACCTTGTTACACTTATAAAGACTAATGGAATTGTAGCGGATATTTGCTCTTTAATTTCTAAATATTACCATTATAAAAAATCAGTTAAGACTTTTTTGAAGAAATATCCAGCTTTGCCAAAAGAGCAAATAGAAGAACTGCAAGATGAAAAATGCTGTATTTGTTTGGACACAATTTCAGTTGGAGTTTGTTGTAAAATTTCATGCAATCATGTGTTTCATTATGACTGTATAAGAAAACTTATGATGAGTACCAAAAAAAGAATTTGCCCGTTATGCAAGCGAGAATTTATGGATCCTGAAAACAGTGAGCCAAGGAGGAACTGAAGCTTATGGCCAAGATTTTTGCCGCAGTTTCATATCACTTTTAGCAGCATCTGAAATAATGAAGATGCCATAAGACAAATCAGAGAGATTCTTCCAAATGTGACCGAAGATATGATTAGAAACGAAATTAATAGGACTGGCTCAATAGAAGTTGCAATTGGAAATTTAATTGGAAATGTTTAATTATTTAGATAATTTAAATCTGAAGCATTTATTCTTTTTAAACTAGAAAAAAAAATCAGCTATTATTCACCTTTATGTATAATCCATGTAATTATGGCACGTAAGGCAAGTTTATCAAAAATATAATATTGATATGAATTTTTTCTTCATCATTTGATTCTTGAGTTCCCTTGTTTTCTCTCAACGGTTTTTCGTAATTTCAGATGTCCATCTCGATGTCCACTATAACTCTAGCTATGACACTTCTTTTCATTGCCACTCAACAAGACATGTAGAGTCCTCATATATCCCAACCCCAACAAATAATTCAAAAATTTATGGGCGATTAGGCTGTGACAGTCCCAAATCTCTACTGAAAAGTGCCCTAGAAGAAATGAGGCTTATAGATCCAAGCCCAGATTTTTTAGTCCTTCTTGGAGATTCAGTATCTCATTATGCTATGCATCTCCTTAATAATGAGAATGAAATTGACGTAAATTACAACAAATATTTGGTTCGGCAGACCATTGTGGATTTGACTAACTTGGTAGAAGAATTTTTCCCAGAGACTCAAATAATCCAAGCCATAGGGAATAATGATGGATACGAAAGATACCAAGCTCCAAGTGGGAGAGAAGGAGCAGAATATTTAGAATTTCTATATGAGCTGTGGAAGCCAAGTGCTATTGAGATTTCTGGAAGCTTTTATGATGGAGGATACTATAGGAGCTTTACAGGTTCAGGATACCATATATTAGCACTTAATACAAATTATTTGTCGTCACAGTCTGAAAGGAAAGAGGAATCTTTAGAGCAGTTAGAGTGACTGCGGGATGAGGTTGAAGAAAGTGATGGTGACGTCATTATTTTGTTGCACATTCCGCCAGGATTTTCAATGTATGATGGAGGAGAGCAAGGCTGGCACGAAGACTATTCAAAGATTTTCTTTGATATAGTTGAAAACAATGCGAGAAAAATAAAATATATTTTATCTGGCCATAGACACCTAGGCTCTTTCAAAGTGATCCCAAATGCAACAGTCCCATTTATAGTCAACCCTGCCATTTCTCCAATTTTCTTCAATAATCCAAGTTTCCGATATTTCAATGAATCAGACTATACAGACTTTATCTTCAATTTATATGATGAAGCCCCAAAATGAAAAAAGGAATATTCATTCAAGGAGTTTTTCAATTTGGAAGGACTTGACTTCATCCAAGCTTATTTAGAATTAGAAAGCGATGATGATTTATTGGAAAAATTCCTAAGTCATAGCAGAGGGCTTAGCAACGTCAAAACCCTTTCAAGAGACCAATTATGAACGATAGAGACTGGAGGAAATCACACAGAAATTCCAGATACATTAAGGAGAGTTGTACTTTGTTCAATGAAAACCTTTGATCAGGTTCATTTTAATTTATGCAAGAATAATGAGAATATATAATAATATTTATAAAAATGGCATTAAAAGCGACCCAAGAGATGTGCGCAGTTTGCTTTGATATGCTATTCGCTGCTCTTAGAAATCAGCCAACTGGATCTATTATCGAACGATTTTTTTTAACTGAAACTCAAGTTAATGCTCCATGCCCAATATTCGTTACGTGAAAAATAAACAAATCTGATGATCTAAGAGGCTGTATTGGCACTTTTGATCAAGGAACACGAATAGGTGATCTTTTGCCAAGATATGCACTTATCTCAGCTTTTAATGATACTCGTTTTGATCCAATATCTTTAAAAGAAGCTGAACATTTAAGCGTATCTGTAAGCTTACTAACAAATTTTATTCGAATAAAACATCCTTTAGATTGGGAAGTTGGAAAGCATGGAATTGAAATAAATTTTAGTGCCAAAGGCAAAAAATACTCAGCCACTTTTCTCCCTGAAGTTTCCAAAGATCAAGGATGGGACCAAGCTAGGGTTTGACCTGAAAATACCGCCATTTGGTATTTTCCGGAACTTTTTTGTCCTATTAAAAGAACGTAAAATTTCAAAAAATCTCCGTTTTTCCATGAAAATACCATATTGGAAAAAAAATTTTTCAAAAAAAAAGTTCCTGAAAATACCATATCATAAAATTTTTACCGATTGAACTACCTGAAAATACCATAACGGTGAAAAAAAAATCGATATCATGACAGCATAGTTTTAAACAGAGAAGCAGACAAATAAACCTGCATTCGAAGAGTAAATGGTCTCTTGTTTGCTGAAACGCAATAATAATTCCAACACAAATAAAGGGATTATATGCATTCCAATCATTATTGGCTAATAACCAATAAAATTTTTTTTCCTCAAAATCGCTGGAAAATACCGTCATAAAATTTTAAATTGTGACAAGCGCGATTTTAATTGTATGCTCAAAATAAGTATTAATGAGAGCCATATGCTACTAGAGCTAAGACAGCTATTATGGCAAGCAAACAAATTCAAAAGATATAACAATAGAGTGTATTTATATATATATAATATATATACATAAAATGGCGTATGGCGACCGACCCACCCTCCCAGTGGTGGTTACCCATGTATATCCGGGCATGGTTTTTGGAGCAGGGAATTAGCCCAACAACGTCCGGGACCTCGAAGCGAGAGGCCTAAGCGCGAGAACCGCTGTTTTTGCGACCAGACCCATGGGCAGTTATTCGTGACTTCTTTTTGCCAGCAGCGCTCAGCCCAGTGAGTGCCCGAAATGAGGCAGGGTGAATTACCTGCCTAAGCTGCTTTAGTGGCTCGCCCCGAATGGCGAAAGCTGTTGAGTTCTTTCTCGGATGACCGGAAAAGAGGGGAGGCGAGTTAGACATCGAGACGGGGGTCTCTCCAGTTGAAAAGGTGCCCTTCAATGGGCAGATCTGGCGGACGACGAAGCGGAGTTGGCGTAAACTTAGGCGACGATCCAAGTTGGAAATGGAGGTGGTCAGCAAAGCCGTATAAGACGGCCCTTGACAATACCTCTACCGAGAAACCGGGGGTTTCGGCCCGGGCTTGGTGAACGCTCTGCCACCACACGGGAAACCGTGGCATGCGACCTCGGACGTAGTAGGGACCTTAAATACCCAGCGTAATCTTAATCTTAATCTTAATCTTAATATATATATAAAATTATTTCAAAATTGCAGGAAAAAAACCAAAAATGTCTTTTTTTTTGTTGAAAAAATTCGCATGAAAATACCAATAGTAAATTTTTAAACGGTCCAAAATTCGCCTGAAAAACCGCTAATGGAAAAAAAAAATTTCGAAAAATCCATGAAAATACCAAATAGGAATTTATAATTAAATTCAATTAAATTTAGGCTCGACAAATTTATACGATATCATCTAAAGTCAAATTAAAGAAACTAAATTAAGTAGCATTGAAAACAATAGTTTAAAGTCGACTATATGAATAACATTACAGTAGCGTGTATCAATTTTTTCGACATAAATTAAATAGAAAATTTTTATTTTAGCTGTCTGCTAAGAACATACGAAACAGTGAGAAGTAGTTTAAGCAGCACTTGGCCAAATCAAATAAAAGGAGTGCTTTGAAGCCGCCTTTGTAAATTACCCATAGCTCAATTAATACAAGCCTATGAAAAGCATGATAAATGCATTTAATTCTGAATTGTAAAATCTATCGAGGTCAACTATAAGAATTATTGCAAAGTCAATAGTGTAAAATAAATTTAATTTCTCGATTTGGCAGCTTATATCCTCTAATAGTGAACAAAAATAATAATCTATTGAAGTGAAGGAAAAAATTCAAGTATTTAAAATGAAACCTTTAGAATTCTATTTTGAGAAACTCAAGGAGTACGCTATAGACAATAGCAGTGAAATCGATTAGTTTTTACCATTAAGATAAAACATCAAAATGTTTAGATATCAAATTCGTTTAAATAACTGCTTCATGTTTTTTATATTAAGTAATTTAATGCTTTTTATGAGGCTTATAAAATTCTATATAATAGTAAATAGCTGAACGTTTTATGCATCCTTTATATTGAAACTTTATAGATATTTTGAGATCAGAAGAAAGTGCAACAGCCTGACGAAAAAACTCATTTGATGACAATGAATGGCGATCCAAAATGGCTATTTGGTCTATATGGCAGAGGAACTTAAGATTTCAGAGTATATTATGTTGGAAGTGATAGAAGCTTGCATGGATTTATTATAAATTCAGTATGTACAGATCCAGTAAATCCAACTGAAATATTTAGTGATGGATGAGTAGCATATAATCAACTCCCTACAATTGAATATCTCCATTTAATTGTGTACCATAATCAGCTTTGGCACTGGAAGGTTCACAACCAACAATATAAAAAATTTATGAAGCAGAATAAAGAGGCTAAGGGCTTATAGAAAACGATTCCACCCAAGAAATGAAGAAGAGCTTGAAGATTGCCCTATTTTTTTACTGGCTCTTAAAGCATAGGTCTATTACTGAAAGAATTGATATTTTAATCAAAATCCTTAACTTCTAAACTCTTTAATAGTTTAAAGATTTTATTATTAAGTTTAGATATAGTAATTGCCCGAGGATGGCGCTATCTTGCGCCATCCTCGGGCAATTCCTATAGTTCAATATTAGAAATTGCCACTTGTCTATTTTTTCTTAATGGTAAAAAACTAATCGACGTCACTGCTATTGTCTATAGCGTACTCCTTGAGTTTCTCAAAATAGAATTCTAAAGGTTTCATTTTAAAGACTTGAATTTTTCCCCTTGACTTCAATGGATTTATTATTTTTCTTCACTATTAGAGGATGAAAGCTATCAAGCCGAGAAAGAAACTTCTGAAAGTTATAGCTGTACAAGACAATGTGCATTAGTTTGAAATTCAACATGCTGCTATCTACCCTTGCTATTTCTGCTTTTAGCTGTTGTCTCTCCAGTTCATATATCTGAAAGTCTTCAATAGCGTGACGCTCATCTTCGGCAGCACCACAATTTTCCTCATGTGCGCAGTGCAGCATATGAGTTGAACCCAACCCTTAGCCTATGTATTAGATAATAAATAGAACGGCTTGGCCAACTTTGTGTTGGATTTTTTGCAGCTTAAACTACTTCTCACTGTTTCGTATGTTCTTAGCAGACAGCTAAAAATAAAAATTTTCTATTTAATTTATGTCGAAAAAATTGATACACGCTACTGTAATGTTATTCATATAGTCGACTTTAAACTATTGTTTTCAATGCTACTTAATTTAGTTTCTTTAATTTGACTTTAGATGATATCGTATAAAATTTGTCGAGCCTAAATTTAATTGAATTTAATTATAAATTCCTATTTGGTATTTTCATGGATTTTTCGAAATTTTTTTTCCATTAGCGGTTTTTTCAGGCGAATTTTGGACCGTTTAAAAAATTTACTATTGGTATTTTCATGCGAATTTTTCAACAAAAAAAAAGACATTTTTGGTTTTTTCCTGCAATTTTGAAATAATTTTATATATATATAAAATACACTCTATTGTTATATCTTTTGAATTTGTTTGCTTGTCATAATAGCTGCCTTAGCTCTAGTAGCATATGGCTCTCATTAATACTTATTTTGAGCATACAATTAAAATCGCGCTTGTCACAATTTAAAATTTTATGACGGTATTTTCCAGCGATTTTGAGGAAAAAAAATTTTATTGGTTATTAGCCAATAATGATTGGAATGCATATAATCCCTTTATTTGTGTTGGAATTATTATTGCGTTTCAGCAAACAAGAGACCATTTACTCTTCGAATGCAGGTTTATTTGTCTGCTTCTCTGTTTAAAACTATGCTGTCATGATATCGATTTTTTTTCACCGTTATGGTATTTTCAGGTAGTTCAATCGGTAAAATTTTATGATATGGTATTTTCAGGAACTTTGTTTTGAAAATTTTTTTTCCAATATGGTATTTTCATGGAAAAACGGAGATTTTTGAAATTTTACGTTCTTTTAATAGGACAAAAAAGTTCCGGAAAATACCAAATGGAGGTATTTTCAGGTCAACCCATCAAGCTACTACTCTTGTTAACTTGTTTAGAAAAGCTTGCTACATGTCTTATAAACAAAGTCCTCTTGAAATTATACAAGAGATTTCTCCTACATTAAATGTAAAAACATATCAAAGCTCAAAACAATCAATGAGCTATGAAAATTATCAGGCTTATCGAAGTCTACAAACGTAATTATTAATGGAAGTTTATTTATATGTTTTTAAGAATATATTTTTGACATATAAGTTAATTTTTAATTTTTTTAAATTAAATAATGCTTATTTGCTTTAATTAAGTATATATTTCTGGGACTTTTAAATATATCCCATCATCACTCGAGTGGTCAGATTCTAAATCTTCTTCAGTTAATCTCCATATTTTGATAGTCTTATCAGTGCCACCACTAACTAGCTCAGTCTCAAAACCTCTGATTGGCGTCATACAGTTAATTGAAGACACATGACCAGCCATTTCTCCTACGCATCGCAAATTTCTTCCACCTTTCCATACACGGATTTTTCCTTCTTTTCCAGCACTATATATAAATTTCTCATTTGGCTCTGTCGCAAGACAGTTAATCCAGTCGGTATGGGCTGAGAGAATAGTTGGATATGGACTTTCACCAATAAGATCCCATCTTCTCATATTTTTATCTCTGGATCCAGATATTATTGTATTATTATAAATAGCCAAGCTTGTCACTGCATCAAAATGTGGAGGCTCATAAGTTCTCATTGAGTCATAAGTCTTCAAATTGATCCTGCCAACTCGATGGTTTCTGCTTCCATAGTATAAAATATTTTCCTTTACCAAAATCTGGAAAATATCTTGATTGTTTTCTTTCTCCTGTATAGGAGTATTATATCTTCTCAGATCCCATATAAAGATGCTTCCACTGGAATTAGATGACTTGCCAGCACTATAAAGATAATTATCTTTAACTTGCAAGCATTTTAATTCTTCATTGTGACCTTTTAATAATGAAACATTTTGTAATGAAACAGAGTCCCAAACTCCGATTTCTTTATTACACCCTGAAAAAATCAGGTTTTTCTCAGATGAATATGCAATAGATTTAATAAAAGATGGATGAGCTAATACTTCTTTTATGACGCCAAAGGTGTCTAGTGATCATATTTTGAAAGTTTTATTTGAAGCTGTGTATAAAATATTTTCATGAGCTGTCATCCCACATACCGCACCTGTATGAGCATCAATACTACGAAGGCAACTCCATTTCTGCGATAGGCTAAATAAGTTGCTTGATATTTCTGGCTGATTCGCTAGACCTACTCTTTGAGAGTTTGATTTTTGCAATCTTTTCCAAACAGACTCATCAGTAAAGTTTTCAGTGAAAGTTCTGGAGAATTTTGCTTTTAGCAGTGATCCGCCATGGAAACTTTGCCTGGGCCTTTTAAATTCTTCTTCAATTTCCAACGGGGTATCTTTCTTCATTTTTGCTTGCTCACGAGCTCTTGCTAAAGAAGTGATTGTATTTGTAGAAGACCTCGGCCTCAATTTCATTTCATCTTGAAGCTTGGTTTCAGCATTTTCTTTGAGTTCTAAAAATGTGGCTTTTAATTTTGTATATTTTACAAGTAATGTATCATATTCTTTTTTAAGCTTTGAGTAAGCTAATTGGCCTTCTTTTTCTTTGCTTTCTAGTTCACTTATTCGTGTTTCTGACATTTCAGAAGTATCTAATGACGATTTCATTTCCAGCTCTTCGATGAGCTGACTAATTCTTTCGTCATATTCTCGCCGGATTTTGATAATGATTTGTTCGTGATGTTTTTTCATTATTTCTTTATCATGGATATTTTCTGATAAACTTTTTGTCACTTTCTCGATTTCTTCTTTTTTGCTATCAAGGATTTTGGAGACCTTTTTAGCTTGTGAGGCTTTGTTTATAATATCATCAAATAGAGCTTCAATTAAATAGTTTGCGTCTTCTATTGAGTGAAGTGTAAGGGACCGTGATTTAATTGCTTCGACTTCAGAATTTGCAAGTTTCTCTGATATTCCTAAAATTTTTTCTTGTTTGAATCTTAATTTTACTTCGAGGTTTTCGAGTTGTTCTCCAAAATCATTTAAATCGCTTTTACTCTCTTGGATTTGGTATTGCAAATCTAATTCATCATTCGCTGAATCAGGATCTTCAATAATCATTTCAAGTTTTTCAATTTTAAGCTTTGTTAAAGCATATTGCCGGTTTAAATTTTTTATTTCTTCTTCTATTTTCTCTTTTTCAGTGCTATCAGCCTGCAATTCAGCCCTAAGCTCTCTTTCTTCTACACAAGCATCGGCAAACTCAGCAACCCAATTTATCAAAGTTTCTTTATCCTCCTTAAAATGGGTGTTTTTTCTTCTTAAAGCAATTTCTCTTTGCCTTTTTTGTAGCGCTGAAAGTTCTTCACTTTTTCTTTTCGCCACAATTTCTTTTTTTCTATTATCACTCTGAAGCTTGAGAATCTCTTGGTCTTTTTTTAAGTTAATCCTCTTTAGCTGTAAAAGTTCTTTTTGTCGGCTTGTTTTCCACTTTTGATGAGCTTCTGAGTCCTCCTTAATTTTCCTTAATAAAGAGACTCTTTGTTGCTTTGCTTTTGTGATTTCATCAGCAAGTTTTGTTAATTCCTTTTTTTGTGTTTCTACAACTTTTGATAACGAAGCTTGCTCTTTCTCTTTTGAACGGTTTTCTCTTACTCCCCCCCCTTCCGTGAGTGAACAAAAAAATTTTGTTCACTCACGGGGGGTTAATTTATTATTTTTAAAAAACATTATAAAAAGTTTATAGAAAATATTTTTTTTTGAAATTTAAAAAAATCCTAATTCGCAAAAATTGGAAAGCAAATATTAATTTAATTTAGAAAATTTATGTTTTAAAACGCAATTTGTTTAAAATTAAACAGAATTAGCTCTAAATTTCATTATACTAATTATCACTTATATATCAAATTTTTTTTCCATAAAAAATTTTTCTATTAAAAAAAATTTTTGTTCACTCACTGAGGGGGAGTTAGCTTTTCTTCAAGCTCTTCTATTTTTAGTTTGAATTTCTCTTCAGCGTTTTGCCTGTCTAACGCAGATGCATTTTTCATTTTTTCTGAAACTCTGGCTCTTTCATTTTGGGTTGTTTGAAGCTCGCCTTCTAACTCTTCGATTTTCATATAATATTGCTGGGACATTTCGCTGACGAGTTTTCCTTGTAGTGAACGAAATACATCTTCAATGCTTTTAAGCATTTCTTCTTTCTCTTTGAGACTTTTGTCAACTTGCAACAATTCTTCATGCTCGACTTCATTTCCAGGCTCAGGGCTTTCAGCATTTTCAGTATTCTCTCCTTCTATGATTTCTTCATTTGCTGTGGATGGAGTATCTGGGTTATCTAGCTTTGCAAAAAGTGATTCCGCAAAGAGCTTTCCATAATTATCAACGTTTTTCATCATAAGCTCTTCTACATTTTCTATAACTATTGGAACAGTTCCTTTCTGTCTTCTTAATTTTTCTAACTCTTCAGTTTTAACAGCAAGTAGCTCTTCATCTTTTTCGTATTGCTTTGTTAAAGTATCGAACTCTATCCTCAGGTCCCTTAATCTCCTGTCCTTTTCGTTTATTGCAGTTCTTAAGTTTTCAATTTCCAATGAGTATTCTTCAAGCAAAGTTGGAAGACCTGTTTCTTCTGGAATTTCTATCTGGTTTTTCCTTAATATTTCAGTATAGTTTTCCAATCGAAATTTGTAAATGTCCCTTTCCTTTTTATATTGCATAATTTCTATAATATTGCTATTTGTTGAAGATTTTGCGTTTTCCAATTCATTTGTTAATTGTTTTACCTTTCTTTCTAATTCTTCGCATTTCAGCTTGATCTTTCTTTCATCATCATTATTTTCTTGGAAATTCCCTGATTTCATACTCATTAGTTCTTTCTTAATTTCTTCGTTATCGTTTAGACTCAAAAGCCTTTGGTAATTTTTAATTTCTTGTTTTGCAGATAAAAGCTCTTGCTTAAGCTGTGCTATAAGTGCAGACTGAGGGTCTCTATTGACAACTGGCTTATTTTTGATATGCCTTGCTCGGCTTGCGTATTTTAATGTGTTTAATGTTTCATCGAAGTTTATTTCGGCTGGCGAAATACAAGCGATCATGAAGGTTTTTGCATTTCCTCCAAGTGAGTCTTGGAGGATCCTAGTTAATTTAGAATCTCTATAATATAAGTTTAAATATTAAGATTTTACACGGCAATAAGTGGGCATCCCACTAGCTGGATTACTGACTCCATGAAAGGCGGCTTAGGCTGGACGCATATAATCTGAGTGCAAATGGTGTGAGCCAAACCAAAATTCCGCCATCTTGAATTTTCTGGCGAGTCTCGCTTAACCTGAGGATTAGCTCCCTAGGTTAGGGCCACCCTCTGTAGTGTGCCCGATAGTCCCAATTGATGAAGTCTATGTGAGAGGCAAAACCTGTCTAGCTCATATGGCAGGGACAAGGAAATCCTTTGGGGTAGAAATAAAACTTCCCTCTGAAGGCCTACTTCAAAAGGGACAGAGGCCCTGCTTTCAGTTTCATCATGATCGGCCCTACCTGCTCCATAGGGAGTGCACCTCGGAATATGCTTATTCTTTTTGCTTTCTTCAGTTAAAGCGCTGATAACATTCCCAAGACATAATAGTCCTTTATTGATATTAATACCTTCCTTTAATGTTGCGCCTACAGCCCCAGTTCTTTTGGCTCTTTCACTGCCTGCGAGATCCACAAAATGGAATTTGGCGCATTTATGGTCTTCATCACTACCCTCGTCAGCATTTTCCTCACTCCCCCTCCTTAAGTGAGCAAAACCATTGGAAAAATCCCTATTTTTGCTTTAAAAACCCTATGAGCGAACAAAAAATTTTTATGAAAAAAATTTGATATATAAGTGACAATTAGCATAATGAAATCTCTATAATTTTAAACAGCTTGCATTTTAAAACATGAATTTTACAATTTAAATAATATTTTGCTTTCCAATTTTTACGAATTGATTTTTTTTAAATTCCGAAAAAAATTACTATATAATTTATAGATAAATTTTTAATACAAAAATTAATCTCTCTCATGATCGAAAAAAAAAATTTTTGTGTCGCTCATAGATGGGGAAGTCAGAAATTCCAGTTTGCTCAATATTTATTGTAAAAATAGCATGTGATCTGCTGCTTTGAGCATTCATGAGTGTACTTGAAGTGCATCTTTGCATGCTTCCTTGATTTAAGCATGTAATCATTTCATCGAAATTTGTGACAGTTTCTTCATGAAGTCCTGTCAAGATAATACTTCCTTTATCTTCTCTTATAGAGACAGTTTTTTCAGGAACCATACTATTAGCACCTAATAAGTCATGTATCTCTTCATTATAAATTTCTAAGAAGCTCACTTTTATTACAAATTCTACCTTTGTTTTTCTGACATCGACTTCTTCAAATATCTGATGGATAACTCTAGGGATGATCCCAAGCTCCTCTTCTAGCATATTATGGCTTTGGCCAGTTCCCATAGTATGAGTTTTCCCGCTTCCAGTTTGCCCATAAGCCAATATTGTTGCATTATAGCCTTCAAAGCAAGAAAGAACTAAATCTTTTGCACATGAGCTAAATACTTCTATTTGTTTTGAATCCATCCCAAAAATTCTATCAAATACAAATTCACGATCTTTGCCCATTATTATGGTATTACGGTCATGATCACAAGTAATACAAATTTGGGGCGAATTAATTCTTTCCGTAGCATTCAGGGGACGAACACGGACTGCAACATTTACAGAACTAGAACTCTCCGGATCATTGTTACCAGAGTTTTGATCCATATTTAAATTGGTAAGAAAATTAATAGGTGAATAATTGATTATGATTTAGTGAGATATAGAGATATTAAAATTCTTCAAAAAATCAAAAATCGAACCTTTTTAATATAAAATTGCACAATTATTTAATTATCCCTGTACATTATTTGTCTTCATATGCAGGTCTCTTCTTGAATTTATTCTGGAGCTTTTTTATAGCATTAATTGCTTTAAATTTTAAATTTTCTGCTTTATCTGCTACAGAGTGAGCTACTTGTGCAGCTTTTTCCTTCATAATTTCTCCTTTGCTCTCCTTTATTTTGTTTCCATTGTTTCCATTAAAAATCATATCACTGCTGATAGCTTTTGCGTTTGCATATAGCGCGAGTCTTTCTTTTCCTCTATTATTTTCCCTTTTATCCTCAAAATCATCTGAAGAAAAAGCTTTTTTCTCAATCTGCTTCTTTTCAGCTTTGACACAAACTGGCTGAATCATGTTTTCATTTGAATCTATAATTTGTTTTGCTGGAGCTATTAGTGGTAGAGGGTCAGAAAATAGTTCTTGCTGCTCCTGAGACTTAAATACAACAGGCTTGAAAATAAAATCTGAATGAATTTCTTCATTTTTTATTTTTTTAAATTTATGATTTGAAGTATTTTGTGGCAGCGCTGGCTTAAAGATGATTGGCTTGATGTCTTGTTTTTTCTCTTCATTATTATTAGTAATGATTATAGCTGTATTGGTATTGTCACTTTGGGTAATTTTAAGAGGATGCACACTATTAACTTCTTTAGCAAGCTCATTTTTTCATGATGTTGCAATATTTGATGTATAGTCTATTTTATTTTCATTGTTCATTATATTGAAGTAGTCTCTGGCTTTTTTGTTTCCGCCATACTCAATATAGCATAATTCTCTGGGCGTCCATAAGTCAATATCAATAGATTTTAAATTTGTCTGGATTGGAAGTTTTTTATGATCAGAAGCACAAGAAGTGCATAAAAATATGCCAAAAATAGTTGAAAACCATTGAGGATTTTTAATATTACAGTCAAAGCAACGTTGGTTTTCGAGAAGTTGCTTGTATCTTGAAATTATAATGTCTGAATACGATTTATCGAGCTGAGTATCAGGATCCATCTTTTAAATTATATTAGATCAGTATGGCAATTAAATAAAGCCTAGTTTCGAAATAGAAAGTTCTATTCTTATATCAAATAAGTTATGATGAAAAATAATTAAGAAATGCTTGCAGATTTAATGAGATTATAAAAAATAGGAATTCTGCTTCTTAAAATTGCAATTAATAAATCTGGATGATTTATTTGAAAACTGCAGAAATTTTTATGAAAAATTAATAATCAAAATAATTTTCTAGATAGAACAGTAAAATCGTTTTATATTTAATTTGAAATGTTTAGATTAAAAGAATGAAGTTCTGAAAGTTCAATATATTAAATTAAAGTTTATCATATGACATCATAATTATTCCTATTTCCTATTATTAATCGCACTCTATTAATTCACAAATTTTTAAAACTGTTCTTAGAGAATATACTGGAATGGTTGGGTTTTGCTAATTATTTGCATCTCATTTTAAAATTTTCTTTTACTTGGATCTCAAAATTAAAATAATTAAGCAAAAAAATATGAGATTTAAAAATTGAGCCAAAGATATATAAGTATTCATCCAGTAAAAATAAAAATGCTATTTATGAATAAATGTTAATCTAACGATATGGTAATTAGATATTCATACGGCCTTAATGATTGTTATAATAATAAAGATGTCATATAGGTTCGGTTGGCTAAGAGAAAGGTCTCGCTCACCCATTCGAAGACCTCAAAATCACTCAAATAACCTCCCAGCCACATTTCCAACACAAAAATTTCACAATGACTTACCAGAATCCAAGTTATTCAAAGAAATCAGATCCACAGAATCCAAAGATTCTCCCTTTCAAGCTCCATGCAAGCAACTCTTAGAGATGAGAAATCACCAAGAAGTTAACCTCCCAGCCAAGCAGCTATGCTATGAAGAATGGAGAATACCAACGGCTTGCCCTTCCCCTTCTCAATCCACAGATACAGCTTGCCATTCCCCTTCTCAATCCTTAGATTGTGAAGATAATTTAATATGGTCCGGCTTTTTATCCCGTTCAAAGAAATATAAAGTAGGAGTAGACGCTAACTTACTTAAAGGCTGCTTTGAACTCCCTTCCTCAGTGTATCATTTAGATATACCTTTTAGATCACCTTTCCCAGTAAACAAAAAACCTATTGCTTTGCTAAGACTTGAATCTTCTAATAATACACAAGACGATTTATTTAAAACTTACATTGAATATTTTTCTAATAAACATCGCGCTGGTTATGCTCCTCTCGGGAAGCAAGGTATTTATATTATTCCTTATGGAAATTTCGCTAAGTCTTTATATCCTAATATAGAGCAGAATCAGATGCTTGGATTTGTTGTTGACGCGTCCACTATGGAAGATGTAGAGTAATGAGTATATAATTCTAACTATGTTTTAATTAACCGTGCTTTTAGTGTATTGAATATTTTAAAAATGATAATAAAAATACTGATTTCTTCTTTTCTCCTTATTTAAATTTAATCGCTTTTAGCTAAATCTAATTTTTGTTTGAAGCTGGGCAACCTATAACTATATTAAATAAGATTGGATGAATTAATATAATAATTTCATCTCTTAACTTATGCCAAATAATATTAAGGCTGTATGAAACTGGAGACCTGCTGTTGGCATTAATTATTATAGAGAAGTCCCCTGGCTAAATTTGACTGGGTCTACCTGACTCTACTGGCAGTTTGGCTCTTCTTGACAGTCTGGCTCTCATCTCAGTTTGGCAGTCCTGCTTACTGGCAGTCTGGTCTACTGGCAGTCTGGCCTACTGGCAGTCTGGTCTACTGGCAGTTCGGCTATAACTGGCTCTCCGCGGTTTCAAATCCTACAGATTTTCGAGGACGGGCCTGCTCTCCATGTCACTTTTTGTATCACTAGAGACCTACCAAAAGTGACAGATATTTATATTCGCCATCTCATATCTATGCATCGCAGGAAGACACTCTTGCCTAGAAGGCTGGTTCATGGTTAAATCTGATGTTAATGACGATCTTAATTTTTCAGGAACTTGGCTTGGAGCTATGGACTCAACTTACTTATTTTGTTACGCTATAGGGAATTATATAAGCGGAGTCCTCGGAGATTTATTTCCTATCCATATCGTTGTTCCTAGTGGAATGATCTTAGGAAGCCTATGCTACTTCATTATAGTATTTCTAGGATATGCAAATTATGGCAATCCATATATCTTTGTCATTTTATTTGGAATGATAGGTTTCTCTTTATCTACAGTTTGGCCTTGCACAGTTTCTTTAATGGGTCATTGATTCTCAAGAAAAAACACAGGAAAAATTTTAGGCTTATGGAGCTCAAATTCTCAGGTTGGGAATATTTTGGGTGCTCAAATGGCAACTATTATTTTATCTCTATTAAACTCTTCATGGGAAATTGTTATAATTGTAACTACAATTTTTCTGCTATCTATTGGGGTTATATTTTTCTTCACTGTAAAAGAAAGACCTGATTCAAAATGGCTGCAAAATCAACAAGTTTTGTTAGATGAAGAAAAAGATAATAGCAGTCAGGAGCAGCCTTCACTTTCTTTTATTCAAGCATGGATGCTCCCAAGAGTTGCAGTATATGCATTGACTTATGCTTGTGTAAAATTGCTTAACTATTCTATGCTTATGTGATTGCCTTTTATATTAGACAAACACATCAATGTCAACAAGAACTTAATAGGGGCCATGGCAAATTTATACGACATCGGAGGCTTGGTAGGTGGCTTTATATTTGGATGAATCACAGATAGACTTGGCTATAGAGCTCCGACTATATGCTCAATGCTTTTAGGAGCCCTGCCTATTTTTGGGATAATTCAGCTGATGACTCCAAGCACTTGGTGGATGTTCTTTTTCATAACGTTTTTATTGGGATGCCTTGTAAGTGCTTCTGATAATTTAATTTCAGGAGCAGTTGCTATTGATCTTGGAAGAGGAGAAAGTATCCAACTAATGCTGAGAATCACAATATAAGGAATTATTATTTTAAAAATTTATTCAAAGATAAATAGCATAGTATTGGAAAAGATGAAAACGCTGTTGCTAAAGTTACAGGAATTATCGATGGCACTGGGGCGCTAGGTGCAGCGAGTGGGCAGATTTTTATTGGATACTTATCGGATATAGATTGAAGCTTTTTATTTGCTTTTATGCTTTTAGTAAACATCTGCGCAGTCAGTTTACTAGTTAAATATGCCATAACAGACACAAGAAGACTGAGAGAGAGAGAGAGAGAGATTAGTTAGAGAGGTTAAGCGGGATTATTTCAGCCCCTAGCCAGTCGGACTTCAGCTTCGTGCTTCATGTGGCACTAAGCACTAAAGCCACCTAACGCTCTTTTTCTTCGGAGCCATCAAAAATGGTGACGTCCTCAGTCTGTCGGGAGAGACTCACCCGACCCTGCTGGATCAAAAATTTCGGCAAGGACTCTCTTAACCCCTGGTGGTGCTCAAGGTATGAGAGGATCGTCCATTGTCTTCTTCTGGAACCACCTGTGCCATTCGCAGGCACCATAATGCTCCTCCAGAAGTGCTTGATTGATGTTGCGCCGTCGGTATCTTGTCTGTGGGTCGAGGGGAAGCCCAGTCAGCCCAAGCCTGCACCCCACCCCGGAGAATTGCCATCTGCGACCCCTTGGCCTTCCGGCCGTTTTATTTTTTTTTTTGCACGGCCGAATTCTGGGATTTTTTTTGCTGTCGCCGAGCCAAAATGGATTTCCATCTTGCAAGATGGAAATTCTAAGAAGACTGAAGAAAGAAAGAAAAAATAGTAGTTAAATTCACATAATAATTCTCTAATAAAATCAGCTTTGAATAGTCCATAAAATGACTTCAATAAAAGTTGAAAATCTGAGAAGAGACCCACTGTACACTGCTCAGCAATATCCAAATTTTATGAAAAGAAAATCATTGTTAAGAAAAACCTGAAACAAGCCAAGATCTCTTAATTGCTCTTTTGATATCAATTCAGCCCCTTACCCATCTCAATCTGAAACACCGCAACAATTGATTATTGAAAGCAACGGGAGAGTTATAAAAAAGCCAAATTTGCTGCTTGATTATCTATGGGAGCAATCTTCTGCTTATGACGATTCTATTGACAGGCAATCAAAGTTCATGAATTTATTACCACCAGATGCCATGATGACAAATGGGAGTTATCACCAATCAGCTTTTCCTCGCTCACCTTTAAGTGGAGACTGAATTGATAGGAACTCAAATCGACGCTATAAATGCCTGTCACCAATAAAAACGAAAGTAAGATCCAAAAAAATAACTTCTGGTGAGGATATCAAAGGAAAAAGATACTCCAATTTGCAGCTATTTTTGAACCAAGAAGAAGCAAAAGTTGTTTGCAATAAGTGCGGAAACTCAAAGTGCCAATGCAAAGTTATAGACGAAGTCTGTGAAAAAAATTCAGAATTTCTTACTAAAAGAATGAAAAAATTCGAGGAATTGAGAAAAGAAATAAAGACATCAATTGTTTTGTATAATGTGCAGGCGCCAATTAAAGAGGAAGAGAGGGCGCAAACGGTGTCTTTGAAAAAGAAAATTGATAATTATGCAAAAACAAGACACTTGTTTGAGACAGTGAAAATCCCGCGATATGAAGAGGGAACTGTATTTGGGACTACTTTGACACTCCATAAGAAAAATAAAAGCGAAAGCACCTAAATAATTAAAGTAACAATTTTGCATTAAACTAAACAGCAGCTCTTGTCAAAACTATGAACTGTTTTGCCAATAAAAGTGAAAATCATATATTTTTCGCCATTTAACAATAAACTTGACTATTAATTCCACAAGAGTGACTATGAATAAAAAAGAGCTTTGAGTCCTTGCTCCATTAACTGTTGCTATAGTTGCTGTGAGCTCAGCAGCTGCAGCATTTGACGAAATAACTTCAGTTTCTGCATTTATGAAAGCCTCCTGGAGGTTGCAAGTTACAGCTACATTTCAGCTTATCCCTTTATCTTATGAGTGCTATAAGAATTGATACGGAGTTCTTGATATGTGAAAAGCTAATTGGCGTTTAATTGCTTTGTCAGGTCTCTCTTTATCCCTTCATTTTACTCTATGGTGCTGGAGTTTGGAATTGACATCAATGGCTCATTCACTTTTATTCGTATGCACTTCGCCTTTGATTATTGTCGTGGTATATTTGATTTTATGCAAGCCAATTCATATCAAAGAAATCATCGGTGTCATCGTTGGCTTTGTCGGACTTGCTTTGACTATACTTGAAACTACACAAGGTGGGGATGCTACATGATATGGAGATTTAATAGCTATTGTTTCTGCTATGGCTGTGACACTTTATTTCTTTATAGGAAAAGCAATGATGAAGCAAACAATCTCTATTTGAGTTTATTTAACACCAGTCAATTTCCAGGCTGCAATTTGGTCGTATGCTCTTGCGCTGCTAATAAATAATGAAGACCCAGGGCGCTTTGTCCAATGGATTTATACAAGTGATTGAGTGTGGGCTTTGTATTTAGGAATTGTTCCTGGGATAATTGGTCATGGGATACTTAACACTTTATTAAAGCATGTTTCTGTGCTTATTATAACGGTTTTTGTAAATTTCGAGCCAGTTATTGGAACATTTATTGGGTGACTTGCAGGATTGCAAGGACCTCCTGGAATTTTTACTTATATTGGAGGCGTAATAGTGGTAATTGGAAATATTATTGTTACCCTTGCAGGACAAAATAAAGAAAGTGTGGAAGATGAAACAGAAAACCAACAAATTGCTTCTTCTGAGAGAGAAGAAGTATAGACCTTATTTAATTTTAAAAATAAGCATATGATGACATTATTTTAGGAAATGAGATAATTCTCACTTCCTTATAAGGATAAAAACTCAATATGCGCTACATAATTTTCTCGCGATGATACGAATCCATTATTTTTATTTAATTCTTTTAACTATTATCTGTGATGAATAAAAGATACATGATTTTTTATGATTTTTCATATTTAATATAATTAAATAATATAGATTCCATGTGGGCAAAAGAAATATTTTTGGGGACAAAAGACAGCCTGAATTATTTTCAAGCAGCAAAAATACTAATGCGCTCAAAAGATATCCACAAGCCATTAATCTTATCAATCTGCTGAACTGGTTTTGTATTCCTCGGATCATTGCTTTGTTTCAGCTTAATTTTAGATCCCCTCTTGCAGATCTATCCAAGAATTGAAAGGCTTTTTACAATTTTTTACTATATTTTATGGCTGTTTCCTTTATACTTCATTTGCTTTATCCTTAACACATTTTGCTATGCCGATATAGCCCTTTCTGCTTTTCAGCAAATTCATGGTCAGCCTAAAGCTACAGCTTTATCAATATCAAGAAGAATTGCATATGAAGCTCATAGAGGATTAATTATAGGGATTTATGTAATGGAAGTCACATTTATATCATTGCTTCCTTTTTCAGAGATTTTAGATTTATTCTTACTGAGTTGGCTTTATTCATTTTATTGCTTTGAATATAGATGGGCGCTTGAAGGAAAAACGATCAACCGTGAAATTTCGATAATCGAGCATAATTCCTTTTATTATTTTGGATTTGGTCTACCTTTTGCACTGATAACGTTCTGATTTCCAGGTCTGATGGGTAATGGATTATGGCTTTTGATTTTCCCAGTGTTTATGGTAACAGCACTCATATCTAAGCCGCCATCTGAAAAGCACACTGTAAGAATTCCACTTTTTAAATTCGCACATAGGGTATCAAGTACATTGGAGGTATTTTTGTTAAAAAAATAATAAAATAAGATAAATTGAAAATAAAATCTCCTCAATCCACCAAATTAATAAGCAAATTCTTGCCTATTCGTTTAGAGTTTTCGCACAATATTTTTAAACAGTAAATTTTATATGAATAGATCGAAATTACTTATTATTGGGTGATTTTTAGGTAACTTCAAAATACAAATTTTTGGCATTTAACCCCAATAATAGTCAAATTTTGATCTATTCATATAAAATTTACTATTTGAAAATTTTATGCTAAAACCGCCACGAATAATAAGCAAGGATTTGCTTATTTCTCAGGAGGGAGTCAGTAGAAATTATTTTTAATCATTATTAATAATAATAAATTTCAGATTGATAAACTAAATTAAATTAACTGTCTTGTTTAAAGTAGGCCTAAGATTTACACCTCTATAAAATCACCCGTCGTAAAAGATGCCCACCTGGCACCGAATGGCTCGCTCCAGCTTTGCCAACCTGACTTGATTCCAGGGCTTCCTATTTCTAAGGACGTAGAGACCCTGGACGCAACTCCCAGTATCGCATTAGGCATATGCTGTCTTCAGAGTCCCTAATTCGAGTAGGGATAATACCTAATCTTAGGGACGATGGCCAGCTGTACCTTTTCCAATCCCATGCCAGAGGGAAAAAACTCCATGTCCTAAGTATCATACACTGTGGCATGAAGTAAACCTCTACCCGAATTCATTAAGGACCTTTTCCTCGACTTGGTTCCTCCACCTAGGCTTTAATGCATATATTGATAAGTTAATTAATTACATTTGAAGGAGAAAAATAATGTGGAATTGTACATTCGCTTTCTACTTTATCAATATCGTTCAGGCATCGATTAAGAGCTTCAGGATCACTATAGAAGCAGTCCAACATAGGAGATCCAAATACTTTTGCCGGGTTCGAGTAATTGCTCCATGGAGATTTATTTTTCTTACTCCCTAATAAGCGAACAAAATAAATTTTTTCGATAATGAAGCTAATTTTTTAAAAAAATCCTAATTTGCGTATTGGAAACCTAAAATTAATTTATTTCTTAAATTTATTTTTAAAAATGAAAACTGCTTAAAATCCAACGAATTTGCTCAATATTTCATTATTTATAAAAAAGTTTTGGTTCGCTTACGAAGGTTGGCTTTACCCTAATACCTAGGGATTTTTTCAATAGTTTTGTTGAGGGGGAGAGTTAATGGGTCAAGGAGAGCTTGGCCTTTTCCTCAAATGCTTCAAAAGGATATTTCTTATGTTTATGCAGTATTCTAAGTCACAAGCTCCATTAATTGAGGATAATGTTACCGTTCCTCTTTTTTCTGATGCTAAAACAGCATTAGGCTTTTCTACGCACTGCTTATACCATCCATTGAGAAGACCATGGACATAGTAAGAAGAATATTTCTTCTTATGGGTTGTTTTATTTACCTCTTCAGTTAAACTTTTAGAGACTTCGCAAGGATGGATCGTTATTAAATCAGACTCAAATGATTCGTATTTATTTTCTTTGTAAAAGGTTTGAGTATAAGCAATTAGATGAATCATATCAGCAATTCCTGCACCGATTCATCGAGTTGGTAATTCAATCCTTAGTTTATCACGAATTTTTAAGAGTTGCCTTCTTGCAGAGTCCAGCTCATAAATGTCCTCGCGCAATAAATCAAGAATATTAAGACTGAATCTCTGTTGAAGCTCTAAAAGCTGATTTTTGACAGATTTTGACTCATTTCCCCAAATGTAGTCTAAAGCTTGCTCAGAAGTCAGCACCCGAATTGGCATATGCAAAGAAGTTTTGCTCAAACAATATTTGATTTTATCAATAGTAATTGCAAGGTTTTGAAGTCTTGCGTCAAGAGCAATTTTCTTTTCAATTTCACTGCCCAACAAGTTTATTTCGAGATCAATGTCTCTTACTGTTAAAGAAATCCAGACCTTTAATCATTCAGGAGATTTGTTTAGGATCGCGCTTCGAATATGATATTTGCTGCAGATTTCTAAATCTTCTTTAGAAAACTGCCCATAGGATGCTTTAATAATTGAACTTTTTCTGTGGAGAAAAGAAAAAGAATACCCAGAATTGGAAGAATTTTGAGCAAATGCCAAATAGTAGCCTCGACATATAGATGAGGAGCATAAGCATACGCTTTGTAGGTGCTCTTCTTTGCTTTCGGTGAAAGAATTATAGTCAAAAGTAAGCTCATCTAGGTATGAAATATTGTTTAAAGCATATATCCCTATAGTGTATTTTCCTTCAGAAATCATTGTCACAGTTCCGCAATTTGGAGAGCAAGAATGACTTAGTCTGCTTCCAAAACTCCCTTTTACGATTGGATCGATAATTAACACATCATATCCTTCAGGGTCATCATAGTGCCGCTCTAGCATAATATTATAGAAATCCGGAACGCTTTCAGTTGCATTCACACTATTTTTCATTGAATTATTGAAATGCTTTATGACGTCTTGTTTTTCAAATCACAAAGCGGGTGAATAGAGCTCTCCTACATATTCTACTATCAAAGAATTTCTTGAGATCCCTTCCTTTCTGAGGCAGAAAACGCCGGTTCCTTTAGGATGGATTTTAAATACTGATAATGCTGCTTCGCTTCCTATTATTTCTGAAATGCTGCTTATAGCATTAAGAAGCCCTTGGGAATATCTTTTATGCCTAAGTGTAAAAATGTTGTCTCTGTCATTTATGATAAGTTTCAATGATTCTCTTATATCTCAGTTATTTGATGCAACTGAGTTTATAGCTTTGGGAAGAATTGTACCAATAAAATAATAAGAGTCTGCCGTGATAGGATGCATAATATACCCTAGAATACTTCTATACGTGTAAACATCGAACCCCCAAGAGGGTTTTTCCACCACATCTAAACCTAGTTTCGGTCCTTGGGATTTTGATAGCTGCCTATTGAGGCAATGATCAGGCGAGCATGCACAATCATTGCTACATTCAACTTTTTCTTTACGATCAGAATTTTCTGATATTCATGTTCCTGATCTTAAATCATAAGGCCCAAGATTATCAAATGAATCACAATCAATCCCATTGCAATGACCTTTCTTAGATGTTGCCAATCTTTTATAAGTTTCTCCATTATCTAATGTTACATAATCCTCTATAATCTCATATTTTCTGCTTGCGTATTCCCCTTTGAACCATGGTCCATTTACCTTTGCTGCTAGGTAATTTACTTTTATGGCTTCATTTCAATCAAGAAGCACAGATGCTCTTATTTTTATATCAGATTCTTCCAACACTTTCTTAGCCTCTTTTCAAAATGCCCTAATATAAATTCTTTCACAATCTGACTGTGTATGTAGCATCTTATTTTTGATCAAGGTTTCTAAATCTTTCTTTACTTGACTAGCTGAGTAGTATTTATTAGTAATAACATTATGCCTATAAGGATCCCCCCCCTCATTTGTCCAATTTTCTAGTCTTTTATCATTTGTCCATTTTTCTAGTTTTTTTTATAGGAAAAAAAAAATTTTTTTTGGACCTCATTTGTCCAATTTTCTAGTCAAAATTTTGATAGAGAAAAAAAAATTTTCAGGACCTCAATTGTCTCATTTTCTAGTTTTTTTTAAAGTAAAAAACTAGAATTTAGGGCATTCGAAAAAATCCAAAAAGACTAGAAAATTGGACAAATCATTTTTGACTAGATTTTGGGACAAATGAGGTCCTGAAAAAAAAAAATTCTTATAAAAAAAAGACTAGAAAATTCGACTAATGAGGGGGGGGGATCCTTATATATAATCTAAGCTCGTGATTTTATTTTCATCGTACTCTTCAAGATCAGTTACAAATTCTGGCTCATTTTCTTCAATAATATCATAGCACTCTTCAAAAAACACTTCTTTATATGAGAGCCTGAGTTTTTTCATAGGAATTCCAAGATCATTTTTATTTATAATAATAGCCAATGGATTGTCTTCAGCAGTATCTTCACAAGTCATGGTTTTTTTATTTACAATCTCCTTGATTATTTTCTGGTAGTTTTTTTGTGGCATGTCTCGGAAATATCCAACAGAATCGTCAATTTTTGCCACTTCTTTGAACATTTGCTCGATCTCACCGTATGAAGATGGCGCCCTAACTGCTGGCAAACTGAATGTTGGAAGTGGCTTATTGCGCTTCTGACTCTTTTTAATGCAATTGGGCTTAAATCCGGCTTGGTTCGGCAGATTGTGGGAATTGCCTTCACATGAATTTCTTGCAATTTCCAACATATTTATATATATAAATGAACGAGATAATATTAAAAAACCCTGGTAATTTGAAATCATGAAGTATTTCAAGTTTTAGAGAAAATTAACCATAATTTTTATTATTATGGTGAGTTTGTTTTAGATTTTATGTTTCTTGCACTTGGATAATTAACTATTAATTTGGGATAGAGAAACATCTCAAATATTATATTTTGTCTAATCCTGATGGCTTATAATGAATTAATATATTTTTGTGATTTTCTGATTATTACTATGAGTAGTGGATTTATCATTATTATAAAAAATTTTAGTAAAACTGATAAATTTAATTCTATACATGAGATATCTGGTTTTTTTTAGAAAAAAATACTCATTTCTTGTTTTAAATGCTATTATCTTTACTTGCAATGAAAAGTTAGAACTATTTCCAAGCTTTTATAATTTAATAAAAGAGAGCTACAGAAAGGTCATTCCTCTGAAACTCTAAAATTATATTCTATCTCTCCTCTATTTATACGCAATCGAAAAGAATAAAATACCTTATAAATAGTTTCAATTAGATGCTATAGCCCATTCCCGGCTATAGATCGGGCTATGCACGATTTTTGCCGGGAAACTCGGGGGGTTGTCTGGGTCACTTCGACGTGACAAGTCAACTCCCCGAGTTGGCAAATAGCCACCATTAAGTGATTTGCCAATAATTTCTTCGGGACAAAATGGCGTTTTTCGCGCCAAAGTGAAAGGAGTTATCCTGAGTTGCTTTGAGAAAAAGCAAACAGTAAAGGTGAGGAAATATGCGTCAGCATAAATTCTTGCAGTGATGAATTATTTTTTGGGCTTGAAAAGTTGCAGATGTGTAGTTTTTCTAATGGCCGATTATGGAGGAATGCAAATCGGTGATTCATTGGGATAAAACTCGGCCTCTGTAACCTTGAAAAGTCCTTCTGTTGTTTTTTTATTGAAATTGAAGTTGAAGTTGGTGTTGAAGTTGATGTTGATGTCGATGTTGATGCTGATGTTGGCATGTGCTGATGCTGGTGTTGATGTTTGATGTTGACGTTTGATGTTGATGCTGAAGTTATGAAGTTTACAAAGTTTATGAAGTTTATGAAGTTTTAGAAGTAATTGTTCTCTTATGAGGCGATAACCGTTAAGTATTAGTATTAATAAGTGATTTGCCAACTCGGGGAGTTGACTCATCACCTTGAAGTGACGCTGACAACCCCCCGAGTTTCCCGGCAAAGATCGGGTATAGCCCGATCTATAGCCGGGAACGGGCTATATATAGACAGAGCCTCCTTTAGATAGATATCCAAAAGAAAATCCAAAACAATCCCTGCTATACACCATTTTATTTATTGAATGAAAAATGCTTATTTATCTCTGAAATAAATAAAGCCTTATAGTTATATATCTATTAATTAAGAATGATGCTCTAATGTTTTTTCAACGCTAGGTGGAGTAAGAACTTTATTTTTGCTGTATTATCTACTATTTATAATAATTTCGCTAAATGTTTTATCAATACATAAATATAAAATATGTACAAAGCATCTTAAAAATGCAAGCAACGTAGGCGTTTTCCTAGGGTAGGCATGAAAATACCATAGTGGTTTTCATCACATTCGTGCCCTATAAAATAATTGTAAATTTCAGAATTTTTGAATAAAAGGAAAAACCGCAGAAGGATTTTTTTGGGAAAAAAGCGCATGAAAATTTCAAATAGTAAATCTCACCTATAAATTGCGCCAATGCAATAAAGCCATTATTATAAAATTTTAAATAAATATAAAAATATACACATTTTTATAATGAATAGAAGCATTCTATTAATTCTTTAAAGGCATATATAAATATTTGATAATTTTGATTTGCCTGGCCTCTTGTGAGATAGATAATTTATTGGACTGGCAATAAAAATTGATTCCTGATAGCATACCCCAGCATAACTCATGAATGATAATAGATTGTCCAGAGCTGAGGAAATGATGGATAGCTTCCCAAATTGGCTCTCAGACTCAAATTGAATAAAAAACTCGAAGAGTTGACAGAAAAGCCCTAATTAGGGCATTGCCAATTTCTGATTTTACCTATCAACTCAGGTTGGGAAAACCAGCTCAGAGAGTTTTCAAGCATTTTCCTAGCCATTATCGTTCCTAAGCTATCAGTTTCCTGTAATAAAATGGCTTTTATTTCTCACTTTGTGAGCTTCATCAATAAACCTGAATAGACTATTTATGTCATTTTTATTGGAAAGAAAATACCATTAAAATACCACTATATGGTAATTTTTCATGTATATCCGTTTCCTACTATTCTGACCAGCCATTCTAGGAAGGAAATTATTTTACTATGTCATGGTAGAGAACTTTTGATGGCTTAAAGGTATCAAGCCTAATGTTTTCAATGAAGGAATTAACTTTTTAATGGCATTCATCCAGAGACTTTTTTTTTCTCGATAAGGACGACTACAAAGACAACAAACTCTAAAACAGAAACTAAAGATCTCCAAATGGTTAATATTGGTCTCAGATTTTTATATAAATCAGACAATGAGCGTATTTTACAATCAATTAGTAATGAAATTAAGAATCCATAGTAGTTCAATACAACACAGAGCTGCTATTAACTCAAAGGGAGCAAGTCTCAAGAGATATAACACATAAAGAGCTAACGAATTTTGCATAATCCTTGATGGAATCGCTATAGCACATATAAAATTTTGGAAGATTTTACTGCTGCTTGTGAATAAAAGTATGCCTAAGCAAGATAATGAAAGAGAAAAGTTATAAAAAGAGAACAATAAAGGAATGCTGCAATTATATGAGACTGAATATACAAAGCTTGTATCTGAGTCACTAAAAACATACAGTAGTGGGCTGCTAGAAGTCAGGAGAATTGATGTAGCAAAGAATATTGCAAAATGGTTATCAGAATCAGAAAACTTCACTTATCTCCCAGGCGGGGACCTGAATCTGCTTAATATAAAAATGAGTTAAGTTCGATTTAATTTATTGAAATAATTATAATGAATAATGCCATTTGATAATGATTGGAAAGACCGAGAATCAAGGTTCGACTTTGTAGTTATCAGTATTTTAGTATCAGAATTTGGAATTGTCTTCTTATTCTTAGCCGGGTGCATTGTAAAACTTAAACAAACAGGTGGGTGAAAGATGAGGAAAATTATGCTACTAATTTATCTCGGAATGACAACATGCCTATTAACTCCCCTATCCATGATTGAACATAAAAATTTTTGTTCAGGGTAATTTTAAAAAAATTATATAGTAAAATTTTTTTCCAAAGCTTAAAAAACACTTTTTAAAAAAATTGAACTAAAATAATTTAATATATATATCAAAAATAAAAAATTCATATCGACAAAATTTTTTTATTCACTCGTGAAAAGTGGCTTTACCCAAAATAAGGGTTTTTCTAATGGTTTTGTTCTCACATGGAGGGATGAGGATTAAGGATTTTACTTATGCTTGATTTTTGGCTTTATTACTCACAGATGATATCAGATATATTGCTCTTTTTAGCTCCAACTCCTTTATTTAGCTGTGGCTGCGTTCTTGTTCTTATGTGGTAATTTTTATATAGAGTTGAACTTTTTCTTGTCATGTCCTGCAACTACGAAATCCCATTCAAGCTTTTTGTCTACTCTAAATGCAAAATAATGTTGATTTTTGTGAACATTTTAGCTTATGGCTCAATAATAATTTTTGCTATTTTAGGCTACACAATGTCTGGCTTTAATTTTGGGACATCAATGAGGCTTCTTCACGCAAGTATTTCTTTGTTTTTATTAACCTCCACTCTGTGAGAGAACAAAAAAATTTTGTTCGTTAACGGAGGGGGTTAATTTTTTTTTTAAAAATTTATATATAAATTTTATAGTAATTTTTTATCTCGAAATATTAGAAAGTAAATATTAATTTAATTTGGAAAATTTTATTTCTTAAAAAGCAAGCTGTTTAAAATTAAACACAATTAGCTAGAGATTCCATAATACTATGTATCACTTATATATCAAATATATTTTTTCATAAAAAATTTTTATATAATAAAATGTTTATTGGATCGTGGTGGAGGGTGGGTTTTAGGCAAAAAATAGGGATTTTTCAAATGATTTTGTTTACTCACAGAGGGGGAGTAAGTGGTTTTATTATATCTGGGGTTATTTTGGCAGGAAGGGTAAAGCAAATGACACTGGAGCGGCCCTATAAGCTAATAAAATGAATCGGAGTTGCTGTGCTTGCTTGCAGTTTCAGATGTGCTTCATATGGAGTTATGGCAGTTGATGGAAGCATGTGGGGATTGCTAAACACAACATATGGATGAGGTATAAGTGTCTTAATCGACTTTAACCTTGTTGAGATATGTCCTATACTTGTGTTCCTGAAAGCTTGAAGAATAGCCGAGTACTATTCTAGCGCCACAAGCAGTGAAATTGATATGGACAACGATCTATCATCCTTAAAACGGTTTGTATCTGGTGAATTCTCTGATTTTTCCAATACAATTGATGTTAAAGAATATAGAGGTTTCCTCTATATAGCGCTGAAAGCGCAGACATTTTCCCAGAGCTTTCCAAGTTCGTCGGACCAAATCGCTTTTTGGTCCGACCAAGGCATTGATTTGGTGCAACCAACCGATAAATTCCGATCAGAATTTATCGGCCTTACAGCGCGCCAAACATAGGAAACTTCTATATTAATTAATATAAATAACTAGGGGCCTTATAAATAATGTCTAACTCCCCCTTTAAATTAGAACAAAATATCAGTAAATTTTGATATTTTTAGGTACTTTAACCCCTTAAATTGGAACAATTTTTTTAATAGGAAAATTTTATCGATGAAAGCTTTAAAAATTGCTTTTAATCTAATTTAATAGACAAAATGCAAGTGTATTATTATTTAAATGGTCTCTCACGCTAAATGAATTGATTTTTTAAATTAATTCTTCATAAAAATTTTAAATTACTTTATTCAATTTATATTTTTTAAAAATAAATATTAAAGCTAAAATGCAAATTTTTATGAACCGAATTTAATAAGACAAAATGCAAATAGATTTTGTTTTAAACATTTTTATATCTGAATTAATTTTTTATTTAATTCTTCATAAAATCAAATTAAAATTCAAATTATTGGGCTCAATTATATTTTTTAAAAGAAAAACATTATGATAAAAAAAACTAATAATTATAATTAGCTTTGATTTAATTTAATATATCAAATGCAAGTAGAATGTTATCTAAACAGTTTTATACTGAATCATTAATTGATTTATATAAAATATTTAAAAATTCAAAATGTTTTGCTCTATTTAATACCTTTACCAAGAAACCGGGCTTAAGCTGCCTTGAGGAAGTCCACTACAGGCATTCACCTGCGTAGCGCATAGCGTTTCAGGAAGAGGGAACTATAAATGCCTTGCATAATCTAATCTAGTCTAAATTAGCTCAATTTATATTTTTTAAAAATATAAAAAATGTTTTAAAAATAATTAATATTGAAAATACTAATTTTTTATCACTTTTTAGATTTTTTAAACAAAATTAACCTGCTTAAAATTGAAATAGGATTTTTTGTTCCAATTTAAATGGGGGAGTAAGTCAGCAAGCCACCAAAATGGAGAATTTGAAGTTGAAGCAATTATTGACTCTAACTCCACCCCTCCTCCAAGAGAAAGCCAATTTTCTTGCTCTCTTAAGGCGAATTTTAAAAATAACGACTTTTAAAGTAAATGTAATTTAATTATATCTCTTACCAAGAAAACTCGCTAAGAAGCATTTCTGGTCACCATTTTTAAATTTGGAGCCCAAAAAATATGGGATGCTAACAAATTTTGCACGCCAGCTATTGTCTGGTTAGGTAAAAATTCTTCTTACTCTCCCTCCTTCCATAAGCGAACAAAAGTATTGAAAAAATATCTAATTTTTGGATAAAGCCTATCGTCCTGAGTGAACAAAATTTTTTAATATAATTTTTCGATATATAAGTGATAATTATTATAACGAAATCTCTAGCTAATTCTGTTTACTTTTAAACAACTTGCATTTTAAAACATAAATTTTACAAATTAAATTAAATTATTTTTTTCATTTTGCAGATTGTGATTTTTTTTTCGGAAATTTTTTTATGATCGCTCATGCAGGAAGGGAGAGTTAGAAAGTAATTTTTAAAATTTATGTTTTAAAATGCAAGCTATTTAATTTTTAATAGATTTACCTATAGATTCCATTATAATGTCAATTATTGATTGTCAAAGTCTTTATATAAAAAATTCTTTATACTACGAGCTAACTACCTAAAAAAAATAGATTTTTTGCAATGGTTTTGCTTGTTCGGAGTAAGCTTAAAAAGGATGGCTCAAAACTTTATTTTGTGAAATGAAAAGGCTATCCTGAAGAAGAATCAACTTGGGAGCCCATAGATCATTTACTCCCCACCTTTAAAGTGGAACAAAAAATTTTGTTCCGATTTTAAGGGGGTTATTTTTTTTTAACAAAAAATTAAAATTTTTTCTCTATAAAATTATTTTTAAAATCTTAAAAAATATTATTATTTATTATTAATCTATCTATCGCTGCTAAGCAGCATTTCTCTCTTTTTCTCATAATCGTAAAATCTTAAAAATAATTAAGCACAATACTTTAAATTTTGATTTATTTTTATGAAGAACTAAATAAAAAAAATTAATCGATTCTTTGTGAAAATTGTTTAAATAACATCCTACTTTCATTTTGCCTATTAAATTATGTCAAAAACTAATCATATAAAAATTAATACTTTCATCAATAAAATTTTTCCTTTGAATTTTTTTTTTAAAATTTAAAGGGGGTAAAGTATCGAAAAAATACAAATTTTACCGATATATTGTTCGAATTTAAATGGGGAGTTAGAGCATTGCAAAAAAGCAATTGCGGAATATGAAAAAAATCACAGGGCGAAGAAAACTGCAAGAATTATAGAAAAAAGGCAAGGAAGCTTAGAAAAAGATGATAAAATCAAAAGTTTGGTGCAGATTATATACGATCCGGAAAGAAACGAGGCAATGGTGGAAGTGGAATGAGAAGACCCAAATCTATATAATGGATTTTATCCTGTTGTGGAGATGCATAAATATTGCCCGAAAGAAATGTGCGAGCTGTATTTAAAAAATCTGTCATTTACTTATCAAATAAATTCTTAATTGTAAGGTTTAATTTATTAGTCACAATTAAAAATGGAATGTATGAGTTAGGGGTTTCTGTCCCCTATACTTATCCTAGTGAGGGAAATTCATTCTTTCTGAAGGAAATTAGCGTTGGAACTGCTTCGGCAGCCCCAAGAGTACTTGAAGCACATTCAAGGAATGAAGAGAGACTCGTCCGGGCCATAGGCAACTGTAACGGTTCGACGGTTAGGCCGATTCCACCTACCGTTGTTCAGAGCTGTTAGCTAGTGGATGGAATTTATGGAGGAAGAGCTTGTTTTGATAGTTCCTAAGCTAAGAGGGGGTCTACAAAGAGTTATCGTAATCTTAATCTTAATCTTTAATCTTAATTTATTAGTAATTCTTTATAATTTCCAATATTTCATAATTTTCTTAGGCTTTAGTTAAAACATAACAAAGGATGCTACGAGAGCTCTATAGAACTAATCTGTCATTGTAGAAATAAAAGAAGAGTTCACTGGTTTTCTGAATTAATTAGGATTTAATTTAACTTAATGCTATTATTTTATAATTTTCTGAGAACTGAATCTAATTGTGTTATAAAAGCTTTGTGTTCCTCTTTGAAAGAAAATTTATTCTTGATAGCAGTTAGGAACTCATTTTGCAGAAGCTTTACAATCTTAGCATATTGTTTCCCATACTTTTCTTTCATAAAAGGTCCAGTTACTTTTAAGAATCCTTCTAATGTAGCCATATAGCTTCTGTCAATATATTCAAAAGGAATATTCAGCACAAACGAAAGCCACCTTCAGCAGTCCTGAATATTACAATGAGATGCTGGATGGGTAAAATAAGTGCCTAATAAAATCCCAAAAGCTCTCGACGTATCCATAGCTACTGAATATTGGTCAGCAGTCACATCTTTAAGTTGGGAGCGGCTCAATATGTCTTGAGTTGTCCATGACCCATATGTTGGTATCATAATCTTCAGTTTCGAAACAATTGCATAATAAAAGTTTCTGTGCAAAGATGGATATTGTTGAGCTAGTGAAAAGATGAAGTCTGTGACATTTAAGGTGAAAAGTGGCCCTGAATCAATATCAGCACCAATATCTTTGTTTCTTGCTATTAGCTTTTCGCTTAAAGTAATTAACGTAAATTCTTGTGAATCTGCACTAATTCTATTTAGCAAGCTTAAAGCTGCATTTATTCTGTTTTTCAAAGACTCTTGGTCCCCTCGATGAGTGTCCATCTGATTAGTCAAGCAGTTAAGCTCATCTAGCAAGTCTCTGGGAAGTTTACGCTTCCCTTCTTCTACTTTTTTATTATATTCAATAATTTGTGCATTGATATATTGCTTAAATCTTTCATCAGTTGGGTTGATTGGAGGAATGTCTCGGTTTTGGATTGGAGAGACTGGGTTGGTTGCTTCATCTTGCATCACTAAATTTGTGTCGTTGTCATTTTCTGCATCAATCCAATACTTTTCTCCATAATTTTTTAATTGCCCTTTAAGCTTATCTTGTTCAGATTTCTTTTTTAATTCGAGTTCTTTTTCAAACTGATCTCTGCTTTGCTTTTCCTTAAGATTTTTTTCTTTTTCTTGCTGCTCTTTTAGTTTTCTATCATTTTCTTCCTTTTGCCTAATTTGCTCTTCTCTCAGCTGTTTTTCCTTCATTTCTTTCATTTGCTGCTTTTCCAAAGATTTAGATATTGCTATAGAAATTTCTTCAATCAAACCATAAAGCTGCATTTCTCTTTCTTTTGATAGAGTAGGTGCTTGTCCTGTAGTTTTTCTTGTAGCAAGCATGCTTCTAAGGCTCTCTAATTCTCTTTTATTTTCTACTTTTGCCCATCCACCTTTAATTTTTTTATTAATCTCTTTATACTCATCAATGTAGCTACTAATATTTTCTTCTTTTGGTAAAATAGTTAAGCTTTTAGACATTGGCATAGGAACAATTATAGGATTGAAATTTGGTAAAACTTTAGGTTTGCTGCTATGAATAGGGAATTTTATTTCGCTTTCTAAATCATTAAGGAAAGAGCCATAAGAAATTTGAGATTCTTCTTTAATGGTTTCTTCTTCTAGATTACTCTTATTGAGTTTCACTTCTGGGGTTGAGTCATGCTGAGACGCATTTTTGGTATATTTTTTGACAGGACTGCTTTTATTGAATAGGAGGTATATGAATGATAGAATATAAACAAGCACTTCAAAGACTGCAGGAATTTGAGCTGTTGTGGCACTTAAGAAAAATCTGTTTATTAAACACAACATTGGCATCACATAAGCAATTATCATTTTATTATAAATAGGGGATTTGGAAAAGTCCCTATAATGATTTTAAAGAAATAATGAGAGCAGATTTATATTTTTTTAAATGCAATAAAGAACTTATAATAGCTAAATTTAATTAAATTGTTATATGCAAGCCAAAATGGTTTTTGATGTTAAATGCAGTATTTAAATAGGCTGATCTTGCAATTCCAATCCAAAGCTCTTCTCTTTATATATCATTTTACATTTTCCTATTTTTCTGTATTAAATTTATGCAAAGGTTTGGTTTCAAGCTGGTGGAATATAGATATTCCTACTCCCATTTGCTCAATAAACTAAGCTCATATGTAAATCTCAAAAGCAACACATTTTTACTGCACGATGCGAATGAATTTCCAGCTGAAATTTTATCTCATCATTTTCAACACAATCAGATCACCCCTGCTCTCGCATTTTCCAAGTCAAAAGATCGATTTGAAGTTATAAAAGCTTTTGTTAGAATTGACCAAGGTGAGCAGCTTAATTTACAAAAACTTGGCCACCATCAGGTCAAGACTTTAATAGAGTTAATAAAGGTCCCACAATACCAAAATAAGCTTAAGAAGGAGATTATAAGCACAGCTGACAGTCTTACATACGGTCAAACAGCTATTGCTGCTTCAGTTTTTCCAACTGAAACTATTTTTGCCAATAGGCTCAAGCTAAAAAACATGGGCTTTGACAACTTCGAAGAAATGCTTTATATGATTAAGTGACTTCTTTCAAAAAATTTCAGAAATAAAATGATGGTGTTTACAGAAGTCGGACTCAAGGCCCACTCCTTATAGAACAGGCTTTCAGGTTTGAGGATGTATTACCAAAGAGGGAAATTTTAATTCTCCTGGGAGGTTTCCTGCCACTATCAGATGATCTTGGAAGGGTTTTGCTTACCACATGATCTTTTCTCTCATCGGAATCATTGGGGAGCTCTACAGGTGATGGTTCTAGGGAGCTGATCCTTGGGCAGGTGGTTTAGGTCAGAAATCCATAATGGCGACATTTTAGAGCCAAGATGGGCAACTGCTTGTGGGTTTAACCACTTATGGCTAGCATAATCGTTTAATTTAATTTTCAAACAATTTGCATGATAAAGAGATGGAAAATTGAATTATTCTGCAAATAAGCCAGCTCATCCAAACAAAAAATATCGATCTAGACTCAATTGTGGAGACCTATTTAGTCTTAAGTTCAGAGTATCCGAAAGCAATTGAAATTTGGGAGAAGTTTGATAAACTCGTTTTTTCACATTTGTATGCGGCAATGCCTGACCAATTCGAAAGGATTTTAGCAAGCTTGATTTATACTGATAAAGAAAATCCTAGAGATGATGCAGTTTACTATAAAATCGCAGAAATTGCACATGGGATAGAATATAAATTTTTAGGATTTGAGCATAATTTGTCTATATGTATATTGCTGTCACAATTGGGAATCCAGCCTCCAGATAAGATAATTCAGCATTTAGCTAAAGATTATGAAAACCAAACAGAAAGCGACAAAGCAAATTTCAAGCGCCTATATGAAAATTTAAAATTAGACCCAAAATTTGATGATAATTTAAGTTAATAGCATTAATAGCCTTAAAAATACAATATATTCTAGGATTAATAGATCTATTAGCATTTTCTGTATACCATGTAATTTCATCTTATGAAGATATAGAGTTATATTGGGATAATCAACATTAATTAACTTAAAGCTTTGCAGCTTTATCATTGTCTTCAGCTTTTCCTTTACTCTTACTTATTAAAATGCAAACTTCAAAAGCACATACTAGCATGACACATGCAAAAATCATGAACAGAAGGCTCTTAATATCTGTGAATGTGAGTGTTGGGTAAATCGGTTCATCAATCATTGTTACAACAAAATTCAAAAGTCCGTATAGTAACATTAACACTATAGGATAAAGCAAGTTTTGGCGCTTAAATTGAATTTTGTTATAAGAAAAGTCGAACATTAGAAAGAGGAACTGTAAGATATGAACTGAGATGTTGTATATGAGAGGAGGTCTCTGCTCAAGTGTGTAGCTCGGGAAAACGAAACTCCAGTATGTGAATGTGAGGGTAGCTTCAATTGGTATTATCGGTTCAATAAATTTCTTTTATCTATTTGCAGAAAACTGAAGCCTGACGAAAGTTTATATATTTTTATGTGTAATAATTTTTTGGGGACGCAGGTGAATATAGACCAGTAACGATTTTGGATTGTCCTAGCTCCCCTCCAATATTTTCAAAATTTTGCATATTATTTGGATTTTTAGCATAAGTATTACCAATAGTAAATTTATATGAGTAATTCGAAATTGGCTTGCGATTAGAGAGTTTTTTCCTATAAAAGTTAATTTAACCCAAAAGATAGTCATTTTTATTTACTCAATAAAATTTACCATTTATAATTCTTAATTCTTAAATCCTCTAATAATATGCAAATTTTTGTATATTTATGGAAGGAGTAAGCTTGAAAATCCCTATTAACTCCCGAGTTGGCTAATCTAGCTTAAGTTTGCAACTATTTTGGGTAGTTGACTTGAATTTCTCAAGCTCAGGACAATCCAAAATCGTTCCTAGACCTTATTAGAAAATTATATGGCAAATAATAATACAATTTGGAAAATTAAGTTAGCTTGATGGTGCTTATTTGCTATTTTGAGCATGAAATAAGTAAGAGTCAAGGTGACTCCCCAATGAGTCAGCCACTGCAAGTATCTGTAAGATGTTGCAGCAATCCCTATTAGGAAAAAGGCTAAGGTGTATAATCCCATAAAAATTCTGAAGTGTCGGTGGTGGATGGTGTTCAGAGATTCCATTGGGAATTATTATTACCATTTTAATCTTTCGCCCAATTTATGTCGATATGCATAGAATTGAAATATAAATTTTTTAAAATTATGGACTTAATTTTACTGTACAAACCTGAGTTTCTTTTATATTAAAGATAAATTTTGCATAATAGGTATTGCCTATTATAAAATCAATGCATTTTTTATTTCTAATATCAAAGACTATTACGAAATTAGCGGAAAATACATGCCATGAAAAGATTATTATTTAAATAGCCATTAGACTTGAAAAAATTAAAAGGCTTAAGGATAATAATAATAATTGAGCTAGCTTCCTTAAAATACTTGATTGAACTAATGAAATGAATTCAACAATACTCCATATTTCGTTATACATTTGGTCAAGCACAGATGCCAACCCCCCACCCCCACCCCCACCCCCCCCAATGCATGGATCCCACCCCCACCCCCTAGTATATATGGATCCCACCCCCCCACCCTATGTTAATAGATCCCACCCCCCACCCTCCACCCCCCACCCCCTCTATCATATAGGTAAACATATAAGTATAAAATCTTACAAATAAGACATACAATAAAATTTTAGTTAATTCATAAATGGATTCATAAATAGATTCATAAATAAATATTAATGATTATAAGTACATTTAGCGTAGACTGATATAGCCAATATATTAGTAATACATTTAAAATAAAATAATTGCAAAAAACTTGTTACATAGAAAGGAATCAATAAATGACTCAAAAAATATTTTGATATCTCTATAAAGTCTTTTACTCCCCCCATTTAATAACGAACACTTTTTTAGTTCGTTATTAAATGGGTCTAACTTATAAAATTCTTGGGGAAAAAAATATATAAAATTTATATTAAATATCTATGATTTTTTATATAAAAAATTTCAATAGAGGGTTAATAATAAAAAAGTCAAATGATGGCAACATAAAGAGAAAGCGCCTAAATTCATGCGAAAAAATAACTATTGCTAACTCCTCCCCTCCGTGAGCGAACAAAACCATTAGAAAAGTCCCTCACTCTTCGTGAGCAAACAAAAATTTTTTTAATAGAAAAATGTTTTATGGAAAAAAAAATGACTGTTTTGTTCGTTATTAAATGGCGGGGGGAGCTAGCCTGCATTCTTTGGAAATTTTTTGACCTTTATATGATTTAAAACACGAGGTATGTGCTTGAAGGTTCATTGAAAATATGCTTCCTCGTTAGCAAACTGTATCCGTTTTTTTTTTTTTCATCCCTATGACTTTGAATTTTTTATGCTGTGAGCAATTAATACGTTTTATTTGCCTTTAATACAGTTTACATTATATAGGGGGGGTGGAGGGTGGGGGTGGCATCTATTAATGGAATGGGGGTGTGGGTGGGATCCATAGATGCAAGGGGGGTGGGGGTGTGATCCATACATACTATCTGAGGGGGTGGGGGTGTGATCCATACAGGGGTGGGGGTGTGATGTATACATCCAAACTGGGGGTGTGGGGGTAGGGGGGGTTGGCATCTGTGCTTGGCCATACATTAAAATGAAGCCCGCCCTCTTAACACCTGCAAACGACAGGCTCATTGGGAGGACGGAGACCTTGTGGAAGGGAGGATGAGCTAGGGAACGTGCATCAGCTGGGTTTTTTTCTAAAGCTGTAGGCATAATCGCGCTAGCCGACTGAATGCTCACATTCAAACCAGCTTTAACCTTGGGAGAAGAAATTCAAAGTTGGAAAGGGATATACCAGCAAAGCCCAGTAGTTAGCTTCTTGGCCAATCGGGAGCATTCCTTGCGCAATACCGGGGATGCGTCCTAGGCTTTAAGGTTCCATCTTGTTTTCAGGTGAATCGAAATTTTGATTTTTCTTATTTTCTGCTAATCACTTTGACGCTGGGCATGGTAAACAGTTTCTCTCACTCTCGGGTAGCGAGTGCAAGCCCTTGCCGTTAGGAGCAAGCCAGTGGAAGGTCGAGTCAGAACTTGCAAGCAAGTGGTAAAACGAAATGGAGGTGATTAGTGGCCTGCGGGACTGCAGGAGACTTTCTATAAGCAAATTTATTTAATTAAAGCTTCATATTTCATTTACGTTTACTTTTACACTTACTTAGAATTATAGAAAAGTTCACTGTAATTACCGAATGACTGGCAATAAAGAGGCTCATGAAGAGATGCTGAAGCTAAGACCTGGAGAGAAGCCAAAGGAGCAGACCAGGCCAAGGTTGTTGCACCAGGCAAGACTCAATCGATACCTCGGGCAAGTCCAGAAGAAGATCTAGGTAGATTCTGCCATTTTTTTTCCAAAATTCAATTCTCAAGGTCAATTTTCTGGCCTTTTAAAAAAAATTCACCAAGGACGACTCCTTCTTTAACTCTGCTTGTATTTTAGCATTTCACGACATAGCGAAGGTTACTCCTACCGGACTAGGGCCTAAATTCACTTCCTGTAGTCTGATGAGTTGTCTCATCATACCGCATGTCAAGATGGGTTGCTCGCCATTGAAAATTCAATAAGGTTGACTCTCGACAAAAAAATAAATTCAAAGCCCAGGGCATAACACCTGGTTTCCGGATGAGAAATGCTCCCGATCGGCTAAGAAATTATTCTGGATTCTGGAACTACTGGAAGATCTCTTTCAAATCACGTTCCATTACTCTATGAGGAAACCTGCCACCAGATTATGTTGGGCTGGTCAATCAGCGTTGTTGCTCCGCTTGTGACAGGAAAACCCTTTCCGGATACACTTCATCGAACGCTAGTCTCCCTTCCTCTAGGTCCCCATCACCTGCCATACTCGAGTTTAGGGGGTGGGTTGATACTCAATACCATTTTTTATTATATGATGATTCATATTTCATTAGAGAAAATTTTTTATTTAATTAAATTTAATAATCATAGGAACTTTAAAAGATTGCTTTAAAATAAATTATCCGCTTATAATGCTTCACTAATTATTTTTCTTTTAAATATAAAAAATAAAACTTAAATGCGATTTTAAGGTCTAAGATTCTATTTTCTTCAATAAATAGCTGCTCTTTCAACTGCCACATAATTAGTTTTCCTAACTTCCATATTTTTCTGCATATCTTTTTATCAGCATAATTCCATTTATATTTTTACCATTTTATATTTTTCAAAGAGTAATTCTAAACAGAAATCATCTTTTTTAAAAAAATCTAAGTCTTCGTATTTGGTAGTAATCGGCATGCGCTTTAAAAATTCTTCTTTGTAAAATAGCATAGCTTAAAAAAGAACCATAAAGTTTTTTATAGTGTTTTTAGTATAAGCAATGAATTAAATTAAAATTATTAATTATCGCCTTCGGTTCTTTAACGCTTGTCTTGCCCTTATATTGAGGTTTCATTTTATAAATGGCTTTATATTTAAGTTACTGAGGCACAAGACAATAAAAATAAAAGAATTTTCCTTGTAATGAGAAGACACTTCATTAACGACTATATTAGAAAACTGAATATGACCGTTTTCATTTTCAGCTGCTTCATGAGTTCCTCTCAGAATGGATTTCCCACTTAAATTTTTATCCAGAACAATTGGAGGTTCATTATGAGTGACTAAAAATATATTAAATTTTGCATTTCTTTGCGTTTTAATTGCTTGGTTCCCGTTATTTTCTAAGTGGAAACTAAGTTTGAATCCTCTTTCCTTGCATATTTTTGATGGGAAAGTTTTATCAAGTTCAAGCCGAATAGGAAAATCATAATTTTCTTTGACCATAAGAAGTGCTCTTCTGACTATCAAATTTTGGTCTGGCAAAATTTGCTCATCCACCGATATCGAATCACGGATTTGAGAGCAAATTTGCTTTAAGGAATTAATCTCGTTCATGATCTTTAAATGGTTATCGCATAAGTTCGAGATCGCCATACTGTTTCTGCTCATTGCTTCGAGAACCATAAAATTCATGCTGCTTACTGAGTTCTCTTGTAAGGAGTAATGTAGGTGGCATTCATAGTGGTTACAGATTTCGTCATTTCTTTTGAGAATACACATAGTATTTTTAATCGCCATATTAAAAATTCAATACTGACCTTCAATGGTAATAAGATAAATCAAATTTAAATTTAATAATTAAATATTATTTCATATTAGGAAAAATTATGCTTTATCCAACTCTAACTTTATTGTAATGCATAAAATTTAACGAATACCTTATTTTAATTCGATTTTGCTCTTAATGGTGAATATTTTAGTGCTTTTGATGAGAGATATCCAACTGAAAAGTCCTCATGTTTTTGGAAAAATAAGATTCTCTGTTTTTATATAATTAATTGCTAATAAATTGAATATCTTCAGCTATTTATTTAATTTTAAGAATTATTCTAAAACAACAACTTATAAGTAAACTAAATTTTTCTTTTGTTTAAAACCTAATATAATTTCTATATTAATTTTTTAAAAAAGTAATTCTCGATATGAGTAGCTAAAATTCTTGCAATCTAACAAAATGATTTATCAAATTCTTGTCCATGATTTTGTTTAATTATCAATAAATTAAGCTGTATCTCATCTATTGTCTAAATCCCTAGAATATTTACTATCTTTATGTTTTCAGGTATGAATATTTATCTCAATGATGAGAGATCGAAAACACTAGGTAGAATTTTCAATGAAATTTTTAATTATATGTTGATCATTAGGCAGAAACACATACACATTACTTAATTTAAAGGGATTGTCCTCTGATTCAAGCCCATACAACATCGCTTGTATTGGTTTCCGTCTCTGCTTTGGGGTTCCCCGCTCCACACCATCACGTTGTGCACCGCCTGGGTTGGCTGCTGAATTGTCCCTAGGCTCCGGGCGTTCGTATTTCAACGGGTTTGTACTTCCAGCTTTCTGGCTTTGACGCAGGCTGCCTGCACAAAAATTTCAAAAAAATGGAATTTCTGGCCTACTCTCAGCAGAAGGTCCAACTCGAAACCCAAGGTGTAACTCTTGGTTTTGCATTAGGAGTTGCCCCGAAGGGTCAAAAGACGCTACTGAGCTTTCTTCCAACTCTAAGGCTTCTCTTCCCTCAAGGTAAAACCCTATGCTGCTGGAATTGCTTACCTGATATTACTGTAAATTTCTGGTTGGCAAAACTTTGCCAGATATAATTAATATATGCTTGAGGCTGCATGGCTGGAAGATCATGCTTGAATCGAGACTCCATGCTTAGTTATCATTAGCCAGAAACGCAGAACTTTAAATCTCCATCACACTCTAATCCAAATTTGCATAGCTCACTTTCACAAGGCTCATATATATTTCGAGGAATATTATAGCATCTTCCAAGCTCGCAGCTTAAGTTCTCTCCGCATGGATATTCTCGACTACAAGGTTCAAATAATTCCCTCGGCGATCCATAGCAAACTCCCCAATCACAAACCTCGCCTTCTCCACAATCAGAATACACTTTACAGCAAAAAGCCAAAGCAATCAAAGCGCAAAATAAAACCTTTTTCATTTTTGATAAGCCTATTTAAATATCTCTTTTATTTATGCAATCTTAAAAATAATGCACTCAAATCATAAATAATTGAAATGCAAACGATAATTTCGCATTTTTTGAATAATTACTTTTCAATTTCTATCAGATTTTTTATGATTATAAAACCCAAATCAATATCCAATTTTCTAGAATATTTGTTAATAAACTGAAATCAATGAAAAGGAAAAGCATTATTTTTAAATAATGGCTTCTGAAGAGGAATTGACTGCAATCGCAAATGGATTGGCCCCATTCTGCTGCAAAGATTTACACTCTGGCAGCTGTTCAATTCACGTGCTCAAATATTTCATAAAATCAATGCTGATTGCTCTTAAGTTTTATCTTCCTCTTAATGTTGTACAGCTCTTGCTGAAGCACAAATCTCTTAGAAGGAATCCACAAAGAACGTTATATCTTGCAGGGAAATCAATGACAAGATCAAGCTTAATGCTTAGCGCTATGGTCGCATTCAGTAAACTCATCTCTTGTATTTTTGTGCGGCTTTATAATAGAGCTCATTGGACCTGCGTACTTTGGTGTGGAATTGCGACAATGCCAGCAGCTTTGATAGAAACCCCTGATAGGATTTGTGAGATGACTTTATACATTCTCCCTCGCTTTTTTGATGCTTTATGGAAGTTTTTGAAGAGGAGACAGTTGGTAATTTCTCTGCCCTTCGCACATGTTTTGATGTTTTCGCTATCTTTAGGAGCAATTTCATGGGGTGGAAAAACTGGCAATGTAAAACCAATGCTGAAAAACGCTTTAGATATGGGATTTCCCCAGGGATGGCGCTATTTCGGCCTTGATTTTCCCACTGGAAAATTTTTTGGTTTGACCAAACTATATGGTACTGGTCGAACCAAAAAAATTTTCCAGTGGGAAAATCAAGGCCAAAATAGCGCCATCCACAGGAAATTGCAATAAATTCTTTGGAATAAACTAAAGGAATCATTGCTAAATGATTGAGAGATTATTATATTAAAAAATTCATTAGATTATGTCTTATTTTTAGGAGTTGGGTCGAGAGTTAAATAAAATTCATTGAATCTTAAAGGTGTCCCAGCATTTTTAGATCTATCTAAAAACTCTTTTATCGCTTGAGTGCTGATTTTTGAATTTTTGCTTTGCTCAAAAGCCTGAACGATAAGAACCCTCATAGCATGCGAATTTGAATAAATTTTAAAAACTGGATAATCCGGATATAGCGCTTTCCCGAGGATGGCGCGGAATGGCGCCATCCTCGGGAAAGCCAGGAAGGCATCCACACGGGAACTGGGAGTTCCACGTGTGGATGCCATTTTGACATGTGGAAGTTTGGATCCCACATGTCAAAAATGGCATCCACACGTGGAACTCCCAGTTCCCGTGTGGATGCTTAGTTGACTTTCCCGAGGATGGCGCCATTCCGCGCCATCCTCGGGAAAGTGCTATATGTAGGCTGGCTGTCTTCTTTCTTTTCGAAAATATAATCGTATAATTCTTTAGGCTTATTTGCCTTTTCCAAGTTTTGTTTAATGATTTCACAAGTTTTATGGTATTCACTCAATTGTGAAATATATGCTTTGCATTGCTCACTCCCCCCCCCCCTCCGTGAGCGAACAAAACCATTAGAAAAATCGCCATTTTTTGACCAAAAACCCACCCTCCGTGAGTGAACAAAAATTTTTTTAATAGAAAAAATTTTAATAGAAAAAAATTTTGATATATAAGTGATAATTAGTATAATGAAATCTAGAGCTAATTCTGTTTAATTTTAAACAAATTGCGTTTTAAAACATAAATTTTGCAAATTAAATTAATATTTGCTTCCCAATTTTTGCAAATTAGGATTTTTTTAAATTTCGAAAAAAATATTTTTTATAAAATTTATATATAAATTTTTTTTTTTAAAAAAAAAAATAACCCCCCTCCGTGAGCGAACAAAATTTTTTTGTTCGCTCACGGAGGGGGGGGGGGGAGTCAGTATAATATTTTTTGATATATTCTTCTCTTATTTGAGTTGAAATTTTCCCTTTAAGTTTTTGATTTTTTGATTTAAACGATTTCTTTGTCTCGACAATACTTGCATTTTTTTCTCACATCAATCGCAAAACTGTAAATCTTGCTCGCTTTATATCTAGAAACTGCCTTATTTTTCTTTGTATTTTCAATTGTTTCAGTCTGAACCTAGCCATCAGCTCAAACATGTAGTTGCAAAGTAGCGCTCGCTCAATAGAATAGTCAACAGTTATTCTAAAGGTTTCCTTTCTTTTGTAGAATCATCGCAATATAGTTTTAAAATTTTTTTTTAATGCTTTTGCAAGCTTCGATCGTCTATAATTTAATACTCGAAGTCTAATTTTCCCAATAAACCTGAACAATCAATAAAGGAAAAATAGATGATGCTTTGATCTATACCGAAGAATCTAAATAATAATTACTTTTCTATGTCTTTTCTTATATCGGAGAATTGACAGAACAGAAAAAATTCCAGCCAAAATTATTCATGAGCCTGCAATTTTAGTCATTTCAGGCTTCTTCATCCTTCAGTCTAATTTTGTTAGCTTTGTTAAATAATTTTGCTCTCTTTCTGACTTTTCATTTTCCAATAACAATTCTTTAGTCCTTTTTTGGATCTGGAGTCTAATTTCATTAACTCTTGCTTTTGACTGTAAGGCCACAATTTTATTTTCAGGAGAAAACTGAGATAAATCTTTATTTCTGAAAGAAACTTCTGTTGGCTTTTCAGAGACTGCTCTCTTATGAGAAAAAAAATTATCAACTTTTCCTTGAAAATCATATTCAAATCTAGGGCCTGATGATATAATTCCTCCTACAAGCTTATCGGTTTTATCAAATGAATATGATCCAGGGCCTAAATGATGAGTAGAAATAGCCCCTACCACAAAATTGGGAGGTTCTGTAGGGAGCAGCGATTTGGGAATTCTATAAGATCTATTTGGAGAAATCTCTTCTTTTTTCTTCCTTTCAGTGCTTGATTTTTTGTAACTTTTCGATAGTTTTTTTCTCTTTTTAGGAAGCCGTAGAGGAGGAAACTTTGATTTTACATTTTCAAACTCAGAAAATTTGGAATCAAGTTCTTCTAGTTCAGTTATAAGAAGAGTTTTGCGGTCCCTAAAAGAGTACTCTTTTGACGTTGATTTGTCGTATTTAGGGGTGTTAAAAACACTAATAACATTGTAAAAATTATCAGGCGAAACTTGGCTTGTTGTTGAAGGATTATACTTATGTTGGTATTGATAATCTTCACTCATAGTTAGCAAGCTAATTTATTTTAATTTATAATTAATTAACTATTAAAGGCATTATCTATTTTTTGAGTCTGAGCAATCAGACTTTCCAATTCTTGAATATTTGCACTTAAAAACGTCCTCATAACTGTTTCAAATCGATATATTTTTTCTTTTTTAAACCTTGGTATTTCATGGCTAAACAACTGAGACGATATTATTCTCGTTATGCTATAAATTGCTTGAAGTTCATTTTCAAGTTCAGCTATGTCACTTGAAAGCTTTTCAACAACAGCATCTTTTGGCTTGTTTGTAATTATCATTGCTAAAGATTTATTCCCCTGCTGGATTTTCTGTAGTTTTTTCCTTTCATTTTCTAGCCTTTCTTCAGCCTTCGTTGTTATCCTATCATACGCTTTTTTTTTATGTATGGCTTCTATAATAGCTTTTAAGTCCATGATTTCGCTTTTTAAATAATCTAGAAGCATAAAATACGGGTTCGTATAGATTTCTCGAGTTAGCACTCTAAACTCTTTGCAGCCTAATAGCACATATAAACTATTTACATCTTTTAACCCATTCATAAGTGGTGTTAAGTGCTCTTCATACTCTGCAAAAGTTTCTAAGCTCCTCAGACAAGCTGCAAAAACTAATTCCATCTCGTATAAAGCTTTTTTAAAATAATTATAAGATTCATCAATTGTTGCAATTTCCTCTGGCGTTACTCTAGGAGAGTCTGCAAAGACTGACAAATAGGTTTGTGATAGCTGAATCAGTGAAATTCTCCGGAATTCTGATGTTGTCTTATGATATTCGTTAGGGCCTCTTATAAACATGTGAAATTCTTGGGAATGGTAAAGATAAGAAATCGATACGATTTTGTTTAAAAAAAGTTCAAGAAGTTTGCGCCTCTGTTCTATGAAATTTGATTGCAAATTTCCCTATGTGTTATTTACCAGCATTTTCTTTGGAGGAATATGTGGGATGAAACACCCAGGCCAATGCTGCACAAGCAAAGTCCTCAACCGGATAAAATCTTTGTATCTTCGATACGCTTCAAAAGTACCTTGCAAATCGAGCCCTGATATCGTATAAATGACATATTTTCTGAACCCTTCTTTTATTGTAGGGTTAAAAATTGAAATTGAAACATTATCATCGCTTGTGGTCAAGTATAGACCCACCCCCACCCCACATCAATACCAAACTACCTAGTCATGATAATATTAAAATAAGAGAGTTTCATCTTAAACAATTAAAGCGCAATTCGTAGCATGCTTACACATATATTTTAATATTTTGTTTCATATCTATGCTATAAACAAAATTTTTAAATGGTAAAATTTTTAGACTAATAAATAAAAGATTAAATAGAGAAATAAGCTGAATATTACTTAACTATTGCATTTTAAGAATAAATCAAGTTGAATTCTGCTGTAAAATGGAAATCAATCCAAGATAATTATATATCATAGGCACATACAATATGTAGCTTTAATTTTACTAAATTAATGCGTTTTAACAAATTAAATATGCTTAAATAGCTAATTTTACATATTAAATATAATATATCTCATTTAAATTTAATACAAGCTAAATTTGCTAGCCATATAAAAATTTTGTTTATAGTATAGATATGAAATAAAGCGTTAAATATATATTTGAAAGCATGCTATAAATCGCGTTTAATAGTGTAGAAGTGAAAAAACTGCAATATCTCTTATATTTTCTATTATCAAGACTAGGTAGTTTGGAATTTATGTGGGGTTGGGGGTGGAGTTATGCTTAGCCACGCTTGGAGGCGTTCTCCTTTCGAAATTTCCATTTGTATAATCGGCTTTGGAGGTGATATAATTGTTCTCCTTTAAGCTTGACGAATAAAAAGGGTTTTCCATTTGTTAATATTATTAGTTCACTATTAATTGATCCTTTTATCCTCTTCCTCTTTCTCTTTTTTATCATTTTCTATACTGTTTTCCTCTATTTTTGAGATGTCTTGAATCTTTAGCCTGACTCGCTTGTCGCCAATATTTGTCCCAAAGCAAAACTCGTAAAGCGCATTTTGAATAACGAAGTAAATGGATTTATTATATGGAAAAATATACGACATGAGATATCCGTAATTAATACGTGATTTTGCTAATATTGTCCATTCTGAAGCTGAACACTCGTGGCTTTCATAAATAAACCCAAGGGCATCGATAATGAATATTCTATTACTATTAACAGTAACAATCTTTGCTGAATTTTGGGTTAGATTTGGAATACTTGGATATTCTTCTGAACTTCTGAAAGCGTAATGACAATCATTAGATATCGAATAAATATACAAATTTGTATGTAGATATCCTGAATATACGATATTGTCTCCAAATAAAGCACACGAGCATGTGTGAGACTCAGCTTCCATAGAGCTTAACTCAGTTCAATTTTCGCTTCTTAATGAATATTTAAAAGCACTTTTTGAAAGCACTCCTCCAAATATGTAAACTGAGTCAGTTTCTTGGTAAAAAATTCCTCTAGCTCCATAGGAAATGCGCTGACTATCAGGCCTTCTTTCTATATTTCTATTCACATAGTCAATAATAAAAATCTGTCCAGGCTGCTCTCCGTTTATTCTAGTGCTATAGCAAAAGGCTCTATTGTCATTAAGTAAGCATAGAGAATTTAACTCTTCAGACAAACTACCTATGTTTTCAAGTTCTGGAATAACTAATTTTCTACTTTCAAGATTTCTGACGTTTGTTACTATGCATTGCTTGGATTTAGGTACAAAGGTAATCAGGGTGCTCTCTTTTTCTATCATCATAAATCAAAAAATAATAAATATTGAATTCTATAATATTTTTTAGGTTTTATGTAATTAAACTATGGACTATTCCAAATTGAACAAATCATATTCATTTTCAAGGCCGCAAGTTATCAGCCCTTTGAGTAGCTCATCAATCTCATATGTTGCCAATTTTAAAAAAAACTTAAAATGCAAGCTACCTTCGTTACAAGCAGCGACCGAATCAACAACAGAATCGATTATGACAAGAATAAAATTAAGAAAAAATAGAAACCCAGCATACAATATTCCACCTGAAACCGCTGCACTTGTAATTAAGCAATATCTGCTTCCTATGTTTGATAAAACGAAGCCTAAAAACTTCCCAGAATCAAAGTCAATGCATGATGGTCTTAATATATCACTAAATAAAGAAAAGCTAGAAAATTTAGACAGCACGTTTGATAATACTGTTTATGGAGAACTAAAGCTTAGCGTAAAACTTGCTAATGAGTTAGAGCAAGCACGAGAAGACTTAAGAACTGCTAATGAAAGTGTAAAACTAATTGAGCAATCGAAGATTTTGATAGAAAAAGAATTCAACGAGCTTAAAAATAAATATGACGATCTTTATATGAATTTTGAGCTTCTAAAATTCCAAACGACGCAGTCAATTAAAAATTCGCAAAAATATGAGCTTCAGTTAAAGTTGGTAACTCCCCAGCTTGAAGAATACAAATTGCAGTGCCAAAATAATGATAATTTATCAACCAGGGTAGATACAGAACAAAGTAATGCAACCTCAGGCAAAGATTATGAATTTTTCGATAATTTTGATTCTGACTCTAAAGGGAAAGCTCTTGAACTTTCACATGTAAATGATTTGATCGCAACAGAAAATCTTGTGATAGGGGAGCGACTTCGCGGCTTGTATAATAGTTTTTCAGAGCTCACTAAAGAAAAAAGCATGTCGGAACTATTGCAAAATCAATTATCCATAGCAGCTAAAATTGTCAAAACAATTAGTGAAGATTATAAAAGTCAAATAAAAACAGCTGAAACTTTATTATATGAAAGAAATGAGCTTAGAGAAGAAATTATTGATATGGCTAAAATCACAGATAAAACACTAAAAGATCGAGATAAAATCCTTGCTAAATTTAAAGAAAAAATTAGTTCATTTAACACAAATTTAAAAAACGCTGTTGAAGAAAAAGATAAATATAAACTCAAATTCCAAGACTCTGATTGCAAGCTTGTCCTTCTATCTGAAGAATATGAAAGATTGAGATTAAAATTGAAAAAATACAATGCAAAGAATCATGATACAGATGAAACTGAAGAAAAACTATGCAATAAATGCAAAAAAGTGTATATGGAAAAAGATAATTTTAATTGATCATGCAAAAACCACATAAGCTTATATTCTGGAGAAATCTGGTGATGCTGCGGCCAAACTGGGGTTCAAGCTCCAGGCTGCCAACTCTCAAAGCATGTTTCTAAATCAGACGAAGAAGAAAAAGTTATGCAGCGAGAAATAAGCAGGATCAAAAGCTCAGTCACTTGCCCCGTAACTTTAACATAGTGCTGCAATGGTATCGGACACTCTTTTTCGGAATGCCCCAAAGACCCAAATATAAAAACAGTAGAAGAGGTTGATGAGGAAATCGATAGGCTTTTGCAAATCAAAAACGACAAAAAAGCTCTTCAAGGCAGAGGATTTGACCTTAGCCATCAGGTAAAACAAATGCTAAAAAACAAGCTAGGAGACAGCGCGAAATCTTTGAATTCATTATCGAGTGATAGAAAGGAAAGGCTGATGCTAGGCAAAGGAAACGGCGATTCAACTTTCTTCGCTGATATTATTGATATCAAAAAGAGTGTGGGATTTAGCAAAGATACTGTAAGCTTTATATAGAATATTGTGTATTCGATGGTTCTTGAAAATTCGCTGGTTGCAAGACAAAGGAGGAGAAGTACTGTGATTGCTGATAAAAGAAGGCATAGTGATTCTATGCATGAACTGAGAAAATCACGAACTGATGTAAATAATAAGCGTGGCCGTGACCGCTCGTTCATTAATCAATTAATATAGTAGATTTGTATAATTTAAACTCACATAGGGCTATATAAGATGAGATAATTGGATGGCTGGATCATAGATCTAAAATAAAATTATTTATTTTTAAAGAACATGTTCCATGCCAATCTCAACTTTCTTTAATTTTGGCATTTCTGCAGGTTTTGATGACGGAACATGGAAGTACTTAAAATCAGTCATGATATGAAAGCTCGTTCCTAAGCCAAACATAATATCTCTGTATTTTGATGAAATGATATCTTTTAGCGAGTTTTGTTTAAATAATTTGAACCTGCACTCGTTTTTTATAGGCATTTTTTTCATTTCTAACTTTTCTCTTCTTCTAGCTTCATTCACGTGATTTGCATACTCTTTGTATACTTCACTGAATTGCTTTTCATACTCTCTAAAATCATCTTCCCGCTTAAAATCCCTCTTTTTCTTAATAAGAAATCCTTTATCTTTTGCATAGACATAAAAATAATTAATAAAATCATTCCATTCATTAAGTTTTTCATCATTTTTTAGGGTCTTTTCTTTTGGAATATTCTTTGCTGAAACATTGGGTTTTGGTAAAAATTTTGGAATCATAGAAAACCTGTCTGAGGAAAAATTGAAATTATTGTCGTTTCGAGATTTTGGCTGTTCTATGACTTGTCTGCGTAAATTTTCTATAGCAGCGTTGCTTTTGGACATTGTAAATCTTAAGAGACGCACCTCAAGAATTGGGTTTGATATTATAGTCTCCTTTCATGCGAAGCAGACACATTGGCAATGGTAAAGATCTTCGCCTTCAAGGTAGTCGAGGATCAGCATAAAAATGTTTTTATTTCCAAATATTGGACTATCAAGCCTCATCCGAGCAAGATATTTGTTGAATAAGCTTAGCATTTATAAATATCAGAAAAATAAGGTGATCATATAAAGGATAAAGGTTATAGTCGAGTAGAAATTGTTGAGATTATTCGAAATCTTCCTCTAAATTCAACAAAATTTGTTTGCTTAATGAAATTTGATAAAATTAAAGATTTTTGCGATTTAAAAGAAATTAACTGAGTACATATAAAGTTTATTTTTAATGAGCAATTGCAAAATCTACTTAAATAGAAATATATTTTAATAAACAGCTATCAGCTTGGATATTTTTAGACAAATTAGCAATTAAACACTTAAATAATATTTTAAAATATGGAATGAAACTTTTGACTTATCTTATGAGGTCTGATTATTGCTTCTCTTGCTTGATTTATAATTGTAAAAGTTTCTGGACGAAATCTTTCATTGCGAGACCACAAGCCCTCAACAGTTCCAGGAGACCATCAGTGGGTTTCAATATCTCAAACCTCATTATCGACTTGCATCGTAAAATTTATTTTAGTTTTGCAATAAAAATTTAGATGGCTGATTCCAATTAAATGGAGTTCAATGTCAAGTTTGCCAAGTTTCATCTCATCTTTTATGCTCCAGAAATCTCAAAGGTTGTAAGCAAGTTAGTGAAAACACTTTTACCGATTTCTTCTATCATCAATGGCAAGAAATTTATTTACCTCTAACTGCGAAATGTATAAGGTGCAATTCTTTGTGTGGGAGTGCATATGAAATAAAAAGTTTCCAATGCTTATGATGCCAAAAAACGGTTCATCAAAAATGCTGTGAATTTGCTGATAAAATTTGTAGCCCTCCCAGCTATGCTATTTTGCCTGCTTTTGTTCAGATGAATCCTTTGAAGATTAAAAAATTGAACCCAAAGGCAACTCCTGTAGTGGTTGTTATAAATCCGAAATCAGGAGGGCAAGTTGGACATATGGCATTAAGGTCATTTTATTCGTTTTTGAATCCTATTCAAGTATTAAATGTTTATCAAGGAGGATTAGAAAGATTGAAAGCTTTTCAAGGAATCAAAAATCTTACTCCCCCTCCTTAAGCTATAGCGCTTTCCCGAGGATGGCGCGGAATGGCGCCATCCTCGGGAAAGCCAGGAAGGCATCCACACGGGAACTGGGAGTTCCACGTGTGGATGCCATTTTGACATGTGGAAGTTTGGATCCCACATGTCAAAAATGGCATCCACACGTGGAACTCCCAGTTCCCGTGTGTGGATGCTTAGTTGACTTTCCCGAGGATGGCGCCATTCCGCGCCATCCTCGGGGAAAGCACTATAGCAAATCATTGAAAAAATCCCTATTTTTGGTAAAAAACCCACCCTCCGTTGTTGAATAAAATTTTTTATGGAAAAAATATTTTGATATATAATTGATAATCAGCATAATGAAATGCCTAGCTAATTCTGTTAAATTTTAAACATTAGCATTTTAAACATAAATTTGACAAATTAAATTAATCTTGACTATTTTAAATTAAAAAAAATGATTATAAAATTTATATATAAATCTTTAAACAACAATATTAAACCTCGAATTAAAAATAATTTTTTTCAATTATGGGGGAGTTAGAATTTTAGCAGCAGGAGGAGATGGGACTGTTTCGAGGTTGTTAAGCTTTTTATATGATGAATCAAATTGGGAACAAGAAATTCCTCCTGTGGGGATTTTCCCCCTTGGTACAGGAAACGATCTTGCATTTACACTAAACTGGGGTAAAGGAGTTAGCTCCAGAGAATCCAAAAATTTTGAATCTATGAAAGAAGTTTCTAAAATTTCCTTAAAATCACTATTCAGTGCCTATTCAACTTATTTACTCCCCCAAACAAAAATTCTGCTCCAGTTAAAAAGGATTTAATTATTTTTTAGAAAATTGTAGTTATAAAAAGTTTTATCGATTCAAAGTCCTAAAATTCTTTAAATAGAATTTTACTTGCTTTTCCCCATTTAAAATAGATAATTTAAAGGCAATTTTTGATTTTTTCAAAATTAAATCAGATAGCTATTTATATAATAAATATTGATTTCCAATAAAAAATTAAATTTTTAATCCATTTTAAATGCTAAATAGAAAAATGGATTTTTACCGACATTTTATTCCAATTGAAAGGCGAAGAGTCAGATCGTTGAAATATTTCCATATGCACCTCAAAGTCAAAAAAATCTCAAATCATGTGCAACTATCTCGGCTTAGGTGTCGATGCAAAAATTGCACACGATTTTCATTCGCTCAGAGAAAGTAGGCCTTATCTCTTTCAAAGCCGAAGCGGAAATCGATTAATTTATAGCCAACTTGGAGGGAAAGAGTTTTTCAATAGAATGTGCAAGAATTTTAGCAGTAGACTGACTGTCAAATGTGACAGAGCTAAGCTAAAGCTGCCAAATTTAGAAGGAATCATTTTTCTAAATATTGAAAGCTATGGAGGTGGGGTAGATATGTGGGGAGACTCTGAGATGCTGTCAGAATCTAGTGCCAGTGAATCTGTGACAAGCCCTGGCAAAAAAGAATATGCTGTATGGAGAAAGCAGTTTAGAAATGATAATATGATCGAGCTTATAGGAGTCACCAGTGCATTTCATCTAGGAGAATGCCAAGTTGGACTATCACAAACCATTAAATTAGCTCAAGGAAGGAGCTTCACAATTGAAATAAAAGGAAGAGGGAAGATTCCCATACAAATTGATGGGGAGCCTGAGATATTCAAAGGGCCGGCTACGATTGAAATTGAGAGAAAGGATCAAGTCCACATGCTGTCAAGAACAACAGAAAGGTTTCATAAGGTCGCAAGAAAAGTTCAAGATGTGCTGAACTGGGCTGAGGAGACACACATTTTGGATAGCAACCAAAAAATGCTTTTACTGCAAGAATTTTCGAAAAGAAGCAGAATTTAATTATATTAATAAATTTACACTCTAAATGAATAATTAATTCTTACCTTTGCTTTTACAAGTCTTCTCATCAATAATCAGTTTTAATTATTTAATAAATATTAAATGAACCAACAAGAGCTCAACCTTCAGCAAAGAAAAGCAGCGATCGAGCAACGATTAATTGAGACTGGAGAAAAAGAAAGACTTCTTGAATACTTACGACAAAAACTTGTTGAAAGCGGCTGGAAAGATGAACTAAAAAATTACTGCAAAGGTAACTGCTAAGTAGAGCTAATAAGAAACAAAGGCTTGGACAGAATCACTGTTGCAGACTTAGTTGAAGAACTCAAGCCAAGAGCTCGTGCAACAGTTCCTCCTAAAGCGAAAGAAGAACTCTTAGCGAGGATTAAAAACTTTATAGAGAATAACCCTTAATCTATTATTCAAATAAGAAAAATAATCTTACAATCTTTTAAACTTTCTTCCAATAATTGGGAGATTTTGATCTAAGGTCCAGTCACTTCTATTTACATTTCTTAATATCTGTGGTAGTTTGCCACTTTTCGCTATTTTTGGGTGCATTTTCAAATGTCGAAAAATGCTTTGTTCAATTTTTGAATTTATAAAACTTTTAGACCTAGGGATCATTTCATTTCTATTTGAGCTTGAAACTAAATTATCCAAAAAATCAGGTTTATCAATAGACTTCATTCGATAATTTCTCTGTGTAAAAGGCCGACTTTTCAATTTTGAATTTTCTTCGAAATTATTATGAATTGGCCTTAAAACTTCTCTTTCCGATAAAAGCGGTCCTTTGCGGTGTTTTACGATAATATTTCGATTTTCAAACACTCCTTTATTTTCCCATTCAAAAAATGTAAAATTAAACCCTTCTTTTCCCTTCATAATATTAACGACAAATTTCAATTAAATTTTAACTTATTAAGCTTCTTCTTTTTGTTCTAGAGTTGATTCTGTAATCTGCGTAGTTCCATCAGCCATTTCCCAATATTTTTTTACTTTTTTCACTGTTTTTCCAGCTTCAGTTTCAGTCCTAACCTCGCAGGTCAGCTTAACAGCTCCATCAAGCCATTCATCGACCTCAGCGACAGGCTTAAGCTCTCCTTCAGCGATTTCTACCTGTTCTAGCTCATCTTTATCTTTAAATCCTCCAGCCAAGACAACGCTAATGACAGTTTTATATTCTGTATGAGGTGCTGCACCAATTCCTACTTTATTAAATCGAGGGTTAAGAAGGGCATTTCTATGAGGACGCGTGGAAAGACCGTCATCTATCAAGAAAGTGCTGACTGTCTCAAAAGCATCAACTGAGCCGTAGTCAAGAGCTTCAGCTATACACTCACTCCAGCGGCCAAAATATTCTAACCGATCTTGAAGGGTATTTTCTTTTGAGCCAATGTGGCCTACAATTCCAAGGGAGCCAGTGTCATTGCAATGAGCTTGGGAAGCTCTGCCAAGACCTTCTGACCAAGTTAATGCCTGTATAGGCTCTGAAGAGCGCAAGGCTTGAATTGCTTCTTTTGCTGCGCCAACTCCTTCACGAGTCACAATTGGTACTGCACCTGGTCGATGTTTGGCATTGTTAGATTTGTATTGCGAAAGAGTACTCTCCAAGCGGTCTGCAAATTCATGTGGATTTGTGCGGGCTTGATTGACTTCATGGAAAATTTCTTGAATAAACTCTGCGTAGGTTGGCATTACAATGGTTGGATTAAATTATAGTTTAAATCAGGGGGCATAGAATTTAAAAATATTTTCTAATAGAAAAATAATTTAATAAAATAATTAATTAATAGGAGGAGGATATTGGCAATAAAACACACTATACTGATTGGTGGAGTAAACATGGCTCATACTTATCAAATCATGTTTAGGCGCGTTTGTGAGATAGTCTTAATTTGTTTCTGAGATTGTTTTTAAAAGCTTCTTGTAAATTAATTATATTAACTTCCCCTTCCGTGAGCAAACCAAATGTTTTTGTTCGCTCATAGAGGGATAGTAAAATTATTTTTTCAAAATTTAAAAAATCTAAATTCACAAAAATTAGAAATCAAATATTTGTTTAATTTGTAAAATTTATGTTTTAAAATGCAATTAAACAGAATTCGCTAGAGAATTCATTATACTAATAAAATTAAAACATTTTTTTCCAAATAAAATTTTGTATTAAAAAAATTTTTGTTTGCTCACGTAGGGTGGGTTCTTACCCAAAAAATAGTGATTTTTCCAATGGTTTTATTCGCTCACGGAGGGGGAAGGGAGTAAATATTCAATTATATAAAATAAAACATAAAGTTATTGACAAAAATTCACACAAATAAAATGGCGACGACACCGACCCGTCCTCTCTCGGAACTGAGGCGAGATTGGGGACCTTGCTGCGGCCTGAAGCCAATCACCCAGGGAAAGTTCTGGAATGGGTACTGGCAGTTTGTGTCCGGCTAGGTTTCCCTCCCAGTCCAGCAACGACGATCCTAGGGTCGTCCCGATAGGACACGGGGCAAAAAGGGTTTTTCCTCTTGGGACTGCTAGTGCCAATTTGGAGGGCATGGCAGGAGCCGACAAGAGCTAAGGAGTTAATCCTTAGCTCTAACCCTAGTCTGACGACGTGAAGCACGGTGACCCAGTCCGCCTACTTCCGGAATAGCATGACCAAGCCCCATCACCGGAAGTAGCTGAGTGGTAGCCTGTGGCACTTAGGTGCACACTGGAAGCAGGGCAAGGAAAGCAAGCGAGGCGTCCAAAAGGCGGAAGAAAAGGACCTTCGGTCCCGGCCAGGAGCTACTTTATAAATTTAACTAAGATTAACTAAGACTATTGACAAAAATTCAAATTCATTTGGAGAATACACTTCATTTATATTATTCATTATCCATAATTAGAAGAGGCATCAGGCAAAAACCCCCAGGTAGGTTTTTCTTGCTGAATTTTTACCGTCAAAAATAATGAAGAGTTTTTCTATTTTTTTTCCAGGAAAAACTGCAATGGCTTTCAAAAAATTTAACAGAAAAAACCTCCTTTATTTTCCAGGAAAAAAACACTAGATCATTTTTAGTAGTATTTTTTTAAAACCATTTGCTTTTTTATAAAAAAAAAAAGTTAAAAACACTCCATTACTTTGACCGTAAAAAGGCAGCAGGAAAAAGCTACCTAATTTTTTTTTGGACAACCTAAATTAGAATATAGCCGTTTTGATTTAAATATTGAAGCTCACAGATGAATTCGAATAATACGCTGCATGAATTCTGCTTGCTTCTATATTTAAAAATCTCTCTTGAAGCTTCAATATTTTGAGAATTATAAAATGGATTATCTCAGTGATCTTGAAAGCAATCTTGCAAATTTTACTGGAAAGCTATATCAAGGAATAAACGAAATTCAACAACAAGCTGCAAAGCTTGAGCCTTCTGAAAGAGCAAAATTAGTCAGTTCATATAGTGCCCAGCTTGTAGAAGCTCACCAAGGGATAATAAGTTCTATCAGCAAACTCCCAGATGAACTTTTCAGCCAGACTAAAGAACAGCAAGAAGGCGAAATAAAAACACTGCAATTACAATATGAGCAAGCTGTTGAAAGACTAGAAAAACTTCAAAAAAAGGCAAAAATTGTCAACGAATGCGTTCAGGAATCACTTGATGCCCTATAAATATTTTTAATATAACAAAGAGCTATCATATAAGTTAGCGCAACTTTTTTAACCTTTAGCTTACTTAAAAATTAGATCTATTATATAATTCATGCTTTTTATGTACTTTGGCTAACCTTGATAGCGTCTTGACTTTTCAAAATTTCTTTGGCAATAATGCTCAGCTTTCAAGATAAGTATAACTGCTCTATCTTCTTAAATTCCGCATATATTTATTCATTGTTTGTTAAAAGACATATACATAATATTAGTGATAAAAATATATGGAATTTCATTATAAATCATCTAATCAAATACAAAGCAAAATACGCCCATCATTTGATTTAAAGGCTAAGAAAAATATGGCAAAAAGCTATGATTATTCAATTATCAAGCCAGCTTTCAATAAAGAAATACAAATTACTGGGCAAACTATTTTTTTAGTCTCAGGAATCTTAATGGAGGTAATTGTAGTCATCAACATCATTTGGTCCTGTGTCAGTACTTTTGATTGCTCTATATTTTGGCCTACAGTTAGTTATCTAGCTTGTTTTAGAGGCCATGATAGATTGTTTAACTTCACTATGGCCTTTTATGCATTCATCACAGGACTATTTTTTATCACTGCACATGTCCACTTTTTTAAAATTTACACACCTAGACTCAAACTATTTTATACGCTTTTAAGTGCTGGAATTGTGCTGGCTTTCCCATTTATATCAATGATTGATGAAGGAAATAGCTCGCATGTGGTCCCTTTGGAAAAAATTCATTATTGGATTATGATTGGTTTTATTTGTGGGGTTTTAGCTTGGATTTACATGTCCTTGCTTTGCATCAATGCAATTTCTATCCCTAAAGAAAATTTGATATGGAAGGATTTTTTACTGAAATATTTGGCTATTGGATTTGCTATCCTTTTGGTTAATTTATACGAATACAAGTATGCATACACAGAACAAGCGAATTGGTTTACAAATCAAAATGTAGAAGCAGCTTGTGAATGAATGGTGATTTCTATGACGGTATTTTTGCCGTTTATTTATAGCTTAGTTTTCCCTAGTGTTAGATTAAGAGTCAAGGTTGGATAGCTTATTAAATAAACTTATAGTATAACGATAATTAAAATAAAAATTATTAAAATAGCAGGTTTAAGAGATATCTTCGTAATCAAAAATGAAGCTTTCTATGGGACTGCAGTTTAATGTCGATACCCTTTCACTTTGGAATCCATTCATAATAAAATCTGTAGAGTTTTTGATTTTCCCAGTGCTTCTCAGCTCCTCACCTTTCAGATTCCCTCGCCTCCCTTTTTTCTCTTGGGTTTTATTTTTTGAAATATGCAAAAACAGAGGATTTTTTAAAAATTCATCAGCAATATGCAAAATCCCAGAATCGCCTTCATCGCTTTGTGAAAAGTTTACTTGAACTGGGTATCTCGGAGTTTGGAAATCAGCCAAGTTAGCACCTTCATTATGGCTTTCAGGCTTTTTTATATTTGTAAAAGTGTCATCTAAAGCTGTGTATTGCGAAAGGTTATCAAAGTTCCCTTTGTTGTCTGCTATAGAAATAGAAGATATAGAACTTTCTCTTCAATAGCGCGAAAAGACGTGCATCTTAGTTTGACTAAAAGGTCTTTGGACCATGAAAATTAGCTTTTCCTTCTCCATAAGAGAGGCAAATAGTAAAAGTGAAAAGTTCTGCCGATCCAGTCTAGAGAACTTGAAGGAATTTTTTTGGTCTGAATTATGAATACCTGAGCTATTGTCGAATTTTGATTTCTTGCAAATTTTTTTAATTTCAATGTATTTTGGTTTGTCAAATAGTTTTGACGAGTCAATTCTGGTTAGTACTTGAAATAAATAATAAAAAATTGCCATTATTTTTTAATTTTCTGATGTTAAGGATGATCAGAAAGTTGACAAAATCAAGATGGCGGCTTAAACGAACAAAAATTGTTCAAAAATAAATTTGTGCTCGAGTCCAGAAAGTGGAAAATAGAGATGTCAAATAGCTTATTTTGTTTCTCAAATATCAAGTCTACAATAAAACCGCAAGTGTGGCTTAAGAGTTTTAATTTTTTTATTGAGCGTACAAAATCAAGATGGCGGCTTAAACGAGCAAAAATTGTTCAAAAATGAATTTGTGCTCGAGTCCAGAAAGTGGAGAATAAAGGCACCAAATAGCTGTTTTGACACTTTAAATACCAAGTTCTCAATGAAAACCGCAAGTGGTGACTTAAGAGTTTTAATATTTTATATAGCGAGCAAAATCAAGATGGCAGCTTAAACGAACAAAAAATGTTCAAAAATGAATTTGTGCTCGAGTCCAGAAAGCGGAAAATAAAGGTGTCAAATAGTTGTTTTGATACTTTAAATACCAAGTTCTCAATGAAACCGCAAGTGGTGACTTAAGAGTTTTAATATTTCTATAGCGAGCAAAATCAAGATGGCTGCTTTAACGAACAAAAATTGTTCAAAAATGAATTTGTGCTCGAGTCAAAAAAGCGGAAAATAAAGGCATCAAATAACTTATTTTAGTTCTCAAATATCAAGTTTGGAATGAAACCGCAAGTGGTGACTTAAGAGTTTTAATTTTTTATATAGTGTACAAAATCAAGATGGCGGCTTAAACGAGCAAAAAATGCTAAACAATGAATTTGTGCTCGAGTCCAGAAAGCGGAAAATAGAGATGTCAACTAGCTTATTTTAAATCTCAAATATCAAGTTCTCAATAAAACCGCAAGTGGTGACTTAAGAGTTTTAATATTTTATATAGCGTACAAAATCAAGATGGCGGCTTAAACGAACAAAAAATGTTCAAAAATGAATTTGTGCTCGAGTCCAAAAAGCGGAAAATAAAGGCACCAAATAGCTTATTTTAAATCTCAAATATCATACTATCAATGAAACCGCAAATGGTGACTTAAGAGTTTTAATTTTTTTATATAGCGTGCAAATCAAGATGGCACTTAAACGAACAAAAAATTGTTCAAAAATGAATTTGTGCTCGAGTCCAAGAAGCGGAAAATAAAGATACCAAGAAGCTTATTTAGTTTTTCAAATATCAAGTTTTGAATGAAACCGCAAGTGGTGACTTAAGAGTTTGCATTTTTTTATATAGCGGTCAAATCAAGATGGCTGCTTAAACGAACAAAAATTCTTCAAAAATAAATTTGTGCTCGAGTCCAGAAAGTGGAAAATAAAGGCACCAAATAGCTTATTTTAAATCTCAAATATCATACTTTCAATGAAACCGCAAGTGGTGACTTAAGAGTTTTAATTTTTTTATATAGCGTGCAAATCAAGATGGCGGCTTAAACGAACAAAAAGTGTTCAAAAATGAATTTGTGCTCGAGTCCAGAAAGCGGAAAATAAAGGTGTCAAATAGTTGTTTTGATACTTTAAATACCAAGTTCTCAATGAAACCGCAAGTGGTGACTTAAGAGTTTTAATTTTTTGCATAGTGTACAAAATCAAAATGGCGGCTTAAACGAGCAAAAATGTCTAAAAATGAATTTGTGCTCGAGTCCAGAAAGCGGAAAATAAAGGCACCAAATAGCTTATTTTAAATCTCAAATATCATACTTTCAATGAAACCGCAAGTGGTGACTTAAGAGTTTTAATATTTTTATATAGCGAGCAAAATCAAGATGACACTTAAACGAACAAAAAATGTTCAAAAATGAATTTGGGTTCAAATTCAGAAAGAGAAAACAATGGCATCAAATAGCGAAATTTAAATAAAAAAATTAATTTGAGAAATATAAAAGTTATTTATTAGAATTCTTATTATTTTATTAGCAAATATCTGGGCGTCTTATAGCTAGAAAAATATATGCTTGCTTTCACTAATCTTTAATCTCGTTTTTTTGATCCTGTGCCATTTATTAAAAAAATTTCTGATCATCCTTAAAATCAGAAAATTAAAAACATTATGGCAATCAATTATTTTTTTTATTTCACGTGCCTGCCAGAATTAACTCGTCAAAACCATTTGACGAACCAAAATACATTAAAAATTAAAAATTTTGTAGGAAATCAAAATCCCACAATAACTCAGGTATTCTTAATTTAGGACAAAATAATCCCTTCCAGTTCTCGAAACTGGATTGGACAAAAATCTTCATTTTCACTATTTTCCTCTCTTATGGAGAAGGAATAGCAGATTTTCATTGTCCAAAGACCTTTTAGTTAAACCAGGATGCACGTCTTTTCGCGCTATTGAAGAGAAAGTTCTATAGCTCTGGCTTAAAATATTTTCTTAAATTTGATTCTTCAATGCGGCTGTGTTCTGCTTGGGTAATTCTGCTGGTACATAGGAGTTCCTCAAGCGTAGGAGAAGGTTGTTTGCTTCTGCTATGAGGATATGTTTCACCTATTCTGATTTTCTGCTTTGCACTTTCATAGTTAATTTCGCTTTTATTTGCATATTTCTTCAGATTTTCCTTATTTAAATTATTTTCCTTTTCATGATCTTTGCTTTTGCTTTTAGATAAATCAGTTGTTTGTGCTTTAAATCTCGGGGTGGATTCGATTAGTAATGGTTTTGGAGCTTGCTTTTTGTGAATTGGCTTGGGAGGCTTAAGAGTTTTACTCGGTCTTTGCCTTAGATTTTCGCTTGAACTTCTCTTGGAATTGTCCTTTGATTTTTCAGATTCACGGTTAAATTTTTCTAATTCGTCTTTAATAGTTGAAAGTTTGGCTTTTATTTCAGGAATCTTATTTTTTTCAGATTCAAATGATTGTTTCGCTATTAAACTCAATTGCTCTAATGAAACGAATCCAGTTAATTTACTTTGAACTGCATTTATCCCTATAACTAATGTGTATTCCACACATTTCCCTCATTGATTTCTCGGATATAAAAATAGAAAATCCCTTATCAATTGGTTGTCGCTTATGGAATCCAACATATTTAACGATTCCTGATTTTATAATTAATTTAATCCTATTTTTAAAAATTGAAGATTTTCTCTATTTGGCTGCTTTATTAGCCTAGTTTTATGATGCTAATATTTTATAGGATCAAATATTAATTAAAATGATAAAGCTCATAATGTAGTGATTTTTTATTGAAAATAAGCTATCAGCAGAGTAATTGATGCTAAAATAATTTTTAAAATGCAAATATAAATTCCTTGAAATCACAAATCAATTGAACTTACCATCATTCATCACCCATTATAATCCATATAAATGCCCAAAAAACTCCGAGCAAAGAAAGCGAAATCCCAAACGCCTCTCGGAGGAAAAACAATTCACCGTGAAAACTACACAAAACACCATTCAAATTCTTCCACAAATCCAGACCGTGTTATCAAAGGACGAAAACCTCACTCCTATAGGTCAAAATCCACCATCAACCGTCTCAACCTTTACAACCAGAAGCCAGATGAACAGCGCCGAGCTCTTCGCCCTGATCTGCCTGCAATGATAGAGCCAGATCGTCGTTGGTTTGGTAACACCAGAACGATCAAACAAGATGAGCTTGAGCTTTTCAGAAATGAAGTCAGAGAAGCTACCTCAGACCCATACTCCATGCTTATCAAGCCCAATAAACTCCCTATGGCTCTCATTTCAGAGCCCAGTGATAAGGCTAAACGTCCTCCTCTCCTAGATGTCGAGTCCTTTGAAGAGACCTTTGGATCCAAGGCTAGGCGAAAAAGACCAAAACTGCAAAATTATGACTTGTCAGCCATGGTCGAAGAAATTAAAAATAAAGAAGAAGAGTATGACGAAGAAAAAGACACCAACATTGTGAACGAGTATGGAGAGAAAGGAGAATTAAAGGACAGAAGATTGGAAAAAGGGCAATCCAAAAGAATCTGGGAAGAGCTTTATAAGGTTTTGGACAGTTCTGATGTAATTTGCCAGGTGCTTGATGTTAGGGACCCTATGGGAACAAGATGCCCACATGTGGAAAAGCAACTGAAAAAGAAGCCAAACAAGCATTTGTTCTTTGTGCTCAACAAATGTGATCTGGTGCCTACATGGGTCACAACTTCTTGGGTTAAGCATTTATCGAAAGAATATCCTACAATTGCTTTTCATGCATCAGTCACAAATCCCTTTGGAAAAGCTGCCTTAATCCAGCTCTTAAGGCAATTTGATACTTTCCACAAAGACAAAAAGAATATTAGTGTTGGGTTTATCGGATATCCAAACGTAGGCAAATCTTCAGTTATTAATACTTTAAGATCGAAAGAAGTGTGTAAAGTGGCTCCAATTCCAGGAGAAACTAAAGTTTGGCAATATATCACCTTGACTAAAAGAATTTATTTGATAGACTGTCCTGGAGTGGTCTATGATGTTGGAGATTCTGATGCTGATTTAGTGCTAAAAGGTGTAATCAGGCCAGAGAAAATTGAAGATCCAAGCATTTATATATCAAGTATGCTACCAAGGGTGAATAAAGAGCACTTACAAGGATTATATGGGGTTCAAGAGTGGCAAGATGCAGAAGATTTCATGACACAGATGGCTCAGCAGTCTGGAAGATTATTAAAAGGAGGAGAGCCAGATTTGAACACAATTGCAAAGATGTTACTTCATGATTGGCAAAGAGGGAAAATCCCATTTTTTGCTGAACCACCTTCTAAAGAAGAAGCTGCTCTTGAGAAAAAATAATTAAGATTTTTCTATCATAATTATAAATTATGAATTTAATTTGCATTTAGATTTCTCATAGCCTTATAATTCTCATAATCCATCACTAATATTGGGTGAAATTTCTAATTTTTAAAGTTAGAAGCATTTCATTGTTTGAACTCCATAAAACAAAAATTCTTACTTTCTAATTTTAAAATGTTTATTATTCTATATCTTCTTCGAACAAAAATGAAACCTCTAAAATTCCATCTTTAAATGAAATTTGTTCTTACCTAGTAAATAGAGCGCTAAGAAATTGGTTTTAATTTCAGTTCACGGTTAAGTCGATTATTACTTCCACTTTTTATTCATCTCTGTTTCCAGGTGAAGAATATTATCAAAGAGAATTAAATGGTATGAAATTATATTTAGAAAATATTGCTGCAGCGAGAAATGCAATTTTAGACCGATAGTGGCAAACAATTTATAATTGCTATGCGATTCTATTCTTATTATAAAAATTCTTATTTATTTGGCGATTTTAGGAATTTTTGAAAGTTCAACCTCAAAAAGCATAAATATAATAATATCTGTAAATGTAAAATATCCATATCATGTTTTTTTAATACACTAAATAATAAAATGAAGGTCACCGAAGCAGAAGAGAGCAATCCGCTTGAAGGTCCAACTCCACAAGCTCCACAGGGTAAAGGAAGCATCAAGGATCTATACAAGTATGCCACCTGCTTAGACTATTTCCTTATTTTGGTTGGTTTCATCTCCGCTACTGCCTTAGGAGCGATCCAGCCTTCTTTCTTCTTATTCATGGGAGATTTCTTTGGGAGCATGGATGCGAACACCTCAAAGGACTCATTTTATGAATCAGCAAAAATTGTCTGTTATGAGCTTATCGGATCTGCCTTTGTTTTTACTATTGCTGGAACAGTTTCAGTTATGTGCTTTGTGAATGTTGGTGCTAGACAAGCTTTCCACTTCCGAAATCACTATTTCAAAGCGATAATCAATAGAGATCCATCATGATTTGACCTCAGACATGTTGCAGAACTTCCCCAATCCTTAGCAACAGAAACTTTAATGATCGAAAGAGCCACAGGGGACAAACTGATTGTTTTAATTATGGGCACAAGCATGATAATATCTTCTTTCATTATTGCCTTTATCATGGGCCTCCAGCTAGCATTATTTTGCTTATTTCAGCTAAAATGATTTTTGGCCGCTCAGAAGTGGGGTAATTTATTTTTTTGAAGTTAAAAACTACTTATTTATCATAGAATGATTCTATTAAAATTAGAATTAGCTAGATATTTCATATTAGTAAGAGTTAGTTTTCATGCCGACGGTTACATATGGATTCATGTTGACTCATAAGGGACTTGAACAAAGTTCCAAAATAGCTGATACTTCTTATAAACTTGCAGGAGGTATCGCTGAAGAAGCTTTGCAAGAAATCAAAACTGTATCCTCGCTAAATGGGCAGAAACATGAAGCCAAAAAATATACAGAATCTATAAAAGATTCACAAAAATCCATGCTTTTTAGTGGATTGAAGGTTGGTGGAGGTACTGCATTAGGCGTGAGCTCTTTTATGATTATGAATGGAGTTATTTATATTGTTGGAGCTTGGCTCATAGATAAGGGAGAGGACAATTGGGCTGGTGGGGAGGAATATGATTTAACAAGAGTCATCACAGTTATGTGGGTGAGTCTTATGGCCTTTAATAATATTTCGCTGTGCGTTCCTAGTCTAAAACTTATCAGTATGGGGAGAGTGGCTGTTTATAATATTACAGAAATTATTAAAGGTAAATCAAAACTTACCCAAGGAACCCGAAAAAGCGATATTGAAGGTGCCGTTTCATTTAAAGATGTTAGGTTCTCTTATCCATCAGCGCCTAACTCAGAAATTCTTAAAGGACTTAGCTTTGATTTAGAACCAGGACAGAGGCTTGGAGTTGCTGGAAGTACTGGATCAGGAAAAAGTACTATAATTCAGCTTCTACTTACTCACCCCCTCCATGAGCGAACAAAAAAATTTTGTTCTCTCACGGAGGGGTTAATTTGTTTTTTTAAAAAAATTTATATTAATTTTTAAAACAAAATTGTTTTCGGGATTTAAAAAAATCCCACTTCTCGAAAATTGGGAGGCAAATATTAATTCAATTTATAAAATTTATGCTTTAAAACGAAATTTGTTCAAAATTAAACAAAATTAGCTCGAGATTTCATGATACTAGTTATCACTTATATATCGAAATTTTTCCCATAAAAAATTTCTGTTTGTTCAAGGAGGGGGAGTTAGATATTATGAACCTTCTTCTGGAACTATTACAATAGATGGATACAACATCATGGACTATTCAATAAGTTTTTTAAGAGAATATATTGGGCTTGTGAGCCAAGAACCATTACTTTTTAAGATTAAGTAAGCCGTGCGTTCTAGATATGGCTGGAGATTTCCACCTCAGCATGCTTATCATCCCGAAGGACCACAGCAGGCACTCTTTCTCGCTACCACAGACGAGGATTCGTACAATCGATCTTGACTTCCACCTATGGGCCCATCGCGTGAGTCGAAACTCAGAGATTCTCGTTAGGCAGTTGTCGCCTCTCTGCTCGAGGGATTTATCGTCCTCTCTTGCCATTTCCAATAATAGTCTTGGAGGCAAAAATTCAGAATCCCAGGGACTAGCTCCCTAAGGCTCAAGAAAACCTTAACCCGATATGCACAAACGATTGCCGGCCTCTTTCTGCCACACTTGTCTGCTGGTGTTGAAGAAAAGTGCCAGAAGGTCGAGCGGTCAGCCGCCACCAATTTTATGTATATACCATTTCTTTTTAATGCCAGCATTTTTGATAATATTAGGTATGGAAAATTAAATGCCACTGAAGAAGAAATAGAATTTGCAGCGCGAGAAGCAGGAGTGCATGACTTTATTTCAGCCTTACCCGATAAATATAAGACTCCTGCAGGAGCTAAAGGGTCTCAGCTGTCCGGAGGGCAGAAGCAAAGAATTGCTATTGCAAGAGCTATCATTAGAAACCCAAAAATTCTCTTATTAGACGAAGCAACAAGTGCTTTAGACAGGCGAACTGAGCAAGCTGTCGTTGAAGCCATAGATAAAGCCATGCCAAAAAGCACAAGAATTACGATTTCTCAGAATTTACTCACAATAAAAGAATCAAATTTTATTATCGTGATTGACCAAGGAGTTGTATCGTTATTTGCAGATTTTTTGAACATTATCACCTAAATGTGGAGTTTTTCCGCGTTTGAAAAGATGATTCCACATTTAGATGGTAATGTTCAAAAATCTGCAAATAAGGATACTGGAATTTGGCAATCATAAGCAATTAATGAAAAACAAATCGAAATACTACCATCTCGTCAAAATGCAAAAAATTCAGCAAAAAAATGAGGATGATGAACAAGCTCAAGCAAAAGTAATTGATCTCGAAGTAAATAAAACGAAAGAAGATGAGCAAGTTAAAAATGAGTACGATGCAGGAAACGTCAAGAAAAAAATGATGCTTATGAGCAAAAGTGAAAGGGGGTGGCTTTACTTACTCCCCCCCTCCGTGAGTGAACAAAACCATTAGAAAAATCGAGATTTTTTGACCCTAAGTGAGTGAACAAAATCTTTTTTATGAAAAAAAGTTTGATATATAAGTGATAATTATTATAATGAAGTCTCAAGCTAATACTGTTTAATTTTAAACAAATTGCTATTTTAAAACATAAATTTTACAAATTAAATGAATATTTGCTTTCCAATTTTTATAGAAGTGAGATTTTTTTAAATTTCGAAAAAAAAAATTTATAAAAAATGTATATATAAATATTTTTAAAAATAAAAATTAACCCCGTGAACAAAATTTTTTGTTCACTCATGGAGGGGGGGAGTTAGGAATGGCTGGATCAATACTGGTTGGGGCTGGATATCCTATTGTAGGAATGTTCTGTGGAAAAGAGACCTTTGTACTAGCTTATAAGGATAGCAACATGATTACCAAAAGTTCTGAATATGCAGGCTATATCTTCTTATTAGCATTTTTTGTATCACTTGGACTGATTTTCGAATCAGTCAGTTATCCAAAAATGAGTGCAAATATCACGGCGAAAATGAGAAAAGCAGGCTTTAAAGCACTTCTTAAATATGAAGCAGCATTTTTTGATCTTCCTGAAAATAACTGCAGTGCACTTTCCGCAAGACTTTGCAATGATTGTGAAAAAGTTAATGGATTGGGTGGGCACATTGTTGGCATCATTCTTGGGATTCTTATATCGCTCACAGTGGCCCATGGAATTGCTGCAGGATATTCATGGAGAATATGCTTACTCTCCCATCCTATAGCAAATAAAGCAAATAAAAATATTTAAAATTCTTATTATATTGTTTTGTAAAGATAAGAATACTTTTATGATACGCTTTAAATTAATGAGAAGCTAGTTTTCTTAGCTATTGTCCCAATCATTATTTTTGCTACAGCGGCATGTTTTATGGCTCAATCCGTTGGAGTCGTAAAATTCAACTATGAGTCTTGCACAGCTCAAGCTGCTGATGCAATTATGAACTATAGAACTGTCAAAGCTTTTAACTTGGAAAAAGTCATGCACGATAAATATTTAGAGCCCGCAGCTCAAGAGTTTGCTAGCATTCGCAAAAAAGCACTAATTTCAGGTATTGCATATGGCTTAGGTTTTGGATTAATTTGGTGTGCTTATGCATTGATTTTCTGGTGGGGCGGAAATATCGTAGTTAAAAATCTTGACACCTATGAAGATATGACTATTGCTATGATAACTTGTATGTTTGGCTCAAATGCATTTTACTTAGCTGGAATATATGCACCAGATGTTAAAAATGGAGTTGAGGCTGCAAAACGGCTATTTAAAGTTTTAGAATATCAGCCAAAAATAAATGTTAACAGCAAAGATGGGGAGAAAAGAGAAGTTGAAGGGAAAATAGAGTTTAGAGATGTAGTATTTTGCTACCCAAATCGAAATTACATGGCTGTTAAATCTTTAAGCTTTACGATAGAGCCAGGGACTCATTTTGCAATAATTGGGAGAACAGGTTCAGGGAAATCGACAGTAAACCAGCTTGTTTTAAGACTTTATGACCCATTAAGTGGTTCGGTCTTAATAGATGGCATTGACATTAAAGACTATAACCTCAAACATTTAAGAAGCCAAATTGGACTTGTAGGACAAGAGCCTGTTCTTTTTACTGGGACTATCGCAGAAAATATTGCATATGGTATAAAAGCTTCTCAAGAAGAAATAGAAGAAGCAGCGAAAAAAGCTCAAGCAATTGAATTTATAACAGATCCAAAGTACTCAGAAGGTTTTGAACGCCAAGTCGGCATAAAAGGAAGCATGCTGAGTGGTGGACAAAAGCAGCGTATTGCAATCGCAAGAACAATTATCAGGAATCCTAAGATCTTGATATTTGATGAAGCAACAAGCGCCTTGGACTCAAAAACAGAGTTATTGTTGCTAGCTGCTATTAGAGAAGTAATGGCTGGAAAAACCGTAATCATGATCGCCCATCGACTCAAGACAATTTCTGAAGCACATCAAGTTATGGTGCTCGAAAGTGGGAAAATTCTGGAAATTGGGACGAGGGAAGATTTGATGAATCAGGGAGGCTACTTCTATAACATGATTAGCAATCTTTAAAAAGTTATAATATTTAATAGCTTTTTACCATTTCAGTGTTAATTTTTTTGATAATAATATTTAAAGTAAGCAAAGTTCCTTATTCTTTTAATGGATTAGTTTATAATTTCAAATTTATCGCGAAATTGCTTCGTGTTTATATAGCTTAGTAAATAGAAAACTGAAAAAGAAAATACTCTAGAAATTATTGAAGTATTCAAGCAATGTCAAAATTCTATGGGCAAAATTTCAAAAAATACTTAGCAACCATATAACTCACGTAATTATTGCAGCTGAAGGCCTTGAACAGTTTTACACTAATCAGATTCATTAAAAATATTTTCCGATTCTTGAAACTCCAGATCAAGATATCTACCAATGCAGAAGATTTCATGACACAGATGGCTCAGCAGTCTGGAAGATTATTAAAAGGAGGAGAGCCAGATTTAAACACAATCGCAAAGATGCTTCTTCATGATAGGCAAAGAGGGAAAATCCCATTTTTTGCTGAGCCACCTTCTAAAGAAGAAGCTGCTCTTGAGAAAAAATAATTAAGATTTTTCTATCATAATTATAAATTATGAGCAAATTTTGCATTTACGTTTCTCATAATCTTATACATCTCCTAATCCATCGCTAATGTTAGGTGAAAATTTCTAATTTTAAAGTTAGAAGCATTTCATTTGTTTGAATTCCATAAAACAAAAATTCTTATTTCTAATACTAAAATGTTTAATATTCTATATACTTCTTTTCTTGGAGTGGCGCTGCAAGCGCAGGCCACTCCATGCGGAATTCCTGTGTTGGTTTAACCAACATAGGAGTTGGTCGAACCAAAACTGTGCGTTGGTTCGACCAACCCATGAATTCCGCATGGAGTGGCCTGCGCTTGCAGCGCCACTCCAAGAAAGTTTCTATATCTTCTTCGAACAAAAATGACAGTCTCTAAAATTCCATTTTTAAATGAAATCTGTTCTTGCCTGATAAATAGAGCGCCTAGAAAGTTGTTTTAATTTCAGTTCACGGTTAAGCCGATTATTACTTCCACTTTTTGTTCATCTCTGTTTCCAGGTGAAAGTATTATCAAAGAGAATTAATTGGGTATGAAATTATTTTTAGAAAATATTGCTGCAGCGAGAAACGAGAAGTGCAATTTTAGACCGATAGCGGGAAACGCTTTATAATTGCTATGCGAGGCTATTCTTACTATAAAAATTCTTATCTATTTGGCAATTTTAGGATTTTTTGAGAGTCCAGCCTTCAAAAAGTATAAATAAAATAATTCCTGGTAAATTGTGGTGAATAAATTCATATCATGTTTGTTTAATGACCTAATTTTATAATAAAATGAAGGTCACTGAAGCAGAAGAGAACAGTCCGCTTGAAGGTCCAGCTCCACAAGCTCCACAGGGTAAAGGAAGCATTAAGGATCTATACAAGTATGCCACCTGCTTAGATTATTTCCTTATTGTGGTTGGCTTCATCTCTGCTGCTGCCTTAGGAGCGATCCAGCCCCTTTTCTTCTTATTTATGGGAGATTTCTTTGGGAGCATGGATGCGAACACCTCAAAGGACTCATTTTATGACTCGGCAAAAATTGTCTGCTATGAGCTTATCGGATGTGCCTTTGTGTTTACTGTTGCCGGAACACTTGCAGTTATGTGCTTTGTGAACGTTGGCGCGAGACAAGCTTTCCACTTCCGAAATCACTATTTCAAAGCGATAATCAATGGAGATCCATCATGATTTGACCTCAGACATGTTGCCGAACTTCCCCAATCCTTAGCAACGGAAACTTTAATGATCGAAAGAGCCACAGGGGACAAACTGATTGTTTTAATTATGGGCACAAGCATGATAGTATCTTCTCTCATTATTGCTATTATCATGGGCCTTCAGTTAGCATTATTTTGCTTAGTTTTCATGCCAGCTGTCACATTGGGATTCATGCTAACTCATAAGGGACTTGAGCAAAGTGCCAAAATAGCTGATACTTCTTATAAACTTGCAGGAGGTATCGCTGAAGAAGCTTTGCAAGAAATCAAAACTGTATCCTCGCTAAATGGGCAGAGACATGAAGCCAAAAAATATACTGAGTCTATAAAAGATTCACAAAAATCCATGCTTCTTAGTGGACTGAAGGTTGGAGGAGGCACTGCGTTGGGCATGTGTTCTTTTATGGTCATGAATGGGGTTACTTATATTGTTGGAGCTTGGTTTATAGATAAAGGAGAGGACAATTGGGCTGGCGGGGAGGAATATGATTTAACAAGAGTCATCACAGTTATGTGGGTGAGTCTTATGGCCTTCAATAACATTTCTCTTTGTGTTCCTAGCCTCAAACTTATCAGTATGGGGAGAGTGGCCGTTTATAATATTTCAGAAATTATTAACGGAAAATCAAAACTTACCCAAGGAACCCGAAAAAGCGATATTGAAGGTGCCGTTTCATTTAAAGATGTTAGGTTCTCTTATCCATCAGCGCCTAACTCAGAAATTCTTAAAGGACTTAGCTTTGATTTAGAACCAGGACAGAGGCTTGGAGTTGTTGGAAGTACTGGATCAGGAAAAAGTACTATAATTCAGCTTCTACTTAGATATTATGAACCTTCTTCTGGAACTATTACAATAGATGGATACAATATCATGGACTATTCAATTAGTTTTTTAAGAGAACATATTGGGCTTGTGAGCCAAGAGCCATTACTTTTTAATGCTAGCATTTTTGATAATATTAGGTATGGAAAATTAAATGCCACTGAAGAAGAAATAGAATTTGCAGCGCGAGAAGCAGGGGCGCATGACTTTATTTCAGCCTTACCAGATAAATATAAGACTCCTGCAGGAACTAAAGGGTCTCAGCTGTCTGGAGGGCAGAAGCAAAGAATTGCTATTGCAAGAGCTATAATTAGAAACCCAAAAATTCTCTTATTAGACGAAGCAACAAGTGCTTTAGACAGGCAAACTGAGCAAGCTGTCGTTGAAGCCATCGATAAAGCTATGCCAAAAAGCACAAGAATTACGATTGCTCAGAATTTACTCACAATAAAAGAATCAAATTTTATTATCATGATTGACCAAGGAGTTGTACTGGAATTTGGCAATCATAAGCAGTTAATGAAAAATAAATCGAAATACTACCATCTCATCAAAATGCAAAAAATTCAGCAAAAAAATGAAGATGATGAACAAGCTCAAGCAAAAGCAACTGATCTCGAAGTAAAAAAAACTAAAGAAGAGGAACAAGCTAAAAAAGAGTATGATGCAGGAAATGTCAAGAAAAAAATGATGCTTATGAGCAAAAGTGAAAGGGGATGGCTTTATTTAGGAATGGCTGGATCAATGCTGGTGGGAGCTGGATATCCTCTTGTAGGAATGTTTAGTGGAAAAGAGATGTTTGTGCTTGCTCTTAAGGATAGCGACATGATTGCCAAAAGTTCTGAATATGCAGGCTACATCTTCTTATTAGCATTTTTTGTATCACTTGGACTGATTTTCGAATCAGTCAGTTATCCAAAAATGAGTGCAAATATCACGGCGAAAATGAGAGAAGCAAGCTTTAAAGCACTTCTTAAATATGAAGCAGCATTTTTTGATCTTCCTGAAAACAACTGCAGTGCGCTTTCCGCAAGACTTTGCAATGATTGTGAAAAAGTTAATGGATTGGGTGGGCATATTGTTGGCATCATGCTTGGGATTCTTACATCGCTCGCAGTGGCCCATGGAGTTGCTGCAGGATATTCATGGAGAATGTGTTTAGTTTTCTTACTCCCCCCCTCCGTGAGTGAACAAAAAAATTTTGTACACTCACTAAGGGGTTTAATTTTTTTTTAAAAATTTTATTTTTCGAAATTTTAAAAAATCCTAATTTGCATAAAATTTATGTTTTAAAGGGTTCCTTCACACGACGACTATTTCATAACGACTATTTTTTTTTGGCCTATTTTTTTTGGCCTATTTTTTTTTGGCCCTATTTTTTTTTGGCCTATTTTTTTTGGCCTATTTTTTTTAGCCTATTTTTTTTACCTAGCCTCTTTCATGAAGCTGCTGAGAGGACTAGAACCTTATTGAGAAACAGAGACTTTTTCTTACGCGATTAATATTGAGTAAATTAAGTGAAAAACTCCTAATTAAATCTAAAATTTTCGAAATTTAAAAACAATGAATTAGTATTCATGGAGTACGAAATCTGTTAAGGGTGCATTTTTTGTTGGTTAAATCGTTTAAAAAACACATTAAAAATTATATTAAAACAATTAGTATGGAATTGTGCCCCAAATATTAGTAAAAAATAGTTAAAAAATTGTCAAAAAATCGGCCAAAAAAATAGGCCAAAAAAAAATAGGCCAAAAAAAATAGGCCAAAAAAAAATAGGCCAAAAAAAATAGGCCAAAAAAAATAGGCCAAAAAAAAATAGGCAAAAAAAAATAGGCCAAAAAAAAATAGGCCAAAAAAAAATAGGCGTTATGAAATAGTCGTCGTGTGAAGATACGGTTTTAAAAGCGCAATTTGTTTAAAATTAAACAGAATTAGCTCTATATTTCATTATATCAATTATTACTTATATATCAAAAATTTTTTTCTATTAAAAAAAATTTTTTTCACTCACGGAGGGTGGGTTTTTGTGCAAAAAATAAGGATTTTTTCAATAGTTTTGTTCACTCACGGAGGGGAGAAGAGTTAGCTATCATCCCAATCATCATTTTTGCTACAGCAGCATCTTTTATGGCTCAATCTGTTGGAGTAGTAAAATTCAACTACGAGTCCTGCACAGCTCAAGCTGCTGATGCTATTATGAACTATAGAACTGTCAAAGCTTTTAACTTGGAAAATGTCATGCACGATAAATATTTAGAACCCGCAGCTCAAGAGTTTGCTAGCATTCGCAAAAAAGCAGTAAACTCAGGCATTGCATATGGCTTAGGTTTTGGATTGATTTGGTGTGCTTATGCATTGCTTTTCTGGTGGGGTGGAAATATCGTAGTTAAAGATCTTGACAATTACGAAGATATGACCATTGCTATGATGACTTGCATGTTTGGCTCAAATGCATTTTTCTTAGCTGGAATATATGCTCCAGATGTTAAAAATGGAGTTGAGGCTGCAAAAAGGCTGTTTAAAGTTTTAGAATACCAGCCAAAAATAAATGTTAACAGCAAAGATGGGGAGAAAAGAGAAGTTGAAGGGAAAATAGAGTTTAGAGACGTAGTATTTTGCTACCCAAATCGAAATTACATGGCTGTTAAATCTTTAAGCTTTACGATAGAGCCAGGGACTCATTTTGCAATAATTGGGAGAACAGGTTCAGGGAAATCGACAGTAACCCAGCTTGTTTTAAGACTTTATGACCCATTAAGTGGTTCGGTCTTAATAGATGGCATTGATATTAAAGACTATAACCTCAAACATTTAAGAAGCCAAATTGGACTTGTAGGACAAGAGCCTGTTCTTTTTACTGGGACTATCGCAGAAAATATTGCATATGGTATAAAAGCTTCTCAAGAAGAAATAGAAGAAGCAGCGAAAAAAGCTCAAGCAATTGAATTTATAACAGATCCAAAGTACTCAGAAGGTTTTGAACGCCAAGTCGGCATAAAAGGAAGCATGCTGAGTGGTGGACAAAAGCAGCGTATTGCAATCGCAAGAGCAATTATCAGGAATCCTAAGATCTTGATATTCGATGAAGCAACAAGCGCCTTGGACTCAAAAACAGAGTTATTGTTGCTAGCTGCTATTAGAGAAGTAATGGCTGGAAAAACCGTAATCATGATCGCCCATCGACTCAAGACAATTTCTGAAGCACATCAAGTTATGGTGCTCGAAAGTGGGAAAATTCTGGAAATTGGGACGAGGGAAGATTTGATGAATCAGGGAGGCTACTTCTATAACATGATTAGCAATCTTTAAAAAGTTATAATATTTAATAGCTTTTTACCATTTCAGTGTTAATTTTTTTGATAATAATATTTAAAGTAAGCAAAGTTCCTTATTCTTTTAATGGATTAGTTTATAATTTCAAATTTATCACGAAATTGATTCATGTTGCATATAGCTTAGTAGATAGAAACTGAAAAAGAAAATACTCTAGATATTATTGAAGTATTCAAACAATGCCAATATTGTCTATGGGCAAAACTTCAAAAATTACATAAGTCAAACCTGGCATTTTGCTTGATGAAATTTCGTAAAAGATAAATGATAGGTGAAAATTATAAAACGATATCCTAGTTAAAATTAAATCAATTGTAAATTGCTAATAGCTTAATAATGAGCATGAGAAACAACTCTGAAATGCTTTTCTTTTACTCTCCTTTAGTTAGCCAACATTATTTTATGAAAGTAGTTAGAGCATGTCTACGCTTTGGACTATCTTTAAAGCTCATTCAAAATTACCAGTAGGTTTAAGGTATTAGCTTTTGCATCAAGAGGGCAGTCTGATATGGAGAAAATTAGTGTGATTTTTGGAACTTTTATATAAATTTTTTTTTCGATTTTAAAAAGTAGGTTTTTATAAAAAATAATAAAATTAGAGAAAAATTTATATTTATAAATATTCTTTAAAACAAATAACACAAAAATATACTACTCATAAGTGACGAGAGATTAAAGTATTATTTTAGGATATATAAAATAAAGTAATCCCATTCCATTATAGAGCAAAAATAATTTGCTCGCTTGCAGCGGGGAAGCCAGAGCTCATAATAAATTTTTTATCATTCATATAGTTGAAATAAGTTCGAAATAATAGTTAATGTTTATTATCTTTTTGATGATGCAAAGTGAATTTTGGCTAATATTATGAACAACAATTAGGATATGTGAATCTTAATGTTTCTTCCATTTTCATTGGGAATATTGGAAAGATAATAACTTTAATTCAAGTGGTCAAAGAGCTCTAGGGCTAGAATTAATTACTTTTGGACGTTCAAGATAAAATTAATCTGACTCCTCGAAGAAATAAGTTAATGCTGGGGTTCAGAATAAAAAAGAAAATTCTTCATATAGATTCATATTAAATGGAAAATCAAAATGATCTTCTTGGTTTAAGCATTAAGAATCAAATATAGCTCGAACCTGCTATAACTCTGCATAGAGTTATGAGTGAAAAAGCATCACAGAGAGTTTGACTAGCAAACTCAGGCTACGAGTCAATTCTCAAAGTCACCAATCTGTGCATAGTTCGATGCACCATTTTGAGAGCTGGCTCGCTAACTTTAGTTAAAGAATCAACTCTCTGGGTTTCTTTATCACTTTACTCCTATCTAGGGTATAGCAGGGAGCGAGTTATAATTTATATTTAAAGATAATTAAACCTTATTAGAAATAACTCTTGAAAAGAGCATTTTTTATCCTTTAATTTTCAAATTTATTTTCTCTACATTTTATTCTTAAAATAATTCAAGTTAAATCCTTTTGAAATTAATTTGAAAATGGGAAAAACTGAACACATGGAAGAGGCTGATTGACTTAATTCAAAAGATACTAAGCCTGGCCCTAATCAAAAGAGTTCTTTCAGAGGGCTTTATACCTATGCTAGACCTTTTGATTATTTTTTGATAGCTATAGGCTGCTTTTCATCTTTAACAATGGGCGCCGTCCAGCCTCTTTTCTATATTTTCATGGGAAGCTTTTTTGGTGGTATGGAAGGAGATAAGTCAGTTCAAGAGTTTTATGATAATGCAAAAATTGTTTGCTACGAGCTTGTCGCTTGTGCAATAATTTTTGCTGTGACAGGCTATTTATCAGTCATGTGTTTTGTTAACGTTGGAGCCAAGCAGGCTTTCTATTTTCGTCAGCAATATTTCAAGTCGATCATGAATTCCGATCCTTCATGGTTTGATCTCAGGCAGGTCGCTGAAATTCCTCAATCCTTAGCTCATGAAACTTTGATGATTGAGCGGGCTACAGGTGATAAATTAGTTATATTATTGTATACTTTTGGAATGATTCTTTCAGCATTTATTATTGCTATCATTGAAGGAACTCAAATGACCTTATTTTGCCTCCTTTTTTGTCCAACTATTATTGGTGGATTTTTTTTGACAAATAATGGCCTTGAGCAAAATGCGAAAATTGTAGACACTTCCTATAAAAAGGCAAGTGGGATCGCAGAAGAAGCCTTAGAAGAAATAAAAACAGTAACAACCCTTAATGGCCAAAAGCACGAAAGACAAAAATATTTGGAGGCAATTAAAGAATCACAGAAATCAATGTTTAGTGCTGGATTAAGAACAGGCCTTGGGACAGCACTTGGAATGTGCTCATTCGTAGTGATGAATGGAGTAGCATTTATAATTGGAGCATGGTTTATTAATAAAAATGAATATGATTGGGTGTTAAATGAGCCATATGATGTCACTAAAACTATTACTGTAATGTGGGTAAGTCTGATGGCTTTTGATAACATTTCGTTGTGTGTACCATGCATCATGCTAATTACTCATAGTCACAATTCTGGTCGTTAAAATTTTCTGTTCTTTCTAGCAGAAATTCCACCTTTGGCCAATTTTGATCATGCGAATTTTAATCCAGCAATGATGGTAACCTCGGACACCATAGCTTAGGGAAATGGAATATTCGAGAAGTGTTTAACCAACACCATTAGTAGAGGCTGGAGCCTTTAGCGTGCTTGACGGATGCAAATTGATTTTGTCTAAGAGAGCCAGGTTTATTTTTGTTTCAAAAATTTATTCCCTTATGTCTCCCAACAATGTTTGAAGAGATGTTTAATTCCAAATAGATTTTTTGGCCAATAAAGGTCTTTAAACTACTAATGAATAAGAATTGGAAAGACACCCGTCAAAAATTTAGATCAAGACCAGGCTGTGCGCAAAGCAAGTGGACAGAGCAATCTAAAGCAAGAGAGGAGCTTGCACAGTTGATGTGGCAGTGGATGTTAAGGCTTAGGAATTAGAAATAATTAAGGATAAGATAAGGCATATCAAGAATTACTCAAGGAAGGATTGCAGCATTTCGTATATTAGAAATAGTAAATACTAATAGTATGCTTATTCAGGGTTCAAGAGACTCTGAAATTTGTGGGAAAATTGTTTTTAAAAATGTAAAGTTCAGCTATCCTTCAACTCCGAACTCAGAAATACTAAAAGGACTGAGTTTTGAGCTTAAGCCGGGACAAAAATTAGGAGTTGTAGGAAGCACTGGTTCAGGGAAAAGTACAATAATTCAACTATTATTAAGATTTTACGAACCAACTTCTGGCAGTATCATGATTGACGACCATGATATTAGAGAATATTCAATCAGCTACTTAAGAGAGCATATTGGAATTGTAAGTCAAGAACCATTATTATTTAACACTACCATTTATGAAAATATAAGATATGGAAAATTAAGCGCAAAAGAGGAAGAAATTCATATTGCTGCTCAAAAGGCTGGTGCTCATAATTTTATTAAAAAATTGCCTTTGAAATACCAAACTCCAGCTGGATCAAAAGGCTCACAGCTTTCTGGAGGCCAAAAGCAAAGAATAGCAATTGCCAGAGCTATTGTGAGGAATCCGAAAATTCTTTTATTAGATGAAGCTACAAGTGCATTAGATCGGCAAACAGAGCAAGCTGTTGTAGAAGATATTGATAAAGCCTTACCAAAAAGCACAAAAATTACAATAGCGCAAAATTTAGCCACAATAAAAGACTCAACTTATATTATTATGATAGACCAAGGTGTTTCTTCAGAGTTTGGAACACATAAAGAACTTATGAAGAATAAATCAAAGTACTATCATCTTGTAAAAATGCAAAAAATTCAACGGAAAAATAGAGACGATGAGCAAAATAAAGAAGTATCTAATGGCTTCGATGGAAATAGATTGATCAAAGGAGAGGAAGGAAAAGTCACGCCGGAAGAGACTGAAAATATAAGGAAGAAAATGCTACATTTTTCGCAAAGTGAAAAACGGTGGCTTTATTTTGGCATTTTAGGGTCTCTTTTTGTTGCATCATCTTATCCAATTTCAGGTATGCTAAATGGGAAACAAATTTTTGTTTTATCTGAGGAAAATGATGACATGCTAGCTCCTCCCTTTAGATACTTTTAGCATTCTATCTTAACAAAAATTATTAAAATTGTTTTTCAGATTTTTTTAAAAAAACAAAATTAAGATATATTTTAAAATGTAGGTGATTAACAATCTAATATATAAAATTAATTTATATGGAAAAATATTCATATAAAAAATTTTTGCTCGCCCTAGGGTTAATTTTTAAAGATAGAATTTTCCAATAGTTTGTTTTGCTCTTTAAGAAGGGTAAGCAAAAGTGCAGAATATGGAGGATGGATTTGCTTCCTTGCCTTATTTGTGGCTATAGGATTAATTATGCAAAGCATCAATTACCCAAAAATGAGTTCAAATATTACCGCTAAAATGAGAGAAGAAAGCTTTAAAGCACTGCTTAAATATGAAGCAGCATTTTTTGATTTACCTGAAAATAATTGTAGCGCTCTTTCCGCAAGACTTTGCAATGATTGTGAAAAAGTTAATGGATTGAGCGGAAGCATGATAGGAATTATAATAAGTATAGTTGCTGCTTTATTAGTTGCACATGGAGTTGCTGCTGCTTACTCATGAAGAATGAGCTTAATTTTTCTATCAGTGCTTCCCGTTATTTCTATCGCAATTTTCGCATCCTATTTTGCACAAGAAGTAGGTGTCGTTAAATACAACTATGAACCATGCACTGCTATAGCTGCAGACGCTATCATGAACTATAGAACAGCAAAAGCATTTAATTTGGAAAAAGTCATGCTGGAAAAATATCTAGAGCCTGCTAAAGCTGAATTTGCAAGCTTACAGCAAAAAGCCCAGGTATCAGGCTTTACATATGGGCTAGGATTCGGGGCTCTTTTTTGTGTTTATGCACTGCTTTACTGATACGGAGCCAAGCTCGTCCTTGACGGAGTCGATACATATAAAGACATGATTATTTCGCTTATTACTTGTCAATTTGGCTCAGATTCTTTTCTTATTGCAGGAGTTTATATGCCAGATATTAAAAATGGAATTGAGGCTGCAAAAAGACTGTTTAAAATTCTGGAATATCAACCTACAATAAATGTAAACAGCAAAGATGGAGAAAAGAAAGAAATTAAGGGTAAAATTGAGTTTAAAGATGTTACTTTTTGCTATCCCAATCGAAATTATATGGCTTTGAAATCCCTGAGTTTTGAGATCAAAACTGGAACTCACTTTGCTGTGATTGGGAGGACAGGATCAGGGAAATCAACTGTTATCCAACTAATAATGAGGCTATATGATCCTTTGAGTGGAGCAGTGCTAATTGATGATTTAGATATTAAATCCTATAACCTTAAGCATTTAAGAAGGCAGATAGGATATGTTGGCCAAGAGCCAGTGCTCTTTACTGGATCTATTTCAGAAAATATTTCTTATGGTATAAAATCTGAACAAAATCAAGTCGAAGAAGCTGCAAAAAAAGCACAGGCCATCGAATTTATTAACGATCCTAAATATCCTGAAGCATTTGCTCGTCAAGTAGGATTGAAAGGAAGTATGCTAAGCGGGGGGCAAAAACAACGTATTGTTATTGCAAGAGCTATTATAAGAGATCCTAAGATTTTAATATTTGATGAAGCAACAAGTGCGCTTGACCCTAAAACTGAAGATGCACTTCTTTCCACAATTAAAGAAGTGATGGCTGGAAAAACTTGCATAATGATTGCCCATCGTCTTAAAACAATATCTGAAGCTCATCAAGTTATGGTACTAGAAAGTGGAAAGATCCTGGAAATAGGAGCCAGAAAAGATTTGATGACTAAAGGAGGCTACTTCTATAATATGATTAGCAATCTTTAAAAAACTTATTCTATTATTTAACTTAATAGATCAAAAATAAGCTTATCTGGATATTTAAACCCTCTTTATATTAGAGTTAAAAATTTGATAGCCTATTAATAGCAACTAAAAAGCATTTGCTGTTAAATGGAAAATAGCAGTGAAAATATGGATAGAATTAAGTCTCAGGGATATTAACAAGTATAGCACTAACTCTCCCCTCCGTGAGTGAACAAAACCATTGAAAAAATCCCTATTTTTTTGCCCAAAATCCCACCATCTGTGACAGAACAAAAATTTTTTATGAAAAAAAAATTGATATATAAGTGATAATTATTATAATGAAATCTCGAGCTAATTCTGTTTAATTTTAAACAAATTGCGTATTAAAAAATTAAATTAACATTTGCTTCCTAATTTTGCAAATTAGGATTTTTTAAAAATTTCAACAAAAAAAAATTTCTTTAAAAAAAAAATTAAACCTCCGTGAGCGAACAAAATTTTTTTTGTTCACTCACGGAAGGAGTAAGTATTTAAGACAGCAATAATAGTATGCTGGCCAAGAATCTGTTCTCTTTCTGGACCAACTGGTGAAGATATTTCCGATGACATGAATAGAAAAATCTGCAAAGTAGCTCAGGCTTTGAGTTTATTATATTATAGATCCAAAATATTCAGAAGCATTGGTCCGTCAATTTTGAACAAACAGAACATACTAAGCAACTTCTTCAACATAATAGGTAATCTTTAAGCATCACTATCCTTATGATATAGCCAGATTCCTGCTTTTGATCGGGCTTGTCTGAAATCTCCTACACCAAATGGGGAGCTGACGAGCCAATATTTACTAGCAAAGTCAACTTACGCATGTAAATCCTCTTGTTATTGGAGATTTGTCATCTGGGGAGTTGACTTTGCCAGCAAACATTGGCTCTTTAACTCTCATCTGACGTCTACCAGCGTCTGTACAGTCCGATCCAAGGAGGGATCGGGCTATATCAAACATTTAAAACTAATTTTTAATTAATCAATGTAATGGATTATCCAATTTGTGCTGAAATTCTTCCTGGCCTTTTCATAGGAGAATATAGGATCGCTCAAGATATGTCACTTCTCTTTAGTAACCATATAACTCACGTCATTATTGCAGCTGAGGGCCTTGAGCAGCTTTACACTAATCAAATTCATTACAAATATCTTCCGATTCTTGACACTCCTGATCAAGACATCTACCAATATAATCAAGGAACCTCTTTAGATAGTCCTGGGTAGGAGGATGCTTGGTAGCTTCCCGAGTTGGTTATCCAACTCAAATTGATGAATCAACTCGAGGAGTTGACAAATAAGCCCAATGCGAGGATAGCCAGCTCATGGAGTTGCCTACCCCTTTGCTAAAGGAGGAGTTAATTTTTTTTTAAAAACAAATTATAAATAAATTTTTATAGTAAATCATTTTTTTAAAATTTCAAAAAATCCAATTAATTTAATTTGTAAAATTTACTTTTTAAAATGCAAGTTGTTTATTAAACAGAATTAGCTAGAGATTTCATTATATTAATTATCACTAATATATCAAATATTTTTCATAAAAACCTTTATTGTAAAAAATTTTTTTGTGCTATCACGGAAGGTGGGTTTTTGCGCAAAAATAGGGATTTCCCCAACGATTTTGTTTGCTGTCGAAGTGGGAGGTTAGTATTCTCTAAGTACAGAACTATCTAAAGGGTTTTTTGGGCTATATTTTGAAGAATCCATCGAATTCATAGAAAATGCCATTTCACAAGGTGGAAAAGTTCTAGTTCATTGGTAATTTTTATCTAGTCTCAGCGGAATTTCTCGAAGTGCTGCAATAGTTACAGCCTACGTGATAAAACACAAAAATATCAAAACTGCAGAAGCTTTACAATTCATACAATCTTTGTATCCTCTAGCATGCCCAAACGATTCATTTATGAATCAACTTGTAAGATTCGAAACATTTTTAGGGCTGCTTGCAGAAGTACCTTATTCTTGCAAAATTTGCCATACACAGCTTTTCACAAAAGCAGATTTAGAAGAGCACACATCACAAACATCCAAAAAATTCAAAAAAGGTAGCAGAGGAAATGATATTTGCACTTCAATATTTGTAAGGAAAATGAACTGAATGCAAAACACAGAAGAAATTGATGGGAAAATCGAGTGCCCACATTGCATGAATAAGTTGGGAGAGTTTAATTGGTCTGGGAGACAGTGCTCGTGTGGAAGATTTGTGGCGCCAGCTTTCCAGGTGCATAATTCAGCAGTTGAAGCGAAGAGATCAAATTTAGATCATTACATAGCAGGCCCAAAGGTTTGGAGTAAATAGATTTCTTAATATTAAGCATTAGCATTATATCACAATTGAAATTATTAATTTAGGCATTTTTCATCATTTCTTGTATTGAAATTTTTGACTTTCCTTTTGTTTCAGTCAAATCTTTCTTAAAATATATGGCAGCTAAAAAGCAGACACCTGAATAAATGAAAAAAACTGTTGATATCCCTAATAAACTTGATAGAGAAGGAAATAAAAATACGACCATAATATTGAAAGTCCAATTAGAGCTCACACATGCACTCATAGGCTTTGCATCTAAAATTTCTCCACAGTATACCCATGTAATTGGTCCAGCAGATGCTTCATAAAATATCAAAAATAGAGCAATAAAAATTATTGGAGGGACAACTCCCCCATCAATGATCTCTGAAAAGAGTCCCATAAGCAATAAGCACACAGCCATTCCTATATTGCCAAAATATAATAGCGGCTTTCTCCCAAGTCTATCAACAAATAATAATGCAAAAACCACTCCTATCATACTTATAAGCTTAATTGCAAGCGTTAAGATTCTTGCGAAAAACTCACCTTTTCCAAATGAACTAAATATCCCAGTCGAATAAAATTGGATTGCGTTGATACCGCATCACTGTTGGAAAAAGTGTAGCATAATTCCTAATCTCATTACTTTGGAATACTCCCTTTTGCATGTAAAAAGATCCCAATAACTAGGATCTGAGTCTTTATTATTACTTGGCAATGCTTTATTATATTTTAAATTGTCAAAAATTTCTTTCGCGCTATTTTTGGTATAAATTTCTTACAAAGACTTCAATGCTTCTTCATTTTTATTGAATTTTAGTAGCCAATAGGGTGTTTCATGGCGAAGCCAAACAAAAAATAGCAATAATTGCAGTAATGCAAAGAGTCCTTGCAAGGAAAGCATGAATAGTCACCATCAATTAAATGAGTTTTTATCGAAATCCTCTGTCGGTAATAGTAATGCGATTGCAAATGCAAATAATACCCCTAAATTTATCATGATTTGAACTAAGCTTCCAATTTTCCCGCTTATTTTTGTTGGCGAGAATTCACTGATATATACAGGACAAATGACTGAAAACATCCCAGAAGTGAATCCAGTGAAGAATCTTCCAACCCCAAGGGTTGTGGTAGATGGAAAAATAAAAATTAAGGATCCTATAATAACTAAAATATCTGAAAAAATCATAGATTTACGTCTTCCCAGTTTTTCTGCTGCTTGACCTCCATAAATAGCTCCGAAAAGAGCTCCGAAAGGCATCAAAGTTGAAATAATAGAAATATATAGTTCATACCCCTTTATAGATTTCTTTATCGAGCAAAATGTACTGGATTATTGAACGACCAAAACAGACTCTCTCAAAGAGATGAGCTCAATCTCTATATCAGGAAGTGTTAGAAAATGCCATGTCAAAAAATGGTGACAAGTGTGAAAAAAGTTGACAAGTAAACGCCGATTTTAAAAATGGTTTATTATTAAATTTAAAATTTAAGATATCTAATTAGATTAGGATTTATTAATAATTAGAAAAGCTTATATTAAAGGTCTTATGAATTAATCATATTTTTATTATGATAATAGATAGATAGATAAATAATATAAATTATAATTGATTTAATATTTTTGATTATTATTTATGTATTTAGTGTATTAGTATGATGACAATCAATGCTACTCTAAAAGTCAAAGTTCCCATTGAAGGCTGATGATTACTTGCAAAGTTGCAAATGACTCATGTCATGCATTTTTTAATTTTTCAAAAAAAAATATTTTAAATTTAATTGTTTTTAAAACATATAAAAATATTTTTAAAATATTTTTTAATTTAAAAATTTTTTATTTTTAAATATAAAAAAATTTTTATTTTATATCTTTAATTAATAAATGGGGCTTAATATTAGTTTCATTTTTTTAAAAATTGCGCGTTTACTTGTCAACTTTTTTTACACTTGTCACCATTTTTTGACATGGCATTTTCTAGCACTTCCTGATATAGAGATTAAGGTCATCTCTTTGAGAGAGTCTTTTTGGTCGTTCAATAATCTAGTACATTTTGCTCGATAAAGAAATCTATAAAGGGGTATGAGCTATATAACTTTTCATCTCCTCCTCAATCCAAGGAGGCTGAGACATTAGGCTGCATTGAATTAAAAACACCTATATTATACCCAAATAGAAATGATCCTATACTAGCAGTAAATGAAATTCCAATCACTTTTTTAAGCTCATATTCTTGTCCATCCAGCAAATTTTCCTTCATATTTTAAACAATCTATATGGGAAAAATTATGTATAGATCAAATTATAATTAAAGAAATTAAGAAATTTTATGATTTACATAATACACAATTTAAAAATATTTTTTCTTACAAAAATGCATTAATGATATCTTTTTAATTAAAAATGCATAGATTTATAAAATTTTTAATTAAAGAAATTTACTCTAAATTTGGTCATCATTTCTCAAAATAAAAAATAATTTTTTATTGTGAATTTATATAGTGCCTTGCCCAAATTTTGGGAGGCCTCTGACATGTTGAGATATCCTCCACATGCCAGAAATACTTCCACATGTGAAATCACAGAAATATAGTGGCTTCACATGTGGAAATATTTCTGACATGTGGAGGATATCTCAACATGTCAAAGGCCTCCAAAATTTGGGCAAGGCACTATATCATTTTTATTCATTTTTCTATTCCTTAAATATTATTAATATAAAAAATTTCACGTATTCTGGTCCCCATCTAATTTTCGTATTAAATCTCGGTTATTTTCCAATTTTCTGAATTTCTTCTAAATGAATGAGAGCCGATTTCAAAGCAATAAATAAATGGAAGCTTCATATTCAAGTCAGCTAAAGCATAAATCAACCACATCATTAACCCAAAGTGAAGAACACACAAGAAGCACACAAATGTCTCATCCTTCTCTCCTAATTCAGAAAAGCCCAGCTTATGTTGGCCTTTCAAGCCTGTCAACACGCATTTCTAAGTTTCAGTCTTTTAGCACTGATCCTCTGTATAAATTTTCAGTAATTTCTCCCTCCAAGCCTGATATTTCTGTTGTTCTTGACAGAAATGAGTTTATATCAGCCGATTTGGTCAATTTAAAAGCTACCTTAGCTCATCTTCATGAAAAAAGCCCTTTTCGAAGAGGAAACGTCCAAGATGTAGTCAATCCTTTAGACTATTAGGATTAAATTCAGGTGATAGCATATTGCAGCGCACTCACCAAAGATCTTCCGTACAGGAGGCTCTACCGCTTTTCAACTCCTGATCAGATGCTCTGTGTCACTTCCGGTGCCTTCTGTCTCCTTCTTGCCTTAAGGCTTCCGTCTTGAGTGGGAGGCTTATGGATTTCTGCTGCTACGGGTGATTGGAGTAGCTTGATTCCAAGGATCAACTCCTTGGAGTCTGTCGGGTGCCGAAGTTCCTTCCTTCGACAGCTACAGGAAAAAAACTACTCCCTGTGGCCTGGTTTGAAACCCCAGTTTCTCATAGAGGAATGCTAATGGGTCCTCGGATCCAAAGGACTTTGTTGAGCATCTCCATTTCCAGCAGAAAAGCAGCCAAAACCTACCCGGATACCCATGTCTTGAGCCAGAACTCAATTTCGGGCTTGGAGTCTGTTCCAGTTCTCTGCAGCCATAAGGTCTGGACTGCTGCGCCAAGAGGTCAGGTTGACACATGCCGCAAATTTAATATATATAGTCAACCCTTTAGACACAGATCAAAGTTCAGTTCACGGCGTTCCTAAGAACTCTCTTAATTTAAGCAGTACTTATTCACAAGCACTTATGAGCCGAGGTTCCCTACAAAGTGAAGTAATGCCTTTTAACCTGGCAGAAGAAATGGCTAAAGATCAAGACTCTTTTTCAATGGAGAGCTCTTTTCGTTCATCAGCGGCTTTTAGCGATCTTCCTGATAAACCTGACATTTCTTATAATTCAAAAGCACTTATACTACAAATTCAGAGAGATTTCCAATGTAGACAAGAAGATGATTTACATTTGCATTCAATTACCCCAGCAAGCTCATTGGTTAATTCTGACGAAAGTGGAGAAATGACCCCAGTAAGTTTAAGAAGCAGCAAACCTATGTTTGATGAGAATAGCAGTGTCTCATATAGCCATCAAGGAGAAGAATTTTTATCCTCCAATAGGCTGAATCATATACTAGCCTGATAGGTTGATTGTAAAATCTAAATAATAAAAATTGAAAGACCTTTTTCAATTTTAGTCAATCAATATGGCTTAGCATATATAATTCAACAAATTTGGAATTAAGTATGATGGAATGAGAAGAAAAAAGGAAAAGCAAAACAATCAGTGAAGAAAGTTTAGAAATACCAAATCTCAACGAAAATTATATGGCAAGAACTAACACTGATGCAAGCTGCATAGCTGAATTAGTCCCAGAGCAAGAAAATGAAAACAGCACTTTTTTATTTAAAAGCATCGAAGCGCTAAGAAAAGCAAAAATAGCAAGATTTTCAATTGCAGAAAGCGAAATAAGCTCTCCTCCAGAAGATGAAGGATCAATCAGAATAAGCGTAGCTAACAGGTTATTTTTAAATGGACAAACTGCAAGTAAAGCAAAAATGCGAACAGTCTACGATTCTCCACAGCACGAGTTCAGACAATTGCAGCCTAAGATCCTAACTGACTCTATGTCTTTTGCAATGAGCACTTTTCCTCCTGAGTCTCAGCGATCAGTCATACCATTCCCAGACGTTAATTCGCCTCTCATAAAAAAGCTTGTGGTATGTGAAGAAAACCCTAACTCCAACTCTGAGATAAAGAACAACAAAGAAATAATCCCTGTCACCATACAATATTCGTTTGCTGCTTGTGGATATGCTACAGTGCCCCTGCTTGAATTTTCTAAATCTGAAGGGAAAAGTAAAGGCTTCATTTTATATGACGATTCTAAGCAGCTATTAAACTGTATGCTTCCTACTAAAATTTTGAAAGAGCTCAGCCATAATCCTGTGAAGTGGATTTCTTGTGGATTTGAGCATTGCGCAGCTATAACATGTGATGGGAAAGTCCTCACATGGGGATATGGAGCTTCAGGCTGCTTAGGCCATGGAGACACAAATACTTATTTATCGCCTACAATTGTGAATTCTTTATTCCAAGAAAATATCGTCTATCTGGAATGTGGTGGCTACCATAATGCAGCTATTACAGAAGATGGCGATGTCTGGGTATGGGGTCGAAATGACGTGCATCAGTTAGGCCTTAGCTTTTCAAAAATCGCTAAAGATGATATTGGGCATGTCGCTTTACGACCAATTAAGGTTAAAGGATTGCAAGAAGTTTGTATAAAAGGGATCGCTTGCGGAGAAGCTCACACTCTTGCATTAGACTCAGATGGAGTAATTCATACTTTTGGATGGGCTGAAGATGGACAGTTGGGAATTTATCCTTCAGAATTAAAAGATGGGATGATGACCACTGATATTAAAGAAGTCTCATCAATAAAGCAAAAGGTGGTTAAAGTTTCTGCAGGGTCAATTTTTTCTGCTTGTATAACAGAAGTTGGAGAAGTCTATGTATGGGGAAATGGAGAGCAAGGGCAACTCGGCCTTGGGAATAATATAAAAAGGGTCGATTTCCCAACTGTTATAAATACTTTGAGGAATGAAAATATTATTGATTTAGAATGCGGAGAAAGCCATGTAATTTGCTTGACACAAAGCGGAAGAATTTATGGATGGGGTCAAGGCATTGTTGGAGATTTTGGGAATGATAAAATGTTTCCAAGAGGGTCTGATATAATTTGTTCAGTTCCAAGGGTGCTTAGTAATGTAGATATTGCCCATAGATACATCATGAAGAAAAAAGTAAACCCATTAGATGATTTAGCAGCCCAGTTGACTGCAAAACTTATGAAACTTCAACAATGCTAATGTAAGTAAATTTTTATTATTATATATTTCATAATTAAGTTCTATTTCTATAATAAATAGCATATAGACCTGAAAATATAAAATGCTGCAAGCGTATATACTTAGGATTATTTATTTTAAAATCGCATAATATGATAATATACAGAAATTTTCATTAAAATGATGTGTGTTAATGCAATAATTAAATATGGAAGCTGAAAATAAGCTATTTACAGTTGAAGATCCTGAAGATGATCCAAGCCCACCAAGTGACTTTCACGATACAGAACTTGAGTCACTTCGTCAGGACCAGAATGAATCCAACGAAAAAGCTCAAGAAAACCTAGAAAATTTGCAAAAGCTTGATTTGGATGTCAAAGAAGTAATAAATGCGATATCAAATGAAGAAAGCTACCATACTCGAGAATCATTTGGGCCTTGCCAATCTCAAGATCACGAAGCTGAAAAGCTCCTAGAAGACTTGCAGACTAATATTGATAGAAGAGATGTGCTAAAGCAGCAGTTGAGATTAATACAAGATCGCCATCACAACGAAGTCAAACAATGAGAAATCATAAGTGATCGAACTCGAGAAGAAATTGAAATCTTATTAAGCCGCAACCAAGAACTCAAAGAGTGTATTGCATCAAAAGATAGCGATTTAGAGCGCCTAAGAGAAGATTTAAATGATTTACGATTAGAGATTAAAGAGCATAAGCAGCAAGAAAGCCACTTTAAAAAATTGGTACAAAAAATTGAGGAACAAATTGTAAAAAATAAGTAGATTGTCAAAGACCAGACCATTCAGGAACAAGCAAATACGATTGAAGAATTATTGAAAAAGAAATCGATGAAACAGCCAAGGACTTCCAAAGGATCAACATCTCCACTTCCCAAAGGACCAGGGAAATATCAATCTGACTATATATTAAAAAGTAAATTGAGACAAGCAAATAAACAAAACACATCTCCTGCCGTTACAGGAGATATTTATAGTACTCCTGAGAGACCAAAAAGTCCCATGTATAGTAGCCTTGGAAGTAAGTCTCCTAAGCTGAGGCCTCAACCAATGAAGCAAGATGCGACTATTGTTTTGACTAAAATGGGTTAAATAATAAATAAAAGAAATTTACAGTATAATTTATTATGCAGCTTTAATTATATGACTCTGCTGTGCTTGTTTCTGATCTGCTTCATTATTTTTTCAGCAAAAAATGAAGTATCTTTCAGTACTTCTAAGGAAATCTCTTTATAATTTTCATCATTAATTATGCTTTGCTTTAATTTTTTGGCTTGACCGTCAATTAAAGGATCTTTTTTGCTTTTTTCCCGAATATTTTCAACAAGTGATTCATAATTCATTATGTCTCTTACTCCCCCCCTCCGTGAGTAAGCAAAACCATTAGAAAAATCCCTATTTTTTGCCCAAAAACCCACCCTCCATAGATAGTGAACAAAAATTTTTTAATAGAAAAAATTTTTTATGGAAAAAAAATTTTGATATATAAATGATAATTAGTATAATAAAATCTAGAGCTAATTCTGTTTAATTTTAAACAAATTGCTTTTTAAAACATAAATTTTATAAATTAAATTAATATTTGCTTTCAAATTTTTGTGAATTAGGATTTTTTTAAATTTCGAAAAAAATGTTTCTTATAAAATTTATATATAATTTTTTTTTTAAAAAAAAAAAAAATTAACCCCCTCCGTGAGTGAACAAAATTTTTTTGTTCACTCACGGAGGGGGGGGAGTTAGTACCTTTTCTTCTCTAGCTGTAGGTCTTTTGCTTCTATCATTAGAATTTAGAACTTTTCTAGCAATTCTGAACCTTGATGTTCTATGGCTTACCGAAGAAACCCTATAACTTGGTATGCTTCTCTCAGTATTATTTTCAGCTACAGATTTTATATCTGAGATCTCTGAATTTCTTGATTCAAGTATTGGCTCTGAATGGGCTTCATTGTTTATTGGGTGGATTTCAATAAATTTATTTTTATTTCTCTCTTTTCATATAGCTTGACTTTCAATTAATTTTTCGATATCAGATTTATCCTCATTTGGGGTTTTTATGGTTTCATTTGATTTCTTATTATTATTTATAGGGTAATTCCCATCTTTAAATGGAGATTTAATAACTCTGATGTCTGGAGTTTTAAGCACAATTCAGTTTGAGCTTTTTGTTTTCAATAATTTAATAGAAATTTTATGTTTCAAACTATCTTCTTTTAGTAGTTTTACCGATAAATTTCTTTCTTCTTTGGCAAGCAGGTTAGGCTCAGGACTCACGCTTGATATAAATGCTCTTTTGGCAGGGATTGTATTTTTAGAAGTTTTATTAGTACGGTCTATACTTTTTAAACATTTTGAGCTTCTTGCCCTTTTTACTGCTAATTTTTTATTATCTGAACCTTTTTCATTTTTCAAGTGATTGGACTGAGACTGTGAGGTGGATCTTGGAATTCTTAGTAGTGAGTGATTTGAATCACTGTTTATTGCTTTAATCCCAGAAATTAGAGTATCTTTGGATCGGTTCACCAAGCTGAAATCATTTCGTCTGTTGCTATCTAAACATATTTTTCTCTGAAGATAGAACTTTGACTTCTCAATTATTGATCCACAAGTGTTCGAAAGTAGCAAAGATGTGTCGAATGCCATGGATGATGTCTCAAGTGAGCTAATTTTGTTTTTCATTACAATTATAAAATGGAGATAAAGAGGGAAAGATATCTTTGCATTCCAGTACACAAATGTAGATTAAGTAAAAATTATGATTATAATTGATTATGAAAATTAAATTATATTAATAATAATTTATTCTACATTAAAAATGATGAAATTAAAGCAAAAGGATAATTTGGAAGAGAGATCAATCATTTATGATTATTATGAAAGCAACTATTTATATTTTCTTAAAGAAGAAAACTATCACAAGCTCATATATATTTTTGATATAGAAAATTACACAACTCGGAGCAAATATTTTAGAGCCTCGAAATATTTAAATTGCAGTGCTTCAGCTGTAAGAATGCCTAATAATGAGTTATTCCTATATGGAAGCGAAGTTTTAAAAGGAAGAAATTGAACAGTATCTGGGTCTGCATGCATTTATGATATCTCGTCATGCTCTGTTAAAAAAGTTCTTCCAAATGGTAAGCCGTGCTTTGAGACCGGGGGGATTTACTATCAAAGCTCAGTTTATTTTTTTGGAGGCTCTGACCCAACTCAAATGCTAAATCTTGCTGTGAAATTTGATTTAACTAAAAATCGATGATTTAGCCTTTGCGCACTTCCTACTGCAACTATGAAATGCTCGTGCGCTATTTTTAAGCAATATATTTTGATAATTGGCTTTACTCCTTCAGATCTGATTCTATATGATATTGATATAAATTCCTACTCATCAATTCTGCATTTTGATCAATGACCTCCAAAATCCAAGTTTTTAATAAATGCAAATGAAATAATTTACATATTTGAAATAGATGGGAAAATTTTAGAAAGTGAATATGAAAATATTTACGTGTGAAAACAAATTGGAAATTCAGATTTCAATAGGAGTTCTCCGAAGGATTATTTAATTTATGAAAATACTGTATTTATTGTGGCTCTCCAGATAAATTGCTCACTTTATTTCAGTTTTAATTTGGACGAGAAGAAGCTAAGAAAAATAAAGTTAAGTTTGGTAGACTAGTAAACATCTATTTTTATTGTATCAAATAATATTATTTTTCATTTTTACTAATAAATATCTCTTTAGATCATAACTAACTATTATTATTTCATCTATTACTCTAATCTATTTATAAATAAAATTAATTATTCAGATATTTATAGACCTGAATTAAATTCAAGGATAATCCGAACAATTTCCAGTTTCAAATATCATTCAAGCCGTCTTTAAAAGCTATGAACATTTGTGTTATTAAAAAATATTCTGCATTTATCGTTTTTATGGTTGGCTATATAAGCTGTGGGAGCCCGGAACTACAGTCGAAAATAGCTGTAATTTTTGCATTTTAAGTTTCTCTGAATTGAGAAAAGGTCAATAATAAATAAAGTACATTAATACAGAAATACTAGAGTAGAAAATTGTTACTATGAAAATCAAATCTAATTGATGAGTAATTTTATTTTTTGAATCTCGATTTGATAATAAAAAATCAGTCATGATATCTTTTTCTATAGATTTTATATAGTCTTCATAGGTATTAATATCGAGAGCTTGTTTTTCTGATGTCGCAACATTATAGGACTCATAAATTATGATTTCGATAGCAGTTACAGTGCCATATTTTAAAATATTTTTATTTGAGTTTGTATGCTCATAAAGTCTTACCTTTAGCTCATCTGATATCAAATCCTGCATAGAATTATCAGAAATTCTCTCATTTATTTGTTTTAATTGATCTGCTGCATCATAAATCTCACTTAATAAATTTTGAAAATCATAACTAGATTCAAAATTTTCAATTAAATTTGGAATGTGGCATTCCTTTGCAAAAAAACTCATTCTCGTAGTCAGTATAAGCCTTGCACCAAAATTTTCCAATAATTTTGGACGATTATTCATATACACTTTGCAGTCGCTATATAGTCAAAACTCGATAATCATATAAAAAACAAATGAAAGAAATAAAAAAACTGACAATGTTTTGTAAAAACGCAAATAAATTCTGGTATTGAGCTTTTTTATATTATTTTTTGATTTATTTTGAATTTTTATATCTTCGAAACTCAAGTCGTCATTATTATGGATTAATAAAAGTCTATCAATGCAAGCTTGTACAAATTCAACATATGCTAAATGAGATTCTCGTTTTACTGCGTTTCATGCTGAATTATTTTTATTATTTAAAGACCAGATGTATCATATTAGGCCAGCTAAGCAGAGCATTAATATACCGATGGAAATGAATGTCATGACGCTAACCCATAAGCCTTGTTCATAAATTCTATTTGACTCGCATAAAGTCAAAGCATTTAATGCAGAAATTGTATATTGATAAGTAAAGGTCAAGCTATTTATTTGCAGAAATTTTAGTTCATCACTATAAGACTCACTTTTAGAAGCTTTTTCTAAGAATTTAGTTGTCTGAATAAGCGTTACATAAGTTATAAATAAAGAGATCACATCATATAAATTGCTTTTCACTAGAAATGGGCTTGGGCTAATCATTCATACGGGAATTTCCGATTCAGTGACAATTTTTGAAGCAGGGCAATAGTCCCAATCAGATAGTTCCTTCAACAGTTTATTTTGTATAACCAATAATCCTCCCAAGATTAAAGTTAAATCTTCAATTTCATTCTCCGCACTCTCATTTCTTTGCACATGATATTCGAATGAAATTAATGTATCAGCAATAGAGCTTAAATCGTATACCATTTGCCCTCCATTTTCAAATATTTGCAAAGAAGCTGTGTGATCGACTTCTTTATAAATATAAATTAAGATTCCAATATTTGTCCCAGCGATAGCAATTATCTAATTTGAATTTACCATAATAAATAAAATTTTCTGAAAAATGTTTATAGCTTTCTCATACTCTTGGATGACTCTTCTGACAAAGTCTACTTAAATTTTACGCTTAGTGCTGACAGATTGACTGCTAGTTTGTGGATTAGAATCTATTCTTTCATCATTTGGGCTATTTTTATTATCAATATTGTTTATACCTGTTTCATCCAATCGCTTTTTCGGTTCAGTTTTAAATAGAGGTACTCCAACCTCAAAACAAATACTATTTTGTGTTTCATTAATCCTTAAGGTGTTGTGCTCATTCTTATAATTTTCCATTTCTTCAGATGAGGTATCTTGACTATCAGAATCACACTTTTCTGGGTGATAACCAGATTTTCATAAATTAATTTCTTCATCATCTTCTATCAATAAAATTTCAAAGAATTTCGAGTTTCTCCATTGTCTTGCTGAATAGACAAGAAAGATTTCTTTTTTCTTTAATATGACACTTATAATTTTAAATGGAGGAATGCTTGATAAATCTAAATGAGGAATAAGATTTGATAGAAATTGGCCTTTTACTGATGACAAGTTATAGCCTAGATGTACTGCAAATTCCTGAGTGTGGTTGTAAATGAATCCTTCCTCTGATATAAAAGCCATCTCTCGATGAAACTTTTTAGGCCGAAGTGACAATAAAATATAAATTGAGTCTTTGAAAGCAGCAAGTCTTGCAAACATATTACACTCCACTAAATAGCCCTTTCGGGACATCAGAAAAAAATCCATTGGCAATCCAATATTCACATTGTCACAATTTTTCAGGAATTTTTTGATACGCTCATTATGATTTATGTTAAAAGGCTCAGGGATGAAATCAGAAAGATAAGCTTCAAGCCCATCTGTAATAGTAGTCTCAAGGAGTTTAGCAGCTTTTTCGTTAATATAAAAAATTGATCCAAATGATTCTGAGTTTAGAGAAATTAAAATCATACCATTATCCTCATCATACATAGCAAGCCTTTTTTCTTCATCTAAAAATGGGTCGATTGATTTAACAGTTTCTTTTCTTCTTCTCATCAAATTCGCCTGATCTGAATTTTGCATTATAGTTTGAAGAAAAGATGCATAAAGTTCATAAGCATAGGCATGCTTGCAGTTCGTTGTTATTTTTTTATATAGAGAATCGAGATCATTGATGCTGTCTGATAAAATTGAAATTTTTTTGTACAAAGCATTAACATTTGAGCTTCTAGAAGTTATTTCGTTAACAGTTCCAAAGAGAATGTAGCAAAGCCTTTCATCTCTGATCTTTATTTTATTCAGATCTAATAAATACTCTAAAAACTTCAATTCTTGAGGTGTGCTATTTTTATTTTTATCAAAATCTTGGTAAATCCTTCATTCTTGAATTTCTCCTTCTAGACTTCAACTATATTCCTTAATTTTTGACAGCTTTACTCGAGCAAGGCTTTCATCTTTTACAATATGAAAGCAATAATTTGTTTGCCAAACTATAAAAAGCCTATCAAAGGAAAATGAATAGTTGTTTTGGTAAAAAGAAAATTGATGAACGATATCAATTTTATTTTCATAACTTTTATTACCTAAAATATGTCGCATTTTTAGCTCAAAATCATATTGGTTCAACACTTGAATCTCTTTGGTTTTGAAAGATAATGCACGAGAGCGAATTAACAGTGCAGTGCAGGTAAGTATTACAGGCTGTAAAATTATATTCAAGATTGTTATCATCAGCGCATCGTCAAGTAAGGTCCCAAAATCAAAAACAATCATAACCCACGCAACACTTAGAAGTTTGCAACCATGCATAACATTTCCTATGTAATTATAGCAAGGCAAATTTTTGTAAATATTGATAAAAATAGCGACCATATGCAAAAACAAAACAAGCCTGAATTCAAATATTAAATCGACCCCTACAATGGTATAGCAGAAGACCGAAAGTGCTGATAAGTAATATCCATGTATAATCAAACTTGAACTTGCTTTTGATCTAATATTTCTACTTGCTGTGTGGTGCTTTATATCGCTTGTCAATATTTCATTTATTATTGCAATACTCATCAATAAAATCACAAATAGGATTGATAAAAAAGCCCCGAAAGCTCCATAATTGATCGAATCTGAACTTGCATTGCCAGTGTACTCTGTAATTACACCTATATCAAATGTGGAATATTTAAATACAACAAAAAGTATTGAGTTTGATGGAATGAATAGTATTGTTGTTAAGCCACTGACAATTCACCGAGTAAAATTTACTATTAAAATTGGAATATCGTGCTTAAAATACTGGAAAAACGCGATAAGAATTAAGCAGCCCAGACAAAGAAGTATTGCCGATATTGTTCCATAAAAACAATAGTTTATTCATCCATTATTCCCACATATAGAGTCAAAGTTAAAATAGCCCGCAATGATCCACAGCCCTGAACAGGAATTTCACCCGGATATTCCCATCGATGGAAATCATGCGAAAAATATCAATTGAAGAGAAATAATCACTGAGATAATAACTTCAATAAATATTTGCGTTTTAACTTCTATGCTGCCTTGGTATTTTACTTTAAATAACACACCAAGATAGCTAAAAATTGCCAGCTTTAATTTTTCTCTGAGAGGAATTTTAGTTGTGTTTTCAAAAGTTTCGATTTCTTGTGTTAATCCTTCATCATTCTTTATGCGCATATTTTACAATAAACCTGTTTATAATGGATATCAGAAAGAATATGATAAATGAAGAAGAAAGCAATCTGAAGTACAATTTAATTGAATATAAAATTATATTGAAAGCAATAAATCATAAGAAAAATTCCAGTAATTTAAATTAAGCTGAAAATTAAATCCATATTTTAACAAAGACGAAAATGAATAAATAAATACAATTGAATTTATTTAGCCAGCGAATGACTTTGCTCGTCATTAAAATCAAATTACACACGAAGACAATTATGATTCATTTTAGCTTTCAGATTAAAATATAAAGATATCTTTTATCTGCTTAAATTGAGAATTCTGAATAATTTTATATCCATTATTCTTGCTTAGATTTCTTGCATTTTATTTTTATTCTCTCCATATTCTAAAATTGCAATAATGGCTTTATTATAGATTTCTTTAACAAAATAATAATGAAAAATAGTCAAAATCTGTTCTGTTTGGACATGAGAAGCATAAGTCCTCACAGTAGAAAGTACATGTATGCGAAGTCAGTATCACCTATCGGGAGAAAAAGAGAAACTGATACGTCATTATTTGGGAGCCCAATTTTTAATAGCTCAAAAAAGATTATTGTCAACGGTGACGATTTAATTGATCTAAAGTACTTATTAGAAAAAAGTTTACTTGATATTTCAGCTTCGAAAGGCATTGATAGCGCGAGAATGCTGTACTGCCAAAAGAAGGAGAAAGAATTGATTTCAGATATGAAAAAGAGAAATAAACATTTGCATCGAAAAATTCAAAAATCCTCAGCTTTAGCTGTTTCTAGTAAGCCATCTTCCTCAAATACTTATTTAATAAACCCTCTGGGTTTTCCTATCCTTCCTCGAAGATTGAAAATAGATGCTTGGCTATTATAAAGAATGCTATATTTTATATAAATTATTATACTTCTCAATTAGAGACATAATTATTTTTCTTTCTCACTATTCCCTAATTTATATTAAATAAATTACTGTATATCTTAAATGCAATTTTTTAATTGTAATAAGTTATCTTTGTTGAAAAGGAATAAATTTATGATTACCCCTATTTGTATAATAAATGTGGGAAAAGTAAGAGAAAGTCAAGCATTTTCTTGAGACGCTTTTCAAATCCAAAAAATCCACAGCCAATTCAATTTGAAAAATCCATCAGCATCAATAAGATTTGCTCACACCAAAATAGGCCATCTTTGAAAAAGGAGACCTCAAAAACTCCCAGCTGCATATAAATTGATCGTAACATTTTCATGAAAATTTTGGCAAATTTCTTGATAGAGGCACTTATGATAAAAACTGTTAAATTTGATTAAATATCTTACAAGGAAAAAATTCTATCAAATTTTCTTGAGGCGACACTAAAAACGAGCATGCACCGAAAAAAAACAACTCCTGATCCATCACAAGAAAAAACACAAATAAATGTAAAGTTTAGCAGCTCAAGAAGATCAATTTATCTATCTCGCAAGAAGTCTCATAGAAGTGACTCAAGCGAATCATCAACTGATTTTGATGCAGATAAAAGTTTGACACCCAGAAATATATCTATAACTAATTAATATCATTAATCATCCATATTTTTGCCATAAACTAGATCTTCCAGCCTTTGAATTTCATTCCACATGTTTGAATTGTCTCTTTTAAGCCTTGCATATTCATTTTCCAATAAAGAAGCTTCTTTTGACAGAAGTTCAGCCTGAGAAGTAGCAGAAATATGGTTGGATTTTAGCCGCTTCAGCTCCATTTGTTGGGCTTCGATTACTCTCTGTGAAGATCTCATGGTGTCTCTTAAAGAAAGGATATCTTTTGCTGCTGTTTCCTTTAGGCTTAATATATGATTCCTAAGCTCGATTATTTCATATTCCAAGTTTTGAATTAATTTATCTTTGGCTTCAAGTCTTGGAAGCAGCTCATTATAAGAAGAAGAGGATTGAGCCTTTATTTTTTCCAAATTTAAGATGTGCTGCTGATTTTCACAAGAAATTTCTTTATTGATATCTTCAACTTCTTTTTTTGACGTAACTTCTAAGAGTTCCTTATGGTAATCAATGCTTTCAACAATTTCTTCAACTTCTTTCTTTAAGTTTTCAATTTGATCTTCAATATTCATTCTTGAATGCTCATATTCGTACTCATATTCATCAAATTGTCTTTGATTTACAGATAAAATTTCTTCATATTTCTCAATTTCTCGTCTTAGGCGACTTGCAGATTCATGTCTATCTTTGTCGATATTTTCTAGTCTTATCTCATATTCTTCTTTTATTTTGTCTAATTCTCTCCCTTGGAGTTCTTCGTTAAGCTCGAGCTGCTGCTTTAAACTACTCAATTGACCTGCTAATGCATTTTTTATCTTTTCATAGCTTTTCCCTTGAGATTCGATTTTTTTGAGATTATATTTTTGTGCTTTATTTTGGTGGGTTTCGATATCTTTTATATATTCTTTTGAGTATGTAGAATTGCTTAGCCTGCTAAGAGATGGACTCCCATCCAATTTAGCAAAATTTGTTTCAGTCACTGAGCTGATGATTGGACCACCGAAGATATAAGAGTTTTGGTTTATGATATCAGGAGACTCCTTTCCATATAAGATTTTGGATTCAGTGCCTGAAAAATCCATTTAAGTTAAAATTAAGAATTAATAGCAACTATTGATATAAATCTAGGAACAAGGGTTATAATTCAATATCCGCATAAATAAATTCGCATTATTGTCATATTATATAACAAATTTGAGATTTAAGAAAGCTTGCTTCACCATTTGATCCTCACATAAATACTTTTCTTTTAATTTAATTAATCTTTGAATATTCTTTAAAATGTTTAATTGCTTCTTGATAGATAATTCTTTTCATTTTTAGCTTAACTTATATATCTCTTTTATTATCTGTTCTTCCATCGTGAATTCTTTGTACAAAAGCATGCTGAGCATCATTATATTTGTGCTTTAATTCATCAAGAGCTTGTCGTCAAGATACAATAAGTTGGCCTTGGATAAGTGGGTCTTTTTCTTCACGAGCTGCCTCGAATTCTGCCCTAATAGATGTTTTAATAATTTTGGATCTAGCTATAAATTACCAAGGAGTCCCATCTGTATGACATCATGTTAAGCAACTAGCAAATTTTAAGTATTCTCTAAAGAGCAGTAAAGCTTCTCTATTAGGAGGAGGTATGTTAGATCTTAAAAGGTTTTCGACAGGCTTTTCAAGGATTTTTTCTAAAATCCCCATTTCTTTTATTATATTTTCATTTAACTCTCCTCCATGTTAGGAAGATTATTTTTCTCACTGACCAATGGCTTTTTATAAAATTTTATTTTTAAAAATTTTTCGCCCTTTTATTCGTAAAGTTTTGCAATTAAAAACCTAATTTAGGTATGCTTAGAATGCAAGATATTTAGAATTAACTGAAGATTTTTTATCAAAATATTAATTATATATCGAATCAAATATTCTATACCAAAAAGTTTATGTTAAAAACTTTTAACTCACAACGAAGGTGATTAATTTTCCCCTGATGAAAATTTCTAATGGTTTGCTTTTAAATCAATCGGATGTAAGTCTTGCTCTTGCGAAAAATTCAAGAAGTTTCAAGAATGCATCATTGTATAAAACAATTATTAGTTGTGTAATTACTTATTGATAAATATAAATGGAGTATTTAGCTTAAGCAATAGCCTAATTGAAGCTTCTTGGCTCTATCAGATATTTGATCAGTGAAATTGAGGCAAAACCATACTAAAATATCATGAACAATAATATTATAAATATAAATGTCATTAGTAATCTCACATTTGAATATTACAGGGAAAAAGCTGCAGCATCGGTTAAGTTTAAAAAGCAACAAACTAAAAAAGTCATTTAACTCCTTAAGCACCAATAACTCGCCACTCCCTTTGTGCTCTCATAATCATGGATCTTTGCAGAATAGTCCAAAAACTGTAATAAATAGCCCTGAAAAGACAGAAAATAAAATTCAAAAAAAATGGAAGGCAACGGAATCTCACACATATAAGCATGAAAAACTATTACCTGCTAAGCTGGAAATGTTTTTAAAAGACAACATGAATAAGCCTCGACAAGAATGAAATGAAAAATCATTAAAAAATTCTCGAAAAATGATAAGGCTAAAACGGAAAACATCAGATTTAACAGGGTCTAAATTAAGAAAGCAATTATCTATCCCTGAGAGATCAGACACAATTAATGAACTGTCAGTTACAAAGCCAAAGCTCTCGAATTGGGAATTTTATCCTGCAAATTCAAATCAAGCTACAAGTAAAAACACAATAATCCCTTCGAAAGATACATTTTATAAAACTCACTCCTCAACCGAAAACTCTTTGCTATGCACTTCAAATTCTATTTATTCACCTTTAAACGAGATTAAGTGTCTTCAAGCCTCAACTAGTTTAAACGTTTTAGCTTCTGAAGATCCAAAATCAAATATAAGTGATATAGAAAAGATTCTCGAAGATAATTCATGAATCATCAAAAAGAAAAAATCAATAGCCAGCAGTCCTGTAAACCCGCAAATTACTACAAAAACCATCGATTCTGCTAAAGATGAGACAATTTCGTTTCCTACTATAAGGAAATTATATCATCACCAATCAACTAATATGAGACCTGAGCTAAGACAGAGCATGACATCAGTCTATCCTAAATTCGAAATGTCCCCATTTGGCCATCACAAGAGCTTGAAAGAATTTGATGACATAAAAAGTTCTTTTATGAATTTAAATAGCGAAGAAACGACAGAAATAAGAAGGATCAAAAGTAAAAGGTATAAGCAAACTCGAAAAATAACAAGGTCAGCAAGCCCGAATGATTACAAATTTATGTCTTTATATATTGAATGATATGAAAAAAACCTAATTAATTAACAATTTAATTAACTCTTGGTGTCAGAGATCTTAATTGGGTGCATAGCTGGTTTATGAACTCAGTTATTGCTTTAGCTTCACCTTTTGGCCTTAATGATGCATAGGCATAAGCTGAAGCCAAATATACATGGACGTCTACTTTGCAGAAATGAAAATAGAGATCTAATGAGTTATACATCATTTCACTCACTCTGTGGTTTGCCTTTATAATGGTAGAGCTTTCACTTTGCAATGCAGAGTATAAAGTAGCTTCAGTTTCATTTGGAAGCTCTTCAGGCTTTCAATTATGCTTGAAAACAGGCACAAACTTATCAGGAATTGTTGATGTTAGTGAGCTGTTTTTCCTTTTGCACCTATAGCCTCCTTCTTGTCAATTTAATAAGACTTCATTTTCTCTTTTATCTAGCAATAAAGCAATATAATGTATTTTCAACTCTGCACATTTGGATTGTACTTTTCGTCTACATATAATTTACCTGTTATAATATTCTTCGTTTTCCAATAAATTACCATCAGAAAGCGTTCTTTCGAAATATAGCGTTGCCTTACCAATCAGCCCATGGAGCATTTTGACAAGATATCTGTAGAGAAGATTATAATCATCTGATGAATTACTGTGGGAAATTGGGGAATACTTCTTGTCGCGGAATATTTTTTCTCATTGCTGAATGCTTGAATGAGCTTTAGTTAATGCAATAATAGTCTGCAAAAAATTAAATTTCGATAAGCTTGTAAAAGCAGTGACCAAGTTTTTGATAGAAGTCAGTTCACATACCATTGTTTCTTGAAAAGGTCTTAAGTCGTAATGGTCGCACTCACTGGTTTCTTTCAGATAGCTTTCGCATAAAGACGTGATATTTTCTGGTATCTGATAATCTGATTGAGAAAGGAGTTTGTAAATTTGGCAAGTTTTCAGCTGGATTTGAATGAGATGGAGAATTTCAATAAAGAAAGAATCATCTGAAGTGGTCAATCCAGCTCTTACTTCTTCGTATATGTCTCTTATTGCATGATCTCGATTTGGATCTTGAAGAGACGCCGGAGTGAAATTGTAGTATTGCATTTCGAAAACAATTAAGCCTTGCAAGCTTTTCATCATCTTGTGGGAGCATTGATAACTGTTTAGTAGACCATAACATTCTTCATAATTTTGCTCAGCAAGCTGGCAAGTAAATCTATCTTTAAATAATTCATCCATGTAATTATTCCATATTATAAAAATTAATTGTTATGTATTGATAGTGCTATAAGTAATGCTTTTAAGAGTACAAAGAATTTAAAATTAGATATACCTGTTTCATTAATAAAATTTTGAACCATAAAGAAATTTGAATTTAGCTATTATATAAACTTAACCCAATTATTGTTTTTTCATAATAATTAGCTTTCAAATAAATTTTCTACTTAATTCATCAAGCTAATTTTTTTATAAAAAGTATATATAATTTGCACTTTGTTCCCAAAATATCCCTATCTTATCTCCTTAATTTTTTAAATAAACAAAGTTATAAAAAATTTATCTTTAGCCAGTATTTTCTAATTAAAATGGAATTTGAAACACAAAGAAATTGCTCAGTCAACGACTTCGAACTCTTAAAAGTAATTGGAAAAGGCCGATATGGAAAAGTCCTTTTAGTCAAGAAAATAATAACAGGCGAATTATTTGCAATGAAGATTCTAAAAAAAAAATATATCGCAGAATGCAGACAAATCGAGCATACAAGAACAGAACGAAAAATTCTTGCAAGTGTCGACCATCCGTATATTGTAAAATTCTTCTACGCTTTTCAAAGTAACGAAAGGCTTTATTTAATCCTTGAATATTGTTCGGGTGGTGAATTGTTTTTCCATCTTAACCGAGCTCGTCGTTTTGATGAGCAAAGAGTTAAATTTTATAGTGCTTGTCTTGTCCTTGCGATTGAACATTTACACAGCAAAAATATCATTTATAGAGAGTAATTCTTATGTAGCTTGAAGCCGGAAAACGTTTTAATTGATGAAGATGGGTTCCCTAAAATCACTGATTTCGGCTTGTCAAAAGAAAATTGTACTGATGGAAGATCTGCAAGAAGCTTCTGCGGAACTGCTGAGTATTTGGCACCAGAAGTGATAATTAAGCAAGGGTATGGAAAAGCTGTTGATTGGTGGTCACTTGGATGCATAATATATGAAATGTTGATTGGGCTGCCTCCATTTTATCATGAGAACAAAAAGTATGTATACATGAAAATCCTTTCAGAGGAGCCACTTTTGCCTGATTTTTTGTCACTTCCAGTAAAGAATTTGTTGACTAGCTTGCTTCATAAAGATCCGAATCGAAGACTAGGGGCTAGAGGGGCTGAAGAAATTAAAACAAACATTTGGTTCTTTGATGTTGACTGGGCCGCTTTAGGAGCAAAAAGAGTCATGCCTTCTTTTGTTCCTAATATTTCTGACCCTGCCAATAGTCGATATTTCAGTGAAGAATTCACTAGCTCAGCTATAAGCGCTGCATCACCTAATTCATTATCACCAAGAAACTCCAGTCCAACTTATGACGGGTTTTCATATTCCTGTAGTCCTTCAGAGTCCAAATGTGTTTTTGACAATGAATTCACAATAAGAGAGGAAGAAGGACAGCCAATTGTTTAACTTTTGGGATATTTAGACACAGGTTTAAATATATTTACAATATGAGGTACCAAAATTTCATTTTAAATTAATTGTCTCTCAAATTATAAAATCATACTAATAAAAATGATATTTTTTATATGCTTATTAGCAACCGTATTTTCTCAAATGAGCCATGAAGAGTCTATTACAATGAAAATACAAAATAAAACAGAATTACCTCTAATCAGCCTGACTGACAAAGAGCTTTCTCATCTTTTAGACACTCATGCAGATAATTGACTCATTTTATTTTATGATTCAGGAATAAAAACTGCACAAAACCTCATCAACACTTGGAAGAGAAGCGCTCATGCTTTGCACCAAGAAAATTATATGGATAATATAGGGACTGTAGATTTACGAAAAAATTACACAAGAAATTTCATGAGGCTTGATCTTTATATATACCCAAAAGCAATCTATATTAATAAAGGATTTTATTATAATTATACTGGGCCAATTGATGCTAATGGTGTGCAAGATCTCATTAAAAAGAAAACTTATTTGAATCACACAAGAATAAAAATTCCTCCGCCTGCAACTTTTGCAAGCTTGATACTAAATGCAGCAAAGCAAATCCATGAAGGCAACCCAAAGGTTTTAAAAATCTTAGGGGCAATGATGGCAATCATTTTGGTTTTTCCGATAGTTTTTTGTATCAAGCAATGCCAAAAGCCTGAAAAAGAAAAGGAGGAATAATTATTATGATAATTAAACAAATTATTTATATTTAGATATTGGATGAAGGCTTGCTTTTTGGTAGTCACTCAGTGCATCATTATAGCATTGCTGAATTAAATTATTGTTCGGATCTAAATCTAAAGCCACAGTAAGTAGTAATAATGCTTGCTTTACTTGGTTATGGCCTGGCTCATTATCCATTATTCCTTTTGCCTCTTCATAAAGTGCGCTTGAATTTTTGGGATTTCTCCCTGATATTCTATGCTTGTTTATTTCTTTCAAATTTGTATTAATTTTCCCATAAATTTCATTAAAAAAATAATCTGAATCAGTCAAATTATAAACTCTTATCATTTTTTTCGATTCTTCCAATAGCGATTCATACCTTTTCTTACAATATTTTTCTATTTCTTTTGCAATACTCTCATTAGTATCTTTATACTGATTCTGTAAAGCAATAAATCCTTCAGTTTCATTTAGAATGCAGTCTAAATCTCTCGTTTTGGTGGCTAATTCCCAATAATTTGGTTCAATTTTAACTTCAGGTTTATCTTGTTCCTCATTTACCTTATTTTCTTCAGCTTCCAGCTGGTCTGGCTCAAACTCATCTTCACTGATTTCTCTCAAAATTTCATATTCTTCTATTGTTATGTCCTCTTCTTTTTTATCTTCTTCATGAATAGGAGCAGCAGGTAATCTTGGCAAAAGTGCTTCAATTTTCGGCGGGTACAAAGATTGAATATAAGGCATTTCTTTTAGTTGCTGAAAAGATGGCCTCCTTTCATGGTCATAAGTCAGCATTATTTTTATAAAATCTTTGACTTCTTGAGAAAGCTCACAGTTAGCAGGAAATTTCACTTCTTCCCTCTGCATTCTTTGAAGCTGAGCAATACTTCTACAGTTAAAAGCAGAAATTCCAGTTAAAATTTCATAAGAAAGGACGCCTAAGCTTCAGACATCAGCTTTATAGCTATAATGGTCATCATTAAAAATTTCTGGGGCCATAAAAATCGGAGTTCCAAGCTGAGTTGTCGCTAAATCTTAACTTAACTTAATATTTACAGGCGTCTGCCGTAGTGCTAACGCAGTCACCAAGGACCCAGTATTAGGGTTCACCTGCTTTGTGGCATAGTCCAAACTGGCCATATAAACCAGTCACCAGGACATACACCTCCCTCCTTCCCACGGTTTCCCGTGGCTTAGTGTTGAGTGGGCGGGCTATGGGCTTCTGCGGCTGCTGCTTGAGTTTACGAGAGTTGGCTCTCCGAAATTCCAAAAAATGGAATTTTCTGGTCGCCTTTCGGCAAAAAGGGAAATTCTAAGTCCTGGGACGTAAACGCCCAGTTTCACGCTAGGTAGTTGCTCGAATGGTCTAGGCGTTGCCTGTAGACTCTGCTGGGCCTACCCTTTCCAAACCCGGACTCCCTTTCCCCCGAGGAGAAAAACCATTCTGGTCATCGAGCATGGGCCAGGCTCTGCACTGCAGAATTGCTTACCATGGCATTGTTGCTCATGTCTGGAATGGCAAAACCTTGCCGGATATAATTAAAATATGAGTCGAGTATGTATGGCCGTGAGGCCATACCCAGACGAAGACGCCATATTTTAATTATGAGTTGTCGCTAAATCGTTCTGAAGGATTTTTGCAAAGCCAAAATCAGCCACTCGGATGCTAGCATCGTCTGATTTGGTAGTTAATAAAATATTTGCCAATTTTAAGTCTCTGTGCATGATATTGTTGCACTGCAGGTTTATGAATGCTTCTATTATTTGGCTGATTCACTTTTTCGCAAGAGGTTCTTTAACCTTTTGAAAGTCTTTGACATATTTTTCAAGATCGCCTCCTCCACAATATTCCATCATCAAGTATATGTTGTTTTGCGTTCTGAGGACGTCATAGAGTTTGACGACGTAAGGACTGTCAGCTTTCCGAAGAGCTTTTATTTCGAGTTCTATTTGCTTATAAAGCTTTTCGTTCAGATTTTTTACTGGGATCACTTTTACTGCGATGGCTTGATTGCTTTCAACTTGTTTTCCGATGTAGACGACACCGTAATTTCCTTCGCCAAGCCTGGACTCAAGAATGTAGTTTCCTACTCGTTTCACCATTTATCAGAAAATTATAAGCACTCGCAATTTTTGCAATGTTTAATAGACAAATGGAAATTTTAAGAAAAAGAATTTAAAAAATAAGTAAAAATAATGGTTTATGCTACATAAAATTGCAAATTATATTTGACTTCTATAGATTTAATCTAATTCTAGCAAAAAGATATTCAATTTTGCAGAATATTCATTTTTATATTTGAATTAAATTCTGATTAAATTCCCCAAGCTTTTATCCTTCATTAATGGCGACAATAAATCGAATTTGTACATTAGAAGCTGATGGAAAAAAAAAAGATTATTAATTTGATAATGTGTGATTAAATCTTTTTCCCATTTTTAATAATTAATTAACTCATTCTACAGTAAGAGCCTTCAAGCTATCCATAGCATGCTTTCACACTCTAATAATTTTTTTTTGAATTTTGAAAAGAATTGATAAAAAATTCTTAACAGATTTTGAATATAATATATAAAATCTATGGAGGCCCTTTTCACAAAAGAGGAAATGAACAAGTTCATATCTGGCGGTGCTGCTGGAGCGGTAGCTAAATGTGTTATAGCTCCACTAGATCGTGTCAAAGTGTTATTCCAAGCTACTACACGAAGATTTACTGTCAATAATGCCTTGCTTGAAATGATTAGAATTTCCAGAGAGGAAGGCATTAGAGCTTTTTGGAAAGGAAATTATGCGATGATGCTTCGAATAATTCCTTATTCCGCAATAGTAATTTCTAATTAGCAATTCACAACATATGACTACTACAAAAAACAAATTTTTGAATCTGACAGAAGCTTCTCAAAAACAAAATTAATGCTCTTTAATTTCATGCCAGGTGCTTTGGCAGGCGCAACTGCAGTTTTAATGACTTATCCTTTTGAAGTCACAAGAACTCGCCTTGCCATCCAAACGACTTCACAAGTTTACAAAGGAGTCTCGCATGCTTTTTGGACTATTGGCAAGGCTGAAGGCATGAAAGGTCTTTTCAACGGGTTTTACCCTACCATTTGTGGAATTGCCATATACAGCGGGGTTTCGTTTTCGTTGTATTTTACTTCCAAAGAAGTAATCGGCCACAGTGGGAATTTGGAGCATTTTCTGTTTGGAGCTGCTGCAGGAATAATTGGCCAGCTTTCTGCATATCCATTTGATGTTGTCAGAAAGCGTATGCAAGCTCATGGCTTTATAGAAAAAGTCTCAAGCTTTAGAGCTACACACAATGAAGAAGAGCTTAAAAGCATGCTGAGCTATTGGAAAATGATAGTCAGGGGAGAAGGACTTCGAGGACTTTTCAAAGGGTTCTCCATGAATATCGTCAAGTCTCCAATAGCCTCAGGCATTGTACATACTACAAATGAGGTGATGAACCACTATTTCGAAGATTACTCAGAAAAAGAGAAATCATACTTATAAGAAATAATGTGTTTAACTAATCAAATTATTCGGTCTTGACCTTTTTATCATCTTTTTTCGATTTAAGCACGTAGAGCAAGATTTCTGCATAAAGACTGATGACAGTCACGATTAGCCCGACAATCATGCTTCCTTGAAAATCGTACTCTAAATAATATTTCCCAAGATAATATCCAGAGAGCATTCCTAGAAAGAGCACTGATATAAATGACATGCCGAAGCTCAAGCTTTCTTTGTATTCTTTGGCAGTTCCTGTTAAGGGCTTTTTATATACGTTTCCAACCATCTGCTGGTATTCTCTTTCTTTCCGCTTTTCTTCGAGCTTCTTAATGAAATCTGATCTTTTGGGTTCAGGATCTTTTTCAAATACAAAGCTGCAGCCTTTTAAGAGCTCAGCAATTTTTTCGTTGTTTCCAATTAAGATTTCTCTAATTTCTGAGTAGTTTACAATATCACCACTTATATGCTTCTTATTTGCTGTCAAAAAATCTTTGAGAGCTTGAGTAATCCTCAATTGAACCATAATTTACATTAGAAAAAATTAGTTAAGAGATTTATTTTATATTGCAAAGAAAACACAAAGACAAGAAATCACTTAAAGGATAGAGAAACACATTATTAAATATGACTTCTAAAATAGAAGAATATCGTCAAAGTCCTCGTAGACACACTGATGTTCTCAGCCAATCCTTTCGCAAGGCAAGTCTAAGTACAACTTTAGACACTCCTGAAAGCAGCAGAGATGCCCCATCTAAATTAAAGGCATTGCAAAGAGTATTCCCACTTCAAAGAGTTCTAACATTCAAAGAAGATGAGCTTGACGACTTGGTGGTGACTGCAGAAAAATTCGTCCCCCTCTCAAAGTCTCCAGATTCCCCTAACCAAGCCAAAACATTTCAAACTCAATTACAGAATGCTTCTCCTCCAGCAAAAGAAAACACCAAACAAACTTTTGTTTCTTCTAAAAAGTCACCTGTGAGGAAACGGCCTAAAACTGAGGAAAAAGATTTATCTACAGTTAAAGCAAGCCACTTAGAAGTAATAAGATGCTTAAAACGGTTCAGAAATCTGCAATTGCCCTTTCCATTTGCAGATCCTCTACCTCAAGCAGCAATACGTAAGCCATAGTCAGCCTATTCAAGTATGGATGAATCTCTTAAAAAGAGAATTCGCGACAGAAAACGCCAAGTCGAGTATTTATTACCTCAAAAACCCAAAGAAATGAGCAATTTACTGAAAAATTTAAAGGAGACAGAAAGAGTGCTAAGACAAGAACCTTATTTTTTAAAGAAATTAAGGGACTTAAAGCCTGAAATTGAGCTTGAAAAAACAGACAAAGGAAAAAGAAAAGATTTTTTAAGCAGAAGCTTTCATGTCAGAAGAAAGAATAAAGACGAAGGCTTTTCTTTAGATGACATAAGGCATTTGAGCGTCCCAAAATCAGGACTCATCATCAATGACACTCTTTTTTCTAATTGGCTTTAGGTATCTATTTAATAAGTAATGTAAACCTATGTATTGATAAAAATGAAATGGCCGAAGTTCAATATAGCACAGATAGGTGAAGATGGTAGAAGTAATCAAATCAAATACGTTAGGATTTTCCTTCTTTTTAATGCAATTGTATGTGGAGGAATCGCGTGGAAGCAGTATGAGCCAGCAAAAGAAAGTCCTGAGCATGATATCAATAAATTGGAAGAAGAAGGCGAAATGTTGAGTGCTTTGAACCAAGAAAATAACGAAAGCTTGAAAAAATAATAAAATTATTATCTTTATTGCTTGAAAACTATCAAAAAATATATAATGCATTTCATATTTTGCTAACTCTCCATCCTTTCTTGAATCCACCGTAATCGCTCGATCAAGGATGGGAAGAGTATAGCCCAGGAACCAATATGGATGGTCATGGGTTGGAGCAATGCTGAGCCAATCCTAGAGCTGCTCAGGGAGCTGGCAAGTACGTTCAGCATTAAGCATTTACACACTTTCTAGATGGTTTGCTAATTTGAGTTAGAGAGCCAACTTGAGAAGTGAAACAGCATATCCCAGCACAAGACCATCTATATAGGTTTCTGGTCTATAATTGCACAATTTTCCTTGGCTTGAGATTTCATATAAAATCTTACAGATCAAAACATCTCAGTAAAATATTAAAGGAACTACATAATATATTAAACTGCTGGCCTCGCTCCTACATCATCAGCAGATTTCATTACTTTCCCAAGACTTATAACTTCAGAGAAATCTTTCGTAAGAGATTGCACTACCAGTCCTCCAACTCCGACTACAGAAGAATGCTTCGTTTTGCTTTTTTCTTCCCACATCGCCTGGTTTTGAGTTAATTGATCTAGCACTGTTTTATTTATAAGTTCTGATTTAAGAAATTGGCATCATACTTCAAACAGCGGAATGCAAATATTCTTTATAAACCCAGCCTGGCTTTTGGGTATATAGGCTGAGCCTCCTTTTGGCTCGGGTTATACCGACGTTGGATGGGGAGTTGGCTTGCCAACATTTTTTAGTAGAGCCAACTCCCCAGATGACAAATCTGCTCTATATCGGGGATTTTCCATATGGTGAGTTGGTTTTATCAGCAAATTGGTAAATTTAACTTCCTTTCCAACATCGGGAGACACCGTATCGCCCAAGCCAAAAGGAGGCTCAGACTATATCAGCATTCTCTCTATCGCAGTACATCGAAATCGGCTGATTTCGAGATCTCTCCACGTCTCCCTGCTTAAAAAATTCTTCACAAACAAGCCTTGTCCATTTTTCGTGTAAAATTGGAATTTTTGCGCTATGTCCGATGTCAGCACATTTTAATCCCATGGATAGCACCAAAACTTTGTCATCTTGGACTTCCATATTTAAATCAGAGAAATTTAAACATCTTGTCCTGAATCTCCCCAAAATTTCGAAGTGTCTAGACATGTCAGTCTCTAAGACCATCTCAATTATAAGCTTTCTCGCCTTTATCCAGTCATCTGAGCTCAGATGTTCGAAAATATTGCAGCCGTGCTTCCCCATAATACTATAAATTTCAGAACAATGCATGTTTTCTAAAACTGAGTTATCATTGTATTTCAAAGCTATTTCATGGCGGTTGTTCACTAAATTAGGTTAAAATTTATGCTCGTAGGTGGGTAAATCTAATAGCTGCCACTCATCTTGGCACAAAAGGCTGCCTTAGCGGGTTTCCGACCTGAATCAGTTGCCAATGTGATTAACTCCGTAAGGTAGAGCCACTATCTTCGAGATACCCCAATTGCCCTATGAGAATAGACCATGTGGTATAGCCCGTCTGGCAGAGTTAGGTTAGGTTATTAAAGACGGGCGTTAGCCATGTTGGTGACGCAGTCACCAAAGACCTCCCATCCGGGGGTTCTACCCATATTTTGACTCCAGAGGGTCTATCCCCCAATAATGGGTGCCACTTCCAGTACCTTCTGTCTCATCTATGCCTTGCAGCTTCAGTCTTGAGTGGGTGGTTTATGGATTTTGCTGCTACGGGAGATTGGAGTAGCTTAAATCCAAGGATCAACTTCTTGAAGTCTGCAGGATGCTGAAGTGCCTTCCTTCGGCAGCTACAGAAAAAAGAATTCTCCCCTCAGTTTCTCGGATGAGGAATATCCATGGGTCATCAGTAAAAAGGACTTTTGCTAATCATCTCCATTTCCCAACTACAGGAAAGCAGCCAAAACCTATCTGGATACACATTTCTTGAGCCTGAATGTTATTTCTTGACTCGGAGTCCGTTCCAATTCGCCGTGGCAGTAAGGTCTGGACTGTTTAACCAAGAGGCAAGTTGCATATGTCGCCATTTTAATGTATATATACCTGTTTAGCAGGGCAGAAAAACTTTTTGGAGAGAAATAGAATTTCCCTTTTCGGCAAATCTTCTTCAAAACTGAAGGCCTACTCTAAATATGACGTGATCATCAGAATTAGTCCTACCTGCTCCATAGGAGTTCCCCTTGAAGTCCGATTTCCCATTTTCATTTCTGGCTGTTCACTAGGAATCTGTTCGTTACACCTGGGTGGCCCACATCGTGACCTGTTGCAGCAACGATTGATGCCAGAGTATCAATTGTATTTAGATTTTTTAAAAAATCACTTTGGAAATAAAAATACAATAAAGTGTGCAGGACGTCAGCTCCATGACATGCATTGTGGTAAGGGTTATTTTGATAAGTCTAAATAAACATTACTTTTTCCACTGTTTGGAAAAATTTATCTGAAGTCTCTTCACTAATGCTATAGGATTCCCCTAACCCTCATTTCTGTAATAAATACTTACTCCCTCCTCCATGAGTGAACAAAAAAAAATTTGTGTTTACTCACGATTACTTTTTTTTTTATATTTTAATTTTATAGTAAATTTTGTTTTAAAAATTTTAAAAAACTCCAAATCGCAAAAATTGGAAAGCAAATACTAATTTAATTTGTATATAAAATTAAAAAGAGATTTCATTATTATATTAAATTTTTTTTTTGCTTACAGAGAATGGGTTTTTTACCCAAAAAAATAAGGATTTTTTAAATGATTTTGTTCGTTCACAGGGGGGAAGTTTAGCGACTATGTGGATACTATGCCCTGTTGCATCATATATAAACCACACGTCAAAATTCCAATTTTTTCCAACTGAATATAGCACGCCTTCAAGCTCAGCAACTCCATAATTGCTAAATGGGAATGGAGGCTCTTTTTCGTCAATATCTGACATAGTTGTTCTTCTTGCACCTCGGTTTATTACAGTCGTGCTTTCATGAGTCACTTCCATAAAATTTTCTTTGATAAACGCTTTATCCTGTTCATCTATGTTTGAGTCCGCCTCAATTTTCACCTCCATTAAAAATGATCCATGGCCAATTCTTTTCTTAACTCTTTCCAGTGCATACTGAGCCCTTTTCAGCCTTTCTTTTACGTCATTAAACATGATCACTGAATGCGCATACTTAATGTCCTGCTTGATATCATCACAAATATGAACAAGTACTTCAATTTCGGTTTTTATTTTAACTTTACTGTTGCTTTCTTGCTCGTTTTCCTTTTTTTCAAATGCTTTTTCTTCTCTGGTTTTCCTCCAAAAAAGTTGCCGAGTTCGGAAATCCGTTTGCTGTGATTCAAATATTTGCAAAACGAGAAAAACAAATAAAATCGAAAACTCGAACAGTGTCGAATAAACGGATAAAGAAGAATAGCCTAGATTTAGGGACAGGAATAAAATCAGCGAAAGTATACTGAGGAGCGTAATGTAATAAAAGCATTCTGCTAATAAATTCCTCATCATAACTATAAAGCAAGAAATAATTGCAATTGTAGGAAACCTTGACTCCTTATAGTCTGTATCCAGAATTTCACTCAAGACCCGGTCGTCACCAATTATCAGATAGATAATAGTGACAATACCTAGCACAAAATAATAATGCCGATTTCTCATAAGAATTCAATGACTTTTCAAGGTGGACAGCAAAAGCATGTAGGCAAAAGTTAGAAGGCACGCACAGCAGCTGATATGGTAGAATAATTGCTGATCAGAGTATTTTCCATCAGAATGCAGGAGCAAGGAAAATGTAAGGATTACGACCAGATACAAGGTATAGAATAAGTAGAAGAATAGAAGAGTATTTTTGAAGTCTGGAGACACTAAAAGGCTATCATCGCTATGGCAGTAGATAGTTTTTAAATATTTGCTGTTGAGCTCTTTGTCACGAAATGTTAAGAGATTGGGGCTTATAGGCAAATGGCTGTTTTCGTGCTCTTCATGCTCCAGAACGATATAAGTTAGTGATTTGCTTTGCTTGGAAATTCCTTGATCATCAAACCTGTTAGATTTCGTGTGCTGTATCATTTATAAAACTACTTTATATTCTATTGCTCTTTAAATTATCTTTAAATTGGTTAATAATGATTCCTTTGGTATGAAATATTAACAGATTTCTGATTAACTGATGGAAATATTAAATGGAAAATACACATTGGTTAATTAATCATTTCATAGTAAAAAAATGAAGTTTTCTTAAAGGATTTAAGATTAAAATTTATAATATTCAATTTTTAAATAAAAAATCTTATAGAAATACTCTAACTCCCCCCCCCTCCGTGAGTGAACAAAACCGTTAGAAAAATCGCTATTTTTTGACCAAAAACCCACCCTCCTACCTAAACAAAAATTTTTAATAGAAAAATTTTTTATGGAAAAAAAATTTGATATATAAGTGATAATTAGTATAATGAAATCTAGAGCTAATTCTGTTTCATTTTAAACAAATTGCGTTTTAAAAATAAATTTTATAAATTAAATTAATATTTGCTTCCCAATTTGTGCAAATTAGGATTTTTTTAAATTTCGAAAAAAAATATTTTTTTATAAAATTTATATATATAAATTTTTTTAAAAAAAAAAACAATTAAAACCCCCCTCCGTGAGTGAACAAAATTTTTTTGTTCACTCACGGAGGGGGGGGAGTAAGCTTAAACGCGATTTGCATATTTTAAAACCTCATCAAAGCTATTTTTAATCTTTCAAAATCTGCATTTTAGAGTTTACTTATTGTTGATTATGTAAATTAAATAGTTTAATTGCAAAATCTAGAATATAAGTCTTTGTAAAGTCTATGCCAAATTCTCAATGACATTTTCATCACAAACACATAATTCTGGGTTATATTCCATGCTTATTGAGGTATCTTCGCACTTCCCTTCATAAGAATCAGCTCGATATATATTTATGATCTAAATTGATTTTACCTTTGCGAATTTTTTTACCCCGCTTTCAATTACAGGAAAAGTTTTTAAGCCTTTACCTTCTTCTATTGATAAATCATCATCTTCTGATATATAAGCCCAAAACTCAAAAGTAACCCCCTCACTTTCGATTACTGTAAATTGTACTTTCATCAGCAAATTCGCATTTAAAGTTCTGCTATAAATCACGTACTTCAGTTTATCTAAAGAAAGCTTTTTGCATAAGAGTCCTTTTCTGTGGCTATTTGAGGCATAAGTGCTCAAATTTATTTCATCCAAAGCCTCAGTTACTACTCTAAGAATTAGTTTATTTCATCCTTCATCTATTTCTTGTGCTAAATCAAGCTGTTTCATAACGTTGCTTCCGCAGTATCATGGAGAAATTTTTGCATCTTTGCATGTTCTTGTATTTGGGATTTCTTCAGTGATTAAATTATAATAATTTTGACTGCGCTTGCTTTCTAACTCGACCCTTAAAAGCGAGCAAACCTTTGGAGCAATGTCAATTTAATGGAAAAGCCCCCTTTAAGAGCAAACAAAAAATTGCTTAAATATAAATGTTTTTAAATAAAGTTTTTACAAATAAAGCTTTTATAACGGAGTCTTTTAAATTTTAGATAATAATATTCTTAAGCATAAATTTTATATATATAAAATTAGCCCAACTTACAGGTTGGGATTTTTTAAAACCCAAAAAACATTTTATATATATATAATTTACTCCCCCCCCCTCCGTGAGTGAACAAAACCATTACTCCCCCCCCCCCTCCGTGAGCGAACAAAAAAATTTTGTTCGCTCACGGAGGGGGGTTAATTTTTTTTTTTTAAAAAAAATTTATATATAAATTTTATAAAAAATATTTTTTTCGAAATTTAAAAAAAATCCTAATTTGCAAAAATTGGGAAGCAAATATTAATTTAATTTGCAAAATTTATGTTTTAAAACGCAATTTGTTTAAAATTAAACAGAATTAGCTCTAGATTTCATTATACTAATTATCACTTATATATCAAAATTTTTTTCCATTAAAATTTTTTCTATTAAAAAAATTTTTGTTCACTCACGGAGGGTGGGTTTTTGGTCAAAAAATGGCGATTTTTCTAATGGTTTTGTTCGCTCACGGAGGGGGGGGGGGGGGGAGTTAGAAAAATCGCTATTTTTTGCCCAAAAACCCACCCTCCGTGAGTGAACAAAAATTTTTTTAATAGAAAAATTTTTTATGGAAAAAAAAATTGATATATAAATGATAATTATTATAATGAAATCTAGAGCTAATTCTGTTTATTTTTAAACGAATTGCTTTTTAAAAACATAAATTTTGCAAATTGAATTAATATTTGCTTTCCAATTTTTGCGAATTAGGATTTTTTTAAATTTCGAAAAAAAATATTTTTTATAAAATTTATATATAAATTTTTTAAAAAAAAGAAAAAATTAACCCCCCTCCGTGAGTGAACAAAATTTTTTTGTTCACTCACGGAGGGGGGGGGGGGAGTTAGTAATATTTTTATTTTTTTACAAAATTTAACCCTATTTTAAGAGCGAACAAAAAATATTGCCCATTCTTAAAGGGAGTTAAATTATATTGAAGCTCTGCCAGTTTAATCGTTAAACTTCTCAAATCAGGTTTTGTTGTTAATCTAAAAGTGTTATGCTCCAATATAGCATATGAATTCTCAATTGAATCCAAATATTTTCTGCTCGACATAAAGAAAAAGGCTGGAAGTCTATGCTCTTGGGTAGCATTTGTATTACTTTTGTAATTAATATATCTCATCCCATGATCTCCTGCTAATAAAATCACGACTTCATGGCTTTCGCTAAAAATTTCTGTTAAATTTCGAATATAATTTCTTAAGTCTTCATCTAATGTGCTTGCATGCTGTCCAGTGCTCTCGTGAGCAGCTGTGAAATGATTGTAAATTCATAAATTGGCCCGCAAATAAATATGGGCAAAATTGATGGAATAGTCCATTAAATATCAGTGAGACATGTGGGGGCCAATGCATCTCTGGGAATTTTTATGTCCTTTGTGAGAAGAATAATTTGTAAACTTGTGAGCTGCGCAGTAAAAAGGCTGCACAACACTGTCTGCGTCTGGCTGACTGCCAATTGAACTTACTAAACCATATGGGCACCCTTCATAGCCGAAGAGTGTCATAAATCCTAGCTCTTTTAGCTTTCTTCATATTGCATGCTTTCCAAATCTACTCAAACTGGAATTTTCTTTGATTTTTTTCCCTAGGCCTCAATAGTTTGCTTGATTATCAGAAGTTCTTGCCCCTATTATATTATGGAATTTAAAGTCAAATACTTTCCAATCCTTAGAGTTTTCATATCTATTCAGCAATTCAACTGTTTTTGGCAGTTTTCTGAAGAAATGTCTCCTAGAAAAGCTGTCTAGCGTCAGCATAGCTATTAAAATAGGTTTTTTATTTGTGCCTGATGCTGTCTGCAAATCATCGATTTTTTGCTTTGTTTCTATATAAGCTGCCAAATTTAATTTAGGTTTCATTGCAAACATATCAAAATCAGTTGAGTTTTTCTTACAAGTTGCCATTGCAAACTCATGGTTATTTCACAGTGGCCGTGTGAAATTTTGGTATTGCTGAATCTCTCAATATGGCTGTGAATATTTTGGATTTGTAAAGTAGTTGTAAAAAGGCGGTCCCAGAATATATGTCCCTTCTTCACATTCAAGACTAAATGAATTTCCAATTGTGTTGAAGTTAAGTTTATAATTTGTATCATTATAAATATCTTCACATCTTGGATATTGGTAAGCAGGAAATAAACTATTAGCCTCTTTTTCTGTATATCCAAACGAAGATGGAATGGCAGGAATTAGAGATGTCATGCTTTTCATAAGATCTGTGTCATCTATTGAAAAATTATGAGGAACGAATTGCTTTTTGTATTCATCATTCGAAAGCGAAGTGGAAAATACTGTAAAATCTGTTGGTAATAGATGTGCTTTTTCTTCAATATGAGTGCGTTGAGAATGGAAAAAGATTTTTGATACTGAAATATAACTTGCAAAAAGGAGGATAGCTAGAATAACAGCTTGAGCCGCCTGCAATATTTTCATATTAAGAGTTAAAAGAATTATTCTAATTAGTCTGCTCTCTGATTTCATAGAAAACTTCAAGTAGAGTCCCTACACTTGAAGCTTGGGCGTCACATGAAAACGCACAATGATGCCCTCTATCATTTGTAAAAGCTGGCAGTGACATCCATGTGGATTTTTCTATATAATCTCTATGGTCTTTTAAGCTTTGTATTATTTCTAGTGGGGTTTTGCAGTTGAATGTTTTAGCTGCTATCAAGTAATACCCAAATGGCCACAACCACTCTGGCCCATTATGCAGACTAAATCCATGGGCAATGTTAAATTCATTTGAATCATTATGAAAATCGACAAAATGCGCATATCTCGGGTCGCTTTCATTAAGAGTCTTAATTCCAAGCTGTCCTTTCCCTAGCAGAGGTAGTAAATCTGTTTCAATTTGGCCCAAAGCTTCAATAGCATGATCTTTATTAAATAGCTCTGGAGCAAAAGCCATCGCAATGCACACATTTGGTCGAATTTGAGTCTCAAGCTCAGGGACTTGGCTTTTTACAGTGTCCTTATAGAAGCCATTTGAGTAATAAAAGTTTTCAAAGGAATATTCAATATTTCTCTTCCATATTGCAAAAGTTAAGGATTTTCCTTTAGAAAGCTTTACTTCAGAGTACGGGTAAATCCCCTGCTCATTTAATTTTAGCAGTGAGGAAATGACTGAATAAAGAAGAGCAGTCAATTCAATAGGAGCTCCATCACGAGGAGAAGCAGGGGTAAATCGATTATCAGCTTTATCTGAAGACCCTAAAATGTCCATCCAAGTTCCACAGTTCCATCGATTTCCTCCATAGATAAAGCCTGTATTTGGGTCTAAATTAATTTCAATGTTAAACCCTTCATCTTTCATTCGGCTATCAAGCTCAGGTCCTGCCCCTTCTTCTATGAAAAACATGCCAGATGCGTGGGCTTGTAAAATGTATTGGATGATTTCTTGGATTTTTTGGGTTTGGCTTGCTGAAGGATATTTTAATTGGACTTCTTCATTAAGAATTGTTTTTCCATCAGGAACGATGCTTATATAATCAATAATTCTTTGCAAAAATAGTCAAGTTGTGTCTCTTGAGTTATATCTCGTTCTTGACTGATTAGCAATGTTTGGAATCAGCCCATTCTTCACTAGAGATGCAAAATAAAGCAGAATGTCTTTTGCTTGCTTATACATGGATGTGCATAAAAATAGTCCTTTTAGGGCGATTAAAGTGTCTCTTCCGAAGATTCTGTTGTCTTCTGAAGCTAAAAACGGGAGACCTGCAGCCAAAGTACATTTATGAGGGTCATTTGAAATTGATCCCCAGAACTGAGAAATTGATAGGCAGAGTTTTTCAAGCAAACTATCCTTTTCAAAGCTTAGAGGGCTTCTATTTAAAATTGATTTCAAAGTATGAAGTTTCACGTTTCTAAATAGAAGCTTTGAGAATTTCATCAAATGCTGAGGCTTTATTGAGTGTGGAAGCTTTTTAATATAGTCATAGCCTCCACACAGAAAGTTTGCGAGTTTTTCTGGAAGTGGATAGCTTTTTGTTCTTGTAATAAAATAGTCAATAAGTCAATCACCACTTCGTATGTTGTCATATACCAAATTATCAAGCTCTCTTACATTCATCAATTCGCCTACAATTCCTCCAATTCCAGCAAAGTTTAAAGGCTTATACTTTGCAACAGTATACACTTGGCGCTGATGATGGGAAATTGCGAGCTCTTCTGAGTTGCATCGCCATAATAAATGATTTACATCTTCCAATGATAAGTCTTCAAGGATATCCTTGCAGTTTTCATAATCATTTAAAGTTCTATAAATCTCATGGAGTCTTGATATAGGATCATTATCCAGCAATTTAGTTTTAATTATTGCAATAAAGCCTTGAGGGACATTATGCATACTTAAACAGTCAATTTTTTCGTTTTCTCTTCGATTTATAGTGAAAAAACGAAGATAATTGCTTTCAACTTCAAGAACAGCTTTTAAGCCGTCTATGTGAACCGGGTCTGGGATATATTCTTTATTAGAGGGATTTTGGAAAGCCAATAAACAGATTTTATCAATTATTCCAGGTAATTTTACTTCTCCCAAAGTAATAGAGTTTGGGTTGTTCCAATAAGCAGATCTTCCAATAATAACATAAGATTTTAAGTTTGAAGGGTTTTGCCTCATGATTAAATGCACATCTTCTTCAGATTCCTTTACACAATTAAAATGGCGAGCCATCCGACCCGTCCTTCTCCTGTACCCTCAGGGACTACGGGGTTAAGAAGTAAACGGGGCCTGGATATTGCGTCCAGGGTGGGTTTTTTACCTTGGTCGGGACACCACGACAAGGTTTTTTGCCTTTCACAAAGACGAGAAGACCAGAGCCGCAGAATCAGGAGTCACACTTCAGGACTAGAAGGAAGTGAGGAAGCTTGTAGTGGAGCTTGGGGACCTGAAGAAGACTCCGGAAGGCTACTTTTCCCCCTCTCCAGAAAGGACGGCGCCGGGTCACTAGACCCTGATCAAAGGAGTACCTGGGTGAGTCTCCCTGTCAGATGGCGACGTCACCATTTTTTGGTGACGTCGACAGAAAATGGAGTGAGCAACAGAGCCGGTGCATAGGGCGCAAGCCTGAAGCTGGCAGCGCTGGGTAGAGGCTGAAATAAACCTCCGTGACCCGCTAAAAACTAATTAATCTAATCTAATCTAATCTAATCAGATTCCTTTTGAATAAACATTTCTGAGTATCCTTTTTTAGCTATAGAAATTTTCCTATAGATGGCGCAGTTTGCCCTTGATTTGCCCACTGTGAAAATTTTTTGGTTCGACCAGTACCATATGGTTTGGCCAAACCAAAAAAATTTTTCAGTGGGCAAATCAAGGGCAAACAGCGCCATCTATGGGAAAATTCTATAGTTTTGTATGGAGTTTATTAATAATTTCTCTTGCTGGCCACATATTTTCGTAAAAAGTTGCATAGCATTGGCTTTGGTCTACATTGATTTCATTATTTGTAATCCCATCTAGAGTAATACATTTTTGTTTAGGATCATAGATTCAATTTGTCTCATCAATAATAAATTTAAATTGGTAAGATTTCCCTAAGTCGCTCTTTCTAAAAATTAAAGTTGCAGAAAACCTATTGAGATCGATTTTCAAGAGTCTAATTGGATTCTTCCAATCATCCCAGCCTCCTTTAATATCAACTGAAGTGCAATTTTCTAAAATTGGGTTGTCTCTGATTTCTATCCTGATACTTATCCCATCTCCTTCTCCAATCTTGATTTTTGGCTCTTGAATTCCTTCATTTCCAGGCAACTTGTATATTCTATGTTCATTAGCTACAGAAAGGGTTTTTGGAACATACTCATCATATCCTCTAGTAGAAGCCAATGCACAATTAGTCATCGCGACAAGAGCTGCATTAGGCAAGGAGTCCTGTAAGGTTCTTTTTTGTGCAGGAGTCTCATTATCATGTGTACAATCATATAAAAATACTGATACTGGACTTGAAGTTAGTTTAACAGGGCCCACTTTTGATTGAGAAATTCCAAGCAAGCTTTTATTTTCAAGCTCAGATTCTTCAATTTTGCCAACAGGAGACAATGCTCCTTCTCCATATTCATATAGCAAATTGCCGAAATGACTAGGATTATGAGCATTCATAGCTTCTCTGACTAATGCATTAAGCCCAAGTCTATTTACAAAGTATGTATCCATCCTTACGTTCCCTGTAAACAGTTCGCCAATTACAAGCAAATTTGGGTTGACTTCTCTAGCTTTGTTCAGCATATATTCAGAGACGTTTATTGGAGTGCCATGGGCATTGTCAAGTCGAATTCCTTTGAATATTCTTGCCATTGAGGTGACATACGTTTCCATCCTGTCCCATAGTATAGGACAGTCTTCCCTGGAAGCTCCATAACGAAGTTTAACGCAATCTCCCCATATATGGACATTTCTCCTAAAATAATGCCATCCATCTTTTTCAGCGAAATCTTTAAGAATTTTATCATATCCCATAATCCACCCATTGAAAAGAACAACTTCTCCATTATGCAGTTGCATAAAGTACTCTCTTATCAGAGGATTGTTCCATTTGATCACATTATTTTTTTGATGGAGAATCCTAAACTTAATTTCGCTCTCAATATTTCCATAAATATCTTCCAAGTGTTTTTCATAGCGGCTTAATAAGTTCGAGTTTACTTCAGTCAAGCTTTGCTTGACTTTTTCCAATGCTACTTCATTGCTCCAGTTCTGGCTTTTGCAGTATTTTCATACTAATTGGTTGTCAACTTTTGTGGAGAAAATCCCTTCTCCTTCTCCAAATAATGAATAATTTTCAATAAAGCTTGACAAATTTTCATAATATTCTCTTCGGTAGTCGTCTGCATTTAAAAATCCTTCGCTTTCATTTTCAATAAATTTAAGATAGGCATCTTCTACATCAATTTGAAAATATTGGAATAATAAAAGTCCTGGAACGATGTCAACTTTGAGAATCTTCATGATATTTTTCAAGTCTTCTTCAGTCTCCACCTTGTTTTCATTCATATATCCTCTTAAAGCTTTTCTGCTGATATCATTGGATAGCTTTACCAGTGCTTTATCAAGCTCATAAGCAACCCTCATTCAGGGAGAATTGGTTAAGTTGTAAGCAGCTTCTGGGTGTTCTTCAATAAAAGGACTCCCATTTGCACAATGGTTTAAAACAATATCAACAACACAGCCAATTCCATTTTCCTTATCCAAAGATTCCAATACACTACAAAGAGCAGCATATTTTTCTTCTTCGTCTTCCATCCCAGGGAATAGTTCAGGACTCAGCCGTGTAGGGTCACTTATACTATAATGACTTAGAGATCCTCCTAGCTCTTGAATAGGACATAAGTGGAAAATATTGAATCCCAGGCTACGCTGATGCTTCAATATTTCTGACCAATTAGAAATTGGTCCTAAGCATCGGCTCAGCAAGCTCTGCAAGCATAAGCCATTAAATGGGATCGTTTCACTTCCTAAAGTGATGATTGGGTCAACTATAATTCAATTGATTTCAGTCTTGATGGATTGGTTTAAATTATTTGTGTACTCAAGACAAAAGTTGAAATTACCTGGGCTTGAAAATTCGACTTCAGCAGTCCAATGCCCAAAAGAATTGGTCGTTCCTGAAATTTGTCTTGGGTGAAGATCTTGGTATTTATCAAGATCTATCAATAGAGAAGTAGTAGGTGTAATAATAGGAGATCCTGACTCAAGCTGAAATTGAATTCGGGTTGATTGGGAGACTCTATAAACGTTCTTTGGGACAGATGGAGTTGGCAAAAGTCCTGTGTTTCGGTCTAGCCTGCAAATTAGGACTTCCACCATTTATACCAGTTTCTGAATGTGAAGTTAAGAGAATCTATGGTGATTAATAATAAATAATATCAAAGGTACTGATAGAAAGAATTATGAAAGTATAAACTGAAAATATTAATTTAAAATTTAAATTATAGTTTTAACATCAAAATCGATTAATTATAACTAAGTATCATTAAAATAAAGGGCTTTAGATTCATAAGCGGATGCTCAAAATAATGATGATTTAGAATTTATTAAGCAATACATATTCATTTTGAAAAATTTTATTAAAAACTTCTAAATCATTGAATCTCTCAAATCAGCTTATTATGTAATGACTTTGGGAATGCTTTAAAGTTTACTTCAAGTCCAGAAATCAATAATGATTTAACATCAATTTTAACTTTATAAAATTATAGCCTTCATTAACAAAAACAACGCTAGTTTAACTGCTTAGAGTTGCTTCAAGCTTTAAGTTTGTCTAAATATTTAAATTTTGATTTATACCTTTTAGATTTTTCGATGTTTTAAATTATTTTCTTACTCCCCCCCTCCGTGAGTGAACAAAACCATTAGAAAAATCGCTATTTTTTGCCAAAAAACCCACCCTCCGTGAGTGAGCAAAAATTTTTTTACAAAAAAAATTAATATTTGCTTTCCAATTTTTGCAAATTAGATTTTTTTTAAATTTCGAAAAAAAAAAAATTTATATATAAATTTTTTTAAAAAAAAAAAAATTAACCCCCCTCCGTGAGTGAACAAAATTTTTTTGTTCACTCACGGAGGGGGGGAGTTAGAAATTATGAACAGCAAAGAATGGCTAAGCATCCCACAATTTTTGTTTTACTAATACTAAAGCCAAAGGACAATTATACCTGAAATTAAAACTGCAATCTTCTAAATATCGTCTTTGCTGACATTTTAATGGCATGGTTTTAATAATAAAATTTATCATTAAATTTAATATTAAAGTGATATATCCTTATTTAAATAAAATATATATTTTTAGAAACGATAACGCGATAAAGAGCGCACCAAAATGCAAAGAAAAGTGATCTGAGCATTTAGGAAATTTAAAAAAAATTTAATTTGTGTTGAGCTTTAATTGGATAATATGAGTCCAAATATAAAAGTTAAATGAAAAGAAAGAGAACGCTTTCAAAACCTTCAAGCTTCTTAAAGAAGGTCTTTGATATGTTAAAAAATGATGAAATTCAAGAGATAGTTTCCTGAAATAAGGACGGGCAAGCATTTACTATAAAGAATTCGGAAGAATTCAGTAGGGTGATTTTGCCTCTGTACTTCAAACATAAGAACTTTTCAAGCTTCACTCGTCAGCTGAATATGTATGACTTCCATAAGTATAAGATTGAGGAGAATACCCATACATTTAAGCATCCTTTATTTATTCAAGGTCGAAAGGACCTAATTAAAGAGATCATGAGAAAATCGAATTTCTCCCAAAATTCTGAATCCTCAGCTAACGAACCGCACAAAACAGAGCTTACACCATTGCTGCAAAAAATGCATGAACTCTATACGGACAATCAAAACTCAGAACAGCACATCAAAACTTTAGAAGAAAAGATCGAGAACATTCGAGAACTAAATTCTGACCTTTTGACCCAACTTAAGGAGTCAAAGGTAAGGATTAGAAATTTTAAAAAGATGCTGTTAAGTACTTCTAACATGATGGGAACTACTGAAGACGATTTGGACTCCCTCCTCAAGCTAGAAACCCCAAGTTCCGAAGACCATAGAGAAAGTCCTGCTTCAAATATGGCCATAGATCCAGGAGTTAAAAGGGATAGCAAATCCGTTGGGTCCAGCGAATCAGGCGAAGAAAGAAATCTAAATAAAAGTGATGATGACACCAGCATCTATCTGCAAACTGACACCTAGTAAGTTTGAAGATAATCTTAAATTTAAGAAATGAAAGAATTGGAATTTTGTACAGTTAGGATCTTAACATAATTTCAAGCAATTTGATTTATTATCTTTGTGCAATAACCTAATTAAACAACTTATTAGCTTCTTTTAAACTGCCGCATAAAAATTTAAAAACTTTATTTTTTGGAAAATTTCCTAAATTGTAACTTAAGGTAAGTCTTTAATTCTGGTAAGAAACCGATATGCTAAGACCTCTATTTATTCAGTTTTCTAATCATAGGTGCGCTTCTTTCGTTTAACCTTCAAAGTTTCACCATTTTATTAAACCTCGAAATTGCCAGTAATGACGGCCTACGGGTTGACTAAGAATCAAATAAAAATACTTAGGCAATAAAAAATCCTAAATATAGTAAAATATATAAAAATGAGAAAAGTTAATATTTTGCAAAATATATTTTGTTAAAATGATGAGTTTTTTCTAAAGAAAAACTAAGAATAATCGCAAACAACTGATCTGTTTAAGCAGTTCAGAAATCATATTGCATAGCAAATCCAAATTCAAAGCTAGCTAAGCAAAAGCAATGCAAATAAAAATTTTAAGAAAACTTAAAAATCTTTTATTGAAAAATTGAAGATTTAGCTCAATGCATCCTTCTTTAGATAGAAGAACTGAGCAGTCAAAGAGAGCCTAATTGAGGAATCCTTGTGTATGGTGCTTCTAAATGAGCTTTCATTTAAATATTATAATTTCCTTCTTCATTATTAATCTTGCATATGATTCTTATTATAGTAATACTATCAAAAGCTTCAAATAATTTCTGAGTAAATGAGCTAGCTTTTAAAGTAAAAAGATTAACAATCAATAGATTTACTTCTTCTTTTATCCCAAATAATTAAAATTCTTAAAAAGTTTGACTATTCTTCAAATGTGCGAGCAAATATTTAATAATTATGTATGTTGCAGACTTGCTGAAGCTGTATAGGCTTCTTAGTTTTGACAATTACAGAAATTTAGAAATTATAAACGAGAATTGCGATTTGAGGTTTTTAATTTGCTTAAATTACCAAAATCTGTCCTTTTGCTTAGCTTTCAATGCTTTTGCCATTCTTTCGGTTCATTATTACCATCATTCTTTATCAAACTTTGATTAAACTTTGACTTGATTCTAAGCTCATGCTTAATTTTTAATTATTATAAAGGTCAACTTAATTTTCATTTTTCAAGAGCGATACTATTTGCTCTGATAAATTATTCAAAAAATTATGAAAATCCTAAATTAAAGTTTTTCTATTTAAAACTATTGGTAATAGTGATGATTACTTTTTCTGCTTCATTTATAATTGCCCTAACGATTTCAGCTTTTTCTACCTTTATCTTCATAAAAGTGCTTGAGACAGAAATTCCTTCAATTTCATCAATCAAATTATTTTTGATTTCTGTCTCATTTTGAGATTTTTCTGCCTCTTCATTAATTAAAAATTCACTAATATTTCGCTTGATATCTGAAATCATTTGCACAAATTCATTTACGAATTCCATAAAAATTAGTTTTAGATCATTTGCAGGGGGTTCTGATTTTCCTTTCTTTTTCTTTGCTGGACTGTTAGGCAAGCTTAAATTTCCTAATTTTAAAAGAAGAATTGAAAAGAATCCCACAGTAGCAATAATAAAGGCTGTTTTTTTAAGCTCTTCTGGTGAAGAAAAATTTAAAAACCCTTCTGATTTAAATCGATTAACGAATTCCATCAGCTTGCTGATGCTTTCCTTCAACGGATCAAAGCCTGCTTTGATGTTTGAAACAGCTTCAGACAATAAATAAAGAAAAGTATAACCCTCATTGAGAATGGGGCTTTGAGCTAGAGATTCTACTTTAGACTTCAGCTTAAGCAATTCTTCATCTGCACTAGCTCCTTCATTATTTTGAAACTTATAAGCAAACTTTAATATCATTTGCTCAATTTCAACATAGTCAAAATTAGATCATCTGCCAAAAAGCTGTCCTTTTTCTTCGATACTGTGCAAGATTTTGTATTCGCTGAGCACTTTTGTATCAGAATTGTCTATAAGATTGCCTCTTTCAAGAAATGCGTCAAATATTCCGACCCCACTTTTGAGCGTATTCCAAGGATCATTGATGCTACTTTGTATTTTCAAAATGAGATTTGTTAATTTAATAAGCTGGAAATAGAGAGAATTTGTTATTCTGTTTCTGAAACTGTAAAAATCAACGATCTGTTCGATTGTGTGATTTCTATATGCCTGCTGGGTGGACTCCGCAATATCGATCATTGAGTATCTATGGAAATTTAGCATGCTTACACACTCCTCGCTAAACTCATTTGAAAAAAATTTCCAATCGTTCATTTCTTCAAATGCTAAGTGGCCTAATGACTCATGCTGAACTGATTTTATATCTAAAGTATTGTAAGTGTTAACAATTGACTTGGCAGCTCCAACCTTTTTATAAAGGTCTATTAATTCAAGCTTAAAAAAGTAGTTGAATGGACTTTTAGATAATCCAAACTCCAAAATAGCGATGCTTGATACCAAAGAAGTGTCTGCCTGCTGAAGAATTCTGGAGATAATTATTACTAGTGGATCTATAATCCGATGCTCGCCTTTTTTAGGATCTGATTCAATGCTCAAGGATGTTTTGTAAATTCTAATAAGTTCTGGAAGATTTTGTTGAGTGCATAGATTGAGCCTGTATTTCAACTTCCAATATGTGGCTATTGAGCGTAATTGGTTTACGTTTTCTATAGCTTCATGGTTTAAAGGTAAAATCAAATTGAGCAGCTCCTCATATCAGTCTATAGGCAATATTTCTAAAAATAGCTTAATATCTTCAATAGTGGAAGGAATATCGTTGAATTTCCTTATATATTTGTGTAGCCTTGGAAATAGCAGCTGCTTCTTATTATTTTCTTCAAGGATTCTTTTTTCTAAAAGGACCTTAATCATTTGAAGCTCAGCAAGCCTTGACGTTCTTTTTACATTCCTAACAATGCTTGAGGTTCCATTGATTTCTTTTCTTGTGTATTTTAAGTTTGCATAACAAGTTTTAATTATCATTTCTTTACTCAGCTCTCTCATTGAGCTAAAAAGTTCTGCAGGCCTTTCAATTTCCAAATCTGCTGCTTCAACCGATAATTCTCCAGCCAACTCTACCACAAAGTTAATATATTTTATATATAGAACTTTTTCTTCAATAGCGCGATAAGGCGCATTCCTAGGTTTTACCGGAGGGTCTTGGACATATGAAAACGTGCTATTCCTTATTCATGGAGAGACAAAACAGCCTAAATAAAGAATTGTGCCTGATTAATCTCGAGAACTTGAAGAGAGGCTGTGTGGAAAATTTACATTTTGGTTCGTCAAATGGATCTGACGAGCCAATTCTGGCCAGTACTTGAAATAAAAAATGATAGTTGCCAGAATTTTATTAATTTTCTGATGAAGAGCATGATCAGAATTTTAATAAATGGCACAGGATCAAGTAATTAATTAAGTCACTATGAAAAATTTCAAATTAGAAAAACATTACTGGCATCGTCTCCCTAAGGCAGTAAAGAGTATTCATTACCTTTACTTTATGCTTTAATTATCTCTTTAAATCTTCTATTAAAAGTTTGAATTTTTAAAAAATTAAAAATTTATTAAGATGGTTAAAGTTACTATGACAAAAGTCAAAATTTAAAAATCATTACTGGCATCGTCTCCCTAAGGCAGTAAAGAGTACTCATTACCTTTACTTTATGCTTTAATTATCTCTTTAAATCTTCTATTAAAAGTTTGAATTTTTAAAAAAATTAAAAAATTATTAAGATGGTTAAGTTACTATGACAAAAGTCAAAATTTAAAAATCATTACTGGCATCGTCTCCCTAAGGCAGTTAAGAGTACTCATTACCTTTACTTTATGCTTTAATTATCTCTTTAAATCTTCTATTAAAAGTTTGGATTTTTAAAAAATTAAAAAATTATTAAGATGGTTAAGTCGATATGAAAAAAAAGACAAAATTTAAAAAATCATTGCTGGCATCGTCTCCCTAAGGCAGTAAAGAGTACTCATTACCTTTACTTTATGCTTTAATTATCTCTTTAAATCTTCTATTAAAAGTTTGGATTTCTAAAAAATTAAAAAATTATTAAGATGGTTAAGTCAATATGAAAAATTCAAATTATAAAAAGCATTACTGGCACCGTCTCCCTAAGGCAGTTAAGAGTACTCATTACCTTTACTTTATGCTTTTAAATTATCTCTTTAAATCTTCTATTAAATGTTTGGATTTTTAAAAAATTATTAAGATGGCTAAGTCAATATGAAAAAAGTCAAAATTTAAAAATCATTACTGGCATCGTCTCCCTAAGGCAGTTAAGAGTACTCATTACCTTTACTTTATGCTTTAATTATCTCTTTAAATCTTCTATTAAAAGTTTGGATTTTTAAAAAATTAAAAAATTATTAAGATGGTTAAGTTACTATGACAAAAGTCAAAATTTAAAAATCATTACTGGCATCGTCTCCCTAAGGCAGTAAAGAGTACTCATTTCCTTTATTTTATGCTTTAATTATCTCTTTAAATCTTCTATTAAAAGTTTGGATTTTTAAAAAATTATTAAGATGGTTAAGTCACTATGAAAAAAGTCAAAGTTTAAAAATCATTACTGGCATCGTCTCCCTAAGGCAGTAAAGAGTATTTATTACGTTATTTTAACGATTTGATTATCTCTTCAAATTTTCTATTAAAAGTTTGATTTTGAATTTTATTGTCAAAAGGAATTATTAAAATTCTGATCATACTCTTCATCAGAAAATTAATAAAATTCTGGCAATTATCATTTTTTATTTCAAGTACTGGCCAGAATTGGCTCGTCAGATCCATTTGACGAACCAAAATGTAAATTTTCCACACAGCCTCTCTTCAAGTTCTCGAGATTAATCAGGCACAATTCTTTATTTAGGTTGTTTGTCTCCCCCATGAATAAGGAATAGCACGTTTTCATATGTCCAAGACCCTCCGGTAAAACCTAGGAATGCGCCTTATCGCGCTATTGAAGAGAAAGTTCTATAGCTTTCCCAGTTCATTAAAGCTGTCCCTTCATTCAAGTTTAGCTTCAGCAGCTCATGATAGCAGTCAATGGCTGCGAATTTATCACTTTCAGCGAGGATCTTAGCCTTTCTCATCAGCCTTTCTCCGGGGTCAAGAAAAGCAGAAAATTCATCAAGTAATTGTAATGATTTCCCTCCACCTTTTAATTCTTCCATAAATAGCTCTAATTTGAGCATGGGAGGACCCATAATGAATTCTGGGTTCGTTCTGACTTTTTGAAAAAATAACGTAGCGATATCTAATAGTTTTTTCTGGGCAGGATCCAAATAGGCCTGAATGCACATACTTGTGACGGCGATTAGTCCATAATAAACGTCCCCAAAAAGCTTGAAAAGCTTCAAAGCTACGGCTTGCTGCTGAGGAAAGTTAAAGGCCGATGCATAAGCATTGAATAAAAGTGCTCCTACTTCTTTTCTTGGCTGTGTATTGAACATTTCGCTATACAAGTAAGCACTCCTGTCACTCCTGCCAAGACATTTATAAGTCAAGCACATGATGTCGAGTAATGATAAATCATTAGGCTTTTCTGCAGCTAATTCTTCCAATATTTGAAGACTTTCCTCATCTTCACCTGATCTTTGAAGAACTAAGGCTTTTACTGCTTGAAGCATGGGATGAGGAGTTTTTTGGATGTGTGAATTGACGAGCTTCAAAGCTTTTTTAAATTGTTTGTTGTCAAGGAGGTCGTAAACCTGCCTAATCTTCCTTTCTATGACAGCTGAGCTCATATCGAATATGGAACCCTGATATTATGAAACATTCATTAAGACTTAGAGTTAATTTTGGCTTTTATGAACAAGATTGAACTTTTAATGATCATCAAGCATAGATTTGCTTGGCTTTGCAAATTTGACAATAATTGCCATAAAAAAAATTTGGGCTCAAATTCGATAAATTAAGATATAGTAAATTAAGATTAATTTTTAACTCCTCCCCTCCGTGAGGAACAAAAAAATCTTTGTTCGCTTACGAAGGTAGTTAATTATGTTTTTTTAAAAATTTATACTGTAATTTATGTTTCAAAAAACAGTCCTAATTCGAAAAAATTGAGAAGCAAAGATTAATTTAATTTGCAAAATTTATGTTTTAAAATGAAAGTTGTTTAAATTAAACAGAATTAGCTAGAGATTTCATTAATAATTATAACTTATATATCAAAATATTTTTCGTAAAACTTTATATTAAAGACATTTTTCTCGCTTAAGGAGGGTGGATTTTTAACCCAAAAATAGGGATTTTTTCAATGGTCAATTCGCTCACGGGGAGGGAGGAAGCATCAAATGAGTGCATTTGAATAATGAAGCTTTATAGATTATGAGATTTGTCTATACTCTTTATAAATATGGAAAGCATAGCTGTAATTGGAGTCTCATGCCTATTTCCTTCATTAAAGTTTACAATTGGAACTAAAAGGAAAATAGTCTTTTTGTTTACAATTCTCTTTGCGATTTTGCTACTTAGCCTCTATTTTTTTCAGCGAGCACCTACATATTATGATCTTCTAAAAGTAAAAAGAGATATCTCTTATTACCAAGCCAAAGATCTCAGCAGAAAAGCAACAGAAGAGACCAGAGAAATGTGGAAAATAATTAGTGATCCTCTTTTACGCTTAGACTATGAACTTTACGGTACAGATACCGAAGTAGCAAGTCACATTCATCTTGAATCATCAATAATGTTCTACCTTTCATGAATTATTACTATCAACATACTCTCTTTCAATACAAAATCAGGAAACGTATGGACACGCTTAGTCATTCCTTTAGCTATTATTGGGGCTTTTGAATTTGATTTAAAACTTCGAAAAACTGTGAGATTTCCGCTAGAAATACTACCACTAACATTATTGGAGCAAGTAAAGTTACTACAAACTCTTTATGCAGCATATGCTTTGTTTGCTATTTTGAATTCCCAAGTAAATGATCAGGCTAAAGACAAGGAAGATGAAGAAAAATGGAAAGCACTTAAAGAAAGCAACAAAGAACTTAAACAAATATCTGAAAAAATAAATGGAGAAAGCATGGAAGAAATCAAAGAATATTTAGCTGCAATTGTATTGCCAAGAAATCTGGAACAAAACCAGCAAGAAAGCCCGCTGATGAAAATAGGGAAGAAGATAGGAATGATGATTCTCGTTTATATAATAATTAATAAGATTGGCTAATTTTTAATTTTAAATTAATAACAATAATTATTTTTTTGATTTTTTAATTTTTCTATTATGTCATGAATCGTATTATTTCTATTATTAAGTCTTTATTGAGCAAATACTTAATTTTAAATATAATTTTAGGATTTTAAATTTGCAGCTAGGGCATATGATCCTTATTTAGTATAGCATTTTTTGCACATTTGCTTAAAAGCCCAGAGAACTGATTTAAAGGATAAGCCTATTTCGATAAAGTCAAAACAAGCTAAGAGCGAATTATGTCATGCCAGCATTGCAGAGATCCCGTAGCTCCAATAAAATTAGCATTGAACATTAAAGCGTAAATTAAACATATAATAGGGATTAAACATTTTATGAGCTTTGAAAAGATTTAAATTTAATATTTAGTCAATTTATTATTCTCTTTGCTTCGGCTAAATATGTAAATCATGTGTTGGCTCAATTTTAAACCTAAATATTTTGGCACGTAGCTGGCAACACGCTTATTCATGAAAAATAAATAAATAAAAGCATCAATCTTTATAAGACGATTAATTTTATATCATTATGATTCTAATATGCGATTTGTCGTTATGCGATTGATAGCTCTTCGTGTCCAATTTTCAATTAGTCCAAGATTAAAAATCTCCAGTATAATCTTGACTTATTTCAATTTTTAGAATAAAGAGGAGAAGGCATGAGGAAATGGAAAAAATAAAATCTCATGAGGAGACTCACCTATAAGGCAACCGATAGTTCTTGATGTGGCAGTACTCAAATAGGTACACCATTAGATATCTCTAACAATCTTGACTTATTTTAGTTTTTAAAGACATGACATATGGAAATGGAAAATACAAATTGGGAGAGGGAACTCGGAGATAAGGTAACTGATAGCTCTTCATATGGCAGTAATCCAATAAATGCACAATTAATAATCTCTAGCTTAATCTTGACTTATTTTATTTTTAGAATTAAAGACAAAGTTCAATATGACAAAAATTGCTTTCAAAAAATAAATTTTATCAATAAAGTTTAATAAAACAGCCCCAAAATTATTTTCTTGTTAATTTTGGCTTGATATGACAAAATATTTGGTTCGCGAAAAATATTAAAATAGAGCCAATATACCAAATTAAAACAAGCGAAAGCCAATCAGATCCCATTTGAATTTTCAGGTCTACTGATTATGACATTCACCAAAAACACTCTAATGAAGGCAAAGCATTGAACATGAACAAAGAAATTAGAACCTTTATAAGAAAATGCTGCTTATGACTTTTAAAAAAGATTTTAATAGAGGAATTTAATGCCTTTCATTTTTTTTAATACCAGAAATTTATATTATGGTTGTAAATCTGAGCTCTATGCTAAATCTCATTTCTTTCAAAGCAAAAATGCAAAAAATGGTATAATAGCTCAATATATATTAAAATGGCGAGAGCGAACCAGCCCTTTTTCTCAAAACCTGTAGCCTGCATTCCGGGGGATCTTGTGGAAGGGAAATAGGCGCTCGGAATGTGTATCCGGCTAGGTTTTTCCTTGGCACGTTAGAACGCAACGTCGAACTAGGTTGACCACAGCTCATCCTGACACCAGGGTTTTTACCTCAGGGGAAATGGATTTCCAAGTTGGAAAGGGGAAACTCAGCAGCACCAAGGATGCATACTTACTCCCCCCCCCTCCGTGAGTGAACAAAAAAATTTTGTTCACTCACGGAGGGGGGTTAATTTTTTTTTTAAAAAAATTTATATATAAATTTTATAAAAATTATTTTTTTTCGAAATTTAAAAAAATTCTAATTCGCAAAAATTGGAAAGCAAATATTAATTTAATTTATAAAATTTATGTTTTAAAAAGCAATTTGTTTAAAATTAAACAGAATTAGCATTAGATTTCGTATTACTAATTATCATTTATATATCAAATTTTTTTTCCATAAAAAATTTTTCTATTAAAAAAATTTTTGTTCACTCACGGAGGGTGGGTTTTTGGGCAAAAAATGACGATTTTTCTAATGGTTTTGTTCACTCACGGAGGGGGGGAGTTAGCCCATCGGGCGACTACCTAGGGTGTAGCCGGGTGTTACATCCCAGGCTTTGGATTTTCATGTTGGCCGACAGTCCACCAGAAAATTTTTTTTCAAGTTTTCGGAATGGGCACCATTGTTGACATACTGCTGGGTAGCGTAACACATCCAACTACGGGTAGCGAGTGCACATCTTTGTCTAGTAGGAGCAACATCAAGAAGGTCGTGATCGATCGGCGGTGAACAACCAGGTGAAGCGATAAGGGTGAAGGTAGACCGATGGAAGCCTTAGGTATTACGAAGGTCTTTAATAATATAGTTAATGTTAATGCTAATAATATAATCGCTCAGCCGGAGTCTTATTATATTAGCTATTCTCTATAGTAATTTCTAAACATAAAAATAATAATGCCCTAAATAATTAATTAATTATATTAATAAGCACCTTATAAGCTGATTCACACTGTCATAGAACATATTTTTAAATTAATTATTTTCTGCTCTATAAAATGGGATTTTTTCTGAGAGAACACTCTCATGAATTTTCCCAGATGATACAGATGCGATATTCCTGACATCTGCCATCTCATACTCTAATCTCCTGTTTGCCCTCTTCATTTTCCGATAAAAATAAAGAGAGCCCATAAGTGAAGCTCAGAGTAGAACACATACAGCCCAGAAAATATAAATTGCAACTCCTTCCCCTTCTAGTCCTGACTCAATATAAATTTCAGTTGGGTCATAAGAGACATATTTTGAATATATGCGCTCTTGTGAAGGATTTATAGCTAAAATATTGATAAAGCCGCGCTTTTCTTTTACAAGAAACCTTATTTCATTTTTCCCTGTGACATATCCACTATGCTGAGCTTTTGAAAATTTGTGTGAAGTTTGCATGTCACAAGTGGTTTCAATTAAATTTGGAGAGATTTTGGAGTAATAAACGTGATACTCAATATTGTTAGGATTTTCGATTGGGCTTCCATCTTGATATTCTATGCTGTCAAAGGATACTACTACAAGATATTTATCAGGCCTTTCCCACTTGATTAAGCCATTATTTCCTGGCACAATATACTTTGGAGCGCTTTGGCCTTGCTTTGTAAATACAGTTGAGAGCTGGTAGTTTTGTGTGCTATCTACGTTTTTACTCAAAGCAGAAACTGTTATGAAATATCTCCCCTTTGCGTTGTTTATCATCCCAATTATTTTTCCATCCATTTTTCGCTCAACGATTACCTCTGGATCCTCATCGCTTGCAATCGTCCAGTTTGATGAAATTTCTAATTTCAAGTCCTCAGCACAAGGAACTAAAAACACTTCAAGTCTTCCCAATTCATTTAGATTAACTTCATACCTTTTGCTTAAAATTCCTAACTCCCCCTCATGAACGAACAAAACCATTAGAAAAATCCCTATTTTAACCCAAAAACAAAAATTTTTTAATAGAAATTTTTTTTTTATGGGAAAAAATTGATATATAAATGATAATTATTATAAGAAATCTCTATCTAATTCTGATGAATTTTAAACAGCTTGCATTCTAAAATATAAATTTAACAAGTTAAATTAATTTTTGCTTCTCAATTGGAAATTTTTTAAAACATATATTAACACCCTTGTGAGCGAATAAATTTTTTTTTGGCTCATGGAGGAGGGGAGTAAGTCAATAGAATCATAATTTTCTGAGCCTACTGCCAGCATGGTCGGAATAATGCTTTCTGAACAATAAAATTCAAAGTCCCCACTTTCTTCTTGGCTATATCTTTCTGATGCAGAGCCAGATATCATAAAATTTAGCTTCCCAGGGATGCCAGTTTCACGGAAAATCATTGATAAAGAATTAAAAGCAAAATCATAGTTATTTTTTTGGAATTTGAAGTTTGATTTTTCTTCTGAAGGAGGAGGCCTAGGTTTATCATAACGCTGAAAGTCTACATAAGCTTGAGGGAAAAAATCTTTTGAAAGAGAAGTTAATTGGCAATGAACTGGGCCTGAGAAATTACGAGAAATACCTGATTCGAAATCAATATATTAAAATGTGTGGTGAGCAAACCCACCTCTTAACACCTGGAGCTGGGAACCAAGGATTTTGTGGAATAGAGGATAGCGCTCTGATGTATATCTGACCAGGTTTTACTTGGTTTGGATGGAGCGCAAGGTTGAATTAGGCATTCCGCAGCTCATTCGGATCAAGGTTTTGCCTCTTGGCAGAGACGGGTTCGGCATTGGAAAGGGAAAGTCTACAAAGTCTACGTGACTAATTGGACAATTTCTAGTGCGATACTAGGCGTTGTGCTCTGGGCGATGAATTTCAACTTGATCGATAGCTTGACTAGAAATTCATTTTTGAATTTTCTGGAGTATGACGTATGGCATGGTGATCCAGCCCACTTCACTCGATGTTAGACCAGAGCTTCAGGCGATGAGGAATTTATCCCTAGAGGTGGCAGCAGGCCGTTCAAAAACGAATAAAGGTTGAGAAGCGCACCCCGTGGGTTAACTAACCTGATTCGAAATCAAAGTATATATGATCAAATGGACTATACTGAAGCCTATAAACCATAGGTCTGCCATCCATCAGCCTTGCATAACTATTTCTTAAATGAGCAGTAATTGTGTAGATTCCGTCTTCTACACCTTTTACATAAATATAAAAAGTTCCAATCTTGAACTTTTTGTCATCTGAGCGAATTCTTACCCTTTCCTAAGAGAAAACCTGTTTATTTTAGGAATTCTCTCTTAAGTAATTTTATTTATGCATTATTTCATTAATTAATTTCTTAATCTTAATAAATTGAAGCTTTTCAAAGTTCAAAAGTATATAAAATGCGAAAATTAATATTATATCCTTATCAGGCAATAAAATCTTGCTAGATTACAGAAGAAGTTAGATGATCAATTTTGTCATGAGAAAGTGCAGTCCAGTTGAAATTTTTATCGCTTGTATTTTTCACAGTACCAATATAAATGTCTGTATCACCCATATATGAAGTTATAGAGAAATCAATATCTGATGAAGATGAAACAAGGAAAGTATAAACCTGGATTTCATCTTTTTGACAAGAATTTTTATATGGAATACCATTTGGTAGAATTATCGTATCTTGACTATTTGTAACAGTTATGGTGAATGATGACGAAGAATTTTGACTTGTACTTGCTTCTATAATAAAGACGCAATTAATACAGAAATTTGGATCATTTTTTGAAATTTGTATGCTATATTTATCTGGGCTTGAATTTGAGGACCAAATATAATTTTTGAGTTTATCTATTACAGTGCCAACATCATCAGCCCCAGAATAAGTGTATACAAGAATTGCTGGATTGCCATAATATGGAGCTAAACTTATAGAAATATCGCTTTTTACTTCACTGTTAAATAAATAATAAGTTTTTGATCCTTTATTTAGACTTCCATATTGTGGCGTTCCACTATGCAGTCATGTCAGATTTTGATTTCCACTATGAATGATAATTGAAAAAGATGAGGCAGTTTCTCCATAAATTGCTATAAAGAATGTCCCAGTCATGCCTCTTCTTAATTTGGGGTCGTTTGATGAAATTCTTAAAATGCTTTCTTGGTCTTTTTTCGCAATTCAATCATAGACACTCATAGTTGGCATGGCCCCTCTAGATACATACATATTAGGGAACTCTTCTGAAAATGAAGTTAATGTTATCATTAGCTCAGAAGCATTATTGCTGCAATAGAATGAAAAAACTTTGTAACTATCCTTCTCAACAAATCCATAAGTAGGGGTATTTTCGCTTACTCTCCCCCCCCATTTAATAACGAACTTTTTTTTGTTCGTTATTAAATGGGGTATAATTTATATAAAATTTTTGGTAAAAAAAATATATAAAATTTACATTAAATATCTATGATTTTTATATAAGATTTTCAATCAAAGGATTAATAATAAAAGGAGTCAAATGATGACAACAGAAAGAGAAATCGCCTAAATGCAGGCGAAAAGATAACTATTGCTAACTCCCCCATACTCAGTGGTCTAATAAAATCATTAGAAAAATCGCTCACCTTCTATGAGCGAACAAAAATTTTTATGGAAAAATTCTGATATATAAGCGATAATTATTATAATGAAATCTAGAGCTAATTCTGTTTAATTTTAAACAAATTGCGTTTTAAAACATAAATTTTATAAATTAAATTAATATTTGCTTCCCAATTTTTTGCAACTTAGTTTTTTTTTTAAAATTCCGAAAATTTATTATGGAAAAAATTTTGATATATAAACGGTAATTATTATAATGAAAATCTCTGGCTAATTCTGTTTAATTTTAAATAAACTGCGTTTTAAAATATAAATTTTATAAATTAAATTAATATTTGCTTTCCAATTTCTGCAAATTAGGATTTTTTTAAAATTTCGAAAAAAAAACAAATTTTCTATAAAATTTATATATAAATTTTTTTATAAAAAAAAATAAACCCCCCTCCGTGAGCGAACAAAATTTTTTTTATTCGCTCACGGAGAGGGGGAGTAAGAGCCAGCTTAAGATTAAGCCACTAGTAGCTTATTAGCTCTTATTTATTATTCTTTGCTCGATTATACTTGTCCTTATCTTACTCTAACTACTTAAAATTAGTAAACTGTAGAGACTAAATTAGCTTATATAATGCTATAGTAAATTTTGTTCGTTATTAAATGGGGCCTAAGAAAAAATTTTTAGGAAAAAAAAATGACGGTTTTGTTCGTTATTAAATGGGGGGGGGAATTAAAGGTGCTATGTCATCCTGCTGAGTTATTATAGAATATAACTCATGCATCTTAATAGATCTCTATACCCCAGCAGAATACCGACCAGAAAAAATATGGTACAGGGCACCTGCCTTATACAGTATAAGTCTGATTAGGTACCTTAAAACCATAAAAGGAGACTTGTCATTTTCGTTTTTACTTTTTAAAAAAAGCTGACAAGTACAAATTAATTTTGGAAATTAAAATGGATAGCCAATAATGATCTAAAATATTTCAGGGGCTATACTTGCAAGTATCAGAAAAACAATTGACAGTAATGATGGCGATGCAATTCGTGTTGCTGCAGGTTTTTACATATTGGCTTGGAATCAATGAGATTTCATCAGTCATTATTGAAGATAAAGACTGGAAAGTGCTATTTGTTCTTGATGGCACTGGCCATTGAGAGACTTCTGTATCAAATGACCCTGAACTATAGATATTAGCAAATATATCAGCGTCGCCAATAGAAGATTGTATAGTAATTTTTAAAGGCTTAGAAGAATCAAAAATTACAAAATAATAATCATCTTCAGTTTTATTCAAATAGCTCGTCTCTGGGCTTGACAACATCAGCTGCCTAACTGCTGAATTTTTTGTATGGACCCTTATTGTATATCGAGAAGAAGTCGACCCGTAAACCCCAATATAAATGGAGCAATGCGTTTGGTTGCCATGCTTATAATCATCAGGAAGACTAGGACATAATCTTTTTAAATCATTATTCCAGGATAAAGTTATAGTGCCTTGCCCAAATTTTGGGAAATCTCTGCCATGTGGAGATATCCTCCACATGCCAGAAATACTTCCACATGTGAAATCACAGAAATATAGTGGCTTCACATGTGGAAATATTTCTGACATGTGGAGGATATCTCAACATGTCAGAGGCCTCCAAAAATTTGGGCAATGCGCTATACAATTTCACTTCCATAATATTGTGACTCAAAATTCTTGTTTTCTTTCGTAGGCTTTTTATTGTTTTCATCAGCTGAAATATACAAATCAGGATCTCCAGACATCGCATTTAGAGAAATAGTTACATCTTCATGGGATAAATAAATGGGAAAAGTGTAATATTTGTAATGCTTCTCTTTAACTTCGCCATCAATAGGGATATTTTCTGTTAATAAAACTGGCGAATTTTCTGTTGTAAATAGAATTGAATAAATCGGTGATTCGTCTTTTGGAATTTCAGTTGCCATTACTAAGACATAATAAATAGATGACAAGAGATAGTTTTCATCGTCTTTATCAATTGATATAGAAGATATTTGGTTTGAGGTACTTCAGCCAGTTTTTCAGCTGTATTGTGTCTCGATATCCCTTCAATCTGTAACTGGGCCTTTATTTTTGATGTAGATTGTATATTTCCCAGTAATTGGCGTTAAATAAATCCCTAGAGATTCTTTATTTTCATTTGAAAAATTAATTGTGAAGTAGTAAATACAATAATCGCGACTTGACAAATTATTTCTTTGTGGAATACCAGACACGAGCTGGACAAAAGATTCAGTATTTTTAATGTCTTCTTTAACTAAAATCGTAAAAGTTGACGATCTTTTGGAATAGACAGCAATGTGGTATGTCCCAGATAAATCCTCACCATCTTGACTTCCTTTTGTATAGCTGACTTGGTCAACTTCATGCTTCTTTTTATTCGATGATTTTTCGTAGTCAAAAATGCTTGGTTTTGACAGTTTTGATAAATATAAATCTGGATTGCCTGCAATTGGAGTCAAAGAAATTTTTAATTCCTCTGCATTTGGATTAATGAGTTCATATTTAAAATACTGATATCCCTGGCTAGGAATTGATGACTGCAAAGGCTGTCCATCTAATAATAAAGTTTCTGAATCAATAAAATTGGCAATCAAGCTAAAATAATTATTTCCTAGTGTGCTCCCTATAACTCCAACAAGATATTTTGTTGTAATTCCAGAAACATTTTCAGTAGAAATATCAATAACTTGGACACTTCCATTATGCTTGGATTTAATAAGAGATTTATCATTGCTATTGATTTGCTCAAGCGTTATTTCGCATGACTGTGTACTACACAATTTTGCATATAAATCCGCACTTCCTATTGTAGGCGTCAAATGAATTGAGAAATCAGCTGCTTTATCGGTCGAAAATTCAATATAAAAATAACTGATTTTTTGATATTCAACTGCTCCAATACTAGGAATCCCCATAGCTAATTTGGTGGTACTATTTTGGTTCATTGATGCACAAAGAGAATATGAAGAGTGAATAGCTGAACAAATCCCAATATAATAAAACCCAATAGGCTGATTCTTCCTTTCTCTATCAGCTTTTGTAATCTTCAGCTCGTGGGTGTTTAAAGACTTCATAAAATAGTCATACTCTATTGTGCTTGGCTTTTTCCCAACTTTAACAAATATATCAGGAAGCCCATAAAATGGAGTGAGATTGATTACTAGTGTTTCTTCTCCATGATCTACAAAAATTGAATAGTAGTTGCATTGATTTTCCCCTTCTAGCATTCCTAAAACAGATACAGAAGCTCTCAGCTGCATCACGGAATCTTTTCCTACACTTGAAATTATGGTATATTCAGTGTTATTTAAAGCAACGATCGCAATTTTGTAGATTGCTCCAGCTTTGAAATTTTCGACAAAAAAGCTTTTTCCCATATGAGAATTATCATCAACTATCAGCGTATTTTCAGGTCCAGGCTCTATATCGCCTTCGCTTACAAACATATCAAATTTTCCAAATCCAACTGAAGCGGTGATTTCAACCTCTTTAAACTCTTCCCTTGTTTCAAACTTATAAAGAACCTGATACCCAGCTTCCAGATAATTAGTTTGTGGTATCCCAGGGACCAAATTTATTTCTTTAGTATAGGAAAGAGTGATGACATATCTGCAGAAATGTTGGCATGAAACTAAAATAAAATAATCAGAATTACTTGATAATTGCTTATCTGGGATCACCAAAGACTCAGTTCCACTAGTGGCACTTTCCCAGTCATAGTCTGACTTTGTAGGCTTTTTTCCTTTTTTGACGTAAATATCGGGATCAGATCAGTCAGAAAAAGTCGTCAACACAATGCTGAGATTTTTTGATGTTTTCGCACCTATATGGAATTGGTAAAAAAGCTCTCCGCCATTAGGGTTTTGTATATGTCCTTCAATAGATTGGCCATCTTCTAGTACTTGTTGAGCATTCAATAAAGCTAAAAAGGTGAGAATCCACAACAGCACCATTTACAATTATTTCAACGAATAAGAATTTAATTTAATTATGGAAGCTTTTAAACGTGATACAACTGCCGATGACTTACAATCTTTCGATCCCCAAGACTGGCCAAATATCCCACGTCCTATTATCATTACATTTGCCTTAATCAGGAAAGCCCTTTTAAATCATGAAAATGGCATTTCAAAACTAAAACAATCAATTCATCATGTGGATGTTAAAGGAGAAACTCATTATAATGAGCTTGTAAAAACAATTTCAAATACAAATGATATGATAGTAAGCTCTGAAGAAATTTGCAAAGATTTTACAGAACAAAAATATGAAAAAGTGAAAAAGAAATTTGAGAAGCTTCAAGGGAAAATTCAAAAAGAAAATGAATACAGAGCAAAATCATTGGAAGATTATAAGTGAAGTCTAAATGAGCAGTTGGGAAATATTAATAAGATTAAGATTAAGATTAAGATTACGCTGGGTATTTAAGGTCCCTACTACGTCCGAGGTCGCATGCCACGGTTTCCCGTGTGGTGGCAGAGCGTTCACCAAGCCCGGCCGCCGAAACCCCCGGTTTCTCGGTAGAGGTATTGTCAAGGGCCGTCTCATACCGGCTTTGCTGACCACCTCCATTTCCAACTTGGATCGTCGCCTAAGTTTACGCCAACTCCGCTTCGTCGTCCGCCAGATCTGCCCATTGAAGGGCACCTTTTCAACTGGAGAGACCCCCGTTTTGGTGTCTAACTCGCCTCCCCTCTTCTCCGGTCATCCCGAGAAAGAACTCAACAGCTTTCACCATTCGGGGCGAGCCACTAAAGCAGCTTAGGCAGGTAATTCACCCTGCCTCATTTCGGGCACTCACTGGGCTGAGCGCTGCTGGCAAAAAGAAGTCACGAATAACTGCCCATGGGTCTGGTCGCAAAAACAGCGGTTCTCGCGCTTAGGCCTCTCGCTTCGAGGTCCCGGACGTTGTTGGGCTAATTCCTGGCTCCAAAAACCATGCCCGGATATACATGGGTAACCACCACTGAGAGGGTGGGTCGGTCGCCATACGCCATTTTATGTATATGGGAAATATTAATAAAAGAATTGATGCATTGCCAACTTTTGCGATTTTAGACGAACTAATTGAAGAGATGAAGGCAAAGTTAAAAGAGAAATTAATTACTGAAGTAAGAGATACGCTGTTGAACCCTGAAATCTATATGATGTCGCAGAGGCTGAGGCTTGTGAACTCGTAAGAGAAATTTAGAGACTTAGAAAATGACATTGAATTGGCTAATAAAAAGATTATAACTGAAACAAAAATTTTAGAGGAAAAAATTGAGAAAATCAATTTTATTTTGAATGGGAATAACACTGAGATTGAAAAGAAAATTGAAAGTAATGGAAATGCTTTAAAAAATGAAATAAAGAAAATTAAAGATTTTGACGAGCATTTAAAATCGTTGGTTTATTCTCAAGATCAGCAAATATCAAAGCTATGCACAGCATTAGGTGAAAAAATAAAAAAAATCAAAGCTAGCATTAAAGAATGGCAAAATAAACTAGAAGAAGTGAAAAATTCGATTCCTCAGGTACAAATAATGCCTTCTCCCATTCCTCTTTCGTCAATTCAAAATATACCAGGGGTTGAAATTTCATCTTATTCTCCTACTGTATCATGGCAGCAAAATACTTTTAATCAGAAAGAGAATCAAGAGCAAATGGCACAAGAGACCAAGCCTTTCCAAGAATTTCAACCTGCTCAGCAATATCAAGATGAAGCTTTTTCTCCAAAGTCTTTAAGCTTTAAGCCTTCTCAAGATAGCATTCTTGATTTTCAAATTCCAGTTCATCCAACTTTTAATATCCCTATTGAAGAAATAACAGAAAAATTGAAAGACGAAATTAGAGAAGAAATTTCTGAGCTAAAAATAGAAATTTATGAGCATATAAAAGCTCATGATGATAAATTAGCAAAAGATATAACGGATACGGTTAAGCCGATAGAAAACAGGATCAATAACACCAAAGGGGTGTTAGAAAATTATGTAAAAGAGCTAACTTCCCCCCTCCGTGAGTGAACAAAACCATTAGAAAAATTGTTATTTTTTGCCCAAAAACCCTCCTACCTAAACAAAAATTTTTATGGAAAAAAATTTTGATATATAAGTGATAATTAGCATAATGAAATCTAGAGCTAATTCTGTTCAATTTTAAACAAATTGCTTTTTAAAACATAAATTTTATAAATCAAATTAATATTTGCTTTCCAATTTTTGCGAATTAGGATTTTTTTAAATTTCGAAAAAACTAATATATATATAAATTTCTTTAAAAAAAAAAAATTAACCCTCCTCCGTGAGTGAACAAAATTTTTTTGTTCACTCACGGAGGGGGGGGGGGAGAGTAAGAGATAAACTAGCATGACTTCCTATTAGCCTAAACCAGTTAGAAGGAATGAATCCTACTGAAGCAAGAATTTTTACATTAGAAGCTCGCTTACGTTCTGAAGAAAATTCCCGAATTCAAGGCTTCAATCAAATTTTAAAGGTCCTTGACCACTCAAAAGCACAGCTTCCTCCTTCAAGCCGTGCTAGTCCTGAGCCAACTCACAGGCGAGAAGTTTCCACTCCCCAAATTCCTTCAGGACGAGTTTCCACTCGACCTCGTAGTAAAATCTACGAACGCCGTGCAACCCCAGGCGGTATGTGCACTTCCGATATGTGAAAAAAGCCATCAGAGCACAAAAAATCTCTTAATGAGTCAGATAGTATCCATGGCTCCAAAATAGCCACACATTCCCCACTTGAAAATTTCCTTTCAGATGACAGCAATGCCGAAATTTTCCACAGATACCAAGCCCACCGAAAATTCAAAGAAATTCCTAAATCTTGGGACCTTGACACATTTTCAGCTCAAAAAGGCATGAGCCCTGTTCCGAGCAAGGACGAAATTACGTTAAGATCTAAGCTTTCAAACTAATTTTCCTTCTTATTAATTTAGCCATAAATCACCATAATAAAGGCAAGATGTCAGATCATCGCAACAAGATCATCAAGAAAGGCAGCGAACCATCAGAATTCGAGTACCACGTAGCTCAGGCTCTTGGTGAAATCGAGGCCTCTGCAAGTGATCTTAAAGGTGAGCTGAAAGATGTGTTTATTACAGGTGCCAGCGAGTTCGAAGGAAAGTTCAGAGGAGCAGTTCGACAAGCTGTCATTATAATGTTCCATTACAGATCTCTTGCAGCTGTCAGAAAGATTTACGCTCGCTTATTGGGGGAACTTGAAAAACGATTTAGCAGACCAGTGGCTATTATTTTTAGCCGAACTATCTTACCCAAGTATCTTAAATCTAAGGGACAGCAAAAACGACCTTATTCAAGGACTTTGACAAGTGTGCACGAAGCTATTTTGGACGATCTTGTATTCCCTGCTTCTATTCTTGGCAAGAGAATGAGGATTAAAACTGACGGCAAAAGAATTTTCAAAGTTTTGCTTGATCCTAAAGACAGAGAAAAGCTTGAAGAAAAATTAGATACCTTATGTGCAGTTTATAATAAACTCACCAATAAAGAGCTCGTTTTTGAGTTTCCTTTGAACAGAGAGTTTCCAGTTTAACTTAACCTAACTCCTCCCTTTGAATTGGAACCAAAAATCTTGTCCTGATTTAAAGGGGGTTTAATTCTTTTTGAAAAAAATATATTATATTTTTTCTATATATTGAATTTTCTCAATTTTCCAATTTTTTAAAAATTAAATAAATATTTTGATTCAAAAATGAATGATTCAGTGTAAAAACTGATTGATTGTGCTTTTCATAAAATCAGGTCAAAACTAATTTATAAAAAATAGTATTTTTAGCTGTAAAATTATCTTATTAAAAATTTTTTTCCCAAAAAATAAAATTTTACCTATATTTTATACGAATTTAAAGGGGTGGGTAAGGTTATCTTTACAAATTAATAGTAATAATATGAAAAGAAGTTTTGGGAGGAATAGAGAAGGGTTGCCTAAAGTAATGAGAAGTGGGATTCCTACACTAGATTTGCTATTTCAAGGAGGTTATCCGATGGGGAGTTTATGCTTAATAGAAGAAGATCCGAGGAATAATGATGCGCTGAATATTTCTAGATGCTTTTTAGGGGAAGGTTGCGTTAGTGATGAAAAATTGTTTATATATGGTGAAAATCTTACCGAAAATTTGATTCCAGATATAAGGAGAATTGGAGATGGCGAGCACAAATCTTCATCAGTTCAATGACGTTACGAGACATTTAGCAACACAAGTCTTATAAGTGAGCCATATTGCATTGACTTAGCTAGTACTGCTAGCAATCAAAGGAATGCTGTGTTTGGGGTGCTTAGTCCAAGTATTGATGATTCTTATAAAAATCTATGAAATACTATAAGACAGGATATTTTGTCACATGAAAATGCAAATGCAGGTAGAGTTCTTATTCTCTCAATGTTAGGAAGCTCTTGGCCGAAGCTTTCTTATTCTGATATTTATCAGTTTTTGAATAGTTTGAAAACTCTATTGAGAACAATAAATGGAGTTTGCATGATAACAATGCCAACAAATACTCTGAATGCAAATCTATTGAACTTGGTCTATTCAAGTTGTGATATTATTTTATCATGTGAAAGTGTGGAAGGTAAAAAATCGTCCATGCTAAGAATTAAAAAAGCACCTAGGGTGCTTGGAAATATTAATTATGAAACAATACCACTTAGGATAAGAGATGATAAATGCACTATAGCAATAGAACAGCTTACAGCTAAAAAACATAAATTGCATCAAGAAAATGCTTAATAATTCAATTTTTGAAGTATTTTCGTTATAATCTTATATTTAAATTAAGTTTATTAATTTCTTCTTCCCAATAACTGCAGAAGATATAAGAATAAGCCAATAATATCGATATATAAGCACATTGCTCCAATTATATAATCATCGTATCCAAGTTGGTATTTTCTACCCCCAGCTATCGTTTGAGTATCAATAACGATATAAAATGTATAAATTACTACAAACACAAAACAAACTAATACATTGATTGGCCTTGAATAGGCAAAAATTCCCATGAAGAGGGCGAAGAAAATGGCACCAAGAAGGATTCCGAATAAAACTCCATAGCCCGTTGTAAAATCTCTTTTGGTGAAACAAGCATAAGCTGTGACTCCTATTGTGACACCCATAGTCATTATTGCTGCGATTAGGATTGTTATTGGATCGTAATAAGCTGTAGCATTTGCGACGAGAAAACTTTCACCTAGAGTAAAAATCCCAGTCAGAATATAATTTTCAGGTACCTTTCTAGCGAAATTTTTACAGCAGAACAATGTGATGATGCATATTAATGTTATAGCAAACATTGCGAGCAAAAACCATCAATTAATCCTCATCCAGTCTCTGAATCCTTCAATTCCGACAGCTAGGCCTGTTATGAATGAAGTCATTGAAAGCTGAATTACCAGAATAGAGTAAACTTTGCGGATAAATCCATTACGGTCTTCATACTGATTTTTCATAGCATACCAGTCATTATTCCCTTGTTCAATATCATGCATTTTTATTTTTATATTTAGGCAAATTAATATTACTTATTTGCATATTTTCATTTTATCTAAGCAATTAAGGATGCAAAAGATAATTGCAAAGATGTCTAAATGCACAGCCACTGATCCTGCAACATAGTCGTCCAAAGTTATTCCATGTTTTCTATCTTCAGCAATCAATTGGACATCGACAACAAGATAGATCGAATAAATTAGTACACCTCCTAGACTTATAAATACAGTCCACATATGAGTGCTGAAGAAAACTCCCATGAAGATCCCAAAGCATATAAAGGTTAAAATAGAGCTGCTCAAGAATCCACAGTGCCATGAATAATTATACCCAGAAAAAAAGCATAAGTAGTTAGCCCTACTGCAGCGCCTAAAGTCATTACTACAATAATAAAAACTGAGATTGGGTCTGTAAGCGAAGCGATTGCCCCTATTATGAGACTTTCACTAAATATAAAGATGCCAAGAATGAGAAAGTTTATTGGGACTTTTCTTACTGCTTTTTTCCATAGCAAAAGGATTAAGAAAAAAATACATAAAACAGCAATTAGAAACCAGAGAAACCACATGTTGTCAAGAAACTATTGTTGATAGCTTTCAGATCTCATAACAGTTCCAGTAACAATAGTCGTAAAGATGAGCTGAATTGATAAGATCACATAGACTCTTTTTATAAAATCTTCTTTATCTAGCTTGCACTGGTGTTCTATATGGTGATAGTCCGCCTGGGATGTTCCGACTTGAATTGCACCTGTTTCCATTTAATGTTTTGAGTTATCATTTTGAACCTATTAAAATCAGCCAAAAATAAAAATGTTGCTATTTTCTGAAATTTGATTTTAATTATGCAGTAGAAATGATGATTTAAAAATACAAAAGCAAAGATTGATAAATTTTTTTCTGCGAAAGGATTACTCATCAAAGTGATTAAATGCTTATATATCGCTATAATAGTTTCGTTCCGAGCTGACTTTAAAATTTAATAGATTGAAATCACTAGAAAATTTATAGAATGTATTTATAAGCCTAACCTAACTCTTGAAAAATCTTACTTGCTTAAAAAAATCTCTTTTTCTTTTCCTTACTTTCCATGTTTTTCATATAAATTTCTTTTCACTCATATTCTTTTCATCACTTTTATCCTTTCCCGCTATCAATTTTTAGATGAAAGTTTGAACACCTGCTCAGTTTCTTTAAGAAATGATGTCATTGGCTTGCTTTATTAGCTTCTTATCTAACTATTCTATTAATTATTTAAACCTAATTTGTCAGCTCTTATAAAAATATTCTAAGATAGCGATAGAAACGAGGGAAATTAACAAAGAATCGCAAAGAAAGAAAATTAGCCAACTCAGCCTTCATAATAGCCAATTCCTATAACACTTTTTTATAATCATAATGTATATCGCAGTTGTAGGATGTGTTCATGGCGAACTTGAGCTGATGTACAATACTATAAAAGAGCTTGAAAATGAGCGCGGCGTTAAAGCTGACATCATCCTTTGTACTGGAGATTTCGAAGCAATGAGAAACGAAGACGATCTAAGGACTTTGACATGCCCACAAAAGTATCGCACAATGGGCGATTTTTGTAAATATCATAATGGCGAGTTCCAAGCTGAAACATTGACTTTATTTATTGGAGGAAATCATGAAGCTGTAGGACATATGAAAGAGCTGCCTTGAGGAGGATGGGTAGCACCAAATATCTATTATATGGGCAGAGCAGGAGTCATGAAATTTGGAGACTTAAGAATTGCTGGAATTTCTGGGATTTTTCATAAGCAAAGCTATAAATTGCCATTACCTGAACAAGCTATAACAGAAGATGAGTGCAAGTCCTTATTCAGAGTAAGAGTTTTCGATGTAGATAAACTATTGAGAATTCGCTCACCAGATATATTTTTATCACATGATTGACCGAGAGGAATTTATCGACATGGAAATACAGAAGAGTTGCTAAAAATTAAACCTTTTTTGAAAGATGAAATAAGAATTGGGTCATTGGGAAGTCCTGCGGGTAAAATGCTTTTGGACCATTTAAAACCGAAATATTGATTTGCGTCGCATATGCATGTAAGATTTTTAGCACAAACACAATCAACAAAATTTTTAGCGCTGGATAAGGCAATCAGAGGAAGGAGGTTTGTAGAAATTTTAAGGATTGAGGGAGAGCCAGGCCCATTTGAACCTGATCAAGAGTGGCTAAATATTATTGAAAATTAAGCATTTTGTGCTAATTTAGCCTAACTTACCCAATTTTGACAGAGAGCATGAGATTCACCTATGCTCTATAAATTAGTCCAAAGCTTGAATTGGATAGATTTAGGCATAGCATATCTTGTGCAATCTTATATATATTATTTTTTAAGTCTCTTAAGATTACATACTAATCTTTAAGTCTTGATATAATATAAATGTCTAAACCTTCAGAGCATTCCCAAGCAGGTGATGAAATCAAAGAAAAAGATGAAATAGTCGCAGTCATGGTAGCTGACAGCTTCACACGTGCATTTTGGCCTATAACTAATGATACTCCGAAAGCTCTAATTCCACTCTGCAATATTCCAATGATTGAATACACCCTTGAACTATTAGCTCTCAATAAAATCAAAAAGATTTACATCTTTTGCTGCTCTCACGCTCAGCAAGTGCTTGATTATATTGAATCTCAGCACTATTCCCACTTTCAAGTAATCCCTCTTTATCAGCCTTCCTGCAAAAGTCTTGGTGATGTCTTCAGAGAATTGGATGCAAAACAAATCATTCGCAAAGATTTTCTATTACTTTTTGCAGACTGTGTAGGGAATGCTAACTTGCAAGACGCAATCAATAAGCACAAAGAACTTCGTCACGAAAACAAAGAATTTATCTTAACCAAGGTTTTTAAAGAAGAAAGAGTAGATAGCCCATTGAGGACTGAGGAAGATCAAACTGTTGTAGTCCTCGACCAAGATCAAATCCTCCAATACGACTGCATTTCAGGCTGCTCCCAAGCTAAAATGAACAGCAACATAAAATTCAAAGCAGCGAGACAGTTCAAAGTTCGCTATGATTTAGTCGACACCGGAATCAACATCTGCTCTCACGATGTTTTGCATTATTTCTCTGACAGCTTTGACTACCATGATTTAAGAGACCATTTAATGAAGGATCTGATTACTTCAGAAATCTACTCAGACAAATTTGCAGCATATGTGATTCCTAAGCATCAATATCTAGCCCAAGTAAAGGTCCCGCAGGTTTATGATGCGATTTCAAGAGATATCATGAATAGATGAATGCACCCCGTCTGCTTGTCAACAAACCTAATTCCTCCTACCACTCCCACTTGCTATAAATGTAGCAGGAATAGTATTTATAAAGAAGATAAAGTACAAATAGGGCACACATCAACTATAGACCCGCCTACAGCGATTGGAAGTGGAACAAAAATAGGAGACAAAACTCACATAACGGGTAGCGTTATAGGAAGGGGCTGCATAATAGGAAACGGGGTGACTATTGAGCATTCTTATATATGAGATAATGTACTTGTAGAAGATGGCTGCGTAATTTCTCATGCCATTATATGCACGAATGCTGATATCGGAAAAAATTCGAGACTCCTTCGAGGCAGCATTATCTGCAAAGATGTGGTTTTGAACGAAGACACAGTTATTCCTGAAACTGCTAGAGTTTCTCTATATAAGTATGACTCTCACCATAAAAAATATGAAAAATCAGATGAGGGAACTGATTTAGGAAAAGGCTTTATTTTTAATAGAGAACTTGACCCAGAGCTTCATGAATCTTTGACTGCTAAAAAAATAGAAGGACAGTGCATAGGTGGGAAATTCTATTGGCTTGAATCTGAAGAAGAGCAAAGCGAGTCTGATGAAAGCTCAGACGAAGGCGAAATCATAATTCCTCAGAAGGGAATGAGCAAAGAACGTAAGGTTTATGATAGATTTTATTGAAGAAATTACACAAATGGTAGCTGAAGCCATAGAAAGGGATGATGATGTAGAAAATGTAAAGGTCGAAATTAATTCATTGAAATTTTCTGCAAACCAAAGCTTTGAAAACTGCATAACAGGGATTGTGAAAGGAATTCTGGACACAGCCCCTGTAAAACCAGCAGGACACATCAAGAAATGGAAAGGGATTTTGGAAATTTATGTGAGAAGTGAGCATGAAAAATCGCAAACAATCAGGGAAATAGAAAGCCATATTCAAAATTTAAGCTGCAAAAGTCAATTTAATTGGATTGTTAAAGTGCTTTATGAGGCTGATGTAATTAATGAAGAAGCGATTATCAATTGGTACAATGAAACACAGTCAGATGATTTGAAAGCTCAGGTATCTGCTAAGTAGATGGCTCCGTTTGTAGAGTGGCTACAAGAAGAAGAGGAAGAAGAAGAGGATGAAGAGGAAGAAGAAGAAGAAGGAGAAGAGGAGGAGGAGAAAGAGGAGGAAGAGGATGAAGAAGATTAACACATAAATAAACCTTACAGATTTGCCGGTCGTTTAATATAATTAAATTGCTGATTGATCAATGAAATCTCATTGTAATTAAGTGGGAGTTAACTTAAACCTTATCCTTTTTTTGTCCATCTTCGTCGTCATCAGACTCAGTAACTACTCCCTCATAAGCAGGGTTAATATTTTTGCTAGAGAGCTCTATATCGATTTGCGAGATCAATGGATATTTCTTTTTCACATCCTCTTCCATGTCTTTAATAATTTCTGTTTGATGTGTAATCACAAGATCGTTTGATTTTCCAATCAATTTCCTGATCTTTTTTTGTACTTCAGAATCAGTAGAAATTTGACTAATATCATCTTCCAGTACCTCAATAATATTTTCGGTGATTTCTTTTGCATTATAGATTACATCCATATATAGCTTCATAGATTTTGAGGTCAACTGCTCAGTTTTTAATCCTTCAACTTTTTGAATGGTGTCCCGATCTTCTAAGATTTTTTTAACAATTTCCAATTGGGTTTTTGATAAGCTTTTGCCTAAAATTACTGTCATATTTTCACTGAACATAGAATTTGAAATATGCAGTTGTAGCAATCCATTCAGCATCCTTCCCATGATATCTAGCCAAATCCAGCCTGTATAGTAGCATATAAAGCTTGTGGTGATAGGAATGATGACGCCTGCAATTGAAATAATATTTTCATTAATAATTGCATGCTGAATTGGGTCCACAAGGTAATGCTGCTTTCATATTTTATAGAGTAGCGCTGTTCTTTCAATTATCCTTTTAATAACATTATTTGCTGCCGGTTCGCTTGAAATATCTCCAAGGTTTTTGTATGTTACGTAGAATTCTGCAACTGAGGATGCAGTAATGGACTAAATGTTCTTTACCAAAAGTGACCAAAAATTCAGTGTCAGCTCTGGAATATCTGGGCTTCTCACAATTAAAGAACAAACGGGCATTGCAAGGTTATAAACGCCTGAAATCCCAAATAATATTCCAGGGATCATAGCACCAACATTTTTGAATTTCGCATATCCTTAATATTTCTTACCATAGTTAAAGAAATCATCAGGCACTCTCTTCGACAGCTCGTTTACTTTATAAAGCACTAGGTGAGTTATAAAATCTGAAATTGTCCTTTGAAATTCTGCACGCATTGCATGGGAGCCAGAAAGGCAATATGCAGTATATTTGATACTCACTCCCCCATTTAAATTGTACAAAATTTTAATTTTTCATTAAATGGGAAATTTTATAGTGAATTAATTTTTTAATAAATAGATTTGAACAAATTTACTAACTCCCCCCCCCCCCTCCGTGAGCGAACAAAAAAATTTTGTTCGCTCACGGAGGGGGGTTAATTTTTTTTTTTAAAAAAAATTTATATATAAATTTTATAAAAAATATATTTTTTCGAAATTTAAAAAAATCCTAATTTGCAAAAATTGGGAAGCAAATATTAATTTAATTTGCAAAATTTATGTTTTAAAACGCAATTTGTTTAAAATTAAACAGAATTAGCTCTAGATTTCATTATACTAATTATCACTTATATATCAAAATTTTTTTCCATTAAAATTTTTTCTATTAAAAAAATTTTTGTTCACTCACGGAGGGTGGGTTTTTGGTCAAAAAATGGCGATTTTTTCTAATGGTTTTGTTCGCTCACGGAGGGGGGGGGGGGGGAGTAAGGGGACTACAATTAGATACTATTTAAACAGCTGGGACGCTGAAGCAATTCATTGTATAATGAATTCTCCAATTATAACTCAAAAAAATATATTCACTTATATTTTTTATTTTTTAAAAAATTTTTTAAAAAGACCTCCTTTAAATTAAACAGAATTTTTGATCCAAGTTAAAGGGGTATTCAGTTGTCATACATCAGCTAAAAGTTCACGCTTTAAGATAGAAGTGCCTGCGCCTCCAGGAATACTGGCAAATCTTCTTAAAACTCTAATTCCTATCATTTAATTATATTTAATGAAATTTTAAAGATTTCTTTAGTTTTAAAATTTAATGAGAAGCAAAATGCTTTCGCAAACCAAAAAATACAAGTGCCCAGATAATACCAAACATTTTAGCAATAAGAAAATATGTCACTGAATAAGCTAAATGTTTTGAAAAAGATTGAGAAGTATGAGAAGAGCTTGAAAATATCAAAAATGCTATACAAAGTAAGTTGTTACTTTTGATTGCTTTTCATATGTTATAGCTAAGCCTATTTTCTCGGGCCTCCATGTTTTCGATCTTCAGCTTCAACTTCTTCAGCTGTGAAACTATAATTCATGCACACTAATAGATCTCTATACCCCAGCAAAATACCGACCAGAAAAAATATGGTACTGGACACCTGCCTTATATATAGTATAAGTTTGATTAGGCACCTTAAAACCATAAATGGAGATTTGTCATTTTTGTTTTTACTTTTCAAAAAAGCTGGCAAATTAAATTAATTTCGGAAATTGAAATCATGGCCAATAATGATCTTAAATATTTCAGGGGCTATACTTTGGAAAATGCTGAATTCAATGTATGCCTATATATATCGTTTTTTATTCTCTCTTTGTAGAGCTTTAGTTCATCAAAAATTACGTTCTTTAGCGTCTTAGAAGAAACTTCATTTGCAACTACAAGTTTTCATAAAGGGATTTCATTAAACGCAATGGTTTCTGTGAAGATTTTGAGCCTATCAAGGTTGATTTTATTATTTCTTTCACATTCATCAATAATCCTCAAAAGATCATCAAATCGAGGATTATTTTCTGCAAAATCTTTCCCATCCTTTAAAATTTTTACTTTACTAATACGCTCTATAGAGGACGTAGCACTATTTTCTTCGGTATCATTGAAGGCTTGCTCACTGATAAAATCTTTTTCTTCTTCAAGAGGATCAAATGACTCCAAATTTTGTTGAATTTCCATCAATTTATTATTTAATTACTTTTTTTAGTCAATAAATTATTATGTATTAAATACCTTTGAAGCTTAAAAAATTGAAAAGGCTGCTCTATGTATTGGTAGCATTATGCTAAGCTTAAAATAAAAGTTTATTTGCATGGTTTTCATGTAATTTAATTAATAAAATTAAATTCCTGTTTAGATACTAGAATTAAGATCTTAATAAGGATTAATAATAGATCCATCGTTCATTGGTGAAAAAGGATTCACCTTTGCCCACATCAAAGCTTCATCTAATCCTATTGCGAAGTTTCCCATTGAATATGAAGGTCCTTGAATTATCCTTCTGTTAAACACTGAAACAGGCATATTTGCATGCAAATTATTTGCTGGCAAATTCGACCCTATCAGCTTAATTTGATTGTTCGCTTGCTGGCTTATTTCTCTTTTCCCAAGCCCATCATAAATATACTGCAACGATTCTCCATCTTCTGGGCCTAAATTGCTGATTATGCCTGGAATCTGCTCTTTAACTTGATCAGGGATTCTTTTAATATCTTGCAATACATTTAGCATCATCCCAAAGGAGAAAGGAATTGGCAAATTCAAATTTTGATGCCTGCAAATGTTACTATAAGTAGAGGTTAGTATATGAGAAATTGAATAGCCTCTCCAAGTGCTATGAATAGCGCCTAATAAAGCCCCAATAGCTAAAATTTCTGCTTTGACTTCTTTAGTCACTGGCTCTAAATTTAAGTAGCCTAAATATTCGACCATTTCAAAAAGCTCTGACAAATCGTTACCCTGCTGCAGGTAGTCTCTAAACATTGTAATAGCGACCTGGCACGCTTTTTGTGCATATCTAGCTACTACATAATATCTTATCGCTTCTTTTAAGTGTTCAGTCCTCAGTTCATCTTCTGCTTTATTTGCATAATCATTTTGATTTAGCAAGCCAAAAGTTTTATAATCATAGCCCACAGGCAATCTTGCAGCAAAGAGTTCTTTAAGGTCGAGGTTGTTTTCTAGCAATTTCATCATAAGTTCCCAATCTTGGGATTTTTCAGCTTTTTTAGCTAGAATAAATAAAATAGATTTTTGAGGCAATAAATATAGCTTTGCGAGCACATAAGCATAGGTAACTTCGTGAGCTCTTAAAAGCTTTGTAAGTGCTCCGTCTGGGTCTGGCAATGAAAGATGAGAAGCTGCTGATAAAATTGAATTGCAGTCAGCAAAGAATTCTTCTGCTAAGTTTGAAGTAATTTCTTGGAGCTTAGAAACATCATGCTGGCCTTCTGCTGTATTTCTAGGCCCTTCTTGGGGAACAACCCCAAAAACTCCTGCACTTTTGCTTGCTGCAACTAAAAGGGCATCGTCATGGTCTCTGCGTTTTTGGAAGAATTTGATGGCTTTATCAACCTTTCCACATGCAAGGTAAACAGCTGCAGTCTCTTCTTTTTCGTTTTGTCCGAGATATTGAGCATAACGTTCTGCAACATTTTGCCAATAATCCAGGCAGAATCCGGGTGCAAATGCAAGAGCACGTTCCCATTTTTCAAGTTTTATCATTAATTCGCAATATTGTCTGATGTTACCGAGCTTTAAGTGAATCTTTGCAGCCTCGATAAGCCTGTCTTCTTTTTTAGCAAGGGCGCTGCCTAGAAATGCCATTCCTGATGCAGTTTCTAACTCAGCTGCTCTTGATTTTTTGGACTGGCAAATCGATTCGATAGGTAAAATTTGATCATTAGGGTTACACTCCTTTTTATTCAATAAAAAGTTGAGGATGTCAAAGAATTCATCTTCTCCTCCTCTGAACCTAAAGAATGTTAGCAGCGCTTTATATCTTTCGACTTCATTACATGATGCCAATTTTTGCAGAACAGCTTTACTTCCTGAGCCGCATAGCATAAAAGGCGCGTTAGGATCAAGCGATCCTTGAGCGCTTACTAGGCTGGATAAATCTTGATTCACTAGTACTTTTATTTCGAGCTTTTCAACATAATCTTCTAACCCCCTGAAATTATTGACAATCCTATAAGTTAGGTGCATTTGATAGAGTTAAAAATTAATTTATTTCGATCGAAAATATAGGGCTACGCAGGGTAAAACCCTATATATTTTCTGTGCTTATAATTTATAATCTTCAAGGTTAATAAAAGCCCAGATATATCACTTGATTGCAAATAAATCAAAATTTTTCTACCTCAATTGATGGAAGTAAGCTCCAAAACCTAATTGAAGTGTCTCTGGAGCACGATATAAATAGAAATGGCCTAGCTGGATGTGTACAAATTCCGTAAATATCAGCATGATGCTCATGAGCCGTGTATAAGCAATTCCCTGTCCTGATATCCCATATCATAATTTTGCTATCTCAAGCCCCAGAAATAAGCATCCAAGGTAGTTCTGAATTCCAAGCCACAGCTCTTGTATTTTGTGTATGCCCTGCCAGTCTTCTATATATAGTCCTTTCAGTTGTGTTCCATACTATAACTGAGCGATCATCAGAAGAAGATGCTAAAAGGTTGTTGAATTCTGGGTTCCAAACTATATTGAACACTTTTGCATCATGGCCGCGCAGCTCAATGCAGGTATCATTACCTGATGCTAAATCATATACACGAACCCTTGAGTCTTGACACCCAGTTGCAATTCTATTAGGAATCGTAGGATGCCAGGATACCCCGTAAACAGTGTGAACATGGCGGATCATTTTGGTTTTGACGAGTCTCTGTTCATCTAATCTAATAGTGACTAAATAGTTATCTGATGTCCCAATAGCAAGCATATTAGGATCTAATGGGCTCCAGTCGATTCTAAATATAGGAGCTTCTATTGTAGGTCTAAACCTATGCAATAGTTTTGGCTTCGAATAGTCAAATAAATACACGTCTCCTTTTGCACTGCAAGCTGCAATTAGTGTGTCTGGTCCCCAAGCAACACCATATAAAACTGATTTAGCTTGAATCTTATACTGGCCAGGCTCTAGAGCATCTGAATATAAAGTCTCAATATTTTTCATGGTCCTCAAATCCCAGATTTTCACACTCCCATCATAAGAAGCTGTAGCCAACAAATTTTTGTTCTGAGGGTTGATTTTAATATCAAAAACAGTTTCAGCGTGCCCAGATTCAGTGCAAAACTCGAGCTTCTTTTTAATTAATGAAAAAACTCCTACAGCTCCACTCTTAAATGAGCATATAAGTGAAGCCCTATCATGTAAATAGGAAATTTGCCTTATTCCTGTATTTCCAAGCTTGATTGTATCAATTGGTGAAGCTTTAGAAACGTTTCAGACTTTTAAAGCAGCAATCTTATCACTTGTTGTGAAAAATTCTCCAGGACTTTTTTTGTTCCAGGCAATGCTTCTTATCCCTGCTCCTTGCCTGTCAAACGTTTGCAGGATGCCTGCTTCAACAGCATCGAATAGCACCATGCTCCCATCTTTAAAGGAAACTAGCAAATACTTATCAGAGAGTGGATCCCATTGCACATCTTCAGCAGCAGCTGGCTGTTTCGGCATTTCTAGTCTTTTTACGTTGTCATGTCCCATTTCTGCAAATAGCGCTACTCCTTCTGCACAGCCCAGCGCAAACCTCCCTTCAGCACTAGGGTGAAATCTCATTACGCTTGGCCTTACCCCTACATAATTAGCCTTCCTGGTGATGGTCCTAGTAATTGTATTGAGGATTCTTATGTCCCCATTCTCATGGAGAAATAAAATTTCGTTTTCTTTATAAGGATTGAACTCCATCATAAGAACTGCAGTGGTGAGTTGCATATAAAGTTCTGGCTCATCGTGATTAATGTTCCACACATAGAGGGAGTTGTCTGATGAAACTGATGCCAGTAAGGAAGGGTTTGGGATGCTCCATGATAAGCAGGAGATGGTCTGTTCGTGAGCGGCAATTATTTTGGTTATGTTATAGGTGTCGAGGTCTATGAAGTAAATTGCAAGAGTTGAGCAGTAAGCAAGCAGGTTGCCTCCACGGGCAAGGACTGATTTGTTCCAATATTGACATCCTGAAGGACATAATCGAACCTGTTTCAGCATATCAATCAATTATTTATCTAGAAATAATGGAATAAGGATAATTCATATATGAAGTGAAATGATCCTAAGAATTATAGAAGGTAATATGATTATTATAAGTGATAATGTATAAATGGATAACTTAGCAGCGCAATTAAGAGCGATTGAATTTGGAAGTAAGTAAGTAAATGGCTGCTATAGAAGAATTCTCTTTAATCAATAATAAGAGATAAGAATATCTTAATAAAATAGGATTTAGATTAAATTAAATATTTTGTTCGCTCACAGATTTCAAAAATGTCACATAGAAGCCAAAACCTAATAGAAGAAAACAACCGCCTCAAAGAAGAAATTTTAAGACTAAAAGAAGCACTAAAAAAATCTATTAGAAATACCAAGCAATCTCCAGCACCTAGATCTAGAAATCACTCTTCCAAACTCTCAAGACCACAATCTGGCAATCGAAGCAATAATACTTCAATAGTTAAAAAAACAAAAAAATCCAAAAGCTCTGAGAGACCAAGCTATCCTTTCCTACAGGTTTCTCAGCACAAGCAGAGTTCAATCAAAAAACAAAAAGTAAGTGATTCTGGCTATGATGAAAATCAAAATGACGAGTTTGAAAATTCATCTCATGGATCATGCATCTTAAAAGATGTTCTTATCATACTCATTTAATGGTCGATTTTTTTCACTCTACTTTTGGTTAGCTAATTTTTTAATTTTGTTACCAATGTTTTTTTTGACCAAAAGAATCAAAAAGAAATTAAAATTTAACTTAAATTTAATTTTATAGCGGATGCACTAACGTGGAAGCACTATATAGAAAATAATGTTTTATTATTGAATTTGTTTAAGGATTTTTTTTTAATTATCGATTGGGGTTGGGTTAGTGATGAATCTTCTGGACTTTTTCATTATAAGCCCGAATCTGAACTCAGCACTGCTTCTAAAAAAAATATCATCCAAGAATTAGAAAACGAGTATCAGTTAAAAGAACAAGTCTTGCTCGATGAGATCGAAACCTTAAAAGAAGAAAACGGAAAACTAAAATTAAAATTAAACCACTCTGAGTCAGTAAAACCAAGAAAATCCAATGTCTCTACTAATAGATGCTCATCAACTCCTAAAAATATAGGAAACAGAAGCTGTAGTGGTAGGTCGATAGTTTATGAAAAAATATTTACGCCATTAAAAGGAAAGCAATGTAAAACTTGCGACCACTTACTCTCCATAGGGTACTCTACAAGGTATTGCCCTAAGCACGGACATTCAGGATGCTAATTGAAAAATATAAATTTTCTGATTAAAACTCAAAATAATTTAAAGTTAAAATATATAGCCAAATAGCCATTTATATAAAGTGAAGTTCAGTAATACATTTTCTGTTTTTTATATTGGCTACAATCTTGATATTTTATATTTTAACTTATATAAAAAATCAAAATTTAATGTCTATTAATAAAAAAATCAAATGAGTCAAAAAGAACTTCCAAAAATTGATCTTTCTCATGAAGAAAAACCATGGTATGAGAAATCTCCTATGATACAAAATTATCCTGGCTATTCCACGCCTCAAGTTCCTTCGTATGGAGGGTTTTGTGATCTAATCAGCAGTCAGAGACGTGGATCATTGAAGACAGAAATGCTACCCCAGCCTCAAAAGGAGCCTAATGCGACTTCTAATGACTCAGCAGAAGATAGTCCACTGCTCCATATAATTCCTCAGAAGATGCTTGGGTTTTCTTTTTTGTCAATGTTAGAACAGAATGAATCTAAGAAAAATTATAACGACGAAGAATTATTTCACCCCCCTCTATATATCGATATTGACCCAAACACTGTCCCAGAAGCCCAAGAAAGACTTGAGCAAAGTCCATACTTGTCTGGCGATGCAGAAAATCAATATGAAGGATTTGACTCTAACGAGCAAGGAGATTATGGATCGATCAGAAGAAATAGCAGAAGAGCTGTCACTGAAGTTTATGAGAATCCCAATGTACATCTACAATATAAGAGAATAAAGTATAGAAAAAATCGAAACTTTGATCGAGTTAAACAAACTGAAAGTGTGGGTGATTTTAAGATGGCTTTTGAAAGAGAAAAAACTGAAACCGGTAATACAAGTCCTCCAAAATTTGGCCAGCTTCATAGAAATAATAATGAAATATAAGAAAACATCTTATGAGAAATTTTAAATAAGCTAATCTTTATAAGCTTCCAATATTACTAATAAAGGTTAATGAAACATATTTTTAAGTTTCGCGTAATTTCTATAAACTTCTCTTCATGCTTTTTCTCAATTCATCTCACAAAATTGTTTGAGTATCGTACAATTTCATGCGCTTTGAGTCATTTTTTACAGCTTCTTTTAAAATTTCGCATTTCTGTAAATCAAATAAAAAATATAATCTATAATTGTTTAAAACAATAATCGTCACTAATTTGAATCTCATCTTTCTTCTCCAAGAACACATTTTTGGCCAGAATGTCTTCGTGTGATCTCTGACAACTTATTGTACAAGAACAAATAATCTATGCTTTAGCAAATTAAAGATTGGAGAGCTCATTTGGTGGAAATTCATGGAGAAGTAGGGTGATTTTGCTTCTAATGTTAAGAAAGTGAAATTGTGCAGGATGAGAGATTAGACTGATATTTTATGGGAAAAATTGATTTCTGGCCAATGTCAAGCTGATTGATATCAGAAATAGTTCAGAATTAAGTAAGTAGTCCAGGTGCCATCAGATTTATCGGGGCTTAATAATGCCTAATTTACTTGTTTTCTTTATTAGCATCCAAATAAAAAAATTGAATAAATTTCATTCGTAAAATAAAAAACTATTGTTTCCCCTGAAACTAAAACTAATTTTCACATCGCTGCAAAATTAGATCTCTTATAATCTTATTTCTTTTTTTTAGAATTAATCTAAATATGCCAAAATAAAACTTTTTGCAATAAATAAATCCTATCATCATTTATAAGCATACTATCAAAATTTTTTATATAAATAAAATTTTGATGCGAGACTTCGAAAGACAGCATCGACTGCATACCATCTTGTTTTTTAGGTTATAAATTAAAAAATATATATTTATCTTACATCAATTATTACTTTCTTTTCAGTTTAGCTAATAAAGTTTAGTTCTTTAATAAATTTAATTGATTTTTTCTTAAAACTGTCAATACCGATAATTGCTAACCGAAATTCAAAAACGATTCACAATTTAGCCTTATTCACATTTTTTCAGCTCAAATATATAAGTTAATCAGTATTTAATTTTGAAAATTTGAATTTTTTTTTCTACTGTATCACTTTTTATTATGTAACCATTATTATATAAATAAACTTAAAGAATGTTACCAGCTTTTCAAGGCTATTCTACACCCCAGATTCCTGCTTACTCTACCTTTGAAGATTTAATAAATCAGCAGCGTAGAGGATCATTAAAGGGCTATATGTTGCCAGATGGATGCCTGAGTCCATGTAGCTCAGATGAGTCCCCATTACTTCATCTAGTTCCGCCTCAATTTATTAGAGATCTTCCTTCTCCGTCAGAACATATATCAAATTCAAACAACATCAATGATCTATCTGAGCTGCATAAAAAGCTTTTCCCAGACATCGCTCCAAGGCAGTACTTTATAAATATCATGCCAAGCGATATAATCGAAGAAGCAGAAAAATTGGAAGGAAGTCCTTTCTGCGCAGAAGGGATTAATAATGATTTTCCAAGCTCCAATGATGGAGTGCAATCAAACAATTATGCAAGAAATGATGCTGAAAATAATGATTTTCCAAAAGGAGTAGTAATCAGGACAAAATATAGGAAGAAAAGAACGGTACCTGGTTCAAATAATGAGAACACAATGAACTCGAATAATATAAATACAGCTTAAAAATAAGATATCAGTTTTAAAATAATTTCGAATAATAAAGAAATTTGTAAATTTTTTGATTGAAAATCTCATTGTATTCAACATGAAGATTCAAATGAGCATTTTGGTTTGCTTTTGTGGTAAATGATTAAGTTATTTGAGAATTTGAAATTTAAAATTTGAATTTAAAATTTTGATTTTAAGCAATTAAATTAGACCTATAATTAATAGTTTAACTCATATTCGCATAGAAGCATTAGATTTTTTCAAAACTTTCTTAAGAATTTCCTTTTTTCAAAATTTGGAGTGTTTGAAAAAAAAAGTGTTTTGTGCTCTACACAGAGTCCCATGATTGGCTTGTCGTTTGAGTGCTTCAAATTAAGGTGCGAATATAAGCGAACATAATTTACATTCTCAAATGTTACTTTACTTAACTTTAAGCATCATCAACATAAGACACCACAACAGTGATGTCATCTCTTTTCCCTCCAACCCACGAATGCCCAGTTTTTCTTGAAATTTCTTCACTAAAAGGAGTGTTTTCTTCACTATTCATTCTTGCTCTTGCCATCTCAACTAAATTTTCAGAAATTTCCTTCAAATTCATATGATCTCTGCAGGATACTTTTACTTGCTCAAGAATCTCATCAACAAATAAATTATCTCACAGCCCATCTGTTCCCATCACAATGATGTCATTTTTCTGGACACTTATCAAATAATTATCAGCATCAGAAACGCAGTCTGAGTATTCCAGCCAGTGGTCTTTTATATAAAAGCTTTGTGAATTATTTTCTGAAGTAGTCAATAATTGCAGCTTTGTAAATTTCCTTGAAATTTGATAAGGAACATTAAAAGAGTGCTGTTTTGCTGTTGTCCGGAATACAACTATTGGCTTTTTCCCATTGTTTCTTATTAGCATTAGCCCACAATCCCCTAAATTTGAAATCTGGAGATGATTGCCAAGCAGAGAAATCAAGAGGAACGTGGAACTCCCTCCGCAATTTGTTTTTTGATAGGCTTGTGTAATTATTTTTTCGCAGTTTAGACCTTTTAAGTAAACTTTGTTTGAGGTTTGGAAATTTGCATTAAAGGAAGCATCAATCTTATCGGTGATTTCTTTACAATTTTTCATTAGCTCTGAAGAAAATGCGGCACTGGATATGCCAAAATCTCGTTTTACTCCACCAACTCCATCTGCAATGCCAATAGCAAATTTTGAACAAAAAAATGCATCTTCGTTAATATCTGGCTCTTTCCCTTGCGAAAGCATCCGGATGGTTTTTGGCCACGGGTTCTCCCTACCGGCTCCGAAAGGCTGTGGCTCTTTTTTCTGGGTGTCACTCCGCCAAAGGTGGCCGAAAAGAAGTATCGGCTAACGTTTACCTCCATAGCACCCGATGGCATACTGGCAGGTCGTCTTTCTAACCCACCGGTACTCTAGGAGATCACAGTGCAAGCCTGCTCCTAGAGAACACCACTGTTTCAAATAGCGGCTGAATTTCCGCCCGGCAAGCAGGTTGGGCGTTGTCGAAAGCATGAGATGGCATCAAATCTGGAAGACGTTAAGAATTCTTTAATTTACTTGCGAAAGCCCTTCACTGATAAATTGATATTTAATGTTGCATTTTGAAGGTTTTCTGTTACTGTTAGCAGGTTTTATGATTTTTATATAGTTGGCTATAAAGCCAAGCTTGCTCATCCTTTGCGGGAAAGCTTCTAGTGCAAATTTAATATCCTTTTTAACCAACAAAAATTCTGACTCTGCAGATAGTCATAACTCGATAAAATATTCTTTATAAGTTATAGAATAAGAAAGAGGAATTAAAACTTTCCAAGGTGGAGAAGTGAAGCTACCCATGATATAAACTTGTTCCAAGGTTGCACCTTTATAGGACGAGATACGAACTAAGCACCTGCCTCTGTGTCTCTGATAGGCTGCGTGCATTATCTGTAGATTTTTGCGGAAATTTTCCAAGGCTTTTTGGACCTGACTGTCTTCGGATTCATAAAAGTTCATCTTATGCTTATTTTTATTATTTTCTGGAGCAGTCGGTTTTATTGGACAAAATAATTTCTAAATCATGATGGTTCATAATTTAAAAAATAAAAGGAAAGAGATGAATAATGCTTCCACAAGATTACAATTAAATTATTTTTTGATTATTATAAAAGTTTTACATTACTGAATGACATTTATCAGTCAAAAATTATAAGGAAACGTAGGCTTGGCTTGACCTTGCCGCCATTACTTTAAATGGATTACTAAGTCTTCTATGGCTGTTTAACACAAAGCTTTATGAGAATCTTAATGTTTAAGTAGCTTCAAAAAATTTTTTTTTTGAATTAAGAGCCTTGGCTCTTCCAAAAGATTTTCTAATGAAAGCTCTAGGAACGATAATGATAATGACAGAAAGAACACTAGAATAAATACCTTTATGCCGTTAATTAAAAAAAAAAATTAAACCAATGATTTAATTATTTAGGTGAATTGAATTTTAATTTTGTCTTTTTCTTTATGTTAAACTAATACCTTGGACCAATAATTGGAAGCCTTGGACCTATTGAATGCCAATTTTCGTATTTTTGATATTGACCTCTAATAGCTTGCTGTTAAGACCCATTTGGCAAATAAGTTATAAGTAAATGGAGTTACTGAATATTGCTTTAGGCACTTTTAAATCGTTTTGCTAAGAAACTTATACACTTAGACTCTGCGATGGACCATAAATAGCAATATGAGAATTAAATGCAAATATATTCCTCCAATCAAATACTCTAAAATTAAGTCTTTAGCCCATAGAATGCTAAAATTATTCTAGTGCATTTATTATTGGAATTCCCGCTATTAGAAGATTTCAAAGATTTGTTGCAACTTAGATAAGAATAAATTTTTACCATAAAGCTGAATAAAAAATGAAGTATTTTTATTTTTATAAATAATTTAATCACCTAATTAAAATATAATTTTAGTTCTAATCAATCTATTTCACTCGTGTTTTTGCTTTACGGCAACCTTGATGCTTTTACCTTATAACCAACTCCTTTTATTATTTATTCTTTATGATGACTTCAATTATTTTTCTTAATGCGATTTCTAACTAAATTGAGTGCAATAGACGTTTTATTACATAAAATTATATTTTAATTATCTAAAGAGACTTTTCACTGCTTTAACCTAATTTATTTTTCACATCTTAAAAGAATCAAAAAATTTGAATTATTCAATTTTATTCATACCTATTTATTTAGATAGCTAATTATAATCTCAACTTACTGCAAGATTACATATGTGGAAAAGTATCTAATAACAAATTGGTAGCAATTGCTCTCTTGTTAATAAAAGTCACTGAGCTTCGATGCGCTCTTGAAGTAAAATTTACTCTAGGACTTGGCAAAACTTCGATTCCGTGGCTTGCCTTTATACATCTTGGAGTTTTGAGATCTTGGTGGTCAAAACTAAAAGAAAAGTCAGCTAAACTTTGAGTTTCAGCTCGTTTTCTCAAGCGAGGAGACAAATAATCGCTTTTGTTTACATTTGACGAATAAATTAAATTAAATGGCTAACTGACCATAAGCCTTTGCCTCGTCTTGACCCCAAAAATAACAGTCTCCAAAATCCTCGTTGTTTGATTGAGGAAAATGGAAAGCTACCATTTTGGATTTCAGATCTGAGTCAACTCTCTAAGGGATAAGATCCCTAGGGTAGAGCCACCATCTGTAGAGTAATCCGGTGATCCCAGCAAACTAAACGCTTTATTTAACCCTATCCTACTAGCTGCACACTCCACAACAATCTCTACCACAATCTCCACAACAACCACAACAACCACAACAGTCTCCACTTCCATCTGCCAACATCAGAGCTCAACTTCAACTTAACATCAAATCAATGCCCACTCCAGCAGCAGGCGAACAGTTCCAAAATTAACGAAGAAAGTTTTCTTCAGGGCGGCGAGCCCTTCCCTTCGATTCCAGCTCCACTGATTGGCTATCGACAGGTTCGCCACGCAGGGAACAGCACTTCCTCCGGATAATCAATACTCTGGCCATGGAGTCACCACCAGCTGATCCCAAGGTTTACCTACCCCATACGGCAGCTTGAAGCATGCTAAGGGTTAGAATTAAAGGGCCTGAACCTTGGTTTAGGCTATAGGTGAATTTTGCGGCCAAGATGGCTCTTCGCGCCAAGGACCTTTTTATTCACCACCCACCATATTAATTATGTCCCAGCAAGGGAAGACTATTTAGTAGGAAAAGCCTGTCTATCCCATCTAGCAGGACAGGAAAACCTTCGGGGAGAAACAAAGCATCCCTCTTCGGCAAGGCATCCTCAGGCTTGAAGGCTTACTCAAAAGGGACAGAGGCTCTGTTTTTCAGGATGCTCCTACCTGCTCCATAGGGAGTACGCCTTAAGTCCAATTTCCGTTAACGTTACCATTTTATTTCTTACATTTGACGAAGGAATTCGTAATTTTGGGATATGTTTTGGAGACTCACAAAAAGATAAGTGCGGTAGTTGTTGAGTATCTAAGAGGTTCAATCTTGTCATGGGTTTTCGTCGTGGATTGATGGTTTGTTCCATTTTATTGATCTGTTAGTAAGAAATTCAATCAAAGAAAACTGATAATCATTTTTCTCATTTTAAGTAATGGAAGTTATGATATTTAGATTGGCAGAAAGAAAAGAAAATGAATTATAGGCTAGCAATTTCTTTATATGCATTTTCCCCAATAGAATGCTAGATGAACACTTCTGTGCGTTAAGGCAATAAGGCATTTTAGTATAATTTGGGAAAATTTTATATTTTAATGAGTTAAATGAATATAAATAGATATATTCTTTGAAATTATCATTTAAAACTAAAAATTGCCAATTTAATATTTAACTCAATTTTTTAACTGAATAGCGGTATAGGTTTCAAGAAGATAAAGTAATTGATTTATTATCGTAGATCAATTATGCAAAAAAGCTCAATTATCAAATAAAATCAGGCTAAATATATACACAAACATGCTTTTAAAATTTATTTGCTAAATGTTGAAAGAATTTATTTAATCCTATTTGTTTAGTTTAAATTAGCATCCATTCTTAAAACTATTAATAACTCCCCCCCCCCCCTCCGTGAGTGAACAAAAAAATTTTGTTCACTCACGGAGGGGGTTAATTTTTTTTTTTTTAAAAAAAAATTTTATATATAAATTTTATAAAAAATATTTTTTTTCGAAATTTAAAAAAATCCTAATTCGCAAAAATTGGAAAGCAAATATTAATTCAATTTGCAAAATTTATGTTTTAAAAAGCAATTCGTTTAAAAATAAACAGAATTAGCTCTAGATTTCATTATAATAATTATCATTTATATATCAAATGTTTTTTCCCATAAAAAATTTTTCTATTAAAAAAATTTTTGTTCACTCACGGAGGGTGGGTTTTTTGGCAAAAAATAGCGATTTTTTCTAATGGTTTTGTTCACTCACGGAGGGGGGGGGAGTAAGTAATTTTAATTTATTTAAAGATAAAGATTACTGATATATCAGATAACTAACTTTTTGAAAATAATTCTGAATTAATTCAAAAATTTAAAATTGTGTCACAGTAATAAGCAGCAGCAATTGTTGCTATGTATAGGATTCCTGCTATTTCGATTTTTCTCATTTTGAACTCATAAGCTCGTGCACATTGTACTCTCTATTTGCCGTCCTTTATTAATAATTTCAGGATCTTTTGTGGAGTTCAACAGTGTAATCATTGAGCCACTCTTTTCATCTCTTAATCCATTTCTCGGATAAATTTCTTCTCCATCTAAACTCTCTGCTCTAGACTCGATTTTTCCAAATGAAATTATGCTTGCTTTGCCAGATTCCATAGAGTTTGAGCTAACATTATTGCATGAGCTATATTGTTGGTCCATGTCTAATTAGCCTAAAATAATTTAATTGTAAATGATCAGCTAAATTTACTGGACTTATCAAATAAATTATCAAACAGTGTAAAACCTAAGGGCAATCTTTATCCGAAAGATCTTCTATGCTGTTAATTCTAAATCAATGTATTGCTTTGCTATTCTTGTTGTTTAACTAATATCTTACTTATTTACTTAACTAATAGTTGTCTTATTCCATAGGATGATTAGGGCATGCATAGGTAGCATTTTAGCCGAACTGCTACTGTCATGAGATATTTATCATGCCTTTACACCAGGTGCCATAGAGCTTTCAAGTAAATAATTTTTATAGCCTAGCCGCCAAACTTAAGGGCTTGCGTTGCTCTCACCTAACTTGGCTCCAGTGAGTTCTTCACTCCCTCTTTAGGAGTGTCAATTTAGCTAAAATTCTCAGGATCCTAAAATCTAAGGATCGAAGTCATGACATACACGAGAGCTTTCCATATATTTGAATAAAAGTCCACTGAAACTCATTATATTAAATTCAAGAGAGATGAAAAAATTTTTGGAAGGAACTTATCTTGAACGTAGTCATTTTATTATTGTATTTAACTAGTATCACTTAACATTAATTATTAGTTTATTCAGCGTAATTTGGTTATATCTTTTTCAAAATTATATAAATAAAATGGCCAGTGTCCTTATACATATCCGGACATGGCTTTTGGTGAAAGGAGCTGCCCAAGGGTTGGATTAGCCTAGAAGCGAGAGGGCCAGCACTATTTCCACTGATTAGTGGCCTGACCTCGAGCGGCAGCTTTTGCATCTTTGGCCAGCAGCACCCAATGTCCAGAAGGGAAGCAGATGTGGGGACTATAAGATATCCATCATTAATCTAATCTAATCTTTTCAAAATTAATTTCAAAAAATGATCATAAGGGAGTTATAATTCATTAAATATTGAATTATGGATATTCCCATATCAAACCATTCATCTCGCCACATCTCTCCAATTGATAATTCAAGCGGAGACTCAAATGGCGACTATTTGAATTCTCCTGTCTCACAGAAAATGCTTAAACAGCTAACTTATTTTTTGGAAGAAATATATTCTCACATTAATCGAAAAATTTCGAGAGAAAAGCTTAAAAAGGTTCTAGAGGGAGGAGAGGAGCTTAAAGAAGGCAGATATTTAATCGTTAGAATGATTGGAAAAGGCTCATTTGGAAACGTTGTAGAAGCTTATGACAAACTTCGTGAAGAAAAAGTCGCAATAAAAATTATCAAAAAGAAGCCATCATATAGAGGACAAGTTTTGAGAGAAATAAATACCCTGAAAAAGCTGAATGAGTATGATCAGGAAAAAGGCTACATTGTAAGAATGCTTGATTATTTCGAATGAAATGGCCACACATGTATCGTTTTTGAATATTTGTCAAAAACTTTATTTCAGCTGTTAAGAGATACTAATTTTAAAGGCCTTGATTTATCAACTGTAAGGCAGTTTGCTTGGCAGTTGATAATGGCTTTGTGTTTACTTTCCAAAGGAAATTTAAAAATTGTGCACTGCGATTTGAAGCCAGAAAATATCATGCTTAAACACCCAGAAAGAATTGGTATAAAACTTGTGGACTTTGGAAGCTCCTGTGAAGAAGGAAGGCAGTATTACAAATATGTCCAAAGTATGTATTATAGAGCCCCAGAAGTTCTATTAGGAAGAGATTATGGGCATCCGATTGATATGTGAAGTGTAGGATGTATCATTGCAGAATTATTAATAGGAAGACCTTTATTTTATGGACACAGCGAAACAGATCAGATGGTAAATGATATTTAGGCAAAAATCGTTGAAATACTTGGAGACCCACCAATTACAATGCTAATTAGAAGCTCGAGGATTAAAAAATACTTTGATGCATCAAGGATGCCCTTTAAGCTGAAAACTCCTCCTATTCATAAAGATTTAAATAAAAAATATCCAAGATCTCTAGCTGAAGCAATTGGGATGGAAAACATTCAAAAAGATACAGAAAAATACAAAAACTTTCTTGATTTATTAGGGAAAATGCTTAAATATAATCCAGATGAAAGAATTAAGCCAACAGAAGCAAGAGAGCACCAGTTCTTTAAAGATGTAAGATATATTCAGGGAAACACTGAAGGCTCTGTCAAATTTCAGGCACCTCCCCAAAAAGTGCACGAAAATTCATCTAGATCTCATCAACGGTCCAATATTTTCAGCAGCGAAGTTCCGTGGCCAACCACAAATATTCCATGCGCTTATGCCCCTCGTAAGCATGAAAAAAAGCTAAAACCCTCAATAAAGCCAATATGCACAAGTATTTTTACATCAAATCAGGAGTCTTTGCATGACACTTCTCCATACTCAAAACAGTCCACAAATGAGTCTCAAACGAGCTCTTTATATCATTCACCATTTAGAGGTTTATCTAGCGCCGAAGAGATTGATATGAATATATACAGTGCTTTAATTTCAGGTAGGTTTAATATTCGCCCAGCTTCCCATGAGTCAAGGTCCAATCAAGAAGCCTTTATTCCTTGTAAATTAAATGTAACCCCAAAGATTTAATATTTTAGTAAATTTAATAAAATCTTTTTATGAATTAAGGTCTTCTCGGATCTCGACTTCTTGTGGATTATTATTGCCTAGGACCCTTAAAGCCTGTGAAAAAGCATCTATATGCTGCTGAATCTGTATGGCTGCATCTGAATATCTTTCTAGTTTTTCTTTGATTATAACTTCTCTTTTGTCTATATATTCTAGCGCTTCATCTGGTTTTAACTCAATATAAAGTCCTGGAATTCCAGTTTCAACAGAAATTAAATCAATATCTGCTTTTGCTTTTACATAAAACTCACATCCAATATTAATCTTTGTAGTGATTTTTGATAGATCTTGCTCTTTTATGTGTAGAATAATAAACCGAAGTTCATTGCTGAGTTTTAATTACTAATCAATTAATTTTTCAGTCATCTGGTCTCTTTGATGAATTGCTGCATAAAGATCTGGATAAAGCCTTTCTTCAAGAAACTTCGCAAATTGCTGATTATCCATTTTAATAATTTGTAATTACTTTATAAATTTGCGCGTTATATTTTATTACCCAGCTTTTATTAATTTCAATGAATTAAGATGTATATATGCTATCCACTTCTGGGAAATCTTCTTTATACGATTCATTTTCCACAATAAAGTCGTCATTCACATCTTTATACCCTTCTCCGCTGCTGATATCTTCAGTAACTGTATCATCATCCCCACTTGAGCTCCCAGACTCTCCACTTGCAGTCTCAATATCTTCAAAATTCGAAAAAATTGTCCTTCCTTCAGTAGCTTGAATTTCTCTATTTTGTCCTCTCAAACTGGTTGGAAAATTCCCTAATTGCTCTTGTGAGACTTTATATGTGTCTGTAAGAACTATCCAGGTCACGTTAGGAACACAAGGACTTAGAGTCGTGCTTCCTTCGTAGTACAGGTATGTATCGATATCGCCAAGGAAAGACCCAACATCTACTGGGCTTGAAATTTTGAATAAAGATCCTGCTTCTGCGTCTCTAAGTTGAGGGTTTCCAAACCCGATTTCGTTTAAAAAATTGCTTTGGGAGGAATTTGTGAAAAATGCGGAGATAACTGATTGATAGTTGTATTGATCTCGGAAAAAGATTTGCATTTCCATAGGCATGTAAGAACCTTCTACTTGATGCTCACTAGGACTTCTGAAAATAATCCCAGTTGACCAGAAGTAGGAGTTTGCCCATAAGAATCCTCCAAAATCTCCATCGATTCTGAGAGTGCTTCCATCGTGGTATAAAATTGCACCGTCTTGAGATCCTAACTCCCCCCCCTCCGTGAGTGAACAAAAAATTTTGTTTAAATTTTTTTTTTCGAAATTTAAAAAAATCCTAATTTGCAAAAATTGGGAAGCAAATATTAATTTAATTTATAAAATTTATGTTTTAAAAACGCAATTTGTTTAAAATTAAACAGAATTAGCTCTAGATTTCATTATACTAATTATCACTTATATATCAAAAATTTTTTCCATTAAAAATTTTTCTATTAAAAAAATTTTTGTTCACAAAGGGTGGGTTTTTGGGCAAAAAATAGCGATTTTTCTAATGGTTTTGTTCACTCACGGAGGGGGGGGAAGTAAAAAGTAAAAATCAATTTCTGGATCGTAATATGAGAAGGGAGATCGAACATCGATTGGAGATTGAAGTTGCCCATCACAGTCATCTCCAAGAGCTATAGTTAATAAAAGGTAAAACCACATTAAACGACTACTATTTATTAAGGAAAATGGAATTTTACTATAATGCTTTAAACTTTCTTGTACTCGTGGCAATTATAAATTAAAATCAAATATTTAGTTGATGCAACGTATAAAATTAAAGTTTCCAAATAGATTGATTTAAATAATAGAATAAAAGTTAAAATGAGCTAAGAAAAACTATAAGCTATCTTTTTATATAAATTATTAAAAGGTAATTAGTAAATATAATTTATAAAGTTTTATCAGACTGTGTAACTCTAAGAAATGATACCATTGAAAATCAACTAGAATCCTTCAGAAGCTCTTTAATAGCTTAGAAGTCATCTTTTATTTAGAATATTATTTATTACTAGAATCCTTTTTTGTGCTTGCTATTTTTTTAATTCTATGAGTAAAATGCCATTATTTTAAATTAGGTTTTTCAAAATCAATTATCAATTAATTTATTACCAGCAGGGCAGACTTAAAACAATTATCATTTTTCTAATTGCAATATGTTTTAATAGTAATCATGAAATTCTTATTGAATTTTAACAATAAGCATCATTTTTATTTACACTTATCGAAATCTCATTCTTTCTTTATTGATTCTAATATCTTAACCCATGAATTTGAGTCTTTACTAAAGGCATAAACACTTTTTAAGAAAATATAATATATAATAATTTCTTTCGATCATTTATAAAATTTTCCTGATATTTCTCAACTATTATTTGAGAATTAGCATTATTTCTATTTGAGTTATTAATTAGTTTGGTAAAGATTTTATATCAGGTCTTCTTTGTTTAATAGTGATATTGTCTGTCGAAAAAGAATGAAAATATCTGTTGAGTACATCAGTAATTTTTTGAATAATAAATTTTTTAAAATGTTTCAACTAGTAAAATTATATCTTCTAGAACAATTTGCATATATAAAAATGCAAATTATTTGATTCTATAAAATATCAAACTAAGCTCGTTATACCTCCTTCTTGCATAATCTCTTTGATTTATTCATTTGAACCATTTTTAATCCAAAATCCTATAGAGAGAAATATGAAACCAAATAAATGGACCAACAAATAATTAAAATTGATTCCCTTTAAAATTATTCCAAAATAATCATTAGAAGTCAACAAATTAAATAAATTAATTACCTGTAGACGTATTTCTCTGATTTCTGAGAAAATTATCAGAAAGTGATTATTATATAAATTGAACCTTAAAAGTTCTAAATGCTCAATCAAAAAGAATATTGCATCACACTTAAGTATTTTTTATCTATTTCAGACGTCAACATCCTTGTAGCCGACATTTCTTTTCTTAGAACTATTTCTTGATAGTCAATATGACGAAATTTAAATCTCATATTTAATACTTTAAAAATGCTTAATAATCTTCTAATGTAATAAAGACTTAGCTCAATGGTGCTTATTAGCAGCCAGAAGCTCAAGAACCTCCTTGGCTGTCATCATAATTTTTAAACATAATAAAGTATATTCTAGAACAATATGGAACATTTCAAAGACTTAATCATATAATTATATGATGAAGCGAAAGCGTTCCAAGTCGGCCCGGCCGACATCCTTTTTGTCAAAAACATTTGATTTATTGGGTTTCCATGATAATAATCAAAATATGGCATCTCGGCATGGCTATGGCTTTCTGATCACGGAGCTTCAAGCACATATTTTAGCTATATCAGGAAGGTTTTGCCAGCTCAGAAATGAGCAAATATGCTAGCTAGTAATTAATCTGTATTCAGGAGTTGGATTTTTTTACCTCTAGGAAAAGTGAGACTTTGAGTTGGAAAGTGGAAGCCAAGCAAAACTTTCTAGGTTTATCGGGGAAATCCCTAGCGAGAAATCAAACCCCGAGCTATAAGTTTTCACTTTTGCCGACAGTCGTCTACAATTTTTTGTGCAGGGTGACCCAGTCCGCTTTACTCTCCGTTATACACGAGTCTCAAGCGGAGAAGAGTTAATCCTCTGTTGGGGCGATGGCATGTGGCTCAACGAAACAAGGCGGATATGCGCATCCGCGGGTGCTCTGGCAACTACTCTATAATCTAACTTAATGTTAATCTACTGGGTTTACATGAGTTCCAGGAAATAGTCAGTTGAAGCGATGATGGGAAATCTTTTATAATCAAAAATCAAGGGGACTTTGCGAATCAGGTGCTCCCTTTATATTTCAAGCACAAGAACCTGGCTAGTTTTATTCGACAGCTTAATATGTATGATTTTCATAAAATTCGCGACTCGGGTGACGAGCATATTTTTAGTCATCCATACTTCGTAAAAGGTAAGAAAAGCCTTTTAGGCCAAATCCACAGGAAAACTTCTGAGTTTTATCCTCCACCAATCCCCAGAATTGTGCAGCAAGCATCAGAGCCACTTATTGAAAAATGTCAAGCCCTCGAAGCAAGCCAAATTGAATTGCAAAATACTATAGATACGCTCGAAAAGAAGTACAGGGAGACCTGCGAAATGAATCAGCGACTTGTGGTGGAGCTTTTGAATGCCAGAGAGCGTGAAGAAAGACTGAACCAAATTTTATATAGAACTTCAATATACAGTTCTTTCTTTAATATGATCTAAGAAATGAGGATCATCATCAATTCGAACAAATAAGCCTTGGATAGGGTTGTAAATTTTGTAAAACACATATAACAAAAATAGTAAGATGGGAGGTTGATATTAATAGTTTAATATGGTTTACTGAAACCATTTTTCATATGAAAAATATCAATCTTAATAATTAATTATGCATTTTCAGTTTGCTATAGCCTTTTAAAGTGATTGCCAACGTATAAGTTCATCCTGGCAGTCCCAATTTGTATTTCGATATCTTCAATGTCTCGTTTTAGTTTCTTTCTTTTGTTTGTTATATTTACTCTTACCTTCTTTTCCTCTTCTATCTTAATATATAGTAATTCTAATTCGGAAGCTAAATTCTAAATAATAATTACCTCTCTTTTTTTCTTCAAAATATCAAATAATTCAGGCTCTGCTTTATACTTTTGTATACTAGCTTGAATTGTTTTAATTTTTTGCTCAATTTCTTCTTTTAGCTTTAATTTAAACATTTTCTTTTTCTCAAGAACTTCGTTCCAATCCATTCCACATTTTTTCGAGAAATCTTTTCTCTCCCTAATAAGCTCTTGAGCTCTTGAAATTTTATCAGTATAATCTATTCTATCTTCAATGATTTTGTGCTCCTTTTCTATGATTTTTTCTTCAATTTGTTCGATTTTTTTTTCCAAATTGTTTTTTGGCTTTATTGCTTCTTTTATTTTCCTTTTTATCAAATCGTAAATATCCATTGCAAGGTCTTTGTTGTTCCCTGAAAATTTGTTATCCAGCAGCTTTTTCTTAATTCTTTCAGAATTTTCCTCTAATTCAGATAGCTCAGAAATACTATTGGATCTCAAAATAGAATGCTTTGATTTTATATTTCTCAGAGTTTCTTGTGCCTCAGCTAGGATTTTTTCATTATTCTCTACTTCACCAATAGCTTGATTATAATTTTCTTTGAGATTTTTGATATGCAATTTTGCAGCTTGGCACTGGTGTGTTAGATTGCTAAGTTTTTCTTTTTCATATACCGTGTTTTGGTTTACTGATTCCAAATCGTTAGTCAAATTCCCAATTTCTAAATTAGCTTGAAATAAATTCACTGATAAAGATCTGATGTTCAAATCCAGCTGTCTCAATTGTATTCTCCTATCATCAATTTCGTTCATCAAATTGTTCAGCTGATCAAAAAGCTTATTACAATGATCATTCTGCTTCTCAACCAAGATTTTCAAAGGATATTTTTTCATGCTGTTGGCTATTGAGCCTTCTTGAGATTATAATCAAATTATTAGTAATTTAAAAGCCTAAACTTTGTTTATTAGTTTTTTTATTGAATCTGGAAGCCTTAGCCTATCTTCAACAAACTGCTGATATTGGAAATATTTCTGCTTGAAGATTTCTTTGTATTTTTGTTTATCTTCAGGCGTTATTTCTGATTTTAGACCAATATATGGAAATGGGTTTTTTGTATACTTGGAAGCCCAAATGTTTGTTTCAAGAATAACATCAAGCAAAGCATGCTTCTCTATTAAAATTTCATTGGTATCTTCGGGGATTTTAGGTGGAATTTGACAAGCCTCTTTAAATGAAAGATTATCAGCCTCCTTTCATATTTCTGGAAGCGCCAGATATGTAGGATTATTTACAAAACTTACCACTGAATCGTTTTCTTTCATGTATTCATTGTGGACTGAAGCGATATATATATCTCTTGGATATTGAAAAATCTGAGGAAATTGATCATATGCAATGTTTTCTAGAGTAATGATTTTTTCACTTGTTGAAAAATGATCGTTTAAACCTTCAACCAACTGTGCAGCTATTCCTGTCAACTCTTCCAAGCTGTATTTATTTGCGATATGCATTCTTAATAGAGGCTCTGGCATATCTATAAGTGCTATTTCATTCTGGTTATATAAAGAGAAAACCAGCAATGGAGTCATATATGGAAACTTCATAGGCATGTTTCCCAAGATGTGCGCTAGGATCGCCTCTGAATATTCTTTGAATTGTTCTGATTTTTCATTAATTTCATCAACACTTTTTACAGCCCTAATATTTGATAGAGCAGTATTAAGGTCAATTTTTTTCCCTGTTTCAATCATCTTAACGACATCAATGACTTCCATGCCAGCTTCAATTTCATTTAAGCCATTTGGAGCTGGGTTTTCAAGATCTCGCTCTTGTATATTAATAGCATTATTAGGATCTCTTTTAGCAAATTCCTGTTCAATGTGTCGAAATCTTTTCATATAATGCATTGGATCGATCTGCAAAAGAATGATTGAAGGCTTATAATCAGCAATTGCTAAAAGCAAAGGCTCTTCTTCTTGTTTCTCGAAATCAAGGTCGGTTCTAGGCATACCATACAAACCAAGACGTTTAGAGTCTCCTAAATTCACTTCAAACTTTGATATTTCAGTCATTCCAGCAGACTTTTTGGTAAAGCCAGTCCATAAGTCTCTGCTTAAAGCACTGAAATGTCTTCTAAAGATCATTTTAATTCTAGCAGTAATTAAATATTTTTAATCTTATTGATTTTATTATTGAACTTGTTATTTAACTTCCATAAGCAAAATCTGCAATAAACTTATAAATCAAAAACCCAACAAAATTCCCACCATTCCAGTTAAAATTTAGCAGCACAAATGCTCCAAGCCACCCCTTATGGTCAAATATGTGAAAAAGTGGGAACTTTATATCTTTCCAGCATTCATGCACACAATTTACGTTCATATATTTCATTTGTGTTTTAAAAGGAATTTCGAAAGGGATGCAAAGTCTGCTCATATTTGTGACTAATATAACCATTCATACAGACATCGGAAACGACCTCCAAGGCATTTCTTCTGCTGCTAAAAGTGTGAGAGGAATAAATCATAAATGATGAGTTGCAGTCAGCACTTTTGTTCATGTCGTTTCTTTCCACGTCAAATATCTAGCTACTCCTAATTTAAATTTTCCAGTCAGTAAAAAGCTGATAGCATCTAGCCAATAAAGCGTTTGGTCAAGCGCAACTGCTGCAGCTCCAGCACACATAATATCTATTCTTCCTAAAATTGAACTTAAAGCAGTAATGATTAAGCTGACATTGCATTGCCAAAACATGTCATATATCGCGATTTGCTCTAATTATCTATTACTATCTTGTCGCCAACGGGATATAAAAACAATAAAAGCATATATAAATAAAAAGATTCCCAGTTTTAATTGTGTAGATGTCGGCTTTGTGTCTTTTTCATCGCTGAGTTTTCATAAGAGAAAAAAACAGCTAGTTATTGTAATAAGATAGGAGACTATGGGATGAGCATATGATTGATGCTTTGGATCAAATTTTCCAGTTGAACTTAAATAATTTCAAGCTGACCAAACAGCCATATTTTTTAAATGCGAGATTAGCTGCAAAAGCATTTCAATTATTAGATTGAATATTACTAATTTTTTATGTAGGATAGTTGCAGACAAGAGTAAAGCATTTTTGTTAATTTATTAAATAAGTATTAATTTTAAAAATTTCCATAGGAAATTTATCGTTCTAAGCTGTCTTTGAATTTGATTTATTCAATTTTATTGAATATCAATTATTTTTATAAGTATAGTATATTTTTAGAATTTCACGACGTTTCTTGATCAGAAAACGCCCTAAAACCATTCTTCCGCATAAAATTGCTTCACATCTAATTTATTAAAGATGAACAATAAAGATTTGATTGTGATCTTCAGAAGAGCTTCAGAGTTTTTAGAGATTTCAGATTCACTAAATTTATTATGCTTAAATCATTATTTTTTGAACCATTTGCCAAATCAAGAGTTCTATGCCTATCTTTCTGTATCCATTGCAAAAATTATAGCTGATATTAGCGCTAGTAGCACTGATGTTAAAACCAAACTTTCTGCATTTTTGGAATGGCAGCCATTCAATTCGTGCGAAGATTTATTCAACTGTATCAAATATTCTAACAATTTAATTAAAAATCCCTGCGGAAGTCAAAGATTTGATCATTGAGAGAGAATCGATGGCGGAAATGGCTGGAGCATAGAAAACTGGGGATGCTATAAAGACAATAAAACTGTTTTTGTTAGCTCTTATGGCTGGTCCACTCTTAACCAAACAATAGATCTTCCTGAATCGAACAAGAAAAGATTTCTCCTATTAGGAGCTTATATAGCTAGAAGAGTTGATTGTGGAGCTGATATTAAAATTGAGGTAATTTTTTATGATTATGATCATAATCGATTAGATTCTTGGCATATTGAAGAGAATGATATTCCAGGCACTGGAGTAATAGCGATGACCCCCCCTCAATCTTCATGTCTATTGCAACAAAAATGCAATTTTTTAATATAAAAATTTTATATAAAACAAAAAATTTTCATGTATCATCAAACTAATTTTTAAAATTTTGTTGCAATAGACATGAAGACTGAGGGGGGGTCATCGTTACAATCTTATAGTCAATTGACTTCATTAAACGATTTCGCACACCCCTCTGACAGTTTTGGAGATTTGTATCCGTACAAGCATTACAAACTGAGAGTTAATATTAAGCCTGGCAAAAAGTATGCAATTGTTTCTTTTAGTGGAAAAGATACTAAATGGTGAGCAGGCCATTATGGTGCGAGGTTTGGGTATTGTTATGCTCGAATTTTTTATGAAGAGTAATGAATTATTTACTCAATTTCTATTAATAGGAAATTATGAATTTAAAACAAACAATATTATAAGCCTTTGATTGCAAATCACATAATAAGATACTATTATAAGTAAAATTTATTTTACTTCTAATTTACCTCTTGGTAATTAATTCTAGAAAAATTCTTTTCCAATTAAATAAATTCTGGAAAAGCTCAGCCTTTTCGAAAATTCCTTTACAATTGTTTTACTTTAATTTTCTGCTTCAAACAGCTTATAAATAGAAAAAAATAGTTTCTCCCTTTTTCCCATGTTAAATTGCATACTTAAATAACACGTGTATAATAAAAATGTCTCGAAAGCTGCAAACATTAGGTCTTGCATACTTCGGCTTGATTGCTGCTTGCTTATTCTTTTCAGCTAGTGCAGGCTCAAAAGACAGTGAAATAAAAGGCCCTGCAGTTGGAATTGACTTGGGTACAACCTATTCGTGTGTAGGTATCTACAGGAATGGCCGTGTCGAGATCATTCCTAACGACCAAGGCAATAGAATTACTCCCTCCTACGTAGCCCTCTCTGAAGAAGGTGACAGACTTGTAGGAGAAGCCGCCAAAAACCAAGCTGCCATCAACCCTAGCGCTACCGCTTACAGTGTCAAGAGACTTATAGGTAGAAAATATGACGACGATACAGTACAGAATGACAAAAAGCTTCTATCATACGACATCGTTAATAAGCAAGGAAAGCCTTACATTTCCTTGAAAACAGGCAAAGAAGTCAAAGAATTCGCTCCTGAAGAAATCAGCTCAATGGTCCTCGCCAAGATGAGAGACATTGCTGAGGCCTTCTTAGGACAAGAAGTCAAACATGCAGTTGTCACTGTCCCAGCTTACTTCAACGACTCACAAAGACAAGCAACCAAAGACGCTGGCGCTATTTCAGGACTTAATGTTTTAAGAATCATCAACGAACCAACAGCAGCCGCAATTGCTTATGGTCTTGATAAAAAAGGCCAAGGCGAAAAGAACATATTAGTTTTCGACTTAGGTGGTGGTACCTTTGATGTCTCTTTACTCACAATTGATAACGGAGTTTTTGAGGTCGTCGCTACTTCTGGAGATACACATTTAGGAGGGGAAGATTTTGACCAAAGAGTTATGGACTACCTCATCAAGCTTTTCCAAAAGAAACACAGCGTCGATGCCAGCAAAAATAAGCACGCTGTCCAGAAACTTAAAAGAGAAGTAGAAAACGCTAAAAGAGCTTTGTCAAGCACACATCAGGTTACCATTGAAATTGAAGCTTTTCATGATGGGATTGATTTCAGTGAAACTTTGACCAGAGCCAAGTTTGAAGACTTGAACAATGATTTATTCAAAAAGACTTTGGGACCTGTCAAACAAGTGCTTGATGACTCAGGCATGCAAAAGAGCGATATTGATGAAATTGTACTTGTGGGAGGATCAACTAGAATTCCTAAGGTTCAAAGATTAATCAAAGACTTCTTCAACGGAAAAGAACCAAATATGGGCATCAACCCTGACGAAGCTGTAGCTTATGGAGCTGCTGTGCAAGCTGGAATTTTGAGTGGTCAAGGTGGAGAAGAAACAGCTGATATTGTCCTTATTGATGTTGCGCCTCTTAGCTTAGGAATTGAAACTGTAGGAGGAGTCATGACTGTCCTTATCCCAAGAGGAACTGTCATCCCTACCAAGAAATCACAAGTCTTCACCACTTATCAAGACCAGCAAACCATGGTCTCCATCCAAGTGTACGAAGGTGAAAGAGCAATGACCAAAGATAACCACAAACTTGGACAATTCGACTTAAAAGACATCCCACCAGCGGCAAGAGGAGTACCACAAATTGAAGTGACCTTTGAAATTGACGCCAACGGCATTTTGAATGTGGCAGCTGTCGACCAAGGAACCGGCAACAAAAACCACATTACAATTACCAACGACACTGGAAGACTTTCTAAGGATGAAATCGAAAGAATGGTCAAGGAAGCTGAACAGTTCGCTGACCAAGATAAAGAAGCCAAAGCTAAGGTAGATGCTAGAAATGCTCTCGAAAGCTATGCTTATTCTATGAGAAACTCAATTGAAGACACAGAAAAAGTTGGAGATAAACTATCAGAATCAGACAAGTCAACAATTAAAGATGCAGTTGAAGACGCTTTGAGCTGGCTTTCATCTAACCCAGATGCTAGCAAAGAAGAGTACCAAGACAAACTTAAGGAAGTAGAAAAGATTTGCAACCCAATCATTTCCAAGATTTATGACTCTGCTGGACATGAAGATATGGGCTCACACGATGATCTTTAAATATAGAATAACAATTTTAATAAACTATGGTAAAATAATAAGGATTAAAACATAAGCGGGTTTATACATATAAGTAATATGTATAAATAGAACAATTTTATCATTTTAAAATATTTTTAAATTGAGTACTCCAAATTTAGCAAACTCAGTTAATAGAGATCTAGCAAGATAATATATTTAATGCAAGAAGCCTTATATGCTTTAATTAATTCTATTCGAAAAAATGTTTCTACCCCATCCTTGCTCTGACGCTGAGCATCGTCCGATCAAGGATAAAGGAGCTTGAATAAATTAATGTACAAAATAGTGTGGTTATAATTCTAATTAATGATAAACAATTAGGCTGGTCTAAAATCGCCGCGAACCCCATAAAAATCTTCTCATGGCAGATCCTCCATTTCGATGCGGAGGCATGTCTCGATTTTGCACACAGCATCTATTACACATTTCTCTATTTCTATTAAATCCAGTTCCTCTACAAACTGCGCAGTGCGGATTGGCATTTAAAACAGTAGGAGCGCTTTGAGTATTATACAAAGCATTCATAGTCGCCTGTTGATTATTGTACTGAGGGTAAGCAGGCACCGGGTATGGATTATAATTTGGATATATGATTTGCTGAGGAGGCTGTTGTGGCTGTGGAGGTGGATAATAAGGTTGATTTGCGCCTGATGGGTAAGCTATATATTCTTGAAAATCAGGTGCACTTGGAGCAAAAGCTGGTGGGGGCATATACGGGTAATAATTCGATCCGTCGTTCATTTTATATTCCAACAAAATGTCAAAAGGTTTTTTGTTATAAACGTAACCACTTTTCAAATCCTCATTTTTCAAAAAATGAAGAGCCACAGAAATTGCTGATCTAATTGTATCCGATATCAAAATTTATTGCTTAAGGATATCATATAGCTGTCAAATATATCCTAATAAAAAATGGACCGGAAAGAAAAAATACAAGATTCTCCTAGCGAGAATCGATTGCATTCGCTATTTAGCAATGTGGGATCACCAGATATGCCTAATACCAAAAACAATTCACGATTCTTTGAGTCTCCAAGCATCCCTGGCGACAAAACACTTCAATCTCCATCTATGAGGACTAACTTACAAGATACCCGAGATACAAATTCCAGCACACTTCGCTCAACAGTTATTAGAAAAACCATTTCGCCTAGAAGAACCTTACTTAAAAATCCATTTGTGCTTGGGTCAGCGGTTAATGAAATAAACCAAACTACTAAGACCACTCTTACAAATAGGCTGCAAGAAAAACTTAAACAGCTTGAAGAAGAATTACAAGTGGGAAGAAAGTCTGAAATATCGATCCCGTCAAAGATAGGAGGAAGCTTTATAGAAAAAACTGAAGAAGTCCCGAAAACACAGTCTCTTGGAGCACCTGTGCCTATTCCTTGAAATAACAGTTTTGGGGAGTCAAGGTTTGCTACAGCAATTGAAGATGAGGATGAGCATTCTGATGTTCCAACACTCAAATGATGTGCATTTTGCAAAGGAGAAGTTATGACTGATATTTGCTACACTAATTCTGCGAAGACTTTTTGGTCTGCAGTTGGGATTTTCTTACTCTATTTAATCATGAAGCCTTCTTAAATCAATAATTTTAAATTTAAAATGGTTATTTCTAATAAAAAAAAATTTAATTAATTTAACTAAGTCTAGTTGGGCTTCTAATGGTGAGACACTTTTTTTCCCGTCTTGTTGCAACTCTCTCGAACTTATTTCGGGCCTCGCACTCTGGCTCGCTCCTCCTAGTCCCCGTGAGGCCTTCGGGATCCTTTAAAATGGGAAAACTAGCGACTTTGGGTGGCGCTTTGCTCTATCCGACTTTCCTTCAGTGCCTGCTCGACCTAAGAGTCCTGAACTTCATATCAGCAGGGGAAAAACGTAAAACACGATACACAAATTCGAGAAGTATAAAATTCCTCGTCATTTTCTCAGCTTGATCAGAATTTCGCGTGCTAAAACCTAACCCCTAATAAAAAGTTGGGTAGGGTAAAGGAATTCATGGAGCGAATGACCTTTTCATCCGAAGCCATTTTATTATTATTATGATTATTTCTAAAACAGAATTATGATTAATAATCAAAAATTAAAGAAATATTAATAAATTTAGCTAAAGGAGGTGTTGAAATGATTCGTATATTTCAACAATAAATTATTAAAAATAAGAATAGGTTTATATTTTTAAAAATAAACTGATTTTGTTTCTTATTCAGGATAAGTTAGTTGGCGGAGTATTTGGTTGCTTTATGCTACCATATATGACAAATCAGTGCAAAAATATGAGAATGGTTTGCCATAATTGCAAACGAAATTTGAGCTAATTAATCTTCGATGTTATAAATCTTATTTAGCATCACTTAAGTCGCTAATTCTTAATAAAATTGCAAAAAAAAAATTTTTAAATCAAGTCAGTTAGTAATTTTGAATAAATTAAATATTTTATAACTCTCCATATTATCTCGCAATAAAATGAAAATATTTTGCTTAATTGCCCTTACTTTAGTATCAAGTTTGCATGTCTCATACCATGAAGGCGGAGATGACTGGACAGATACATGCCAAAACGGTACCTTACAATCTCCAATTGCAATACGAGATTCCGAATCCGAAATAATTCTTGTAAATACCACAAGCTCAATAGTTCTCTATCCAGATTTCAAACCAAACTTCACAATGGGACATATGACTTCTTACTCATTTGCAGTCTACTCTGATTGGGGCAATCTTGCAGTTGCTTTTCCTTCTAAACCCTCTATCAATTTGCATTCCTCAGCTTTTCATTTTCATTCTCCATCGGAATACACTCTTAATGGGAAATATTTTGACTTGGAAATGCACATTGTGATGAAAAACCCAAACGTTCAAGGCTCACTATATGTGCTAGGTATATTTTTTGACGTAAATGGTAAAACTAATAACTTTATATCGCAAGTGATAGAGTCTGAAAGCAATTATACAGATGTGAACTTAATGGACGTGTTTAATGGGAACAGCAAAATTGAAAAGTTTTATGAGTTTGAAGGGTCACTCACAACTCCTCCGTGCACTGAAGGAGTTAAATGGTTTTTATGGAGCGAAGTTCAAGATTTAGATGAAAGCCAACGGAACTTTTTCCACAAGTTTTGGGCTGGAAATTCGTCATTTGCAGGGAATAACGGAAATAACAGAAACCTACAGGAGAGAAATGATAGGCTGGTTATTAAATATGGAGAAAGCGATGACATGAGCATTAAACTCGAGTTTTCAGTGTTTCTCTTAGTCATAGCAATCTCACTTTATCTATCTTAATTTAAGATAATTTCAATTGGAATATATAGCCCGTTCCCGGCTATAGATCGGGCTATGCCCAATCTTTGCCGGGACACTTGAGGAGTTGTCTGCGTCAATTTTGGGTGACGAGTCAAGTCCCCGAGTTGGCAAATAGCACCATATAGTGATTTGCCAACTCCGGGAGTTGACTCGTCACCTCGAAGTGACACAGACAACCCCCTGAGTTTCGAGGCAAATATCGGACATAGCCCACTCTATAGCCGGGAACGGGCTATAATGGTTTTGGTATTTATGATAGTAAGAGCATTAAATATAGAATTTTTAGTAGCTTAATAAATCTCGAACAGTTGCTATTAGATTAATCTTTATACCGTCATAAGATATCTAACGAGTTCTCTCAAATCAGAAATAATTGAAGGGTTGATACTCTCTTTTGATACTTCTTCTTCCTCTTCTATAAGCTCTCCTTGGTTACTCTTGTCATCTCCAGCATACAATTTAGCCATATTCTTCTGGCACGACAAATAAATAGAAAGGCCAAACGGCCCAGTTTTTCCAGGATCCAAAGTTGCAGGAACAATTGCATATTTCCCTGGATTCAGCTCAATCCTCAGCTCAATTTCTCTATGCAGCTTAAGTACAGACAATTTTATAATTTTGGATTGGTCAAAGAAAGTTACTCTGTCTTCACCATGAAAATTTATATATGGAGTCTCAGCGCTTTGGGGCCAGCTACACCGACTTCCTTCGGGCGCATATTTGTAGGACAGCTATGCAGGTAAGCAATTTCAGCATTTTCTGGAGCCTAGCCCTAGTTCACTTTTAGGATGGATTTACTTCAAGAGAAAGCAGTATGGTAGGAATTGATGCCCTTCAGGGTCTAAAAACAATTCCTAGACTAATTTAGCAAATTTCTCCAGAATGAACGAGATTTCCTTTTTGCCGATAGTCAATATGGAAATAAATTGTTTGGATTATAGGTATAGACAACCTTGTACGCCCATATCCTCAAGCAAGGCCTCAGGAGTCCGAAGACTGCCCACTCAACAGAAGTGGAAAGCAAGGAGGAGATGCTGCCATCCCTGGTGGAAGGCAGGGTCAAAAGTTGTGATTCTCGCAATGGAGATCCTATTTAACAACTAGGCTAAGCACCATCTGTTAATTTAAGTTTAAATCTTCATCAGGACCTACCTTCATAATAGAAAAACACGCAGTGTTAATGACTCCTTCAAAAGGAAACACTGAGCCTTTCGCATGTCTCCCGTCCTCTTGAGACAAATAAATAAAGATTTCTGATTTCTGCTTTAGCTCCATAAAGAATTGTGGGTTTTTAGCCCATCTTTCTGCATGCGCTTTATTCGGGGTTGTTGGGACTCCGCCTGAGTTTTCTCTTGTCCAGGCTCCTCGAAATCGCACACCCCACCACTCATCAGGGAAGTCTACGCAGGCATACAGGTTATCATAAATTGTCCTCCAGCTTTTGAAGTTCATTAAGAAAGTCCCATCGTCGCTATTTTCTGGGTCATAAGGCTCGCCTTCTATTTTTTCAAGCTCTCTTTGGATAATTTCAAGATTTTGTAAGAGCTCTGGACTTTTATCATGCCATTTGCCTTGCCATTCTCTCTGTCCCCATGGATTTCTTACTCTGAGAAGTCTGTGGCGTTTTTTAGTATTGGTCGCTCGTGGGTTATTAACATAAATGACGTCAATTATCCCGTATGCATGTCTAGCGAGGAGGCCAGTTTGTTCACCGTCTATAATGACATCACTTTCAACACCTTGCCCATCAATAGAGCACCCCATAAGAGTTCCTTGATCTCTATAACTCTTGAGTCTTTGCCACAGTTGGTCTGCTTTTTGCTTTTCTTGGTCAGCAGGGCCACTTAAAAATCCATTTTTCCCTTTAATTTTGAGGTTTTCAGAAGCAAGTCCAGTCAAATCGCAAAGGCCATCATCAATAAGACCTCCATTTAACGATTCATAGCATCCAAATATTTTCGCATAAGCCTTTTCTATAAGACACACCCAAAGCTCTCCAGGATCTCTAGAGTGCCCAAAGACATACTGCGGCCTGTCACCTCCAGTGTACATTGGGACTCTTTCATCAATAATAACCCACCTCCAGGCATCATTTATGAAAAATCTTAACACATATAGCCCTTTTTTAGCAAAACAATGGAAAATAGGTGGATAGACACCTTTGGAAACCCCAAGTGCATTTTCTGCAGTTATTTCATTTGGGTTAGATAGACTTTCTATGCTTCCTCTAACTAAGTTGTCTCTAGTTGCAAGCACGCATAGAGCTCCAATGAACCAACAGTCACCAAGAGACCCTTGAATAACGTCATTAGTGCTGATCCCTTCTTTTATAAAACTGCAATCATAATGATCTGATGGCGCAACCCACTCTAATTCTTCAGAAGGTGGATAATTGCTACCAGGAGGCACACCATTCCAATACAAACAAAATGCGCCCCCTTTTTCTTGTTCTGGACCAAAATCTGGGTCTTTGAATTTTCCTTTCTTGAGCTTTTCTAATAGTTCCACACATCGCTTTAAGGTTGCAATTTCACTATTTAAAATCGTTGTACATCGAGGATTTGACTTTGTGAAATAATCAACATCTGGCTGTATTTGGTAGCTATGGATTTCTGAAACTGGGTTATTCACGTCATCTTCTTGCATCATTTCGATGGGCAGCTTTATATCCTTGCTTTCTTCCGCACCTACTTTATTAGGGCTGGAAAATTCATAGTCATAAAGTAAATCTATGAAGTCTTTGTAGTTTATTTGTCCATCCTTCTTGGTGTCAGCTAGCTTTGTTATTTGCTCTTTTTGCCTTGAAGTTAACCCAATCCTCATTCTTTCAAGACCAAGATTAAACTCAGTTTCACATAAAATATTGGTCTTTTCTTCGTCAAGGCGCTGAAAAGTACTTTCTATAGACTTTATCCCATTTTGGTTGTCTCTCATATAAATCTTAAGCTTATAAATTGCCTGGCCGAAAGAGCCTTCAGCAAAATCGTTCGGTTTTCTCTCGACTCCTTTAATTTCCCCTCTCTTCTTTTGCTTTATGACTGTTGGCTCTGGGCTTTTTTTCTCAGAGGATTTCAGAAATGCACTTAAAAAGCCACAAAATTCATTATAATCGATTTCTCCATTTTTATTTGTATCAGCTTCTACCATCAGCAGATCTTGTTGTTGGTCTGTTATGTCGATATTTAGCTTGCTTAAACACCGCTTAAATTCATTTTTTCCAACTGTTCCTTTTTCATTGTAGTCCATTATTCCGAATACATCGTTTGCTGTAAGAATTCTTTGGTACTCATTTTGACCATTTAGATACTTCCCCACTTTTATTAAGGCATCTTGGAGTAGATTTTGAGGATTCTGTGAGACTTTGGGAGCTGGCTCTGGGACTTTGGCAACAGGCTCTGAGTTTCGTGCAGTAGGCGCCAATCCGCTTGATGAAGAAACTGGATTATTTATCTTGAATGATGCTCTGTATGTTTCTAAAACAGCTAAAAAGTGGTAAAACCAGATTTTCCCTGATTGCTTTATGTCGCATTTCCCAAAAATATCAAAAGCTTGCTGCTCTGTTAAATCCTTAACGCTATAAGCAAACTCTTTTTTAGTCATAACTGAGCTTATATTAACTTCTGAAGCCCAAAACCTCTCACAAGTGCCAACATTACCATCATCTATTTTTTTAGCCAAACCCATCAAAGGCAATTTTATATTCCTCGGTAAATCAGATGCATAAGAATAAGGGAGACTTGGCATCTCGTTCACAACTTTTCCGTTTTCTATGCAGCTTCTATACAAATCCACTTGCGTTAAGAGCTGAAATCCAAAAATTTGTCTGCACTTTTTGACGTCAATATCAGAAAAGAGATTTTGAGCTTTTCCGACGTCTAAGTTTAGCTTTGTCATAACAATGCTCACAAATTTAGCTTCATCAATAGCTTCATGAATCTGGATAATGTTGAAAAAATCGATGGTTTTGGCGTTTTCAGGGATTCTTACTCCCCCCTCCGTGAGTGAACAAGACCATTACTATTTTTTGCCTAAACCCCACCCTTCGTGAATGAACATTAACATTAACATTAATTAGTATTATGAACGGCTCGTCGTATTGGCGCGGGTCTCCCCTGCCCTACCTTCACCCTTCACGCTCCACCCGGTTGCTCACCACCGATCGACCACGACCTTCAAGATGTTGCTCCTACTGGACGAGGATGTGCACTCGCTACCCGTAGTTGGATGAGTTACGCCACCTAGCAGTACGTCAACAGAGTTGCCCATTCCGAAAATTTGAAAAACAAATTTTCTGGTAGGACTGTCGGCCAAGATGGAAATCCAAAGCCTGGGACGTAACGCCCAGTTTCACGCTAGGGAGTTGCCCGATTGATCAGGAGGTACCTTCCCGATGCCGCTGAGCTTCCCTTTCCAACCCTGGAATCCATCCTTCCCTGAGGTAAAACCCCTGGTGTCAGAATAAGCTGCGGTCGGCCTAATCCGACGTTGCGCTCCACTGTGCCAAGGTAAAACCTAGCCGGATACACATTCCGAGCCGTCGCCATTTTAATGTATATTCCTCCGTGAATGAACAAAAATTTTTTGATAGAAAAAATTTATGAAAAAAATTTGATATATAAGTGATAATTATTATAATGAAATCTCGAGCTAATTTTGTTTAATTTTAAACAAATTGCGTTTTAAAATATAAATTTAATAAATTAAATTAACATTTGCTTCCCATTTTGCAAATTAGGATTTTTTTAAATTTCGAAAAAAATATTTTCTATAAAATTTTATATATAAATCTTTTATAAAAAAAAAAAATTAACCCCCCCTCAGTTAGTGAACAAAATTTTTTTGTTCACTCACGGAGGGGTGGAGTTTAATACAACATTACTTATTTGGTCACCCCAGCTTGGAGTTTTTTTTGAGTCTGCTTCTAGAATGTATTGGCAATAGCTTTCAATGCAGGCTAGACAGTAATAAAATCTTACCTTCTTTGATTTCTGCACATCTAATGCTGCAAAAAGTCTATTTAATTCTAAAATAGCTGCATCTTGCCCGAATATTTGATTAAAATATGTTGATGTGAGGTTGCTATCAATTCCGATTCCGAGTTCTGAATAAAACTCGCTTGCTGTTTTATTAGTTTCGTCTACTTGATTTGCTTCTGAAATTAATATATTTTTTGCACTACTATCAACGTTTTGATTCGCGCTGAATGGGAAATTTTTAATATCACCTTTATTGAACTGAAGCACTTCAAGAAGTGTCATAATTTGATGGACAAAAATAAAGCCTCGCTTATTGGCATCCAAAAAGGAAAAAATGAAATCTTGATCCATTCTACTAATATTGGTGATTTTTGAGAATTCTTCATAGCCAAGATAAGCATCTAAACTCAGACCTTTGCTTTCGATCCAAGAAGAGATTGTAATTGACTTGGGGATTGAATTTAAAAATGCCAAAAATGAAGGGTTTACCTGGCTGACAGGCTCTTGCTTGGCATTAACTGGAGCAGGTTCAATTGAAGAGAGGGTTACATCTCTTTGTTGGTCTCTTTTAACTCCTGATTTGATAGGGATTTTTTCTTCATCTGGGTTTTCTCTTGGGATTTCAGCTCGTCTTTTCATTAGTGGAGGCTCTTCTTCGTAGTTTTCTTCATAATTTTCATAATCTTCTGCTGCATAATCTGATTTAAGTGCTGGCTTTCTAGCTTCAGGAATAGGCTCATTAAAAGCTTCCTTGACCTTTGGCTTTTGTTCAACAGCAGGAGGAGGTTGGACTTTTTGATTGGCAGAAATTGGTTGTGATTGGCTTTTAGCCGCAGGCTGTACAGGCTTTGGAACTGGCATTTTAACTTCTTCCTGCCTTTCCTGCTTTTCCTGTTTTTCCCTTGATTCTGCATAAGCTTTTAGTGCAGACTCAGGTTTCCTTAGAATACGCATATACTAAAATACTCATTTTTGGCTTATTTTATTTTCCCCATTTTTTTAGGCATTTGCTCAATGCTCAAAATTTTATAATAGTATTTCGGTTGAAAACAGTAGATTAAATGGATTAACATTAAGTCGAAAAACTAATATGGAATCATACTCAAACTAAATAGAATAAAAAAAGATCAAACAATTCAGAAAATAATTTTAAAAAATAGACCAAATAGGTCATAGAAAAATAGTCCAAAAAATTAATCGTGGTGTGTAGTCGTCGTGTGAAGTGACGGACTCAGGATGGTTTGAGCTCTTTATATCTTGAAGCCTTTTTGTGAATTCCTGTTCCTCAATGAACCCATTTTTATTGATATCTAGTGATTGTTCAATTAAACTTAGCTCAGTATGAGAGAGTATTGTACTCGGGAAGAATCTTTTCATAGCTGCACGGATTTCTTGGCTGTTTGCTTTACCGTCTTGGTCTAGGTCTGAAGCTATAAAAATAGTTTCTGGGGTTGCTCTCATCTTAACTATAGCTTCATTTAATTTTTTCAGCCAATATACTTGCTCTACAGTCAATCCAAATTGGTCCAACCCTTCTTTATTTTCTTTGGGCTCAACATTTTTAAAAGCTGCAATAACATCATTTCTGCTTATAGTTGCGCTGGGGAATATTTCAATAACTCGCTTTAATAAGCTTTCACTAATATTGGGCAGCAGCTTTACAAGGGCTGTTAAAAAATCCCCAACTTGAATAGTCCCTCTATTTCCTCTGTCAGCGAATTTAAAAATATTGACTGGCTCAAGTCCTACTTCTTTTAAAATTGCTAATAGTTCTTGTGCAGCATCATTGGCGACAAGTTTGGCTGCTTGAGAAGATTTTGGGGCAGACACATTTTCTGCTGAGTCAGTCCTGTATGATTGGATGACAGAAATTAAGTCTCTTGTTAGGATTTCTCCAACTTCTTCGAAGTTAAGGTAATTAAAAACTTCTTGGCATTGGGATGGGGTTAAGCTAAAAACTCTTCCAATGTCTTGGATGAATTCTTGCTGGTCTAATCGGTCTCTGATTCTTGAGCGTGTAAAGAAATCAACTGTAGAAATTTTTTGGGCTTGAATTTGGCTTGCCATTTTTTCAAAAATTTGTTTGATTGTGAGGTTTCCTGTAGATGAATAGGATGATATTATAGGTAGTAAGAATTAATTAAATAATTGAGGTAAACTTTTCTATTTTTATATAAAAAATATGATTCATTTAGCAATAATTTAGATGAATTCTTTTTGAAATTAATAAAAAATTGCTGACTTCTCTTGAGTCAAGCATTCCATTTTGATCTAAATCAATTGAGCTTAACAATGTCAAGACTTCATCCTTTGTCATATGTGGGTAAAGCTTAGAAATCCCTCTTGAAAACGCAGCAATAGTCATCCTGCCTGATTTATCAGTTTGAATTATTTGGAAAAGCTCAGAAATGCTTGTACCTCTGCTTTCCATTTTTGCAACAAGCTGCCTTATAGCTTCATTATTTTCTTTTGGTGCTTGCACATTTGTCGCATTTTTTCTGGTATCTGAAGGCTTCATTGGTGCTGCTGAATTTCCAATCATGCTTTCAATTTTAAATGCCTGTATTCCTTTATTCAAATACTTTAAAAATTCTTCTTTATTCAGTTCTCCACTTCTATCTGTATCAAGCAAGGTCATTAATGCAAAAACTTCTTTCTGCTGGAAGCCGACGTTCATCCCTAATAAAAATTTTTCGAGTTCTTTTGTGCTGATTAGCCCAGTCCCATCAATATCACAGAGGTTAAAAACCTCTTCAGGAGAAATACCTCTTTGGTCGATAATTCTGGCGAATTTTATTAAAATTTCTTGTTCATAGGTTTTCGCTGATGATCGATGATCTTCAGCAGAGACATGATAAGCGGCCAATGCATTGTAAAACTCTTTACTTTCTATTTGTCCGGAGCAGTCTTCATCTAAAATTAGCATAAGTCTAGAAACTTGAGCTTTACTAAGCCCCAGCTTTAGAGTCGTAATAAATTTAACAAATTCATCACAAGAAACAGTCCCGTCATCATTGCTGTCTGCAGCCCTGAAACACTGCTCAAGAGTTAAATTTCTCTTTTTGGCTGCATCAGCTACTTGTCTCATGATAGCGTCATCAGATGCCTGCATTCTTGGGGCTAATCTAATCTTATTGACATATTCTTGTATGAGCTCATAATATTTTTGTCTTTGTTTGTATCCTCTTCAGACTTTTTGAATTTTCAAGCAGCACTCGTTTCATGATTTTAAGTTTCTATAGATTTCATTTTGAGTCGACTGCGGGCGTCTTGCTGGAATTTTAGCGTTTTGCTGTGCATCGACTTCTCTTAGTCTTGCCTCAAGTTGCTTTATTTTACCCATAGCCTCTCTTAAAGCGGTCCTGTCCCTTTCCAAAGTATCATCCAATGATGGCTTTTGGCTTTTTTGATTGAGATCTCCGATTTGAGCGTTTGCATTGTCAAGCTGGTCTTTAAGAGCTTTCAGCTGCTGAGCTGCTTTTTGGCGCTCTGCACTAATCTGCTGTTTTGAGTCTTCTAGCTGCTTCTTGAGCTCACTTATATCTTCTTGGCGCTTATCAGAATCTTTTGCACTTCCTGGTGATGATTCTAAATCTTCAACTCGGTTTACAGTTGCTTTTAAGATAGCTAAATTCATCTGAAATAACTGTCTCATCATGATTTCTCGTTCAGATGGGTCCGCACTATCAATATTGGCTCCTCCTGTGTATTTTTGAAATATTGCTTTGACTCCCAAATTTTCTGAGCATATTTCTTTGGCTACATCAATACAAGCGTCTTGGTCATTAAAGTCGAAAGTGAATTCAAGATCTTGCATATTTATTTGTTTAAATGAAAATTATAGATGAAACTTCCGTGTTTAATATTAAAATTTAAATTATTGGCTGCTTATATCTTTGAATTATATATTAAAATTAAAGATAGCAACTAATTGATAATAAATTTGACCAAAAAAAAAATTTCGAAGGATTCGAATTATTATACAAACAATATAAAATACATTTTTGATCTAATAAATTATTGATAAAAAGTGGAGATTACAACGTTAAAATTACTTTTTTTTGATGTTAATCCTAGGAAAAACATAATCTTTAAAAACTTCAGTCGCTACCCTATTTTGTCTTCTGCCAGGCATTTTAGATTCATTTTCAATCACGCTAACCGGATTTGTCATTGATCTATTGAGCTTTCATTGTGGAGGATTATCGGCAATATCTTTTTTACTATCTACATGATTCTTTTTCTTTTTTATTTTCGATTTATTTTTATGTTTCTTTTTATTTTCGCTTTTTTTAATTGCACTCTCTTTTCTAATAGTTGATTGTGGACTATTTTGGTTGGCAATCTGAGTAGGCTGTTCAACAATCTCTTGAGGAACAGTCTTTACATCTGGTTTTTGGTCATTAGATTTATTGAATTCAGGATCACCAATCTTATGATTTACTAGCTCAGAAATTGATGTACTTTTATTATGTGATAAATTTTGGCTTTCTTCTGTTTCTGAATTAAGGCAGCTCATACAAAATGTCAGTAATTTTTTCATAAAATTCTGAGTGCTGTTATTTATATTAACGTCTAAGAACTCCACATTTTCTTTACTATATTTTAGAGAAATGATTTATTTATTATCATACATGAGAGCTTTCCATTAAAAGAAAGGGTAAAATTTATTAATTGTATATAAATGCAGACCCCAGGTTCATATGAAGACTATAAAATAGAAATTTAATAGGGATTGTGAAAGTTCTAAACTAAGGCAAACTTTCTTAAAGGTACTTAGCCAAGCAGCTCCTATTATATAATTTTAAAAAATGTAAAATATATTATAAAATGCCCAAAATTTCCACTTAAAAGTAAAAGAATTCAAGAATATAAGAGACTTTTCTTTCGTAATGATAAAAAATGTATAAATTTTAGATCCCAAAATAATATCAAGAATTTAAATTAATTAATTTAACATATTAAAAATTAAGAAAAAATAACTCCATTTGCACCTTTCCAAGTCCACCTCTTTGGATGAATTTTTCTACTGAATTGAATTTTTCTTTCCTTAGAAATTGAATCAAGTGAATTCCTCTTTTCAGTTTTCTCAATTTTATTATCTTGATCAACCTTATCAGCGCTCAAGCGAGATGAAATCACACTTCCTCTTACTCTTATCCTTATGTCAGAGATATTTTTCTCGCCAATCATTTCTTTTAGTTTTGCTCCCTTAGCAAATTTCGGGCTTTTTTCTTGAAATTTTCTTGATTCATCTTCAGGACTTATAGAAAACTCTCTAACTCGGCACCTATAATGCTTATGAGTTCATACTTCGCTTAAATCGCGAATATAATTCTCTTCATTTTTTTCTTTTATAGTCTGATTTAAAAAAATATTTTCATGCTCAAGGCTATCATCTTCTTTAATATCATACAGATTGCATGGCTTTACATTTAATTTTAGCGTCTTTATTCTCGCTCTTCTTCTTGTTGGCTGAGGCTCAGGGTCATTATTTAAAGAATTTTCTTCATCGAGAAATCTTACAGTTTTAGTTGGAGAGGATTCTCCAAGAGATTGTTGAGAATTATTATCTTGGGTTCGTAAATTCTCAGCATCACGAAATGATATTATTCTTTTAAATGATTTTGGGTTAGAAACTGATGGTGATTTATCTCCAGATTCTAATGTCATTGTCTGAGTTCTATTTAAAGTATTTAAAGCGGAGGTAAAATGAGGCAAATTTCGGTCACTTTTCAATTTGAATGGTGAGTTTTGGCAAGCTTGGTCATTATTATTAAAATTAAGATTTTCTTAAATAAGATTTATTAAAGGTTAAGCGGCTTGCTTATTGGTAACTCCGTTACTAATAATCTCTTAGAAGATTTATTTTATTTGCAACATCACCAAGGAGAACCTGTTTGAATAAGATGATGATTTTCGCAAGTAATCAACGCTCGAGCACTACCCTTCTTCTCTCCATCATCGTCTGAGGTTATTGAACCTATAAAGTAGAGTTCTGTGTATTAGTCTCCTCTTGCCTTATTGGCTCCAGTATCAAGTGCAAGGCTATGCCCTTCTGCAGCTTTCTGTTTGGGTTGAACGAAGATTGTCCACACAAAAAACCGAAAAAACAGAATTTCTGGCTTACTATCTGTAGAAATGAAAATTTCAAAGTCTGAGATTCAGCTCTCAGCTTCAATCTAGGAAGTTGTCCGATTGGTCTAGATATTGCATGCAGATGTTGCTCGGCTTTTCCTTTTCAACTTAAACCCTCCTTTTCCTTGTGGTAAAATCCAATCCTAAAAGCAGACTAGAGCTTGGCTCTGAGCATTATCAGAATTACTTACTCAGCACAGCTTCCATTTCTGATTGGCAAAGCCTTACCATATATAATAAAAAAATATGTGCTTTAGTCTGCATTGCCAAAGGCAATGCCTATGCGAAAACTCCATTTTATTATAATTAGGATTTCCACTTGAATCAATAGAAAAAACTCTAGTGCCTTGGCTAGACATTGTAGACCTCATTGCTGGCTGCGAAAACTTTCGTTTTGTTGAACGAATATTTAATTGAAACTGGTTGTCCATTGCCACGCCAGCTTGTTTTATTTATTATGCATTCACTTAATGGTGTGGATTTACCAAAATTTACCTTCAAAGTATTTCCAAAAATTCCGTCAACTGTTATTCTGGATTTCGGGCACTTTAGTAAATAAATTAAAATACAATAAGTGGCTATTTAATATATACAGTTCTTAATCATTAAGAGATAAAGTTTTAACTCCCTCTTCCATTGCTTGCAAAAAGAAATGCTCGCTCAAGGAGGTGTTATAATTTTTAAAAATTTTCCAATTCGCTAAATATTATGACACAAGATATTTAGAAATTGACAGAATTAGCAAGAGATTTCATTATAGTAATTATCACTAATATAATATAATGTATTTGTAAAATTTCATTTTGCAAATCTTAGGCAAATTAATTTAAAATCTCAAAAAAGTATTAGCATGTCATTACATATAAAATTGAGTCTATGATATGCTATTTTTTATGCTCGTTCACAAGGGTGATTTGTCTACAAAATAGTGATTTATTCAATCAATGGTTTTAATTCCCGCGGAGTGGGGAGCAAACAGACTCATATAATTTGCTTATTTTAGTAGCTTAAGATGGAATGACAGAAAGGAATTTATCTAACTTACCCCATTTAATAATCATTTTTTCTTAAATTTTTACTTTATTCCCCTCTGTGGATTAAACCATTGGAATTCCTATTTTTGGCCAAGTAGAGCTAGAAAAAAACTTTTAATAATATTAAAAGTTATAGCCCAATTCAAGAAAAAAAAGCGTTATTATAAATGGGAGTAAGATCTATATATTAAAGCATTTATATGCTTAAGATGAAAGCGATATTTTAACTATAGCTAGCACTTTAAATTAAAATAAGCTAAAATTATTATATCATCTAATAGCGAAACTTTCCAGAAAATAAGGCCAATCAATTTTATTACCTATATTATCAAAACATTAAAATTAAATTTTGGAGGATGGAGTCATTCTTTACAAATTCTTATAGCTTAATAATTTTAAACTTATAATATTAAATTATATATCATCAGACAGAAAAATGGAAAATTCAAGTTATTAGAGAAATTTAGCTCAAAAAACGTTAAATTAAAGCAAAGTCAAATTATAATGAAAAAAAAATAATTAATTAATATATTTTAGCTTAAATATATAGAATTATTTTAAATATACACCACTTGACCCTTTCCAAGTTCATCTATTGGCTGGGCTTTTTCTTTCTTCAATTTGCCCTTTTAATACTTCACTATTCTTCCCATCAGCATTAGATGAAGCTCTTTCTTGAGCTATTTTCACTCTGGAAGAATTAATAATTTTTCCTCTAATTTTAATTCTAAAATCAGTAGGACTTTTAGTCTCTGCCCACACACTGTTTAGCCAATTAACTCTTTGGGCTCTTGCACTTAATGCATGCCCTTGCACATTTTCATCATGTTCTTGAATTTTAAATTCTTTTACATGATGCTTCTTGAAAAGTTTTACCTTTGCATGATTCAGTTCACTGGCTTCTTCTATCACTTGCTTTGGGCTAGATTTAAAAAAAGTTTCTTCAGAGCCAGTGCCATCGTCTTCTTCAACATCATTTAAATGCTTTTTAGCTCTGATATTAAGCTTTAAGGTTGTGTTTCTTGCAATTCTTCGCCGCTTTTCAACAGCAGAAGCATTGACATTTTGTTCATAAGACGAGGCATCCTGAGAGATGCAGGTATTTTTAGTAGAAATTAAAGAATTTTCAATCCTTTTACTTTCTGCAGCTTGATCAAATATTTTTAAAGTCTTTAATTTCGAAACTGAAAATGTTTTCCTCACTGAATTATTCTGATAATCAGGTGATAAACTTTTATCATGAACATTCACACCTAAATTTCTCTCAGTTGTTGCTCCACTCAGACTAAAAATTTTTGAAGATCGAATGGCAGAATTTTCACTATCTCTGCCTTGTTCAGTTGAAAAAACCGTTAAACTTTTTATAGTTTTCAAAGATTTTACGACTCGCTGAGAATGTTTCCTCAGAGACGATCTAATCTGAATTCGAGACTGATCACGACTCATTTTAGCTTAAAATTTATTTAATTTATGACATTTTGATTAATTACCAATGAACTATTTTACTACAAAATTTAAATTCCAGAGCTCTCAGCCAAACTCTTTTGCAATTCTTCTTTATTTTTATCCAATAACACTACAAGATTTTCAAATTTCGGGAAAACTGTTTTCATAGGGTTAAGGAAAGGATCAATAAAATTCGCTATAAAGCTGAGCTGTGCTTTTGGAATGATAACATTATTTCTGTCACAAGTAGGAGATAGTAGAATTCCAAGCTCTTTTTCTTGGTCTCCTTGCAAGAAAAACTCTTGGCTAATTAGTTCAGCTCATTTGCGGCAAATTTCATAAGGTCGAAAAACATTGCTTATATCACAAAAATGCATAAGCAGTTCCATCATTGTGCTTTTTCCTCCTTCAGAAGCAATTTCTTGTGATTTAATTAAATTTTCAAAGCGATTTATTTCTTCGAAGTGCTTGCTCATATCAGTCGCAAGGACTAAACTAATGATTTTTGACCGAAATAGTTTAATTGATGCTGGATCCATATCTACGAAAATATTTGTACTAGGCTTCATTATCAAGTTAAAAGCAGATGATACATGGAAATTTTCGAGCACAGCTGTGTCATTATAAAGCATAGCCAACTTGTGCTGTGTATTAATTAAAAAAAAATTTGTCAACCCTGGATGCTGATAATCGTGAATTGAAGCACTTATATAGCAAATGGCTATTTCTGCTAGTGAAAAATTGCAAATTTCTTTAGCGTCAAAATTATGCAGCAAAAAGTGGAAAGCTTGAACGACGTCTGCTGCATGAGTTGAATTATGATAAGCATTTTCTGATTTGTAACCAGATTGAATTCTTAGAATGAATTTTCTGAATTGTTTTTGAGGAATATTAAGAGAATTGAACAAATCGAATTTATTAAAAAGGTGATTCATAATTATTTGTAAGCCATTGTGATTGTTTTCTTCATTGAACCTGAAAATATCTTATCTTATCTTATTAAGTTTATAACGTTTAACGTCCACTGCGGGGTAGCCGTTTCCAGAGCTGCCACCATATTTGTCCACGTGTCGGGTCCATGGACCTCTGAATCGATCCACTTTGTTGCACTCTGGCATGGGCAAAAACAGCGATCCGGCTTCGACGGGCTGCGTTGCCTTGCCTTCCTTGGCTCAGTTCCTGCGCGTGTTCCGCCTAAGGGTCACCTTCCTCTATGTGCTGAGAGGTAAAACTTTGAGCCTCTTGAAGTAATTGGAGCAGTGCCTCAGCTTATCTCCCAGAGTTAAACTGCTATTGCTGCATAGAAGTTCTCAGAAGAAAACCTAACTTCATAATAAAATTGCTTGAGGGATAAAAAATTAACGGAGCTAATTTCACTTGACCCGAATGCCATTTTATTCATGAACTTGAAAATATCAAATTCAAATGTTTCTAATTGATCGAGATCTTGATTTCTAGAGCTATGAAAAGCCTCAGGAACAATGTCTTGAGGATCAATTGGGTGGGAAGTTTCATCTAGCTTCAAACTAAAATTCCAGCCGATTAAGCTTGCAGCTTCATCTCTTTTGTCTTCAATTTTTTCATCTGGCTCAATTTCATAAGGGCTTTTGTAGCATACTGATTTAAAATACAAACTAATTTCGCTCATAAGATCTTTGTCATTGGCATTTGAAGCTAATTTCATGGCGTTATTTAATATTTCTGCTAATTTGCCATCAATTGGATTAATTACCTCAACTGAGCTCTGTGACTTGTGAAAGTTTTCTTTTGAAGTCAGCATATCATACATCGCTATATCCGCCAAAATAAGTTTAAAAACTAAAAAAATGCCTTTAATCCCTGATTTATTTCTGATTGGCGCCCCTGATAATTGAGTCAAACTCATTATCAGACACACCACAGTAATAATCATGCTTAAAAGCTTTTGGGTTGTAAAATTAATTGACTACATTGCTTTTACATTGAAATTTGATAAAATGTTGTATAAAACTACAGCAATAATACTTACTTAATTATCTGGTGTTTAAGGTGTCTAGTGCCGCAGCCCAAAAGGGCCTATGGCAAAACTGATGACGTAGGCGAGCCATCTTGGCACGGGTCAGCCCCGTCCAAGCCTTCTATCAACTCCTGCTTCACCGGCCTTGCTGCACGTCTCACCCGGCGCGTTGCCGTCGCCCTTGTCGCTCGACTCAGCTCCTGCGCGTGTTCCGCCTAAGGGTCATCCTCCCGTGGGGATGCGCTGAGAGGTAAAAGCCCGAGATCTTGAGTGGACTGAGGAGTGGTTCCTTTGGTTATCCCCAAAGTTAAACCGCTATTGCTGTCCAGAAGTTCGCGAGTGAAAACCTAACCCTAATAATAAAATTCCATGAGGGAGAGAAAATTAGCAAAGCTAATTTCTCTCGAACCGAATGCCATTTTATTATTGTATAAAAACTACAGCAATAATAAGAATTAGCAAGCCCAGTTCAATGCTGTTTAAAACTGTTACTCCATCATCGCCAATACTTCCATCAAACGATGCTCATATAATTGCTACAGCTGCATAAGTTAGATACAAAAGCTTTTGAATTGTCTCACAGGGCACAGCAAATAGTAAATGTTTCATATTTAGATCAAAAATTTTAACTATGATGGTAAAATCCAATCAGATTTCTAACCCAAGCATAACTATTATGCCGATTAATTCAGAAAATGATTCTCAGCAGAATAGCCGAGACGATGCTGAAAAACAATCAACTTATCCATATACAGCGATCATTAATTCTAATGAATCTGAAGAAAAACCAATGCTTGAATCAGAACGAATTAACTCAACTGAGAGGAACAGAAGGCTTTTTAGAAACGTTCCAGTCCCAGACTCCCCTTATAATGATGTGTGAAAACGGGTATGATTTAAACTGAAAGTAATATTTGTTCTGAGAGCTTTATCTAAGCATGTGCATTTATACGGACATTTATCATCTCCTAGATTAACTGCGAGGATCATTAGCATGGAGCCACCAGAAAGAAAGCAAACGTTTAGCTTACATGAAGTCCAAGTAAAAGAATCTCTGCCCTTTATGATTATACATCCAAATGCCAAGCCAAAAATTATTTGAAATATTATCATAGCTTTTGGGCTGATTTATTGTGTAACTGTGATGCCTTTTACTATGGCGTTTTATGAAAGCAATGGCTTTGATTGCTGATTCTATATCGATATGGCACTGAATGTCATGTTTTTTATTGATATTGTGATACAGCTTTTTAGTGCTTACTATGATACTGATGGAATACTTGTGTCATCTAGGTTTAAAATTATCCTGAGGTACGTGACAGGCTGGTTTGCAATTGATGTTGTTTCTTGCATTCCTTTTGGACTGTTTGGAGTTGGCAATGATCAGAATGGCAGCTCCACGAATAGCAGTATGATAAAACTTTTAAGGCTGCCAAAGCTGTATAGACTTGCAAGGATTACGAGGCTAGCTAAAATGATGAAGCATTACAAGCACAACTACATTTTTGAGATGCTACAAGACTTTTTAAGTATCAAGCACACTGGAATGCGTTTATTTCAGTCATTTTTTACAATAATGCTATGTGTTCATGTTGTTTCTTGTATTTGGTATTATTCTGCGAAAATCCAAAATTTTTCACCTGATACATGAGTATTTCGAGGTGGGTACCTCGATTCTGATGTGCCAACACTTTATATTACTTGCATTTATTGAGCAGTAACAACAGTCTGCGGCATCGGATATGGGGATATCACAGCTGTTACAGATTTAGAGATGATTTTATGTATATTCTGGATGCTTTCTGCTCTTTATTTTGTGTCATTTACAGTTGGAAGTTTATCATCAATGCTAAACGGCTTAAGCACAAAAGAAAATGTCCTCACAAATAAGCTGGCAGCCATTGATGAGTTCGCTACAGAATCAAAGCTAACCAAAGGCTTAAAATTTAAGCTGAGGCACGCACTTAAATATTCGTCAGAAAGAACAGGATTTTCATGGGGAGATAAAAACAGCATATTTAACGAGCTTCCAAAGCATCTCCGATATGAAGTTGCTCTCGCCATGCATCATGGAGCAGTTAAAGAGCTTGTATTTTTCGAAGATAAAGACCCAGTAATTGTAGCGTCAATTGTCCCATTTCTCCAGCCCATGTTTGTGAACTTCAAAGAGTATATTTATAAAAAAGATGAATTTGCGGAAGAAATTTATTTTTTGATAAGAGGGCGCGTAAGCTATATTTGCTGGGATGAAGCAGTCGTGTATTCTGCTCAGAAAGGGTCTTATTTTGGAGATGTAGAAGTCATATATCAAATCCCAAGAAAATACAACGCAAAAGCTATAAGAAGCTCAGAATTACTCATTATGGGGAAAAGCTTAATAAGCACGGTTAGAAGGGAATTCCCAGGAGTGTGAGATGAAATGACTGAGGTGGCTGAAGAAAGGGATATGCTCAATGAAAAAACAGCGCTTGAAATAAAAGAATATAACTCTATGTCAAAAGAAGGCAAATTATTTGCTATTGACCCAGCAAACTTTAAGGATAAAATTGAAAAAAAATTGAAGATGAAAAAAGCTGAAACTATAAAAAAGCGAATCACTGAAATTGGGTTCCACAAAGTGTCTAAACAAAAGAAATTGACACTTGGAGACTTGTATACAAGGCTTGAAAGTGCCCAAGCTTATCTTGGAAGCTTGGAGAAGCACGTTTCAGATGTTGCTAAAATAATGGGGTATAAAAATGGTCAGCAATCGCAGCTAATTAGAAAGGGTTCTCGGCAAGATTCTATTCCAGACAATTATTCTTATTTTGAGTCTGATGAAGAAACACCAAGTGAAGAGCCTTTAAACACCTCATATAGCATCCCTGAATAGTAGCAGAGTAATTTTGAAAATGCAACATGATAATCAATAATTGTTAATACCATATTCTGCTCTAAAAGATTCAATACTTCACCATACAAAATAGCTTTTTATATTCAATTTTGTCTCTAAATATTTAGTTTGTTATAATGGCATAATTATTATAATCTTCATAACTTTTTATAATGGTAGGGTACAGCAAATTCACGAAAGTTGAAGAAGTTCCTGGAGATACAAATCCACGAAGAAAAATTGTGAGATTTTTGCAAGATAATCAGAATACATATGTGGATTATCCTATAAACCAAGAATATTTAATAGATCGAGAAGATTTGAAAAGATTTAATTACTATAGAAATGATTTTTCGAAGAAAGTTTTTGTGATTGGTGCAGGACTTAGTCTGCTTACCGGGATGGGAGTATTTCATTTAAAAGATTATTTAAAGCCTGGGGCTGGACTTTGGCTTACACCAATAGTTGTATTTCCATTATTAGGATGTGTTTATTGGCACTTCAATGAGTTTGGAAGATTTCTAGATTATTGTGGACAAAAGTATGAAAACAGAGGACTAAATGATAAAGAGCTAGCTGAATATCACAAGCGAAATATCGCTAAGAAACTTGAATATGATTGGAAATCAAAATAATAGAAAAACATAAAACCATACGTGCCAATTTTTAAAATGCTTTATTATTAAAATTATTTTTTACCTAAGAATATTTCTAACAAATTAATTTTACAATTCAGGTTAATTATTTATCTGACGTATCTGTTCGTATTCTAATAATTTCTGCAGTCTTTTCCCTTTTATTATCTCAGCAGCAGCTCTTTTAAATTCATTTTTTATTCTTTTCACTCCTAAAGGCTTGCAAACATCTCCAAGATTTCTAGTAGTTTCAAATGGATCCTGAATAGAAATAAAAGGTTCATTTTGAGTTCCAGATTTACTTACATTTTCTCTTTTTCTGATGTCAACCACATTATTTCTCCAATCAAATAACGAGAAAAATTTGAAAAATTCAAATAAAAGCTCACCTTCGTTCATTTGGTTAGCTTGGGCAGATGCTTGATATTTTGCAATATCGTTATCAAAAGAGCAATCATATTCCCCAATCTTCTTCTCTTCAGTTACATAGAGCTGAAGATAAGGTAAAATTGGATGAGAAACCCTTTGCAAGAAAAAAATTAGCAAAATGATATATGCATATGACGACAGAGTTCCATTTTTAGGGTCAGCTATTTTTCTTGCCTTGGCTCAGCATTTTATGACAATTCCTAAACATGGCACTCTTGTATCAATTAGGCTGTATGCTTTGAGCATTTTCGAATTTTCTACGGCTAGGTCATTATTTAAGCATAAATCTACTTCTAATTTTGGCTCTGTGGGGGTTAAAAAATTGATGATTCTAACTCTTGCAGAAGCTCTCAATTCAATATCAGTTGCCTTTATTTCTTCCAATGAGTCACATATTTTCGACAAAATAATTAATTCACATAAATCATTGGTTTTAACAGGTCCTTCAAAATTTGCTGAAATTAAATCAAAGGTTTTCTCCCTTGGGGATTTAAAAGCTTCTTTTAGATCTATCGAAAGGCTTAAGTCTAAGTCACTATTAGTTGTAGTGAATCCATTCAAATTAGACCCATACATCCTTAGCGAACTATTTGGATAAATTGTTTTAAAAATATCTTCTAAATAATTGGATATTTCATACTTAAAAGTCAAAAGACCTTCATCTTGCCTTTCATTTTGATATAAATTTTGTATTTCAGAAGCAAGTGCCATTCATGCACTTCTAGGAGGAGCTCCTCTTAGTTGATTAATTTTATATTTTTTTGAAATTTCTAAATTTTCATTTTGAAATGGTTTTGAGCTGTGGCTAAAATTGGTATATGTTAAGTGCTCTTTGAGATGATCTATGAGCTCGCTTTTGCTGCTAAACCCAGCCTCATCACATACAGGGCATTCACTAACAGGGAATGCTTCTTCCGATAGTCTTAATACAAAAATTGAATTATGCTCGTCTTCTATTATGCCTTCTTCAACCCCATTCAAAATTCCTGGATTTTCTAATATTTGTTGAGCAGAAACTCTTTTAAATTTATTTTGTGACCCTCCAAATTTCTTATAATTCCTTGGATGATGATTTTCTTCCAATCTCTCGATATCCTTCAATACAGCTTTAATTAATGCTTCTGCAGTCTCTAATTTCGAATTATAAACTCTTGTCTTTTCTGCATGAAATTTTGATATTTGTCCAAATTTTATTATGCTTTCTTTGTATTCCTTTAAGTGTCCAAGATATATTCTAAAATTTCTCAGATCAATTTCATAGTTATCAGTGATTTCTGGAAGGGGTGGTTCCTCAATTTTATTTAAAAGCTCCTCTAAACGAGACGTTGCCATTTCTGGAACTTTGAATATCTAATTATTAAAATGATAGAATAATTAATAATTCGGGATTATTAAGATAATGATTTTACTTATAGGCCATGACTAGGAGTGCTTCATAATTCAAAGCAGTTTCTTCTACTTGAATGACACTATTTAGCTCTTCAATAACAGCTTGTTCAACTTCTGCCTTTTTCCCTGCTTTTACGAGTGCATTAATTCCAGGTTCTTCCAAAAAGATGTTCTTAAGTTTATTCACATCAGTTGTAGGGAAATGGTATTGTTCATAAAAAGTAATCACTCTCTTAAACCCAGCGGTCTTCAGCATACCTTTCAACGTCCCAGGGTTGCTGAGCTCTCTTCTCAGTCTGATTTGGTTTTCAATTCCAAATTTGTGCCTTATTCTTTCAAAGATCATTGTATAAGTGCTTGAACTTCTTCTACCCAATACTGAAATTCCTAATATTCCTCCATTAGGTGCAACTAATCTGTAGGCTTCCCTCACAACTCTGTGTGGGTTTTCCAATTCTTCAATAGTTGCTAAACTGACATATCTGTCGAACTTTTCTCCTGGGAACGGAAGTTCGTCAGAGTTTATTTTTAAGATTTCGCTTCTAGGCAAATTTTTGGCTTTGGCGAGATCTATAAGTTTTTGGGAGACTTCGACTAATGTGAATTTTGTATAGTTCATGTCCCTTTATAGATTTCTTTATCGAGCAAAATGTACTGGATTCTTGAACGAGCAAAACAGAGTCTCTCAAAGAGATGAGCTCAATCTCTATATCAAAAAGTGTTAGAAAGTGCCATGTCAAAAAATGGTGACAAGTGTGAAAAAAGTTGGCAAGTGAACGCGCCAATTTTAAAAATGGTTTTATTATTAAATTTAAAATTTAAGATACACAATTAGACTAGGATTTATTAATAATTAAAAAGCTTATTTAAAGGTCTTATGAATTAATCATATTTTTCTAATGATAATAGATAGATAAATAATATAAATTATAATTGATTTAATATTTTTGATTATTATTTATGTATTTAAAATATTTAAAAGTGTGAATCGAGTTGTGCCAAGGCGAATGGATAAAATTTCCTATAAATTTACCAGTATGATATAAATCAATGCTGCTATAAAAATCCAAAGTTCCCATTGAAAACTGATAGTTCTTTATAAAGTTGCTAACAACTCATGTCATTCCTTTAAACTATTAAAATCAAAAAATTGTGAATCGAGTTGTGCCAAGGCGAATGGATAGAATTTCCTATAAATGTACCAGTATGATAACGATCAATGATGCTATAAAATCCAAAGTTCTCATTGAAGGCTAATGGTTCATTCAAAAGTTGCTATGGCTCATGTCATGTACTTTAGACTATCAAAAATCAAAAAATTGTGAATCGAGTTGTGTTAAGGCGAATGGATAGAATTTCCTACAAATGTACAAATATGATAATAATCAATGCTGTCATAAAATCCAAAGTTCCTATTAAAGGCTGATGGTTCTTTATAAAGTTGCTAAAGACTCATGCCATTCCTTTAAACTATTAAAATCAAAAAATTGTGAATCGAGTTGTGCCAAGGCGAATGGATAAATTTCCTACAAATGTACCAGTATAATAATGATTAATGATGCTATAAAAGCCAAAGTTCCCATTGAAGGCTGATGATTACTTGCAAAGTTGTAAATGACTCATGTCATGTATTTTAATTTTTCAAAAAAATATTAAAATTTTATTTTTTTTTAAAAATATAAAAAATATTTTAAAATATCTTTTAAATATAAAAATTTTATTTTATATCTTTAATTAATAAATGGGGCTTTATATTAGTTTCATTTTTTTAAAAATTGGCGCATTTAATTGTCAACTTTTTTTTTACACTTGTCACCATTTTTTGACATGGCACTTTCTAGCACTTCCTGATATAGAGATTGAGCTCATCTCTTTGAGAGACTCTGTTTTGCTCGTTCAAGAATCCAGTACATTTTGCTCGGTAAAGAAATCTATAAAGGGGTATGAGCTATATCTGGAGCTGCATGCTGTAACATAATTTCAGCACCTATGCCGTTGCTTGCGCCAACTTCGAGAACGTTTTTAGCTTTGTCGAGGTGAAGGAAAGGGATCATACTTCTATAGATGTCAGATGAGCATTGAGTTTGGTGCTTTTCATACCATTCTGCATTGGCATTCCAATATTTCTCAATGTTTTCGTATTTTTGGAGATTAGTAGAAAACTTGGCTCTTGGGAAGCTAGGAATTAAACGAGAAGCATAGCGAGAAGCCAACATATTTAATATTATCTGCAATTAAAGTGGTTAAGGATCATCATATTTGTGGTTAATTATATAAAATTATTTTAGTTGGTTTGCATTAATTGATATACTGAAATCATAGATTGTGACTGCTAGATCATTAAAACACCATTTAAGTGTGACAAAATATTTCATTAGTTGAAAATGTTTTAATTATGAAATAAACATTGTAAGAATAATCTAAATTCATACAAGAATGAGCAATTAAAGAAGCTAGTCTATAAAATCGTATACCTAACTTTAAATGATACATTGCCATTATACGAATTTTTAATATTTTACTATAATCTGAATTTCAGTTAAAAAGATTATGCTTATGAAATTTTTATAGACCCCAGGAAATATATTTAAGCCGTGAAGAAACATGTGCATATAGAAATAATAAAAAATTTTTAGCCTACTTTGAATTTAGCAATGCTGACTGATATTATTTTCTCTAAAATTTTATTAAATAGTTTCTCATTTTGGCATAAATTAATAAAAAAATTATCAAATGGAAGCAGACAATCTTGAAGCTTTACAAAAGATGTTAGAAGCTGACTCCCCTCTGGTGAGCGAACAAAAAAATTTGTTAGCTTATGGAGGGTTAATTTTATTTTAAAAATTATGTATGTAAATTTTTTTTCGAATTTTAAAAAAGCTCAATTCAAGAAAGTGGAAAACAAAAATTAATTTAATCAGTCTTAAAAATAGAAATTTAATAGATTTAGCAAGAGATTTCATTACTAACTATCGCTATATATCAAAATATTTTTATAATAAATTTGTATAAAGAAAAAATTATTTTTCTAGGAGATTTTTCCAATGGTTTTGATCGCTTACGGATGAGAGGAGTGAACAGAATAAAAATAAAAACCTTCAAGATCAACTTAGAATAAAAGATGAAGAAAGTCAACGATTTGTAAATTTTACTCAGAAGCATCAACTCTTACAAGGCGCTTCAGGAGTCTCTACTGATCTCGCAAGAAGACTAAGGGCACTTCAAAGGGAAAAAGAGCTATTTTTGAGTTCTCTTGAAAGAGAAGAAGAAACTATCACAAACATAATTTATAGATCTCTAGAAAAACTAATGCAAGATCAAAATAACATAGAGCACACTTTGAATCAGGAGCAAGAAGAAATAATTAATGCAATGTCTAAACAATTAGCTCAAGAGTACACAGAGCAAGAAATATTGTAGTTTTTACTTACAACTACCACTAGCAGTGATAGATATGGTCATAGTAAAATGCAAAAAATATATATGTGAGCTATCTATGAAATTAATGAATAAAAAAATTATTCTAATAGAGGCGAGATTAGTGAACTTCGATTTCGAACCGATGCACAAAATAGAAGCCGATCTGTTAGTGATGTAGACTCTACAAAAGAAGGAGAGAATACAGTAGAAGATGTAATAACTGACTCAAGTTTCAGCAGCGACAGCGAAAGTGCAGGGGGATTTATAAGTGAGGAAAAAAGAAAAATCAGGATAATGGAGTCAGATCTGCAGAGAATTAAACAGCAAATGAGAATGGCAAAGAGGGAAGTCAGGAAATATAAACACATGTATGAAAAAATGCTAGAAACTCAACAAAGATTAATGAAAGAAAATTATGATTTAGGGCAAAAGATTGCTCAGAGCGAGGGCGAAGGGGACACAGATAGAAGTGATTTATCGTTCGAAAGCTGCTCAAGCAGAAGCGTCGGGTGGTTTGATGGATCGCAAGAATTGCCACCAATAAATAGAAAAGATATTATTGAGCCAAAGAAGAAATAAAATAAAATTCTTGTAATTAATTTATTCCAAAAAAATAGCTTGCTAATAAAAAAATGAAAAGTTCTGATACTTTTCATATATTTTGCTTCAAATTTTATATTAAACTCAAATAGATTATATGACTAAAGAATTGCAGATCCAATACTGAAAAGCTAATAAATGAGCCATATCATTGATTTTTTCTATTATACACACAATTTTTCTATTTTATATTGCCATTTTTCATTCTTGTTAGATTTTCTTTTTCAGCATTAATAAATAAACTAACAATGGACTATTTACGTTCTTCTTCTTATCATGAAGAGCCTTTACTTCTTATTTCATATGACAGTATCACAAGAAAATTTCAATTACTCCCCCCGATCCTTGATCGAACGATTGACTGTAAAAATTCCTAAAAATTGGGAAATTAACCCCCTATCCTTGATCGAACGATTTTCATATCATGCAACTTTTATATATATAAAAATATATTAGTTATCAAAAGCTTGGGAAGATGCACATAATGAAGTTGTTTTCAGAGCTTTGAGACGGCAGAAAGCTGCGAAATCAACCATCCGAAGTGATTTAGCCATCAATCTAGGCTTAAAAAACTTAATAATCTAATAAAATAGAGATCTTTAAAATTTAAAAAAAAAATTAATTTAATAAGGAATAAATTAAAATTTATACCGTTTAAAGGGGTAACTAATAAATCAAAATATTAAAAATTGGTATTTTTATGAAATTAATTAAATTTTTTGCTCTAAAAATAATTATTAAATACCCTTAACCCTCTTATTTAAAAGTAAATAAAAAAATATATATATATATATATATTTTTTTTTATATATATATATATATATTTTATTTTATATATATATATATATATTTTATTTTTATATATAAAAATTTGTTTTTTTAACCCCCATACTTGATCGAACGATGGCGAGTCGTTCGATCAAGGATGGTCGGGGGGAGTTAGAACAAAAAGGGCTTGATTTTTTAAAATCCTTGAATGAGCCATTAGGAGTAATTTCTGTCGCAGGGATGTATCGTACAGGAAAATCCTACTTGCTCAATAGAGTCATCCTAAATCGAAAAAAAGGTTTTGGGGTAGGGCCAACAGTAAATCCTTGCACCAAAGGTCTATGGATTTGGGGATCTCCTATATCTGGAATAACAAAAGAAGGAAAGCCCTGCAATGTAATAATTATTGATTCTGAAGGTATTGGAGCACTTGATGAAGACTCTAACCATGATACTCGCATCTTTTCTCTTGCTATCTTGCTGAGCTCGAATTTTATTTATAATTCTGTAGGAGCAATTGACGAAGATGCAATTCAAAATTTAAGTTTGGTTGTAAACTTAACAAAGCATATTCACCTAAAAAGCTCACAATCTCAATCAGATGAGCTTGGCTGCGAAGACTACGCTGCGTATTTTCCTTCTTTTTTGTGGGTTGCTAGAGATTTCACTTTGAAATTAATTGATCCTGAAGGGAAAAAAATAGCACCTAACTCCATCTTCTTAATTGAGCAAAACGATTAGAATGAATATAATTCTATTGAGTTTTAACAGATCTATAAATAAAATTTACTTTCCAATTTTGGATATAGGATTTTCAAATTTCACAAAAATATTAAGCTATTGTGAGCAGGCAAATTTTTTTTGCTCACTCACAGAGAGGGGAGTAAAGAGTATTTAGAACTAGCTTTACAGCCTCAAAAAGGGTTTTCGGATACTGTAGAAGAGAAAAATCGTATAAGGAAGCTAATGTCAAATTTCTTCAAAGAAATTGATTGCTGCACTCTTATAAGGCCAGTTTCAAGAGAAGAAGACTTACAAAGACTTGATGATATGGATGAAAATCAATTGAGACCTGAATTCGTAGAGCAAATCCTAGATTTGAGAAAAAAGGTGCTTGAAAGCATAAATGTCAAGATTATGAATGGAAAAGAGCTGTCTGGAGAAATGATTGCAAGCTATCTTGAGGCTTATGTTGAATCAATCAATTCTGGTATTGTCCCAAATATAGAAAATGCATGAAGCTATATTTGTCAAAACCAAAATAGAAAAGTATTTGAAGAATCCAAAGAAATTTATCAAAAAACTTTGGAAAAATGTGCAGAAGAAATGTTCCCAGCTCCTTTTGAAAAACTTATAATTTATCACAAAACTTCAAAGCATGCAGCTCTTGAATATTTTGAAAGCAAAAGTTTAGGCGAAGATAAATCTTGATATCTCAATGAGCTGATTATTCATATTAAAGAGAAATTTGAGCTACTAAAAGAAGAAAATATAACCGAAACTAAAGAAGAATGTGCAAAATTCTTGACAGAGCGATATATGGAGATTGATCAGAAGATAAGGCAAGGAGAAATCAAGAAACTTATGGATTTTGAAAGAGCATTAAGGAATTTTGAAAATGATTTTGATAGTAAAGGTCCAAAAGGCCCAAACAGCAAAGAGTGCTTTTTAGATTTTTACAGAGAAAAATTGCGAAAAGTCACAGATAATATGCTGAAGCAAGCTTTAAATGAGTTAGAGCTGCAACATATTTTATCTACTGAACAAATCTTAAGACTAGAAACAGAGCTAAAATTCACAGAAGAAAGATTGATTTCTGAACGAAATGACTCTTTAAATAGAATCAGCTTATTGCAAGGCGAAAAATCAGAATATGCCGCAAAAGAAAAGTCTCTAAAAGAGCAAGTCTCTCATTTAATTGAAGATAAAGACAAGATGGAAAACGAGCTTCGAGACATTTTAGACGAATATAAAGCTAAATACCAAAAAGAAGTTGACTCATCTAATATAAAAGTTTTAGAACTCAATGATTATGTAAAAGACTTTGAAAGAGAAAATGCAAGGAAAATAGCAGAACTTGAGGAAGAAAAAGCGCTTTTGTCTCAAAAAATATCATTTTTAGAAAGCTCACTTGAAGACTACAAGTTGAGAGATAAAGCATCATCTGAAAAAATTAAAGAAGCTAGAAATGATCATAATCAAGTATTAAAGATAATGCAAGCTAAATTTGACTCACAAATTACGAAATTTCAAGAAAAACTAGATGGGCAACTGAAAGAAGTTAGTGATTTAGAAGCTGAGCTTGATAATAAAGAAAGAACAGTTGAGGATTTACAATTTAAGCTTACTGAAAATCAATCACAGAATGCAAAAATAATAAAGGAACTGCAAAATCATAATGAAAATGTCAGTAAGAGCCTAAAAGAGACTGAAAATGAATTTAAAGAGAAATTGGAAGAACAAAGGATAGAAAATCTGAAATCAACGGCAAGGCTAAGAGCGAGACTTGATGAAACTGAAAAGAAGCTAAGAGGAAGTGAAGAACTGCAAAGAAGTGATATGTCGATTTGGGCACAAGATATAGTTCATGTACTGATATAGATCGTCATCATTGAAAATGTAAACACTACGATGGATTTTCATATCTTGCATATCGAGATACTAACTATTTAGAGAAATATTTTAAATATAAATAAAAAGGTTTAATATAGTTTTATTCGATTTGTTTTAAATAAATATGAAAATGATGATAGAACAGCTCTTTGAAAAATAAGAGTTTTGCCCCTATTTGAATTACTGGAATCTTATCCATAGCTCTTACATAATGTCTATCAACAACTAAATCTTATTTCAGATTGTTTCCACACTACTCCGGAAGAACTAACAGTTTAAATCTTTTTTTGAATCTATATATACATAAGCCATTTTTTAGTAAGCCTTAAAAAAAATATCTTTTTATTATTGTGCAATTAGAATTAAATAATTTAATTGGCTGAACTAAATTCTATAGAAAAGTTAAGATACTTATCAGTGTCAGTCTAAATGTTATCTTAAAATTAATATTTAGTTTCGCTTACTTGTCAAAATGATTCTCAATTATCAATCCTTTTATATTACATCACTTAATTGGGCTAAGTAAAATTATGTAAAACTCTCACTTTTCAGTCAGGCTGAGAGAAGAGCTGTTTTAGCTGCAAAATAATTTAGATTTATTTTGTCGTGCTTTATGCAAATTATTAGAATCATTTTCATAATTCTTAAGAGAAAATCATCATATAAAGCTATATTAAAAGTTTACAACCTTTTTTATTTATATTTGAATATTTCTCTAAATAGTGGGAATCTAAGATGTAGCCCATTGAAATGGTTGCATTTTTAATGATGACGATCTATACCGTTAGGTGAGCTATAATGCAATTTTAGTACAAAAAATTGAATTCTTAGAACAAGAACTTGAAGAGGAGAAAAGTAAAAGAGATGAAGACAAAAAATACTATGAAAGCATGGTTTCAGCACTAGAAATTGATAAAGCTAATGAAAACAGCTCATATCCAGATGAATTACATGCTGACCAATCACAAAAGATTTTAAATCTATGAAAAGAAAATGAAACATTAAAATTACAAATGAACACAAAACTTGAAGAATTAATGGACATAAACAATACTCTAGAGTCTAAAATAAAATTGGAGCGAAATGACTGAATGCAAAAAGAACATCTTTTGAAAGAACAAATTGATGAGCTTTCTTCAGAAAAATCCAAATTGCAGACAGAGCTATCTAGGAGAAGTATACAAAATGATTACTCCCACAAAAGACTTACTCTCTATGCATCGAAAGCCATTGGAAAATCCTATTTTTTGGGTAAAAACCAACCTTGTGAGACAATAAAAATTTTTTGATTTTTATTATAATGAAATTTCTAGCTAATTCTGCTGAATTTAAACAGCTTGCATTTTATAACATAAAATTATACAAATTTTACTTTCCAATTTTTGCTAATTTAAAAACAAGTTAATCTAAAATTTATATTGTCCCAGGCCCTTTTTGGGCATCAGTATACGACCCTTACTTGACAGCCAGCTTCGTATCTCGGATTCTGAAAATACGAAGCTGGCCGTCCAGTATGAGCCGGAGTTAGCTCTATTGATGTAGAAAAAGAAATGGATCACCTAAAATCATCCTATTATGATGAAATAGAAATTCTTAAATCCCAGCATGAAGCTACCCTTCTCCAGCTTAAGAGCTTTTATGAGCAAGAAAAAAATCGTTTTGACCAAAGAATTCAACAAGAAAAATCAAAAACAGAAAGACATATAAACGATATCAGTGAAGACTATGAAAAAAGACTGGAAACAGAAACGATAAATCATGAGGAAGAAATTCACTCACTTCATAATGAATTTAGAGAAATGGAAGGATTTTACACAGAAGAGATCACAAAATTAAATGAAAAAATAGAACTGGATAGCCAAAAAATCGATAGTTTAGAAAAGCATATAACAAATTTGAAAACGCAGCTTGATTCTACTTATGATTCTCATTCAAATGCTCTTGAATCTCATCAGGAGAGCTTTAATCAACAAAGACAAGCTTTATTTAACAAGCTGGAAACCATGGCTGCAGATATTGCAGAAAAAGATAAAAATTTGATATTACTGAGGCATGCAAAAGAGCAAGTTGATAGACAATTGACGACAAGAGGAAAGGATTTTGAAGAGCTAAATGAAAAATATTTCAATGATAAAAATAGTTTACTTGACCAACTATCTAAAATAAAAACTGAAAAAGATGAGGTGCTATTAGAGCTAGCCAAAGCCAATAGTAAAGCGAAAAGGGAGCTTGCACTTTATACTAATGAAATAGAACTGCTACAGAAAAAGCTTTCAGAAATTGAGATTCAGCTGGAAGAAAGCGAGTCTCGGTATAAAGACTCGATATTGCTGCTTAAAGAAGAAGCTGGCTCTCAATCAGACATAATTACTCAAAGACTTTTTAAAGAAAATGAAACTCTTCAACATAAATTATCAGAAAATAAAAAGGCTTATAAGCAGCTTTCTTCCTCTGCAGCAAAACAAAATGCCCAGTATGAAAAAGAAAAAGAAATTTTCGAAGAAAAAATTTCAGAATTGGATAAAAAATATACTGATTTAGAAAAGCAATGCCTGGATATCCTCCAAAATAAATCGCCAGAGAAATTAAAACCAGAAAAATCTTTTAGCAGCAGCGAAGCAGACAGCTTAAGAGCCCAAATATCTAAACTTGATAGAGAGTTGGCATCCAGACAAATTTCTTATGATCGGGATAAAAACCTTTGGGAAAATAAATTTAATTTTCTCCTTCAGCAGAGAGATCAAGCAAGAAAAGAGCTAGCCTCAAGCCAAGAAAAATTCGAGATTGTAATAGAAGAAATTAAATCAAAATCTGCAGCTGAAAAAGAAAAATTTGAAATCAAAACGAATTCTATGATTTCTGCAATGGAATCAAAATTTAATATACAAAACTCTGAAATTATCAACAAAAATGAGTCTCAGTTTAAACAAATCAACGATAAATATAAGCAAAGTGAAAGAAAAATCCAAGAACTTGCAGAAGAATTAGAAAAAGAAAGACGTGAAAAAGCTGCAGTTATCAGTTCTTGCGATAGAAAAATAATTCAATCCCAAGAAGCAGTTCGAGTGCTAGAAAATGAAATTAGGCAGGAAAGAGAAGGAAGCCAAGATGCTCTTGTTCAGTTAATGGATAAATTTACAAAAGAACGAGACGAATGGAGGAACAAAATGGCTGAATATGAAAAGAAGATAAAAGATTTGGAATCGCATAAAGCTCAGCAGTTTATTTTGCATGAAAAAGAAAGAGCTAAATGGGCCCTTGAAAAAGACTCAATTATTTCTAATCAAACTGATGCGCAGCATCAGTTAACCCACGTTTTGAAAAGGCAAGACAGTTTAAAAAAAGAAAACGAAAAGCTAAAAGCGCCCCGCACAAAATTGATTCCAAAAAAGCCACCAGAAATTTCTTTAACTTCCCCCCCCCCCCTCCGTGAGTGAACAAAACCATTAGAAAATCCCTATATTTTTTGCCCAAAAAACCCACCTTCCGTGAGTGAACAAAAATTTTTTTTAATAGAAAAATTTTTTATGGAAAAAATTTTTATATATAAATAATAATTAGTATAATGAAATCTAGAGCTAATTCTGTTTTAATTTTAAAACGAATTGCTTTTTAAAACATAAATTTATAAATTAAATTAATATTTGCTTTCAAAATTTTGCGAATTAGGGTTTTTTTAAATTTCGAAAAAAAAAAACAATTTTTTATAAAATTTATATATCAATTTTTTTATAAAATTTATATATAAATTTTTTAAAAAAAAAACAAATTAACCCCCCTCCGTGAGTGAACAAAATTTTTTTGTTCACTCACGGAGGGGGGGGGAGTAAGCACTAATATTTCTTATGAAGATTTTTCAAGATTTAATACTTTCAGTGGAAAATCTACCCCTACAAACTTAGGCACAGAAATCTCCCCCAGAGTCCAATTCCCAACTTTTACAAGTCCGCAATCAAGGCCTCACAGCTCAAGAAACTCATAAATTAATATAACTAATTAAATCCTCCTTTATCAATTGATGATTATTTAAGAATTTTAAATTCAAACAGACTATGGCAGGGAATATCGAGCTGTCAGTTATAAGAACAGAAGGAATAACTGAAGAATTATCTTCAGTTGGGTGTTATATTACAGTTGATGACAGGCTAGTGGATGTGATCACTCCTCTTAATTCTCATTCAAAAGAAACCTCAATTTTGCCAATGAAAGGAGATTTGCGATTAATTATCAAAGGGATGGGAAATAGCGATGAAGTCGTAGGAAGCGTTTTTTTACCAATTCAAATATTGCCTACAGAAGGGCTACAATGGCTGCCGCTTAATTCGAAACTTTCTGAAGAATCACTTTTGCAAGTCCCAGATGAAGTTTTGCCACCAAAAATTTTGTTATCAATAAAATCATTTGCGGTTTCAAATGAAGCTAGAGAAGAAAAATCATACCAAAATGTGTTTATTGAGAAGTTTAGAAGCTTGCAAGGTAAATTGGTTGACTTATTCGCCTTAAGACCGAGTTGAACGATTGGAAAAATAATTATTTTTACTCCCCCCCCCCCCCTCCGTGAGCGAACAAAACCATTAGAAAAATCGCCATTTTTTGACCAAAAACCCACCCTCCGTGAGTGAACAAAAATTTTTTTAAATAGAAAAAATTTTAATGGAAAAAAATTTTGATATATAAGTGATAATTAGTATAATGAAATCTAGAGCTAATTCTGTTTAATTTTAAACAAATTGCGTTTTAAAACATAAATTTTGCAAATTAAATTAATATTTGCTTCCCAATTTTTGCAAATTAGGATTTTTTTAAATTTCGAAAAAAATATTTTTTATAAAATTTATATAAATTTTTTTTAAAAAAAAAAAATTAACCCCCCTCCGTGAGCGAACAAAATTTTTTTGTTCGCTCACGGAGGGGGGGGGGGAGTTAGGAAAAATTAATAACCCCTTTTGGATGAAATATTTATATATATCAATAATTACTTACTCCCCCCCCCTCCGTGAGTGAACAAAACCATTAGAAAAATCGCCATTTTTTGCCCAAAAACCCCACCCTCCGTGAGTGAACAAAAATTTTTTATGGAAAAAAAATTGATATATAAATGATAATTATTATAATGAAATCTAGAGCTAATTCTGTTTAATTTTAAACAAATTGCTTTTTAAAACATAAATTTTATAAATTAAATTAATATTTGCTTTCCGATTTTTGCGAATTAGGATTTTTTAAATTTCGAAAAAATATATTTTTTATAAAAATTTATATAGAAATTTTTTAAAAAAAAAAAATTATCCTCCTCCGTGAGTGAACAAAATTTTTTTGTTCACTCACGGAGGGGGGGGAGTTTTACTGAAAAAAAATTCTAAAAATTTCAAACATAAATTTTATATTTTTCTTTTCAAAAAATTAAATTTTAACATTAGCTCTTCTTAAAAAAATAGCATTTTGCTTTAGAAAGAGCAATAAAATTGCTAATGGAGAGCTAGAGAAAAAGCTGGATGATGAGAACTGAAACTTTAATAAAGAAAACGAAATGTATGGCTTTGAAGAAAATATTGATTATGTTGAGACAGAAAGGCATGTACTCCTGCATGATGCAAATAGTGCCATCAAAGAAGATTTGGCTTCACAAAAAGAAAAAATAAGAGAAATTATGGAAATAGAAAAAAAACAAAGGATTCATTTGGAAAAGAGGCTTAGCGTTGAAAAAGATAAATGAGACAGCTTTGTAATAGAATGTGAGGAAAAGGAAAACCTTTACATTACAGAAATTTGTGATTTGAGGCTAAAATTATCTGACTCAGATACAATAATAACGAAACTTAAAAATGAGCTTTTAATAAAGGATAAAGAAATTTCCAAAATGAAAAATCAAATTTCTCGATCAAACTTAGAAGAACCAGCTCAGCAAATCCAGCTATTAAACGAGAAATTAAATCTTGTGACCGATTTTTTAACTGAGTCAGAGCAAAAGAGAGATGAATTGCAAAAAGAGGTTTCTGAATTGAGCAAACAATTGGAAACTATGCTTTCTTCCTCAAAATTAGAAGACAGCCTAAGCAGTTCCCAAAACATAAATTCAAAGCAAGAATTTTACAGAAGTAAAAGCTATAGAACCTCACAGCTATTGCTTGCCTTGAAGCAGGCTTCTTCATGATAACTTGGAGTCCTCACGATTTACCTAAAATTGACAAGTTAATTCCAAGTTGCCGTTGAAGAAGCCTTATTCAAGGCAAGCAATAGCGGCGAAGGCGCCATACTGTTCTGAAAATGAAAATTTAAATATGACTGATGATGGCTTCCGAAATCTTCAGGTGCTTCAAGAGAAGCTTTTGCTTTATGAAGAAGAAAATAAAGAGCTTAAAGACAGTATAAGCCAGCTGAAATTCGCTCATTCCATAGAAGTCAATGAGCTTCACGAATCTTTGCATTTTTTAAAAAATGATAAAAAGCACTTAGATCTCAATATAAACGCGAAATCAAATACTAAAGAAGATATCATAGAATATGATGATTTAGACAGATTATTAGACAACTACCACAATTCTCATGGAATTGAGAACAAGTTCTTAAAAGTAACCCCAGGACTTTATTTATTTGACGGGGAAAAATTCAACATCATGATAAAAAATGACTGCATTATTTGTAGGGTTGGCGGTGGATATATGATTTTAGACGAATTTTTAAAAAATTACTCAAAAAATAATGATCGAGAGCCTACTTTTAGAAAGCGGCAAGTAAGCATGGTAAATACAAATGAATCTTCGGTAAGCCCGATGAGAAATTATCATAAGAGGGTGACATCAATTAATCTCTCTGGAGAGTCAGTCTCAGAAAGACAAACTCCGACTAAAGAACAAGAAAACAAACCGACCCGCGAAACCAAAACCCCTGACCTTCTAAGCACAACTTCCAGCAAAAAAGAAGACAGCAAAAAAGACCTAAATAAGAAACAGACCCCCCAAAGTCGCCAAGTTGTAAAACCTTCCCGCGTTTATCCTATGAAAGAAAAGAACTTCGCTCCTGTCAAGAAAAAGCTCCAAGCTGATGAGAAAAAGAAAAGCGTTAAATGTACTTAACTTTTAATTTTTTCAAAATTTTATCATTATAATTTCTTCTTCTTCTTTCCAGGCTCTTCTTCCTCCCACAATTTGCTGGTGGTTTCTGTCGCTTTTTTGTGCTTCATAATCATTTTAACTCTGTTATACTGTTTTGGATGATCCCTTAGGTAATGCATAATATCATTTAGTTCCAATTTCCCTCCTCTTCTTTGAGCTCTATTAGAAGCTTTGCTGAGAAGATCTCTTACATATTCAATCATATAGCATTCCAATAAATGCACTGTATCTTGATTAGGATTTGGCTCATCCCCAAATCCAAAGGCTAAGCATGAAATTTCTTTGGTGAAAAGGTATTTTGATTCAGGTCTCTGTGGCTGTGGACAAACCAAGGTTGGTGGCGATTGCGTTGTTACAGTTGATACTGAAAGGAGGTTGTCAACCATTTTATATAAACTATATACAGATATAAGCTATTTTAATTGATATTTCAGTATAATTAGACACCCATATCACCAACGTTATTATTTGGTGATCGATCTTCTTCTTCTTTAGATTGCACCAAAACTCCTTCGCGTCGTTTTTGAACTGACTCTTTAAGCCCGAAGAAAGGAATTATTATAATTTCATTGAACACTATTGTACCTCCAATAATCAGCAGGAACCCTACAAGCTGCATCCACACGAAGTCTTCCCAGCCAATTAATATGCTGAAGACTCAGACAAAGATTGTTCTACAAGTATCAATGGTGGACCTGGCTAAAGCGCTTGTATATTTGGTGGTTGCTATGCCAGTCCAGTAGACAATAGCAATGCTGAATATAGATCCTAGTCATAAAAGCAGGATTGAAAGACTATCTCCAATTTGCTGAAAAGCGTAGATAGAGTCTTCAACTCTGCCTCTTGAGCATGCAGAGCTGTGATCACATGGTATAAAGTATATAATAGGTAAAAAGATAAGCGAATACCCAAATCCTCACATCCCTTCTACCCCAGTTGCTTGCATTGGGTTTATGTCAAGTTTTCACATTAAGAATTCTTCGCAAATTAAAACTCCTCCTGTAAATAGCTGGCTTATAACCAAAACAATCACTCCAATCAAAGGATGACGTGCTGTTCATGCTTGAAATAATAAGCTTGAGATTCCTACTATTATAACCCCTACTAATATTAATCCAATCCCTATCATTTGATGCTTAAATAATTTTCTTCTCAAAAAAATTACTGAATAAAAAGCGACTACAATAGGAATTAAGCCTCTAATCATCTGGTAAACTGATGCAGCTGATAAAATTAGGCCTAAATACATAAGAGACCCTGAAATTAGATAGAGAAATGCTGGGATTCCAAATAAATTTGCACCGTATTTTTTAAAAATCCCTTCTTGAGGTATTGATGGCTTTCCTGAGGACAATACTTTATATTTTCCTAATTTAGAACGCGATTTTATGTACTGTTTATGTAATAAGTAGACAAAAAGACAAGAAAATTCTCCGATAAATAAGGTTGTAACTTGAAAGTAAGGGTGCGAAAAGTCAAGAACATCCATGCTTTTGATGATAACTGTCACTCCAGCTCCAAATAGCATATAGCTGCCCATAAAAGCATAGATGAACGTTTTGTCCTCGGCCATATCTTTAATAGGAGGATTTTATTATTTCATATTCTGGGATCTAAATTAAGAAAATTAACAACAAAAGCTAACTTTAAGCAAAATTTTCTAATGATTCGCTTCTTTTGCAATAAAAATTGTTTTCTGGCTTAAAAATGAAAACCAGTAACTTTTACTTGCATAAAAATCAGGAAATATTATAGATCAGAATTATCTATAATAAAATCAAATATTTTAAAATGACTAATCAAGCTTAGTTTAAAACTATTTTTAAATCAATAAATCCAATGCTTTCCTATATTCATTAAAATTTTTTGATCTTTCAATTTCACTATTAACAACTATATCCTGAATTTGAAGAGCTCGATACCCTTGAAGTCATCAGTTTAACCAAGAAGGTGTTGATTTTTAAAAATATGGAAATGCAATTGAAGGAAAGTTTTTTTTAATTTAGGCAAAAGCTCTGCTTAGATCTAATGGCTGATCTTGCAAAGTATTATTTGGTCTGACCAGGACATGCTTTATTTATAACATTTTTAGCAAGGACGATAATGTATTTTGTTTATTCAAGTAAATTTACAAGAGATCATTCAGAGATGTGCCTATAAAAATCAGTCCCTTCTTGGTTAAGCCGATAACCCCAAAGGCATCGAGCTCTTCAAATTCAGCATAACAATCACCATTTGATTTGCGCTGCTTAAATCAAGTGTCCTCAAATCTATTCATTTTATATCAAGCCAAAATAATTTTAAAATGGAATCAAATATAAAGTATATCGGTGTCGGTCGATCCGGCGAAGGACTTATAATAGCAACCTATGCAAATGACAGAAACCTCAGAGATACCCCACGCAAAGAGCTTCAAGGAATTCTTATGAACGAATCAGATGGCGAATGGCGCACAAGAGTCGGTTCAGAATTCGGAACTTGGTTTGCGAAAGGCGACGCAAACAGAATCTGCTACTTAATTTTAGCTCGCAATGGATACCCAGATCGTTACGCCACCGCTCTTCTTGACGAACTGGAACGCATGTTTACAAATCAAGGCTCAGAAGTCTTGCAAACATGCCCTGCTGATGCATATACCAAAGTTATGGCAGGCGAAATGAAAAACCTTGCTATGAAATATGAGGATCTCCGCAGCATTGATCGCATTCACAGCGTAAATTCGCAAGTTTTGGAAGTCCAAAATCTTGCTCAAGCAGGAATTCAACAAGTTTTAAGGAACACTGAAGCTGCCGAAGTGGTAGCAGCAAAAGCTCAAAGCTTGGAAGGGAATGCGAGGGTTTTCCAAAACGACTCGAAAAGATTAGAAAGAATGATGTATTGGAGAAAGGTAAAAATCAACTGTATTTTGATTTTTGTTGTCATAGCAGTCATCCTTTATATCACGATCCCAATCATAATAACCTCAACCAATTAGCTATTAAATTTCAAATTTTCGATAAATGGCTCAGGTGTTATAAAATATGAAAAGTTCAAAAAGTAAGCCTGTTTTTGTGCTAGATTGTGCATCAACGACAAGCAAAATGTCAGAGTACAACGGACTGCGAGATGGAAATCTTGCAGGCTTCTTCGCTTCAAAAAAGCGCAGAAAACTGTTGTGAAAGCATGGACTGATTACGAAAAACGGCCTTATTGTTGAGAAAGCAGTCACAAGTCAATTTGCAGACACAAAAAGATCGAAGCCTTATCTTCTGAATAGTGATCAGTTCCAGGCTGAAGAAAATAATGTAAAATCAGTCAAAAACATCAAGTCTGTTTCCCCCAAAACTGTAGGAGCAGGCAAAAAAACATTTGATAAAAAAGAAGTAAAACCCCTGAGCAGCGAAGAATTAAAGCAAATGCTTCAAAAATACAGGAAAAGCGATGCTGATAAAAGTGAAAACGCGAATAGCAGCGATAGAAAACAAATAGATGCGATAAAGCCTGAAAAAGCAAAATCAAGTGAACAAAGCCCAGTCAATAGAAAAGAAGAGAGTAAAAATTCACAAAAGCCAGAAATCGTCAAAAAAAAGCCGACTATTGAAGAGAAAAAAGAAATGCCTGTTAAAAAGCCGACTATTAAAGAAAACAAGCCAGAAACAGAAATTGTTGAAGACAATAAAATTCAGCCAGAAAGCAGAAAACAAACTATAAAAGAAGACGGAGCCAGTGAAGAGAAAAAATCCCAGCCCAGCAGTAGAAAACCAACTATAAGAGAACCAGAACAAAAAGATGGTATTGAAGAAAATAAAGAATCTCTAACAAAGCAGCCAACTCTAAAAAAAGAAGAAGCAAAGGCTGAAGAAATTCAAGAAGGTTTAATTAAACAGCAAACATTGAAAAAAGAAGATATTGGTTCTTCAGAAATTAAAGAAGATATTGATGCATCTGGGAGTTAATTGAGAGTAATTTAATTCGTATAATCATCTATCAATTTCATTATATTTTTGAATTTACACGGAGATTGATTGTGTTGATTTGTTTTGTGTAGGAAATCTATATAGCTGATACTGGTGATGCTTCAATAGTGCTGTAGTTATCTATTTCAATTCTTAATAAATCTCCTGTGATTGCAACAATTCCATCCCTTATAATGATGCTTTGATTTTCTTTGGCCAGATCGCACTGATCTAGATAAAGTTTACTGTTGAATAGTCTAAGTCTTATAGCGCCGCTTTCATCTCCGACCTCAACTTCTGCAAAAGATACTTTTGTTCCGTCACTCCGCACTGTAGAAGCGCTCATTATTCCTCTGATTATCTTGCAAATGCAATTGATGCGAGTACCTGGTATCATTTCATCGATTTTAGTAACTATATATTGTATACATTTAGGTCTTGACATGAAGTTGAGCCCTATTTAATTTATTTCAATTGCCTCTTTTTAAGATTTTTTGATGGTAAAATTAATTTAATCACCATTCACAATTGATTTTAAATAAGAAGTTTATTCTTTTATAATTAATTTTAAGCAGTAGAATACATTACATTAGAAATTTGTTTATCTTCTGTTACAATAAAACTTTCTGGATGGAGATCTATATCTTCTTTATCTTCTTCGACAATTTCCATATCTGCGACTCATTTATTAGTTTTTGATTCCGCATTGAATGAACTAATATAAGGGGAGTCTGAATATTTTTTGATCGCTGAGCCAGGATCTACATCAGTAACACAGAGTGGCTGGGCTTTACAATGAGGACATGCAATTTCAAAATTTACATGCTTGTTTTGCAGCTCATTGATGCAGTAATGGCAAATATAGTTCTTGCAGCATTTTGTGACGAGAATTACTGATAAGAATTTGAAGCAAATAGGACAATTGTAAGGAAAAGATTGCTTCTGGGTGCTTGCTGGAGTATTATCAAGAGTTTTAATATCATCAACAGTGAATCGTGATTCTAGTTTTATTTTTGATACTGCTATATGAGGTTTTGGTATTGGAGGGTAAGGTCGTGGTAATGGAGGACGGCTTGCTTGCAAAGGATTTGGTGGAAGAGGAATTATGTTTGAAGGATTTTGAATGGGCTGAGTCACATTAACTTTTGTTGGGCAGAAGCAACCCATTTAACAGCTAAATTCAAAATTTAATTAAGAAATTATTTTCATTAATGTTTTTAGCTATGACTATAGTCAATTGCATTAGCAAATATCCCGCGCTTAAGTCGTAAAAATATTTAAGCTTGATTCGCCTTCTCATATATGGCGCTAGAAACTAAAATAGCTTTTATTTGAAATCAATATAATATAAACAATCCAAAGGATAATATATATCACTAAATATACCTAACTAACATTAAAATGTGTCATAAGCTCGACCAGAATTTATTTTTTATTCAATTTATTTATAATTCATTTGGAGAATTATTGGTAAATTTGTCAAAATCCAGACTTGCTAGAAATAGCAAAAATATTACCTATGCATTTGCATATTTTGATGATTCATATGGTCGAAATATTATAAAATATAATAAATACAATTCACGTATGTCTACCTCTTATGATACATCGCGAATAATTCAAATATTGCAAATTCCTTCTAGACTCCGCAGCAATGATGATATTAATTATCTTATGAATCTTACAGCAAAAACAGAATTTTTTAAAAAGATAACTGAAGAGCAAAAGTCGTCTGAAATTCATAAAGCTTGTTGCCAAGTAATGACTCTGGAAGAACATAACCCGGGCGATGTAATTGTAAATTTTGGGGAAATTGGATCAAATTTTTATATCATACTAAAAGGCTCCGCGTCCGTTAATATCCCTACAAAGAAAAAGGTCACATTAAATCTAACTCAATTCAATTATGGAAGAACAAAACCTATAAAACTTTGTTAAATATCTAGCATGATTTACGAATAAATATTAATTTATAGCAATATTTTGGAAACTTTTCAAGTTTAGAAATATTTATCTATATGATAGTTTCTTTACGAAAGCTTGTACCAAAATTTCTAGGTCTTAATTCAATGAATATAATAACATTAAAAAAAAATTATAGAAAATATAAAATTAAATTTACAAGCTATAAAAACGATTTAGGATTAGATTAATTATCAAAATCTTGACTGCCGCAGAGCTAAAATGCTCTTTTGTGTCTATTAGAGACATTGCCGGTCCAGATACCAAAATATTCTTTATGACGCTTGAGTTCATACGTAAACAATGCCACCACCAGCTGAATCAGCTGCAAAAGATTGGCTTCCTTGATGCTGCCCTGCCTGACTCACCTCCTGCGTGTATTCCCTCTAAGGTCATAAATATCGGGTGCTCTTAGTAGAAGAACCTTAAGCCTCTTCTTGCCCTTTGAGCAGCTCCCTGGCCTTATGCAATCTAAGTTATAATTCAGAAAGAAGTTCTCCAGAAAAAGCAAAACCCCTATAAACAAAATGTGAGAGAACTAGCAAAGCTAAATTCTTAAAGCAAATACCATTTTGTTTCTAATGAGCTATGCAAAATAAAAAAAGTTTTAGTTCTATAAAAAGGGAGTGAGCAATGTGGTACCTGAAAAATTGCAAAAAATGATAACTGGAGCATCTAGTTCTTCATCAAGTGATGATGAAATAGCTGAAATAAAATTTGATCCTCGGAAAAAAAGAAGACGAGGAGCTAGAGTTATGAATGCGGTTGACCTATTTTCCCTTAATGCTTCTATACAAGAAAAATTCGTAAAAAAGAATGAAGAACTTGATAATCCTCAATCAAACGAACTACTAAGAATGAATGATTTATTTAAAGACAAAATCGATGAAGAAAAGTCTGTCATTCTCGATTTCTTATCAAAACAGTCTCCAGAAACAAGAGTTGTAGAAATTGAAACAGAGGAATTAACAAAGGTTTCCATAATCTCTGAAGGCGGAAGCTTTGGAGAATTAGCACTTATAAGTGATAGACCAAGAGCTGCTACCCTTATAACAGAAGAAAAGATTTTATTAGGAGTCATAACCAAGCCAAATTTTAAAAAAATTCTTGGGATTATTTCCGAAAAAAGGCTAAATGAAAAAGTCGAATTTCTCCAAGCTTTGCCAATTTTTTCAAATTGAACAAAAATTGCGCTCTATAAGTTAGGGTATTATTTTAAACGAATTTCGTTCAAAAAACACCAGTATGTATATAAAGAAGGAGAACCTGCTAATACTGTATATTTTGTAAAGTCAGGGGAATTTAAGGTAAAAATTATTTAGATTACAAAACTCCATAGTGAAAAGAAAGGGGTTGTTGATACCTCGTGCCTAGATACTAAAAGGAGTCGATTGAGTAGCAACGGGACTGTGCTGAGGCTGGGAAAAATGAGAAAAATTGAGGTGCAAAAGCAATTGCAGCTTGTTATTAAAGGAAAAAACGAAATGATAGGGATGGAAGAAGCGCTTGAAAATCATGAAAAAAGAATTCATTCGTGCCAATGCTGGTCTGATGAAGGAGAATTGCTATGTATCAGTAGAGATGTAAGCTATAATTAGAACTTGAATACAGGAATTGCGTACCCTGATACATGGGCACAAATAAGAGACAAGCATAATGCCAACAATGAATATTTTAAACATAGAGTAACCCAGCTGACAAGAATTGAAGAAGCTAAAAAATCATTGGATTTTTCATCTTTAAGTAAAATACCTGCAAAATTCCTCATAAAAGAAAAAAAAGACCCAGGAATTGAAAAGATGTGCTATGCATAATGAATAAAAACTTTTCTAGTGATAGGATTTTACATTTTCTATAAGAAAAGGGAGAATTTGTTATAAATTGCAAATTTTTTATTTATGATGGGAGGCTTAAGAGAATCTGGTACTAATATTGGCGATAAATCAAGAGAGATGAGTCCTGGATCTACAAATCAGCAGGGCAGTATAACAATATCTCCTAAACATAGCAGAATTGAATCAACACCAAATCCAGAAAGAGTAAAAACTGAGGAGTCTCCTGTGGATAGATCAATCTACCACATACATAGAAGAGTTGATACAAGAGTATCCAATGCTGATAGTCCATCAAGCCCAAATCACTATGTCAGTCCTTTTACAAGGTATTCTAAAAAAAGTCCGAATAAAAAGATCATTCACAGAAGAGTTGCACCTCCCAATTTTCTTAGGAATTTTAAATCCAGAATCCCGAATAAAAGAGCTGATGTTTTGGTAGAAGAGCTTGCAGGTAAATATAAAGAAAGTGTAGAGCAAAGCATGATTAAATACTCATCTGATATCCCTTCATATAAAAAAGAATCCAAAAGCTACTTTCTTTAATAGGAACTATTAGATTATATTACAACTGAGTGATTTTGAAAACATAAACGTTTAACTAATACCTACATAACCAGAAATTAGTCAATAAAATATAATTCTTAGTTAATACTTCAACCCTCTTAGTTTTCTGTCATCTCTCTGTCTATTTTCTACTTTAATCTTCCATTTCTGAGCTATTTCAGAATTTCCTTTAAGCAGCCACACTAAATCTTCTCTATATCTCCAATCACTTGGCAATGGATTTGCTGGAAAAGTGTGAAAAACAGGTCTGTGAGTATCAATATTCCAATACTCAGTATCACCAATCTCCAAATTTCTCAGCCAGCTTCCGCTAACATCACAAATTTTTTCATCATTTTCCATAATGCTTCCTTTAAAATCATCTAATTTCCCAACAGCCTTCGAAAAAAATCCTTTTTTCTTTGCAGGTCCAAAAATAAGCGTCGCTATCAGTCCATTTGCTTCGTCTACAAATTCCATGTCTCCTTCCCAATTCACAGTTCTGCTGCCCATTATCATTCCTCCCGCCCTAAATCTTGGATAAGTAAACGATATTTTCTGCCCGTCAGTGAACTCTACATTGACGTTTCCATGAAAACCTCCAATTAAAGAATTTTTTTTAAATTTTCCTGTCAGCTCTAAATGTCCATGCATCTTGAAATGCCGATTTTCCACATAAAAATTCGTAATAGGGGGATGATGAGAAGTGTGCTCACAAAATGCTTTGGTGCCGTTTGGTCATTCAGCTTGTAAGGTTTCTCCTAGTAGAGGGTTGAATGGCTTTTCCTGAGAAGGACTTATATAAAGTCCTGCAATGGCCATTGCGATCACTCTTTTGAATTTTTCTAATCGGTCAACCCTGTTAATTCCATCAAAATAGACTGGCATGAAGCTTCATCTGTCAAGCATTCTTTCTAATGTAGAACGAGGTTCAAATAGTCTGATTGGTAAGCTTAATCCAACAACTCCTTTTCCCTGTAGTAAGCAAGCAGTCACTTGCCCAATAACATCTATAATTATGCCTTTCTGTTTCGCTAAAACCTGCTCGTCAACACATTTGAGCCCTCCTTCTTTCACCAGCTCATATCCACGTAGTTGGGATTGTTTATCACCAGGTCTTTCTCTGTTCAAAACCCTAATTGAAGTATAAGTTGGAGGAGGAGTTTCTCGGTCATAAAGGCAACCAAGCAAAAGTGAGTAAGGCAAAAACCCTATCTCTTCAGACCAAATTTCTCGGTTGCTGCCATCTCTCGGAGTTGTGCAAGGATCATCAATACTCTCCATTTTTAATATAATTTAATAGTAATTTTAAAAAGGATATTATTTTAATTTATCCAGAATCTTAAATTACATCAGTCTACATTCGCATACTTCTCTAAAAAATGACTTCTTATCGCTGCTTTCTGGAAGGTCATTAGTTGAGTTATTTCTCTGCTGCACAATTTCTTCAAGCATTCTGCTTACATCATCTCTTACTTCTTTCTTCTTTACGCTGGATTCTTTCACAATGCTATCAAGCTTCCCAATATTATCAATGCTGGGCTTTCCAGCCAATTTTTTTATTTTTGCTTTTACACAGACCTCATGCATGTCAATGGCCAGACTGAGTTTTTGCATATAAATCAACTGAATTACATCAGTCACCCTGTCCCCATAGTCAAATTTTTCATAGAGTTTCATGTGAGCTATTAGCTCCTTAGACATGTAATCTCCGTTTAATTCCACATAATCATGATTCAAAGTTCTATTGAACTTTCTTTTATATTTGGAAAAATCCACCATTTTGTCTCGAATTTTTATCACTGAGTCACTATGATTAAGACGATCCATAATTTCCCACCTGGTAATGTCACGCAAATATCCTTCTAGTAGCTGCAAATTTGTGTTGTCGAGGGTATCCTGATTGATTTTTATCAACTCACTGATGGAATCATACAAATTTGCCTGGGTTCGGTCATATATAAAGTACTCTATAGAGGACGCCCCATTTCCTCTTCCTAGGGTCACTTTTATATCTCTCCACATCTCATTTGGGGGATTTGGCTCACTTATATCAAAAATGGCAGAAGATGAACTTTGGGCAACTTCAACTTTCTGTGGATATCCAATAAAATCTGAAGTTGTTCGCTTATGATCTAAAGTCTGTCGTTTCTCAGTTTGTTCCAAAGCATCCAATAGCTCGTTCAAAGCAGCAGCCCAGTTTTTGCATACAGCTTTATCTTCAAATAAAAAGGCAAGAACTTCCCAATTAGTTACAAACGCCACCACCTGCTGTGGGGAAATTGTGATTTGTGGGGAAAGAAACTTGGAAATTTTATCAAATGCTTTTACTCCACAAAGGTAACCTTTATCTTCTGACTGATTTTTTTGTATTTCCATCAAATTAAAAGAATTCAAGGACTCTTCATTAGACCAATTTCATTGGAGAACGTCAGGATTGCTATCAGAAACACAAATTTGTCCTGGAAACAGTTTAGGGATATTTCCTGCTTTGTCATTGGTTTTTTGGTAAATAGTGAGAGTCGTTTTTGAAGTTAAAGTACTTTTGTGTGTAGGTGGTAAAGAGCTCCACAATTCTGAGCCTGATAGAAACGCTGCAGAAGCTGAAGTCTCTCTGTTGGCATCAGCACTATAGCGGCCAAAAGAACTGAGAGTGCGTCTTATTTGCATTAAATTTATTCGTTTTTTCTAATAGATCAGTTCCTATTAAATCAAATTTTTTTGATACTAAATAATTACCTAGGCCATAATGCCAAATTATAGCTGGCTTGATAAGAAGTGAATTGTAATATAAATATGAAAAAAGTCTTAATTGCAGGAGGAGCATTAGCAGGCCTTGCTGGAGCTATTGCAATTATTTCCAAAAAGCTTCTGAAGAAAGATATTTTAAAGCAGGCAGGAGAATTGCAAGTCCAGACAAGCGAATTCAAAGATGGGGTGCTCACTCTCGAGTCAGCTATTAGCATTCTTGATGTACTTGTCGAACAAATACCTGATGCGATAGGAAAAATAAAGGAAGAGTTTGTAAAACGAAGGCTTGAATTTTATAATAATGACGAAATTAGGTATAGAGACGTGGTCAAAGAGTTTTTGGCACTTCAGGAACAAGAAATTAAGAGAATTACTGAGTGTGCTTTTGAGTCCTTCCAAATCACAGCTGCTGATTGGGATAAAGCTCTTTCTAAATATTTCAGCCATCCAGAAATAGCAAGTAGAATAAGCAAACTCCACCCAAAAAATGATGCCTCGTCGAGAATAGATGACATCCCTGTCGAGCTGACTGAAGAAAAATATATTGACTGTCTTAGAGAAATTAGAGAAGGCCTTGCCAAGTTTGCAGAAAGTCACCAAGGCGAGCTTATAAGTCCATTCGAACTTATCGTTACTGAACTCAAAATATACGACGATATCTGCAGCTTAATTAACTTAAAATATTATCGAGTACCTCCCAGTCCTTTTCACGTCCCTTGATTTCGCTCCAACTTCTTGCTTTCCATTCCTATTCCACAGCCTAAAGGCATGCTGCTCCTCCAAAGAGGTTTGCACTCCCAAACTGAAGATAAAGATGCAAGGTCACTACGCTATAAATCAATGGTCCAAAAATTCAAAAAGCGAATTTTCTGTTCAGGCTATATATCGAGATAAAAATGTAGCCCAGGGGCTTTACTCCCGATATCACGTTGAGAAATATCTGATTAACAGCTGATCTCCATTGCCTTAAGACACTTGCGGGCTTCGGGTGTTAAGATGGCAGGTTGGTTCGCCACGCCATTTTTATATGTGTGCGATATCTGAATCAAATATGGCTTTAATGAAATACACTTGAGCTCTGCAAAGCATATGTTCAGAACATCATACAGAGTTAAAGAGCTCCAGCAAGACCTCGAAGAAATCCATAAAAGTATCATGCCTCCAATCAAGGTTAAAGCAGCATAATTAAATATTCTTAAATTCTCAAACTGAGAATCTATTTAGCACAGTGATTTTTATTTATCATAAGAAAACAGAATAATGTTTAACCAATATAAACATTTCGCTTTATTAAATAGGTATAATCATTTTAATGAATAAGCTCATTGAAAGGAAGTTACAAAGAAAACTTATTTACTCTCTTTCAAGAGCAAGCGAGATATTTGTTCACTGTTAAAGTAGTCTTTTTTATAATTTAATTTTTTTTTATAATTAATTTGTTTTTAAATTAAAATTTGAAAAGAAAAATCTTAAGTTTTAGAATTCAAACTGTCTAGAATTATCTGGATGGTAATGCAATTATTAATAAAATTTAAAAAACAATTAAAACAAAAATTTGTATATTAAAAATATATTTCTCACTCTTAAAAGGTTTAATTTCCCCAAAATAGGCGAGGAAGAGTTATATGCGTGCAGAAATCCTCAATGGTGACATTTTCTGTGTTCAATACTTTGATGATTAGGTTGTTAAATTGCTCAAAATCAACCGGAAAATATAAGATCAAGTTTTCTACTGTTAAAATTCCATCTTTATTATCATCCATTAGATCGAACGCATCATAGATGAACTGCTTTTCATAAATCCTGAAAGTGAATCCCATAAAGTGATCATGGGCTATAGTTCCATTATGGTTTATATCTAGCAGTTCATATATAATCCTGCCTCAGTCTTGATGAAATAGGCCTCCTGTTCAGTTGGAGAGGGCTTCCAGCATTACTTCTGCTTGAATTGTGCCTGAGTGAGCTATGTCTAAATCTTTCCATAAGCTTTCACAGTGAAATTCTTCTCACATTCTTCCAGTTCTTAAAAGCACGTTGTAAACGCACATTTTTAGTATAACACCAAATCTGAATTTAGGCAAAAGGGTCCCAGATTCAGCTACGGTGCGAACGAAGTTTGTGATTTCTTGGTAAATCTGTGTGTTCTTGTCACGGAAATAGGGGTCGAAAAAGGCATTTTCTAGCATTTCGGTAGCTCCTGGACGGTTTTCTTTTTTCAGCATCATTTTAATTAGGTTTTTTATTACGGGGAGCTGCTGCTTATAGATTGGGTCACTGGCAACTTTTCCTTTGTTGACACACTTCATTATTTCCACATATCCTTTGCCTTGGAATGGCTGATGGCCTACTAGCATTGTATATAGAATTACTCCTATCGATCAAATATCACAGTTTTCATTGTAATTGCCTGCAAAAACCTCAGGAGCCATATACAAAGGACTTCCATATCTGTCATGCAAATTTGTAGCTTTGAGAATGCCCGCATTGCTAAAACTTATGATTTTGATCTCAGTTTTTTCTTTGTCCTTGAACATCACATTTTCAATGCATAGTGCTCTATGGCATAGCCTTGCCATATGCATATGTCTGATTCCAAGTAAAATCTGTGCAGTGATACTAACTTCCTCTCAAAATTAAACCATTGAAAAAATTATAATTTTTAATGCTATTCTCTATGAGCTAGCAAAAAAATTTTTTCATATCATAGATATATTGAAATCTCTATCCTATAAAGTTATAAATTAAATTGCAAATTAGATTTTGTAAAACCAAAAATAATTAATGCAGAATTTAAATTAAAAATTCAGCCCATTTGATTCGCAAATGCGCACGCAAAAAGTTTTGCTAACTTAATTAGGTGAAGAAAAAGAGCTTTGCTCGAGCTTAGTCTCTGTTCCCTGGCAAGCAAATCAAAAATTTCTCCTCCTTTACAAAGTTCAATGATTAAGTGAATGTGCCTGGACTCTAAAAAAACTTCAAATAACTTGGCGACATTAGGATGGTTTAGCTTTGACATAATAATGATCTCATTCATTATTGCAGATAAATTAAGCCCAATTTGCGATCTAAATCCTACGTCATCTCCGCTAGGAGATACATAAGCATCCTCACTTAAAGTGTATGTCTTTACTGCTCTCCTTATGTTATAAGTTTTATGGGTGCAGATCCTCACTTGTGCATAAAGAGAGCGCTTAGTGCCATCAATGCGATGCCCTATATGGTAAAACTGTTTAATTTTTGTTCCTTCATCATGAATTAATAGTGACGTGTTGGCTAAAGAATACTTTATACTACTATACTGATGAGATATCACTGACTGAGGTCCAGGGTTCATCATCTTCTAAAAAAATTATCATAAAAATGAAATATATGAAAACTCAAAAACTTTTACGATGACAGATTTTGCATTACTTCGTTAATATTAATAAATAATTTCTTAAATTGTGAGAGAGCTTATATAATTTAGTATTTCTATTAAAATATTTTTACATTTGTTTGAAGGTCCTCTGTAACTCCTTTCCATATTTAAGTCATACAATTTAAATTTTGGTCATTTTTGCTTAAATTATTGCTCTCCACAAAAATAAACTGGAAATAAAACTGGATTGTTAGATCTATAATTTTATATATGGAAGTCATAGCTATTGTGCTTTTTTAAGTCAGGTAAGATAGCCTTAAAAAATGAGTTTAGCTTGAATAAAAATCTATTTTTAAGCCAATTTCAGCTAACTGTTGATATTTTATATACCTAATTAATATCCATAATGATTAGCTGTTATCCAATTTTATATATGAAAATAGGATTTAAGTTGGATTTATTTATAAAATTTTAGAATCTAACTCCCCCTTCGTGAGAGAACAAAAAATTTTGTTCGCTCACAGAGGGCGGTTATATATATAAAAGATTTTTTCGCGATTTAAAATAATCCCAATTCAAAACACTTTTTAAAACAAATATTTATTTAATTTGTAAAATATATGTTTTAAAATGCAAGCCGTTTAAAGTTAAGCAGAATTAGTTAGAGATTTCATTATAATAATTATTAATTATAAGTCAAAATAAATTCTATTAGGCTATTTTCCAGTGGTTTTGTTCTTTGACGGAAGGGAATAAGATTAAAATTTAAATTATCATAATCAGAAATTAATTTAGCTTTAAAAATGAAGACTAATGCCTATTTTTGTTTAAAAATAATTTTTCAAATAATCTTTTAAAACTTCATATTCTTTTAGATTCGATTTTAATATAAAATATTTAAACTTAAAAAACATTCGGTTGGTAATTCATAATATTTTCTTGTATCATCTCCCTGTCTCTTCTGTCTTCAGAAACTTTCTTGTGGAGCAAATCAGTGTTTCTTGCCATAGCTGCCAAGCGGTTTTCATTCTGCATCTGGATTAGTTTAGCTCTTCTTTGGGCTTCTCTTTGCCTTTCTAGATCTTCCATCATTCTTCTATGTTCTTCTAGTCTTGCATGCTCCCTTTCTTCTCTTTCTCTTTGTTCCTTTAATTACTGCTGTGTCATAACTAAAATATGGCATTGCTAGAATTTTTTGGTCCGACCCAAAAATTAACTTAGCATATTTTATGTATAAAATTTGGTTTCCCTAATGAAATTATCCCAGGAAGCAAGAGCTGAGGTTTTTCCTACCAGCTCCAGCCTTAAGTAATGGAATTTTCCAGTAGAGTACCAATTACCCCAGCGGCGAACTGGGGACTTTAGGGTGCCGATCGGACCTAATTAAGTGACTGAGCTCAAAGAATAGTTGTTGAAACCAAACTTCAAGTTTAGCGTCCTCTTTTGGTGATCAAAGTCGGAGGTAGCCATACCTTTGTCAGGCCCGAGGAAAATAGAGCGAAATTCGAGCAAAGCTGAAGGCACCTGTGGTTATCAACCTGGTAGTGGATATTAAACTTGCATAGATTAATTAAGATTAATTGCTGCTCTCTCATTATCAGCTGAAGTTGCGCGTCTTGGTTAATCCTTTGTTTATAGCTAGATTTCTCTTCAGTGCTTCCAAATAGAGCAACACGTCGGCTCTCTGCTATTTGCTGTCTTTTAGCTTTTGCTTGCTCTAATCTAGCTTGCTCTGCCTGAAATTCAGTATCTAATGAAGTATCATTTCTTCCATTGTAAGGTTTTTGCTTTCTGAACATGATATTGTTCCTAGAATCTTCCATATTAATTTTATCGGCAAATTTAAAATTTTACTATACTTACTTCCCCTGCAAGGAGGGGTTAATTGTTTTTTAAAAAAAATTATATAACAATTTTTTTCAGTATACATTAATTCGAAATAATTTAAAGTATATATTAATATAATTTGCAAAAATTATTTTTTAAAATGTAAGCTGTTTAATATTAAACAAAATTAGCTAGAGATTTCATTATACTCATTATCTATATATTTTTTCATAAATATTTTTTGTTCCTTCGCATAGGGTGGGCTTTTACCTAAAAAATCGAAATTTTTCAAAGTGGTTTTGTTCACTCACAGAGGGGAGCTAATATTTTGTCGATAGCTTTTGTAAATTATTTTAAATATATTTTTATATTGAATTTCTCGTGTCATTTATTAATATCTTTGATTTAGAATCAAATTGGCTATAATCTAAAGTGTAATATTAGCTTTAATCCGACATAGAAATGTGATAAATCCATAAAGAAAAATTAATAAAAATTAAGCTATTTGATTGAATTCAGAGCTAATTTAGTCGAATTTTTAAAATTATTTGCTTATTTCTTTTTCTTATCAAAATAACGACTTTTTTGTTTATATGATCAAATTTAACACTTCTTAAAAATTTTTGTATTTCATCTCATCATATGGACATTTTTAATAGTTGCCATTGATGAGCCAACAACGCAAACAACAAAGGGAAGAGGACATCCAACTCTTGTTAGCTGTTAAAGCACATCTTGGTACAAGCAACGTCAGTGAATTTATGAAGCCTTACGTGTTCGCAAAGCGTCCAGATGGACTCAACCTCATTCACTTACTCCTCCTTCTCATCCTTGACCGATTTTTATATAATCAGTATAAAGCCACGCCCCTAGCATATCTAAAATCTAGCTACTTATCTTTGATAATAATGAATATTATAGATATTGAATGCAATCACCCTATCTATAATGCGATTTATAATGCATTTGCTTATATATCACATACTCTATCTTTTATCGCTAGCATATAAAATATTTTAAAAGGAAAAAAAAAAATGAAAAAAAATTTATATAATTTTTCCTTGATCGAGCAATGGCGATCAATTCTATATAGGACTCAGGAAAAGTTAGGAAAAACCTGGGAAAAACTTATGCTGGCAGCCAGAGCTATAGTAGCAGTAGAAAACCCACAAGATGTCATCGTAATCAGTGCTCGTCCATATGGCCAAAGAGCAGTTTACAAATTTTCACAGTACACAGAAACCTCATATCTTGCAGGACGCTGGACCCCTGGTACTTTCACAAACCAGCGAATTCCTAAGTTCATGGAGCCTTAGTCTTAGTCTTAGTCAAATTTATAGAGTAGCTCCCGGCCAGGACCGAAGGTCCTTTTCTTCCGCATTTTGGACGCCTTGCTTGCTTTCCTTGCCCTGCTCCCAGTGTGCACCTAAGTGCCACATGCTCCTTCCGGTCATGGGGCTTGGTCATGCTATCCCGGAAGTAGGCGAACTGGGTCACCGTGCTTCACGTCACCAGACTAGGGTTAGAGCTAAGGATTAATTCCTTAGCTCTTGTCGGCTCCTGCCATGCCCTCCAAATTGGCACTAGCGGTCCCTAGAGGAAAAACCCTTTTTGCCCCGTGTCCTATCGGGACGACCCTAGGATCGTCGTTGCTGGACTGTGAGGGAAACCTAGCCGGACACAAACTACCAGTGCCCATTCCAGACCTTTCCCTGGGCGGATTGGCTTCAGGCCGCAGCAAGGTCCCCAATCTCGCCACAGTTCCGGGAGAGGACGGGTCGGTGTCGTCGCCATTTTATTTGTGTTAAGTTCATGGAGCCAAGATTAATTATTGTAACTGACCCTCTCACAGATTACCAAGCACTTCAAGAAGCTTCATATGTAAATGTCCCAACCATTGCTTTTTGCGATACAGATTCACCAATGAAGTTCGTAGATATTGCGATCCCAGTTAATAATAAAGCTAAGAATTCAATTGCAATGATGTATTGGCTGCTTGCTAGAGAAGTTTTATACCTTAGGGGAGCTTTAAGCAGATCTCAGCAATGGGATGTCATGGTTGATTTATTCATTTGGAGAGATATTGAAGCAGAAGAAAAAGCTGCTAACTTTTACTTACAAGGAAAATTTTTAATTTATTTAATAAACAATTTGTTTATAATTTTTAATTGAAGATATTTGAAAGGGTATTGTCTTTTAATTTTAAATTTTATACTTTAAAATGATAGAGTTAAATCAAGAGAATAAGCTTAAAAAATTATTAAATATATGAAATATTATTAAGATAAATTCATTAAATTTTACCAAAAATTAAGGATTTTAATTTATTTTGATAGCCGTGGGGTTAAGGAACAAGGACAAGTTGCAAGAGAGGCCAAGGTCTATAAGCAAAAAGAAGAGTGGGATCAAGGAGCGGAAGCACACCCTGAAGGGCATGAAGGAGGAGCTCATTGGGGAGAAGAAAACTGGGGTAATCAAGGAGAAGGAGAATGGACAGAATCAAATCCACCAACATCTTGGGATTAATAAGTAATCTTGAGCTTTTTAAAAGACCAAAAAATGTGATCATTATTTTATAATAGCTTTGTGATAAACATAAAATTTAATATCACAAATAAAGAAATTCATTAAAATAGAGAAAATATATATAATTATTTTAAAAAATTGATTTTTAATGAGAATGAGACTGAATTAAATAGAAATCATATCTCTGCAAATTAGGAATTCCAAAATGGATAGCAGTGAAGAAGAAAATCCATTTGATGATATACAAAAATTTGAAAAAAAACTAAAGAATCAGAGAGGTGAAGTATTAGATCGATCTTCAAGTTCAGAAGAAGAAGAAGAATTCAAAGAAATTCCATCCTCAAATTACTCAAATGAAAACGTCAGACTTCAAAATAAGTGCCAATTGCTTATACAACAAGTTGTAGACAAAGAAAGAGAAATCGATTCTCTTAGACAAGCTTTAGGCTACGCAAAGCCTGAGCCTGAAGAAGCTGAAATCGCTTCAGGCGATTACCGAGATAAAAAGCTTATGGAGCTCGCCAAGAAAAATAGAACTTTACAAGTAGCATTAGAATCAGAAAAAAATCGCGCTGCAAGAGCTATGGAAGAAGTCAACAAATTAAGAGAGCAGCTGCTCAAAACCCAAACAACAAAAGGCTGGAAACACGATGCCCCTCCTCAGCCTCCAGAAGAAAACTTCAAGCAAAAATATCTAGCCTTAGACAAGCAATACCAAGAAATCAAACAAAAATACCACAACACTAAAGACGAATTAAAAAAAGCTATAAGGATTATCGAGCGAGAAGTCGGAGAATTCGAGAGCTTAGACCAGCTTTCTAAATCAGAAACATGAAGAGGAAGGGCTCAACAAATAGACACTCTTAAGTCTAAGCTTAACGATTTAAAACGACAGGCAAGTACACGTGGAAAAGCTGATGAAATCAGCAGCGCCACTGTGACTAGCTTTAGAAGTGAAGCAGGAGGGGCTGAAGAAAGGAGAAGAGAAATACAAAACTTAAACGAACAGCTTAATAAAGCACTTGAAGAGCTTGACAGCTGAAAGAAAAAAGCTCAAGGATCTTCTAGCAGAAAAGCAGCAGTCGAAAAAGAACTAAAAGAGTCTAAAGAAAAGCATAAATCACACATAAAAACTTTGCTTGAAAAATCAGAAAATGATGACATGCTAATTGCAAGCTTGAAAGAGGAGCTAGATAGAGTGAGGAAGTCTAAAGGAATTGTGGTAAAGCAAGAGCCTGCTAGTCAGCAAAAAGAAATTGAAGAATTAAATTGGCAGCTTGTTAATTTACATAAGCTGGTAAGTGATTTGCAAGAAGAAGTCAAAGAGAAAGATGGGATTTTAGAACTGTATAAGAATTTTAAGGGTGATGAAGGAGAAGAAGAGGTTGAAAATGAAATAGAGTATAAGGAGAGAATTAGAGATCTTGAAAGTGAGGTATTGAATTTAAGAATACAGTTGGATAAGAAAAATGCAGGCTCAGAAGATACCAAAATAATAAAAGATCTTTCATCTCAAAATGCAAGGCTTAGGAGTAAGGTCAATGAGCTGACTGAAGAAGTAAGCAAATTTAAAAACAAATAAAGTCATATATTAATAGAAAATATTTTTATTTTTGTTCTTATGTAATGGTACATAATATAAAATATTGTTTTGTTTAAAGATTCATTAGAAAATATTAGGATAAGTTTACTGTAAATTCCTCACCCCAGCAAGAAGCAAATTCTTTTTTATTTGTTAGAGATCTTGAACAAAATTTGAAATAGTCAATTTAATATGAATAGATAGAAATTGACTTGAGGGTAAACGCACAAAATTTGCATTTTTCACTTTTTATCTAAAACCCCAATAATAAGCAAATTTCGATCTATTCTTTTCTTATTTGCTAAAACCCCCTCAAATAATAAGAAATTTGCTTATTGTTGGGGAGTTAGATGTATTAAAAAAATCATTTTTTCAACATTTTCACAAAAATTAATCGGACGTTTTTTTGGGATGGCAAAGCGATGCCATCTTAAAAAGCGTCCAAATTAATCATCTGCAGAATGCTATTTATTAATTCTTTTTCCTTTTAATTTTGAGAGTAAGAGCAACGCAATAGACACTAAATTAGTAATCACAAAATTTACTTAGCTATAAAAGCTTGTTAAACTTCTCTGCAACTACTTGAGGGTTATCTTCTGACAGCTTTCTGATTCCATGGCTTCGATGATCAAAAGTGCATCCATGAGCTTCAGGGACTCTATGCTTTGCGCAGAAAGGATAATTGCATTTGCATTTGAATATAAGAGGTCCTACTCTTTTCTTGCAAGTCCAGCATCGATCTGATTCACATAATGGCTCAGGTTCCTCCGCCTTATTTTCCTCAGGAATTGCTTGGGTGCTTGAAATAAGTTCTGGCAAGGCTTTATTGGCTTCTGTTTTAAGACTTTCCATTTTAAAGCACATAGAGCACATTCCGTTTTGATTTCCGTAAAATTTTTTGCAGCACCTACACATTTGAGATTCCATATCAATTTTTATTCGCTTTTAAAACGGTTTGAAATGCGAATTTATATATCTTATTGCTAATATTGTTTACTTGCTTTAGCATTTGTATTGTAATTGGTGTGCGAGATGTTATAAACCTAAAATAAAATTTAGTTTGTGTAAAGAATCAAATAATTTTTTAGCTTTTATAAGATTTAATGATACTATTCTTTAAGCTAATGAATTAAAAAATGTTTTTCTCTTGGAGAAAATCTTTGAAAATGAGAAATTGGTAAAATATTTATATTTAAAAGCAAACTTTTATCTTTAAAAATAGTATTTTTAGGCATAAAATTTGATTATTTCCCAAATACAGATAAGTTTGAAAGATTTTAGAATATCTATGATTAACATGTATAAAGAATAAGGATTGATATCATTATTTAAGATCTATTCGATTTTAAATGGGTTTATCTTAAATATATCTTCTTTTCACATATAAAACTTGCATCAATTATATAAATAAATATTAAAAGAGTTTTGGAGTTTGAATGTGAATACTGAAATTTCATAAATCATAAAATTGTGCAATTAATATACGATTTCAATTTATTTTTTTTGGGTTATACGCTTATTATATTATTGTGATTGACAATTTTTCAAATAAAATAATTAGTCTTCAATCATTAGCTGCTTTGATCCAAAACATAATTAAAATATGGTGTCTCAGCAGGCATGGTCTCTCGACCATGTGGCTTCGAGCACATATTTTAATTATATCCGGTAAGGTTTTGCCATTCTGGAAATGAGCAGCAATGCTAGATAAGAAATTCTGCAGGAGGCAGAGCCTAGCCCAAGTTCGAAGTCTGGGATGGGAAGTCTAGCAAAGCCTTTTAGATCTATCGGGTAACTCTCTAGTGTGAAACTGGACATTACGTCCCAGGCTACGTGTTTTTTCCTTTTTTACCGATAGTCGGTCAGAAATAAGTGCTTATAAATCTAAGTAAGCTTTGATCCAAAACAAAAAAATATCAAGTTTATTTACTTCAAAATTCATAAAATCCTGGAATATCACAATTAAAGCCTAATAAACTCAAAATCACTCCACTCATCTTAAAGCACTCAATACCTTCAAAGCTACCTTATCAAACTCTCTTTTTCGATCATCTTTTATTCCTCACTCTTCAGAACCTCTTTACTCTAAAAGAAGTCAAATATATAAATGGAAAGTATCCTTACATCCATTCAATACTTCGCCCGCCAAGGGTTTTATCACCACATTATCGAAACCTGTGAAGGAGAGATGCGCAGAGGCCAAGACACAACTTTAGCCTTCTGGAGAGCCTTCGGAATTTTTAAAGAAGGATCAGTTACTGAAGCTATTCGAGAACTCGACAATCTAATGCAGCGGCGAGACATCCAATACCCTGCCTGCTGTGCCATAATTTATTACCACAAGCAATGCAAACTTGTAGATCAAGAAGCAGTCATGAGATTCAAAAATCAAAAATCGACGTTTAAATCCTCAGCAGGCGATGCAAGCTTATTGATGGCTGGCCAGTTTATGAGTCTCATAGGCAAGAACAATAAGTCAAGGCAGCATGTGACTGAAGTACTTGATAGGAACTCTGGAAATCTGCAAGCTTTAAATGTATATGGATGGAATGAGCTTTTAACAGAACAAGACGGGGATATACAAAGCGCTTCAAGGGCTTTTGATCAGGTTATAGAAGAAAGTGGGGAATTGGTCTATACGAGGTATATTGATGCTTTGTTAGGAAAAGTGAAGTGTTATGAAACTGCTAAAAAATTTAAAGAAATTGTGGAAATTCTTAATGATATGTTGGTGAAAAACCCAAAATTTGTACCGGTGCTGCTAGAAAAAGCGAAGGTGCAGATGATGATTGGAGACTGGGATGAAATTGTGGAGACTGTGCAGAGGATTCTTGTGGCATCAAATAGGAATATTGAAGCTCTGAGGATTTGGACGTTTCATGCTCTAGCTAGAGAAGCTTCTTTTGATGTTGCTGTAGAAAAACTCAAAGAGCTGCATGCAGCATTAGTGCAAAAAGAGCCAAAAAATCCACACTTATATATTGAATTTATTAAACCAATTGCAAGAATTGCAGGAAGAAAGCAAGCTATTTTAGAACAAACCCTGTCCATTGCACAAGAAGCTAGAAGGCTTAAGCCAGATTCAAGTGAAGTTCTTCTTGAACTCGGTGAACAACTTAGACTGCTAGGAGACTATAACGCTGCAATTCAAACTTTTACTGAAGCTTCCCAGAAAGATGAAGCCAATATCCAAGCTATCAATAAAATTATCCATTGTAAAATACTCCAAGGCCACTATACTGATGCTGCTCAACAAATGGAATTTTTATTTGAAATTGAAGAAGCCAATGGGAGAAGCGCTGAAGTCACTTTTATTGCTAGTCTTTTAGCGTGGAAAAAAGACCAGGATAAAAAAGAAGCTATTAGGCTATTAGATGAAGCTTTAAGCTTGCATGTAGCTGCAAGCAAACAGCTAAGCCCTGGATTCGAGTTCTATACAAAGCTGAATCCTGATTTCTTGGTAGAAATTGCCAAAGAATATTTACAATATTTAGGACTGAAACCACTTCCAAAAACAGGAAAACCTCCTCATTATTTGGTAAGAGGTGCCAAGCTGCTAGAAACAATCACCAAACAGATCCCAGGGATTATTGAAGGACATTTAATGCTTGCGAAAGCTAAATATATTTCTAACGACAACCAAGCAGCCCAAAGGTATATACAAATAGCATTGCAGCTTGATCCTGACTGCATTGATGCACTTATTATAAATGCCCTTATCAATCTTCAGAGCTCCCAATACTTAGCAGCTTCAGCATCTTTAGAACAAGCCTTAGCTAGAAATTTCATGATCAGAGAAAACCCTATGTTTATGCTGGTCAAAGGTACAGTCGAAATGAAGCAAGGAAAGTACGCAGACGCATTAAAGACTTTTGAAGCTGGAATTAACCTGCCAGGCGTCAGATCTCCTGCGCCTCCTAATAAAAAATCACAGCTTTTCTTAACTCTTTCTGAAGAAGACAGAGCTATCATATATGCAAACTTAGCTATTTGTTATGCAGAAAATAAGAAACTCCCAGAAGCATCAAGAATTATGGCTGAAGCAATTGGTGAGTTTGCAGGAACATCAGCAGAAGTAATAGTCGTTATCGCTAATAGTGAAATTTCTTTAAAGAAAGGAGACTTAAAGCAAGCTTTGAACATTTTAAATGGGATTTTGCCAGAAAACCCTCAATATAAAGAAGCAAAAGTTGCACAAGCTGATATTTATCTGAATAATATGCAGAATAGAAGGCTCTATGCGAAATGCTACTATGATATTGTTACCCAAGAAGAGTCTGTAGAAAATTATTTGCTTCTTGGAGAAGCTTTAATGAGAATCCAAGAGCCTGAAGAGGCAATTAAAGTGTATGAAAAAGCATTGAGGCAAAAACCTGACGATCTCTTTTTGACTAACTCCCCCCCCTCCGTGAGTGAACAAAAAAAATTTTTGTTCACTCACGGGGGGGGTTAATTTTTTTTTTTTTAAAAAATTTATATTTAAATTTTCTAAACAATATTTTTTTTTCGAAATTTAAAAAAATCCTAATTCGCAAAAATTGGAAAGCAAATATTAATTTAATTTATAAAATTTATGTTTTTAAAAAGCAATTCGTTTAAAATTAAATAGAATTAGCTCTAGATTTCATTATACTAATTATCACTTATATATCATTTTTTTTTTCCATAAAAAATTTTTCTATTAAAAAAATTTTTGTTCACTCACGGAGGGTTGGTTTTTGGGCAAAAAAACAGCGATTTTTCTAATGGTTTTGTTCACTCACGGAGGGGGGGGAGTAAGGAAATTGGAAGAGCACTGGTACTAACCCATGACTACCAAAGAGCAATACAGTATTATGAGTCTGCTTCAAGAGCTGACCCGAGGAAGTCTGAGCTACTAACTGATCTTGCTAGGCTATATTTGAGGCTTAAAGATTACCATTCCGCAAATCTTGTTCTTGAACAAGCATTAAAAGCGCCTGTCAACGACATCAACTCAATGCGCCAGGCTGCTCAAAACTACTTGCTCCAAGCCAGAGTCTTCCTTAAAAGCACCACAAACGAAGACCCATTAAACCTCCAGCCTCTCCCTTCAGCAGCAAATGCATTGGAAAACGCTAAAACACTGCAAACTGATTTACTAGCATCAGCACGTGATATGGCACCTGACCAAGTTAATATTGAGAGAAGCACATGTGCAGATATTTTGTTCCAGCTTGGCCAATATTATGAATTAAGAGAAAAAAAGCTTGATCAAGCTTTAAATTGTTACTTAGAATCTCTCAATCATAATGAAATGAATGAAAAAGCCATCATTTCTATAGCATATTTATATGAAAGCCAAGGTGATGCCCAAAAATGTATGCAGTTTTGTCAAAGAATGCTGAGAATAAACCCAGGAAATGAAGAAGCGTCAGAGCTTATGGCTGAACTGCTATTGCAGCAAAATTCAATTGATGAAGCTTTAGTTTGCTATCAGAGATTGCTTGAAAATAAGACAGACCAGTATAAAATCTTGTCAAAACTGTTAAATATGCTGAGGAGAGCTGGAAGAATTGACGCTTTTCAAGATTTTTTGAAAAATGCTGAAAAAATAAAAGGAAGAAATGCAGATGCAGGATTAGCTTATTGCAAAGGCTTATTCTATAAATATTCTGGAAAAATGAAAGAAGCCTTAGAAGAGCTGAATAAAGCTAGAAATGATGCTGTTTTCGGCCAGCCAAGCTTAGAATTAATGATAAAACTTTATCTCAACCCTAATGATGAAGCAATGTGGTCTCCTGGCAGAATTGCTTCAGAAAGTGTCAACGCTGCAGAAAGCCTTGTAAAAGAATTAATAATAAAATCATACAGCTTAAAAGCTGCCACATTAGAAGCATTCGTTTCTATCGCTAAAGGTCAGCGAGATACAATTGAAAAAGCATTCCAAAGTCTCTCAGAAATTCTCCAAGCCAATAACTTTTACGTCCCAGCAATAATAATATACTCCCTAGGCAAATGTGCAGCAAACAGACAAGAAGACGCAAAACATCAGCTCCGAAGCCTCGCAAAAATCCCTTATCATGCTGAATTTGCTGAAGATTTCGAAAAAGGCTGGCTTATGCTAGCTGAAATATATATAGATAGCAATAATTTAGACTTATCACAAGACCTTTTGCAGCGATGCTTAAGGTATAACCAATCCTGCAGCCGCGCAATGGAGTTATTAGGCTTAATAAAAGAAAGAGAAGGAAATTATAAAGAATCGAGCAATTTTTACGAGTCAGCCTGGCGACTTTCCAAGAGCTCCTCAATTGGTTTTAGGTTAGCATTTAATTACCTCAAAGCAAGAAGATTTGTTGATGCCATCGACGTCAGCAAAGAGGTCCTGAAACTGTTTCCTGATTACCCAAGAATTAAACAAGAAATATTAGACAAAGCAAGAGAATCCTTAAGACCTTAAATTTACGATAAAATATTGCTTATTTCTTATTATTGCAAGCATTCCAGTTAAGCTATCTAAATATGAATTTATTTATTCTTGGCCATTTATAAATGACTTCATTCAAAGAAGCACAAGCTAAAGGTATTAGGTGGCCTGAAGGACCTGATGATCTTTGCCCATCGAAGATTGAAAACACCTATCTCTATGGAGGTGGCCGCACAAGGAAATTCAAGATCTTATTAGCAGAAATCTCAGTTGCATGGGGAGCGTTCAATATTGCGCTTGACAAATATCTACTCAAGAACAGGCATAATGTGAAGAACAATTTTTTCTTAGAAAGAACAATGATTTGGTCGTCAAGATATTATCTCCCTTGCATGCTTGTTCTTTGGGGATTCATCCCTATTAGTCAAGCAACGTATTGGTGGGTGCTTTGGGTTTCAGTGGGAGCTAAGCCTAATGTTTCTCGTGACCCGGTGCCTAAGTGGAAACCAGGCGAAAATCCTTTTTATGATAAGGCAGAAGAAGATTAAGCTTAATAAAAGCTAAATAGGAACATTTGACTGAAATTATATATAAATGCCTCTAATTTAAATACAGGGAGCTTTTAATAAGTGTAAATTCTATGAGATTCTTAATGGAAAATAGAATATTTCTTTTAAATTGCTTTTTCACTGATAATAATTTAAATTAAATCACGTATTTCCCAACTTCTTGTGGATCAATCTCTTCAGAGTCAGATCCAGAGCTTTCTTCACTTGATGAGCTTGCTTCAAGGTAATTATACTCTCCATCAGGGTTTTCTTCATCACTATCTTTTTCATTTTCTAATTATTACCCACCTTCTTCAATTCCATTTTCCTGCGCTTTATTCTCTTCATCTTGTTTTTCTTCTTCGCTTGATTCTTCTTCACTTGATTCTTCTTCAGCCTCAAGCTCTGCTAAATCCTCTGCTTTTTCTGGATATTTTTTACTTTTATCAATTGTGAATGGCAATATTTCTTTGAACTGAAGAACGAGCTTATTATTTGGCTCCACTTTTAGGACTAAATTAATTATACTCTCCTCACTTCCACTTTAAGATTGAGTAAAATTTTATATTTCCTCTTGTTGAGGTGCTATTTTTTTAAAAACAGTATATACAAAATTATAAAAAAAATATTGTTTTTGGGAATAAAATCCTTTTTTGTTGAAATGAAAGACATTAAAATTTAATAGAGTTAGATCCTTAAAAATTTAATGTTATTATATAATAAATTTTTAGCTTGCGTTTACCAAAATAGATATTTTTTCAATGATTTTGCTTGCTCTTAAAGAGTGAGTCAGCTAAATTTAATGCCTCTGTGAACTCTTTTTGCTGTATGTGAGATATAAATTGCATTAAGTTGAGTATATGATTGTCTTCTTCCATTATTTTGTTTCTAATTTAGCTTAATGAATCATTTTATGGGTAAAATGATATGTCTATTGGCAGAATATATCTGAAAAATCTTGAAAATAAATTAAAGTTATAAATCCCCTGTAAGTGAGAAAAACAATTGGAGATCATACTTTTTTGTGAGAAAAAATTGCCGTAAGCGAGCAAAATTTATAAATATAAAAATTGTTTATTAATATATTTTTTAATAATAATTAATATTATCGCGAGATCTAGATAATTTTATTTAATTTTAAATGCTTGCATTCTAAAGCATAATTTTGCACATTAAATTAAATTTTTCAATTTCCAAAAATATTTTACTATAAAATTTAAGAAAAATTCCCCGAGATAAAAACAAATTTGCTAGGTCCGGAGGTAAAGAATAATAAAAACGGTTTCAGCATATATATAAACATTAAATCAACCTAGAATCATATATTAATGACATGATGCATTTTTTCCTTTAAATAGTTATGGTGTTCTCTCTTTGCAAATTCATTAATAAATGTCCAATCAGCTCTTGAACTGTATAGTCTGTCAAGAGAAGGCAAAGCTAATCTGTTTTTGCTCAAATATTTCTCTATGTGAAAAATGTATTGGAAAGCACCTCTTAGATAATCCATCAATATCCCACAAACCAGTTCCTTTAACTCCCCCCCCCCTTTAAATTGGAACTAAAAATTTTGTTCCAATTTAAAGGGGGGTTAATTTTTTTTTTAAAAAAAAATATCAATATAAAATTTTTTATAAAAAATATATAAAAATTTTAAAAAATAAAAATTTCAAAAACTTATCGAATTAGATTAATAAATTTGTTTAATAAAACGCTATTTACTCTTTATCCTTTAAAACAAAGCAAGAATAACTAAATTTTCATTATTAGTTAATACGCCACTATTAATTGGTATCAAAATTATTTACACAAAAATTTTTATTTTTATTGATAAAAAAAATTAAAAAAAAAAAAAATTTGGAAAATTTATCGATCAAAGTGCTAATTTTGTTTAAATAAGATGTTATTTATACTCTATTCTTTAAAATAAAGCAAGAAATAAGTAAATTTTGAAATTTTATAAAGAATTCCTATTGAATTTATATCAAAACTATCTAAATAAAAAATATCATTTTTATCAAAAAAAACAAAAATTTTTTTGAAAATTTTTAAAAACAAAAATTAATTTTTTTAAAATTTACCAATTAAGGATAATCAATTTATTTAAATAAGATGCTCTTTATACTTTTTTCTTTAAAAAAGATCAAATTTTTAATTTTAGTTAAGAAGAAACATTTAACTTATATCAAACTTTTTAGATAAAAATTATATATAATTTTTTTATTATAAAATTAAATTTTGTTCCAATTTAAAGGGGGGTTAATTTACCAAAAAGTGGAAATTTTACCGATATTTTGTTCCAATTTAAAGGGGGGAGTAAGTGATTTATCTTTATCCCCAAAATATACTCAAAACCTTGAAGATTTAAATAAAGAAGAAGAAAAATTCCTACGAATCGCCACACATCAGCAAGAAGTAATCAACGCAATTCAATCAAAACTCGCAAATGAGATTCTTGAGCTTGATGAATTTAAAAATATTTCATTGCAAGTTATAGCTGAGTTTATTAAAAGTGTGCAGAGAGAAGTGGCAGATGCCTCAAAATTTATCAATAATTTTGTTAATGAAAAATGCAATGATGCACAAAAGGAATTAAGAAATGCATTAGTGCTGTTAAAGCTTTCACATGATTCAAATCATCCCATTTTGAGCTTGCTGTTAAGGTGCAAGTCAGTGGAAGAGGTAAGAAATATAGATATTACGAAGAAAGACCTAAAATTTAAAGAGCTGGGGATCAAAGATAGTGTGAAAGATGCGGTTTATTTTTGTTTTGATATATTGAAGGATAACACTATTATGGCAAATAGACTTCCTCAAGCGCATCCTGGCGATAACGCTGATAAGCATAACTCTACTTCAGTTAATAATGAGCATAAAAATTAAGCAATTCGCAATAATATGGTTTGCTTTTCAAAATAAAACATCTCATATAATTTCTCTTGAAAAATTAGAAGTATATAAATTTTGAATTATTTACAAATAAAAAAACAAATATGCTCAATATTAATTGGAGAAGTGAGCCAATTAGAAAATCAAAAATCGCTGTCCCAGGCTCCAGACTTGAAAAAAATGGGAAAGAAGCATCGCCTATTAGGCTAGAAAGAGCACTATCTGATAACGCAGTAGAAAGACTTTCGTTTTCATCAACCAATGGAGTACCCCGGAAAGCAATACCAGTGCCAGTTATACAAAGTGTGAAAGCAGAAAACATCGACTCTCATGATGCTTCTTTAAAAAGGCACCATTCCAGAGACATTCTTGTTATTTCACACAGTAAAACCGTTCCTTCTTCAAAAAATCCTTTTAGAGAGTCAAGATCCTCAGTTGCCGAATCTCCTTCAAGAAAACTAAATCTCTCCTTAAGATCATCAAAAAGCATAGAACTAGGTGTGCTTAAAGGCCGCCTCTCAGTAGATCCCCGAATGCAACAAATCTCCTCATTTCAAAAATCCCGAAGTTCTGACCCTCTTCCTCCATCTCTCTATTGTTTTATCCCTGAATCCTCAAGACTGATTATTTACAACACATCTACAAAAGACTCAGAAGAAATTATTTTTGAAAATGACATTTTTTATTCTAAAAGCTCTTGGGGTGTCAGCGAAGACGGGAAATTAATCCTTACTGGAGGCTACGACGGAAATGCTTTAAAACATACATTTATGTATAACTTATATGACAAATTTACAGAAAAAGTGCCAAATTTGATGCAGGCACGATATAATCATGCACAAGTGGCATTAGGAAACTATGTATATGCTCTTGGGGGATTTAATACAAATCCAATGAAGGATTGTGAAAGATTGAACCTTAATACTAAAAAGTGGCAAAAAACAGGCAATTTGAATATTGCAAGAGACTGTCATGCAGCATGCGTTCATAGTGGACGAATTTTTGTGGCTGGAGGAAGCGGGATCGACTCCATTGAAGCTTTTAATGCTGTTAGTGAAAAGTTTTCATTAATTAGAGTCAGATTATCAGTTCCAGGAAGATGCTGCATGTTTCCTCACAATAAAACAATCCTGCTCTTTCAAAGGAAAAAAGCAATTCGCTTATGCCCCACAAGCATGTCTTGTACCGAAATCTCCACAATCCAAGAAGCTGAGTGATGAACTCCAGGAGACCCTGTCATTACTGATGAGTATGTATATTTTATTACACAGTTCAATGCATTTAAATTCCAATCTGAAACTGGAATAATTGAGCTTGAGTACACGTTTAATTTATAACTAATTTACTAATTTTTTAAAAATGTCTAAATTCCAAAGGCCGACTAATGAATTAGACCAAATTCAAACCCGAAAGCTATTCCAACTTATAAAGCAAGAAACACAAGTCTTTAGGGGATGAAGCAAAGAAGAGCTTAATACATTGTCTGACCTTGGGACCACTCTGAAATTTTTTGCAAATAATCAGATTGTAAGAAGAGGAGAAATTGTGGAATGATTTGGAATCGTTTTAAGCGGAGGCGGAGTTGTGTCAAGTGATTTTTTAAAACTTGGAGTGGTAGGAGTAGGGGATCTTATAGGGTATATGGGAGTATTAGAGCTTAAAGATAATGCGCGGCATAGGTTTGATATAATTGCGAATGATGATGGGTATATCAGTGTTTTTTATCTTGAAGATATCAAAGCAATGCATAGAAAACAGACAAAAATCGTGTTCAAGTTTTATGAGATGCTAGCTTATAGAGTTTTAGACGTCATGTATTATCAATACACATCTGAGCAGTTTCTCCATCCTCCAAGAATTCAAACAACTGAATATTCATCAAAAAAACTACTTGAACTTATCAATCTTCATAGAGAATTTTCTAGAAAAGTTACCAATTTCTTGGAAAGACTTGACTTAAAGGTATTTTTAAGCCTCTGCAAAATTGTAAATTTTGAGCCAAACCAACTGATTTTGAAAAAAGGGTACTCAGAAAATGCACTGTTTGTAGTGATTAAAGGAGACTTGGCAGAAATGCAGGATTATATGTCAATGTTTATCAAAGAAGAATCTATTTTTGGAATGGAGCATTTTTTAAGCCCTGGGAAGTTATGAGATAATGATATTGTTGGGCATACTCATGGGTTCATGCTAATGGTTCATCGAGATATACTTAATGAAATAGCATCACGAGCTCCTGCAATTGCTGTAAAAATTTATAAATTGCTATTTAACCTTCATTGCTCTTTATTTATCAGAGATAAAGAGCCAAAATTGTTTCTTCCAAGGGATTATTTGTCAAGCGAAGAACTATTTGTAGAGTTAGATGTCGGAAAAGCTGTAGCTATACGTCAAAGAGACCCAAATCGTCAGCTCAGTTATCACCCAGACCGATCATTCGAAGATGTCTTTTTCAGCAACCAAACAACTCCTACAAATCCACCTCTTTTTGTATTTTATCGCTATAATGAACAAATAAAGCAGCTTCAAAAACCTATACAGAAGCCAGAAGTCCTAGGATCAATTTTTTTAAACGAAAAATTACAAAAACAAAGACTAGAAGATGAAGCAACTAGAAAAAGGGGAAAAAGAGGCGCAACAAGAAGGTCCCCCGGAAAGAAAAAAATGACTGAAGAAATGAAAAAAGAGCTCGCAAAAACTGAAGGAGGGTACATTGACTATGTAGAAGAGCTCGAAGGAGCTGTCGAAGAATTGAAATTAACAAAAATTGAGCATGAAAATTTTAAGAAGAGGATTGAGTTCTTGGAAAAGGAAAATGCAAGTTTGAAAGAGAAATTAAATGAGGAACAGCTGAAAAGAGAACATTATGAAGTCAAATTGCAGAAGCATGCGGTTGTGAAGGATATTGCAAGATGGGATGAAATCAAGCCTTCTATGAATTCTGCACAGCAAAAAATTCTAAATAGGAATTTCCAGGATATTGCAAATGAACAGATGAGAGCACATAGAAAGCATGCGATTACTTGGAAATATGCGATGAAGTGGATTGAGTTTGTAAAGAAAAGGAAAAAGGAAAGAGAAATCATGGAGAGGAAGAAGTTTTGGCCTGGAGAGTGGTAAGTAGTAATTTAATAAATTTAAATTGAAGTAAATTTATAGAAAGATATCATAGAAATGGGAAAATGATTTAAAGAATTTAAATATAATAATAAACAATTTATTGCACTAACTCTAATTAGAAAGAAATGATAATATAGCTCATTCACCGATATAGATTGCCATCATTGAAAATGTAACTGTTCGAATGGACTTCATATCTTGTACTTCTTAGACAGATCCATCACTTTTTATAAAAATATTCAAATTATAATTTAAATATCACTAATTTTAAACTAGTTTAATCTAATTTTATATAATTATTTTAAAATAATAGTGAAAATAATTCCCAAATTTTGAAAACTTAAAGTGGTATTTTAAAAAATGGTTGGCAAGTGTGAAACATTTTGGCAAGCAAACAAATATCTTTATTATAAAAATTAATATTTAATATTAAGATACACTTATAGACTGAATCTGATAAGTATCTTATCTACTTTTTTCTGTTTCCTATAAAATTTAGGTTCAATCAAGTAAATGATATTAAATTCAATTTCTTAATCATTATAAAAGGATTCTTTTAAAAATTTTATTAGTTAAAGTTTTAAATCAGAAAATTGAGCTTGATATCGATATCGAAATATGCAGATATATACCAAATAAGCCCATTCAATAAAAATTTTAAATTTTAACTTAAAGTAATTTAATTAATAAAATTTTAATTTTTAAACTCAAAGCATTTTAATTGATAAACTCAAAGTTTGAAAAAATGGCAGCAACTTTTATTAACTATTGGTAAATCCCACCCCTCATGGAGCAAGTTCCTATGAAGAATTGGAGTTGCTTTTACAGCAAATCTTTATCATAAAGTGTAAATTTTTATTTGGTCAATGAACTTTTATAGAATCAACCTGAATCATATCGTTCTCGGATTCGTTACTCAATTTTTTTGTTTTCAATATACTTAAAATAAAATGGCAGCAACTTTTATTGACTATCGTTAAAAATACTACCCTTATGGAGCAAGCTCCTATAAAGAATTAGAGCTTGATTCCACAAGCAAATAAATCTTTATCATTTAGTGTGATGTTTTAACCAATGAACTTTTTTACTTGATCTCCATCATATTGCTCTTAAATTCAAACTCAATTATTTGCATCAGCATGCATCTAAAAAATTTTTTATTTATTCTTTTATATTTATTAATATACTCTTTTGGAAATATTAAATAAAAAGGGTCGACTTATGGGTTCAAGCTTGAAGTGTGAAAATAGCATTCCACATATGGATTCTACATGCTTCGGCATGCAGAATGCCATTCCACATGCCAAGTTCGAATCCACAAGTGGATGCTTTTTATTGAATTAAGCCAAAAGACTATAAAATTTTAAAAAACCTTTTCTTAAATTAATTTTTATATAAAATTAGATTAAACTAATTTAAAATTAGTGATATTTTAATTTATAATCTGAATATTTTCCTAAACAGTGATGGATCTGTCTAAGAAGTGCAAGATATGAATTCCATTAAAACGGTTGCATTTTCAATGATGGCAATCTATATCGGTGCATGAGCTATAGTCATTAAAGAGTTTTCTTTTTCAAAATATTAATTTAATCATTTTTATTATTGGTGAAGTAAATTAATCTAAATCAATTCTTTATTTAAATCAGCCACTATCCCAAAACTTCATGCTCAGAATAAAGCATATAAAGAAATCCGTCTTCATCTTTTTTTTGTTGATAAACTTCTCTCATCAGAGCTTCACCAGATAAAAGTTCCTTTCCACCTATGAATATAAAAACACCAGCACTTTTATCGAGGTTCAATTTTTTACGGATGCTTGCTGTAAACTGTTGAACTGTAAAATCATTCGAGCACAAGAACTTACTTTTAGGCAAAGCCTCAAGAGTGCATCTTGAGTCTTTTTCTAGTATAATTGGGATTTTTTCTGGCCATCTGCTTTGAATTTTCTCGGTCTCGTGCTTTCTTTCATCCAAGGTCTTTTCTTCCTTATATCTAAACATATTTTATGGCATATTTAGTCTTCATCAGAAACATCGTTGTCCTACTCCCCCAAAAGTTTTATTTTTCTAATAATAAAAATAAAGCATTATTTTAATATAAATAATAAGGATAAAAATAAAATCTTTAGTTGTATTTAAAGATATATTACTTCATTGAGATAGGACTATAAAATAAATAATTATGTATTTAAAAGCTATAAAATTATTTTTTAAGTTAAATCATTGAGTTTATGAATAATTATAATCTTAAGTTTGAATTCTGGACACGTATCAGCTGGAAAGGTTTTTGTGATTGGGGCTCACTTATCTCAACTACTGACTGCGCACGTCTATGCCGAGGGTTTTTCCCTGAAGTTTCTAATAAATGAGCAAAACTTAAAGGAAGATTTCTTGGAGTATTCAAAACTCTTCTTTCAGTTTCAGCTCCAAGGGGTGATTTGAAGCAAATAAATTGAAAAGCCACTGCACCATTAGAAGTATTTTTTTGTTGAGCAGGTTTTGGCAATGGAGGCATCTTATACCTTTTCTTTTTTCTTAAAAGCTTGCCGAACATTGGCTTAAGATTTGCTCGGAAAATAGAAGCAAATCTTTTACATGCAATAATTTTATGTAAAGTTAGGGGATATTCATCATAAAAATCTTCAGGGTCGTTGACACTTAGTTTTAGTCTTTTTTTCATAGTGATTAGAGGCGATGGCAAATCAGATTGATGAGAATGGTGCTTATTGGGATTTAGAGCTAGACTAGGCAAGTCAAGTGTAAATGCACTTATTACAGCTAAAGGATCCCATGGATCAACGCTTTTTATATAGCTAAATGATCCGTTCGAAAACATAATTCTTGACTCAATTCTATATTGCTTTTTTAGAGATTTTACAGAAAGATCCCACGATTTTGCTACTGAATCTTTAGTTTTCTGCTGAGCAATAGTTAATTTTGAGATTTCTTCAGAAAAATTCAAAAAATCTTCATCAAATAGCCAAGGACTATTATAAGGAGGCTGCTTCAAGGCTTGACAAACCTGCTGATAAAAGGTCTGATCCTTTTCTCTTATGAAATTTTTCCAGTCCTCAAATGGCCCTAACAAGTGAATTGGTATTTCAGACTCCCTGAAATAAAGAGCTATTAATTCTACTATAGAATTATCAGCTTCCCACAAAGATTCAATAATAAAATTATAGATTTTATTTTTGTCTTCAATATCTATAAATGAAATCAATCTAATTGCACTGGAAGGATGCTTTCCAGTCATAAGATGGCCTCGCAATTTAATGTACCAAAAACATTTATAAACATCATGCAAAAGGTTTTTTGTTTCTATGGTGACTTGAGAGACTCCATCAAGTTCTGCAATAAGAGGAGATAGCCAAGAACTGTTATGGACTTTTTTATTTATTTTCACAGATCCAGAAAGATATACTGTTGGACTATAGTTAGCCAATTATTTATATGGATAATATATCGCTAATGAGAAATTCAATTTAATTAATAATAAATCAGTTGGGAAAGAAGCTTATCAGTCTTAATGCATGGAATAAAATAATTGCATATCTTAGAAATCAGCCAATCTTCATCTACTCCTATTCACTCTTCTTTTTGGTTTAATAGAATAGACGCAATTTCTTCTCTGATTGAATAAATCCCTAATGTCCTAAACAATGGTTGTATAGATGGCGATATTGAATCAATGACAGCCAAAAAATCGCATTTTACAAACAAAGCCTTCATAACTTCAATAGCATCAAGTACTTCTTCAGTTTTCAAATTATCCAAAAGACTATTTATAGCATAAAATGCCATATCAGAAGGCAAAAGTTCTTGAAGCTTATTAAAACTTCCTAGACACCAATATAAAAATGCAGAATCCTTTGTCGTTTTTTCATCTTTTTGCAGCGGCACTGTAGCAAGGCTTTTAATTCCTGACAAAAGCTCTGAAATGTTTTTAGCTGATTGAAAAGGCACTGATTGGTATTCTACTGGTGATAAAAATAAAGGCTCTTTTGGGTCCAAATAAAAGGCTAATAAAGGGATAAACTCTAAATTGTGATATCCTTCAACGTGCTGGATGTTTCCTTTTGTCAGCTGAAAACATACCTCTTGTCCAATTTCTTCGAAAGATTGAGGCATTCCTAAAAGATAGTGCAAGTTGCAGTCAATGCTCCTTCTGGATGCAGGATTTATATAAAATGATGGGAAAATGCTTTTTTCTTGGTTTTTTTCATCAGATGCTTGGGCGAGGTCCATGTTTTCTTTGAGGAACATTCTTAAAAATCCAGATTCAGTCGGTTTTTGAATCACTCTTTGTTTTTCTCTGAGAGCTACATAAGTAATAACAAAATATACAATGTTGAGATGGTTGGCTTGGTGGTTTCTGTATTGAATTAGGGAATATACAATTAATACATTTCTAAGCCTTTGCAGCTTAAAACCTAACCAATCTTCAAGTGTAGCCAAAACATTGAACGCATAAGGAGCTTGATGATCAGAAAGCATGTAAATGAACACTTTAGAACCCACATATATGATCCAGTCAAAAAAATCGCTTGATGAGCATATTGAATATCCAAGTAAATCAATTAGCTGATGCAGATGGGAATAAACCTCAACTGCATGGATTTTTTTCTTTAAAATTAAATTGCTGGACAGTTTGCTATCGGACATTTCTCCAATGTTCTGGATTGTAGTGTAGTTAATTTCTTCATGCAGTTGAGGAGGAATTACTGTTTCAATATAACTTGCAATTTGGTCAAATAAGAATTTTGTGTAAACGGTAGGATTACTTATGACAGATCTCAATAGTAAGACTGCTTGATCTAAGTTTTTTCGCCTTGGGCCCGAGTCCATATCACTTGGCAAAGGATTTGTGTCATGAGAAATGTTTATCGTAACATCATGCAGCTCTATTTCTTGAGGTAAATATTGAGCTATATGATCTTTTATACTTGGACAATGCACAATTTTGAGATTTGTAATGGTATAGCCATCACTTACCAGAATTTCTGTTGCTCCCCAATCAACACTCATAAGTACAGCTCCATCTTTTAGCAGTTCTGGATCAGTTGTAAATATAAGCAAAGAAAATATCCTAGCTTCAGGAACCGTTCTTATCATTTCGACAGATGTACAAATTGGCTCTCCAAGTCTTGAAAAGATTGAAAAATACCCTACTCTGTATATGACTGCCAAATAAGTATCATCTGGAGATCATGACATATCATCAATCCAAAATGACGTATGTCCATCCTGAGAGGTGCTTGGCATATCGTCTACAGTTACATAATTGCATAGTTTTCTGGTCGACGCTATACCGGTAGCTGGGTTCATAAATACTAATTGGCAGAAAAAAGGATGCGACGAGTTGACTGCAATCGCAGCTAAAGATCCTTTGTTGTCGAGTCTCACTATCAGACCCATGTCTTTGCTACCTTTTTTGCTTCAAAACTCCAGTTGTCCTTTGCATACGTATTTTTCTAGTTTAAAAGTTGATGACCCTTTTGGGGTTGTTTGTTCGAGATCGTTGATTTTGGCTAAAAAATATAAAGACTCTATTGTGCAGGATTCTTTATTGGCTGATCTAAGCCATACTCTTAATACGTTTGCAGCTTGTCCTCTGATATGGTCATGAGTAAATCTGATTGAATAAGCAAAAGAGTTGTATCTTGACTTCGCTGCTTGCTTTCTAGGAGAGCTTGATGTAGGGGAATCAGCTGGACTTACTCGAGAAGAATTGATTTTTCTGTTTCTGATTTTATTAAGAGTTGAGGACGTCAAATTTACCCAGGTGCCCTTTAAATGAGGACTTAAATTGTTTGGATCGCTAAAGTCTGGATCAGGCTTTCATAGCCAAACCTGCTCATCTGGATCAATTATAAGGATTCCTTTGCTACTAACCCCAATTCCGCAGTAGTCTTTCTTATATTTATCAAAAGCAAGTTTTAATTGTGGAGGCACCAAAAAACTTTGAAAAAGCCTTTTATGCTTCGACCAAAGCACAACGCTTCCATTTGAGAGAACTCCAGCTACTAATGATTTATCGTCTGAAATGCCGACTATGAGGACTTTTACGTCTTTACCTGGGAGTAATACTTTTAAGAGCTTCCCTCCAGATGTAACTTCAGCTATATTGTGAGTCATGATCAGCATATAAGGATGCTCTGATTGAGAATTCACTCTGACATACCTGAAAATTTTGGATGATTGAACACGTAGAGCTCCTTGCTTTGATAAGCTTATCATTTTCTGTTATTAATGTTAAAGAAATATTAAAAATCTGGCATTTAAAAAAAATAAAATTTTTTGTTACAGGGCTGATTAATTTTGTTAAAAGAGTGCAATTTAAAGTTGATATATATTAAAATTTATTAGGTGAATAATTATAAAGGCATATAAATATATAATTAGAAAAATAAATTAAAGTATATTTGGCATTGCATTGTATAGCAATTAAATAATAAATTTCATGATGAAATTATTGAAGGATGTAGAGCAAAGGAATTATATATATAGAATACTTAATGATAATCGCCTTAAATTCTGTGCTAAATTTTGCGAACGATTTAATTTTAATATTTGAATATCTAGCTTAAAATAATGTAAATTATCAAAGATAAATATAATTTATTATGGCTTCGTCCGATTATTATGTGAATAAAGTTTCTGGAGTTGACAAAGCCATGGAATGATTGATAAAAGGTGCAAACTTGGGCTTTTATTTTGGTCTTTTCTTTGCCAAGCATGAAGTTAAGAGAAATGATATGGGATCATTAAGATATTCTGGAGCATTGAGCTTTTTTGTTATCAAAAATATGCTAGTTGCAGGTGGAAGCTTAGCAACCTTAATGTTTTTAGTGACAGCATTAGAAAAGAGTAGGAGAGTCAATGATGGGTTAAATTATGGAATTGCAGCAGGAATCACATTGACTCTTTGGCATAAAGCATGGGAAATTCCACGCAATCACCTCGGCAAGTATATAATTTTATTTTCATTAGGAGCAGGATACTTTGGAAATATGCTGAAATATCAAGAATAAAAATACATCCTAAATGAATTTAAGTAAAAAAATATTTAAAATCTAGCTCATTTTTAGGTATCTAAAATTATTTTTCTTAAATTATTTCATTTCTTATCTAATTTTTGATGCGTTTTATTTTTTACTATAATAATTGATTTAGAATTGTACATTAATAGGATGAATTTTGATTTAAATATATATTTAAGCAGAGAAAGAACATTATAAATTTATTATTTTTTTCAGGGAATTTATTTATTTTCCTTTAAACTATTCAATTATAATAAAAATGCGTTTATTTTCAGAGCAAGAGTGCAGACAAGGAGTGGGCCTTCCATTCGAAATTCAACAAAAGCTGAGATCAGGAGATTTCGCATTCGTCACAGAAATGGGCCGAAACCTGCAGCTTGACGAGCAGGTTCTATGCACAGCTAATTATATGATCAATGTATTTTTCACTCGAAGGAGCTATCTAAACTATGACCGGCACATTGTGAGTACCTCCGCCTTAATCCTCTCCTGCAAACTCCACAATTTCAAACGTCAAAACAAGAGAATCTACCCGATTGCCTTTGTTTCTTACTACCACAACATCATCCACAGCAAACTCCACACAAATTCTGACCGCCAGCCCCCAGTATTTGACGAAAACTTAAAAGCAGAGTACCTAAGCAAGATATTCAAAGCCGAATTCAAATTAATGAAGACTCTGGAGTTTGATATGGAAATTGACCTGCCCATTTATTACTTAGATTTGATTATTGATAAACTCTACGCAGGGGTTGAGGACAGAGCAATATTCCTTACAATGGCAAGAGTTATGGCAAATGAAAGCATGAGGACAATTGCACCGCTGTGCATAAGAGCATTAGCTGTTGCCGTAGCTTCTGTTGTCCTTGCTGGGGTAATTTGCAATATGCCTCGTCCTCAACAATTAATAAGGATCCCAAATCCAGAAGAGTGGTGGACTAATGTATCTCCAGATTTACAGCTCTCAGAAATAACGCAAGCCATGCGTATTATTATGGAAGCACTGACATTAAAATAATTAGGTCTCTTAAACTGAAATCAAATATACATATTAGTGGCGAACAATTTTTTGTAAGCCGAATTAACTTATTGTGGTTCGAAGGATGAAAAGATAAGGGCTTTTAGGTTTCGTAAGAAGCAACTTTAGTAAGTGTGTTTTATCGCCGTAAAATATTCAGTACAAGTAAATTAGAGGGATAATAATTTAAAGATTATTATTATTATTAATTAAAACATCTGATTTTCCGAGCTTCTGAGCATCTTTGAATTCCTCAAAGTCGGTTTCCCTAAGCTCAATTTCAGTACCTGCTGTAATTCCTATCACTTTTTTTTCTGGTTTTCGCCTTTGTGGAGTCTTATCTCTCACATATTTCTTTTCTATATCCTTGGCTATATCTCCACTTATAGTGGCTGACAATCTTTCTTTTTTCACTTTCTTTTTTAACTCCTTTTTGCTAACTGGAATGCAATCCGGCCATCTCTTTTCAAACTCATCGATAAATCAGTGTCGAACATGCTTCAGTTGGCTTACAAACCTGATTTCTGAGTAGGCATTGTCAGTATGAGTTAAAAGATACTCCTGGACTGCATCTATCATTGTGGGTACGACCATTTCTATTGGAAACCCAAAATGATCTAGGCAAAAAGGAGGAAAAGAAATTGAATTTACCCTCAATTCTTCTCCTTTTCTTAAGCATTTTAATATCAAATCCTTGATCACTTGTTCTTGGTTGTCTAAATCTGTATTAAATACAGGACTTGAAATATGTATCACGTACAATGCTTTTAATTTGCCTGCTTCAGTTACTGCGATATCTCCTACAGGAACAAGCCCATTCTGAGCAACTCAATTTCTGCAAGAAATTACTAGCTGATGAGACCCGGTAATAATAATTTGTTTAGAATCGCCTTCTGGGTGGTCAAGAGTTTGATTAGTAACATTTACAATGATCCCGACTTTTTCTCTTCACAGCTCATTTTGAATCACTCTTAATCTTGTAGTCCCGTGGTAAATTTCTCGCAAAATTTTTGGGTTCTTTTTTCCAAAAAGTCCCATTAGATATAATTATTTTGGTGAATTTAATTAGAAAACAGGAGAATTTTCTTATAAAAAGCTTCTTTACTTCAGAAAAAATAGAAATTTTTTGATAAAAATTAAGGATTGATTTCTGCTTAAATTATGATTTTTTCCAATTTAAATAAAATATCTTTACCGATAACCCCTAATTATCTATTTTATAGTTCAAAGCATTTAAAATTACTACACCATAAACACGTGTATAAATATGGCCTCGAAGCTTTGGCTTGGTTTATTATTGGTATCTCTTTCATTCGCTGCAATCACTGAAGAAGAGGACGTCTGGGTTCTTGATGAATCCAACTTCCAAGAAGCTTTAGATGCTCAGCCTGACATTCTTGTTGAGTTCTATGCTCCATGGTGTGGCCATTGCAAGAAACTAGCCCCAGAATATGCTAAGGCAGCAAAGACTCTAAAAGGCAAGAACCCACCTATTAGAATTGCAAAGGTCGATGCCACTGCAAGCTCAAACCTTGCATCTCAATATGGAGTGAGTGGATACCCAACACTCAAATATTTCATCAACAAGAAGCCAACTGAGTACTCAGGTGGAAGAACTGAAGATACCATCGTCTCATGGATCATGAAAAGAGCAGGACCAGCCCTCACCATTGTTGACACCGTAGCTGATCTTAAAAAACAACTTGGAAGCGCTAAAGTTGCTGGAGTTTTGTTTGCACAAAAAGATGCAGCTGAAGTCAGCATTTTTGAGGCAGTCGCCAAAAGCTTTGATGGACCATCTTTCTTTGTGTCAACAGATGCAGCAGCTCTTCAAGAATACGGAGTTACTGAGCCTAAAGTAATCTTATTCAAACAATTCGACGATAAAGAAGTCAAATATGACGGTGCTCTTACCCAGACAGATATTACCAAATGGGTTGAAGAGAACAAGAAACCATGGGTTATGCCATTCGATGACGCCGCAATTGAATACATTTTCCAAAAACAAAACCCTTGTGTCTTTTTATTCAGATCTGAAAGTGATGCTCCTAAATACGCCGACGCTATGTCAAAACTCGGAAAAGAGCTCAAACAAGACATCGCATTCTCCTTCGCAGACCTTAATCAAAGCGAAAACAAAAGACTTGGAGACTACCTCGGAATTTACGTCAAAGACATGCCAATTGTAGTCCTTATTGACCACAAAGGTGGACTCATTACATTACATTAGAATTTATACGTTTAACGTCCCTTACGGGGTAGACTCTTCCCCAGATCTGCCGCTTACCTTTCGCCGCATCGGGCCTACAGATTGCTGAGCCAACCTGCTTCGATCACCAAGGTGCGCCTAGGGCAAACGTCGCCGGCTTCGACGGCTCATGAGTGAGCTACTTGCTTGTGGACATGGGTTGCTTTTCCAAAAGCCAAAAAAATGGATTTTCTGGTCGGCTCTCGGCAAAAGGAAAAGCACGTAGCCTGGGACGTAACGCCCAGTTTCACGCTAGGAGTTGCCCAATTGGTTCAAAGGACTCTTCTGAGCTTCCCCTTTTCAACTTGCGTGCCCTCCTTCCCCATGAGGAAAAAAACATTCCTGAAATTAGACTTGGGCTAGGCTCTGCACACAACCAGAATTGCTTACCTAGCATTGCTGTCCATCTCTGAAATAGCAAAACCTTGCCGGATATAATTAAAAAATATGAGTCGAGGCTGCATGGCCGGGAGGGCCATGCCCAGACGAAGACGCCATATTTTAATTATCACAAAGGTGGACTCAACAAGTACAAATTAGCTGAAGCTCCTTCTGAAGAGTCAATCAGAACTCTCGTTCAGGACTGGAAAGCCAGAAAACTCACTCCATTCTTGAAATCAGAGCCAATTCCTAGTGACGATTTCGACGGAAGTGTCAGAGTTTTAGTCGGAAAGAACTTTGAAAGTGTCGTTTACGACTCAACTAAAGATGTCCTCGTTGAATTCTATGCTCCTTGGTGTGGACATTGCAAATCCCTTGCTCCTGAATACGAAAAACTTGCTGCTGCAGTCAAAGACAATTCAAACTTGATCATTGCTAAAGTTGACGCTACTGCAAATGAAGTGAAAGGAATCAACATTCAAGGATTCCCAACCCTTAAATGGTTCCCATCCAACAATAAGAGACCAGTTGATTATGAAGGAGAAAGAAACTTCGATGGACTTCTTAAGTTTGTTACAGATAAAGCTACAGTTAAGGCTCCAGAAAAAGCACAAGAAAGAGCTGATCTTTAATTTAGTTAGATTTATTTGCTAATTATGCCATATATGGTTTTGCTGATATTTCTCTTGGCTTTTGTCAGGTCACAATATCTGGAATGTCCTCAATTTACTTGTAAGCCAGCATCCCTGCCTTTTGCAGATGATACTTGTATTTACTATGACAATTCTACCTATTTTCTCCGCCCATGCCCTAATGGCTATATGTGTCCCCCAATTTATACACCAGGAAATTCAACATGCCAGCTTTCTCCGATTCCAAGCTTAATTAACACTTCTTGGCCAGGAGAACCCTGCATAAATAACTCTACATGTGCATTTGGCTACTGTGAAAATGAAATATGTGTAGGCAAGCATTGGCTTGAAAATTGTAAATCATCAGATGAGTGCGATGCTGGGCTTTATTGTAAAAATAAGAAATGCTGGCCTCAGCTGCCTGTTAATACAGATGGGTGCACACAGGATGAAGAATGCGAAAATGACGCAGGATGCTTTGTTTGGGCTTCAGAACCAATTGGGACATGTGTCAAATACTTCACATTACCAAGGCATGATATGGTGTTTAATTGTCATGATTATATGAGCTATTTTTGTGAATCAGGCACTTGTGTAGGAGGAGGGGGAGAAGGGAAGTCTCTTTGTGTGAATAAAGTGGAGACTAAGTATCTTGGGTTTGAATGTGAAACGGACTCTGATTGTCCAGGAAAAAATGATGATTGAAGGTTTTATGGACAGTGCCAATGCTCATTGAGCCACACAGGGAAAAGATATTGCCAGCCCTTTTTAGGAGACTATGATGGAAGAAATTATTTCTTACTTAATTTACTTAATTATCTGGTGTTTAAGGTGTCTAGTGCCGCAGCCCAAAAGGGCCTATGGCAAAACTGATGACGTAGGCGAGCCATCTTGGCACGGGTCAGCCCCGTCCAAGCCTTCTATCAACTCCTGCTTCACCAGCCCTGCTGCACGTCTCACCCGGCGCGCGCTGCCGTCGCCCTTGTCGCTCGACTCAGCTCCTGCGCGTGTTCCGCCTAAGGGTCATCCTCCCGTGGGGATGTGCTGAGAGGTAAAAGCCCGAAATCTTGAGTGGACTGAGGAGTGGTTCCTCTGGTTATCCCCAGAGTTAAACCGCTATTGCTGTCCAGAAGTTCTCGAGTGAAAACCTAACCCTATAAATAAAATTCCATGAGGGAGAGAAAATTAGCAAAGCTAATTTCTCTCGAACCGAATGCCATTTTATTTATGGAAGAAATTATTTCAGATGGCTTAAAGCATGGTATGAGTCAACAGATCTAAAAAAATGCAATACAATGCGAAGAGAAGCTCCTAATTGTATGAAACAATGGTCAGATTATCCAACTTATCTGTATTATTTTTTACATTTTAACGAATTTGCAAGTATACATGGCAACGATAACTGTGTAAAAGAAATCTACAATTATGCCTACTGGCAGGCAAAAAACAGTGTAAACCCTGATAGCGATGATTCTGCGTTGATATTGCTGCTTGTTAATTCATTAATTCTTTTCATGTAATCCATTATTACTTCTTAAATTTAAAAATTAGTTAAATGATAAAAAGCTGCACGTTGCAAGAGACTGTTTTATTTCTCTTTGTATCAATTTTGATCGGTTTAACTCTTTATTTGAGTATATCAAGAAACTACTTACTCCTACATCTATGGCGAGCAATGCTATGGACAAAGATAATTAATCTTCAAGATATATGATTAATAATTGTTATAACAAAAAAAAATCAGCCAGTTCTCTAAATCATCAATTCACTATAAATATTCGTGAATTGAATTTTTTTTATAACCTGAAGAAAATATTTTCGTATACAATTTTATATTAAAAATCAATTAAAAAATTTTTTTATTTGTTTCAGAAAGAAAAGTTAGGCCTAAAAGATCTCGATGAAGTTCATCTTGGGCTTTTAGGTGCTGCTATAGAAGGAGATTATGAAGAATACAGCGATTTAATTGATTCCTGTAACGAATCAATTTTGTCAAATTATTGTGAAAGGCTGGAACCACTTCAAAAAGGTGGAAGGGTGCTTTTTGCGTTCCTTATTATTGATTTAGCGATTTTACTTGTGTCTCAAGTCCTGGCGATTCTTCAGCAATTTCTATTTACAAGAATTGTAAAAGAAATACAAGTATTTCAAGAACCGAGGAAAATACTGAAGAATTCAGCCAAGTGCGTTGTTTTGTTTAGAATGATTATTTTTTTACACCCAATATTGATCTTGATTGGCCTTGTTTTGTGATTACTTCTTGGAGAAGTTGAAAAATTGCATGATACAATCAAGCTTGGAGATGGGATAATTATCCTCATTGTACAGTGCTTTTTAAGTTTATTCTTGACAGCATTTTCATTTTGGCAACTTTCCAGCGCCAAAAGGAGAAGGCTTCGTTTTTTGCTAACCCCCAAAGCCGTTTTTTTTTAAATTTTTTTTTAAATAATTTTTTTAAAAAAATAATTAGTGCTCATTAATTAGTGAGAGAATAAGTAATCCTTTGAAAAACGAAAGTGTATATCAAGAAAAAACAGATTTGATACCTGATACTAAGTAGGTGTTAATTAACCAATCAGTTTCCATATTAAGGATAGAAAATTAATTTTTAATCATCGTCGCTCTCCTCTGACTCTTCTTTTTTCTCTTCTTCCTCTTCTTCAGCAGGGGCAAGCTGATTTGCTTTTTCTTGATTGTATCTTTCTTTATCTTGGCTTGCTTTTTCAGCATAAGGCGCCTTATCAACATCAGATAATTTCCCCCATTCTGCACCTATAACTTTGGATTGCTCAGTGATCTTTAGATCAGGCTGCTCAGTTTTAAGTGTAATTCTTCTCTCTTGGGAAAAGAACATAAAAGCAGACTTAGGTTTCTTTGGCCCGTCCTTCTTTTCCCTCTTTACTCTTTTTGCCACTTTTGCTTTTCCCGCTTTCTTTCCCATAATAATTATATGTGGCAATTAATCGGATGATAAATGAAAACTCAGCGATTTGTCCTAATTTTTGAAATTTCCATATCCATTCTCTTCATCTTGAATTTATTATCAAGGTCTTCAATATATCAGAATTCAAAGATTAGAAAAAAAATAAAATTAGAAATTAAATCTTCTGCAGTTAAGGGCGATAAGTTAAAAATAATTGGACTAATATTTTTGATTAGGTGAATGATATATTAGTTTAATTTTTAAGTTATATGAAATCTGATATAATTATTATTTCTTTCAACTTTTCCCTGTCTAGATAATTTAATTCTTTGCAAATACCTGAGAAAAGCTAAGAATTGCTCTTTAAAATTACCACATTAAATGCAAAAGTCAAATACGACAGAAAATTCAAAAATATTGCTACACAAAATCTCCTCACTAGCTGATTTCATCATAATCAATTTAGCATTAACTCGAATAATATGTGGCTATTAATATAATTATTTGAAAGGATGCTGTCCAAAGTTTTAAATACCTTTTCCAGGCGTGCTCCTTTCAGACAGATGAGTTCAGGGCCTTCATCAGAGCCTAACTTCTTAGAGATGGTTAACATGTACTTCGATAAGGCTGCAAAACATACAGATATCAAGCCAGAAGTTCTCGAATTGATTAAAACATGTGACACAGTCCTACGTGTAACCCTTCCCCTTAAAAGAGATGATGGATCAATTAAATACTACAAAGCTTATAGAGCCCAGCATTCTCATCACAGGCTTCCTTGTAAAGGAGGCACCAGATATGCTCTGGACGTTGATCTCAACGAAGTTGAAGCTTTATCTTTCTTGATGACTCTCAAATGTGCATGTGTCAACTTGCCTTTTGGAGGTGGAAAAGGAGGCATTACTGTGGATCCGAAGACACTGTCACTTGGAGAAAGAGAAAGACTGACCAGACGTTATGCACTTGAATTGAGCAAAAAAGGATTTTTAAGCCCTGCTGCTGATGTTCCTGGACCTGATCTAGGCACTGGCGAGCTTGAAATGGCCTGGATGATGGATACTTATAAATCGCTGAACCCTACAAATCTCAATGCAGTCGCGTGCACGACTGGAAAGCCATTAGAAATGGGAGGAATTCCTGGCAGAGCTGAATCAACTGGTCTTGGGTTATATTATGCGTTAAGGGAATTTTTGAAAGACAAGAAATACACTGATAAGGTTGAGCTGCCTACTGGAATTAATGGGAAAAAAGTATATATTTACCAATTGAATGCAAATAATTTGAAATCATATTTTTTAATAAAATATTTACTATAAATTGCATAATTGTTCAAGGTTTTGGTAACGTCGGCTATTGGGCTTGCCACTTCCTCCAAAAAGATGGTGCAAAAATTCTTGGAGTAATTGAGCCAAGTGGATCTGTTTTCAATGAAAACGGAATTGATGTTGATGATCTCAAAGCTTTTATGATCCAGCACAGAACGCTTAAAGGCTATCCAAAAGCTGAATTAGTAGAAGACGGCCAAGAAGTTTTCACAAGAAAAACTGACATCATAATACCAGCTGCTGTTGAAAGATCAGTCCATGGTGGCAATGCCCCTAACTTCCAATGCAAAATTTTAGCTGAAGGAGCAAATGGACCAACCACTCCTAAAGGAGAAGAAGCTTTAGAAAAGAAAGGTGTTCTAGTTCTCCCAGACTTATTGATGAACGCTGGTGGAGTCTTAAATTTAAACTTGCTATAGATTTGCTTCTACCTATTGATAGCTCAGTCGCCAAGGTTCCCCTAGAGAATTCAATGCTTTACTAGGTTTCCAGGAGAACTTGCTCAAGATTTGCTTGGCAAGTTAGCTCGAACACCATTTTCCTCTTTTTCATTGCCTGATACTATGCGCCTGTGATATAGGGCTCTGTATCTCCGTCTCCTCCTTGCCTTCTCAGCTCCAGTTTTGAGCGGCAGGATATGGATTTCTGCTGTATGCTGCTTGGGCTGAACGAAGGTTGCCCAGATAATCCCAAAAAATTGAATTTCTGGTCGACTATCGGCAGAAAGGAAAATACGAAGCCAGGGGGTGCACTCTCGGTCTCGTACTAGGGAATTGCTCGATAGTGTAGATATTGGCTGTAGTCTTGGCTGAGCTTCCCCTTTCCAACTCCATACCTTCTTTTACTTGACTCCCCCTTTAAATTGGAACCAAATATCGGTAAATTGCCAATTTTTGGTAAATTAAACCCCTTTAAACGAAAAAAATTTAATTTTTTTCAATGAAAATTTTATAGATGAAAATATGTTTTTTATATAAAAAGCTTTGACCTTATTTAATGAGGGAGTTCAAATTTTTTATTTTTAAAACACACAAAAATTTTTACCGTTAAAATTTTATATTAATTTTTTGAAAAAATTTGTTCCAACTTAATGGGGAGGGGAGAGAGGTATATCCAGTCCTGGAAGTGGACTAGGGCTAGGCTCTGCACATTGCCAGAATTGCTTAACTAGCATAGCTGCCCACTCTAGGTTGATAGAACCTTGTCGGTATGATTAAATATGTGCTCCTGCTCTGTAACTTCCTTTTCCTCGAGATAATTCAATAGCTTTTTAAATTGCCAGAATTGCTTACCCAGTATAGCTCTCAATTTCTGGGCTAACAAAACCATATGAGTTCGAGGCTGTATGCCAAAACGCCATATTTAATTGCCAACTCTGGTGGTGTTACTGTATCATTCTTTGAATATGTCAAAAACTTAGGACATATTAAGCCTGGCCTTTTAACAAAGAGATGGCAAGGCAAAAGAAATAGAAGCATCATTGAGGCCATTGCAACATTAAAAGGAATTTCACAAGTAGAACTTGAAGCAAAAAGTGCTGATTGGAAGAAATTAGCTGAAGGAGCAAGCGAGCTTGATCTAGTGTACTCAGGCTTGGAACAAATTATGAGTGAAGCTGTCCATGAAACTAAAGAAACTAGTGAAAGACTTGGAGTGAACTTGAGAATCGCAGCCTATGTAAACTCTCTTCAAAGAATTGATGATGCAACTCTCAAAGGAACAATAGGACTCTAATAATAAGAATATTTAACCCAAGGGAATATAGGTTTTATATTAAACTTTTTCGAAAAGTAAAAAAATTCAAGTCATAAAATTAATGTAATTATATATTTATTTTTTGGAATACAAGCGGTTACAAATTAAATTGAATTAGCTAGAGATTTTATTATTAAAATAATCACCATTTCTCAATCACAGAGGGGAGTTAGAAATAAACTTTACTTTATAAGCCTATTTCCATTTTCATTGCAATATTCAAATAATGCCTGGACTTGATGTTTCGACCTTCACTACATCAGTCGACGCTATATTTATCTGCGGATTCTGCGATAAAGTTGCCTTAAGCCCTCAGATGTGCAAGAATTGCCAAAAATTCCACTGTTTGAAGTGCATAAATAAAAGAGCATGCCCAAAATGCAATGAAAAATTTATAAATCCTTCTGAAGTTTTATTGAGATTTTATAATGCTTTGGTTACAGAGTGCCCAAAATGTAAAGAAAAATTGAGAATCAATGAATATGAAGACCATGTAAAAGGATGCAAAAAAGTTGATGAACTTTCGACTTTGAGAATCAAAGTGGCGGAATTGATGACTGAAAATGACCAATTAAAGAAAGAAAATGAGTGACTGAAAAGGCAGCTAAATGAAAAAGAGCACAAAAAAACTCCTGTTGTTATAGAAGAAAATAAACAAGATCACCAAAAACAGGAGCAAGATCATCAACACATCAATAAAAAGCATTCAAAGCATATTGAACCACAGAAAAAACAGCTAGATCACTCGAAAGATATCCCGAAAGAAACCCCCAAAGGGAATGCAGAAGAAGAAAAAAAAGAAGTAAAGCCTCCTGTTGCTCCAAGAAAATCTGATAGCAAACCAAAAATACCTAAATCTGCAAGAGAAGAAAATAAAGAAGCAAAGCCAAATGGGCATAAATTTGAAGAAAAAGAAGCTTCGCCTAGAAAGCAAGCTGATGTAAGCCCAACTACTCCTCAAAAAAAGATTTTTGCTGCGACAGTAATACAAAGGGCTTTTAGAAAAAGGGACAAGCAAAAAGTAAGAGCAATTCTTGCTGAAAGAAGACAAGAAAGAATGAAAAATACTGCAAACAGAAAAATGAATGAAGAAATCAAAGAGGCAGCACATAACATCAAAAATGTGATAAAAAATCTACCATTAAAAGATAATAACAAAGAAGCAAAAAAATTAGCTGTCGCCAACAAGCTGAGAGCGAAAAAATAAAAATATTTTTTAAATGTCAAGAATTTTTATCCATATTTTAAAATAATATTGATTGTTAACATTTGGCTTTGAAATTTTAATATTATTTTTCATTGTATAGACATTTTCATATATTATAACGCTATTATTTAAGCCTTACACATTGATCTATATGATCAAATAAGATTAAAGATTAAATTTTATACGGCCATAAGTGGACCAGTAGCCGGAATTCCTTTACTCAAGTGACTGGGTGCGTGTACACCAGAGTGCAAAATGTGTAAGGTTCAGCCAAAATTCCAATCTCTTTGAATTTTCTGGCGAGACTCGCCTAACTTAAGGATCAGCTCCCTAAGTTAAAGCCACCCACTGTAGAGTCCTCCGATAGTCCCAATATACAAGACTATGTAAGAAGCAAAACCTGTCTTGTCCATCTAGCAGGGACAGGAAAACCTTCGGGGGAGAAACAAAATTTTTTCTCTTCGGCAAGGCTTCCCCAAACTGAAAAGTCTATTTCTAAAAGGGAGGATGTGTATAACCTACTCGATAGGGCATGCGCTTCGGAGACCAATTTCCATCCATGTCACCATTTTACTTCTCTCGATCAAATAAGGAATGTATAAATTAAATTGATTCATATATAAATATTCAATGTAGGAGTCTATTACTCGTTACACTCAATAATATTTTGCTTTAGATCTTTTGTGATTCGCTTAATTCTAGCAGCCCTATTCTTTTGAAGTTTTGCATGAATGGAGCACGGTGGCGGTGTTTTTGGTGGCTCAGGCCTGAACAATTCTATAGACACAGAAGGCAGATTGCTTTTTAAAATTCCAGACGCAGACGTTGAAGCCACCGAATCTTTCATTAAACTTTTCCTTGATTTTTCAAGTATAAAATTATTTCCTTGGCAATTATTTAAATATCGTTCAATTTCTACATCTACATATTCACTGAAGGGGCTTGACTTCCTAGCAGGCTGGACATCCTCATTTGGAGGAGTTTCCATAACATTTATCTGATCAATTGCATCTATATGCAAATTTGAATAAATACTTTTGTGAGCGCCTTTGAGATGTGTAGGCTTCCTGACTCGTGCTGGAGATGAGATTGATGAGAAATTAATAAATGAAAGATTTAAGGATGCATAATTTTTGCTAAAGATTATTTCCTAGAAGACATTTTCTTGGCACTATTTGCCGTATATTTTTTTCTTGAGTCAACGGCTTTTCCAATCAAGATTTTAGATAAATTGCTTATAATTATAAGCATAAATGTTGACCAAAAAAAAATGTAGTCAAGATTTCCACTTTCTTTTGGTTTCAAAGAGTAACGTCGGGATGTTGGGAAAGGAGAAATTGACCCGTCTTTGATAATTCTATTCTTTTCAAATTTGGTCGATTTGCTGCTTGAAGGTGCGTAGGGAGAAATATTTTCTAGAGAAGGAAAAAAGGACTCAGAATATATTGAATGGCTTTTTTGTGATAGTTTCTAATTAAAATATACAACTAGATGCGAAGAATTGTGGGAGTCACTGCTTCTTTGGGGCTTAGGTTTTCGTGGAGTTATAGATTTTGATATAGATGAATTTCTTGAAGAATTGTGTCTTTTTATTCTTGGGCAGCTTGATTGAATCATCCAAGTTTAATTTAATAATTTAAGTAGAAATTTCAACAAAAAAGTGGAAATTATAAATGATCGATAAGATAAGTATTGATTTAAGTATCGAGATTTTAGAGACAAAATATTAATTAGCATTGTTAAGCAGATTATTTTAATTATATATATTAAAGAAGCTCGTTAGATAATTTGAAATATCATAAAGGCAATATAAGAATAAGCAAAAATACTCAGATTAATTTATAGCAATTAGTGTGCTTTGAGAGATCGTTAAACTAAATTTTAACTGGGATTAGTAATCTAAGAATTATTCTATCACTTTGCATATTTAGTATTTTTGGGTTCAACCGGCCCTCCTAACGAACTTTTATATACCTATATAAAAAGTATAGGCTGGAGCATCTGATACTAGGATTCTAGCAGATTTGAGGAGGAAGATATTTGAAGCGGAACACGGACAGGAGTGAGTGTGAGGTAAGGCAACGCATCTAATAAAGATTTTATGGCTGGCTGGGGTATCATGTTTTTAAAATTGCATACTACTGCATGCAAATTGTGCTATGCAAAAAACCGTATGAAGTCACTAGTTTAAGTTAAATAGTAGGTTCGGCTTAGTCATTCTTCTGAAGAAAACAACACTTCAAATATTAAGCTAGTGTAGGGGCATCATGGAATGAAATTAATATAAAGCATAATTAAAATTATTTATTTCACCATCAATCTGATGTCATAGATAAAAGCAGTAAAGTTTATATCTATTTAATTCAAGTAAAATTAAATGTTCTCTTAAAAAGCAATTCAAATAAGAATGTCCAAATTTAATAATCAATTTTGTTCATCATAATAGCTAATGCATATAAAATTCTGAGATGATTAAATAAAAAATTAAAGTAGTGTAAATATAGCCTTTTCAATATTTTTAGAAATAGCTTAATCATAGTTAAACAAATATTGATTAAGATTAGATAGATTCATAATAGTCTTTACTTTGAAATCTGTGTAGATTAAAGATATTTCGATGTAAAGAATTATATGAAAATGGAAAGGTATTCATCTGAATGAAAATATTTTATAATTTTTAATATTATAAAATTCAAAAAGTAATAAAACTAAGGATAAATTTTAATGGAAAGTCGAATTCTCAATTTACGTGCTGATATAGATGCTTCTATTCATAAATCATTTTTTGAAGAATAATCTTTGATCAGCAATGATACCATGATGATTTATATAAAATATCCAAAAAATATTATTAATACGAGTCAATTAAAGAAATATATAAATAAGAATGGCAAAAAGAGTACCTCTTGTAATCATTTTGCTAAGAGTGCCATTTAGACTGGCTGTTGCTATTAAAGATTATACGAATAAATGCTTATCGCTTCTTTTTCAAGCTCTCTTTCAATTTATCATCTTTGCACTATCTATTTTTAACTTCAGAAAAGGATTCATTCAGCTTGCCATCAGTGGCTTTATAAAATCGTTTGTTATATCATCGTCTACAACAGGACTTATCTACTATTATATAAAACTTTTAAGCCAACTATGATATTATGAGCATTATATTATATCTAGCTTAATTGTTATAGCTGAAATCATAGTTACATCATATATACTCAAAAAAGGATGGAATTTAGTGCCAATTGAGCTTAAAGATCGATATATAACCCTCGTTAGTCAAGGATTTATGGATTTCATCTCTCTAATTTTGACTATCTTAACTATTCTTACAATAGTTGGAATTAGTGAGATAAAAAACAGACCAGAAGATGCTGATCAATATTTTATTTTTATATTGCAAGCTTTGACTTCAGGGATATCAAATATCATTGAGCTCCCTTTTATGTCACTACTGATCATTTTCCCATGAAGACTCTATATATATCTTGACAAAGTATCTGAAATGCATGGAGCAGGAAATAAAATAAAATGGGCTTTATTTTGTTTTTTAAATGGATTTATTGATATTCCATTTGCAGTAATGGCAATAATTCTTATGGTGACTATATTTAATCTCAAATTCATGATTTGCCACATAAAAAATCGTGAACTTTCAAGAATGTTAATATTTGAGAAATTTTTACATTTGATTTTGATTCCAATCTTTATAGTAATAGCAATGATTGTATTTTGCGGAATAGTAAGGGCAAGAGCATTATACAAAACACTGAGGGCCAGTATGTCAGAGGGCAGTCGTGCTTTTGAAATCATTATGCATTTTGTTGATACAGTTATTTTTATACCTGGATTTGTTGGATTTCTGCTTGTTCTAATACCTTTTTATAGATTTAAGCATTTGGAATTTAATTTTGATAAAATTTCAAACAATAGTGATGATTATCATACCTTTCTTGTAAATATTATCATTCAAATAGCGATTGAAATTGCTGATTTTCTCCACATTTTGTTGCTTGCGCTTTGTGTTGTATTTTTTTATCGGTTTATCCCATTTATTAAGGATTTTAAATTCAATATTCTCTGGCATATTGAAGTTGAAGATCTTTTTATTCGTTGCATTGCAGATGTTCCTGCAACTATTTTTGGCCTATTTATTTTGATCACCTTATATAGAATTCCATTGACTTTGAGGAGAAAAAAATTCAATAAAGGTCATCATTGGCTTAAGTTAACAAGTGAGATAATTAAGGAAATTTTAAAAGATTTTTTAGTGATGCCTTTTTTTATAGCAAAGCTTATTTGTCCTTGGAGACTGATTCCTACAATTATGCAAATATGAAAAACAAGCAATCCAAAAGATCAGAGAAAAATCATGAAGGAGGGTGGCTTCAGACCAATAGAAGATTATGTAACCATTATTTTGGCAGTTATTTTATTTTTATCTGTTTGGAGAACAGCAGAAATTATTTCTTTGATGGTAACTCATATCCGTCAAATAATTAAGCACGAAGTAGTTACTTCATCCTTATTCAGAAAAGTCTTTAGAAAATTCTGTCAGCTCTTAATTGATATTTTCATGGTATTTCTCATGCTTTTAATTTTAGTAATGATAATAGAGGTCCCAAATCTTATCAGAAGAATGAGATCCTTCTATTTACTATATAAAGAGAGAAGAGGTTTTCGATTTTTTTCTTATTTTGCTTTTCTTTTTCCAAAAAAACAGCCTGCTAAAGAGAAAAAAGAAGTCATTAATAAACTCAGTAAAAACGTTTTTACAAATATTAGCAGTTTTTTAGACATGAAAGCTTTGGGAAATGTTGCGCAGGCAAATAAAAAATTTAAGGACTTAGTTTCGTTTCAGCCTATTTGAAAAGAGCAATATGAAAAATATTGGAAAAATTATATACCTGCTAGCTCTGTAAGAGAAATGGCATGGGATGATGACTATAAGAAACTGGCGGTTGAAGGTTACACTAATTTTATTCAGCAAAATAAAGATGTTATTTTAGATGAGGAAGAAAGGGGCTTTAGAATGGGGGCACGGGCGATTGTTCTTGAAGAGTTTATATTAAGTATATTTGGATTCCCTCATATTATTGCATTGCCTGCAAAAGCTGCAATTTATTTTTTATCAAAAATTAATTATAAGCTGTATTTCCAAACCCCGAGATATTCAAATCTATTTTCTTATGAAATTTGAATTAATCCTAGAGAAAGTTTTACCACAGCTTATAATTTAGTTGAGATTAGCTTTAAAAAAGATGAGCAGGTCTTAAAAAACTTTTACCATGTCCAGTGAAATTGTCTTTATATCATTATCAGCAATGCTATGGTTATAGTTGAGCAGGTGTGTTTTTTTATTTGTGGAATCGATTTACTTTTACTAAAAATATTTTCGTTTGGAACTAGCATTCCTCTAACTCCCCCCCTCTGTGAGCAAGCAAAGCCATTAGAAAAATCTCTATTTTTTGCCCAAAAATCCAAAATATTTTTATAGAAAAAAATTTTATGAAAAACAATTATATAAAGATAATTATTATAAATAAAATCTCTAGCTAATTCTGCTTTGCATTTTAAATATAAATTTGAAAATTTAAATTAATTTTTGCTTCTCAAATTTTGCATATTTTTTTAAATTTAAAAAAAAGTTTTCTATATAAATGTTTTTTAACAAAAAAAATTAACCCCCTCTGTGAGTGAACAAAATTTTTTTGTTCGCTCATGGAGGGAATAAGAGCAGCAGTTATTCAAAGAAATGCCCAGTTGAAACCTTTTCTATATAGTTTACAGCTTGGAATATCATTATTAATTATATCAACAAAATTTTTGATCCTGGTGTGTCCTTTTATGATTTCATACCAGTTTACTTCTTATACTTTAATAGGTTGCATCTTTGGACCTGGATGCTTAAATATTCTGGTTTACTTTATTCTTTACTGCAATCTAATGACAATTTATGTGTATTTTGGGCATTTTCCTCAATTTCGTCCCCACTTGGCAGGAGCTTTTCTATTGAGTTTCGGGAATAGGGGGTTTGATATAGGCAAGATTTTAGTATGTGCTGTTGGAAAATTTGTGAATTCTGCACTGGATGGACTTAGTGGACTGTTAAAAGGGTTAAAAGTCTTTTTGCCTAAAGGGCAGATATTTAGGCTTTACAAAGAAATCTTAATTTTTAGTGGAGAGAAGCTTAAAAATTGGGGCTATTTGGGGGATTTAATATATACTCCCTTAGTTCTTATTTGGATTTTTTGGCCTCTGCTTATTCCATATTTATTTGAAAATTGGTATCTTTTGTTTCCCATTTTCCCTCTTGTGGTGTTTTTACTCCTCAAAGGCTACTCCATTGCAAAAGCCTCATGGGAAGATGAAAAATAAAATTAAAGTTAATAGTTTAAATAAATTCTGTACTATTTCTTATCATAAAATTCAGGTAAATATAATCCCAAAGTTCTTTGAAAGATAATTCAATTTTAAAACACATAAGAACTGACAAGTCGGAAGAGTATTTAATCCATAAAATTATTTATCAGCTTTTAAAAATGTAAAATCATTTTACTCCGACCTTTGAAATTGTTTTCATATGTAATCAAACAGATTTTGCATATTTTGATAAACCCAAAGTGGCTTAGACTGCAAAGAAAAGGAAAAAATTATCCTTTATAGTCATATTTGAATTTGATATAAATATAAAGCAACTTTTGAAGGTTCCATTTATATTGAATATAAAAAAAAGAATTTAGAAACCGATGAACCAAAAACCAATGCTTGCCATGTTTTTTAGATTAATTATATCACTCGAAATTTTATGAAAAAGTTAAGTATTTCACTAAACAAATTTTGTGGAATAAAGTTAAACTTCATTTTTGAATAATAATTTCAAGTAAAAGGAGATCCATAATCTTAACGACTGAAATCGCTTTTTACTGCCAAAAATGTCTTTTGATCTTAAATTTGAATTATTATTGTAACTGCCAAAAGCCAATTGCGTGTTGCCATAAACTCAATAGAGTTAATAATAAATATGTATAATGATTAAGTTAATTTCAATCTGCATCTTAATGTCATATGTGCCTAAAGGGAATCTCACTGGAGTTTGACAGGAATCTGTCTAAATTAGTAAATGATTTTTAGTTTTTAACTATTAGATTTCACTTCATTAAACTTCGTGATTTTTTTCCCTTTTCTTCTGACTGTATTCCTCGATTTATGATAATGCTGAAGGTAGCACATCTGGCACTTCCCTTTAGCATAATGTTGACGATCCTCATGTGGGCAAGCCCAAGCTTGCTTATCACGTCCAAGTCTATGGTAGCAGTTATTACACATATTCTTAGCGTAATGTTTGCGCTCAGTATGAGGGCAAGCAGTAATAGATTTAGCCTTCCGTCTGCTTTCGTCCATAACTTTGACAAACGACTCAAAAGGATGTATATGGCCATCGGGCTCAGGAGTAGGACTCTCACCAAAAATTGACAGTGCTGGCAAGTTCAAACTTGCAGGCAACTGTTGTGAGCTTAAACTTGGGGACAATAAGGAAAACATACTGGCAAAAATGTTTAGATCTTTCAAGCCAAGATCAGTTTGCAAATTTTTCATTTTATTATGATTCCAGCAAAAATATATAATGGCGTTTTTAATTATGGGAACTGATAATATTATGTTAAGTTGAAAGTTACTTTTTATTTGACTTTTATATATTATTTAATCCAAATAATATATAAATGGCTAAATGGAAAATTATAATAAAGATAATTCAGTCGGCTTCGTTCATTTCCATTTTATAGAGAATTTTGCAATCCTTGAGAAATTTTATGGAAATTCTGCTAAGCTAAAACTATAACAATTAAAATAGGCATACTAATATCAATATGTAAAAGATTTAATATTCTACAGATTAGTTTAAATGTTTGCATATAATAATAATTTTTCAACAAATTTAGACTAAATCAGACCATTCCTACATCTTAATACACGATTTTGTCATAACGATTAAAATATCTTACTTTAGGTTATAGAGGAAGTACTGAAGTTGTCCCTAATGCCGCACTTTTAACATACCAAAAGAAAAATTGTCCTGTGAAAAAACAAGAAACCAGCTGTGAAGCTAAAATGAAATATCCTGCTATCCCTGGGAAAAGATTAATTTTCGAGCGGTGGTACACTACATTAAGTTCATCAAAAGACTTCACCCAGAATATAGCACTTAGTATTTGTGAAGCAGTTCTTGCTGCAATAAAATGTGATGAAAAATTATCCCAATCATCAATTCTTTTCATTTCTTTTATAAGTGGAATTAATGCAATTGCTTCTAAATACATTGAAAGCGTCCATAAATAATCTGTAAGGAAAAAATTATTCAGTGTCGTATGAGAAATTAAAGCTAAAAATGCGCAGGGAATAGCGTAAAAGCAGGAATTGCTTGATTCTTTACTATCTCTAACGCCCCCTTTTAATTTGAGCAAAAATTTCTATTCAAATTTAAAAGGTGAAATTGAATGGATATTTTTTATTTTTAATTTTATAGAGAATTAACTTAAAATATTAATTGATTCAGTATGCTGAGTGTTTAAATAGCATTTTTTCTAGCACTCCTTTTAATAAATTAGGTCATAAATATATACATTAGCATTTTACCTATAAATTTCTATTGAAAAATAACAATTTTATTTCAATTTAATTTACCCAGAAAAGGAAAATTTACTTATATTTTTGTTAAAACTTAAAGGAAGAGGATAAGCTTAATTGAAATCCATACACTCTGAACCAAAGAGCAGATCTCAACGACTTGGTAAAACCAGTCTCCTGATGAATCATAAGGCAAATAACTTTCAAATGGTAATATTGAGCTCAATCTGCTTGAATAAATAAGTGAATAAAATACGAATGTATAGAGTGATAAACCTTCAGTTGTATGCCTGACTTGAATGCAAATAGCAACAAAAGCTAGCATTTGAAGTGTGGAACAAAGTGTTAAAAAGAACGAGAAATCTCCATTTGACAAAAAAAAGTAAATCAGAATCAAGACACCTAAAACCAAGAGCCAATATTTCGCTTGCGGTTTTTTAGCAAGCTTTCTTAACTTTCTTGGGTCGTTGAAGATGCGCTTATAATTTACCATTTCAACTCTAATATTTGTGTATTATTTAGATTTTTATATGAAATATTAATCCTAATAAATTGATAAATGATTATTCTATATTTGTATTATCTAACGAGGAAATAGCTGTCGAACTGTGTTTTCTTGGTCAAGAGTCAATTTTCCAGGCAAATCAACAATAAATCTGACGTGCAAGTTGCCTTTATTGGATGGGACATCTTGATGTGGCATTCCTTCCCCTTTTATAATCCTAACAGATTCTGGCTGTGTGACTCCAGTAAAATCAATTTGCACAACATGGCCGTCAAGATGGCTTATTTGTTTTGAGTATCCTAATAAAGCTTCTTTTAAAGTCAGTCTAATAGAAGTAACTAAATCGTTTCCTCTTCGCTCAAAGCGTGCATGGTTTTTTAGTTTAAGGACAAAAATAATATCGCCTGGAAACCAATCAGGACTTTGCTCACTTTGTCCTGGAAACACAATTTCAGACCCATTATCCATCCCTGGCTCTATTTGCACATTAAGTGTCTTTAAAGCATTTATAATCAAAATATGTCGTTGTTTGAGTTTTCTGTTATCCTGGGCAGAAATTCCTCCTTTAGACAATTTTGATTATGAGGTTTGGCTTCACCCAGCGAGTTTATCCTGATAATGAAATGTATTACGTCCAAGGATGAACAACTTAGGACACCCATCCCTAGAGGAATTCAAATTCTCTGGAAGCGTGCCGCCAGACCTAGGCTGCAAAGACTGGAGCCTTTAGCGTGTCCGATGAACGCTTGGTTTTGCACTAGAGTTGAACAGCAGTCGGGATACGAGCACTCGAAGCCGAGGAACAATTCAGATTAAGACCAGAAGGTGCACAATGTAAGGCTGGAGTCATCCAAACAAAAGTTGAAGCCCATGTAGATGATGTGGTATGTTTATAACTAATTAAGTTCAGTTAAGTCTTCAAAGCATTCACCACTTTCTGTCCTCCACATCCTGGACATCTCTCTGCAGCAAGCTAAATAAATCTTACAAATCCTCTCCCTCCACATCTTTCGCACTGAACTTGCATCTGCATATTAAACCCAAATCCTCCAACGTTTTGCAGCCTCACACCTTTTCCGCCGCAATGTTTGCAAGGAACAGTTTTTCTATCCTTTGCACCTGTTCCTTTACATTTTTTGCAAAGCTCATTTCTTCTAATTGTGGTTTCCTTACACCCTCTAAGAGGTTTTTTCTTTATTTAGGAGTTTTTGAAAAAATTGATAATTATTTCTATTTTTAAATTTTTTTATAAATTAGCCCTTCTAGCAAACAATTTCTTTGCTTTTTCGCATGGAAAAAGTTAGCAAGGCCATTATACACGTCTTCTAAGTCTACTTCTAATTCGAATCTAAAATTCGGTCCTCTTCTTCTATTGAAGAGCTGTGGATCATTTAGACCTTCTTCGCCATAAATATCATAAATTTGTCTTTTTGAGGAATCTGATAAAACCTCGTTAGCTTTTGTGACATCTAAATATTTTTTATGAGCTTCCTCATTTCCTGGATTTTTATCTGGGTGGTATTTTCTGCTTACTCCCCTTGCTCGCTCACGGAGCGGGTTAATTTTTTTTTTAAAAACCATTATAGAGTAATTTTAAAGAAATTTTTATTTTCGAAATTTAAAAAAATCCTAATTCGCAAAAATTAGAAAGCAAATATTTATTTAATTTTAAAATTTATATTTTAAACGCAATTTGTTGAAAATTAAACAGAATTAGCTCAAGATTTCATTACTAGTTATCACAATATATCAAAATTTTTCCCCATAAAAATTTTCCTATCAAAAACATTTTTGTTCGCTCACGAAGGGCGGGTTTTTTGGGCAAAAATTAGGGATTTTTCTAATGGTTTTGTTCGCTGACAGAGGGAGGGGAGTTAGATTTCTGAAGGCTTTTTTAATTTCAGCTTCATCTGCGTCTGGAGAAACTTCGAGAACTTCATAATAATCGACTGCGAATACAAATCCTATGAGAAGGATAAAAAATACACGTGTCATAATATGCTTTCAATAGGGAAAATCAACTTTTAATTTTAAAGCGATTTTAAATAAATTTGAGTTTGAGAATAGAGAGAGAAATAATATGATTGTGGAAAAGTAATATTAATTTGAGTAAATATAAAAAATTATCACTTAATAAATTTTTAAATTTTGCTGAAATCCCAAATAATGATATTTTGGTGCCAATTTACTTCATGTTAGATTATTAAAATATATTGATGCTTAATATAAGTTCGAATAAATAGCATATTAATTTTTAAGAATCTTGAAAATAAAATTAGGCTAATCCTTATCATACAGGCATCCCCACTAACTATAAGTAAAGTAGAAGTTTATATTGGTCGAAAAGTTGTTTTCTATTTATAATAGTCTTTCACATTCTCCATATTGATATGCTTAAAAGCTTTTATTCTACTTGGATAAGTTTGCTTAAAGAATTTAATAAAAGCCCAGAAATTTGAGCCTTCATTAGATATTTTAAGAGTCTATTGAATAAATGAAGATATAAATTAATGTAAATGTTTGCTTATAAATGCATTTAGTATTACCTAGTCAATCCAATAAGCTTTTTAAGAGATATTTTGAGCATTACATTGAATTTTGAATTTAATCCAATGCTTTATTTTTCTTTATTATCGGCATTGCTCTGAATTATACTAAAATGAAAAGTAGAAATCTATAAAATAATAGGAATGTTGAATATTTATTATTAGGATTTCCCGAACTGAAGTTCTAACTCCCCCCCATTTAATAGCGGACGAAAAAATCGTCCGCTATTAAATGATTCATAACTTAAAAAGTTCAATATTTATATATATTTTTCTATTTAAAATTTTTTGAAAAAAAATGCATTTTAAAGTCAAAAGAGTAACACTAAATCTAATAAAATGGAGTTGAATGGAGAAACCATTAACATTAACATTAACATTAACATTAACATTAACTAGTATTATAAAGGCTCGTCGTATTGGCTCGGGTCTCTCCCTGCCCTACCTTCACCCTTCACGCTTCACCCGGTTGTTCACCACCGATCGGACACGACCTTCAAGATGTTGCTCCTACTGGACGAGGATGTGCACTCGCTACCCATAGTTGGATGAGTTACGCCACCTAGCAGTACGTCAACAGAGGTTGCCCATTTCGAAAATTTGAAAAACAAATTTTCTGGTAGGACTGTCGGCTAAGATGGAAATCCAAAGTCTGGGACGTAACGCCCAGTTTCACGCTAGGGAGTTGCCCGATTGATCAGGAGGTACCTTCCCGATGCTGCTGAGCTTCCCCTTTCCAACCTTGGAAACCATCTCCCCTGAGGTAAAACCCTTGGCATCAAAATGAGCTGCGGTAGGCCTAATCCGACGTTGCGCTCCACTGTGCCAAGGTAAAACCTAGCCGGATACACATTCCAAGCGCCTTCCTCCCTTCCACAAGGTCCCCCGCGAACGCAGGCTACTGGTATTGAGAAAAAGGGCTGGATTGCCGTCGCCATTTTAATGTATATGAATGGAGAAACCAGAAAGAGAAAAGACTAACAGCTGGTGATAAGCTAGTTATTGCACAATACTACCTGAATCATCAAAATGAAGGTCTTTCATATGAAGATGTAGCCTACAAGTTCAATGTATCAAAGTCAAGTGTCGGCGAATTAGTAAAAGACATTCATCAATTGAAAAGGGGAGATCAAGGTTTAAAGAAAAGAAAGCCAGATGCATATTATTAGCTCTCATAAGTTTTTAATGCCTTTGCGCTTAAATGAATTCTATCTAACTATTCCTATCGTTATTTCATTAGATCTAGTAAATTTATAATGAACGATTATCTTATATAATTTAAAATTTTTTATAGTAAAGAAATTTCCGTTATTAAATGGTACCTAAGGCTCCATTTTAGGGAAAAAAAAATTGATTTCGTCCGCTATTAAATGGGGGGAGTAATAAAAATAATAAATGAATCAAAGCAAAAGCGACACTGCAATTTTCTTCACAAATTCAAACAGCAATGAGATAATTAAAGAAATTGATATAGACATTGATATATATCACGCGAAGGTTACATTTTCCAAAGTGAATAGTAATTGCAAATGCAACTTAGATTGCTTGGATTGAATGGAAGATTATATTAATCAGATGACATCCAGTTTCAATGCATTTATGGAATTAAAGAATAGAAATTGCAACTCACATAATAGTTTTTTAAGTGAGAATACGACAAATCGCAGTTTAAATAGCTCTTATGAATCATCATTAACTTCCTTTCATATTTTTCCAATATTACTATTCCTTTTTTGAGTTTTCAAAAACAATATTACAAAATTTATTAATAAGCAAGTGATTATTTCCAAAAATTTAAAAGATAATGGGATAAGTAGTTCTGACACTTTTTATTCAGAAGAAGAGCAAAAATTGTCAAATGAATGAAAAAAATTGATAAAAGAAAAAGCTATTTTTCAAAAGCAAAATCGCCAGCTAATTCACGCTAAAAAGGAAATATACAGATCTGTTAAAGCTTTACTCCAAGAACTGATTTCAACCAAACTTGGAATAGAAAATCAAGATGGTATTTTCCTATTTCCATTATGTGAGAATAAAAAGATGTCTACATTTTTTAATATTTCAGAAAGGACTTCTCTTGATCATTCAATTCCAAAGCAAAATGCGATTAGCAGCAGCCTTAATTTGCAAGATAAAGCAGACGCTTCGGCTTCTATTGGCTTTGAAAATATTCATAATAGCAGTTGCTTTTCATCAAAAGAAGATGAAAAGTGTATACACCCTTTAATAAAAGAGAGCATAATAAGTGAAAGCAATAAAAATAAAGAATCAGAAAAGAAAGCTAAAATAAGAAAACAAAATCGATGAATTACAGTTCCAAATATAGAAAAATTGATAAAGCAAGCACCTAAAAAGCTAACACTGATAGAAAAAGAAAAAAATGAGCTCGAAGAGAAAGCAAAAAGCATTTTCAGAAAATCCACAGAAATAAACCTCAAAGAATTTCATTTAAAACTCAAAGAACAAGAAATTGCTAAAAAATTAGAATACTGCGACCTAAAACAAAAAGAAAACTCTATAAACTCAGAAAAGATTGCAAGGCTTTTAAAAAGCTATATAAATCACATTTAATTGATAAAATAAATTTTATTCCCGATAAATTAAATTAATTATTATTAATTGCAGCAAGTCCAGCTTTCCCTAGGGTACTTCCGATTGTATATTGTCCAGGCCCTGGCGTCGTTGCTTTTAAGCTTTTGTCTCTTTTTTCTTTTGAAAAAGAAAATGCTTTGCCTTTTTTCCTGAGATTAATATCATAATCTCCAGGGGAAGGCCATTTTTCTTCTTTTTCTTCTTTAAGCCTTTTTTCAGTCCCAAATATAGGCCCTGATGTTTTTTCTAAAATGGCAGTCGAATTTGGAGAATACTGCGCTGGTCCTGGGGATTCTGAACGTGCAGGATTATTATATCTCCCTACAATAGTAATTTTGACCCCTTCTTCAGGTGGATTAGAAGAATATTGTCCTGGCCCTGGGGTTATGGATGTTGGTAATTTAAGTCTTTTCCCTTTCCCTAAACTATAAGCTGGAGATCCATATACCTTTCTTGCATCATACTGGCCTGGAGATGGTGTGATGCTTCTTGGCTCTAGCATTGTTCTTTGAGCATTGCCAATTGAATAAGAAAAAGACTCTTCGTGAACTTTTGGAGAGTAAGTGCCTGGTCCAGGTATTTCAGAATTTTTTGAGCTACCTGATGGCTTGCTAAGTAGTAATGCTTTCGGGCATTGACTCCAGTCACTAGATATAGTATAATACCCAGGTCCTGGACTTGCAGACTGTATATCTGCTTTATCTCTTTTAGACTTAGCGAACACAATCTTCGGTGACGTAGCTTCTGTAAAAGTTTGATAATATCCTGGCCCAGGAGAGTCTCTTCCACTTGAAGATCCAAATCCTTTTTTGGAAGATCCAAATCTAAATAAGATTTACATTGCCCTAGGAGAATTATTTTGTTTTGTTCTTGTATCGTAAGCCCCAGGACCTGGAGAATCATTTTTTATTCTCTTTTCAAATTTCATTCCAAAACTGTAGCTTAGCAAGCCATCAAGACGGTTAGGGGAATAATGGCCTGGACCTGGCGTTAATAAGTTTGATTCTGTCTCATGCCTTCCTTGCAAAACTGCTTTTGGGCCGTTGCCAATTGTTCCAGGGATTTTATATTCTCCTGGGCCTGGAATCAAAGTTTGAGGCTTTAATTCTAATCTCGGTGCTTTGGGAAATGAGTGCTTTTTTGCAAAATTATAAAAATCGGACGATATATTATAGTTTCCAGGGCCTGGAGCGATCTTAATTGCTGTACTAGAAAAATTTTCTCGTTTGCTTGGAATGGTATAAGCTGGAGCGATTTCTCCTTGCATATTAATTAACTTTTATCAAATGGGAATTTATTTTTGCTTTTTAGGTGCAATATCTTGCAGCTTTTAACGTTAATTTCTAGCTTTTGAAGCACAGCGCTTTATTAGTTTATATATAATAAAATATTTTTGCTTTGCCAATTCATAAAATGCTTAACTTAAAATAAAATCAATATAATTTCCTAGAAAGCGGTTGACTTTCAAGTTTCTATAAGTTTAAGGCTTTAAAAATCATAAGTTTAAGTTTAACTAGTAAAAATGGAGCAGACTAAAATGATCATCAGACGAGTAAAAAGTAAAGCTGATTCATCTGATGGATAATTAAAATATGGTAGCTCAAATTTGCTGGTCTCTCGAGCGAGAATTTATCTCTTGCATATTTTAATTATGAGGTTTGGTTTCCCAGGTGGCATTATTCCAGTTATGTCAGGAAAGCAAGAGGTTGGTGGTTTTTCCTGCCGGACTCCTGGCCTTAGGGAATGATATTTTCCAAAAGGGTGCACTGACCCCAGGCAGAGGAGACTAGGACATTGAGGTTGAGTTCAGAGAAGAGTCGTCGAAGCCCAAACTTCAAGAGCGGCGTCCTCATTGGTGAACAAAGTCCGAGGTGGCCACACCTTTGGTATGTCCTGAGGAAAATGGCGCGAAATTCACCCCAAAAGCGGCGTTGGGGTACTCTGTTTGAGCAATCTGGTAGTGGCGTTAAGCGTGCTATAGATAGTTAAGATTAGATTCATCCGATGAGCAAACCACTATGATTTAAGTCCGACTGAAATATCCTTATAAACTATGAGTGGGCTTACAATTACAAGAGACAAAGATCGCTATCAAAAAATTGGCAAACTAGGAGAAGGCGCTTATGGAAAAGTCTACAAGGCTGAAGATACTAAGACTAATGCAATAGTTGCTCTCAAAAAATCAGTCTTTAAAACAGACAAAGAAGGAATCCCAGCTCAGACTATCCGCGAAATATCCTTGCTCAGAGATCTTGTTCACCCAAGTATAGTGTCCTTACAAGATGTCCTTATTTTAGAAAATAAGCTGTATTTAATTTTCGAGTACCTTGAGCAAGATATAATATTAATTGGTGGCGATCCAACCTGCACTCTTAATGCCTGAAATCGGGGAGTCATGGGGCCTTGTGGAAGAGAGATAGCATTTGGAAATGTGTATCCTTGTGGAAAGCAATGTCGGGCTTGCTGACTGCAAGTTAACATTCAGATCAGGATTTTATCTTATGGGGAGATGGCTCTTCGGAGTTGGAAAGGGAATGCCCAGCACCGCCTAGGAGGCACTTCTTGGCAAATTTGGCAACTTCCCAGCGATATTAGGCATTGCTTCCAGGGCTACGAAGTTCCATCTTGGCTAGAAACTTCGCCAAAGATTTAATTTTTCGAATTTTCTGGAAGGGCAACGCGTTTACACGCAGTAGGTGACCTAGTCTGCACACTAGGAAATAACCAAGCCTGACCTAGAGGAGCCCGACACTCGGCTAACAGGTTGTCCGATAGATGGATCGGATTTTCCCCTCCAGATCGAGGTCGGCAAGGTGTCTGAGAACGAAGCAGAGAGCTTGCAACGCAAAATTCGATGCCGAGAGCTTTTAAATAATAAAACTTAAATAAATAATCTAGAGCAAGATGTTAGGCACTTTCTCGACAATACCAAGCTCCCCTTATCTGAGTACATGCTGAAGAAATTCCTCATCCAGCTTTTAACTGCTATAAACTATTGTCACTCTCATAGAATACTTCATAGAGACCTCAAGCCTCACAATCTTCTATTAGACTCAAATAATGATTTAAAGATCGCAGATTTTGGACTTGCAAGGGCTTTTCAAATACCCTATCGGCCTTATACAACTTCTGTACAAACATTGTGGTATAGGGCTCCTGAAATAATTTTAGGCTGCGAGGTGTATAATACTGCAATTGACTTGTGGTCTGTTGGCTGCATCATGGCTGAGCTTATTAATGGGTTTCCGCTTTTCCCTGGAAGAAATCACATTGATCAGCTATTTACTATTTTCAAGGTTTTAGGGACTCCCAATGAGTCTAGCTGGCCAGGAGTATCAAGCTTAAGCTACTTTTCCCAAGATTTTCCTAGATGAACACCTGTACCATTTGAAAGGCTATTTCCAGGATTTAATGAGCTTGGCCTTGATCTCCTCAGTAGACTCCTATCCATGAATCCAGAAGAAAGAATTTGTGCAAGAGATGCCCTGAATCATGTATAGAATTTTCCCATAGATGGTGCTGTTTGCCTTTGATTTGCCCACTGAGAAAATTTTTTGCTTTGACCAAACCATATGGTACTGGTCTAACCAAAAATTTTCCCAGTGGCCAAATCAAGGGCAAACAGCGCCAAATAAGGGAAAATTCTATAATTTCTATTTAGCCTTACCTCAAGAGTGGTAGAATCCTGACTGAAAGAATTAACAATCATTAAATAATGCATTATTTTATTAACTTCCTTCTTAATCTTTATTTATAATAGTCATGCTAATAATATGACTCTGTTTTAATTCAATTAAAAATAATTAATTAATAAATCCGATTATTTCCCTACCCAGCCATTTAAAAACTCTTTTATTCTAAACTTTCATATCTATTTAAATTAAAATGGATTCATTAGAAAACTCAAATAAAAGATCTACTAGAAAAACTAAAGGGAAAAGATACAGCTGGACTATTGATGAATCATCAGGAATGGGCATTAAAACAGGCCCTTGAACTGAAGAAGAAGATGCAGCAGTAATCAAACTCGTACACAAAATTGGGCCTCAAAAGTGGAGCTATATCGCAAGACATCTCCCAGGCCGAATCGGAAAACAATGCAGAGAACGCTGGCATAATCACTTAAACCCTCATATTCGTAACGATTCCTGGACAGTCCATGAAGAATGACTATTATTCTTATATCACAAAACCCTTGGAAACCGATGGGCAGAAATTTCAAAAATCCTTCAAGGCAGAACTGACAATTCAATAAAAAATCATTGAAATTCTTCAATGAAAAAAGTGATTCCTGAGCTCTCATGTAAATATGATTTACTTATCAGATGTCATGGTCATGATGATTCTCATACTTGTATACAGCATCCTTTAGAAGATCTAGGGAGGAGGAAAAGGGGTCGTAAATCTGCAAATGAAATAGCTGAGGGAAGCGATATTTATTGTGTGCATGCACATAGGCAGATTTTAGCTGAAGCTTTGGAAGCTTATCAGCAAGAAGTTTGCTCAGGCGATGATAAAGAAAATACTCCTTCTACTCCTTTGACTAATAAGAAAAGAATTCTTGTTGACTCTACACCAAGCTGTAAAGTTTATAGGTTTCAGTTAGAGACTGAGGAGACAAGTTTTCAGTTTAGTCCTGATGTGTCTCCTCCACCGAAAAATAATTTAACTGCTTTTTATACTTCAAGTTTTCTGACAGATACTGCAGCAAGCTCAAATGGGAATTCTTACAGTTTGAGAACTCCTGATCAAAACAAATCTCCATATTCTACGCTGTTTGAAAGTCCTAGCTTCATGCTGAATTTTGATGCAAGTCCAAAATATTAAAATGAATATTAATAAATTAGATTAAAACAAATATGGCAATTCGAAAGAAGAAAAATGTATAGATAGTGCCCACTACTCATTTTTTATATAAAATAAGCATTTTTACCTCTATAGCAATGCTTAATCTTTATTGATTGGCATGTTATAAATCATTTTTCTAAGCTATAATTAAGAAAAATACATAAATTTTCAGCTTAAGTGAGTTGATTCACAATTTCCTCCTTATCCTCACTTATCAATTTTTCAATGTTCAGCTGCGTCATTAACTTTTCCACGGAATTTTGCGTGTTCAAAATTTTGTCAAGCTGCTCCGTCATAATTTGCTGATTTCCAATCAGCTCTTGCAGCCTTTCTCCAATATAATCAATATCAATGATTTCTTTCCGAATATCATCAATATCAGTTATTAACTTTTGTTCTAACTGCACAAGCATTTCTGGAGGGGGTAGATATCTCGTATTCGCCACACTCGTGTCTCTTTTGAAATAATGTATATGTCTTCTTAGTAATGCTCCATATACAAAAACCCTCCTCAAATAATTTGTCCCTTTTTTCCTCGTCAAAGCTTCTTTTAGCTTGAAAGTAGCTTTGATTACGTTAGACGCTTTATGCCTTACATCACTATTGGCTTTAACTTTTTTAATCATATAGTAAGCTTTTGTTTCTTCTTTGCTAAACATTGTAGCTACAGTTAACGTAACGACATATAAAGAGACCATAACCAATCCAGCAATGGCTGTGAAAAGCATTAACGCCCTTCCAAAATGAGTAGAAGGGTACCCATCTCCATAGCCTACAGTAGTCATGGTGACCACAGTCATCCACCAACCATTAGTCAAATAGTCAAAATTTAACTTTGATTTCGCTTCTGAAATAAATGGCCTTTCTAAATCTCTGACCGCATATCCAATACAGATAACTAATGTCCCAATAGCTGCAGAAAGAATAAGATGTGGCTGATACTTCAAATCAGCTTTTAAGGAGAAAAAAATATCAGTGTTAACTCCAAGTTTTTTGCCTTCTTTAAATGACTCATTGCTAAGCCATATAGAAAAATGAGTATAAACTCTTAAAATAAGGTACACCCTCAGTATAGTTATAACTGCAATAATCATATCGTATGAGTATACATATGATCCGTTAAGCATAGTCCCTGAAAAAGTAGTGTCGAAATAAGGCGGACAGAATATCCCCATTATCACCATTTCAACCAGCATTGGCCTGAGAAGATTTGCACTCTTTAGTGAGCTTTTCGGAGGGACTTGCTTACGGATTTTTTTTTTATCGAGCTCATAAAGATAGTGCTGGTAAATTAAGCACACTGATTAAAACTTACATATAACAGTAGTAAGGACAATATTCATAGTTCTCATTATATTTACATACTGGTTACTTTCGTTGCGGTTTTTGGTGAATCAGCACTCTCCACTATTGCATTTTGAACTTTCTGAGTAAAATTCTTCACTCTGTTTAAAAATTACTTCGTAGTACACAATCATGATTGATGTAAATGCCACTGCAGCATTAATTAGGTCAAGCTTAAGCTGCTTTTTTCGGATGTATTCGATAGAATTGTTGATAGTTCCTTTGGGAAGTATCTTCGACATGTCAACCTTCAAGGATATCTTATGGCTGACAGTTTTTTTAGGGTATTCTTCAACTTTTGATAAGTCAAAAGTTGTCTCGTCGTGGACAGAACTACTCATATTTGGTTAATAAAAAAATTGAGGATTTAAAACGGCATAAATCAATATAGATATATAGCTGCATAGATCGGCATTATAACTATTTTGACTTCTTATTTTCCACCAAAAGTGCGCCCCTAAAACTGGATTTCAAAATTTTCATAAGCGAGTCGGTTTCTCACCCCAGTTGGAGATATCAAATTTTTTGCCAAGCTATCTACCCTCAAAGTCCAAAAATGGCTTACATAAGAGTCAAACTCTATCCAGGGTTATATTATCTATGACCAATATGAAAACGCTTTAAATATTAAAAAGTATATGGGTTGTGGAGGAAGCAAAAATAATGCCAATGCAGTGCCACCTAAAGTAACTGAAAAAGAGACTTTTTCAAGCGGAGATTATGACAAAGGCAAGCCTAAAAATGAAGAAATCCCTGATGAAGAAGCTGTTGTATTGACCAATGCAAAAGTTTTGAAAAAGAAACCTACCGATTTCAGAGACAACCTTGAAGAACCTAAAGCTCCTGCAATTATCTCTATCAAAAAGGAACCAGTAATCCCTACAAGAATCGAAGCAGAAGAGCCAAAATTTAAATCTACAACTGTAGAGCCTACAAATGAAAACATTCCTATAAATAAACCCCTAGCATTCCAGCCTCCTCCTAAGCCGCCTTCAAAATTGCCACCGCTTACTGAGAAGCCAAATTTCCCTAATATGAAGCCTGAGTTTGATTTTGACTTCCTTGATGAAAATGAAAAATCAAAAAGAGGAGGAATTGATTCACAGAGGAAAGCGGCTGACAAAGAGGTTATCGTTGATCAGTTGTTAGAGGAATTTAACGATATTTAATATATTAGTGATAAATTTTATTAATCAGATGGTCTGCTATGTTTTCTAGCCAAACTCGGTGCTTTAGTTGGAGGATAAGGGATTGGGGAAGCTGAGAGTAGCCGATTCGGCAGCCTAGAAGAGAGCCAGCTACAGCTGCATTTGTATCTGCATCTCCCCCTTCGGTAATGACGCGTCTAATCATGGTGGAGTAATCATTTTGAGATAATCCTCAAAAACCAACTCCCATGCATTTATAAGTGTATCCATCACCTTCTTCTTCGAGAGGAATAAGGTCATTTTCAATTGATGGTCTGATGTATTTTCTGAGGATTTCTGGGTTAGAGCTTAAAATTATGTTAGGTTTTTGCTGAAGATAAATATTTTGAAGCTCTGCAGCTATTGAAGAAGTCATGGTATCTAATTGATTTAAGTAATCCTCCATGGCTCTTCTGGTAATTTCATATGCTATATCAAGGACTTGCTCTATATTTCTAAGCCCTTTTAGCATCAATGAAATTGAAACTGACACAGCTACAGCAGACCCAACACTTCTAGGATCACTATGTGTCGCCTTGGCCATCAAAATTGCACTTCTAACTACTGCTCCAAGGTCCTCATAATCAATCATCCCAAGCCCATGTGTTCTCATTATAGCTCCAGTTCTTGCTAAATTGCAATTTCTCTTCACAAAAACCGAGTTGAATAGCGGCTGAACCTCCCATACTGGAGTTCTTTGGTAATTGCGTCACCAATATGGCTAACCCCTGACTTTGAATAATCCTAACCTAATTCACTTCACAAAAACTTTCTAAAGCAGCAATTCAAGGACTCTCTAAAAATTTCTCATGCGATATTACCTCTTGAGTCACAGCACCCACTCCACATCCTCCTGTATCCCCAAGCTCTTCAAACCCATGATCTAGCCAATGCTTCAGCCTAGCACCAAAATCAGTATCATCAACTCTTTCTAAAGCAAGCCAACTCAAAATAATTAGCAAAGTCTGGTCTGTATCATCTGATCAGTCTCCTTCTTCTCAATTAGGCATTGAACATTCCCATCCTAGCATACTCAATGGCTTATTTTGTCAAAATTCAATACATTTTTCTTTGCTCACAAATTCAGTTCTTGCTCCAAGAGCATCACCGATGGCCATTCCAAACAAGCTTCCTTTGATTTTATCAGAAAATTCTTCTTTAGTCAGTTTTTCAGTAATCAGATTAAGTTGGGATATATAGTCTTGCAAAGAAGCCATATTAAAAATATATTAGTTTTTATATATTGGGCCTAAAAAATGATCATCATTCAAGCCATACCCATTTTCTTCTAGTACAGTCATAGCTTCTCCTCATAATAGCACTCGTTTAAGTCTTACTTCACTCAATTCTCGTGGCACACAAAACTTGTAGGAATTTTTTGTAAAATCATTCCAGTTTCTGCTGCGCCTTGCCATCAGGATTTCTCTTAGTTCGTTAGATTCTTTTTGTACTAGCCTTTCAGAAGTTACTAAAATGTCCCTATTTGGAGGATTTAGAGTCATAACTACTTCAGGTAGGGATCATGAAAGGGTTTTGCTTTTTATTGCAGGAGCTACCTTTATTTCATAAAGTGTGGAAGGTGAAAGGTTTATTAGTGTGTAGCCAGTTGCAGCTTTAGATGCTTCTATAGTACCAAGGTCTACTAGTAGTTTTGTATGCTTCTTGACGTTAATTTGAAATTTAGTTGGCTTGATTTGTAAGTCTATAGTCCATGATATTGATATAGCCATACCCTTATATAGATTTTTTTATCGAGCAAAATGCAATGAATGGTTGAACGACTAAGACAGACTCTCTCAGAGAGATGAACTGAATCTCTATACCAGGAAGTGTTAAAAAGTGACATGTCAAAAAATGGTGAAAAGTGTGAAAAAAGTTGACAAAGTAAACACACTAATTTTTAAATGGCTTTATTATTAAATTAATTTAAAATTTAAGATACCCCAATTAGGATTGATTAATATCTTACTCCTTTATGAGGTTCTTAATAACTCATATAATATGCTAGCAAATTTAAATAGATTTAAAACTTATGATCGTTTTACTTTTTTGCAGAAGGATAGATTTTAAATAAGCAATGCCAATTTGATTATAATCACATGCTCTATAAAAGCCAAGTTTGTATTGAACGCTATTTGTTCTTTGTGAAGTTTTTAGTGGCTCATATTAATACTTGTTAGCAAATATAAATAGACTTAAAAAATTAAAAACTTATTGATCAAGTGTTTTTTTTGTTGCGGAAGGATAAATTTTTAAATGAATAATGCCAAGTTATTATGATCGCTTGCTCTATAAAGCCAAAGTTTGTATTGAACGCTAATTATTTCTTATGAAATTCTTAATGATTCATATAACACTCTTTAGCAAATTTAAATGGGTTTAAAAATTAACAAATTATCGATATAGTTGCTTTTTTGGGAAGGACAGATTTTTAAATAGACAATAATGTTTTATATTTATTGTCTCCAGTCTAAACTTAAATTTAAAATTAATTTAATAATAAAGCCATTTTAAAAATTTGCGTACTACTTATTGTCGACTTTTTTCACACTTGCCCAACAATTTTTTGGAATATCACTTTTTAAGCACACCTTTATAACAGCCAGCTCATTTCTTTGAGAGAATCTGCCTTAGTAGTTCAACAGTACATTACATTTTGTTCGATAAAGAAATCTATATAGTGGGATGGGCTATATAGACGAGTGGGTCACTTCATCTACTCTGATTGAAATAAATTTAAACATAAAAATATTAGATTTTATTATTTAAAAAGTATTTTGCTTAAAATTTAGGTATGATTGGGGAAATATAGATTTAGCTAAAACTCGTGGGAGGAAATTTATTTGTTGATCCAGAATTGAAAGGATTACTTGAGTTTTAAAGTGCAAATAAAGAGCTAGCTCTTGGGCAGATCTCATCTACTGCATTCCAAACATTGGGTTACTTGATCCTATCAAATTTCATTGATAGCCTTGGCTAGAAATATAATTTAGGATTCCGGGATTCGTATAATCATTATATTCAGATTCATTGATTGACTGCTGGCCTATATTCAGCAATGAGTAAACTTGATTTCTTCTCTTCTGGATTCACTTCTCCAATTATGCTTATAAAATTGCTTTCATACTTCCGTATTTATTTCCTATCACAATTAAATTTTCAATATTTTCTTCTCTGATTTCTTCAGTATTAATCATATACTTTATTATTTCATTCTGGTCGTTTCTAAACCATACATAAAAATGTAAAACCTGAAGTCTCAATTTTTAAATTCAAGAAGATGCCTGCTTGAAGAAATCTAAAAGAATCCATATCTGAAACTTTTGATTTCAGCTAGAAGAACTGAAATTTTATCATTTTCTTGCAAGCCAATACAGCGAAATCCTCTAGCCGTACTGTATAGATTTAGTATTTTCATCAATTGATGTAGATTGACATAAAAATTTTAATAAAGGACTCTGAATAAACTTTTCCACATTACAACATAATTTAATACCATTCATAAGACATCTTAATCATATTCAGCATTAATTGTGTAAAAATTATTTAAGTAAAGCTGAATATCCAGGGAAATCATAATCCACACCCAATTCTTTGAGCTTCTCTTTAAGCTTTTCTTCGTTCTCGACCAATTTTTGAACTCTTTGCTTGGTCACCTCTTTTTCTTCTTTAGCGTTATATCTCTCTTTAAAGGCTGGATAGCGAGACTCAATATGTTTTTTGCAAGGGACCATAGCAAACTTGCTGACCTCGTCTAGATATCGACAGACTAGCTGTTTCCCGAAAATAAGAAACCCATGCATTGCTTCTGCAGCAATTTTCGCGACGTCTTTTTCTAGAAATTCGACGAAGGCATATCCCTTCGACCTTCCAGTTTTTTTGCTTCTTGATACCTTTACTTTAACCACCTTGCCAAATTGCCAAAAGAATTTCCTAAGAGCGTCTTCTTCAAAACCTTCAGGCATATGGCTAACATAAACATATCCTGATTTTGATGCAGCTGGAGGAGCAAGTTTCTTTAATTTTGCAAATCGTTCGAGCCTGGAATTGAGAAGCTTTACCATATTAAATTACTATTAAAATAGGGATTCAATGATTAGTGTAAAAAATTACTTAAGATTGCCTCACCATGAGACAACCTCATAGCGTTAATTGACACTAACTATAGCTCATGCAGCTTTATAGATCTCTATACCCCAGCAGAATACCGACCAGAAAATATGGTGCAGGACACCTGCCTTATACAGTATAAGTCTGATTTAGGCACCTTAAAACCATAAACGGAGATCTGTCATTTTCGTTTTGACTTTTCAAAAAAGCTGACAGTACAAATTAATTTTGGAAATTAAAATAGATGGCCAATAATGATCTAAAATATTTAAGGGGCTATATAAAAGTATCCAAGGATCCAAGGTTTGATTCCTTTTTCAAAAAAATTCCATTTATAAGATTGAGACCTGCTACACAAGAGAATGCGTAGTAAGGATACATAGGATTCATATGATGAAGTGTTAACAGAATGAATGGGGATAAAATAGCAGCGACATTCATAAAGGTAAAGCATAAAGAATATCCAGTCGTTCTGACTGTTGTTGAGTATAATTCATTTGTATAGGGAACTATAACGTCGCTGTTTACCATTCCACAGATTTGCAAGCCTGATATACAGACATAATAAAATGAGTTGTTAAAATTGAATGAACATAGCAAAGAAGTTGCTAAATGAAAAGCACACACTATCACTATTAAATTTTTTCTATCAAACTTGTCTTGCTCTATCAAAAACATAGGGATTAAAGAAAGTGGAGACTGTGCGACACTCATCACTGCGAGATCAGTTAAGACATCTCCATCTGACTCACCCCCCAGAGTTCTTGGCAAAATAAATACACACCCATAATATAAAAATCCAATTGACCACCATAAGAAAAATCCTTGTAACGTTATCCGGAGATAGTCGCCTCCAAATATCATCCCAAGCCTATCTAAATGGTTTTCCACTTCAGTTTTTTCAATAAGTTCAATCGCTTCAATTTCTTCTCTTGCCAATCTTCTTGCGTTATTAATTCTTGCAATTTTGTTTAAAACTTTTACACATTTATCATGCTTTTCGTTCATCGAAAGCCATCTTGGACTTTCATCCAATAAGAAAATTAGCAAAATTGTGCTGAAAAACGCTGGTCAAGCTGCTATAAGTAGAAGTTCTCTCCAATAGAGAGGCTCGAGCTTTGGGACTAATGCTAGACCTAAGAGGCCAACCATCATTGTTCCGACTTGATAAAGCAATTGTCCTGCTAGGACTATTAACCCTCTAGAGTTTTCTACACCTGTTTCTACAATCAAAGTGGTTCCAATTGGGACTAAAACACCTATGGACACTGATAAAAAAAATCTTGTGCATATGAATGCTCATATGTCAGGCATAAAAGCGGAGACTACTGCGAAAATTGAGTATAGAATTGAGGAGTATATCATGCATTTTCTTCTACCAAATGCGTCTCCGAGAGGCCCAGCAATTAAAGTCCCAATTGCGGTGCCGAGAAATAGGACTCCTCCCATGAATTCTACGACCTCGAGGCTTAGGTTTCATTCTTTTTGGAGAACTGAAGACATCAGGGTGACGATAAGAAGCTCTGCTCCTTCTGCCATTAGAAAGGATCCGCAAAGGCAAAGAACCAAAAGCTGGTATCTCCCAAAGCCGATCCTTGAAAGCACTCTATCAATGCTTGAATTTGGATGACAAAATATAGCTTCTTCTAATTCCATTTATAGTTATTATTTTCCCAAGACTTCTTTCAACATAATGATTTTTACTGGCATCATCATATGAATATTTTTAATTTTATAATAGGAATATATGGTATTATTTTGGAAAATAGATAGCCAAAAAGGACTAATAAAGATATTTAATTGGATAATTATTTGTTAATTTATTAACAAATAGAGATCAAAAATAATAATTTTATTGATTATTAATTTCGAGTTTTTAAATAATTAAAAAGATTTAATTATTTTTCTATATATAACTAATTCACCGCAACTACAATAGTGTCCAGCACCTTGCCTTTGGAGTCTTTTTGTAGAAGTGCACAATTAATAAAGCTCAAAGCCCCTACAACTGAAAATGCGTAGTAAGGGTACATTGGATTTGACTCATGCAGCCTTAAAAGTATAAAAGGTGATGAAACGGCAGCCAGTTTAGTGAACGTAAAGCATAGGGAATATCCTGTAGTCCTGATGCTTGTTTCATACAATTCACTTGTATAAGGGCAAATGATATCTCCGATCACCATGCCCCAGAACTGGAATAGAGTTACAAACACCGCCCACAATGCTTCATCCATTGGAAGAGAACATATAATGGCTGTAATAAATTGAAACAGACTAGTCAATATAATTGAATTTTTCCTCCCAAAACTTTTATGTTCAATAATGAACATTGGAAGAATCCCTGCTGGAGCTTCAATACAGTTCATAATTGCAAGCTGAGGAAGGACCTCAGAATCAGAGGCTTCACTTTGAAGGGTACGGGGTAGGATAAACACAACTCCGAAATAGAGAAAACCGACAGACCACCATAAGAAAAAGCATTGTATGGTAACTCTTAAATAAGCGCCGCTGAAAATCTTCTTTATTCGGTCAGAAAAATGAGTTTCTGGGGATTGTTCAATGTGAGAAATGCTCTCTTCTTCTTCTGGGCCTAAAAGGTGAGATTTGTTGACTCTCGCGACTCTGTTAAGCACGTCAACTGCTTCTTTATTTCTGAGTTTTAGGGATAAAAATCTAGGACTTTCATCGATAAAAAACCAGACCATGATTGAACTGATGTAGGCTGGGATGCTAGAAATTAATAAAAGTTCGCGCCAATGGACTGGCTTTAGATCTGGTATCAAAAATACAGCTAAAACAACGACATAGGCTACTCCAACTTGGTAGAGTAGCTGCCCTGATAAAGCTGTTAGTCCTCTTGAAGTTTCCGTTCCTGTTTCAATAACTCTCATAATTAAAATTTCAAAAAAAAATTATTTTCGGTTAAAAATAATTAAAATAAAATCGTTTAAAAATGTTTAATATGCTAAAAACTAATTTAAATTATTGGAAAGAAGTAAGAAGTGTTGTAGCAATTGGCACGATACCACCAAGGCAAATGCCCAAGCACATTCTGGCAGCCACGAAGCTCCAGAAATTTGGCATGAAAGCTGAAGAAAGTGATAAAGCAGTAAAGCAAGTGACTCCAACTCTTAAACTAATTTTTCTACCGAAGTGATCTCCTAACGGACCAGCCAGCAAGGTCCCTATCATGCCTCCACAGAATAGCAAGCTTCCCATCACCTCTACATCAGTGTCTGAAAGCCCTCATTCTCTTTGTAAAACACTTGCCATGAGTGTTATCACAAGCAATTCTCCTCCATCTGTCAATAAAAATGATCCAACAATACAAAGCACCAAAATTTGGTATTTTCCGAAGCCAATCCTCCCCAATACATGATCAATAGAAGATTTTGGGGTCTTGAATATGACTTCTTCAATATCCATTTTATCTCAGATTAGATTAGATACATAAAATGGCCGGCGACGAGTGATCTCTACTCCCCGTGGCGGGTGACCTTATGCATATCCTGACGTGGCTTTTTGGAGTAAGGAGCTCCAAGGTTGGATTAGACTCTTAGCGAGAACCCCAGCACTATTTCCGCTTTTTATTCCAAATGCCGTAATAAATTGAATTCTTTCTTTGGAGGTGATCCGATAAAAAGTGAAAAATAAACTCGACAATGGCTTAACTTCCCCCCCTCCGTGAGTGAACAAAACCATTAGAAAAATCGCTATTTTTTGCCCAAAAAAACCCACCCTCCGTGAGTGACAAAAATTTTTTTTAATAGAAAAAAAAATTTGATATATAAGTGATAATTAGCATAATGAAATCTAGTGCTAATTCTATTTAATTTTAAACAAATTGCTTTTTAAAATATAAAATTTTATAAATTAAATTAATATTTGCTTTCCAATTTTTGCGAATTAGGATTTTTTTAAATTTCGAAAAAAAATATTTTTTATAAAATTTATATATAAATTTTTTTTAAAAAAAAAAATAAACCCCCTCCGTGAGTGAACAAAATTTTTGTGTTCACTCACGGGGGGGGGAAGTAAGGAGATCTCTTCACTAGAAAAGGCCTAATAAAAATGGCGATCTGGCTATGGGTTCCCATGGTTGGTGCAGCATCGGCCAGGCACAAGATGGAATGTAGATCCCTAAAAATCCGCATTGGCGGATCAATATTCCGATAAGTAAGGGACTTTGGTCCAGACTCATTCTAAGGTGGGAGCCACCTATATATTTCTGCCACTCCGTTGCAACATTTGGCTCTGTATTGCGGAATAATGCTCTTAGTAGTGGATTATTAATACCCAGCGTTAATCTAATCTCAGTTTAGATTATAATTCTTTGAGAAAAACAGTAAAAATGGCGTTAATTCATCAAGCGCATTTATTTATATAATTAATGATTAAGAATACTTAATCCAAAAATTATAAAAATATTTTTGGCTGAAATTTGAATTTTAAATAAAAGTCCACTGATTGGAGAAACCGAATTTAATTAAAATTTTTATTTGAATTTGAATAAATTAAAAATTCATTATTAAAATATTGATTTTAAAAATTAGTTCTTAATTTAATCTGTTTTTAAGTTTGAGCTTTTTCTATAATAAACATCTGGCTGAGAATTTCGTAAAAAGAAGATTGCAGTTTGATTTTTCACCAGCCTAAAAATTGCGGCTAATCCAAAAATTATTTCAAGGCCTATAAAGATTCATTGAATAATCCCAAGAGATTTTTCAAGTGGAAGATGGGCTTGTATAACTGTAAATTGATAAATCATAAGCGGAACAGAAAATATAAGTGTAATAATTTCAAAGGCAAGTAGCTCAGGAAAATTTTCTTTTATATTTCCTGAAAATCCATAGTGGAGCCTCAAAAATTCCGCCATACCCCAGAGTATAATAAAAATGATATCAATTCCGCTTCAGGCAATATCAAAGTAAATCTGTTTATATATGAATGTACACACAATTAGGAAGAACATCAAGACTGAATAATATCAATTGTAAAAAACCAAGATTTGAAGTCCTAAATTAGAGCTCATTTCAGTTTCAATGACTCTAGTTTTGCTTGTGCGAATATATTTCATCTTAGAAGCCTCATCCCTCATTAATGCTTCTTGATCAAGCTCTGTCTCACTTCTCCTTTGCATCATATTTTAAATTAATTTGTGCCAAATTTCAAAATTATAAAAACTAGCATGCAAATAATTATTTTTTGGCTCATTTGCATATAAATAAATCTTAGCTTATTTATGCATCACCATATGGTTTATTTCTTGTACTTGGTAATTTTCTAGATCTTTCTTAATATTTTGATATTTTTGCAGTAATCTCTCCAGCTCTTCCGATTTCTTTTTAATAATATCATTTTCAAATGCTTTCAGCCTAATTTTCAAAGCACTCATCTCTATCCCTTGTCTTTTTTCTAGCTGAATCAATTTTTGCATCATTTTTCTTTTTCTTTCTTTTTCCCAATTTTCAATTTCACTCTTATTTAGTAGATTTATTCTTTTTTGCACGACCTGTGCTTCTCCATAATCCTTTAATTTCAATAATCGTTCTTTAATATTCATTAAATTCAAAATTTCAGCAGTGGGCTTAGGCTTAACTTGAATTTGGCTTTGAAGTCGATCTTCAAGCTGAGATTTTTCTCTTTCATGCCTATTCATAAGTGAAAATAATTCTTGTTCAGAAAATTGTTTTTGTTCTCTTATCTTTTTGTCTCATATATTAACGAAATTCTGAAATTCTAGCAAATGCCCATCTTCAAGTTCTGATCTTTCGGCTTCATGATTCAATTTGGCTTCTTTAACTTTTTTACGTTCTTCTTGCTCTAAAAGATCGTTTAGCCTTTTTTTTGCGTGCTCAGCCTCAGTAAATTTATTTTCTCTTTCGCAAGTTTGGATGTGATCTTGAAGAATTTCACTAAATTAAACTTACATATATTCGTTAAGCGAATATTTTTCTTGACTCATAAATTATTTGAACTGAGATGAGATTAAAATAATTATTTAAAGGAATGCAATATCATGGTTTAGAATCGCTACGAAAATCAATAGTTATTTTAGATGTGCTTATTAGCTTTTTATATGCTATGCTTGAATTTAGTTAAATATTATTATTTCAGTAATTTAGCATATCCCTTATATAGGATATATATATTTCAATTCTTAAATCAGTTATCTAATTATGCATTTATGAATCTTTTGTTATAAGAATAAAATATAAATAACATAATTTAATTATTGTCTTGTAAATCTTAATTGACTTAATGTGTTGCATTATAGCTTATTTATCTACAATTTTCTCCAGATTTATAAACCGAAAAATGGTGTTGCCTTTGATATTATTTCTTGCCTGCTTCGCTTACTCATGAGACGATTCAAATTTAGCAAATGGCTATCTACTCCCTCACGTGTGACAGCAAACAATTGGAAAAAAATCCTACCATTCAGTGAACGAACAATTTTTTTTTAAATGCATTATTTTACATACTGATAATAAAATTCTATCGAGTTCTATTAAGTTTTAGACAGCTTGCACTTAAAGCATAAAATTAATAATATATATAACATTTTTTCAATTCTGCATTTAGGACTTTTTAATTACAATAAAAAACTATTTTAAAAAAATAAAGTTCACCCTTTCTGTGGGGGAGCCATTAGGGAGAGGAGGAAGAGGAGTTAGGAGGCTATTTTAACATGACTGAAATTACAGCTCAATTAAACAGCTTTACTTCTCCAGATCTTTCACTGATAACTTTAGGAAAAAGTGTGGATGGCAACAATATTGAGGGAATTAAACTTCTTAAGGCTGGTATTTATTACATAGATGGCATAAATTCTAGCTTAAGGACAAAAATTTTGATTACGGGATCTCATTCAACTCTTCAACTTTTATCAACAACTCAAGTTTTATACTTATTGAATTTCTTGACTAACGATACGAATTCTGATACTCTCTATCTATTGGAAACTTCTGAAATCTATTTTATTCCAGTTATAAATGTTGACTCTTATATAGCTGCAGGCAAATATTATATAACTACGCAGACTTTTAGTGATTTTTACAAAAATACAAAAAATACTTGCAAATCAAAGTAAATTTCACTTAGTGTGCAATATTCTGGAGTCGATCTTTTTAGAAACTTTGATTCACATTGGGGTGCAGATGATACCGGATCTTCAAGTGATCCATGCTCTGGTGCGTACAGAGGAGACTCTGCTTTTTCAGAGCCAGAAACAGCGGCTCTTAAAACACTCATAAGCACAACAAGCTTCAAAATGTGAATACATTATAGCAGTTATGGGAACTATGTCTTTTATCCTTATTGTTATCTCAGAAGTGTTGATTCAAGCGCGTTTAAAAATATATCAACATACAATTATTTCCGAAATTTACCATACTCTGCAAACTTATTATTGGATGTACAATATGGAACTTTATATTCAAAAATTAATATATTAGTTAATGGTGCACTGATTGACTATGGAATGGATAATAATATTTATTCATTTTGAATCTCTACCGGAGCTTACCACGCACGTCAAGCTGATATTTTACCCACATGCAGAAATCATACTGCAATTTTTAAACAAATCGCTTTAACAAGTGGTCCGCTCAATAAAATGGAATTTGGCAGTATTTCAGAAGAAATTTGTAAGAAAAATGAAACTTGTACGAGCAATGAGAATGCTTATGCTTATGTGATTTTGAGATTCTATTTTATGAACTCAGGACTTTCTGATTCTTATGCAGATGAAAATTTCATATTTAAAGCAACATATGGATCTACATATTCTTATGAGATTGCAAATATAACCGTTGGTAACAGTGCTGCAACTTTAAGTTATACAAATATCAGTGATTCAACACAAAAAATCAGTTTTGAAGTAAATATTGGCTCTATACCTGCACTATCAAACACAAATATTTTTATTTCATTTTATAGTTATAAAAATTTAACTTATGATGGTGAAGAAATGACAATTAATTATCAGGCAAAATTGACAAACTCACTTACAGCCAATTATTCAGCTTTATCGTTTTCTGACTCAAGTGTTGTTGGGAAAGCAACTCAGCCATCAACTGCTATAAATACCGAAAATTATGGCGCTTTCTATTATATAAGAGTGTCAAGTGAACACCATGAACTTGCTGCAGTTGCTGCCATATGCGTTTTTATAGGCATTTTTATGATTGCTGTATGGGTTTTAATTGCAAAAATATTTTACAGTGAGCAGATATATGGAAATCATAATACTGAATCTCATGGGACAATGGCAGGCCTAAATACAAAAAATACTACTGTTGAGCACAATTTAAACGGCTTTAGACCCATGGGATCTGAAATCAAAAATATAGGTCAAGAGCCTAACAAATTTCAGCTTGAGCTTAATACAGGAGAGGGATCCCCAAGCCAAAGAGGAAAAATTTCAATTCCGAATTCTCCGCCTAAATCAAGAGAAAATATAGGAGGATTTAGAGAAGTTACTTTAGGAGAAGGCAGCCCTTCAACTTTTGTAGGAATTGGATATGGGATGCCAAGAGCTGGTATTAGGCATGATATAGATAATCCAGAAATCAGAAGTGCCAGGCAAGAGGGTCTGAGTATTCCAATGAGAGTAGGGCTAATTTCTAAAAATGAGCCAGAAATAAAAGGAAATATAAATGTTCCTGGCTTTGGTCCTATGCCGCCAGAATTAGATCCAGGTTCTGCTCAAAGAGGGAAAATCAATGTTCCACCGCATATGAAAGGAACATCATTTGGAAATGATCCCTCAACAAAACTAGAAATAGTCGATGCACCTCAATTGCCAATATTTGCAGGATCTCCTACAGATTTTTCAGCAAAAAACCAAGAAAAAAAAGGTTTTTCTCCAATGGTTGATCCTGGAGACTTACGACCAAACTTTGGGAGTCCACAACCTAAAGCTGGAGGGTTTCAAGTTAGTATTCCTTCTAGCCCAGGTGGAGAAACAAACTTAGGAAATCCTAATTCAAAGGGATCTTTTCAACATATAAATCCTTCATTTGGTGAAGAATATGACGATATTGAAATCCTTGTAGATGATAGTAAATCAATAGGACCCCCAGAATATAAATAATTTACGATTAGTTATTATGCAGAACTTAAATTCATTGTTAATAGCTTTAATTTATGAATCAATAAATTTAATGCAACTTATTGTATTATGCTTGACCACATAATAACTTATTTCTAAATTTCTCAATTTTTCTCCATAAATTTATAAATCGAAAATGGTATTGCCTTTGATATTATTTCTTGCCTATTTCGCTTACTCATGAGATGATTCAAATTTAGCAAATGGCTATTTAAGAGGCTATTTTAACATGACTGAAATTACAGCTCAATTAAACAGCTTTACTTCTCCAGATCTTTCACTTATAACATTAGGAAAAAGTGTAGATGGTAATAATATTGAGGGAATTAAACTTCTTAAGGCTGGTATTTATTATATAGACGGCATAAGTTCTAACTTAAGGACAAAAATTTTGATCACGGGAACTCACACAACTAAACAACTCTTAGCAACGACTCAAGTTTTATACTTATTGAATTTCTTGACTAACGATACAAGTCCTAATACTCTTTATCTAGTGCAAACTTCTGAAATCTATTTTATTCCAGTTATAAATGTTGACTCTTATATAGCTGCAGGCAAATATTATATAACTACAAATACTTTTAAAGATTTTGACAAAAATACAAAAAATACCTGCAGTTCAAAGTAAATTTTACTTAGTGTCGAATATTCTGGAGTCAATCTTAATAGAAACTTTGATTCACATTGGGGTGCAGATGATACCGGATCTTCAAGTGATCCATGTAGTAATGTATACAGAGGAGCCTCTGCTTTTTCAGAGCCAGAAACATCAGCTCTTAAAACACTTATAAGCACAACAAGCTTCAAAATGTGAATACATTATGGTAGTTATGGGAACCACTTCTTTTATCCTTATTGTTATCTCAGCAATGTTGATCCAAGTGGTGCGTTTAAAAATATATCATCATACATTTATTTCCGAAATTTGCCATACTCTGCAAACTTATTATGGAATGCATCATATGGAACTACCTATTCAATAGTGAAAAGCTTAGTTAATGGTGCACTGATTGACTATGGAATGGATAATAATATTTATTCATTTTGAATCACTATCGGAGCTTACCAAGAACAACAAGCTAATATTTTACCCAATTGCAGAAATCATACTGCAATTTTTAAACAAATCGCATTAACAAGTGGTCCGCTCAATAAAATGGAATTTGGCAGTATTTCAGAAGAAATTTGTAAGAAAAATGAAGCATGCACGATTAATGAGAACGCTTATGCTTATGTGACTTTGTGATTCAAAATTATGAACTTAGGACTTTCTGATTCTTATGCAGATGAAAATTTCATATTTAAAGCAACATATGGATCTACATATTCATATGAAATTGCAAATATAATAGTTGGTAACAGTGCTGCAACTTTAAGTTATACAAATATCAGTGACTCATCACAAAAAATCAGTTTTGAAGTAAATATTGGCTCTATACCTGCACTATCAAACACAAATATTTTTATTTCATTTTATAGTTATAAAAATTTAACTTATGATGGTGAAGAAATGACAATTAATTATCAGGCAAAATTGACAAGCTCACTTACAGCCAATTATTCAGCTTTATCGTTTTCTGACTCAAGTGTTGTTGGGAAAGCAACTCAGCCATCAACTGCTATAAATACCGAAAATTATGGCGCTTTCTATTATATAAGAGTGTCAAGTGAACACCATGAACTTGCTGCAGTTGCTGCTATATGCGTTTTTATAGGCATTTTTATGATTGCTGTATGGGTTTTAATTGCAAAAATATTTTACAGTGAGCAGATATATGGAAATCATAATACTGAATCTCATGGGACAATGGCAGGCCTAAATACAAAAAATGCTACTGTCGAACACACCTTGATAAAAGAATCCGCAAAGCCAGAAAACAATTTAAACGGCTTTAGACCCATGGGATCTGAAATCAAAAATATAGGTCAAGAACCTAACAAATTTCAGCTTGAGCTTAATACAGGAGAGGGATCCCCAAGCCAAAGAGGAAAAATTTCAATTCCGAATTCTCTACCTAAATCAAGAGAAAATATAGGAAGATTTAGAGAATTTACTTTAGGAGAAGACAGCCCTTCAACTTTTGTAGGAATTGGATATGGGATGCCAAGAGCTGGTATTAGGCATGATATAGATAATCCAGAAATCAGAAGTGCCAGGCAAGAGGGTCTGAGTATTCCAATGAGAGCAGGGCTAATTTCTAAAAATGAGCCAGAAATAAAAGGAAATATAAATGTTCCTGGCTTTGGTCCTTTGCCGCCAGAATTAGATCCAGGTTCTGCTCAAAGAGGGAAAATCAATGTTCCACCGCATATGAAAGGAACATCATTTGGAAATGATCCCTCAACAAAACTAGAAATAGTCGATGCACCTCAATTGCCAATATTTGCAGGATCTCCTACAGATTTTTCAGCAAAAAACCAAGAAAAAAAAGGTTTTTCTCCAATGGTTGATCCTGGAGACTTACGACCAAACTTTGGAAGCCCACAAGCTAAAGCTGGAGGGTTTGGTGGAAACATTGTGGAAGAAGCAAAGCTTCCTTTTGCAGTTCCCATTTTCAGAGGCTCTACTGGAGAAGGCCCTTCTTTAAGTCAAGTTAGTATTCCTCCTAGCCCAAATGGAGAAATAAACTTAGGAAATCCTAATTCAAAGGGATCTTTTCAACCTATAAATCCTTCATTTGGTGAAGAATATGACGATATTGAAATCCTTGTAGATGATACTAAATCAAGAGGACCCCCAGAATATAAATAATTTACGATTAGTTATTATGCAGAACTTAAATTCATTGTTAATAAACTTGAATTAAATGGAAGAAAATAGGACAAGAATTGAAGTTGTTGTTCGAGTAAGACCAATTCTTCCTGAGGAATCTAGACAAGGTCTAATAAACTCACGAATCCAGCCAGAGACTGATAAGAAGTCCCTTGTGTAAAAAAATAATTAGAGTGAAATTCCCAGAATCAAAACAGCAAAAAAGGTTCAAATTTGACGACGTTTTTGATGAAAGCTCTACACAAGAAGAATTATTCGCTAGATTAAAATTAAATTCACTTGTGAAAAAAGTGGTTGAAGGATTTAATGCAACTGTTTTTACATATGGGCCTACTGGATCTGGGAAAACTTTTACAATGGAAGGGTATGAATATGATAGGTAAACAATTTTTTGCACTTTTAGTAAGACAGCTATTAGGGATATTTGGTTGATATTTTTTTTCCTCGTATATATTTATTAAAAATTTTAAGTGTTAATCACTTGCTATAATGGTTTTTTAGGCAATGTCTGGCTATAGAAAAAATTGCAGATGAGTATCTGTATAGCTACTAAAAAAACGCATAGGGAATTGTTCGTAGCCATATGATAAAGGCTTAAAGCCCATCATAAAAGTATTACATAATTAGGAAAATGAAAATATTGGTCTTGTCCCTAGAACAGTTAAAGCGCTTTTTGACGAAATTAAGCAGTCTGAAAGCCAAGTTGAATATACTGTAAATTGTACATATATTCAGATCTACAATGAAAATATATATGATTTATTAAATCCAGCCCAGCTTACTCCAAACTCCCCTGGCTTGAAGATGAGGTGAAATAAAAGCGATGAATTCTATGTAGAAAATCTTTGTATTTTCCCATGCTTTACATATCAAGAAGCATTAAGCCACTTTAATTCTGGATTAAGGAACAAGATTATGGCTTCCCATAATATAAACAGTACTTCTTCAAGGTCCCATTCAATTTTTTCATTGAATCTTGAAGCTTTAGATAAAGAAGAAGGCAGAATTGTGTCAAGCAGACTTCAATTAGTAGACTTAGCTGGAAGTGAGAAAACAGCAATGACTGGAAATGAAGGCTTAGCACTAAAAGAAAGCATTGAAATCAATAAAGCGCTGTTTACATTAAGGCAGGTTATTACAACGTTAGCAGAAAACAATGAAGCCTTTGTGCCGTATAGGAATTCGAAGCTTACAAGTCTGCTAAAGCAAAGCATTGGAGGAAACAGCTATTGCTTAATGATAGCGTGTATATCTCCGATAGATACTTTTTTTGAGGATAATCATAGTACTCTCAACTATGCTATACAAGCAGGAAGTATTTCAAATATTCCTGTGCAAAATATAGACCCAAAAACTAAAATCATCAGGGAGTTAAAAGTAAAATATATATAGAAAGAAATAAAAAGACTGAAAAAAGAGCTTGACCAAGCAAACAGTCAGCTGGATTTTCTCACTCTCTCCCTTTAAATTGGTCTGTTTTAAATAAAAGAAGGTGATTTTTAAAAAAAGTATTATTTAAATTTTCTTATATAAATAATCTAAAAAAATGTAAATTAAATAAAAATATTTGAATTTACATTTATTTTCTGATGAATTGACTTAATCGATTTATTGTTCCAACTGTTAATAGTGCTCTACATGCAAATTAAGCCAAAATATTTATTAAAAATAATAATTTTAATCTGTTAATTTACCGTTGAAAATTTCAATTTATTAGGGGTTAACTACCCAAAAATTTAAATTTTTGCCAACATTTTGTTTCAGTTTAAAGTGGGAGTTAGTGAAATTGCATCACTGGATAGAAAAACTCAAAAATCACGACTGCAAGAAATGGAAAAACTTCCATTAAAATCTGTCCATATAAAACGTATACGTGATTTAAGGAAATCGCTAGAATTATCTACTAGCTTTGAGCCAACTCCCGTTCCTCATACAGCTGCTTCTCAATCCCGAGGTAAAACTGAGGATTTCCCTTTATCCCAAGAAGTTTTAAGTGAAAAATTATACGACAGTGTCAAAATGATAAGAGAACTAATGGCAATTAATAAAAAACTAAAAGAGCAAAATTCAGAGCTTTTGTCTTCTAAAAAGAATATAGAAGCTGAATTTATTGAAATTCAATCTGAAAATCAAGAATTAAAAGAAAAAACAGAAATGCTGGAAACTATATTGAGAGACCAAGTGGAGCAGGCAAATGGGATAAAAGAGGTAGAAAACTTGCAAAAAGAAAAAAAAGAATTAGAGTGAAAAATCGCGCAGCTTGAAAAGGAAAATAAAAATCATTCAAGTATGCAGGTTAGAAAAAGTGAGTGGGATTGAAAGTCCAAAAGGACTGTACTAAGAGATCGTAAATTTTAGACAGATTCTGCTAAGCCTCCAAAAGTGTTTACGTTTGACAGAAATGAAGGGACTCCTATTAATTCAAATGGGAGATCATCACTGACACCTCGAGAGAAACAATTTAGAACATCTTTTAATTTTCATAAGAGAAACACTTCAAACGGTCTTAGTTTCGATTCTCAAGTAAAGCAAGAGGCCCTTTCAGCCCTTTCAAATATTTTAGGATATAAACAATTGTAAAATATTATGAATATTGATATAAGATATATTTAAGAGAATTTGCAATCATAAAATACAAGAAATATTTAATGAGAATAATAATATTTTTACTAGAAATAATATCAATAAATAAAGAATTAACTTACGGAGCTCTCTTGCACTCATAGAAAAGTTCATGCAAAATATCCATGCACTTCTGCCAGTTCTCTTCTCTAGTTGCATAATGGTTGCATACCACTTTGAATGTAGGGCTATTCTTATATCTTGTGCCCAAAAGGAAAATTAATCTTTCTTTTTGTAGTTTTGTGAGATTCCAGTTACGCATGTCGACCCACATTTTCACGACTTGGCTTGGTAAATCTACTCTGTTAGGCACAGTGGCGTTTTTGCCATAGTAATGAACAACTTGGGCTGCAACTTTTTGGCTTGGGGGATTATTCTTGATTTCTTCTTTCACTTGTTCTATTGTGCGGAGAGGGTAGTCAAAAGGATCTCTTCATATAGACTTCTGCCAAGGTGGCAATAATTCGTGTGGGGATTTACCACCAGAGGCAAATCTCCTTAAAGCCATCATCATTTTCATAATAATGAATTCTCATTAGAAAATATTTCATTTGGCAATCATAAACAAGTTGTCAATTATAGATTTAATAACTAATTTTTTACTTGGAGTTTTTCAATGTTAAAATTATGATTTTTTCCTTACTCCCCCCCCCCCCCTCCGTGAGCGAACAAAAAAATTTTGTTCGCTCACGGAGGGGGTTTAATTTTTTTTTTTTTAAAAAAATTTATATATAAATTTTATAAAAAATATTTTTTCGAAAATTTAAAAAAATCCTAATTTGCAAAAAATGGGAAGCAAATATTAATTTAATTTGCAAAATTTATGTTTTTTAAAACGCAATTTGTTTAAAATTAAACAGAATTAGCTCTAGATTTCATTATACTAATTATCACTTATATATCCAAATTTTTTTCCATTAAAATTTTTTCTATTAAAAAAATTTTTGTTCACTCACGGAGGGTGGTTTTTTGGTCAAAAAATGGCGATTTTTCTAATGGTTTTGTTCGCTCACGGAGGGGGGGGGGGGGGGAGTTATAAATTTTTAATTAGCTATTTTTAAACAAATTTAATTAGAAAATAATTTATAGCGACAACGCATATCATAATAAAAATGGTCCTGCCTTTTCTGTCACTTTGCTTACTCCCCCTCCATAAGCGAATAAAAAAATTTTGTTTGGGAGTTAATTTTTTATTTTAAAAAATTTATATATAATTTATATTTGAAATTTAAAAATTCACAAGTCGAAATAATTGAAAAGCAAATATTATCCCTTGCATATTTAAATATTTTTCATAAAGAATTCTTCTATTAAAAAAAATTTTTGTTTTCTCGCAGTGTTTTTTTTTGTTGTTGACAAAAGCAAGGATTTTTCCAATGGTTTTATTCGCTCGCGAAGAGGGGGAGTTAGTTTCATTTGTCATTGCAGAGCCAAACCCAGACAGAATAGAATATCAATACATTGAGCTAAACGCGCCAGCTACTGACATAAAGTTTTGTGGTGCCCAAGATGATGTCATGCTTCTACTCACCACTGAAAATTCTGTTTATCGATCCGAAAACAAAGGCTTTTCATGGAAGCCGCTATCTCCAATTCTAGAAAAAGAAGGCAAGAAAGCAGGCTCCACAATTGGAAAAGTTACACAAATATTAGTAAATCCAGCTGATAAGCAAGTTGTAGTGATGCTGGGGAGTGCAGGGCTTAACTGGTTTTCAGAAGACTGTGGGAAAACGATAAAAGCTTTAAATTATGGAAGACCAATGGAAGAGTATCATTTTCATCCTACAGAGAGAGACTGGGGACTAGCTGCATCGTGGACGAAGTGTTCAGATTTTGTTGATGAGCCTTGCAAAAAGTACAGAGCTTTATATTTAACTCAAGATCTCGGGCAAACATGGACAAAACTCATAGACTATGTAGTCCAGTTTTCGTGGGCATATGAAAATCTTGCTAAATATCCTTATTGGATTAATACTGGCATAAGATTTTAAAGAAAATCTATTATGTAAAATATGTTCAACTTATTAAATACAGTATATATTAAAAGAAATATTCCAAAAGAAAGAATCTATGTGACCAGAAGTCTTCAAGAAGGCGACCAAAAGTTAGCAGGATGGAGCTACAATGTTGACATGGTGAAAAGTGATGATTTCTTCCAGTCTTCTTCAATTCTTGTACCTCATGGCAACAAATTTTTACTTGCAGACAGATATATATTAGTTGCTCAGTCCATAGAACAGGATTCTCAAGATGTCCAACTGATGGTTTCCAATGACAAAAACATTGAAAAATTCTATAAAGCTGATTTACCTATCAAAAGAATCCCAGAGCATTCCTACACTTTGTTAGACACTTCAGAAGGGTCAGTTTTTGTCCAGGTAAATCATTATGGACCAGGATCAAGATATGGAAATATTTATGAATCTGACGTGACTGGTAGATTAGATTAAGTTCTCGCGGGTCTTTAGGTATTATTTCAGCATCTCGCCGTACCATGGATCACATGCCCTTTTGCTTCTGACCTCACCAAAAAATGCTGAATTGGGAAGTCTCTCTGTGAGGTCACACTATCTGTCTTCTGTGTCCACAAGCGAAAAGACCTTACACCTCTTGCAGGGCCCGGATTATAGGTAAACAACCTTTTCCTCCTCCATGGCCTGCTTTAACCATATTGCCGGCTCGGTAATGCTCCGATGGAGAGCTGAAGGGTATTGCACCGGTCGGCACGTCTGAATGAGGAAAACTGGTCGAGACTCAGCCCCTGGTCCAAAAAAACCTGCCCCGAGAACTATCGCCATTTAGCTCCTCTCCTCTAGGTCCGGAGCAATTCTTGGAACACCAAATCACGCGATTTTAATAATTCTGTGACTGGCAGAAGATTCTCAATTTCTCTCCTTCATAATGTAAGAGACCCTAAAGGTTATTGTGATTTTGATAAGGTATATGGACTAGAAGGGATTTATATTGCAAATGTTTATGATAGAGAAAAAACTAATGAAGAATTTGATGCTTCTGACACGAAAAAGAAAAAAGGAAAAGATGCAGAAATTACATATAAGAAAACAGCAATTACTTTTGATAAAGGAGGAGTCTGGAAAACAATAACTCCCCCTGAAAAAGACTCAAATGGAAAACGAATTTTGTGCAAGGATGAAGATTGCTCATTGCATTTATAACATTTTCAGTTATTTTTATATATATATTTATACATAAAATAATCTCAAATTGTATATAAAATAGGTTTAACCCGGAAAAAAATTTTAGAGCTAATTATTAAGTCAAGTCTACATTCAATTACTTCTCAAAAATTTGGGACCGCTTATTCATCAGAAAACGCGGTCGGGATCATCATTGGTGTTGGCAACGTCGGAAAATACCTCTCAAACAAGCCTGATGAAGTAAATACTTATTTATCTAGGGATGGTGGTCTTACATGGAGTGAAATCAAAAAAGGGTCCTATATCTATGAAATAGGAGACCATGGCGCTATTATAGTCATGGCTGACGACCAAAAGGCTACAGACCGCGTCTATTTCTCATGGAATGAAGGTCTTACTTGGGAGTCCATCAAATTCACTGATACTCCTATAGAAGTTGACAACATCATCATTGAGCCAAAAGCCACATCTCAAAATTTCGTCCTTTATGGCCAAGTTGGAGGAAAAGGAGTCAGCGTCGCCATTGATTTTTCATCACTTCACGAGCCTAAATGCAAAGGAGCTGATAAGCCAGGAGAAGGCAGCGACTATGAGCTGTGGAGCCCAAATGATGGGAGGACTGGAAATGAATGTCTTTTAGGTAGAAAAATGGAATATGTAAGAAGGAAAAGAGAAAGCGAATGCTATAACGGTGAAGAGTTCGAAAGGGGATCGTTTAAATATAACTGTGAGTGCACCAAGCTGGATTATGAATGCGATTTGGGATATTTCAGTGAAAATGATGGACCTTGCAAGAAAGTTGAAGGAGTTGTGGAAGAGGAAAATTGCCAAGATGAGGATATTTATTATGAAGTGTCTAGAGGATATAGAAGAGTTGCTGGGGATACTTGTGTGGGTGGGGTAAGTGTAGATTTGGAGCCATATAGATTTGAGTGTGCAGCTGATTCTATTGGGACTAGTGGAATTATTATAATCATAGTATTGGTTGTGGCAATTATTGGATTGCTATATGTGAGGTTTTCTGAGTTCTTTATAAGGAAATGGAATGAATTTAAGGGACTTGAAGTTTTTGACAAAGTTGGATATTTCAGTGACCTTAGCAAGGCTCCAGAAGGAATGGATGAAGAGCTGTCTGAAAGAGAAAATAACCAAACAGCACATGCTTTGGATAGCAACAATGAAGAAGAGGAATTTAACCCTAGATCATAATATATTATGACTAATAAATAGTTTTTATATAATTTTTTATTTTAATGATGAAGTGATATTTTTTCTAATAAATTATCAAATCAAATAGTCTTTTTATTTAGAGAGATGCGAAAAATATGTTAATTACTATAACTAGCCTTAAATCCATTATATAAATTATGAGTATTAGTGAGAAACTAGAGAATGTTCTCAAAGAAATCCAAAATCAAATTGATATTATTGATAGTCATCTGAAAGAGATTTCTTTAAATAATTATGACCCCAGCTTTGAAGAATATTTATTATGTACCAAAGAAGAGCTTGAGCAAAAAAAAACTACTCTTGTTAAGGAATTCTCAGATAATGCGATTTATGAAACTACTAAAATAATAAACGATGACAAATCTAATTGTCCGGATATAGAGGATACAGATGAAAAAGCTCGAAAGCATGATGAATCGCCAAGTAATTACCCAATCCCTGATGAGAGTCCTATTAGCGAAATACTGAATCTGAATAATCGAAAGCTAAATAAATCATCAACACAGCCGCTGATTTTTGCAGATACTAAAACCCTTAACAGCCCTAAATTAAATGAATCATGAATAAAAAATAGAAGATATGAAAACCGATCAAATACTAATCATGAAGATTCCACTATTAATCCATTTGAATTATTAGAAGAAAATGATATGGACTTGAAATTAGATTTTTCTAAACCAAAAACATTGATAAAACGCTTACACACAGATAAAGAGGGGCAAAAACAATTTATTTTTAAGTCTGCAAGTTTAAAATCAGAATCGCCCAAAATTTTTCATAGAGAAGAAAAAGAAGACAAGAGTAATCAAATTTTTAAATCAGCAAATAAAGAAGGGCCACCCAAAAATTTACAAAAAGAAGGAATAGCAATTATTGAAAAGGATCAAAATCAAGCCGTTCCCAAATCAACTATTTTAGAAAATGATCCAGCTAAAAACTCTTTGAAAGAAATAGCTGATAGCTCAAATGCAGAAAGAACATCAGGCTGCTTCTCAAAACATGATTTGGACGTAGAGCTTGTAAATTCAATTGATGAATTAATGAAAACAGATAAGACACAGGAAATCGTTCAAAATATTGATAATTTGCAAATTTCTCAAAATAATAGCTCTTTATCTTGAAAAAGTAAAAAGTTTCGCTTATTCTTAGAGGGTTTTAAAATTAAATTTAAAAAAATCCCAAATAAAAGTAAGTAAATAAAATTTGATTTATAAAATTAATAAATTAGCAAAATATAATTATAATAGTTATATTTACTGCGAAAATATGACTAATCTAATAGCTTTGTTTGATAACTAAGAGAGTAAGAAAACTAGCCAGCAATTATCTAATAATAAGAGTCCTGAGAGAGCTCAGCACAATGAAAAGATCCCCAGGAGTGACCGAAATACTCATAAATTTGGCCAAAATTCAAAACGAAGAACAATAAAACCTCCAATTACAATTGATATTGATAGAAGCATAAATGAAGAAAATCTTGACGAATTAAGCATCTTAGAGCTTCAAAAATTAATAGAAACCTACAACGGAGGAGTTGATATCCAGAAATCTAAAGAAGTTATTGTTAAATTATCTGAAATTAAAAACAAAGCCCATGAAGAAATCTTAAAAATAAGGGAAAAAATAGTAAATGAAAAGGAGAAAAAAATTGGAAATTTTGAATCTTTGCTGTCTCGACTAGCCACACCAGATACAGAGCCATCACCGAAATCAGCTGATGATTGTAAATCTATTATGGACGACACAGCTAATATTAAGCTAGGCTTGCCTCCTCTATCAAGATCAAGATTAAATCCAAATAATTCCAAAAGCAGCTCAAATTCTCCAAGGCCAGCTACAAGTGAAAATATAATCAAAGGAAAGCCTCCAACAAGCAGCTTTCCAAGGCCACAAACAGCAGTCATAGAAAAGAAAGTTAACTCCCCCCTTCGAAAGCGAACAAAAATATTTATCAGTTCACGGAGGGGGTTAATTTTTTATATATAAATTTTATTTTCGAAATTTAAAAAAATATTGGTTTGTAAAAATTGAAGGCAAATATTTATTTAATTTGTAAAATTATGTTTTAAAATGCAATTTGTTTAAAAATTAAACAGAATAAGCTAGAGATTTTATGATACTAATTATCACTTATATAAAAAATTGTTTTGTTCACTCACGGGGGGTGGATTTTTGGGCATAAATAGGGTTTTTCCAATGGTTTGTTCGCTTGGAGGAGTAAAAAGGTTTTATTAGAAACTAAAAGTAATGGAAAACCAAATAATGTGATAATTAGGACAAGACTTCATCAATCAAATAGCCCTGCTAAGCATCATAAAACTAGCAACACAGGAGAAATCAGAGTAGATGCTCTACCTAAAAAAGACAAAACTGTAAGAATTATATAGAATGACATGGTAAGCGTACTAGCTGGGCTGCCCACAAGAATTATCCCAGATGTCATAAAATCCATAAGAAGATCACGCAGCTTTACAGACTTAAAAACTTCAGGCAGCACAACACCTATTACATTGTCCAAAAAACTCTCTAGAGCTGAGCTATCTCCACATGATTAATTATAAATAAAATTAAAATTCAATAAAAATTATTTGTAATTTCATATAAATAATCACTTAAAAATGAAAAAGGATCAATAGTAACGTTTATACAGTGTACTCTTAAAGACCATGACATGGGCAAGAGACTCTCATGGTCTCTTCGACTATGAGTCCAAGAACATCCAAAAAAAGAACATCCGAGCCAACTGTTCAGGCAAGCTAATCCGAATCAGCAATGAAGTCCAATTTTTAAGCGAAAAAATCGACACAAACCATGTTGACGACCGTTCAAATTTGGCCCACATTTCTTTGGCCAAAGGACAATACTCCATCTCCCCATTTGACGAAAATCAGCCTTTATGGCTCGCTTTAAGAGTTACGAAATCAAATGAAGACTCGAAATGCTACAACCTCAATGAAGGGTCCATTATTAAACTTGGCCGTGTTAAATTCAAAATCAGTGCTCTCCACACCTCAAGTTTCGAGCCTTTAACCTTCATACAGGGCAGCTCAGAAAATTTTTTACCTGAAGAAAGCGTCTGCAGAATATGCCTCTGCGATTCAAATGACCAAGAAAATCCTCTTATCAGCCCTTGCATTTGTAAAGGCACAATGAAACATATACACGTCCAATGTCTCCAAAAATGGGTCTCATCTAAATTTTCTACCAAAACTGGGCCGAATTCTGAGATTTTTTGTTGAAAATCTATGGACTGTGAACTTTGTAAAAGTCCTTACCCAGCAAGTGTCCAGGTGGGGAGAAGGGTTTATGCAATTTTTACATCTGGGGATATACAAACCCCTTATTGTATGATAGAATCTATGTCTAGGGACAGCAATAACCATAGGATGCTTTATTTGGTATCTTTTAAAAATAAATGCTCAATTACAATGGGGAGAGGTCATGACTCTGATTTGAGGGTTTCTGATATTTCGGTGTCGAGGATGCATGCTATGATTAGGTATGTGAATGGGAAATTCATTTTGGAGGACAATTCAAGCAAATTTGGAACATTAGTGATGCTACAGGAACCGAAAAAAGTGGAAGCAGAGGATGAATTTGTGATGCAGATAGGAAGGACTGTTTTTGAAGTTTCCATTAAAAGTGGAATAAGGGGAGATGCGTCTATTGATGAAGATTTCTAAAGGCGAGAGTTATATTTTATTAGGATCAATAAATTGTTATTTTAAGCTATTTTTTTACAGGTTTTTTCTTTGCGGGATATTCATCTTTTCCTCCAATTATAGTTAATTGTGTAGGAGAATTGGCAATGAGGCTATCAATAAGGCTAATACAAGAGCTAGGTCTCAGTCATTTTGGCCTTTTTATCCCTCCAAGAGTTGGGGACCAAGCTAAAACTCGATTTACCTTTTCTATTGGAAGAGCTGAAAGTCCATCTGCAGAAGCAATTAATGACCCAATAATACAAGCGTTTGTATCTGTATCTCCACCACCTGATAAAATCTTTTCAACTGCTTCCAAGTATCTATCCCCCGCTAAAAGGCTTCTAAATCCATACACAAATGCTATTTTAGCCCACCCAGATGCTTTATTCACAGGCAAATCAATAGACTCAGCTTCAATTAAGCCTACCCATTCTCGTATTTCATTATTCATATAAGGTTCCATTTCTTCTTTAGTCCTCATATAAGAGCTTCTTCTATCTCTAGTATTAATTAGCATCCCAATCGCCATCACATGAAAACAACATGCCAATTGAACCGTCACATTTGGGTGAGAAAGGCTGACTTCTTCTTTAACCGCTTTAACTATATCTGCAGGACTTAAATTTCGGCATCACACCGCTAATGGCGAAATTCTCATCAAGCAGCCATTGCTTTGGGAATCTTGGTTTTTTGCTGCACCTCTTCTTACCATTTCTGCGACGTGGCTTTTTAGGTTTGCAGCTTTTGGTAGACTGTTTCTGAGGGATCCTCCCAGATCAAAAGGTCTTGAAGTAATTCAGTTTCCATACTGTTCAGCTATATAGTTTAAATTTAGATTGCTACTATTAGACAGTCCTCGCAAAAGACAGCAAGTAAGCTCACTGTCATCAGTGGTTTGTCCTGGGCCTGCATGATGCAACCCTCCCCCTCTTAGTTCAAAAGCAGCTCTAAGAGAAGACACATTTGGGACTCCTTGGAATTCAAGCACAGCTCCTATTGCATCTCCAAGCCATGCTCCAATAATAGCACCTTTGCATCTATCAATTATGGTTTCATCATTCGAAATCATTAGTTTTTTAAATGGATTTTTCATACTTGAGAAAATGATGTCTCATACTGAAGCTGATTTTATTAAAAAATAGATGAATAATATACAATTTCCATTGAAAATGAGACCTGGGTCAGGCTGGAATAGAGAAAAAATAATGATGGATTTAAATACAAATAAGATACAGCTTTTGAGGAAAGGTGTCAAAAAGTGTAACTTACAACGGAATAGAGAAAATTATTCAAATAATCTATTGCAGCTTTCGGGGATAGAGCCGGATCAAAAGGGCTATGAGGAGCCTTTTGAGGATTCTGTTATATTTGAAGTTTATAAATCGCTTACTTCAAGATCAAATGTATCAAATCACAAAAATAAAGTTAAAACTCTCCTTAAAATGGGATTAGCTACAGATAGAAGGATACCATTTTTAAAGCCAACTACTCAAACAGAAAAGAAAGGCTTAAGACTAGCTGCAAGAACTCTAGACAAAAGGGAATTAGATAGAATGCTAATATCTCCTATAATGTTTAGACAAAAATATACTATACGGCCCGTAGGATTTAAATATTTAAATAGAATCCGAACACAGAAGACCATCAAAACCTCAAGATAAGACGAATTTCCTAAAATTGGAACATTAAAGTTAAGCATCAATAAAAATATTCTTAATATAAAGTTAATTAATCCAAAATTCTCCAATCACAGCCAAAATCATAAAAATATTATTGAATTTAAAACAGGAAATGGCTTTCAGAGACCACTAACTTCTCAAATCCAAATTCTTAATAGGGCATTTCTGTTAATATTAGCAATAAATATTTTCAGAACTTTAATGAGTCAACTGTAAGTATCACCTAGACTTCAATTATTCAAAACTTTTAACTGCTGTACAACTGATCAGCTATCAGATGAAGCAAATAGTGAATTTATGACCACTCAATCACCAATAAAGGTAATCAGTATTCAGAGACCAAGATCTGAAAGTACTGCGAAGAATGAGATCTTTATAAAGCCTTTTCTGATTAAATCACTGAGAAAATCTGAGGTTTTAGAAGCGATAGAAGAGCAAAACATATCAACAAATATCGAATAGGAATATATAAACGAATTTAAATTAAACAAATTTTCAAATTCAAACTTTTAGATGAGCATTTGCCCTCTGGCAATTTTTAAGGGTAAATTGAATGTTTTAGACTTTTGTAAATATTATAGGATAAACTGAGATAATAAATGCTTTTAATAATTTAGGCCATGATGAATATTAAAATAGAAAACAATGGGTTTAATAAGTCTCTAATCCTTTCTAAATATACATAAACGCTTAAAATTTGGTGTATAAAATTTTTAAGTGCTATTAGCTCACATACTTTTGATAAGTTGAAGAGGATATATATTTCTCTTACATATAATTTATTCACTATAATAGATCTCTATACCCCAGCAGAATACCAATCAGAAAGAATATGGTGCAGGGCACCTTCTTTATACAGTCTAAGTCTGATTAGGCATCTTAAAAACATAAATGGAGATTTGCCATCCCCCTTTTTGCTCTCCAAAAAAGCTGACAAGTATATACAAATTAATCCCGGAAATCAAAATCGATGGCCAATAATGATCTAAAATATTCTAGGGGTTTATATAATGGAAAATTAATATTGAAGTTTCATCAATTGAATTTCATTTCTTAAGCAAACATTTTATATAAATGTCAGTCGTATAAAATACTAACTCCCCCGTGAGTGAACAAAAAAATTTTGTTCACTCACGGAGGGGGGTTAATTTTTTTTTTAAATTTAAAAACATCCTAATTCGCAAAAATTGGAAAGCAAATATTAATTCAATTTGCGAAATTTATGTTTTAAAAAGCAATTCGTGTAAAATTAAACAGAATTAACTCTAGATTTCATTATACTAATTATCATTTATATATCAAAATTTTTTTTTTCCATAAAAAATTTTTGTTCACTCACAGAGGGGGGGTTTTTGGGCAAAAAATAGCGATTTTTCTAATGGTTTTGTTCACTCACGGAGGGGGGGAGTAAATATCTGAAATCTTTTTAATTTTCATCAATGAATTGTATTCGTTATGCACTTGTTTTTGATATCAGAAAATTATTATTTATATAAATTTAATCAAATATAGGGCTTATTTTAATGAAAATTTTGAGTGAATAAAAAAATAATTTTCGGTCAACTAAAATATGTTATATATCCATTATAAACTTCAAAATATTAGTCATGAGCGTAAAGGAGAATAATTTTGAGGTAAAATTCCCAGCCGTTCTAGCACTAGAAGTCCCCACAAAAAGAAAGGCCGACTCATTATTGAAAAATTCTTTCACTTTATCAAGGTCGTCAAACGCTGAATCACTGAGCAATATTCGTATGCAAACTTACACAAGGCTTTACAGCAGTAAAAAATTTTCTATACCAATAGCTCCTCAAGGCCAATCAACAGCTAGGATAAATCAAGATTCAGAGATTTTCCCTGGAATAACAAAGGAAAAAAAATTAAACATGACAAGTATATCGTCTAAACAACTGAAATCAAAACCAGGAACTAGAGAATTTTCTAAACAATCTACAGCATGCCCAGCACCTACTCGTAAAGCTGAAAATAATGAAAAAAAGGTAAAAGAAAGCATGTTTGAAGTCCAAAGAGTTCTAATCCCCCATCCTTGACCGAACGATTTTCATATAATGTAGTTTTGATATAATAATCAATAAAGCAAAATCATACACCTATTTTATATATATTTTTTTACTTCCATCCTTGAATAATTTTTTTTTATATAATAATTAAGTAATTTTTTCTAAAGAAAGGTTTTTAGCTGCATGGCAGATTTTAATAAAGCAAGTGTTTCGATAAATGATGTGCGATAAGTGATAAATTAGAGCTTATTAGAGATCTTGCAACTTATGAAAATGATTTTTCGAAGACCAAAGAATTATCAATATCTTTAGGAAGATTGAGGATGCTATCAACATCAATCCCAGATATTTATGGAGAAAATGAAATAAATCAGGTTGAAGAAAAAGCGATACTTCAAAAATTAAATGAGGGGCTGGATTCGATTTTGAAAATGGGAGCTGAGACTAAGCATCTAGAAAATGAAGGCAATATTGAAAATGAGATTTTTGACCTTAAAAGCAGCTACCAGCTGCGAAAGTTTGAATCTGTATACCAAGGGATATTTAAAATATCCTCTATTTCATGTATAATGTGCTTAATTAAGCATTTCGGAGAACTAAATAATCCAGTAGAAATTTCTTATAGTCTGTCAATTAGATCCAAAATCCAAGAACATCATATAATAAATTTTCGAAGCGATAAATGGTTGGAGTACATAGAAATCAGTGTTGAAACATCATTTGGAGATGCTTTTAATATAAACGTAAGGGTGCCTATTTCCAACTCCCATCAAGATAAAAAGCAAATATATTCATATACAAAAAAGAGCATTCTTCCACATCTTTACTTCATCTATTCCAACAATGAACTGAAATTGCAATATGACTATAGGCATAGCCACACATTTTATAGTCTTATTTGCGAAATCAGAGGGTTTGGTCTTTGCTCTGTTCAGCTCACAGAAAGTGGAGACCAGCAAGTTCATATCCAAGTTAGCTCAATAGATGATGCTTTAGAAGTCCCTCTTGCTCCCTCCCCTCATGAGCGAACAAAAAAATTTTGCTCATTCACGGAGGTGGTTAATTTTTTTTTTTAAAAACATTAATATATAAATTTTATGTGAAAATTGTGAAGTAAAAATTAATTTAATTTGCAAAATTATAATTTAAAATGCAAGCTGTTTAAAAATTAAGCAGAATTAGCTAGAGATTTTATTATATTAATTATCACTTATATATCAAAATTTTTTTGATAATATTTTTCAATTAAAAATTTTTGTCACTCACGGAGGTGGGTTTTTGGGGTTCCTTCACACGACGCCTACACCATAACGACTATTTTTTTGGCCTATTTTTTTTGACCTATTTTTTTTTTGGCCTGTTTTTTTTTAGCCTAATTTTTTTGGCCTATTTTTTTTTGGCCTAATTTTTTTTTGGCCTATTTTTTTTGGCCTATTTTTTTTTGGCCTAAATTTTTTTGGCCTATTTTTTTTGGCCTATTTTTTTTGGCCTATTTTTTTTTTCGCCTATTTTTTTTTTGTCTATTTTTTTTGGCCTATTTTTTTTAGCCTATTTTTTTTGGCCTATTTTTTTTGGGCCTATTTACGTATTTATCTATTTTTAAGAAGCCTTCCTTCACACTAGCAATACTAAAATTAAAACTTTTTATTTTCGACTTACTCCCCCCCCCCCTCCGTGAGCGAACAAAAAAATTTTGTTCACTCACGGAGGGGGGTTAATTTTTTTTTTTTAAAAAAAATTTATATATAAATTTTATAAAAAATATTTTTTTCGAAATTTAAAAAAATCCTAATTTGCAAAAATTGGAAAGCAAATATTAATTTAATTTGCAAAATTTATGTTTTAAAAACGCAATTTGTTTAAAATTAAACAGAATTAGCTCTAGATTTCATTATACTAATTATCACTTATATATCAAAATTTTTTTCCATTAAAATTTTTTTCTATTAAAAAAATTTTTGTTCGCTCACGGAAGGTGGGTTTTTGGTCAAAAAATGGTGATTTTTCTAATGGTTTTGTTCGCTCACGGAGGGGGGGGGGAGTTAGTGACGTCGATAATAAAATGGCAGACCAGGTGGCATTCAAGCTATCAATTCGTGATGGTAGAATTGCTTTCTGTCAAGGCTATGCATATAGAGTAAATAGGAAAGATCCCAGTATAAGGAGAACATACTGGAAGTGCATCAAATACTCACTTCCCCTTACAACTTTTTTGCTCATACTCGAAATTGCAAATATGTACAAAAAAAGAATTTAATTCAGCTTGTAAAATTAAGCTTAAGAACGCACTTTAACTAAATGCTATGTGATTATTTAGAGATTTTATTTTAATAACCATAATTTATATATAGTCTTATAAAATAAATTTGTTCACTTTTTTTTTTAAAAACAGATTTTTGAATGATTTTGCTTTCTAATAGGATGAGAGTTAGAAGGTTGCCCTGCACAATGGTCACAGAAAATGATTCCTTAATAAACATCAAAGGAAATCATGATTTTCACCCTCCCAATCAAGCTGAAATTAGCGCTAAATTGGAATTAAAAGAAAGCTTGAAAAGGAATTTGAACGAAAATCCTTTTGGAGAAATTCAACAATGGCCAGAGACTTACTCAGCAATGTGCCTAAAAAGATAAAGTTATCTCAAGAAACTAAAGTAAACCTGCCATCACAAAGGAGTATTGAAGCTGCTCTTTACAGAGAGTGCGAATCAAGTGTTTCAGAGCTTCCTAATAGTTTGGCAGAATTGGTGCTTGAAGACAATGACTAATGACAACTTGGAGTTTTTACTTATTGAAGATGGAATTGAAGATAAAATCCTTGTCTTCGGAACTATTTTAGAGCTTCAAAAGCTGTGTGGATGCAATGTCGTGCTTATGGATGGAACTTTTCAGCCCTAAAGCCTTTCAAATTGACTTTGAGATGGCAGTTATCAATGCAATAGCCATTCTGTTTCCTTATGCTCAAATCAGAGGTTGCTTCTTTCATTTCTCGCAGTGTTTTTGGCGCAAAATTCAAGAGTTAGGCTTAGCAACAAATTACAAGACTGATGGCTCAGCACTTAGAAGTTACGCCAAAGTCATTCAATCTTTAGCTTTATGTCCTTTGGACCAAATAGATGAAGCGTGAGAAATCATAGCATCATTTGAGCCAGAAGGGGAAAGAGTTCAAGAATTTACAGCATATTTTATGAGAACATGGCTGCTATCAAATGCAAAATTCAGACGCGAATTTTGGAATCACTTTGACAATGATGGTATGCGGACTACCAACAATCTTGAAGGCTATCATCACGCACTAAATAAGTTAGTAGGGGCTGCTCACCCAAATATTTTAAAATTCATTGAAATCATAAAGAATGAGCAGCAGATATTCAGAAAAGTTTTGGCTAATATTGCAGGCAGAGCCAAACCACCCAACAGTAGGGAAAAATACAGGCTTTTGCATGAAGCTGTTGAGAGGACAAAAACTTTAATGAGGAGAGGAGACATTTCTTTAAGCGATTATATTGAGCAAATTAAGCGGAAAAACTCCTAATTAATTCGAAAAATTCTCTAATTTAAAAAAAATAAGTAATTAGTATTCTAAATGCTGAACGACCTGTGAAGGGGAATAAAAATTTACTTATATTATTTTTTTTGAAAAAAAATGATTAAAATTTATATTAGGCCCAAAAAAATAGGCCAAAAAAAATAGGCAAAATAAATAGGCTAAAAAAAAAATAGGCTAAAAAAAATAAGCCAAAAATAAATAGGCCAAAAAAAAATAGGCCAAAAAAAAATAGACCAAAAAAAATAGGCCAAAAAAAAAATAGGCTAAAACAAATTAAATTAGGCCAAAAAAAAATAGTCCAAAAAAAAATAGGCCAAATAAAAATAGTCGTTTTGGAGTAGACCTCGTGTGAAGAAAGGGGTTTTTGGGCAAAAAATAGGGATTTTTCAAATGTTTTGTTCGCTCACGGAGGGGGGAGTTAGCATAATTACCCCTAAAAGCAGTTTATTCCTTGAGAATTCTGACTGAATAAAAAGAGTGGTTCAGAAGTATTTAAGCTATATCCCGCAAATGAATGGCCTTTATTGGCAAGAGACTGATGATCAAGGATATATATTTTCCCAAAAAGAAGCTTGCTCTCTGTTAATGAATGCTGAGTATCTAAAGGAAGAGTTCGATATTTTGATGTTTAGTGAAGTTTATGCATTTGAGATAAAGTTAGGAAACTCTATTTTTAATCTCCAATGCTTTGGCTCATCTCAGCACGTTAAGTTTACAGCAAAGTATGATAATGATGTGGTTGATGTATCTCCAGAGTCAAAAAGCTTTAAACTTCTTACCGATTTGCAGTCTCTAAACCTCAGAAAATGCACGGCCACTCTTAGAAATTCTTTAGAATTAGAGCTATTTTTTCGAAAAATATTTCCAAAAGCATTTTTATGTAAAAATAAAGAAAATTAATTTTCCCTAAACACTTTAGCATAATTCTATATTAATGGGGTTGCGTCCATTGTATCGTTTTGAGATCTATTCCTTCTTGCACCATCTCCCACAATGGAGACAATTGTCTTAATTTTTCAACATGCTTTCCAACAAGAGAAATTGCGTAATCAACTTCTGCTTCTGTCGTAAATCTCCCAAACCCAATTCTAAGTGATGTATGTGCTAAATCTTCTTGGACTCCAATTGCTCTTAGCACATAAGAAGGCTCAAGTGAAGCTGATGTACAAGCTGACCCAGAAGATAGCGCCAAGTTTTTTAATCCCATTATTAAGCTTTCCCCTTCCACATAAGCAAAGGACATATTCAAGTTTCCAGGAAGTCTATGCACAGGGTCTCCATTCAAAATCACATTTTTTACACTTTTCATTACTTCCTCTTTGAACTTTTTTGCTAAATTTCCTACATAAGCAGCTTCTCTTGGCAGCTCTTCTTTCGCAATTCTGCAAGCAGATCCAATTCCAACTATAGGGGTTTCCCCTAGATAGCCCTGTAAGGGCTGTGGATTCTGGGCGGAATCAACAAGTTAGTTAGTCCGACTAAGTACTGAGTTGGTCGGACCAACTGAAAGATTCCGCCCATAATCCACAGCCACTGCAGACTATCTAGGGGAAAAAAAACCCTATACTAGTGCAGGTGCCAAAGTCCCGCTTCTCATGCCTCTTTCTTGTCCTCCACCATTTATAAGCGGCTCTATTCTTACTCTTGGCTTTCTTCTTACATAAAGTGCACCGATTCCTTTCGGTCCATAAATTTTGTGGCCTGATATAGAGGCTAAATCAATATTCATTTCATTTACATTGACTGGGATCTTCCCAACAGCTTGTGCGCAATCTGAGTGAAAGAATGCTCCTTTTTTCCTACAGATTTCTCCTATTTGTTTTACAGGCTGAATTACGCCGATTTCGTTATTTGCGGCCATGATGGTAACCAGACTAGTTTTGTCATCAATCGCTTGCTCGAGAGATGATATACTATTTTGAGCTTATTTAATATAAAAATAATAAGAATGTGCTATAATATATTATAGGCTAGATTGCTATAGCAGAGAATAAATTTACTAAACCATTTGTTTCAACTGGAAGGTAGACAACTTGAAAGCCTTCTTCCTGTAAATGACGGCATGTGTCCAATACACATTTATGTTCTGTCTGTATTGTGACTATTTTGTTTTTGCCTTTTTGAGCATAGAATTTTGCGATGCCTTTGATTGCGGTATTGTTGGACTCTGTTGCACCGGATGTAAATACAATTTCTTTCGGATCGGCACCTATGATGTCGGCTACTTCGCTCCTTGCTTTTTCTACAGCGTCTGCAGCTTTCCACCCATATTGATGAGTTCGTGAATGAGGATTTCCGAATTCTGATATTCTTTTTTAAGCAAAATATTATAAAAATTTGATTTCATTTTCTATATTAATAGCAGAATTATTATATAAAATATATGAAATATTCATATTTATAAGAAATACCATGAATGGAAGCATATCATCCAAGACTCTAGGGTCTAGTGGAGTTGTAGCTTGGAAATCTAGATATGCAGGTCTGCCTGGTACAATGCCTTCCTTAACTTCAAAGCTGCTGAAAGAGCGAGCATTTTTGGAGATTAACTTTATTGCTTTGAACATTTATTATGCAACTTTGACTGCAATTCGCATTTTAAATGTAAAAAATGCTATTTAATTTTCTAATAAACAGAACTGTCATATACCTATTATAATATATGCGTCTTTATCTATATTTATTAGCTTAACTTATTTAGCAAATTTAATAGGACCTACTTGCTGTTTTCCCTATTAATTTTTTAAACTCCTCCCCATCCTTGATCGAACGATTCACTGTAAAAACTCCTAAAAACTGGGAAAAATTAACCCCTGTCCTTGATCGAACGATTTTCGTATCATGCAAATTTATAAATATATAAAAATATATTATTTATCAAAAGCTTGAGAGATGTGCCTAATGAAATTGTTTTCAGAGGTTTTGAGACGACAGAAAGCAACGTAATCAACCATCCGAAGTGCTTTAATAATCAACCTGGGCTTAAAACTCAATAATCTAAAAAACAGAGATTCTTTAAAATTTAAAATTTTTAATTCAATAAGAAAGAAATTAAAATTTATACAGTTTAAAGGGGTAATAGATATCAAAATATTAAAAATTGGTCTTCTTATGAAATTAATTCAATTTTTTGCTGTAAAAATAATTATTAGATACTCTTAACCCTCTTATTTAAAATATATATAAAAAAAAATATATTTTTTATTATATATATTAAAATTAAATTTTTTTTTAACCCCCATCCTTGATCGAACGATGGCGAGCCGTTCGATCAAGGATGGGGGAGAAAGTCTTTAATGCCTTTTGATCTTCAGTATATAAATGTGGAAAATTTATCTTTAAAATATTTTTATTTTCACTTCAAAAATAATGCAAAATCTCCATCAATTAGTTATAAACAAAAAAATATGAATGACCTATTAAGAGATATCTCTACAAATACCAAGCTTTATGACGTACAGAGCGCCGCTGGGCACATTTTGCTGGTAGCAGATATGTGTTTTTTCGTCGCTTCCATAATAGATGCACAAATGAATTATCAAACAGTCTTTCATACATCTTGTTCTTTAAATGTAGGCAATATGTCTATTGAAACAGCCACAACTCTGGGTTATATCATCAGGCTAATTTTCACCGCAATTCTATTAATAGCCAAAATTATTAACCTTTACAAATTTATAGCGAGGACTAATGTATTCCGAGTTAAATGAATATAAATGCTCGTACTGGCTTTATTTAGCCTAATTTAAAATAGTAAATAGGGTAATGGCAGATCAGAAGTAAATTTTATTCATTTTAATTGGTATATTTCCTAAGGTCGGAGCCTTGTATGCTCCTTTCATGTCAAGCGTGCTACTGACAGTAATTATATATGACTTTGACAACTGCAGCAAGGTCAGTCATATTTTCAGCCTGGAATCATCACTAGAGCTGAGTGGAATTTATAGTGTTATTATTTTAGCTGTTTTAATTGGACTTGTGTCAATTAAAATTATAACTTATGTGCAGAAAAGGAGCCAGCGTTACAAAATTTTTACTGTTTTAACTTTGCTATTGACATTGTGCATAATTGTTGGGTCTTTAATTGGGCTGATTTCTGAAATAGAAATTTTAAGGAACGATAAACCGTATGCATTTGTGCTGTTTGATTTATATAGCTTTTGTATAGCGCTTGTGTTTTTGGGGGTTACAGAATGGAAAAGATTTAAAGTATATATAATGAGGATCCGACCAAGCACTTAAATATGATATATCAAAATTATATGATTTAATAATAAATTAAACAATTAACTAATTTTTTGATATAAATTGGCATTGGATTTTTAATAATTTAATTCATGAATATTATTCTATTGCATTGCCTTATAATAATATTTTGATAAATCTTAAACTATTGCCTTTGCATTAATAAACATAAAAATCTTGATTTAGAAAGGAAGATTAAAGGGAAACAAACAAAGTAGTTTTGTGTGCAGTTGAGCTTCATTAATTAAAATAATTTAACCTATTTTTTACTGTTGAGGAATTTTTTACAATTTTCGTTTTTAATTTCTTGCTTCCTTTTCGCATTTTTCTTTTGCTTTGTATTTTCTTCTTGGATTTCAAAGATACTGCTATATTCTTTATCATCATTGCTAAACATGTCTTTAAGAGCAGCAGCATTTTTTTGATAAAGCCAAGATATTAATCGTACTGTAGGAGTCGCATTATCGTTTTTAGTTCCTCCATCTCTTTGCAGCTGCTCTAAAAACCAAGGATCAAGCCTTTCAGGGTGGAAAGGGCACTCTTTATGATGTGACTCTAAAATTTCCAAAGCGCCAAATCAGGAGCATCCTTGGTTGCTGCAAACTACCGTTAATAAATTTATATCTGCTGCTGCAATAAGATCTTTGCCTGTTCCTTTTTTATCGATATTTGCTCTGCAGTTAGGGCGGCTCCATGCTAAATGACAGTAAATTTTTGATAGTGTACATTCCATCGAAGTAAATTTGGTCGAAATTTAACGGTTTTTTGTAGTCAAATATCTCACTATTAAAAAGTTTCAACCAATTTTCGACCAAATGTGCTTCAGTGAAGTGCTCACTATCAAAAATACACGATCGTTGGACATGTACCTAGTTGGGGCAGGTTGAAGACTTTTTAATCCATTGCAGAATGCAGTGAGAACAAAAAGTATGCCCACAGGAAACTCGGGTAGGGTCTGTGAAAATTTCATTGCAAATGGTGCACATTAGGTGAGCTGGAAGTGATTTTGGATTTTTAAATACTCTTGGAAGATGATTTGACATTTTAAATATAAATTATGAAAAGCATAAAAATTTAGGTTAGTTTATGAACTTAAAGTGTAAAATCGCCATTAAATAATTTTGAATGGAATCTCAGAAAAGATTAGACTTTTAATAAATGGAAACCCGCAAATCTTTTATGTGTTTTATACATCCTATGCTATTTGTATTTAGCTTTTGCATAATATCTGGAAACGCACCATAGAATATAAATCTTATCAATTAAAAAAATCTCAAAAATTTGAACTTTTCCTGTATTTTTAAATTAATTTAAACAAGCCCATAAATATGTAAAAAAATTGGTCAATTTTTTACTACCCAAATTGCTTCAAATCAAAGTAATCTTTATCCCAAATTTAAATTAAGCATTTAATTTATGAATTCACGCTCTTTAAATAATTTTTACACTGATATGATTGTCTGGGGGAAATTGTTGAAGAATAAGGACGACAGCATTGAAGTAGATAAATTCACACACAATTCCAGCTTCAACTGCAGTATGAAAAACCTCTGGAGTTTCCCAAAGCCAGCAAAAGAGTATGACTTGGCGTCTCGATTCATGCAAAAATTAGAAATTTTTATTCCAATTATAATAAATACTATTTTATATAGCAAATAACAGCCAGAATTTCTTTTTATTATAAATAGATATAAATCTTTCAAGCCCATTTCAATCGAACCCGAAACAAAATCGTCCGACGAGGAAGAAAACCACGCGATTTTACTGGCAAATCTAGCTGAATCGACACCGAAAAAAAGATTTAGGGAAGAAACAAGTAGGAAGAAGACTTGTTGTAATTGCCACAAATCAAAATGCCTCAAGCTGTATTGTGAATGCTTTGCTGCAAGAGAGTATTGCTCTGGATGCAGCTGTGTGGGATGCCACAACACAGAAAGCCAAGAAAACGCGAGGAGACGGGCAATTAATGGAATATTAGAACGAAACCCCAACGCTTTTAAACCAAAGTTTAAAGCTGTTTCAGTGGAAGGAGAAGTGAGGTCTATACACAACAGAGGCTGCCATTGCAGCAAGTCAGGCTGCTTGAAGAAGTACTGTGAGTGTTATCAGAATGGAAATGCGTGTTCTGATATATGCCAGTGTTCAGGCTGCAAAAACCAGCATAACTCCAAAGATAGTTTAGAAAACTTTAACTAAGTTAAGCATTTTTGCTGATTTAATGCAATATTTGGAGTATTTTTTATTAATTTGAGGATTGCAGGGGTGGGATGGAGGTTAATTGTAGAGAACGTTTCATTTTGGAATTGGAGAAAGCTTTATTATATTTAAAAATATAATGGTGAATGGAAAAATATAATGAGGATTTTAAAGATAGATAATTGAATTTAAATATAGTGGAAATAGGAGTATCTTTAATTTATTTTAATGTATAAGAATTTCAGGCAAAAGAATTCTTTGAGTTTAAATAAAAAAATTAATTTAATTGATGATAACTATTATAAAACATGATTAAAGCTATAATTAATAATTATATTTTTATAATTAGCACCTAAAATAATATAAATTATATAAAATCTTAATTAAAATAAATTCTTTGATGATAAACTTTTTTAAACTCTTATCTAGATTTGCATTTACAAGATTAAGAATTTATATTTAAAACTTTTTAGTTCTTCTAATATTACGCAATGAGTCAATAGCTCATAGCATATGCTTTAAATTTATGGTAAAAAAACTATGGGAAAAAAGGAAATATTGTTGCTGACAGCAATACTCTCCGCTGTTCTACCTTTTATAAGTGAGTATATTACTTTTGAAGCAATATTTCCCGGCTTAATTTGCTATCATTTGTTTACCTTTACTCTAAGCTACCCAAAAGCTCAAAATACCAGAAAACTTTTTATCAATTTGGCTCTATGTTTCACAGACATTGCTTTTACTGCTTTATTATTCCAAAGTAGCATCACCCTATTCAAATTTTGTGTATGGATGACTGAATTTATCATAATTTTTATCATCATTTCCCTCAGAAAAGTAAAAGAGGTTTATAAAGCATTGGCGGGAACAAATCTCAGGTATACGCTTTTCTTAATTGCCAGCTATATTAGATCGACAAGTCTTGCATCATTTATAAGCTATTATTATTGTACCGCTACAGACTGTGCTTCAGATAAGCCAATAGATCTTAATTGGCTGATTTTAGCATCAATTATTCTATTAAGCACTATAAAAGTTATGCTAACTCCATTAATTTATCTTTTAGACAACTTTTATTGGACCAGAGATTCCAAAATTCTGACACTTAAAGAGTTTTTTTCTAGATTTGAAAGTGGGATTGGGGCCATTTTGATAGCTCTCGCAGCAGTGATGCCTTATCAAGGAAAAGCAATATCAGCCTTGTCTTTAAACCCATTATTTTCTACACAGTTTTCTTATCCAAAACTGATAGCCAATGCGTACTATTTTATATGGTATGGTTTTGAAGCAGTTGATTATGGAGCTTACTTTAAAAAAGATGCAATTGCTGAGCCACAAAACTAACTTAAATAAACATAATTAGATAATGTGACTGTTTAGTCGTAAAGGTTTTAATTTATGTTAAAAATAAATAAATGAATGACAATGAAAGATTAGTTGATAAAAAATACGATGGACTTACAGAATTTACTATATGAATGTATGGGATTGGGCATGTAATGAATGACTTATGTGCAGCTTGCTGGGTGAATTTCTTGATGTACTACATTATATACGTCCAAAACCTTTCCACGGTCACAGCAGGGTAACATTGATATAGAATTGTAGTTCTTATGCTTCAAATTTCTGATGGTATTTCGACCCCACTTGTAGGATTTTACTCAGATAAATTCACATCGAGGTTTGGGAAAAGGATGATTTGGTTTATTTATGGAACTGTTATAACTAGCGTTACTTTTTTCTTTACATGGCAGGATTGTTACCCTTGTGATCTTCTTGAAGGAAGCAGTAGAGTCATAGCTCAAGGATTTTGATATTCAGTTTTTTCTTTTGCATCTGGAGCTGCATGATCTGCAGTACAAATCCCACATATTGCTTTAATACCTTCATTATCTCCTTTAAAAGAAAGAAAAGAAAAATTAATTGGCCTTAGAAGTGGCTTTACCTATATTTCGAATTTTGCTGTTCTACTAGCAGCTTTGATTTTTTTTAATTTTATTGAAAATCCTAAGTTGCAGTTTAGCTTATTGTGTGCTTTTATTTTGACAGCTGGTGCAATTACGGATTTATTGTTTATTTGAAACATTAAAGAAAATAAGTTGACAGAAGAAACACAAAGTGGGTATAGAGAACTGAAAATTCAAAATGAAGATGAATTAGGAAATAATAAAAAGACAGAACTAACGTGAAAAGAATGGCTGAACAAGAGAGAATTGTATTTGATTGCAGCTGTCTATACTTTGGCAAGAGTCTCAAATAATGTGCCGCCAGGATTATTGCCGTTTTATTTAACTACAGTTTTGGAGATGGGAGGAAAAGATGATGCTGAAGGTAATTATAATAAAACTCCACTGCAGCTTGCATCTGTCCCTATGGTGCTTTACATTGGAAGTGTAGGGACTTCGTTTTTGCTTAAGAAAATAGGTGAAAAATTAAGCAGAAAAAGGCAATTCCAAATAGGAATGATTTTTATAGTTGGAGCCACAATTCCATTAGTATTTCTAACTCCAGATTACCAGAATTTAGTATTCATTATTGCACTATTTTTAGGAATTGGATTTTCCTTACAGCTAAATTCATCAACTGGAATGGTTGCCCTTTTTGTAGGAGAATATGGTTCTTCAGGAGCCTTTGTATGAGGCGCTGTTAGTCTTGTCGACAAATTTTCCCTTGGCATTGCAATAAGTATCTTATTAAATGCTGGAAGTTTAGACAGTGTAAATTATATGAAATTCGCTATGACAGTTGTGCCAATCCTCGCCTCAATTATTGGCACATTAATAGCATTAAATATTACAAAAATGCAGGAATACACAAAAGAAGGGATAATTGAAGAGTAATTTTAAAATAAATAAGCAGAGCTCGATATTTTACAATTTATTTTCGTATCTTTTTCCAGCTGGAGCAGTTGATAAGGCTGATCTTGACTGTTTCGAGGATAAACTTGCAGGTGATATCGCTAAGCTATCAGCTAAAAAACTAATAACATTTCGTGGCTTTCTATGCCTTATTCTTGGGATTAATATGATTTTTTGAGACCCTCTGGCGTTATTTGATGAAATTTTATTTTTTACTTCCCCAAAGAACTTTTTTTTGATTTTATGATCAAGTGTAAGATTCCTTGGCGACTTAAGCTCATCTTTTTCAATAAATAAATTCTGCAGAGACGAAGATCTCACCTTTTGTTTTTCCATTGATCGGCTTAATTCGTTATAGCTTTCGTGTATTGAGTCAATTTCTTTTTTTATTTTTTCTGATCTTATGACTTGTTCTTCATGCTTTTTCAACGTTTTTCGTAAGAAATCGTCATCTTCTATAGCGATTTCGTTTTTCTCCTTGGATCGATCAAGGCTAAGCCTGGATAATAATTTTTTGTATTGAAATCCTGATGCTTCTCGATCAAGAATTGACCTTCTTTTATGTGAAGGAGATGTGGTTGTTGGCCTTTTGTTATCAATTTTCTTTTGTGGAGTTTCACTGAGTTTTTGATATGCACTCAGCATTATTTTATGCTCATATAGTTCTTTTGTAAGGGGATCTTTAGGAAATAATGAAGCTCTGCAGGGGCTGAGCCTTTGTGTAGGGATTGCGTCAGCGTCAATGTCGATTTTTAGGATCTTTTCTTTAAACTCGAATTTTTTATCTAAATTTGTGTTAAAACGGTGGATTTTGGCTTCTCTTACTTTTCGGAGGTCGAACTTTTTTTCATTTTTGCAGGAGTCTCGGATAGTAGCAAAAGACCCAGCTTCGTGATTGTTTTTACTGCTGACTCTGGAAAAATGGTTGCTAAAGGACCTTTGGTTTTGTGGACTGATGTATTGGTTAAATGGGCTTATAGAAGTAGATTCAATTATTTTACTTACTCTGTCCCCTCTTTATTTTAGATAATTAATGATCATCCATTTTAATTATTAAAATTAAGTTTTTTTCGAAAATTAAAGCAAAAATGATAAATCTCCGTTTGGGTTTTAAGATGCCTAATCAGATTTAACAGCATAAAGAAAGCGTCTTGGACAATATTTTTGCTGGTTGGTTTTCTGCTTGGCATAGTGATCTATTATGGTGCATAAATTATATTGACAAAATCTCAACGGGCAGTTCGATCAATAATTAGGAAGAGTTAGCTCATATGATCTTTTTTTTATATCTCGCTCTGAAGATCCTCTTTTCATTATTTAATATTTAACATATGATTCAGAATAACGCTGATTAATTACTTTTAGGGAATTTGATTTCGATAAATGGAAGATATATATAGGTTTGAATTTTGCATCTAGAGAGATATAATAGATATTTGTTCAATAGCAAGATTTCAATTTGTTTTTAAAGCTAAAAATAATAGAATAAATAAGATTTACGTTAATAAGGAACTTTTAAATATTTTATTAATAGAATAAATACAAGCCAAATTATTGCAATAGAAAATTCATTAGATCTTTAAGATAATTTGAGATTAATTATTCAAAGCAGCAGGCTCATATGGGCATTTTTTATTTAAGCATAAATAATCAAAATCTTTGTTTAAGTAATAGAAAAATAGAGGAAATAAAAATTGCAATATTGATTGACAGAATAAGTTCATATTTATGATAAGCTTTGGCAACAATAATTTTCACCGTATTTGCTATTCAATCATCGCACAATAAAGTGAGTAGAAAATTTTTCTTTTGCCCTTTCAAATAAAATAAAACTCTTATATGCAAAAACTTTCTAAATTAAGCATCTATGTGATTTATAAAGCAATAGACAAATTTGCAATTAAATATTATATAATAGCAATATTAAATTATAAATAATTCTATCTATATCTTTATTTTATATATATTTATATTTCCTTTATTAATTTCTATTGAAATTTTGATTTTTATTGTAGAGATGAGCTAATCTGTCAAAATTTTAAGGAATTCTTTAATTCTGATAATACCCTATAAAAAGGGCAAGCACAAATAAAATTATATTTAAAAGCTAGAATTTGCTTAAAACAAGCGATAAATTGGTATAATAGTTCATAATTCAACTGGACAAAAAAGTGAACCCAGAGCGACTTGAACGCCCAACCTGCGGATTTGGAGTCCGTTGCACTACCAGTTGTGCTATGGGTCCTGCTTAAAATTTAATATCAATAAAGCTATTTATATATTTGGATCTATAATATATCTATATTTTTACCAAAATATATATATTTTAAGAATTGATCAATTAAATTCAAATAATTTGAAACTTTGTTTTTTATTTAGCCCTTTATAAGCGTTTTCTTTGATGCTGAATGATCTTTGACTCTAAATGAAGCTTCTAAAATCTATATTAATGCTAATATTAAAATAAAGTTCTATATTCTTAAAACGTACCTCGTATAATGAAATTTACTACAAAAGAGAAAAAATTATCCTGAAGACCTTCCAATTCAATAATCTACTGTTAAAATAGCATTAATAAATAAACTAAAGAGTTTGAGCAATAATTTATTGCATATATCTTCAAAATTTAAGATTGAAGACTCAATATGATTCTCTATTTCATCTATAGCATATACCTTGAAAAAATAAACTTGCTTAACTCATCGACGACATTTATACCAAAAAACTGCCCAAAACCGATTTTTACTTCTGTCCCTGAGCTTACCCTTGCCGACTAGAAACTGCCTAAAAGTTACTATTATCAATTATAAGATAATACATATTTATCTACAACATTTATGATTAATAAAACAGCCACGATGTATTGGCTCGCTGCAATCAGAACATTTATAGTAGGTTTTGCTGTCTTTATTCACCTGTTTACAATAATTACATCTTCTATTCATTTCTCCCTTTATTTCCGCCTTTGTAATTTGATTACTATTGCAATTTATATTATATCAATCCTTGGCCACTTCCATTCTAAATTCTTCATGACTAAGTAGTCCATCTGCTTTTGCTGTGGTTTTTATAAATTATATAATAATTTATCAAAGCGATTTGAATGAAGTAGTTAGAAACATGATTTCATCATTTATTTGACCTTTCCAACTGTATAACTTTGAAGAAGCTGATCAAAGTGATCAACACCTGGCATGTGGGGCTGAATAATTAGTTACGATATCAGTTTTATTTTTGTAGCTTCTGACGAGTATCTGGCTGAAGTTTCTTTTGCATTTGATTCAATATTGGAGATAAGGAAGACTGCTCTTTTATCGAGCCAACGCAAAATAGCAAAGGATTACTGAAATAAAACACTAATCGATTCACTTTATTTTATATGAAACTTTGTCAATCCTTTCCTTTTTTCTCACTGTTCCAGTTGCTCCGAATCCTTGATTTGCTAAAATTCTGAATAATTCAGGACTTGAATACCAATTGTCGCAATATAAGTGATGCCAGTTTGATCTTAATTCTTCAATCAGTCTCAGTGTCACAGCCATTGCGATATTATTTTTTATTTTGCTGATTTTCCAGGGTAAATTTCATAAATAGCCTGTTTTTGAATCGCTCAATGTAAATACCTTGAATTCTCATTTTATTGGCTTTTTTGACATACTGCTTGGAAATATGGTGGCCTTTGTATTTTATCATGCTTTCATCAATTGAAATTTCTCTGCCTAATTCATAATTTCTTTTGCAATTTTAGACAAAATTTCAGCGATTGGACTAAGTTTAGACCGTCCAGTCCATTGAGATGATGAAGGAGGTGATAAGTGAATTATTTTGGAAATACCTTCAATCATCAATAAAATCTCCTTCAGTTGAAGATGCAGAAGAGCAATCAATATCAATTGATCCACCACTGCTATCACTTGATGAATTAGGTTCTTGTTCAGTGTCTAACGAATTTAACAATTAATAATTAATTCATAATTTTAATACTTCAACCACTTTACCATCAATTATTATATTTTGGTAAAATTCTGGGTAGTTTTTGTCATAAAGGGTAAAGCCTATTTTTATGGGAAAATTTGATGTTGTCGTCAAAGTGTTAAATGAATTAACAGAATTATATAATTTAAATGAAAAGAGATTTATGGTTTTTGGAGAGATCTATTATTTATTGTAATATAAAGAAAAATAATGGATAACTATGAGAGAAACTTCTATTCATTATTAATTGCGTAGTTAATTAAATAAAAATGATTAAATGATAATTTACTGTGCACTTAGAGTTCAACTGAGAGCATCTCTTGCTATTATTTTCGCTATAATATTTTATTGATAACTTAACTTATTTATTTGAGTAAATTCGAATTTTTCTATAACTTATAAGCTTACTCTTCCCTATTTAATAGCAAACATTTTGTTGTATTATTGTTTAACTAGAAGAATTCGGTAAATAAATACAATTTTCTTTTTAATTTTTCAAATTTTACCCCATACACAAGACTACCTTTTGAGCTCATAAGAAATACTAAAACCTCACTTTAATCGTTTTTTCAATCGAAAAATTTTATATGTGAAAATACTAGTTTTTATAATTTATTTGGCATAATTTAATGTAAAAATTGAAAGTAGAATGCTATTTAATCAGTTTTCACACCGGATCGATTATATTTTAATTGATCCTCCATAAAATAGATTAAAATTAAAAAATGTTGATTTCAATTTATACTTCTTAATTTTTTATAAAAATGTTTTTTAACCCCCTTTAATTGGAGCAGGTTTTTTGTTCCAATTTGATGTGGAGTGAGTAATAAATTGGTCTCCAATATTACAAGCCTAACCTTTAATATAATTTCAATAAATTTTCTAAAAATAATTTAATTAGTTTTATTCTATCGGTAAGAATATTTAATTTTTTACGATGGCATAATTATAGTTAATTTTTTAGACTCTAAGTCTTTCCAATCATTATAATATCTTTTCTTAATAGCTTGTGACGTGAATAAAATATGGAAGGAGCTATTATAGAAGGAGAAGCAACAATAACTCTTCCTGATGGAACATCTGCAAAGCTTCCGTTTATTCGAGGAACTCAAGGACCACCAGTTATCGATATTCGTTCTCTATTTACTCAGCTAGGCTGCCTCACTCTTGACCCAGGCTACACTTCAACATCAAGCTGTCTTTCTGCAATTACATATACTGATGGAGAAAAAGGAGAGCTATGGTACAGAGGCTATGCAATCGAAGATCTGGCCAATAATTGTACCTTTCTTGAAGTTTGCTATTTGCTATTATATGGAGAATTGCCCAATACTGCTGAACTAGAAAGATTTGAAAATGCTGTGAAAAATGAGATGTTGATTCATATGAAACTTATTGACTTCTATAGCAGCTTCCAGCAAGGTGCACATCCAATGGCAATTATGGTGGGTGTTGTAGGAGCTTTATCAGCGTTCATGCATGAAGATATCGATGTCTTGGTAGCTGAACAACGTGAAGCAGCTGCAATTAGAGTTTTAGCGAAATTCCCTATGATGGCAGCAATTGCGTATAGAACTGCATATGGACTGCCAATAGTTTTTCCTAAATCCCATCACAGCATCTACCTCTTTTTTGCTTGCATGATAAAAATATTAAAAATAATCATCAAAATTTTAATTAGAAAAGTCAAAAAAAAAAAACTATATGAATTTCTAAAGATAAATATTTATTAAAAAAATCTATTAAATTCTTTTAAAATAAAATTATTTATCCATTATTAAAAAATCTATGCCCCTTAATCGAGGATAAGAAAAAGTTCGGATACACTGAAAACTTCTTGTATATGATGTTTTCAGACCCGATGTCTGATGATTTTACAGTCGATCCTGTCGTAGCTAATGCTCTTGAAAAAATATTTATCCTCCACGCCGATCACGAACAAAACGCCTCCACATCAACTGTCAGAATTGCCGGAAGCTCTCTTGCAAACCCATATGCCTGTGTAGCTGCTGGAATAGCTAGCTTATGGGGCCCTATGCATGGAGGTGCAAATGAAGCTGTCCTCGCAATGCTTGATGAAGTAAAAAGTGTTGAAAACGTCGATACCTATATTGCAAAAGCTAAAAATCCTAACGACAGTTTTAGACTTATGGGTTTTGGCCATCGTGTTTATAAAAACCATGATCCAAGAAATCATATAATTCAAGAGATTGCTCATGAAGTTTTAACTCATTTAAAATGCAACAAGCAAGACATTTTTGACTTAGCGATAGAGCTAGAGAAAAAAGCCTTAAGTGACGATTATTTTATTAAAAGAAAGCTATTTCCAAATGTAGATTTTTATTCTGGGATTGTCCTTGAAGCAATTGGAATCCCACGTGACATGTTTACTGTGATTTTTGCTTTAGCTAGAGTCATCGGCTGGATGTCACAGTGGCATGAGATGATGTCTGAGTCTGTCAAAAAAATCGGAAGACCAAGACAGCTTTACATTGGAGCTCAAAAAAGAACAGTCCAACCTATAGAACTAACTCCCCCCCCTCCGTGAGTGAACAAAAAAATTTTTGTTCACTCACGGAGGGGGGTTAATTTTTTTTTTTTTTAAAAAATTTATATATAAATTTTCTAAAAAATTTTTTTTTTTTCGAAATTTAAAAAAAATCCTAATTTGCCAAAATTTGAAAAGCAAATATTAATTTAAATTTATAAAATTTATGTTTTAAAATGCAATTTGTTTAAATTAAACAGAATTAGCTTTAGATTTCATTATATTAATTATCATTTATATATATCAAAATTTTTTTCCATTAAAATTTTTCTATTAAAAAAAATTTTTGTTCACTCACGGAAGGTGGGTTTTTGGGCAAAAAACAGCGATTTTTCTAATGGTTTTGTTCACTCACGGAGGGGGGGGGAGTAAGAGAAGGCAGAGAAAGCATCCACCCTGAAATAATAAATTCACCCAGAAAAGTATGGTCACCTATAAAAGATAAAGCAGCCATTTAATTAGCGATTATTAAAAAACCATTTAAATATGAATTCCCAGATTCCTCAAGGAATCCTTTCAGATTTATCCCACCTAGCAGTCCTATCAAATGAAATCCTTACTCTAATAAAAGGCTCATTTGAAGAGTTTTCCTGTATTGAGCATTTTGAAAAAGATCAAGAAGAACAATTTCATTCAGAAATTTCAAACGAAATTTGCAAAAACCTGAATTTAATTGCCAAACAAGCTGTAAACTTGCTAAGCCAAGTTATTGAAAATAATGAAAAAGCTGAAGAATTAAATAAAGAAATCGAGCTTGAAAGAGAAAAAATCGAGGAATTGACGAATAATTTTTCGGCGCTACAAGAAGATTATAATGATCTTTTAGAGTACAAAGAATTGTATGAAAAATCAATTGAAATTGAAAAAGATAGAGAAATTGATACTGATTATTTAAATATGATTGAAGAAAGTAAAGCTGAAATTAATGAGCTAAGGAAGGGATTAGGCATTTTAGAAGAGGATAAAAATTTGCTTGAAGCTAAATATAACGCTTTAAGAAATAAAACTGAAGAAAACCATTCATTTGATGCAAGGAATTATGAACAGGTTATCGCTGTAATTGAGGTAGAAAAGACAAGGCTGGAAAAGGAAAATGAGGAAATTAAGAAAATTTTAAATGAAAAAGAAAAGATGCTGAAGGAGAGGGAAAGAGAAAATGAAGACAGTTTAGGAGAAATTGAGAAGAGAGATTTGTGCTTGAATAAAGCTAAGTTGATGATTAATCAGCTCATTGCTGAAGGAGAAAAGCAAAGTAAAGAAAATTATGAAATAAAAGAAGAGTATAATATGTATATGAAAGAAGCTGAAAAAATGATAAATGATTTGAATAATCAGCTGTTGAAAGATGCGCAGCACGAAGATCAGCTGAGAGAAGAACTGAATAGGCTGAGAGATCAAATAATTAAATCAGAAAATGAATTATCGCAAAGTATGTATACCTTAAATATATATTTAAAATAATTAATTAATATTTTTTATAAAAAATAATTGAAGATCCAAATAGGAATATATTATTAAAGAAACTGCTGAGCAAAATACAGATTTACAATTACAACTTAAAGAATTAAATAAAAGCGAAAATCTTCAGCTTGTAGAAATTTCCAGGATAAAAATTCAGCACAAGAGATCATTAGCAATTACAAGCCCCCATCTAACTTTCCTCATAAAAGGTATAAAGCAAGCCAACACCACAATTACCCTCGACACATACGGCCAAACAGACAACAATGAAACACTATTTCTATCTCTCACAGAATACGAAAAAATCAACTCAAAAATCGACCTCCTCGAAAGAGAGCTCGAAAAAAGTCAATATGAAGCCACAAATTTAAAAGAAAACAACTCAGATTTACAGCACAAATTGTCTACCAAAATAGAAGAATTCCAAGCTAGCCTTTCCCTACAAAAAGCTATGAAAGATGAATTTGTCGAAATGATTAAAGGATATAAAACAGAAATCCAGGCAAGTAAAGAGAAAGCTAATTTAGAAAGAAAACTTAAAGACGATCTCTATGAAATTGAAAAAAAATTAGAAATTGCATTAAAATCAGAACTGGAATGTAATGAAAAAATACAAATGACAGAAAAAGCTTTTAATGAGCAAGCAAAAGAGCTTGAAGCCATTGAGATTGCAGTTTCTCTGCTGGAAGAAGAAATTTCTTTAACTGTTAATCATAATGAAGCACTTCCAACAAGGGTACTTGATATAAAAACTAGAGTTATCCAGCTTATCAAAGCGAAGGAAATTGAAATAAAAGGACTTAAAGAAGCCAATGATACAATAAAAATGAACCATTATTATACATCGCAGTCAGATTTGCTTTATAAATCTCAAGACTCAACTCAGTATAAAACAATGACTGCAGATACATTAAGAGGGTTTGTGTCTTTAACTAGAAGCAGAGAAGGGCTTCTAAAATCATATCAGACAGCTGATAGTATTACAGACAGAAGATACAAAAGTAGCAATACAAGAGATTTATGCGATAAAGAAACTCTTCACTCCCCCCCCTCGAAATTCGACCAAGATTTTTAAAAAAAATTATATAGAATTGTTTTAATATAATTTAGTAGTTAAAAAAAACATTATTTATCATATTCTTCTGTATGGTTGAGAGGGTGTAAGTTAGAAAAAATAGTGCAAGATGGTTTTGTAACGCTTTTTTAGAACTTGAATACAAAAATCGCAAGCTCACCCCCACATAGTTTAAAAAATTTTGCAAAATTGCTTATTTTCCTAGTAAATTTATATAGGTCTTGGTCGAACTTTGAGGGGGGTTAATTTTCCAAAAAAATAGGAATTTTCCCTATATCTTGGTCGAACTTCGAGGGGGGGGGAGTCAGGAAAAAGAAGATTATATTTATAAATTAGAATCAAAAATAAGACGATTAAAAAAGCATTCACATCATAAGTGTCGAGGGAAAAGCATGGAAGTAAGTGAAGTAAAAATACTTGTTGAAGACATTATGAATGTAATACAAGGCAAAGAAGCTGTATCAATTTTAATTGGAAATGATGCAAAAAATATAGAAATTGTAATTATTTACACACAGTAAAACAAAATTTTATTTGATAAAAATGTGTATAAGTCTCCTTCCCAAAAAATATTTTTAACCAATTCATAATGTGATATCGCAACGCAGATTTGCCAGATAAATCTTTTTATTTGTCACTTATAGAAATCCTTCAAAAATCACCTTCTTTGAAAGACCAAGAAAAAAGACTAAATATTTTGAAACAAATTTTAGAAAATGGGTCTATCATGGCTTTTTCTACACAGATTTTAGGCTGCATCCAAAGGCTAGCAGCATCTCGACATATTGACATAATGAAAGAAATTTTTAATGTCACTAAAAAAATGCATATGAGTTTTTCTGCTTCTAAAGAAAGTATTGTAAAGGTAAGCAGATGCATTGAAGGAATGAAAGATTCTATAAATGAAGCAGAAAATATGCATAAAGGGCTTATAGCTATAAGGATATTAGATATGGTTTCTGGGTTTTTAATTGATTTACTAGAAGAGTATGAAAATAATAATGCAAATATTGAAATTATTATTGATGATTTAACAAATTTTTGTAGCTGTTAGTTATTAAGACTTATAGAGAAGCCTGCTGCATTTCCATGTGGACTATCTCTACCCATATCACTCGCTTCGATTGTTCTTAAAAAGGTTGATCCTGCCTGACGAGGGTGTGCACTTCACCCAGTAGTTGAGTGATTCGCGTTACCGTTATGTAAATCTACAAGGTTGTCTGCCATTTAAAATTTCAAATGGTTGAATTTTCTTGTCGACTCTCAAACCCGTTGTCTAAGGTGTTTCACACAGTGGAATAGCCCCCGACTGCTCAAGGCAAACGCCATTAATTCTGTTGCAAAACCAAGCTCCAAATTTCAGATCCATCTCCCTCTGAGGCAAAAACCTAGCATTGGAATAAAGCCAGAGGTCAGCCACCCTGACATTGCCCTTCCCCAGCCCAAGAAAAGTTGTCGGATACACAATATTCCTTCCTTGGGGTCCCTGGCACCCTGTAGGATGCTAGCTACAAAAGTTAAGAGGGTTGGTTGATTCGCCATGCCATTTTAATATATATACAAATCTTTTGTAAATTAATTATAATTTTTATCATAAATGTAAATAAACTATTTTTATGAAAAATAAATAGCATAACGATTCCCATAATCTATTCGAATAAATTAATAAATTGTTCAGTCAAAATAAACAACAACAAAGGCTCTAAATTACTCATATCACCTCTGCTTAAAATAATCAGTGCACACAGCTGCGCCCCAATCCTCACAAATTCAATCACAAAAGTGTCAAAAACAAACCCCATAACAACACACAAAAATCATGTCCATTTCTGATCACTATTCAGACTTACAAGAAAATCAATACAATAATAAAAATTCCCCACATAATAAAGAATCATCAGCATATAGCCTAATTTTTCTTTAGTTTCTCTATGCCTTATTAATCTCTGAACTACAACTGTTTCAATTTGTTTCGCCATTTCATCATCTGTATTATATCTAACTTTCAGTGGCTTTTCTTTTTTCTGGAGACTAAAGTATAACGCATGCATCAATCTTGCCAAAATCATTGAAACTCCTCCTGCAATAAAAATTTTTTTTATTATTTTTTTTTATTAATTTTAATGCTAAATTTCAGCATTTTTAGCTAAATCCACAATAAAATAATTAAGTTCAGCCTTTATAAACGCCCCTGAGATTCCTAGCACCCCTAGCAAGTTAATAAAATAGGCAATGCATACATGAGCTCTTTCTTTGCCTTCTAGCTCTCTAAAAAATATTTCAAATAACGCATGGCATTGCTAATTAATAATATACTTTCAATGCAAGGTAATACACGTAAAAATAATTTCTATGAATTTCTTGGACAGTGGCTTTCTTTTTTTTCCTTTTTCCTGAAATTTTCGCTAAATTTATATCGTTATTTGCAGATTTTTGAACTTTACCACCTAAGTGTGGATTTTTTTCCGCGTATGAAAAGGTGTTTTTCACGTGTGGAGCCCTTTTGATTTCACATGTGGAATCCTCTTTTCACACGCGGAAAAAATTCCACACTTAGGTGGTAAAGTTCAAAAATCTGCAAATAGCGATAGTGTCCATCCTAATAGTCCTTCTTTTCACATGGCCATCAACCCCTACTCTTTTGGTCCTTCTAGTAGTACTTCATATAGCAAGCAGGATTCCTACTATATGCAGTATTAAAAAAACCCAAAACACCTGTGACTCTTCAATCCCCATAATTCTTTATAAATGTTGGTAAGATTTAGGTGCTTTTCAACATGGGCGCTCCCAGCTTTAGGAACAGAGGCTTCATTGACGTTCCCAGTGGTATTTTTCAAGACTGCTCAGCCGACTAAGCAAACAGTCACGTTAGACCCTACAATTTTCAATGTCCCTGTAAGAAGAGATATCATTCATAATGTTTTTCATTATTATCGGTGCTTGAATTGGCAGACCACACACAGATCAAGAAGAGTTGGAGAAATGGCAGGGCCAGGGGCAAAAATCAGAGGTCAAAAAAAGTCTGGTAGAGCTAGAGTGGGTAAACTGCAGGCAAATCTTTTTCAAGGTGGTGCCAAATCTCATGGGCCAGTTCCAAGAGATCATTCATTTGTTATGAACAGTAAGGTAAAGCTTTTAGCGTTAAAGTGCCTTTTATCAGCTAGGTTGGCAGAAGGGAATATTACATTTGTGGATAACATTTTGAAGGAGGCTGAAAAAACTAAAGAGGTAGCTCCATATCCAAAGCTGTTTGGAGAAAGAGTTATATTGCTGCATGGGCCGGAGCTGCCTGCTGGTTTTGTGTTTGCGAGTAGGAATATTAAAGGCTTTAAAGTTTTGTCTACTGAAGAAGTCATACTTAATGACATTGTGCTGAATCCAAAACTTTTGATTACTGTAGATGGGCTAAATGCTTTACAAAACAAAATAAAAGGCATGGAAAGCGCGCTGTTTAGAAATAGAAAATTGAATAGAAAACTTACTCATTATATTAAAAAATAATTATTTTGTAAATAAATTATAGAAAAAATATTTTTTTTGAAAAAATAATTATTTTTAAATAAATTATAGAAAAAATATTTTTTAAAAAATAATTATTGGAAAATAAAATTTTAGTAGAAGGAATTAAAGAAGAAAGCAAAGCAGAAGAAGAAATCCAGCCTGTTGTTATCAAATCGAAGATGCTCAAAGACATTGTGCAAAAATATAACTTGGATATCCCAACTAACTAACTTCTTTATATCACACTATTTCTCTGAAAATTAATTATGTAAAAAATTTAAGCCTCCTGCAGCTACTATTACATTATCAATATAATTACTTTTTCAGGACTCCGTTTCCTTGATCATTTCTAAATGGACTTAGTGACACTGCTTGCGTTCTTTTAGACCTTACTTTATGCAATTCCATCAGAGCTTTTTGCTTTTCCAATTCTGCTCTTTCTATTCGTTTTCTAGCTTCTTCAAAATCAGAGAGATTTTTTACGTTCATTTCTGACCATTGTCTTTGGTCTTGGGTTCTCCCCATAATCAATTTTACTCTATATTTCTCTTCTTGAAGCTTTTGGATAGCAGCTTTTGCTTTGGCAAGCTTAAAACTTTCAATTTGTTCTAATGTTTTCATTCGGCTCATTTTTTTGACGTTTTCTTGTCTTTGCTGCTTTTCTTTTTCTTCTTCGTCAAAAGTTTTGAGGACATTTGTGACTCGTTTTCCTACTGAGCTGTTTCTACCTCTTACACGGACTTCTATTTCTTTTGTGAGCTGAGTTGTACCAAGAGTTCTTGAAGTTTTTAAAGAAGCAGAAGAGTTATGACTAGAGGCTCTGTGCTCTGAATGGTAGCGTTCCGTAAACTTGTCGATTTCATCATTAGGAGCCTGCTTCGCAGGCTCTTCAGGAGGTAAAGTAAAAAAATTATTCCCAGTCAGCTGCTGTAGCTGTAATTTCATAGTTTTATTTTCTTGCTTCAGAATTTCTACATCATGAATTGTCAAATTCTGAGTCATTTCTTTCAGTTTTTCGTTTTCCTCTTGGAGTATCATTAATTTCTGATGAAGCTCTTTTACCCCTCCTCCAGTTTGTTTTATATGTAAAATGTCCCTTAAATATTTTATTTCTCTTTGCAGTCTTTGGACCAGTTTATCGTCTGTAGCTGAAATTTCATTGGTTTTAGCGTTTACACTGATTTCTTTGGCTTTGCTTGCGAATTTAAGGGTTTGAAGAGTGTCTTGAACTGTATCATAGGTTGGAGAAACTGTAGCTATAAGACAAGTTCTCGTGTGGCCGCCTAATGAATCTTTAAGCAGATATGTAAGCTGGGAGTTCCTGAAAGGAATAAAGGATCTTTTAGTTTTCCCTTTAGCTAATTCTGAAATAATGATGCCGAGCACAGAAAGAGATTTATTGATATTTGTCAATTCGCTGAGATGTGATTTATTAGTCCCTCTCATTTTGTCAATTCTTTCTGAGCCTGCAAGATCGCACATATTGATTTTTGATCGCTTGATTTTGCCGTCTCGGTCCACTTTGTCAGTTTCTAGCACGATTTGAAAAATCATGTGGGATCTGCTACTCATTGCATTCATTTTCGTATACTTTGCTAGGCTGAATTTAGACTATTATTCAGAAATAATTTAATGTCAAATTTGATTAAGCCAAAAAAATTAATTTAATTTAAATAAGTATATTTCTTACAGCACGGTTTGTTTCTGCTTTTCTTATTATAGCAATACAGTCATCAACTGTTTGGACTACATATTCACTTAGCCCTTCCACATAAACCCCAAAGGTTTGATCCATTCGGATTCTCAATGGTTTTTCCATCCTATCATCTTGGAGTAAATCATACAATTTTTCGTTATAAATTTGTATTAAGCTGCATACAATTGTGGACTGAGAATCTTGACCTCTGAAAATGGTATTTACACTTCGTGGGATTATACCGTATTGCGAGTAATCTGGGATGAGTCCAATTTCCCAGCCAGGGCCAAACATTGTATATGTTTTCCCTGAGCCAGTTTGCCCATATGTAAAAATTGTATTAAAAAATATTTTTATTTTTTTTCTAAAAAACATAAGTATATGAGTTTTCCCTATATGGCCCGATAAGTGCCGTGGGTTCTCCGTGGAATCCCTCTGTTGGTCAAAACAACTCATTGCGTTGATTTGACCAATTCACTGGTTGGTTCAACCAGCAGAGGGATTCCATGGAGAACCCACGACCCTTATCGGGCCATATAGGGAAAAACTCCTATAGAAAAATTTTGTTATTATAAAAAATTGTGCAGCTATAGCCATGCTTTGCACTTTCAATAATATCTTCGACGAACTCATATACGTTTTCTTGGGTTGAGTTTTGATCAAAAACATGATGATAAGTAGACTCATGGAACTTTTCTCCATCATGGACTCTTACTCGATCTTCGTCACAATATACTGCGTCGCCTTGAAGATATTCTTCATGGGATTTAGGTCTTACTCTTAACGCTACTTTTACATTTGTTTCCATACTTAATAATCAAAAGCTGTTAAGTTTGCTTTAATTTCTTTTACAAAGGATTATAAAAGGTAGGCATTTGTAATTATATGGGCTAAGTTTTGGTAATAATAATTAAATAAATGCTTAAATTTATTAATTTATATTAGTTAAATAGATAGCAATAATATAAACATAAGGTTATTTGTCTTATAAATCAGAGGTGTTTAATTAATTACGTTTTATTAAACTTTAATCAAGGCAATATATTGAGTTTTATCATTATAAATGGCTCTTACACTTCAAGGATTTATCAAGCCAGCATCAGGAGAAGACTACTGTGTTGACCTTCGCCTCAACTTCGGTCTTCTTGCTGCAGGCTTCAGCCATTCAAACACAATTCACATTTTCAATGCATCTGGTCTCAACACTCTCCAAGTCCTTCACGCAAACACCACACAAACTCTATCTGAAATTTCTTTAATTGACGAAAATACAATTACTTGGTGCGATCGGGCTGGTGCAATAGGCATAATTGACATCAGAAACTCAACTGAAGTCCATAAAATCCAAACCCGTGACGAATGGTTTTGCATTGATTCATCTGGATACAATCTCGCCAGTGGTAGCAACCTTTAACGTTAGAAATCACTCCCTGTGGGATCCGAAGATCCTTATTCCCTTCCTAATACTCCACTCTCCTCCTTGCGAACAATAGTAACGACCTTCAAAGTGTTCGCTCCTATGGGTATGTGCCTGCACACGCTCCCCGGTAGTAGGAAAATTTGCCTTATGTCAACATGGTTTCTGGAAAATTCGAAAAATCGAATTTTCTGGTCACCTGTCGGCCAAGATGAATATTCGCAGCCCAGGATACAACCCCTAGTATCGCACTGGGTGATATAGAAGTTTCCTATGTTTGGCGCTGTAAGGCCGATAAATTCTGATCGGAATTTATCGGTAGGTTGCACCAAATCAATGCCTTGGTCGGACCAAAAAGCGATTTGGTCCGACGAACTTGGAAAGCTCCTGGGAAAATGTCTGCGCTTTTAGCGCTATATAGAGGAAACCTCTATACTCCCAATTGACCAGGAGGAATCTTACTGGCTTCCCAGCTGCAGGTGTTAAGAGAGTGGATTGGCTTTCCACGCCTTTTAATTTGTATATAAGCGGCAGCAATCAAGGAATGAAAGTCTGGGATATAAGGAATTTCCAATTAAAAAAGCATTACCAAGATATTCATGCTGACAAAAGTGATGTGTCCTCTATAAAGCTTTCGCCTTACTATACTATTATAATTAATTATAAAAAAAATTAAAAAATAAAATTTATTTATTATAATTTATATATAAAAGAATATTCTAATATTATGGTCACTTGTAGTGATGATAGCTTAATGTCTATCATTAATATAGAAGCTGAAGAAGATGATGATTATACATTGCTTAATTTAGAAGAGCCAGGACTAAAGGTAGGGTTTGTGGATAATAATGTATATTGTGTGACCATGAGCAGATATGTGGAATACAATCCACATGCAGATAATAATGAGATTCCACCTGAAGTTGTCCAAAAACTCCCTATATCTGATTTTCAAATGGACAACCCTAACCCCAGCTAGAAATAAAATAGTGGCGCTGATGGAAATTAGAATCCAAGGCGCACTCCCTATGGAGCGAGTAGGACCCATCCTCATAATCTGAAAGCAGAACCTCTGTCCCTTTTGAAGTATGCCTTCAGGCTTGGGGATGTTCCTCATCTGAAGGTTTTCCTGTTGCTGCCAGATAGGCTAAACAGGTTTTACCTGCCGCATGGTCCTCCTTGTCGGGACTCGCAGGGCACTCTTCAGATGGTTTGCTCTGGCCAAAGAGTTGATCCCCTGGTCAGTTGTTTCAGGGCGGAAATTCAAGATGGCGGCTTCTCATTTTCTCATTTGAACTCAGAGGCCTATGGAAGCTATAGAAATTGCCCGAGGATGGCGCTATTTTGCGCCATCCTCGGGCAATTCAAAAAACCGGCCCCACACGGGAACTGAACCCACGTGTGGGGCCATTTTTGGTATGTGTAATACATAGACTTACACGTACCAAAAATGGCCCCACACGTGGATTAGATTCCCGTGTGGGGTCATTTTTTGAATTGCCCGAGGATGGCGCAAGATAGCGCCATCCTCGGGCAATTGCTATACTCTTTTGGAGCCGATACAAGGCAAAGACTAGTGGGTTTGCCAACTTATGGCCAGTTTATTCGTTTAATTTAATTTATAACCCCAACTTTTTTATAGGCCCTGCAGGATTTGGCCCTGACAAATCAATTTTGATTGGAAGTCATGAGTAAGATACAAGTAGGAGGAGGATTATGGGCTTCTAGCATAAGGAACCCAAAAATATGCTACCCAGGAGTTGGCCACACACAAGCAGTTAGAGCAGCTGCCACACTATATGACGGCACAATAGTGACAGGCTCAGAGGATTCATCAATTATTTCATGGAGAATTGACCGAAATGCAACTGTTGCTGAAGCAGAAGTGGAGTCTAAAAGCTCTTCATCAACAAATGATAAACGTCCATCAAGAGAAGAAAGATACTATAGACCTTATTAATAAAATCAAATTTTAGCTAGAATTTTATTAGAAATAAAACTCAATAAATATTTATAATTAAAATTTTGAATAATAATTTATTATTTTAACAAAGCAGCCTTTTTTTGGTCAATAAGAAAAGCAAATTTAAGCATTAATGCATAATAAAAAAAGCTCAAATGTTGAAAAAAGTCGTTTTTAAGTTAGCAATTCCTAACCATCCTATAGTAATTGAGTTCCCTAGTACAGAGGTCATCAAAACTGTAGCTGATACCATTGCAGCGAAAGGTTTTAACCAAGTTTCATTCAAATCAATTGATGGGGTGAAAATAAGCACGACTACTAAAGTTAGCGAAATTCTCCATGAACCGTATTTCATTGAAGTGGATGGGCATTCATTTAAAATCAGCCCAGAGCTGCATGCGGACTCAGCAGAGAACTAAACTATTTATATATGAATTAATATAAGTTCTAATAATATCTTCTTTATTAATTATTTATTCTTATTAAGTATATAACGAGTTTTTCCACAACTTGAATTTAAGCTTAGAAGACCGTCATTTACTTCAAAACTACGTACATTCAGTCTCCTCCTATCTAAATTTAGCTTCAAAAGAAACTGATAAAAGCTCTGTAGCAGCCGCATTAAACAAATTCTTACCTGTAGGCAGAGCAAAAACTGAAAATCCTTTAGAAATCCAAAAAAATTTAAATGAATATCACAATGAGCTTATTAAGCTTCTAGAGTTAGACGAAAGAATTGATAAAAAAGCAGCAAGGTTTACTAATGGAGTTTTTTGGATGGGATTTGGAATTCTCAGTATGCAATTTGCTTATATAGGTGCAGGATTAACATTAGCGTTAATTAAAGATTAGGGTCTTCCTGGTTTTACGTCTCACCCGTGATGAATCTTCGTAGAAGAATCGTTTAGCTGCTAGCAAACCTCTCTGCATGTCAGCGTTTTCACCAGAGTTAGCTGTCATCCGGCTTTCAGCCTGGTTCTTAATGCTGTCTTGGAACCTTGGAGTATGCAGTTTGGGACTTGACGGCTGCTGCTTGAGTGACTAGAGTTCCAGCTAAGGATAAACTCCCTAGCTAGTATCGGTGCCAAATATGCCTTCGTCGTCAGCACTAGTGGCCTCTAGGGGTAAAAAGCCTTTTTTCCCAAATGTCCATCGGGAAGATACAAAGCCTTCGTTGCCGGGCGAGGGAGGCAAAACCAACCGGAACACAAATGCCTAGTACCCGTAGACTCCGTTTCCTGCTCGGTTTGGGCTCAAGCTGCAGCATGGTCCTCAAACTCGAAACAGGTTCGGGAGAGGACGGGTCGATGACGTCGCCATTTTATTTGTGTTATTAGGTGCAGGCACTTATGTTTTTTACTCATGGGACATTATGGAGCCCCAAGCTTACTTGATAACCTTAGCGAACTTTATTACAGGGGTCAGCATTTATGCAGTCAAAAGGCAGGAATTCAGTATGGAGTCTATGTATGATGTGATTAAAAATAAAAGAAAAAATTATCTAGCAAAGTCATATGGGCTGGATAGGGAAAGATTGGAGTTTCTCAAAGAAGAAGTAAATCGATTAAAGAAAAAATTAATTTCAGATTAAGCTAATTATTGGTCTTAAATATATAATTTAGAAGAAAAATCAGAATTTTGTAAAATTTTGAACTTAAACTTAAGCCATTTATCTTCTATCAGTTTTTCCAATACCTCTCTTCCCAACTGACAAATGTTTGATATGTTGAGGTTTTTGGTCATAAAACGCTTTGGTAGCCTCATCTCCAATGATTTTCAGCTCTTTTCTGCTTGGGTTAGGTTGAATTGCACCAGGTTTTCTCGCCTTGACCAAAGCTTTATTTTTCAATTTCAGCTTTTTCTTTATCACTTCTCCGCCGTCACCTTCTTCGACGTCCATAAAGTCTTCTACATTTGTCGCTATTTCTGGTGAAGGCTTTCTTCTCCTTTTCACCCCTACTACATCTTTTAATCCACTTGGATCAATTCCAAGCTCCTTGAACCCTTCTTCTACCTCACTTAAATTCTTTCTTTTTGGCTTAAATGTGCCTTTAGCCATCATGCTTTCTTGCTGGATTCTTTTTCTCCTCAAATGGATTTTTCTTTTAACTTTGTAACCAATTTTCTTATAAATAAATATTTTTACTATAAAATAGAATTATTTATTATAAAATGATATAAATGTCTCTATACTCATCATAGTCTAAAGGAACATGGGCGTCTTCTTGGATTTCTTCTTCTTTTTCAAGCTCTTCTAGCTTAGCTAAAATATCAGGATCAACGAAATCTAAAATGTTTTTGCCGTCCATGACCTCTGGCATAACGTCCCATTTCCAGTCATCATCTTGAAGTTCTACGAAGTGAGCTTGAGGAGGAATAGCGAAGACTCCTGCGCCGCCTTGAAGTTCTTGCATTTCTTTAGGAGTTGGGCCTTCTCTAGCTTTGATACCAGTTTGGGCTTCAACAATGACGGAATCTGGGATATGAGGAGGCCTTGATGGATTTAAAGCTCTGGGAACACTGACATAAGGCATGCTGCGGCCATAGGTGGTAACTTTTTTGGTTTTCACGTTTTCTCTGAATGATTTGAGATGCTCGCAGGCTTGGTTTCTGCATTCCATCACTCCTTCTTTGTTTTCATTAGAAATGAAAGACATAAGCTAGACTAAGTTAGATGCTTGGGTATTTATAGTCCCTAATTCTCGTAGCATCATTCTTAAAGGCAACGTCTAATAGGGCTGCTGTCATGCAGGGTTCAGAGGTATGTAGACGGCTTCTACCTTAGCATGATCAGACCAAAATTCTGTTTTTCTGGGGAAGATTTCCCTATCCATATGCCCATATAAGGATTTTGCCAAGGCAGACCCCTCAGTCTAAGCAGGTAAGTAGCCATACTTCTATCGAGCACCCAACCTGGGCCTAGGTGCTGTTGGCAAAAAATGCAAAAATCTGCAGCCCCGAACCAGACCAATAATCAGCATAAATAGTGCTGGGCTTTTCACCTCAAAGCTAGCACAACCCTCAGGAATCTCTTCGCAATAAAACTCATTCCCTATAAAGATAAGTACACCCTCCACCAGCCATTTTTCCTGATATCTAAATGAATGACATAAAGGCGTTGTGCTTTTGGACAATTTCTTGGATTTTTTGTTGGTATTCTGGGTTTAAGTCTTCCCATCTTTTTAGATCAGTTTTTGTAATAATGATCCCAAGAGGTTTATTTGTAAACAACGGCTGAACACTTTCAAATAGCTGAATCTGTTGAGGCACTGTATATCCACACTTTTCCGAAATATCAATAAAGAAAAGTATGCACGCATTAATATGTGCCAGAGCTGTGATCGCTTGCATTTCTACAATGTTCCTCTCTTCTATTGGCCTGTCAAGAAGTCCAGGAGTATCAATAACTTGCCATGGGATAAAATCATAATCTGTATGCCCAACAAATAAGCTTTTAGTTGTAAATGCATATGGCTGGACTTCAGCGTTTGCACGGGTCACATTGTTCATAAATGAGGATTTTCCTACATTGGGATATCCTGTTATGATAATACTTCTTGTGTGTGGGTCTATAGACGGCAGCCTTGCCAAATGCTTTCTGACCTCGTCCAAATAGTTCAGGGAGTTGCTAAGCTTCTTTAAGATCGTACACATACGACCTAGGGCTGCTTTTTTGAGTGTCTTGCCACGATATAAACTGTCAGCATATTTAAGCATACGTACATAGTCTTTAGCCACACTTTCGACTAAAGATTTAGCTTTGTTAATGTGTCCCAGGGCTAATTTATAGTGGTCTTTATCGTAAAGCACATTAATTAGATCAGCGTAGAAGGGATGAATATCATCAAGCTTAGGGAATTTTTCAAGGATTTCTCCAAGCTTTTCTTCTATGGTGGATTGTGTGAATTTGACTTTTCTCATGTAAAATTTTCGAATTCGGGCGATTTGAACCTGTGGATGTATTTCAGTTGGTGTTTTTCGTTGAGTTTTGGAGAGAACTGTATCAATCAGGTCTTTAGCGCTAGGCACGCTAGGAATTGACTTGAAGTTATAGTTCATCCCTTTTTATTATAGGCCTGTCATTTATGGAAATTTGTGAACTTTTATGCAAGCTTTTTATTAGTTATAAAGTTAATTCTTCATAAATAAATTTATTTATATTAAAATGCGAAGATTTTAAATCTTAATTGAATTGAAATTGTGAGCAATTATTAAGAAATTATCAAAAATGCTTAATATTCTTGTATTGTGGATTTTTACCACAAAATTCTGTTTTTATGGAAAAATAAATACAATTCACCCCTTACAAAAATTTAACGATTTTGACATCTTGAAATCTACTTAAATTTACTACAATATAAATTTTCAAAATGAGTCGTATAAGAAGCAGACCTCCATTATTCCTCAGGCCTAGAATTGTAAGTGCCAAAGAGCATACAGGACCTCCAGTTTTTGATATGGAAAAAGTCACAGAAAATACAAAAGGAATTTACGCTGAACAAAAATCAAAAAAAACATCAGAAATTTTATGGCGACTTGTAAACTGTAAACAAAGACCCTCAAGTGCTAATAAAGAAAACTATCCTCACGCAGCGAAATATGTAGTAAAAGAAGCATTTCCGCTGAATAAGGATAGATCGAAAAGAGCTCTAAGCAGCTCTCCATCGAATAATTTGCCTAAGCTGAGCTTTCAAATATTAGCTGTTCGGAATTCATTTTATGAATCTCTGGAAAAAATGGAAAGGGTTTTAGATTGTATGGAAGATTTAAGGAAAAATGTAATAGTTCCTGAAGGGTTTTTTTCACCTCTAAGGACTAGAGGTGTGAGTTTTGCTTAATTTTAAATAAATATCGTTAAGTTTAAAATGTAAATGGAGAGTGGGATTTTGCTGATTAAATTAATTTGTGTTAAAAAGAATAAGAAAGCTGAATTTATATTTAAAATTGTATGTATATAAAAAGAATTATCAAAAAAATTAACTTTGGGTTACTAATTAAAGCATTTATATAGCATCTTCTAAAATTGAGTAATCCAACTTAATTTCAATAAAACAATACAGTTTTATACAAATCCAATATAACTTTATATATTTAATTACTTCTTAAATTTCTTTATAAGTTTATTTACCAATTATTTGTCCTTATTTAAGGCTCTTAAGCATTTTCTTCACTCAAATCTCTCCTAAATCCAAAATCCCAACAATATCCTTTGTAATGGCTTCATAAAAAACTTCTTAAACCATCATTTTATTATGCAAATAATTAAATGGACAACTATCGTCAGCAATTTGAAAACGAGCTCCGAGCCAAGCTCCAACAAAAATCAACCTCTCACGTCTCTGAAGAAACAGTCCTCCTCAGAGCCTTCAAATATTTTGACCTTGATAACAGTGAAACAGTATCATTAGACGAATGGACAAAAGCCATTGAGAAAATCGGTCTTGTCGTCCCAAACCAAAGGATGCTGGAAGACCTTTTTAGATTCTATGACACAGACCATTCTGGAGCTTTAGACTATAAAGAATTCGTAGCTGCGATTTTTAATAACCAAAGTATCACTGGAAGACCTGGAACTTCTCAGAAAACGCTGAATCAGCTTGTACAAGATGGCCAAGCTGGCATAGAAAAAATAAGAGAAAGACTTGCTGCAAGAGGAGGAAGAGGCATCATGGGCTTAGCTCGGCAGTTTAAAATCATGGACGACGATGGGTCTGGCTACCTTGATTTTTATGAGTTTTCTAAAGCTATCAGGGATTTTAGAGTTGATATAAGAGAAAACGAGCTTCAGGCTGTTTTTAACTTGATAGACAGAGATAGATCAGGAGAAATAGACTATGATGAGTTTTTAAGAGCAGTCAGAGGGCCAATGAATGATTTTAGGATTGCTTTAGTTAATAGAGCTTTTGACAAGCTTGACTCAGACCATTCAGGGATCCTAGATATCGAAGATATTAAAGGCTTTTATAATGCAAGAGGCCACCCTGATGTAAGAAGTGGCAGGAAAACAGAAGACGACGTTTTAGGCGAATTTTTAGAAACTTTTGAAATGCATCATAATATTGGTGGAACCAGGGATAGAAAAGTGACAAGAGAAGAATTCTTGGAATATTACAATAATATTTCAGCTAGTGTAGATAATGATCAGTACTTTGAATTGATGATGTCAAATACCTGGAAACTTAATGAAGCTCCAGCCTATACCAAAAATAAAGCTTGGGCTAATGAAGATGGTAATAAAGGGTTTTCAAAGCCAGCTAAGAATTCTCCTGGACTTTTACCTCCTGCTCCTCCTCTTAATCAGAGAAGTGTAGAAATGCTACTTGAAAGATTCAGAAATAAACTAGCTACAAGAGGGGCAAGAGGAATTATAGGGATTGCTAGGCAATTTAAGATTATGGACGACGATAATTCAGGAACTATTAGTCTAGGAGAGTTTAGAAAAGGATGCAGAGATTTCAGAATCGATATAGAAGACGAAGATATAGAAAAATTATTCAACGCACTTGACAGGGATAGAAGTGGGATTATTGATTATGATGAACTTATCAGAGGTATAAGAGGACCTATGAACTCATTTAGAAGAGGAGTTGTAGGACAAGCTTGGAATAAGCTTGATAGGGATAAAAGTGGGGTTATTGACATTGAAGACTTAAAAGGGGTTTATTCAGCGAAAAATCATCCTGATGTAAGAGCTGGCAAAAAAACAGAAAATGAAGTCCTTGGGGAATTTTTGGAAACTTTTGAGACTCATCATAATATTAGTGATTTGTCAAAGAGGGATAGGAACATTACAAGAGAAGAGTTTGAAGAGTATTATAATAATGTATCTGCAAGCATTGATGATGACAGATATTTTGAATTGATGATGAATAATGCATGGAAGCTTCAACAAGATTCAGGAAGAGGTGCATATGCAGGATCTTCCAAAGGGTTTTCACCTGACAGCAAACGTGCTTATTTATTAGCAAACCACCCAAGTGCTGCGCTAGGCAAAAGTGTAGCCAGCACTGCCCCATATGGGACATCAGAAACCTATGGAGTACCAAGAAGAGATGTGGACGTCACTGACTCCCCCCCCCCTTTGAATTGGAACTAAAAATTTTGTTCCAATTTAAAGGGGGGTTAATTTTTTTTTTTAAAAAAAAAAATCAATATAAAATTTTTTATAAAAAATATAAAAATTTAAAAAAAAACAAAATTTCAAAAACTTATCGAATTAGATTAATAAATTTGTTTAATAAAACGCTATACTCTTTATCCTTTAAAACAAAGCAAGATATAACTAAATTTTCATTATTAGTTAATACGCCACTATTAATTGGTATCAAAATTATTTACACAAAAATTTTTATTTTTATTGATAAAAAAAATTAAAAAAAAAAAAAAATTTGGAAAATTTATCGATCAAAGTGCTAATTTTGTTTAAATAAGATGCTATTTATACTCTATTCTTTAAAATAAAGCAAGAAATATGTAAATTTTGAAATTTTATAAAGAATTCCTATCCTATTGAATTTATATCAAAACTATCCAAATAAAAAATATCATTTTTATCAAAAAAAACAAAAATTTTTTTTGAAAATTTTTAAAAAAAAAAATAAATTTTTTTTTTAAAATTTACCAATTAAGGATAATAAATTTATTTAAATAAGATGCTCTTTATACTTTTTTCTTTAAAAAAGAGCAAGATATAAATAGATTTTTAATTTTAGTTAAGAAGAAACATTTAACTTATATCAAAACTTTTTAGATAAAAATTATATATAATTTTTTATTATAAAATTAAATTTTGTTCCAATTTAAAGGGGGTTTAATTTACCAAAAATGTGGAAATTTTACCGATATTTTGTTCCAATTTAAAGGGGGGGGGAGTGAGTCTCAGCCACGCTCAGCAAACCCTACAATTGATGAAATTTTAGAAAATTTAAGATCAAGACTTGCTGCAAGAGGAGCTCGAGGTTTTGTCGGAATTGCTAGAAATTTCAAAATAATTGATGATGATGGTTCAGGAAATTTAGATTATAATGAATTTTTGAAAGCTATGAGAGATTTTAGGGTTGACTTTGAAGAAAAAGACTTGAGGAAGCTGTTTAATCATTTTGATGCTGATAATAGTGGGACTATTGACTATGAAGAATTTATTCATAGATTGAGAGGGCCTATGAATAATGGAAGAAAGCAGCTGGTAACTCAAGCTTTTAATAAACTTGATAGCAATGGAAATGGAATTGTAGAAATCGATGACATTAAAGGTGTTTATAACGCCAGGAGCCATCCTGATGTAAGGGCAGGCAAAAAGACTGAAGAAGATATACTTTGCGAATTTTTAGACACTTTTGAGACTCACCATGCGACGTTTAAAGAAAATACAAGAGATCACAGAGTGACTTTGGAAGAATTCATGGAGTATTATGCTCACGTTTCTGCATCTATTGATGATGATAGATATTTCGAGCTTATGATGAGAAATTCATGGAATTTCGATGGAAAAAGCTATGAGAAAGGTTGGGCAGGAGACAATACAACTCCAGCTCGTAGGCAAAGATAATTATTTAAATCTAGTTAAGTCTATATGATTTTTTTTTACATACGAATAAATGCCTTATCAATTTGAGAAGGATTAAAAATTGATAAAAGAATGATAATTAATTTATCCTTATTTATGCAAATCAAATAAGCTTAATGCTTTATTCTTCTTGATGCACCATTATAAGCAGGCTCAATTGCTTTATCTTGAGCAACAATTACGACTGCTTTTCCAATGTTGTAGCCACAGTTGAAATATTCTGCGTTATTCCAAGCTCTCATAGCAGTGGTAATTTCATTGTAAATTTGCTTTTCATTGACAAGGATTGCTCTGCCAACATGATAAGCAAAGGTGTATGGAGAAATAAATTGCTTAGACGCTTTAGAAACTATAGCAATGACATCAGTTGCTTTTGACTTGCATTCAGCAATAGCACTGTTAATATGATCAAGGGTGTTTCCAAGAGTTTTGAAGCCTTCGACCATACCTTCTAACCTATTTTTCTAATTATTTTTTATTTTAAAATTTCATAAAATAATAATTTTTTTTTAAAAATATTTTTATAAAAAATATAGTAAGGTTTCTGTCTTAATTTCAGTGAAAAATGCCTTAATGTCTTTTTCGACTGTCTCAATATCTGCGAAACAGCTTTTGATTTCGTCATTATACATATCTGAGGCAATTCCAAACAAGAACCCATCTAATAACTCAAGAGAAGCATCCTGGCTTGATCCTAATAGCACATTGAACTCTTCCAGTACATTATACATCTCATATAAAGTCTGTCCAAGGCTGTATCCAAACCCTTCCATATCATTCTTACTCCACATTGAAGCTGCTTGGGCAAGTGAGCTTTTAATGTCTTTTGAATCCAAGACATAAGCTTTTACGAAGTCGCTTGAAAAAGTTGACGGCTTGAGCATGGTTTTCGCAAGATCAGTCACAATATTTAAAGCTTGGGAAGCTCCAGTCTGACATGTGCTCAAAGCAGTTGGGAAAGCTTTAGCTGCCAGAGTCAGGTAAATTAAGCAATTTCTTACACCTTCAGCAGTATCTTGTTTGCAGCTTTCAATTGCTTCTTTTAGGTCAGGGATCATATCATCGACTTCTTTTAAACAAGGCTTGACATCTGCAGTGACAATTTCTTCTTTAAAAGCTTCAAAAAATCCTTTTACGATGTCAACAGGGCTTGAGGCACTGATGTGTAAGGACATGAGATTGTATTCTTCAAGGGTCTGAAATACGTTATACATGGCTTGGCCAATGCTGAACCCGAATCCTTCATAGTCACTTTTGCTCCATTTAATTGCGGCTTGGGCGAAATTGACTTTAATATCTTTTCCATCCAGTACCAAAGCTTTGGTAAGGTCGCCTGGGAAGCTTGACGGGTCTGTAAAGGTCTTTAAAGCATCAGAAATAATGCTTGCAGCTTGGGTTGCACCGCCTTTGCATGTGTCTATTGCAGATGGAACATCTTTGAGGGCAAGGCCAAGAAGTAATAGGCAGCTTCTGTAGCTTTCAGAAGTGTGCTGATTATAATAGCTAATTGCTTCTTGAAGGTCTGGGATCATATCGTCTATGTCTGCTAGGCATGGCTTGATGTCGTCAGTTGTGATTTCTGAGCCAATTCCTTTGAGGAGACCTCTAATTACATTAGTCGCGCCGGATACTGGAGAAAATTGGACTGAACGGAAGGTGGACCCACTTAAAGCGAGGCTGAGTATGGTGAGGAATACCAATACTTTCATTTTATTATCTCTCCAGCTATCTAAGGAAAATATGAAATTTTGCTAGGTTCAGACGAATTTAAATTACCGAAGGTATTTATATTGCAATTTAATGTATTAAGGCCATTCTCTTAACTCCCCTTATGTGAGCAAACAAAATAATTTTGGGTTAATATTTTTTTAAAATTTATATATAAATTTTATAGTAAATTTTATTTTCAAAATTCAAAAAAATCCCAATTCGTAAAATATATGGAAAGCATTATTTATTCAATTTGTAAAATTTATGTTTTAAAATGCAATTTGTTTAAAATTAAACAGAATTAGCTAGAGATTTCATTATACTAATTATAATTATAAATAAAAATTTTTTGTTCGCACACAGAGGGTGGGTTTTTGGGCAAAAAATAGGGATTTTTCTAATGGTTTGCTCGTTAGCGGAGGGGAGTAAGCTATTATTTTATATTTTATCTGTTTATTTAATATAGTAAAAAATAGCAATGCCATAATTTTCTACAGCATTATAGTTTATTAACCGAAACATTTTATGCAGAATATCACTCATCCTCAAAAGCCCTCTTCCCATCCATTGGATGTTCCTTACTTTTGACAATAAATAATATCCACTGCCAATTTTTTGGGCTAATTTTAAAAAAGTTTACTTTAGAATTTTTAATATTAGATTTCAATATACATAAAATGGCCGGAGACGAGCGACCCGTCCTTCCGTGGCGGGTGACCTTATTTATACCGGACGTGGTTTTTGGGTGCGAAGAGCTACTCAAAGGAAGGGCTGGCCTCGAGGCGAGAGGCCTTTACAATTTCCGCTGATTTTGTGGCCTGACTCGGGCAGCAGTTTTCGCATCTTTTTTGCCAGTAGCGCCGAGGCCCAGACTCGGTGTCCGAAAGAGGCAGAGGGATTACCTGCCTAAGCTACTTGGTGGCTTCGCCCCGAATCCCGCAAGGGGTTGAGTTTTTTCTTGGAGATGATCCGGGAAAAAGGGGAAGGCGAGGCTCGACTTAAATTCTCAAGGGCACAAGTCTCTCCAGTTAAAAAGGGTCCCGATCAAAAGGGGCGATCTGGCGGATGGAAAGGGCAGTGTTGGCGTCAACTTTTGCGACACAGCGAGTTGGAAATGGAGGCGGTCAGCTAAGACAGTGTTCTGTCCCTTGACCTCACCTCTACCGAGAAACCGGGGTTTCGGCCCGGGCTTGCTGTGGGTACGCTCTGCCACCCTGCGGGTAAAACCGCGGCATGCAGTCCACGAAGTAGGGACTATAAACACCCAGCTTAAACTAACTAACTAATATTAGATTTTATAAAAAATAAAATATAATTAAATAATCTTTTTGCTTTTTATAAGAGAGCGTGCATATTAATTTAAATATAAAGGTTTTTCATATATCTTATTTACTTTCAGAAGGAGAGCTAGTTTTGCCTTTTATCAAATCACCTTCTGCGTTTCCATTAGCATCCTGATTTATATTTTCTAAGTTTTCATTCTCTTCATCAAATTCTGAAAAAATTTTGCCTAAGAATTCTTGAGGACATTTTGATTTTAATTTTTTCTCAAGATGCTTGAAATTGCAAGCTTTCCCTAATACACATTTTATTGACGTGGATGAATATGGACAGAAATGAGACAAGTACATCTGAGGGTGATAAATAATCTCAATAGCATTGTGTGATTTTGTGCAAGAGTTGCCACTTTTACAGTTCGGGATATTTTCACAGAGCTCAGGGATATAGAAAAAATCTGATGGAGCGCGCCTTCTTTCGCCTTCAAAATGATAATCATTGCAACTTCCTGTGCAGTCTGAGCCTAAGCTACATTTTGAGGTCTTATAGGTCGTAATATTGAACAGTGTATCTGAACCTTTAGAAGCATTTTCTATGATTCTTTTTGGCTGGACTATTTTATAAGAATTTCCTTCAAAATCGGCTGCCTTTCTTTGTTCATTTGTGGCTATTTTTTGTTCTTCATTTATAGCTATTTTTTGCTCTTCATCTGAGGCTATTTCTTCAATTTTTGCATGTGATTCTTCTGGAAACAGGCTAATTTCAAAAGGATCGACTATTGTATGAATTTTTCTTTGAGTGTATGGTGTTTCACGATTATCATCAATAAGTATTTTACTAGAGACCTCTTGGATATACGGAGGAAAAGTTTGGATCGTTATGTCATGATATAAAGGAACAGGCTCAATTTTTGGTAATGCATTTTCGGCTTTATAGATACAATCTCCGTCTGCAGTATATTTATATGGATATGCTCCGCGTTGTTTATAATTGGCTTTCTTGACTTGATAATCAGTATCTGGACTATTGATTTGGTAGCTTATTTTGCTTCTTTCTGTAACACACACACTTTTATGAGGAACAGAGAAAGTAGTGTTTTGTGGGTATGAGAATTTTTTATCTGGTATTTGAAGCTTAAAGGAAGTGTCTGATTTAATTTCCCACTCCCATGGTTCTTCAATACCACGTTGTCTTGGTTTTTGAATTCCGGTATCTTTGTAAGCTTGAATTTTATTGCTAAAGTCCATTTTATTACCCCCTTAATTTAGGCTTGATTTTTATTTTAATAATAAGTGTTTATATACTGGGGATAGTCTTTGCTATTTAATTACTTAATAAAATACGTACTGTTCGTTCCAAGCTGCTTGTGCTGACTCATTGTTTTTAGCTCGTGCAGATCTCTTGAACTTTTCTACCATCACTTCTATTTTTATTTCTTTTCTCTTACCTATCTTCCTCTTCTTACATATTGCATCTTTTAATAAATCATCATTTTTTTCTGTATCTTCTGTTTTTACCTCTTTTTTCTTACTCCCCCTCCGTGAGCGAACAAAACCATTAGAAAAATCCCTACCAAAAACCACCCTCTGTCAGCTAACAAAAATTTTTTTAATAGAAAATTTTTTTATAGAAAAAATTTATATATAAGTGATAATTATTATCATGAAATCTCGAGCTAATTCTGTTTAATTTTAAACAAATTGCGTTTAAAACATAAATTTTACAAATTAAATAAATATTTGCTTTCCAATTTTTGCGAATTAGAATGTTTTTAAATTTCGAAAAAATTTTTTTTTAACAAAAAAATTAACCCCCCTCCTTGAGCGAACAAGATTTTTTTGTTCGCTCATGGGTGGCGGGAGTTAGCAACCTTTTTCTTGCTACAAATGGCTTCTTTTAATAACTCACTATCTTTTTCTTCAGCATCTGCTTTTGTTTCTTTTTTCTGAGCTACCTTTTTCTTGCTGCGAATTGCTTCTTTTAATAAATCGCCATCTTTTTCTGCATCATCGACTTTTATTTCTTTTTTCTGGGCTATCTTTATTATACTGCAAGCAACTTCGCTTAATAAATCGTCGTTTTTTACAACCTCTGCTTTTTTTACTTTTTTCTTTCCTGCTTTTTTCTTGCGTGCTTTTCTCTTTTTACAAGTAGAATAATCCTCAAATTTTATTCCATCTTTGGCTGCCTTTTGCATTTCTTCATGCTGCTTCTTTTGCTTAGCTTTGGACTTCTTTTTAATGCATTTTTCACAAAACCATTCTTCTAAAATAGGAATATGCTTTAAATTTATACAATCAGTGTGATACCCATTATCGCATGCATCACAAAGCAACATAGTTTCTTCTCCTGTAGAAAGGCGGCATACCTGACAGATAATATCCCGATAGATTTCTTCGTCTAAGGTATTTGGCTGGTCTCTATCTTGGCCAATGTATGCTAATTCTGAAGATCCAACGCTTGAGTAATAATAAAATCTTTTATTGCAAAGAGGACATTTATTTGTAATTTCTGATCAGCGACTTATACAAGTGTAGCAAAATTGATCGTGACCACAGTCGTTTAGGGTGCATCGTGATCACTCGTCAATTGATTCTAAGCAGACAAGGCATCTATTGTCAACTTTTGGTGCTGGTTTAATATCGCCATCTATTTTCTTTAAATATCGGGTAATTTTATTCATCATAAATAATTTTAATTATTAGCCCCCTAAATTAAAATTTAATTAATTTAATAAGGCGAATGCAAAAATTTTATATTTTGACTTTATTTATGTCTTGCGCTAACAATATTTTATTAAAAATTAAAAAGATAATAATTATTAAAAATTAGCTAAGTAACTCAATTAAATGAATTTATTTAAAATATTTTAAAATTGTTAGTGGCAGTGCTTAATCATTGTGCTTGTTAAGTTAATGTGGATAAAAAATGCTACTAAATATAGGACGCAGGTTTTTCCGAAGATCGTCTTTACTTAATAGGCTTGAAACCTTCATTATCCCTCAGCCCGGTGAAGGTATCGCCGAAGTCGAAATTCAGCATTGGCTCATAAAACCTGGAGAATCAGTCAAAGAATTCCAAGTCTTATGTGAAGCTCGAAGTGACAAAGGCTTTATAGAGTACAAAAGTCCTTATGATGGCACAATCACAGAACATTTTTACAATGCAAACCAAATGGCTCCTATAGGTGCTCCTTTATTTAAAATCGAAATTGATGATAAAAAATACCCACCCAAAGGAAATATTAAAAAAGAAGAAGACACAGAAACTCCTAAAGAAGAGCAACTAGAAGAATCTACGTCAAAAACTCACTCAAAAGTCCTCGCTACTCCAGCAGTGCGTTTCCTTGCGAAACAGAAAGGAATTGACATATCAACAATCCCATCCACAGGCAAAGATGGCCGAGTTCTTAAAGAAGATTTATTAAGATATTTAGAAGGCCCCTCTCATGTCACACCTCCCGTAAGGCCTGCCACTGTAGCCTCCGTTGAAGCCAAAGACAAAGTAGTTAAGCTTTCTCCTATCCAGAAAGGCATGTTCAAAGCTATGACTGAAGCTTTAGCAATTCCTCATCTAACTTACTGTGAAGATATCTACATGGACACCTTAATAGAGCTTAGAAAAATGATAAAAACCTCCTTAACTGACGTAAAACTCACATTTATGCCTTTCTTTATTAAAGCTATGTCTCTCGCTCTTTATGATTTCCCTATCGCAAACTCTAGCTTTATCAACAACAATACAGAATTTGTAATGAAATCATCCCATAACGTAAGTTTTGCAATGGACAGCAGAGCTGGACTTATAGTCCCTAACATAAAAAATTGCCAAAATTTGTCTATTTATGAAATCGCTGTCGAAATGGCAAGGCTTCAAGAGCTAGGCTCACAAGGCAAAATAAACCAAGCAGATTTAGAAGGAGGGACTATATGCTTGTCTAATATTGGGACTATTGGAGGGACCTACACAGCACCTATTATAATGACTCCACAAGTTCTGATTGGAGGACTCGGAGCAATTAGGCCACGACTAGAAAGAAATAAAGGAGAATTTGTGGAGAGACAAGTGCTAGGGTCATCATGGTCAGCTGATCACAGATTGCTAGACGGAGCGACTGTAGCAAGATTTGTGGCAAGATGGAAAGAACTTTTAGAAAATCCTTCATTGATGCTCTTGCATCTTAAATAGAATAAAAATTTGAAAATTAATTATTCTTTATTAAATAAATTAATTTTATTTTATTTTTTTTAATTAAAAAATGCGATTTAGGCAGAAAAGAATATTACTCTAAAATCCTTTAAACTTCTCCTCAGCTTTTCTCTGTGCGAACATGAAGTGAACACAAAAGCCAAGGTAAATCGTAAACTTAAACAGCATCCAACTCCCTTCAGGTGTCGAAAACTCTCTCATTGCGATATAAAACCCTTCAATTCCAAATGAAAATCCTATGAGGTTTGCCATCATTAGAAGGACGATATAAAATCCTCCGCCAAAAGCACATAACCAGTTGTAGGTAAGCGTTTTTCTAAATTCAGCAAACTTTGGCTGCTGGAAATAAGCTTTGGCGAGAACTTCTGGCATGATGAAAATGCACATCCCCCAGCCCCAAGCTAGCAGTTTTAAGGTTAAATCATGCCAAAGTGCCACAAATCCAAAAACTACCCAAATGTTATATGATTTTATATTATAATTAGTAATAATGAATCAAATTGATTGCACCTTATTATATTATTTACCTGAATTGTGCCTTTATTTAGATGCTAAAAGTAGTTTTTTTAAGTATAAAAATTTTATATTTCCTCCCTCCAAGTGGCACAAAAAGATAGCGGACTAGCCACTGATTAAAAGATCGATGCCACATTCTCCAGAACTGCTCAAAACAATAGCTATTCGACATGCAGCGGACCATGTTTTCCACACATTCAATTCCATCAAGCAAAGCCCAGATTCTGAAATATCTCCAAATCACTGTAAACTTAAGCCAAATCCAATTGAGGATAACATATGAAGTCGCGATCAGCTCCCAGACATTAAATTGTTCCCATAATCTCTTATTTCTAGGATTGGAGGCAATTCCTGGAAAATAAAGATTGTGGATAGACCATTCCAATATATACCCACTATATATAAATACCGATAATAATATAGCTTAAATCCATAATTAATCCCTTATAGTATAAAGTAAATCATAAAAAACCTCAATATGTACATCCCAAGCCTTTTGGCGTCAAAAGTTTGCTGACTCCCCCCTCCGTGAATGAACAAAACCATTAGAAAAATCCCCAAAAAACTCGCCCTCCATGGGTGAACAAAAATTTTTTATGAAAAAAACATTGATATATAAGTGATAATTAGTATAATGAAATCTCGAGCTAATTCTGTTTAATTTTTAAACAAATTGCGTTTTAAAACATAAATTTTTATAAATTAATTAATATTTGCTTCCCAATTTTTGCAAATTCGGATTTTTTTAAAATTTCGAAAAAAAATTTTCTATAAAAATTCATATAAAAATTTTTTTAAAAAAAAAAATTAACCCCCCTCCGTGAGTGAACAAACTCACGGAGGGGGAGGAGTGAGGGACTTGTACATGGGAAATCCAGGCATTATATGAAATAGTAGGCCCAGCTAAATAAAGAGGTGGGTAAAAGAAATATGAAATAAAGGCTTTGAAAGAATAGTGAGAGGCGTGAGACTTTGTCCTATAGTCTAAGCAGTCTATTGATTCTGTGCATTCTGAACATATAAGCTTGTGCTTTTCTTTGGTAGGCGTTGGGAGATTGAGGATACTCCAATGATAGTCCATTGCATAACTGATTACTTTTAGCATGCAGAGATTAGTGACTCTCCACCATGGTAAATCATGAGGAACTCTGTCTAAAAATGCTAGACTTGATGACCACCACGCAAATTTATAGCCAGTATAGAGTTCAGTTATTATAAGGAAGCCTAAATTTAGCACCCAAATCGAAATTGCAAAGAATTTTTTCCCAGCAAAATTTTCAACCAAAAAAATATTTTTTTGTCTGCTTTATGTAATATAACTAATAGTAAGCCTTAAATAAATTTATATGAGATATAGGAGCTTTATCATATTGGTATAAGCATAGATAAGCCAGAAATAGGATAATTCACAGCAACCATTAACACTAAATAAATTACCCCTGGACCATGTATGTATCCTGCATACCCTAGTCCAAAGATAATATAATAGGTAAGTTGAGTCTCTAATTCTGGCTTGAATCGAAGTAGAATTTTTCTAAAGACGATAAACACAAATGCAAATAGAGATAGAAGAGGGAGACTTTCTCTAAAAGAACTGAGCTGGCCGTCATACAGATCTATATAGCTGGTTCATGGGAATGTATATTGCTTTGGATTATTTTCAAAGCAATTTTAACATAGCTTGCCAGCATATTTATTATTTTTTTTTTCTCAAGACTGGAATAATAATTATTTTAATGCAAAATACTTTGTTTTAGACCCACTATTTTATTAGAATCAGCAAGCTTATGTGACAAATAATAAGATTCAATCATCATTGCATAAGCAGCATAAAGTCCTAGCGATAATGAGAAATACAACTCGCATTTGCGCCAAAATCGATTTTTAGGGGTGTCTGGAGCAGTCGGACTGATAAACATTATTATAAAGATGCCTCATTTTGATTCTGCTTCATTAAAATTGATAAGATGAAACAGCAGATATATTAAAGAAGTGAATAGAGATAGCAAGAATTATTTTTATAATAAAATTTATCACCTTATTTTTTGTGACGATACGTGGATTAAAATGGATCATTTTATCAATTTTTGTGTCTAAATTAATGTTGAATCAATATTAAATAAAATTAATGCATGTTTGCAGTGAATTTTATGAAATTTATTATTAGAGTTAGCATGCTCTGTTAATTAAATCAATAATAATTTTTTATTCAAAATCTGACTTCCTCTATTTTAAATTTAGGTAAAATCTAACCTCTCTTTAAATAGGAAAATTTTATAGGAAAATATAAATAGTTTTGAGCTAATTTAATGGAATGAGTGCGAGTGGAATTCTATTTAAACACTGAATTGATTAATATTTTAAATTTAATTCTTCTAAAATTAAATTAAAATTCAAAATATTACGTTCAATTAATATTTTTTAAATTATTATAAAAAATGAACCCTTAAATTGAACAAGATTTGTTGTTTCAATTTAAAGTGGAGGAGTGAGCATTTCCTTTCCTTTTAAAATAATCTAAATATCCTTATTAAATATAAATCCAATCATAAATTGCCAGATAATTGAATTGAATTATAACAAGTCTTAATTACAGCATCCCTTCTTTACTGGCTTCGCCACTGAACTTAGCCTTCTTCTTGAGTTATCCCCAGAAAGCGTTGATTTCATATTCTTTTCCAAAATCATTTCTCCCAGTCTTTCGAATGCTTGCGATACACAAACATTATCCTTCGCTGACGTCTCCACATATATAAGCTTATTTTTTCTCGCAAATTCTTCAGCGTCTTCTTTGCGAACCTCTCGCTGCTCCGTTAAATCAATTTTGTTGCCTACAAGTATGCATTGAGGATCATCTGAATTTGTGAATAATTCTTTCAGTCAGTATCCTAAGTCATTGAATGTTTCTTTTCGCGTAACATCAAAAGCAATAATTGCTCCAGGCGTTCGTCTTATGTAAAGTGCATTGATCGGGCGATATTTTTCAGTCCCTGCAGTGTCCCACAAATGAAGAACAATATCTTTATCAAAAACTCTTAACCGTTTGGGCTGATCAGATAAACCACGAGTTTCTGGGACTGTCAAAGAAAATGTGTCTCTGCATAGTCTCCTGAGAAGACTGGTCTTGCCTACACCGTGAGAACCCATGAGAACGACCTTAAATCGGTGTTTGCAGTCGTCGTAATTATCTGACATCATTTAATTTATTCAACTAAAGATAGGCAAAGTGAGATTATTACAAATTTATGTATAAAATAACTATATTTGTGGTGATTTTGCTAATTCATACCCATCATAGTGCGTAAAAATTATCAAAGTTCGATCAAGGATAGGCAAATATCTAATAACGAAAGAAATCTGTGTATCCTTTTTTTATATTTTTCTTTCTAAAAACTTAAAATTAACTTTGAGCTTAGGTGATTCTAGCGAAAAGATGTGAAACGACCAGTCAAGCTAGTCCACAAATTAGCGGATATTTCGCTGGGCTTCTCACTTTAAGTCTAAACCAAACCTTGATACCTCTCAAAATCATAAAAAAAATAAGTGGATATATATAAGTTACTCACAAGTATTTTATTCAATTTATTTAAATATTAAAATATTTTAGTCTCTTAAAATTAGATCATTTAATATGCTTATTTTATGCAAGTGCTCCTAAAAATAAAAATGACATCAATTATTAGCTTTATTTCAAGAATTTTCGCAAAACTCCAGTTGATACCCAAATAACTGAGTCAAAAAAAATAGCTGGTCAAGTAAATATCAAAACTTGAAACCCCCTTCTACTCCCAACTCTCTAACCCTCACTCTTAAGAATATAGAAAAGACAAGGAAAAGCAAATTTCAATCAAAAGAAGAATTCAAGTATTATTTAAGTGATTTAATTTCTATATATAAATTTGAAAAATATTCACTATAAAATAATCCAGCTTTTAGCTAAACTTATGGACCGTCTACAAAAATTCACATAGCTTTAATATAAATTATTAGATTTTAGAAATCTTTATTAAGCTCATACAATTTCTCTATAAACCTCGGCGTTTCTACTAAAGAATTATGCCTTGTATTAACTGGCCCCAATCCCTTCAGCTTCTCCATCTCTCCCCCTTCTTCATTTTCTTCCTCAACACATTCCTGCTTATTTAATTCAATCCCTAAATGTTTCCTATTATCCTTCACATCCTTCCAATTATTTCTATTTTTTATTTTTTCCAGCATCTCACTCTCAATTTCTTCAAAAAATTTCATAACTCCTCCTACAACTTCCATAACTCCAAATACCGATCCAAGTAAACTGCTAACCAGTATCATAAAAGTTTTACTTATATCCCTTGTTGTATACAAACTAGACTCACTTTTATCTAAAATCACCTTGAGCTTAAGTCCAGCTGTGAATGGTAAACTATTTATAAATTACTCAACAATTGAACATTGAGAGCCTGGCAATGGAGGATTATCTATAGAAACATATATACATTAATATGGCGGAGGCGACCACCCACCTCTTGACGCAATTTCCTCAACACCTGCAGGGAACGCCCAGGTGGAGGAACCAAGTCGAGATACAGGCTCGGCATCCTTAGTGTATACCGGCAGAGGTTTTCTCCGTACCACAGGGTATGATACCTGGGACATGGGGTTTTTCCTCCTGACATGGAAATTGGAAAGGGCACAGTTGGCTATCATCCCCGAGATTAGTTATGATCCCTACTCGAATTAGGGACCCTGAAGACAGCAGGTGCTTAGCGTGAAACTGGGAGTTACGCCTAGGCTCCAGCCGAAAGCGAACGGACGCCCCGGGAGCAAGTCAGGTAGACGGGCCTGAAGCAGGGCAGACGGTGTCAGTCTGGACCCTACGTATTAGGGTGATGAACTTGTAGAGGTGTGAATCCTCGGCCGTCTTTAAACAAGGCGTAATCATAATCATTATCATAATTTATAGAAATATGATAGCCTGTTATTTTTCTAGGCCATTCTAAGGTGTAGGACTGAAATACTGATGGAATCATATTTAAAGAAAAATTGCTTTCGTGGTACCCCCGAAAAATGGTACCATTGCTGGGGAGAAGATTTTGGTACACAGAGCTCATTTCGTTAGGAATTGAGCTTTCTGAGGTCACATTTAAGCTGATTGCTGAAGCAAAACTTTGGATTTCGTGGAGATTGTAGTAAATATAAGCTCCTGTATTAATAACACAATTATAGCAATTTGTAGTGATAATGCAGGAATTGTCTTCAGATTTAGAACATTTAAATTTGATGGAATAATAAGTAAGATCTGAAGTAATAATGGAAATTGATGAACTGCATTTATTGGCGATTTCTGAGCAGCTTCCACCGTATTGATGGAATTTTGCTGTAATTTCTATATTAGCGGTGAATTCTGATATTTCGTATTGAACAGATACTATAGGAACCAAAGCTTTTGTTTCTATAATATTATTGAGAGAATATTCCAAAATTGAGTCATATATTATAAAAAGCGATATAAAAATAAAAATCAAGCTGAAAATTCCTCCAAAGCCGTTTTTATGCAGAATGATATTTTGGCCGATTTTTCGATTGTGCATATCATCATATAAATCTCAAGCTGTCATGTGGTTTCTGTGTTTTCGTAAGAAAATTAAAAAGATAAGAGAAAAGCACACAGATATAATTAAAATAGAAAGACCAATTTCTACACCAAGGTTTAGTTTATCAATATCAGCTTTATATAAGTCTGGCTGTTGAGATTCTGATATTAGTTCTAATTTACTGCTGCTTGGATAAGAACTTCCTGTAAGACAATACGATCCAGAAGGGCATTCCTTACAATATACAGCGCCTTCAATATCACTAAATCATCCATTCGCACATGGTAAGCATTGCCTTACATCACTGGCTGCTTTGGTTGGATTATAAGTTCCTTCTGGGCATTTTATGCATGAAGACTGCCCAATAGCGTCGTTATAAGTTCCTTCTGGACATAAAAGACAATCATTATTGCTTGCATAAGTCCCAATACTGCAGACAGATCCACAGATTTTCCCATATGAACAACTTATGTCAAGGAAAAAAAAACTATTTTTGGCTATCGCATTTCTCATTGTGGATCCTATTACAGATCCTCCTGCATGCATATATACATGATTTTTAAAATAAACAGAGGCTCCGTTGTAATAAAACTCTGGAAGTGCCCCAATTTGTAAAGTTTTCTGCTTACTCTACCTTCTGCTCATACTTTCCAACTGCTTTTATATAACTAATTTTTATGCTGATAAGTTATTTTTTCTACTAAAAATAAAAAAATAATTCATACATAAAATTTAATTAATTGGATCTGAAGAATATTAGACCCTTCTTTAATAATTAATATTTAAGACAAGTTAGAAAGATCAAAAAAGTACACATCTTTACGAGGATCAGTTGATCATTCTTCTCCCCCAATAACCAGCACCTTATTATTCAAATACTTTATAGCAGCCCCAGCTCGATTTGAATAAGGAATATCAGGAGCAGGATCATATATTTTAATCCAAGTTTTACTCTCAACAGAAAATGCATATATAGACCCTAAAGGTGCAGACCCATCTGTATATCCATACATAGCATAAATAAATTTTGTATTATTTTGTGTTATTACCTCACATGTAGGATAAGCTGCAGAAGGGACTTTTCCATTATAATCAATTAATTCCCATTCATTTTTTCCTATATCAAACGATCACAATTCATTAGATGCTCCTGTGTCAGTAAGTCCTCCGAAAATATAAACATAAGGAATATCGACAACCATGCAAGCCCCTTTTCTTTTGCTAGGAAATGAGGATGAATCTGGAATAATTTCAGTCCAGACTTTTGAGGAGGGCTCAAACTTGTACATATCGTTAACATAGCCATCAATTGTTTCGCCTCCTCATATAAGGAATACTTTTCCTTGTGAGGCAGCTGCGTGGCTGGCTCTTGCGGAGGGTGCTGCTCCTTTTGCGGTCACAATGGATCAGCTGTCTGAAATTGAGTCGTATAATCATAGGTCATTTAAATAGGTATTTTTATTGACGCCTCCGAAGAGGTAGAGGTTTGTGCTAATTAAAACGAGGGAATGGTGCATTCTTGGGATAGGGTCAAGCCTTTCTATACTTAAAGTTTGATAAGTGATTGGGGAGATAGATAAATCAAGCTCAATTAAACTGTTTCCTATTGAAATATAATCGTTATAACCTCCAAATATATAAAATTTGTTATCATTAGAGGTGAAGCCAAATGAATCTCGCGGTATTAAATAATAATTTTTAAGTTCATTTATGCTAGCTTTTGTCCATTTATAGCTAGGATCTGATAAATCAACCCTATCAACTGTATTTACATCTCCATCTATTTGATCAGATCACCCATAAAATAAATAATAAAAATCATTATATATGGCACTTCCGGATAAATATCGATTTTGGTATCAAGAAATAGTATTCGTAAGGTTATATCATTTTTGTAACGATAAATCATATTTCCAAAATAAGTTTGGATAGCTGGTTTCACTATAAAGAACATTATTTACATCTCCTCCAGCTACATATAAGCATCCATTATAATACTCCATTGTCGCTCCTCTATACTTCTTTATGTCTGCCCCATTATTTTTTTGTTTTTGCCACGTAAAATTTGCTACATTCAATCTAAATCTCCATTACATAAATAAATTATTATCCAGCCCATTGCCAAGACTCCCTCCAAAAACAGCAAATTTTAAGCTCCCACTTTGGTCTATAAACTTTTTATAGGCAAATCTATATCTACAAGGAGGGACATCTCCGTATTGGTTTATTTGGTTTCATTGCAAATTTTCTAAGTCAAATGCTCAGAGTTCATTTAAAGGACCATTTTTTGACATCCCTCCAAAAATATAAAAAATACTTGTATTTGGATTGATAAACCCAGCAGACGTATACCGGGAGCCTGGCTAATTGTTACTTGGTATAGTGTTTGTTGTAGATACTAAATTTGTTCATAATGAATCATTGAGTGAAAATTTTCAAACGTCGTTAAAGGTTGATGATGCTCCTTGATTTCCTCCAAAAATAAGTAGAGAATTACTTGATTTATCATAATCCATAGCTGAAAATTGCCTTTTGGGAGGTGGTGTGCTTGTGGGAGGAATTCTTGAGACTTCAAAAGAGTCACATAAAAAAACTGATAAACAAAATAATAAAAACATCAATTTTTATAATTAAATAATGCTTTAGCATAGTTTTATTCGGATGATGGCTTGAGAAGATTATGATGAACTTGAGAAAACTTTAGCTGGCATTTTATAGTGATCTTTTGAATAAATCGAGCTCGAAATAGCACTCATTTAAAAATCGTATTTTTTGCTTTTTAAAAAAAATATCTCTAAATTTAATAGTGCAGATATCAGAAAAATATATAAAATTGAACAGAAATAATACCCTTTGTAGCAAGCAAAAATTTTTCGTAATATAAATAAAATTATATTTTCTAAACATTTAATAGTTATAATAATGAAAACTCAAGCAAATTATATTGAATTATATCTAAAGCTTCAATTTTATAAATTAAATTAAATTTCTCAATTCAAATATTAGTCAAGACTAACCCGGAGGAGGAAGTAAGAATTTTTATTTTAGATTCTTGCATTTTCTTATGATTCTTATAAATTTTTCTCAAAGCTTTTACTTCTGCTCCTTTTATCTGCTCTACAGCTTCTTATTAAGATTCCACTTCGCTTCTCTAAAGTCCCCAGCCATCCTTATATAATGAGGGTAAAAAAAATTATATATAAAAATAGCTTGGGAAGTTAGGCTGCTCTTCTCTTTACACTTAATGTTCAGCAAGTACAACTTGCTCTTAATGCAATTCAGGCTAAATTTCTGTACAATAGCGCTGATCTAGTATCGTGCTTGTATAATTTTATCAAGCTATACTGACTCATGCAATTTGTGCACGACGAATTCTAGTTGCTTCAAGTGTTTAGTTCAATTGCTCAAGATGTGTCTACTTGTAGAGTTAACTCTACCGGATATCAGCTTAGCTTTTCTGCTCCTAACATTGAAATTGATTTTTCCAATCCTGCTGTATCAACTTTGACATAAAACAGCATTGCAGTTACACTAGGAAGTGGATCAATAGTAGATACATCAGCTTGGACTCTGAGCTCTTGTGTTGCAGACGCATCAAGTTGTACGATTACTGCTGTCAGCTTGGGTATTAGCCAACTCCCAGCTCATATTATCTTATTGTTCAAGCAAGAAAAAATAATCAAATTTTAAATATTTTGATAATTTTTTTTTAAATTTTGAATTAAACATAATATAATTGATTTCGTTTTAGGGTAGAAGTAATCTTATAAAATTTAGTGCTTTTCCTGTAAAAATGTTTTATTAAAAAATAATTTTACTCATTTAAAGGGGATTAAAGTACTCAAAAATGGAAATTTATACCTATTTTTTGTTTTTAATTTAAATGGGGGAAGTAAATAAACTACCAGCTCTATAGTTAAGTCTAAGTCTTGGCTACAATTTAGAAAAATTCCCTCCGTGGTGAGTGTTTGCCTGGCAATAAGTATCGTGTCGAGGTTCAAGACAAAGCGACTGTAGGAGAATTAGCTTATGTTTAGATGAAGCAAGAAGTGAGCAAGTCCCAAGCTGCGTAATATAGAAACACAGGACGTCCAGTATAACTGGCAAAAAACGAGAAGAGAACCTTTTTTGAATCATGCGGCAAGTCCTGAAGTAGCTGAGCAGTATTATAATGACCTCAGGCAAGCTCGATCCTTCTAATTTGTATAACAACAGAACTCTGATCAAAAATTTAAATCTCGAAGTCTAAAACTCATTTGCATAGTGCCTTGTTACCGTTTTATGACAAATTTTTATTTATTATATTTGTACATATGGACATCAATAATTTGATACTAAAGACTGCGCTATAAATTTATTAAGAAAATAAACTAAATATTATGAAAAATAAATTATTTTTCCCTCAAAGTCAATTAATTAATACCGAGATGTTGCTTTAAAACTTCTAAAGCTTCATTTGCTTTTGCCTTAAGTTTTGACTTGTCACCAAGAATTTGTAATATTTCTGGCTCTCCAATTTCTATCAGCATTCCAGTGATTTTTCCTGTAAATTGCCCAAATATAGGGTTTAGCTCAGTATATATAGCTTCTCCTATCATCTGTTTTTTATGAACTGGATCAGCTGCCTTATAAAGTTCATAATTAAACAAAACAGGCTGAATTATTGGAGCTTCTTGTTTAACTTGCACAGGCTGTCTTAAAGCTTGATCTCTTGGCTGATATCTGGGCTTTTGTTCTTGCCCTGACATTTGATTAGTCTGTCTTGGCTGATAATTTGGTCTCTGTCCTTGAAACTGTTGTCTAGGCGGATACATTTGATTATTCTGTGGGAATCTATTTTGCCCGAACTGCCCTGGGTATCCTCTTCCTCTTCCCATCATTTGTCCTTGTGGCTTCATATAAGGAGGTGGTGGTGGCATCATCATAGGAGGCGGCACAAAGAATTTGTTTCTATTTATTATCTTTAATATCTCATTTTTTGGCATCCACCTTTTCACTTTAATTTCTGAGTCGTTTACTTTCATATGTTGGAGCTTGGCCAAAGCATTATCAGCATCTGCTTCATGTTGGAAACAAACAAAGGCTTTTCCAGTTGATTTTTTTTCGAGGACTAAGGTGTCAGCAATTCTGAAATTGTCAGCAGTCACAATTTTTAGAGATTCTACAGGACCGTATTCTGAGAATAGCTTTTTTAGCTGATCTTCATTTAAATGGCTTGGGAGACCACTGACAATTATAGTATGCTAGAGAGATAGGTTTATAATATATAAAAAAATAAATATTATTTTTATAGAAAAAATATTTTTTTGCCTATTTAACTTACAAAGCATAAATTTCTTTTTTTCCATTGTTCTTGTAGCTCTGCGTATTTTTTCTTATTCAAATAAAGCCTTTCATTTTTATTCATAAATTGGCTGACAAACCATGTAAATCCGAACTGAGCATTCTCTTTTCCATTCATTTCTCTAACTGCGTTTGCAGCGGTTTCTGGATCTTCAAAGCAAACAAATCCAAATAATCTTGAATTCCCTTGTGCGTCCCTCATAATTATTTTTGATGTGATTTTTCCAAAAATTTCAAATGAGTGCTGTAAATCTTCTTCTCTGAAATTATCAGAAAATCCTCTTACATAAACATTATTTACTGACTCCCCCCCCCCCCTCCGTGAGCGAACAAAACCATTAGAAAAATCGCCATTTTTTGACCAAAAACCCACCCTCCGTGAGTGAACAAAAATTTTTTTATAGAAAAAATTTTTATGGAAAAAAATTTTGATATATAAGTGATAATTAGTATAATGAAATCTAGAGCTAATTCTGTTTAATTTTAAACAAATTGCGTTTTAAAACATAAATTTTGCAAATTAAATTAATATTTGCTTCCCAATTTTTGCAAATTAGGATTTTTTTAAATTTCGAAAAAAATATTTTTTATAAAATTTATATATAAATTTTTTTTAAAAAAAAAAATTAACCCCCCTCCGTGAGCGAACAAAATTTTTTTGTTCGCTCACGGAGGGGGGGGGGGGAGTGAGTTTCTTGTCCTTTGGGATTTTGGTGTAAACTTATCTATTGTAAGCTTATGGTCCCCTATCACAAGTCTTCCTGAAGCTTCCACAGCTCTATCTGCTTGATCAGGCGTCGCGAACTGCACAAATCCATAGCCCCGGGATTCTCCATTTATATCAAAGCTGATTTTTGAGCTTATAACATTTCCGAATGACTGGAAAAGTTTTTCGAATTCAGATACTGTAAGATGTGAAGGGAGATTTTTAACAAAAATGTTGGCTTGTTCATTTTTGTGTATATCTTTGCTATAAAGCATTACAAAAATATTCCTGTTCTTTAGTTTTTTGCCGTTTGCTTCAGATCGCGCCAATTGGGCACTTGTCATGTTGTCAAATGTAATGAAAGCGTAAGCTGAAGATGGGACTAGACCGTCTTCTTTGCGGATTATGGCAATTTTAACGATTTTTCCGAAGGAATTGAAAAAGGAGTAAAGCTCTGTCTCTGTAATGTCATGGCTTAAATCACCAACATATAATTGCCCAAATGATTCAGCCATTTTATTTCTGATTGTAAATGGAAAAGAAAGCCTAAAAAATTGCAGCAAAATAGATAATAAAAAACAGTTAAATTAGTTCAACTTAAATTTAAAGGTTAAAGGAAGTTTTGATTTGCAGTTTAGGTTTTGGATGATTTTTTAAAAAATTAAAAATAATTTGAGAAGAAAACAGGTTGTATAAAATTTATTTTTGGTCAGAAATTATAAATCTTCAGTTTGATATATTTTCTAAGATTAATAATTTTTGTTAGTTTGGTATAAGCATATGCTATTTGATAAATTTTCCGTAAAAATATATCTTTTGTTAGCCCTATAAAGATTTCATTAATTCTTTCCAAACTCTTAAATCCTTATAAATCAGTTATACAAGTGACAAATATCAAATAACTAACGATGACCCCCCCCTCAATCTTTATGTCTACTGCAACAAAAATTTTTCGAAAAATTTTCATGCCTGCAACACACAAAATTTTTATAAAAAAAATTAATGCATTTTTCTCTAGGTGAGTTTCTCAAAAAAACATAAAACAGCGCTGCTGTAGGCGTGCCAATGACTTTCTCATCGAGATTTAGACGGCTATTGTGATCGCTCGCCATTTTATTAAACTTATCTAGCTAAAAACTACGGGAAAATTTAAGATGCGCATCGAAAATTTGTTGCAAGAGGATTAGGATTATTACAGACAGGCGCTAGCCATATTGGTGACGCAGGCGCTAGCCATATTGGTGACGCAGTCACCAAAGACCTCCCGTATGGAAGCTTCTACCGCTTTTCGACTCAAGCCCAGAGGGTCGATCCATCTTACGAGTGCCCTTCCGGTACCTTCTGTCTCCTCCTTGCTTTGCGGCTTCAGTCTTGAGTAGGTGGCTTATGGATTTCTGCGGCCCTGCTACGGGCGATAGGAGTAGCTTGATTCCAAGGATTTGGAGTCTATCGGGTTTCAAAGTGCCTTCCTTCGACAGCTACAGGAAAAAGACTGTTCCCCTGTGACTTCGGCTGAAATCCCCAGTTTCTCGGTAGAGGAATGCCCATGGGTCCTTGGATCCAAAGGACGTTGTTGAGTGCATCTATTTCCAACCACAGGAAAGCACCCGGATACACACTTCTTGAGTCTGCGTCTGATTCTCGGCTCGGAGTCCGTCACAGTTCGCTGTAGCCATAAGGTCTGGACTACTGCGCCAAGAAGGCAGGTTGACACGTGTCGCCATTTTAATGTATATAATTTGTTGCAAGAGACATGAAAATTATTATTTTTTTATATAAAATTTATATTAAAAAATTGCATTTTTGTTGCAATAGATGTGAAGATTGAGGGGAAGTCATCGTTACATAATTAACCAAAACCGTAGAGCTATTTCCTGTAACAATCAATCTTTATTATTTATTAATGATAAATGGTATCATAGATTAACTCGCTTCCTTTTTCTAATTCAAATCAAAATTCCAATATAAGATCTCTAATAATCATGGAAGAGCCTTCAAACGAGCACGAGTACTTCGAATCAATCCAAATTGAGCAACGCCCCATGCCAGACGTGCTAGAAGTCGAAGTTACAACCTCCGAAGGAGCCATCAAAGTAGTCACTGTCGAAGTTATTAAAGCATCAGGCCAAAAACCTTACCTAGGCGGTTATCGCAACAGCACGACCCGTCTAAATTATTACCATTCCGCCACCAACACTGACCAGCCACGGCGCGAATACAAAGAAAAATTCCATCGAGAAGTCCAAGTTTTCCAATACCGAACTCGCTCAACCATCATGAAAAAAGAATTCGGGACTCAAATGGAAAAACCAGGACTTGTCTCTATAGACCCAAGAAGAGACGTCGAAGTTGAGCCAGGCGAGTATTTTACAAGTGAAATGTGGGAAGAAGTCAGAGAAAAAGCTGCACTTTATATACAATGCTGCACTAGAAGATGGTTTGCATATAAAAGGAGAAGAGAACTGAAGAGGATTAGGGATTCTAATGATAGGAAAATTATAGAAAAACAAGAAGAATTGAGGAGGGAAGAAGAAGCGAAACATAAGACCGAAATTGAGAGGAGAATGCATCCTAAGTCAACTGATGATTTTGAAATATTGTATAAGGAGCTGGAAATGTGGAGGCTTAAAGAGACAGAAAGGATTAAAACTAGCAATTTGTTGTTAGAAGAAGAAAAAAAGAAAGCGCTAGAGCAGCTGCTGCATAAGGAAACCAAGCTGCTACAAACAATAGACAGACTTAAAATTATGCTTTTTTATAGTAAAATATTTTTTTTTTTTTTTTAAAAATAAAAAAAATATAATTCAATTCAATTCCATATACAGCAGGCTACCAAAATAAAGAAGAAAAAATCGCGAAATTCTTAAAAGCAATGTCAGACCCTAAGAAATGGAGATTAAGTGACGGAAGATTCACTGACGCCCATACCCCTTGGACGACCAGAGCTAAAGAACTTATGGAGCTTTATAATGGGCTTAAAATGAAACATTTGTCAATTGATGAAAGACTGGACGTACTTTTACACACAAAATGGACTGTAAAAGAGTTTGACTGTAATTTAACAAGAGAAATTGTAGATTTAATTGATAGAGAAGCAGATATGCTTAATAGAGGGAGGAGCGAAGGAAGTTTGGAAGGGCTCAGAAAGAGGCTGGCGAATTTATTCCTTCAGTTTGTGGAAACACCTGACTTTAACCCTGAGGCAGCAAGATTCCAGAAAGTGCCGAAGGAGCTGCTACAAAATGCAATGGAATTGGAGCTAAGTAACTAATATTATCTTTGATATTTAAACGGGTTAATAAATATATAATTTTATACAGCGATAGTGAATTTATAGTTAATCATATTAATTTGACTAAATTAAATAGAAAATAATAAAGAGAAAAAATTCAATGTATAGTAATTAATCCAAGAAGGCTAGCAGGGGTAATAATCTGCTTCTAAAAATTACAAAAAATAAGATATTAGCCTTATGCTTAATAATTATTAAGGCTTTAAGCCAAATCTGTTAGGTATAATAAAATATAAATACTTTCGGCTTCAAAGTCTGGGTTTTCAATTTTTCCAAGATATGGCTCAAGTTCCTTACTTTATGTCTTTTACTTTCCAAAGTGACTTTATTTACGCTATTCATACTATTATCAAAAGTTTTAAATTGCCTTCCTGAGTATTGAGCAATATCTGGGGTCGTTGCTTTCTTTTTATTAATTGAATTATATCTTTTGTGCCGGGAATTTTTGGTATTGTCAATAAAAACGTTGGAAAATTGGAAATTCGAAATAATAGAATTTTTGGTAATGTGTATACGAGGAGTTATTGATTTTTTGCTGCTGTCAGAATCTGGTGATTTTATTATTTTGGTAATAATTGGTTTTGGGGTTGGTTTTCGGGGAGTTAAGTTGTCAAGATTTAAATAAACTTGTTTAATACCTTTGTAGTTAGGGGAAGACGGGGTTAAATTTGGAAGCTCAGGACTGTCTGTATTAATTATACTATAAACAATTAATTTAGGATTATTATTTATTTAATATTTTATAATATTTTATAGACAATGTGATCTATTTTCTTAATAGTTTAGATAAAATCAATCAGAAATGCAATGATCGTGCAACATTTTTCCTTTCAGAGTTATTCAAATCTTCAAAATAGCTATGCCTGCTTTCATTAAACCTAGATGTCGTTTTTTTGGAATCGCATAGATGGGATTTCGATTTTTTGTGCCCATATTCTTTCATTAGAGATCTTATAGGGAATGCAGGCAAGAAATTGTGCTTTTCTTTAACAGTGAAGGATTTGTCCATATTTGGAAATTGCAGGGTCAACATTATTGCATTAAAAATAATTTAAAATTCACAAGCTATTTTTAATGCGCTATATCTAAGAAAAACGGCTCCATGCCAAATGACAGCGGATTTTTGATCATCGAAATACATTTGGTTGAAAATTTTAATAGTGTGGCATTTGGTCGAAAATTTAAACCTTTTTTCCATCAAATGTCTCAATGTTTTAATTATTTTCGACCAAAAGCACTTCGGTTAATGCATGCTATCAAAATTTCATGACACCCAAGAAAAACATATCAACACATTAATATTATTAATTAGATCCTGCACTTTGATTTATAATCTTATAAATAAATAGTAATGATATTTTGAATAAAACTAACCAAAAATACTTCAAAATTTACAGTTTTTTCTTTTATTTCGAAAATAACTATTTATTATACATATTTTTGTTGACAAGAATATGTCGAGTGATGAGGATAGCAGTATAATTTAATATGGCGTCTCAACTTGGCTTTGCCTCTCCGCCAAGCAGTCTCGAGCCCTATTTAAATTATATCTGGCAAGGTTTTGCCAACGAAGAAATGGACAGCTATGCTAAGTAATCAATTCCCGCAGAAGGCAGGAGCCTAGCCCTAATCAGCTTTCGGAGTTGGTTTTTTCCTCAAGGGTAAAGGAGGGTTTGGAGTTGGAAAGGAGGCACCTAGCTATGCCTGCAGGGAATACCCAGGCCATCGTGCAATGCCGCTAGCGAGAAACCCAGGAGTTTCGCCCCTGGGCTTCAACTTTTCCTTTTTTGCCGAAAGCCTACCAGAAAACCCATTTTTTGGGTTTTTTGTGTGGACAACCTTGCATCTCGCAGCCTCAAGCAAGGCCGCAGAATTCCTAAATCTGCCCACTCAACACTGGAGCAAGGTTGTAGCTTGCAAGAAGGAGGCGTTCAACAGAACAGGCTAGCCATTAAGTTGGAGTGCTATAGGCGGTGTCGCAAAGCGGAGGAACCTTCGGGGCTGGGTGGCTGCGTAAACAATAAGGACTTAGCAGCCGTTAATCTCCTAATTAAGATTAAGATTAAGATGAGGATAGCAGTTCTGAAGGAGAAAAATGTTCTCCAGGCCCACAAGATTACTTCATAATAATGAGTAACGTTTTCAATCCACAAGCAAACAGAAAAGCATACCGACTTGATAAAATTTGCATAGTCTGTTCTAGTAAATTTTCGCTTTTAGGGAGTAATAAGAAACATCATTGTAAATTTTGCTTCAGAGGAGTTTGTAGGAAATGCTCAACAAATAAAGGCTACCAGCCTGAGCTGCAGGGCAGGTATAGAATTTGTGATAATTGTTACAACAAAGCTCTTGAAAGCCAAAAAACATCACAAAAGGCAGTTGAATCCACCCCTGAGGTATACAACTTAATATAGTTGTATCTTATTGATAGAAAACAATAATTATATGGCCATTTATTTTATTTTTTATAATTGAAGATGAAGCTAATGAGTCAGCTGAAGAAAAAAAATATGAAGAATTAACAAAAAAACTTGAAGAAGAATTTTCTGCTAAAAAAGCTGAGCTGGAAGCCGAAATCTCAAAAATCAATGAAGAAAAAGGAAAAATCGAGCTTGAAGAAAATGGTCTCCGGAGACTTATAGAAGACTCCGGCAAAGAAATGCGGAAAAAAGATATCAGAATCATCGCAACCCGCGAAAAAATCCAAGAACTAAAAAAAGATACCACAGCTGACAGAGAGCGTGTAAAAGAGTTACATAAGTTAATAAAAGACCAAGAAGTGGAAAATGACCATTTAAAAGAAAAATTAGAAGAAACACGTGTAGAAAGGTCAAGATCAATAGACAGTATAGACGATAGCTCATCTTTTAGTGAAAAACCATTAAAACAGACTTTGGACTCTATAAAAGAACAGACGGATGCATTGAAGCAGGAAATTGATGAAATGAAAAACAGGATGGATGAAATAAGAGAAGAACTTAATGAAAAAAAAGCAGAGGCGGGGGTGCTAGAAAAAACTATTGAAATGAAATCGACTGGAAATCCAGAGCCTGAAGAAGAAAGTGAAACGTCAGTAAGGGAGCTGCAAGAGAAGATTATGAGGCAACAACATGAAATTCAAGCACTTAATAACCAGTTGACCAAGCAGGGAGTTATAAATGGGCCAGACTCTGAAAGTAGAGGTATTTGCAGGTGCGTTATTTGTTAACTAATTATATGATTTGCATATATCAATTTTTGAATTATATATTTTCATGATAATTTCTATCATAAAAAATTTTAATTTTCCATAAATTAATTAAAATACTTCACTTAGTTTTAAATTTTCTGCTCTAAACTTCAAATTTTCATACTCCACCTCTAAATCTTTTAGCAGAGCATTTGAGATTTTTATTTGTTTTAGTCTGTTAATAAAACTTTCATCAAAAATATCTGAATGACTATTTGGCATACTTATACTGGTCAGCACAGACATAACGTTTTCGTACCGAGTTCCTATTAATTCCCTGGACATTCTGCTTAAAATGGCTATTGCAGCTTTAAAAATGATTTTCCAGCCTTTTTGGAAAAACAAGTCCCAAAGCTTGATTAAAATGTGTGATTTGTGCTGCAAAATGTTGGCGTATAATGTAATAAACCAAGGAGAGCTGAAATGGGCTGAAGTGATCCCAGCTTCCATGAAAAATTCGTAGACTTCTGGTAATAAAAGTCCTGTTAATCGATCTAACATATAGAAAAATTGCCTTAGTTTTGGTAAATCATCTATACTGTACTAATTATATTACGATAAAAATGTCTAAATTTATTAACTATATTTTAAGGGCTATAAAATATTTAACTCAGCTTAGCAAAGAATATAAAAATATTTGTCATGTTAAACCTCTTAATAAGTGCTGCAAAACATTTAAAGCTCATTTCTTCATCTTGAAGCTGAATAAGTAAAGTACCTGCTATATAGTTCATCCCTTGGCAATACCCTACTTCTGGGTTATAAAATGCATATGTTTTTAGCAGATTTTTAAGGGAATTTGGGTTGACAAGAGAATCTTTATAACTTCTCAATACATCCATGTTGATAATTTCTTCTAATTCGCTAATCATGCTTGGCTCTGACGTAATTCTTTGAACAAATGCTTGATATTCAATGGGTGGCATATGGTCTCTCAATAGCTCAATTCAGGCTTTGCTTCGAATTTTTTGGGCAGATTCTTCAGCTTCTGACAGTCACTTTTTTAGGATTGGGACATAGAATTTTTTATTTCATTTTTTGCATACTTGTAGTATCCATCATTTTATTGATTTAGAGAATATCTAATATATGATATGCTTATTTTGTCTATTGATATATATATTATTAGTTAAAAAGAGTACCAAATTTAATATAGAATAATATAATATAAAGCTTTCAGAGTGATTTAAATAATCTAAGGCTAGCCCAATAGGTAGGAGACCGTTCCAGATTTCCCTTTCTTTTTCACGGTTTCTTAATGATCTTTTTCATTCATCTTCAACTTGCAAATTCATCCTTTGATTCGCTTGCAGCTCAGCTAATAAAACACATGTTCTATCAGTATCAAGATTTACTTTCTGGCAGCATTTTAAAATGACTGCATTAGCAGTCTCAAAAGGAATTCCTAAATGAATCATGTGGAAGCTGAACTGGCTAATAATCATTACTGCAGCAGATTTTATTATATGCTCATTTTCTGCAATTTTCTGTGGAAACTTATTTTTTATTCCTTTTAAAATTCCAAATAAATTATTCCCTTTTTTCTTTAAAGAATGATATTTTTGCAAATTATCTTTGTCAGCTGAAATTTTTGCAGAAATACCACACTCAATGGCTTCGACCCACCTCTCTTTATCATGCCATATATTATGAGACGATATATACTCAGATAAATAAACTCGTTTCCCTTGTTCATCTTCTGTATAAAATATGTGTGAAAGTACAACAAGTTTACAGAAAACAATTGTGTCGTGGTCTTCCTCCATCATAATAACAGTTAAAAGAGACGTAATTATTGCTGCCAACTGTAAAATTTTTGTCGGAGTTAGTGAGCTTTTATGTTTTAAGCTTTCTAGAGAATCACAAAATAGTGTTCGACCTTCTGGGGTGTGGAAAACATTAGAAATTCTTCCAAAATAGACAGGGTCTAGGTCTTCTGGCTTAGAAGAATCTTTTGATGCCACCTCAATTCAATCTTCTGGGCTACTGTCATTATTTGTCAAGAAATTAAGGATTTTTATTAGGAGTTCTGTCGTTATTTCTGGCTCTTTTTGGGTTTCTTCTTGCTTGCTTTTTTCTTTCTGGATTTCTTTTCAGCGCTCATATGACACCATCTCTTCACGTTTTTGTGGCTCCGTTTTTAAATTTTCCACAAAAATTTTGACGTCAATTGAACTATTAATTTTACTTGAAACTGCGCTGAAATCATCTAAAGCCTCATCAATTACTGTAAAATAAGATTTATAATGCCTGATATACCCTAATAAATTAATTATTTACAAGATAAATATGCTTTATTATTAATATTATTCCCCTTTTATAAGAGATATATTTATCAAACGTATATTTCAAAAAATGAATGCGGCTTTCTTCATTTTGTTGAATAAATTCCATCACCTCTGGCATTTCTGCATCAAAAAATTCCCAAGAAGTGTTCATTTCTTCATGGGCTTTTGTATAATTTTCTGAAGCTTTATTAGCAAGCATTCTATTATAAAGAGCTAGCCTTAAAGCTTTGTCTTGCTTTTCTCTAGTGTCTTCTTCAGCAATCATTTGCTCTGACCTCTCTGCTAATTTTGCAGACTCAATATATACTTATATGTATAGGTAGCAATTTATTATTTTTTAAAAAAAAATTTAATTTATTTTATAAACCCAGCATAACTTTTTTTGGTTTTTTGTACTTTTTCAGTTGATTTCGCAAGGTCCTTTGCCGCAATTGACCCTCTGCTTACCAAGCTTGAATTTGTAGTGGTGAAATGTTCTAAAAACAGCTCTAAAGGCTCAATTATATCAATCTGCACGTTTTTCGACAACTGAACCTGAGTCTGTATATGCAGCTTCATATAAGTGGTCAGCTCATTTAAAGCCCCTGACAAAGTGTCTGTGTTTCCTTCTTTTGGGAGATCTGCAAAAAGACCTTCTGATAGTTTCTGCAGCTGCTGGTTAAAAGAGTCAAGGTTTTTCTTAAAACCTTTAAAGAAAACGTGAATTGCTGATACCACTTGTGTTCCTTTTTTGAGATTAGCTGCAATTGAGTCGAATTTGTCACAAATTTCAGAATAACTCATTTTTAGTTTTACATGTAAAAGTGACTATAAAAAATAGCAATAAATAATACGCTGGGATTTTTATAGGCTAATTTACTAGAAATTTTGAAAAAATTAATAATTAATAAATGTTGTGGAATTTTTCAATAATTTCTATCACAATAATCCTCACAGCAGCAATCAACCCAGGCCTTATATTCTCAAGAAACATGAACGATATAACAACCTACATCAAAGAGCTGCTCCCTAACATGTTCCTTGGTATCTCCTCAGGCAAGCTCAGCCCAATCTTCTACAACTCTTATGATGGTTTTCGAGAAATTACCATGAATATCACCAATATTTACCTTGTTAATGCTAAAGTGATTCCACAAGACACAGTCATTCAGTTGACTTCTCCGTCTTATCTATATGTCTTATTTCACGATTTTCAAGGAAATATCTCCTTTGATTACCAAGAGCTTGGCTTTGCTATAAATAACACAGGGCATGGAAATGCCGTTATGAATGACGCTCAATTGTATTTTAACCTGTCTTTATTTGAAATAAACTCGATTCCACAGGTAAAAATGGAATATTTGATATTAAATGTGACGTCCCTAGATTTAAATTTGCCTTTAAACCAAAAAGTCCAAGATACTATTGAGCAAAACCTTGTATCTTTGTTGCAAACACATGCAAATGCAGCATTTGCGAGTTCTTTTGAAAGCCAAATTAATTTTTTCTTTCAGCATTTTAATTATTATCCGAGGCTGGTTTTTGGGGTTCCTTTTGTGGTTGATATATCGTGAGCTAATAATGAGGTGATTGTGTCTGATGAATATATGGCATTTGTGTATAATGGGACGATTTTGCCATCTAAGGGGAATGCACAGCTGATAAGTGAGATAGCGCCACCTGTGGAGATGCCGACGAGAAATTTGGATCCGAAATCAATAAATAATACCCAGATTTTTATGTCGGAGTATATGATTAATTCGTATTTTTGGGCAATTTGGACCGCATATGCTGCTTTATATTTTTTTTATTATTAGATTTATTAAGATAGCAGTGAAATTTTTTTATTTTTTTAATATGATAAAAATTAGTCTTACAAAGAAATTAAATTAATAATTTATACCCAAATTTCCTTGTGAGCTCTTTTCCTGCAAGCTTCAACATACAACTAGTCTCAAACTCTGGGTATTTTCCTGAAGTTTATTCACATTTTGGAACAACTCCTATGCAAATTAATATTACATACGGCTCCATCCCATACATAAAATCTATTCCTAATCTAGGTCTGCAAGGAAATTTAATTGTAAATGCCAATGTAATGGCAATGGATAAAGATGAATTTATATCAGCTTTTAATGCCACAGTTCAGCTGCAATATTTAATCAATGTTTATATTGATGGAAATTACTATTTAAAAGGCTATCCCTTACGACTAAAAATTATTTCAATTGATATTGTTAATAGTAATGTTGACGCTGTAAGCCATTATTACCTTGGAAGACTAATTTTTGATTTATTTCAAAATCTTGCGAATACGAACAGCTATTATTTTTTCCCACAAATAAGGCTGCCATATATGCTAGGGACTATTTTTAGTAATTTCCATGTTCGGTATATGCAAGGGTATCTAGAAGTAGATTATGCGACTGTTGATGTAGATTCTGATAATAGTGATTTAATAAATAATTATTTGTAAAATTGATAAAAAATAAGCCATCTGAAAATTTATTAATAAGCATAAGGCATTATTTTATTATCAAAAAGCTTGGCTTATCTATTTATTAATATTCGTTATAACGGTCTGGTCATCTTCTGGATGTTTCATCAGCTGAAACCCTTGCTTTTCTTTCGACTGATTCAACGATACTGGCAACCATTTGCAAATATTCCACATTACCACTTCTATAGCAGCTATCAAATAAAACGAAAACGAATAATTCAAAGGAAAAAATAGCCCATCCTTAACAGTGCTTGTAAAAGTAAATCCAATCAGCAAAGGTGCTATAGACTTAGCTAAACTTGCAGACGTCATAAACAGTCCATTCATTCTTCCTCTTTCTTGTGAAATAACTGAATTATTAGACATACAGCTTATAGCTGTAAAGGAAATAATATTCACAGTAATCCATGTCATCTGAATCAGTGCCAAAACTACTCATCTGAATACTAAATCTCTATTAAGCAAGCTTGCCAAAGGTGCTAATAAAAGTATCGGGATAGCCAAAAACGTCGTAATTTTTGCAGTCCTCACAAGTCCATACTTTTTTATCATAAATGAAGCTATATTTTTTTGAAAAATTGCTATCAAAATGGTAGAAGCGCCTAAAAATAGGCCAATTTCTTTCGGATTTAGCTCAAATCCTCCATATTTAATGTCAGTTCATAGGTACAAAACCATAAGCTCGTTCATTGCGGTTGAGTTATTAGCTCAAATTGTGTAAGCAGACAAAATCTTACAGACTACCGGGTCTGTAATGATCTGTTTTGACGTCCTTGTATTTGAAATAGAGCTCCCTCCAATTAATTCCGTTTTTTGAAGGGTTTCTTCTAAATTCGGGTATACAAGCCAAAACGACAGAAATGCTATTAAAGCAGCTACACAATTTGGCAATAAAAAAGGAAAGTCAGCGAAAATTCCACTTTTAATAAGTCCAGAACTTTCAGGGTCCTCTAATACACCTCCAAGCACGTTTCCAGCAACCAGCCCTATTTGTCATAGCATAGATTGTAAAGCCATGGCTGAAGGCTGTTCCTCGTCTGGGCAAATTTCGGAAATCAAGGTCTTTGTTACTATTGCTAAAGGTGTAAAAACTCCTAGCTTTCCTTAGAATAATTTATTTATTTTTTATGAATAATTTACTATTAAAGTATACAGAATTATTGGTTATTAATTAAGGAGTAAAAGAAACCTTGATGTGAGTGCCCATCAGAAATTAGGCGAAAAGCCAAAAAGTAACGAAAAAATCGTAATTGAGGCAATTCCAATAAGCATTACAGGCTTTCTTCCCCATCTGTCACAAATTGATCCTCAGCAGGCTGATGTAATTGTTCTACCAAACATCAAAGAGAAGGTCATAAGGCCAACTCAGGTGCCTGTTGATGATCTGTCATCAGCTATTTCAAATTTAATGACCATTTTGCTTGCAAATGGGATCACCAAAGTAAAGACTATTGCATTGGCGAAATATGCAGTATATATGCCGATGAGAATAATTGTCTTCTTTTTCATCTGTTTTGCAAATATTTTTCAATTATATTTAATAATTTTTAGTAAAAATCTTATGCATAATTATATATTTCATAGTTTTTTGAGTCAATAAATTTAGTAAAAATCTTATGCATAATTACAGTTATTTCATAGTTCTTTGAATCGATAAAATCCTGAATCTGATGATTTCTAATTTCTTTTCTAGCGGCGGAAGGGGTTGCTTTTGTGTAATACTTCTTCTGATTGTCCGCTTTGGCATTTTTATTTCTTTCTTAGGAGAAAGAGTGACTGTAATTCTGGGAGTCTTTCTTGCACTGTTTGAAATTTCAGTTTTATAATTTGATGGTGGAAAATTTCCGACCCCAGACATAGTAAAAGAATCCTTTATTCTGATAGTTTTTAAAAGACAAATGGAAGAAGAATCTTCTTTTAGCTCAGCATTTTTTAAAACCTCATGCATATTTAGGAGCCTGCTGCAGGAAGGCCTGAATTCTGGCTTTATAGAAAGCAATTGTCTTACTATATTATTTAAATCGGTTGAATACTGCGTAGGAAGCCTCTTATAATTTCCTAATGAAATTTTTTTGTAAAGTGATTTTATATCACTGGCGATAAACGGAGGGTGAAGTGTAATCATTTCATAAATAATGCAGCCTAAAGACCACATATCACTTTTTAAATTATAAGTCTGATATTGCCAGATTTCTGGGCTTGCATAAAATGGAGTACCAACCATTGTATTTGCAAATCCATTTTTACTAATTTTTGCTATATTCATGTCTCCTATTTTAACAGTCCCATCACTACACATAAAAATATTGGCCGATTTCAGATCTCTGTGCAAGATTTTATTATCATGTAAAGCTTTAAGCCCTCTTATCAGCTGGATAAAAATAGTCCAAATTTGGGATTCTGGAAAAGATGTATTGCATAGTATATGATTTTTAATTTTTGTATGTAAATCTCCTCCATCTGCATATTCCATTATAATGCTGACTATGAATTACCATAAAGTCCGGGAATTGTCGTCAAAAAACGCTTCTTTGTAGCCTATGATGTTAGGGTGATTGATGGAGGCCAAAATTCTTATTTCGTTGAGGGCGTTAAGTTTTTCTTTTGAGCTTAGATCAGTTATCCGAATCTGTTTAAGAGCATAATATTTGGAGTCTGCTAGTCGCTTTACTTTAAAAACCTGTGCAAAAGAGCCTTCACCAATTTTTGAAATGATTTCGAAGTTATTAAGCGACATGATAAATTTTAGAATAAATTAGATACCGATCGTAGAAATAAATATGAAAAATAAAATAAAAATGTGTTAAATGAGGATAGGTTTAATTTTTATTTTCGGCTTATTTTAAATAGAAATTTTTATAAAAATTGTGCTTCTTGAATACTATTAAGACTTTTACAGCGGAATTAATATTAACTAGGTGCATCATGATAAATAAAAATTCTAATAGAGAGGCTTCAAATAAAGATTGCTGGCGGATTTATTAGGTATATATATATATATATTCGCTTATTAAAGCTTTTGCGTGTCAAGTATATTAGAAAGATTTACTAATGGTTATACTTGGATATTCCATAGAGTTAATAATATTTGACTTTGAGATATTATGATTTTTGCAGTTACGATATTTAATCAGCAGATTCGATTAGAATAATTAAATTTATAAATTTAAGGCTAATATAAGTACCCAGAATTGGCTCAAAAATGACAAATTCAGGTAACTTTACCAATACTTATAAATATAATTGGCATGAACTTAATGCTTAGGAATCATCCTTGATTTGTAAACTGATTACTTTTTTATAATTAATAATGGAATCCTCAGCTGTTTTCCCAAATCCAACTAGATATATAAATGCCAAGAGTCTTGATTGAATCGAATAAATTCGATTGAATAAAGACTCTTAAGAAAATTATAATATCTTTGGCTCCAAAGATAGACTTACGATTTGAAGAATAATAACTTATTTGCAGAAATTTTAATGCTCAAACTGATGAGCTAATGGAATTCTTTGAATATTTGCCAATAACTTAGTTAGCCTCAAAGCTCAAGTATGCGCCAGAAATAAGAGAAAAATTGTATCTCAACTTTTACAAGCATTTCCTGCACTCCCTATACTGACTCAATCAATTCTATTTCAATAATACAGCCATCTAAAAATCAAGCCTTGAATATATACCGCTAAGCAAGACTTGCTACCGCTCAAGCTGCAATCATAAGCTTTTTAAGGATCCAGAAAAAACTGCAATTACTAATCATGACTATTTGGGCTGATAATATTGGTCAAGATTGCTATGATTTTGACAAACTATTGCTCCAGAAATTATGTATATCAGAGACAAGCTTTAATGTATTAAATTTTGATTAAACTTTTTTTATTTATGTAGGTTTAAAAATCATAATAACTGTGATTTTAAATGAATTTTCCATTGCGAAAAATATTAATAAATAAGGAATTGATTTGCAGAGATAGATGGGCATTATTAATAAAATATCATGTACTTTAAACACACAAAATAGCATTGATTTATTTCTGGATAATATGATATCACATTATTTATGTAAATAAATCTTTTGTTTTATTTAAAATCATGCCTGCCTTAAATTAGATAAACTTCTATTTCCAGATTGAAATAATTCAATCATCAGCATAATAAATTATAATTCACTATTTAATTGCCTACAATCAGCATAATAAATTATAATTCACTATTTAATTGCCTACATTACCATAATAATATATATTACGTCATCATCCAAAAATCAAATTCCTACAAAAATGTGTTATTTATAACTTCTTTTATTATAACGAAGCTATTTTTAATTTTTAACGACTATTTCTATTGCTTATCTTAAAATTAGCTTGCAAAAATAGCCTAAAATCAATATCGTTTTCCTTTTTATTTCAGTTCAATCTAATTTCATAAAATTACAATAATAAAATGCACGCCCGCGATATAGGGTTGTATGGGATCCTAGTTTTTGCAATGGCTGCATTGAGCTCAGCCGCTGCAGCTTTTGAACAAATAACTTCAGTTAGCCCGTTCATGAAAGCTTGTTGGAGACTTGAAGTGACTGCAATTCTTCAGATCGTCCCTATGGTTTACGAGATTCGTAAAGATCCAGAGGCAGTCAAAACCATGATCAGAGACTGCTGGCATTATTTATTAATCTCTGGCCTCTGCCTTGGGCTTACTTTTAGCCTGTGGTGTTGGAGCTTAGATTTAACGTCAATCGCCCACTCGCTCTTGTTTTCCTGTTCAGCTCCACTTGTAGTGGTAGTTGCATATTTTCTACTCTGCAAAAAAGTGGCTCCTTTAGAAATCGTTGGAGTAGTTATAGGATTTGTAGGACTTAGCGTCGTTATTTTTGGGAACTCTGAAAGCGAAGGGTCTACTTGGTATGGAGACGTCATAGCCTTCATGACGGCAATTACATTGGCAATTTATATGCTTATAGGAAAGAAACTTATGGAAAAATGTGTCCCTATGTGGACTTATTTGACAATAGCTAATATGGAAGCTGCACTCTGGGCCTACATTTTTGCAGTTGCAGTCCAAGGAGACGCCCCAATTGAAGGGATTCAATGGATCTATACAAGCGATTGGCTTATTGTGATATATTTAGGCTTAGTCCCAGGAGCATTAGGCCATGGTGCTATAAATTGGCTGCTTAAATTCATGTCCTGTCTTGTCATTTCAGTATTTATTAACTTTGAGCCAGTAATTGGGTCATTTATAGGCTGGGTTGTAGGGATTCAGCCGCCTCCTGCAATATACACTTATATTGGAGGAGCCATTGTTATGGCAGGAAATCTCACTGTTACTTATGCAGGATCCAAGGTAAAAATTCCAGGAGATACTGAAGAAAAGTTCTATTTAGATGAAGAAAAGGGGAAAACTGAAGAAATGAGGGAAAGCTTGCTTGATGATAATGATAATGATGAAGGGGAAAAATTCGAAAGAAGAATCTCTAGGAAGCATTCTTTTGCATTAGCTTAGAGTATATACTGGGCTATATTGAGCATTTATTATTATTTTTATATTTTTTTATTACTTTATATAAAGATGGTAGGATATTTACTCTTATTAGAATCTTTTAATTAAATTTTCTAATAAATTATTGGATAAAATTCATATTCGTATTGAATAGGGATTGAAAAATATTTAAATTGTAAATAATTGATATATAAATAAAATGGCATTCGGTTCGAGAGAAATTATTGGTAATTTTCTCTCCTTCATGGAATTTTATTTATGGGGTTGGGTTTTCTCTCGAAAAATCAGGCACAGCAATAGCTGTTTAACTTTGGGGATAACCAAAGGAACAGCTCCTCAGTGCGTTCAAAATCTCGGAGTTTTACCCCTCAGCACTTCTCCACGGGAAGAAGACCCTTAGGCGGAACACGCGCAGGAGCTGAGTTAAGGCAGAGCGACGGCAACGCGCAGGGTGATGTGCGGCGGCTAGGGGCGAAGCGTTGATAGAAGGCTTGGCGGGTTGGGCTGACCACCGTGATCCAAGATGGCTCCGTGACGTCACTAGTTAGCTAAAAGTTCCATTTTGTACTGTGGCACTAGACACCTAAAATACCGAATAATTAAGTTTAAGTTTAAGTAAATAATTTGTATAGGAAATGAGATATTAAAACGCGAAAAGGAATTCTAATTCTGCTCAGATACAGCTTACTATTATTGTAAAATGGCGGATCTTTGGAAAATTTGGAGCGAAAAAGAAAAACAAGCTTTTTATCAAGCCATGGAAATTGATCCTGACTACAAAGCCCTGCAACTTTATTTTCTTCAGCTCAGAAAAGTGATGATTATTTAGAACCAAGGCCGAGAAACAGCAGAAAAAGTAAAATTATTATATTATCGCGGTTTAATTACTATAAAAAAACTCTGTGAATCAGCAGGAATGCCCTTGAATTCCAGTCTCCCTAACCCAGAATTTTTCAAACTCAGTAATTTCGATTTAACCTCCTTAGGCTCTTCATCACACCTTAAAAAAGAAGTGAGAGCCCTTTCAAAAAATATGACCCTTTTCTCAGTAAAAAATATTTAGAACTGTATGAAAGCTTTATCTTTCACTGTAAAATCCAAATATAACCATCCCCAAAAATCCTTATTAGGCATCCCTCCACTTTTGCGTCAATCTGACGAAGATCGAATTTGTCAATTTTGTGGGAAAAATAAAAATAGAGGAAGTTTTGTACTGAAGTATTTTTTATATAGAGGAGTACCTGATACTTTAAACGTCCAATTATTGCCGTTTAGCCCAAATTATCACAAAGCGCTCGTAAGGCATGGATTTAACCCTAGATTGGAATTATATATGAGGTCTAATATGCTGCTTATTGAGGTCTTAGATCATCTTAAGGTAAAGTGAAACCCTGCATTTATAGAGAGCTCTACGAATGATTATATGATAGGACTATTGGCATCATGGGAAGGAAAATTAATTGAATTTAATAGAAGCCAGGAGAAAATTACTATTGGGGATATTTATTTAAGCTTGGAATCACCTGTGCCATGGCAGCTTTATTATTATTGGAAGCAGATAGGAGGAGTTTTCCCTGAGCCTCAGCCAATTAATAACGAACAATCTGTGCTGACAAGTTCGCTGTATTCTAATTCTATATTCCCTACCGAAGAAAAATCAAACTCTGCTGCTTCTTTGGACAAAAAAGACAAATCCTTTTTATTAAGAAGCCCTAACAAGCAGCTGTTTACAAAGACAAATAAAGAAGTTTTTTCTAAAAGCACTGACGAGAAATCAAAACTTTCTGCTTATGAAAGTGCTTTGATAGAGTTTAAAACTGAAGGAGAAGAGAGCATGTTTTCTACGTGGTTTTCGTTTAATAAGAATCCTAATTATTAAAATTATATATTGAACTATCAGCTAATTTTTCATATGCAGTTAAATTAAATTATAAATGAGCCATCATACACGAATCAAAAAATTTTGAATTCTATTATAATTCTCATTTTAATTTATCTAGAATATAATGTAAGTTCATTTTATTAGTCAGTATAGCACACCCCTCGTGGTTGCTCGCCATTAAGTATCCCCTCCCCATGTCACCCCCACCCTGAAAATTTTAGATATTAAAATATTATTTGACACCTCCTCGAATATTTAACTTGTCAAATTAATATTTAACATGTTAAAATATTTGGGGCCGTTAGGGGGTGGGGGTGCATGGGGGAGGGATGCTCAAGGCCGATCCAAAACAGGGTCTAAGCTATATATGAATCAGTACTTAAATAAACTCTTTAAGCCGTCATCTATTTTGTTAATTTATCATAAATTAAATACATCTTTCAGATTAGCGTTGCATTCAAATAAATTTCTCCATCTTACTTGGATTTTTCATTAAATTCATCATGATGATTTCTTTTATGCTAGAAATTTAACTTACTTCCCCTCTGTGAGTGAGCAAAACTATTAGAAAAATCCCTATTTTATGACCAAAATGTTTTTAATAGAAAAATTTTTTACAGAAAAAAAAATTTATATATAAGTGATATTTAGGATAATGAAATCTCAAACTAATTCTGTTTAATTTTAAACAATTTGCGTTTTAAAACAAAAATTTTACAAATTAAATTAATATTTGCTTTAAAAAATTTTGCGAATTGGGATTGCTTTAAATTTCGAAAAACAAATTCTATAAAATTTATATATAAATTGTTTTAAAAAATAAAATTAACCCCTCTATGAGCGAACAAGATTTTTTTGTTTGCTCACAAAGGGGAGTTAATATAAATATTAGAATATGTGCCGAAATTCCTTATCAAGTTTTAAAATGCGAGCAGCTTTAAAACTATCTGGCCATGATGGCTCTAAAACTGAGAGGAGGAAACTCAAAAGAATTTTCAGAGAGCTCTCTAAACGCTGTGGTCAATCTGATGATGGAATCAATCGTGATCAATTTTTAAGGTTTACCAAACTTTCGGGTATTTTAGGCGAGCAGTTATTCAATTCGCTAGACGAAGATGAAGATAACAAATTGGATATCAAAGAGTTTCTGAATGGATTAATTCTTCTCTATAAAGGAACCTTTGGAGAAATTTCTGAGATACTATTTAAAATTTTTGATTTCAGTAAAAGTAGTCATATATACCTTTTTTAAATCAAATTTAAGATTTTATTAGCATTAATAGCAAAATCATCTTAAAAATAGGAGCTGCCCTTATAAAAAAATTTAATTATCTCCTTAAAATATCTTATCTTCAAATGATGTTTTATTCATTTTATCTTACTTGCCTATGTATTGTCCGAAATGCAAAAAGAGACTTATGGTTGTATGGGATTATAAAGAAAAAGTCCAGGAACTTTTCGAAGACAGAGATTATATTCATTTAGAAGAATTCAAAGAGTCAATCCAGCTGAATAGTGAAGTCGGTGAATTAGTTTTGCAATGTATTTTTAACTCATTTCCTGCGATTATTGACGAGTGTTTTTTACCTAAAAAATTACTTTGTGAAGGATTAGAAAATGTGATGGAAGGGAAACTTATATATAGCAACAGAGATTACTATTTTCTATTGAAAAATAAAAGTTTGTATTATGCAATAAGCAAGGATAGAGTAGCGAGTAATCCAGCTGGAATTATTTTTGCCAGCGATTTATTTGTGGAAGAATCATCAGGGAACAGTTTTGTACTGAAAAATACTAAATTTGAATACACATTTGAAGATGAACATTTTTTTATTATTTTTTTAAATATTTTTAATAAAATTGAAAAAAATATTCCACATATAATTATTTTTGAAAAATAAAAAAATAAGCCTTTTTATATATTTACATTTTAATTGAATAATTTCTGTGTTTTATAGCAGCATAATCAGGAATATTTTTTATTTGAAGCTGAAAGCCTAGCTCAAAAAGAAAAATGAATGGCATCAATAAGGGGTGAAACGGAATTTAAAGATTTTTATGCTGATTATGAAACCACCGAAACTATAGGAAAAGGCGCTTATGGAGAAGTCAAATTAGGCAGAAATAAGCATACAGGCAATACTGTCGCTGTAAAAGTTATATCAAAAGAACCACTAGATGCAAGGTCAGAAACAAGACTAAGAAGAGAAATTAATATCTTAAAACTTATAACACACGAAAGCATTTTACGACTAGAATCTGTATATGAGACCGCAAATGAGCTTTTTATAGTCACAGATTATATATCAGGTGGATCTTTATTTACCTGGCTTAAAGATAGAGAATTTTCTATCAGAGAAAATGTTGCAAAAAAAATTATAAAGGATTTAGCAAATGCTTTGGAGTTTTTACATTCTAATGGAATAATTCATAGAGACCTTAAGCTAGAAAATATCCTAATTGAAACTGATAAGGATAGGAATTTAAAGCCTATACTTATTGATTTTGGACTAAGCTGCATTTTAGGCCCACATCAATATTCTCAGGAATCGGTAGGAACTTTAAAATATGCCTCGCCAGAAATTTTATCAAGGATTCCTTATAGAGAATCAGTAGATATTTGGGGACTTGGAGTAATAGCTTATATCCTTTTGGTAGGTAGAATGCCATTTTATGGAAAAAATGATCAAGATATAGCGACAAGAATCCTTAAAAAACCTATTGATTTAGAAGGGAAAAATTTCTGCAATATAAGTGAAGCAGCAAAAGATGTAATTAAAAATTTATTAACAAGAAGACCAGCAAATAGAATATCTCTGAGTGCTTTGTTAGAGCATGAATGGTTTTTAAATGAAGAGGAAAGAGCTGAGAGAACAATTACTGATTAAATATCTGCAATTTTAATACTTTTAACCGAATTTAAAATTAATTTAGTTTGAAATGTAAACAAGGCTCGATAAAATTTTTGGGATTTGGAAGAGGCTATTAAGAATTTATATTGCTGGCAGCAATTATTTAATTATGATTTTTGTATATATGTCTTTATAAGAGATTTGCTTATGCATAATCTTTGAATTTATTAGAAAAATAGAGGATTAATGCCTTATAAATCAATATATCAAACTTTAGAACATATTTATCAAATGATTTCCAGAAAATGGCAATTTACATTGGCTATTCCTATTTAATAAAATTTATAAACCATTTATAATTTTTAAGTAGCATTAAATAATTAATCCTCTAATAAAACTCGTTTCACTTATTTCTCACAATAATTCTTCATCATCAATTTTTCTTAAATAACTGCTCCTTTCTAAAATAAATTATGACGTAACATTATTTTATAAAAAGTCATGGAACTTTTAGATAGTTGTATTAATGTTACCATTCCTAGAACCGCATTAAGATGCACTAATCAAGTATTTAAAAGCAATTTCACAGTAAAATTCATTCAGGAATACGAAGTCCTTATAACATTTCACACCTACAAGTACAGAATTTTTAAGCGCTACAGTCAATTTCATCAACTCAGAAACGCTCTGAGGACCCACCCAAATTCCGATGAGTATTGGCCCCAGCTTCCAAAGTTCCCTGAGAAGAAACTTCTCGGGAAAAAGCATCATTTATGTATAGAATCCCGAAAAAGGGTTCTGGAGGAATGAATTTCTTCTTCCTTAAATTTCCCACAAACCCTCCAAAGTTTGGGTGAATTCCTTGAAATTCCAGAAAACTTCCGGTTGCTATTTTTAGATCGTGGGAAATCAGCAACTTGCAAGCTAAGTCCAACTGAGTTGTGTGTTGCTAATTTTATTAAAAGAGTTGACCAGTCAGAACATAAAAGACTTAAAGCCATAGAAAAATTCGAAAGGGAGTTTTTTAACCAAAAACAAGAAATTTCGATGCCAGTCGCTACAATTTTACTGATGAAACTTATGCCTCTGTGCGGGGTTGAAGTAATAGGATCAAAAGCATTGGACATTCTATGCCTAGTTAGATTTAATTTAAATTTAAGGATTATTTTTATTATTTTTTTAGAAAAAATAGACATATTTTATCAATAACAGTATATATATCATATTAAATTAACTTAGGCTATAAAAAAAATTATTATTTATTAGGCTCCTATTAGACTCCAAATTATTTGGAAAAGAATATAAACTCACAAGCTCAACTACCTTCAGGTATTATCAAACTATTATTGACGCAATGATGAAAATCAGCATGGATGTGCTTCGAGATATGAAATTAAACCTTCATTTAAATCGAGCCTTCCAGGGAGATTCCGCAGAACTTGCCTGGCAAATTTGTGGGAAAATCAAAGAGCAGCTTGGAGACAGTCATTTATTAAACTACATTCTAAATGACGACAGAAAAGCAATCATAGCCTTTGAAAACTGAAACGAAAATACCTTCCAGCCACAAATTTCCCCACGCTCTGCCAGCGATAACACCTCTTCCTCCTGGAAAAAGCTGAACACAGATGGCTACCCAGGCAATCTTGAGCTCAGCTACAAAAAATCAGGGAATTTTATCGAAGCCAAATGTGAAATGGAGATTAACGCTTCCCTCGACACCATAATTGACATTATTACTGAACCCCACCTCAGGAAAAAATGAGACACTTTTGTGTCTGACTATGAAATAGTCGAAAAAATCAACGAAAAACAGTCCATAATTCTGATGGGTTTTGTATCAGACAGAAATGAAGTCGTTGATTTATCACTAATAAGGACCATCACTCTTGAGCCAGGACACGCAATTTTGACATATGGCTCTATTGAACACCCTAAAGCTCCACCACGCCCAACCCATAAAAGAGTAAAATGCAGCGAAAGCAAATATGATATTTATACAATTCAAGCCCCAAAACAAAGGGCAGCAACTGATAGCACAGATGAACCAGCCAGCCCTGAAAATAAAATTAATGATGAAGAAGATATAATAGAAAAATGCAAACTTGTATATACGACAACTTTGGCTATTGATATTACCAGATTTTTGTGTAGTGAAATGATTGAGGAAACGCAGTATATCAAAAATGCGTGGAAAAATCTAAAAAAATTAGCTGAAAGTGATGAAGATATGGGACCGGTGCTGATGCAGAGGTCAAAACAGAATATAATATTTGGAGCACTTTTGAAGAAGTCGGGGTCAGCCAAGAATATTCAGGAAGAGACTATCACTTTGTATGAGTAAAATTGATAGTTTTATGTTACTAATAGATACTTTTTATTCAATATTTTGCTTACTCCACCTTCCATTAGTGAGCAAAACCATTTGAAAATCCCTGCTTTTGGCTCAAACATTTTTTAATATAAAATTTTATGAAAGTGATAATTATTATAATGAATCTCTAATTAATTCTGTTTAATTTTAAACAGCTTGCATTTTCAAACTAAATTTTACAAATTATATTTATATTTGTTTCAAAATTATTTCTAAATATGGTATTTATATAATTTTTAAAAAAAATTAGCACTTTTCATGAAAACCAAAATTTTTTTGTTCGATCGCTGAGGGAAGAGTAAATATTATTTTTTATTAATTTTCTTTTTTGCACTTCCATAATTATCTCTATTTAAGTTAAAATAAAATCTGTAATATCACTCGTTACTTCTTCTGTAGTTTTCCCTACCAAATAGTTTCTAATGACATTTTCTATATTTTTTTGATACAGCCCATAATTCGCTTCTATTTCTTTCATAGCCAAACTTATTCCTTCATCAAGATTTTCTTTAAATTTCGTCAAATCAACCCCGATTTTAAACTTCTCTACAGCTTTAGCAATCGCAAACTGGTCACCTCCTTGAGGCACTACAATTATAGGAACCCTATAAAATAATGTTTCAAAAAAGCTACTCGGCCCTCCGTGGGATATAAAAACGGCTGAATTATGCAAAATTTCAGTTTGGTTTACAAATAAATGGATTTCAATATTATCAAAATGATAAAGGGTTTTCAGTTTATCATAAATTTCTTTATTTCCTCCGGCTGATATTATAAGCTTATAATCTGTTTTGCTTAAATATTTTATTGATGAGGTGTAGAACTCTTCATTCCAGTTAAACATGGTCCCTAAAGTGCAATAAATGGTGCTGCCTTGGGAAAGGGTTTTTGATATACTCAGAGAATCAGGATCAGGAACTCGACTATTATAAAAGAAAAATTTATCAGGATTTGGCATTTCAGACCCTAAAGCTGCCTGAAAAAGATTTTGAGACGAGTAAACTATGACTTTATCAGCATTCCAGCAAGTAATTATATCTGTTGGGATATAAAATGTATGGTATTTATCATTAAATGATTTTAATATTGAGTTTTGCTGATCTTTGCCTTCTGTAAACGTAATTTCAACCATTTCAGGCTTTCTTAGCCAGCTAGGGTTTGAACAAATTGATTTAACATTAAGAAACTTGCTTATTGCATTTCCCCAGATTCCAAAAAAGCTATAAATCACCGCATCAAATTTTTCATTTTTGAAATTTTCAATGAACCATGGTGCATAAATTTCAGCTAACCCAGTCAAAATTTTAATATTAAATAGCCCTGATGCATTTCTAGTGACTTGCCTCATATTTGCACTAGTATGACCAATTCCTTTATTATCAGGATACAGGAAAAATTTTCCACCTATTTTTTCTATTGGGACTTTATCTTCTATATACCCAAAATACCAAATTTCATGACCGGTGGCTATAAGGGATTGAACCAAAGGATAAGCTGGGGTATTATGGCTTTTAATATGATCTCCAAAAAATGCGATTTTCAGATTCTTCTCACAATTATTATGTATATATAGTCGCCATAAATTATTTTTTAATAGAAATAGCTAGATACCAGGCAGGCTATTTATGGAAAATTTCTATAAATTCTCTAAACAACCATTTTGCAATGAATTGTCAGAAATTTTATTATTAGAGTCATATTCCTTGCATAAGGAGTCTTTTTCATCAATGGTATTTGAACTACTAGTATAAATCATCAAGAGACCAATGAGTAAATTCGCCAGAACCATATTTATTATCAATTAAAGCTATCTATATTTTAACTTAACTTAAACTAAATTACCCTTGTATTATGTTATTGTTATCTTCAATAATCTCACTCAGCTGATATATAGCATTTTCTGACTCTGGTATTAACCCTTGTCTATATTTTGTATTTTCAAGGTCTGCTAATAAATCTTCATTTTTTGAAATAATTTGGCCCATTTCATAGACATGGTCATGGGTGTCTACAGGAATGACTGTTTTTTTCCTTAATTCTTTAATATATTGGAAACTCGGCGTCAAATCTCCATGGCAAGTCTCCATAGCGTGCTTTATTTCAGGGTGAAGCGACATTTCTTCAAATGGTTTATTAGCGTTATCCCATGCAAGTTCTCGGACATATCCTAATATTTTGTGAGAAAAATGCTCTGAGGCATCTCTAGGCAGCTCAGAGGGCAAAAAATCCATACTGTGATAGAGAATTGAAGTTTGGGCATGCTCTTGGTTGAGTCTGTAAATTCTATCATCAGTAGGGCAGTATAGATAGAATGGGTCTTCTGGCGTTGTAAATTTTCGGCAAATTTGAATTCCACCATTAAAGTCGCATGAAATATCGCAAATACCTAACTCTCATACAAAATATTAAAAAAATCAGAAAATAAGTAAATTAAAAAAATTATTATTTTTATTATTTATTATTGGCCTACAAAAGTAAGAGCCTCCCCTTAAGTGTTCTTGCTTGTTCTATAGTTAATAATCTTGGCTGTTTTGTGCTCCAAAATGCACAATGTACAATGACTGACAATTTTTCTGCATATTTAATAAACGTGCTTTGATACAGCTCAGGATTTTCATGGAATTCTTCTCTATCATATCCGCCTCCTTCTTTTCTCTCTATAATTTTATCAGAGGGAAATTGCACAATATAAATCTTGAACCTCGACTCCGGAGTTGGCTCAAATTTCAGCAACTCCTCAGGAGTCAATATTTCATGAGGGAAAATCGTCAAAATCTGCATCGCTCCTTCAGCGCATCTTCCGGTTCCTGTTACTCCAAAAATCATAGGTGACAAGGAAGGTAAAAATCCTTCTTTTGATATGATTTCTCCAATATTTCTTATATTCTGGCAGGCGTCTGCTAGATTTCTATACATATATTCCCAATTGTTCCTATAAATAATATTTTTTTTTGTTTTTTATTTTTTCTATATTTATTATAAAATTAATAAGAAAATCCTTGCAAAATAAAAGGAGTCGAGATATTTCTCATCAGCAAAAATTTCCCAAGACCTTGAATAAAATCAATAACCCCTGCATTTCCGGCAAAAACCCCAAAAGCTACAAGACGATTGTGAGGTGGGTTGACGTCTTTGATTAATTCATAGTCAAAAAGCCTGATTCGCTTCTCTAACAATGCATCTAGCAATGGCATATTGTAGGGCTGGCCTTTATATGTGTGTGAAAAGAATAGGTATGACCTGTTAGGCAGTAGCTCTGCAATGGGAACTTCTTTGATCCCAATAATCAACTGAGCTTCAGAAAGGTCTTCTGTTATTTCTGCTCCAGCTTTTAAAAATTCGATGTCAGAAAAACATCGGGTTGGAGATGGCTGAACTAAAACACGAATTCCTTCATTTATCAAGACTGTGACATCTTTAGGTGTAATAGCTACACGCCTCTCCCAGTACGTTTTTGTTTCACGTCTAAGGCCTATTGTTCCTGGTGTACCTTCCATTTATGTTAAACCGTTAATTCATGTGGTGATTACAATGAAAATATTATTCTTTAAGAGCATTGATATTAAAATCATTTTTTGTAAATTTTAATAGAAAAAACAGAATTTCCGCCGTATTGATAAGCATTTTGATGTACAAGTAAATTAAATAAAAAAAATCATATAATAAATAAATACCTCCTAAATTATAATTTTTTTAATATAAAAGTCTTTGTTTTATATATTAATAATAACTAATTAGCCAAAAATATAAGTCAAAAACATAATCATGGAGCATGAAAAAGGTAAATATAATAAAAAATGAATAAATACATCCTTTTAGCTCTTCCACTTGCCAAAGCTTCAGTAGTATTCTCAGCCCCAGCACCCTATAATGAAAACATTCGTGGGACTTACGAAAATAAAATCCGCCAAAACGCAAACCCAGAAAAAGTCTTCGAAACTTTCGCATCAATTAAAGAAAGAAAAAATTACTATATGTCGGTTGCAGATTTCTTTAAAGCCATAACTCCTTACAACTATTCTTCATGCGTGAATCAGAATTTTTTCGATTCTCATGAGAGTTTAGTGTTTAAAATCGCTGATGCCAATGGAGATGGGAAATTAAGCTTTTCAGAATATTTCTTTTTTATAGTTTTGTTGAGCACAGGGGCTAAATGGTTTAAAGAAATGTTTAAGTCATATGGAGGAACTGTAACCAGAGAGCAATTTATTGAAATAATGAAAGAAGCAAAAAAGAGATCTCCACAAGGGAAACATATGGTCAATACTAAAGGCCATCTGGATCCGAGGAGCTCAAATGTGACGGACGAGCAGTTTAGAGAGTCCTGCTTAACTTTATCAGAACTCTTCTTCAAAAATGATAAAATTAAAAAAAACTATTAAACTTTAAGCTAAAAAAATCCTTATTAATAGCATGCATTATTTAGCATAAAATAGAATACTCTTTAAATAAATCTAATTTTTTATTAAATCAAGCAGTATATTTCTATAAAATTATTTTTGAATCAAAATTATTTTTACAACCCATGATAAAAATCTGATTTCTTGGAGAGAATTTATGAATCTAAAAAATCTCATAATGGAAGAACTCCTTTATTATGAATTCCATGCTTTTGAAGTTGACGAAGATATGAGCATTTCTTCAGAAGATTTCGCAAAAAGTATCATTTCTTATATGCCTGTCTCCAAAGCTGCTGAATATTTAAGAAGACTAGAGACCTTAAAACTAAAAGGAAGGGTTAAATATTCCGAATACATGGCATTTATGATTATTCTTCAACAAAGCAAAAGACTGGAAAACGCTTTGTTATTTAAACGAACTGAACATGGTAGAGCATTAAGCAGAAAAGACATTAAAAAAGTCTTAGCCAAGCTATGCAAAGACTCAAAATTCTGCAGAAATAATGGACTTAGTATTAGTGATATTCAGATAAAGGTGTTTGTGGAGCTACTGGATCTAGATGATAGTGGGTTTTTAGAGCCTGAAGAATTTTTTAATGTACTGGTAAGCCGAGATTCGTTTGGAACAGCTCAAGCTTCAAAGCCAGATATTGATCTTATGGCTGAAAAGTCAAAAGAAGCGGTAAACTTTGTTTTGAAATATTTCGGATTTAAACCATATTTCGCAGAAAAAAGTTCGCAAGAAAAAATTACTAATAAGCTTAATACACTTGAGCACTAAACTAATTATTCTTTATAGGAAGACTATAAGCTTATTGGCTGATGATGGTATTTTAGCTATTATATATAAAAAGGATATAGATAGAAAAATAAAAGCCTTTTAATAATAATAATTTATATGAATATCTTTACAACTCAAATATATTTTTTCCTTTCAGCTCTGCAATCTCATTTTTCCTTTCCTGAGCTAACTGCTGTGTAATCTCTTCAATTTCTCGAAGCATTTGCTTATCCATTTCTCTTAAAATCTCCTTAATTGTATCTATATATTTTTTACCATTATCTCCCATAGCTTTAATTTCATTCATTTGCTCTTTATATTTTTCTTTAATTTCTTGAATTTTCACAATTTTTTTCTCTAACTCTCTGTAAATTTTATTTTTTAAAATAATTAACATCCTCTACAGCCCTATAGCAATATATTGTACACAAGATATTTTTGCTATATAATATTTTTTTTTTTTTAAAAAAGAAGTAAATATTTTTCGATTATTTTTTCAATTTCTTCTTGATATTTCTCCATCTGATTTTCCATGTCTGGCTTTTTCCCATTTTTATAGCTATTTTTCCTTTGGATTGGCTGTGAGCTGTTAGACCTTTTCCTTGCTTCTAGTCTTTCTTTAAGCTCTTTTCCTTCTTGGACTCGTATGTTATCTCTAACTTTATTACTTGTAATATTAGTTTCTTTATTATGAGTGGTTATTACTTCCTCAGCTCCTCTAACAATGACTGGCTGTGTCGGTGCTATTTCTTCATATGGGATGACTGGCTTTATTTTTAATTTCAGTTTTTCTGGAGGTTTTCTAATAGAAATTGGGGCTGATTCTGATAATTTTGATGATCGGTGAGGTTGATCATTTAGAAGCTTTAGAACATCCCTGCGAGTTAGTAATTTTTGAAGCCGCTCTTGATAATGAAGGTACTTAAGGTCTGGAATAGATTCATAATATTCAATAGCTGCCTATTTCGATTTTACTGAATAAAGCTCCATTAATCTTGATACTTGAGGAATTGAACATTGAATGCTTAAGGCCATTTCTTGGTTAAGGACATCTTCAGCAAAATTTTGGGGTAAAACAAGCCTATATGGGGCTTCTGTGTGTTTTGGACTTACTTTTTGGGATTTACTTTTCTGAAACATTTAATAGATTAGCAATTTATTTTCATATTTATAAGGAAAATTTAGATAAAAAGGCGTTATATTATTGAACCATCTGATTTCGTGGGTCCCATAACAAACGATTGAACTCTAATACAACTTCTCCAGTCACCGCATCTCCTTCAGGGAAATTTATCTTAAATTTCCCACTTTTTCCAAAAGAGCTTACAATTACCCCAATTTTTCCATTAACTTTTACCTGAAGTCCTACAAATTTTGATATATCAGTTTCTTTATTAAACATTCCAACACCAATTGCAGTATAAGGGTCTTGAATTCTATCAACTTGGCCTACTTTTTTCTTTGGTTTAGAAACTTTGATAAAATCACAAGAAATTTCAGGATCCAAAACTTCTGTGATCCCAGAAAATGCGATTCTACAAGCTTTTGAATTTACGTCAATATCAAGTTTTGCACCATTTTTTATTTTTTTTAAAAAATAATTATTATTTTAAAAAAAAATAAAAAAAAATATTTTTGCACCAATAACTAAGCTGTCAGCAAGAGTACAAATAGGACTCTCCAGCGTTAATAAAGCCCAATACTTTTTATTAGACTTAGTAACTTCATCTTCATAATGATAAAGCATATCTGGGCTAAACCTTTCTAAATCCTCCTCATTTGGGCTATTTTTTAAATTCGGGCTTGAAAAAAATACGCAGCTTCCCATGACTGTTTCATTCCCACACGTGATATGGAATTTCGCTTTAGATTTTATCGGGAATTTATAATGCGGGATTATTTGTACGCGGATAATTGATTTCTGTATAACTCTCAAGGTATTAGGGGTATAATATTTATCAATATATTGCCTTTTAAAGACAGCTAAAGGATTTTTTACTATATAATTTATATAAAAAATATAGAGGCAACCCCTCTTTCTAGCAATTTAGAATCAAACCCTGTCACGCAAACTCCAACTCTATCCCCTTTTTTCGCCTCATTTACAGGCTGATGAAAACACTCCATTGATTTTATTTTTTTTTGAATCCCCAAAGGAATAATTTCCAAAGTGTCCCCTACCCTCATATTTCCATGCAAAATAGTCCCAGTCATCACAGTTCCTTGTCCTTTTATTGGAAAACAATGATCAATTTCATAATAAAGTGGCTCATTATTTATTCTACTCGGCAGCTCATCAATAGACCCTGAAATAGCTTCAATAAGCTCTCTTATACCTATAGGATCTCCTTCTCTAGGTGCAGCAGCTACTTTTAAAATTCCGAATTTATTATTGAATTTTGTCATAGAAAGCATTGCATTAATTCTTTTTTCCACATTATTTAGCTTGTCCTGGTCTACAAGGTCAACTTTATTTAAAGCGACAATAAGGCTGCTTTTTAATAGAAGTTCTCCTATAACGATGCACTCAGCAGTTTGGGTTTGGATACCTTTGGTGGCGTCTATTACTAATAGCATTTTGTCGATAATAGAAGCTCCAGCTATAATGGTCCGGATTAAGCTGGCGTGGCCTGGACAGTCTACAAGGGTGATTTGGAGGTCTGTGTAGTCTCTGCTTAGGTGACTTGGCATTTCTATTCTAAATGCAGAAAATCCTAAGTCTAAGGTAATTCCACGTTCTTGAGATTGAGGGGATTTGTCGAGGGCGGCTGTAGATAAAATGGTGCTTAGAGCACGGACTAAGCTTGTTTTGCCTGAATCTATGTGTCCTAAGACACCTAAGTTGTAGTTAAATGTTCTTTGAACGTCCATTAGGAATTATTTGTAATGGATATTCAAATAAGATCGAGAAAATCAATTATTCTTACTGAATAATAATAAGGAGTTATTTATACTTATAAGGCCCTATTTTATATTTAAATTAATATAATTATTCATTATATATTATTATATCAAGAAAAGAAAACATACAGGATTCTCTGTTGACACAGCTTCAAGATCCTCTCTAATTCCAGACTATAATAGCCTACGCGACCCCAATTTGGTTGGATTTTTCGCTAGTAAATACAAGCGTAAATTGTTATTTGACCAAAAACTTGTAAACTTAATATAGATAACCCGAAGAGGATTTATTAACGACAGGATCGCTTTTCGGCCCATTTTTGACGAATCTTTACGTAAATGTAACACACAAAAAAAACTTCGCTCACAAACTCCTGATGTTAAGAAAAAATCACCAAGGCTAAAAAAGGTAAGTCCATCTAGAAGTAAAAGTAAAAGCAAGCTGCCTGAGCTTAAAAGAATATCAAGTACTGAGCTTAAAGAAGTTATAAACAGATTTAGAACGAGCACTACTAATACAGTTAAGACGAGCCAAGGCGAAAACTCGTTTATAGAAAAGGATGTCAGTTAGATTATTTTGTGAATTTTTAATATTTAATTGGAATTATAAGAAATTATATTTAGCTGTTTGTTAGAGAGGTTTTTATTATATAAAATTAGAACTTGCGTAGAAAGAACTTTATTTATAAATTAAAATATGATGGAAAGTCTTAATCGAGCGAATTCCCTCTTTGTTCAAGATCAATTTAGTTCAGCTATTCCGCTATACCAAGAAGCCCTTGCTGATGCTAGTTGCTCATTAGAAGCACAAATAGGCTTATCTTCCTCTTATCTGAAGCTTGGAGAACTACACAATGCAGAAATCTCAGCAACCCGAGCAATCGAGATCGATCCATCATCTTCTTTAGCTCATTTTAGGAAAGGTCAGGCTTTATTTTACCAAATGAAATTCCAAGAATCTTTGATTGAGTTTGAATCTTCAGGAAATCTTGGGAATAATTGGGTTGAAAAATGCAAAACTGAGCTTCATAGAAATGCTTAAAATAAAAATTTCAGAATTTTATTTTTAATAAGAGACTTTGCCAATTGTTTTTACTACTAATTCTTTTCTATAATAAAAGGAATAAATCATCTCAAAATAGTCCTATAAGTTAAATATCATTATTTATACAAAGCTTTGCATCTTTGAAATTTATTTTTTGGTGCCAAAAAGCAAAAAATAAACCTGGTCCATATTTACATAATTTTCAATATCTTTATATATTATCCAACATTTCTTAACCTAAAGCATTTTTGTCACCCACCCAATTTAAATGATCTTAATATATAAAATTTCGAATCTATATCCCTTCTCCTCTAGAATCTTAAAAATTTCTTAATTCGCCAGCCATTTAAAAATCTTTTCAATATCTTTTCATCCCAAAGAAGCCATAATTCTTAGGATAGATACTCATTGATTAGTTACATAATATTTATCATTTAAGATGGATAGAAACAACATGCAGTCTCTCTATTATTCCTGCTGGAGGCTGGCGACTGATTCCAATGCGCTTCAAGCTCTGATTGCAGAAGTTGAAACTAATCGCTCAAATACGGCAATTTCAGAACTCGAGAGAAAATTCCGCTCTTTAACTCATTTAGACGTTGGCTTTACCCCTGGAAATTACTATACACCACGATGTATAGTCTATACAGAATTGATAGAAACCCCAGAACTCTCAATGGGTCTGTTTGGCATGAGTACCGGATGTAATTTTCCCATTCATGACCATCCTTCAATGCTTGCAGCTACGTTTGTGCTTTCTGGTAGACTGCAGTATCGGAATTATGACATTTTATCAAGAGAACGAGGAGGTGTTATTAATTTATCTCTATGTATGGAAGGAGAAGCTAGAGGAGGTGAACTTTTATTTCTAACTCCGAAGCGTGGAAATCTGCATCAGATTCAAGCTCTTGAGAATTCAGTTTTTTTAGACGTATTCATACCTAGCTATAATGACATTGACAGGCCTTGCACATATTACCAAGAAATAGCGCCAAACAAAGTTGCCAGCTTTGTCCCTCAGCTGCCTTTTAAATCCTTGCCATATGTGGGAAGACCGTTATATTAGTCCTAAAAACGCTAAATGCATTTATTTTACTCCAAAAATAATTTTATTTACTGTTGACTCGTAGAAATGCTGGTAATTGAGGGTCAGCAAAGTGAATTTAAAACTCTGTTATTATGCATATTAATATATAAAATGTCAACAAATCTCATCGTTGCTAAAGCTCTCCAGTCTCAAGGAGTGAAAAAATGCTATGGGATTATGGGCTTCCCCATCATTGAGATGGCTATGACATTTCATCAAGAAGGCATTCAATGGATCGCCTTTAGAAACGAACAAGGTGCTGCCTATGCTGCAGGAATTGAAGGATATTTAACTCAAAGACCAGGAATCTGCGCAACTGTAAGCGGTCCTGGCTTTACAAATGCCCTTAGTGGTTTAGCAAATGCCCGAGACAATTCTTGGCCAATGATCCTTATTTCAGGGTCTTCTGAAGTCGCCCAGCTTGGCCGTGACGCATTTCAAGAATTCGATCAAGCTGAAGCTGCCAGAGAATTTGTAAAATGGAGCATCAGGGTCACATGCCTAGAAATGATACCAAGAGTAATTGAAAGAGCCTTCAGAATCAGTATGAGTGGACGGCCTGGGCCTGTTTATATTGATTTGCCAGCTGACATTTTAAGAGCGACTATTCCTGAAGAGCCAGCTTACTTGCCTTATTTTAACAAACTTTTAGGGCCTATGGGGAATCCTGAGTGCATAAAGGAAGCTATTTTATTGCTAAAAAATGCAAAAAATCCACTGGTTATTGTAGGAAAAGGGGTCGCATATGCTAGAGCTGAGACTAGTGTTAATGAATTGATATCAAACACAGGGCTTCCTTATTTGCCGACACCTATGGGGAAAGGAATTATCCCAGATTCCTCTGAATTTTGTGTATCCCCAGCCCGTTCTACAGTATTAGGAAACGCTGATATAATTTTATTGCTTGGGGCTAGACTTAACTGGATTCTTCATTTTGGGCTCCCTCCTCGCTTTAACCCAAATGTAAAATTCATACAAATTAATATTGACCCTCACCAGCTGAGTAATAATGTAAGAGATGCGGTATCTATTCATGCTGATTTATCATTAGCTATACCTCAGCTTATCGCAGGGCTAGGAAATTGGAAATTTGCAAGCCAAGAATGGTGGGCAAAAATTAATGCTTCTATAAAGAAAAATAATCAGCTTTCACAAGATTTTACCAATGCTCCTGAATTTAATGAAAAATATGGATTTTTATGATTTTTTTAGAAAAAAATATATATAAATTTTTAAGAAAATTGAGAAACCAATTTAATTTATTACAATTCTTTGAATAAAGTTAACGAATTTATTAGAAAAGATGCAATTTTAGTCATAGAAGGCTCAAATACAATGGATATTGCTAGAACTGTAGTCCCAAGCTATCTTCCTAGAGCTAGGCTTGATGCAGGGTCTTTTGGAACTATGGGAGTGGCAATTCCTGCATGTATCGCCGCAAAAGCTATTAATCCAGATAAAGAAATTTTTGCTATTGTAGGAGATTCGTCATTTGGGTTTAGCGCAATGGAGATAGAGACAGCGACTAGGTTTAAGCTTGATATGCTTATCGTCATTATTAACAATAATGGAATTGCATTTGGGGTTGACAGTCTGCCTGAAGATCCTAAAGAAATTAGACCAAATGCATTAAACCCAGCTACTCAATATGAAAAATTGACTGAAGCATTAGGAGGAATTGGATATAGAGCCAAAAATTTGAAAGAATTAGAAGAAGTTATGAAGAAGGCTACAGCGACTAAAGGGGTCAGAGTGGTTAATGTGTGCATTGACCCAAATGCTGGGAAAAAGCCTCAGCAGCATTTTTGGCTCTCAATGCCAGACCCAAAACTTTAAATAAGCAAACGATTAACTTAGGATTAATTTTATGTAAAAATGGCTATTTATTTTTTGCTTATTTTTAAGAGGTAAATAGAAATTTTTAAAGTACAATTAAATGATTATTTTATAAATTTTCTATTGTAAACTGTATAATTTTTTATCTAACTTGCCTAATTTAGTATATTTTTTCTATTTGTGACTTTTCTTTACAAATTAAACGTTGTATGTTAAATATTTTACTTATGTGAAGAACTAGAAAAATATTAACAATAAAATAAAATACTTTTCATAAACAAATAATTCTTAGAAAAAATCATAGGTAATATATCTTGCATATAAGGCGGACTTTGAACTTGCTAAGACTCAGTCAAATTTGTTTTTATTCAATAATATTCTGGTAGTGGACCATTATGTCTCCATTTCTATAGCCGAGATAAGCTCAGGCAAAATTTTTGCCGCATTTCTAGAATATTCTATATAAAAATTGCATAATTATAATTAAAATTCCTTTATAGCTTATTTAGCCAATTTTAAGCTAAAGCATAACTGACAGCGGGCTTATTAAAAAATAAAATGTTTTCCATAGTAATTAATACTTATTTTCAAGCTTATTTTAAATTTACCAAAATTATTGATAAATGTTGATGAAATTTTTCTAATATAAATAGCTAAACTCTATTTCGCAGCGATAATACTGGATTATAACGAAGACCATTTTTGAATAATAATTTCAATTCAATATGTTTACTAGAAGTATTTTCTGATGGCTTATTACTATTACAACTTTCATAAGAAATTTTAAAAGGTGTTGTTAAAATCATGATAACTACTTCACTTTCTAGGCACTTAAATAATCCATTTAACCAGCAGCTCAAGACTTCCACATTTATCCGCTTTCTTATCACAACAGAAACCGATTAAAATCTCAGTTTTTCTTTTTGTTTCCAAATTCTTTATACAAACTTTAAAATTCGGTCATGAATTATTCTTATAAACTTAAACTTTACCCTTTACTGAACTATTTATTCAACTAAATTAATTCAAATTATAATTCCTTCCTAATTTTATTGTCGAATTATTCATTTATAGCCATCAACAACCATTTTCGTAAAAGTTGATCATCACAAGTGTAATAATAAAATATGTGCAAGTTTAATGTTGAATGCAAAGAAGGTGAGGGAACCTGCTGCTGCCCTGAAAACGCTCCATGCAAAGGGTTTACCCCTGTACAAGGAATTGTTTGCCCTCAGCCAATGAGGCTGCCCAAAACTTCGATGCCACCAAATTGCCTGGTCCACATCCTTCAGCAACAGTCGACCATAATCAGAATGCTGGCTGAACAAAACGAAGTCACTAACAAAAAGCTGGCTTGTGTCCTTGCCAAGCTAGAATCACTAGGACCAAAAGATACTGGTCTTCCCCTTGTTGAATTACCTGAAGAATCTACATCTTCACGAAGCCTTTTGTCAACTTTATGTGGAAGTACTGCGGAGTTTCAATACTCTATTAAGTTGACAAGTGAAATCCCAAGCCCTGTTTTCAAAGAAAGAGCTTTCACACGGGATTTTTTTATTATTTTTTTAAAAATTATTAAAAAATGCATTAGGAAATTTTGCTTTTCCCTTCACACTCACAGCTCAAATTGTTGATTTGCAGGGAAATGAAGTACAACTTGCAGACCATGTACAATTCAAAATTATGCTTTTTACGTCAGAAAACCCTCCAAAGGTGTTAACAATTAATACATCTGGGGACAAAATCATGAGAGGGACGGTAGAGGTGGAAAGTTCAAGCCAAATAGTTTTCAGTAAAATCGTGATAAAAGAAGTCACGTCACATTTTCGCAATGGGTGCTTTTTCCTTGTTGTAAATCCGGTAGGAATGCCAAGTATAAAACCGCTAATTATTGATAACTTGGTGATTAAAGCAAGGAAGGTGAATCCTGAAGGAAACCCCAGGAAAAAGATAAAGACAGAGATGAACATTGAGGTTAGTTAAGTAGACATATCGATAAATAAATAATGTGTATAAATTCAATTAAAAATCCTTTAATTTTTGATTTTTTATTTTGAGTTTTGTCAGAAAATTGAGAGTTTCACATAAAAAAATGAAGTTTGGAAGATGCTCAGATTTAGATAGCAATTTTGAGGGAGTTTTAAATGAAATTTGTTGAGGAAAAAATAACTGGGGAATAAATGCTTATAAAAATGACAGATAATTATATATGAATTAAATGTCCCTATTTCACTGGATAAATTACTTATATAGTCAAGTCTTTATTAATTCATGAAAAGACTCTGTATAAAAGGAGAATGTATATATTAAAATTAGCAGGAAAATTGATTTTTAAATTAAATAAAATAAAAATATGTTAGATATTATTTAGATTCAATAAGTCTATGATTTTTCTTATATTTGAAATTAATAAACCATTTTCATAATTGAGGTATCTTATCCTACTGGCAAAATAAAGTATCGCAAGTATAATATAATACTAAATAGTGAACTTATAATAGAAAATGCATATATTTAAATAATCTTAAGATACAAAAGACAAAATCCATCTAAATGCACTAATTTCCAAATAAAATGCTACTAAATTATTGTCTAATTCCCCCGAAATGGGCCTATTTCTATTATACAAAAAATACGATAAAATCTCAGAAAATATCATTATAAACCCTTCAGTAAGGATTTTTGGACAAAAATAAATTATTTCTAGACCTCAGTGAATGCCAAGCATAAGGAAACAAACAAAAACTAGTCCAAGAATTCTTCCTATATCGTCCATCAATATACGTAAAAATTTTTTTGGCCAAAATACTTTAGGTACCGGTATATATGAATTCATTTCTAATGCATCAAGTATTGATTTTGTAATACATGCAAAACAAAGTAGAAAAGGCAAAGAAACAAAGTTCATCATGATTTCTTCCAAAATCTTCTTTGCTGCAGGTATAAGTCATTCATATGCTTCAGTACTTAAAAATCGATAAGAATGAGTAAATACCGTAAAAATGAGCCAAGCTGTATTGAGAATGAAACAGATAATAATTTTATTTTCATTATTTTTGACACTTATACCATTATTTGTGAGAAAATAAATATATGTGAAGACCATCATAAAAATTGAGAAAATAATTTTTGATAAATTAATTTCCCAGGTATTGCTGTCTATGTAATAATTCGCGAAGCTTGTGTCTAAAAATATAAGAAAATGTGAGATGAGTATTTTTTGACTTGGATCAATTGATTGCCTGATGAAGACTAATAGGAATAATATGATGGTTATTAGATTGTTAAAATTCAAAGATTCTAAGGAAAATTTCCAATTATTTTCATTTAAATTTCCTATAAATGTAGGCTGTTCGAAGGTTAAAGCAATATCCATATAAGATTTTCTAATTTCATCAAAAGCATTTTCTTCAGGAGCAAAGTAATAAAAAATTCCAATATTTATAAATATTCAAATGAATATTTCGCAGAGTCCAACCCATTGGCTATGAACGAATTTATAGCAGAGGCATAAAAGCCCATTACAGCCAAAGAAAAAGCTGTAAAAGCATATAACATACCACATTTTTATTAAATAAATAATTCAATCATTATCTAGTAAAAAATTTGTTTGAATATATTTATTGAATAAGCCTAAAATATATAATGATAGCCTATATATTAAATAGAAATATTAAACTAATGTCATTTAGAATTATTTAAAAGCATTTTACTTACAATGCTCGTATGTTGGAACGTGGCATTCTTTAATCCCTTCTTTAGCAAATATGTCTAAAGAAACAGCAAACTCATACACATTCTCTGCTTTCAATGCTTTTTTAGCTCTTCGTTTACTTTTCTTAATGATTCTTTAGCTCTTCGTTTACTTTTCCTAATAATTCCTTTTTCCTTTAAATTCGCATACTACTAAATTTTCTATTATTTTTAAGAAAATTTCTTTTTGCTTAAAAGTTTTTTCAATAATCTCAATTTTATCAGATGTAAGTCCTTGGGATTTTCTTAAATTATTGTGCAGTTTTAAAAATACTAAAGGGTTGATTTTTTTACATCTTGACTTAAATGGCTGATTTGGTAAGGCGGGTGCATTATTAATCGTAATCCAGCCTATGACGCTTTTATTTGATGGTGTCTCAAAGCTTTCTGACATTTGAGAAACATTAATTTGGTTTCATTTTTCTAAAAGATCGTCGCTGCTCTTTTATATTCAAATTATCAAAACTAGCATTTTTGCTAAAACTATAAGAATTTCTTTGTTTGGGAGCTCCATTTTTTTGAAAGGGATTTATTGGAATAACTGGAAAATTTTTAGAAGGGATTGAAAATCCAAGGGGAGATAATTTTATTTCAGTAAATGTACAATTTTCGTCTAAAATACTTATAGAGCATGCTGTAATGTCAACTGATTTTTTTCTTTCTGGCAATTTTAATGAGTTTCTTGGTTTAGCATCAATTTTGATTGAGGCTGTAGTTTTTATGCTATTTACACTTTTTGAGTATTTCAATTCTTTTGAGATGGCTCACTTTTGAAAAGCATCATATAAACGTTTCTATTTATTGATTTTATATTATTAATGTATAAAACAGCGTGATCAATCGGTCTGAAATTATGAACTAGAGACATTAAGGAAGAGAGCGAGGTGTCATGTGTGTGAATTCTTAGGTTTTAAGGTGGGACATAATAGCTGATCAACAAAGTTAAATCATGGGGGAGTATTTTTCATCATGGGTAAATGGGAGACAAGTTGAAAAGGGATCTTTCAGCTGCACCAAGGGATACTTCTTTATCAGCCGCAATGTTTGAATTCGAGACTATATATTAAAATTAAATAAAATAAATTATTTTAAATATTATTAAGATTCAATAAATCCATGATTTTTCTTATATTTAAAATTAATAAACCATTTTTATAATTGAGAAATCATATCCTGCTAGTAAAATAAAGTATCCAAGCATAATAATACAAACTAGTAAGCTTATAATAAAAAATGGATATATTTAATTAATTCTAAGCGGTGAAAGATAAAATCCATCTAAATGCACAAATATCCAAATAAATTGCTGCTATATTACTGTATAATTTATTCGGATTGTCAACATCTCCATCATATCAAAAATACGATAAAATTCAAGAAAATATCATAATAAACCCTTCAGTAAGAATCAATGGGCTAAAATAAATTTTTTCTAGACCCCAGTGAATGCTAAACATAATGAGACTGATAAAAATTAGTCAAAAAATGTTTCACAAATCGTCCATCAATATATTTGAAAGTTCTCTTCGTCAAAATACTCTAGATTCTGATATATATAAATTGATTTCTAATTCATCAAGTATTGATTGTGTAATTCACATCAAACACAGTACAAAAATTAAAGAAAAAAAGTTCACCAAGACTTCTTCAAACATCTTCATTGTTGCAGGCATAAACCATTCATATGTTTCAATACTCAAAAAATGATTAGAACGAGTAAATATCGTAATACAGAGCCAAGCTGTATTGAAAATGAAGCCTAAAATAATTTGATTTTCATTTTTTTCGACACTTGCATCATATTTTCTGAGAAAATAATTAAATGTGAAGATCATCATAAAAATTGAAAAAATAATTTTTGATAAATTAATTTCCCAGGTATTGCTACCTATGTAATAATTCGCGAAGCTTGTATCTAAAAATATAAGAAAGTGCGAGAAGAGTATTTTTTGACTTGGATTAGTTGATTGCCAGATAAAGACTCAGAGGAGCAATATGATAGGTATTAGATTATTCAAATTCAAAGATTCTAAGGACAATTTTCAATTATTTTCAGCCAAATCGCCTATAAATGTAGGCTGTTCGGAGGTTAAAGCAATATCCATATGCGAAATTCCAATTTCATCAATAGTTTTTTCTGCAGGAGCAAGGTAATAAAAAATTCCAGTATTTATAAATATTCAAATGAATATTTCGCAGAGTCCAGCCCACTGATTGTATACTAATTTATAGCAGAGGCATAAAAACCAGTTACAGCCAAAGAAGAAGCTGTAAAAGAATATAAAATGCATCATTTTTATGGTCCAAAAATTATGCTAAAAATATATAATCTATTGAAAAGGCTTAAAAAATATAATGATTATCTATTTATTAAACTGGTGTCTGTTTAGAATTATTAATTGCAATCTACTTACAATACTCATATGCTGGAACGTGGTATTCTTTAATCCCTTCTTTAGCAAATTTATCTAAAGAGACAGCAAACTCATACACATTAGCTGCTTTCAATGCTTTTTTGGTTCTTCGTTTAGTTTTCTTAATAATTCCTTTTTCCTTTAAATTCGCATCTACTACTAAATTTTCTATTTTTTTTAAGAAAATTTCTTTTTGCTTGAAAGTCTTTTCAATGATCTCAATTTTATCAGATGTAAGTCCTTGGGATTTTCTTAAATTATTGTGAGGCTTTAAAAATACTAAAGGGTTGATTTTTTTACATTTTGACTTAAATGGCTGATTTGGTATGGCGGGTGCATTATTAATTGTAATCCAGCCTTTAACGCTTTTATTTAATGGTTTCTCAAAGCTTTCTGACATTTGGGAAACATTAATTTGGTTTCATTTTTCTGACAAAGATCTTCTCTGCTCTTTTATATTCAAATTATCAAAACTAGCATTTTTGCTAAAACTATAAGAATTTCTTTGTTTGGGAGCTCCATTTTTTTGAAAGGGATTTATTGGAATAACTGGAAAATTTTTAGAAGGGATTGAAAATCCAAGGGGAGATAATTTTATTTCAGTAAATGTACAATTTTCGTCTAAAATACTTATAGAGCATGCTGTAATGTCGACTGATTTTTTTCTTTCTGGCAATTTTAATGAGTTTCTTGGTTTAGCATCAATTTTGATTGAGGTTGTAGTTTTCATGCTATTTACACTTTTTGAGTATTTCAATTCTTTTGAGATTGGCTCACTTTTGAAAAGCATCATATAAATGTTTCTATTTATTGATTTTATAATGTTTTTTTTAAAATTTTTTTTTTGATATCAGAATTTTGTTTAATAATTCAGTTCATGCAGGAATAGTTTAATTAACGTTTCCTCGAGTGTCTAATTTTTGAAATACATGATGTGTATATCATGAATCAATAAGTCTGTAGCAAGCTGAGATAATTAAAAAGACTTGAAGTAATAAAATATATTGGCAGCAAAAATACAATTGAGGTGAAAATTAGCAACAAAGATTTTAAAACAAAAAGTAGCCAAAAGAGTTTTATTTTAAATATCTTTATATTGAATTAGCTAAGCTTAAAATTATAAATATGCATGATTTTCAATAAATTAAGTTTGATTTAATGAAAATAGTATGTTATCATTATAGATATTTAGTCGGAGATTCATTGGAAGTCAAAGCAATTATATGAAGTTTTTGATTTATAATTTTTTTATTCTTAAGCTAGTTAAAAATATAAGCTAGATTACAAGAAGACTCTTAGTGCATGCTGTGAGTCTGGATAAACACTAGGGAATTGAAAATATTCTTATGTATTTTGAGTAATGGATAAAAAATTAGCAAATAAAAGTTTATCTATATCTTGAATTGCTCTGATTTTATAGATTGCAAGAATTACTCATAGTTTAATCTTATCCGCAATTTTGCACTAATTCTTTTATACTTTAATTGCAATTAATACACAATTTCAGCTTTATATCTAACAATTAAACTTCACGTGTACAATTATCAAATTTTAATTTTAAAAATGTAACAGAAATAATTCTTTTAAGAATGCAATTATCACCAAAATCTTAAATAAATATTTCATTTAAATCAATTTTTAAAAAACACCCGCAATTATAAACCAATTTTTATTAAATTTCAAAATCCACTAAATTTTCCAATTTTTATAATAAATAAATCCATGAATGGTAACTCCAACGCTGCAATTTTGCCAGAAACCTTTGTTGAAGCTATAGATTCAGGAATTAAAAATAGCAGTGAAGAAAATCAATTATTCCGAACAAATCGAAGCGAATTCAGCTCTTTAAGCGATATCAATGAAGAATTAAAATTAGAAATAACTTATTTTTATAAGCATACACTGATAGCATTAGCAATTCATTTTATTCATGCACTTTTTGGGCCTATTTCAATACCCTTGCTATGATGACTTTTTGGGAAAAATTTGTGCACAAATATGGGTTTCAACTGGCACCCATTTTATAAAGGAGAATTTATGGCTTGGAGCTGAATATTTTACACTATAAATTTCCTTATATTTAATTCTTCCCAATTTATGATCCTCCTTAGCTTGATTTTAGCTACAAAAACAATCATTGTAATAAAAACAATCCTGGTCTCTATTAAATATGGCTTTTATACTAAAGAATTTTGGCAGATGATGAATGATGAAGAACTTGAGCTTGAAGTCTTAAGAAGCCAATTAATCCTAGTTGGCTGACGAAAAATTCCATCTGATATTATACTGCATGAAATTTTGAAAAGTTTTGGAAGATGCAGTCGTTCTCCTGATGAATTGTGTATTGTTTTTGAAACTGAAATATCAAAAGAATTCAAAGATCTGATAAATAAAAGTAAGAGTGGATATAATATAGAAATTCGTCATGATATAAAGTATCTTTCACATGCTGATAATAAGCCATGCATCCCTACTATGGTCTTTGCCCAAATTCTAATTGATTTTTCAGTACCTAAAAGCATTTCAAGGGCAGACAATTGGCTTCCAGAATTAATTGGGCTTTTTTATGGACTCAGCCCAATATTATCAATTTTTATTCAATTTGGTGCTAAAAAACTCGAGTTTGGTATTGCTGAAATTTTTTATGTGTTTTATTCTTTATATTTAGCATATCATGTCGCAAAAGTTTTCATAAAATATATAATTACTGGGATCGTTGATATGAGAAGAAAAAAGTTTCTTATGAGTCAAATCAGTGCTTTAATTAGCAAAAGAGAAACTTATTGCAAAATTTTGAAAGAATATAAAATTCCTAGGCTAGATTTCAATGATATTAGGACTATTGATTCTTGGTATACTATGAGAACAGCGTTTTTGGATTTTGGGAAAAGATATACTTATAGGATCTTTATTTATGCTTCCTTGATTTTTCCTTTATGCACTTTAATTATTTCTTTTTTAATTATTCAGTTTTTTGGAATGATACAAATTATAAGCATTCCTGCAATGATTGGGGTAATTTTTCTTGCTTTTACAAGTCTGAGTTTAATATTTTGGATGATTTTAATTGGCTCTCAAATAAATGATACAATAAATATTCATAGAGACTTTATTGTAGAAATGTGTAGTAATATACTGCATTTAAGAAACACTGAAAATGGACTTGATAATAAAGTTTATCAAGCTTTGAATTTAGTTGATAGGAAGCTAGAGCAAGATGAAAAGGTTAGGCCAGTAAAAATTATGGGGCTAACAGCTGACTCTAAATTTTTATCAAAAATATTTGCCCTGCTGACAAGTGGAGTTTTATCATTATTCCAAGTTTACTTGAAAAAAAATTAAACGTGATATATATAATAATAAAATCGAAAATTTTAAAAATAAAATTAGATCATTAAGCCATTCATTTATGCTATGTCCCCTAAATAAAAATAATAAAATTGATATTTTTATATTTAATTTATGTTCTTTCTCAGGAGTTTTTTATTGAGATTGGCCGTAGCAGTAGCTCGATGAAACTTAATTATTGTTTACTGAAACAAATCTTTATTAGATATTTTTTGTACAGCCATCAGTTATAAACTACATTTAAGTGCTTTAAAGATTTATTGACTATATATTTTTGCTATATACTAGTTATTTCAGATATAGAGATAGCTAAAAAGCTATAATTGTTTTTTAATCATTGTATTTTCCTTCTTCTTTTAATATTAACAGCAAAATTCTGTTCTATTTTGATAAAATTATATATTAAAAATGGGCATAAACTGCTGCAAGCAATCTACTGACACTGTAAGTGACCCAGTTCAACCTCCTAGCATCCCTCAAGAATCTAAAACTAAAGCAGTGCTTGATAAAAAGTCAACAAAAAAGCACACAATAAAACTTGATCTAACGCAAAATAATTTGTATAGAAAAAGAAAGACCCAAACACCACAAACCGGGCATTCACCATCTTCAAGTGAAATATTCACATTCAGGACAATAGAAGCTCAGAAGCATTGCTCCATTCCAATAATATTTAAAATAAATTATAATGGATTATATATTAGAATGAGCATATCCATTAACTTGAATTAACATTGTGTTAATTTAATTATTTTAATTTCTTCGACCCCTAAATGCTAATAGACTTGATTGTTTTATTAATTTTCTTTTGTTCATTTTTAAAAATTCCTTATATTGAATTTTTACTACTCTTCTATATATCTAGCATTTAGATGTCCTTATCAGTGTCTATGCATGGCATATCAAACTGCACTTGAATTAACTGAAATTTATAAAAATTAGATAAATGGAAGTCAATTTTTGTTGGGCGAGCTCTATACAATTTATATTAAAATTGAGTTTAAGATATAATGCCTAGATTTTTAAATTATGAAAAAATAAGTTTTTAATTCAGAAAAACATAAAAAAAATCGAGAAAAATCATGAAAAAGATCAACTATTGCGTTAATCAGTTTGTGCATATTTTTATATATAAAGAAGATAATGATGCTCAAAAATAATAATTTTAAAATAAATGGAAAATATCTGCGCGACATGTGGAAAAGAAAATGTTCCTAATAGGTGTTCTTTATGCCATAAGTTTTATTACTGCGATCAAAAATGCCAAGGAAAACATTGAAAAACTCATAAATGGACCTGTGAAGGATATCACCCACCTAGGTCAGCTGATGATTTCCAATTTTTATATATTTCCTAATAAATACGAAAATTTCATAAAAATGTAAAAATATCCACATTTTTTATAAAAAAGTATAGAAATACTTGGAATTGGCAATTTTTCTGAGATTATTCATGTAGAAGAAAGAAGAACAGGAAAGCAATATGCACTAAAAAAAGTAAACAAACAAAAAGTCACACAATTGAGAAAGCAAGCTGACATTTTGATGGAAAAGCACGTCATGAATAGATTAAAAGACTTAGAAGGGGTCGTTCATCTATATGAATGCTTTAAAGACTCAATGGATCTTTATTTTCTATACGAAAGAGTTGAAGGTGGAGAAATATGGGATAGATGCAAAATTTTTGGGATGCCAGAAATCCAAATGGGTTCCTTCACACGACGACTATTTCATAACGACTATTTTTTTTTGGCCTATTTTTTTTTTTGGCCTATTTTTTTTTCACCTATTTTTTTTTGGCCTATTTTTTTTTGGCCTATTTTTTTTTGGCCTATTTTTTTTTCACCTTTTTTTTTTGGCCTATTTTGTTTTGGCCTATTTTTTTTTTGCCTATTTTTTTTTTGGCCTATTTTTTTTTGGCCTATTTTTTTTTGGCCTATTTTTTTTGCCTATTTTTTTTTGGCCTATTTTTTTTAGCCTATTTTTTTACCTAGCCTCATTCATGAAGCTGCTGAGAGGACTAGAATCTTATTGAAAAACAGAGACTTTTTCTTACGCGATTAATATTGAGTAAATTAAGTGAAAAACTCCTAATTCAATCTAAAATTTTCGAAATTTTAAAACAATTAATTAGTATTCATGGAGTACGAAATCTGTTAAGGGTGATTTTTTGTTGGTTAAATCGTTTAAAACACATTAAAATTATATTAAAGCAATTAGTATGGAATTATGCCCAAATATTAGTAAAAAATAGTTAAAAAATTGTCAAAAAATCGGCCAAAAAAATAGGCCAAAAAAAAATAGGCCAAAAAAAAAAATAGGCCAAAAAAAAATAGGCCAAAAAAACATAGTCGTTATGAAATAGTCGTCGTGTGAAGATACGATCCAAATGAGGTATTTTTTAAGACAATTTTTAGAAACTATGAAAGAAGTCCATGCAAGGGGGATCGTCCACAGAGATATCAAGACAGAAAATGTTTTAATCACAAATGAAGGAAAAATCAAAATAATTGATTTCGGCACCGCAAAAGATTTAGAACATCCAGAAGTCGAGGTCCCTGGAAATTCAATGCGAAAAAAAAAATTCGAAAATTTCGTCGGAACACCTCATTTTATGGCTCCAGAATGCATAAAAAATAAAGATTCCTCCTTTAAAAGTGATATGTGGAGCATAGGCTGTATGGCTTATTATATGTTAGCTGGCTATCCCCCATTCCAAGGCGGTTCTGATTACTTAATCTTCACCAAAGCTCTAGAGCTAAACTATTCATTTCCATCCCATTTTTCTGAAAATGCTATAAGCTTTATTCAAGGAATCATAAAATTAATCCCAGAAGAGCGCCCTTCAGTCGATGATCTTCTTAAGCATCAATTTATTTCTGAAGCTCCTACAAAATACCCTATAGCAAGCCTCAGAGATATTGCTTTAGAAACAATCAAAGACGATTTAACTAAAAAATTCACCCACGATAATTATGAAGAAGGATTAAAAAATACGTTTGACAAATTTTGGGAAAAATTAGGAAGAGTTGATACTAGACTGCAAGAGCTTTATGATAGGCTTAACTCCCCCTCCGTGAATGAGCAAAAAAATTTTGTTTCACTCACGGAGGGGGTTAATTTTTTTTTTTTTTAAAATTATATATATAATTTTATATAGAAAAAATTTTTTCGAAATTTAAAAAAAATCCTAATTTGCAAAAATTGGGAAGCAAATATTAATATAATTTATAAAATTTATGTTTTAAAACTCAATTTGTTAAAAATTAAACAGAATTAGCTCGAGATTTCATTATACTAATTATCACTTATATATAGCTCATGCACCTTAATAGATCTCTATACCCCAGCAGAATACCGACCAGAAAAAAATATGGTACAGGGCACCTGCCTTATACAGTATAAGTCTGATTAGGCACCTTAAGACCATAAATGGAGATTTTTCATTTTCATTTTTACTTTTCAAAAAAAGCTGACAAGTACAAATTAATTTTGAAAATTAAAATGGATGGCTAATAATGATCTAAAATATTTCAGGGGCTATATCGATTTTTTTTTTCTATTAAAAAAATTTTTGTTCGTTCACAGAGGGTGGGTTTTTGGGCAAATAGCGATTTTCCAATGGTTTTGCTCACCCACGGAGGGGGGTAAGCACTTTTTCTCAAGAGAAGGGGCTCCTCCTAACCAAGGTGTCTAAACTATTAAAAAATTGATTTTCATATTAAAAATAATTTCTTTACTAAATAACACCTATAAGAATTATAAATGGACTTTTCTGAAAGTGCTAAAGGTGTGAGTGCAATAGTCCAGCGCTCCCAAAGTTCTCCTGCCAACACCATTTATTCTCGGATTACTGATATTCAATTTGATTTTAAACGGAAAAATAAAGTAGGCGTCCATATTGAGATTACTCAATCTTCATCAATTGATTTTGAAGTCGATTATTCACTATTAGATTTCAATGATACATTTAAAAGATGTTTATTAGAAGCCCATCTAAATACCCTTGACGTGCAATCAATTGATAATTTATTTCAAGTAAAACTTGTAGACCATTTACTAGTCCAGACTATAAAAAAAAGTATGCAAAAAATCAATAATATGAATTCTCAAGCTATTTATTTGAAGGTAAAAGAAGACCAAGAGAACCCTGATAAAGTGGTAAAAGACTGCATAAAAAATGCAACGGCCGTTTCCAATCAGATATTGCAGTATATAAATTCAAAACATCAGAGGATAAATGAAGTTATGAAAAAGTTTACTATGGAGGTGTATGAAAGAGGACCACTTATAGCGAGGTCGATAGAGGAGCTGACTGATAATTTGAATAGAAAATTTATTTTGACGGTAAATCAAATTATTGAGCTGCAAAGAGGCCATACGATTACAGAATCGCATTTATCAGAGCAAGTGAAGTCGCTGATTAATAATTTGTAAGGAAATAGATTGATTAATTCGACATAGATAATGAAAGTGATAAGAGAAAGCTTAGTAGAAAATTTTAAGATATATTATAGCACCTTTTATTAAATAAGTAAAAAAATTAAAGTATTTGTTCACAAATAAATATTCATTATTGGTAAAAATAAAACAGGCAATTAAAATTATTTGGAGATTATATAGGATAGCATGCATAAAGTTATAACTCTTTATTAGGTATAGCATAGATGAGTTCCTACTTTCGATTTAATGAATTGCTTTGCTTTATGAAATTTAAAGCCAAGTGAATAAAATAAGAAAAATGGACATTGATGACATATACTCAGAAGAAAATGAAAAACTTTGCTTTTAAGATATGAAAGAGAACTTTGTTTTTCTCCAAGATACTTGCAAACAAAATTCAAGTAGAAAATCATTTATCAGCAAATAGAAATAAATAAGTGCTGGAGTTAAGGGTTTTTATTTGGTAATCAAAATACATACAATAATTTAGCAGCTATAGGAATCAATTGTAAGTTGTAGTGATGCACTATTAAGATAACTCAGACTGAATATCAGGTTTATCCCAAGTAGAACTCAACATGCCGATACAGTTGCTAAATTAGCAGTCCTTTCCGTAATTTTACCTGAATTTAAAGGAAGAACTTTGAATGATACAGATATCGATGAAATTGTTCAAAAATATTATAAATATAAAGTATAGCCACAGCTATTTAAGATTATAATTTCAATTTAATTACTAAACTACCTATAATTCCACAATTTACCTTCTTATATAAGCTAATTTATCGAAAATCCCCAATCCAGGCAAATTTCTATCCTTTCTGTCTTTATGAAAGACCATATCAATAAATATTAGTGGATAAAATATGTCAAAAGCAAAAGGACGTAAAGCAGAGAAGGTAGAAGAGCCTGAACAAGCTATGTTAGGTCCAAACCTTACCGGGGAAAAGATTTTCGCAGTATGCCATCTCTTAGCGACCTTCAATGACACATTTATTCATGTTACAGATCTCTCTGGTAGAGAAACTTTAGCCAGAGTAACAGGAGGAATGATGGTTAAAGCTGACAGAGAAGAAAGTTCACCATATGCTGCAATGCTTGCTGCTGTAGAAGTTTGCAATCGCCTTAAAAAATTAGGCATAAACTCACTTCATATTAAAATCAGAGCTAGAGGTGGAACTGAAAGCAAAACACCAGGACCTGGAGCTCAAGCTGCTTTAAGAGCTTTAGCTAGAAATGGAATGCTTATTGGCAGAATCGAAGATGTTACACCTATTCCTACAGATAGCACAAGAAGAGCTGGAGGTAGAAGAGGAAGAAGATTATAAGCTAAACAAAGAATTCGCGAGATTTATGATTTTATATGAAAATTTTCTTATACAGTTAGAGGTTATCCCTATTTATATATGCCAAGTCCTTTATTATAAATAAAAAAAAATATATTTTAATATAGTTAGTATAATGTGTTTATTTTTTTTTAAATAAATATAAATTTTTTCATCATGGTTCATAATTTTCACTGGTGAAAGTGGCACTGGCATCCCATTATCCGACTGCCTCAAACTAAAGTTTTTTTCATCTTTGAAAGGAGTAACCAAATTATAAGGCGGCACAATATTTTGCTTCGTCTGCTTGATTTTATCAGCATATTCTTTTCGTTTTTCGTGGATTTCTCTCTTTTTCAGTCAGTCGTCAGAGCCTATTGTTGGCCCAAGCCCACCCAGCTCGTAATATTTTTCCGGTTTTATTGCTTTATAATCATTCAAGGTATATGGCTTAAACCCGCCTTGGATTTTTTTAGATCTGTAGTAGTCCCCTTCGTATTGGGCTTGCCTTGTTTTTGGGGTTTCTTTTAAAGCATTATTATAGTCTTCTGCGACCTTTCTCTGAGCAGCTGAGTAAGAGAAATTTCTTCTATGAGAATCGATGGTTTTCTGATGTAAGTTGTGGTAAACATCAGGAATTAGCGGAGGATTGGAAAAATCTACTGATCGTGAGAGATGGTGTTTATGCAATTTTATGCTTATTATTTATTATAAAATAGTTAATTTAATTTGGAAATATTTAAAGTATGCTATGGAATATCAAGCTTTTTATTATAAATAAAGAGAATATGGATAAAGCTTATTTAGATTGATGGGAATAATTTTGAATATAAGCTGACGTATCATTGCTTGTAGAAGAGTTCAAATAAGAGCTATTATCAAAGGTTGATATATGATTTTGAGATGGAAATTGGGGATAGTCAGCTGCAGGAGCCCTAGGAGATTGAATAGGGCCTTTAATTATATTAGATGCAGATACTTGCATAACTGTTTTATGAATTTGGTGGCTGTTTGGCATTGTTATAGCGCGGCTTGTATCGAGGTCGAGTTCTCCAAGTCTTGACATTGTGGACATATATAAAAAATTGCGAAAACGTGCCTGACTTCTTGGTGCAATTTTCCCAATCTCATGGCCACGACATATAGAGTAAGAATCTAGTCTAGATTTTGGCTAGTTATTGTTGGTGTATATCCAGGTAAGTTTCTGTAGTTGGTTTTTGAGATAATCAGCAACGTCCGTCGAGACCTAAGATCATTCTCATTCCATAGATTTGGTAAAAACTCCATAGATTAGGCCTTTTCTTATAGCTACCTAGGAAAGAACTTAGACACCTATATAACGCAAAGTTTCCCTACTTGAAATCAAGTTACTTTCCTAAGCTCAAAAAGAGGGGTCGGAAGTTAATAGAGCACTGAATCTGGCAAGACAAGGAGGAGGCACTAACAGCACATAACACTTCGGCCTCCATAGCTGGAGAAGGAGCAAGGCAATGATTGAGCTAATTTGTCAAGCATATCATCTTACCACTCAAGTGCATCGCGATGCGGATAAACCACCCATACGAGAGGATTTTTAGTGACTGCATAAAAATATAGGAAATCTGCCGCACCTATAATTAAATTAAGACATTGTGGAAGTCTTGTTTTGGAAGCGATCTTTGAAGCTGGGTGATGCCATTCTTTAATTAATTTTTTTGAGAGTTTAATTAATGTTCATATTTTTAAGGGAAAATAGATATAATCATTTTGAGCAAAAAAGATAATTTGTGATTCACTATAAGAAGACATTCGTCTCGAATTCTATATTTTTTGAGCTCTTCCTATAAAACTCAATAATTTTACAAAAAATAAAAAATAAATTTTGGTATTTTCTATCAATTACCTCAAAGTCTTTTTAACCAACCTAAAAATAAACATTTTTTTATCCTTTGCAATTCATTTTCTTTCTTTACTCTTTCAAATATGACATATAATTACAAAATGGAAGATAAAAACGAGATATCGATGCTCGGATTATGTATGAATCCTAGTTTTGAAAACTTTGATCATTCTAACTACCAAAATCATATATCCCAGCTTGATACTCTCTTTTTATCACAAAAGCGAGAAATTGAAGAAATGAATATAGAAGAGCTCAAAGTGCATCAACTGCCTCTAGCCAGGGTCAAGAAAATAATGAAAGCAGACGAAGACGTCCGAATGATAAGTGCAGAAACCCCAGCGTTATTTGCAAAAGCTTGCGAAATGTTCATATTGGAAGTCACTCATCGATCATGGATCCATACTGAAGAAGGCAAAAGGAGGACTTTACAAAGAAATGACATAGCCGCGTGCATAGCGAGAACGGATATTTTCGATTTTTTGCAGGATATGATCCCTGGAGAGAGTAAAAGTCTTTTTAAAGAAAGTTATTAATTATAAGGAGATTGGAAACATTTATAATGATGAAGCTTTAATTTTTGTATCAAAATAGAGAAATGGCTGTGGAAAATTTGGGTTGGGAAATTAAATTATAGGATTTTTTGAGGAAAATCGGAATTAATTTTTTTCTTTCGGATTTTATTCGTTATGTTACTGATTCGTTATCAGGAGTAGATTAGAAATGATTTAACTTATAAAATATGACCCAGAGTGGGCTATTTTTACTGATTTCCATTTATTTTATGGAGAAATTGATTTTTACTGAAAAATAGATTTTTCTTTCACTTTCCAAAATTTATTCTTTTCTGAGATTTTTACATTATTGCATAATTCAGCTTCAATTTTTAAGGAATACATATCACAATAATTGAATACTTCGATTTTGCAATAGAAATTTATAATTCCTTATCCCCTTCGCTTTCTAATAACATCAATATTAAATATTTTACCTACTAAAATTTATGCTAGAGAGTATTGTCTTTGGTATTTTCATTGGCTTATGAATATTTTACTATTTTTATAAATAGCTTAAAATTAATAAAAGCATGTAATCTTATAAGTTAAGTTAAGTATTATAAAAAAGACCATTAGCCTGCCTATCCGGCGTAAACCACCTATCCTAAGTATTAGCTCCTTAGCCACATCTTGAGGATGCCCCCTTAGTCCAGATAAGCAAAGACTAAGTTAGAGGCAAAACTTGCTAGCCCATCTGGCAGGGACGGGAAACCTTCAGGTGAGAACAAAATTTCCTCTTTATAAAGTCCTAAGGCATACTTCAAAAAGAGAAAGAGGCACTATTTTCAGCTTCATCAGCATAGATCCTTTCTGCTCCATAGGGAGTGTATCTCAGAGTCCATCTTTCATCAACATTAGTTTATTTCTATTTTAATCATATAAGTAATTTTATTTTATTTTTTATGAATTATTAAAATAGCTAGAGCTATAGAAGTTCAATTAAAATGATAATTTTAAAAATATCTCAGCTTAAACAAGCTCTTCGCTTATAACCCCAGCAACTATTAAATTTTTTATCTAAACCTCAAATTTATAAACTTTTAAACAATATAAATGGCTCGGCATATTCAGCTAAATCACGAAGAGCTTGAAAGAGTAACCAAACTGATGTCTGAGTTCTATGACAACCGAGACGATACCAAGCTCCAAGATCTGTTTGTGTTATTCGATTTAAATGGCAATGGAAGTATTGATTCTTCTGAATTACAGTCTGTTATGAGCCAAATCTCGGGAGAAAGAATTTCAGACCAAGAAATCCGTGACATGATCAGAGAAGCTGACACAAATCATAATGGTGTTATTGAATTCAATGAATTTATAGAAGTTATGAGACGCCATAGAGGCTAATTTAAGTTAATTTTATCGCATTTTCTAAATTGCAGATTTTATGGATTTTTATTTGTAATTTATTGTTTTTTGAAAGAAATATCTATTAAAGATAAGATAATTGATAATTATATAAAGCTTTAAAAGATTTTTTTTAGCTTCTTTATTATTTTAATTATTATAGAAACCTTTAATTTTTCAATTAGGTATAGTAATTCTTTGCTAAATGTGTTGGGCTTATCTGGATAAAATTTATAGTCTTTCTCTTATATAAAAATGACTGATAAATAAACACAAAATGAAACTTAGCCAATCTTTAAGAGTTTTAGGGCTTAGCTCATCTTCAAGCCAAAGTGAAATCAAAAAAGCCTTTTTGCTTAAAGCTAAAATATTGCATCCAGATGCAAAAAGTGGCAATGAAGAACAATTCAAAGAATTAGTCGAAGCTTATGAATTTTTGAAAAAAAATGACAAAAATTATAAAAATATAAGCAATAAGCCAACAAAAGGTTTTTCTAAAGAACAATATTATTGAAGCAACACTATGTATGAGCGGCCACAATATGAATGAAAAGAAAAGAAAAAATATAAGGAAGAGGGAAATGCTGAAGCCAAAAAAGAAGAAGTTTTAGTTGTCCCAAGCTGAATGAAGGTATTTTTTGCTTCCCTAGCAATTTTGGGAATAGCTACAACAGCTTGGACGCTTAAAAACGAAAAAGATAATAGCTATGGGCTTCAAATATCAGAGGAATATTTTAAGGAAGGCGAAGCAAAACAGAAAGATTTTATATACTATTTCCCATGGATAGCCTGGTATGACGAGTATTTGGTTCGACCAAAGAGCCATTGCTATTTCTGTAAAGATTTGCATGCAGAAAAAGCTCTTTATAGGCCATTTAAGGTAATTAAGTATATAGCTCAGGGAGGCTTTTTGCTTGCGTTATAATTAGTTAAGCTAATAATTGGAAAATAAACTCATCAGTAAGCAATAAGCATTCCCAAGCTATACATAGCAGAGTTCTAAGCAAAAAGAAAAATATTAAATTCTAATACTGCTAATTATTTAATAAAATATTATTCTAAAATCCTAATAAATATCAACATTTTAATTCCATCGAGAAAATGGATATTTCTTCGAAATTTTCTGCACAAGCCGCTTCTAACGACGATCTTGACAGCACAATTTTAAACATCAATAAAGCTGCCGTTGACGCTTTACGAAATGATGAATTTTCACTTGCTGTTTCTTTACTAAATAGAGCAAACCACCTATTGAAGCAGCTGAGTAGCAATTTTTCTGTTCTAAGACTTAAAGGAATCACATTAAATAACTTAGGATGCCTATACAAGCAGAAAAACCAATTTTCAAAGTCCTTACTCCCCCTTCGTGAGTGAACAAAAAAATTTGTTAACTCACGATGGAGTTAATTATTTTTTTTAATATAAATTTTATAGAAAATATTTTTTTTCGAAATTTAAAAAAATCCTAATTCGCAAAAATTGATCACTTATATATCAAAAATGTTCTCGATAAAAAATTTTTCTATTAAAAAAATTTTTGTTCACTCACGGAGGGTGGGTTTTTGGGCAAAAAATAGGGATTTTTCTTATGGTTTTGTTCACTCACGGAGCGGGGGGAGTTAGATTATTTATTCGAAGCCTTAGAATATGAGCGCAAACTGCCACATTATATTAATTTAGCTGGAACTTATCTTAATATTTGCTCATTATTTTCTGTTATGGGGAATCATAAACAGTCATTAGAAAATGCGGTAAATGCTATAAAAACTATTGAGCAGCATAATGATTTGTCGAATGAATGAGTTAAATCTTGAGTTGTGGCTTATCAGAATGCTGCTGATTCAGCTAGAAAATTAGGGGATTATAATGAAGCAGAATTTTATATGAAAAAAGGATATGAAATCGCTTTGAAAAAATTAGGGAAAAATCATGAAATTACTAAAAATTTTATTGTGAAAAAGCAAGAGCCAAGTGAAAGTTCATTGACTTTGGAAAGTTATATGAATTCGAGCACTGATGAAATTATTAAGGAAAAGAACTTTCAGTCTTTTTTGCCTGATTTGAGACTAAAACAAAGAAATTTGTTGCTAAATTCTCCTGGGGAGATTTTACTTGATACAACACCTTGGCAGGACGGTAGTCATGCAATTGGACCCTGGACAAATTTGACAGGAAAAACTGGCTTCCCACTCCGTGACCGAAAAAAATTTTTTTGTTTACTGATAGAGGGGATTAATTTTTTTATTAAAAATACCCATTTCGAAATAATTTTAATGCAAAAATTAATTTAATTTTTTTAAATGCAAGCTATTTAAAATCAAACAGAATTAGCTAGAGATTTCATTATAATAATTATCATTTATATATCAAAATATTTTTTCATCAAAATTTTTTTGTTCACTCACAGAGGGTGGGGTTTTTGGGCAAAAAATCGGGATTTTCCCAATGGTTTGTTCGCTCACGGAGGGAAAAGTGAGGAAAAAATAAATAATTTTGAGCAAACTAATGAAAATTCATGATTTAGCAAAAAAAAATCAAAAACATCATTATCACCGACCTCATTATTACGTAAGAACACGAGTAAAAATATTGATAGAGTTAATAAAGATAAGCCAAGACATAAAAAGCAAAACAGTGAAGTGCCATTTGAAAATCCTATATCACTCGACCAAAAAAACACACAAAAAATTCAAAATATCGGTAGAAAAAAGCCTAAATTATCGATAGAATTTTTTAAGCTACCAGCAACTCCAATTTCCCATAGCAATGGGAACTCTACCAAAAGATCAATACATTTGGACCCTATAAATCCAATAATAAATCAACCAAAATCAGTAAAACACAATTTTCCCATAAAAAACAAATTTATAAAACAGACTTCACCTATAACTAAAACGATTCATGAAAAGCTGGATTCTATAGGGAATAAACTATCAACTATCAAAAAAAGACTAAATAAATTCGAAAATGTATATAAAAACCCTTTAAAAAATGTACCAGAAGAAAACAGTGTAAAATGCAGCTCTGAAGCTAAATCTGCAGATTTATCAAGAAAAACATTAAATTGTATAGTAATTCAAACTTTTATAAGAAGGTGACTTTGCAGGAAGAAATTCTTGAAAATGAAAAATGCAGCTAGAGTAATTCAAAGGTGATTTAGACGGAGTTTCAATAAAAGGTTAAGATTATGTCTCGAGAGCCACTGGGGTTATTTCAGCCCCTACACTTCACGAGTTAGCTTCACTCTCAGGTGGTGCTAGACACTAACTCTAACTAACACCCTTTTTCCGTCTGCATCACCAAAAAATGGTGACGCCAGACAGTCTGTCGGGGAGACTCACCCGTTCAGGTCTTGATTCTTGGCCAACGATTAAGGGCTGTCTACTGTCAGCAGAGCTTGACGTTTTGCTGAATCGCCCAAAATCTCCTTCTTAGCTTACCTCAGCCCCTATAGCAGACTAAAAAATTGCCGCAAGAAGAAGGTAGGCTGCTAAGCCTCGGTCTGTCGTCTATGGGCTGAGCAAAAAGGTTTAGCACCATGAGAAAAATCGCCAATAGGATTACCTTCCTCAGGCCTGGATAAATTCACAGAATACCGATGACTAAACTCGCTTTCCAATTTAATAATTCTTTAATAAAAGAAGGAAAGAAAAATATAATTTAAAAGATTTTAGCCAACAATTTTCCCCTAAACACCAAGAAAAATCATCAGATTTATTTGCGAAAACTAAAACATTATTTGGAACTTTAACTTACATTCAAGCAAGAATTCGGGGATTTTTAGCAAGAAAAAGATATCAAAGAACGAAGGCAGCAATTATTAAAATACAAAAAAACATTAAAATGTTCAGCGTAAGGAGTCTTTATAAAATTATCTTACTCTTTAATATCAATAATATTTTTTTAAATGTAAAATCTGCAGTAATAAAAATTCAAATTTTATTTAAAAAGGAAAATGTTATCATAGATTTAGATGCTATTATGTTTATACAAGCAAATATCCGAGGACATTTGGTACGAAAAGTGCTCAAATTAAAACATTAACGAAATTTATACAATTTAAAATTGCAATGTTTCTTTATAGTTTCTATTCTATAGGCAATTTCCATCTTTTCACTAAAATTAATTATAATTTTAATTTATTGTGAACTCATATCGAAAAGTGTTCCCCAGCCGTTTTCATAAGTATATTCTTCTATCCCTCCTTCAGCGTTTACAACATAAAGCTTGAATATCAAATTTCCTTCATCTTCCCAGCCAGTTACAGATGAAGTAACTCCTTCAACTTCAAAAGCCCCTTTATACCAGCCATTTCCTCCTGAATAGCAGTACTCCACAATATTTTTACCATCACCTACATAAACTCTAATATTAGTATCACCCCATGCTATTGCTGAGACTGTCTTTCCAATAGTAAAATATCCTGTTGAAAACCATCCATATCCATCTTCGCACCATTCTTCGATTATCCCATCATGAGCATGATAAACTCTCAAATGAGTAATATCATTTGTCCAAGAAACAGCAGCTAAAGTCTCTTTTAAACAATTTTCGACTGGGATTCCAGTTGGTACGTCTGAGGTCGCATACACATTATCAGCGACAGAGGGTAATCCACTTATGGTTTCTTCTTCACCAGGCACTACTTCTTCTGATTCAGAAGTGCTTTCTTCTTCTGGCTCTGTCTCCTCTTCTGATGGCTGTTCTGTTTCTTCAGTGTCATATATTTGATTAATGTCAGCTATTGCTTCTCCGCTTATTAAAGCTTCAAATTCGTCTATAGTAATGCAATTTGTGCAAACAGTTCCAGCTTCTTCGTCAATTATTACACCAATTTCTACTGTGTCTGTACTATAAGAGTCGCTTGAAACTTCAATTTCAGCGGATTCTGAGCTTTCTTCGAGCTCAGGAGCAGTCTGGGTGATTTTTGTGCGTAAACCGAGGATAATATTAGCTAGGACTAAAAACAGAAATCCGTTTTTTAACATATATAATTGGACATTTTATTGTATCAATTTGAGAGAGTTTTTATAAATTATTATAAATAGATTTATTTTATAATTTGCTTTGCTGGTGGATATCAATTTTTTGAAAGAGATTGATTTAGCGGGAATTGTCACTTTTTGTTTGGAATGAAGATAAATAATTCTATTAATTAAAAGCTTTATACAATAGTTAGAAATTTTTTAATATAAAAAATCGTCTAATATAATAAATAAAGACAAAAGCTATTTATTAAGCATTAAAGGTTTTAGCAATTTTTTACTAATTAAAGTTTTATTAAATTTTTTCACTAAATTAAGATATCAATTATTTTGCTAATTATGAAAGATAGTAAATCAAAAAAAAAGTTTTTATTCGCTATCTATATTTTAAGAAAAACTGCAGTTATTATTAAAGAGATAATTTTTAAAATCTAAAATTATATAATTTTCAGAGATTGGTAAATTTATCAGTTTTTGATTTAACTAATAAAAGTTTAAAATTAAAAAACTTTTATAATTGTAAGGAAACTATCATTGTCTAGGTCTAAAGCTTTCTGCTGAATTTTTAATCATTTTTTCTTCATTTCCTAATTATAATTATTAAAATTTTTAATTTATTCTGAACTCATACCGGAAAGTATTCCCCAGCCATTTTCATAAGAATATTCATCTATTCCTCCATCAGCGTTTATAACATAAAGCTTGAATATCACATTCCCTCCATCTTCCCAGCCAGTTACAGATGAAGTAACTCCTTCAACTTCAAATTCACCCATATACCAGCCATTTCCACTTCCATAGCAATACTCCACAATATTTTTACCATCACCTACATAAACTCTGATATTTCCATCTCCCCATGCAATGGCTGATACTGCTTTACCATATGCAAAAAAATCAGTAGTATACCATCCATATCCATCTTGACACCATTCTTGAACAATCCCATCATGAGCTTGATAAACTCTTATGTGGGCACCTTCATCCCAAGAAATAGCTGCCAGATTTTCTCGTACACAGTTTTCGACTGGGATTCCAGTTGGTATGTCTGAGGTCTCATACACATTATCAGCGACTGAGGTTTCGCCACTTATAGTTTCTCCTTCACCAGGCTCTACTTCTTCTGATTCAGAAGTACTTGACTGCTCTTCTTCACTTGGCTGCTCTTCTTCAGCTCCTTGTTCTTCTGGTTCTGACATGCTTGGTTCCTCTTCAGTCGCTTCTTCCTCAGCTTCTTGTTCTTCTGGAATTGCTTCTTCAGGTTCTGAAGTGCTTGGCTCCTCTTCTGATGGCTGCTCTGTATCTTCAATATCATAAATTTCTGATATTACAGGAGTAGCTTCCCCACTGATTAATGCTCCAAATTCATCTATTGTTATGCAGGTAGAACAAACAGTTCCAGCTTCCTCATCAATTATTATTCCAATTTCTACTTCTTCAGTAGAAACAGGCTCACTGGTTACTTCAATTTCTGCAGATTCTGATGTCACTTCAAGTTCAGCGCCTTCTTGACTTATATGTGTGCGTAAACCCAGAATTAAATTGGCTAGGATCAAGACTAAGAATCCGTTTCTCAACATAAAATATGATATTTTATGATTTATCCTTGAAAAAATGGAAATTAAAGCCGTTTTACAATAGATTTGATGAGTAATCCGAGGTTTTTTTATAAATTTAAGAAGAATAATAATGTTGAATATAAAATTAAAAAAATGCAGAAAAATATCTAAAAGTTTTCATTAATTATGCTTTAATTGAAATTTAAAAAAATATATATAACGCAGGTAAAGAAATTTGCTAGAAAATAATCAAATGGAATTCTGCAAATATTATTTTATGAGGTATCTTAAATAAAGCTTATAATTGTTGGTATTTTTTTTCATTAAAATGCAATTAAACTTATCCTAAACCTAATCATTCAAAAATTTTTGTTTTTAATTGAGCCTGTATATTTTAGCATTATAAGAAGAATAGCTAGCCACTTAATTTAGTAGTAAAGTAGAATAGAAGAACTTATTTATAAAGATTACTTCTATTAGCAATATTTTTCTTAGGGATGCTTTTATTGAGCTCACTATAGTGGTTAATTAACTAAAAGATAGCTTTGAGTTCATTCTATAATAACACTCCATCTATCTATAGTCAAAATTTCCGATTTTTTAAAACTTTCTTATTTTTATTATTTTATTTCAATAAATTAAAATATAGATATATTTTATATCAAAGTAGTATTCAACCTCCTATTTTTAGGTTCAATTTTTGGCAAATTCTGAACTGTTCTATTTAAATCCACAACTTCAACCTGATTTCCTCCATGAGTAACCAAATGAATATTCAGCTGTGCATTTTGTTCTTTTAATTTCTCAGACTCCGCTAGCAATTCTTGATATCTATATTTCCACAATGCTTCCCTATCTTTTCCTCCAATTTTATTCATATCATCTCTCAGCATAACAACCTCATTAAACCCATCCAATTTCAATTGCCTTTCCCTTTTAATTTTTTCCTCTAAATTTTTTATTTTTGCTGAATATTCATGAGATTTTTCTATATATTCCAACGCACCTTCAGCTTCATTATTAAAATTTTTTTTTAATAGTTTGTCTTGGATATAAAGTCCACGTAAAAAAGTTTGGTTTTCGGCCCTATCTGCTGAATTTTGTTTTTTCACTTTGGCTTCTAGCTCAATTATTCTTCTTCCTTTTGTGGTTTTAAATTGCTGTAGCCTTAGCCTTTGATTATTCATGTCTTCTATTTGTCCTTGCAAATAGTCTGCTAGCTTTTCTCCTGTGGCAAGATTTTGTTGGGTTAAAGAAAGCTCTTGTTTTAATAAAGCTTCTCGTCGTTCAGATTCATTTATTTGCTCCCATAAGTATTGATTAGATTGGAGGGTTTCTTTAAGCTCATTTATTTGTTTTTCTTTGCGTTCTTTTATTCTGTGTAAAATCCATTTATTCATGATACGGATTTTTATGATATTGTCTTGCAGACGGCTTAGTTCAGTTTTTTCTTTATTTTCTGTATCATTTTTATCATCGAGAATAAATTTTTGTAGCTCGAATGCTTTGTATTCAGAGGTTCCAGATTTGACTTCTAATAGGGCTTCTTCTTTTTTATCAGTCAAATTTGTTTTTAAGGTTTGAGCCATTTCGTTATAATAGTCTCTATGGTTTTCTTTTAAATCATGAATTTTTCTATTCTTTCTTGGCCGGAAATCCATAAACTTTTAATGATTTATTTTTTGTTTATATAAAATTAGGGTATACTATCAAATACTATTATGCATATTTTTTCATACTAAATATACCTTTTTCTTGTAATTCTTCTTTAAAATCTTTATATATAAATTCATCAGTTTGCTTATACAAATGCTTCATATTGGACTTAATCTCATTTAATTCTCTAAATGCTGAATCTAATGTATAAATCAATTTATTACCTCTTATTGATATATATTCATAAAAATGGCCTGGAGAATCAAACCTGCTCTCTAACACCTGTAACAAGACGGGAGTCTGGGACCTTGTGAAAGAGGGAACAGCGCTCGGTAAGTGTGTCCGGCTGGGTTTTACTTGGTCTGGTGGAGCGCAATGTCGGGCGCCCCGAGCACAGGCTCACATCTAGGGCAAGGTTTTACCCCCAAGGGAGGATGGAACTTGAAGTTGGAAAGGTATAACCCAGCAAGGTCAGAAGGCTTTCTTGGTCAATCCGGCATTTTCCTATCGCGATACCGGGAGTTGCTCCCTAGGCTACAAGTTTCACCTCGGTCGATAGCCTGGCCAGATAATTCTCTTTTTGAATTTTCGAAGCAGGTAGCCCTGTCGTCGTACTGCATGGTGACCCAACATCTTTACCTGCAGATAGCAAGTGCAGGCCCTTATCCAGAGAAAGCAGCACAAGCCTTAGTCTGTGTAATCAGGCTAGTAAGCAAGGGAGTAGTGCGTATTAGAGACGTGAAAAGCCATTAGTGGGCTGGCTGGGAACTTCTGTATATAATCTAATGAATGAATGCCTCTTGTTGATATATTTGAATTGCAAAGCCCTTCAAAATTTGATTTAAATAATTCCAAACTTTTTTTTACCGATTTTTCTTCTTTGGATAAGGCTTTTAGCTGGAAATCAAATAGCTGAGATTTTATTTGATTGGCTTCTTCTTTGATTCTTACCTCAGTTTCTGCGTATTTTATTATGCGGCTAGCAAGCATTTTAGTTAAATAATTTAAGTCAGACAAAGCAAAAGTAAAGGATTTACCTGATGTTGGGGCTTCTATTGCAGTTCCTCTGTTTCTTATTGTATTTATAAAATTATGAATATCCCCAGGGCGGAGGTCCTTTATATGGGTATTTTTATCAAAATTACAAGCAAACTCAGATTTTCCTGTTATGCCCATATCTAAGCCTGTGGTATCTATAAGGCTTATTAATTGAGATTGAAGTAGATTTATAGACTCTTTACACAAGGAAATCTGAAAAAATAATTTCAAGAACAAATTTTCTGGGGATTTTTGTTTTTGGATAAGAAAAGAAGCCTTTGTCTTTATTGTGTCATAATATTCCTTTATTAATGACAAATAGTCTTGAGAGCTAGAAGGGATATCGATTTCGAATTTATATGAAAGCCATGATAATTTCAATTTCCAAGCTTCAAGTTCCTCTTCAAGAGTTGCCACTGATTCTGTGTCAGATTTATTTTTATTAAAAATCATTTTTCTGCTGTCTTTTTCTATCATAATGAATTTTTTAAAAAAATAATTTCTGCATTCTATAGAGCAGTCTACAAAAGTTGACGATAATTTGAGCACAGATGAACTTGCTACAAGTCCTAGGCTTAGATAGTTTTGGTTATCAGAAAATACTAAATTTTCGCCTAAATTTATTAGAAAGCTTTCTGATGACTTAGCGTTTATCGAGTTTTTTAACCCGTGAATAAAATTGTTACGTGTTAGCCTGAAATTTTCACAAATATTTTCTAATACTTCTTTGCCATCACTTTCATTATGATTTTCTAACTCCCCCCCCCCCCCCTCCGTGAGCGAACAAAAAAATTTTTGTTCGCTCACGGAGGGGGGTTTAATTTTTTTTTTTTTTAAAAAATTTTATATATAAATTTTATAAAAAAATATTTTTTTCGAAATTTAAAAAAATCCTAATTTGCAAAAATTGGGAAGCAAATATTAATTTAATTTGCAAAATTTATGTTTTAAAACGCAATTTGTTTAAAATTAAACAGAATTAGCTCTAGATTTCATTATACTAATTATCACTTATATATCAAATTTTTTTTCCATTAAAATTTTTTCTATTAAAAAAAAATTTTTGTTCACTCACGGAGGGTGGGTTTTTGGTCAAAAAATGGCGATTTTTCTAATGGTTTTGTTCGCTCACGGAGGGGGGGGGGGAGTAAGCATCAATTTCAGCATTCAAATATAGAAATTGCCATGCATTGAAAAATTCTTTTTACTTCAAAAATAAGGTATTTGCATTGATCTATTTTATTTAAAGTCTGCATTTCGCTCTGCATTCCTTTAAGAAAATCTATGATTTTTTTAAAAATATTATACAAAACTAACTGAGGACTGCTTTCTTTTAGCATTCTAAAAACTGCTAATGCTCTGGGGTCTGTTTCTTCATTTTCTTGAATTATTTTTCAATATTTATTTTTATACAATAATAAATCTACCATATTAGTGATATCTTTTCCTGGTAGCTCCATGCTGTTTGAAAATAATAAAATTCCAAAAATCCTGCTCATAGTGATCAATAATTCTAAATAATTTTTCACTGAAGAATTAAAATGCCAGTCATTAGAAATTTTTAATGACCCATAGTTGAAATCATGGGAAATCGAATTTTTCAATAAAAGATTTTTGAGTTTTTTATGGTAAATTTCTGGGGTTTCTGCTATTAAATAAGGATCCCAATCTGCCCAGCTTGATTTTTCATTATTTGTAAAGCTTGGTAATGCTAAAATATCTTCAATTGTTGGTATATATAAAATATTCACAATTTTCCCTTCTTCATCTATTAATTGGTTTGGTTTTGGATTTTCCTCTACAAATGCATTGTACAAGTCTTCTGGTACCAATTTCAAAAGTAGACAATATTCGCTTAAAACCTTAATGACTTGCAGCTTAATTGAGTCATGATATGCTTCTCTTAACACCTCATTGCAGTAAGCCTGAACACACAAGCATCTTGTATATCTCAATACAAGATGCAAATTTTCTTCTTCAAAAATAGTTTTATATTTTTCTGCAATTCTTTTATAATTATTTTCAAGATTTTCTCTGTGGTTCAGTTTTTTATGTTTAATATCAAAGCCAAACATACTTGCTTCACTTAACATTTTTATTTGGAGCCTTTTGACTTCTCTTTCAATTTTATCAGGAATTAGTCCTTCTCCTTTTCTTCCAAACATATTATTTCACTTTACTTTTGATAATTTTGGGACATAAGCTAAATCTCTTGCAAGCTCAATATCACAAATTTGTTTTTCTGAGTCTTCAATTGCAGCTTGATTTGTTTGTATAGCGATTGTTAATAAATGCTTATTCATTATTTCATATAAAGCTACTGTTCTTATTTCTTCTAGTCCACAGGTCAGAAATAAAGTTTTTATAGCGTGGACGTTCCCGAAATGCAAATTTGATCTTAAGCTTGGATCTATTTCAAAAGCGGAAAGAGAAAAGTCTATCCTTGAGCCTGGGCCTTCGTCGACTCTTGAGGTTAAGTAAAACCCAACATCTCAATTTGCAGGAGGAGCTTCAGTGATCTCTTTGCCCATTTTTTTGAATTGTGCTATATATCCTCTTTTTATTGAAATTCTCCTAGCACCCTTAAGGCTAATTTCTTATATTTTGGTAAAAAAAAGTATATCAAATTTAAATATATAGGCAAATAAATTGGTAAAATATAAATTTCTTCTAAAATAGCTCTTTCCTCAAGGGTCTTTTCTAAAACTGATCGAAATTTTCAGATCTCTAAAGAATTCGCATATAACTGTTGAAGACTTGGTATATTACTATCAACAGGGCCTTTCCTACCATCAGCTAATAAACTTAATTTGGGCAGCATCCTCCAATTTTTAACCTTGACTTCTCTTTCAAGCTCAGAAATAATTGATGTCACAAGTTCTCCACGGTCAATCAAAATTTCTTCAGGAAAATGCCCACGGCCTGAAAATTGAGAATACCGTCAGTCATGCTGCGAAAATTCCCATACCGCTTGTTCAAGGGCACTTGAAAATAAAGGCGTTTCTATCTGGTGGATTAAAGAAAGCTCATCAATGCATTGCTGGAGAAGTGGCCATGCCTTGTGTATCCAAGAAATTTCTTCAAAAATCTCAATTTCTCTAGCATTCCCTGAAGATTCGAAAACTTCTGGGACATGAAGTGCGGATCTTGAATTTTCTAAAATTATATTAATAGTCTGAAAATGCTGCTGAAGTGAGTTTATGTGTGCCCAATAGCTTTGTGTGAAATACGACCCATTAAGAAAATATCTTGGCCTCATTGCAATTAAATTTAAAATTTGCTTTGCAATGGTCCCTTGCATTCCTGCGTCTATGGCATGATCATATAATTCGTTATATATCCTTTTTTACAGCTAATTATTTTTTTCTAGCTTTTTATAACAGAAATTTTATTTTTTAATAAAAAAAGTATAAAAATATCAATTTTAATTTTTCTTCTTGGAATTTCAGCTCTTCATCAAGCATTTCTCCTAGCATTAAGTCTCTATCTATAACTGGAAAACACTCTCCTTGTTCTTCGCTTCACAGTTCAAATTTATCAATATAAAAGCTCCCTAATTTTTTTAGTTCTTCTAGTAGCTCATTAAAATCGTCTACTGCTTCTTTATATAAAATATTATACCCAAACTCGTCTTGGACATAAATTTCTCCTTCTAAAGTTTCAATGTTGTTTTTTCTCCCATATAATTCTGCACATTTATCAGGCCAATAATGGGTGATATTTTCTTCTTCTACATATTTATTGACATTTTCTATTAATTTTGTGTTTTGGCCCTGCATTAAATCTTGCATATCAAAAAAAATCCTTCTTTCAATGGACTTCATGGCATTTAAAATATTTAAAATTGACTGTTTTTGGAACCTTGATTTCAAAAGTCTCAATAAAAATAAGCTTTTTATATTGTGAATTGGCAGGTCTAATGGCTCTTCTGGCTCTTGAGTGCTGCTTATATCAATATTAGCATCATTTATTAAGGATGCAAAATATCGTTTTAGTAAATCCTCATTAGAAAGCCCAAGTTCACTCAGCAAGACTCCTCGTTTACTTGCACGGTCTACATAGGTGTGAGAAAACTCTTCAACAATTTTGGTGACGACTGATTGGTCTTGCACTTCTAATATCAAAAAAGAGCTGCTTAACAAATTATCAATTTTTAAGAAACTTTTTAGCTGAGCTGACTGCTTTTTCTGCCAGGCAGGGATTGCAGGGGTTATTCTTGAATTTTTAGGCCAATCAGCATTTTTTATATAAATGGTTCTTACTGGCCTATTTCCTAAGGTCTGATAAGAGATCGGGACATATAGAGAATTTCTGCGAACAGATCTGAATGCTTTTGAAGCGTTTACATTAGAAAGTCTGTTTATATCTAACTGGTCTTTTTCAAATTTTTCTGCTGGGATTCAGTCAAGTCTTTTTGATTGATTTTGAAAAATAATAGGAAATAAATTCGATATTTGGTAAAATAAAGAACTCCCATTGTCTTCTTCAATATTAGAAATTAAGGCGAATTCTTTTTGAATTGAATACAGAATTTTTGCTAGCTGCTTTTTACTTAAAATAAAGACAGGTGGGCCATCAATTTCATCAACATGAGAATTCAGAAGTTGCTCGTTTAAGTTCAAATGTTCTTCAGCAAAAGTTGAATGGATAGCTTTGGCCCTTTTCATGATTTCTCTTTGTTTTCTTAAATTCCTCAAATTAATATTCGTCATAAGATTTACCACAAGCTTATACTCCCCGATGTCCTCCCTTCCTGTGATTAATTTCATTCTTTCTATAGACCGTTGTTTAAGCTCATATAAAATTTCATTAGACCTTTTTCATATTTCTGACCTATGAGATACTGAAAGCCATTTCAGTCTCTGAAGAAATCTGTCGATACTTTTGTGGGTGTTTAAGAGGTTGGATTTTATATTTATGTAGTCTCTGATATAGCTGTCAAAAATTGAAGGGCTTTCGATGGCTTCTGTAATTGCTGCTTCATCTTCGCTTGTTAATAAAGAATAACGCTTATTATAAAGCTTTAGGAGATCAGTTAATTTTACTATTCTCTGGTTTACGTGCTGGTTTAGATGGTCAACTCGCACAAATTGTGATAGATGTGCCCGTAATTAAAATATGGCGGATTCGTCTGGGCATGGCCTCTCGGCCGTGCAGCCTCGACTCATATTTTAATTATATCCGGCAAGGTTTTACATTTCAGAAATGGACAGCAATGCTAGATATAGAAATTGCCCGAGGATTGCGCTATTTTGCACCATCCTCGGACAATTTCTATAAGCAATTCTGGTTGTGCACAGAGCCTAGCCCAAGTCTACTTTCAGGGATGGTTTTTCCTCGTGGGGAAGGAGGCACGGAAGTTGGAAAGGGGAAGCTCAGCCAAGTCCGTTAGGACTAATCGGGCAACTCCCTAGCGTGAAACTGGGCGTTAGGTCCCAGACTACGTGTTTTTCCTTTTTGCCGAGAGCCGACCAGAAAATCCATTTTTTTATGGATTTTCGGAAAGGCAATCCATGTACTCAAGCAAGTAGCTGTCGAAGCCGGCAACGTTTGCCCCTAGACGCACGCTGGCACAACAAAGCTGGTCGGCCCAGCGGCTAGTGGGCCCAATGTGCCGAAAGGTAAGCGATAGACCTGGGAACGGTCAACTCCGTAAGGGACGTTAAGCGCTATTAATCTAATGTTAATGTTAATATGATAGATGTGTGCCCAGTTTAATAGAAATTTCAGCTTGTAGTGCTTTATATAAGTAGATTGATTGTAATAAAATTCACTCAATATTTTGATAAAATTATCAGCACGAGGGCCAGATTTTAATGATAAAAATTCTGAAAGAAGAGTGTCTGGATATAAAGGTATAGGAGGCGGAGAAGGGATTTCAGATAATTTTTCAATAAATTCATCACGAAATTTTCTTTGAATGTCTGGATCTTTCAAGAAAATATGTTCTGGCGCCTTTTCTGAAAATTGAGTAAATTCTTTGTATCTGAATTTAAAATCTTTATAGAGGTTGTATAAGTCACGGATCCTACTTATAAGGTAGCCTAATTCTTCTTCGTCTTTTAGATAACGCTCTTCGTCCATCTTTTATTAAAAATTACTTGAATTAAAAGAATTAGTTCTTCTAGCTCAATTTCAAATGCTTTTAGTAGTATATAAGTCTATTTCTTATATAAAATAAATCCTATAGGCAATAAAAAGAAAAGCATAAAGCTAAAAAGTTTTATATGCAAGTGAGACATCATTTCCAAAATCGCCAGATCATTCCATAATGTAAATAACCATTATGAAAACAATAATTTTTGCAATTTATCCAAATATTAGTTATCACGCTATTTTTGATTGTAATTGTAAAATCTTAGATTCAATCAAGTTAAATTATAAATCTAGCTTTATTTTAAGCATTTATTGCAATTTTGCTATTAATTTTCCTTACTATATTGCTCGGTTTCGAAAGAAAATAATATCAAATTATAAATTAATTAATAAGCTATTTATTTTTCTTAAAGTTCAATTTTGGGCTTTTATTTGGAGATACTGAATTTGGAGCAGTTTCCCTCTTATCAATAAACTCTCCAGTACAAGACTCTTGAATAACTATACCTGTTTGCCAAGAATAGCCCACTAAGGAGCAGTTTTTGGTTCGCCATTCTTAAATTTGGTTAGCCAGAAAATATGGCATGCCAGCGAATTTGGCAAGCCAGCTATTGTCCGGCCAACCAAAAAATGCTCCTTAGTGGGCTATTCTTGGTAAATAAGTATATTAATAATTTCGCTAGTAATTCTTGCTGAATGTTAAGTTCATCTTTTATAGGTGCTATTTTTTCATCAAGATAGTTAGAAATTTTTTCTTTTGTTTCAAGCCAACTGCTGTCCATTATAATTTTATTAAACCCATATAAAACACCTTTAAACTTCTCAAAATTTCAAAAATAAGCCGATTTTATCTACAATTATTGAAATTTCCGATAATTTTTATCATCTAAGAAAATGGGTGCTTGCTTTTCCTCTAAAAATCGCAAAAACGCAAGAGTATTCCATAATTAGACCTCAACTGTAATGGAAGCCATTATTTCTGACAACTCTAGCTTCGAATATACAAATCTTGATAAGCAAACTCGTTTAAAATATGTAAAATTAATACAGCTTAATTGAACATATTTGCATTTGGCTGTATTTCTCAGCCAAAAAGAAGCAGTGGAATCTTTGTTAAGGCAGGGTTTTGATGTAAATGCTCAAGATTTCCATGGGGAAACTCCTCTGCATTTGGCAGCAGTTCAGCAGAATGAATTAATTTATTCTCTGCTTATAGATGCAGGAGCTGATAACAGCATTGAAAATAAGGTGATTTTTACTCAGAAAGGAGAAACAGCTACTTTTATTGCGAACTTAAATAGGAAGAGTTTTTCGACTGATTTACCAATATATTCAGATAGCCCTACAAAAAATGAAGAAGATAGTCCTGCAAAGAATGAAGAAGATCAACTATTTAAATATGATACTGAATCCTCTCCAGGTAAATCTAAAAGGCTTAATTAGAATAAAAAATTATTTTATTTAGGGATACTTTAAAATTATCTATTTTTGAATAAAAAAACAGATATTTAATAGATAATTAAATAAGTCTATCATAGAAATGCAGGGCTATTTATACAAATTATTGATGAGGCTAATCTGAATATATATTTATTAAAATGACTAAAATGGTATTTCAGTTAAGTACAAAAATGGGCTTAGATATTCAAAATTTTCTCCAAATAAATGGGCTAATCTGAAAACCTATATCATTAAAACGCTTAGACAAAGAATAACAAACAAGTCATTTTATTATATTCGTTTATTTTGGTAAGCAAATAGATTTAAAAAATACTTAAAATTCGAAACGTATATAAACTCATGCACTATGACAATAAAAATTCAATCGAATTCTTAAATTAATCGCGTCCTACACATAGGACACACTCCTTTTACTGCAACCCAGTCCTTTAAACATTTTACATGAAAATTGTGATCACATGGCAACACCATGCACTTTGCATCAGGACTAATATCTTCTAAGCAAATTGAGCATAACCCTTCCCTTTGTGGTAGTTTTATGTATACTTCTAGCTGCTCTTTTGTAAGCTAAATAAATTTTACTGTATAGCTTTGTGGAGCTTGGTCAGCCATAAGGGTTCTTAATTGTCTGAAATACATCGCCGTATAGACCAACCCAGCGAGGACTTTTAAAAATCCGATATTTATAAAGACCGTCGCCAGAATTCCAGTCGGCTTATCCCAATAATCTGGATTACTTGTAAGCTGTGACGACAATGCGATCACCATCACAAACCGGAAACTGCATAAATTTTACCATTCATAGCTAAGCTGCACAGACCTCACGAAATAAGGTGACAATCTGCCATGAAAATGCAAGCATTTCCTAGCAAGTAAAGAACATAAAAATAAGAACTCATAAGCCTCAATAATCGCATATATAATCATGAATAAGTCAACTAAGCTTCCACAATCTGATGGTAGCAGGGATAATAAGATTGTAATAGCGATAATTTTTCCTAAGGTGTAGAATAAATAAAGCCCAAGAAATTCTCTGCTTTGGCATTCTGGGAAGCCAGGCAATACTTGTGAACTTGATACCTCCATTTATTATATAATAAGCGATTAAAAAATATGGGACCAGTGAAATACTGGGAAGAAGAGAGGAAATTTCGTGAAAAACCTGGCCAGACTTAAAAGATGGAGAAAAGATGGTTTTTTAAAAAGGCTGCAGGAAATCAATAATTTTGGAATTTTCGATTCAATTTGAATATAATAATAAAGTTCAGAGCTTGGCAAATAAATGAAAAAAATAAATTCAAATAATTAATTTAATTAATTTTTTAATTAAAAAAGCCAAATTTTTCTAATAATTATAAAAACTGTATATCAAAATGCTATTTATAATTGAAACATTTATTTCCTTAAAAGATTCCTAACTTATTTAATTCCATAAATGTCAGACTGGCATTCCCAGCTTACAGGCCCAAAGCCAACAGAGAATAAAAACCAAGAGCTTGAAAAACTAATAGAATCCCTCCCTCCAGACCAGCGTGCCAAATTTCAATCAGTCCTCGGCCCAACCATTAAAAAAGAAGAGCCAAAACAAGTTTCAGAACAAGAACGCCGTGAACAATTAATCCGTGAATGTCTAGACCAATGCCAAGCTGGAAACCTAAAACCTCTAGTTGAAGCAATTATAGCTGGGAAACTAGACTACGATTTTATGGACCCAGCAGGCTTCACAGCTTTACATATGGCTGTTTGGCGGTCAGATATAGATTCCGTAAACCGATTATTAGAAAAGGCAGCTTGTCCTTATGATTTGCGCAGCGGGAACAGCCAAACCCCACTTATGCTGGCTGCTGCCAAAGGAAATTACGAATTAATTAAGCTTTTCCTTGACAGAGGGGCAGACATTGAAGCAATTGACAACTTAGGATTGACTCCAATTTTGTGTGCGGTACAGAGCGGCCAAATTGGGTCGTTTTTTGTATTGGTGCACAGAGGGGCGAATATTAATGCGACTGACAGTAATGAGTGTACAGCAATGCATTGGGCGGCTTATAAGAATAATGTGATGTTTATGAGATTATTATACCTTTTTATTGTAGATAAATAATAAAAAATTGTGTTTTTTAAATAATAAGTTATATAAAAATAGTATAAAATCTTATGGAATCTCAATTGATGGGAAAGATAAGCTTGGAATGACCCCACTGCATAGAGCTGCTATGTCTAACGCAATTGACGCAATAGAATGGCTGCTATTTGAAGGAGCTAATAAAGAAGTTTTAGACGAAAAGAAAAGGAAGCCTTGCGATATCTCAAAAGAGTGGAATTCTCAAGGGTCTGGACAAGTGCTTAGGAATTACTGTAGGGATGGAGGAAGCATATATACACATTTTACGCTGTGGTTTCTGCTTTATTGGATCTTAATATATGGAACTTATATTTGGTTTATTTTGCCGTTTACTGCTCAATTCTTGTTTTCAAGCTTAGGGTTTAATTTGTGTGTGCTGTGTATGCCAGTGATTTTTATGTAAATGGTATATAGATTATTAAAATGCTCAAAGCCTGGGTTTTTAGCGAAAAAAGGAGAATCAGTGGACAACCAGCTGTACAAAACTTTTGGCGAACAGTTCGAGCTCGGAAATTTCAGAGAAATGCCTAAGTGTGAAGAAATTTGTTACTCCTGCTATATGGTGCGGCCTCAGCGCTCAAAACATTGCAGATTTTGCAATATCTGTGTCCCAGTCTATGACCACCACTGTCTCTTTTTAAACAAATGCATAGGGCAAGATAACCATAAAAAATTCGTGATAGGCCTAAATACCCACTATCTTGGCTGTATTTTTTACCTTTTCCTAGTCTGGGCCTACCTGGACGCTTCAATTACCTCTGACCACTATACGACATATTTCGTCAAGCTCGTTTATTCTTTATTATCTGAAAAACCCATCATTATTTTGACTGTTTTCCTCACAATTCCTATAGCTTGGTATTCTTTTTGGTATTTATTATTAGAAATCTACAGCATTTCCAATGGTCTTACAGCTAATGAAGTCTTAAATAGGCATAAATATAGGTATCTTTTTGCTCCTTTTCAAAGCATAGACGGGACTTTGAAGCTGAGGTTTAAAAATCCTTTCACAAAAGGATTCCTTAACAACTGGATGGACTTCTTAACAAAATAATTAATAGAGAAATGATTACTTAGCCTCTCCCTGATTAAAATCTATATTTTTTTTTTCCTTAAAAATATTAAAAATAAAATAAAAAATGGCCAGAAAATAGCTAAAGGAGAGAGTCAGAATCTGGCATCCCATAATAAATTCCATACACCTTTAAGATAGGTCATTATTTCATTCGCACCTAATTTGGATTCTCCGAAGATTCTGTCTACAAAGGTAATTGGGACTTCTTCAATGTGATAGTGCTCTTCTCAAATAAAATGGCATCGGTTCGAGAGAAATTAGCTCTGCTAATTTTCTCTCCCTCATGGAATTTTATTTATGGGGTTGGGCTTTCTTTCGAGAACTTCTGCACAGCAATAGCTGTTTAACTTTGGGGATAATCAAAGGAACAGCACTTCAGTGCATTCAAGAGGCTTGGAGCTTTACCTCTCAGTACATCCCCACTGGAGGATGACCCTTAGGCGGAACACGCGCAGGAGCTGAGTCAGGGCAGAGCGGCGACAACGCGCCGGGTGAGATGTGTGGCGGCTGGGGACGGAGCGTTGATAGAAAGCTTGGCCGTTGGGCTGACCACCGCGATTCCAAGATGGCTCCGTGACGTCACTAGTTTAGCTAAATTTCTTTAAATAGAGTGCGGCACTAGACATCTTAAACACCGAATAATTTAAGTTCAGTTAAGATAGTGCTCTTCTCTAGCCCTAACAATAGCTTCCATTTGGAAAGCGTAGCCTCTGCTTTTGATTCTGTTCATGACTATGTTTAATACTGATTTTTTATATTTTTTTATACATGAATATTTAAAAAAAAATTATGCATAAAACAGTCTATTAATTTATAGAAAATAGATTATAGTCTAAAGCTTCCTGTAAGGTCTGAGCATCTTGGATTCAATAACGTCGACGCAATAAAATTTGCGACCCTACTTGTCAGTTTTCGTCTTAAATCCCATCCATAAACCCCGCCACCATGGGCATATCTCGTCCCTGTCACAATGTCAGCATCAGTCTCTTTTTGCTTTTTTATCATTTCTGGGATCTCTTTAGGATGATGTGACAAATCAGCGTCCATTAAGATTACAAAATTGCCTGAGCAGAATTTCATACCTTCAATATAAGCTGAGCCAAGTCCAAGCTTTCCAGGCCTTGTGTGGAGCTTTATTTTTTCAGGGTAAACTTTTTGCAATTGGTGAACTACTTCTTGGGTGCCGTCTGGACTGTTGTCATCGACCACGACGATTTCTAAGTCAAGTTTGGCTTCTTCAGCAGTTTTCATGATCAGATATGTGATTAAGGGCAGGTTTTCTTTTTCATTATAGGTAGGGAGTAAGACTGAGTATTCAGGCATTTTTAATAGGACGTGGGATAATAGGGTTTGCTTCAAAGATGAAAAGTAAAAATTATGTATTATGAAAAGCGCCCACCCAGCACTTCCGGATCTTTATCTTCGAGTTCTTACCAATCCTTTCCTTCACATACAAATGATGCGAGAGGAAATTTTAAAGTTGTAATAAGAGTCCGCCCGCCTTTGACAAGAGAAATTGACCCAGTTCACGGATTTCGCAGTGTGATTGAGGTGTCTCCTGATAATAAACGAATTACGTTGCAAGAATACTTAGGAGCTGCTTCTAATGATGAAGAACGTGAACAGGATATACTGGAAAACCCTGGCCTGGCCACTTACCATCATTTTACATTTGATTACGTCTATGATGAAGATTCTACCCAAGTCCAAGTCTATGATCGCACCGCTCGGCAGGCCGTCATATCAGTCTTGGAAGGCTACAATGCCACCTTACTAGCTTATGGACAAACCGGAACAGGCAAAACCTACACAATGGAAGGCTTCAAATACAACTCAACCGACCCTCAGCGCGGGATTGTACCTCGAGCCAGTGAAGAAATCTTCAAAGTAATTGAGTCCTCTCAGTCTGCCAATGCCACTTTTATGGTCAGGGCTTCTTATTTGCAGATTTATAACGAATTTATATCAGACTTATTGAAGCCAGAACGAGGGACTTTGCAAATCAGGGAAGAAAAAAGAAGAGGACTGTTTGTAGAAGGACTAAGTGAGTGGGCTGTGAGGTCAGCGACTGATATTTGTTCACTTATGCAGAAAGGAGAGATGACCCGTGCGACGGCGTCTACCAAAATGAATGATTTGAGCAGCCGAAGTCATGCGGTTTTTATTATCATTGTAGAGCATATGACGACAGCAGAACTTGATGGGTCTGAAGAAATGGCAAAAGATATAAAGGTCGGAAAACTGAATCTTGTAGATCTTGCAGGGTCTGAAAGAGTAAGAGTGACTGGAGCCACTGGGAAGCGTCTTGAAGAGTCAAAAAAAATTAACCAAAGCCTTTCAGCACTTGGGAATGTAATTGCTGCTTTGACTGATACAAAGCCGAGAACACATATACCTTATAGAGATTCCAAACTGACTAGGCTTCTTGAAGACTCATTAGGTGGCAACTGCATCACGACAATGATGGCAATGGTTTCTCCTTCTAATGACTCTTTTGGCGAATCTTTATCTACAGTAAAATTCGCGAACCGTGCAAAAAATATAAAAAATGCTCCAAGAATTAATGAAGATGTCGACCAAAAAACCCTTATCAGAAAATACGAAGTTGAATTATCCTTTATTTTATTGATTTTCCTAAAAAATTCTATAATTTATACCCTCATATAATTTTCCTATACAATTAAATAAACCATAGTCAGACTTCGCAATGAGCTTGACGAAAAAAACCGCAACATGTATGATATGGAAAAAGTAATTGAGCTTGAAGACCAAAAAAAGAGAGCTGAAGCAGACAAAGAAGCCGCAATTGAAGCCTTAGAAATGCGCTCAAAAGAGTTTTTGCTTGAAAAAGAAGAAAAGCGCAAGCTTGAAGAAAGAATCAAAATGATGAACTCCCAGCTGCTTGTGGGTGGCAAAAAACTTGAAGAAACCCCACAGTTTATCATTGCACTAGAAGAAAAACAAAAAGCAATCAGAAAAGAATATGAAGGAAGGCTGCAAGAAATAGAGCAGGAAAGGCAACAAATAGAAGAAGACAAAGCACAAATTGACAGATATAAACAGCTGCTGCTAAGACAAAGAGATATCATGATAGCACTAACTGCAAGGCTTAATGAAAGAGATGACACCATTATACAGCTACAAGAAGAACTCGATGCTTATGATAGAATCCATAGAGAAACTGAAGAAAATTTAGAATATCAGACAGCCAGATGCCAACAATTGGCAGATTTGTTGAAAAATCATGGGATGAATGTACCGACTGCTGATATCCCTGACACAAATCATTATAAGGAGCCAAAAAGATACCCGCCGTATTCAACAGATACGGTGACGCTGGATAATGAAAGCTTTTTGCCTTTGCAAATGTTGACAAGTGAAGAAAAAATCGCGGAACTGACACAGATTATTGATAACCAAAAAGGGGAAATTGAGAGGCTGATTGGAAGCATTAATGCGTATAAGCAGCCGAGTGAGGTTAAACAAGGGAATTCAAATGTAGCGGCTTTGCAGGCAGCGAATGAGAGATATTTGGCGGAAAAACAAAGCATAAGTGGAATATTAGAAAATGATATTTTATTCTGGTGAAATAAAATAAATAAAAAAATATGTGGGAAATTGAAGTTTTTTATAGAAGATAAGAAAAAAATACTAGAGAAAGGGGAAAATGTTGGAAAAGAGCATAAAATATATAGAAGAAATATATGAAGGGATTAGAGGAAACAATTTGCCGGCTTCTCAGCTTTTACAAGAAATGCAAATTTTGTTCCAATCTGCGTCTCAAGCTTTGTCAATCTTAAAGAATGAAAAATCTAGCAGAAATGTCCAGCTAAGAATCCCTGCACAGTCAGCGCCTGCCAAAGAAAACCCTACACCTCAATTTATAAAGCATAAAGAAAAGCAGCCTTCTAATGGAAGAAGACCTTTAACAGTAGACGAAATGCTGATGCTAAAACGCCAAGAGCAGCAAAGGAAAAGAGAGTAATAAAATGAGTTTAATTTGTGCCTATTTCCTTATCGTAAATTATATACATAACATGGAGTTTTAGGAAAATGGATTTTAAATGTTTTGAAGGAGACTCGTTGGGTTGATTTTTTCCGAAACCATTTTGGACTAGTGAGCAAGAAGCAGTGAGCCAATCGCTGACTCTCCCCCGTGAGTGAACACAAAAATTTTTGCTCGATCAAGGAGGGATTTAATTTTTTTTTAGTCAATTTTTTTTCGAAATTAAAAAAATCCCAATTAAAAATTGGACAGCAAATATATATTAAATTTGTAAAATTTATGTTTATAAATGCAAGCTGTTTAAAAATTAAACATAATTAACAAGAGATTTCATTATAGTTATTATCACTTATATATCGAATTTTTTTTCATAAAAATGCCCAGGGAAGGTGGGTTTTCGCCCAATTTTTCATATGGTTTTGTTCGCTTCAGAAGATGGTAAGTGAGAGGAAAAGCAGCAGGTTCATAGAGTTTTGGGGTCATCGAAGTCATAGGAGTTGTGGAGAGCATGATAGATCTGAAGATGAGAAGTAAAAATAAGAAAGAAATGATATGATATAAACTCAAATGAAATAGAGAAAGCAGATTTCGAAAGAAATTTGGGTCAAATATCCTTGAAAATAAATAGGATAGCTTAAAAGAGCGCTAGCAGAAATTTTTACCATGCTTTTATAGCTTCACGCAGGCTTAGCTCTCTCACTTTTGGTTTAAGATTTTCCCAATCTTCTATTTTCACTAATGCAAATTATATATGTTTAAAATAGCGATACATATCAGCCTGCTCAATAATCCTTACCCTATGGTCATGGTGAACTAGGAAGGATTCCGAACACAGAATTAAGTACAGACCAAGGAGATGTGCACAGCTCGATTTGATTGCCTTCCTGTGGCTATAAATGGAGTTATCCAATAATATCCTTTGAATCAGAGAACCTATGGACATCTCTAAAAAGAAACTGGGAGTTTCAGCCAGGCTACAGCTAGCAGTCTTGTTCTTTTAACTGCTGTTGAATGAAAGTACTCCGGCAAATTAACAGATTCCAAGCAGCCGATCATTGAAACCAAGCTACTTCAATCAACTATCACAGAGCCACAGGAATCCATAATCCACCCACTAAAGACTGAAGCTACAAGGCAATGAGGAGGCTGAAGGGATCGGAAGCGGCATCCACCTGTAGGGGAAAATACCTTCTGGACTTGACTCAATTAGCGGTTGAACCTCCTGCATGGGAGGTTTTGGTTGCTGCGTCACAAATATCGCTAACGCCTGACTTTAATTAACCTAGCATAACCTAACCATTGCACAAATTATGGGGTTGAGCAAGGTATGATAGTCTGATTTGCATTATTATGTTAGTTTCCAGACAATTATTCAACTCCAGTTCCATCCTGCTATTGCTCGAACCCTCCATTTGCACCTCTGCTGCTTCCTTTCCTTTCTTCCCTTTCATTTTTTCCCATTTATTAATTTTCTCTTGACTTGGCTATCCTGGCATATCCTTCACCATTGTATCCAAATTGCTGCAGATCCTAAAAGAGTGATGCGGATGTTTATCCATATTCTTTTCCCTCACAGTTAGTTCATCTTGTAGATCTAGCTTTCTCCATTGACTCAAACTCTCTTTTAAGGATAAACCTCGAGTTAACACTAAAATGCAGACAGTCGCTCAGTTTTTAAACAGCGTTATCGATTGTCACCTCTATGCCCTTATATCAATTCTCTGCCTCATCTAATACCTCTTCAAAAATTCCTGGCATCATTGTGACTTGCATCATTTACCGCGAAATTGATGACTCCTTCTTTGAGAATTGGATTGATAGGTACAGTCAGTTTCTGCGAAGGCAGCTTTATTCTAATTTTTAATCTTCAAAGGTTTCCTTGTTAGTGGATCCCCTGAGGGCATTTCGAGAGCCCCTCAATGTCCCCATCCCTTTTGTGGCAACTTCTAGTGCAAGAATGAATGGGCAATGATCATTCCTCCTTAGCTCAATCCGTTTAGCTTATATGTCTCCTCTTACAAATCTTAGAGTTAAATTTAAGAATTCAGTCTATTAGCTGGGGGCCATATTTACTTAACATTTTAAAATTAAAGTTTTTTGAATTAATATTAATAAAATTATGATAACTGCAGAAAAAGACTTGTATATGAAATTTTTACAGCTTGATGATTGAATGCAGACGAGTGCCAATCAAGGTTATGCATCATTTCAGGCAATCAAAAATGCGTTTCAAGCTATATATAATGATAAAATTCACTTCATAGATCGAGAATTTACTTTAGGCGGGCATCTCGAATCTTCAGGAAATCTGGATTTTATTACAAAAATCCAAGAAATAATGCAAGACTCAGACCAAGAATTGAAGATACCAATTGTATCCTGCTGAAAAGCAATATTAGCTAAAGAAAATTTACAATTATCAGATCAACAGCTCAAGTATAGTTATACTTGGCAAATAATAGTAATTCTCCCTAAGAATCATACACTTATTGATGGAAGACCTCTGGGAAACTTATCTGAATTAATTTTTCTAATTGATTCATCTGGGAATGGTTGTCAAATTCCTGAAAATATAAAATCCCTACTAAAGGAAAAAATTAATTTTGAAGAGCCTCATAGAGGGCCTAGCCTTTGGGGTGGGTGCTTTCCAAATGCTAAAATATATGATAAATACTCTATTAAGCAATGCATAAATCCAAATGAAAGTGGCATATGGTGTATATTTAACGCATTTATGCTTATTTCAAATGGAAATGACAGTTTTTTGGGTGCATTTTGTCGTCGTGTTGATATGAATCAAAGTAGTAAGCTGAGAGCGATTTTAGAAGCACATAACATTGAATTGAATTATCCAATTGATTTTATGGCATCGCGCCCTCATATAAAAGCTATATATAAGTCACCTAAAACTCAGCAACCTGCTTTAAAAGTTAGAGAAAATTCTACTATTTCTTGTGGAAATATAGATTTTGCAAATTCAGTTATGGAAGATGCCTTCGTTGATAAAACTCAATTGATCAAAAAAATTCTAGATGATGCTAGTCCGTCAATCCTTATTGCAAGACCAAGAAGATGGGGGAAGACATCCAACATGAAAATGCTTAAAGCTTTTTTTCACCCAGATTATGATGAAAATGGAAATCTCGCAAATTTACATTTGTTTACTGGAGGAAGAGACAATATAGATCTAACTAATTTAGATCCAAAAAGATGCTTGAAGATAATGACTTTAGACAATGGAAAATATATAAAAGATTTTGGAAGTAAACCAACAATTTTCCTGAGTTTTAGCCACATAAGTAATTACAGAGAAAATGGCAACCCAAACATTGAGCTTTATCTTGAAGGAATGCGTGATGCAATCAAAGATGCATATAATGAGCATAAGTTTGAATATCGTAGGTGCTTAGAAAAAACAATAAAATTTTGATGCTTGCTCCATCCAGATCGTAATATTATTGACTATAGAAATCAAGATAGCGATTTTTTAGAGGAAGTTATTGATAAGTACAAAATAGAAGTTGCAGGTGAGCTTAAACGATTCAGAATATATAAAGAAGATAGCTATCTAATAGACATAAAAAATGCTATAATTGATCTAGCAAATATACTTTTTTATGCTCATAATAAGCCTGTTTTAGTACTTGTGGACGAATATGACAGGCCGATTAATGACTTTATCGACACAGATGAGCCTTATGACATCACTGCCTATTTAGGACCTTTATTGCATAGGCATATATATATTCCAAACTTAATTTATAAAGTAATTTTTATTGGGACTCTTAAGATCCCAACGGCTGGGGTACTTATTGATATGAACATTTTAATTCTGAATAAGGGAATAAAGATGATATAATTAATGAAAGAAAGCAACTTGGTGATGGAGACATAGAAACCTTAATTGGAAAAATTCTAAATGACCACCCTTCTTTAGATGCTATAAAGATTAAAAGATTGAAAGAAATGAAAAGAGGCCCAAATGTTGTTGAAGATAATGTCAAATCAAAGAGATTGAGGTAAATAACAGATTTTTACTATAATATTTATATAAATAGACAATATTTTTACTAAAAATAATATGATGAATTATGAAGAAAATACTAATTTAGGAAACCACCCAGAAGAAATCGTATTAATAGTTGACGAAGAAAATCGCCCAATCGGAGAAGCTATTCGTAAAGATATGAGAAAGCTGAAGCTTGCCCATAGGGCAAGCTTTATTTTTATAAAAAATTCAGAAGGGCTTTTGCACGTCCAGAAGCGAGTTTTAACAAAAGATGTTTACCCTGGGTACTTCGACCCTACTACAGGTGGGTGTGTTTTGGCATCAGATTTAAATGATAAAGAAGCTGCACTCAGAGAGCTTGAAGAAGAACTTGGTATTACTGGGATTGACATTGAATTTGTTGACTGGTTCCATTATAAGAATGCAGAAAATAATGTATGGGGATCAATTTATCTTGCAGAGTGGAATGGACCTGTTAGTCTGCAAGCTGATGAAGTTGAGTCGCTTCACATGATGAGCATTTCAGAAATTTTAGAAAGGTTTCAAAACAATGAAAAATTCTGCCCAGATAGCATGGCAGCACTTCAACAGCTAATTAGTTTAGGCAGACTTAATTAAAAGACAGATCATTTTTATTCTATATTGAGTAATTTTATTATTTTTAGTTAAAAAAGATTTCTCAGGCAAAATGATTAGACTTTCACATGCAGCCAAAAAAGGAAAGAAGAAATATTATGCGGCCGTTGCATTATATCTGAACAAATAAACAATTATTTAATGAAATTTTCCTTGATAGGCTAAGGAATAGATAAATATAATAATGTTTCTACTCATGCATTATAAATCTAAATCAAAATTTCCTATTTATATTGTTCAATATACCTCCTGACTTAGAGTTTTAAAATGGATTTTTTATTATATAAAATTTTTGTAAAGGGTGAAACATTAAATTTTTGAGAATTAAAATGGTAATGCTATATCCTGAACAAATTATTATATCAATCTAAGTCTACAAACAATAAAATGGCGTCAGAAGTCAATAGTCCTTACCTTCTCTACTTAAACAATCAAGCTCAATACAACAGCAATGGCTGAATAATTGCTGACGGCTGCGAATACCATAGTCTTTTCCAGAAAATAATTGATAGAAAAGGCCAGCCATTCGACGAAGCCGAAATATGAAAATATTTCCTTCAAATATCTTTTGGACTCGAATGCATACACTTCAATAACATAATTCACGAAGACGTAAGGCCTGAAAATATTTTTATTGACGAATACAACGATGCAAAACTAGCAATCTCAGACGCTTCCCAAAGCGAAGCCAATGAATACAGCTCTCCTGAAATATTTAATGGCGAGCCTACATCAGACGAAAGTGACATATGGGCCCTTGGTTGTGTCTTATATTACCTTTGTCAGTTGGAGCATCCTTTCAATAAAGATAAAAGCAAAATAATCAACGAGCCCCACAATTCCATCAGAAACCCATATTCAGACGACCTGATCGACCTTCTCAATTGGTGCTTAAAAAAAGACAAATCTGAGAGACCTACAATAAATGACATTTTAATTAACGACTTAGCCTTTGAAAAAGCTATCGACTTAAAAATAAAAATCCCATCAGAGTATCATGAAGAAATGCTGACAAATGAATCCCAATGCCTAAAATACTATAGAAATATGCAAGCAATCAAAGCAAATCCTAATAATGGCACCGCTTATAATGAAATAGGAAATATTTTATATAATGAAAACAGGTATGAAGAAGCTGTACAATATTTTAACGACGCAATCAGAGTTGATCCGAACTGTGGAATTTATCATAGAAGCAAAGGAGATGCTCTTTGCAAGCTGAAAAGAAGGGAAGAAGCCATGGATTGCTTTAATGCTGCTATTAGAATTGACCCAGATGACGATTTAGCTATTAATTTTATAGGATATGTGCTGTATTTTGAAGGGAGATTTGAAGACGCGATAAAGAGCTTTAACGACGCAGTTAGGATTAATCCAGATTTTGCTCTTTTTTATATAAATAAAGGAGATGCGCTTAGTAAGTTAAAAAGAATAGAAGAAGCTTTAGAATGCTATGGCGAAGCTGTGAGGGTCAATCCAAATGAAGATAGGGGATATAATAGTATAGGAGCTACCTTATAGGCATTTCGCCTATATTGCCCGATATGGGCCTATACTTGAGAGCACTTCCTCTCCAGTTGGTTTGACCAACTTATGTTGGCCAAACCAACTAGAGAGTTTAGGGAGTTTCCCTCTCAAGTTTCGGCCCATATCGGCAATATAGGCGAAATGTCTATATTAAATGAAGGCAGATTTGAAGAATCAATAAAATATTTTAACGACGCGATTAGGATTAATCCAAGATTGCCAAATTATCATTTAAGTAAAGGAGATGCTTTGGATATGCTAGGCAAAATAGAAGAAGCCGTTGGATGCTACAATGAAGCTCTAAGACTTAATCCAAGTTACGAGTTAGCATATGTCCGCCTTGGAATTGTACTAATTGAAGTAGCTAAATACGAAGATGCAATACATTTTTTTAATATAGCAATTATGATCAACCCAAGAAACACATCTTACTACAGAAAGAAAGCAAATGCGCTTTTAAAATTGGGTAAAAAAGAAGAAGCTGTAGAATGCTACAAAGAAGCTATAAAAATTGATCCAAATGAATATGGATTATACAACCTGCTACTCCCCCCCTCCATGAGCGAACGAAAAAATCTTGTTCGCTCACGGAGGGGGTTAATTTTTTTTTAAAAAAAAATTTTTATATATATTAAAGAAAAAATTTTCGTAATTTAAAAAAATCCCACTTCTCGAAATTGGAAGGCAGATATTAATTTAATTTTTAATATGTTTTAAAACGCAATTTGTTTAAAATTAAACAGAATTAGCTCGAGATTTCATTATACTAGTTATCACTTATATATCAAATTTTTTTCCATAAAAAAATTTTTGTTCGCTCACGGAGGGTGGGTTTTTGGGCAAAAAATAGCGATTTTTCTAATTTTTTTTTGCTCACGGGCGGAGTTAGGATTAGTATTTCAAAATGAAGGCAAATATGAAGAAGCGCTCATATATTTTAATGATGCAATTAATATTAATCCAAACTGCGCGTGATCTTATACAAATAAGGGAACCACCCTTTTAATGTTAAATAGAAGAGCAGAAGCTTCTAAATGTTATGATGAATCGATAAGACTTGACCCAAATAGTGATTTCGCATATCTCTATACTGGAAATACGCTATATTATGAAGGAAATTATGAAGCAGCAATAAATTGCTATAATGACGCAATTAGATTGTATCCAAATTGCAGAGATTATTACAGAAAAAAAGCAAAAGCTCTGTGAAAATTAGGCAGAAATGAAGAAGCAATTGAATGCTATAAAGAAGTTATTGGGATCAACCCAAATGAGCATAAGGCGTATAACAATATAGGAATCTTATTATAGAGTTTTACCCCTATTAGCCCTATAAGGGCAGATGATTCCCGGTGGAATTATCGACATGGTCCAACCAACAAGTGAGTTGGTCCAACAATGCATTAAGTTGGTTGATCCAACTTGATGATTCGACTGGGAATATCTGCCCTTATAGGGATAATAAGGGTAAAAATCCTATACTCGAACAAGGTAAAATTGCAGAAGCAGTCGATAATTTTGACAGTGCAATTAGAATTAATCCAAACCACGCACCCTATCATTGAAATAAAGGAAACGCTCTTAATTCTTTAGAAAGAAAAGAGGAAGCTATAGAATGCTTTAATGAAGCTATAAGAAATGACCCAAAAGCTGCGATTATATATAATAGGGTAGGATGTATTTTGCTTACTTCCCCCTCTGTGAGTGAACAAACCATTGGAAAAAAATCCAAAAACCTACCCTCCGTGAGTGAACAAAAATTTTTTTAATAGAACAAATTATTTATGAAAAATATTGATATATAAGTGATAATTAGTATAATGAAATCTCGAGCTAATTCTGTTTAATTTTAAACAAATTGCGTTTTAAAACATAAATTTTATAAATTAAATTAATATTTGCTTCCCAATTTTTGCAGATTAGGATTTTTTTAAAATTTCGAAAAATTTTTTTTTAAAAAAAAAAATTAGCCCCTCCGTGAGTGAACAAAATTTTTTTGTTAATTCACGGAGGGCGGAAGTTAAAGAAAGTAGATATCGAGAGTCGCTTAAGTATATTAATGATGCAATTAGAATTGATCCAAATGATGAAAATTATTATATAAACAAAGGGTATGCTCTCGAAAAATTAGGAAAGGAAAAAAAGGCTATCAGATACTATAAAAAAGCTATAAAAATTAATCCAAGTTTTGACCCTGCATTATTTTGCATAGGAAATTTGCTAATGAATGAAGAGAAATACTTAAACTAAAATTAAATCACTTACTCCCCCCCCCCCCCCCCCCTCCGTGAGCGAACAAAACCATTAGAAAAATCGCCATTTTTTGACCAAAAACCCACCCTCCGTGAGTGAACAAAAATTTTTTTAATAGAAAAAATTTTAATGGAAAAAAAATTTTGATATATAAGTGATAATTAGTATAATGAAATCTAGAGCTAATTCTGTTTAATTTTAAACAAATTGCGTTTTAAAACATAAATTTTGCAAATTAAATTAATATTTGCTTCCCAATTTTTGCAAATTAGGATTTTTTTAAATTTCGAAAAAAATATTTTTTATAAAATTTATATATAAATTTTTTTTTAAAAAAAAAAATTAACCCCCCTCCGTGAGCGAACAAAATTTTTTTGTTCGCTCACGGAGGGGGGGGGGGGGAGTTAGAGTGAATAGCATATAGCCAATATCTGCAGGATGATTACCAAAGATATGGTTCCACCCGAATGAGAGCATAACTAGCTCTGTCACCTGCATTTCCTTAAGGTCGAAGAGTCATGTTAAGTAAGTGGAAGCTAGTTAGCCTCCACAACTTACAGGCAGCTTTTTTTCGCCTTTCCCCAACTTACTTCAGCGTTTGTTTTACCTAAAGTCTCCTTCCTCGGAAGTGTCAAGAGGCCAAAAATACTCTGGGTCAGACTCTCAACTTATCCAATGAGTCGCCATTGTATTATGGATAAAAAGTTCACGCTAAAACTGAGCCCCATAAAGTTCCATGAAAAAGAAAAGCTAGCAAAGCTAACTTATTTTACCAATGCCGCTTTATTTATGACTGAAGAGAATTACAAAGAAGCATTAAAATATTTTATTAAAGCAATAAGAAATAACCCAAATGACCCTGCTTACTACATATTAAAAGCAAATGCTCTTGCTGGTCTAGGAAAACATGAAAAGGTTTTGGATTGCTACAAAGAAGTGGTTAAAATTAATCCGAATGACGATACAGCATATAACACAATAGGATCTATTTTACTTATTCTCCCCTTTTAAATTGGAATAAACAATTCTATTCCAATTTAAACGGTTTAAAAAATTAATTTATAGTCAAAGTTTTCTCTATAAAAATCTTTTAACAATATAAAATCTTGAAAATATTATAAATTGAGTAATACTTTGAATTTATTTTCTATGAAGAATAATAAAAAAATTGTGAAAACTATTTTAATAAGATTCTACTTTCAGTTTTCCATTAGATTAGTATTTTCACCTTTAAAGAAATTTTTAAAAATATATAAATGTATCCTTTAAATTTAATTGATCTATGCTAAAACTTTAATAATATGCTGCTTGTATTTTGCCATTAAATTATGTTAAATTAATTTTATAAATTACTATTTTCATCGAGACAATTTTGTTCCAATTTAAAGGGGGGAGATAGTAAAGGCCAATATGAAGAATCAATACACTATTTTAATGAAGCAATTAAAATTGACCCAAAAATCACTGCTTTTTATATAAATAAAGCAACAGCTCTAATGTCATTAGGCCAAAATGAAGAAGCCCTAGAATGCCACAATAAAATCCTTGAACTTTATCCAAATGATGATAATATTTACTGTGATTTAGGAGTAGCATTATTTTATTGTGGTCAACATGAAGAAGCAATAAAAAATTGAAATGAAGCAATTAGAATTAATCCAAGCAAAGCAATCTATTACCTGTTGAAAGGCAACGCGCTTTTTAAAGTAAATAAATATGAAGAGGCTATAGAGTGCTGAAAATCCGGTATTAAAGCTGATCCAAACGAAGACAGATTATACAATGTAATAGGAGAAGCTTTATTGTTACAAGAAAAATATGAAGAAGCTATAGAATATTTTAATGATGCAATTAGAATTAATCCAGAAAATGCTACTTATTTTGCAAATAAAGGACACACTCTTTATAGCTTGGGAAGAAAAGACGAAGGAATAGGATTCTTTAAAGAAGTTATCAGAATATATCCAAATGAAGACAGAGCATATAATAGAATAGGTGAACTGCTGGCTCAAGAAAATAAATATGAAGAAGCTATTGAATATTTTAGTGGTGCAATTAGAATTAATCCAGATAATGCAGGCTACTACTGAAATAAAGGATATGTTCTTAATACCCTTGGCAAAAAAGCAGAAGCCACGGAAAACTTTAAAAAAGCTGTTATAATTAGTCCAAATGATATGGCATGAAATTGAATAGGAGTGCTATTAGAAGAAAAAAGACATGATGAAGTAATAGAAATATACAATGAAATGCTAAAAAACGATTCAAATAATGATGTCTTGTACAATAGGATGGGATGCGTTTTGTATAGAGGAAATAGATACAAAGAAGCAATAAAATATTTTAATAACGCAATCAGAATTGATCCTAATAAATCAAATTATTATATAAACAAAGGAGGTGCTCAGGAAAAATTAGAAAAAAATAAACGGGCTATTATCTGCTATAAAAAAGCTATAAAACTTAATCCAGATGAAGAGGTTGCGCATTTTAAGATAGGAATTATCCTATCAAGTGAAGAGAAATACAAAAAAGCAATAAAGTATTTTAATAAAGCAATTAGAATTAACCCAGATCAAAAATCTTATTATTTATTCAAATCAAGTGCTCTTATGTATCTAGATAGAAAAGAAGAAGGCTTGAATTGCTTTAAAGAAATTATCCGGATTGATCCAAACGATTCTGCTGGGTATAATGCGATTGGAAATATATTACTTGAATTATAGCTCATACCCCTATATAGATTTCTTTATCGAGCAAGATTTAATGGACTCTTGAACGACCAAAACAGACTCTTTCAGATGAGTTCAATCTCTATATCAGGAAGTTTTTAAAAAGTGACACATGTCAAAAAATGGTGACAAGTGTAAAAAAGTTGGCAAGTGAACGCGCCATAATTTAAAATGGCTTTATTATTAAATTAATTTAAAACTTAAATATAGACTTGGATTGATTAATAAATAAAAATCTTATTTTAAAAGTCTTATAAATTAATGATAATAATAAATAATAAATAATACATATAAATTATATGAATAAAACTAATCTATGATCTTTACATATTTAATTAGCAATTTTAAATGGAATTAAAAATTAAATTTTATAATAGTATAATGACTCATGAATTTATTATCGACATATGCAATTTTCATTAGCTAATATATATGGATCTGAAAATCCAAAACTTTTCGTTGAGGCTGCTTTTTTGTGAATGGATAGAATTTTAAACAAGCAATGCCAATTTTCTTATGATCAACTGAACTCCAAAAACCAAAGTTTGTATCCAGCGCTTGTGGTTATTTTTGGAGTTTGTTATCGACACTTATTATTTTCTTTAACAAATATATATGGACTTAAAAGTCCAAAACTTTTCGTCAAAGTTGCTTTTTGCGAAAGGATAGAATTTTAAATAAACAATTCCAATTTTCTTATGATCAATTGAACTCCAAAAGCCAAATTTTGTATCAAGCGCTTGTTGTTATTTACAAAGTTCCTAATGACTCATTATATGGTCTGTAGCAAATTTGAATGGAAATTAATTTAATAAATATACCGTGAGCACAGTTTTAGATCGACCTGAGAACCCCCTCCTCCCATCCCTTGACGGTTTCAGCTTTATTGAAATCTACAAATTGAATTTGACTTGTCAAATACTTAGTCAGGGACTTGTCATTTTGAATAAACAATTTCGTTCAAACTGAAAACGTAAAGGGAGTGGCGGAGGGGAGAGGAGGGGAGTTTCAGGCCGAGCCCATATCTATTCTGAAGGTATAATCGATAGGGTTACTTTTTTATGGCAAAAGAAATTTTAATTAAAACATAATATTTTATATTTATTATCTTTACTCTCATTGGCATCTTAAATTTTAAATTAATTTAATAATATAGCCATTTTAAATTATAGTGCGTTCACTTGTCACCATATTTCGACATGCCACTTTTTAACACTTCCTGATATAGAGACTGAAATCATCTGAAAGAGTCTGTTTTGGTCGTTCAAGAGTCCATTGCATCTTGCTCGATAAAGAAATCTATATAAGGGTATGAGCTATATCGAAATATGAAGAATCAGTGCAGTATTTTAGCGATGCAATTAGACTTAATCCAAATTGCTCAGATTTTTATGAAAATAAAGTAAAAGCTCTATTAATATTAGGCCAAAAAGAGGAAGCTCTGGCATGCTGTGATAAATTGATTCAGCATTTTTCAATTAATGATAATGCTTATGGTATTTTAGGGTATTTATTTTTAACTGAAGACATATATGAAGAAGCAATTGAATGCTATGATGAAGCAATTAAAATTAATATAAACAATAAGGATAAGCTTTATGCTCATTATTTTGAAAACAAGGGATTAGCGTTTTTAAGATTAGGGAAAAATGAAGAAGCTATGGAATGCTGCAAAGAAGCTGTCAAGTTTGATCCAGACAACGAGAACGCATGCTCTTACATAGGGATTATATTATTTACTAGCTTCCCTTCCATTGAACAAATAAAAAATTGGTTCATTCATGAGGGTAATTTTTATTTTCAAAAAAATTGAATATAAATAATTATTTTCAAAATTTAATTTGCAAAATTTATGCTTTAATATATAAGATTTAATAATTATCACATATAAAATCGAAGTATTTTTCATAAAAATTTTCTACATAACAAAAAATTTTTGTTTGTTCAAGGAGGGTGGCTTTTTCAATGGTTTTGCTCACAACGGAGGGGAGTGAGCATAAATATGAAGAAGCAATTGAATACTGAAATGAGGCAATTAGAATCAATCCAGAGGAAACTCAATGCCATGGATTATACGGAGATGCGCTTGGAAAATTAGGTAGAACTAAAGAAGCTATAAAAAGCTATAAAAAATATATTAGAATATCTCCAAACAATGATCAATCATACAATAATATAGGACATTTACTGCTTGATCAGAAGAAATATGAAAAAGCAATAAAATATTTTGATGAGGCAATTAGAATCAATCCAAATCAGACGGTTTATTACAAAAATAAAGCACGCGCTCTAATTAATCTAGGAGAAATCAAGGCAGCTATTAGATGCTTAAAAGAAGAGATAAGGATAAATCCAAATGAAGATGCAGCATACAGTAGTATAGGGCTGATTTTATATGGCCAAAAGAAATATAAAAGAGCTATAAAATATTATACTGAAGCCATAAGAATTTATCCTTATAATGAGAGTCATTATAAAAATGCAGCACTATGTTTCGAACAATTAGGCAAGAACCAAGAAGCAGAGAAGCTATATGAAGAGGCTGAAAAGGTAAAGAATAATCTACAGGCCATTTTAAATTAAATAATATGCTAAATAAAGTTTTTAATAATTCTAAAAGTTTTCCCTCACTTATTTGTTACTTATAGGTTCTAGGCTTTGGCATTCACTGTTTTTCATATTTTTTCATGATTTCTTTCGTCAAGTTTTCATGCTCCACAACCCATGGAATAATTTGAAGCAATAATGCAAACCCAGTGAGAGACACCACAGTGGTATAAATCCCTTCAAGCCAGCCTTTTTTCTTCTTAGCTTTCCATCCCAAATATAGACTTAGCACTAGAGAAGGGACAACATACATAATCTTGAAAATTGTGATAGGCTTGTCTATGCTTTCATATCTTTTTTCTATTAGTCCATCCTCCATCACAATTTCTCCTTTTTCGTAGGCTTCTCGAAAATATTTTCTAGCTTTCATTTATATATAGCAAGGCAGGCTAGTAATATTTCTGACCAAAATATACAGAATTTCTATTGAAAAGCATAGTAAAATTGAATATAATAATATCCTGACGCATTTATGGTAAACTCTATCATTACTATCGAAGGACGTACAGGACTATTTTTACCTTATCCTCAGCCAGGAAGTTCTTATAGGATTCCAAAGGGTGCGTCCCTACAATTTAAAATTGAGGCTTGCAGCATCAATGCTTCAAAATTATCTGTGTGTATTGAAGACCAAAAAATTAAAGCAACCCAGTCTTTGCTAGGAGATTGGACAGCGGTTTTTACGTTCAATAATGCAGGATGCACCAAAGTTTGGATTGAATATACTGAGCCAAATTCAGAAAAAACAAGTAAAAATTATGCTTAAACAGGTAAATTTCACTAAAAAAAAAAATCAATTTTCATATTGGGCGAATTTCAGCTTAGCAGGATACATAGTTATTGGGAAATTTAACTGGATTTTAGTAGACCCAGAGTTCAAGATAAGATATGAGAATTTTTCTCTAAAGCAAATCACGCTGCAGACTCTGCTTTCTAGGTGTTTAGGACCAATACAAAGATGGGAATCCATAATAAAGGAACAAACAGATATTGGTTTCAACATGTTCCACCTTACACCTATACAAGAGTTAGGAAGAACCCAAAGCTTATACTGTATTAATGATTTTCTCAAATTAAACCCAAGCTTATTTGTAGCTCCAAGTGTAAAATGTATATAGGACGAAGAAAGGTTTAAGCTGTTGGAGAATATGATTAATCTTTTTGAACAAAAATATGGGGCTGGATTCATGGTCGATATTGTATTAAACCACTGTGCAGGGTCTAGTCCTTTTCTTGAAAGCAGCCCGGAGTCTATACTTTAAAGGCTTTTTGTTTAAAATTATATTAATAAATTACTGTTTTTTTAGGTAAAAATAGGGATTTTTTTGGAGGATTAACGAGAATAATTAATTATAAAGTATACTTATAATTTGACGAATTGTCCTTATTTGAATGCTGCATATACCCTTGATAGTGCAATTAAGACTTTTTCAGACTCTTTAGCAAATGATGATAAAATGCTATATAGAAAAGGAAAAATTATTGAAAACGAAGATGATTTAGGAGAAATCATGAGAATTTTAAGAGAAAATATAATACCTAGCTTGCATTTAGAAGAGTATTTTCAAATGAAAATAAAAGATACTATGAGGAATTTCACAGAAAATGAGTGTGAAGGGGAGTCAAGCTTAGGAGATAAGCTGAAGAATAAAGGATTTAAAAAATTTATTAAAGAAAACGCACTTTTTGGAGAAGGAGAAGGGAGGTTTTCTGTAAGTATCCAGTCTTTATATAAATAAATAGCATTAATTCATGCAGAAATAAAGCAGCTCTTCCTTTCCATAAATAGCTTTCAATTAATATAATTATATAAACCCAGAAATTATTTGAAAAGCTGCAAAATCCCTGGGCCTTGAATCAGAAAAAGTAATAAAAGACGTCAACAAAGCCCTCCAAGCCATAAATTCTGGCCTCCTCTCAGACTGCCGCAAAAACATTGAAGACGCTCTAATAAGCATCGAGTGCGAAATAAGGCAGCTTAAGCTTATCTTAAGAAACACTGAAATCAGTCCCACAAACGCATTGGTAAAAAAATACTTTGTCGAGCTTCAAAATGGAGAAAAATGTGTCTGCAATGGTTTTATTATCAATAACAGTGACACACTGAAAGACATAGCTGCAAAAGAAGGTTGGCATTATTTCAGAAGAGACGTAATGGGCTGGAATGACTGTGTAAAGCTCAGATATGGAAATTCTAAAGTAGATTCCCCTGCTTTGTGGGAAAGAATGGAAAATTATGTCATGGGAATGGCAAAAATATTTAAAGGGTTCAGGCTGGATAATGCGCATGGGACGCAGCTGCAGGTGACATGCCATTTGATGAAGAAAGCAAGAGAGATAAATCCTGATTTAATTGTGATGGCTGAGCTGTTTACAAATGACCCAAAAGTTGACTCTTTGTATGTAGAACAAGCTGGGATTAATTTGCTGATAAGAGAGTCTATGCAGATAGACAGCCCTTATAAGTACCCTGAGCTATTGAATTTTTGTGCAGAAACAGCCAAAATTAATGTTTTTGAAGAAAATCAGCTGAAGCCAGTGCCGAATTATAATTTATTGTATGATTTTAGTCATGATAATTCTACACCAGCGCAGTCAAGAACTGCTGAAGATTCATTACCGAATGCTGGATTGATTTCTATGACAAATTCTGCTATAGGATCTACTTGGGGATATGATGATTTGATTCCTCGTCAAATTTCTGTTGTATTTGAGAGAAGATTTTATTCGACCCATAATGACGATTCCATAATAGAAGTCCCTGAGTATCTGATGACTGGAAGCAGCGGCATAAAAGTGCTTATTCAATTTACCACAACTCCAGGGAAAAAAGTTGAAATCAGAGGAGATTGGGATGGATGGAACCAAAATGTTCAACTCGGAGAAATTTCTCCTGGCAAATACGCAGTATTTTTAGTTTTCGATGAAATTCTCGAAGGCAAAGAGTACTGCTACAAGTTTATTGTAGACAACACCCAATGGATTTGTGACCAATCACAAAGATATATAAAATCTTGGGAAGGACACGTAAACAACCAATTTAAAATAGAAAGAAGGCTTTTCTCCAGCCCTGGAACCTTCAGAAACATCCGGCCAGTCAGGAAAATCTTTAACGATCTGCACAAGCTACTAGACCAAGAAGACTACAGCACCCAGTATATATACAATTACCCTGAAGATGTCACTGTAATAGTCCGTCAAAATCCAGTCACTTTTCAATCCTATACCATGATAGTACGGTCTTCATTTTGGCACAACAAGCGTAATACGACAGTCACAGGGATTAAGCTGCCAGGGGTCATTGACCGTATTGAGCTCGTCTGCAAGCTAGGCTTAGAGCCTTCTACCTATAAAGAAGACCCAAAAATCATCAACGGTTTACTCGGAAAATGCGAAATCATCAATTTTAACACCCACTGCACAGTAAGAAAAATCAGCCAAGAAGACCAGCTTGATTTAATTAACATCCCACCAGGATTTGTCGTGCTATTAAAAACCAGGGTGCAAGAAGAACTGAGTGTTATAGTCCTTGAGCGATTTTTTGAAAAATTGAGGGATTATGGAGCTTGTCAGGATATTCTTGAAGGACTGTGGGTGGACCAAATAAATGTCCTTTTGTGGAAATGTGTCAGGGAAGAATTTGATAATAAAAGGCAAGGAGGGTTATATCAGATTCAAGGGATTCCAGCATTAAATTATGCTGGGCTTGGAAGTGTGATTAAATATTTGCTATATGGGAATGAGAATGAGAAAAATGTGATTTGAAGCCATTTTAAAGATGGGACGTGGTATATTGAGCATGCACTTTCTAGGCTTGCACAGGTGCTTTCAGCATTGCCGATTTATCATCATTTATTTGTGGAAATAAACCATATAAGGCAGCTTCCGAAACAAATAGTCCCAGATTTGACGTTTAAGCTGATTTATTATATATTCAAAAACATTAAGCTGTACCTTTTCAATAACATTTTCAAAGATAGTAAATTATTCACAGGCAGAGAAAATCTTTATCTATCTGAGCTATTAGGTGTCGTTTCTACCCAATTCTGAGGCGATGTCCAAACTGGACGCACACATGCAGGGTTTTCTACAATCGCCAGCTCTCTTCCAAACTTCTCAGCAGGAAATACAAGAATGAAAGGAAGAGAAGCCATGATTTCAATAACAGGACTTTTATTGTGCTTAGGGAGATATAATGAAGCCAAATATATTTTAATCACTTTTGCTTCTGCAATGAGACATGGACTTATTCCTAATGTTTTAGACATGAATACCGGCAGATACAATGCAAGAGATGTTTCTTGGCTTTTCTTGCAGGCTTTGCAAAACTATGTAAAAATGGCTCCCAACGGGCATGAAATTTTTAATGAAAATGTGACAATGAAGTATAAAAGTGATAAATGGGAAGAACACACCATTTTCAGAGACTCCCCCACATTTAAGCTTTACGAGATCGTTCAAAAAATTTTACAAAAGCATGCAAGTGGGATCTTATCTTATCTTATGGTATTTATATCGCTTAACGTCCACTACGGGGTTACGACCCCAGGTTTATCACTCGCCTTTCGTCGCATCGGGCCCACCCAGTCCGCTGGGGACAGACTCGCTTCGATCTCCAAGGTGCTTCTAGGGCAAATGTCCACGTCTTCGACGGCTCATGAATGAGCTACTTGCTTGTACATGGGTTGCTTTTCCGAAAAACCCAAAAAATGGATTTTTCTGGTCGGCTATCGGCAAAAAGGAAAAATGCAAAGCCTGGGACGTAACGCCCAGTTTCACGCTAGGGAGTTGCCCGAATGGTCCAGAGGACTTTGCTGGGCTTCCCCTTTCCAACCTGCATGCAAGTGGGATCAAATTCCGAGAATGAAACGCAGGGCCTGGATTAGATTCTTCTATGAGCAGTGAAGGTTTTGATGTTACCATTGACTTAGATGCTGAGTCAGGACTGATTGTAGGAGGTTCAGAATGAAATGCAGGGACTTGGATGGACAGGCTAAAAGATGGGAAGCCTGTAAACCCTAGAGATGGTGCAGCTATAGAAATAAACGGTCTTGTATATTCCGCTATTGATTTCTTAGACAGCTTAAGCAAGACTGGAAAATATCCATTCTTTTCTGTTTATCTTGCAAATGGTGCTGAATACACCTTTGAGGAGTGGAAAAATAAGCTTAAAAGTTCTTTTGAAAAACTTTTTTGGATCCCAAAAGACTTTGTGTCTGACTATATTAGACCAGAACTTGTAGGGATTGCAGGGATTTATAAAGATACAGTAGGTAGCAAGCTTGAGCAAGCAGAATACCAGTTTAGGCCAAACCAATACATTGCAATGGCTGTAGCCCCTTATCTTTTTACCCCGCGGCATGCTAAAGCAGCTTTAAAAAGCGGCCTAAAATACCTATTTTCCAGACATGAAGATGGGCAAATCGGTATAAAAACCCTTTATAGCCCAGAACCCTCAGATCCAAGTACTTTTGTTCACAATGGAGCTGAATGAATATGGCCACTTTGCTACTTCTTAAAAGCCCTCAAGCATTTTATGCCAGAAAAAAGCCAGCTTGTCTTATCAGTTTTAAATAATTTCCAAAAATACATAGAAAAATCAGGCTGGTTCAGTCTACCAGAATATACAAGCACTTTTGGAGCTAAAGACGAGTCTTCAGAGCCAGCGTCTTCCTGCAGCATAGGAACCGCAATAGAGCTTCTTTATAGTTTCTACTAGATAATAAATTAAAATGGCTAATGAAGAACAATCAATTGAAAATGAGCTTGAAAATAAAGAAAAATCCATAAAAAGCATCAAGCCAGACCTGACCACCTTTGTGTTCCCTTCCCTTGATAAATTTGAAGAAGAATTCGTAGCAAGTTATATAGAAAAAATACCAGCTGAAGAAAGAGCTTTAATAGAGCACAATTCAAGCAAAAAGTATACAGACAGCACGTATGAAGGAGACCTTCTAGGCGACCAGAGGCATGGATTAGGAAAAATGAACTATGAATCAGGGAGGTATTACTTTGGGGAATGAAAAAATGACTTAAGAAACGGAGACTAAGAGTATAAGGTTTAAGTTCTACAGATTTGATGCCTTCACATGCTTGCGACTACAGGAGCCTGCTTCCTGGAGAAATTCAGTCATCTGTAAACTGTCTGAACAGCGGCCCACCGCTAGGACCTGGGGCTTGTACTGACATCTGATCTCGACGGATTAGAAAGACTTCTCTTGTTCCATGTCGCTCGGGTGCCATGGCGACAATGTTGAACCCGATGACTCCTGACGCCACTGTTGAGGTCCGGATAACTAATACCTGGACTGGAGTAACGCCAGCTGACTCCCAAGATTTACCCCTTATACGGCTGCTCAGAGCGAGCTAGTGGCTAAATTAAAAAGCCTAAACCATGGCTTAGGCTATAAAGCGACTTTGGGCCCAAATGGGTGCGTTGTCATCAAGGACATTTTTCATCGCCACCACCATATTAATTATGAAACGGCAGAGGAATCGAGCATTATGCCAATGGGAATAATTATAAAGGATATTTTGTTAATGGAAAAGCAGAAGGATTTGGTATTTATAAATGAACCAACGGAGAAGTATATGAAGGAGACTGAAAATGTGGGATTAAAGAAGGAAGAGGTATATGGAGGAGCTCAAAAGGCGATTATTATATTGGCTATTGGAAAGATTCTAAGGCCCATGGATGGGGAAAACATGTATGGAGCAATGGAGATTGGTATGAAGGAGACTGGGTCGCCTGCATTAAGCATGGGGTCGGGGTAGAAAAATATGCAGATACTGGAGATGAGTATAGAGGGGAATTTAAAGATGGAAAACCTCATGGATATGGACATTATTACTATAAAAACGGAAGCGTCTATAAAGGCTATTTCAATGAAGGCAAAAAGCATGGCAGAGGAAGGCTAAAGCTGCCTCAAGGGCATTTTTATATCGGGGAGTTCAAAGATGACATGAAAGATGGAAGAGGCTGCTTTACATGGTCTTCTGGGAATCAATATAAAGGAGAGTTTCGGAGAGACAAAAGGCATGGGAAAGGCTTTATGTTTTGGACTGATGGATCTTCTTATAAAGGAGACTGGCTTGAAGGAAATCAGCATGGCTGGGGAATGATGGTAACAGGAGAAGGAAGAGAACCTAAAATTGGTAGGTTTGAAAATAATCGCCTTGTCGAAAGTGTGCAATAATATTTAAAATTTATCTTACTCTATTATTTAAAAAATTAGTCGTATCAGCTTCAAGCTGACTTGAGATTTCTTTCAAATTCAAACAAATTTCCAGTTCGCTTTCTATGCTTTTTTCTTGAAGTTTTGCCTTTGAGTCTTCAGCCTGGCACCACTGTTCTAACAATTCCAACTTTTTTTCAGCGTTTTCTCTGGTACGAGTTTCTGCATCAATTTTTAATTGCTCATTGTACATTTCTTGTTGGAGCTTTACTTGGTTATCAAGGATAATATTATCTTGCCTATTCAAGTTCTGATAAGTATATCTTTTTTCATCAGCATAAGCAATAGCACCTTTTATTGCTTTTTCGTGATTTTCTTTATTTAATGCCATTGAGTCTTCAAAGTCCTTTTTTAGGTCTTTTAGAAGTTCACTGATTTTTTCAAGGTTGTTTGGATTTGAAATATTTTCATGGGTAACTGAAAGCTCTATTAAGACTTTTATAAGCGGTGATAATTCTTCTTTAGAATTCTCATCGAAACTTTTGCTGACTTGCAAGAGGGAGCTTGCAATTTTTGAAGACTCCCCTAATGTAAAACTAGGGTTACTTTGAAGAGTCTCTATCAGCCCAAGAGCTTTGTCGCAGCCTTCAATTGAAATTTCGTAGCTATGCTCTCTTTCAGCAAACCGGATTTTTTCTTTATCGACTTCTTCCCATGCAGTTTCTGACCATCGTTTAGCCTGCTCAACTTCTTGTTCCTTTTCAGGCACATAAGTAGCAGCGTCTCCTAGTAGTGGAATGATGACGTTTATCCTTTTCTGGGAATTCTCAATATTAGCCTGGGCTTTGTCAATTATAGCTAAATAGCTATCATAGTGTCTTTTACACATTTCATCATGCTTTGAATATAAGCTTTTTGATGTCTTTAGGTAGGAGGTTAGCATGGATTCTATTTGGGAGAGGAGGTCTTCAGAGGATGATAGAGATTTTGAAGCAGAAAGCTGAAGATCGATAGTATTGAGAAGTAAATTTCCATAGGGTGTGGAATCGAGCTCAGATAAAGTGGATTTAGCGACTTGAGGGTGGAGAGTTAGGAGTGTTGGATAAGTATAGAGGGATTATAAGATTGATATTAGTATTAAAAAGGTCGATACTTACTTATTTTATTTATAATTAACAAATTTATTATAGAAATAATAATGAATTATCAGTCTGATGAGTATAATAGCAAAAGCTAGTCCTAGCAAAGCTAAATAGTGATAGTTCATGCCAAATTTAAATATATATTTTCAGTTAGACGTTAATTAAAAATGGAAGTTATGCTTTTCATGAATATTAAAGGTGCATTAAAATCTATTCGATCTAGATAATAATTAAATCAGCTTTCAAAGCTAAATAATTAATATCTTATAAAGCAAAATTATACAATAATTTATGATGCTATAAAAGCCAAATTTCTAGTAATTTATTGTTTCGTCTTAATAAATCAAATACAAAACAAAAGTCTAAAGTAAATAATGCTCAATTATAACTTGAAGAAGTTTTCCAAGCAAACAAAACAATATGACCCTCTTGTGCAAAAAGAATACAAGTTCAGAGCAAAAACCATCTCTCCAAAGCGTGTGATTACATCTGATGATGCAAAAAAGGAGCTAAGAAAGGTTCAAGTAGAGCTTTATCAATCTAAGCTTCAACAAGATAAATCCACTAATTTCAACCCTTTAAATATTTTAAAATATAATATTTTGTCAATTTTTTTATATTTTTGATTGAATTAATTTTTTTATTTATAATTTTCTTCATATGCAAAAAATAATAATAAAGTGCGCGGAAGAATAAGAAGCTAACGTCCAGTTTTCTAACTTTTTCCCGAGAAAATCAAGACAAAAATACAGTAATTTTTATTCAGTTGCGTCCAACTAACGTAGACAGCCCTTCGTCAACTCGCTATAATCCCAAATTAGACCTAATTATGCCTAGAATAAGGGTCACTTTATTAAGATCTTCGTCAACTGTTCCTAGGAAATCTAAGGTCCATCTCCCACCCTGCACCGAAAACGAAGAGCTTATATGCAAATATCCGCATATTCCTATTAAATGAATTTAAAATTGTTTATATTTGAGTCCTATCCTATTTTCTTATATAAATATAATTATATTCGACAGGGAGCAACATTGTAAATATTGGATCAGCTATAAAATAGTCAATACCGAAAGATCACATGACTCAAGGACAAGCTATATTGATGCTGACGTTCTCAATGAAAAAATAAAAAATCGAAGGGAAAATCTAAGCCCAGCTCGGGAAACAGCAGGGCTTATTTCATTTGAAAAACAAACTTCAAGGACTTTTGAGAACAAACAAGCAGAAATTACTTCGCTAGATAAAAGTGACTATTTTCCTACACTCTATGGGAAATTTAAGAGGGTTCCAGCTTACGATTTTGGGAAAGCTTCTCCAAGAAAAACTGAGAAAAAAGAAATCCTCCCAGAGTATAGCTGAAGCGAAAAATTAATTAGGAAACCTTTAGATAAAGGAATCATTGATATGAGCAAAGGATCTGATAGGTTTGCAAACAAGACAGCAACTACATTTGATTCCATAAACAAAGATAAAGTAATGGTTGCTGTTAATATAGGAGGGGGTGGAGGTCAAATTTTAAATTGATAAAAATAATTAAAAAAATCATTAATGCTTTAATAGAAAAAAAAACTTGATAGACTTTTGATTTTTTTATAATTTAAATAAATTATTTGATAATATTAGCATTTTGTCTCGACCCCCTCCTTATGCTACTCCCGCATTCAAAGGCTTCTTCGCCGGATTTCAACAAATCTCCATCAAGGGAAGTAACAAGTAAAATGAGAGAAATGAAGCAAAGAGCAATTAATTTTGATTTTCTATAGCCTGAGCCTCTTTTTGGATAGGGTTATCCAACGTCTCCCGACGCTGGAAGGGGAGTTGATTCTACCAACATTTGTTGTTTAAAAAAACTCCCTAGATGGCAAATCTCCTATATAGAGTGGATTTGTCATCTGGGGAGTTACAAATGTTGGTAAAACCAACTCACTTCCAATATCGGTATAGTCCGTACCAAAAGGTGGCTCGAGCTATATAATAATTTAATTAATTAAATAGCAAGTCTTGCTAATATTAATTTATATATATCTTTTTTATTATTATCATATTATAATCATTATATATTAGTATTTTAATTCATTTTACAACTCAATCAAGCCTTTATACCTAATTTTCGCAATTATTGTTCATAATAATTAGTTAATCTTCAATTATAATAAAAATCAAAACCTTAAATTTATAAAATTATCGCTTGATTATTTAATTCATTTTTAATATAGAATTTTTCCAAATTTGGCGCTGTTTGCCCTTGATTTGGCCACTGAGAAAATTTTTTGGTTCGACCAGTACCATATGGTTTGGTCAAACCAAACAATTTTCTCAGTGGCCAAATCAAGGGCAAACAGCGCCAAATTTGGGAAAATTCTATACCTCACCTACAGTAATTTTGTCGATTATTTACAGGTCAGATTTCGATTTATGGAAACTAAAATTTTTCGGATCTGAATTGTAGTAATCTTGGCTTTCATTCAGTAGCCTTTGAATTTCTTGTTCTGATAAAAGATCTGCTGAATGAGTGTCATCTTCTTCAAGAATTGTTGGCCTTTCGCTTTGTGACTTTGAAGACCACATTGAAGAAGTTTTTTGCCACGCTGAAGCAAACACTGTCATGCATCCGCAGTTTGAGCTGAAACTTGTCCCCATAATGATTCTGCTATTACAAATAATTAATTGTTTTTAATAGTCAAATTCATACATTTTTATTAGAAGACTTTGCATAAAACTATATATAATATACCATTATAGCTCAGGACGAGCAGAAAGTTATATTGGGCTTATAGCCATTAATTATGTAGAAAATGCAATTTTTTAAATATCAGTTTTACTCAATCTTATCAAGAACTTGGAGTCAGTTTTCCTTGATGCTTAAGGGCTTCTTTAAATCCATCTAAAGTGATTTCTGCGTGAAAATCAGTTTTCAGTATGCTCCCTATCTAGTCTTGTACTTCATTATCAATTTGGTCTCTTTTTTTCAGGAAATAAGCAGAAAAACCAAGTTGCCTATGTCACGCCTCTAATTACCTTGTCACCATCCACATCAATAATTGAAAGTAGATCTATTGGAGATTTAGTCTTGAAAGGTTTCCATCAAAATAAAGAGTTCCTCCATCTGATAGCCTATTTAATAATTCTTATAAAAAAACTATAATTATTAATTTTTGTCATTTTAAAATCATTACTATAATAGCTATTCATATCTTTTAAATGTAATTTTATCAAGAGTAGTTGCATTTAAATTTAGTTATATTATATTTCTAAGCCATAATATATGCTGAATCAACCACTGTCATGTGTTTACAGTTTGACTAAAGCTTTTCAGCATAATGATTCTGGTATTATAAATATTTAATATTTCTTATTAGAAGATTTTGTGTAAAACTAACAATATAGACCATGTAGAAAGTTATTTTATTACTGAGTCTTTCTTACTCTTACCAAGAACTTTGAGTCAGTTTTCTTTGTAGAATACTGCTTTATGGCATCTTTAACTCCATCTAAAGTGATTTCTGCATGAAAGTCAGTTTTTAGGATGCTGCCGATCAAGTCTTGCACTTCATTTTCAACTTCCGATTTTTTATCAGCAGGCAGTCTGAAAAACCATGTTCCCCATGTGAGACCTCGAATCGATTTATCGCCTGAAATAAGCGAAAAAGAACTTATCTGAGGTTCTTGCCCTGAAAGCGATCCATACACATGGACAGTTCCTCCATCTAATAATAAATTTATCATGTCCTGAGTCTCAGTCCCTGAAATGCAATCAAATCCAATTTTCGTACCTAATTGACTTGTCACTGCTTTCGCTTCGTCTTTCCAGCCATCTTTTGAAGTGTTAAAAACATGCTGTACACCAAGAGAAGCCAGCAAATCAACTTGCTCTTGCCTTTTCACTAAGCAAATAGGAGAGATATTCAGAGACTGACACCATCGGATCGCCATTTTCGCTAGCGAAGAAGCTGCAGCATTAAATACAGCTGAAGTTTGTCTTCCTTCTTTCAACCTCTCAATCATTATAGCAACGGTGAGAGGATTTATAAGTAAGCTAGCTCCTTGCTCAAAGGTAACAGAATCTCTTAAAACAACCACTGTAAACGCAGAAGTAACCAAATACTCAGAAAGTGCTCCAAAGCCTCCTTGCAGTGGAGATAATGCAGCAACTCTCTTTCCAACAAGAGATTGCGCATATGGATGACTTCCACTTCTAATAACAGTGCCACTTCCTTCAAATCCGAGAATTTTTGGAGGCGGAGGAATCCCATGATGCCCTGTAGCCAGCATTAAGTCAATAGGATTGATCGGGGCGCACTCTATTTGAATTAAAACCTGATTCTCTTCTAAGCTTGGCAGAAGAACTTGTTCAACCGATATTGAGTCAAGGTTTCCTAACTCATGAATCACTACTGCAGTTGTCGCTTGAGTCGCCATTATATAATTATCTCCAATGGGTTTATCAATAAAAATATGGTAAGCAATGGAGAAAAATAAGGCAAAAATGCTGATAAAGTAAAATTGTTAAAATTATAAGCAAAACTCAGATTAAAATTGCCTTCACTTTAACTAATTCTTGAAGGCTTATTGTATGTAAATCATATAAAAATTTACCTCATGCTTTTCTATATAGTTGCTGCTAAAAGAAAGCAAAGAATATTAAGGCGTTAAATCATAAAGAAAAGATAGCTTTTAAGCTCTTCTTAGTCTTACTAAGAATTTTCTATCTGTTTTTCTTTCAGAATACTGCTTAATTGCATCTTTAACTCCATCAAGACTTACCTCTTCATTAAACTCAGTTTTCAGCACATCCCCAACCAAATCTTGAAGCTTATTCTCAATTTCAGCTCTTTTTTCAGCTGATAACCTGAAAAACCACTTTGCCCATAACAAGCCACGCACAATCTTATCTCCAACACTAAGAGGGATTGAGCTTTGTCCAGAAAGTACTCCATACACATAAACAGTCCCTTCCTCTACCAATAAATCTATCATATTTTGTGTTTCATTCCCAGCAATACAATCAAATCCAATTTTCGTCCCTAGCTGATTTGTCAATGCTTTTGCTTCATTTTTCCAGCCCTCTTTTGAAGTATTAAAAGCATGCTGAACTCCTATAGAAGCCAAAATATCGACTTGCTCTTGTGTTCTTACTAAACAAATAGCAGTGATATTTAACAATTTGCACCATTTTATAGCCATTTTCACGATTGTAGAAGCTGCAGCATTAAAAACAACTGAAGTGTGGCTGCCTTCTTTTAATTTCTCTATCATTAAAGCTACAGTAAATGGACTTATAATCAGCCCAGCTCCTTGTTCAAAAGTAACAGAATCTCTTAAAACAACGACTGAGTATGCTGAAGTCACCAAATATTCAGAAAATGCTCCAAAGCCTCCTTGTAACGAAGCTAAAGCAGCTACTCGTTTTCCAATAAGAGATTGCGCAAAAGGGTGGCTTCCACTTTTAATTACAGTGCCACTTCCTTCGAACCCAAGAATTTTTGGAGGTGGAGGGTTTCCTAAGTGCCCTAAAGCAAGCATTAAGTCAGTAACATTGATTGGAGCACATTCCATTTGGACGATAACTTGACTTTCTTCTAATTCAGGTAGTGGAACTCGGTCAACTGATATTGAGTCGAGATTTCCAATCTCATGAACCACTGCTGCAATTGTAGTCTGAGGTTCCATTATACTATAGCCAGTAAATTTATCAATAAAATATACGAAATAACAGATAATTGGTGTAGAGAAAAACAAGAATAAATAATTTTCTGATAGAAAGCTTATTGATATAATTTCTGATTATTGATAATTTTTATAGCTAGCCTTTTTTAATAAGTATAATTTTGATATTGATAAAAAATAGTTTAGCTTAAATTGTACCTTACACCCCATTTTGAATTATGATTATAATAGAATCTAAATCCACTTTTGATCCCTTTTTATAAATTAAATTCTGTGCTATATCTCTAAGTATAAAATCCTGCTTTTTTCTGTATTACCTTAGTTGTGCCCGATATTATATACAGCTAAAACCAACAGCTTTAAAATGGAAAATAACTTTTCATCTCCTCCCCAAATCTTTATAGATTTAATTTGCAAGCTCATCAGTTTCTTATGCTCATCCAAATCCCAGCCATCTAAATCACCAGCCCAAGAAAACAAGTTTTTGAGGGTTTCCACATCAGATCACCAAACAGTCCGAGAGAAAGTCCTTTCAGCACTAACCGCTCCCAAAGCTCAAAAATTTGAATTTGGCATAGAAATTATACAGAATACAGAAGGCTGTCATCCTTTTCTACTCGAAAAGTGGGTATTCATTCTGATGCAAAACCCCCGATATATGAAAATATCCCAAACTGAGTTAGAACAAAAATGTTCTTCTGTCCTTCGTTCCTTGATTTCTGGAAGCCTATTATTGCCAGCAAACTGTCATAATAAATCATCAATTTCAATTTCCTTCAAAAATTCCTCAGATGCCTTTTCCTCATGAGATTCAAATATTTCGCCTACAGAAATTTTGCGTTTTCCAAGTCACCCTATTAAGCTGGAATCCAAAAATCATAAGCTCTTGATTTTTTCTGAGTATATTGCAAAGGATATGCAGCCAAAAATAATAACTCAGCATCCACACCACAGGCCTAGACTTTCATCTATTTTTATTGGAGGTAAAGATATTTCACCAAACTCGTCTATAAGCACTGATATTTCGCTGCCAAGAGAAAGAACGTGCAAAAGAACAAAAACAGCGGTGATATCCTTGATACTGTCGACAAGTTTTGAGGAAGATGAAACTGGATTTAGGCCGTTAAAAAATATCCTTCTTACAAGTGGAACTAGAATTCTTCAAACACCAATTTCTTATATTATATATTAATATTAGAAATGAATTTTATATATTTTAGGGGGTTTACTCTAGAAGAGATTAATTTTTCAGGAATTTTCATGGGTGACGAGATAGAAGATGAAGAGTTTGAGGACGACAGCTTTGAGTTCAGAGAGATTGATGAAGGCGAAAGCACGAATTTTGAAGACTCACATGTTTTTGAGTACTGTAAAAAATGTAATAAAATGAGAGACTCCAAGCTCTATGGCGGAGATGAAGATTTTCTTCAAGAAACTCTTAAGCTTGTCAGCTATTGGAAATCAGCCAGAAAAACAAGCCTATAACCTATAATTTCTAATTAACCTTAAAATTGTCTCCGTCATCCAAAAATGAAATCCATTATAAATATCTGACAAAATGACTGATTACGACCTATTTAACATTCATGACTTAGACCCGATCCCTGACTACTTCTCATTTCAAGACACAATCGACTCGTTTCAAGACCTCCCCAAAAAACGCCCTATTGACCAACTAGATGAATCCAGTTTCCTTCCAGGAACCCTCGAATATAAAAAAGCTCGGAAAAAAAGGCAAAATCGAGAAAGTGCTTCTAGAAGCCGAGCAAGGAAAAAGATAGAACTGACAAGTTTGGACACGACCCTTTCGCAGATTGCAGAAATAAACCAAAAGTTGACGTTGGAAAACGCAGCTTTAAAAGCTGAAAATGGCATGCTGAAAAAGGAATTGGAATTTTACAAAGGGTTCGTAAAGAATGATGAACCAAAAATGAAAGGAAATAAAGCAAGCACAGGCTGGCTGGCCGTCAGTGTGGTTTTATCGATGATATGTATGGTATTGGTTACACATGAGGAAGGAGGGCAGGCTGTTAATATGGGTGGGAGAAGTTTGAAATCTATGAAGCAGAATAAGTTTTTGAACAATGAGGAAAGCAATTATTCGATGATAATGGTGGTTGTACTGGGGTTGGCGGCTGCAGCTTGTGCGTGGAAGTATTTCCATAAGTAATTTAATTGTACTTAAAATAGCAAATATCAAGAAATTCTCGCTTTTGACATGCTAAAGAAGATGGATATTATTTATATTTTCTTTAATTTTCCAAAGCATGATTTTGAAGCAGATAGAAATTCATATAATTTAGCTAAATATAAACTTGTCAAATGGCGCTGAGCAAAGAAATAATTGCCAATAAAATAGCCCCTCGATAATATTATTTTCACTGACAAATTTATATTGCAGATGCTTATATTTAATTTTCCACCTTATAATTGCTTATTTCATTATTTTCTTTTAACTATCCTAAAAGCCAGATCTCAAAATATTTTTTATTTCCTAAAATAATCAAGATTTATCCAATTAAGCTAACTCCCCCCCTTCCGTGAGTGAACAAAACCATTAGAAAAATCCCTATTTTTTGACCAAAAACCCACCCTCCGTGAGTGAACAAAAATTTTTTTAATAGAAAAATTTTTAAGGAAAAAAAATTTAATATATAAATGATAATTAGTATAATGAAATCTAGAGCTAATTCTGTTTAATTTTTAAACGAATTGCTTTTTAAAACATAAATTTTATAAAATAAAATTAATATTTGCTTTCCAATTTTTGCAAATTAGGATTTTTTTAAATTTCGAAAACAAATATTTTTTAGAAAATTTTATATATAAATTTTTTTAAAAAAAAAAAAATTAACCCCCTCCGTGAGTGAACAAAATTTTTTTGTTCACTCACGGAGGGGGGGGGAGTAAGATAATTGATTATAATTATTTAATACAGTTCTTCTAATTCTCGCTTATTCTAATTCCCATACTATTTCCCGAATGTGAATATTTTTCATAAAGGCTGTCAAACGGTTTCTCGAACGTATTATCTTGGTTAAAGCAGCTTAGCTCCTCTATAAAAGAAGAATCTAAGTTTTTCATTGCTTTTGTAAGCTCGATTTGTAGCAATCTCTGTTGCAGTGATAATAGCCCAGATCTGGCCAAAAGGCTTCTTGTGTTCAAATAGTCTAATTTATTAAGTCCATCGTCACAAGAACTTCTTACAGGGTTATTTGACCAATTTCTAGGCTTCGGTTTAGCTTCTACGCTGGTATTAGCTTGGGCTTTGGCTTTTGTATTCTTCTCCATTGCGTTTCGATTATAATTTGCAGCTTTCGTCGAAATTACGTAGATTTTGGCGAAGTCATATTTATGATTCGGACTTGCTCTTTTGCTTTTTGACGTACGGGCTACCGGTAAATAAGGAGAATTCAGTTTTCCAAGACTCTGGGACATGATTTATTATAGATATACAAGGCTCAGAAAATGGGATTATTTTCTTATTCAAAAGATAATTGGCTCAAATAATAAGAAATTAGTGTTTTTATTGGATTTTTCTTTATATTTATAGCTGGATTCGTAATTTTACAGCTTACTTCTTCTGAAAATTCCTTTTTCTTTATCCACCTGAAACAGTTCAGTAAATCAAAAGGTCAAAAAACCTGTTTTATACCAAATCTAAGAAAATGCATAATAAACTCTATTACTTATTTTTTATTATAAAAAACTCATCTATTTTCCTAGGCTTCGCACTTTCCACAAAATCAGGCGGATCACTCAAAGTTTTCCCAATCCCATACTGAGTCCATTGCAAGTGTGTCGCATTGTGTATTATCAATTTTCCATATCCCAAGCATTCGTCTATTGATACGCTCCACACCATTGGCTCTTCAGTAGCACGTGACGGGTCATCTTCTCTGTCAAAACTTCCCCCAACCCCATTAACAATATATATAGGAGCTGGCGGGTTTTCAAAAATATTTTTCCCATATTGCATAGTCTCATTTTTATAGACAGGCAGCGTCCTTTCATATAGGTGCACATCTCCTGCTATATATAGATCTACATGATATTCTATTAGTAAATCTTCTAGATACTTTGATAAGACGTGGCAATATTGTGTGCAAGCTGACATACAAACTCGACAGTCAGGATTTGGGCTGCAATAAATAGGTCTATGGCTTATTATAACAGTCCATCTCTGTTGGTTGTTTTCTAAGTCGCTTTTTATAAAGTCCATTTGGTCGTCAAGCATTTTTTGGGTGTGAAACCTCCCTACAAAGCTTTCTGAGTCAATCATAAGAAAATGAGCCTGACCTAAATTAAAGCTATAATAAAGACCTTCTCCAATAGGTTTAAATAGTGCCTTGTAGTGGGTAAAATTTGTATAGCTCTCATGGTTGCCAGGGACTGTCATATAAGGAAACCTTGCTGCGAAATACTCAATTGACTGCATATAATGGTCAGCCATAAGCCCATTGTAAGACCACAAGTCATAGCTGATATCTCCAGAGTGCAGCAGCAAATCATACCAGTCTAATGATTTAGATTCTTGCAAGAGATGGGACAAAATATTAGCTCGCTTTGATTTTGAGTAATTATCAGCAGGATCTGGGTATGAATTTGTTTGAAAATCTCCAAAAGAAATAGCAGTAATCTTGCTGTCTTTGTCTGGAGGGCCTTTAAACACAAATTTTGCAGAATATGTAAGAGTTTCTTGATAAATGCAGATAACTTGATAGCTATAGTGATGGCCAGGGATTAAGTCATTTATTATCGCTGTGTAGAAAAATCGTTTATAATGCTTCCCTGTGTTTCCAAAATATTCTAAAGGACTTTTCATGGTAAAATTTACCTTAATTCCTTCAATGTCAACCCAGCAGTTTTCTGGGTCGTCTTTCATGACTCACATAATATTCATTGAGTTTTCAGTGCTCCCAAGGGCTATATGAACTTGCTCAATTTTTTTAGTGCGGGAGAGAAGATTGAAATTAATCTTGGGAGCGTCAGTGTAGTATATGATGAAGATGATATTGATAAAAAATAAGGCAATAAACCCGATTAACAAGGCAAATTTTTTATCCATCTTCTTATTTATTTAACTGTTTCTAATCCAATTCTAATTCAATTGGCCCATGATTTATAAAAATGCCTGGACACTTAAAAAATAGGTATAAAAAAATTTATTCCAAATAGATGAAATCTAGAGAGAAGCTCTCTACTCCCCCCCCCCCCCTCCGTGAGCGAACAAAAAAAATTTTTGTTCGCTCACGGAGGGGGGTTAATTTTTTTTTTTTAAAAAAAATTATATATAAATTTTATAAAAAATATTTTTTCGAAATTTAAAAAAAAATCCTAATTTGCAAAAATTGGGAAGCAAATATTAATTTAATTTGCAAAATTTATGTTTTAAAACGCAATTTGTTTAAAATTAAACAGAATTAGCTCTAGATTTCATTATACTAATTATCACTTATATATCAAAATTTTTTTCCATTAAAATTTTTTCTATTAAAAAAATTTTTGTTCACTCACGGAGGGTGGGTTTTTGGTCAAAAAATGGCGATTTTTCTAATGGTTTTGTTCGCTCACGGAGGGGGGGGGAGTTTAAGAAAAAGCCTTAAGGTCCCTCAAACCTTGTCCCCAAACCTTGAAAACTTATCTTTTGATAACTCGCCTCAAGGAACTATTAATGTGTCCATGAATGAAGAAGAAAGTTTTTTAGACTCAAAACAAAGCACTCCAATCAATAATAATGCATCCACCCCAAAATTTAATTATTCAAGGCGAACTACTGATTTTCGGTACTGACACCCTCCTGGATCACGCTCAAAAGAGTCCTCAAAGCCATCTACTCCTATAATTCCTATAAAATGCCAAGACTGCATGAAAGCTTCCTGTATTTGTGGAGAATACAGATTTCATAGGACTATTAAAAGTTCTAGTGGACTTACAGCAAACCATTTCAAATTAGAATTGATGCAAAGCGAAAAAAGTTTTAAATGCAAAGCGCCTGAGTCTATAATGAAACCTGCTTTACAAAAGACGCTGCTTTATACTTCTTATAATACTATGAAAAAAACGCCTAAAAATGTCCTGTACGATTTAAGGATTCCTAATAAAATTTCAATAGAAGACGCATTTAAAGATACAAAGCCACTGACTATGCCGTGAAAACCCTTTTTAAAAAAATCTTTAGGACTGATGGTCAATGAAAAATCGAAAAAAAATTCGCCAAGTTTGAAAGAAAAAATCGTGAATTTGGGTATGAAATATTTATCATCAAAAAAATACGCAAGTGAAAGCACTAAAATGGTGAATATTTTGTATTCACTTATAAGGACAGGAGATCGATATAAAGATATATCGAAAAATAGGAAGTTCGCAGAGAAAATAAATGATATTGCTGAGTTTTTAGTAAAACACGAAAAAGCACTGAATATTGAAAGAAATTTGTTTGGGGTGAGCGGAAAGGATATTGATGAACAAAAAATGAATAAACTTTTGGTTTTCAGGTTTCATAGGTTTGCATTGTCTTTAAGCCAGGAATTAATAATGTAATTAAATAGTTTAAAAGTTTATATAATAGACAAGTGCTGACTATGCATCATTTATAATAAGACACTGAACTTCAATGTGCTGCTAATAGCTTAATTTTATATTTCAGTTTTAAGTAACTCCCCCCCCATCCTTGATCCTTGATCGAACGACTCGCCATCGTTCGATCAAGGATGGGGGTTAAAAAAAAATTTTTGGGAAAAAAAAAATTATATATAAAATAAAAATATATATATATATATATTTTTTTTTTATTTACTTTTAAATAAGAGGGTTTAAGAGTATTTAATAATTATTTTTACAACAAAAAATTGAATTAATTTCATAAAATACCAATTTTTAATATTTTGATTTATTAGTTACCCTTTTAAACCGTATAAATTTTAATTTGTTCCTTATTGAATTAAATTTTTTTTAAAAAATTTTAAAGAATCTCTCTTTTATTAGATTATTTAGTTTTTAAGCCTAGGTTGATGACTAAATCACTTCGGATGGTTGATCTCGCAGCTTTCTGTCGTCTCAAAGCTCTGAAAACAACTTCATTAGGTACATCTTCCCAAGCTTTTGATTACTATTATATTTTTATATATATACAAATTTGCATGATATGAAAATCGTTCGATCAAGGATGGGGGTTTAATTTTCCCAATTTTTAGGAATTTTTTACAGTCAATCGTTCGATTAAGGATGGGGGGAGTAAGCAAAAATGGATAAAATTTTTAGGAAAATTCTGCATAATTTAATTGCTTTTGGATTCTTAAAGCTAAGATATGGATTTAAAAATTATAGAAAAAAGATTAAAATTTAGGATGCCGATTTTTAGTTGTACTTTTGCATGCAAAATAAGTCAAACTCGACACAATTGCTATCAAAACCAGCCCAGGAGTTGACAATATGACATTAAGTAAAGAGTCTTCATCGCGCTCTATTACATTCTGCTCAACAGCTTCATAGTCATATTGATCAAACTCCTCTTTTCTCTCAACCTTAATTGGCTTTTTGCGACTTAACTCCTTCAGCTCCTGTATTTTCTTAATCCTCTCAGTCTGTACATATAGCTCCAGCCCATTTCTGCTCGCTTAGGAGCAATACCTTTGCCTATTGAATAGGCCGCGAAATGTCAATTTTTCTGGCAAATACAATTTAAAATTGGTAAGTACAAATTATAGCTCATATTTACCAATTTTTAATTAGCCTATTCAATAAACATAAGTACTACTGCTAAAGAATCTATAAGGGGCCTTAAGCTATAATAATCTGTATCCGTTAGCTCCCCTTTAACCAACACAATTGCATTGATTTTCGGGTTATCCTTCTCCCCCTTCACAAACTCCACCTTTATTTTTCCATTTTGTACTGAATTTTTTGACTCTTTTCCATTTATCAATATTTTTTCTCCTTCATATTTAAATTTAATAAATTCGTCATAAGCGGCATTTTTCCCAACCTTGGCATATATGTCTAAGTCTTTCACGACAAAAGTGTCCCCAATTTTTATGAAAAATTTTTTTTGGCCTTCGCTGTTAAAATAAATTTCTGAAAATTTGAGAATTAAAACGTAGTTTCCTGGCTCTTCAATTGGGATTGAGTAGCTGAAGTCTTGGGTATCATACCTTTCTGTTTGATAAAGCTCTGGAGATTTTGTCATTTTTACCTTTAATTCAGACCCAGCGTCATTTGAGACTCCTGAGGAAAAACCTGTGTCTTTTTGATACATAATACCGTCAGAGGATGTTATTTGGCCGCCGCCGCAATTTATGGCATATTTCACTCGAGTTGGGTCAAGAGCAAAAACAAATGGAATTAATAAGCAAAAGATACCGACCATATTTCAAAAAATTATTAGAGAGGAATGGTCTAGCTTTATTTTAAATTAATGAAGCAATTGTTTAGGCAGAAGAATAGAAGGTCTTAATAAATTGATTATTATACAAAAAAAGAGCTGAGGATAACTGAATTTATCAATTCACAGAGCCATGATAGAAAGCATGTCATAAAAACCAATATATTTTATATCAAAAAATACTACAATAGACTTTATATCCGATCAAAGTGCAAATGGAGGTATGTCTTGTTGACTATTTATCCAAGCACATTTATTTAAATTCTATTAGAAGAGCTTTGCCATTTTCCAATGAATCACATATCAATTGTCAATTTTACCATAGATATTAATAAAAACTGTGCACTTTTATTTTTTTTACTAAATAATAATGCTATTTCATTGCCACGCTAAATTCTATATGCAATTTATCAAGCTTTTAAGCAGTCCATTTTAAAATTTTTTTGTCTAATATTTATACATGGTGACTGCCTTTCAAAGCCGAAAATTTACTAGTTCTCTTTCAAGCTCCAATGATGCATCATTGGAGAAATCATGCCACCTCTGTTCCAAGCCTCTTGAAAAAGCCAAAACCAAAATCTGTGCTTCTTGCTCAAAACCAACCTGTAAATATCATTCAAGAATAAACAGAAGCGGCCTAATTGTGTGCTATAATTGTATGTACGAAGAAATAAAAACAAATTTAATTATAGAGAAAAATAAACAAATTGCCATATACAACACAGATTTAATAGACATTGCAAAGCAAAGGAAAGAACTAAAACATGACATCAAAGAAAAAACTTCAAAAATCCAAAAGCTAGAAAAGCAGCTGCAAAATATAGAAAAACCGTTTGAAAACAAATGTGAAAATATTAATAGAAGGATTGAGTCAGAAATTAAGTAAAGTATTCTAGACGATGACCAGTAATTATTATTTATGATAAAATAATTAAAATTCACATCAAAAAGTATATAATGAGCCTAATCTTAATCTTAATTAACTTGCTTTAAGTACTCATCATGCATAGTCCTTTGGCCATTTCCAAGCTTGGTGCCCGATAAAGAAATCGCTGTCCAGTTCCTATCTCCACCTATCTTCTAGAGGCGCTAGACGGCAGTATCCTCGAATCTTCGCCTGCTCTAACCTACAGTATGTCTAACTTGGGTTACCTGCCATGAAAATTCAGAAAATATATTTTCCAGCCGTCTCGTCCCGATATGGAAACGAGCGACAAGCGGTCCCCAGTAAATTTCTAATGGATTAGTAATGCTATTCGCTGACATCTCTAGACTTTGATGAATATACCCTTTCCAATCTCATGTTCCATCCATCAATCCCAAGAGTTAAAAACCCAGCCTAGAATTCAGACTTGGGCAAAGTGCCACTACTCACTCAGCATTGCTGCCTATTTCTCTGCTTGGAAAACCTCGCTGGCATAATTAAATATATGTCGAGGCTGCATGGCCTCTCGGCCATGCCTGGGTCAAAGCACCATATATAATTATGTATATAATGAGTCAATTCAAAATGAACTCACGCAACTAGAAACAGTTTTCCGTGACGCTGAAAGGACAAAAAATGCTATGAAGAATAAGTTATTAGAAACAGAAGGAGAAATAGAAATTCTTAATAAAAACAGAATGAACCTAGAGTGTGGGAAAGATATGCTGCTAAATAGGCTGAATGTCTTGATGGCCGAAACCAAAGAATTAGTGCCTTATATCAAATTGAGAGAATTTCTATGTGGAAAATGCAAAAGAGCCATAAAAAGAAGATTTTCAGAGTACATAATTGGTAGCATTGGACAAGACCAAAGCAGAAGTATTTTTGAAAGCGTCATAAATTACCAGAAAAGTGTATTAGTAGGATATAACTCAAGAAAGATAAAAGATGAGCCTTCAGAATCTTGCAACTGCGATATCATGTAAATTCAGTCATGGCTTATAATTTTTCAAGAAAAGGCCATATAATTTTAATTAATATGGGATTGAATTATAAGTTAATTTACTTTAAATGGATAACTCTCATTCTACTCACTCCACCTCAGCCTAATTCTTAGAATTCGTGGATTTTAATTAAATTAATCATTAATTATTTATTGGATGCAAAAATTCTGTTAAAATTGAATTTTAGTATATTCTCCTATTTTTCTGGGGGAGAGTCAAAGTTTGATTTCTGCACCTTCTAAATGAAGCTGGTCATATGGAGTCAATGAAGATGCGGGCCCAGGAAGTCACAATATACCAAACACCATTGGATCACAGTCTTACAGATACAGAAATTCCCCTCTCCCAACAATTCCAAAAGCAGAAAAAGGCAGTAAAGTCTACTATTCTCGATCCCTCAGCAAAGAGTTTTATGGAGCCCATTCACCTCCTCTCAATGCTTATAGCCCAAATGTATCGCTAACAGAAAAAGGTGAAGTTTCAGTTAAATTTGGCTCAGGAAAGCAAAGGGATTTGCAGTTTATTGACTCTTATAGAGACAGATCTCCTGGGCCAATCTACAGGTATAAAACCTCTATAAATCAAGATACCCACATTGGAAGCTCTTTTTCAAGAGCTCCAAGAGATATTACACCATCCGCAACTCCAGCTCCAAATGCTTATTCCCCAATACTAGCTCCCCGTTTAAAAATTGAAACAAAATATCATTAATTCTTTTTTTTTTGAGAAATTAACCCCATTATATTTTTTATTTGAATGGCTTTAAAGTGTGGGGTAAGATCTCATGACTCTTATGCTACTATAAAAGGAACATATTCACCCGATAAGGTTTACGCAAGAAATTACGAAAGATACTTAAAAGGACGGATAAGTCCTGGACCTAAATACAACGTAAGCGATACCAAAATTTTAAAAAACACCTACATGTCAAAAGTAGGCAGAGAAGCCTACGAAAGTAACTAATATTTAGTAAAGCGCGAATTGCCAGGTCCTGGGACTTATTTCGCTGAACCTGACCTCCACAACAAGTCCAAATCAGTCTCTTTCGGAACAGGGACTCGGAGTGTCGACGTGCGAAACTGTACTTTTTACATAGATGGGAGGTCTGACGAGATGTACCGATTTTAGCTGTTAAATTAATAAAAAATCCAATTAATCTTAAACTGTAAGCTCATATTTATTAAAGTAACTGAAATGCGTGGAAGAGGAAGAGGTACCAAAGGAAGGAATATCCTCAGAAACCCAACCATGGCCCGACAAAGAGACGAATCCAAACAAGAAGAAAGCACAATCCCAGAAGACGACCTTATCAGTGAAGCCGCACAAGGCCTAAAAGGAATCGACGACACTCCGCGCTTAAGCGAAAAAGAGCTGGAATCTGAAGTCGAAAGAATCCTAACTCCTTCAAACCCTCAGGCAAGCCAAAACATTTCGTTTTTTTCTTATAAAGAAAGAGTCTTCAAACGAGACGACTTGGTAGACCAAATGGTCATACATTTCTCCTTAGATGGGCATTTCTTGCTTAAAGACAGTAATGAGGCAAGAGACCAGGAAGAATTTATTGATGCCAAAAACGTGGAGGCGGAAAACTTGATCAAGGCTTCTTCAGTAGAAACTGGAGGAAGCTTACAATTAAGCCAAGAAGCACTGCTGAAATCTTTGAGGAATCAATTCAATTATGCAGAGAGGACCTCTCAGTCTTTTACGATACCTCCTAAAGAAAGAGGTATCAGCACAGAGCCACCACCAGCAAGGAGTTTTTCAGGGACTGTGACACAGTGGGATATTTATGATAATTTTATGGCTGAGCTTGATAAAAAGAGGCAGCAAGAGCATGTAGAGAAAGAAAAAGAGAAGGAGCCGAAAAAGAGCTCGAAGAAGAAAGTGGGAGGGAGAAAAGAAGACCCAATGTATTCCAGTGAGATGAGCTATGCATTAAAAATCATGGAAAGAATGGTCAATCAGAATGATTTGCAGAACACCTATGACTTTTAAGCAGAATAGCTGATAAATTAATATATATTTAAATCAACCTAATTTATTTTAAAAAATATACAGTATCTATAAATATTTTGATGGAAACGCTGACAACCACCGCACAAGTGAAGGATCTTTAAGTGATCTTTGGATTTTTGGGTCAGAAAAAACAAAGAAAAAAGAAGTGACAGCGCTAGCTTGAAATCCCCGCTATCACGATATGTTCGCTGTAGGTTACGGTTCATATAGCTTCATGAAAAAAGCTACAGGGCTGATTTGCTGCTATTCACTGAAAAACACTCGGTACCCTGAGTATTTCTTTACGACCCAGCATGGAGTTATGTGCTTAGACTGGCATCCTCAGTACCCTGCTCTACTCGCAGTCGGCTTATATGATGGAACTGTATTAGTTTACGATGTCCGTGCCAAGCATAAAAAGCCTATATACCAAAGTACAGTTAGGACTAATAAACACACCGACCCAGTCTGACAAGTGAAATGGCAAGACGAAGACTTAATGAAAAATCTCAGCTTTTTTTCTATTTCAAGTGACGGAAGAGTCACAAATTGGGTACTGATGAAGAATAAGCTGGAAGCTGAAGAAGTAATTAAGCTGAAATTGGTGTCTGGAGCTAGAGAAGGAGAAGAAGACGAGGTCGCGCTAAGTGGGCTGGCAGGAGGGACTTGCTTTGATTTTAATCCGTTCCAGGAACATTTGTTTATTGTAGGGACTGAAGAAGGGAAAATCCACAAGTGCAATAAAGCGTTCAGTGGACAGTACTTAGAAACATATGACGCCCATTTTATGGCAGTTTATAGTGTCAAGTGGAACAAATTCCACCCAAAAATATTTTTATCTGCAAGTGCGGACTGGACTGTAAAATTATGGGACCATACCATTAAAGCACCACTCCTTACTTTTGACCTTGGAATTGCTGTAGGTGATGTGGCGTGGGCGCCTTATTCGTCAACTATTTTTGCTGCTACAACAGCTGATTCTAAGTGCCATGTGTATGACCTAGCTCAGGAAAGGCTTTCTGAGATATGCGACAAGCGGGTGAAAAATGGCAAATGCAACCATATATCATTTAATCCTACCCAGTTTATTATTCTTGTAGGAACTGATCGTGGGACTGTCTATTCCTTTAAACTTTCTCCGAATTTGAGAAAGGCAAGTCAACTGACTGAAGAAGACGTAGCAAAAGGGGTCACTCAGACCCAAAAAGAATGCAAGAAACTAGAAGAAATTTTGTCTTCAATTGACAGAACCGTTTATTAAGATTTTACTATTAAATTATAATAATGATAAAAAACTCGACTGAAAGCGAAATCACCTTAGAATCATTAGAAAAGAAACTCGTTATAGATTTTGGCCACCGGTCAAGAGTCTGGCTTGTAGAGCACAGGCACAACTTTTATGCTCTAAAAGAAGTCCCTAAAGCAGGTCTTTGCGAAGCTGAAGTCAGACACCTATTTGAAGAAAAACTTGCATTAAGCAGTCTCAAACACCCAAATATTATTAAGCTCATAACTACTTTTAAAGACCACACAAACATTTATTTTCTCTTAGAACTTGCAAAAGGTGCACCGTTAAGCCACATATTAAAGCAGCAGCGAAGATTTCCTCTTGAGCAAGTCCAATCAATTGCTTTACAAATTGCCTCAACTTTGTCCTACATCCATACTGAAGGATACATCTACCGCGACTTAAAATTATCAAACGTTTTATTGGACGACACAGGAAAAGTCGTCTTTGTGGACCTTGGATTATGCAAAAAGATTGAAAACGAAAAGTAAAATTTATATAGGGCGTATACAGTCACTGGAACCAAGCATGCAATGAGTCCTGAAATGTTTAAACATTTAATTGATGGGACTGAGCCAATAGGCTACAGCTATGAAATAGACTGATGGGCACTTGGGATCTTGACTTATGAACTTTTGAAAAGCAGCCCGCCCTTTGGACTGTATGGCGAAGACTTATTTGCTCATATTTTGAGAGGACTGGATTATGTTGATATGGCGGAAATACCTGAGATTGCTTGTGATTTCATTAGGAAATTATTGAACCCAGATTCCAGTCAGAGATTAGGACATAACAGCTCAAATGAAGTACTAGACCATCAGTTTCTGAGGACGTCTCCTCCTTTAATAGTGCCGAACTCAACTCAGCTGCAAGTGATACAATCTTGATGTGAATTTATTGACCCTTCAGAGACTGTTTCTGAGCCAAATTTATTTATTGAATTTTAATTTTAATTTAATGATTTTCTTTTGGATTATTATTGTGATGCTTAAGGCTGTGCTTAGTCATGCCTTAAATTACTTTTGTGCTTAATTTAAAGAATTATTTCTTAATATGAGACTCCTAGAAGCTTTTTCATTGCAAAAAGATGGCCAACATAATTTTTATGCAACTCTATATCGGTTTAAGCTCACAAGCTTTTTTCTTTTATAAAATTTTTAAGCTAATTATGATTCTACAAATCAATTATGGTAGAACCCAAGTTTATTCTTTTACCAAAAGAACCAATTATTTTACATGGAGAACTAGCCAATTTTAAGTGAAAAAGCAGAATTGATCCTCCCATAAAGTCTTCCTATTTAGCTATTTGTATTGCTTACCTTGAGTCTCTTCTTCGAGTAAAAGACGTCGAAGTCTACAGGTCATCTTGAATAGCTCTTGGGAATTACAAAAAAGAAACAGATGAACTGGTAAAGAAAAGACCTAATTATAGCAATTACTGAACCCAGTTCGATAAAATCATTGAATCTTTTAATAATCCAAAGTTTAAACCATTACAGCTTCTTAGACTGTACGCAGAACGAAATCACTTACTCCCCCCCTCCGTGAGTGAACAAAACCATTAGAAAAATCGCTATTTTTTGCCCAAAAACCCACCCTCCGTGAGTGAACAAAAATTTTTTTAATAGAAAAATTTTTTTTGGAAAAAATATTTTGAAATATAAAATGATAATTAGTATAATGAAATCTAGAGCTAATTCTGTTTAATTTTAAAACGAATTGCTTTTTAAAACATAAATTTTATAAATTAAATTAATATTTGCTTTCCAATTTTTGCGAATTAAGATTTTTTTAAATTTCGAAAAAAAAAAAATTTTTAAAATTTATATATAAATTTTTTTTAAAAAAAAAAAATTAACCCCTGTGAGTGAACAAAATTTTTTGTTCACTCACGGAGGGGGGAGTTAGGTGCTTGTGATGCCCTTGACGCAAGTATGAGACTACTTATCTGTGTCGTCACCGATAAGGACTACAAGTTTGATGAAATTTTGACTCAGCCGTTCAACTTCATGGAAAACAGAAATTACTTGGAGCATTTTTGCAACAAGCTGGAGGTGAATTTCTTAATTGTTAATGAGACAGAGCATACTTATGTGTCAAGAAGTGATAAAAACAAAAGTCCATTGGTCACGCTTTATATGGAAAGAGATTATTCGTGAAGTGTGCTTTATCATCAAGAATATGAGCTGCTTGCTGCTGGAAATGCAGGGATTGGAGATTTGGATAGGTTCCCATTTGTGTATGACCCAAGATCAGAACCTGTGAGAGTTGGGAGGCCATTGGTTAGCGGCACTCCAATAATCCCAACGACGAGTCTAGAGCCTTCTCCAATTATAGCGCAGCCTCAATTTGTTGAAAGATCATATCAAGAACAAGATATAAGACAGCAAAATGCTACAATACCTGAAGAAATCAAGGAAAGGCCTCCGACTAAAACGTTGCAAAAAGCTAAGACTTCTGGAGGATACAGGCTGATTTTTATTTCAAATGCCTAATATAGGATTAATGTCTTCCCGATAGGCATTTGGAAGAAAAGGATTTTTACCTTAGAGGCGAAGTAAAGCGTTTGGATATATATGCACTCGGCCAGGATTTTAGTTTAGCCGACACCAAGACCACACTTTTCTTGGGAAGATGGCTTGTCAGAGTTGAAAGTGGGATGCCTAGCAAATCCAAGGTTTTTTCTAACCAGTTTCCCCTCGCACAGCGTGATAACCAAACGTCTCTGACTCTCGGATAATCGGTGCAAGCCCCATCTGTAAAGTATCCTCTCAATCCCAAAACTCTGTGCTCCGAAGCAGTACTAAATCTGGCTGAAGCAGGAGCAGAGCTATTGGAATTCTGATAAACTCCCGCGGCTAAGCAAGCCTTCTTTGAAGGCTTCATTAAAATATGATGTAAAGTAGCGGAGCTCTAGCTTAAAAAAAAAGGAGGTCTAGTCTTTAATATCCTAATACCTATCTTTACCCGGAGGATCCAAGAAAATTGCAGCCATAAAGCCAAAGAATACCCAAATTCATAAAGAAAGTAAGCAAGAGGCACTCCCAGTGCCCAAAGAGTCTTCTCCAATAAATGTCCCAGAGCCCAAGAAAGTTAGCCAAGAGCCTTCATCTCCAGAAAATGCTCCAGAATTAGAAGAAGCCAAACAAGGGTCTATATATTATTCAGTGATAGAAGAAAATCCCAAACCAGATCTTTCTCCTGCAATTGAGATTTCTAATCAATTGATATCAGAAATGGCTTCTACCATTCTACTTAATTGCCCTAACAAGTGTAGTGATCTGCTTGTCAAGCTTTTATCTGACTATACAGCTATAAACCCTTCAGCTGACAAAGGAGATATAGCAAGGCTAAAAGAAACCGCAAGCAAGTGGAAACCGGCAGCCCAGCCACCACCTATACTGCCTGCCAAAAAAGAATCAAGTTGTGGCCATCTCAAAGTAAATTTTACTCCTTTATGTCAATTAGAGCACTGTGCTTATTGCTTGAAGGAAATTTATGAAAGAGATAGACATAAATCTGTATGCAGCCATGGGAAAAAAATCAGCCCGAAAAATATGACTGATATTAATAAACTATTAAGCGAACAAGGCCAGATAAATAAAGATGGAATAGAAGCAGAGATGGTAGTACAAGCTGAGGAAAAGAGTGAAAGAGCTCAGGAGCTTATTAAAACCTCTTCAAAAGCTCCTTTAATGCCAGAACAGCCTAGAAAGGTAGATATTTTTGCAATAAATCAGGAAAATATTTTTAGGCCAGGGCCAGTACTTCAATCCTTTCCTGTTGGAAATAATCAGTCTGTAAAAATTATAAACTTACTCCCCCCCCCTCCGTGAGTGAACAAAAATTTTTAATAGAAAATTGTTTTATGGAAAAAAAAATTTTGATATATAAATGATAATTAGTATAATGAAATCTAGAGCTAATTCTATTTAATTTTAAACGAATTGCTTTTTGAAACATAAATTTTATAATTAAATTAATATTTACGAATTAGGAATTTTTTAAAATTCGAAAAAAAAATTTTTTAGAAAATTTATATATAAATGTTTTTAAAATAAAAATTAACCCCCCCTCCGTGAGTGAACAAAATTTTTTTGTTCACTCACGGAGGGGGGGGGAGTTAGCAAATGATCAGCAATTATCAGGAGACCACGAAGTCCAGTCAAAATATGATGATTCTCAGCCATCACAAAAAAATTTCCTTGAGCTGTCCAATTCTCCACCATACCTACAACAAAAAATAATCCCCAAGCCTTCTCAATTGCAACCAAACCCATTACAAGATGTTTTACCTCCAAAAATGGATCTTGAATTCTCTCAAAAGCAGCCACATATGGATCCTGATCCATCCCAAAACCCTTTACAATTGAATTCCCCACCACACCCACCCCAAAAAATAATCCCCCAGCCCTCTCAATTGCAACCAAACCCATTACAAGATGCTTTACCCCAAAGAGTTGATATTGATTTCTCTCAAAAGCAGCTACACATGGATCCTGATCTAGTCCAAATACCTTCAGTAATTAACCCTACACCAAATCCACCTCAGCGTAGAAATGATATTAAATGTGCTGTTTGCTTTGCATATAAAGACGTCGATGAATTCTCTATTACATGCCCCAACCATCAAGTCTGCAATATCTGTAGAATTAAAAGCATGGAGCAATGCAAAATATGCCAAAGATTTTATTCAAAAAATGACCAAGAGACCCTAGAGATTATCAGAATTAGCTTTAATAATTAGCTATTTTGTTTAATATTAAGACTATTAATGCCTCCAAAATGGATATTAATTTTTCTCAACAGCAGCCAAATATGAATCCTAATCAATTCCAAATATCTTCGCATGGTTTTATTAAACCAAATCTGCCTGATCGTAGCAATGTAATTGAATGTGATGTTTGCAAAGCAAATAAAGAAGTCGATAATTTCAATATTTTATACCCAGGTCATAAAGTCTGCGATATCTGTAGAATCAAAAACATGCAGCAATGCATAATATGCCAAAGATATTATTGAAGAAATGACAAAGAGATGCTAGATATCATTAGCATTAGCTTTAATAATTAGCTATCTTATTTAATATTAAGACCCTTAACGCCTATTTGCAGATGCATATAAATGCAAAAACGAGAAATCATAATAGACAAGTTTCTAAACTCCCTTTGATAACAAAAAAAAATGAAAAATCTCTTTTCGGAAAATCAACCCTCTATAGGATCAAAAAATTTTCTATAAATTAATTGATAAATATTACAATTTAAAGTTAAAAGAGGAAATATTTACTTTAAAAATCAACACTGGTGGCCAAAAACTTCTTGCTTTTTCACAGAAGGTAAGCTCAAATCCTGCCAATATGATCATCTCTGTAGAATCAGCTGAAAAACATGCAGAAGAAGGCTACACTCAATATCTCATTGTGCTTTCCGTCGACCATCTTGAGCATGTCGTGTATAGGAGATTTTCACAATTTTCTGAGCTGAACGACTCTATAAAGGCCACCTTTCCCCGCGTGGACCTGCCTGACTTCCCTTCTAAGTTCAGCATCTATAACCGAATTGAGCAGCGCAAAAAACTCTTTCATGGCTACCTCAACGGCATCCTCAAACTTTGTATAGAATTTCCTCCACTTCCAAGAGACACTATGATGAAAATTTTAGCAGAATTTTTAGAAATCGTAGGGGTTGACAAAAAACAGCCTGAGGAGCCTAAAATTCCGAGGCAACTCAGAGAGTCTTTTGTAGACTCCTCACAGGTCATACAGTCCTCAGAAACAGGCTTTGTTGACATAAAATTCGGCCCAGAAGACTGACAAAGACATTATGCGTCGCTAGCATACTCAAATTTATATTTGTCTCCTGACGACAATGAAAGCAATTTTACACATGTGATAAGCTGCTTTGGGGCAAATATAGGGTAAATATTTTTTTAACGAGACAAATTACAGTAATTTTTCCTATAAATATGACTGTTATTTACCTCACATATGTAATAATTTAGTTTTGCCCACAAATATAGTGACTAAGGATAATAATATTTTGGAAATTAATCATGACTACCAAAAATTCCCGATACTTATCAGAGGAAAAAACAGCCAAAATATACAGAAATGAAGCAAGGCTCTAGTGATTGCAGCAACAGCAAAACAAGACTCACCTCTTGCGTCTTATAGGATTATTTGTGCAGGGAGAATTATTGTGAAAATAAAGACAGGGGATTTTCTTAAACCATTAAAGCCTTCAAGCTCTGGCAAAACTCAGTTTTTCGTAAAGGTCGAGCTGTATCCGTTTTCTTTCCAAACATCAGTGCTACCTCAAGAAGACTTAATTGATTGGAACCAATTGTTTGTGATGTAAAGCTTATTTTAGGCCAGTGATGAATAGGTTTTTCATATTGAATTTATCTTAGTCTTACTCTTACTTAGCTTAGTGTTTACCTTCTTCAGCAGGATGACTAGGACGCAACCCTCCTTTTAGCTCAAAAGTGATGACTTCCTACGTTATATCATATTTCAGACCTGGTCAGAAAGTCTCATGATACCCAATGCACTCACTTTGCCTTACTCAGGGGATCACCTTCCCTGGGTGTGCTGAGGGGAAAAGCCTTAAGCCTCTTGATGTACTTGAAGCAGTCATGGCCTTATGATAAATTCAAACCGATATTGCTGTGCAGAAGTTCTCCAGGAAAAATCCAACCCATAAATATTCCATGAGGAAGAGAATTTCTCTCAAAACGAGTGACATTATTAAATTTATCAATCTGCTATTACTCGTCTGATGCATGGCTCAAGCAGCATGCAAAAGAAGAAGTCCTCGAGGAATTTAGCATCACAATCAATGATATCTCATTATTTCCATTTTCTAATGGCCCTGTGAAGCTATTTTTGAACAAAAGTGACAGCAAGAGAAAGAAAAGCGCTGATGAAGGACCTTCGTTTATCACTGTAGAACTAGTCCATGAAGCTTCATTTATGTCTATGTTTATGCCGCCTCCTTCACATTTTTTCGAAGACACTGAAATCCCAGAAATCGCTACTATGAGAGAACTGAAAATTGCGTCTAAAAGACTTAAAAGAGTAAGGATCCTTTATATACGGTTCTTGAAGACTATTTATAAAGTGTTTTTATGGACTTACCCAAGATTCTCAATGGTGTGCTTAATTTTGTTTATTTTATTAGCGGCATTTTTGCCTGCACAATATGTCGTTCCTTTGGCACTTTTTATTTTATTGATGTTTTGCTTGTCCTTAAACCCAAGATCTGAAGGAATTATCAATTGGGTCAGCAGTTTTTTCTTTACAGATGAGCTGAGGACGAAGCCAATTCCAAGCATGAAAACAATAAAGCAAAAAGACCACGAAAATAAGAGCAAGTTTACCATTTTAAAAGAAAAAACCAATGAAGGAGTCATGGACAGGTGAAAAAAGTTCAAAGAAGACGCTGTCGATATCCAAAATCTTCTGATTAAAATATCAATCTGAGCAGAAAAAACAAGGCAAATTTTCTTGTGGGGAGACCCATTGAAGAGCTTGTATTTTTGTATTGGGCTGATTATTGGAATTTATATTTTCTATACAGTCCCTATGAGACTTGTAATTTTAACTGCGGGGTGTCATAGATTTTATAAGGGAAGAAAAAGCAGCAAAAGACGTTTAGATCATAATACAAAAGTATGCAAAGAAGTCCTAAAAAGCTTGTACTCTCAGCATCTGAAAAGCCTCTCTGTGAAATCGACTGAGCTATGGCCAAGTGATATTGTCACTAACCCAAATCTGCAGAAAAAGATCATTGAAACTATAAGAACGCGCTTAAAACTTGCAGCTGAGCCAAGCCTTTTCCAAGAATACCCAACCCCTTTAAGCCTTTTCGATGCGATGAGAGCTGTTGAATTCACTCTGAAACTTAAAAGCACAAAAGGAGAACGAATGATGGATCCGAATAAAAGAGATCGGTCAACTTTCTTATACAAATTCATGATGAATATTCCAAGTGAATACTATCGATACCTTCATCCAAAGCTTTTAGATGTCGAACCAGTAAATAATGTTAACACTTAGTAAATAGAGATTTATATTTGATGTTTTGTAGGGAAGCTATAATTAGTTGAGGATAATAAACTAAAACTTAAAAATCCTGTAATTTTGATGAGCGAATTGGCTATTCAAGAAGAGATTTCTTTATTGTTTTGATTCTTTAATATGAAAATCTTTTAATCCTTCACTCCGTGAGCGAACAAAGAAATTTTGTTCGCTCATGGAGGGTGCTAATTTTTTTTTTAAAAATTTTATATATAAATTTTGGTAGATTTTTTTCAAAAATTTTAAAAAAAATTCCAATTCGTATTTTAATTTGTCAATTTAAGTTTTAAAATGCAAGCTGTTTAAAATCAAACAGAATTAGCTATAGATTTCATTATAAAATTATCATTTATATATCAAATTTTTTTAATGAAAAAATTTTTGTTTGCTCAAGGCAGGTGGGTTTTAAACTAAAATAGGGATTTTTCTAATGGTTGTTTTCGCTCACGGGAGGGGGGTAAGTGCTGGTTTTACACGAAAGCTGGTATATTCAATATCCTGAAATGCACCTAGTCCTAAGAGATAAGGATTTTCTAAATCCTAAATTTTCCAATTGCATATCTTAGTCCTAAAATAATAAAATGGGATGTACAGGAGTATTTGTCTCCAAACAAATCTTCCTCCTTCGCACACAATTAAAATGGCGAGCCATCCGACCCGTCCTTCTCCTGTACCCTCAGGGATTACGGGTTTAAGAAGTAAACGGGGCCTGGATATTGTGTCCAGGGTGGGTTTTTTTACCTTGGTCGGGACACCACGACAAGGTTTTTTTACCTCTCACAAAGACAAGAAGACCAGAGCCGATGCATCAGGAGTCAAACTTCAGGACTAGAAGGGAAGTGAGGAAGATCTTTATGTGGGGAGCTTCGGGGACCTGAAGGAGACTCCGGGAGGCTACTTTTCTCCCTCCCCGAAAAGGGACGGCGCCGGGTCACTAGACCCCTGATCAAGGAGTACCTGGGTGAGTCTCCCTGTTAGATGCTGACGTCACCATTTTTTGGTGACGTCGACAGAAAATGGAGTGAGCTACAGAGCCGGTGCATAGGGCGCGAGCTTGAAGCTGGCAGTGCTGGATAGAGGCTGAAATAAACCTCCGCGACCCGCTCAACTAATTAATCTAATTAATCTAATCCTCCTTCGCATATTAAGCATTATGGAGTCAATTTTCCACATGGGCCTTTATCCAATTTGCTAATATAGATTGCCATGTAGGATAATTTGGTGGCCCAAAGAAGAAAGAAGCAGGTTTGGGCGAGGTCAAACTCGGCCTGTGAAGAAGTTCTGTCCCTTTTAGCAGTTCTTCTGGAATGCTTTTAGGCAAGATGACTCTTACGATACCACTTACGATGCTAGAAGGGTGGGCTTCAGTCTAAAGCAGCCTGCTGAAAGAAGAAACACTTTAAAATCATAATAGCTAGCATTAGTATATCTTATTTCCATTCAATAATTCGGCAAATCGTAATAAATATAAAAATGAGACCAATTAGAACAAGGAAAGACGTCCAGTTTTGGCTTCTAGCACTCGTTGGAAGTTTGTGGTTCATGCCACCTAAAACCTATACAGGAGGAGTGACATCAGTGGAAACTAAATCTTGGCTCCCTGTTACTCGTAAAGATTGCAGCTGCCCATGGCTTAATAAATCTTAATACTTCTCATTAAGAAAACTAAGAGCATTAACTATGATATAATAAGCAATAAAATTGCTGAAAGATATGAAAAAGCTTGATCTCTTTCTTTAAAATTCTTGCTTATATATTAATAAGGCTATATCTCAAGAGAAGCTTTAACTCCTTGAAAACTGCGTTCAGCAAGGTTAAAATAATGATGCACTTTTACTAAATTGTATAAGACTTTATTTCAAATTTCGGGAATTTTATAAATAAAATTTCTAAATAGAGATTAATAAATTATTTTAGGCAAGTCCAATTATAAGAAAAGCGTGGTCTTCTTATTGCTGTTCCAGTCGCTTGTGGAATGAATCTCAAATTATTGATTTCAGGTTGCCGAAAAACTGGGAAATTCCAGAAAGTATGTACTTGTGGAGCTTGAAATTGAGGCTTATTTGCAAAAATTCTGTTTCCAACTTGTTTATATCTTAATTCTTCGGGTGATAAATTTAAATAGTCTCTTTGTGCGGTTATATTATGGACTAAAACGGTGTATCCATTACCCTCTGTATCTGGTGTTGGCTGAAATGTTGATAGCATGATTTAATTTTATACAGGAAATTATTGATTTCATTATATTTGATTTAATTTTCATTAAAAAACAAAATAAAAACCCAATTGAAGCCTGATTCAAATCGAAATTAAAAGAGTATATTATTCTAAAATAGGAGCTAAAACATTAAATAGGAAAATAATAGAGCTAATTAAAAGTGCTTATTTCGCATTTTGAAAAGAAAATAGCATACCCAATTATAATTCTTACCTTCCCCATCCTTGATTGAACGAATCCTAATAAATTCCTAAAAATTGGGAAAATTAACCCTCATCCTATCGAACGATTTTTATATACAATAAATCAATAATTAAAATGTTTAGATTATTATAAATTAAAAATAATTAATAAGGAACAGAAATATTTCATAGAGTGGAAAGGGGTAACTTAAATTTTTAAATTAACACAATTTTTCATTTTAATTGTTTTAATATTTACGATCTTAACCCTCTTATTAAAATCATTTTATATATAATTTTTTTCCAAAAATTTTTTAAACCCCATCCTTGATCGAACGACGAGGTTCGTTCGATCAAGGATGTGGGAGTTAGTTATAATTCTAAGTCCCCTTAAAAATCAAAAAGCTTAATGTGTGAGATTTTTAAGAACTAGTTTAAAGTGCCCCTAGAATTCTTTAAAAAGCCCAAGACCTAAGCTTGAAATCATTCAGCAGGCCCAATTTGTGTGAACTTATGACTATGCATTCAAAAGTTTTGACTACAGTAAGACTTCATAGACAAAAGATAATTTCATCATATTAAGCAAATATTTTACTTTTGTAAATAATCACAAGCTTTACTATAGATTAAGAATATTAACAATTTCATTAGATTGAGCTCTCAAGCATAATATTAAATTTTTAAAGCTGCACTGGCATGAAGCAAGCCACTATTAGTATAATTATTTATCCTCATCTACATCAAATTAATCCTTCAAATGCTTGCTCATATAAATTAATATCAAATTCTGCCACTGCTTTTTCAAAACGCCTTACAAGACTTTTCTATACACATTCCCAGCCCCTAAACTTATCTCATTTATAAAATTAATATGGGAGATAGACGAGTTGCTTATTTTTATGACGGTAATTACTAATTAGAAAATATAGGCAATTTTTACTATGGGCAAGGCCATCCAATGAAGCCGCACCGTGTCCGTATGACTCACCAACTAATCCTGGGGTACAAACTATACCGCCAAATGGATGTTTATGTAATCCTCATTTAGCGTCCTCACTATGCAACCCCTGAAGAAATGATGCAATTTCACAGTCCAGAGCACATAAAGTTCCTTCAGAGGGCCGAACTTTCGGGTGAAAAGCTTTTTATGCACCACGAGCGCGCCAGAGAAGACTGTCCAGTCTTTGAAAACATGTTCGAGTTCTCTCAGATCTGCGCTGGGGCTTCAATTGATTGTGCAATGGCTCTGAACCAAGGCGAGGCCGACATCTGCATTAACTGGTCTGGCGGCTTCCACCACGCGAAAAAAGGGGAAGCTTCAGGGTTTTGCTACATCAATGATATAGTCCTTGCTATCCTAGAATTACTCAAGTACCATGAAAGGGTTCTTTATATAGACATCGATGCACACCATGGGGACGGCGTCGAAGAGGCCTTTTACACCACCAATAGAGTCATGACGGTCTCCTTCCACAAGTTTGGGAACTTTTTCCCGGGTACCGGCGACATTAAAGACTGTGGAGCAAGCGAGGGGAAGTATCACTGTTTAAATATCCCATTAAAGTCTGGGATGACTGACGAGTGTTATGAGAGGATTTTCCAGCCAATCATGAGAGAGGTCGTCTATTTTTACCAGCCAAATGTAATTGTCATGCAATGTGGGTCAGACTCACTTGCTCATGATAAGCTGGGGAAATTTAACTTGACGTTAAGAGGCCATGGAAACTGTGTAAAGTTCATGAAAGGGTTTGGGCTTCCTATGATGGTCGTGGGAGGTGGAGGATACACAGTGGCCAACGTGGCAAGGTGTTGGACTTATGAAACTTCTGTGCTGCTTGAAAAAGAAGTCCCGAACGAGCTCCCTTTTAATGACTATTATCAGTATTTCGGGCCGTCCTATAACTTGCATATTGACCCTGACAAGACTTTGGAAAACAGGAACACAAGAGACTACTTGGAAACAGCCATGATCAGGTGCTTGGAAAATATCAGAAGACTTGAAGGAGCTCCTAGTGTACAAAGGCAAGATGTCCCACCTGATTTTTTCCCGAACGACTTTACTGACAGGATGGAAAAACGACATAACCCAACTGAGTTTTATGAGTAATATAAGAATATTTCAGGATTTAAGGCAGCAATAACGTCTAATTTAGGGTTTAATAATATAAAATTCCTTAATATTAAGCTACCATTACTATTCCTTAAATTTAGAGATAATTAGTAAGACAATCTGTGTATTCAAGCATAAATAAAATCAAAGCAGAGAGCAATTTTACTCAAACTATAAGTAATTAACTTATAAATGGAAGAACTAAAAGAGAACGTAACTGAGTATTTCATATCCTTTATCTTGAATAAACTACCAGAAGAAAACGATTACGCAAAAGAGCGAAGAAAACAGTTTGCTCAGACAATAATCCACGAAAAGTCCTCCCAAAAAATAATCCTCGAAGCCCTACTAAAGCTGTACCCAATTGTAACAAATCATATTGTACAAGACAAACGGAAAAAAGATATTGAAAAAGGCTTAATCGGAAAAGAATACCAGCACGACTCTATTTTCCTTACCAAAGAAATGACGCAGACTCAGTACGAAAGCTTTATCAATAACTACACACAGATTCAGCAACAAGTCAAAAATCTTGCAATCATGCTTGACAAAGATGCACAGATAAACTCAATTATATCTGAAAAAGAAATTAAAGAAAAAATTGACTTTGCGATCACAAAACGTTTTCAAAGCGACAAACTCGTTGGACTTCTAACTGAAATGGGAGGGTATGAGCCAGAGTTTTTTTTGGATATTAGGGATATTAGTCATGATACTTGGAACAAGCATGTAGAGGTGGAAAGACTGCTGAAAGAAGAAATGATCGTCCATGAGAGAAAATTCAACCACCTTGATTCGAAATATCTTTACAAACTGATGTGAATGAAAGAAAGGGCTGGGTTAAAGATACAAAAGTTGGAAAAATATATAGATGACGCTTGGACAAAAAGCAGAGAAGATGTTGACAGAGTTAAGATGACTCTTCAAGATGAGTATTCATTACAATATGAAAACTATTTAAAAGAGGAAGCTGTATTGAGAAGTGCTGAAAAAGAAGAACCTATCACTGACTTGCCGTCTGCGCTCAGAAAAATCAAGCAGCAGCTTGCAGCTAGAAAAATTTTAGAAAAAAAATTGGTGCAAGCTGATAAAGTTATCAGAGGAATTGACAACAAGCTGAAAATCGTAATGGAAAAAAATAAAGACCTTAATGAAAAATTCTCCGGGATGAGATATAACAATGAAAAGCTTATCACGTCATTTCTATGGCTTGTTGATAAGTCGAGGCTACTAGATATGCATCGAGAAAAGTCAAAAACATATGTGGCTAAGCTGAAATTTGAAAAATTAGCAGAAAAACTAACAGAGGGGAAATTCCCTGAAAGTATGACCCAAGAAATTATTTTAAAAAAATTTTATGATATCAGGGAGTCTTTAAATTTAGTTTCGTTAACGACTAATGACTCAATGACCAAGGTCAGGATCGGGAAATTATTAGGAGATTTGAAAGTAGAAGATATATTGCAAGAAGCAGAGAAAAAAAGCTATGAGACTGCTATGGCACAGCTGCAGCAGCTTCAAGTTGCAAATGAAAAGAAAAACAAAAAAACAAGCAAGAAAAATGTCCTGAAAAGAGCCATGGAGCCAAAAGAGATTAAACCTGAAACAAAAGATACCAAGACTGACTCTAAAGAGCCGAAACTAGATTTAAAAGAGCCCAAGCCGGATATTAAACAGCTGAAATTTGATACAAAACCAGCCCCTTCCTCTAGAACTCCTAAAATTGAAAATCCTGTAATTTTTGATTCCCGAATAAAAAGGTCAAAAAGCTATAAATCAACAAAACCTAAAGCTCCACCACCAAAAAAGGTTGAAAGCGAAGAAGATATAAAATCAGAACTTGAATTAGAAGCCGAAGAGGAAGAAAAATCCTTAGATTCCCTTGAGTACTCTTCACTAGATATCAAAGGTGTCTTAGAAAATATTGATGAGGAAGCCAAAAATGAATCAATTGACCTTGATTATTCTCAAATTTTAAGCAGAATTGAGCAAATTTCACCCAAAAATGAAGGCGAAGTGCCTATCAAGCAGCCGTTAGAAATTGCATTCCCTCGGGTAATAGAAAATATTAGTTATCATAAAGGTATTAGGTCTCACAAGCATAGTGCCCCCGATACAAGCCGCCAAAGCTCTCAGAGAGACAGCGAAATGAACACAGAGCCACTGCCACCTGAAGAGACTACTGATGATTTGAGGGTGCAAGAAACCTATCAGACCGAAAATTCAGAAAATGAGAATTTTAGCGATGAGTATATTGATAAGCCATTAGAATTTACTGACACCTTGAATTTTACAGAGCCTAGGAGCTCTGTGGAACCTAGAAATTTCGCAGAGGAGGTTATGGATGTCCCTTCATGTTCTGAAGAAAGTGAAATGGAGGATTATAATAGCACTGCTCCTGCTTCAATAGATACAAGATCACGAATGATTGAGTCCTCTTCACAGCTATTGGGGCATCAGCCATCTCAAATGAATATGGTGACACGCCTGCAAACTCCAGGTGAAGTAAGAAGCTTTAAAGATATGCTTTTCAGCATTCTACAAAAAAATGCAAAATTGAGTGATAAATATACCTATTCTATTTCGCTAATTGGCCCAATTGAATATCGAAACAAACTTAAAACACTGTCAATCAAAAAATTATATTAGATCCTATTAACAATAAATGAAAAATGCTATGATTTTACTTGATTTTAATTTTAATTTGATTAAATACTCTTTAAATTTTTAATTTATAAATAATCTGAAAAACAAATTTTATGAATATTGGACAGTAGCGTGTGCTAATAAGGAGTAAGAGATCTCTTACATCTCGAAATTGATGGAATAAAAGTCCAAAATTTAATACTAAAACTACTGCGATCCTATTTTACCAAAAAAGAAACAAGCTTCACTCAGACTGATGTAGAATCTCAAATGGAGGACTTTTCCAATGCTTATGGTAAAATGATTAAATCACTGTTAAAGAAATCACAAGGGGATAAAAAAAGAGACCAAAAAGTCTCCGATGCCCCATCAGACATGGAAAAAGATTTCTGTGTAGAAAGTCTAAATAAGTATAAATCTCTTATCAAAGAAAAAGGGTTTGAGGATGAATATTACAACTGAGTCAAAGAAGCTACAGGCAGAACCACCGACGCTGTAAATACCTATGAAATTGAATACCAAATTGAAGCCCAAAAACTCGGACTTAAAGCAGTTGACAATGCAGCTGGGAAAAAGCTATGAGAAGGCGTAATTAAACGAAGAATCGAAAATGGAGAAAAAGACGAAATTTCTATATATTTAAGAGGGCTGCTAGGAACTGACTTGTATGAGCCTCAGAAAGATTATGTCATTGGAATGTTTGAAACAAAAAGCATATTTGAGCTCGCCAAAACTATACAAAAGTTCCCACTTAGAGCAGTAAAGCATAAGCACAATTTAATCATAAATAGATGAAAAAATGGCTTATTTTATTTTTTAAAAAATATTTATAAAAAATATTAAAAAATTATGAAAAATTTTTAGTGAAAAAAGTTTATGCAAGCTTGGCTAAGAAATCGTGCAGTAAGGACAGGGTGGAATGTGGATATTGCCAATAATATTCATGACGTATGATACTCCCTTGCGACAAATATAAAACATGTAAAGCCGAAGTTTGGAATTTTAAAAAACAAAATTGAGCCTTTTAAGAAAAATCCAGATGGCCAGAGCCCAGGATTCGATTTTTCTTCAAAATGGGAAGTGCATTCACTCTCTCCAGTGGCAAAGGTCCAAACAAGACTGGCTGCTACCCAAAAGCCAAGACTTAAGCTAATGAGCCAAACTCCTCAGCCTGATAACCGACTGATCAAGCGAAAATTTGGTCCTCCATTCCAGCCAGGTATTGACTTGACGATGTCTTACGATAAAACTTTGGCAGATTTGGATACTTCAAAATCCAAAAAGAAAATTCTCATCAGAAATCGAATAAAATTGCCTTATTTATAATATACATATCTTATTAAGGCATAGCCTTAACTGAAATAATATAATTAAATTTTTTAAATAATTTGCTTATGATTTCGCGTTAGCCTTAAGTCTAAAATTTTCTATCAGGACCAGGGAATCTGTTTTGTCCTCCTTGATTCGGAAACCCTGGCATCCCCGCGCCTTGTGGGAAAAAGGCTCCATTAAATTGTCCACTTTGTCCAGAACTTGGCTGCCCCCACAGTGGATTGCCTGGGATAATTGGTAATGGCTGGGCAAAAGTTTGATCATAAAGTGTTCTCAATTCTGGATATAAGGACTGCAGCTGGTCTTCATATCTTTTAGCAATTTTCATAGTTAATTCTGAATCTGATTGAGAACGAACTGCTTTTGATATAACTATTCATGAGGCTGATAGTCCAAGTCCAAATGCAGTGAACCTTTTGAATGTTATGTATTTTTGATGCCTCTGCTTTATATATCGATCGAGATAGTAGATCCCGACGCTTGCTCCAAATAAAATTCCATAGATTTTATACCATGCATTCTTAAGCATTTTATCATAGTCAAGGTCAAGTTGATCGTTATTCTGGATTATATATTTAGAGCTATAAGCCATTGAGAAGCATTGAATCAAAGCTTGTTCGTAGTAATCCTTCCTTTGATCTGCACTCATTTTTTACATAAATGTGCCAATTCTAACTACCCCTTCGTGAGAGAGAAATCATTGGAAAAATGAGTGTTTTTGGTAAATTAACCCCTTGGGGGCAAAAAATTTTATTTTCATATGATCTTTTCTTAAAATTATTTGATATACAAATCATAAATATTATGATGAAATCTACAGCTAATTTTGAACTATAATTGGCTTGAATTCTAAACATTTATTTTTTCAAATATAAAAGATATTATTTCTGAAGATAATGAAAAGAAATCTAATTCAATTCAAATAAATTTAAAATATATCAATTTGCATAAACAATTTAAGATTTATACATTAAAATATAATTATTGGGTATTTATATAAAAAATAGTATTTAATATATGCTCTCTGAGGGGATTACTTTAGACTCTTCTCCTTCAAGGAGTGGAGATAAGTTGTTATATTAAGAATTATTCAACTTTAAGAAAAATATTTAGCCCTTATATACTTTATATTACCTAAAATTTACATTACTTGCAAATTAATCATTGTGAAGTAATGGCAGAAAGCACAGATACCCTTAAAGATCTTCAAGTTCGGCTCAGAAACAGCGACGAAGACACAGCCAAAGACATTCTTTCTGCCTTAAAGCCACTCTCCATCACCTTCGAGCAGCTGAAAGAAACGAAAATCGGCAAAACAGTTAAACGAATCGAGAAAAAGTTCCCAAGCCTGAAGCTTCAAACTCGCGAGCTCATCGAAAAGTGGAAAAACGTCGTCCACGCCAAGAAAAAGGCAGCTCCTCAGCCTGCCCACATTGAGAGGCACAGAGATCAAGTAGTGACAATGCTTACTGAGGTGCTCGGAGACAGAGACATTGCTTTCCAAATTGAAGAAGAGCTCAATTCCTCAGTCGACAGAGCAGGATACGCAGCAAAAGCCCGATCTCTTAAATTTAATCTCAGTAAAAATCCTGACCTTAAACTTTCAGTCCAAGAGGGCAGAATTTCACCTCAGGATCTCGTGAGGATGAACCCGCGCGACATGGCGACTGAAGAGACCAAAGAAGAAAGGAAGAAGCTAGAAAGTTCCCTGAAGGACAGCTATAGGTCAGATTGGCAGCTTGCGAACAATGTACAAAAAAGCGGGATGTTCAAGTGTGGAAAGTGTAAGTCTGACAAAACAATTATGTCGCAGATGCAGACTAGGTCAGCTGATGAGCCTATGACAACGTAAGATATATGTAGATTTGTGAAGTGCTTGGATTGCGATCATAGCTGGAAGTTTTAGTTGCGCTTTTCAGTGAGTAACTCATAAACCATTATTTCCAAATTTTAATTATGTTAGGGTTGCTATTTTATAGAATTTTCTTGATTAGAACTTGAAAAATAATTAAGGAGGGTCATAGTAAAATGGATCCTATAGAAACTATTAAAGCTATTACTCAGATCTCAACAGAAGACGCAAAAGCTATCCTAGAATGCACACAAGGAGATGTTGACCTTTCTTTATCACTCTATTATGAATTAAATGGCTTCCCTGCTCCTGTGATTCCTCCTCAATTGTTTTTCCAAGTAAAAGTTACCCAAGACTCAGCTCAGACTTCAGCCCGTCTAGAAACCTCTAAAGTCACGAATTGAGTTGAATACTCCTATGAAGAAGTCGAAAAAATTGCAGAAAAACAGCATAAAGAAGGCTACCTTTCTGAAAAGGAAAACGAGAGATGCACTATTTGTTTATGTGACTTTGAGCCTAGTGATAATGGGGAAATTATTAAACTAGGCAGATGCGGAGAACATTTTTATCATAAAGGGTGCATTGAAAACTGCAGAGGGGAGTCTGACTCAGTGCGATGTCCAGTTTGTGGAGCAATATATGGAGTCATGATGGGGGATATTCCTGTCAAACCTGACTGGCTCTACCTGTCTCTAAAGATATACCAGGCAGTCTAGCTCTACCTATCAGTTTGACTCTAACTCAAATTCTATAGGGACTTTCATGTTTATTAATAGCCTTTTGTAGCAATAGCCGTCTAGTATTAAATATAAAATAAATATTTTTAGTTAGAATCCTTTATTCACTGACTCGTACATTGTTTTCTAAATTATTCCATAGCTTTATAATAAATAATATAAATATTTGCAAAAATAGTAAAGATATATTAAGAAAAAATGATATAAAAATTTAAAACGGAATATCTGCTCTATAGTCAAAACAAATTATGAAGACCATATAGATGTTGAAAAATAATATAAATGCAAGAAAAAAAAAAAATTGAGAAATTGCTGAATATTATCCTTATTTGCCCCTTTAAACTATAAAAATAATTCTATTCCAGTTCAAAAAAGGGTTATGTTTTTTGAAAAAAAATTATATTAAATTTTATCCATAAAATTTGTTTATAAACTTTAAAAAATTATAAATTAAGGGACAATACTTTTGAATTTTAGTTTTTTTTTATGAAGACTGATTCTGCGTGAAACCTGTTTAAATTCATTCTAATTGCACTTTTCCAATAAATTAGGTCAAAATTAATTTTATAAAAATAGTGTTTTCATCTATAAAATTTTCCTATTAAAACAAAATATTTCAATTTAAAGGAAGGATGAAAATTTCACCAATATTTTACACCAATTTAAAGCAGGGGAGTTAGTTTTATCTTTAATAAATAAATACATTACAATTTTTATTTAAATTGCATTATACAGCTCATCTTTTTAAATAATTTGTATAGCGTAATAAGCTACAGGAGTATATCTTGAATTCAATAATCTTTTTGATCAATATATATTAAGAATCTATTTTTTTACGTTTATTTTTCAGTAGAAATTTTAATATTTTTTACTAATCATAAAATAACTTTAATATTAAAAATAAATTCAACTTTCTTTTCTCTGATAGCCCAACAGATTCCATCTTTCTATTTTTAGTTATATTATGATTTTTCAGTATTTAAGCTTATAAGCAGACCTAACATGATTAAAGCATTTTATGGTATAAAAAATATCTCATAATATAACTAAAAATATTAAAATTTATTATATAGCTTATGCACCTTAATAGATCTCTATACCCCAGCAGAATACCGACCAGAAAAAATATGGTACAGGGCACCTGCCTTATAAAGTATAAGTCTGATTAGGTACCTTAAAACCATAAACGGAGACTTGTCATTTTCGTTTTTACTTTTCAAAAAAACTGACACAAGTACAAATTAATTTGGAAATTAAAATGGATGGCCAATAATGATCTAAATAATTTCAGGGGCTATTTCTTAAAGAAGCAACACAATGTTTCACTTAGAGCATAAGCGATTTAAATTAATTGGACCTTTTAATATAGCATCAAAGTTTCTATTATTGAATTTTAAAGAATTAATGTCAGATTTTTTTTTCAAATTATAAATAAGCCTCTTCTCCTGAATGGCTATCATTTTTTCTAAACCTTTTATAATTCAGTAGAGCCAGCAGAGCCAGACTGCCAGACTTAGCCAGTAGAGCCAGTAAAGCCGGACTACAGACTGCCAGGTAGAGCTGAATTTCTTGGTAGAGCTAGACTGCCTTTAGAGTCAGGTAGACCCAACCGGGTTGACCATATGCCTCCTGGCACAATGACTGTAATCAGAATTGAAAATTTTATGCCATTAGATGGCTATGATAACTGCGCGACTTTTCAAATTAACTATGAGTTCCCAAATGGAACAAGAAACGGAAAACGGTACAGAGGCACTGCAAGAGTTGCTTTTTTACCTGATAATCCTGAAGGCAACGAAGTTCTAAGGCTGCTTCAAATCGCTTTTGAGAGGAAACTGACTTTCACGATTGGCAGAAGTGTGACAACTGGAAGAGACAATTGTGTGATATGGAATGGGATTCATCATAAAACTTCCCCTGATGGAGGTCCACCGAATTTTGGATATCCTGATGAAACTTATTTCACAAGAGTAAAGGAAGAGCTGGCAGCAAAAGGTATATATTAATGCAATCTTTTTATAATTAAAATAGTCTAGATAGTTTTAGCAATTTCAATTTTCTCACTTTGAGCACGATTTTTGTGATATAAATATGGTTTCTGAATTTAAAGAACTATTAGACCGCTTAGATCCAACTCAGGAGCGTATCCATTCCACTTCCTTTTGATGCCAAGAATTTCTTTATACTCATCCAAACCATATGCAGACAATAGTTGACTTATGGTCAAAATCAATAGAAACAAGCAATCAAAAGATTGCGCTGCTTTTCTTACCCCTTTAAATTGGAATAAAAATCCTGTTCGAATTTAAAGAGGGTTAATTTTATTTTTAAAAAAATATTTAAATTTTACGAAAAAAATATAAATCGAGCATATATTTTGAATTTTAATTTATTAATGGAAACAAATTTGTATCAAAAAATGCAAATTTTACTGAATTTTTTTAATTTAAAGTTGGGAAGATTAGCAAACGACATAATCCAAAATGCTCGAAACGAAACACTCAAAGCAATGTTCCAATTTTCCCTCCCACGAGCCATAACAGTATCTGCCACGAACCCTGGAAGTATCCAAGATATCAGAAAAGTATTGAAGGTCTGGGATGACAGGCAAGTTTTCCCACGTCACATTATTGAAGAGTGAGAGAAGATCTGTGAGAGAGCTGAGTCACAAGGGCCGAAATCCGATAGGTCACAGCTCACTTATGTCATTAATTTGGCCAAAAAGATGAAGAAGCTAAAGCAAGCAGGGCTCGCAGTCGAAAGGTGCCAAGGAGAAGACATAAGAAGGGTAGCTTACGCTGAGCAAAAAGCTAGAGAAGAAGTAATCAAGGAGATTGTTAGTGCTATGAAGAAAGTTTACCATGGAGACTTGAACGTATCGATCCATCTTCATAAGATCAACGAGAAATTAAATAAAATTGAAGAGATAGAATCATAAGCTAATAATAAAATTTATTGAATTAATAAGAGGGAGAGAGGGCAGCACAGGCCCAGAAATTAGATATAATTTTATAAAGAATTACAAGCAAATAGAAATCAAAAAGAATTAAAACTTTGAAGAACCTGATATATATTTGATCAATTAATATATTTAAATACTTGATAAAAATTAAGAATACAATAATTTATTATATAAATAATTTCAGAAAAATAAAAACTCTGTCTTTTAGAGAAACAAAGTGAGGCTTCCTTAGATAATAAAAGAACACTACATTTATTGTTTTAAGAAAATTTATGAAAGGGATAGTCTGAAATCTAATATAATAATGGAAAATATTCAGCCCTAAATATATGGGTGCAGATCCAATGATCGTGCGCTTTTATTAGTGTGTTTTCATCGAAGAAGATTTGGTCGAAAAATTTTAAAAAATATACCATTTGGCAGAAATTTAACGGTTTTTTGGTCATGACTCAATATCAAAATGCTTCAAACAAAATTTTCCCTAGAAAATGTCGCACTATCAAAAATGCACGGTCATTTGACATGGAGCCAAAATATATGAATGAGACTAATAGAGAAAAAGTTCAAGCTAATTATATAAAGATTATTATTTCTTCAGCAGGATTTCTATTACCTCAAGGTTTCAGAACTTTTGAACGATTTTTTTAAGTTTTAACATTATTTATTCATTATATTTATTACTTTAAAATGAATATTTATTAAACAATTTGCATTTACAATAGCATTTTCAGATTTTAATTGTAATGGAGATAGATTAATACTTATTTCCTTTTATCAATAGGCTTTATTGAAAATTTTATCAAATATAAATTGGATAATATATATATTATTAGAGTGCTTACAATGCATTATTTAAATGCAGTCTAATTAGAACCTATTTGAAATCATACAACTTAAAAACTCCTTTTCAAAGCAGCATAATTTTTTTTTGTGAGTTTAATAAAATCTTTTGCATTGCTCTGAGAGTTGAGCATATAGCAAAACAGCCTTTTCGTACCTTCAAAAAACAGTGTCAACACTTTTGCGTCTTTACTATAAGACTTAATTTTGGACAAGTTCTCCAGCTTCATTTGCTCCACAATTTGTGATTTTCTCCCTTTCTTCCTGTCTTCGTCCATTCCAAGATAAATGAAATTTTTGGTAACTATCAGTAAGAATTCTTCAGAAGAAGACTTATCAAGATCTTTATCATAAGTTTTGCAGCTGTAAACGGCTGCTGTTGGGTCAGCTTTTATTTTGTCTAGACTTGAAGGGTCGCTTAGTGACCTAGACTGCGAAGTGACCTCAGTTTCTTTGGACTCCCCAGATCGTGATGAAGCTCGGCTTTTTACGTCAGAAGTTCTCGATACTTTGCAGGCAAGGCATTTTTTTTCATCGTGCTCGTCAATGCGCAGTTCACATTCTTTAGCCAGCTCATGGCATTCAAAGAACCCTCCATCAACTAAGCTGATATAAGGGAATCCCTTGACTATAAAAGCTTGCAACAAATTATGGATCATGTCTTCTACTGGGTCCGCGCTCAAAGAAGAGTCACTATGTCCCAGGTCAAAAGTTTTGGACTTAAACTTGTTCCTGCCAATCAGACACAGATGAACCACTCCCCTCATATCTAAAAACTGGTCAGGGAAATCCAGCATTATTTCTCTATTACTATACGCGTCTTCATTGATCGGCAACGAGTTCGGAATGGCTCCTGCATGCTGCTCTGCTGCAGTCCTGACATCAAGCAAAAGGAGAGCGACGCGCTCTCTGTGCATGCACCACTCGCATCCTTGCAAGCAATTGCAGACCTTACCTTCAGGGTACGCCCTCTGTAGGATTTCTCTGGGATCTACTGACAGACAAAACTCAGTTTCTAAGTCTTCAATCAAATCACTTATGGTGCTCAAATCGAAGATATTGATCTCAGAAAAATACAGCTGGACAGAGTAAGGCATATTTCTCTTCAGTTCTCTCGAATTAACAATTATTTCTTTTAGGCATTCTTCGTCTTCAAGAGACATCCCACATATGGTCTGGGGCAGAAGCACCTCTTCTGTAGATAACAAGTCATTTTTGTATTTTTGTAAGAACGACATTCCTATATACACAGGAAACAGAGGGTCTGCTTCTACAACTAGCTCTTCAAACAGATAATATACTGACTTAATGTTGTTTATTTTGCAGGAAAAAAGCGTTAGAAATCAGCTGGTCGCAAACAGTTCAGGTGTAATTCCATTCATAAATAAAAAAGCGCAGAGAGTGGGATCGTGGTACCTCAAAAGTAAGCGGAAAGTCAAAAAAAGAGCTTGCAGAGGTCTCAGTTCCTAATTAGAAGCTTACATTGTCGCGGAACATAGTAGGGAGGCAGAGCTGCATAAAACTTTTGAAAAATCCATAAGCGACATGACTGGGAATTTGGCAAAGTCGGTTCATAAGAATAAAGGGCGCTATCAGCTCATTCAGTCCTTGTCTGTAGCTGATATTTTCTTCTTTGCAATAATTCAACAGGCATAGTTCAAGCAGTTCTTTTTCTTCTTCAGTCAAATCATGAGGACGAGTTCTATGAATGTCAGCTTCAACTATGTGCTGATTCACGACTCCTTGAGGTTTTTCGTGGCTCAGCCGTCTCACATTGCCATCAGATAAAAGTCTCTATATTGGCACTACCTTCCAAATGTCCATCCTTAAGTCACATGAAGAATCCATTTATAGAGGTTTCCTCTATATAGCGCTAAAAGCGCAGACATTTTCCCAGGAGCTTTCCAAGTTCGTCGGACCAAATCGCTTTTTGGTCCGACCAAGGCATTGATTTGGTGCAACCTACCGATAAATTCCGATCAGAATTTATCGGCCTTACAGCGCCAACATAGGAAACTTCTATATATATCCTGCTACTTAAAAATTGATAATAGTGCCATGAGGACGTCGTTTATTAAAGATCTGAACAGAAGCAACGAGCTGAAGCCGACCCACCAGTTTTATGAGTCAGTGAGAGCGACTACAATGGAGTTTCCGCAAGAGTCAAGGTCCTTGAAAAACCGAAATGCGTCATTGGACTCGAGGAGTAACTGCATTAGGCCGGTGAATCCAGAATTCGAGACTTACCAAAAGATAAGTCAAGAACGCATCAAGCTGCTGGAAAAGCAACTGAGGGAAATCTCTGAGCAGTTGGCAAAAATGCAGAAAATTAACAGAAAGCTGCTGGAGGAGAAACTGCAGATTGACCCTGTAGAAATGCACTATATGGTGCAGGAGCTCATAGTGGCCGATTTTAAAAAAGAATTGATAGAGAGCCAAGCTGAGGTAGAAAAAAACAGAATGGAAGCTGAAAAAGCCAAAAGAAAAGCAGAGCAGCTGATTTTGGAAAACAAAAAGCTAGAAGGAAGCATTAAAAGGTATAGAAAAATCATTGGAGATATGACAGGGACTCCAAGGTTTAATGCCCTCACAGAGTCGCTATCAAATTCTTATCAAGACAATTTTCCGCCTCAGCTGCCGAATATTAAAAATGGACTTGTTGATAGCTACAAGCCGCCAGGGACAGGGATGAGCTCTAAAAGCTTTGATAAGCCTCTTCATCGGATCTTACCAATGCTGGAATCTAGCATCTCTGAAATCTCCTCTTCTGAAACGTTTCACTCTCTTTTGTCACATCTGGCCAAAACTTGTAAATCTATTCTTTCCTGCGAACGATGCACAATTTTCCTTATAAGCCCGATTATTCAGCAACTTTACACAACCTTTTTTAGTAATTTCCATTCTATTAACAGAGTTTTACTAGGAACTTCATGGATCCTTATACATACAGACCCATCGGCTGATAGCAGCTCCCCAGTTTTTGCGAAAAGCTCTGAGCTGATCCCTGGGATTAGGACACCAGAAGAAATTGTGGAACCTATTATGATACATAAGCACCCTATTATAGCAGTCCAATGCCAAAACTCTTCTAAAGGCTTTGATTTGCAAGATTCCAGGGTGCTGAAGATAGTGCTTCTTCAAGTAAGGAGCTGCTTAAAGCAGTTTTTATTGAAAGATAAAGAAACCAAGCTTCAAGTGCAGCTGCAAGACATGTCAGCAGTTATCGCTGCTTTATCAAAAGCAAGAAGCCACCAAGCCTTAGCTAACACAATTGACGCAATTTTGCCAAAATTCTTCGAGTTTCACACAGCTGGGATAATCTTTGTGGACAAGTCTGAGAAGGAATTTTTCAGTTTCGCATACTCAAGGCTTGGGGCTGAAAAATATTCCAGTGATACAGTCTGATTTCCAGCCACAATGGGATTGTCAGGAGAAACGTTTAAGAGCCGCAGCATGAAGGTGTATGAAAATGTAAAGAAAAAGAACTTATATAATCCAGAAGTCGACAATATTGCTAACGCATCTGACGTTTCTTCACTAATAATGTCTTGTCTGCCTGGTCCGAACGACACAATTGTAGGAATCCTGCAGCTCAGCAATAAAATTTCTGGTAGCATCTCTGCTAAGGATATCTGGTCAAGCATAGGTCGCAACTCCACACCCCCACACCCACTAAAAAGTGGTACCCCCCCCCCCTAAAAAAATGGCACCCCCACCCCCCCTTTCACAGATGGCACCCCCACCCCCCCTTAATATAGCATAAATATATGACAAATGCCAATTTAGAGCAGACGTAATAAATAAATTATTATTTTAAATATTCAAAATTACTGATTTATACAATATCCACATAGCGTGGCACAATCGATTAAGGAGTAGGTGGAATGAGGTGAGAATTTCCTATAACTACTAAGCACACCACATATGAAAATTTGTTAGCAAGCATAATAATGATCTTTGGTATTAATTAGCAATATATCCTGCATATATTTATGAACTTTGTGGAACAATGGCTAAAAGTCGAATTAGAGATCCAAAAGTAAAACTGACAATAGCAAATACTATTTTTATTACCACTATTGAATCCTGTTACCAATTCAGTCCTGCAATCCTTGTATAATGGACATCAGATTAGCTTTAATTTATGAATCAATAAATCTAATCCAAGTTATTGTGTTGTGCTTGGCTCATTTAATAATTAATGCCATTATCTATATCTTTGGCATTATATTTATAAATATAAAAAACAAATTTAATATATTTTTCTAATTAATTGCTAATTAATTTAAATTTATTAATTAATCATAAATATAAAGTAATTTGTGGACTTAATTTATCAATATAGTGTTTTAATTGGGTTATATTTAATTTATTCTGCTTATTTCCTATCAATTACTTCTATAGAATAAACACGAGAGGGGGGGTGGGGGTGCAATCTGTGAAAGGGGGGTGGGGGTACCATTTTTAAGGGGGGTGGGGGATGGGGGGATGGGGGTTCCCTTATTAGGGGGTGTGGGGTTTGCTACCTATGCTTGACCAGATATCAAGCTGGTAGGAGAGCTCAGCATTGTGATTGGGAACCTGATTGTAGGAGTCAATGAAATTGACGAAGCTAAGGAATTGACTGTAAAAATGAAAAAATACTTCGATTCGTCGAAAATGGAAGAATTAACTTAACTGTTGTATCAAGCATTAATTAGGTTTATTTTCTCATGGACTCCTTTCCACCTCCATTTTAAGTCGGTTTTGGATTTCCGTTTCCTGTCCAGTTTTATATCCTTAATCTGAGAAAAATCGCAATGCGCGCTCTTTTCGGCAGCTGCACTGTTAGTCAGTGCAACTGACGGAATAAATGTTTGAGCACGCTGGTTGCTTCTTCTGATATCATTAGGCTTTCTTTCATCTGGCTTAGGGGATAAGCTTTTTAGTGTTAAAGCTCGGGTTTTTTTATTTCTAGGAATCTGTGACCGCAGCCTATTAGCAGTTTCTGGCATGAATCTTTCAGCTACTTGAATTTCGTCATTTCTAGGAGAATAGAAAAATGACTTTAAGTCAGCCTCAGATATGTCCTCTTCTTCAAACTCAGTCCTTTTATTTGGCCTGATAAGCTTCATCGACCTGGTGACTGGCTTAACATTCTGAGCATTTTTATTTTCCTGTGTTTTAAAATCCTTGATAAAAATTTCCACTTGGGCAGAAAAATTGTTTAGCGACCCAACTATGGGTGACTTAGAGCTCATTGTGGAGATTGTGGCTGGTGACTGCGGGTTATTTGACTTTTTGAATTTTCGCTTTGACCCTGATACTGATCTCACATTAATTCTTACTTTGGCTTTGCTTCCAATCAAGTTTTCAGTCGGAAAGCATTCGACTGGCTCCTCAATCACAGGCAGGGGGATAGTATACCTTATAGATTTTTGAAAAGAGTCTGGAGGCTTATGAGTTGTTTCCTCAGCTGCGGTCAGAGTCCTTGCCTTTTTCAATGATAAGCTCTTCTTCAGCATTTTTGTATCTTTATCCTTTGCGCCAAATTCTGACAAGTACTGCTGAGCAATTATAGTGGTCATTAAATTTATAGTAAGCTAATTCATTATTGCTATAAGGCTGGCCCAATAAATTCAGTAGTCATAATAATTTTTTATGGCTTAATAAATAAACTCTGTTCTCTCCTATAAAATTCAGTCTTTTAAGCCTATTCTTATCATTTATACCATCCAATCCTAAGAAAATGCAATATATTCTAAAATATTAATATCAGGATAGACTGAAAGGCATTTTAAAATGGCAAACTTAAACGACGCATGCGTTTGTCCTGTGTGCTTGGCAGCTCTCCAAGATCCTGTCATTCTTAACTGCGCTCACAATCTTTGCTTTGAGTGCGCCTATGAAATTATAGAAGTAAACTGTTTGCAAGAAAAAGAGGTGATCAATAAATAGTCGAAAATTTTCATCTGTCCAGTCTGCCGGAAGTGCACTTTTCTCAAGTCTTTTTCTTCCAATTGCCTTCCGAGAAACCAAATTGTTCAAGCAATCTTACATAGCAGCGAGTCTCTACAAAACTCTACCACAAATAAATGTCAAGCTTGTGGGAATTCAGAAATTTACTGTAATATGTGTAACAATTGCAAGGTGATGCTGTGCTCTGGTTGTGCAGAAGCTCATATTTCAGATGAAATGTATTCAGATCATATATAGAGATTTCCTCTATATAGCGCTGAAAGCGCAGACATTTTCCCAGGAGCTTTCCAAGTTCGTCGGACCAAATCGCTTTTTGGTCCGACCAAGGCATTGATTTGGTGCAACCAACCGATAAATTCCGATCAGAATTTATCGGCCTTACAGCGCCAAACATAGGAAACTTCTATAATTAGGTCCAATGCTAATGAAGATAGTAGGACTTGCATTGAGCATAATCTTGATGAGGATTTGTTTTGCATGGACGATAAAATCAGCTGCTGCACAGTTTGTGCTCAAAATCCCAGTGTTCATGCAGGCCACTCAATATACACAAAAGAGCTTGCACGAACTAAACTCGCTGCAGCTGCAATTGAAACTAAAAAACTGATTCCATTATTAGAGAAAAGAGTTGAAAGTGCTAAAAGATCTGTGCTAGTTGAGTTAAACCAAGCAGAGTCTAATGATGAAAGTGATGGAATTTTAAGTCCTCAAAAAGAGTCAGGGCAAGATGAAATCAGTGACTGGAAAAAAAATTCAAAAATTATGAAATCATATCTAGAAACAAATTTAAATTTAATTGAGCAGGTCGAAAAACTGATCCCCAATCTGTATCGATTTAATGATAATTTAGACCTTATAAGCCAAGCCCACAAAATTTCTAAGCTATCTGCTCAGTTTTATAAAAATTTCCCACAAGATGTTTTATTCCACATGCCTAAGGGGCCAACATTGAACGGAGTCTATGACTCACTGTCCTTCCTCGAACTAAACAGCCCTAAAACTATTGAATCTTCCCAGCTTTTCTATTTAATTCGAGGAAGTCGTGACTATTTTGTGTATGATTTCAGAAAAAATGAGTTTCAAAAGAAAATGATCCAAGACACAACTTTGGAAGTCCCAAGGTGATCTTGCTTTGTCCAGCTGCCTAACGACTATGTCTTGATTATGGGTGGAAAGGCAAGGAAAAATAGCGGTGCCAAACAAACTGCATTTTTCCTAGACCCTGCAACCGGATCTACATATGCAGCTCCTTCTATGATTAATGGGCATTCATCCCACGTAAGTCTGCTTGTGGATGGGATTGTCTATGTAATTTCAGGGAAAAATGAAAATAATTTGACTGCAACACAATGCGAAGCATTCATGCTAGTACTAATAAGATTACGCTTATTCAAGCCTATTTTCTTTCAGTCTTAGTGTGGATTTACAGTCCTGAGTAATAGTAGTAAGATCGGCCTGTGCGTTAAGCTGTCCATGTCTGAAAATCCCTTAAGGCCTTTCTACCCACTCCAGACTCATTTTGAATCACTTCTCTTCACGCCATGACATAAAATTCTCTTACTGAGTTCGGCTGTAGGACGTGGTCCTATCCCTAACTGTCATTTTAAATTGTGAGAAGCATTAAACTTGTCTACAATGACATGAAATTCAATTCAAAATATAAATTTAGGACGAACCTGTCCAGGAGGAGCCAGTGTGGGGAAAAAAATTTATATATTTGGGGGTTACCAGCAGACAGTCAATAACACAGTAGAAATGTATGATATTAGCCAGGACACATGGACTTTACTCGCAGTTTTGCTGCCTGAAAGACTGTGGCAGCATGGCTGCTACGGCATAAGTAATAATAAAATCCTGATTTTCGGAGGAGAAGGACCCTCAGATGAGCCTCACAGGGTGTCTTATTTATATGACATAAATTCTGAAGAATTTCACAGCTGCACTCCTATAATAACTACTTCATCTTGACTTTTCTTTTGGCTACATATTATCAGGCGAGGGCATTTGCTGTTCTCAATAAACAAAGAAAAATGCGTAATTTCTTATAACATAGCAAGCAATGAATGGAATACTTATAAAATCTAATTTTTCTATAATTCTACTAATTTAATTCTCTTTGAGCTTTCCAATCAATTCGAGGATTCTTAAAAACAGCGCAATAACGTCTACATATATAAGCATTGCTCCAATAACGTAGTCGTCAGAGGTGATTCCATACTTTTCTCCGTCCACAATGAGTTGGGTGTCTATAATGATGTAGACTCCATAAATAATTACCCCAAGAGAGCACCAGACAACTTCAAAATTATCTCCCATGCGGTAAAGGCCAAAGAACATCATCATAATCATCGAGGAAAGGGCAATGAACATGATCCCCACACATGGTCTAAAATCTGTTTTGGTCTAAATATCCTTTACCAAGCATGCATAGGCAGTAAGCACTAGAGTAACGCCAAGGGTCATTACTGCAGCTGTGATTACTGTATAAGCATCATAAAGAGTGCACACTGTCGCAACCATATAGCTTTCGCACAGTGTCTAAATAAAATTCACGAATAGGAAAAGCGTGATGTAGTTTTTCGGGACTTCACGAGCCACATTTTTGCAACAGAGTAAAGCGATCATTGAGGCAAAAACTCCAAATACAGCAATGAAGAAGAAAGCTAGATTGTTTTGGACAAACTCAGTTAGGATTTCACTTGACATGACAATCCCACAGAACAAGATTGTAACCAAAAGCTGGGCACTGAGGATCCCGTAAACCTTTCTAATAAAGCCTTCATAAAAAATACCTAATCGGTCAGTGTCAGGGGCCTGCTTCAAGTCAAAAGTCGAATCGTTTATTTCAAGGTTTGCACCTGGATATTGCATTTTATAATTATTGCATATTACCTCTGCTCTACAAAAAAATCAGAAATTTCCATTAGAGATTTGAATAAAGTGTTTATTTAATCATTACTTAGCGGCTGCATTCTATTTTTTAAACTATCAGAAAATAGAGAAGCCAGCATTTTTTGAAAGAAAATAATTTTTATATGAGAAATATTTAGCTAAGCTCTTTTAGTCGAGTTATTTCTAGTTCAAGCTTTTCCAGTTCTTCATTGTACGTGGCTAGCTTGTTACTGTTCTCAGCTTTCACATTTTCTGGTGTCTTTTCTTCATATTGAGGCAGTGACATTTTCTTCCTGAGCCCTTCTATTAGTTTCTGCATCTGATCTCTTTTCTTTGCGAGTTTCTTGACTTCTGCTTCAATATTCACCATTCCTGCTAGCTCTAAATAGACTTCAACGTCTCTTGAAGGGTTCATGATGCAGCCATGAGGGACTTCTGTGGTGCAGCTCGCACTTCCTGCCTTGGATAAGGTGGCAATTGTGTTGATATGTGGTTCGATCAAATTAATAATTTCCTGACTTGTCCTCAAGTAGATTTTAGGCTTTTTTCCAACTAGATTCAGGTTCTGGAAAATTGACCTGGCTGTCCTTATGATTTCCATCATGATGTCCATTGTCCTTTCAACTTCAGGGTCAATTAGCTCTGGAATTGGCTTAGGATACTCTGCAATTGAAATACTTTCTCGCTTCCAAGAAAACTCAGGGAGTCTTTGGTATAGCTCTTCAGTCACATATGGGATCATTGGGTGGAGGAGCAGCAGACCTTTTTCAACTGCAGAAAATAAGGTATTAAGGGTTTCTGTCTTAGCTTCAGCATCGTCAGATCTCATGATAGGCTTTATAGCTTCAAGGTAGATGTCACAGAACTCGTGGAGCCAGTAGCTGTAAAGAACCTGGACTGCCTCACCAAAATCGTAATTATTGAAATGAGTGTCGATTAGCTGAATGGTATTAGATAAGCGGCTGACCATCCACTGGTTGACCAAGATTTTTGGCTTTTGGTTTAAAAATCCTTCAATTGGGACGAATCCTTCTCCGAGGTTGGATAAAGTGAATTTCATCACATTCCACAATTTATTCATGAACTGTCTAAATGAAATGACTTTGGAGATCTTCAAGTTAATGTCTCTGCCTTGGATTGTGAACGATAACAGACCAATTCTTAAGGCATCGCTACCACAAGCAGGAATTCCTTCAGGAAATTCTTTTTTCCTTTTTTCAATGTATTTTACTTTATCTTTTTGTGACAGATTGCTGTTTTCGACTTTTTGAATTAGAGATTCCAATGTGGTCCCATCGATGACTTCTTCAGGATCAATAACGTTCCCTTTGCTCTTACTCATTTTTTCTCCGTCTGCATCTCTAATCATAGCATGAAGGTATACAGTGTTAAATGGAAGCTTATCAGTCAGACACAACCCCATCATGACCATACGTGCGACCCAGAAGAAAAGGATGTCATGTCCAGTTTCCAAAATTGTGCCTGGGTAAAAAGCTTTGAAGTCTGGATTTTCAACATTTGGCCATCCTAATGTTGAAAATGGGAACAGGCCTGAGGAAAACCATGTGTCAAGGACATCTTCATCTTGCTCAATTTCAATGATATCAGTCTCTGCTATTTTGAATTTTTGGGCTTTTTGAAGTGCTTCTTCGTGGTTTCTTGCGCAAACCCAGTTATCGTTTGAGTCATTTCTTGGCCTTACTTTTACCTCCCCATTCGCATCTTTTACAGTAACTAAATATGCTGGACATCTGTGCCCCCACCAGAGCTGCCTTGAAATACACCAGTCTTTAATGTTTTCAAGCCACCTGAACCAGGTTTTTTCATTAAAATCAGGCAAAATTTTGAGCTCTCCATTTCTAACTGCCTCGCAAGCTCTAGCAGCAAGATCGTTGCAATTGACATACCACTGCGGCTTTAGATAAGGCTCAATAACATCGCCGCTTCTGCTGCAAAATCCTAATCTCATCGCATTATTTGCCTTTTCCTTATACAGCCCCAGCTCAGCAAGATCCTTTTCTATTTGATTTCGGCAGTCAAACCTCATCATTCCTGCATACCTCCCTCCGTTTTCATTGATTTTTCCATCTTCAGTAAATATGTTGATCGTTGCCAGTCCATTGCGTTCTCCGCACTCAAAATCTCTATAATCATGAGCAGGAGTAATTTTGACGGCTCCAGTCCCAAAAGTCATATCAACAAGCTGTGCGTCAGCCACAACCCTCATTTCTCTCTCAGGGATAAAAGGATGGATAATTTTCTTGCCAATGAGATGCTTATACCTTGGATCATCAGGGTGAACAGCGACAGCTACATCTCCAAGCATAGTCTCCAATCTTGTAGTAGCTACTGTGATTTTTTCACCTGTCTCAATTTGGTAATCAAAGCTATGGATTACACCAAACTCGTAAAGCCCGTCATGGTTTGGAACTTTGAGCCAGGTGCTCTCTGTGATGTCTTCGAACTCCACTTCTAAGTCACTAATCGCAGTTCTCAAGTAGCAGCTCCAGTTGACAAGTCTGTTAGCTCTGTAAATTAGACCTTTTTCCCACATCCTTACGAATGCTTCTACAACTGCTTTGCTGAGCTTGTCGTCAAGGGTGAAGCACATTCTACTCCAGTCTGTGCTGACACCCATTCTGCGGAACTGGTCACAGATCCTATTCCCGTACTTCTCTTTCCACTGCCAGATCTTGTTAGTGAATTCTTCTCGGCCGTAGTCGTGGCGGGTCTTTCCTTCTTCTTTGAAAATTTGTTTTTCGACAACACTTTGGGTGGCGATTCCTGCATGATCAACTCCAGGGAGCCATAAAGTTTCTTTGCCTTGCATCCTGCTCCATCTGGCTAGTGCGTCTTCAATTGAGCTTGTGAGAGCGTGGCCTAAATGTAAAGAGCCAGTTACGTTTGGAGGAGGAATCATCATCACAAACTTTTGACTCGGAGGAAGTGTCAAAGCTCTTTCTTCGTTTGCCCTGTAAAACCTTCGGGATTCCCACCATGTATTCCAGTGAGACTCCACTTGTGTGTGGTCATATCCTGCTGCCATTGGAGCGCTTAGATCTTTTTTGGCCACATTTCGAATGATTGTGCTAATAGAAGACTTCATCTCCTCAGCCATTTTATATATGGAAATCCTTCTGATGAGGAGATATCAGCAACTATGGATGATAATGGCTTGATTATTATACAATTATAGATATATATTGATTAATTTTATATTGATGTAAAAAACTTAGAAATTGTAGAGAAATAGATTTTATGTTATCTTATTTTAGAGCGTTTTATATTATATAGAAGGCTTTTTCGTTTATATGATATCCAAGTAATAGCTAATCTTCATTGTTTTGAGTTTTTATAAAATAGATTGTAATAACATAAAGAAAAATATATTATTCTAATCTGTTATGTCTAAAAATTAAATTAAACAATAGTGTAAATGACTTAAGTTGCAATTTAAATTTAAAACTTAACTATTTTAGTCTATATCTTTTACTGCTTGATTGAGTATGAACTCGAAGAAAACTATTTTTAACTTTTGCTTTTTGATCTTCCTACATTTTTGCTTAAAATTTATTTGGAATGAAAAATGAGTAACTTTGAATTAAACGGGAGGATTTTTTAAAAGTTTATGCAAAGATTATGCTTATTCCCGTCCTTGATCCAAAAATTTCCTCAAAACGGAAAAATTAATTCCATTCCTCCATTAACAATTTTCCTATGCAGAAGCATAAAACGTTCTCCCTACCACCTCAAATCCATCTAAATATTTTGATAATGATGATCTTAGATATTACACCGTATAATCGCTTATATTAATTCTAAATTTTTAATATAGAAATTTTAAATTAATATAAATAAATAATCTTTTTAGAATATTTTTATCCATTATCATTTATCGAATGATGGTGGTCTATCGATCAAGAAATGAAAGTGGATTGCACAATTCGGACTTATTTGAAGAGTATTATTGCGTGTTTAAGGAGAAAATAGAAACCATCACTTTTTAAATTAAAAGAAATTTACAATTTGCGTTTGATTCTTCTATTATTTTTTTCTTTTTTAATTGAATTTAAGTAACTTCAGTTAGTTTTCTAATCTCATCTTTCCATCTTCCTAAACGCCTTTCTGCTCATTATAAAGTGTTCCTTCTTCATGCTGTTTCCCATCCAGCCAAAGTCCTTCATATCTCTTTCCATTAGGCCAGCCAAAAATGCCATATCCTTCTTTTTGGTCCATTGCATAACCTCCTTCATAATATCTTCCATTTGACCATGTAAGCTTTCCTTTTCCATGCATTCTATTGCTTTTCCACTCCCCTTTATATTTCCTTCCATCATTCCGCACGAATTCGCCTGTGACTTAAAATTCGTTATTCACGAACCCGCCTTCTAAGTAGCTCCCATCAGGGAATTCGAATTTTCCTTGTAGTTTCCTCCGAACTTTGACCCATTTGGCAATTTTTCAGAGCCAAAACCTTCCGGTTTGTCAATAATCAATTTCCTTCGTAGATATGATTACCTGCAGCGTATTGCCCATGGAAGATATGATCACCTGCAGCGTATTCCATACATCCGCTACCATTCATTTTCCCTTCAGCCCATTCTCCTAAGTGCATATCTCCCACTGAATTGATCCTTCTGCCTTTACCATGGAGTTTTCCAGCTTTTTAACTGCCTTCAGAAATTCCTCTATCTGCACAATACATCGTGCCTCTTCCTAAAGGTTAGTCTCTATCTTTCCATTCTCCTACATATAAACTGCCATCTGACAGTTTTTTTGGACCTTCCCAAGTAACCTCAAATAAATACAACTAAACTGTAAAATTCAAGTTATGTGTCCTTTTTGGTATTTTGGTTAGAAAAATGAAAATTAAATTATAATTATTAAACTTTATAGGTAATATAGATTAAATAAATACTTATTGCTTAATCTGTGCAAATTATATAAAATACGAAAATAAGAGAGCAAAAATATTTTGCTCGCTGAAAGAGAGAAAAAAACTTAAATTTTAAATTTATAACCTTATTTTTATTGTAAAAACTTAGTAGAAGAGCAATTCTAAAATATTCCAAAATTTGCAAATAAAAAAGTAATTTTAATATGCTTTCAATATATATTTCAATATCTATAAATTAAATATAAAAATGCACCTAAAACACTTATTATTTTATATGTTTAAATATTAAATTGAGCTTAATAAATAAAAAAATTATGAGTTTTTAAAAGAAACTTTAGTTAAAATTAATTCCACAAAAATGATTTAATTTAAAAATATAAAACTAAATTTAAGAGGGTGTTAGGGTGTTAGGGTGTTAGGGGTGTTAGGGTGTTAGGGTGTTAGGGGTAGGGTGTTAGGGTGTTAGGGTGTTAGGGTGTTAGGGTGTTAGGGTGTTAGGGTGTTAGGGTGTTAGGGTGTTAGGGTGTTAGGGTGTTAGGGTGTTAGGGTGTTAGGGTGTTAGGGTGTTAGGGTGTTAGGGTGTTAGGGTGTAGGGTGTTAGGGTGTTAGGGTGTTAGGGTGTTAGGGTGTTAGGGTGTTAGGGGTGTTAGGGTGTTAGGGTGTTAGGGTGTTAGGGTGTTAGGGTGTTAGGGTGTTAGGGTGTTAGGGTGTTAGGGTGTTAGGGTGTTAGGGTGTTAGGGTGTTAGGGTGTTAGGGTGTTAGGGTGTTAGGGTGTTAGGGTGTTAGGGTGTTAGGGTGTTAGGGTGTTAGGGTGTTAGGGTGTTAGGGTGTAGGGTGTTAGGGTGTTAGGGTGTTAGGGTGTTAGGGTGTTAGGGTGTTAGGGTGTTAGGGTGTTAGGGTGTTAGGGTGTTAGGGTGTTAGGGTGTTAGGGTGTTAGGGTGTTAGGGTGTTAGGGTGTTAGGGTGTTAGGGTGTTAGGGTGTTAGGGTGTTAGGGTGTTAGGGTGTTAGGGTGTTAGGGTGTTAGGGTGTTAGGGTGTTAGGGTGTTAGGGTGTTAGGGTGTTAGGGTGTTAGGGTGTTAGGGTGTTAGGGTGTTAGGGTGTTAGGGTGTTAGGGTGTTAGGGTGTTAGGGTGTTAGGGTGTTAGGGTGTTAGGGTGTTAGGGTGTTAGGGTGTTAGGGTGTTAGGGTGTTAGGGTGTTAGGGTGTTAGGGTGTTAGGGTGTTAGGGTGTTAGGGTGTTAGGGTGTTAGGGTGTTAGGGTGTTAGGGTGTTAGGGTGTTAGGGTGTTAGGGTGTTAGGGTGTTAGGGTGTTAGGGTGTTAGGGTGTTAGGGTGTTAGGGGTGTTAGGGTGTTAGGGTGTTAGGGTGTTAGGGTGTTAGGGTGTTAGGGTGTTAGGGTGTTAGGGTGTTAGGGTGTTAGGGTGTTAGGGTGTTAGGGTGTTAGGGTGTTAGGGTGTTAGGGTGTTAGGGTGTTAGGGTGTTAGGGTGTTAGGGTGTTAGGGTGTTAGGGTGTTAGGGTGTTAGGGTGTTAGGGTGTTAGGGTGTTAGGGTGTTAGGGTGTTAGGGTGTTAGGGTGTTAGGGTGTTAGGGTGTTAGGGTGTTAGGGTGTTAGGGTGTTAGGGTGTTAGGGTGTTAGGGTGTTAGGGTGTTAGGGTGTTAGGGTGTTAGGGTGTTAGGGTGTTAGGGTGTTAGGGTGTTAGGGTGTTAGGGTGTGTTAGGGTGTTAGGGTGTTAGGGTGTTAGGGTGTTAGGGTGTTAGGGTGTTAGGGTGTTAGGGTGTTAGGGTGTTAGGGTGTTAGGGTGTTAGGGTGTTAGGGTGTTAGGGTGTTAGGGTGTTAGGGTGTTAGGGTGTTAGGGTGTTAGGGTGTTAGGGTGTTAGGGTGTTAGGGTGTTAGGGTGTTAGGGTGTTAGGGTGTTAGGGTGTTAGGGTGTTAGGGTGTTAGGGTGTTAGGGTGTTAGGGTGTTAGGGTGTTAGGGTGTTAGGGTGTTAGGGTGTTAGGGTGTTAGGGTGTTAGGGTGTTAGGGTGTTAGGGTGTTAGGGTGTTAGGGTGTTAGGGTGTTAGGGTGTTAGGGTGTTAGGGTGTTAGGGTGTTAGGGTGTTAGGGTGTTAGGGTGTTAGGGTGTTAGGGTGTTAGGGTGTTAGGGTGTTAGGGTGTTAGGGTGTTAGGGTGTTAGGGTGGTTAGGGGTAGGTGTTAGGGTGTTAGGGTGTTAGGGTGTTAGGGTGTTAGGGTGTTAGGGTGTTAGGGTGTTAGGGTGTTAGGGTGTTAGGGTGTTAGGGGTTAGGGTGTTAGGGTGTGTAGGGTGTTAGGGTGTTAGGGTGTAGGGTAGGGTGGGGTTAGGGTGTTAGGGTAGGGTGTTGGGTGTTAGGGTGTTAGGGTGTTAGGGTGTTAGGGTGTTAGGGTGTGGGTGTTAGGGGTAGGGTGTTAGGGTGGTTAGGGTGTTAGGGTGTTTGGGTGGTAGGGTGTTAGGGTGTTAGGGTGTTAGGGGGTAGGTGTTAGGGTGTTAGGGTGTTAGGGTGTTAGGGTGTTAGGGTGTTAGGGTGTTAGGGGTTAGGGTGTTAGGGGGTTAGGGTGTTAGGGGGTAGGGTGGGTAGGGTGGTAGGGTGTTAGGGTGTTAGGGTGTGGTGTGGGGTTAGGGTGTTAGGTAGGGGTGTAGGGTGTGAGGGTGTTAGGGTGGTTAGGGTGTTAGGGGTGGGTGGTTAGGGTGGTTAGGGGGTTAGGGTGGTTAGGGTGTTAGGGTGGTAGGGTGGAGGGTGTTAGGGTGTTGGGGTTGGGGTGTTAGGGTGTTAGGGTGTGAGGGTGTGGGGGGTTAGGGGGGGTGTAGGGTGTAGGGTGTCGGGGTGGAGGGTTGGAGGGTGGTTAGGGGTGTTGGGTGGGTGAGGGGTGTAGGGTGGTAGGGTGGAGGGGGTGGGGAGGTGGGTGGTAGGGGGGTGGGGGTGTAGGGGTGTAGGGTGTGAGGGGGGGTGGGGGTGGGGAGGGGTGTAGGGGTGGGTAGGGGGGGTGGGGGGGTGGGGGGGTGGGGGTGGGGGGTGGGTGGGTGGGGGGGTAGGGGGGTAGGGGGGGGGGGGGGTGGGTGGGTGGGGGGGTGGGGGGGAGGGTGGGAGGGGGGGTGGGGGGAGGGGGGGTGGGGGGGAGGGGGGGTGGGGGGGTGGGTGGGTGGGGGGGGGGTTAACGTGAGGGTGT